TAGTGAAATGAAGGACTCCTGAAGTCTCTTGTTTGGCATAGTGCGTTGGTGAGATCGTTGGGTTGATAGGTCGAAAGAGGCTTGTTAGAAGTTTAAAGACTAGAATTTCATCATCAAAACGATACCAGTAGCATAAATCTCGTGCGAGATGTCTTACCTGATCGTCGCTTTTCATTTGTGCTTCTTTCCTGTTCTTCATGTATTCTTCCTGCATTTCAATTCTCTCACTTTCTCCTGTGACTGCTTACCTACCACACCCCGGGCAGAGTGCTATGCAAATATCGTGTCTGTTCTCCCTCAGCACGTGTGTCCACGAATACGTAGTACCTGTATGCACTTTCCCTAATTGCTCTCTGTTTCTAGCTTTTCGCTTATTGCGCCCCGTCACTTTGACTTTTATTGCAGGAACTTTCAAGTCTGTGGGCATATGCAATAAAAGAGATCACTGTTCTATTTGCTGAGAGTGGCCGAGAGGAGAGCTGATCCAGGATCGAGGTCATAGCGATTTGGGGAGTAGGGCGGACCCTGATGCTCGGTGAGGAAAGCTGTTGACGACAACTTCGCGCGTTGGTCGGCAGAGGATCAATGATCGATGGCTAGATTAAATCTCTGTTGCACACGTGAAAAGCTCAAGGCAGGTAAGGCTGTTGTAGGCAGTAGTGGAGGGGAAAGGATCCTCACCGCTTTCGGCGTCATCTTCAGCTCCGGGGATATGCACGCACAACGCTGCAGGCACCCGTCCCGTGTGAGGTCAATCATCAAGAACGCACAGAAGCAAAGCAATCAAAGATAAGACCATTTAGACATCATTACCATAGATCTTGAATTCGCTGTTGCAGCCTTGCCAGCAGATTTTCGAAGGGGTGGATCGACAAAAACGTTTTGCTCTACAACATGTCTGATGTCTTGGCTCTTACCCTGTTTCTCTCTAGCCTCATTGGTACACGGTTTGCCTTTTGCTAACGCCTTGTCTAACATCACCCTATTAAAGATCACCTTCTTTCATATCTTCCACTCAAACTTGAAGTTCTTTGACATCAACAAACCAGTGCTTCACACCAGAGCTAAGCATCAGAACTCAGCACCAGAACCCAGCACCAGAGCCCAGCACCAGAGCCCAGCACCAGAACCCAGCTTCAGAACTCCGTACCAGAACTCAGTACCAGGAGGCACCACTGTCGTAATGCCTTGCCTCAGCTGTACTTGTAATGGTTTCATCTGCAGAACCATTATGTGTCACACCAGGTGCACGGCGTGTGAGTTACGAGGATCCTCCTGTGATATCAATCATCTTCAGTACGGGTGCACGGAATGCGTTTGGAACGATTCAACATGCACGTTCACAGAAAACTCGCCCACCCCGACGACGTGTCACAGGTGCAAGTGGTTCGGGACTGCATGCAAACCATCTTGAGGCCTACAGGGTGAGTGCCTCCAAAGCCTTTTCTCCAAACCGTTGATCTAATGGGTATAGCTAACACCTTATGCAAGCCAGATTTAAGACAATTTCGTTTCTTCACCTCCCTTATGCTTGATCACAAGTCTGCACTTGGTACTTGAGGTGGACCTCGATATCTCATTCACGACTTTCAGTCAAGGGTAAGAAGGGCGATGGAGTAAAACGTCATGCATAATGAAGGGTGATTTGATCGGGGACTCGGGGGTTTGTGGAGGACCAGGTTGGCCACAAGTTAACGGCTCCTTCTTCATCTACCTGTAATAGCTCGGGGATTATCTTTGAAAATTTTTAAATCGATTTGGTCGACGTGCCAACGGCACTTGGGTATGTTCTTTCGATCTCTTTGCTTTTAATGGCCCAATCATCACTATCAATCTGGTATATCAATTGCTTCATCTCCAACATGGTATGAAGCCCGACCAGCTTCATACTACACCCATATAGTCAACGCTAGTATTGGTTTGATTGCAATAGAAACTAATACACGTCCTCCTGCCTTGTTCCTCAGACTCTGTGGAGATCTCAGTGTATCCCATATCATTGACAAAGAGACACAGCTATGAAAGATGTACTCAAAAGGACCAGATGTAGCACTCAGAGCCGACACTTTTCCAACACACGGCTATTAAGCCGAGGTCTGTGGCTTGCCATCTCTGAGGTGGTAAGGTATAGCATGCGAGACGCGCAGTTGCTCTTTTCCAGGGAGCCACTCATAATGCTCCACTCATAATGCTGGCAAAGACATAGTTCCTGGAGTTTTGACCCTAAGCCAAAGTATGCAACGTGATCTCCATGATACCGCTTACTCCTGATGTAGCATTTTCATCTAATGACGAAGTCTGTCAGCGAATGAACAACCTATTTATCGTATGATTCGTAGACAGCTCTCTGTGGATTCAAGTCAGTACAGTGTTCTTTTCATTCGCAGATATAAAGAAGGTGGACTCTCAATGGCCGCCAATAGCTTCCAGGATGAATTCGTGTTGCTTCGTGATCGCTTTGGAGGCCTTGGGGAAAGAACAGTGCACAGAATCGCAGCTTCTTGAAAACGGCAGCTAACCTCATGGATTCGTCATCAAAATAGTCCGAATAAGAAAGCATCAAAGATCCCAAAGGGCTATCTGTCGACCAGTAAAGCATGGCATTTTGGCTTGGTTAAACAGACATCATGTGAAGATGATATGAGTTGGCCTCGCGCATTTCGACGGATTCCATTATGAGTCTAGCGTTACTCGTCTATTTCTACGTACTGACACAAGCAAGCTTCCAACTTTTCTACGCAACAAGTCCCTCATTCTCCCTCGTCTTTTGTTCTAAATATATATAAAATAGCTTTTTAGAGCAATGACACCATTAGCTCATCACTTACCTTACACTCATCAAACTGCAACCGACTCTCCTGACTCCGACTTCCCAAGGACAGGACTCACTCTGGGAACACCAACCCCGACAATGCTTTGACCGAGAGCAACACCATCTCCACCTCCCACATACGATTTCGAAGATTTCCATCTTTATGATGGTCTAAAACAACTAGCTGCGCAACAGCCGCGAACTTCATTCAATTTCTCGTCACTCACTCAAGGGGCAGATCCTAGCCCAGCCGACCTGCAATTCCTGCAAACTTCGTATTCCTCAATCTCTCACCTCTCAACAGACAGGAGTCGAGAAGACTTGCAAAGCCAGGGTGGACAACAGTAAGGGAGACCCTTGTGGGAGAGCACTGAGCCGAAGCGAGAGGGATTCCAGAATCCCGAGGTCCTCAATCGGATCTTCAGCGAGCTCAGATCCAAGAATGACGAAGTGAGACTAAGAGCTGCATTCGATTTACGCAGCCACGTTTCAACGGTAGCAAGAGAGCTTTCGCGAGATACATTCAAGACTACAATCCATATCTCTCAGCTCATCACTCAGAGCAACGATACCACCGACAAATTCGGTGGCATTCTGGCAATTAGGCAATTCCTTGGTCTCGAGAAGGATGGCCCAGAAGGCGTCTTCGAAGAAACCACCAGAAAATTAGAGACATACTTGCAATTGAACAATTGCTTGGATTCGACGGCGACGAGCCTGCGCAAAAGACTACCCGCTTTGCAAGCTATCTACGGAGCGCTCTTCGCAGTAATGATAACACAGTGCTTTTATTTGCCGCAAGAGCGTTGGGCCATTTGGCCATACCTGGAGGAGCTCTCACTGCAGGACTCGTGGAACGCAACTCAACGATAGGAAAAGCCACGAAGCCTCCCAAATGCCAGCCTCGTCTGGGGTAATGGAATACGAAGAAAGAGATAGCCACGGAATACGTTTGATGGAGATGGAGGAGAAAGCCTTGGATCAAACACACAAGTTCAGAGGATAGGTATTTAGCTCAAATGCAACATTTCGAGCTACAAATTTCCCAGTCCCTTTATTCTATGTCCAGATGCACATCTGCAAACCTGCGAAGTCGCTTCTTCCAGTTGTGTATCTGTATCATTGCAGTGGGTAGAGATTTGCAGTCACGTCTCGGCGTTTGAGCCTTTCCCACCACTCAATTGCCCTTGGCCTCGACATTGACGTTTGCATGGCTTCTCGAGCCAGCAGTACCCACATACATCATCTCCGTAGCCATCTAGATGGTTCGGGACTTGAACTTGCAATTGATTGCTCATGATTCGCGAGGGAGCATACGAAAAGGGCATGGAGCAACATCAAGTTGGAGCATTCGGGAAGAGAGCCTTTTAATATTGTCACATTGCTCGCCTCAGATCTTGCTTTCAATTCAAGACTGAGGGATCTGGCAGTCTTCCACTTTTTCAATCAAATGAAGAAACATTCTGTTTAGCCATCATGGGCACTCTCCAGTGAAGCTACTCAACACACAGTCTGCATCACATTGGTATCCCTGATCCTCGTGAAGAACTGAGAGCGATTTGTCCTTCTCCTTGCACATGCGTTGTATAAGGGAAATATCAATAGGGATGCATTTCTCTATTAGCATGTTGCTCATGCCTGCTATGCCATCAGACCTATCTATGCACATTTCCCGAGCCTTCTCTGCAGTCCACCAGTGAGACCGTTCCAATCTTACCAGGGTTCACTCCAACCATCGACTGAAGAAATAGCCCTTCCCACTTTTTATTCTGCTGTCGCTATGCAAGTTGACCGTTTCAATCTTACCGAAGATCGCAGAAAGTACCAATTGACCCATCTATACACAGTTCCCGAGTCTTCGTTTCAATCCATCGCCGCGCCGTACAACTCATCGTTGAATAGAAATAGAAGTTGGTGGTACTGTAGAGGACTTCGATCGCTTCTTGATGGATTTCTTTGTTCAGCAGAAGTATCGTGATGCTGACGTTCACAAAGAAAGCCTGAGAGCTGTATGGTCCCCTCAGGTAACGCGGACGACGACAAAGAGGGCGACAATTTACAGCTGAAGATCTGCGAGCATGCTGTACCCATAGACCCATCTATGCACAGTTCTCGAGCCTTCGTTCCAGTCCACAAATGTGACCGTTCCAATCTTACCGAAGACCGTATCAAGTACCAAATGACCCTTCTATCTTTTAAATTTGCTGTCGCTATGCATTTTGGCTTTTGAAACCTGCCCATGGTCGGCCTTTTGAGGCCTCCCTTTCTCTACTTCTTTCTCTTCGATCTTCCCTCCCATGGCCTCTGCCATCCGGTCTTCCATTGGCCCCTTCTCCCATTCTTTTGGGGGAGAGTTCGGATAATATTCATCGCAGAGCGAACCCTCAGAAGTTGAGCAGTCTAGGTCCTCTGCCTCAGGCGAGGCGCGAGGCGGACTTGGTGACTTCTCGCTTGACCTGTCGAGGATCTGTTCCTGGAGAGCCTCTACTAGTTCCTGCTCTGTAAGATGTTGTTCATCAAGATCCGACTCCGACATTTGGGCTCCAGGTGCTACGTCCTCGTCCGAGATAGCGACATAATACTGATCATCCCCGATTTTATGCTCCTCGGTAATGGATCTTGGTTTTGGTGGTGGACGGCGTGGGGGCCTGGGAATGACAGGTCCTAATACTCAACTCCGTCAGCGTATGTACTAAGAAACCGGCCATTAGAGTTTAGTACGATATAACGGATCACATACTGGGGAATGGGGCGCCACGCAGGTGCGTGGGAGTAGACTCGTCTGAATCTGAGTCGTCTTTAAAGCCGTCTCGGGGATTTCGTGGGTTCTACATGCCCTCGAAAGGCATTGGATTGTACAAAGAGATAGTATCTCAGCTTAAGAATAGATGTTTAGCAGCCAGGAATAGACAACTGTAACGATGCTGAAGCCTTAAGCACGTCTGAGAGATGGCTATCTTTGGTTTGGCGAGATATCAAACTCTGACACAGGGGTTTGCGTTAGCTTCATATGATTCGCCTAGCCCCTTTTTGCCCTAGCTTTATTTATATGTCTGTCCCAAGCACTGACATGTACAATGCTATCTGCCGAACTCATGACCTAGACTGATTACCTTCTAGCAATCGCATGAACGCAAGTACTCTCTTGAAGGCTTGTTTTCAGCTACAGTCTCTTGCTAAAAGCTTTTTTAGACGATATCAGACTAGGAAACGACAATGGCCTACAGCCCCGGCACCCCTTGCGATAGCTGCATACGTGATCATAAGGTTTGCGAGGTTAATAAAGTTGGGCAAAACAAGTGCAATCAGTGTTTACAACGGAATCTTGACTGCGTATTTCAACTTCGCGGCCGAATAGCCGGATATGCGTCAGGAACTGTGATATTCGAATTGATGCCTCCGGTAGAAACAGTACCAATCACTCATGCGGCGGTTGTAGCAACAGAAGACAATTGCAACGAAGCCTCATCAAATGGGGCCAAATATTTGGGATTTCAAGCTACGGCAAACGTAGCTCAGTCTTCTGGCATGGCAAATAAAAAGGTACAAACATGAATCACATTCCATCAACGAAGGGATTGAAAAGCTGACTTTTCAACTGGAAGAAGGAAGCATCGGGAGTCAATGCCACGCAGGTTCAGACGCAGGATCGAGGTACAGATACAGAATCTCCAGGAGGAGAAGTTGATCACTGCGAAGACCCCAAAACACCCGGTGGATCTCACAGCCCTGATCACAATGCCGAAACGGAGCGCAAGCAGCCCTTGTCTAATGGAAAAGGCGGAGAGTGCAGCTATAAGAGCTCAAAGACAGGTGTCCTACCGGAGAATAGAACGAGCAGAAGGGAATTTATCATAGAACTCACCAGAAATGGGATATTACGAAGGGGTGTGTCCAGTACAGTGGAAGAGCGATGATGAACTTGGAACCAGAAGACATTTCAAGGATGGAAAGAGGGAGCCATAGAGGTCTCCAAGCTTGAACAAGGAAGTATTTGCGTTTTAATGGCGAGACGCCCATGCTCAACGGATATTCAAAGAAAGCAAAAGCTTTCAGAGGTAGGTTTTCTTGTGTTTTATGATACCAGTAGCACCTTCCTCATGTGATTATGCTTTCAAAATCGACCGAATGTATCGTCAGCCGCCAACCCTAAACTTCCTATCGTGACTTCCTTCTCTGCCAACGACCAAATGCCGCCTTCGTATATCTGCTGGATTACTTGCATGCTGATAAATCGACAATACAGGCCGAAAAGAAAGAGAATCGGACTCTGCAAGAAATGTAATGTAGAAACTGGGCGACTTCGAGTTGGTGATGTCGTAGAAAGGAGCAGTTGCAATGCTCAAGTAGTCGAGTAGCTGTAGAGAACAATCCACGGTCTTCTAGTACGACTGCTGTTGCCCAAGCTCTCTGTACACGGTACCAGTATAATCAGCTCCTCAACGAATTCATAACCCGCAATCCCCTAGCTCGTTCCCCTCCTTGCTGACATGGCACACGGTCCACTTGGTAAATGTCCATTTCCCACAAGCTCTGCACCAGTATGTCCTTGCTGATTTGTAAGGCTACGAGGAGCGTTCTCCCCTCACCACGATGCAGAGCTAGTGGCTTTCGGCGTCTGAGTATTTGTCTTTTGCTTGTCAGATTTCAAATCGCCAGCCGCAGCCAATCCTGTGTTGCCTTGCTGAGCTGTGATGACTGGCAATCTTAAAGACTCCCGCCTGAACCTGTGGCTCCAGTTCTCACGAACTTTAAGACGCCTTGTAGTTGTTATGTCGAAGAAATCAAGAGGTAGGCTCATGTCCTCGTGATGACAAACTGTATGAAACCAAATGCAAACTGCACATGCCGGCTGTCCTACACTGTACAGGCATAGCAAGCCTTTTTGCTTGCATGGTATGCAGCCGGAATGGAAATTCAGTTCAAGAAGATCGCCCGATTTAAGAACCCCTATGGGAGGAGGTCTCAATGCTGCTCTGATGGTCGTGATGGGAACTATGCTCGTCCGTGTGTCCATGATGAATGGCAATACTTCAAGCGTATACTTCTGAGTGTGTCTGTACCAATTATGCGAATTTGAAAGAGTGAGTAAAAGAGCTAGAGCAAAGAGGAGGAGCGGCCTTGGATACTAGCGATTTGTGCGAGCGCAGACTAGTCTAGCAGAAAGTGGCCTAGTCCAATTCTATCTCTTCTAGACGATAAACGTTCAATTACCCTGTCAATAAATCTGTACCCTGTCAATAAATCTGCCATAGCGATAGAATCTGAATGATGGCTCTCATAGAACAATCGCAGTCAGCAACTCCTCGATTTTGACGATGATGTACCTATAGAACTCATCTCGTCAATCTATAATGTATTAATTCCATCGACGGCCTTGAGCGCAGCGGGCTTCACGGTAATATGAAGGCCATTATCTCTGGCTATACGACCACATCTTAGAAACTTCACAACCTTTGATATCTTCCGTAACAAAAGCTCCTATTTATGGGCTACAGGTTGTCAATGGTCACGACAAAATACTGGGAAGGGCCTCCAAAGAATAATTTATAAATCTGATATCAGGACATGAAAACATAGCTCATTGCTACTGGACAGAGAGCACAGTACACGACAAGGTTGATTCCTACAAAATGATGTTAATTTATGGAATTGGACAGGCTTGAGTGCATAACCACTTACAGATCTCGTACAGGAAGGTGAAGTCTAAAAATTTAGAAATTCATGCTTTCCAATTAGATTTCAATCAATTCTTGCGTCCTAGGCTCCTTCCTGATTATATTTTGCAAGTCCTTTGCTTTCGGCAGAGATGCACCTTCCCTTAGTTTTCAAGCCACCGCGCGATCTTGAAAGTATGATATATATCTTCTTTTCCAGCAACGGTCTACATTGTTCCCTATCCCAAAGAAGGCCTGCAACTCTCTGTCCAAGTCGACGGAATGCATCATAGGTGAGTTGGGGTCGAGGTCAGCTCGGGCTGTTGTTGGGGGAGAGTCGGTGAGAGGTGGGTACTTGCTTCATTTGCTTGTGGAGGCCCTGCTAGTTGCCGTGGCTGCACCCAAAAGACATTTTCCGAGGGCTGTAATATTTTAACATTCGTGTTTGATTATGTATCTTCTTTTTAATAGCTGTTCTCTCGGTGCATGAGTAGGTAGCATATCTTCGAAAACCATGCCATTTTGCTGTGCGAAGGCATTGGAACTTGGCTCGTCCCATTCATCGTGATTGTCATTCCCGATGGTCTCTTTCTCGACACACGGTCGTACAGCGGCATTTCATGCTTTCCCATTTGCTGTCGTGCATATTTGCCGGCCCCAAGACTCAACAAATCATCACAAACCGACTAGAGACCAAGTATGCAACCCGCAGCCGGAATATTGTGTTCTGTTTTTAATTGTTCTTGCGTAGCCGGCGTTTGCCTTATCAGCCGGAGTCATAATCTCTTCAAAGTAATCATACAGCTGTACTGAAGTTCTGCTCCTCCTCTCACGGCCTCAATGCGTATTTGAATTTTGCTGTAGGCAAGCGGCGAGACATTGCCTTGAAGAATCCTCGATGATGATCTCTTTCTAGCGTGAAGGCAAAGTAATATCGTCAAGTGTACTGTAACTAACGGCCAGATTTTATAATCTCCTCCTCCTCTTTAACGTGACACTTTCTATGACAAATTGTACTTTCCTTCCGCCAGAATCCTATGCCTTGGAGCTAAAGAGGAGGAACATAAGCTACACTTTGATGTCAGTCTGTCATTTTATATCCAGTCAGGAAGCTGGGCCCGGACCTTGCTTTTTCTTCGTCTGCATTTTATGGCTTTCAGCAATTTCAACTTCTGGTGTATGCATTATGGTTCGAACAATCAGTCTCTTCTGACCTGGAATAGGCAGAACCTATTTCTGCGAATTGCAACCCGACGCATTGGTAGGATTCTCGGAAATGTCGCAACTATATCTCTCTGTGTTATGACTGTTCGAGTACGACTGATGAATGACGGTGCCCAGACCCTCTTTCCTAGCAGCAAAGACGCCGAGAATGAATGGTATCCCTAGATGAACGCTACGACTTAGGCTGAGGTAATAGGCAAGCGTTGTACCCAGCCAATGCCCCTTCACAGTCGGTAGTCGTATCATCCGCAAGCCAGAAGCAGCATGAAGATTTGACTGCAGTGGACGGAGCGAGAGGTGCGTAGAAAATCTGCTTGCAAATACATCGAGCGGAATCGTGGCAGCCATCTCACTCGACCTTATCTCCGTGCTTCTGGTCCGTGTGGATACGCCAGCGCTCTTCCTATGCTTCTTCATGTGTCCTACTATAACAAAAGTCTCTATGTGTGAGTCTATATTCTTACGATAGAGGCAAGTCTCATGATTCTCTATCCCAGACTTAATTCACTGACCAATAATCTCAATTTTCCATACATAATCAATCTCGAACAATACCCCCACATATCTTGCGAGAAGCAGAAAATATTCTCGTAAAATCGTGTCTATTTTCCTTTTCACCTCATATTCATTCAAATCGTTGCTGAAAACTCCCGCTCAGAGAAAAAGCATCATGGCTACGCTAATATCGTATATAGGACCTTATGGATGTGTACAATGTTTTATCCACAACCAACTGTGTGAACGATACCCCGGAGCTTCCGCATGCGAGAGATGCAGCAGTGAGAGCCAACCTTGTTATTTTCTCCGGTATGGAACGGTAGAAGAGTTCGAATCGGGTGGGATAATTGATGCAGAGGATACAATACCGTTCCAACCTATCAACGCTACAATGGTTATGGCAGCCATACAACTGGACATCCAGCCAGCAGATAGTCCCAGGCACACACAAATCGATGGAACCCCTTCAGTGACCCATAACACAATCGATTTAACTCTACGATTGAGCATCCAGCCGTCAGATGCTCCCGGGCACACAACAATTGATGGGACACCTTCAGCCACCCATAGTACAATCGAAATAACTCCTCTTTTGACAAATCTCGTAAGTCAAGAGCATCTCTACAGTCCCAGAAATCCAGCTCACCACAACAGGGTCCACTGTCGAACGGGTATCCTGTACAACGACTTCCCACCCATGCAGTCAGCATTCCGACCCCCGAGAGAGACAATGTGGACCAGCAAGCCACGCCGAATGTGACCAACTCTACTCAAAACCTTCGCTTAGAGAGTGATCCGCCAGCTGAAGTGTCCTTGGCTAGCCCAAATGGACAACGAGAGGAGGCCAGCGACTCAAGGCTTGACGAAGATATCAATGAGAATAACGAGGAGAACACGCAGGGGGACACTTCAGGGTGAGGAGGAGGCTTCATGAAAAAGAACTAGCTCTTTTTCAAGCAATGCAGTGATAGAGGCAGGAACGGATTGTTTGAAGGCAGCAGCCAAGTTTCGTGTATGCTGTATGAGAGCAGTGGGATAATGAGCAGTACGAAAGGTCTCATGGGGCAGCCCTTGACGTAAAGAAGCCCATGCAAGAGGTTCACTTTTGGCCGTTAGCGCCTTTTCCACAGTCCTTTGTAGAGAAAAAAGTTGATCCAATCTCTGTGATGAATGTGCACAGGCATTCTGAACCCTGGCTTGAAGCTATGAGATCTGCAGCTGAGATTTCCTCCTGATCTTTACGCCCAGAAATTCTCATCTTGAGGATATCGGTCAAACATGCCTACTGACTTTGTAATCAATTCCCATGACACCAGGATATTTTGTATTGCATCGTTCTTGACAAGAGCCCCAATGACACCAAGGGATGTCAGACCTAGATATTCAAACGGCCGAGACTTTGAGGTGGTATTCAAGAAAGGAAAGAGGTACAATGGTATATGAGCTAGTAAGATGTTAGCATAGAATAAAAGGACAGAGTTTAAAGCTTGACCTACCATCATGCAAAACACCTCTAGTCTCTATACCCCATGCAACGCACTGTAGAAGTGCAAGTGCGTTGCACACTCCATTTGAGGCGGCCGCGGTTAGTTGTGAGGGGTTTAGAAGCGGATACACTGATATGATTTCCTGCAGCAGAGATGTCATGACACCTGAGTTGAATGTTAGCTGATACCTTGACAGTTCATCTAATACCCATACCAAATGAGTGCCAAATGATCAGGGCAATCTCCCCCACTTGCTCTCTCTTCTTGCTAAGCTCCATCAATGCAGTTTCCCGTGAATTTCCCTTCAAAAACCCTATGGTTCAGTGAGTGATCAGCCATGATGAATTGCTTGATACTTACCACCGAAGTGGGCTGAAAAGCCTAAAAAGACTTCAACGCCGACATTTGACTGGCACTACTGGCCATGTCGACGGATTATATATATTTAGAATATACATGCAGCTAACGGCTGCGATGTTAATCATGACTGTATTCTCCTCGAGTATCAGTGTTCCTAAAGCGCTCTGGAAGGAGCTTTGCTTGATTGCTAGGACAACGCGAGATAGCCCATCGTTGTTGCTCCACTGGGTGTGCTCTTAGCCCGAACAACGAATGCAGACAATCAGCTTGAATGCTCTTGCTTTGTGATGGCCAGCAAAGTTTCTTCAAACCCCGTATCCATGCTCCCTTTTGTGGTAATATCGAGAATCAAGTCCAGATCAAGTATCGATGATTGAAGAACAGGACAAAGAGAGCAAGTACGTCGTTTGGCTTGAGTACGCGTTTGATTCGGCAATCACAAACGCTTGCTGACATGCGCGTGTAATAAGATGTAAAGAGCCGTATGTGCAACTGGCAAATTCTGCTCTCTGCCGTGCCTTCAGGGGTATTCTATGTCAGCTCCCGTGAGCTTAAGTTTCTGCATGTGAAAATTTTCAACTTTCTCGGGTAGGCAGCTGTCTCTGTCAGGTCTGAATGTCGTGGAAGGAAGTGCTGCTTGAAGCTGTTGACTCTTGTCTCGCGTGCTTGACATCTCCGAGTGGACGCCATCTTCACGAGATTTATGATCGTTCCGCTTTAGGGCAGGCAAGTTGAGGGTATGAGGTACTGCTGGCATGGGGGTCATTTCAATATCCTTCACGATAGTTGCACGAATCGTACCTTGGAGGCTACCAGACTTGCTTCAATTCTATCCATCAAACTCCCTGGAGACATTGAGATCGATCATAATACGTTGCAGCAGCTCTCAGCTTCTGTAGGTCTAAGACGTGACTTGCAAGAGATCAGAGTGCAGAAAGCATGATATCATCATGGGACCCATGCTCTGCCTACCACATAGACTTTGTCGAGCTTTCATTGTCTGCACCGTAGCTGCTACGAGCCCTGGGCCCTATAGGAAGACTACATAACGCTAGGCGCGCTTAGCTCGGAACACAATCTGGGCCTTGCCGCGTCTACTTCTTCTTCCAGCACAGCTACTTAGACTGAAGGGATAGTGGTCAGCTTGAGTATATCTAGTCTCTGGCTTATGGAACAAAGAAGGTGTGGAAGTAAGCATTCTTTCACGTGATTCTTTCAGACGAGAGACTAATATATTCCAGATTGTGTGCCGGCGGTGGCAGGCCGCAACGCTGCCAGAGCAGCGGGGGCCTGGGAGTAAGTAGCAGCTCACTCTGTCTCTCGAAAAAAAGTAGATTGACGAGTGTAGAACCGGCGGTGGCAGCCAGGAATGCCACCGTCCTCCCTTCGTGCCTCGTTTTGTCGTCTCTGCGCCGGCCAATCAGGCCAAAACAAAGCTCCTTACGTGCTACTATTGGGCGACCTACGGTCGCTGCTCGCACAACGAGCCTGGGTGCCTCTACTCCCACTGGCACACAGGCAAGGTGGCTGACCAGCCACAGCAGCGCGAGCCTGGGAGTAAATAATGATGAAATCTATCTTTCAAGGAGAGAGACTAACCTACACAGGGCCGGTGACGGCAGAGAATAATGTTAGAATCAGCATAGAGACCGCCTCCTTCCCACCACATCTCGCCCATCAACTCCAACACATCCATAACAAGGCATCCCAGAATGACCTTAGCGCCCTGCCAACCCACATCGATAATCCTTCAACACGGCCGCTTCAGACAGGAGATTCGACACTTTGTGACACTGTTACGCACCTATCGCAAGCTCTTGATGACGCAATCAGCCACTTCGAGTTCACCACCCAAGGCTTGATCGAGCTATAGAGCTGACCAGTACACTCAGTAATAGACCAAGGCGTTCAAGGGGGAAGGGAGTGTTCATAGAATGTACGACTAGACAATCGATCAACGTTGAAACCAAATCTTGCCCTTTCTACCTCGTTCTTCCACAACATCGTGCCCAGATGCAACGCTTCAATGTTTCTTATGCTTCATTTCTAATGCGTACATAGCAGATCATGGGCCAACCTTCTACAATCTTGGCCCCTTAGCACGCAGTTATCTGTGCAAGTGTTCGGGAAAGAGCTTGGGAGACCACCGTAGGCTCATACAGGAATGGAAGCCACGAGGATACAAAGCTTCCATATGCATGGAAGCAGAGATCAGCCACATAGTCACTATGCTTGTGTGTGATTTGGGCCCACTGGCGACAGGCCTTGCAGTCCCATTGAGCCAATTCGCCTTTATGCATGCTTGTCGGTTCCGATTGCGCCGGATCCAGCTTATTTCAGTTCATAGCACTCAAATGATATGACAATTGTATACACGCATATCAAAAATAGCAGTGCACATTTTCGCAATCTTGTATCGCTATCTCGCAGTCTGCCTAAAGAAACATCCATATGTATTTGCTAGTAGCATGCAGCCTGACAAATATCCAGGGGCAAACCAGTGCGGAAGGCATTCCGAAATGACTAAGGCTGCAGATTTTAGCACCGGGCGCTAAAACTAGCTTGAAGTTCAGTTTGCCCCTTTTCCTAGCGCCAAAATTGGTTGTGCCTTGAGATGAAAAAGTCCCTTGAGAATGTATCAGGCAAGCAAGCTAACATACGTAACTGCTGGAATAGCTGCAAGAGCCTCTGATCAATCAGGAAAGCTATATAGACGGTCGTTTGTGCTTAGATACTTACTGGATCAGGCTTTTGCAGCGGTTCTATTATGTACATCTAGACGCGATGCGTAAGAATTTAGCAACGCTACTTTGGCAACGATTGATAGAGCGCTCAAAGAGACTTATCTGACTAGGATTCGTACCTTAAAAAGGTAGTAGCAAGTAGCATGCAATGAAAATAAGCCTTAAGCTTTGGAAGAAGAGTCTCGGAACGCCAGTTGATTCCTGGTCTTGACCTCAGTGAGGTCTCTCACTCCACCGCTATCGTATCATCTACCAACGACACCACGCACAGACACCGCAACAGCCCCCCGCTTACTCCTTCTCCAAATCCCGCAGCTCCTTCGCATTCTCCAACCACATCTTCAGCCTCTCCATCTCCACGCGCATCTCCTCCACCTCCCTCTTCGCCTTTTCTAACGCCGCCGCAGCCAGATCCTTCGTATCCACCCCCACCGCCACACCAGTCCCGCCGCTCGCCTCTCCTCCGCCCGCCCCTTGCTCCGTCCACCCCTTCTCCGCCAGCCCCGCCTCCACCCCCACACGCACCGACCGAACCGATTCCTGAGCTCGCTTGAGCCCATCTGCGACGATGTTGGCGCGGAAATTGAAGAATGCCTCCTCGAATTCATCGGGAGGCAGGTTGGTCTCGGTGGCCACGCGGGCAAAGACAACGCGCAAACGGTCGCTCACAGATTCTGGCATGATGGTTGCTTTGCTTAGTAGTGAATAAGAGGCTATACAACTCGAGTTAGAAGTGAATCAAAGCCGTAAGTGAGACGTATATGCTTACTTTGGTATCTGGTCGCTGCCTTGGAGAGGAAAAGAAGAGATTTGTGCGGGCTGGGGAACAACACCTAATTTAGCATAACAACAACCCAATACGGCTAGCGCTGAAACACCAGCCATTCTTTGAAACAGCATCATTGCTAGGTGGCGAATCACTTATATTGCATAGTATTGTAAGCCTGGAAGGTCTAGTGGCTAGCCTAAGAGAAGGTATGATTCGCATAAGTATATACGCAGACAGGCTGCTAAAGACTAGAAAAAGCAGCTTGAAACCGAAATATGCACGAAACAAGGCTCTTGAATCCTGCAAATCAGACAACATCTTAGTCAAGAGGTTGGTTCGCAAGCAGGTCAATGGATTCTAGCCTTTTTGCTATATTGCAGCACCCAATCAAGCCATCTTTGCGGCTATAACAGGCTGTGCAAGTCTTGTTTAGGCGTCTTTCTAGATATCGTCTTATGTTGCAAAAGTAATTTTTATAAACAGCATCCTCAAGGCTTGATGGCTAGTCGTAGACGTAGGCTTTGGCATAACGAAGGCTGTGGCTTGCTGGGAAACTTGAGACTCTTCAACAAGACTCCCTGGGCAAGTAGAATCATCTGTTATTGAAAAAAAGGCAATTACACACTCTAATTGAATACAGTCTTTGACATCTATAGAGATGGAGATATTTGTCTCAAATTCATACTGATGGGTGCATGCATTGGTTGGCTTGTGCAATCTGCAGGTTGCCGAACCCATCATTTAGAGATTCAATCAACAAGCACCGTTTTTCGACAAGCCTTCCAAAGCTACAAACCTACGTACGAGTTGAATGTACTCAAGCTTTGCGCCTCCTGCACGTATGAAAGTTGCTTTGGGCCTGGCTGGAAGACAATATGGGTTAGGCATTTTCGTCACGTTCATTTTGCACCTTGTAAGCTAAATGGCACTCGCTAGTCCAGATAACAGCATCAGACCGTACGATAAAGTTACCGTACGTATTGTTTGCGTCTTGTTATAGATTACTGCGGCCGGTAATACCGAAACGTTTTGATATGTCAGGCTGTCACATTTTCTGGGCGATCTGCTGCCAGCCTTCAATTACAGTAATGGAAAGCTAGGTCATACTCGCTTGTAGGGACGACTATATCACAGCTCCGAAGCAACTCTCAACCCATTTACTCTTTCCTAGAGGCTGTAGTGGCTGTCTACGGATTTGCCTGCAGAATCCGGGAAAACGGAAACTCCGCCGCTAATGACCCTAAGCTCACAGATCCTTCTGCAAAAACCGATAACAAGATGAGAAACATCTCATCTCGAATTAACGAGAATACGATGCTACGCAGTGGACTTGCTTGCCCAAAGAAAGAGGAGGACTACATACTTGAGGCACTCGGAGAGGGACTCGGAGGCCGCTCCCAAAAAAATCACACCAAAGCCTGATCAAACCCTCACTTCCAGATCACATCTCATCCTTCAAGTCAATCATATTCACTGGTTCTCTGTATCTGAGGAATTTTAGGCCATGATGCTCAGGCGCACGGCTGCCAGTCATCCTCGCAAAATTGTAAGGCATCTCTTCAAACTTCACAAACATCTTCTGAAGCTTCAGCATGGCTACCTTTTCGAACACTCTCTATCTTGAATCTTGTAATTCCACTACCAGCTATCAACATCATTACCTAGCTGTGTAATGCCTATGATCACGTTTCTTGATTCACCAGTCTTGCCTTGAATCATTCCAGCACAAATGGTCTGAGACAAATGTGAGTCACGCTCTCATCCCGACGAAAAAGAAATGAATAATCATTGACTTCACTGTTTTACGTAGCTGATGGCTCGGTTTTACCCTGGGGACTTCTTCAAGCGTGCGTGTCACACAGGCTTGCTCGTGGATAGGTATCCCACTCTCATGCTTCATCAACATCCTCAGCTGAGACAATTTAGGGCCAAAAAGTTACAGAACGACCGGCTGATGGGGCCAAGTTCAAGCCATTACTACTCCACGTGCTCCAATCAAGTTCCTTCACGCTCTGACCCTGGCCGTTAGGAATCTGTGGGTTAATTGCTCTGCATTAGAATTCAAAAACTGACTCAAACATTCAAGTCTCAGAGGCAGTGAATGGATCTAGTTGATGTCCCCAGTGAAGCATCGCTTCAATTGTCTTAGCACCCAGAGATGAATGGACTGATGTGATGGTCCCGTGTACGATCATCTGATCTCTCGCGTCTTGGCGATGGCCTCCCTCAGGTATATAAACCCCGTCCTTTCCCACCCCCTTCTCCGTTTCCTCACATCATTTTCTCTCCCTTCAGGTCCTTACCCGTCGTGGTCATCAAGCTCAACTCATCACTTGTCTCATCCTCCCTACCTACTAACTTCATGAAAATATATACTGACTTCTGAAGTGAGTCTGAGTGATCTTGAAGCTTCCCCTCTCTTGTACATCATCCTCTACAGACCTTACCATTTAAGCACTTGGTAACAACAACTTCGTGACCTACTCTCACGGTTGCTCGACATTTGATTACATCTACTGCACGTGGAGTCGGCGGTCGGGAGCTTCAGATTGAAAAGGGTACGGACCTCCACCCAAGACAGTGTCGCTCGCTATACCACCTACCAAGCCTCTCGAAGAGCCTCAAAATTAAGAGTGAAAGTTCCTTACCCAACCCCAAATACCCGTCATCAAGTGCACAAACCCTACCAGCGTGCTGTTCGAAAGCTTTGATCATGACACGCTCCTTCGGCTTCTGGAAGTCCGCAACTTCGTCAATCAAGTTTCCTATTGTTGCTGAGATCGACATAGCCGACAAAGCTAGAGCGACCGAAATTTTCTTTAAGAGCGCACCTAAAACTCAGCTTCTAGGCTCTCTCTCCGTGCAGTGGGCAATGCCCACTCAAAAGTGTAGGACCTGCCGCGCCTGGAGGTGGTCCTTTACGTCGTACTAGTCAGGACTGAATCGAGAGAAACTACAGGCATTGTTGAATGGGATTACTTCACCGCAGGGGACCTAGCCATTCGACCGATACAAATAACACAACTGTTCTTTTCCATCATCTCTGACGTCAAATATTCGCCGAAAGATGAAGTCAGTGTATCGCTGGTATTCAGGCACTACACAATTTATTCGGCGACGACAATTAGATTCGAGCGTCGACGTGTGACAAGGATTGCTCAACAGCAGGCACGAGTCCAAATACGTCTTCTCCGGCTTTATCTCGACTCGTCGACTCAAGATAGTAGACTGAAGGCTGACCATTGACTTCACCTGTTAGTTGGCAAATGAACGAATGGAATGCCGGCCAGAACATCTCGCCCTTGTTGTCTCGCCATTTGAGATGGGAATTCAAGACCGGTACCTTGGTGACAATTCCAATCAGGGTTGGTCAGACGACGCTCGTTGCTGACTGATGCTCACACGTCTAGCTTCACCCTCACGCTGTGGGGCTACCTAGGAGCTATGTGTAGAAGCTTCTACGAGGCGGTCATTGACCTTAGGTGACGCCGAGAATGCAGTGGACGAAGAAAGTGACACAGGCTGGGGTAATGATTGCGGAAAAGACGAGGCTGCCATTTCCTTCTGAAGCGACTTCTTTTCAGCCTTCTCCTTCTCCAGCGTCTCCTTCTCAATCCCAGCCAGCGAAAGTAAAGATACTTCATCTGCGCACGCAGTGCGCCTCATCACAGCTTTAGCGACATCTACATCGTTGAACCACATCAAAATGTCTGCAAACAATACAAGCTCTCGCAGTACCGGCGAGTCTACCACACGATATTTGAGAACCATTTGCTGAACTCTTTCTCGTGTAAGAGAATTTCTTTCCAGATCTTTGCAACCTGAACAAGTTCACCAAGAAAAACGGTCATCGCAGCGACCTGAGTCCCCAAGTCTGTCACACTCGGAGCTCGAACCAGAAACTTCACCTCCCAAGACGAACTCAGTTTTTAAGGTTGACATCTAGCACAGGGTAAGAAGCAAGAGCAATGATTTACCCTTCATTCACCAACGAAGTTTAGACAGCAGAAAGATGGTCCCACATACCAAGTTTGCTGTTTCGAACCGAGCGAAGGCAAAAGAGAACCATCAGGAGTTCGAAGCGATGGTCGTTTTCGCTGATCTGAAGGGACGTCTACTACCGAAGAGTTACTTCATACAGACAATAGTAGGTCATCTGGCTTACTCATCCTACCTATCAAACCCAAATGCCGCATTCTCGGTTACCTAGTCCATAGCACCGGATTGACCCCGTATAATCGGCACTCCTGGCGCGGCTGGTTCACAACGACGATACGTCTGAGGCAATAAATACCTGCAGGCGCCGTCATATTGATGTATGTTCAATGCACCATACCTGTTAGGGGTTGGGTTCGAATGGACAAACTTTGGGAACTTTTGGCACCATTTGAACCACAGTCATACCTATCCTCAACTAGCAATGCCACAGAGTACCGAGAATCTTCCAAAGTACTGGTCCTGTCGTGATCCCGAAAAGCACAGTATCTCGCAGCATCGACTCCCCGTATGACCATGATTTGATCTACCGGGATCGACTATCCACAATCTTCTCTGGTATTCCTTTCTCATAAACTTTTAATACCTCTGGACTTCTCACAATAGCCACCATTTGATAGAAGCAAGAAAACAGGTATCAATAGGACCTTTGGGCTTCATGGACCGGCTCAATGCGCCAATTATATTTCTTCTAAAAATATATACTGATTGACTTCACGAAGTCCATCTACCTATACCAAGATCATTAAGCGGTCCGCAAAACTTGTCAGGCGATTGGTATGGGACTTCCCTTTGGTATTGAGGATTGGCCGCTCATCAGAAGGATGATTCTTTTCGCCGTCCACTTCTCGCTTGAGGTAAGCAGCCAGTCGACATGGAGTTAGTCACTACTCATTACTGTCCATTGCTCGAAGAGAGAGAGAGAGGTAGATCGGCTATTATGCCTCGTACTGGTTGGCAGTACCAGCAAACTGCTAGATGCCCAAATCGCGAGCCTTATCTTAGTCCAAGGAAGTCATTCATATGGATGCTGCCTACGCTCAGTACCAGACCAATTCCAAGCATCTCTCTCCTACCAGTATGGAGAAGACACGAACGACGACGCCGCATCTCGTGGATCGGCGGAAGGAATTCCAAAGTGAGCCTAGCAGAGCAAACATATTCCAGGCTACGTGTTCCACGCAATACCATTACAAATTCTGTCACTGGCAGCACAGTCGACTTCGACGACAAAGAATGTCTTTGTGGGCACAAGTACTCGACTTGACAGTGGCTGTAGCCATCAAAATCTCCGTATTAGGATACCACGCCGCTCTCGAGGTAAATTGGCTCGCTGGACGAGCAAATTGCCAAACTTCTACAGATAAAGTCACGTAGCTGAGGTCTTACAGCGGCATCGAATATGAAATTTCTGTTTATAAAGAAATCAGCATGCAATCAAGCAAGCACTATGTCACTGAAAGACTTGCTTGTAGCAAATTCGCTAATCTAGACGCGATACCTCAGCGCTTTACTACACTTCGCGCAGAACGTCAGCAGGGGGTTCTTATCAAACTCAACTTCGCTTCCCCAATAGAATTGTCGCACGGTCTCTCTCTCATCGAGCACCAGTAAGGCTGCCTAGAATTTTGCTCCGTCAAAGCGTCTCAGCAAGACACATCCGATCTGGCTACGTCTTCATCGGGACGTTCCCCTGCGACTCGCGTCACTGACAGCACAATCACAAGACAGGTAGACTTCGTCGAGTAACAAAGTTCCCATAGGGGTTTGTCTAGTCCTGACTATTGGTAAATTGATCAGTTGGCCAAGTAAGGAGCAATACACCGAAATTCAAGTCAAGTTAATCATTTGACGTGACGGCGGAGTTAAATGCAAAACTATTGCTAGCCATCCAACCTGGATGCAACGGGGCACTCTCTGTGGTTTGTCGTACTCTTCACAACACATAAGTCTCATGGCTTCTCTTTCACTGAACACTACTGATACGGCATATAATATTGCGTTGTTCATCTACATCTGTCAACGAGGCACACATATTCAAGGCCGAATCTTCATAGAGCCTTTGTCTTACGTCGCAGTGACCAATTGCGTGACGTGACTGGCAGCACGACAATGCATAAAGTCATGTCACAAGTGTTCGGCCGCAACGAGATATCGACCGCCTCTACCAGATTACGCCTAGCTGAGGTGCTGCTCCAAGCTGTCGTTCGACGCTCGAAATCGAATGCCAGTCTTCTTACGACGAACTCAGCGCTCCGTCCCCATCGAATGTAGAAGAATAATTCCGAAGTGATTGTAACCAGTTTGGCTCGGACTATGTACTAGCCATCACATCGCCTCCAACGACCTGTACCTTTCACAGTATTTACCAACGTCTGAAATGGTCATGACGTACGAAACTAAAACGTCGTATTACTGCTACGTCCCACGCCTAAACAAATGGCCAGCGATGTCAATAACCAAATCAAAAGCATCACTACTGCTCTGTGTCAATGCCTTCAACCACACTTCAAAGGGCATCAAATCAGTTTACAGAGAACATGCCCTGGTAGCTACAACCGTAGCATGATAAATGCGATAGCAGATAATTACTCACGAGCGAAAGCCCCGATTATGGCGAAGACTTGAGAGTCCTTCTCTACATAAGCAAGCATGCCCCGGCAGTGTTGGTCGTGGATGTTCTTTACCACGATAGAGTGGCTGAAAAGGCAAGAAACGCCATATAGATTTCTTTGCTGCATTCCGCCAGTCCAATCAAGTATCTAAGCGCCAGCGGGTGTTTTTGCAGAGAGATCTTATCCACTGGCATAGAAGTGCAAATCCATGAAAGGAGGTCCAGGGGAAAGCTCTGGCTATGGTCAAGAAGCCAAGATCCTCCCTTATATCAGCGAAGATCTTCTGGCATCATTGGTTGGTTGGTGCCTTCCCTGACACGATATAATGGTTGAGAAAAGAGGAATCACTACCTAACATCCTCTGCTAGGCCCCTAATTATATACCGTAGCAAGAGAATATACACTGGAAGCTTGTTTACTGGCATGAAGAATGCGACAACATTATATTGAAGGTTGTAGCTCGGGCTGGGGTGGAGGGCTCTCTTTCACATATAATCGAGCGGTTCTTGGTACAGTTGGCTAGGTGATACATTCTTTGCCATGATAGACTGGGTGAGGACGGATGATGAAGGACAAATCACCACCTTGCTTTCTTTGTGCGCCACGCAAAATGCACCAGCCAGTTGGGAAACATGCAAGACAATTGTCTCGACAGAGTGCCATACGCCAGCAAAGCCTGGGAAAGCCAGCTTGAGAACATGCACTCACAAGAGGAATGCGACAAAATGGCACGATAATGGAAAGCTCCAACCAAGACGATGCCGTGCGCGACAGGAGGGCACTCCGCGTCTCCTACATTCACGTACGGTTCAAGCGCAACTGGCCCGTTTTGAAGCGACTGGGCTGATAGGACCTCTTGATGTCTGCTATGGCAACGTCAAGCGCATCAAATCACTAGAACCCGAACACTGGCATACGAATTGCGTCAAATACCAATACGGGTGAAAGCTCCAACTAAATTGACAAAGCAAGGGTGAAGATCTTCTGGCATCAATAATTGATCGGTGCCTTTCTTTTCGTGATCAAGTGAATGAAGGGGGGTATCACCACAGCACTTTCTTTGCTACGCTACACCAATTGCGTAAACGTCGTAGCTCAACACCATGCAGCGGAAGTTTGGAGACTGTCATGCAACAAGGTGGAACTCTCTTCAAGTGAAAGGTTCAATCAGAGGAAGCCCGGAGAAGTGGTGACTCTTCGCTAAATAAGTGGGCATCTACTGTCGCTGTCGCTTGGTGTAATCTTTGCCACGACGGACTGGATGATGAGGGAGAAATCACCACCTTGCGTCCCCTGCGACGCCCCGCAGTTCATGACTTAGCAAAAGAACATGAGCACTGGCATGAGGAATGCGACAAACACGGAGCTTGAGGTAAAAGCTATGATCAGGGCGACAGATGAGATATTTCTCTACATGAGAGCGCATCTACTGGCGCTGTTGATTCCTGCCTGCTTTGCCACGACTGAATGATCGGGAAGAGTCATTACCTTGATTTCTCTTCTACACCAACAACGCCAATGGTATCGGGTAGCTACAACTCGAATTTTGGCGTGAGGAAAGCGACAACATAGAAGAGAATATAGGTGAAAGTTTCAACACCGAGAGCAACTAAAGAATCGCGACGAGTCTCTCCTGGCACTATTGATTGATGCATACTTCGCCCCAGTGGAGTAGATGATGGGCGAGAAATCATTACTTTGCTTTCTCTGCCACGCCGGCATGACTCAGCAAGAGAACACACACCTTGAGAACATGAGCATGCAGCGAGAGCTCAAGAACGTCGATATCATACATTGACCTTCAAGTGAAGACTCCAACCTGGGCGTCGAGCGAAAAAGCAAGAATTTCTCTCTGCATTAGCGAGCGTCTTCTGGTGATGTCGTTTTGTACGGGGCATACCTACTTTACCGTCATAGAGCACATGACAAGTAAGGAATCAACACCTAGCTTTCTATAACACCTAATCCTCATTGTGATGGTGTTCGGACAAGCACTTCAAAGGAGTAAGGTCAGACAAACGCTTGTCTTACGGTACGGTAAGGATGATGCTACGATAGATTGAGTAAGGGAGAAATCACCACCTAGCTTTCCATAGCACCTACTCATTCTTCTTCTGCCTCTGGACGCACATTTCTGGGAGTGATATCAGATAGCTACTCATCCTCCGGTGCAGACTATGGCGCGATGGAGTCAATAATAAGGCAGAATCCACCGCAGCACTCCATGTACTAGCTATGTGTTTAGAAAGGTGATGTCTCACATCGAACCATAATCGCCTGAGCACAAAACATCTAGGTCCGTCGGCAATCTTTTCGGCTGAATCACACCTTCAGTCGACTCCTATATCTTTCGTTCGGGCTTTGTACGGTCTTTCGGGCAGTTCGAGGGGTCGCATTATGTAGGGGCTCGCATTTTGATGCTGTCATAGGGTGGATGATGAGCGGGAAATCACCACATTGCTTTCCGTGGTAGCTGTTTGCTTTGCTTAAGGTCGCTGGACAATTCAAGAGCAATCTGAGACAGGAGCTCAGCTTCGGTCTGGTGTCCGGGGGGGGGTATGAGAGAGAGCCGGTAGGGCATTGGCAGGAGCTGCTATGCTGCGGGTGATGCTAGGGTGGGGCAGGATCAGATGGGAACGAGCGTTTGGATCATATACTTATATCTCAATTCTCAATGTCACAACAGAAGCAAATGGGGTATCATACTGGCCCATATCATCCGTACCATCAGCTCCCCCCGTTCAACCTGCCTTTTCCCCCTTCACCAACAAGATATTTACACACTAGCCCTCCTAGGCGCCATAGTCCTTCTCAATTGCCTCCGTTCCTCCGTCTCCTCCATAACAGGCAACAGCCCCTGCTCCCTCAATTTCTCCAAATATTCCTGCCCATATCGATACCCAACCTGATAAATCTCATCAAATTTCCCAAAATCCATCGTTCCATATGGGTCAATCGGCGGTCTCATGTAAAGAACCCCGGGTGTATTCTTTGCTCTTTCCAGCGCATCCACAGAGCTCACGTATGCCAGCCTCGCCTGGATCTCGGACAGGGTAGGTGGGTTCGGGTAGGTAGAGAAAGGATTCCATCGATTCCAGAACGCCCAGGCGCCGGAGAGACTATCGCCGAAGGTTTGGTGAATGTTGTCGTAAAGCGAGCCGACATCGATAGCAAAGACAACATTAGCACCAAGGGACTTCATGTGTGCGACCGTGAGGTTGTCGACGTAGCCGCCGTCGAGGAGCATGCTGCCCTCATCGCAGAGGGGAGGGATTAGGCCGGCGAGGGACATGGACGCGCGAATGTAGCGCCAGACGTATCCTGAGTTGTGGATCTCCATGCGGGACTTGGATATATTGGTAGTGTTGCAATAGAATTCGAGCCAGAAGTCTTCCATTTGGGAGTTTCCAAAGGTCTTGAAGATGCCTCGATTGAATTCATGGCCAGTGGTGTAGGAGGCAGAGGGATAGGTGAGATCGAGAGCAAAGCGCCACATACTGCCCATCCGGCCGGCGAACTTCTTGGCGCGGCCGTACATGGGCACAACGTCAGCGTCGCGAGCGTAGAGGGCACCAATAAATGCACCGATTGAGGTTCCTCCTATGATGTCGACAGGGATGCCGGCTTCTTCCAGAGCACGAATGACCCCGATCTGGGAAATCCCACGCGCGCCGCCTCCACCTAGCACAAGTCCGACAGACTTGCCACATAATCTCCTTGCAAGTCGGTGAAAGTCGCCCTTGAATGGGGTCTCTGCAGAGTAGAGCGGTGTCTGCCTGATTCGCCTAGACGTGTACTTTTGAATCTCGGCTTGTAATACCTGGACCCTTTGCTTCAGAGTAATGCCAAAGCGCCTTGTTTGGGGGTGCACCGGTTCCGAGTTGATACGAAAAGCCATTTGTATGTGATAGTGACCTCCATTGATCCACATGCGATTACGGAGCCACTTGCGCGTCAACCCGGGGCGCGAGTATCTCTCGACATGCAAGAGAACCAATTCCTTTCTCGCAGTAGTCTTCATGCCCAAAAGAAACCTTTCGTATTCGCCAATACTCGGAGAGCCCTCTGCAAGACCAACTAGGAGGATGCAGTCCGCTTGGCTGATGCAAGTCTGAGTCCAGGGAGAGTTGACATTGGTGTCCGCAACATAAAGCAGCATCCCATATCGTTCTTCTAGATCAGCGAGATACTGTGAGAGCTTCAGCTTTCCCATCTTTGAAAAGGCGTGCCGACCGAGATGGTTGAATATAGCAGCTTGATTGAGAGAGGTCACACCATTCACTACACCGATTTGACTCAGAGCTGTCAGTAATCTACTGCCGAACTCGACCACGGGCACCCCCGCAGTGACGGGAAGTACGGCTATAGTGCGTAGATTCATTGTGGAGGATGTAGTTCTATGTCCCTTCGAATTCGTTTTCTCGTTGGTCTGCTCGAAAAGCGGGTCTTCGATGAGCGTGCGCATTCGATTGGCAATGATCTTGGATATCTTGATCGTGATACCAGGATGTTCGAGGGCAAGACTGTTGAAGAGACTTTTTGGAAATTTGGCGACTTCGGTATCCCGTATTGCGTGCAAGGTGGCGCTTCGTCGAGACTCGGTCATTACCTCCAGTTCTCCAATACTTTCACCCTGCCCATATTCTCCCGAAACGCGCATGTCACCATTTGGCTTTTCCAGCAATGCACGGAGCCGCCCATTCAAGACGATGTAGATCGCGTCGCTCTCGTCATCTTGGTGGTAGATGGCCTGTCCAGCATTGATCTGGACCCATTCGAGAGCAAAGTCGATGTTGAGGATCAATCGGGGTAGAAGGCTTGTCATTCGCTTTGCCATTGTGAGTAGCACAACAGGATATTTTTCTACCAAGAGCTCTAGAGACGCTCGAGGTAGAAAGCCGACATAGACATCCGTCTTTGCGCGGACATCGACAAACGAGCGATAGGAGGAAACAGTGCCCACATACCCAGCCAGACCTCCAGGTTTGATCATGAAGAGGCTTTTGCGGGACTGGCGTTTCTTTGGCTTGCCTGTTGATCTCGCGCTCGCATTCGTGGCAACTCTCTGTAGCGGAGGAAGGTTGTCGTTATCCGCGTTATTGAGGAAACCGTTCATCAAAGTCATATCATCCGTAGCTGCATCAGTTGGGATACTCACATCCAGAAACCCATCAATCACATAGTACAAGCCTGGATTTCGTTCGCCTTGTTCGACCAAGACGGCGTCTTGAGGGAAGTAGACGATTTCAAGCTCGTCACGTAATCCGTGGCAGAGATCTTGCAAATTGAGGGGCGTATTTCCCAATGAGTGGGTTGACTCAGAGTCTCCATCCGCTGAGCCTTCATAAGGATCAATGAAGCCGAATGCGTTGGAAAAAGCTGCTTTCTGCCGATCTATGTCATATGAAAACATCCGTGGTGATTGCTGGACTGACTCGACTGGTCGTCTGATGCCATTTTTGGAATCAGTCAGTCCAACAGCCTTCAATATGCATTCAAGGATGGATTGTCGAAAGACGTCATCATCGTCATTTGACTCTTGCCGCTGGGCTTGCATTCTGTCAGGCTCTAGCGCGGGCTTGATGTGTGGTCTCTCCCGTCGTCCCAGAGGACTTGAGGAACTTTCCGCTCCTGGTGGTGATACTGGCCTGAAGTTGTTGCCATTAGGGGCCTTCGACCCAAACCTGGAAATCTGGATATTTGTAAGTAGATCACCCGCGCTGACGCCAGGTTCATGACTGGGACGTGTGGCTTGTTGCGCGCCAGGCATTGGAGAGCTGTTACGGTTGCTTGAGATTTTGGTCTGTCCACTCAGTGCCTTACGGAGACTTGAGGTAGAGCGCTTCCTTGTCAATGCGCCCGGATTGTGCAAAGCGATGCCCTCCATGCTTTCTTCAGTGGACGAGACACGCTCTTTGTCTTTTGCAAACTTGTCTTTCAACCTATCTAGAGCAGCTCCTCTTAGGTGATTTGGTAGATCGTACGTGGTGTATTCGTTCATGTATTTTTCAGTACGTAACACCTCTGAAGTAAGGCCGAGATATTGATGGGCTGTTGCAAGGGTCACGCGCTGAAGGCGAGTCAATATCACCTGTACGATATGTGCCGTTGCCTTTGGATAAACCCTAGTGAGTCTATGAAAAGCCGTGGCAGGTATAATGGCAATGGTGGTGTCTCTAGTCGCGCGTGCCACAATATCTGGATGAGCAGACTTTGTGCTTGAACGCTGGAGGGGCTTGGGCCGGTCGTGATCTGAGCGCCGGCCTCGATAGGAACGAGATTCAGGATCAAGAGACAGTGGTGGTACTGACGGCAAATCACCATTGGCTGCAGTAGTCGAAGTAGTTCGGCTACGAATAGGTTCCATTTTAAGATTGATTGTTTCGCCGTTGACCTTTGGGCTGCCGTGAGTAGAAAGAGGAGTTGATGGGAAACCTGTGCTGGAAGTGGCTGAGGAAGGTCTTGGTTCATGGTCATCAAAGTGCCGCAGCTTAACATTCTCAGTAAACAATGAGAGTATTGAGAAGAGCGAGGACATGGGTGCTCCATTTTTCACTTCCGTGAGCAGCTGGTAGCCTTGACGTCCGCCTTGAAGATGCTCCTCCTCACCGTCATAAAAGCTCCCTCGCTTGCGATGTCCCGAGTATCCATCATGCTCTTCTCTGTTCGATTTGACAAATATCTGAACCATACCATCTACTACCAGGCAGAATCCTTTCTCTTCCTCAAGCAGCAAGGTTTCTCCAGCAATCAGCTTTCTCGTCTGCATTGTACGCGTAAGTTCGTGGAAGACAGGACGTTCGACTATAGAGCATCAGTGACCTTCTCCTGCCTCTCATCTGACAGGCGCCTCACTCACGATACCCAAACACTTTGATCGCGCTCAGAAACTCATCGAGATAATTTGCCAGCCCAGGCTTCGAGTCGCCTTCTTGCGTATCGGGGAAGAGGTCGAGCTGAGGCTCTTTCCTTTGAGGTTCGGATGGCAGTCGAGCATACATATTGAGGAAGCGATATCGGACAATCCATGATAGGAGGGAGGCAATCGCGAGGACGATGAGCATCCTGCCCAAGTCAGCAACATAGGACGCAGATGAAGGGAGGGGTTGTGCTCACAGCGTAGTGGCGTTCATTGTGACCGTCAAGCTTGTCGAAAAAAGGGCAAAGAGAAAGGTCGGTAGAGTGATGGTGGAGAAAGTAATCAACCAGACCAGGGCACCAGGTACTGCTTTGGCCATAGCAAACAGGCCATTCCCCAACAAGCCAGGCCATGTGCTATGCTTAATTACATGTGGATTTGGAGCTATGTGTGAGGCTGTGGGTCCAGCCTTTGAAAAGAGTGAGCTGGCGGTTGCGGCGATACTTGAGGACGCAATGGAGGCATCCTGTAAATGTGAATCCATGGCTTTAGGTTGCCCCTCTTTCGCTAGGTGTGCATCACGGCAACAGACCCCCACTTTCCCTCAGCAACATGATTCAGCCGTGAGCATGCAAAGACACCGCTCAGGCGGCCGACGGCAAGAATGCCGCGTTCATTCAGGTCTGCATCTTACAGCGTATCACAGCAAGCTTGGATGACATGTGCAGTACCTAGAGCCGCGACCCTGAGTCTAACCGTTCTTAGACTGCCAAGCCACGACCACACCTGCTACCCGGCAAACAGCTTGAATTTATCCGAATTTGGCACATCGCTTCGGTCTCATCGTCTTCTCGATACAATAGAGACGAGGTCTCCTATAGTGCTGTGGACTGAAGTGGTATGCAGTTGTTGCTTTGATTTTACCCCTCACAAGCCAGCTTCACGCAATCTCAACCTGACCACCTCTTGATCGACCGTGCCATCAGAGCTCTCTACCCTCCTCCTGGGTCTCGCCGTCATCAGCTTTTGGGATCACAACTTTAACAGGATTGAGAGCTTTACCATCTAATAGCAATATTGCATGCGGGGTACCTTTCGGGTGCTAATTACAATCGTCTATGGCGGCCCAAACTTCTGTACCACTTGCACAGCCATTTACGTTCATGTCTGCCTAGCTTTCCATCAGCACCTTCATCAGGAAATCCCGTCTCTTTGGGCTTCGTACCTAGATCTTTGCATTGCATTTTGGCCACCGGACCGGATCATAGCACCTGTCAATTCAGGAATTTGTACCACGTCCTGCAATGATATTCCACGCCTGCAGTAACGCGAGATTTGCATTTGATTCCTTTGGATACTATTACCTAATCACTGCATCATATCCGGCTACGAATTCGACCTCCAATTTGTTGACGAGATGGTTGGTGATTTCTACGGCGGGGAACTGTTGCTTGTTTGCTATTATACTAACACACTGGCGGGGTGCCGGCAGCCGCTTGATGTGTTGACACTTCTTCGTGAAGTCTTCATTTCACCTTTTTACTGCTTTTTGTCACATCCACTTCCGCCTCAAACTTCGGCGAGTGAAGCCGATCGACTTAAGACACCAGACGCGTTGATAAGCTAATGGGACCTGTTGGGCTGCTCTTTTGACCCAGCTGGCCTCGGACTTATGTTCATTCGATCTTCCAATGGTCACAAGGTACGCAACCCAGATTTCGATGTATACCACCCTGAAGTAACGAGACTACTGTAGATAGACCGCTGGACCAGCGCCCAAGGGATTGACGCAGATCGTTGGCGACCTTTTGGCGTCCCTGAGCCTCCTATGACTTCTCATCAACTCAATTCTGACGACATCATGCCCCACGGCAGGCGTTCCGAGAAGAGAGCCAACAGAAATATCCAACGTGACGCAGATTCATGGCATCCCTATGACGTCCAAAGACCTCCACCACTACCTCCTCAGCTGCACACTGACGGCACCATGCGCCACGATGTGCATTCCGGGCAGAGAGCAATCAAACACATCCACCGTAACGGAGCGCTAGTAGAGACTGTGTATCGCTGCGAGAACTTCAACTGTCTAGACGATCATCGTACTCGAGACTGTCCCCTACCCAAGATCTGTAAGGGCTGCCACGAAAATTCACATGTCTGGCCAGATTGTACATGGATTTGTACAAATTGCTGGGCTCGCCGCCACAAAAGTCAGTACTGCTATGATTTCAAGCCTGGTTTGGCAGGCAAGCCAGACGGCTTTCCCAACAAAGAGCCGGCGAACTGGTACGCTTTCCTCTCCAGCACGTAAAGCACAGGCTAAACTAGCAGGCCTCATCCCCGTTCATATTTGACGACAGCAGCTCAAACACGAGCCCAAATTCGAGATTTGGCACATATTGGGCGATTTCGATCGCTCCCAACCCTTGCTGAACTTGAAGCTTTAATGCCTTCCCATGCGCAAGGTGTGACTTTTGAAGCTACACTAAAGCCATTCAACAGTATGGGAAGCTTCATCAACCAAACTCAGCCTGATACAATACGCCACGCAATAAAGTCAGAACGTTCAGATCCTACACCGTTAGTGAGTCCAGCCATAAAGACCTCCACGAAGCCCATGGCTCCAGCAGCCATTCCAGGGCTTTGCAATGCCACGGACAAACCTATCGTTCGTCTTCCCTCGCCGACGGTCGGCGAGAAGAGGAAGGATATTCTTACCTCTCGTGGATCATCCCCGCAAAAGTCTGACACTGTCGACAGTAGTGATTTACATGCAGCGAAGAGGCAATGCTTGAACAATGGCTTGTTGGAGAGCAAGCTTACGGAGCAACGCAGGCTTTACAGCCAGCTATCTGGACACCTCAAGCGCTGACGAACCGGAGACATGATATTGAGGATATTGTCCTGGGGTCCCATTCCATAGACCAAAAGACGAAACTAGACGGGTGAGATGAGAAGTATCCCGCTGGCATCAGGTATGGTCCATGTTAGGAATCAATCTCAATTAGGCGTGCATGAGCTCTTTGTAACATACCTTTCAATGAATCTTCTATCCCAACGAGTTCTCGTCCTGCTCATTGCCAACCCCATTTGACACTCAAATCTGGTTGACCAGTGACAAGATTCTCCCGCATGGCTGAGGTTGTTGCGCTATACTATTTATACCTTACCGTAGTCATTCTCGGTCTTGGCACATTGATCAGGCCTGGGGTGATTCGTCAAATTTTTGATAACCCAACTTTTCACGTTGAACAGATCAGTCTTTTGCTGCTTGCATAGTCACCTTTAGCGAAGTAATATTTCCTTGCCCTGTCTCTACAATGTGTTCTATCTGATGATCAAGCACAATCCCTTCAACATCCTCCGTCAAGGTTGCTCACCGCCGTCGAAGACCTTCGGACGCGCTGCCTTCGCGACCATGAGTGGAAGTGCAGCGCCGGCAAACTCAACCGAGGTATCGTACTGCGATAAACGATACAACGCGATTCGAGAGGGATCGGTAACAATTCTCACTCCTCTTAGCAGCAAGCCTCAAAATGTCTTTTACAACCCCATCCAGCAATATAACCGCGACCTTAGCGTATTGGCAGCAAGGGTATTTGCTGAGGATTTCATACATATAAAGCATCAGAGGGAGCAGAGGAAGCCACAAGAGCCAAAGGGAAGGAAGAGAAAGAGAGGGGTTGATATTGAAAGCAAAGACAACATCAATGGAGATGCTCCCCGGAAAGAAGTTGCAGGAAAAGAGGAAGCAGTACAGAATGAAAGATCTGAAACGGCCACGGTGGATGCCGGTCGCCTGGCACAATCACCTGTCGTTTGTCAAGCTCTCGATGCCATACCTACAGGGCCCAAGCCTAAGCATCAGCTAAGGATACTGGACGCCCTTTCAGCTACTGGGTTACGTGCTCTCCGATATGCTAAAGAATTACCCATGGCAACATCTATCACAGCGAACGACATGTCGCAATCTGCTGCAGATGCTATCAAATTGAATGTACAATATAACGATGTTCAACACATAATACAGACCTCCAGATCAAATGCCGTGGAACATCTGAATCATGCCTCTAGCCATTCTCAAGCCCCTTACGATATTATAGACCTCGATCCGTATGGTACTGCAGCTCCCTTCCTGGATGCTGCCGTGAGAGCAGTAACAGATGGCGGTATGCTTTGCGTCACATGTACAGATGCCGGCGTCTTTGCATCGACCGGATACTTAGAGAAAACCTTTTCACAGTATGGCGGCATACCAATACAAGGACCTCACTCGCACGAAGGAGGGTTGCGGCTTATCCTGCAGTCGATTGCCACAGCGGCCGCTAAGTACGGTATTGCTATTGAGCCACTCTTGTCTCTGTCCATTGACTTCTACGCTCGTGTTTTTGTGCGGGTGCGCCAGTCTCCTAGTGACGTGAAACATCTAGCCAGCAAGACGATGATTGTGTATAGCTGTGATGCAGGATGCGGAGCGTGGTCGACGCAACATTTTGCCCAATCCAAAGAGAAGATTGACAAGAAAGGTAACACCATCTATCAGTTCAAGTCAGCTTTGGGACCGCCATCTGATCCAAAATGTGAACATTGTGGCTTCAAGACTCACCTGGCAGGCCCAATGTGGGGTGGTCCGTTACACAACCCGCACTTCATCCAACGAATTCTTGGAATGCTACCAACGCTCGATGACACGCAGTACGGAACACTAGCAAGGCTGGAAGGTATGCTAACCATTGCACTTGATGAGGATCTCGGTGACTCGATCGAGCCTACGATTGACAGCAGGTCTTCATCGGCGGGGCAAGACTCAGTCAATATTGTAACCTCCGATGGAGGTGTTAAAGACAAGCAGGTGAATGGCATTCCAAACAATGCGGCCGTACGACCTATCCCACCTATGCATGCTTCAAGCCGCGCGCTTCATCCTTTTTTCTTCATACCCACACAACTCGCAGGTGTAATCCACTGCGTATGCCCCCCTGACTTGGCGATCCGTGGTGCCCTCCGCCATCTAGGCTACAGAGTCAGCCGCTCACACGCCAAGCCAGGCAGTATTGTCACAGATGCATCGTGGGCAGTCATCTGGGAGATCATGCGGGAGTGGGTACGACAGAAGGCTCCCAAGAAGAACGCGCTCAAAGCAGGGACTGCCGGCAAAGGGATTATGAGCCACGACCGTAGCGAAGTTGCTCTACGGAAGACCAAGGATAGATTACGGGATGCACTGCGATGTGATGACGAGGAGCAGATCAAAGAGAAGCTGCAAGCTCTCCTCTTTCAGATGGACAGCAAGTCTCGTAACGAAGCATCAAGTGATGGCGCAGTCACTGAGTTGACAGAGGTTCACAAAGAGAGGGTGACTTTGGATGTATCAAAGCTGAAGATTGTCTTCGACGAGCAGCTCGGAAAGCAAGCTCAGGGCAAGAAGTTATTAAATTATCAGCGGAACCCAACGGTCAACTGGGGTCCGATGGTAAAAGCCAAAGACGGGCCTTGAGGCAAATTCTGCCTATCCTGCTGGCTCTTGATTGGCAGTCTTTACACGCTACTGTGCGACATTGGTGATGACATAATGGTCGGGCTCAGGCAAATACTGGGCGCGGCAAACTCGCCCAGAGGCTTTGCGCGCCGACTGCGTGGCATTCAAGCTTTTCAATGTCAACATCGTGGTCCTCTATCTCTCAACCAAATTTGTAGTAGTTTTTTAAATTGTCCTGCGCGTGAGATCCGTGTCCCTGGCGATGGGCAGTCGGCAATACGACTTTGCCACCTGCCGGAGAGACAGCGCCGGCAGCAGGCGGGCCGTAGAAACTTCCGTAGCGTCCTCTCAGCTGAGAGAAACAGACGTCATGATCTGAAAATCTGTGGACCCTGACGACTCCATCTTGACCTGCACATTGGACCTCATTTACAGGCTTACAAGCCACACGAGCTAACTTTACAATGGAGAATAATGGAGGCTCAAGGGTAGACCGGCAGTCTCTCATCGATCTTCCCTCCGCTCATCGCCTTTCGCCACTCTCCAGAAGCTCCCTCGACCGTTGTTGCGTCACCGTTCTTCCACTCCCCGGACAAAATGCATGTTGACATTTGAAAAACTAAGTTACGAAGCGCCTGGTCTGGTCTGGATTGGTCGCAATTGCCGTCTTTTCATCACTGGCAACAGCCACATGGACTACTGCTTGCTTATGGAGCTCTGCAGCTCCTGCTGATGTCGTAGCCACGTCTCCCCACAGTGACGAATGCGAACTTTCGCTACCTATATGATGCTTGCGTCGCCCCTGCACTTTTTGTTTGCGTCCATCCTTTTGCCACTCATTGAACATGCTGTATCACCCTCTAAACGTGGCCGCTTTCGCGTCAGTAGCATTTGCTGCTCCTGCTCCTCAGGTTGCTGGTGGAGGCACTGATGCATCAGAGACTTCTTTCGGTCCTGACTCACAGGTACCCTACTCCAACCCTACCCCGGCTGCTTCACCATACCCACTGGCAGTCGACCAAGGAAATGGCTACAACTCAGCCTCATATCATGGACCATACTCAGGCACACCAACCACCACGGGTGCCGTCAATGGCCCATCGACCGTAGCAGCCTCCATTCCTGCCGGCCCCCCGAATCCAACAGCAACCTACTACAATGCGGATGGTGTTCCACAAAACGCATTTCCTGCGCCATATACACCCAAGGGTGGTCTTGGTACCAATGGCTCGTTGCCACGGTACATGGTTAACAGCGACTTCGACTTCGAGTCCATTGCGCTCGGCCTCTATCAGGAATGGATCGAATTAGATCTCTTCCACGATGGTCTTGCCCGCTTCACCGACGAGCAATTCACCGCTGCTGGTCTCGGGGCCGAAGCTCGTAGTTTCATCGAATTCATGGCAGACCAGGAAACCGGCCACTCCACACTCTTGACGAACATGCTTGGCCAAGCCGCACCCAAGCAATGCGTCTACGACTACCCCTACACCACCGTCCGCGAATGGCTTGACTTCATGCAACGCGTCACCCGCTTCGGCGAGTCCGGCGTCTGGGGCTTCATAAACCACCTCGACTCCCGCGAAGTGGGCCAACTCCTCGCCCAATCCATCGCTACCGAAGCGCGCCAACAGATGATCTTCCGCCAAATGTCCGGCCTCACACCCATGAACGTCTGGTTCGAGAACGGCTGGCCGCAGTCCTGGGCCTGGACCATGCTCGCGCCCTACATCAGCTACTGCCCAGAGAACACGACGCGTCTTGCGTGGCAGAATTTCCCCGTCCTGCATATTCTCAACAACGCAAACATCAACCGCTACTCCCCTAACGACACCGCGCCCGACGGTTCTGAGACTGTTGGCCCCCGTATCGTCGACCCCAGCGCTTCCAACCTCACGTCCGGCAGTTGCCAGAACCTCAACGTCACGGGCTACGGCTGCGGCCCCGCCGTCGCGCACAACAAAAGCGAGCCCCTCTCTTTCCCGGGCAAGCAGGTGTATCTGCAGTGGGAAGCGCCCGGGCAGGCTGTCGGACCTAATAACTCTTATGTTACGTCCACTAGCGCAGGGACGCCGGCGTTTGTGGCCTGGTCGCAGCAGCTCAATCTGACGTACTCGCCGCTGACCGTGACCGGGAATAATAGCGGGTATACGTTCCAGCCCGAGGGGTTCGTGTATGGCAGTGATGGCATCATTAATGGGACGATGGCTGTGCTGCTCACGGATTTGGATCTTTATGTGACGCCGTTTAATGCGAGTATGATCAACCCGCATGTTGTTGCGCTGGGGATGTACCAGGCTGGATAGGCTGGTTGTTGAAGTGCCGCCTAGTACGTCTGTTTTGCGAGGATTATAATACTGGACACCGTTGCATACTAAGAAAAAGCATTTGTACATACATACCAGATCAGAAGTATTAAACCTAATGGAGCCTAGCCCATCTACATTAATACTACGATAGTTACTATTGTCTACGATTCTTCAACCACTACCTACCACCATTCTACACAAGCATCACTCCCCCAAAAAACCCACCTACTCGCTCAATTCACTCAATCCCCCCAGGACGTCTTATGCCACTTCCTCAAATACTACAAATTGATCCACCCACTACACCACCACGACTTCATCTAACAGCCCGCACCTTCCACCTTCCACCTTCCACTCTCCACCTCCAATTCCCCACCCTTCATCCCCACTCCCCACATATTTTACTTACCACCGCAAACTCTATACCACACCTTACCTTCTCTCCCTTCTGAAGTGCAAGCTCACCCTACCCTGCCTTGGCTAGCCGTATCCACGGTCTTTCCGCTCTCGTTCATCCCCGTCAATCTAGTAGAGGTTTCACACTTCGAATCAAAGTGTGTGTGACGTTAGGTGTGTGACCTCATCTTGTTGAACTGAGGGTGGAGTGAGAGCGGGGTTGGGGAGAGGGGAGGGAGGGGGAGGGGGAGGGGGGTAGATGTCCTGAAATTTGTCTATGGCAGTGGTGGGTGGTGAAGTATCTGCGGTGTCTTGACGGGGTGAAACGTGTTCAGCATACAAATCGCGTTCACTTGTATGTGTTGATTCCCTTCGTGAGTCCACAGTTCAGGTTTTAGAGGATGATAGTTGAATGTGGAGGGGATCTTTGATGTAGTGAAGAGGGTGCCGTGCCGTGGTATGAGTCGTGTCTGTAGTGGTGATGGTGAAGTGTGCTCGCTCTTTCCCGGGAAGGGGAAAGAAAGTGTAAGATTGGGTGTGTGTGAAGCGTGATTTGGTGGAGTGTCTGACTTAGAGGACTTGTCTATGGCGGTGTGAATATGGTGGTGGCACGTGTGTAGGAGGTAGAGACGGGGGCAAGTTGGAGGGAGGGAGGCTTTGGTATTAGGAGAGGTGTGAAGGAGACGATGTCTCACTTTTGGCTGTGGTGGTCTGATGATGGAGGGACCTTGTCACCTTGGGTGTCTCAGTATGAAGTGAAGTTTAGGTGTTTCTGGATGTGTGAAGACTAAGAAGTCGTGCATTCATCTGTGTATGTCTGAGGCAATGAGTCAGTGTTACATTCAATGAAGATAGTTCACACAGGGGGCTGGAGGCTGGGTATATAAATCTCCATCTCTTCCAATTATTTCTTCTTCCTTTCCTACTCATCATCTATATAAATATACATGCAGAATCCCAAGTCAGCGACTTGGTGCCGAATCCAAGACAGCTAGCCGATGCTCGTTCTAGCCCTAATCCAGCAGCAACGATCAAACTGATGGTTGAAGTGTGCTGGATGTTAGAGCAATCCAGTAATACGGTCAAAGCTTCTATGACTCTACAAGTCAGGTTCAATGACAATCAGGTCTCTCGTTCGGCTTATCGTCTTGGATTTCTTCTTGCCTGTAGCACCGCCTAGAGCTACACGGAAGGCTCCGGGTAGGAGGCTTGGTCGATTACAACCCAAAGCAGAAGCCTCGGGCTCCCTTAAGTGAGGATGATCTCGGACGGTCTCATAAGTCCTCGGGCTTATGATCAGTTCTCAGCCTGGCCACGGATGCGGGTCGGACAACCTGTAAGCAAGGAAAGAACGACGACGCACAAATCATTCCTGCCATCATTACAAGCCATCTTCTGACCTCTTCATTGCTCTAAAACATGCGGAGATTGATTCGAGCGCTGTCCACGGTTGACCAGCCGACTCAAAGCCTGGGTGTCTTCGCCTTCACTACCACAGCCGCCCTTTTCCTGGCGTTCTAATGGCTTTCCTGGGTACCGGAGCTCATTACAGCATAATCTTCTGGCTCTCTCTGATCAGTCAACTCACATTCACTCCAAACATGTTCAAGATAAACTCAGCTGGGAATGCCCAATGAGGGACCCTGAACATCTTTGCAGGGACATTATTCAACTGCTTGGCCATACGTGCAGAGTCAGGGATGAAGAAAAGACATCCGCCTCCAACATTATTCTCCCTTCTGAGGCAGCCTTCGATGCGAAACCCGCCGGCCCTCTTATTAAATCTCATCACAAGCCTCTTGTGGTTACGTGAGCTACCAAAGAAACCTCTCCCGAGACCCATCGCTCGATGAGAGCTCCATCAAGGGAGCCAGTGTCGAAGGGCCACCAACACCGAAGAAGATCTAGCACGCTTATCGTTTCATACCCCAACACAAAAGCGTAGCAACATCCCTATCGAATAAAACAATGAGATTATTATGGAAGATGATGGGCCCAGCCTGTATACCACAGTCGGCGGTGAGAAGGGTTCGCTTGTGCCAACAGACGAAGTGATCAACTCCGAGACTGAGCCAACAGTCGATGCCATTGCCCCTCAGACGGCTAACAAACCTATGGGACCGCAAGCTAACCCATCGTTGCCGCCGAGTGGGACATTGACAGGGCGCCTTGGTGCATGTGGCACAACGAAATGAATCACTTTGCTACCCTCACACTTTTTCGGGGTCATGGAAATGGGATCAAGATAAAGAGCCAGCAATGATTCATTGACAGCAGACTCTAAATCAGCCAGTTCATAGAGCGCCTGCTCCAGAAGAAATATCTATCGTCATCCACTGGGGTTCCTATGCCCCGTACGACTCAAGGTTCCTACCATAAAAGACGCGTTCGATCGCCCAGCCGATTGCGTCTGGGGCTCTTCACAAAGCCTATTAATTGTTGACCTGCCCAAATATGGTGGAATCGTTGGTTCTCGTGTAACCCGTCGCTGCAAGCAGCCGTAGGCGAATTTGGTGTTGCCTTGGATCTCAATGGCGATTCAAGCTGTGGTACGCGAGGAAGATATACCGCCTCGACGTGAATGGCAAGCATTAGTGGAATGATCTCCATCACTAAGGCCGACCTTGTCTCTTTCTTCGATTTGCTACTATCGAAGACTTCGAATCGGGAGCCATTCTTAACGACGGTCCCCTATCCGGAGTAGGCTTCAGTCCGTGAGTAAGGCCTCAACACAAATTCTTCCAAATAACACAACACAACTACAGCCCAGGAAACTTGTGGAGCTCCAATCCCGGAACCAGAAGCGTGTGACAGAATTCACACCACATAATGCTTGTGAAGATGGGCCTGCTGAGGCTACATGACAAGGACTAGCCTTCATAAATACTGAGGCGAGCCAATCAAGAAGATTCAACCAGATTGGGCTGAGGTTGACATCCTGCTGTCTGTAAGACTTCGTACTCACGGGCTAAGACTGTAGGAAGCTGGGTATTCCAACATCACGGACCCATATCAACGAGCCGTCCTCTCGCATCAAGAAATATGCTCCGGTCCTTTGACTGCCTTTTCAGATGATTGCGAGCCAGCTGCCACTTTCATAATATTGGTATCCCGAGTTCTGGACGCATAGACCCAATACTAATCTGTCCTTTTTCCACCCAGCTCTAGCAACCAGACATGGTATATACCGACTATACTAAGGGGATGCAAAAGACTTCTACAAAGATGGAATGCACAGTATATGGATGAGTGGATACGATCCTGAGCTGTCGGTATTCCAGGGACAGGAGATTGTCAGGGCGATTTAACACTCTTCATGACCCTCATTCAGGAGGGGTGGAGGTGTGGCAGGACGCTAGCTTTACGGCAGCTCAAGAAAACGAATACTCGCACCTTGCAATAGCTGTGCTTATAATGGTCGTCTGCGACCACCATACGTCAAGGAGCACAATTTATGGGGCGTTGAGGCTCGATTTTGGCAACTTCAGGCCTCGCTAATTCAAGATCCACAAAGCCTTTTTCTCCACAAGCAAGCCTCCAAGCCTCATTCCTTACCCAAAGCACACAGCAGTCTCGAGACAAACTTCTCACTCAATCCACACAATGTTAGATCATCCCTGACTCTTCAAAGATGTCGAGGCCTTGCAACGGCTACCGTAATTGACAGTCACGATTACGACTATGAGCTCCGCTTACATTTCTCCTATCCTCGGATTAGCTCTAGAGACAAGGAACAGGTCTATGACTAAGCTCAAGCGAATGTAAAGAAGAATTCGAAGAGAGGACACACACTGGTCAGCTAAGCTCAAGATGGACACAAAATGTACGAGGCATATTGGAGGGTTTTGCTTGATGGAAAAGACATGTTCGACGAAAGAATATACACTGGTCACTGAAACTCTCAAGTTGAGGGTCTCTCATCGTTTCTTCATTTCGGGGGTTAGCACGAATGCCCTTTCAAGTCACAGGCTTTACGAGTGTACCTACCCCAAGCAGCCGTGAAACTACACCGAGCGAGAGCGTTAAGCCAGAAGTTATGAGCAGGAAAAGTGGGAGCCAGCTCATGGGATCGAAGAGACATGCTAGAATACTTGATATTCTATGTTGATTATTTCGGTACTTGCTGAGCTGCGACTGTCAAATATGCAGTGGAACGGACAGATTTTCACCCCAATAGGGGTTCTTGACGATCACGTCGTTGATATATACTGCGAGTGTTGGGGGCATGTACTTCAATTGTGTAGTCTAGCATGGAGGCAGCTAGGCCTGCAGTGGTGCAGCGAACAAGGGAAAACCCTGTGTCGCACGGTGTTCCGGTGGCCTGGTGACAAAGCAAGCCATCATACATTCTAAAAGTAGCGCGGAAATAAAGCTCACCTCATCACATTCGTACACTGTCCAAAGAGCAAGGAGTCTTATGAAGCCACTTGTCCAACCACGGGCTATCGAGCATCTTAGTTGTGGGGCTGTGGCTCTTCTCCTTCGGCGCCTTTGGCGCTCGCTACCTTACCCCAAGTTGCACGACCATAAATATTTCTGGAAATCTCTTTTAATTTCTCACATACTTCCTCACTTCATCCGCTCTTGCTCGATCAAATCGTCATCGATCGATCGTATTGGCCTCCGATCTCAGCGCAGGGGAAAGGCTTGTTGGATCGACACTCCAAGCCACGACCATGACTTCGAGCAATCTCCCCGGATTTCTTAGCCTGGCTGTAGAGACACGACTGGAGATATACCAGATTTGTCTATTGGATGCCAATGAGATACCAGAGGCCAAGGTCTATGGGGGACTACTCAGTTCGAAGGAACGTGGAGTCATACATCCTCTGACACTCGTCAATCGGCAAATTCGACAGGAGCTCACTCATTCACTCCTCCATGGGCCGAAGCTACCATATACCATTCGGGTGACTCACCAAGGCAACCTGTGGGACAGTATCTCGCGCACAAGCTTCCTAGGCAAGGGCGAGTGGGATACGTTCCGCGGCATGACGAGCCTTCGAGTCGAGATCTGGGCAGCCCGACATGAGCGGCCAGTCGAGACTCTTGAGGTTTGGGAAAATCTTAGGTATCTCCGCAACGACATAAAGCGTTTACCTGGCTTGAGGACTCTAGCGGTTCAATTTGTGGACAACAGTCATGCGGCTTGGAGGAATGAGGAGACTGACACCCTCCATAATACCCTGAGCTATACTGGATGGAATGACGGTAGTGGCGAGGAGAAAGACCTTATGCGTATGGTCAATCTGTTGAGGCCCGTTAGAGCAGAGAAGGTAACAATCGACTTTCAATGCCCTAAACTAAGCCGCTGGCTTTCAGAATTGGTCAGTGGGACTGCACGTCGGATGCAGAGAAAAGTGGGAACGCAGACTCCACTCGACGAAGCAGAGACACAAGAAGCGTCTTTAGATGGCGTGTGGGACAGCCGGAGAGAGTTCTATCTCCTGAAGCGAGGAGCAGAGATAGCTCATAGCAAGCTAGTCGCACTCGCTGCTAAAGGAAAGCTTAGCCCTGATGAATTCGTGAAGTTCATGACGATCTGGTCACCAAATTTCTGGTGGGCGAAAGGATCACTGGGATATTCTGGGCTGCGACATCTAGTCGACACGCAGGATGAAGCCGGTAAGCCCAATTGTCTGGGAATGAATGCCCTCCTTTTTCTGTCTCCACCTCGAGATAACGTATCGTATGCTGACACGTTGCTCATCTTTAGCCATGACTGCGGCATATCAAACGCTGGATAAGACAATGCTTCTTACCAATTGTCCCGCATATGTAGCCCCGCGTTCACAATTCCGACTTTCGTACGGGCTTGTTGATCTCTTTGAGGAGGAATCTGGTCCCATGCCATTCTCGTATCTTACATTTTTTGACAGATCATTTTATCTCTAGCAGACTGGCAGCCCCCGCAAACGAAAGCCCAAGCCAGCCTGCTGGGAAACCATTCGTAAGGATGCCGACGCTCTAGAGGACATTTCCAGGGTTTGATGAAGTACAATCTCTCAAAGGGCAACGACCTGGAGCAAGCGTCTGGTCAGTATCTCGCGCTGGAGCACAATGGGCCCGATCTCAAGGATTCGACGAATACTTGTCTTCGCTGATCTTAGAACGCTTCTCTCTCCACCACTGGCACCACGTGATTGATTGTATGCCGAGCTGATATCAGGAGCCGATTATCCATGTCTATCCTATTGGCCGTCTTGTCACAGGTTGACGTATCGAGAGGATCATTGACGTGTGATATTAGGAGCGTGGTGGAGTGGTTGCAAGTCCGAGGTTCTGTCCAGACATCGAAAGAAGACCGCAGAATGTGGCAGGGCCAATGAGAGGCTCGGAGCAGCTCATCAAGAGGATGACGGGAGGAGAAGGCGAGATCTTTAGAGAAGACCTGAAGCGATAAGGAGAGCTTAGGAGACGACGAGACAGTTGAAGAGGAATTGAACTACGATAATCCTAAAGGAGCGTAAGAGTGTGCTATTAGGAATACGGAAGGAGCTACCGACCTCAAATTTATAAATCCAGTAAAACAACTTGGCAGATAGGGAACACACGTATCGTCTTAGATAGAGAAACTCGAGATCATCTTGAGAAGTCATTTCTGTTCCAATTGATTGTTATGGATGATCTGTATTTAAGATTATCATGGTTTGAGAAGTCATACCAATGTCTATATTAATATTGGTAGAAAGCTCCGTCTGACCATCATTTGCGGTATCGTTATCCAATTGAGCTCACTTGACGAATCAGAACGCAGCGAGACTTGTAACAGTAGTCTACGGTAGACGTCGGTCTTGGCTGGAAAGGTTCCTCGTAGTCAGAGTCGCTTTCTACTCTTCTGTCAGCCATGTCGTAGGTTTGGCCAAGATTGGGTATCGAGATCCTCTCTGGCGACAGTACGGCGTGGACCGCCGAAACCTGAACTCCAAAAATCAATGCCGTCACCTCAACTGTTCTGTAAATAGTGTGACCCAGACAATGCTGACAAAGTAAGCGAGACTGTACGTGGGCGAAAAAATAAAGAATAGATATTCCCTCGCCGGGAATCGAACCCGGGGCTGCTCGGTACTAGTCGTGATAGACTTGAAAGCGAGCGATGTTAACCACTACACCACAAAGGATACACTTTTGAGAGGCACTAGCAACATCCTTACTATCATCACTTATATATCATTTTTGTCGAGAAGAGCATTTTGGCAGCTTGACGTGTGCGGAGCGGGGCGGCTCTGGAGAAATTATAGGAGCTAGCCATTTTTGGCTTAGTATATTCTAGTAGATGCAGATTGAAGAACAATTCCAAGAACCAATCAATCAATCAATCGAAGGAATCTCCAAGCGTCCACATTCCGTAGATGGACAAGGCTACTCTAGCCGTTCCATGGGTGCTGTCAAAATTGGGCAAACGCCTCACTGTTTTAGCCTTTGTAAGATTCCAGAGCACTCTTGCCTCATGTACTCGTCAAACGTATATCATATACATCGTCATCTGCCCGATTCCTTAAGAAGGGTCCTCCATATCCGTGCAAGAGCCAGCGAAAGCTCCTTTATCCGTTTCTGATTCCCACGACACATCTAATATCACACACTCTTCCTCAATGCCCTCTCAAATACCCACAAACTATGCTTCCACACAGTCTCCCCAAAGCCACGCTCCCTATACCCCTTCATGCACTCCCCCTCCCCCTCATCTCCATACCTCGCGACTGAGTAGGCCCCCTCTCCCTTCGCCTCCTCCACCCCCTGCACCAACCGCACATTCCCACCTCTGCCCCTCCCCTCTTTCCCTTCCCGACTCGCAAACCTCTCGCTAGTCAAATAAAACAACCCTCGTTCCCCCACCTCTGTAACGGGCACCGCGAACGGCGTCGTCAACGGCAGCAGCGTCCACTCCACCAACCACCTCACCCACGCATTACCGATCCAGCCCGTCACACCCCCGGTCTTCACAAGCCCCGGATAAGAATGCACGAATGCCGTATCTGGGTATTGTTTCGCGAGGTGCTCGAAGGCGAGGGAAGTAAAGGTCGCGGTGTGTGCGGCGCAGGGGAGGAATTTGCCGTAGTTGGCCGGTGAGGAGAGGGAGAGGTCGGTTTCGAGAACGGGCGCTTCGGTCGTGCCGGCCAGGACGGAGAGGACGTGTTTGGGGCGTTTTGGGGGCGGGAGGGAGGAGAGGAGAGTGTGAATGAAGAGGAGGCGGGAGTAGTAGCGGATTGTCATCAGGCGATCTAGACCTTCTTTTGTTTCTAGACGAGGGATGGGAGGTTAGCTGCATGTTGAGGGCGGGGACAGAGAAGGGGGAGAGAGGTCTGGGGTGAGGACGGTGGACGTACCTTGTCGGCCGAGTGAGAGGAAACCTGGGCTTACGCATACGTAGTCGATGCCCGTGGAAGAAGTCTTGTCGATGATGATGGTGGCCATGCGGTCGACGTCTGATAGGAGCGTGAACTCTCCAGCTATGAATTCGTACTGAGCTTTGTCATTCACTTGCTTCAGCTCCTGGATGACGCTTTCTCCTTTCTGCTGTGATCGCCCCACGAAGTATATGTTTGGGCTTTCCGTGTTCGCTACAAAGGCTCGCATTGTGGCATAGCCAATGCCTTCAGTCGATCCGGCAAAGACGGCGGTGGGGGAGGAGCCAATGGTCGAACGAACAGCGCTGTTGGATGCGCGTACGGCTGATATGGCGACCATGATGCCCAGTCAGACCTGTTTAGAGTCTGAAGAAGCCCCATTGAGATAGCAAATTTTGTAGATGCGGACTGAACGTAGCCTGACAAGATTCGTCCTGTCCGAACGAGATATTTCCCGATTAGGTAAAGTGTAAACAGTCCACGGATCGATCTGACGATGAATCTCTTTCTTGGCCGCGACGACATCATTCCACAGTTTTTAAACGTAGCGGTGAGACGCCTGATGCCCTCAGAGGTGCTATCGTTGCCTGCCATGTGCTTTTCAAGCCCAAAATACTGGACATCACCAACTTATCAGGTTTTGCAGCTCGCACAGCCGCGAAGATCGTCCAACGCGCGAAGGAAAGAGCTCAGTCGGACTACATCCTTGAGATCCTTGCTTGTGCATCATTAATGCACCATGAGGGTGCGCCTAAACAGAGAACAGACGGTACGTCACGAGCTCAAGCAGCTCGTAAAGCTGTTGTATACTTTACTGATTGTTACACTAGCCAAAAGAAACCCTTGCCGTCGGGCAGATCGTAAAAGAAAGATAAGTACCGATCAAGAGGAAGATGAGAAAAGAAAAACGCAGAAGCTTTCATCGGAATGGATAAATATGGTGCCGAGCATATGGTGCACCCGTCTGGTCCTAACGATTGACCATGAATAACGACGAGCATACTAGCTGTATTTGGTCTAAGGGAACCGGATGTGCTAGATATGCACTCACTGCGAACGGATGATGGTCCTTTCGTCAACATACTGTAAATATGGTTTCCTAAGATGAACTACGATCCCGGCAAATTCGACAGGAAGACCACCAGCACAGCACAATACGCTGCCGTCGCCGCGAAAATCTCATGCCTTTTCGCACCCGTCGTCAGTGCGAGCGCCATAGAGAAAGCAATCACAAAGAGGAGCAATATGGTGAGCTTGATGCCTGGACTACTCTTCAATACATAGAGGAGTACGATTGGCAGGACCAGCAGTGCTGTCGTGGCTATGGTGACAGTGAGTTTAATGATGAGGTCGGCTTTGTAGTTAGAAGAATCGTGGGTGTAAGGGTCGGATGATTGCTCATTGTTGTGCTTCTTAGATGCGAGGAGCTTCTATTCTTGCATGTCAACAACGTCGTATGTTGCTTTGACATTTGCGGATAGATTTGTCTTACCTTGAAGATTGGGAAATGGCTTAACGCCCAGATCTTCTCGTCGAAGGAGCGAAGCCAATTGTCGCGTTGATTGCCCAGCAGGACAAAGTCGTCCTGCTGGTAGAGATATTGATACTCATCCCAGACTACTGGCTTGTTGTTGTATACCCAATCAAAAATCGTCCGGTGATTGTTCTTCGAGGGCTTAGTGATTGATGAGATCGTGTGTTCTCTTGTTAAGAGATCGTCATATTCTTTCAAGTCGGTCGACATTTGGTGCATTAACCGCTGCCTTTCGCATGACGCTTGCTCCTCGTCATCTCTTCGTGAGTACAATCTCTCTGGATTGGCGACTTCATCGGCCTTATCAAGCTCCCGTAGTTGATCTGACAATTCGGCTATTCGGTCTTGTTTGTGCAATAGCAATCTGTTTCGCTCCCATCCGAAGCGACGAAAGACTCGGGTATTGATGTCGCTGGTCATGAAAGCTGCTAGTCGTGGATATCCATCCGGATAATCTTCAACTGTGCATCCGGTCAGACACGTACGTCAAGACGGGTAATTTCAGTCGTCTCACGGTGGATGGCCTTAAAGTGGTCATACCGGTCATCATCTACGGTCCATGGATTTAGCCGCGCTTTCAGTCGCTGCCACTGTGAACTAGGTTCTCCAGCATGACGCCCACCATCCACAGACACGCCACTTAATCTTGAGCCTTGACTACCATCGCTTGTTGGAATGTGAGAATCAACGGCGGTCGAATCCGATGCTGGATCTTGGCTCAAGTCCTGAGCATTATTGTTCTCTAGTGTTTGGAATGTGTCTAACTGCACATCGTTGAGCCCGCTACCTCTCGTGTTGCCAGATGGACTGGACATTGCTGTTCTAGCTGAGTCAGTAGGGAAGACGGATCAACTTCCTCTCGTTAGTATCAGCAAATTGGAACGCTACATTTGTGACTCGAGAAGCGTCAGGCCTAGAACAAGTCGTATGGATGGTGAGCATTAGCGCGGGCTGTAATGATGAGGCTGCAGACCGTCACTCCCCATTCAGGCTCTTTATATGAAGACGAAGTTGAGAGGGTTTGTTGTCACAGCCACAACGTCCTAAAAGAGGCAAGAATAGCCTAGGTGGTGGGGGGCGCAAACTGGTAGGCAGCAGAATGTCTTTCTACTCATCGACATCTTCCGCTTCTCTTGTTCAGACTTGCGAACAAGGCCGAGATGAAGGGACAGAATGAAGAAGATCCTTTGCGTCAATTTGTAAGGTTTCGTGGCCAACCAACACGAGGTGCAATAACAAAGAAATCCCATATATCACGACATGGTCTCATCTCATGTCCAGGCAGAACACCCAAGCCCGTGCGTAAGACTTGACTTTCCCTCAAACATAACGACGCTCATCGAGCGCCTGCAAGGACCGATATCGAGCTTGCATATATCGACACCGTCGGAATGAAGGGCAAGGACCCCCAAGGGAATCGACGCAGTCATTTCGAGATACTCTAAAAGGCCTGAGCCTGAGAGCATCCAGTAGACCCGGCTCTCGAAGTGCTGGCTCATGTGCTCCTTCACTTGGCGTTCGCAACGAAATCCACAATTACGCGGTGTCCCCGGAACAGGACGAATTTCACCCAACCGCTTCGGCGGTACCAGGCAGGCAAAATGAGTGCAATGCCCAAGATGCACGCTCTATTCCTACCACTCATTATCCTCCCGGGGGCAGAGCTCTGGACAATGACGAAACACACAATGTGCCTCAGATTGTGGGAAATGAGATGAGTATCGATACTGGCAGCGTAGCAGTGACTGGCACTTCGACCACATCGAAGGCTCCATTGGACAGGCAGTTTGGAGATCGAAGGCACGATTATGGTCCTTCTTTCGAGGCATGCAATCGTACGAGTTGAATTTCTGTCTCCCAAGAGGCATGTCTTTAAGGACTGCGTAGCCTTTCTCACGATTTCCAAAGTATGTCTCGCTCTTTAGGATGTGACATCCATAGAACGAATAGTCTAGATGAAGACGAGCCTCTCTCAGAATATGTCTGGCAAACTTTCATCTAGTCTTCTGCCAATGACTGTCATTTACCTTTCGGCCAGTCAATTACTTGAGCCGCAAGGTGGCTTATCTATAAGGCTATAGAATGATAGCGCATCTATTGCGGGGCTGTGCCCTACCTCACCAAATTGATGCTTACGCTCTTAAGTACAAACCCTTCCCAACCCAGGTTCTTGTGATTCATCAATTGACACACTTGGCAGTCAAGATCGGGGGCAGAGTTTGAGGATTAATCTACGTACCGAGATCGACTAGGATACTTGGCGGGAAGCCTGAACCCTTGATGTGACCACTACTCTCGCACTCAAGTAAGTGAAGAAGAGCAATAACCGATACTCGGCTAGAAGATCGCAGTATTCATTTCGTCTAGGAGATCGTCATTCAAGAGCATCGTCAGCTCTCGGCGCACGCCAAAGGCGTTTCTCACATCTTATCTTAGTAATCAAGCGAGTTCGAAGGACAGACCGACTGAGAGTTTACGTTCGCTTTCTGGAAAGCACGACAATGGAAAATCAGAGAAACGTAAAGTCCTCTTTTCGTGCCCTTTAGGAACACAAATCTTATTTAGAGAAGGCTCGTAAGGACAAACCACCTCCGTCGACTTTCTACGTGGCTGGCAGACCACGCCGAGTACCCAAAACGGTAGGAAAGATCATGAATTGTAATGATTAGGATGTGTTGCTTATAAGCGTCTAGGATAAAAATCGTAAGACAAGTAACATGGACTCCACTCCCATGCCCAACTCCGAACATGTAACAATATCCAATGTTTCGGCATCTCCAGCTATCAGACCCCGCCCAATACCCAAAGCTGTACGAACGGTCATAATCTGTCTCGATGATAATATGCTGCTTACTAGCGTGTAGGATGAGAATCGTGACACAAGTAACATGGACTCCACTCCCACGTACAACTTCGAAGATTTTGTACTCGATTCTCCAGCCATCAGACCCCGCCCAGTACCCAAGGCTGTATGAAATGTCATAAAGCGTCCCGACGACGATGTGTTGCTTACTAGTACATAGGAGAAGCGTCGCAAGACGAGAAACACAAGATCGACTGCCATGCCGAGCTCGAGACGTGCTGTCCGCAAGAAGGAAGCAAGCTGTTGTATTTTGATGTGATCAGCGTGTCTGTCAGGATGTGTTCGTAGAGGGCCGGGAGCCCTCCTAGTAGCCGAGTCTGCCTTATGAATCTGCCTAAACCCCTAGCCATTGAGGGTGATGGGCATTGTAAGCGCGGGGCAGTGTCCCTAGTCTTGCCAAGATTTTATCCTAGACGTTCATGCACTCTACTCACTTCATCTCGTTCGCATTTCACGCTCCTTTATATACTCAAAGCGATCTGGTCGCTCCCCGTGTGGCCATATCGATTGTATATACTGCATTTATTACCCAGTGAGAGGTCTGTCAGTGCTTGATCGTCTCGTGAACTAAATCTGAGGAATGGCAACAGTCCAATTTCAAGCTATCGATTACCCAAGAAAATATGATCGAACCTCTCATCAGACCTGCCAGGGAGCGATCACCAACCCCAGCAGAGGGGTCCGACCGACATTGGGAGCCATATCCGGTAGACTTAGGACAAAACATCATCGAAGACTCTGATGATCCTTTAAAGTTTTTTGAAGACACTGAAGGACTCTATGGACGTGCAGAAGCGGGCAGATTCTCTGCTGGTATTTCGTCTTTGCCTAACAAGCGTCCAAAAGCTGTAGGTACATATCAAGATGAGGGCCGACTTCTTGGACTGATCGTGGCGTGGCGTAGGAGCGGGCAAGAAAATCCAAGAAGCGAGATCCCCTTTGCACTCAAAATTTCGAGGACATTTTCACTTCAGCACACGATAAGCAATTTAACAACGGCCTCGCTTCTTACCATCTGTGTCCAGCACATGGACTTACTGCCTGCTACGGACTCATTCGTGACCATTCATATAGGTCCACCCGCACAACCGCTGGACTTCAATGCAACTGTGGCGGGATCAAAAGTCGAGAGGATTTTGATAACCAAATTAACCATGACGAGCTGTATTTGCCCTGGCCTAGTCTTAGTCAAGAGTCTTATTACTCTAGTCAAAACACCTTATCTGACTCTTTTCTGGCTGAGGAAACCACAACGCAGGTCGCATTACAATCCCTCGAGCCCAGTCTCAGGGACGGAAACGAGTGGGTTTCTATCCCTCTGTTCTCTTGGACAGGTGGCACGAATCACCTGAACATTTCAGACCATTCAATTGACCGTAGCTCTCGACCATGCAGCACAAAATTATCTTCACCTTGTATGGAAGACAACGTTGATGATGCTGACCTTTTCAACATCAAGCCCCAGGCGGCGTTCTCAACAGGACATTCTACTTCATATTACGGTGCTACGACGAATGTGGAAAATGGAGAATCAAGACTTTATCGCTGTGATCTGTGCCACCATTACTTTCGTGAAAGCTGTTGTAGTCAACAAGGATGTAGATCTGTGGATAGACCTTGATTTCTTCTTGATTTCTTCTTGATTTCTTCTCCCTGAACGTCGGCTGTGGTTCCAGGCTGGAAAGTAGCTCTCCATGTGGTATTTCCTTGACAAGACTTCCCAGAGATGGGCGTGTCGCAGCTCACTATTCGCAAATGCCTCCATCCGCTGAATTTGCCACATCACAAAGCATTGGCCAGCAGCTGATACACCAAATTCACTTGTCGGAGGCCCTGGAGGTATCACAAGAAATCATGTACTACCTCGCCAGATATTTCCTAGAGAATCCGTTTGCACAACAGCTTCGTCTACCGACTACCAAATAACAAAAAACGCCTGCCCCTTCCCTTGATATTTTAGGATGACTTGAAGAAACGGACGACAGAACCGCAATTTCAAATCCTGAACGATTTAGCGACAGCAGTCTAGATTCGATCTGAGATCCTATCCGCAACTCAGTCTGTCATTTCTGCCTCCCCTACGAAGCGAGAATCCGCAGCGAGGTACTTCCATCGTTGCATCAAGTCAGGCACCTCCCCTCAACGCAAATCACCAACAATCTGTTCAAACATGACCCTCCAAAACCCTACCCACTACCTCCAGCATCTCGCTCAAATAGCCAAAACGAAGATACCCGCAGCACGCCTCACCTGCGGCCCTCTCCTCTCAAAATCCCTCTCAACGCCTCCTCCAGCCCCTCCGGCCCCTCCAGCCCTCCTCTCCCCCATCTTTCCAAAACCTCTGTTCTCTCCCCTCCCAAGGACCTCCGACATCACAATCATTGGCGCGGGCGCCGCCGGCGTAGCAGTAACCGCACACGTCTTGAGGAATATCCGCCAACAAAAGCTCCCGCCACAATCAGTCACCATGATCGAGAAAGCGGTGTCCGCGGGCCCGGGCCTCGCGTATGGGCATGGGTGTGAGGGGACGATTGTGAATATGGCGGCGGATACAATGGGGATATTTGATGGGGATCCGGGGCACTTTGTGAGATGGATGCGGGAGCGGGGGCGGGGGCGTGAGAAAGCAGGGGTGGTGGAAGGGAAGGGGGGTAGATTTCCTGAACGGACGGTGTATGGGAGATATTTGGAGGAAATGGTGGAAGCGACTAAGACGGATGCTGAGAAGAGCGGTATGCCATTTGAGGTTGTGAATGGTGAGGTCAAAGATGTCGAGGCGGATAGTGACGAGTTTCAGCTGCTGCTGGGAGATGGGCGCAGTCTGCTATCGCGAAAGGTGGTGCTTGCTCTGGGCAACTTTTCGGCTGTGATAAACCGTCATCTTATTGGTAATCCGAACTTCATGGAAAGCCCGTGGCCTGCTCAAAAGCTGAAAGAGATACCGACGAGGGCTTCAGTGGTTGTCATCGGATCAAGACTTACGGCAATTGATGCGGTGCTGGCTTTGGCTGATAATGGACATGAAGGACCGATCACGATGGTGTCTCGCTCAGGCCTATTACCCAAGGTTCAGGGCGATGTCCCTCCCTACGAACGGCAATATGTGTTGTATTCGGCGGCGAGAGAGGCTGAAGACCTGTCGACTGGAGCGTTTGCGCACGTTATACAAGCTTTGCAACTAGAAATTAATCAGGCATACCCGACCACGTTCAACAATTGGTGGCATAAGTTGGGTGTAGACGACCCTGTATCGACTGAGATCCCGAGCGAGCAGATGGACACAAAGGTGTGGTGTAGACTCAGGCTGGAAGTCGTTGGGAAGCATCCCTCGTTCTTGGAGACGCTACGGGCAGACATCCAGGAGGCGGAGAACGGAGATGTCGGGTGGCAAGCTGTTCTCAAGGCTACTGCTCCGCTTGCAGAGCGTTACTGGCACTCCTTCACAGCACACGAAAGGTTGCATATTGAGAACTTCATGAGTCTATGGATGTGTTACCGCCATTCCATGCCCCTTGTTAATGCCAAGAGACTGCTCGCTTTGATGGCTTCAGGACAGCTCGAAGGCAAGCGGGGCATAGGGGCTGCATTTCAACAAGAAGGACATTTCGAGATCTCCACCCACGACGGACCGATTTTGTCGCAATATCTGATCGAAGCAATTGGACAAGAGCATCATCCGCAACGCGTAGATTCACTGCTAGTCCGTGGATTATTAGCGAAGCAAATACTCAAGCCACAGCCATTCGGGGGCGTTTCTGTTGATTTCACGACCCTAGAGACTCCAACAAAGAGCATGTATGTGCTCGGCTCCATGACTCGGGGTGTGCATCTCTACACCAATGCCATCGACCGTAATGCAGCACATGCAGCGCGCATTGCTGACCATCTGACTGGCATTCCGCCTCGTCGCTCATTGCATGTCGCATTCTTTGTGGGTAGTGATCTCTTCAGTCACCTTATGCTTGCCAAGATTGTACCGCAACTGATCGCGAGGGGTCACATGCCGTTCGTATACTTGCCGCAACACAGAGCCAAGAGGCAGAGCGAGAGTTTCCTTTCGCGGGAATTGGCTTTTTTCGAGAGGACTCTGTTGCATCAACATGTTATACCCTTCCTCGGATCATTGACTCCTGATGAAACACCTTGTCTGACCGTGAGACAAATGCAAAAGAAGTATGGTATCCTTGTGCAAGACGTGAAAGACGTCAACGATAGCAAGTTTCTGGGTTCACTAAAGGACCATCACATCGATTTCGGTTTATCTTTGCGCTGCTATCAGCGATTTCAAAAGAACATCATCGCATACTTCCAATCGCCTAGAGTCCTTTTGAACCTTCACCCGGGGGTGCTACCAGAGTACCGAGGTGTGATGACTGCGAATCGGGCAATGACATCTGCGGAAGAGAGGTTCGGATACAGTCTGCACCATGTGAACGAGGATTATGACTCTGGTGATGTCGTGGATATTCGGACGCGACCAATCGACTATCAGAAATCAATGCTGCTGTCAATGGAAGACATGTACCCTCTCGGAGTAGACATGGCTGTTGATGCAATTGAGCACCATGCCCGGGGCAGGTCGTTCTCGATGACTCCGCAGGATCCAACGAAGAGTCATTACTATTCTTTCCCGACCGAGCTGGAGCTCAATCAAGCACGAATGTCCGATATCAGGCTTGTTGATCCAGCGTCGATGCAGGATCTGCTAGTCCGTAGTTATGCTTCGCCAAGCCAGGAGAAGGGGTTACGCGGTGTCATTCAGGATGCGACGGAAGAGTGGTATTCAAGTGAGAAGCCAATTGAAAAGTAATTCCTTCGAATGGCCCCTCAAGTCTTGAGTAGCATAGCACTGTCCATATTTTCCATCGGTATAGGCGGGATATCAGCCTTGCCTTTCAGAAAACAAGATTTTCTACTTTGCAGCCATCTTGAATCGGTCGTATAGCTGACTCCGTAGCACGTGGAATTTGGATGAGAACTGTTGTGGAAGCTCCAGTCGGCACACGCTGCGATGCAGTCCTCGAATGTGTACATATAGAGAATAAGAAGATCATACTTTGGTAATCCAACGGAGCAACTGATGTTGAAAGCCGTCTTGTTCACGTTGCTGTTGGCAGACGGTACTTCGACTGGAACAGTAGGCGGATCAGGGTTTTGGATCGCGTAGTACGGATTGGTCAGGTTGACGCATGATGATTGTGGACGGCTGAATATGGCAGGTTCAGATGGGATTGTACAATTTACTGGTACGGGGGCTGTATTATTTAACATCTGCTGCTGGCGCTCCTGAGAAAGGGCGTGTTGGAGGCTGCGGTAGATTTTCTTAGCTTCCACACCTAGTCTGTAGTCTTCTCTTGAAGTTGTGTTCAGAGAAAATGGGAATAAGAATGGACACGTTGGTGATTACCTGACAACTGTCTGACGATTCTTAATGACGAGAAAGGTTTCGACCGCGATGGCCGCAAGAGCTATCATGACCACATTGACTAGCAGAAATCGAGATATCCGTAACTTCCTGTGCAGGTTCGCCTGAATTTCGTCCTCTTTGATTTCTCTTGACTTTATAGAATTCTTACCGATAAAATGCTGGGGCTCCTCAAGTTTACTAAGCCTCCTATACGGTTCAGGGAACACAATGGGCGAAGATAGATTTGATTTGTAAACTGGTGGTACGAATATCTTACCATCCTCGAACGGATTTAGTATCTTACTGCTGTAAGCAGAAGTCATTAGAACCGTTCATGAATTTCGCATCAGAGCGAGGTTTTTCTTTGACAAGACGTGTCCATCAGTATTTCTGTGATATTCGATGTGCAATCTCGCATATCATGTACGCCGTTGACATCAACACCCTTCACATCAAAACATCTTAGAGTGAGTAATGAATGATTGGATTGGTGCGCATTGATCTCAGTGCCAAATCAGATTTCTGTCCGTAAAGTAAGTGTAGAATGGGCCGTGCTAGGGCCGTGAATAAGGTGCGGCATGAGCCGATCTTGTGCTAAATATATGACCCAGTCGAAGGAAGCTAGCAACCCGCGTTCCAACAATAAATTGCCTTCTTGCCTTCAGGCTAGTGATATGAAGATCAAGTGCAGTATTCTGACCTCGATCCCGTGGTGATCATCAAGATATAATCATCATTTTTGGTAGATTGGTCAGTCCATCGTGCATTGCCAAGCGCCGGGACTAAAGACAGAAACTGTGATGAAGTCCGAAGCGCAACGCAACCATTCGGTACCTTGCTTGTTCCAAGCGTCCCGTCTCCGAGGACAAAAGCTCTGACCCATTAGATGCAGGATGTCTTGAATGATTCAGCACCCTTTTTCAGCCTGAGAAAAACATAGACATGTCATTGGTTCACGCATCGTCAAACCTTACCTCACGTATCATGATAGCACCATATCGAACGTCTATACTTGCCGTGTCTTGATATGAGGCTGTGTTATCTTGACACATCCTCTCTGTCAATCAATAGATGATATGTAGATGCTGAGCCTGGCCCCCGGGTATCAAGCCGTCTTTTCCAGCGGAATCAAGGAAACCTTGCATTCCCTGCTTTCAGCCCATCATCTCCGGCGACGGCGGCACGCAAGTGTCACCTTCGTTGTCCCTAGCGTATAAATCGATGGCTCTGCGTCCGGGTTGAAGTAGAAGATGCAGAAGGCTGATATCCTTGTCACGATGCCACGTATGTTGCTTGGAGTTCTATAATGTATACTAGCTCACGCAAAATAGAAAGCATTTTGCATGGACCAACATGTCCACGACTACCGTCAGTCAGGCCACTACTTGATGATCTAGCCTGACGTATGGAGAACATCATATACTTAAAAGGGTATGATGAGAAGCGAGTACCTTGAGAATTCTGCCGCCAAGACGCCAAGACTTTCAGCCATACCAGTCTGAGTTCTACGGAGACGTGATATCAAATTCGTGGTAGATTCCGACCTTGACACACAACAATCTCAGAGTCTTTCACAACCGTTTTGTGCTCACAACAGATTTGCTTCTCATAGCTGAATGGACTTGAAAAATTATCGAAAGAAGTTTAGCATTCAGAAACTGGACTAGAGCCACATAGGACCCCTCCTAGGCCTATGCCCCACTCAAAGACAAGCCAATGGCAAGGGTGCAGAAACAACGAGCTAACCAACAAGCCATTGATTATAATTCTACGTTGAGGAACTTTGTAGTAAAAGCTGAACATTTGGTGCCTAAAAGCGACGCTTACCCGTTTGCTACGTTCGCCGAGTTCATTAAAATATCTGTTATACGGCTTCCTACCATCCGTACAAAATTAACGCAACTTCTTCTGCTGGCCCAACAAGAGACGATCCAACTCGATCGAGCGGAAAGCAGGTATTGATAATATCCATACCAACCGAGAGCAAGTCCTGAGCCTTAAACTCATCCTCAGTCTCGCCATTGGTGCCAATTGCCATTGCACATTCTAATGCTCCCGCTATCCTGGTTCTGTGTATGGGTAGAGGTCCAATCTCCGGACTAGCATTCTCTCGATCATGCGTCCATCTTAATTTTCTATTTGCTGGCAAGTTGCTTACATATTGTTCAAGTAAGCTAGTGCAGACTTGTATCGCCAGAGATGGCCGGGCTGATGAGTGAATAGGATGGTTGCATGAAATTCCATTATTTACGATTGAGCCATTGAGTATTGGATGGAGCAATCTTTCATTTGATGAGGAGGGTATGATGAGAGATGAAGCGATGAAAAGGAATGATGTGGTTACCGAAATCGCCTGTTTGACTGACAATTGCATATTGAGCTCAATCAGCCGATACCGACTTATTGGGTATACTTTTGAACGAACTTGCGATGATGCGAGGAAATGTAAAGCTGCAGCTCTGACTGATTATGCAGTTGCGAGACCTTGACTGAGACTTCGCCAACATCAGAACTATCCGACGCGCGTGCGCTCTAGCAACAGTTCGCATTCCAGTGGAGCTAAGAAAGAGCTTTCCTCACTTTTGTTGTCTCGGAACACTTCTGAGACCTGGACCTTTCATCATTACTGCTTGTAGATATAGCGAGAGTTATTTTCTCGTTTGTGTTGGCGACTGTGCATGCGGGCGTTGTTACTCTAAATCTTGGGTCTGCACCACTCTGTCCCCACCCCATCCATAAATGTGCATCAAGACTTGCTTTGCGGGACCAATCTCCTCATTCCCATCCTGATTTTCCTGCAAGCATCGATGGATGATCTCGACGCCTGCGTTCTCAACCACCTCAAGTCCGAATGTATCATCAACCTTCGCGGGCTGCTCACTGTCACCGCTCTCAAAATTTACCAGGCAGAACTTGTCCCCCTGGCCCCTTTGTATGTGAAACGGCAAGGCTCCTAGCTCTGGACTTGCATTTTCCTTATCGGTGCTCCATCGAAGTGGCTTCTCAGGCAAATATGCTATGTAGCCTGCCAGGAGCTCTACGCAGAGGTTGACGGCTCTGGAAGGTTGATCGCTCGCTTCGTGTGGTTCTTCGCATTGAACTCCGGAGACACGTAGGGTTGAGTTGCGGATGCTTGGAGGTATTCCTAACCCAGGATGTAGGGAGATGTTTGATGGCGCGCCTAGTCCAGGCTGAATACTTAGAGAGTGTGTCAATCGAGCATTGAGTCCGAGGCATAACAGAAGTAACAACATCGCGTCTTCAACAGATCTAAATTTCACGTCACGGTCAAAGGAATGAAAGCTATTTCACTTCATAATCTCGGTGTTGACAAAGTCTCAATGACGTTGTTCGACTGCGCGCGACTTGAGGTCCTGTAAAATATTCTGGGGCGCATGACCTCAATAGGTGAGCCTAAATGTCACCGGGCACGTTATTGTCTAAGACCGATGCAATCTCTGGGGAAAAGGCTCCTCAGAGCCCCGAATCCCATGCACACTCCTAAGCATCTTCATGTGTGTGATTTTAATGTCTGTACCCTGAAACGGTCAATTTCAGTTCAATGGTCGGTCTGGCGGTTCAGTTGGACAGGTGGCAGTCTTTTTACCCTCTGAATGAAACTGATATTGAGCTTTCCATAGATAGAACCCGTCAAAAGACCACCATGCCATTGGTAAACGCTGGCAGTAAAGTTGACGTTGATGAAAGATTGCGGTAATTGAAGCACTTTGCAGCCCAGTGAAATCCTCATACGGTGTCATTTGTCTCACAAAGAAACAGGAACAGCGTCTAGACGTCTTAGTCATTCGCTGTTGCGAATGACTCAGATGGTTCTACAGTATTGCTGGGATATCTTGCAGCAGAAATCATACAATGCGGGGACGCTTGCAATTCTAGGCTTTAGTAGAAGAAGAGCCGCTATGTTTTACTTACTCAAAACTTCGTAAGGTTGCAAAATTGTATTCGCAAGCATGTGACGACTCAAAGGAAATGCGTTGAAGATGGCCCCCACGGAATATTGTCGCATGTTGGGCTGCTTCTCGGTACGCACTATGGAAAACCAACAGCCCTCACAGCCTTCTCCCCATGCGCACAACATGGATAGAGAGTATATGAAAGCAATTATTTGCCCTTTATATTCCATTTTCATGAGGGTCGATCTCGACGTCGTCCGAGCCAGACTTTCAGTCATGAATAAAGTCTGAAAGATTGCCACAAAAAACAAAGTCAGATAGCGGCGTCTTTGGGAATACAAGGATGTTTCACCCATGGACTGTCAGGACTGTGCTCGGGATCGCTATCCTGGCCCTCCGTGCAAATGCGATGCCTCTCGAGACGGCTCCAAATTCCCAAATGGGAATGTCTCCTATCTTCAATGGCTCGCCCACCAACGTTATTCAAAATAGCATTGACGCACCAGCCTCAGACAAATCAGAGCGTCTCATAGAATCAAGAGATACAGCATCCTCTGTAGCGAACAAGAATGGGACAGACAACACCGCAACCGCTTTCGGAGATTGTGGCGTAGCACCCCCAGGCTCGACCAAGATGAATACCAACTATGCCTTGAAGATAACGGGATACTGGCATCCTTCATCCACAACCCTGTGCTTTGACGCCTGGGCTTCAAATGACGCTAAAGTCATGCATTTCAAGAACAACTACTTCATCTATCCTCAGTCCTTCTTCGTTCCCATAATAAGCGGTTTGTACGACTTGGCTGTCGAGTTCTGGTTTAGATCACTATTGGAAATGAACGATGAATTCTGGATGGGCATCTCAGGCACAATCGACAGGGTGCCTTACCACAGGGATTGGACTATCAAACGAACACCCCAAGTACTCCTGAATTCAGTCGCATCAGAACCTTCCCCTTCACCCCAGAATATCCAGCTTTCTAGACGTACTTCGCCAGATTTGCATAACACCGCGGTTGTGGCAGGCTTTACCACTGGGGAATGCGGCATCGATACTCCCAGTGCTACTCTTATAAATTCTTACTATGCATTCAGAATGGAGGGCTTCTGGAATCCACTGTCCCAAAATCTGTGCGTGGATGCTTTTTTCCCCAACAAGTCAAGCCTCGCGCATTTCAGCGTCAAACCTTTCGACTACAACAATGGCCAAGCTTATCAACTTGATATCGTAAAGCCGGAATACCACGTGCAAGTCCAATTTCAGTTCGCTTCGGAGGCTGATGTTGGTCGAACTTTTGATTACGATATCACGGGAACGATCAATGGGTTGTTGTACAGCAAGAGTTTCTCTATTAAACGGGAATGGCCGAAGCTTTCTGAAGACGCTACGTACAAGGATCGGCGGAACTATCAGTCCGTAAGGCGAGATACTTTATCCCAGCCATCGAACTTGACCAATAGCACCATTGATGTCCTCGCCAGCCCCCCGTTTGAAGACTGTGGCGAGCCTCCGCCAGACACTACACACATCGATTCCAACATCGGCTTTAAGATGACTGGGTTCTGGGACCCAGCATTCACCACAATGTGCATCGACGCTTTTAATACAGACGGGAAAACAAAGATCGGTCATTATCTCACCAGAAGTTTCACGTACGCCAATACACCAATCACCTTCATAATTAAAACCAAAAGAGTGTATCACGTGTCTCTAATATTCTATTTTCTGGAAGAAAAGGATGTTGAATGGCTATTCCACGTTTCGCTCGTCGGAACGATACTGGAAAAGGGGGAACCGCGGCAATACGATGAAGATTGGGAGATTGTAAGGCAGTCGGTACCAGCCCTTGGGGGAGGAACAGAACAGACTTCTCCAAGCGTCCAGATTTCGCGGCGTGATTTACGTCCGTCAAAAAGAGGCAACGGGGTAAGTTTCGCTCAAGGGGCTGATGGGGCTGCGGCAGCGGGAAGTGGTACTGCGCGAAATCGTCTCGGATGATATGCTCTTATGACATCAGACATCTGCAGAGCGTAGCAGGCGGTTCAATTGACTGCTTGAGTACCTGCTAGAATTACAACCACCATGTAGACCATCGCGGGTTGATGAGGAAGGCCGCATACGGAGTAATGCGAAGAGCTTTTGACCGCTCAGCCGGCTCTCGTGATTGCCAGTCTACCTAATTCCTTGGCATATCAAGCACAAAATAATAGAACAGTTGTCTCCATATTTTTTCAGGCAGTTTCGATCTTTGTTTTAACTGACAATCGGTTTCTCGAAGACCAGTTTCCGGGTCTATGACTTGGGCACTCGTAAATTAGACAGAGCTACCTTCGTTCATTGAAAGTCTTTGGTCCTCAAAGGCAGCATGTTGATTGGTTGCTCCCCTTGCTGCCGGATTGAAGCTTTTCCAAATGCAAGCAGCCACCTTACTTGGTCACGTGGGCCTCATACGGAGTTTGCGGTGACAGTGGCGTATGATTCCAAAGAACCTGATATTAATCGCTAGTGAGTTGGTATTAGGGCAATCTGGCCTTCTTTCATGTGATTTCTAGGCGCTCGGAGAAAGCAGTCTTCTTGTAGCTACCCATCGTGTACCAAGATAGTGTCACAGATAGTCGTTCGTGTTCGTGTTGCAAGGCGGGTTCTTTGACAGATTCTCTTGTTTGCATGTGTTAATATTGGCGCAACACACCATTCACAGGCCAAACACCGCGTTAACTGTAAAGCTGCGTCTCCCCGTGCTTGGTCTCTCTTTACCACCTCTTTCATGATTTTTGGCCTGGTCTAAGATATCGTCCAGCAAAGACAGGTTCTTTTCAAACATGGAAATCTCACATGCAACACGAGACCGTGTCCTCCCAAAGTTCAATCAAGATCCAAGCTTAATGGCAGTGGAGAACGAATACAACTCCCTCTGCAGACTCGACGCATCAAATTTTAAATCGATACAAGCGTATCACGAGAAGTTCGAAGAACACCTCTGCAAGCTAGGCGCCTGGGGTAAACCGTTGCCTGAATGGATGCATGGGTCTATCTATCGCAAGGGTCTGAGCGAGGATCAATATCAATCTCTTGTTCCACTAATGCAGGCTGTCAAAATAAGCAAACGAGAACTTGGTCTGTATGAGATGGCTGCAATTTTCATCGGCCAGGAAATGGCGAAGCAGAGGAGCGAAGAAGGGAAGGCCTCCAAGAAGCAGGGCAGAAATCGCCGCAAGCGAGGCAATAAGGACAGCAAGAATAATTACACAGCGGGATATACTACTTTCTGACTGATAAAGCTGCAGAGGTTGGATGGCGCTGCTATTCCTACCTTTGCAAAGGACATCTGGAATCAAAGTTGTTAGTCCTGAATGAAGTCAGCCAGTCATCGAGGGACGTTGGCGAGAGACAGAGCTATTCAGGCGATAAAGAATCAACTGCACACCATGGAAGGGAGTGGGAAGAAGAATCGAAGAAATCAGTGTGTATGCGCTAGCCTCTTTAGTCAATTTATCGTGTCTTTCATCCATTGCGGGAGATCACAGTGAAGACCGTCTCGAGATGATCTTGAGTCGAATGTGATCTCAAGGTCATCTCAAGGTCATCTTGAGACCATCTTGCGCTTCGAAAAAGATTCCCGGGGCGCCTCCCCCCAAACGGCCCTAAACGCGGCACGCTCCGGGCGCCCTTCCAGGTACCCCGCTGTAGGCTTTAGCGGGGATTCGCATGACGCAATGACTGTCAAAGTTCCTTCAACGAGCCACGCTGCTAATCTATGCTACATCCCCACGATCATTGCCATTCAACAGACCAATATACAATCACATCACAGAACCAGCATGTCTGAAAACAGCAACACCGGCGACGCGTCTATGCTGCGTGGCCATGCGAACTACGTCGCCGGCGCTGCCAAGGTCTGCGTTCTCCCCACCCTCCACTACTTTGCCCCTTCCTCCGCTTTGCCCTGCCCTCACTTGCTGCCCTAGTCCTTGAACTGACTATCCTTTTACCAGGAGGCCATCGGCTCATATACCTCGACTGATATGCAGAACGCTGGCGCGTCGGACAAGCAGGCTGCAGTGGATGAGATGAGGGCGGCCAAGTCACAGAGTGATGCTCAAGGAGGCGAACTGAACAAAAATAGTACATTGGGCAGCGTGGAGCAGAAGCTTGGAAGTGCAACGGGTTGTGAGGGCATGGAGGATGAGGGGGCGAAGAGGCAGACTTAAACTGACTTGGCTAAGGACGGCGTCCGAGGAGATATGACGATGATAATCACGGGCTTGATGAAGCTTTGAATATGTGCAAAGGGCATTTCATATACTTATCAACAAATGCAAGAGGCGTATTGAATAGATGAAGTATACGCAAAAGACAGCTCGCAAAGTTGTAAGTATATGCAAAAACCAGCCCCTCCGTATGAATTTTTAGAAGAAGTATCTCCTATAATTTTGGATATCTGCAAGAGCCCTCTTCAAAAGTATAAATATATGCAAAAGACATCTCGCATAGGTAGGCAGCAGAGAGGAGGTTGTCATTCTCCAAATATGAACATGCCCTTACCCTTTCTATACCCCTCCAGCGTGCCTTGTACCGCTTGCACTAGCTCCTCCTGCTTCGTCTCCTCATTCCACCTCACGTCCAGCGTCGGACTCTCCACCAATTTGCCCTCCCTATACAAATCCAGGACACTATCCACCACCTTCCTCTTCTCCCCCGGATGCTCATCCGCCCAATGACTGACCCAGAACCCCACGAACCTCAAGTCCTTGAAGATCAACATACTCGCCCCGACCCTCATGGGCGCCTTGCTCATAGCCCCATACGTAACCATCGTCCCACCCTTTCCCAGTACCTTCGCCATATTCATTGCCGCATCACCTCCCACGCAGTTCAACCCCAGTCTCACCTCCTCCCTCCCTCCGTTCGTCCACTCGGCAATCCGCTCTCTAAATCCCTTTTCCCCCACCTCCTTGTCCGTAACGACCTTTTCCGCTCCCAGTGCCCTCATCTCTGCCTTCAGAGCCTCCTCTTCCCCTTTATCCTCCCGTTCCCTCACAACAGCAATACCCCTCAGCCCCCACAGCTTCCCCAACTGACTCGCCACCCTCCCCACCGCAGAATTCGCTCCATTCTGTATATACCACGGCCCGCCTCCCCCTGCCCCTCCACCTCCTCCACCAGCGAGTTTCGCAAACTCAACACCCCAATCCACGAACCCGCTTAGCAGCCGCCACGCCGTTACGGGGTTGACGCTCACGCTGCCCACTTGGCTTGCACTCACACCCTCTTTCTCGATCCTCAGCACGGCGCTTTCGTCAACCTGCGCGTGCGTCCGCCATGTGCCTAGCCCCGTGCGGCGGGGTATGACCCAGTCTCCTTTCTGCAATCCTTCTTCTCCATTGCCTACATTGCCTTTGCCTGCCTGCCCTCCTAATGCAACAACCTCAAACACGCCCTCGTTTCCGGGTATAGCTGACGGCGAGGCAGTGCCCAGCGCAGTAGTGAAATGTCTGTCTTTTGGGGGTGTGGGGTAGAAGCCTTGGATTTGATTGATGTCTGCGGGGTTGAGAGGGGCAGCGAGGGCGCGGAGGGTAAGTAAGGTGGAGTGTGGTGGGGGAAGGGAGTGCTTGTGCAATCGAAGCGCGTCGGATGGGTTGCCATGTTCGCTGTAGACGAGGGCTTTGGCTTGCGTGTAGCCGTAGGTTGAGATGCGGCGGCGTTTGTCGGAAAGGGGGGTTTGGGAGGGGAGGAGGGCGATGCGGAGACAGCGGATGCAGAGAGGTGAGGGCGAGAGGAGCGTGGGTTTTGCCATTGAGAACGTGGTGAGAATTGATGCGTAATTAGTCGTATGGACTTCTGATGAAGATGAACGGAATTTTGGGGCTATGATGTCATTGCGCAGGAGAAAAGTTTTTACGCTTCAACTTGAATGAGAAAGGAGCTGCAATCCTTAGGGGCTTAATGAAAGTCTCACAGACAGTCGTAGCCTGGTTGCCCGTCGCAAGTAATTCCAATAGATTAGAGAGCATGTCCTAAAAGAAATATAACAGGACGATCTCAATATTTTCTCAAGGAGCTCTCAAGGTCATATCAAGGTCATCTCAAGGTCACCTCCAGGTTACCTCCAGATGACCTCCAGACGACCTCAAGTTGATTTCGTGTTTCCCTAGAAAGACGAGAGACTTAGGAAATGACTAAATAGGCTAGCGTTGAAAATTATAATCATCTCAGTCAGTCATTCTGAACTACCTCGCGGTCTGCAATACTCCTTGGACACACCCAATCTTAGATTTAAGGCTAAATTTACAACTAGCTTTATTACGAAGACACTGGGTACAAGTTTTTATATCGTAATATTTTGAACCCTTCTACACCAAAATTGGTCATTTCGCTACCAATTTTAGGGTCTCTGAGGAGTTTTGCAAATTGCGAGCCTGCTTAGACCAGAATTTGCGTGATCTCCCTCGTTCTAAGCACTCTGAATCAACAGATTTGGCAGAGTGACGTTCGAGAGCATGGTTCGCGTTCTCTTCGAGTCATCAATGATAACACAATCAGAGCGGGCCACTCCAAATGAGCTGCACCTAGACGCCATGAGGTGAACCGCAGCTCGCGTCTTGAGGCCACGCTGGCATGCTGAGTATGCTTATTTTTCATATTTTCTAGATATCGATTAAGTGATCATGTCAGAAGAAGACTTTGATCCAAATCGATTTCAGAATATGCTTCTTGAAGGTCATCACGACATATTATTTACCAAGAATGCACAGTCTCAGGTGATGGTTTTCAAACGGGACGACAAGTACCCTGGAATCGCGCTGTCCGACACCACCAATCATATTAGGCTCGCAGAAATCCGGATCTTGAATGACGCAACAATAGTACTCCGATTTCACGCTGTCCCTCTTGCGAAAGCTGCTGCGTATACTGCTCTTTCATATACATGGGGCTCAATGCTTGGACAGTCTCAAAGTCAAGGGCTGCAGCTCACAGGAAACTTAGCTGATGCACTATACAGCTTCGCGAGCTGGCAGCCAAAGCTTTGGTGGATTGACGCGCTGTGTATCAACCAGGGCGATACTCGCGAAAAGAACGAGCAAATCAAACTCATGAAACAAATCTATCAGAAGGCCGAGCGTGTTTGTGTCTGGCTTGGACAATCAGACGAAGGAGTCCTTCAGGTGCTACCGAGAATTGCGCGCTCGTTTGAGGAAGCAAAAGCACAGAGTGGTGAGACTGAATCTGTGGGACCTGCGGGTTTGAAAATTCCAGGATCAGATTGGACATCTCTAATGGACTTCTTATCGCGTCCATTCTTCCGGAGAATATGGGTGCTCCAAGAGCTCTTAATGGCCGGTGACTCGATCATCGTGGGTTGTGGAAGTGCCAGATTTTCTTGGAAGTTTCTGGCACTACCAATATGGTGGCTTCGGGCCAACAATGCGCAAGGTAGTCTGAGATCCCAGCCATATAATCTAGACCATGAATACACGCTTCCAATCAGGAATGATATTATTGATCTCGTGACGAATTTATCGGCGAGACCTCGATCCCTATCCTTGGAGCAGCTCCTGCGGCTTACTTATGCGCTGGAGTCCTCAGAGCCCAGGGACAAGATCATCGCCTTACTTGGTCTGGCATCAAATAAAGATCCTGCTCTATCAAAGATCAACATTGGGTACGAGCAGTCTGTAAGGGACATTTATTGTAATGTAACAGGAGTCATATGCACCACTCACCGTTCAATCAGTCTTCTAGAGCTGGTCGGTGATCAATCTTTCCGAGAATTCAGCGACCTTCCTTCGTGGGTCCCAGATTACAGTGTCACCTCTAGTCGACCTCAATTCAATAACGAAAGTCCAGACTGTCAGGATTCGAATGTTGAGGTCGCGTGGATACCTGGCTCCAGGACTCTTTCACTTGGTGTACAAGTGTCAGATGAAGTTGCACATGTATCGGGCGACATCATGATGCGAGAGGAAAAGCCAGAGGATGCCCTTCTTTCGTGGTTCAAGATGACGGCTGAGTTTATTGAAGTCGACAAATGGGCTTTGATTACGAGAGACCCTGAGGAGTCTGGACACACTACGGTCAATGCATTCTGGCGCGCCATGATAGGGGACTCCAGTGGCAAACAATGTCCAGCGCCAAAAGAGTATTACGATCACTTCTGCTCGGCTTTATTCCAGCGTCTTACCGAAACAGGAGATCGTGATGAGCAACTTCAATGGAATCTCGCATTATGCAAGTCATATCTCAATAAGTGTCATTATTCTGAGCCCACAGAAATAGAAGATAAGGACATAAAGATGTATCATTTCATATGTGCGACGATCATCGAAAACAAAAGGCAGCCCGTCAAGTCGCCTCATTGGACCTTTCCAGAACCCTGGCTTCAGTTTGACGAGGATGGCAAGTTTCTCGCCGTGACCCCACCAGGCGATGCTAAACTTTTCAAAAAGGAGATGGCTCGCTCATGCTGGAACACACGATTCTTCATTACCAGATCTGGTCGTATGGGCAGGGGACCGCTATCCATACAGCCGTCTGATAAAATTTGTCGCGTAGCAGGCGCAAAGGAGCTGCTCGTCCTAAGAGAGGCGGATGAGCACTTGCGATTCATAGGCAACTGCTACACCCATGGTCTCGTACATGATCAGGATTCTCAGCAATCAAACACTTTCAAGGAAGTCACGCTCGTGTGAGATGAGTAAGTCCCGCCGGACTTCGCAATTACTCGAGTTCTTGCAGAGGGTACCTGGTTCGGGCATTTCTATCGCTGGATCAGAAGCCACCTTACAGCCATTGGCTTGTTGGCTGAAAACCACTAGCTAGATTAAGAATTTCTATGCCTCTGGCGTCGATTCCGGCAGCCCTCTGGGGTTGGTATAAATAGGGATGCCCCCCAATGTTTTCCTGCCCAGGAATATCGCATTCGGGCTGCACTCAGATACAAAAACGTCTGTGCCAGGAAAAACCGACTTCTTTATCACTAGCGACTGAGCGCAGATAGTTGTTACGACGAGGGACAAACTTATTCTTGATATTTGAAGTGTCAATGGCACTCCTGATTGATGTCATGGTCGTCCACAGCGCCAAGCACAACAAGAGATAGACCAAGTGAGAGGAAGTAAATGAGTGCTGCTTTTGATTGATCTACGGACAATGAACCACTATCCCTTCTATTTCAGCGACGTCAAGTCTGGCGTCCCCTTGGCTGGCGGGTCCGAAAACCTCGTCTGCACGAACACCTTTTGCATACCCTTCGAGTAAGTGTTGAAGTTCTCATAGACCTTGTCCATCTCTTCGACCTTCAGCCTGTGTGTAAGCATGATGCCTGGATCGGTTTCTCCCTCTTGAATCATTTTCAGAAGCTTCTCCCAGTACATGTGTACTGGCGCCTGTCCATTACCAAATAATTTGATTCCTCGCTCCATCAATGCTCCAATGTTGAAATGGTTCGTATACCCAACGTAGACACCGGTGATACCGCATCGTCCAAAGTTCTTGACAGACTCAATCATCTCGTTGACGATTTCACTCGAATCCGTCTCGGCTCCCAACAACAACTCAAAGTAATGTGCCCATCCTTTCGCGTACTCGCCAGCCACGCATTCAAGAGCCACATCTGGCCCGCCGTGTTCCATCTCTTTCAAAACACTGACGACGCTATGTCCTTTCGGTAAACTCGTAAAGTTAACAGTCTCAACCTTCGGCAGCTTCTCCTTGCAATAGTCAAGCCTCCACGCCCCATTGCCTCCATCGATCAAGATGACCCTTTTCGCTCCATTGGTGAAGCTCATCTCCGCAGCCATCATCCCGATCGGGCCCGCACCCCAGATTGCGACCACATCTCCCTCCTTTACGCCAGTATCAACGACGCAATTCCAACTCGTCGCCAGCACATCACTGAGATACAATCCCTTCTCATCCGGCACGTCATCCGGTAGCTTCAACAAATTAACATCCCCAAATGGCACCCTCACATACTCCGCCTGCCCACCCGCGAACCCGCCCGTAAAATGACTGTATCCAAACATCCCCGCCGTTCTTCCGCCATACATTGCATTCTCCATCGTATTGGCATTCGTGCGCTCGCACTGCGACGACAGCTTCTTCTTGCAATACATGCACTCTCCACACGCAATCTGGAACGACGCGACGACGCGGTCGCCTTCCTTGAAGCCCTTCACGGCAGAACCCATTTTGTCGACTTTGCCGCAGAACTCGTGGCCGAGGATGTCGCCTTTTTGGAGCTGCACGACGGCGCCGTGGAAGAGGTGCAGGTCCGAGCCGCAGATTGTGCTGCCCGTCACTTTGAGGATTACGTCTCGATCTTCGATGACGGCTGGTTTGGGAGTTTCGACTGCAGAGGGAGATTAGATTGAGATGAGTAGGGAGGAGGGGAGAGGAGGGAAGGGTGGCAGACGTACGGACTTGCACGTCGTTCTTGCCCATCCAGCAGAGCGCTTGCATAGTCTCTCCATCTTTGTCGGCGTACTTCTCGCGGTCTCGAGCCGCATTGGTCATGTCTTGCTCTGTGAAGGCATTCTTGCCGTGGCCGAGGGCCTTCTCGATATAGTTTGCTGCTTGAGTAACGACGGCCATGGTTGCGGTGGATGTGTGGTAGGCTCTTTTGGTATACAATGTTCAACAAGCGATGCTAGGCTAGGATGATTGCAGTCAAAAGAGTTCAAGCAAGGCATTTTGTGAGGGGCAATTATATTTGTCGAAGTAAAGGTACGTCACCACCATGTCATACTGAAATATATCAGCCAACTGCCGACCACTGTAGGTAGCAGCCGAGATGACATGTCTTGGCGCCAAGATATCTGCTATCTCACTTCTCTTGCTTTTCTGGATGGAAAGGGCAAGAGAGTCTCAACTCTAGTATTGAGGCTCTCTTTGGCAGACCGGAAATCAATTGATTGGCGCCGCATCAAGAAGTTGATTCTTCTCAGCCCGTAAACGATCCTGACCAGGCTCGGTCATCGGAGAAACTCTTGTCCGAGCCGAGAGCCTTGGGAAGCGTCAGCGTTTTAAGACTGTCCTGCTTCGATGCTCGCGCGTTCACTGTACTATTACGGCGTCAATCATATGTCCAGCCAATGTGAATCAATTGGCATCACGGAAATCATTGAGCTGAGGAAGCCAAAAGTAGACTCTGCAAATGGGTGCCAAACCCGTCGTTCGTCCCACCTCAGGCAGCCACAATCTTACGCATGCCCCGCACACTATCCAATGGGATGCATATGGGGCGCTAGGTGATCAGGCTGAGATGTCCAGCGACCTGGACAATCGCCGAAGAATCATCGTGGCTGTACAGTAATGTGCCCTTGAGACTATAGACATGACCAATTGAGGACTTGAGACATCCAGTCAGTGTGAGCCAGATGGTTTGCTCTCAATCCTCAGGCTCTGTTTCTGGGGCGCCAATTTTCACCTTCATCGCGTAGTGCGATGAGCTTGCACAGCTCAATGCTCGCGCAATACGGTTGCCTTGATTAAAGCACCTTCGTCCATTTACATTGAATAGCAAATTGTTATGGATCCAGTCACTGGCGTCGGTCTCGTTGCCTCCATTGCACAGCTCATTCAATTCGGCATTGCGACCGCAAAGGCCTGTCACGAAATCTACGAGAAAGGCTCGACGAGCGAGAACATCAATATTGATGAGACGACCATCCATCTGAGCAACCTCTCGAGCTCTTTACAGCGCTCAATAAAAGAGTTAGGAGCTGGGAAGACAGTGTCGTCACTCTCTGAGGAGGAGAAAGAACTCTTAAACCTCGGGCAGAAATGCGAAGAGACTGCAAAAAAGCTACATGACGAAGTAAATAAGTTGAAGGCACGCCCGTCGGGCTCAAAACGGGAGGCTGCTGGCATATTCGCTCGCTCTATATGGAAGAAGGGTAGCATTTCCAGATTAAAAGAACGCCTGGAAAGTTACAGAAGGCTACTGGAAACCTCACTGCTTTTCAAGCTCAGGTAAGGCATCCATGGTTATCGCTAGTAATGGCCAAAGCCTGCCACATCTAGCCATTATCCCCCATTCCTCTGTCAATTTTCAAATAAGGAGAGTCATGGCTACACGCTTGAACAAAACAGTATTTTTTGAATTGCACTAATGGCACATCCTGCCCTCTGCCTGGCACTTGTAACTTTCTATCCTCGATTTCGGGTAGCTCTGGGCTCTTCACTTGTACAAGCCACATGATGCATGACATGTATCTTTGTGCGCGTGTCTATTACTGCCCAGCGATTGAAGGACAAGAGATGAAGGCGCAGTATCTTGCTAACTCCGGACTCTAGTCAGCGCTTTGATACTGCGACCTTGAAATATAGCGACCGCTTCGCAAACCTCGACAAAGGTCTACAAGGAATCGTTATGTGTCTTGCCAACTCGCAGAGCTCACTTACTACCCTTGTAGAGCGAAGTTCAGAGCAGACACAGGAGCAGATTGTGAAAGAGCTTGCCCGCTCGAGACAATCTCAACAAAATGAACGCTTCTATGAAGACATCAAGAGCAGCTTATTCTACCCCGCAATTTTCTCGCGGCAAGAACAGGTGGCATACGAATTCGATGGAATTGAAGATAGTTACGCATGGATCTTTCATGACTCAAACGATGCTGCAGATCAAGCGCAACAAACGTCGGAGGAGATCACAGGCAACCCACGCTGGGACAACTTTTCAGACTGGCTAAAGACTGGACACTCTGTTTATTGGATCAACGGCAAAGCTGGCTCGGGAAAGTCGACCTTGATGAATTACATCCATGAAAATCAAGGCAAGGACATTTTGCTCAAGCAGTGGAGTGGTGGAGAACGGCTACTGCTGACTGCAGCGTTCTTTTTCTGGAATGCAGGTGGCAGCCTTGAAAAGACTGTGAACGGTCTCCTGCGATCCTTGATATACCAGTTGCTTACCCAATGCCGGCAGCTAGTTGCCTGCTTTGACGCGGTAAGCGAAAGACCTGTGCCCCAGCAATGGCGAACGATGCTCACAGACCGTTAATTTAGGAGCAGCCGCTACACACTTGGACGGAAAAACGCTTGATCAGTACCCTTGTAGCAGTCTTGACACAGACCCAAACACCTATCGCAGTCTGGATTCTGATTGATGGACTCGACGAACTCGAAGGTGATTATATGAAAATTCTTGGCTTAATCAGCAGCCTCTCCGCACGAAGTAACGTGAAAACTTGTCTGTCCAGTAGACCTTTAGCCGTCTATGAAAATGCCTTCGCCGGGATGCCAAGCTTGAGACTGCAAGACTTAACACGCAACAGTATCCGCGCATACACTAGCTCACAGCTCACTTTGACTGAGCGGCTTTTCTCCCTCCTGGCACAAAAACCCTCTAGTGGGCAGCATTTGATAAATGAAATCGTCAGTCGAGCAGACGGGGTATTTCTATGGGTTGTCGTTGCAGTCCGGAGTATCCGGGAAGGGCTTCAGCATTTTGTTGACTTCGATGAGCTTGAGAAGGAGATATACAGCCTTCCTATCGGTGTTGAAAATTTGTATATGCAAATGCTTATCCGAATCAAGCCAATGTATCGGCGGGATGCAGCCAGATACCTGCAGATTGCGTTGTACGAATCAGAAAACAGGGAAGCGAATGATTGCGCCCTAGACCTCTGGAGGTTGCATCTGATTGACCAACAACAAGTCAACGGTGATATGCCCTTAAATGTGAAGAAATCAGATGACAGCAGCTTAATTGAAGCCTGCCGTCAATTGACAACACGGGTGCTCTCGCATACACTAGGGCTTCTAGAAGTGATCACTGTGCAAGATGCAGAAACGAGTCCTTTGTTAAAGACTCATCACAATCCCGTGCTTGGGAACCAAATCAAAATCCACCATAGGACTGTGAAAGACTTCCTAGCAAACAATCAAGCGGCAAAAGCCTTCTTACAAAGCGCAGGCCCAACGGAGATTTGTGTGCGTCTTTCAATTGCCAGAGGGACATTGTCATATTTAATTGATCTTTCAAGAGGCGCATTTGAGATTCGCAAATTCCAATCTCACCTCGCTCACTATAACTATCTTGAGGGAGCTCTGGCTCAAATCTCATCTGTTGAAAAGATAAATGGTACTGCTCAGCTCAAGCTCATGGAATCACTTTCGACATACTCATGCATACCAAAGATCATACTTCCAAAGGGCGATCTGAAAGCAGATCGTAGACTCGATGCGGACGCGTACATGATCCACGGACCCGTTGAAGATGCCTACGACATTGTAGGCATGGCAGCCGCTCAAAACATGTCTTTATTCATATGCGAAGTCCTTGATCTGCCGGTCACTAGATTACGCAGCCAACCAAAACCGCTCCCAGACTGTCGACAATGCTGTTCTCATTTGGGTGAAGAAGCTCCTGGCTTTGCGTTGGATATTACCTGGGTAAGTACTCCGCAATATGGGCAGGCTTTCTCCCGCTATCGCCATCATTTGGATCAACACTTTCGCCCTCAGGGGGCTCAACAGACGCCCACAGGCAGACCTTACGACCTTGTATCGACTTACCTGCTTGCCTGTTGTAAGTCTAGCTTTACTCGTAAAATTCAGGACAACTTCGCCTTAGTAAGAATGCTTCTAAATGAAGGTGCAAATCCTATGGCGCCTATCCTGTCGGTCTCATCATATGCCCCTAACCACTATCACGGGTCCTTCTGGCACATGTGGGTGGAGTGTTTACGAAATCAGGTGCAGCATTTCAAAAACGATGCTGATTTCACTGTCTTCGGTCCGAGTGTCGCACTTGATGACGTTTTTGACGTTACAAAAGCTTTACTAGCTCAAGGCGCGCAAGTCAACGCACCGACTGAGAGAGATCAATTTTACAGAAGCCCTGACATCGACGGCCATTCTGGATTCTATTACGAGATCAAATGCGAAATCTCCATTTCGGCCATGTGGCTGCTTCAAGAGTGCTTCAGCGATAAAGTCGAGTTCCATGATTTTGCAGCGAATGTTGAACTGGTGTACAAGAGACCGTGGAGAAAGCTCACGTATTTTCAATACGCCCGAGCAACCAATGAGAATTCACTCATACATATTCATTCTAAGGAGCGTTATTATACAAACGAAGAAGAAAGTGAGTTCCTTTTGCAATTCTTAGATGCCGCTTATCGTTCGCCAAATGATCAAGAAGCGGAATCGGCGGCCGTGGCGGCTTGCAGGCAAATTTGGTTGGCCTCTAGGCCAGAAGTTGATGTTGACAATTAAAAGAAGAAGCCACCGACAAAGGAGGTCCTGCCAAAGCAGCTCGTGATCGCCAGCTCACTCAATTGAAGAGGATGGTCGTCTCGAATTTCGTTGCCTGAAAGCTTCGGGAGTCAGCATAGAAAAGCCTGTTGAAAACGATGACTTTTTCTGACAACGATGTACTTTTTGGGGCCGTAGGACTTCACCGAGTCCCCAAAATTCCACATATTTCCGTGCCTCCCTTTCTCCTCCTCAAATGGCCAGTTTGCATCTTCCGTGAGTTTGAGATAAGGCGAGAACAGCGGAGGTTGCTACATTAGCACCCAGATCCATAGACCAGATAATGCGAGAAAGTCGCGTCCATCCTTCGCCATTTCATAGGAAGACAACGTATTATCCGGAAAGCAATACTGCTGACATTGGCATCGCCAATACGCAGACTTCAGCGTCAAGGCACTAATCCTGCTAGATCACATGTACTTTTGGCACGAACGCTAATCGCGCATGCCCAATTCATAACGTACAGTCACGACTGATTCGTGCCTCAATTATCTCCTAGCTTCTTCAGCAGCTCCAGTAAACGAGAGGGCGATGAGCGGAAGGTGGCCGACAACGATCTTACAAGCTCTCACTAAAGTCAGGAAAATCTTTGATATGTACTAAATAGGGTATCATAAGTCATCTCACATAACACAACGCGCCGTCTCGGCACCCAGCTCTTGGGCAGATAGTCATACAACTCAGACCCACGATCTCTATTTCTTCCCTCATATCATATTCAACACACCAACATCCTCCGCCCATTCTCCCGCTTGAATTTACACCCACCCCCTCCCGTCGCCGGCGGCATCGAACTCTTCGCCGGCGCAGCAGCGGAACTCGATGAAGTCTTTGGCTTCGTCTTCTCAGGCTCCGGCGCAGCTCCCGGCTGCGGGTCCGGCGTACTATTATCCCCATCTCCATCCCCATCACCAGCAGCGGCTTTCTTCTGCGGCGTAGGCGCGGGACTCGGCTTCGGCGTCGCCGATGAAGTATCCCCTCCCCCTGGCTTTAACTCAGGAATATTGAAGGGGAAGCACGGATGCCACGGTACATCAAACGGCTTATTCCACAGCGACTTCGACCACTTCGGCAATTTCGTGTCTGCGTCCTCGCCCCACGCGGCATCTACCTCCGCATCTACGGAAATCACGGCTTGCAGGGCTAAATCGACGCCCGTCTCGGTTTTCTTCTTGTCGTCAGGGCACGCGCCCCCAGGCTTATACTTTGTGGTAACAGTGGCGGACAGTTCGGGCAATTTCATCGCAACGCCAACTTCTGCTTTGCCGACTTTCGTCAAGTCGATACCGAATGAGATTTTCGGTTTCGAGAAAACGGCGATTTTGAGCGAGGCAGAGATCTCGTTGATGTCGAAATAGGGGTCTACGGCGCCATCGAAGCCAGTGGCGGAACTATCGCCATCACCTGCGATATTGAGGACTGCTTTTGCGGTGTTAGGGAGTGTGCTTTTCAGCCCGAAATCAAATTTAGCGGTGCCGGCGATGGAGGCGTTGAAGCCGACATTGTAGGATATTTTGGCGCCGAGGGTGAAGAGGCCAGGGACTTTGATACCAGCGTCCGGGATGGCGGCGGAGAAAATCTCTTTCTGATATCCGAGGGTTTGGGAGAGTTTCTTTGTGGTGGCCGTGACGGAGGCTTCCAAGCCGAGCTGGGCGTTGAAGTTTTGGGGGGAGGCGTCAAGACTGAGGTCTTCGAGGTGCCAGCCTTTGACGGAGAGGTGGCCGGTTACTTGGAAGCTGCCTTGGACATAACAATTAACGCAGTCGAGTGAGAAGCGGCCCTCAGGGTCTTCCCAGATGTTGTGTTTTTCGTTTGGGCTGAGCATATTGACGGGGAAGGAAACGCTTTTGCTGAAGTCAGCGTTGCCTTGTACTGTGTCTGCGATGCCGTCGCCGACTTTCTCGACGCCGTCTTTGACGTCTTCGGCTACGTCGCCAATAGTATCCTTAACATCATCAAGCCAATCGCCAATGCCCCTGTGCTTTAATTTTGAGTTTTTGGTAGGGTATACCTTGCCAAAATCAAGATCATAAGTCCCAGCGACGTCTTCCCATGGAGCAGGCTGAGCGGCTAGAAAGGTTGTCCAGCTGTCGGTTTTCTCTGTGATTTTGCTGATGATGTAAGGCTGTCTTTCATCATCAGGTCCGCACCCGGCATGGTTAGCGATCATCAGAAACCTGTGGTCCTCATGATCATTGATAGTCGACCAGGTTTTCAAGGCATAGTTGAAGGCGTCTTGAGACTTAAAGGTCAATGACAGGGTGCCGTCGTTTCCTTGGCAATCAACGGCCGAAGTCAAGCCTTCAAACCTCTCCATCATGACTATTTGCAATCCATCCGGGGCAAATAGAGTCATGTTAGCAAACAACACCTGACCATGTTCTGGATTGGGTCAGTATGGTTTTGAGGCTCATGATAGGGTTGCTTACCGCCAGGACTGCCATATACTAATTGCGACTGCGTTTGAAAGTCTAGATCCGTGAACTGTTCGGAGTCGTCTCGCCGTCGGAGCCCAGTCATCCTTTCGAATTGGTTGATGTTTACCGGCAACAACTTAGTGGGCCCGCTTGCCATTGCTTGAAAGATTGTGGCAGGCAAAGCCGTGCAGAGTGAAGTCACAGCGATAGCCACGATCAGCCTCATAGTCGACTCAAAGGCCATGGTGAACGTCGCTGCAAAATGGAAGCAATTTGATGATCAGTGTAAGTCAAGGCTTCACGGGACCTAGTTGTCTGCGTGGAGGAGGCTTTTATCATTGGAAAAGAGAGAGCGACTATGTAACATAAAGAGACCAAAAGAATGTGGATGCCACAAGGCAAACGAATTGCTCGGCAGCTTACAGCTGAAGCCAGCTGCAGCAATTGTGCCTTGTGCAGCAAGAGTTGGCGAGATGATCCCTTGGCAGGACGTTGATCAGCGGAATCATACAGCTGGTCGTACGACCTCCTGCGTTCTTTGGAGTTAATCGGTAGATTTGATGAGGCCAATTCCCAATATAGGAATCTTGCACGCTGCTCTGCCGCAGCACATGACTTCATATTGGGCGGAATGAGAGAGATGAGAGGGGGAAAAGGCTGACAGGTGTGACCGCAACGGCAGGCGCTGGCGGAGATATTCCTGACATGTTTCTATAGCTATCACCAACATCGCTAGCGGATTGTCGGTGCTGAAGTGATGATTGGTACGGGCGACATTAAGGATGGGGGCGGACGCAAGTCAGCGCATCTTGGCATCTACGGCGTGGTTTCACGACAAATGATCGACAGGAACCTCCTCCTTTCTCTTGCATAGTCGAGATTAGCTGGCTTGGCGGTCATCATTCGACAATAATGTAGGCACGCGACCCGTTTTCAACGTTGTATCAACTCGCTTTTCTTGCAGGAAGAGAACCCCATGGTCTGTGGACCCTGATGAACGTAGGCTCAAGGCTCTCTGGCTCAGCAACGGTCCGTACAATTGCAGTATAGCAGAGGCTTTTTGGGAAACTTTGTACACGCATAGCATAATTATGATCAGAAAAAGGACAGAGGGATGTGGTAAGGTGAAACAACTTAGCTTGACTCAAGCTCAGCGTATGAATTCTTAGCCCATGTTCCAGAACCATATTTTTTATAAAGAGGTTACAGAGATGCGCCAAGTGTTCTATTCCACTTGAGCCCATTCATTTTGGGGGCGTCGAAGCTCATCCCCCCTAAACAGTGTGAAGCAGGTTCCTTAGAATGAGGAGGCATACACTAATCACCCAAAAATATTACTGCTCACTTAGGGAAATAATCTCAGGACTCACTCAGAGGACCGAATTAGCGAGTTCAATTGCGACAGCTATCGTGCATCATGCGGGTCTTCAGAATCATATTGCCACAAATATGAACGGTCATGTAGCTCAGGCCTCGTAGTTGAATATCACTCAGGGTTGCGAATGGTTGTCCCCAAAGAGCTCTTTTTGACGACGCGCTCATATTCACTCCATTCTTCACAAAGCCATGGACCTTAGGACTCTCAAGGGCACTTAGTTGATTCTTGGTCCTTTTGGCCTGGCCTGACTCTCCACATTCAAGTGCATACGCGTATGTGAGAAGGCATGGAAGGTCGTGTAAGTGAGGACAAGATGCCTCAGAGCTTGTTGCCCCTAAAGACAGCCCCTAAAACAGACTTCCCACAGGCCGCTCCCGGACCCTTGATTGCCCCCCAGACTTCCATCCCAACCCGAAGGCTCCGCATGTCATATCTGTAACCTTGGGCACGGATATCAAATGCTGAGGCATGTTTGTCGGAGCTTCGCATTTGCCCAATGACCTCAACATGGGACCAGCGTGATCTGCATCACAATTGAAAGCGAGGCAGACTCCCACTATTGTAAAGAGAGTGCCGGACCCTGGCTGCTGCCTGCTCTCCCACGCTAGAAATGAGGGGTCAAAGATCAGCGCCGTAGTACGACGAGACAGCTATGCAGGTCGGAGGAACATCTTTCACTTACACAATTCGCCCGTTCGTGATCGAAAGCAAGATGCTGCACCGCGCTCGCCTGAATAGCGTCAAAGGGTGAACTGTCTGTCCGAATAACGTGCGAATGGGTCAATATTTCTGCGTGAGGAAGCACATGATCGCGCGATGAGGGGCTCCTCGACGCGTCCATCTGGATATATAATCCCATCCAGATAGCCCATTGTCTTCTGCTCTCCAAAATTCACCTTCCTACAAACCATTTCACCATCAAGGACCAAAGCCTACCCAACCCTACCCATCCTGCCCCCTTTCCATCTCATAGCAAGCAAACATGCCCCGCTTCATCTTCCTCCTCCGTGCAAACAAAGACGCCGAATCCGGCGTCCTTCCCCAACCTCCCGTCTTCGGACTAATGCACGCCTACAACGAATCCCTGAAGTCGGCGGGCATCCTCCTCTCCGCCGAAGGACTCTTCGAGTCTTCAAAGGGCGCCCGCCTCTCTTTCCCCAAGAACGAGAAATCCCCAGACGAGCCTACGCCCAAGGAGGATATTAAGGTGACGAATGGACCTTTTGGGTATGACGGGGAGAACAGGTTGGTGTGTGGGTATTGGTTGATCCAGCTAAAGGAGGGAGAGGGGTTGAAAGAAGCGGTGGAGTGGGCCAAAAAGGCGCCCTTGTGGGATACCGAGGCGGAGGTTAGGCAGGTGCATGAGTTGGAGGATTTGGAGGGTGTGATGCCGGAGGATGTGAGGAAGGAGGAGGGGAAGTGGAGGGAGGAGTTGGGAGAGAAGCAGTGGGTGAAATAGGGGGTTGTACCGGTAGGGAAAAGGGGGCTTTGAGTTCTGGCGTTTTCTCCACTCTCGGAATCTTTACTCTTCATATAGCTCCTATGAAAATACATGGTTCGTCTTTTGTTCTGTCTCGCGTTCAATCCTGGCATGCTTGGGCTATTTTCAGAGCGAGAACATCAGTGCAAACGTCGCTACATCGCAGCCCACGAGCATACTCGCCCAACACATTGACTTGGCGGGAGCTGACGCGTTGTTGTCTGAGGTTCAGATTGAAGTTGAAGTGGATCATGTCGAAGATCCCGAAGTTGCGGTGGATATGCAAAGGGTAAATCCTCCTCCATAGGTGCTAAATGGGCTTATGTACGCGCACTTCGAAATCGATATGAGGCAGGTTAGCCGAAGCATCATCTGTGGAGGAACCCATTTCCCATAGAGCTTTAGCATACACTGATAGAGTAGATCGAGCTTCCCAGAAAAATTGTGGCAATAAGACACGCAACATATGTTGGAGGCGCTATTCAATCAATGGTGACAACTTGTACTGGAGCGATGCTGGCAGTAACACCCCTAATCTCAATCTCTGCGGTCCACATTTGGCGAACGCCAGCATTGCTTGGCTTAGCATCTGCATGGAAGACTAGCTGGGTCCCGCTTTGTGCGACGGTCGCCCCTCCAGGCGAGTTCAAGGCACCATTGTCATCACCACTAAGCAGCAGAGGCCTTGGGGTCTTGGTGTATGGGCCTGTAACCAAATCCGCGGTAGCGTATGAGACATCGTAATTTGGCCCGTTGAAACACTGGCTACTAAAGAACAGCACATACGTCCCTTCGCTGCTCCGCACCAGGCTTGGCGCCTCAATGAGAGGTCCATCGGAGTCGCCTCGTTCGAGTATCTGTACAGCGCTACCTGTGGGAGTGACACCATCTGCTTCAACTGCCTGCAGCATGATGGCAGTCGAGAATTGTCCATTACCATTGCCGCAGCCACCACCACCGCCTAGAGAGTTACCATCGAGTTTGTACGCAACATAACGAGAGCCGTCGGTGTCCAGGAAGCCAGCGGGATCAATTGCGCCTCCTTGTTTGAGAGGACATGCGAATATTATGTCGTTAGGCGTGTACGGTCCCTCTACATTGGACGAGGTAGCTGTCCCAACGCAATGTTTTGATGGATCTTGGGAGGTTGTGGCGGCAAAATAGAGAACAAAAGTGCCATCGGCAACTTGAACGACGTCTGGAGCCCACACGTTACCGGTAGCCCAAGATGGCAATTTCGGCAGAGCCTACAAATCAGAGATTCAGCGGATACGGACAAGTGTGGAGGAGTGAAGAGGAGCTGTTACTGACATCTGTACCGGTCACAGTCCAGCTTTTGAAATCTGGAGACGTAGCGGTAGGTATGTGTAGGCCGCCACTGTTGGTCGAGAAGGAATAGTATATGCCGTCGACGGTGATGAGCGCTGGATCGGGAAAGTTTGAGGGTATCACGGGGCCATTAGAGAGTTCTCTTTGCTCAAGGTTGGGCCACGGTAATGGAGTCTGTAGGGTGGTTAGAATCAGGGCAAAGATGGCTAACAATTCTAAGTAGAGCATTGTAGAGGTAATCTACGGACCTGGACGACCTACAAGTGCTCCTGATGCCTTGAGCCAGGCTTTATATGTAACACTCTCTGGTCAAGGGCCCCTCTCAGACGCAGGTAATTGCATCAAGGAGCCATTCGCTATCTTGGGAAGATTGGAAGCTGTGCGGCGGGGTCGAATCCCACATCGTACAGGATGCGTTGCGACACAAATATTAGAATGACAGCTTTCGTAGTCATTTATAGTTCACAGCGTCCAGACTAGGCAGCTACAATGAGCGATTCGTGTGGGGAAAGCTTAAGGTTCACGCCAACATGACTGATGAAGCTCATGGTAAAAGCCATTGAGATTGTGGCACTGAGCTAATTGAGTGATTAAGATGATCAGGCACGCACATTGTGACTTGACAGCGAAAATCTCACTACATTCAACATGGGCCGAACCAATCTCAAGCTTTGTTGTCCTGTTATTCGTCCTTTAGATGGAGATGAAAAGCATAATACTTGCGAGGTCAGCTTCTCTTTCAAACACGCGAAAATCACAAAGATTCGAAGTCCTGACAGTGCATTGGGGTACATCGATATGACCGCAAGATATTCCGTTAAAAAAGCCTTCGTGCCAGGGTGACGTGGGGCAGGTCGTAGTGCAAGGTTGAATTAATCTTACTTGCGGTCAAAGATCATCGCAATTGGTTTAGGCTCTTCAATCTATGCATGCCATCTGCAGTCTTTGAGTATGCTCTTTCCCTGCTCCGGAGAAGACTTGCCGGACGACCGTTCTCTCGTAAGATTTGAAGCAAACGGTCCTTGCAGGATTCTGGCTTGCGGTTTGGACACACTCGTGCATAGCAATGGACAAGCTTAGATCAACTTTTTGCGTCTTCGAATCGATGTTGCTTTATCCTGTGGGCACATGTGGCCGTCTTCGAAAGTACAAAACGGCTTCTGTACGAAACCAGGGGACGATTCTTTATGCACGGACCTACGTCGCATCCCCACTGAGGGGCCTGAATGGTCTAGACTCGGCCATGCATATTGAGATTGTCACGACGTGCAGCGCATATAGGCGACAGCAAATGCTGATGATGCGAATCAATGCTGGGGTGTAGAAAAGATTTGGGGGGAAAGAAGCAAGTCGGATACGATGGTGTGCCAGAGCCGGTCCTATCATTATGTCCTGTCAATAAGATAAAAGCGCACTTGTATGACGACGGCATTGAAGATCGGCAGATTAGTCTCTATACCCCATGTCGTCGCTTGCAGCGATGCATTGTTCAGTCAGCAGCGTTGTCGACAGTCTGCCACGTGATACCCTGCAGAAAAGCGTTTGCGATGGACTCGGAGAATTTTCGAAGCGCGGCACATTCAGCTATCGATGAAATAATTGACTACTTCGATTCGGTCCAAGATTTGCCTGTGCTTTCAGAAGTCAAACCTGGATACTTGAAGCCTTTGCTCCCAGATGGGCCTCCTCACGAGGGGGAAGCTTGGGCCGATGTCCAACGAGATATTGGATCCAAGATAATGCCAGGCCTCACGCACTGGCAATCTCCCAATTTCATGGCCTGGTTCCCAACTGCCGTAACCTATCCTTCCATACTAGGAGAGCTCTATTCAGCTGCGTTGTCGGCTCCAGGTTTCAATTGGCAATGCTCGCCTGCTATGACTGAATTGGAGACCATCGTACTCGATTGGATGGCGAAACTTTTACACCTGCCTGATTGCTTCCAAAGCAGCGAAAAGGGCGGGGGTGTCATTCAAGGCAGTGCCAGTGAAGCTGTCGTTACGGTCATGGTTGCAGCAAGGGAGCGATATATCAACAGGGCCTGTAGCAACTTAGTGGGTGAAGAGAAATGTTGTAGAGAGACGTACTTGAGAAATCATCTAGTTGCGCTTGGAAGCGAGCAAAGCCACAGTAGCACGGCCAAAGCGGCCATCATAGCCGGCGTCAAATACAAGGCCATTCATACCGAGCTAGATGACAGCCTTGCCGTCACTGGGACTTCGTTTCAGCGCATGTTAGAAGAGTGTAAACAAGAGGGTCTTGAACCCTTCTTCATAACCGCCAGTATCGGGACGACTCCAACGTGCGCTGTGGATGACATATCAGCTATAGGCACCATCAATGAGGCGATATCCACCGATAATGCACTTTGGATCCACATAGATGCTGCATGGGCTGGCTCTGCCCTGGTTCTTGAAGAATATGCGCACCTCACGAAAGACTTCGAGCTTGTCGATAGTTTCGACATGAACATGCATAAATGGCTCTTGGTCAACTTCGATTCATCCTGCCTGTTCGTGAAGGATAGAAGGGACCTAACGAACGTTCTTTCTTTGACTCCTTCTTACCTACGTACTGAATACACCGGTCTTGTGACTGACTATCGTGACTGGCAAATTCCACTTGGTCGTAGATTTCGATCGTTAAAGATATGGTTCGTCCTTCGCACGTATGGAGTCAACGGCTTGAAAGCGCACGTAAGGAGGCATATCGAACTAGCAGAACGTTTCGCGGACTGGCTTCGAGGGAGACCTGACTTATTCAATATCGTCGTGCCGCCTGCATTCGCGCTGACAGTCTTTACTATTGTGACCCCAGTTCTGATGCAGGGATCTCATGGTGATACACCAAACGGGACCACGGACACACGTGTCGCTGAAGGTTTACGGTCCGCTGATGCGGTCCCCGCCACAAGCTATAGATTGCGGGAAATGGCAAATGATCTGACCAAAGAAGTCTATCAGCGCATAAATGAGTCCAGGAAGCTCTTTCTGACCAGTGGCGTGGTGAATGGCATCTATGCCATCAGGCTAGTCAGCGCCAATGAACACACGAATGAGGCGAGTATGCGTTCCGCATTTGATCTGATTGTGAAGATCACAGAAGAAGTCGTGAATCCTTCCGAATGATCTCGCAGTGAAGCGCTATTTTCCACCAATAGAGGCTGGATAAGTCGCACACCTTCATGTGCTCCCTGCACAACATTCCATCAGCTCTGCCAGCAATGTGTAGTCATACTGATGATGGGTGAAGAAATCGACTAACCATATGGGTTAATCCTTGCGACAACAATTATCCGCTTGGCTCGCTTTCTTCGACGCTTATTGCGCTTATGCAACGGAGATCATTCCTGGTATTTTGCCGCATGACAGGATTTCAGATTGGCTTATCACAAGCTTCAATGTGCAGCTTTGATGCCAAGCCGAAGTCTCAGTGAAGTATTTGTACCAGTCTTCACCGGCATGGCCATCGGATATGAATAGAGCAAGAGTCATCAATCATAGAACTCGTGATATGAGCTCGATCAAGATCATTCTTTGGGGAAGTCGCTTGCTGAGAGAACGAGTACATTCATTTGTAGAGATATTTTCATCCGAATCGAAGAGACAATGGTGAATCGTGGTGCGAGCAAAGGATGTTTCAAATGCAGAGCTCGCAAAGTCAAGGTTCGCAAACCAAAAAACAGAGGTCGTCTTCGTTGTTCAAAGCTAAAACTTTCCCTTCTGATTAGTGTGACGAAGCCAAGCCTAAGTGCAAAAGATGCTTGAGAGCGGGAGTGAATTGCACTGGCTACCAGGTCTTCCACCCACCTCGTGGACCCAAAGAGCAATCTTCTGCCGATCGCGACCATCGTAATGAACCATCTACCAGAGCGTTTTGTGAAATCAAAGGACTCTCTGACCTCGGCCGTTACAATATCTCCAATCTATTCGCCTTGACCGAGAGCTCGGAAAATCAGGCGATCTGCTACTATTTCGAGCATTTTACACCGCGTATCAATGGCTATTGGACAGACCTACTACCCACCATTTACGCGAAAGAACTGTCCAGCTCGCTACTTAATGTAGCCACCTTGTCCATGGCGTACAGTTTTATCTCCCTTGAGCCTGGGTTTGATCATTTCAAGACACTAGCGATATCTGAGTATCAACGGTCACTCAAGCTCGTGAAGTCTCTTGTTGACAAACCAAAAGTGGCACATGAGGATTCATTCTTGATGGCAATGCTCATACTTGGAATATGGGAGGTTGGTTCCTCAACAATTCTCACTGAGCCATTGCATGCTTATTCAAATAGCATTCTCGATCGATCGCCCTAGAATCGTGTAACAGAAGCATTCATCTCCAAGGCATCGTGGCTGTCTTGAGAAATCGACCTTTGCGATCATTCAATTCAACACTGTCGCGCCGGTTGCTGATGAGCGTGTACGCAGGTTTGGTTAGTGAACCATCATGAGGCAAGCACCATCTTCAAGCATCTGACCATGTCTTAGGTATATTTAAGCTCGAGGACTGACAGCACAGTATTTTCCACTAGTAGTGCAAATGCAATGACCGAGAACGATTCGATACCGTCCCCGTTTTCCCTTGACCTGATTTCATCTTATATCGACAGCGTTTCATCCCAATATCCCACGATCAATGCTGAAATGGATGATTACTATTTATTGGCAAGGCAAATCACGTGTCTTGGAGGTCTACTTTTGAGAGCCCGAGACCTTCTTGAGGGTCCTGAAGCAGCAAATGTGTCGCGCGAACATATAATCAACCTCTACCATGAAGCAAGAGGCTTTGATCTAGAGATACAGCGGTGGCCGTCGCTGCGTTCCGACAGACGTCCTCGCAGGTCTCTTCGTCTTGACAAGGGTCATATACCATTTGACGAAGCAGTATACCCAACAAGAATCGATATATACGCAAGTATTTCCCAAGCGGCTTCTTGCTGTGCCTGGCGGCTAGCCCGCGTTAAGGTCCTAGAAGTGCTCATCGCAATCACACCCCACCTCAACTTGTATGCGGCTGCGGGTGAGGAGGAAGTCTTCCGTCGAGAGCTAAGTGACTATGAGGGGATCATGAGAGAATACATAGACGACATTTGCGCGGCTGTACCATACTTCCTTTGCCCCATTGCACCAGAGAGCATCGCCAAATCTTACCCACACCCACCTGGACAGTCCTATATGCCAGAAATATCGGGCCTGGATCTAGTCAGTGGGATGTCACAAATGAACCTTGTGGTCTTCCATGCATCTTTGTGTGAATGCGCTCCACGAAGCCAGCGACAGTGGCTGCAGCCATACCTCACCCTACTTTCAAGGGATACCAGAGATAAAGAAATAGCAACTCGGCTACAACCTAACATAGACGTGGTTGAGAAAGCGGATGCTGCACGCTTTGTAGCTGCTCTGTCGGGACCATATTGTAAGGCAGATTAAGTACTACAGTATTGCACTTGATGGGGTCAGATGGTCAGCCCTCGGTTGGGGCGACCGATAGGTCAGACTGCGCCCCATCTTCTCCGTGATCGCCGCTGATAATTTTAGAATTATCAGGTTCACGGTCGTTGTCTGGTCGGACCTTTACGTGTTGCTTATGCACAGTAAGCTTCGCGGGTGGTACCATAGCACCCTTGGCGTCCACCCCAGACGACCTCCCATAGCATAGATTGGTGGAGCTATGGAGCACGGTCATGAATCTGGCTCGCTTTGTTCCCAGCTTCCTACACCATGTAAGCTGAGTATCATCACCAACGACGTGCAGTCCACTCATTTGAATTTCCATTGACGTCAACCTTCGTATACCTCAGCTCGCCAAGAACGTTTCACCATGTACAAATATCTGCTCTACCCCGTCGAACACACCTCATACGACCACAAGCGTTTGACAAACGACTAGGTTTTAACGCGACTGGACTTTACTTACTCTCACCCACAAAAGAGCCTTCAGAACAAATATCATGCAGCTCACTACCACAATCACCATTTTCACTCTCGTCCTGACCGCCCTATCTCAAGATCCATACCCAACACCAGCGCCCACAACGACACTCACAGCCTCAACATGTACACCTTTCTCCGCCCCTGCAGGCGCATGTCCAGAAACATATGACCCCTGCTGCGCGTACAACTGCGCTGAAGCACAAGTGCCCTTCAAAATCTGCCAACGCACGGAGCAGACCTTCCTTGCCGAATGCACGGCTTGCCCGAGTCCTGCTTAGAGATGTCAGTCAACAGCTAAAGCCAAGGTGGACAGTTCGGCGTTCAAGCAAAGTGGCTTCAGAGGGAGGGAACGAAGGCAATGCGGTGTTCGTTGACGGGAAATGGTTTCCTTACTGGAACAAAGTGTTGGTTGGTCATGTCTGCTTGGAATCGTGAAATGACAGACTTCTGAACATCGCCTCAAATGACTTTCTCACTTTTCATTTATCTTCTACCAAAACAAGATAGATTACTTTTCGATTTCACACTCTCTTGTATAAACAGCAACATTGTTGATTTCAAGGGGTAAATATTGCAACTCCACTTCCACAAGAAATGCATTTGCACCTGGGCCATTATCTCAGATATTCTCTCGCGGCATCTCAAGATGTTATGTACTTATAGAGGCTCCAAAATAGAGTCGCTACAAGATAGCAGTAGCCCGGCAAGTCTAATGTTGTTGCTGTTCGCTCGCGATGAGAAAGACCGAAAAGCAGTTGCGAAACAAAAATGTAGCAAAAACACCCAAAAAATCTGTTTCCTGATAGACCATTTTGGAGGCCTCGCCAAAGGCTGAGATCCTTGCTACGCCATGAGAATTGGAACAATTGTAGACAGGACTGATGTGGGAGAAATGCCAGAATGGAATTGCAATGTAGAGTAAAAAAAGTTCTCCTTGACCTTGATCAAATTCGAAAGGATGGTAGTACAATCAAGCGCTACAACATTGCCCTAATTTACCCATATCCGTCGCCTTGGTCGAAGCATTGTCGCCCCTCTCCGTTTCGGAATGGAAGCGTAGCTCTGGAATACACGAAGCATCAGCAATGGCAACCAAAATCGAGCAAAACGACGTCATCATTCAAGGCTGCCCAAATACAATAGAAAACATACTGAACTCCTTTCCTCCGGCGTGAGATTCTCCCTGGACGATATTCTCGCGCAAAAGCCGAGCCACTTCACGCGCTTCTGCGACCTTTTCGCTGGTCTCGGGATCTTCGGGACTGAGGTGCCTGTTGCTACTGAACTTGGAATGGAGTTCTTTAATCGCTGCCGAATAGACTCTTGCGTCACCTTTGAGAATATCAGTACATATATGCATAATTGTCAATTGTCGGGATCTTGAAGAGAGGTGTCATACCTTGGAATGCTGTACGTGCTGCACGTATGACAGAGCGATATGCTTCAAGGGCCATTGGACGATATGTCGAGAAAAATGTCAATCTCTAGCATGAAATGTCAGGAAGACGTGGCGGCCTGGCCCGGCGCTTTGAGGCACTATTGAGCCGGACAGGTGCGCAGCTCTGATCACATAACAGCAGTTCTGAAACTGAATTTTTGAACTATTTCGACGTCGCACTGCAAAAAAAAGTTTTGCAGTCCTCAAGTCTCAATCCTCACAGCAATAGATTATCCAACAACGTTTTCCTTTCAGCAATGTCAACTCAAGTGATGCTTCCACTGCCCGTTCTACCACCAGAATGGAAAGCGGAGAAAGACTTCTTGTCCAAAGGCTCTCTCTCAACCCCCATACAAAGAAACATAGAGCCGGTTGGGCCTCATTTCCTGGCCCACGCTCGAAGGGTATGCTACTATATCCTCCTTGTTTTCAAATTCTACTGAGAATGTATATGACAGTTGCGCCATCGACGAACTTTCTCCGAAGATGAGAGGATCCAAGCCCAAGAGAAAGCCCAGCGGACGGAGCAAGATTCAGATGCAGACATCAGTGAACCTGAGGACCCTGTTATGCTGTCTCGGGACGCGAAAGACTGGAAAGTGAGTCTGCTAAGACGATACCCGACGACCACCATTGACCATTTCAGGGACAAGACCATTATGCAGTTCTCGGGCTTTCAAATTTCAGGTGGCAGGCCAACGAGGCGCAGATAAAACGTGCGCACCGGAAGAAAGTTCTTCGCCATCATCCAGACAAGAAGGCAGCTGCAGGTTCCTCCGAGGATGATTCATTCTTCAAATGCATTCAAAAGGCTACGGAAGTACTCCTCGACCCAGTAAAGCGCCGCCAATTCGACTCGGTTGATGAAGAAGCCGACGTACCTCTCCCATCTAAGAAGCAATTACAGAAGGGCAATTTCTACAAGCTCTGGAATCCAGTCTTCGACAGCGAGGCCCGGTTTACCAAAAGTCCTCCCGCTCCCCATCTCGGCGACGAAAAATCGGCCAAGGAGGACGTCACAGAGTTCTACGACTACTGGTACAATTTCGATTCATGGCGATCCTTCGAGTATCAAGACGAGGACGTACCTGACGACAACGAAAACCGCGACCAGAAAAGGCACGTAGAAAGGAAGAACAACAACGCCCGAAAAAAGAAGAAGACAGAGGATACAGCTCGTCTTCGCAATCTCGTGGACCAATGCATAGCCGGCGACGAACGCATCAAGAAATTCCGACAGGAAGAAAAGGCCGACAAGAACAAGAAACGTTTGGACCGAGAGACTGCGGAGAAGAAAGCAATAGAAGACAAGAAGAAGGCTGCAGAGGAGCAGGAACGAATGAAGAAAGAATCCGAAGAGACTGCTAAAGCTGAAAGAGCAGAGGGCAAGAAAGCGAAAGAAGCCGCGAAGAATGCGGTCAAGAAGAACAAGCGGGTCTTGAAGGGCAGTGTGAAAGATGCGAATTACCTCCTGCCCGCGGGAGCGAAAGCAGACACGAAGCAGATCGATGGTGTGTCTTTGGATATAGAGATCGTGATGGGGAAGATGGAGCCAGAGGATATTGCAAACTTAGCTGGCAAATTGAGTGGGTTGAAAGTGGCGGAGGAAGTTGCGCCGTTGTGGCAGGAAGAGGTGAAGAGACTTAGAGAGGTTGGCAAGTTGAAGGAGGGAGATGCTAAGACTTTGGTTCCTTGAGAAGTGGTGCTTGACGATAGACAAAGCTTTGACCAACGCTGGCGAAAGTGACATAAGCGCCGAGGCGATTCGAATGATGCCGGGCAGCGACTATATAGAACGATAGAGTAAATGAAACTGAGGCCGTCATCAAAAACTTTAGGCAGAGAAAGATGCGCGCAATTTGCTTCCATGTTGAGGAATTCATCGATCCTTCATGATTGTCATCTATGCCATAAACCCATTGAATTACGTCCATGCCGCCCGAACGCCATGCTCAAACCAACCTCTCCTCTCGTCTCCTCACCTCTCCTCACCCACCCCCACAATCTTTCTCCCGATCTTAATTCCTCAAAGCCCTCAACCGCCCCTCCAACCCCTCCTCCCTCTCCTCCTCAGCCGTAATCTTCGACCCCGAACCCCCAACCACCAACCCCGTCTCGGGCGCCTTCATCTCCTGCTTCAGTTCCACCCCCGCCTCATCCGCCGTCATACTAATCAATTTATCGACATCATCTTGCGGCGTGCCGACTGCTGTGGCTGATGAGGTCGCGTTCTCGTAGTAGCCCGTCGCGACGTCGAGGTCTTCGAATTGGGTTTCGAATTTGTCCATTACTGCGGAGATCTGTGGGGAAGTGGGGGGTTAGTTTGGGTTTGTTGGAGAAGGGAAAGGGTGAGGGGGTGATTGGGAGTGAGGAGGGGGGGGAAGAGGGTGTGGGTGATGGCACAGGGGGAAGAGGAATGGGTAGGGCCGCACTTTTTCTAAATCCATAGCCTTCATCGCCGTATCCATCCCTCGTACTACGCCCGCCATGCTGCCCGTGACTTGCCGCATTGTCACTGCTGTTTGTACCCTGCTGGCTACAGCGTCTATTCTTGACCCTAGCCGGAGGAGGTTCAGCTTCTCGTTCTGTTTTCGGATGGCGTTCTGAGCGTAGATCTTGGCTATGTCGGCGTGGCCTTGGGTTATTGCCTGGAGCGAGGAGGATTAGCTCTGTTGCGCGGAGGAAAGGCTTGGTGATGGTGAGTTTCGTGCTCGTTGGGGAGACTGGGGTGATGGGAGAGGTAGACCTTTTTCAGCTTATTCTTCTCGGCCGATTCATCCTTCCCTGCTTTCTGTGCTTGTCGGTTCAGCTGTTTGGCTGTGAATTTGAGGTTGAAGAGGGATTTCTCGAGGCCGGACATTGCGATATATGGTATAGATCGGTGGGGAGGGATTTTCGTAAATTACTATATTCTGATTGTACAGGTAGATCCCAGGTTGTATTTGAAGCAGTGGAAGGTTTTTCGCTCACTGTTGGTTGTGACAATGCTGTCTCAAAATAGGCTTCAATGACATCGCCCGCCCACAACTCAGACTCAAGATCTGATAAGATAAGATCATGCTTCTAAATTTATTCTAGCTCGGCGTCCCACGATTTACAACCAGGCGTATCAATTTGGGCTAGCAAATCGACAGCGCTGGAAGTGAGTTTATAGATTAATCTTCCATCGTCGCAACCATCACAACCAAAATGCTTCCCTACATCACCCTCCTTCTCCTTTCGCTCCTCCCCTCGACCCTCCAAACCACACCACCTTCCCCCCAACAAACCGCCAGCATCTTCACCCACACCCCCAACAACCCGCCCTCCTTCTCCCCGCTGGCGACTCTCACCTATAATCCCTTCGACCCCTCAACCGCGCGCACCCTCTCCCTCACACCTCCAAAAAACACAACCGACCTCACCTCCATCGCCGTCTTCTCGCCGCCGCACACCTCGAAACCTTCCGCGAAGGGTACATTCAGGAGCAGCGTCACAGCAACCCGGGGATTTCATGCGCCATACAAAGGTCGTTTCACGGTGGTAGTTTCAGTGGATGGGGATGAAGTTTTGGGTGTGAGTTGGCGCTCTTGGCCGTCTAAAGAAGGTGGGAAGGGTAAAGGGAGTGACAAGGGAAAGGGAAAGGGGAAGGGAGGCAAAGGCGAGGTTGAGGGGAGAGGAGATTTCGATATCGTGGTGCAAGCGAGGGCGCCGGTGCCGGTGTTAGATTCGAAGGGTGGGAAAGGGCAGGTGAAGGCCACGGGGGCAGAGGGCGAGGAGGGCGAGGAGAAGGACGAGAGGAGTTTTATTCAGAAGTGAGTTCCTTTGCTACGGTGTTTTCTTTTGTTTTCGATTTGCCGCATTGCATTGGTGGCATGTGGTTGGGAATCTTGCTGACTGACTGTCATTCAGATACTGGTATCTGTTCGTAGGTGCGATGGTCATTACCTTAATCGCGCCGGGCGATAAATAAGGGAGAAATATTAGACCAGGAGAATGATACCAATCGTGTCACAATCAAAACGGCAAACGAGGGGTATACGCTTTCGACTCATGTTCTATCTTCCGCTTCTCAAGAATTCAATGGTTCCACTTATGAAACCCACAAGCCTTTGCAGCCTTCTTCTTTCTTCGTCCTGCACGCCTCTCCATTCTCGCAAAGCCGCTATAAGAGCTGGTTTCTCTTCTCCGGCTTCATCGCTTCCACCGGCTATCACGTCGCCGTGCAGCTTTAAAAAGACGTTCATCCATGCTTGTACCAGCTCAAAATCGCGTCTCTGCTTCAATCGCCACGTCAGTGCGTTAACGAAACCTGTCATTTCCGCCAAATCCAACGTGCGTATTGCAATGTCTGCAGCACTGGGTGATAGCTCTGACAGATGACTGATGAAGGCTTTGTAATCACCATCTTGGGTAGAGAATCGGAGAAGATTGGTGAAATCGCTCAAGGTGGTAGTGGCCACCTTGCTAATGCGAGAACGCTCAGCTGGTGTAAGTTGCTCGTCGAGGTTTTGGCCTGCAGGTTCGTTGATGGCTTTTTGCGGCTTAGAACTGTCAATGGAAGGTAAGAAGAAAGGGGCTTTCTCTGGCGCTTTTGGAGGTTCTTTGGGTTTGTTGCGAGCACGAACAAGATCGATGTTGACCAGAGTTTGCCAGCGTGATTTCGGCACCAAGCTAAGCGTGAGAAGTTCCGAAGCTAGGTCATCAACCGGTAATGGACCCGCGTCTATATCATTCTCGTCGTCTTCCTTTTCTTCATCATCGTCGAAGGCCGCTTCGATCAGTGCCTGACCTCCCTCTCCGGAGGAAGTCGGAGCTGTTGCTGGAAGAATCTCGTCATCTTTGATCGGGCGAGTTGGGACGTGGGTGAAAATGGTTCGATTATTCCAAATGTTTATGCCTACCGAATCGGCATGTGCTGTTGCGAGATATTCTCCAGTTTCAGAGAATGCGAGCGAAGTACAAGGGCTCTCGGTCTGAAATGCGTTTATCAGGTGGCCAGTAGGTAAGTCCCAGGTTCTTATGACGGAATCCATTGAAGCTGCGATGATCCACCTACCATCGTTCGAGAAGCAATGATCGCTTATCTGACCGAAGCAGCCCCAAAGCTCTCGGATTGTTTTCTTGGTCTCAATATCTACAACACGAATGGATAGGTCATCGCAAGCTGCTGCTATCAAATCATTATGTCGATGAAATTTTAGAGATGTTATGGAAGTCATTGGAGCCCAATTCAATTCTTCTTGGAGCAAGCCTTTCATAAAATCCCAAAACTTGATCTTGCCGTCGAGACTGCAGCTAATAACAGTGCGGTTCAGAGCATCAACCATGATCCCAGTAATAGCCTTGGTGTGCTTGCCTAGACCCGGAGGAAATTTTGTCGATCTATTCGTTGTATTAGTATCACCGTTGCCCAAGCCGGCTTTCAACTTCCTGGCTTGCGCAGGTGAGAGGGCGGCTGGGTATTTCTGTCTTAAGATGCCAGACTGCAAGTTGAACATGCTTATGCTGCCACCAGCAGACCCAATCAGAGCAAAGGTACCACAAGCCGTAATAGCAACAGTCGTGACCTCAGTCCCGTCGCCCGACTCAAAGGCCCACCGACCTGCTTTTTTCCGTCCCCAAAACCATGTCCTTGCAGTACTGTCTCCTTTGTGAGAAGTCACAATACTCTCCCAGCCTGTCATACTGATTGCTGAGGTATCGACGGGCGTCTTTTTCGACGTAGTGTTGGTCCACACGCTGCCGCCTCCTGCAGCTGCGCCCATGCCGCCATCTCGGTTCAATGAGCAAGCAATACTGGTGATTTCAGGAGCTTTCAGATCTTCCAGTGTACTCGAGACTCCGTTTTCCAAGCTTTTGCTAAGCGATCCCAATTTCTTCGCTTTACTGCGGACTTTACCTTGACTCAATTCCGTACTCTGTCCATCACGCCGAAGACTCCACCCCCATAAACTTTGATCTCGACCGGCACTCATAATCCACTTCCCTGAAGCGTCTGATCCCTCAGAATTTGAAGGCACAAAGCTTAATTTGGTGACAGGAGCAGCATGCCCGCCTCGGGAATGTAGGATGCGAGGTATAGGAGACAAGGCTTTGGCATCAAAGATCCATGACTTTAGAGTATTATCCATGCCACTTGTGATTATGACATCTTGGCCCGGCAAGAACTCGACGCGATTGATCCCACAATTATCTACCGAAGATGGTGGTAGATCATGTGCTCCACGCAAGATCCCCTTGACCCGTCCACCATCGTAGAGGTCCCAAAAAGTTACATCTCCACTGCCTTTACTAGCCGTAGCCATAAGTCCTGGCTTGCTGTCGTCACCACTTGCACCCAGGCCATCTGTGCGAAACGATATAGAGTCAATAGCTGAATTTCGGCCCGAGTTTGCATTCAATTTCAGAACCACCTTATCCTTGCCAATATCGTGGAGCAAGATTGAGCCATCTGCTCGCGCTATTGCAAGTATGGACAGGGCTGGGCTAGGCTCAAGAGCTGTCACTGCGCCAGAGACTGCAGCCGGGGGAGTATGGTATAAATCAATTTTCCAGTACTGATATTCCATACATCAACGGTTCCGTCACGCTTCCCAACAAGAAGTTTGTTGAGATACGTCGGCATGCTACACACATCGCCTGTGAGTGGGCTGCCAGCATCACCCTTGGTGCCAACCGGGGTGATTGTGGTGTAGTGCTCATAATTGTCCGCTTTCCACACCTCCAGTCGTCTCGAGCCGCAGCCAACGATCCATTGACCGAACACTACTATTTTCTTGATTGCTTCTGGAGTGCCTCCCACTGGCTCTAGTTCTCCCACTTTCTTCCCTCTCTTGAAAACCCATATACCAGCATCTTCCTCATCTTGGCCACCCCACGCGGCAAAGACTCTGTCTTTCCACGCACATGTTGCTGCGATCTCCGCAGGAGTCTGCGGGCGGGTCAGGAAGACAAGATTGAGGCCCCTCCGAAGATCGTATGTATGGAGACATCGGCCAACAGAGGTGGTAATCTGGAACGTTGTCTTCCCGAGAGGGAGGGATGTGAATGGAACGTGTGTAGAGCAGACCAAGCCGACAGTCTGCAGGAGGGCTTTTGTCAATCGAGATCATCGAAGCTGTAGCGGCAGGATCTTACTCTGAAGGGGACAAAAATTCGAGACGCGGACTTCGAACGTTGATCGCCATTCGTCAACTTGCGGCGCTTTACATCTCCACCATTTATTCCCTTTGACATCTTCTTGGGTCTCCCTCACGATGCATTTAGGTTCATAAGGACCATGTAGTGTTCACAAGGAGCTGCAGAGATGTCGTGGTGGGGCACGCCAGAGAAAAAGTATCTCTCGCGACTGCCCGCCGCTTGATGGGATGGGCAGACGTCACTCATCCCACGCAACCACAACGGTGATAGAATACCTCAAGACTGAGGCGAGATCAGTCAATCTTGTCCTCATTCGCAATAACCTCTGGCACTGCTTCGCATGTCAGACTATCGAGGGTCCTCTCCGCCCCGCCCCCGCCTGTTCAATGGCTCGCTGAAAAGGCGCACGTGCTCCTGCTCACACTCAACGGGCAGGAGGAACAGTCATGACATCTCAAGCTAGAGCGACGAGTCCAGAAGGCACATCTTCTGACATACAAGGGGAGGATGGCTCGCCTGAAGCGATCATGGACAAACGTACTCCGTCACAGCCGGCGACAAGAGGCAGGACGCAATCCCACTCTCTTCTCTCAGCATCCCCAAGGATTCCCACGATCGGTCGGAAAAGCAGATTCTCGGATCCGGATACGACAGGAACTGCAGCGGAGAGAGCTAGCATATCTATGCCACCTCCAACAAGGAAGCCTTCAAAGACCACAAAAACACGACCTGTGTCCTCTCTTGTGCCGAACTCAGTCCCGATCATAGATGGAACACAGGAGGGAGACGAGACCGCAAACGAAGCAGTCGGGATGTTAGGACTGCACAAGACTCCAAGCTCAGCGGACTCACATGTGAGCGCGCCTGAGATGTCTCAATCTGGCAGTCTAGACGTTGGGTTGAAATCACCGAGTGCAATCTCTACCTGGCCTGGCGACCGTCTATCACTCTCATCTTTACAGTCGCTCGGATCAGCCATCATCAATGGAATGGCAGGTCCTGCCAGTACTACAAGTGCGCCACTAAGTGCAACCAGCTCCCATGCAGGATCTATCAGCGGCGTTTCAGAGCAGCCAAGCGTTGCGCCTGCACCTGTTCCGATCTCACCTCCGCTAGGTTCTACAAAAGGAGAAGCCATGGCACCTTCTACAACAGCTACAGATCCAATTACTGTCATCGCCCACTCTGAAACAGTACATCATGTTCCGTCTATCCCGACAAAGGAGATTACACCACCTACACCAAACGCTACTGTCAGACACATGGACTCATGGAATACTGCTCCCACATCACGGCCGAGCGCCCCTCGAAGATCGCGGAGCAGACACCAAGGGCCTGCGGCCACAAGCACGGTAGCAAGCAGCGCTGCAAGTCCAAGTAACAGCGACCGCGTTCAGACGCCTTTTGGAAAAGTAGGAATCTGTGCGCTTGATGTGAAAGCTCGTAGTAAAGCTAGTAGGAATATTCTGACTCGTCTTTCTTCCAATGGTGAATTTGACGTTATGATATTCGGAGACAAGGTCATCCTAGATGAAGCCGTAGAAAATTGGCCAAAGTGCGACTTTCTCATCTCTTTCTTCTCTGATGGCTTTCCGTTAGACAAAGCCATAGCGTATCAACATCTGCGAAAACCATTTCTCGTCAATGACTTGCCGATGCAAAAGATACTCTGGGATCGACGCTTGTGTCTGCGAATTTTAGACAAGATAGGGGTGCCAACACCACAACGTGTCGAGATCAGTCGCGACGGAGGCCCTACTTTGGAGTCAGCGAAGCTCGCCGAGCACCTTTACAAGTTCAGTGGAGTCAGACTAGAAGGCCCTGCGGATGGGACCGGAGGTGGAATACCCAAACCGAAGCGGGTCGAAATGTCCGATGACGGGGATAGTATTGTTGTCGATGGTATGACCTTAAGAAAGCCGTTTGTGGAGAAGCCAGTGAGTGGAGAGGATCACAACATTCACATATATTTTCCTAGAGATCAGCATGGAGGTGGGGGACGTCGATTGTTTCGCAAGATAGGAAACAAAAGCTCCGAATGGGATGAGAATATGCGAACTCCACGATCCGTCACTGAGGAAGGAAGCAGCTACGTGTATGAGCAATTTCTCGATGTCGACAATGCGGAAGACATCAAAGCCTATACAGTGGGACCTGAATTCTGCCATGCTGAGACACGAACTTCTCCAGTCGTTGATGGTCTCGTAAGACGCAATACTCACGGCAAAGAGATACGCTATATTTGTAAGTTGAAGCCAGAGGAGCAAACGATCGCTCGACGCATTGCAAACGGCTTCGGACAGCGGGTCTGTGGTTTTGACATGTTACGAGTCAAGAATCAGAGCTTTGTAATTGATGTCAACGGTTGGAGTTTTGTGAAGGATAACAATGACTATTACGACAAATCTGCGAAGATACTGAAAGAGATGTTCCTCGCTGAAAAAAGAAAGAAGGACGGTATCGCTACGCCAATCGAGCTTGAACAGCCAGTGGACAAAGTTTCGATTGATAAGTCGGAGCCTGACAAGGCCTCGAATCATCGCAAAAATACTTTAGGTGGCCATCGGTCTGAATTTGTCAAGAAATTAATGAAGTCGCCCAGCATGTCCAAGCTCAGAGGGCATCATCATCAGGGAGGCGCCCATTCTCATGGTACGGCGTCGCCCGAGCCTGTCATGAATATGACACCATTATCTTCACCGCCTTCGATGGCGAATGAGAGCAAATTGAAGCTTCCTCAATTGCAGAGTTCTTCCTCTATCCAGCTTCCTCCTTCAGCGTTACCAAACATACATTCTACCGAATCGACAGAGGACTCTACCTCCCCCGAGATTCCCCAAATCCCTGCTCCAGAGCCCTCATCTAAACATGCTTGGAAGCTAAAAGGTATGGTATCAGTAATTCGACACGCGGATCGAACGCCAAAGCAGAAGTTGAAGTTCACTTTCCACACAAAACCTTTCGTTGACTTACTCAAGGGTCATCAAGAAGAGGTCCTTCTCAAAGGTGAACTCGCGCTGAATAGTGTCTCTGAAGCAGCCAAGACAGCAATGCAAGAAGGGATTGAAGACTTTGAGAGGTTGAAGCTACTACAGACTTCGCTCGCTCGGAAAGGGGCCTGGACTGGCACCAAGGTACAGATTAAGCCGATGTTTCGAAAACGACGGCCTGAAGAAATTAAGAAAATCAAGAGTGAGATTGCCGAGAGTGCTGGTACCGAAGCCCTTATAGCTGCAGAGCATCTTACAGAGGATCCTGTAGAGGTTGAAAAAACTGCCGACGGAGAGCACACACCACTTTCAAGGCCGCCAACCAGGAGCGACTCATTGGCGGGCACCACCCTATCCCGCTTCTCTGCAGCAGAAAATGACCTAATTCTTGACAAACTTCAATTAATCGTCAAATGGGGCGGTGAGCCAACACATTCTGCGCGCTACCAAGCCCAAGATCTGGGAGAGAACATGAGAGCGGATATCTTGTTGATGAATAAACAGGCCTTGGAGAACGTGCGAGTGTTCTCAAGCTCCGAGAGACGTGTGACTACAAGCGCTCAAATATGGGCAGCTTCTTTCCTCAATCAGAAAGAGGTCGACGATTCCACCATCAAGATTCGCAAGGACCTCTTGGATGATTCGAACGCTGCAAAGGACGTCATGGATAAGGTCAAGAAAGAATTAAAGCTGCTGCTGCGCGAAGGACATAGTGCGCCACCCCAATTTGCTTGGCCAGCCAATACTCCTGAACCGTCGGTCGTTGTTAGAAAAGTGGCAGAACTCATGGTGTTCCACCGAGAAGTCATGCGACAAAATTTCAAACGACTAGAAGGTGGTGCACTTAGTGCTTTGAACAAAGTCAGTGAGGGTGCGTCCGACGAGCCAAACTCTACAAGGTCTCAGTCTCAATCTCAGGGGCAAAACTCAGCGTCGATACAAGCGCGGTGGTGCTGCGGTGAAAATCCAGAGCTCTTCAAGGAACGTTGGGAGAAGCTCTTTTCCGAATTTTGCGATTCCGAAAAGATAGATCCCAGCAAGATTTCCGAACTGTACGACACCATGAAGTTCGATGCTCTACATAATCGACCTTTTCTTGAATGGGTCTTCACACCACCCGTAGGCATCAGCCTAGGGAGCGAGACCGAAGAAACAGAGGCACCAGCAAGCCCTCAACCCGAGTCGAAAACCCCATCGACTTCTCGTCCCCCTGCGCAACACGAGCGCAAAAACAGCGGCGGCGACAAGAGCATCGAGAAACCCATCGACAAATCCTCCAGCACGAACCTCGCCCAACGCATGGGCCTCCGCCGCAAATCAATGATGAACCACGCCCTACCCTCCCCACCCCCCTCCACAACCTCCGACCACCTCCAAGAATCCTACTTCAAGCTCTTCTCCGGCACAGGCCAATCGCGCGCTAAACAAGACATCCGCCTCTCCGCCCTCCGCGACCTCTACAAATACGCCAAAGTCCTCTTCGACTTCGTCTGCCCGCAAGAATACGGGATCTCGAACGACGAAAAACTCGAGATCGGCTTGCTCACCTCCTTACCTCTCCTCAAAGAAATCGTCAACGACCTCGAAGAAGTCCAAGCCTCCGAGGACGCTAAATCCTTCGTCTACTTCACCAAGGAATCACACATCTACACCCTGCTGAACTGCATCTTCGAAGGCGGCATCAAGACCAAGATCGAGCGGAATGCCATCCCTGAACTCGATTATCTCTCTAACATCACGTTCGAACTCTACGAATCAGAAGACCAAGACGAAGACGTGTATACGTACAGTATAAGGATAGGCGTGACGCCGGGCTGTCATACATTTGACCCATTAGATGTGCAGCTAGACAGTAAACACAGTATAGGCTGTGCGCCGCGTAGGAGTCTGACGGCGCATAGTGATTGGAAAGAGGTGATTGAGACGTTGAGGGCCAAGTTTCATACCGTCAAGTTGCCGAAGAGCTTTTTGGCTGTCAATGTTAGTGAGGGGCATGGGGAGGGTGAGGGGGGTGGGGGAAAGAGTACCAGTACTAGTGATACCGAGTGAGCGATGAATGGGCGGCGTGTTTGAGGTTTTGCGATTTTTATATCCTTGGTGGTGGGTTTTTTGCTGGGTTCTGTTCTGGAGTCTACGCGGCGTTTTGACCTCCTTCGTAGGGGATATACAGTCTTAGTTTCATTATCATGACTCATGATCATTGGGCATCAAGTGTTCGAATGGTTACAAGAGTGGTACATGGTCTAGCGCTTCCTATAGTTGAGTGATACGTCGTCACTATTCGATACCTATAATGTTTGCCGAAATTATCATTATGCAACACCCTCTGGTGCCTTCGTTATGCTGTATATTTAACACACAAGTTTCTCTTTTCCATTGCTTCCAGCCAGATACTATATACATGCCCAGCCCTTTTAGTTTATATCAGCCACCTCAATCCTTGCCGTACACCCTTTTCTGCCCTCTCTCTCGTTCCCTTCCCCATAGTCAACCCCTTCTATTCATTCAAGCTTTAATTATCGCCCACTCAGCCACGGAGCTCCCCGTGGCATTGGTGGCATCATCCCCCGCATTCCCCTGCACTCTCAACGTCGCGTACTTCCCACTATACACCGCCTCATCCAGCGTAACGCTCGTAGTGTTGCTCTTATACTTCTGCACAACATTCACATCCTCAGCATTAAACGGCACCGTCACCTCCACGTTATCCGTAGAGTAAACCTCAGTCCCATCCGCGTCGGATTCATTGTGGAAATTCACGCTGAAGGAAGTCGGGGGGTTAGCGGCCCAATCGAATTCGAAGCCCTTGACTAATTGGAATGGGACGGTGGCTAGATTGAGGGTGAGGCTTTGTGTGGTGTTGGCTGCGTTGGGCTGCCATTTCGTGCTACCAGCGCCATCGGTCGCAGATATGGGAAATTGGCCGGGTTGGAAATCGTCAAGCGAAGAGGCAGGGGCGCATTGCGCGATGTTACCCTCGACGGTGGTGTTCATGGAAGCTTGACGGTTTGATATGTAGATTGGAGTGCCATCTACAGCAAGGGAGTAGTCAATAATAGGGGTGGCCCAGTTTCCGGACATCACTGGGATGGAGTTATTCAGGAATGTTGAGTTGGCTGTTGATAGTGGGCTAGGGGAGGAGGGGCGAGAGAGTGTGGTATGCGTTTGGTTTGCAACAGCGACAATCGGGTGACCGTGGAAATAGAAGGTCCGATAGCGGAGATTTGGGATCTGTGGTGGAAGAGATGGATCGATATGAAGCGTGAAGTCTGGCGTGAGCCGGAGACCAAGATAGCCAAAGATAGCAACTTGATTTGCGCCGCCGTGGCCGGTGAGGAAAGGGTAGGCAGGGTGGGTGCCGCCATTGGTCGTGAAGTCATCGATCAGTTGCTCGGAGAATTGGAACCAGGGGGCGCGCGCATAGGGCTGGGATGAGTATTGTTGGTAGGTATAGGCTGAGCAGCCAGTGGTATCGACAGCTGAGGCAACAATACTGAAGATTGCGTATGTCATGCCAGGTCCTTCTAGAGATTGCTTGCCTGCGTAGTAGGACAGGTCAGACTGGGCGTTTTCGGCGGTGTAACTCTGTTTGTAATTGAGAGGAAACGTGTCAAGGACGACGTCGGCTTGCTTGACAGATATACTGCCATTCATGCCTGTGTACTCGTTTATGATGCCGGCTTCTCCGTTGCGGTCGATAAAGATGTTGGAGGCGATGTCATCGTAAGTTGAATTGGTATCCTGCCCGAAAAGCCGGCGGAAGAGATTGGCATTTGTAAGGGTGCTAGCTATCAGAGGCATTGTGAAGCCTCCATTATCAACCGCATTGGCGTACTCATCCGGATCCGTCATGTTTGTCAATGTATAGGATGAGCCATTCTTCGTTACGACTTGGGAGTAGAACTGGGCGATCGAGTCATAGACCGGGAAGAGCGTCTCATTGAAGAAGATAGTATCACCAGATGCAACCCAGTAATTCTGGAACGATTGAGCAATGTCACCGTTGATATGATACTCGTAGTCAAAGCAGGGTCCTGTGCCGGTGCAATTGCCATATCTTCCGCTTGTCCAGGAGTATACTGCTGCGTCTTCGGAGAATGTCGTAGTATTTTTTGAAGATTGCGCTGCGGTCTGAGCATTCGCTTTTGCTTGCCCATATCGTTGGGCACGATAGTTTGCTATTTGCTTGGCCGCTTGAGGATGTGACACCACAAGACCCGGCTGCATCCAGACTTCCGCATCCCAGAATACCAGACCGCCGTAGGAGTCTGAAGTCAAGCCTCCAACGCTGATACTCCATTCGTCGACTGGGGCAAAGCTAGCGTTCGAGAGCGCATTTGCAGATATTGTGTTTTGAAGCAGGTAATACGGATTCAGCACAGCCAAAATCGCAGACTCAATAATGTATTGATCGGCTGGTAGTGTACCATCCTCAGGGTTCGTATAGTTGTCAACAGAGTCTGGAGGGAATGACTCGGCCCATTCATTAATGTGACTCTTCATAGAAGCGTCGAACCCGTTCATTCTTGCCTGCGCGCACTCCCCTTTCGCTGTCTTTCGTGGGTCAACAAATGCGTCGGACGTAGCAGCTCCCACATATTTCGTGATGGTCGTTGTCTTCCCTGAATTGAGCGCTGCCATTGCTCCTTGGGCAATGCTAGAATCATTTGCCCCTATGAACGCTTTGTCCTTGACTATGCCCAAAGTCGTGACATCCACCTCTTCAGAAGCTTCCATCTCTGCGTATATATAGGCGGTCACGTTAGCCACGTTATTTGGACTCACAGACGTGTAAATTGCCGTGCCTTCAGGCCCAGAGCCTTTGGGATCCGTGCGAACGGCGCTCGTTCCGTCGAGCACGTTGACTATGGATACATTGATATCTTCAGAAGGCTGTATCTGCAGTTGCACGAACGCCTGGTTGATGTACAATTTGTGCGCGAATGCGGTGTAGGCGATGTCAAAGGTAACGTTTGCCGCTGAAGGTGACCATGTGTAGGACCATTTCGAGATGCCCGTTTTGGCGTTCAAGGAGGATGAAAAGTTGGAGATGGTCGCATTATCGACAGTAGCATCGAGATAGATTCCTGCTCCCAAATCGACGATGATGGCACTCCAATGGGGAACACCACTTATGACGCTTTCTCCACCGTACTGGTTCAGCCACTCAAAGTTGGTACCATTCGTGTCCGGTTGCTCATCGAAGAAGCCAGCGATGGTCGCAAAGGTTTGTCGTTGGCCGAACAGTGGCCAACCATTGACGTTGTCGCCATCGACTTGCACGTCTTGCTCGAAGAATGGCCCTACTGCAGCAAGGTTAATGCCCAAGTAGCCATTCGCAATGCTTAGTCGAGATTGGTAATGGCCCTGATCGAGAGTGGTGGTGAGGACGTCCCATTGCTCATTGTCCCATGTCACGTTTGGAAAGCGTGTGTTGTACACGGAACTTGGAGAGGATGAGGACGGATCTACAGAGATGGCACGTGGTATGAGGGCAGCATTGCTTTGGAAGGTGCAAAGCCACAAGGGCAAAGCAGACAACAGTACAGAGCGCGCAGACTGCATGATGGTTGCGATGTCAGGAATGAAGCATTGGTCTTCTACCACTCCGCGACCGCACACTAGGCTAAGAGAAACAGAGGCATGGAGCATATGTAGTAGAGCTCTTCAAGCTTGACGCCAGCCCACTGCCAATCCTAGCACCATGGGTGCATGACGATGCATAAGGTAGATGGTAGCACCAGGCACCATTGACACCCTCGGCCGGGCCCAGGGCACCTGCAGGAAAAGAACGCATGGAAATGACGTTAGTGGCCGCCAGAAGAGGAAGGTGCGATGGAGAATTCAGCAGACTCCAGTGCCAAGACTGACTCTGCGGAGCACTTCCGGCACTCTTGGCGCGTTTCCCACGCGACCAGGCCTTTTCACGGCGACTTTCAGCGGCATCTTTGGAGATCTTTCCCCGCATTTTTGGGCCCTTGGTCGCAGCGGTAGACGATCTAAACACGGGCCAGACGAAATTAATAATGGAGCCAGGCGGGGCCGTGGTTCAGCTTGAGAGCTGGCTTTTTTCTTCATTGAGGAATCCTTAGCGATTGCGACCATAGATTGTCTCCACCTCTATGCAATGCCCTGCCTTGGCGCATTTAGACTCCTGCCCGCCAGCCGTGGTGGCGCTTGCGAAGTGAATAATGCCGACCTCTCTGTCACATGCTGAAGACGCTGGTCCGGTTCTTGTTGTTCTCCACTCCGTTATTTCCTGGGTATTCCAAAGACAAGGCTCGAGCACTGGCAGGTGATGCTTTTGCAAATCGGGGCATTACAAACGTCGAAGTCTGCTATCATTCATCCGTCATCATCGTCGACCTCAGCTTCACCGGCTGCTGCATCTGACTCGGCTTCGACAAATGATTGCGCAGGCCTAGAAGTTCCGTTTGAACTCCTCCTCTTCGCCTTCTCTTTCATGTCGACAGCTGCTCTTTCGCCTACAAAATCTCTCCCTGTCCATTCCGTTTTGCAGACTGGACATCTCTTGCCCTTTTGGGTGGTGAAAAACCGCTGAGTGCAAATGTCATGCAAGCGACATGGGCAATCGCGAATCGGACAGCGTTGACCCTGGACAAATATCAGTATTAATCAAAGAGGTTCTCGCCCAGAATCTGGGCTACTGACAGTTGTGATAATCTCTTTGCAAGCGTAGCACTGTTTGATCCTTATCATCCGGTCCTCTTCATCCTCGTCCTCGTCATTGTATGTCTCCATCAGCCAGCCTCGGAGTTCCATCAATGCTCTCGGTGTCAGACTGTAGAATCCCTTCCTGCTCTTCTCAAACCACCCTTCTTCGACCACCGTCTTTAGCATCTTCTCCGCCTGCACAAGCGTAAGACCCTGTCCGGAGCTGCCCTGTGTCTCTGCCCCATTCTGTGAAGTTCTTCGATCGCTCGGCGCTTTGGCTAGCTTGACTGCCTGCATCGAGCTGATCGCCATCACCTCATGTCGTCTTGTGTTGTTTGTCTCGAAAATAGCGTCAAGGACGCGCTTGAGGAAGCTGATCTCATCTGCTGAGTGCGTCGTCGCGAGTTGTGTAATGGCGTCGCTTGTCGAATTGACCAAGGCATAGATACGCTGTCGTGTGATTTGGTGGAAAGTGCTTCGGATCTCGAGATCATAGGGAGAAACGGCGTTGTTAATGGTGGTAACATATTTTATGAAGTCAGATTCAGTGACATCTTCCACCAAGTAGTCACGCTTTTCTACATCCGTTAGCACCAACAAGCTTCAAGAAAGCTGCTTGGTTGGTACCTTGAGCGCCAAAAATTGCTGCTAAGATGGGTTTGGCTTGCTCATATGTCAAAGTTGATCTGGCAAGAAAGGCTTGTAGGAAGGCTCGATGGGTATTATTGTATTCAGTATCTCCTGTGTCATCCATTGGAAACGAGCCTACATCCGCAAAAACGTAGTACTCAAACGCATGATGCGAGTAAGCTCAACACGCGTCTTGAACTGTCCTACATATAAGGGTGATCATTCTTGAGTAAAGGACAGACGCCATGCGGATAAATTACAAGGAAAAAAGAAGGACCGTATATGTAGCCCCCTATCTTTGCCGCTTGAAATATATAACCGACATCTCTGTTCATAATCATTATTGTCGCTAGCCTTGGATGTCCGAAAAGGCTTCTGATCTTGCTCAGTAATTTATTGCGGTCCATCTGTACAATGTGACTCAGCGAAGCTATTTGACATCTACTCTGCCATGATAATAACGCATACAGCATGCATGCTGCCATCTGTTGATTTCCCTCAAGCCAAAAAATACTTCTGCTTGAATTTGAGTATGGATGGACATGTTCAAGAGATCACTACGGAGTTTAGTGGTGAGTGTCGTTCTAAGGTCAAAATTTACAAGTCATGATGAGAGGAGCGTCCTTTATCCCAGTCCAAATACACGCATAGGACAAAAGTGTCCGAATCAACCTGTTCATAAATCGCAAAACATTGTCCTTCATAATTAAGAGCCGGCCAAAAGCTTACAGTGCACAGACCAACTAATGTACCGTGCAGCCACGCGCAAAGTGCAACCAAGCGCATTCTGGATGTCTCACTGCAGAATGAACCCAAGAAGTGACGCACTGCCTTCACAGCGCCCTTTTCCTGGGCGCTTCCTAGGGCCCCAGTAGATCTTCCTTGAATTAGCAGACCATCTTGATACCCTAGTAGACCGTGAGTATAGCCTTGAAGCTGTCGAAAGGCGTCAAGTGGGGTAAGAAGCTCACCGAACTTTGAGACGACATGCGACATTCTTGATACGAAACTGCGGGTTTCCTCTCTCTGTGCTCATTTACGAAGGGGCTATGTTCTTCGGGGGTGGGGTTGGCAAACGTCCCATTTAACTCCCAGCGCGAAATCTTGAGGCTGGCACCGTCCGCTAACTCGCACTTCGAATTGGCGCTTGTACCAATGTTTGCGCCATATGGAACAGGTACTGCCCACGTTTATTGGGGTGTCTCGGAAGGATCATCATTATCCATGTCACCCCAGATTTCATATGGTGGCCCATGCGTCCTAGATCCGCTAACTTCTTCCGATTTGAATACAACAACCAAGAGCCACGCGCTAATACATAATGTGGAGACTGTTGGCTTTTGATCGCATCGTCAGCCTGATCCTGGCGTTACTTATGTTGAGACAAAATCACCCTCTGTTTATTATCTATCGATTCCATGCATATGAAGAGCTGATGAACAGATATTCCTGAAACTCGAACATCGGAAATTGCAATGGCAATATCAACAGAGGCTGTAACAAATATCACCTATGGTACTTTAGCCGCTTTTATCAGCCTCTTCACCCTCTGGCAAGGGCATCGTCTGTGGTTACTCTGGTCCGTGAGTCAAACTCGAGAGAATGAAGAGACAGTGGGTATGTCGCTCCGTCACCGTCCTTTTACAGATGGGTACCTGACTTGGCTTGCAGATATTGAGCTCGGGCTAACGCCATCCTCGAGTCCACTTCGCGAGCCATGTGAAGAAGCCGAAAGCGTCAGCAAAAGCATGTTTGCAATAGCAACTGCTCCACATGAGTCAGAAATCCATGAACTTGCAGTAGTGCACGCCATCAACCGCGGAGGGTTTGCAGGTACTATGATGTATGCAGATACCGCGGAAATAGATCTTTGGTCGTCAACAAGACCCAGTATACTCCCCAGTCAGAGCCTACAAGACGTCAGTAGAACTTTAAGACCAACACAAAGCAATGGAGCGTCAGATATGTCCCAGAGTTGCCCATCTCTTCAATGAAGATGGCAGAACGCGTGGATTCAAGGGTCTGGATAAAGTCTAGTTGGCGCTGATATCCGCGGACACTATCTCAAGTCTCATGTCTTAAGCATCATTTGTACCTATGGCAGATTGGAGTGTTCATTCTGGATATGTTTGTTCAATACTCGATAGTTGGGCTACTTCATTGGCCAAGAAATGGTTTTCGTAATTACCTCCATGACCAACGCCTCTCTTTGTGTTTAAGCGAGACTGATCAACAAGATTGCAATCTGCCTGTGTCATACGCTTTGGTATTCATCAAAGTAGAACCATTAGGAGATTAAATCTGGGTTCTCTTATCGACACCTAGCGCTGCTACTAATCTCCCATCAAACCTTTCGGAAGTTTAGACGTTGTAGAGATGGCCATGTATAGCATCAAGATCCCGGCGTGAGCCATAGAGCATGTTGTAAAGACAAGCGAACTTGCACCCTCGGGCAGTCGAGGGACCGTTTCTGACATCATCTAATCTAATCTTTCCGTACGCGGCTAGCGCACCGAGCCTTAGCTGAATTCTACTCGAACCTCAGCCTTGTCCGCAAGAACTCTTCGTGGCGACATGAAACGCCATAGACTAGCATCGACGATGATTAGCAAGTAGTTGCAGACACACATATATTTCACCACTTCTCTCTCCCACTTTCACATTTCCGCCCTATTTCCACCCAACGTTTCACCAACCATGACCAAAAACACGCCCAAGACAATAGCTCAAGCCACCAACCCAGACATTCTCATCCTTGGCTTGGGATGGACGTCCCAATTTCTTCTCCCACTCCTGAGATCGCGCGATATCTCTTACGCCGGCACGACCCGCTCAGGCCGCAACGACAGCATCCCACTCACATGGGATCCCTTCTCCGACAGCGTTTCCAACCCTAACAGCATCGAAAAGTTTTCTTGCCTGCCAGGTGCTAAGACAGTGCTGATCACATTTCCACTTGGTGGTCGTGGGCGCGAGAGCATCCGAACTTTTCTCGAAATATATTTCTACACCCACAAAGCGAGTGAGAAGACGCGATGGATCCTCTTCGGTAGCACAGGCGTCTTCAAAGGCGAGCACTGGAATGATGAGACTTCTCCACAGGACGAAAGCAGTGAGCGGTGGCTTGCTGAAGACCAGCTGTTGTGCCAGGAGAAGGAGAATGCGTGTATACTCAACCTGGCGGGTTTGCATGGCGGTGAGAGGCAGGTGAAGAATTGGATTGTGAGAGTTGCGAAGACGAAGGAAGCTGTGAAGGGGAAGACCGTTGTCCATCTGGTGCATGGACTTGATGTCGCGAGGGCGGTTGTGCTTTGTCTTGAAAATTGGGAGAGTGTCGATAGAAACAGGTAGATATTGACGGATATGGGGAGCCATGATTGGTGGGGCATTATTCTGAGGTGGGGTGCATATGCGAGGGAGGAGTTGGAGAGGAGAGATAAAGGTGAGGGCAAAATCGAGGAGGAAGATTACGCGTATGAGAGATGGGTGAGGGAGCTGATGGCTGAAAATGGGGTGAGGGCGCTGCCAAGGGATCTCGAGGGTTTGGGAAGACTCGTCGACGGCAGGGCGTTCTGGAATACAGTCAACAGCACTCCGGACGTGACCGACGTTGCAGGATGAAATGACGAAGAAAATAATGAGTATTGTGAGTACGTTCATATCCTATCGTCACAAATCCTCGATGGCTTAACCTCAAGCCGACTCGCCATCCTTTACCATATACCAGACACTTGAATTTTCTCCAACGACATATCATGCACTTGGCATTGTGTATATCCAGCTCTTGGGCTCTGATGAAGCATCTGGATGGTCACATCTTAAGAGGTCGACCTTCTGGATGGCGCATCAGGCCTGAGTGGAATGTTCTCAGTGCAGGCGAGCGAATGGCTACTTGAGTTCGTATTTGGGCTTGCTTCAAGCCCGACGTGCCCAGCCCGAAGGCCTTCTTCCATGCTACTGTCAGGAACGCTGGGTACATGGGACGAAGTGGGCGTTGAAATACGGCCAAGCTCCTCATCTGTGAAACCAAATATTGTGAGCAAACTTGCAATTAGGATTGAGCAATGTTCACGATCCCTCCTTCCACTTGCAAGCATAGCTCAGGCGCATGATTCCGAGGGACAGGCAGACATATCCGGTAGATGAATCTCACATACCTTCCGACTGAGTGACATAAGATCCTCTCCACAGCTTCCAAACTCGTCGGCTTTGGTAAATGGTGACTCCACCGATGATAGTTGCAGTCAGGCCGAAGACAGTACTGATAATTGTTTCCGATGGGTTCAACGAAAGATTGCTTGCTTGCGACATTGTAACAAAACTATGCTCACTGGAGGACGAATGGCTTATAGATTTGGGTTCCTGTATTGGGGAGACGAGGGGAAATTATTGGAATTCCACGAGGCAGCGAAGACATCAAATATCGTCCACTGTTTTCTCAGGAAAGGTAGAAAATGATCACGGGCTGGACGCATTGATGGCGTTAATAAAGGGTCGGAGCCAGAATCCGACCGTAATTCAGTGCTGGATAATCTTCGGCTAGCGGCTGATCTGAGGGGGCAGCTGTGGCGGCCGTTGTCTTCGTTGACGTAGCTTACCTTCCCTGATGGCCCCAACCAATCCACTTCCTTTCGCGTAAGTTAAGGTAGGACCATCGCCCAGCACCTCTCAGCCTTATCTCGAAGACAGAGATAAATGTATTAGCCGTTTCCTACCGTGCGAGGTGTTCTGAAAGGCTGAGACACTGACTTCGCCTGCAAGGCCTCCTACACTGGTTCTCCACATGTGCATATTCTCAAATTCTACCTCAACGCGCAAGAGTTTGGGCTCAGACCAATACCATTTCATCTTGAAATACAGTTGGGAGAAAGCCGATAAATGCCTTGGATCACTATACTTTTAGAGCCTTAGAGGCGATGTTCGAACAGTCAGTCAGACAACTTGCTCTAAGGATTTGAAGATCATTTCAGGTATTGAGCGGATACATAAATTTGCAAGACGCTTCGGTCTCGCGATACTTCAGGGCAGTATAGCATCGTTACTTGCAAACATTTTGAAGACTTTCTGGGGGTCCCGTCAACAAAATTCGATACCTATGGGATGTTCAGTACCCTTGAACACTCAGGGTACCTCCACATGGAAATAGTTATCCTTGCACCAACCAGCGATTGTATACCTCAATGCGGCAAGCTGCGAAGGCCTCTTTTCTGAGTCGTCAATGTCTCGGCCGACAGCGACGTATACTTATCGACCCATCAGAGGAAGGCTACCACGAGATGGTTGACCGTCGAGATGGCAACGTTGGCCTCGTTACGACCTGTTCTGCCGAGCCATTTGAAGTGCAAGGCGTCGGATCGTTGATCAGTGTTTTATTCGACGATTGCGCTGTGCCAGCGACGCTTGGCTCCACAGCACAATTACCATTCGAGCATGAGGATGAAGGGGAACCGAGCTCAATGTCTGCTTCAGTCAGCAGGCTCTTCATGCAACAATAAAAGGATTTTGGATGCGCACCATCGAGGCCTTTGTCACCAGCCTTACTCCAACACCGGCGGATCTTGTGTGCCTGAAAGATTGTGTAAACACTAATGATCGTGGCGGTAAGCCCGAACACGGTGTTGACTATGACTTCTGTCGATATTGAAGGTGCATTACCGGAGATAGACATGTCGTAAGGCTACGATGTCAGGTAGGGTAGATTGAAATCCGAGTCCTGGCGAACGCCCGAAGGTATGCAAGAATGCTTGATAAACATGAAAATCTATGATCATGGCAACGATTACTACTATATATATCGAGCTACCGAGGGAGGAAATGTAACCGCGAAGCGTCAGTGCCCAGGATGAGGTTAGCTGAAGGGACAGATCAGGGTTCTGGCGCTAGTGATGCAGTATCCCTGTCACCGCATGGAAGGTGCCAAGGTTGATTGATCGGAAGGTGGCTCGGTGTTCTGCTTCAGGCGCAAGGAAAGGAAAATACCCAGATAAATCGCCCTAAAAGCAAGCTAAATATTGACATTTAGCGCATGTTTGAGATTCTGCTGACTGCTCTTCGGCATTTTCATATGATCCACACAGCCTTCCGTAATCAAAGACGCCACAACGAGTTCTGACACTCTTCAAGGCGCACTACGCTGTCGTCGCTATCGATACACGCCTGTTCTCTAGTTCTAGACCGTTCCACCACAGGATGGTAGGACCGCCAGTGTTGGACGACTGTCTCAGTCGTTGCAGCTGCCTTCTCCTCTGACTGGACACAATTGGTTGCGCACACCCAATGTGTGCTTGAAGAGTGTCTGTTACGCTTTCGCGAAGAGTTCAAGGTGACGTGCTCGCCTCCACGATATCAGCACAATCAACCTCATGCAGTGCTTGGGAGTCATTGTGGCCTCCAGAGATGAGACAGAACGAGCTCTATTGAATGCTATCATCTTCAATCGGGAATTCAAAGAAAGAAAAGTATCAACGACGCGCGAGGGTAATTGCGAAAGCAAGTGCGCTTGTAGGCCAAACCAAACGCGGTCACACTGTTCGGGAAGGCCCGATGCTTTAGAGGTGTACTTCATGCATGATGAAGCTTTCCTACAATGAAACGTGGCTCTCATCGTGGGAGGCAATTGGGCACGGTAGTCAACATTCGCTTGGACTTGTAAAGAGAGGGACATGCAGATGCTTAGGCCTATCTCATGCAAATGAATCGTTGATGACACGAATCGAATTGACATATACATAACCTTCACCGCAACGCAAGAGCCCATTTGGGTTTGACATATTTTCCCTAATACCGCCCATCACTATAGCCCCGTCTCATGCGTCGCCGAAGATAGTTGACCCTTTGAAAACAAGGTCCAAAGGGCAGAAAGTGATTCAACCATAAGCTATTGAGTCGTCGAGATGGCAACGCAGGCCTTGACCTTCTGTCATTGATTGAGTTGATGACCTCGCGAGGGAATGATTGGTCATTTCGAAACAATTTCCAAAGATTGGGTAAGAGTGGCTCTACCATGAGCTACTAGATCGTCGAGATGGTAATGCGGGCCTTGACGCTTTATCATTGATCAAGTCAATAACCTGCCGGGCCCCCGTGTGACTATCTGTCGATGTCGACAAGGGTCTCAGAGTCATATCATCCCCATCCTCGTCGTCAATATTAGTTGATGTGGATGTCCCAGTGTGACCGAGCTCGAGGTCTTGAGGTTCAACAATGTCAGCAGGCTCCTTGCAACAGTGACAGTGATGTACCGTCCGCTTGGGCTTGGCCCGAAGTCCTCCACATTTTCCAGAATTTATGCCCCTGGTATATCGTCAGACCACTAATAGTGGAAGCGATCAGGCCAAAGACAATATTGACGACGACCTCTGCTGATGGTGAAGAGGAGGAAGCGTGCATGTTTGAGGAGGTTGCAAGGCTGAAGATGAGGTAAGGCTATTAGTCGAGATGGCAATAGAACATCAGAGTTGGAAGTTGGAAGGAAGAAGCTGCCTCATGATGCGGACTTTGTCCACTTTATAGACAGACAATACATTGATCATGGCGAGTGAGAAGACTCGAGTTGAAGAGAGAAGGTAAGAAGCAATGCCACGGTAGGGACGTCAAGTCAATCACTGCACTGCCTGTGCTGCCACTCCGCCTACCTTACTGCCCTATTGGAGGGTGCGTTCATGTACTCGCTCATTTTTGGCCTATCATTGTGTTGAATTACCCTCCATAACGAACCTGCACGCACCTGGGCAGGCGCATCCCCGGGACCGTGCATTTGTACACGCAGGCGATTGCTTTACCCCACGAGTTTACCGGCTGGCCGGCGCTGCAGTTGATTCGTTGGACAAATCTTACCGACAAGTCACCCCCGTCTCCTTGCTGATGCTCACTTGACACCATGTAGATGTACGAGGCCAGCGCTGCAGCTACCTGGTCTCGCTCATCTTCTTCTCGCTCGGAGATTGACTACTGGAATTTCTAGGACTGCTACTCGCCCAAATCTGCATTTGATGCCGCTCTGCATCCCAGGCTTCCACGCTCCCTCTGAGCCAATCATTTTTGCAATCACGTCAAATCAGCTTGCGAGTCTACACCCAAGATCCGCACATGGAATTACTCTCACTACCGTTCGCGCTAGCCATGTCAGTGCTATGTTTGGGCAGACCCTGCGATGACATTCTCCGAGCCCAACTGTCTGACACTCACAGGTTTACTCCTTTTGCTTTCGCTCCAGTGTTCAGCAAACCAGAAGACTCCAGAATATCAGCGAATGAGAATAACAGAGATATATGAGATCTAACTCGTTCCTTGCAAGTCGTTATTTACACACGTCCCATGCCATGCGACATGCAACCTTACATCGGGAAACACAAGCAATAGGCAGCGACCCATCCATAGCCAACAGAAGCCAGCCTCGTAGATCCGTAGTCCAGGGTGCATCGTGGTGGAGTGACGAAACCTGCGGAATAGCTTGCGGCTTAATGCAGTAAGAAAAGTGATGTAATTGGTGAGTGCTGGTGCAGAGGCGGTCGCTGATTATCGGAGAAATGCTGTAGGCCGCCGCTGATAAGGTGTTACTACTTCTTGGCTAGCTTTTGGTATGTCCTATACCAAAGACAGATGTTGGAATTGGGGTAGCACCTGGTGGGTTCCAATCGTAGGGAAGGCGCGAAATGAAGTTGGGATTGGAGAGGGAAGTTGGAAAAGAGCTAGGAAAGATTCTCTTGATGATACTGTATTAAGCAAGTGAGAGGGAACAGGCTCAAGGCGTAGGTGAGGTAGGCAAAAATGTGTTTGAAGTGGACAATGAAGCCCCTTTTTATTGAGTAGTGGTACATATTTTTTGGTACAAAGCACGTTCTCAACACCAATTCCCCATAGCAATTTACTTTCCCTCACAGCTAGATGATCTTTCCATCCAATGCGACACTCAATTCGCAATGTTTGTGGAACTGCTTGTTTGCTTTGACAACTGCTCGTCGTCAGACGGACGCTACCTCTAAGACTATTCTTCTCACGCGAGCTAAGACCCAATCCGGAACTACTTCCTCTCAAAGCTTCCGAAAGCCAACTCGTCGTATTGCCAGTCTTCTGTCGCAGCGTCTGTCCCGTCGCATCCTTAAGTGGACGCGCCAATGGAGAGCTGCGTTGCAGAGACTTCGGCAACATTCTGAGCCGAGCCGTCGGGGTAACCTGAGAGATCGTAGCTTCCAAGCTGGAAGTCGTCGCCGTTGTGTTGGTCGACATGGTCTGGTTCGAAGTCAACGAGCGAATCAAAGGTGAAATCGGTGGCGAAATCATTTCCGCTGATAGAGAGGTGGGGAACGGTGAAGGCATCCTTTGCTTGGCTTTGATCCTCCTGGAGGTAGGAATCATCATTTGAGAATAGGCTGTCGAAATTAAGGTCATCGAGTTGAGCGTTTGACTCGCCGAAGATGATCGGGTCGCAATTGTTGCTTGTGACGCCTCCGTTGTTATAGCTCGAGTGGATGGGTCCTGGCGTACTTCCGCAGACTGACACTGCAGGTCGCACAACATCGCGGCAGGATGTTGTGTCATGTCTGGAGAAGTGGCCAAGGACTCATCGTCGAAGCTAAGACTTGACTGTGAGGGCGACTCCGATGGGGAGTAGGTCATTGAGGCGGGTGAGGAGAAAGTCTGTGGTGTCAGGGCAGAATATTGATAGTCGTCGATCTCCTTTTTGATTTTCATTTGATCGAAGGATTGTATTTCTGGAGCTGGCGAGGCCGGCTCGGATGGTGGCGGAGTCGTGCCGTCTTTGAGGCTTTTGATTTGGGCGGCCATCTTGGCAAGCTTTTGGGAGAGGAGAAATTTTTCATGCTCGACTGCCATGAGCCGGTCTTTGAGGTTTTGGTTCTGCTCTTCGATGGTCGATTTCTCGCCCTCGAGTTTCTCCACCTCCTGCCGCTTCCTTTCTCGGCTAGATTGGGCGGCCGCTCTGTTGCGGAGGACACGCTCTATCCGCCTCTGCTCTTTTTCATCCTCTGTCTTCGCTCGTTTCCTTTTCAGATGTCAGCATGCAGGGTCATTGTATGTTCAACAAGTGAGAAACGTACCGAGGAGGTAGGTTTGTCTTGGGTGTGGGTAATTCTTGGCCCCAGGATTTTCGCTTCTTGGAGGACCGTTTTTCGTCTTGGGAATTTTCTTCTTTTATCTGAGGTGAAGCTGATCTCGAGGGAGTCATCATCTGATCTCGGAGGGAAGTCTCCTGTAGTGAGATGGTGGGTTGTGGGGCTTGTTGGAAGTCAAGCTGATGGAAAGCCATTGCTGACTGCGCCAACTCTGCCATGATATTGCGGCTTAGACACAATGTTTGGAATGAGAATAATCTAGTCTCTGGTGTAGTAAAGAACTAGAGATGGCAGATAGATTGTAGGGGATTCGAAGTTGAAAAGATTGTTGGTTGCCTGCAGACGGACAAAACCCTAGATCAAGGCCGAGCAGGACACATGTCCTTTCAGGCAAGCGAGCGGCTAGTGGCGCTTCGTACCTTGGTAGGCAACCACTCTATCATCCCTCCGTTCAAGTTGATGATGATGATGATGATGATTGATGATCGTCAGGTGCGAAAATGATCGATAACTTTGATGGTATTGCGAGAGAGTATATGAAAGGAATTTGGAAAAGGGGGATCTTTGCGCATTCTTATGTAGGCAAAGGGGGCGCTGCACGTAATCTCACGCCGAAGGGGGAGGGCCTAGGGGGGAGATCCCTCGTCCGCTTCAGGTATGCGGCCAAGCCCGACATCCGAGCAGCTCCCGCCTCTATCATTGGATTCCACGCGCTTCCATTACTATATTCGGGTTCAAATGACCAATTGCGAGAGGGACAATGTCGCAGCATCATGCCGCAGCCCCTGGGGATCCGATCATTGGCGACCTTAGCGAGGCATTGCGTGTTGGATGGAGGGAATGACTAAGATCATACCACCAATGATGACGGCCTTGGACTGCTCAGCATTCAATCCGTCGTTTGCGGCACGTCGAAACACTTGGTTTCACAACAACGGCTCCAGGCTTTGCGACAAAACGCCCCATCGTCCTGATTCTGAATCTCAATTTACGAAAATACATATACACGCACCGTCGTCGCTGGTGAAGCAAGTCTGAAGCATACGACAAGCGACGAAGAACGGCTCACACCAAGGCTCCATTTCTTTGTACGCCTGAGCCCCACTTTCTCGGTGGTGTTCGCATAATGGTACAAAATACTACGAACGGTCAAAGAGCACCACTTGCTGCTGCGGGGTCCTCTGCATCGACTGACCAACAGCGGTTGGCTCATTGATCCTTTCACCAGGTCATGGAATTAGCCGTTAGGCTCCTTGAATGCGGCTTAACTGGGCATCCTTCACGTATGATTTCAGATTGCTTGTGCAGTCGCTGTCAGCAGAAAGCCAAGGCTTCCGGTGGTGGACTTCCTAAACTTCTTTACATGCATGTGGTGTGGAGAAACGCGCGTCTCGGATACTGAGGCCGAAGTTTGCTCCATCAATCGGGTATCTGATGCGCTCATAGACGTTTGAGCCTGACACTTAAATAGTCTGCCACGAGGCTCTTGCTGACGACCAAAGGGGCTTCCCAGGGTGTAGTAGTAGAGTCCCCAAACGATGAACATGATCAACAACAGTAATGCCTGGTGGCCAGTCTGTGGAAGAGAGCCGGAAAGCTAACAGACAAGGTGGTTTCAGAGGCCTCCAACATTTCTGCCATGGGATGATGGGAGGGTCGTGTCAACAGCCATCTGGGCGGTGAGCCCGTGCTTGTTGTTGTTGTTGTTGTTGTGATATGTGCCGCATAAGATCAGCGCTCGGCCACGACACGACTTCCCAAGTTCCCAGTGAAGTGAGAATCCTGTTCTTGCTGTTGAATAATACACGATCAGATCATTTTCAATTCCGGAAATGGTAAATTGGTGTTCTAGAACAACGGCAGGAGAGATCTTATCATTTCGTGAAAGGTTAAAAAGAAATTGAGAGTCAGCAGAATTTCCAATTTGAACCTTTCCGATTGGTTCGATTGCCACGTACAAGGTATACTAAGCTCATGGCAGGGGCTTGCCGGCAGCCACTCAAGGCCGCTGCAGACAACATTGAAGTTTGTCTGGGGTCCCGAGGTTGGTGCGGATATGACGCCCCCCATGATCGCTGTATATCGTCCAAATGGATGGCTCTGGACCAATACAACTGCTCATTTGCCCTTGTGCACCCCCCAGCTTTCACTGCAACCTAACCCCTCTTCGAAGTTCCACATCGGCACACTGTCAATTCACGTAGGTAGGGTAGCCCGCTAGCAGCAAGGGCATGATGCATACAATAATTGTACCTTTCCGACCTGGTCCATTGCTACTTCATGCACATCTGACATCAATTCTCTGCTCTTCCTATGTACTGTTCTTTCTTCTGCTGAGCCCACCCGTCTCGCCTCAAAAGCAACCTACCGACATCGAAATCTTGGAAGAGGATCACTGTGCGCGCACCGCTCCCTCCCGCGCAGAACCCAGAATCTCAGATGCCCACCACCACCGTACGTTCGCCCCTTTCCACTCTGAGTGACTCCACGGCTCATTGCGCATTATCTGTGATCATTGATAGGATAGACGTGCTGACCTTGTATCACCCCGCTAGACTTCGCCGTCTGACCCTCGGCTAGACAATTTCAAGAATGTGGACGACCTTTCCTTCCTCCGTAATTCGATACGCGCATCCTCTATTGCCAGTGCCGCATTCCACGAAGATCCAGTCCAAGTCGTGAACCATGTGGCGTGGAAGCTTCCCAAAGAGCTCCAGCAGACCATTCATGCCGTTGCTGCCAGCCTTTGCAGTCCCAACCTCGACGTCCCGCTCATAGAAGAAGATCTGCTATTCAATCGAGAGACTTCGTACAACACGACAACAGAGGTGGAAGATGCCCTAGCCCCAATATCCTTCGATTTACCACTCCCTGTTCTTAAGCAAATCCTAGAACTGGCACACCGCATCCAGCTTCTTTCAACTCTCTTCCTAAATACCTACATAAAGCGCCTGAACAATCTTCAGCCGCAACATCTTGCAAAGCCGGGCTTTGTATTCAGTTCATACCCTTTCCGTAAATATCCGGATGGTCGCAAATATCAGCCGCCAAAGAGTGGACCAGCGAGCTGGAGCGAGGAGTACAGGGTACTTCGGGCATTGTGGCGTCTTCAGCTATTCTGCCTAATCTCCAAGCCTAACTCAAGAGTGACGAATCGATTGAATGTGGAGGCATCATACATAGAGTGCAGTATTCCGTATCGACAGCACGAGCTCTCACGAATACTCTCTCACTTGACCAATTGGGAGCTGGATGAGATGATATGTGTGCACGAATACCTTGATGGCGCACGAATATCCCTCCGTGCCCCACCTTCAGTCCCCCATGAGGACCCAAACTGCCACACTCCTACAACTCCCTCAACACCTTCAAGCACCTCAACGAACAATACTCAACCAATCTTTCCGATCGCCAATGCTCGGCCCTCCTCCAATCCGACTGGGTTTGGGAGGTTCAATGACCTGATTGCCGTAAAGCGATCCACCGAAGCCTACAATTTCTTTCACCGCTACGGTCTCCGCCATCCCACATCTCCACTACAACGTTCCTGCTGGGAAAACTTTAGGACATTAGGATTCGGCATATGGGATCAAGAGAGATTATGTCATATGGAGATGTTTAGGATGCCTGCCGCATTAAGAGATCAAAAGCCGCAAGGTGATCTGAGTATCGACGATGTGGGATTTACGTGGAAAAGCGTAGAGGCTCAGGCCCAAAAAGCACTGGAGGACTTGTACAACGGCAGAGGGAGTAAAAAAGCAAATGATGCACCGACGAGCAAAGGAATTAGTGGGCTGAAAGGCCTCATGAGGAGCAAGACGAAGGTGATACCCAACGGCAGCAGTGGAAGTAGCCCAAGATCGAGTGCCGAGAGCTTTCGGGCGGTTATATCGAGATGATTGGATTCTGAACGACCGGAAAATGGCAAAGGCTTGGGTTTTTCAGGACTCGCATTGACAGGATGGTGGATATGTAATACTATATCTGCAATCTAACATAGATGTGTGCAGGAAATTACAAGACTATTCTTATATTTTGCAGACCGCACAACAGGAGTTTTGAGCTTATTCAAGCCAGTAGAAGCCGAACCCAGTCTCTAGGCTGGCTCCGGCGCCGAACAGGCGTACAGAGGCAGCCTGATATTATTGCTGATACTGAGTTACTCGCGTACCACGATTGTACCCCGGGCCCGTTAGCGAACCCCCTGGTGCCCCTGGATATGATACCGTTTTAGGGACTAGTGCGGATCAGTCCGTCATTATGCAGCGGAGAGCCGCATGCCGATGATCGGTTCGCCAATTCAAATGTTTGCTTTGACCGTCAGCTCTTCCTCGCTATCACGTCCACTTTGCCTAGATTACTGCGACATTGAGGGCGTTGTGGACTCAATCGGCAGCATGCCATACACCTAACACCAATTTCCGAAGATTTTGCGAGATGTCACGTCCATTACTCCTAAGGGCTATACCCCGGTCCAAATTTCTCAGAATCGGACCTTCGACAGCGTGCTCACAGTGTCTGAGGACAATTCATACGAGCAGAAGCCTTCGAAGACAGGACTCTAGTCGGAGAGGCTTTTACACAGACCAAAGCGCCATCGTCAAGAATGCCACCCCCCGCAATGCCCCCTCTCCCTTTGACCCACTCGACGGCTTCTCAAGACGCCACAATGGACCCTCTTCCCAGGATGTCGAACAGATGCTGAAGACTGTCAACGCGCCTTCGCTCGACAAGTTCGTGCTGGACGTCTTACCGAAGGATATTTTGAGCAAGAAAGACTTGGATATCAATGGCCCCGCTTTCGACGATAGGCCTGAGGGCTACTCAGAGACGGAGATCTTGACCAGATTACGGGAGATTGCAAGCAAGAACAAGGTGGTGAAAAGCTATATTGGCTGCGGATATGCGGGGACAAAAGTGCCTGAGGTCATCAAGAGAAATGTCCTGGAGAATCCAGCATGGTATACCAGTTATACGCCATATCAGCCAGAGATCAGTCAGGGCAGACTGGAGTCATTGCTGAACTTTCAAACTGTTGTGACCGACCTCACTGGTCTTGCCATCGCCAATGCTTCCGTGTTGGATGAGCCCACTGCTGCCGCAGAGGCAATGACGCTGTCAATGAATGCTGTGCCAGCGTCTCGTCAGAAACGCCCCAACAAGACTTTCCTCGTTTCACATCTTTGCCATCCACAGACTATCGCTGTGCTATATTCACGCGCAGAAGGGTTCGGCATCAAGATCGTTGTTACAAATGTGCTAGCGGATGACTACAAGCAGGTCAAGGAGACAGGAGATGATCTCATCGGTGTTCTTGTACAATATCCTGATACCGAGGGTGGTGTCGAGGACTTCCAGGGGCTCTCAGATCTGGTACATCAGCATAAAGCCACCATGAGTGTAGCGACAGACTTGCTCTCGCTTACATACCTAAAGCCACCGGGAGAATTTGGTGCTGATATTGCTTTTGGAAATGCACAGCGTCTGGGTGTGCCCTTCGGATATGGAGGACCCCATGCGGCCTTTTTTGCTTGCGGAGAAAAGCAAAAGAGGAGGATTCCTGGTCGCTTGATTGGTGTCTCCAAGGACCGTCTCGGGAACAAAGCCATGAGACTTGCTCTCCAGACGCGGGAACAGCACATTCGGCGTGAGAAAGCAACCAGTAACATATGTACCGCTCAAGCTCTCCTTGCTAACATGAGTGCTTTTTATGCGGTATATCATGGTCCACAGGGGTTGCGAGACATCGCGCTCAAAGCCCTGCATGGCGCGAGGTTCCTAGAACAAGGAATCCAGATCCTTGGAGAGGGCAAAGATGTCAAAGTCAATGGAAGAAGCCATGGATCAGCAGCGAAGACGCTGTCTGACACTATCACAATCGAGCTGCCCCAGTACTTGCTCTCAGACCTCTTAAGACTCACCAAGGGAGAGATGAACTTTCGCCAGCTAGGCAAGGGTCGCATAGCTATCACTGTAGACGAGACGGTCGAAAAAGTGGACTTATTGCGCATCTTGTGGGCTTTTGCCCGTATACTCAAGGCCGATCAGTCGAGTATCAATAAGCTAGAACAGGTCTTCCATAGTACGTCTTACCAAGACATACAGATAGACGAGCTCTTCCAACGGCAATCACCTTACCTCACCCAACCAGTCTTCAATACGCATCACTCAGAGACTCAACTCCTTCGGTACATCCATCACCTACAGTCGAAAGACCTGTCTCTTGTGCACTCCATGATACCTTTGGGCTCTTGCACTATGAAACTCAACGCGACAACCGAGATGGCCCCAGTCTCATGGCCGGAATTTTCTTCAATGCACCCATTTGCGCCCCTTGACCAAGCCGAAGGGTACACTATGCTTATCGAGGAACTCGAGAAAGATCTAGCAGAGATCACTGGTTTTGCTGCTGTTTCCCTCCAACCTAATTCTGGAGCTCAGGGTGAGTTCACTGGACTCCGAGTGATCCGCAAATTCTTGGACCAAGGACCTGGGAGAAAAAGAGACATCTGCCTCATCCCCGTCTCAGCTCATGGAACAAATCCAGCCAGCGCGGCCATGTGCGGCATGCGAGTCCTGACCATCAAATGTGACCCCAGCACTGGTAACCTTGATATGCAAGACCTCAAAGAGAAATGCGCCAAGCACAGCGAAGAAGTTGCCGCAATTATGATCACCTACCCCAGCACCTTCGGCGTTTTCGAGCCAGGCGTAAAAGAAGCCTGCGAAATTGTGCACTCTCACGGCGGCCAAGTGTACATGGACGGTGCGAACATGAACGCACAGATCGGCCTATGCTCTCCCGGCGAGATCGGCGCGGACGTCTGCCATCTCAACCTCCACAAGACCTTCTGCATTCCACACGGCGGTGGCGGACCCGGAGTCGGTCCCATAGGCGTGAAGTCTCATCTTGCCCCCTTCCTTCCCGGCCACCCCTTCACCACCACTGCCGGTGGTGACAAAGCTATTGCGCCTGTCAGCGGCGCACCCTGGGGCTCGGCAAGCATCCTACCCATTAGCTGGGCCTACATCAAAATGATGGGCGGTCGCGGCCTTACTCACGCCACGAAGCTCTGCCTCCTCAACGCAAATTACATCCTTTCACGTCTAAAGCCGCATTATCCAATTCTCTACACCAACAGCGCAGGCAGGTGCGCGCATGAGTTCATCCTCGATATCCGACCTTTCAAAGACACCGCAAACATCGAAGCCATCGACGTTGCGAAACGCTTGCAAGATTATGGATTCCATGCTCCCACTATGTCGTGGCCTGTGGCTAATACGCTCATGATCGAGCCTACGGAAAGCGAGGATCTTGCTGAGTTGGACAGATTTTGCGACGCGCTGATTGAGATTCGGGAGGAGATCAAGGAGGTAGAGAAGGGGAAACAGCCGAGGGAGCAGAATGTCTTGAAGATGGCTCCGCACTCTCAGCGGGACCTTCTGACGGATGGTAACTGGGAGAGGAGTTATGGACGCGAGAAGGCGGCATATCCATTGAAGTGGTTGAGGGAGAAGAAATTTTGGCCGAGTGTCACGAGGGTTGATGATAGTACGTGCTTGCCCTTCTTCTTTTACTGCTTAGATGCTATGGGATGACCTGTACTGACGTGACGTAGCTTACGGCGATATGAATCTTTTTTGTACATGTGCGCCGGTGGAGACGATTGATGGAATGACTGGAGCTGCGGCCCCGGCGCCCACTTGAAGCTCGTTTTGACATCATCATCACAATTTTGCCATACTGCAACGCAGCAAACGAAATACGAACCAATTCCACGAAGTCATGACCATGTGAATGAGGAATCTGGCATAGAAGTACCTACGAGATGAATGGATACCCCAAAGCGAACCACTTCAACATTTGGTTCGAGAAGGGAATAGAGATGGTTCGAACTTGTTGATAGGAATTGGCCTTACATAGACGATTTAGATTTCAACATGGCCTGCGAGGGCGGATTGAATAAACCCTTTACATTCCCCTTTTTCCTTTGAATTTGCTATATTGTAGGCGTTGTTGTTCGCGCCTCCATTCCTCTTTGGCACGGGATTTCCACAGGACATGCCCGGCTCCGAACTGGCTTCACAATCACTGCCCGGCTTTCATGCAAGAATTTGAGGAGAATGATATTTGGTTATTGTGCCTACAATCAAGATCGGAAAAGGATCAAACTTCGCAGGAGGATCAATTCAATAGGTCTGCGATAGAAAATGAAGTTTGAAAGCGATCGGGTCAGCATGGCTGCACTGCGAATATTTTTCCATTTCATGCATGAGTTTGTGAGACGGACAACAGAGAAATGTGCGATTCTGTGTCAAAGTTGGTAGCTTGAATAAATGTTTTCTAAATCTATATGGCAGACATTTCCGGAATGATGAAGTCAATTCGCATTGCGTCAATACTTTCATGGTCGTGATTGGATTCAAGAAGGGCATGGTCGTCTGGGATGGTCTGACTGGATGGGCGCGCTCTGGGCATTGTCTGAGTGTAGTCTGGTAGACGAGAGGCAAAAGGTCGCCTTGCGATGGTAAATATTGGGTACAGCTGTGATAACTTCCATTTGCACAATGTCAGAAATCTGGAGTCTTTTTATGACCGATAGGTTCGACCTTTTTATCCATATATCAGTTTCACATCAACACTCCATCACGACAATCCCGCCCCATCAACAACCATAGTATCATCGCCACCATCCATCCGCTCATCTTCAAGCGGCACACCCCTCCCACGTCCAGCAAGCAACTCCCTCCTAACCTCCGGCCCAATCGCCGGATGCCCCACGCTCACGAGCAAATCCAGCAACGATTCCCTCTGATCTTCCGTGATATCATTCCTATACCGCTGGGCGAAAGCAAGAAGACACTGATGCCACAGCACGGGCAATTTCTGCTCGCCGCTACCCTCGCCAACTCTCTTTCCTCCTCTCTCATCCCCTTCATTTTGCCGAACGGTTACCCTGTATCTCAGGAAATGAAACACCAGCCCATCAACGACCTTATATGGCAACGCATACTTCTTCTCCAATAGCACCCTGATGAACACATTCGTCGCCCCCGCCGCCTCCATACCTAGCCGTCCACTCGCCTGCTCCGCCGCTATCTCCGTCAACCGCAGCAACGCCGCGGCTGAATGCAGCACCGGCACACTCACCCGCGCAAGCACACTACTGACCACATGCGCCTCTCTCAATGTACACGTCGTGCTACCCACCAACGGAAACAAGAATCCTTTAAACCACGGCGCGGGTTTATACAGCCCCTTCTTCAGCGCCTTGTAGAGATGCACATTCAATTTCTTGCGCTCATGTATGTCCTCCCGAACTCTTGGCAAGATGACTGTTTCGAGGAATTCTTGAGCCACGGGTGGGGCGGCGGAGATGAAGAGACGCGTGGCTTCGTAGCAGGCGTTGGGGGTCCAGGAGTCCGGGGCTGTGAGGGAAAGGAGGTCTGGCCAGATGGGTAGGGTGGGTAGGATTTTGAGCGGTTTGGGGAGTGCGCCGGATTTGTAGCGGGAGAGGAGGTGGCCGATCTTGGTGTAGACTTCGATGACTTTGGGGGGAGTGGTTCAGGGTCTGCGTAGTGGTTGAGGGGGGTGGTGGCGTGAGGAGCGTCGGTGATAATGGTGGGATTTTGAGCTTCGTGGAGAGCGATTTTCTCGAGGATGAGGTCCGCGAGGTTGGTGCCTCCTCCGGAGTCTGCTGGAGCGGGGGAGGCTATTTGTTGGGCGGTAGAGTCGGATTGGACTGTGGGGTTGAACTTGTTGAAGAGGTCGAGGTCTGAGGGGTCTATCTCTGCTTCTGATGCTGCTTCCTCCGCGCTGCCCCAAGCTTCGTCATCATCGTGTAATCCTCCAGCATTCCCATCGTCGCTATCGCCCTCACTCGTTGCACCAAATCTTGATTCGAATGCGAACGCAAGATTGGGCAAGCTAGACTTTGCTTCCTCATTTTCTTCGTCCTGTAAGTCATGCCCGATTTTGAGTATCTTTCGCGACGAGCGCGAATCGACGTAGCTTTTCGAGGTTCCATCTTCAACGTCTGGCTGTGTTTTTCGCTTCTTCGTTTTGGTGCGTATGGGAGCTGTGGATACAAGGTCTTCCGCTAAAGGGACATGTTTTGGCCGGCGGTTGGAAGATCTGGAACGGTGTGAGGCAGGCATTCTGCCAGTCTTGTGCTGCAATACACTCAAAATAAAAACCAGTTGTGGGGCGAGGCACGATCTGTAAAGGGTCTTATCTTATCTTAGCGGTTGTTCTCCGGGTATCTCAGGGGTGGAGCTAAGCGGTATAGAGCCTAGTGCATGAGGCCTGCCAAAGACAGCGCGACCCAATGGCGCAGCTCTGCCTGGCAGCCTGACACGCTCACATGCATGGGTAGCCTTGGCCGCGGGCTTTTGCAGGCTCGCGCACTCCATCACCATCAAGATGGTTTCATTCTGGCCGTGGAGAGTAAGTTAGTCTTGAACATCGCTTGGATACATCTGACTTGCGTTAGGGAGAAGACACCTCACCAGCCTCATTTGAGAAAGCGCTCTCCTCGCTGTCGACTAAAATCTCAAAAGCGAGCAGCAATCTAGAAACACTGCGGCAGCGCTCAAGACGCGTCAACGTCTTGTGGGTACTTTATGCTGGCTTTGCCTACCTTCTGTGCGTGGTCATCTTGGTATTGGTCGTGGGCTGGCGAAAATGGGGGCTTCCAGAGTACAGCGGTGTCATCCTGGGGCCGGCAACGTACGATCTCAGGTATCCAACTACCAAGGGGGCATTAGCTAACTCAGATTCAGGATCTATGTCGTCAGACTCGCCCTGACTACGTACTATGACTATCGTACGTCGGCCGTCCAGGCACATCTAGATGACTTGGAGAGACAAAGGAATAAGACCATCGAGAAGCTCAAGGACGCGACCAAATACAACAGCACTCAGGACTTGCTCAAGAAGTATGGGGGCACGCCGACCCCAAAGGAGAAACCTAAAAAGGCAGAGAGCAGCGGCAAGCCTGAACAAGGTAGAGCCCAGCCACAGCAAGGAGGCAGGACCAACATGGCACCTCCGCCTACAGCAAACATTCCACATCGAATCGAGACTTCCTCGCCTCAAGTAAAACACCCACAGCAGCAAATCTCCTCTTCCCCTTCTGCCTCACCACAGGATGCACGCAGGCCATCCTCCCCAAATTCCCCTGGCGCAGACTTCGCACCCAATGCCTTTTCTGCCCCTGCCCAATATGCCCAAACTATCGAAGGACCAAAATGGTACGACCGCTTCATGGATGCATTGCTGGGAGAAGACGAGACTTTACCAAGCAAGCGCTTCGCGCTGATCTGTAGTAATTGCAGACTCGTGAACGGGCAAGCACCGCCAGGCGTTAGCAGACTGGAGGATGTTGGCAAGTGGCGCTGTTCGGGCTGTGGGACTATGAATGGAGAGGAGGATGAAGTTAGGAAACTCGTCAAAAGTATACAGCAAGAACCAAAAGCTGTCCATGCGAAAGAAATCCAACACGAGGAGCGAACTGAGGAGTCAAAAGTGCAAGAAGCGGGCACGGAGAGTAGCGAGAGCGATGTCACGCAATACTCGACAGAGGAGGAGAAGCCACCGGCTGTGAAAGAGACGCCCAGGAGGAGGTCGACGAGGCCGAAGAAGGGGATGAAGTCATATGATGAGTGAGCTGAGAGAGTCGTACTTCAAGACGGCGATAATTTTATTTCATTGAATTGCGTCTCTCGTCCATCATTCCTGGCCTCTGCATATGGCTGTGAAAGGACTAGTCGAGGCGGAAAGCGAAAGAAATGATCACTCGAGACCCAGCATAAGCCCAGGCTCCCGTCAAGACGAACGAAAGACGGCGCACAGATTGAATAACGAGACGGGAGAACGTTTGACATTGACAAAACACCATGAGACTGTCGAGCAATGGCACTGGTAAGGATACGAACCATCTGAAAGGGTAAGAGGCTCCAAACATCATTTTATCTCTGGCGTGTCCAAATCTCTGCTATCGAACATACTGCTCCCTGTTCCGCCAATTTCCTTTATTCATCTGTTAAAGAAGTCTGTACATTTCCACTCATGAAATCGTACTGAGTACCAAAGTTCTTGGCAATCTGAGTATGTCTCGCCGGCTACGTCATAGTCGCTATCTGGACGAAAGAGTCTAAGCACAGCCCAAATGGCTGAGTCATGGGTGCCTGAACCGAATCAGAAGTGAAGAGAAATTGGTCTGCTGCACTTCAACTTCTCTTCCGACCAGAAGCATAAGCGACCTGATCGTACTTCAGCGATGGCCCACTTGCACGATCTCCCCGAGGACATCATCTTGATTATCCTGCACGAACTCACAGACCGTCCCTGCTGGCGATTTTGGGATGCTCCTAAGGTCAAACATCTACAGAATCTGTGCCTGGCCTCTAAACTACTCCTTCCTCTAACACAGAAGGTTCTTTATTCCGAATTTTGGTCCACCAAAGAGCAAGAAACTTGGAGAATTCGCGCTTTCCTATGCACTCTAAGTGCTAACGCTAGACTAGCTTCCTATGTCCACCACCTTGAACTCACGAGGTGGCGGGCCTGGGATCGTGATAGCGATGAGTTCGACAGCGGTACAAATACCACGTGGGTCTACGATGACAATCGAAAGTACTCCGCAACGCAGAACAGCCGTGATAAGAAGCTCTTTCAAAAGGCATTCCGAGATCTCACGTTGACGGACAAGAAAACTTGGCGAGAATCTGTCCGCAAAGACGTAGACGAAGTTTACGTATCGCTCCTCATCCTCCTGACCCCGAATCTAAAGTCTCTGATGGTTCACGCCCCGACAAATCCAATCTTTCTGGACAAAGCACTTGACCATGCAACCTTCGTGCAATCCCCAAACTCATCAACACCAAGCCTCCAACGCATCGAAGACGTGTCATATTTCTGCCGTGGGAATGTCAGTTTCATATCCATCTCCCATCTCCACGCTCTTTTCCGCCTACCAGCAGTTCGGAAACTTTCCATTGGATGGGTGACATCTGACTCCCCTTTCCCACCCCTCGCACCTCTTCACTCCCTCCGAAACCTGCACTTCCATGAGGCAGATCTGAACACGGCTATCTTCGACTCCATATTCCGCGCTTGCCCGAATCTCGAGAGCTTCGCCTACCAGCACCATCCCTTCTCCAGGCATCGGCTCACTGTTATTTCAAACCACTTCCATCTCCCACAACTCGGCGCTGCTTTAACGCACGTATCGTCCTCGCTGCATGAGCTCGAAGTGAGCTCGTGCGACGAGCCCTCCACATTCGGGACTCTAGGCTCGCTGAAAAATTTTACATGTTTAAGACGGCTGAAAATGAGATTGCATCATCTTGTTGCCGACGTCTCTGCGTCTGCGGTGGAGAGCAAGCCAAGACTGATCGACATCCTGCCGTCTTCTCTTGAAGAACTCGACACGGAACTTGTGGGACTAAAAATTCCGAGGTGGAAGGAAATGCTAGGTCAGGTTCGCGAGCTCGTTGATGCAAAGCAACGGGGAGAGATGTCGAGACTTTGGAAGCTCGGAAATTGGAGCTCGTTCACGGCGGAGCAGATGGGCGTGCAACGATGTGCGGCGCTAGAGACTTTGATGGATTCGTGTCGTACTTGGGGCATCATCTTTCAGGTTTGGGGGAGGATGGGGGACGAATGGTGCTACCGGGATTTCAGAGAGATGATGTGATAGAAGAGAGCAGGAGTGGGAGTCGTGGATTGTGTCTGAGACTTCTCTATGCCGAGTTCTGTTGCATCGCTCCTGCTTCGACATCGATTTGATGATGATCACGATACTCATTCATGGGAATGACTTCAATTGCTGACACTGTCCCCCCATTGCCTTTCCTAGATCGCCCGAATGTGATGTCCATCGTCGCTCGTGCAAACCATTCCTCAACCTCGATCGAAGCACCGAAACCACCACAGCCCGGCTGAAGAGCCTTTGTCCGACTCGCAAGCCCAGGCTAATGTATCTGGACTGCAACCTCTCTTGACTCTCGAACAACCACAAAAGTATCCATTCAACATCGTCAGTCCGCAATGGCCATCAACTCACTTGCAGAGGATAGCGAAAGCTCCTGATCATGTACTGTCGAAAGCAGAAAGCCCGCTTCAAAGCTCCGCCGGGTCAACAGTTCCTCGTGCCTTCCTGATGCAGAGCGAACGCTGACACTTGTACCGTCACCTCCAATTGAAACTGGACCGCCATCCCTCAAAGTGAATTCACAAGCGACTGTACATGACAAGCAGCATTCTCTCCGAGTCCCAGTGAAACCGAGGAAATGTGAAGATCAGCTGTACCTTATCAGCACTACCGTCGCAGACGACCAGGAAGCGTCACGGACACATGGATTTCGAGCAGGAAGAGCGCCGTGGGAGATGCGATGGTATGAGTTCATGAGAGTACTATGGCGCTGGCAGCTCCTCTTGGAAGTCCTTCATGGATGTCTTCTACTAAGATTCTTCAAATTGTCGTGGCCTGTCGTGTCGAAGATCCGTACGTAAGGAAGTCGTTTGGGGGCAGCAAGATTTGATTGATGGAGCGATGGGGAGCGGGGAGAATGAGAGTAAAAAGGAGATGCTGGTGACTTGAAAGAGCAGATATGAACAGTGATGTGTGGAAAAAGATATTTATTCAGTGAAGCTATCCTATTCTATTCTATCCATCCACCGGTATGATTGCTCCTCAATCTCCTCCTCTCCCACCATCACCTCCATCTCGACTGTCAATCTAGATCATGGTTAGCAAACGTTGCAGATGAAGCGATGTGATGGACTTATCTTTCACACACCGCTGCATCGTCGAGTTGGATCTTCTTAGCCCTCACTTTGCAGTGAGGTTACCAGCGTGCACCAATTGGGGGTGAGATCCATCGCACGCCGCCCTATAAACTCGTCAGCAGATTCCCTTTCCACAAGCACTAGATGGTTAGTAAAGAAAAGGCCTTTTTCGCAGAGGTTGCCCAGCTCGGACCTTTTCGCGTCTTGCAGGACGGAGCCATTCGCGGGGCTGCTCAGCCCGGAGACACTTCTGCGTCGTACTCAGGACGCCGGCTTTCTTCAAGCACCGGAAACTTGGGGCTTTTGCACACACGCCCAGGTGCCGACTATTGCGCGAGATGTCGTAACTCGTGGTCTTTCTCGCGACATACCAAGGTCGGGGTGGTTGTCCACACACCCAGGTGGCGGCTCTTGCGTGAGATGCCGTAACTCATGATCTTTCTTTCGACATACCAAGGTCGCCACTTTTGTTGAGAGGTGGTATCTCACGAGCACTTTTAACGTCGTATCGAGGACGGCCTGGTTTCGCCGTGTACAGCCATGCGGGAGCCTTTCTCGTGACTTGCTCGGGTCACAGCCTTTCTGGGAGGTCTTGCTGAGGACAGGACAGTTTAGCGAGGTTGTCCAGCTCCGTCGCTCATCGGGAACGAGATGGAAGAATGCACTTCGTCTGTGTTAGCATGCTTTGAAGAGTAGGGCAGACGAGGTACTTAGCTTCGAGTGTTGGTTGAATCACAGAGCAAGCAGGAGGATGGTAATGAGGGATGAGAAGATGGATGTGATGAGCAAGAATGAGTGACGAAGTGTTGTGGTGGGTGAAGTGTTGATGGAGGGAAATTGAAAAGTGGTGGGAGAAAGTGGAAAAGTGATGTGTAGAAGGAAAGAAAAGATTGGGGGGGAAGGGCTTCTTTATACCCCTCGCCAAGCAATGGGCCACCTTGCAGAACAGGCTTTGGAAGAAGAGCGAAGGTGGCAAGAAAGTGCCGGATCTGGTGTGTTGCCCTGACACCCATGGTGGCTCCGCTCGTGGTGGAGTAGAACGCCTCCGGCTTGAAGAAATTGAAACCATCCAGACTCCTCGGCATTAGGAACAGGCCGAATCTCTTCATGATACTCTACCTCGGTCCATAAGCCAGATTCTTGATTCTTGAACCAACACTCTGGTCGTCTTTGGCACAGTAAGTCAGAGCCGTCACCAGCCCGGTCAGTGCTTGTGCTTGTACAAGAGGAATCTTCGGCTGAAGCACATGTGGATCTATCACAATGATGCTGATATGATGGCACTCATCATGGTAATGATCTTCAGAGGCGTCGTTAGATTATGAGGTAGGTGGAGGAGTGTGTATACACCACGCTGGCTGATAGCGTCATATGTCATTTGTCTGTCCAGCCGACCGACCGTACGGATCGCGCCACTTCACAGAACTTGGAATTGGAAGTCAAAAAAGCGGGTTCATGGTCATATCATTTGGAATGTACGAATGGGGTACTCTAACACTTCATTACCATCAGAAGTCTAGTCAAGCCATCCGGCAACTACTGTGTCAGGATGTGGCCCAACTCTCAACATTACTGTATGGGAACAGATTGGAAAGTGCGAAAGCAATGCGTCTGATACGGCATTCTACAACCCCATATACACACAACAATGAGATGACACTCTCCTCACCCAGACTGCCAGAGAACGATGGTGTAACGGCTGTGAGCTGCAGAAGCGGTCGCATCATTCACCAACCAAAAGACTCCACTGTGGCAAAGAAAGGGTCCACTCAAATAAACAGCCTCGGTGGAGAAGAAGCAGTGAATTGACTTTTTCGTATCAGACAGGACGACATGTAACAGTGGATCTGGATAGGACGCGATACCCAAGTCTACATGCCCCTGATCGGCCTGAGACTTAGGGACGTTGAGGGAGCCCGAAAGAAGAGAGGCTGTATTCATGAATCTAATTACTTGTCTTAGTTTGAGGACTGCTATTGCGATGCGGCCAAAGAAACTATGCAGGCTTCCTGTGATGATGTCTCAGTGTCCGGACAACCTTCTCCGAGTGTTTCCCTCACTCCATATTCCGTCTCCAGGAGTTTGAGCGGGGTTATGGTCGTGGCGATCAGGTGTACATTTGGACTTGGTCTAGCTGTGTAGGACGATTTTCAGGATATGCTTTTAAGACTTTGGTGTCTCACGACCAGCTTTTGATGACAGTCTCCCACTCTTCACATCGTAAGACCAATCCTTCTTTCAGAACCCTCCTTGTTTTCTGTAAAAAGTGTCTCGTCCATCGCTCTTCGTATAATGAGGAATTGACGGAATAGGGTGAAGGTGCAAGATCCTGTGCTTAATTCGTGGAAAGGGGCTCAAGATTGCATGTTTCAATGTCCATCCCCAATGGTGTCATTGAGCTAAAAAATCGTCACGATAGGTGTCGAGTGAATCGAGGGTGGTATAGCTTTCCTGTTGCGTTGCCGATGCTACCGTCTTTCTGCAATAAATGGCTTGTAGGACGTGTAGTCTTGTTTGATGTTGGGGCTCGGAGATCTCGTTCAGCTTTTTCTTGTGGCGGCTTCTTGCGAATTTATCGTGGTTGCCTCGATTTCCTTGCGTTGTCATCTTTCAATGCTGTAGTGATTGTTCTTTGATATGAGGTGCGACTGGATGATCCTTCCAGTAGAATCTTGATCGCTGCCATTTGCAAAGTAAGAGATGTCTAAAGCCTGACCAAGCTAGTACGCCGTACGCCGAAAGAGACAGTGTTAGATCGCCGTTTCCGTGTGAAATCGTTGCCACAGCAGTGACCACTTCTATTGTGATCCACCGCTCGCTTGCATGAATTGCACCTCTTTTCGAGCAGGGTAGTCTTTCCCATCCGCAGTAGCAAACAAGGACAGACTTGCGACGGTCTCGACACTCCATCCAGCGACTATTTTGAGGAGAGTCCAAAGAGACCAATCACGATTGGACGAAGATCTACCTCAAGTCCACTACCACTTACTTCGATGTCTTCATCTTGAACAGCATCTCTCTTGAGGAAATCTTGAATGACAAGAACGTTGCTCAAAATGAAAGAGTAGGCAGAGGGTGACATTTTCATATCATCGGTTGCTCGACTGGGAGTGGTACCAACACCAAAACACATAATCAAAAGATTTGAACCAAGGCGCCATGAAAATAGTCCCTTGACGATCATAGATTAGGAGTCTGAAAATTCAGAAGACGACTATTTTCCGTGTTTGACACAACGAAGCCAGAGCAAGACGGGCTCTGTCTGGCGATATTTGACTCATGTCATCAAAATGAACCTAGATGAAAATCCGAAAACATGAAGAGAGTGCAACTGAAAGAAAAACAATTATCTACAAGTACGTGCTGGTGCTCTTTATACCTGTCATGAGAGAGATACTCGCCGTGATACTAGATCGATTGGGCAAGAAGCTCTCTTACTGGATACAGACGAGCGTTCTTGTGAAAAGATGATTTTTTTCAAAGAAGATCATTGATTGGCTCAAGACTTTGAGAGGCAACAGTAAGTTTCGAGATACAAGTTTTGAAATCGATGCTGATAGGGAGTAGAAGATCTCGTATCACAATCAGATATCCCGAGTGTGTGAGCAGAATAGGAGGCAGACATCAAGACGTAGTGCCAATGTGCAGGGTCGATAAAAACTTACCTTTACCTTGCGATTACGAGTCATTACCTGTACTACGAAACATGTCACCATTTTCGCTTAGTAGAAATTGCTTTAGGATTCCCGTCAATTCATCTTAGCCACTGAAGCCCCAGCATTCCAGCAATTGACGGGTTCAACAAAGTAATCGACAATTTGCCATCTAGCGGCAGTAGGACTTGGCTGATGCTGTCAGACGATGTGGACGATAGACGCATATCCTTTGGCCAAAGAACGGATTCGAAGGCCGTTAATCAGCTTTATACTGCCAGAATGTTCGCACTGCCTGCCAAAATTAAGGAATTCAAGTGTACTGTTCTCATGTCCTGACGATATAGCGAGGAATTGCAAGGTAGACAGGTCTCTGAGTCACACAAAAACGACCGACTCTCTTGCAAATTTCAAACGGATCCGACACCTTCAACAAAGCAATGCGGAACGCAGTGCCAGCAATAGAACCAATCTGGGCTCTCAACACAAGCAGGAAATAGCGACCACGTCTGACTTGGCATTCCAAAACAAGCGATTTGGCTGATCGGAGGAAGACATAAATTTGGCGGACCATTTGGCAGAGGAATGGACAGTATTGAAGATGAGCTGGTCACGTTGGTAGAGCTCGAGATATCTCCAGTGGCAGAAGCCGTCAGATGAGTGGACACGACGACACGCAAGACTTGTGAGGCATTCGAAGCTGCTCGTCTTGGTTAATGTCACAATGAGCAAGAGGAAGAGTGGATTCAGTCGGCAATGAGGTTGATGTAGTAGTCATTGAAACACAGGAATTGTGAGCAGAGAATTTAGGTAGTCATCAACCATCTTCAATTTTGGTACGTCAAACTTTGAATTGATTACTATTTAAGGAGTTAAGATATCCACAAAGTATGGTCTCCGTTTGCTTTGCTTTCCCAGTCATTCTTGCCACGTTCCTTCCGTGACACCACTATTCCTCCTTCCTCTGTCTCTCGATCACATTTGTATCCTCATTCTGTCTCCTGCTTCCTCAATATGACTCTCTGCAGATGAATTTGTGGGCTCACGATGTGTTGTGCCTCTCATGGGCTGTGTCAAGAAAGTTGACTGTCGGAAGCGAAACGCTGGATGAGGAGGATGCTACCGAAGAGGGATGTTGCTGAAGAGGTAGATTGCTGACTGCTGGACGAGTCCCATCCTCGAAATTAGCTCAATCTCAAAGTTCAAAGTTCAAAGACGAATGTCACTGACCTTTGCACAACCAAGTCCATCAGTATTTGAGACATCTCGGCTCCACTGCAAAGCAGATGGGTACGTAGATGGCACCACGTACAGGTGTGTCTCGTAGCCATCCTCCCTGCCATCGTTAGTATACCCAAAAGCACTGCCACACGACAGTTAGTTGTTAGTTATGTCAGTACTTGTCAGCAACCCAAACACAAGAGCGGAGAATTACTACTGTCCTAAGACAGCTGCACATCCCTCTTCTTCAATGAGCTGTTCACTCAAAGAAGCCCTGAATTCTTCAGATGTCAAAACATCTGAAGGTCAGCCCTTCACTCCAAGTTGCTGACTTTCCTATCCACTCCTAGACAAGAAAAAGTCAGCAAAATCATGAATGTCTTCAAGATGGGGCTCACTCACCTAACTCCAACCCTGCCATGTGTTAGTGCCTCTGAATTTCATTCAATCTATCTACTCAATGTAAAACACAAAAACCCTCAAACACCAAAACGCCAACAACTCCAAGCAGCCACCCATGCTGATTTTTTTTTGCTTTTGTATATTCAAACTTTTTTTGGCACAGAGGTGTTGAACCTCTGCTGTTTTCACCATCAAGACAATGTTGAAGTTGCCTGATTGTCGTTATGTACAACGCTCAAAAAAAACCATGCCCTGTAAACTAATTCGAAGTCAGCTCTAATGTCAATGAGAAAGATCGTAGGATGTCCACTGACCTCCTCCAGAACTAACTCAAACATCCAAGTCACAGTGTACTCTGATGCCGTCATAACTGCACCAAAAACAGCTGCTTCCATGCTCCGGATGCAATTTCTTGTTCCAGAGATGGAGGGATATGGCATTGACCTCGCTCAGCCATTCCCCTTCCGACCTATCATCCTCGGCTCTTTCCTCAGGAGTTCTTCCGACAAATGGTTGCTTGTCTGTTGTCTGGAATTCATCGTCCTCCCGGAACTTGTCCAGCCGTGAATCAGGACAGTCTCGGAACCCCATGACTGGGTCCCAGTCAGGCCATAGATGTGCATCGCGATCAAGCACGAATGGTGGCCTTCTGTCGATTCCGGAGTATTCCCTACGGAATTCCTCCTTGGACATGATAGGTCGGTATCCCGGCCCCAATAACAACTGCATTGTGCGCCTTCCCCCGTCACATATGGATTCATCATCCGAAGTGACAGCTTCAGGGCACTCGCTCGTAGAGCAAGAATTGTCTGCTGCGAATGATGTCAGTCAAAGTGTCAGAAAAAGCCAAGGTAGATATGGACTTACCAGTTGACCCGGGATAGTGGGGCTTAACAGAACCAGCAATGCATGGCCGCGACTCAGACGTGGAACAAGTACGCCAGGTACTCGTTGAATTTGTCGTGTCCGAGACCGTGGTCCATGAGGCCGAGCGTGCATCCACAGAAGAAGGAATATTGACTGGCTTCTTCTTCCTAGCGGCGACGCCTGTCGATCTGGCCGCGAGTGACTTGGGTTTGGCTGAAGCCCCTATGATGAAGAAGGTCAGTATATTTATAGTATGTAACTGCGAGGACATGTGACGATGACGAATGAAGAAGGCAGAAGAGGTCAGAGGCGAGTGAATGGAGGATGGAGTGAAGCCAGCAGTAACACATGATGGTGATGTGCGAGGGAGCGGTGACGAGTATGAAGGGAAGGGAAGCTTACCTCGCTTGTCATTGCTGGCCTGCTTGACTGTTTCACTGACGACTTTGTGTCGTCGAGCTGCTATTCTGTCGTCGACCAATTTCTTGGCCGCCTTTGTGATAGAGACAGATGAAGCTGAAGAACGCGAGCTTCCAGAAGCAACGCGAACAGGCTGAACCTTCTGGATGGTGAGTTTGGCGAGACCATCAGCTAGATCAGCTACAGAAGGCGCAGGTGCGTCAATGGGCCTTGCGGCTAGTCGTTGGACTGGTCTGACACGAGTAACATGGTGCCAGCGTCCAACATTTGATCCAGGCATAATCGGCAACCTGGAGGCGTGCAGCAAGGAAATTGAGGCAGCTGCTGCATGCATGGTGAAGAGAATGATGAGTGTGTGTAGAGTAAGTCAATGATGTAAAGCTGTGTGCAATAATCAAGACCAAGATCAAAAGTGAAGATGAAGAAAGAAGAAAACACTGGAGGGAAACTTGTCTTTCTCCCCAGGCCATATTGACTTTGTCAACAAAGCTACCATAGGGCTCAAATTGGCAAGGGAAAGGCAGAAAATTGGAGAAATCCGAGCGGAAGGGGCGTCAATGTGGGTTGGCCAGGAGAAAGGTCGATTTAGGGAGAAGGAAGATAGGGGGACGTTGAGCTAGGAGCCTGAGTAGGAGGTTCTTTGAAAAGTGGGAAAGGGCGGTAGCAATGATAGTTGCAGTCTGAAGCATTGGAAGCAAACTGATCCTTTGTTGTAGCTTAGCAATTGTAGGAGAGACTTGGTCTAGAGCACCAGAACCAAGCACAGGGCAGCAACAGTGCGGAGCGAGCATCGAAGTCGTATGATAGACACGAAGCTTGTAACTGTAGTGATCTCGAGTATAATGGAGATAAAACGATTGTATAGTCTCTTGATTCTATCTTCGGTGTTGGATCGTGGAGGTAAGCATCTCCATGAACAGAGGTAGTAGGCATGTCGAGCGAGAGGTACAGAAGCTGACACGCCAAAGGTTTGAAGGACTCCCTCTACGAACAGTCAGTAGATATACATAGCATTTGATAGTATAAGCGACAAGGCCGTACTCACATTCTGATAGCCGTCTCAAGGCATGTGTAAGCAACAAATGCCCCCACGCTATCCTGAACAGTAATAAACACGGGGTGAGAGATGGCAAAGTCTCTTCAAGAACTGAATAAACTCAGACTTATTGTCTTATGGGCGATCATTAGCTTGAATCGCTGGGAGTGCTTCACTCCAGATGGGAAGGAGCTATCGACGGAGACAACGCATGAGCACGTCAACGAGACACATATATGTACATGTACATGAAAAACTATCTTACAAGCAGTAACATCGTGAGCAGTGCATCAAAGGACATCGACTGAATCTAGATATTCATAAAACAGGAGCTCCAAAACGTGACCACGGCCGATGACTCCACTTGCTTGCTTTGATTTCAATGGACTTGTACAGGTTCGCAAGAGACCACCGACCTAGCAATCCTTGCGCTCTTCTAGAATGAGACAAAAGGCTACTAACACCAGCCAACATGGCTCGAGCTTTCGGAAATACGAATCGTACAAGAGCTGCAAATTCGCAGGGCTTAAGAGCTAGGACATGTTTGACTGCAAGAGATGAAAGTATGGAGACAGGCATGAGGGTAGTTGGTGTGACTAGAGACACAATAATGGAAAGCATGGATACAACGCGTGGAAGGAGCACAGCAGAAGAAAGAGTATTGACACAGCAAATATGATGACAGGGAAGAGGCAGCGACGGCGAGACAATAGTGACACAGCAGACGTGATGACAAGAATGAGGCATTGACAGCAAGGACTTGTATTGGCACAAAAGGCAAGATAGCAATTGTTTCGAAACGTTCAAACTACCTAGAAGCTATGAGAAGAGACTTCCGGCAGACATCGAACGATCATTAAACAGCCCGCAGCAATCCATTTTCTCGGCCCTTGGGCCAGTCTTCCAAAAGACCATGAAAGAGAAAACCTCGGCAAGATTCTTGATCACAAGAGATTCCATACATGAGATGATGGACTTTGACGCGAGGTGGCGGCAGTAACGTGGCCCTACTTTTGAAGGGTCGTTATTGCCGTGAACCCGCATGTTCCAAGGTAGCAGGTTGCGCTCGAAGTCGAGAGAGATTCCAAGCGATAGAGCAGTGTGTAACTTTCGATAAGTCGCCCAAGGAGCCGGTGACTGCTTGCTAGTCTTGAGAAGGTTGGTCTCCGAAGGGTTGAAGACAAGATTAATATATCGTTTGCTCATCCATCCCCTGCTAGACTTGCATACTGTACATCGCCTTGGCCCGGAGGCAGAGCAATACTACCCAAGTCGTCCGTTCTGTCGATTGCATTGGCATCTTCTCTGGTCGAGCTCGACGTTGGATCACTTTGCTCAGCAGCGGCTACTGCTCGAGCCGTTTCTCTCCCGCTCCTGGCGTATGCCATGCGTTCTTCAGTATCGAGATGATCCAATGCCTTCGGCTTTCCCCAGGTTACTCTCAGCGGTACACCCTGGATGATTGCACGCCCTCTGCAATGATCTGCTGCAACCTCTGCACTATCTCTCGTTGCGTAATTTATGAAAGCACAGTGAGAGCGATGAGAGCACACTATAGATCGTAGAGCCCCAAAAGGGGCAAAAAACGTTCTTATGGCGTGTTCCGGAAGGTCGTCTTCGACACCTGTAACGAACAGGGATAGCACATTTCGGTCTCTTGGTGGTTCCCAGTCTCTTGGTTGTGGTGGTAATTGGGTGGTGCCTGGAAATGCTCGACCCCCTCTAGCTCCTCCCCTTCCACGACTGGCTCTGCTGTCTGAGGTTCGTACCGGTCCAAGGCTTTTTCCTGCTCCAGTGCTGGGTGACATCTCACTTCCTCCCTTGTCACCTTCGGCAGCTTCTATCCTTCTTTGTTTCCTGTAATACGGTTCGCTCTGTGCTAATTTCCTCAACAAATCTCTCCCTTTCTCATCTTCTTTCTCAAATTCTTCAAGACCAACCCCATCTTCCAAAGCCTTCTCATTATTCTGAGCGTAGTACTCTCTATTGACGCCGGAGTTGGGGGCAGAGCCAGCTAGTTTGAGCGCAGCGTCTCTGATTGTAATTGGCAGCCCGAAAGACAGATCCAACAGACATGACTGGCAGCAATTCCGTGTCCGTGCGCATGTTAGGCAGATATTTGTTCGCTTTGATCGTGTAGTTCGATCTGGTTTCCATGTGAAGACTGAGAAAGGCCGTGTACATATCTTGCACTCCAGGCCGTGATCTTGTTTTAACATCTGTACATATGGATTATCTGGGAGGCAGTTCTCACAAACGGAGGGGAAATCTGTGGACTCCCATCCTGAGCGGTTGAGATCTTGCTTTATTTGTGGCGGCATGGTAGGAACGGAAGGCTGTTGTCGATGGAGTCACGGTGGTAAAGCAAAGGGTACGCTCTTTGACTTCTCGTTCAAGAAGAACGTTCCAGTACGATATGGGTACGGATAATCCGTTGGTTCGCTGAGTAATGACCTGTGGTCTGATATTCGGGCACTAGGGAGGGAAGTTGCCGACGCTAGCGCGCGATTGCACGCGGAGTGGCCTAGAACTCAAAATTTTCAATATCCCCTTTCGCCGCGTGCCCTTCAAGGGCTGCCGCTCCTGCCCCTTCCATTGTCCTCACAGGATTAAAACCTGCTCTTATGGCTCCCATTGCACTTGAACCAGAGGATCACTCGCGAGATGCCGCCTTCAATAAGGCCATGCATGGCAAGTCTGCAGCTTCAAAGGGCGGCCTTGCATCCATGTTCAACAAGGATCGCTCTGCTCACAAAGCCGCTTCTGAGGACTATTGGAGACATTGGGATGACAAACTAGCTGGCACCGAGACGGAAGAAGTTCGAGAGGTGATAGTGCCTCAAATAAATCCAATGATCGCGTGCTGATCGATTGCTAGGCAAGACGAGCAGAATATGCTACATTGACTAGGCATTACTACAACCTTGCAACTGATCTATACGAGTATGGCTGGGGATCTTGCTTTCACTTCTGCAGATTCGCATATGGAGAAGGGTTCTACCAAGCAATTGCTCGTCACGAGCATTATCTGGCCCACATGATGCAGATGAGGGAGGGTATGCGGGTCTTGGACGTTGGATGCGGCGTTGGAGGACCTGCAAGAGAAATTGCAAAGTTCACTGGCGCAAAAATCGTTGGCTTGAACAACAATGATTACCAGATTGAGAGGGCAACACATTACGCTGCGAAAGAAGGCCTGTCCAGCCAATTGAGCTTTACTAAGGGCGATTTCATGGTCAGTGTCTGACACGACCTGCTCAAAATAAGCTAATGCGTAATAGCAAATGAGCTTCCCTTCAGAATCCTTTGATGCTGTGTATGCGATTGAAGCAACAGTGCATGCTCCATCATTAGAGGGCGTCTACTCCCAAATATATCGAGTTCTCAAACCAGGAGGTGTGTTTGGAGTTTACGAATGGTTGATGACAGAGGCGTATAACAATGAAGATCCCCACCATCGAGAGATTCGGTTAGGCATTGAGCAAGGCGATGGTATCTCCAACATGGTCAAGATCTCAGAGGGTCTCAAAGCGATCAGAGCTGCAGGCTTCAATCTCGAAGTCGCACAAGATCTAGCAGACAGCTCCGATGCCAGACCGTGGTATTATCCACTTGACGGCGATCTCACCATGGCTAGCAGTCTCGGAGACCTCGTCACAATTGCACGGATGACCCGAGTAGGACGATTTATTGCACATGGGGCAGTTGGGTGGCTTGAACGATTCGGACTCGCTCCTAAAGGAACCAGGAAAACTGCTGATAGTCTCGGACTGGCTGCTGATTGTCTGGTGGCCGGCGGAAAAGAAAACCTCTTCACACCCATGTACCTGATGATCGCCAGAAAACCAGCAGCTTAAGATGACACGATGTCTCTCAAGCTTTCATAATTCGAACGCTGTGTCCACCAGCTTGTAATGACCACATATCGACGGGCCGTGTACAAAAACTAGTGAGATCATTCTCAGTAATTGCTAATAAGGCATTGCTGGCTTCAGCTCGCATCCTCAAATGTATTTAGAACCTATTACATAGCATGAAACAGAATACCAGTCACATCGATCAAGAATATAAATTTATCGTGACCCTCTGGGAGGATTATTGCCAAATATCACTAGCGCGATTTCGGGAACTTAAAGATTCCGGTACCTTTTCTCGCCGAGAGCTGAGTGAGCTTCAACAAAATTCCCAACATCGGCTTCAGATTGACTCCCAATCCAGCACAATGATACTCATTGACTGCTAGCATCTACCTTCCTGCACACTTCGACTTCATTTCGACACCAACATGATCTCCTCGCGTCTGGTCTGCACCGGTCGTCGCCTTGTCACCTCTCAAACCCGAGCCACAATAACTCCGCTCCGACCGGCTTTCCACACAATACCCACCGCTCCCTCAGTAACAAGTCGACGGAAATATGCAACACCTAGTGGAACAAAGGACGTGGCTGTCAGAGATGCATTGAATGAGGCATTGGCGGAGGAGCTAGAGTCAAATTCGAAAGTCTTTGTGATCGGGGAAGAGGTGGCTCAGTACAATGGGGCCTACAAGGTCACGAAAGGTCTATTGGATCGATTTGGGGACAAAAGAGTCATTGACAGCCCTATCACCGAAGCCGGATTCTGTGGCCTTACCGTCGGGGCTGCTTTGGCTGGGTTGCATCCAGTAGTGCGTCAATGTGAACGGTGTTACCGGATCGCTGAGCTAATTTTCACAGTGCGAGTTCATGACGTTCAACTTTGCGATGCAGGCAATTGATCAGATAATAAATTCGGCCGCCAAGACACATTATATGTCCGGTGGCATCCAGCCCTGCAACATTACCTTTCGAGGGCCGAATGGGTTCGCATCTGGAGTTGCAGCCCAACATTCGCAGGATTATTCTAGTTGGTATGGCAGTATACCCGGCCTTAAAGTGGTGGCACCATACAGTTCGGAAGACGCAAAAGGCTTGTTGAAAGCTGCGATCCGAGATCCAAATCCAGTAGTTGTCTTGGAGAATGAGTACGCAGTTTCGCCGGACCCAGCTTACTCATGGATGTTGACATGCTGACTCGATCGATCTGCAGACTATTATATGGATCGACGTTCCCCATGTCCGAAGCAGCCCAAAAAGACGACTTCGTGCTACCCTTTGGCAAGGCTAAGATAGAGCGACCCGGCAAGGATCTGACTATCGTCACACTCTCGCGGTGTGTCGGTCAGGCGCTGACAGCAGCTGAACAGCTCAAGAAGGCTTATGGTGTCGATGCTGAGGTGATCAATCTCCGATCGGTCAAACCTATGGACGTTGAAGCTATCGTCAAATCCGTGAAGAAGACGGGACATCTGATGGCACTTGAGAGCGGCTTCCCAGCCTTTGGAGTTGGTGCGGAGCTCCTTGCTCTCACGATGGAGTAAGTCGCATGGCAGGGTCCCTCCCATCGTGCACGGCTAAGATTGGTACAGATATGCGTTCGACTATCTAAATGCGCCTGCCGTAAGGATCACAGGCGCAGAGGTCCCAACGCCGTATGCTCAAGGGTTAGAAGACATGAGCTTTCCACAAGAGGAGACGATTGTAAAATACGCGGCTAAGTTATTGCGGGTCTGACTCCCATAGGCCACCGGGTCGACTTGCCATTGCAAGAGTCTCGCATCTACTTGCTCCAAGTATGACGGTCTCGATCTTCAAAGCTCATGCAATCATCCAGCGGCGTACCGGGAAACTTCGTGGTGTATTTTGACAGCGAGAGTCTAGGCGCTGGTGGCAGAGGGTCGATGGGAAATGGCGGTCAGACCCTTGATAGTAGTAGCGACGGTCGAACGTGACCGTGTTGTGCTGCGGGGGTCTTCGGCCTCTAGGCTGAGATGATGAGACGAACGCAATGGCTTTACCATTGGATCTTTGCCGGCCTTGCACTACTGCAGGCATTGATAAGTACATCAGATTAGGTTCGCGTCGATCGGAGATTTTATGGCGAACCGTTATGCGGAGACCGTCGGCTGAACCATTCAGAGTGATCCATCTGCGATCGCTCACCAGCCTGCACCAGTGCTGCTTGTGCTCCTTCCCTTTCGGGCAAATCCACATCCTTCCCATCCTTCCCATCCTTCACCCGCCCTTCCATGCCTGACTACTGCCACTCTCCAACAGCCTCTCGCCTCCATACCCTCTGGGCCTCCCAGCACATGCAGGTCTCACCGGTCTTGCATATGCGCAGCGCCACATAGTGCGCACGACACGATCCGCGGCTCTAGACAACCGAGCGTGTCTATCATGCACTCAATCCTCATCTGCTTGAAACGGAGAATTTATTTGTTTAGCGTTTGCTTCAGGCACGAGCTCCGGAATATACGCCCGGCATTAGCACCGCTGCTGGTGGCTGCCTGCCGTCGCACGCCTGCAACACGAGTCGGCTCAAGCCCGACTGGACTTCGCGCCACCTCCCACTGTGCTACTTGCCTAATGGCTCGGTGCTGTTGCCAATGGACCCTCGACGACCCGGCGCATCTGGAGACCCTCTCATACCATCTACACCTCCGGATATTCGACCAACCGTCCACTATAAGACTACCAATCTGCGCCTGCCGTTTCATTCGCCCGAGGCTCGATCATATTCCATCTCCGCTTTCCTGGCCTCATCTTACTAGTAGCATTTGATTATGAAGCCATTGGAGCATTTCCCTCTATGGATTTTCAAGCTAATCCTCGATAAATCCAGGTGCTCTTCTTCACACGGCACAGCATCATTCGTCACTCAAATCGGCTTTACAATGAATTTGATATTTTATTCTGGTTGCATGTAAACCATGTAGGCCGAACATCTCCACTCTGTGATTTCTTATGCAATTTTGGGCCTGTCGAGCGATGATTATCATGTTGAACGGACGGAGACATCTCAGTCTGCTGTTAAGTATACATCTGCATATTAGACTCAGCATGACCTACATAATCTCAACAAGTGCAGTCTACCAACCCTTTGCTATATATCCCATCATGGTTGCGAGACCTGTGCATTTCATCCTTCCATTTGTGTCGTGTTTACGCTTCTGGGGTATTCGTTGAGCGTAAGACTGGACAACTGCTCTAGCTGTCAGTGATGTCCATCAGAAGAAAACAATATGATCAGAGGAGGAACCCATCTCCTCGTTGTCCCGCGACTTTTACCGCGATACCCTTAGAACTACGTGAGGAGATATACGATTATTTGGCCCACGACTCACTATCAGCACTCTTGAGCCTGCTTCTCACCACCCGACGCATGGCTAAGGAAGTGAAACCTTTTCTCTACAGGCGACCGCATCTATTTGACGGACAGTGCGAACTTTTCACATGGCTTGAGGAAGCTGATCAAGATTGCTTCCAATATGTCATGGATCTTCGTATCAAGCTGGTTGACATCAACCCTGAAACAATAGTTGGTGTTTTGGGCAAACGACTTCGCGACTCGCAAGTCACTAGAGAGGACCTTCGACCTGGTGATGATCCTAGGGGCAATCCATATTACGAAGCCTGCTTTGAGGAATTGAAAAAACTACAAAAGGCATTCACAATGTTGCCGGCGGTCAGAAATCTCACCATTGTGGAACATACACACTTGGATCCAACACCACCAGCACAAATGAATGATATGTTTTCGAAAATGCTGAGTCACTGTTTCCCAGACTTAAGAGAGCTCTCTTGCACGAAGACTATATTTCCTATCAACTGTATGGGCAACAAGCCAAGGCTACGCCGACTGTCGTTCACCGCCAACAGCAGCAGCAAAGACGAACAGATTGCAGCAACCGTCAAGGAGTTGCCCAGTCTTCATCTCGAGCTTCGCCGTATTGAGAAGATAGATCCGGCACAGTTCGACTGGGGATGTACAAGCGAAGTCTTGGCCAATATCCCACCACTTCAAAGCCTTTCACTACTGGAGGATGTCAGGTCTCAAGACCCCTCCCTCGTGGAAGAAGTTTTCATTGAATCTTTTGATGCTATGAGAAGACATTTGAGATCTACACAGAGCTTGGTCATCATCGCTAATCCGCCATCGCAAAGCCCAAAAGCTGGCATAGTGAAGAAGAACCTATTTCGCTTTCTAGAAGCATCAAGGCTGCGGCATGTGGAAGTGAAAGGAACATACTCCTCCATCTACCGACATCTTCCAGCATCAATCCAGAAATTTGTACTTCGACTGGACCGACAATGCTGTGAGTCTGTCGAGTCCGAAGAGCTGTTCTCCGACGTAGTGGAAGACTTCATGAGTCATGTCAAATTTAGAGCAATCGACACGCAGAATGATCCAAACATCCCAGGACTGATAAATCTGACAGAGATTGAAATCTGGATTCATGGACATCCACAGCTACTAGAACCAGATGACGATGACGAGAATCCGAGGCTTCTTGCGGAAAAAATTAAGATGCAATTGCGAAAGATTGGGATTCATTTCAAGCTCGTCATCACCCCTCCAAACAGACACTTCTCCGAAAGTATCTCAGCTGGTAATTAAGTGGGGAATGCTCTTTGTAAAGAGGATGATCAATGTCATGAACAACTACATACGTCACTGCTGCGAACATCTCATATTTCTTCACGTGCGGCACCGGCGATGCTACCGGATGGTCAAACTCAAATCCAACGACATTTCCTACTCAGTCCGAAGGTAGCCCTCAGAGATTACCAGACAGGTAATGTACGGGTAAATCTCGCCGTCACCGAGTGTTGATGATGGACAAATTTCCTTTTTGTGACAGGGGCAAACTTGCTTCGGTATTGAACGGCAAAAGCAAGCTGTTTAACCCCTCAAACGCCCATGACGACATGACGACACAAAGTTCATTCACAACAAGCAATACGAAGCGTTGAAGTAGCAAAGATGCAGAAGAGAGCACAATTATTCATTCTATATTCCCATTTCAACATATACAGCATACACATTTGAGAGAAGGAAAGGAGATGAACAGAATCAGATAGAGCAGCGAAGGACGGACCTTGGCAGGTATGAATTGCATTCTCAAAGGATATTTCAATCTTTCATCGTGCAGTAGACAGTATGCACAGGTGAATGTACATAGCAGGATAATGAACACAGACCATCTAGAATATTGGACGCTTCCCATGTCTCTTTTTTCTCTGACTTGACATGACGTGAATTCAATGCTTTGCCATCATGACAACGCGTTATCGCCAAGTCTTTCACTGATGGTCCCACGACCATAATCGTATGATCGACCCCCTCCTCCACAATCCTTCAGATTCTTAGTCTGACCGAAGTAGACCTTGACATGAGAAGCAAGAGTAGCTGAGACAGAAACGGCATCTCAGAGAGACTAGTGATGGACCGAGAAGGTGAGATGGATATATTCGGGTTTTTCTGAGCACGGACCGGAAAGGCACGAGCACGGGCGACGGAACGGCGATGCTCGGTGGTAGTTAGACGCTGCGGGGGGCACCGGGTTCGCTTGAGGAGGGGTTGGAGCGGATGTGAATGGAGGTCGCTTGTGGTCAAGGTAGCAAGAGAGAAAGGCTCTGCTTGAGAAAGTAGGATTTGTGATTGGGATGCTGTAGACCTATTATAGCTCCAGTGACCCATCACCTTTCTTCTCGTCATCCTCATCTTTACACTTCCAATTTTCCCTTACCCATTCCCCGATAATTTGTGTCATGCTCTTGCCTTCCATGTATGGTGCTGTGCTTTCTTCATCGAATCCTGTTCCTAGGAACTTCAAGGCCAGTAGCACGTATTTTTCTAGGAATGAGTTATACACCAGATCCACAGTCCTGGGATCTTTCTGGTCAGCGGTGGCGGGAAAAGCGACGCGAGACTCTATGCAATTCGGAACATTGTAGAATTTGATCGTTGAGTGGATAGTGTCGTCGCCATCGCTACCACCGTCATCGTGAGTCGTGTAGCCGGGTATGAGGTCTTCATCATCATGCTTATCCAATGGAGCTTGAAATGGGACTTGTCGGGAAGGACCGACGGGACTAGCTGGGTTGGACCTCTCGTCGTCGCCTTGAGACACAAGATTACCCAGTGGCACAGGTGCGATAGCCTTCAGCTCCGCGGCCAACTCTATCGGCCATAATTGTGGCACCTCTTGGTTCAAAATCTGTAGTAATCGCTTTGCGACATTGAAAGGAACATCTTTGATGAAGCGAAAGCCTGACGTGAAGGGCGAGACGGCGTACATGCTATCAATGGTAAAAGGGCCTTCGAAGATGTCAAAGCGCATGGCGCCAGTGTTGGTGAGTACCACGTGAGGAATATCTTTGCGTTCCTCTGTTGCGACTGTGTCGGGGAAGATATGGTCTTGGATGAGGGTGAAGAGACTGTCAGGGCTAGGAATGGGGGCACGATTCGTCCAGTAAGTTTGTGGTGCGCAGCCGAATTTGTCGTCAAGGTTGAGCTTTTTTCGGGCAGTCCTGATCTTAGCAGAGACATTGAGACCGTGGGGAGTGGGGAATGTCGAGGCGTTGAGCGTGGTGTGGTGATGGAAGGAATAGAGGTTGTTGTCGATATAACGACGTGAGAAGCTTGGAGAGGCTGCAATTTGCGACGAGGCTCGATTTGAGCCAAGGTGAGTAGAAGAGCGTGAGTAATGTTTGTTGTTGCCTCCGGCATTCAGCCCGTCGATGGACATGAAACCCACGGTTTCGAGGTATCTTCCACTCTGCAAACCATATGCCTTCTTATCGAATTTCTTGAAGTCTCGAATGTGCGAGTGACCGCCGAAGAATTGAATGGGTACATCCCATTGTTGGCCACGAATGGCTTTGTATATTGCCTCGAACTCAGGTGAGTGAAGGTCGGCATGACCGATGACTAGGACAAGATCGACTCTGCGGTCTCGAATGGCGTCTTGGAACCATTTCTCTTTTATTGTATCTTCGACCTTCTGTACAAAAATATTTTTCGCACCGTTATTGAAGTTGAAAAGAAAACCAAATGAGAGGATACGGATGCCCTGGTTTTTCGTTGTGAACTTCTTGAATCTCTGAGCCAGAGGCTTCCTTTCCCCAGCCCCGCCGTCTTCGATAATGTCAAGGTTTGAAGCGATGTAAGTGTCTTCGAAATGTGGCACTGTGGTATTGTATTCATATTCAATTGATGCTACTTTGTACAGCTCATGATTGCCGGAGCATATTGCGTCAATGCTCTGCTGGGAGAAAATATCGAGGTCATATTTCCCCTTGGGTCGTGAGGCGTCATAAAGACCGTTGCCCTCTATCCGATCGCCTGTGTCTATGAGTAATAAGTCCTTCCCTTCCTTGTCGGACTTCAGACGTAATCTCTCAGAGAAGGAGATGTAGTCGCCCCAGTCAGCACTATACGATGGTCTGCGTTTGTGTCAAAGTAGGTCGGAGCTGGTGCCTGTATGATGTACATACTCCTGTAAGTGTCCAGCATGCCAGCCGTGTGTATCTGTTGTGTGGAGGAAGTTCAGCTGACCCCAAGAAAGGTCCCTCAACGGAGCTGATACCGGAGAGACTGCGGATGGTTGCGCTGCTAATACGATGCATGCAAGCTCGAAAGGCAATGCCCAAAGGGCTCGTGTAATACCCATGATTTCGTTAATTTCTCAAAACTAGGTATTATTTCATTTCGCTCGAAGTACGGTTCCCAAGGTTGCTGGCGGGTGCTACATATTCCTAGTCTTGGCACAATAGAACTATAGCATGCTCCCTATCTTACCAGTCGTGAGCAAGAATCAAAAATATTTAGTAGCAAAGCTGTTCGAAATAGCTTAAGAAGTATCCCTTGTATACAAAGTCTTGTTAAAAAGAGGCATCTTCGCTGTCTATCGCCGTTATTAAAGTATGCAATTTCTGTAGCACGAGCCAAGGGCCGGTTGCCGGCAAGCTGTGGCTGGTTGAGCTTCGTGATTACATAATTATATAGAAATCTTCTATACTTCGTTTGAATAGCATCTCCTTTTCGCGTGTCAAGCATGGAATTCCTTTCTTACCATGCCATAAACCTTTCAACGGTCCGAGCGACTCCAGAGCCGAACAAAATTCTCATTCAATACGCAGAAATAACCGAGCCCCAACGAATGACGTGGATTCCCAGACAAATGCTGTGAAGCTTTTCCGATATCAATGACCCTCGGGTCATCTATTGGCGGACCTTCCTATTTCCGCAGCCATTTGAGAGATGCGACACAATCTACTGCCTGGACGAGACCCTTCGACTCAGCAAGAGCCGTCGGAGAACGAACGGTCGAGTTGGCGTATCATCTGCTACAGAGCCTTACAATAGAAGCCCAACGCTGCTTGTCTTACCCAAGAGAATCATTAGTGTCTGACAGGCGAAAGGCACGGTCAAGAATGGCATTGTGAGCCATTGCAAATCGGGAAAGGCCCAGACCAGGACGTGACATCTCCGGAAAAGGGATTTCTAAGACAGCCTACATGACAAGTCGACACGCAAAAGCGAGGTCCCATAGCTGCATATATGCACGAGCCCTTGGACCTCGAACCATATGACATATGCATCACGGTTGAACAATACCTTGGGCACTCGACCGAAAACTAAGCCTCTGATGAAAGTCAATCGGCCAAGCTCGGACAAGCTGCACCTGCGCTTGCTTGCGCACTCTTTCACATCGACCGAATGGCTCAACCATTGCTGCCTTCGTATCACAGTGGCATTCATATGCATTTGACTGGTGATCACCGAAGCCGTGGACCTATCGCGTATCAGTCCCGAATGGTAGCCAATCTGATTGTCGCTTCTTCTACGAAGGTATAACCAAACAATATTACCCTTTGCGGATCGCCTGAGGGGCATGCATAACCCCTCTTGCCACGATAGCGTATGAGCGTGCTTTGGTCCCTGGGCCAATCGTAGGACTCTTTAGAGAATGACATCGAATGTCTGTCCGTACTCATTGTGATCCAGTGAATATACTCAAAAGCTCCCATGTCTTCGCTCTGCCTTCCTCTTGTACATTGGTTTCGGAAACTCTTTCCTTCTCATTCTTCCATGGCGACGGCACGTCAAACGATTGCTCTCGCCGGCGTCGGCAATCTTGGTCGCTACATCTGTGAAGAGTTCGTTGCCTCACCAGACTTTGATGTCGTCGTCCTTTCACGGGATGCTGCGGGCAAACCATGGATGAAGAACCTCGACCTCACTGTTTCCCAGACCGACTATACGGCTGCATCCCTCACCAAAATCCTCAACGACAGCAAAGCTTCGATTCTCGTTTCCGTCATCAATCTCATCGACCCCTCCTACGTCACCGTACATGCTGAGCTACTCTCCGCCTGCCGTCAGTCTGTAGCATGCAAGCACTTAATTCCTTCAGAGTTTGCTGGCGACTGCGAGAAGTACCCATTGAGACCAGGCTACTATGTTAACACACGTGAGCCTTTTCGACAAATGCTGAGGGAGCAAAGAGACGTGAAGTGGACTCTGGTCAACATGGGCTATATCATGGATTATCTCCTGCCACAAAGCAAGACACATATGTTGCCTCTTGTTCCAGAATTTCCAATCGACGCGGAGAAATGGCATGCGACTTTGAGAGGTACGGGAGATGAAGTTCAGAGTATGACAAGGGCAAGAGATACCGGAAGGGCAGTTGTGGAGTTGTGCAAGGCAAAGGAATGGGTAGGTGAAACAGGCTATACTTGACACTATCGCATGCCGTCTTGGATAGACCTGATTTCACAATGGAGCTGAGGAGACACTGACTTGTTCCCTAGGAGCCGTATACATTCATCTCAGGCGAGTGGACCACTTTTAATCAAGCTATCAAGGAATTGGAGTCGTATTATGGTACAGCGTTCTCCCTTGTCTCCACGTCTTATCCATTAATGCATGCTATCACGCAGGTAAATCAATGCCTCGAGCTCACAGGTCCCTTGACGAGATCCGCCAGGTCCTGAGTAAAGCGGACGAAGGATTCACTTTTGAGATCGCTCTAGCGCAAGTGGAGGAAATGATAGTGGAGGAAAGCTTCACGTTTCCAAAGGAGAAGACGTTGGCACAGCGGGAGAAGTACCTTGGTGGGATGAAGTTCATGAGTTTCAGGGACTTGTTGAAATATGCAGAGACCGTGGATAAGGTTTAAATGAGTAGACACATACCAGCACATAACAGCTGATCATTAGTTGGAGGCAAAAACGTCATTGATGTCCAAAAGATCAAGGCTGGTTGCTACTATGCGTTTCACGCGTGCTGCGTTACCTCTATGGTCGGTCCCTCAAAACTTGAAGACCCACTTCCAACAAACAGAAATACGGGCAGTAAAATGACAAGACTCATCAACCCTAGCGATATCGATGTGAAGCACCATCCAAGCGAAGCGCAAACAAAGTGCATGTACAACAGTCCTGCGACCATTCCACCAGCGACGAAAGCGTTCATCAAACCGTAAGCCTTTGCGTATGCCCTGTTCGGCTGAGATGCTCCTGGGATACTCCCTTCAATGCCGTCCACGACTTTCGCAGCTTCTGCTCTAAATGGCGGCATCGACAGCATAAAACTTACTCCAAGCAGAAACAAGAGTATCGCGAGCTTCGACAATGGCATACTGGTTTCAGGCCCGAAGAGGCCTAAGAGGATCAGCGTGGGGATCACGATTATGAGGCCGCTAGCCGCAGGCCACTTTGCACCGAAGCGGTCGGTCAGGGTGCCCGAAATTGGTGCGAGGAAGACGGGAAGTATCATGACGAGGAATAATGCTGCCGTCTGCAGTGGGGCAAGATGAAATGTGGAGCTGATTTGTGAGGGCAAGACCCAGATGATGCCGTATTGAATGCCGGTAAGGAGTGAAAGGGCGATGCTGGCCGTCATGAAGCGGGTAGAGCGGAGGAGTAGGAGAGCTGAAAGCTTATGGATCTCGAAAGCGGGCTTCGGTAAGAGCGGGCTTGTTTCTACATCGTCTGATGGGCGTCGTCCGGAATTGCTTGCTTCAGCGTGATCAGACCCCCGATCGTCGTCGTCTTCCATGGAGGCTGGCTTGCTGGAGGTGTACATGAGGGCGGGTACGTTGCTCGTTGCGACAACTGAGGCGCTTTCACGGCGTGTTCGATGCTCTTTGATCGTGAAACTCAACGGGAGTATGAGGAAGGCCAAAATGAGATTTGGGAGAAGGGCCTGCGAACGCCCGCTTCGCTCGTGCGCTGAGCTTTCAATCATGAGGCCAAATTGTAAGCCAAGAGTTTGAGCCATGCTGGCATAACCCATCGTCTTCCCAGCGCGTTGTCCACCGAGCAAGTCAGCAAGAAGTGCATATCCAAATGTTGAGATCAAGGCGGTCGAGACACCTTTGAGCATGCAAGCAACTACAGTCACCGGAAAGGAGCCCGCGAAGGTGAAGAAGAAGGCTGCTATACCCGACAACATAAAACCAAATGTCAACGGATCCCGCCGACTTTGAAGTGCATCACCTAATTCAGCAGAGAGCACTGCCAAATTTTACAGAATTAGCCCGATCTGATAGAGTTGAGCAGCTCTGTTGCAACGTACAGGATCCAACCATACTCGCAGCGGAATAAGTCGCCAACGAGATGTAGTTCCATCTTTGCCCTCCTTCATGTTTCGACCACACTGGCGAGGGTAGACCTGTACTCAGACCCAACAGCGAGTCGTAGAAGAATATCAAGCATGAAACTAAAATGACGAAAGTCAAAGAAGAGCGGAATTGTGCGACCATTATGCTTGATGGACTGTTGTTGAATCGCTCCTGTTGTCGCTAGTTGACACAGACTGCTGTACAAAATGCTTGAATAGCCTGGGTTGAGTCAGAGTCGAACTGCGACGATTTCACGTCATTCATGTTGACTCTCGAGTCTACCTCGAGTGGGATGCTAGGATATATCACTGCACTCAAGGTAGTAAAGCGGTTGTTCAATGGCTCGTCCTACGCCCCTCGATAACCCTCTCCCATAGCTTTCATCAGTCTTCGCCCTTTTCGTACAGCATCAACTTGAAAAGAAGACCACAGTGAAAGCTGACGTATATTGCCTATCAATAGCCCTCCGATATGAGTTATCGGACGCTGGCCAGGATCCATCCGAAAAATCGCAGAATTGTATGCTTCATGCGGACATGGTCGGCTACTACCCCGCACGAAAATTGCTCAAAGCTACTCTGAGGCTCAATTGAATGCATTGTAAACAAAGTTCTTCTGGACCTTGATTTGCACGATTGATACTTGCCATTTGCTTCAGACGTATTTGGTCCTTCAAGGGGCCAACCTCCGCGCTTTTCATTATCTCGGTGAACAGAGTCCTTGCAAAATTGCATAAAGTGCTGTTGAGATGGACTGCGAAAGTGCGTAGTGGTCAAGTTATAACGAACAGTAAAGTGAAAGCATTAAAGACTTCCTGTATACTCTAAGGGTTCGCGGAAGCAGGGCATTTACCAATGATGGAAGGGCTGAGCACGTGTAATTCGGGGATCATTAACAGCTAATCACCACATAGTCTTCGAATGTGATGATTTTGCTCTCAAGTTTTTGAAAGGCAAGAAAGGCTATTCGCAGCGACAACTTAACAAGCACATTGGATTGACAAGGCCTCAGGTACCAAAAGAATTGCATATTCTGGCCTTAGCGGAATTTTGCAGGCTTAATATCTCGTCGATTTCAGAGTCTATAAAGAAGTTTCTGCCTAAAAAGTAATTGATATGTCTATTAAGAGGATACAAAACACAAAAAGTTCCATTGAAAACCTTTTCGTTGGCGATATACAGTCATATTCCTAATTTCAGAATATGCGATTATTTTGCCAAGGTTGACACAAGGGAGCTAAGGTAAGGTAAGGTAATAGGCCGGTAATAAGCCTCGCTGCCAAGACTTATGCCAAGCCAATCCTACCTTATCGAGTACCTTGAAGTACCTCACAGCAAGGTCCTTTAGAGTTGTAGGCTCTGACCATCAGACCCGATCATGCTCGAGGCCTAAGCAAAAAATATACCTTGGGTCGGCAAGCCAGTCTTAACAGAGTCCTCGTTCTCGCTTCGGTCATGCACTTGAGGCTGAGGTATAGCTTCCTCCATGGGGTCTATTTACAAGAAGACCTTGCCTACCTATGTCTCTCGGCAGAGCAGTCCGCAATCAAAAGAAATACAAACACCTCAATGCAGTCATCTCGTCCACAGTTTGGTCTCGCGACGCCGAGGTGAAGCTTCAAAAATACCCTGAGAATCCCAGGGTTGCACTCCTACCGTTACGCTCTCGGTGGGAATGGAATCAATTTGTCTTCGTAAAAGATAACATATGCACCAAAGAGGATGCACCAGTTACATGCGGATCTGCATTACTCGCTGAATATCGCAGTCCTTTCAAGGCAAGCGTCATATCTAAGTTGGAGGCACGTAAAGCGCCTATCGCAGGTACTACCAATCTGGATGAGTTTGGGATGGGGTCTGACACGACACACTCTCATTATGGTGTAACAAAGAACTCATACTCTGACCAATTATCAGCCGGAGGTAGTTCTGGGGGTAGTGCAGTGGTCGTTGCCACGAACCAATGCAGATATGCTCTAGGAACAGACACAGGAGGATCGATCCGTCTACCAGCTGCGTATAATGGGGTTGTGGGATTCAAACCCTCTTATGGGATGGCACCAAGAAAGGGTGTGGTAGCTTACGCCAACTCGCTTGATACTGTCGGTGTCCTCGCGCAGAGAACTTGGAAAGCTCTCAATATTTTGGCATGCATACGCTCCCATGACGATGGGGATCCAACCAATCTTCGTGCATCGCAACGTGAGGGAATAAAGCTTAGAGAGAAGCTCCACAGAGCCAATCTGGAGAACACTGGTATTAAATTGCGTATTGGGGTGCCAAAAGAGTACAATACGCTTGAACTACAGCCTGTCGTCCGGGATGCGTGGATTCGTACCCTTCAGCTGCTCCAATATGCAGGCCAGTCAATACATCCAATCTCATTGCCATCAACCCGGCTAGCTCTTTCGACATATTACATCCTCGCTCCTGCCGAGGCCTCGTCAAACCTTGCTAGGTACGATGGAATCAGATACGGAAGGAAGAAAGAGCGATCAGACGCAAGCAGTGAACGCCTTTTTTCTCAGACTCGAGGTCAAGGCTTGGGAGAAGAGGTAAAGAGGCGAATTCTCTTAGGCGCTTACAGCCTTAGTGCTGGCGCTATTGACAACCATTTCATTCAAGCCCAGAAGGCTCGCAGACTTGTTCAGGAAGAATTTGACAGAGTATTTGCATTCCCTAACCCACTCAGGGAAAATCGAGATGTCTCAGACGCGAATACAGAAGAAGGTGTGGATATGATCATCACGCCTACCGTGCAATCATTACCTCCAAGATTGGAAGATGTAAGGGCTAGACACCCCGTCGACTCATATAGCGCAGATGTTTTGACAGTCCCGGCAAGCCTGGCCGGACTTCCTGCGGTCAGCGTCCCGGTGCCTGTCCCCAGAGAGTACGGCCCTGTAGCAGAAGGTGTGCGCTCGACTGCAGTCCAGATCATCGGCCAATTCTCTTGTGACAGCATGGTGATAAGGACTGCTCAGCTCATCGAGGCCCTTCACGCTATCACGGGCAACGACCTAGCGAAGGAGCTCACGCCAGATCAAATCAGTGGCGTCAAGGATGTCAACGCTTTTAGCGATACCTTTGTGGCACGGACCGTCAACGACCACGTACATTAGGCTAGACATTGAAGACGTCGAAGCGTGAAAGACACACTTGAATCCCCTTTGGAAACGTCATTTGAAACGGGATCAATCGGGTTCTGATATCGATATCCACAGAAGGGCCGCTGTGACGGAGCGTTAACCATGCAGGTAGAATACCAGGGGATGTTGTGCACGCTCTTGAGGTCTACGTTGTGCGAGTCTGGTGTGCGATCCCAGGCGAATGGCTTGCAACTCATCGTCGAATAGTGAAGAATCTCACCGCACTTGACGCGGTCCTAACAGGCTTCATACCAGGCTGATCATATCGTAAACCCAAGGAAACGCGGATGAGTGGATGGGACGGCGGAAATTGTTCAAGATAAGGTGAAAATGCAAATAGGTGGAAACCTTCAGGAACAGAATGCCATGGGATATTCGAGATGACCAGCGAGGGGAGTACAGCTACAAATGATGCTGTCTCGGACGTTAATAATCGCAAAGGAAGCGGCGAGGAAGTGGACGATGATGCGATTTTTGATAATCCGATTCGATCTAGTATATCGACGCTAGCTTTAGCTTCATCCAGCCAAGATAGAGATGCCGCCCGCGCAAACCAAGCCACTGCACGACCCAATTGCCTTGTAATACATTCCATGCTCTCCTATCCCGAAGACGGGGACCCTTCTGCAGGTAGTTCACCTTTTTCGTGGCTGCCATGCGCTCCTGCTAGATCTTTACTATTTGCCTTCATTGTTCATGTTCAATATTTAGAGACATTACTTGCTTCTGGGACATCTGGAATCTAGCATCAGCGTAATTCGGAACCTGTCCTATTACTATTTGTTGCTTCACCGACATATGTGGCAAGTCTATGCGATTGCTTGAGATCTGGCCGAGTAGCTTTGCTGATGTTGTAAAAGTGTGCAAAACAACATCCCTTCTATCCTACTCGACTAGTTTGCCCCACCCTCGAATACCATCTCCCCTAGCTCCGACGTAACATATAATGAATGGCTCCGAAATCAAGAAGGTCGCCAGCAACAAGATCAAGCAAGTCGCAAACGCTGCGAATAATGCTGCGAATGGCAGCGGATCTCAGAAGAAAAAGAGAGGTACCGGTCTAAAGCCCATTATTACGACCGAGGATCAACAAGCCGCAGATGCAAGCCCTAAGAGCAACAAATTAAACACTTCAGCGTGAGAACCCTATATGTAGCTTTTGATGGAGTCAACTCTGCTGACGATGAAGTAGGACAAATTCCCCAATGTCAACCTACAAGACTCAGCCCAGCCGATCGTCGTCCTCGTCGACAGAAGAGGAAGATGCCAATGTCACAGCGGAGGAGGAAGACTCGGAAGATTACTGCAAGGGTGGCTATCATCCTGTCAGTGTTGGTGAAAATTACAAAGACAATCGATATACCGTCACTCGAAAGCTGGGCTGGGGTCATTTCTCGACGGTTTGGCTTGCGCGGGACAATAAATCTGGCAAACATGTCGCTTTGAAGGTGGTAAGATCAGCAGCGCACTACACCGAGACTGCAATAGACGAGATCAAGCTCCTTAACAGAGTTGTCGAAGCAAATCCGAACCATCCTGGCAAACGATACGTGGTTGGCTTGCTGGACTCTTTTGAACACAAGGGTCCAAATGGTGTGCATGTATGCATGGTTTTCGAGGTACTTGGGGAGAACTTGCTCGGTTTGATTAAGAGATGGAACCACCGCGGCATTCCGATGCCCCTCGTCAAGCAGATCACGAAGCAGGTACTTCTGGGTTTGGACTATATGCATCGGGAATGCGGCATCATACACACAGACCTGAAACCCGAGAATGTTCTGATAGAGATCGGCGATGTCGAAAAGATTGTGAAAACCTTCGTCAAAGATGAACCAAAAGCCGATGCAAGAGAAGGCAACCCCAACGGCCGGAGGAGACGCAGGACCATCATCACTGGGAGTCAGCCACTTCCAAGCCCTCTCAACGCGAGTTTTAGTAGTCTCGGAGATCTACGATTTGGGAGCGGAACGTCAGGTTCCCACAGCAGTCTAAATCACATGGTCACGGATAGTCCGGGTAATTCTCTCTGCCACTCGACCCTTGAACGAGTTGCTGATCTTTGTTACAGTCTCAACAGAACCGCCAAAATCTATGATAGAAATGCTGGGCGTAAAGGGCGCTAAAGCCGCAGACGGAGCGTCGCCTGATCCAAAACACCAAGAAAAGACTGCGTAAGCCTCGCTGTCCCCCCTCGCCACGTCCACACACTGATGCTTGAGAGTAGTGAAAACCTATCTCAAACAATTTCTGGTATATCGTTGAACAAGAACACGTCCCCAAAACGGCAAAGTGAAGACGACACAGACGGTATAGAGCTGATATCTGTCAAGATTGCAGATCTGGGGAACGCCTGTTGGGTTGGTCATCACTTTACGAACGATATCCAAACAAGGCAATATCGGTCGCCTGAGGTCATACTTGGTGGTAAATGGGGAGCAAGCACGGATGTCTGGAGCATGACTTGTATGGTAAGTAACACATTGTTTGCTGAACCGCCTCAACCCTAGCTCAAGCTTTCAGGTCTTTGAGCTCATTACAGGCGACTACCTATTCGATCCTCAATCTGGCACGAAGTACGGAAAAGATGACGACCACATTGCCCAGATTATCGAGCTCCTAGGCAACTTCCCACCCCCGTTGTACAGGAATGGCAAGTGGTGTCAGGAGATTTTTACAAGGAAGGGCGAATTGCGTAACATACACCGGCTACGTCACTGGGCCTTATCGGACGTTCTGAGGGAGAAATACCATTTCCCGAAAGAGGAAGCGGAGAGGATAGCCGCTTTCCTCATTCCTATGCTAGGCTTATTACCGCAAGACAGAGCGAATGCGGGTGGAATGAGCAACAGCCCGTGGCTCGACGATACCAAGGGTATGCAAGGGTTGAAGCTCCCAACAGTCGTCGGTGCAAAAGGCGATGGTGTTGAAGGCTGGGCCACCGAAATCAGGAAACGATAGTCGCTACTGACGAGGTATCCGGTAGTGAGACCGACGCCCTTCTTCGCTAGAACATGATGGGACAGCTGTAGACATTTCGTTGAATTTCTAGCGATGCGTGTGAAAATAGGGGCACGGAGAAGCGTTCGCATGCACTTATTTTCGGCGATGATCTCCCATAATTTGTCCGCACTCATTGACAAACTGTGGGATGGTAGATCTCTGATTCGAGCACTTATACAGGGGTGTAATCTAAAGCTCCTGGATATCACGATTTTTATGCCTTCTTTAGACGATTAGCGATACTGCAGCTGGCTTTGAGTCTGAGGGGAGATGGGCACTGTGCATATTGTAGAGAGATACTATACTACAGGCAGACAGATCAGACTGCCTGAATTCATGAGTGATGATGTCCGCAAAAGACTTCTGTATGAACTGCATTCAAAGCAGTGACTGCGCTCGTAGAAAATTGGGAATACGCGTCTTAATGGGCCATATTTCGTGACTTGACATCTTCTGAAAAGTCACAAAGTCTTTTTCCAACCTCTCGATTCACCCGCATAAAAACAACCCACCATAAACGCAGGTCTCTCGCAATGCCGCCAGTAAGCACAGACCAGTAGATCCCCCTGTATCTGCCAGATGTTTCCGAGAAACAGATGTCTGACTATCTGGATCCATAGCCGTGGGCGACCAACCCTGCTCCCAAGGTACGTTCCTGCATTCTTAGATCTGTCATACTTCCTAGACGTACGTCTTGTAAGACATGGACAACCAACTAGTAGCGAACCAGCGCTTGCTCTTCTGCGTGAGGTGTTGTGAGGGAGAAACTTTGTAAAGGAATGGGGGAAAATGACTTTTTATCTCCTTGCTCGAAAGAAAATAATGATCCATCATGTCGACGATTTCTGCCTCTGCTATTGTGAGGAACGACTTTCAATCGGAAAATTTCACTCTTCATCGCTTCGTTGCATAATCCATCCCCTTCATCACCCCAGAAAGCAAGAAGGCGACGCTGATACTCTTCATAGACTGAATCAGCCCGCGAAGCAGCCAAATCCTTTTTCTGCGATCTCTGCCAGAAGGGCTATAGTCGGATCAACGAGTTCGAGGCACATGAGGGCAGTTATGATCACCAGCATAAGAAGGTATACCCCCTTCTTCTCCTTCCCCTCGTTATGGCTTTCGTCTGGTCTCCAGTCTTTTTGGGTTCTACTTTTCATTGTTTGAGATGAACTGCCGGATTTCTTGTGATAGGGTTCTATTTAACGCTGTTGAGGGGTTGCGGGCAAAAAGCTGAGTGGGGAAGAGGGGTCAGTTAGTGGAGGCAATGGCAAAGTCTACTTGCTTCGCGTCCAAATCGTGACAGATGACAGCTTTCTTTTGGCATGTATAGCCTTGCCGGTGCCAAGTGTTCTTGTTATTCTTGACCCGTATGTCGAGGCTTTCGAGCTTGGGTCCTGCTCACCCCTCACGCCTCTGTCTTACACCTACTTCTCCCCATCCATCACGAGCCATACCCTCAAGCAGCCTTTACACCATACTAACCACCCTCTCTTATAGCGCCTCAAGGAAATGACGCGCCTAACCCGCGCCACGGGCACCGCCTCGACCAGCAAATCCGACGACCCCTCCTCCATCTCCATCAAACCCATTTCTCTCGGCTCAGCCACCGGTGCCGGCAAGACTGGTGGCGCTGGGTTCAAGAAAGGCGGATTCAAGAAGAATGCTTTTGCTGCTTCCGAGGACGAGGTGAAGACTGTAGTTGCCGGGGGAGGGGAGGGGGATAAGGGGGATAAGGGGGATAAGGGGGATAGGATGGAGGTGGATGATGTGCAGGGGGAGGGGAATGGCAAGGGTAGTGAGCAGGAAGAGTGGGAGAGGTGGGGAGATTATGATCCTAGGAGACCTACGGGGTGTGAGGTTGGTTGTAGGGGAAGGCGGTGAGGGGGGAGTGAGTGGGTATAGTTCTGTAAGTTTAATCGAACAAATGAGAAAAGAATTTACCATCGACTTGGTCTTGCTTTCCCCGGACAGCTGGATCATTCAGGCGAATGGATGCACTCATTGTGACATCCCTAAGGTGTTGGCTTTATGTTACGCCCGAAATCTTTGTGCAAGGTGAAACTGAAAATGAATGATCGATAGATAAGAAAAGCAGAAGATTTACAACGAAGGTGCTATTTGGGAAAGGACTTTTTGCTATTTGCCTTTGTCGCCACCGTTTGACTCTGTATAACATGCTACACCTCTAATACTTTATTGCTAACCAAAGAATTTGTTGCCTCGCCTTATGTCCCATCGATACTTCGCACTATCCACTTTTGCATATACGCATTTGCTAAGGAACTCCTTTGAACGAATGTTGCGTTGCTAAGTAGCAACTGCATGATTGTAAACCGAAAAGTCCCGCCATGAGAATTACCACTTCTTCTTTCCCTTCTCATTCCCTCATTCACGTAGATGCCGTTTCGATAGTATTCAAGAGTCCCAGATTGGGCCGTAGGCCGGGATTGACGAATTATTCAAGTAGTCAACAATCTCGTACGTACTTTGTATATTAGAAATGACGAACACTGCCTCCGCGTTTGATTGCTTGTATAGCTGTCCGGCTAGACCTTTTAGATCAGGCCTCTTGCCGTTGATTTTGCCAACTATTAGGGCCTCAGGGTCAGCTCTTCTCACAGCGTCGATGGTACTTTGACCCCATACTTCAGCTGGACGTTGTGCTGACCAGATGATGCGGCATGGCATTGTATGGTTGACCAAGAGCGACAAAACCGGTCCAATACCCGAGCCAGTGGTCACAATAACCACTCGCTTGAATATCACAGCCATACGGAGCACACCAATTAGCGGGATACCTCGGACCCAATATGAATAGACAGGCTCATTGATCTGCTTGTGCGTCCAGTCACCAACCGCAGTGAGCACAATATGGAATGAGGAGCCGTCTTTCTCGGGGATTGTTGCAAACGGATGCCACTCCTTCAAAGGGTGGTTGGCGATCCTAATGCCGACGACAACTCCAACGACAGAATAGTTGAAGTGCAGTCGCGCTGCGGTTGGAGACAAAATCTCGGTCCAGCATTGCACTTTACGCAGTCGAAGCCAAGGGAGAGCAATACTCAGCGTAATGACAATGAGAAACCAGAAAGCGGGTGTTTGGATCAGGACATGACCAGCTGACTGTGAGTCAGGATTGTTAGATTGCTTGAATGCAATGAGTATAGTCTCAGTCCAGAAGAGTCCGACAGCTAGCCATCCGCCTAAGCGGTGAACGTTCTCAAAAGTGTCATGACTCCTGAACCTGAGCCGGGGGTAAGCCAGGATGCATATCAGCAAGAGCAATGCAATCAAGACGTATGTAATTGTGAGGATTGGTATGCTTTCGAAACTTCCTTCGATATACTGTTTCGTCAGCAAGACAGTGAATAGTAGATACCACACTGTTGCTGAAACAGCGGCTCCGCTATGGACACCTCCAAAATGATATACTTTGGCTATCGCTCGACGGACACGCAAAGGAAAGGAATGTGGGGTCCAGCAAAAGATAGTGTAGAGAGCATTGACAACATACTCTTGTCGCATAAGGATTGCGCCCGTGATATTAGCAGCAGTCGCGGTCGCAACATGATCTAGAGATGGACCGAATGGGTGTGAGTTCCGATGCTTCGTTAGGACCCAGACGAAGGCGATGATGTTAACGATGAATACCAGAGAGAAAAGTCTTTGGTAGGCATTGAACACCTGATTTCGGAATTGCCTTGGGGATGGGATCCGGAAATTGACTAGGGTCTTTGATTTTTCCGAGAGAGGTTCGGCAGTAGGATTAGAAGATGCTTTTTCGGCGATGGTGGTAATATTTGACTTTTCAACTTCATGATCCAAATCAGGAATGCCAATTGATCGCCGAATGAGCCCGTTCGCGATCTCGTCCTTGAGAGCGGATTCAGTGACAGATAGAGTGGTCGAAGTGGGCGTGTAATTGGGTATGCATTGGCTAGGCGATTCTTTGGACGAACTCAGATCGACAATTTGGGCACGGGAATCTTCGAAGGTTTGTCCAGTTGCGTCCGAGTCTCCTGTAGATAATGATTTGATAGATTGAGCGGAAATGCTGAATGTCTCTGCTGAAGGCTGTTGTGTTGCTATCGGAAGTGGCTCGCCGGTTTCGTTGCATGGTGTCACAGAGTGGGTAGGCAGCGTATCATCATGGCTTTTTGGCTGGCAATTGGATGATGAGGGCTTTGGAACCTCCTCGAGGGGGGTGGCGTCACTCATGGCAATGCGTGATACCTGAGATGGCCTTGTAAACACGACGAGACGGACGCAAGCGACGCGCAATGAATACCACGCACCTGGTAAGGAACAATGCTCTTGTTGTAGGGCGACAGACTAGTGGGTGCAGCGGTGAGTGTGAATGAGGAAGGTTAATTTTAGTCTGGAATGCTTCTGTCGGAGAGGAACTCTGATCTAACAAAGTGGTTTGTGTCTAGCTTGATAACGGAAAATGACCCACGGCAGCTTGTTATATCAGTGGAATCCATTTGACTCTAATCCATGTGGGAGATAAGTGGAGCCTTGAGCTTTTCGTGACGGTTGGAGGCAAAGCAGATGTGTCTGCAAATCGCAAATGCGCACCGAAAAGTGGCAACTCGAACGGGAGCCAAACGCTGTGTTGGCCTGCGATGCACCCCGGAAGGAGGAAGAGGCAATTCACGTCAAACGACGGGGCATCACGCTTTTCGGATTGCACTGTGGTTGACACCAATGGTGATGTCTTTGCTCGAGTCTGGCAAAAGGGCGCTAAGAGGAATAGGGCATTGCCTGCCATCAACCCTCATCTCAATCTCGATCGATCAGTTCCCCCTTCTCCGCACATCCGCCATCTCAACGGATGGGGAACACTCAAGAAACGGTTCTTCTCATGAGGAACACCAACACACGAACTCATCTGACACGCTCACGAACTACCCCCCACAGAGAGCATCGCATTTCAAGCTGTCGTTCACATTGTCATCCGGGGGTGCCACACTTGATGATGGTGGTGTGGTCATCATCCACTTCCACATTCACACACCTCGGCTTCTGCTACGGCACGCAACAGGACGAGAACATTGCTGTCACGAAGATAATATCACATGAGGGATGGACTTCAAATCAAACGATTGCCGTCGAAGGCTCCTCCACTCTGTGGCGACTTAGCCTGGCTAGGACAGTGCCTGCCTTGTGAGTGGACGATGAGTCGTGGACCTGGGATTGGAACCAGGTAGCTGGGTCGTGTCTACCGAAGCAAGATCGCAGATCTTCGCTAGCGTACCTATCGTCAATATCAGATCAGTGTGCAGGGGATTTCAAATCGCGTGGTCTTCAACGTCGACGAAGCGGAAGTGCATGCGAGCAAGTCCGCATCATTCGCTGCACATAGCCGGAATGGGTACTCAATCAACCGGAAGGTCGAGTTCTACAAAGCTCCGCGGACGCTGGACGGGAGGACTCGAGACTAGGAAAGAAGGGCTGTGAATACCGCAACAAGACAAAATATCGTTGCAACGGCGACTACTACCTGTCACTTTTGGAATCTGTCAATCAGATCAGAGAGCGCTAGATAAAGGCAAGGAGAAGGTAACTGGCCTCATGGCTATCATTGTTGCGGCGTCGGGCGATGTCTGACTTCAGCGAATAAAGTCGTGCCTTCGAGGCCTCGGCTTACGCCAATGTATCCAGGAAATCGGACACGAAAACTTCATGTGAGTGAAACATCATCGACCTACGACGAGCTGGCTGCTACCGTATGTCCAGAGGTCAGAGAGGTATCCACAGCTGCGTAAGGGTGATCGATACAACTAGCAGAAGCAGCTCGCTGCGACTGCATTTTACTCTGAAATTAGCTCAACGTATCATGGTCAAAGACCGGCAAGCAACGACTCGGCACTTGCTCATGTCGGCCAACGACTGGGTAATGATCTCTTGATTTGCTAGATCAGGACAGCCTCCCGTGGAGCCGCCAACGGGCATCCTGCAATCACTTGGTCATTGCGCAATGAAAAACGATAAGTGCCTTCGAGACTCGGGGTTGTAATATGAGACTGCAAGGTCTCACTAGAATATTGCGTTTTAGTGGACCTTGCATAGGAAAGACAATAAGTTCCTGGGACGCTAAACAGAAAGTCTAATGGGCCTCGACCAAGTGTAGATGATGGTCTTGGAAGAACGCAGGGTCTCTATCCTTCTTTCTTGCATAGATTTGTTGGCCGTGCTGCCGTGTCAGGGAGAATTGTGCTTGTCCGCTCGTCACCTGGGTGAAAAGAGGCATCTCACCACTTGGTCAGGACGATACTGGCTTGTTAGGGTAAAGAGCACGAGGAGTGATAACGCACAAACCCGTTTGTGGGAAATGAGAGCTACCAAATGCCACTATTCAAATAATCATGCTTGTTCTTTTTATGGAACAGTACACGTTCTCGCGTGGGGGAAAATGGCCGAGGGCTCCGCGCGCTAAAATCTCAATTGAAAGAGCGAGGAGCGTTTAAATTCAGCCCTGCAGGACTTCTGCCTGCCCAAGTCAATTCGTAGACGCGTTAAATGTAACGAGGCTGTGAGAATGCAGCTTCGTTCTCGTCTCCCTGACCGACATGAATGGTTTAGAAGCTGTCGAAATACTGTCTACGGACCCGGAAGTCGACGACATGCTTATGACAGAAGATGCCGCGGACGACGAAGCCACGGACACCACGTCGGAAGGGAAGATGCTTGATATGGATGGCATGGAAGACATCGATATCGACATTTACAATTCAAGCTCAAGCGATGAAGACATGGCCGATGCTGATGATACAGACGATGAAGAGGAGGACATATACGGCAACAATAGGCTGATCGACTTGGACGAGCCTACCGGTCCTCAGCCGACTATACTGCAGCTACCCACGGAGGTCTTTCAAATAATCCAACGGCACATGGACATTGGCACCTTTTTTATTTCTCTCCTGACTTGCAAGTCCTTCCTCAATGCGGCCTTCTCAAAACCCTTATTGTCTTACCACCTTCGCCAGCTTCCCGGACTAGGCTTGGGTCTCGAGCATCTAGATGAAAAGGACCTTCTACACATTGTCCGGACTCGTGCTGGTCAAAGCGGACATGCTGCGGGCGTTCTTGCTAACGTGACTTCATATGACGCAGACCTCGGTTGTATGACCGCTAAAGCAGCCTTTACCTGGCATGACCCTGCACGGCCATGCAGTAAACACAGCTACCTGGCAATACCAAACATGAGTGGCATCATTCAGATCTACGAGCTTAGCAAGCATCCCGTCCGTAGACGTGAAGAGCTACAAATTCATCATGAGGATTGCAACCCGGGACGGATAAGCATATTGAAAGTAGCATTTGCCGCCGGAAGCAAGGATCTAGCCGTGCTTTGTACTCAAGAAACATGTCTCGATGAACATCACAGCGCCTTTGCGAAGCGTTTGCACGAAGGCGCCGCCTCGTGTTCGCTCCAGTATAAGCTTGTAGTCTTCCATCGGTGCTATGCAAAGCAGAAAGGTCACTTCTTTTCATCAGCAATTCAAGAAACGAGAGATATAGAGTTTCCGAGGGGTGCAAGTCCTGTAGGCCTCGCTTTGGCTCAAAACGGTACTGCATGTATATTGTGGCATGGCAAACATCCAAAGGGAAAGAAAAAGGAAATGGTTTGGATAATCCATCGCCATGACAAGCTTATGGAGGTCAATTCTCACGACCCAGAACCGCAAATGACTCCTATCCATAGGCTAGCTGCAGATATCCCTGATCGTGCCCCTCCAGTTGTCGTTGCTTTTAATGCTCAATTCTCGCTCAACGGGGAATCATTGTTGCTCTTCAAACCGGGTCACCACATCCATAGCTGGTACGCTTCTACACCTCAGGCTGACGGACGAGGGGCCACTTCTATGCAAAGCAATAGCACGTTGATTGACGTTGACAAATATAACGGTCGACATTTATGGGAAATCAACATTGGCAAGCCATTTTATGAAAGACACATGAGCGATGTCTTTGACGAGGATGATGACACTCCTCAATGTCGCCGGTCGTGGCTTGCCCTAGGTTTTGCGGATCGTAGAGCAGCGCGTGGCTTTGAGACTCCTAGCGTCTTCATCATGCAATCAGATGCGCAGAAGCCCACGGCCGACTGTGATCACCTGATCAATCTTGACGGCAATACAACTTGGTGGAAACCGATTGCACTGCTTGGTGGATACAAGCATGGCACGAGCACCCTTGGCACAATTATGGCTGTCTCGCCCGATGGAACTCGCGTCGCCGCCGCCCTATGGAATCGTATATACCTCTGGACTTTGGATCCTAAAATGCTGGTTGAAGGAGATTTACACCTATATTTCCCGCCTCGAGATTATAATCCCCGAAAGGGCATCGGCAGGCTTCGACCCACCCTACTCTCGACGTCTTCCAGTGTGGTTCATGGAATGCAATGGACGAATGAAGAGAACCTTTTTGCAGTAACAGATCGGGGCCTTATGAAATGGGATCTTGGTTGTATGTCCGACGGTACTCGGGAAAGCTTCTCCATGCCATGGGATATTTGGTCGAGCAACGCTCTAAATGTTCCGGCGCCGGGTTCAGGGGAACCGAGGGTTCCGGCGACTATGCAAGATATTGAAGACGACGAAGATGAATAGAGGGTCTTTAGCCAATGGCGGTGATTTGATGCATTCTCCTGGTCCTTCGGATGGAGACTGAAAAAGATATTGCGGAGGTGCCTTCCATGAGCGACCGCTGTCTAATTGATCATTTATGGAAACACTGGTCGGAGCTGAATAAGGCTGCTGTCAGAGGAGATAGCTGGTATCGACACTTTGCTCGTCCTGTCGTCCGATTATGCCATCCTTTACCCAAGAATTTATGTTTCCACATTGGGCATTGACAAATATACTTAACACGCTCAACGGAGGTTTATCCCATACTCTTGGTTTGCTAGATACATTGTGCTCACCAATGGGCCGACAGAATCTGGAGGAATTGTCAAGCATTTCAGCGTTTTAGCGTGGCGCTCTTGGTTTCTATATAGCGGACTGGATCATTCTCAGCTGTGCGCAATCATAACCGAACTCTAACTTTCATAGATCTTTCAAAAAGAAATCTCAATTTTGACTCTTCATGATATGGGTTTGCTAAACTTACGCAATCTCCTGCTCCTTCCTTTCCCACATGAATATTCTTCTCTTCTCTTCCTTACTTTAAGACGAGTTTAAGGTGTAGTGGTTGCCATCAACATATTGTGTCTCACTAGGATCTGTATTGGTTTGGCTGCTGACTAGGCCACACGATTTGCCCCACCAAATTGCTGTCAGATGGTGAACCTTCCTCGCACGCAATTCTTGCACATCGATACGAATTTTGGGAAATACCTAGTCTCAGGAAGCACAGATAAATGGACGTTGGTGTGATCTCAAGACACTGGTCTCGTTTGTGAGGGCCAGGTGGGCAAGGGACGAGACAGCAGAGGCTTCAGTGTTCATGCTTTCTCAATAGCACAACCAGAGAATCATGTTCATTGTACCCATTTGAAGGACATTTTCTTACGAGGTCATCCTTAATCCGGCCACAAGATCTGCTCCCTCGGACTTCCGAAACATCAAGGTACTGCCTTGACCGGGCCACGCATCTTTAGAAAGTCAGACTTGACCTACAGCGCTGCGAGGGATTGCCAAGTATGGCTTTCCAATATTTTGCGTGTGATTCAACGCCCCTTGAAATACTGGTATACACATGAGCTCTAGAACATACAGACTGGTGAGAAAGCCTCAGAACATGTTATTTATTGTCCTATTCGTAAATCTTGCATGTCAACGTCAGAGACTTACTGATTGAGGAATCTATTAAGCAGCTCTTCTAAGTCTGCACATGTTTTACTCTCACAACAAAATCAAATTGACCACAACAATGAGAGAAGATAGCAAATGCGCTAGCCTGAGCTGGTTGGGAATACGATCGCCAGTTCCAAAACACCAAACGTCGTGGCCTCCAAGATTTTACAAATACTTTGCCGATGGGCGGATCACTGTTTGTCATGTCCTCCGAGCGGACCCGCCTGAAAATGAACAGCCCTTGGAACTCCAATCCAACGTTCCGTGGTCTTGATGAAATCTGTACCAGCACTGGAAGCACCTATCCGTTCGGAAAGGGGCACACAGCATCGGATCATGTTCCCTCCCACTCCTCTGATCCGACATGAGCGCCGATTACTGATGCTGGGGCAATCGCTCCGACCCAATTTACCTTCTTCCGCGCTTGAGGAGACGAAGAGGGACCGCTGATCCAATTTACGAGGCTACATTGCCACCACTGCGAGAGACGAAGCTGCCCATTTATCTGACCCCGAGGCCAAAATCGCCAATGCGATCGGCGTATCAATGTACTATCAACTGCCACGAGTATGACTAGGCTGACGAAGAATACACGCTCTACATCAACGACGCATCGGTCACTGCCGAAGTTCCTTGTGTACAGACAGGAGACAGGATGATGACTGAGAGTCTTTCTAGTTTCTAGGTGCTGCTTCCAGGGGCGACTAGCGCCTAGAATTGGGGCGATTCGTAAATCTGGCGCAGGATGACGTAGCTGCGGGGGTTGCCAATTGAGGGTCCAATTCAGTGGCAGCTCCTACCTGCATCATAGGCTCCAGAGGGTCCATATAGCGCCCGCATGCACAAAAAGGAAAGGGGAAAAAGGTTACGGCTGTGGATGATATTAATTGTGATGCCGGCTGACAGATTACTCTTCTAAATTTTGGCTACTCGACACATCTTACAAACCGTGATGAGGCAACGTTGAAATCTGTTAAGGATTTGGCCTTCCAAAGATTCTGACTATTGACTTTGCTCCCATTCATTTTATTCTTCAACACACCCTTGACTTGCGTCTGTGACGCCCTCAAAGACCAGCAAGGTATTAACGAACCTCTTCGAGTTTGGAAGAGTGAGCATTGACGATTGTTTGCAGAATCGAAATCCCCCTTCTATTGAATCAATGAGGTATGTTAGAGCGACATTACCTTTCCCATTTCAACTCCATGGGCTGACCAAACTTACCAGGCAGCGCCTTCCATCGCTTTTGATACTCGCCGCGCGGTACCTTTTGGACAGCCATTGACGTCGCAAACGATGCTGGTATGTGATTTAGCGGTGTAGAGAAAGCGCAGCGACAACTTTCTCAACAGCCAATTTCTGGGTGCACGAGAGGCATCACCAAAACCCGGCAGGCTCTCACGATCCGTCTCCAGGGGATGCCTGCCTCGACCGACCTAAAACAGGCAATCTCTTCGCCTCCTCATGATCGCCTATCACCTCAACAGAGGCCCGAGCTTTCGAAAATTAAGGATTTCTCTGCCTCTAAGGGTGGTTCGGAGTTGCCAGCCCTAGTCACTCCGGAAGATTTCTCCCAGCTTTTATCGTCTCATCAGCCCCATGACTCGCTCATTCTCGATCTCCGGTCATTTGCACAATTCTCAAAGTCACGAGTTTCCGGGGCTTTGAACTTGTGTATTCCAACGACATTGCTAAAGCGTCCCACGTACACTGTCCAGAAGCTGGCGGAGACCTTTGCCAGCAAGAAAAACGACAAGGCCAAATTCAACTCTTGGAGAGACGCTCAGATCATAATAGCCTATGATGGCGCATCAGGGAACCTTGCACAAGCAGCCCCTTGTGTACACGTTCTCCAAAAGTTCATGAATGAGAAATGGCCAGGAGCGACTTTTATTGTGCAAGGCGGCTTTAATGCCTTCGCTCAACAATTTCCCGAACACGTCGAAACGAGGTTTGTGGGTGAGATGGATGGTATCAACAAGACGAAGCTGTCAATCGATCCCTCAGCAGCTGTCTCTGGCGGCTGTAGCATGCCTACAAATCAAAATCCTGTGAATCCCTTTTTTGGCAGCATTAGACAGAATACCGACCTAATAGATGGCGTTGGTCAAATACCACTGAAACGGCCGCCAAACTTCGCGGACGTCAGTTCACAAAAGCTGCCGACATGGCTTCGGAATGCATCAAACCCTCAAGATCAGGGCAAGGTAAGTGATTGTCTTTGGTCGCTATTACTGCGTTTGATTACTTCAGGTGCTGACTTTGGCTGATTCAGACCGTTTCCAACCGATTTTTAGCGATCGAGAAAGCAGAACAGCATCGCATGCAGAAAGCCCTTTCCTTCGCATCCTGGCAACCTCAATCTAAGCAGTCCCCGGAGAACATACGCCTAGCGGGTATAGAAAAAGGAAGCAAGAACCGATACAAGGATATCCTACCGTTTGACCATTCGAGAGTCGTGCTTGAAAACCCGTCGGCTGAGTGCGACTACGTCAACGCAAGCCATATCAAGTCGCCAGAATCTGGGCGTACACGCTACATAGCCTTCCAAGCTCCGGTACCTTCGACGTTCGCCGACTTCTGGCACGTAATCTGGGAGCAGGATGTCAGACTAATCGTCATGCTGACTGCGGAGTCTGAAGGTGGTCAGACCAAAAGCCATCCTTACTGGCATTCAGGCGACTATGGTCCTTTCCGACTAGACAAGCTGAACGAGGAGATTCAGCCCCTTGTTCGACTGAAACGACCCAGCGCGCGCAGAACAACGACCTCACCGTCTGAACTGCAATCTTCGCGTGGTAAACCACCTATAAGTCGCAGGCACACGGCCTCTTTGAGCGTCAATCAAGCCATTCCACCCCCTACCCCAGATTCCTCATCAGAAAGTATTCCCCGTGTTACGGTCCGGACTCTCAAATTATCTTATAACAAAAATCTACCTTCAACTCCTCACGACATAATACAGATTCAGCTCACAACCTGGCCAGATCTCGGCACGCCAGCACGTCCAAAGGATATTCTCGCCCTCGTCGAGTTATGCCGCTCCTTCAAGCCTCAGCAACAAAATCCAAAACCACATCCGATGGTAGTTCACTGCTCCGCAGGATGTGGACGAACAGGCACTTTCTGTACTGTTGACAGCGTCATCAGTACACTCATGAAGCAAAAATCGGATCGGAACGCGAACATCTCAGCCGCCAACGGGGCGGGCGTTGATCGGATGGATTTGGACGATCCGCTTATGGATGAGGAAAAGGACCTCATAGCTGAGACGGTGGCGAGCTTACGACACCAACGCATGAGCATGGTTCAAACACTTAGGCAATTTGTGCTTTGTTACGAAGCCATCATGGAGTGGTTCGTTGATTCGTAAAGGGTTGCATAGCGGACAAGGAAGCGAAAAATATACGTTCGACAATGTAGCATTCAAGCAATCTTCCAATGGACCCAACAGTAGCCACTCGGGTGAAGCATGTTACCAAAAGTGGTGCAGATTGTTCGTGCATTCATGTCCGAAAAAGCTAATTCGTCTCGAGGGATTGAGCTTCTGCTTGATATGATATTGCGCGTTATATGCTCACATACTCTTTTACTTCCACAACTTCCCTAGACTAACTTCCTTGTCATCATGCTTATTCAGTACCTTGGCTGTCGCCAGATCGAAATCCTCTTGGGTGACATGCACCCTCCGCTCCCTCAAGGCATACATTCCTGCCTCTGTACACACTCCCTTCAATTCCGCCCCTGAGCACCCATTCATCTTCTCCGCGATCTTCGTCAGATTAATACCCCTAGTCAAATTCATACTCCTACTGTGAATCCTTAAAATATCCGCCCTTGCCTCCACTGTCGGAGGCGGGAACTCAATCTTCCTATCTATCCTCCCCGGCCGGAGGAGTGCCGGATCAAGAATATCTAGACGATTCGTGGCCATGATCACTTTTATATTCTTGGTGGGTTCGAAACCATCGAGTTGGTTCAGAAGCTCGAGCATGGTACGTTGGACTTCGGAGTCGCCGCCGCTGGAACCTTCAACGCGAGAGGAGCCAATGCTGTCAATCTCGTCCATGAAGATTATAGACGGGGCGTGCTCGCGCGCCATAACGAACAACTCGCGCACCATGCGTGACCCTTCTCCGATGTACTTCTGCACAAGCTCCGAACCTGATACGCGGATGAACTTGCAGGAAGTATGATGCGCCACCGCCCTCGCCAACAATGTCTTTCCCGTCCCAGGAGGACCATAAAGTAAAACACCCTTCGGTTGCGCAATTCCCAGCGATTCGAACAGTTCGGGATGCCGTAAGCCGAGTTCGATGACTTCTTTGATTTCTTTGATCTGTTGCGATAGCCCGCCTATCATGTCATAGGTGCTGTCGGGGACTTTCTCGACCATCATGAGGGACACGAGCGGATCCACGGAGGAGGGGAGCATTTTCTCGAGTTTGTAGGAGTCGGAGAGGAGGGTTACGCGTTTGCCGACTGTGAGTTTGGAGGGGTCGATGGATTCGGATATGTCGACGACTATGGATGTAATGCATTAGCATTGGGAACAGGCAGGGCGAGTTTTGTATGAGGGCTGATGGATAGCGTACCGTATTTTCCTTCAGGATGTACTTTTACCAGGACCTTTTTCGTGCCCATGACCTTCACAACTTCGCCTACGTACGAGCCTGGCTGTTGGAGTAGGCCGAGCTCCTCTCGTAGTAATCGTACTCTTGAGTTGTAGTCATTTCTTTGGGCTTCTAATCTACGGAGTTTTGCTTGGCCTTCTATGATCTGGAGCTTGTGGCTTTCTATCTTGTTGTGATAGAAGCTGTCAAGCGTCATGTTGGCGACTAAAGGAGTAGACTCGGATGGCGAAGGAGGGAGGTGATAAAGTGGTCGGCGGCGTTGATGGACAAGCTGTCAAGCAAATGTCAGGTCACGGCAAGCCTTTCCTTTCCGGGCCAGCTGTTGTTTTATTTCCGAAGGGGCCAATAAATCCGATCTGATGATCATTTGCATACTCAAAGCACCTGCATTCTTGCGCTATCTTGGCTGCATATGTTGTTGCGTCTTATCTGCTTCTTGGCCACAATACTCCATGTCGACGCTGCCCGAGAGCCTTCCGGATTGGAAGCTTCAAAGGACAAAACGTGACCTTGGATCCCACGAAAGCTGGGTAAGATTAGAATATCGTCAGCTGGGATCCCACAATTCACAACAAACCCCATGACTACCTCGAAGACCACGTGATACCATTGAGCTCTATATGTGCTCTAGCTGACCTCTCTGACAATTTCCGCGTCATATCCAACCATGGCGCCCAAGCAGGATGTGGACGACAACAAAGAAGAATCGGGCTCTGGCGCGAATTCTTCCCCAGATGCTAGGACTCCACCAAGACATTTTGCGCCTATAACAAGGGAAGAGCGCGATAATGACGGTGAGACGACAGAGGAAACAATGAGCCCAAGACAGTCACAGACTGGTACCGTAAGAAGAAACCGCCCACCTGCGATATCTACCAGCAGTGGGGCGCCGAACTATGGTATGTTCTTTGAGCTTCTTGAGTATATGATGACTTGCTGACGGGCGATATCTAGGCTCTATACCACCCTCAAACGCTGAAGAAACGGGGTCTGAGGCGGGTCAAGCTACACCAACACAAGATCCAAGTATCACTGGGCGAGCGAGTGCATTGTCATCAGCTTCCCGCTCCATACATTCACCGGAAAGGGCACCGCAGCTCCACCCCAGATTACTTCGGAGGTCGTCTTCCAAACAAACGCCACATCGAGGACAGGAATTCTCTACAGATGATGATGCCGAGGAGATTGTATCAAACCGGAGCAGAAGAACTTCTCATGGGGCTGCAACGACGGCGCATAACCTTCCAAAGCAGCCATCGGCGCTGCGGAGACGGCCAACAAACAAACCGAGTATGCCAAGAATCGATTCTAGGGTCGAGGATGAGGAGGATACTGCCCCGGAGGAGACGGCTCCTAGTGTGCATGAGGAAGCCGTGGAAGATCAGGACGCGTCTAGCGAGACGATCAATGCAGACGGCGATGATGAGAACGAGGACGACGATGATGATTGCCTAAGCGACGCAGAAAGCTTTACCCTGAGAGACAAACAGCAGGCAATCAATGAAACGCATCCTTTTGGTATTCGAATATGGAAGCCAGCATTATACAAGAAGAACAGGTCCGTGGAGAAGACCGCAGAAGGCGACATACACAGCAGCCCCGGCGCTCGAGTTTCAAAGCCACTGGCTGTGTTCAACATTCTTTGGACGGTGATGTTTGGCTGGTGGTTAGCCCTTGCCGCTGGGTTAGGAGCTCTGGTCTGTTACATCTTTGCACTCGCGCCTCACGCAACTTCCTATGGCAAGATATTTCTTGGTCTCTCCACCTATCTCTTTTATCCTTTCGGCAAATTCGTAAAATTGGAACAAGACGAAGCTTACGCAGAAGAGGACGAGGGAGAAGGTCGCTCCATCAGTGAGTACGAGCAATGGCAACAAGGAGATCTTGAAGATGGTCGTCTGTTCTTCGGCCCCCTTACTTCCCGATCAATCATTGGCAGACGAAGGAGCGTAGACTCGGGCGAGACTGGAAGCCTACTCGGCCGCGGCAGGCGAAGCGGATCAGATGAACAACGACGAGAACGCAGAGCCAGGCTCTTTGGTAGAGGCAAGTGGACGCCTGGCCGAGTCATCTTTTTCGTTTTCTTTTACTTCCTTATCGCACCTCTGATGCTGTTCACATCCCTCATGTGCTTTTTCATGGTCTTTTGGGTACCAATGGCTAGGACCACGATTCTCCTTTTCTACCACCTACGGCGGCATCCTCTTGCTTTATCATTCCACTCCGACGCCTCTTATTCTAGAGCAGGCTCTTCCCGTCCATCTTCGATCTTGCTTTGCACTTACCGTGCAGTGGGCTTGAAGTATTGGAAGTACACCGTGGACGGAACCAACATCTTCCTTATCAATCTACTTGGAGTAGTCATCTTCGCCATCTTTGATTATTGGGTGCTATACGAAGCTCTAGGTCTGCAAATCTGGCTTACATCCCCTGGATTTGTTTTCGCTCTGGCTCTGTTCTCCATAATCCCTCTCGCATATTTCATTGGACAAGCTGTCGCTTCGATCTCCGCCCAATCTTCCATGGGCGTTGGAGCTGCTATCAACGCGTTCTTCTCGACAATCGTTGAGGTCTTCCTCTACTGTGTTGCTCTGAATCAAGGCAAAGGCCCATTAGTGGAAGGTAGTATCATTGGCAGCATCTTTGCGGGCATTCTTTTCTTACCTGGACTCTCGATGTGCTTCGGCGCATTGAAACGGAAAACCCAAAGATTCAATGTGAGATCGGCAGGTGTCACATCGACCATGTTGCTTTTTGCTACCATTGCAGCCTTTGGACCGACACTATTTTACCAAATATACGGCAGCCACGAGTTGAATTGCCACTCTTGTGCTTTATTCCGTGATGGTCCTTCCGGTGCAATTGAAGAGGATGAGAATTGTCGCCGATGCTACTTCAGCCAGTCCCCAACAGTCGCTGACCAATTTTTTATTCAGTCTGTGCGGCCTTACTGCTGGTTTGCAGCAGTACTCCTGTTCCTATCCTATATCATCGGTCTTTGGTTTACGCTTCGTACGCACGCTGCCGTCATTTGGAATATTGAGGTAGAGGAAAAGAAGGCTGCTCAGCCACAACTACCGAATGGCATTACCCAAGATTTACATGCTTCTGTCACACTTCCTCCAAAGGCGAACAGTATTCATAATACAAAGGACGCCAACCACCGGGCACCGAGCCAATCGATCAGGGAAACGCAGCTGTACAAACGTATACTGAGTCAAACACTTAGACAGGATGGTCTGCAAAGTCCTCAAGATAGTAGGAGGTTTTCTCTCCCTGCCCATCGTAATGGCCAGTCTGCCCACCTGGTCCCACCCAAGACCGCTGATTCCGGAGACCTGAGCGATGTCGAAAGCCATCCTACCCAGCCATTGAGAGTCTCTGGTCTTTCTGAAGAGGAGAGCATCAGCCTCGCCCGACACGTTGCTGAGATGGCGGCAACAGCTGCAGCCACTGCAGCCCGGGAGGCGACTCGTCCGCCCCGCGAAAGGAAGCCGTCCACTCATCATACTCCGCGTGTCCCGCATTCTGGCGCCCTCACAGACGACCATGAAGCGGTTGTCACAGCCGAAGCACCCGCTGGCGGACACGACGCTCCAAATTGGGGTAGGACGAAGAGTGCCGTCATCTTGCTAGGTGCGACACTACTCTACGCCATCATCGCTGAAATCCTCGTCAATACCGTAGACTCTGTCCTCCAAAGCGTCGATATTGACGAGAAGTTCCTTGGCATTACACTCTTCGCCCTCGTTCCCAATACGACGGAATTTCTTGTAAGCAAGCCTTCCCAAAGTCCTTCATCTCTCGCTTTCTCTACTACTCGCTTCCATGAACCTGCTCGCTAACCATCATCGGTGTCTCTAGAACGCCATCTCCTTCGCCATGAACGGCAACATCGCCCTATCAATGGAAATCGGCTCCGCCTACGCCCTCCAAGTCTGCCTCCTCCAGATCCCCGCCCTCGTCCTCTTCTCCGCCATCCGTGCCACCTCCCTCACCTCCACCCTCCCTGCAGCCGACATCCTCTCCCACACTTTCACCCTGATCTTCCCGCAGTGGGATATGGTGACTGTCATCCTCTGCGTGTTCCTCCTCAGCTATGTGTACGGGGAGGGAAAGAGCAACTATTTCAAGGGCAGTATATTGGTGCTTACATATTTGGTTATCGTGGTGGGTTTCTACCTGGCGGGCGGGCAGGGAGATGGGATCGTAGGTGAGGAGCGATTTGCAGCGGGTGGAAAAGAGACGTTTTACACGGTTGGAAGGAGTGGGAGGGGGGAGCTTATTGAGAGGCACGGGAAGACTAAACATCGTGGACTAGTCCGGAAGTCCCGGCTCGGTTGGTCTACCGATTTTGAATGGGAGGGGTCAGCAAGTGGCTGCTATCTCAGATGCTTGATGAAAGCTGGCAGGAAGCTGGCCTACAGTGTTCGGGTGGCTAGCAAGGTGGAAGAAATATTTGCTTGGTATTCGATCATGTTCTCTTGCGGGAGTTGGAGAGGGCTTTCGGTTAGGGGGAGCATGGACAGCGAGGGCGCAAGTGGCTACGGATACAATAATTGCTTAGCACTATCTGGTGTTTTCTTGTTGAAAGGCATGGCGGATCATAGCCGACGGGTGAATTTCACTCCTTCGGTACATCAATTCAGAAGCTTGAAACTATTACCAAGATTCTCTCAGCGCATTTACTCTAAAGAGCTTCAAATGCTTTTTGTAGATCGATGCTTACAGGCCCATATTGAAGAAATTAGATTTGCTATATATATTTTAGTATGCACCTACTTCGTACATACGACCACAGGACACGGATAATACGGGTTCCCGTCAGCTCACCCAAAGTCAAACCGTGTACCGATCGAGTAGTAGTTGGGTCGGTGACGACCAGCGAATGTCGATTGTTGTATGTTTTTGATTTTTTGCCCATGCTCATCCACTCTACGATTTCTCATTTGCACTTTGGCACGTTGGCACGTTTACACATATACACAGGATCTATTTGCTGCCTTAGTGGAACTGACATGGCTTCGCAACATTTCGGATGGACGTGCTTCAGTATGCAAAATGTTCTTTTTCTATATTTTCAAAACCCAAAGCTTCACTATTTCTCTAAAAAAGTACGACCGTATATCCACGCATCACCTTAAAACCCCCCTTCAATCACACCACACTACCGGGTAGCACCGTATTAAGCCCACCCCCAGCTTTTGCCTTCTCTCCCTGCTCAGCCTTCGGCTTCGCCTCCTTCTCATCCATCTTCCCAGTGTTCTCACTCCATTTATTCACAATATCATCAATCTCCCCGCGATACTTCCTCTGGCTATGGCACTGCTCCAAGAAAACATTATACTTCACCTTCAACAAATCCTTCTCATGCTGGTCCTCCGTCGGCAATACCGCCCTTCCAGGCTTGGACATCCGATCCATGATAGACCAGAGATCTTCACTCTTTCCGTTCCGGTCCGCGGAGGCGGCTTTGGCGGCTAACATTGCGGCGCCGTGGCACACGGCTGCGTGCACGTATTGGGGAATGAGGACGGGCATGTCACACGCTGAGGCCATGAGTTCCATGAGGATTTTGTTCTGGCATTGCGAGCCGGACATGAAGATTGACTTGATTTGATGGCCGGATTCGTTCATGGTTTCGATGATCTGGTGGGTTTGGAGGGCAATGAATTCCATGCAGCCGTAATAGTACAGTGCGAGCCCGTCCATGGATTTGTCGGATGACAGCCCGATCACGGACCCTGTCATGCGCGGGTCTGCGATGGGGGAGCGGTTGCCAAAGAGGTCGCCGTAGAAGAAGAAGTGGCGGCCTAAATAGCTGATGGACGGTGCAGAGACTTTGGCTGCCATGTCCTTCAAGTGCTCGTTTAGGTAGTCATAGATGTTCGCGTTGTAGGATTCCGCAGTGGAAAGTGCGGTTTGAAAGGCTGGGTGGGTTTCGATTACGTGTTTGAGGAGCTCACCCGTGGCGGATTGTCCTCCTTCTGCAAGCCAATAGTCGGGGATGAGCACGTCGCGGTACGGACCCCATACGCCCTTTACGAAGACCGGTTTTGGCGACATGGCGATGTGGCAGGTCGAGGTACCGGCGACGGCGGCTAGACGGGTGAAGGCTTGGTGCCAGTCGTTGCTGGCGTATTCAGAGCTGAGTGCTCCCCCACCGAGATGTACTTTCGCACCTACAGTTCCAATCCAGCCGGCGTAGGCATCAATGACGCCGCTACCCACAGCGATGCCGGCTGGCAGGCCCAGTTCGTTCGCAGCCTTTTCGGATAGCGTACCACATTTTTCGCCGGCGGAAAGGTAGTGGCCATTCTTTATGTGTTAGTCTTCAAATTGGTACTCGATCGTAATCTGTGGAACTCACTTCTTTGTTGACTCCACCCAAGCGTCTAAAGTTGTCTTTTACGAGATCACCCAGGCCAATGGTCTCCAAGAAATCGCCTTGCCAGCCTTTCACACTCCCATCAACGCCGACCGGTACGTAACCTTGTTTGCAGACTGTGCTGCAAAAGCTTCTGTTCTCGTTACCAGTGGCCATGTGTGTGAGGGCGTCCGTCAAATCATAGAATTTGCAGCGATCGAACAGCTCTTTCGGCATATTGTTCTTCAACCAAAGCACTTTTGGGATTTCCATCTCAATGGACATAGTACCTCCCACATATCTCAGTAGGTTATGTTCTGTAGCGTTGATCTTTGCCGTCTCTTCCACAGGCCTGTGATCCAGCCATAGCACGATATTCCGATCATTGTCATATCTTGGATGAGTCACAGAGACGGGTTCGTCTGTATCTTCAGAAAATACTGCAAGAGAACAGGTAGCGTCAAAGGCAAGACCGCGGATGGTGGAGGGATCAAGGTTCTGCTGATCGAGGATACGCTTGACAGAGGTGCAGATGCAGCGCCAGATGTCTGTCGTTGATTGCTCCTGGACAGGTCTTAGCGAGAAGAACTACACGAGATGTGTTTGAGGGCAAACGAACGTAATATCCTTGTTCTGGCTGCCATAGCCCGATGTTTTCGGAAGCTAGTCCAACAATATCTCCTTTGCTATTGATCACACAAGCCCTTGCGCTCCCTGTACCAACATCGATTCCTAGGAAAGATCAGCAGGAAAGCTTCGAGGTCTGTTCATAAGCTGTAATTACCAATATAGTGGTCTGTGTAAGGATTGACTGAATTGTAGGCCATTGTCAGCGACCAAGCTCTGTGAGGGAATGGTCAAGAAGGGCACTTGCTTTCATTGTGAGGGTCCATGGACGCCTGACGCGATTGCGACTTCACCCGCGGGTTTCCTCTGAATGCTAGTGACGACATGATTGAAAGATGGGCTCGGGAACCTGTCGGATCCGTCAAACAGCTGTGGGGATTTCTTCACGCTGTGGACGAGCAGGGAAGTAGACAGGAAGAAGCTCCGGGGAGGCAATGGAGCTTGCACGTGAACGGTAGCGCCCACGAAAAGCAGTAGAATGCGGAGAATCAAAGGCGAGCAAATGGAATGGTGAAGAAGGGGTGTTAGTCAAGGCTCGGTCAGCATTAGGAGGGCAATAGTGGTGGCCTTGTCTTGGTGGGATGTGGTTTTCATGTATAATTGAAGCGCTAGTCAACAGCTTAACTCTGCTGGCTTGATGGGATTTGTGGCCGATGACGCAGCTGGCCGTCTACACGCGGCGGTGGGGAATTTCGGATGGAGATGTCAATTGCAAATGCGGGCGGACATCACTGGTGGGGCAGATTACGCCCCCCCCAATTGTGATTTCGCTTGGCTTTTTTGCCCTTTCTTGGGGCCCGAGGCGCCTAATCGATAATCCGCCGCGGGCAGGCAAGGCGCCCTAGGGCAACTGAAGAAGCGCAACCCTACCGCTAGCCCGACTTGATACCGCAGTGTCTGTTCTGAGCTCTGCTTTGCATTTGCAGAGAATTAATGGACCATCCTGTCCTCGGTCGTCATCGGGGCTCGGTGTAGACCCACACAACCAGAGCGGACTGGTAGACGTCTGCTCAGAGCATCACCCTGCTCAAGATAGTTCTGCCCTCTGACCTGACGAACTTTCAAGCTTTGGCAATGACAGCTGACATCCACTTCTGTTCGTCTTTCCTATCGAATCGTCAACACTGTGAGCTTACCATAAGGCCATTGAGGACTGCTCACTTGTCAAAGTGGAGAAGCATTCCAAGCACTGGGATCAGCTGCACCTGATACTTTTTGTCTTTCTGCTCCAAGAACTGCAGGAGAACGTTCTTGAGGTAGGCATAGTCGATTGTTCCCGACGATCCTGCATTGACCCCATTGGCCTTGGAGCCAGAATGCGTCCGCTGTACAGGAGCTGGCGAGCCAAGTCGATTCGGGGAGTCAAAGGACGTCCTTGAAGATCCAACATCTGGGGTCGCTGTTCGTTTGCTTTCCCGCACTTTTGCAATTTCGTCGGCCATAGACTGTAGGACCATAAGCATATACAGTCCCATCACCCACGGCATCACTCACCTTGTTGGACTTTTGTAATTTCTCTAATCGATGCTGCGTTTCTTCCACAGACCTCCTGAGTTCCGCCTTTTGCTTCTCAAGGTCCCGGGCCTGCTTCTCACTCTCGTCCAGCGCATCTCGTAACTCACCCATAGCTTTGCGAATCTCTTCACTTTCGTGCGTACTTTGTCCTGCTTGGTGCTCAAGGTCTTCTCGCCGTCTCTTCCAATCACGCTGGGCAATCTCTAGTTCCTCTTTGTCTTCTTCAGCTCGCTTCAGATTTCTTTCAAGGTCACGGTGTTTATTTCGAAGATCCTCTATCTCTCGTGTCCGTCGCCGAGCAGAAGTGCTAGCTTCTTCCTCAGCTCGATCTCTCTCTTCAATCGCTGCATCCATCCGATCTTTCATTTCCCTAGTTCGGGCATCTGCTCGGCTCTCTACGTCTGCGAGCAATCTCCTCATCGTTTCGCCCTCTCGGCTCCGCTCACTGAGCAGCCGATGGGCCTCAGCTACTTCTTCGTCCAAGCTTTCACACCGGCTACGCGCTTCCTTCAACTGCGTAGCCATTTCTGCGGTTTGATCGCGCATGCTAGACATCAAGCTTTGCGCGCTTGAATATTGTGCAGACTTCAGCTCAATTTCCTCTTTGAGACCCTCACTATCATTACGATGCTTAGCAAATTGCTGTTCCGTCTCCCGTAGTCGAGACCTCTGGAGCGCTAGATCTTCACGGACTTTGCCCAGCTCCTTCGAGATTCGATCCATACTCTCAGTCGTTTGGCGCTTTTCCACCTCAAGCCTTGATAAGTCTTGTTTGGCTCTATTGGATGTATCCTCGGCAGAAGCACGACTGTTAGCCTCCTGCATGTTCAGCTGATTCAGTGACTTGATCTCCGCCTCACGATTGTTCATGGTCTGTCTGAGCTTCGTCACCTCAGCACGCATCTCTTCGTGCCTGGAATCGAGTCTCTTGAACTCCGCATCCTTCTTAGCGAGTGCTTCTTTCGCTATTTTCACCTCAGCTGCTTCTCCTCTCAATGCGTCAATCTCTGGCTGTGCCTTCTGAAGTCTCGATCTAAGGCCTTCGAGGTCTCTGAAGCGCGAAGAGGCTAGGTGCTGTGCGGCAGACAAATCCGTCTGCAGGGTTGTCGCCTTCACTTTCAATTCTTCAAAATGAGCGCTTAGATCTTTGTGTTTCTGTTCAGATCCAGCCGTAGCATTTTCATTTGCTCCTCTAGTCTCAGCGAGTTCCTTTTCGAGATCTTTGACTGTCTCCTCTAACGCACTTTTCTGTGCCTTGAGTTCCTTTATCTGGTCTTTTGCCTCTACGTGCTCTTGACCAACATTAACCAGGTCATCTCGGAGTGTCTCAATCTCCTCTTGAAGTCCTTCCTGGTCACTCATTTTGGATTGTAACTTGTGAAGCATGGTATCTTTCTCTTCGAGGAGAGCTTGCAACCGTGCAATCTCTTGTTGGAGTCCATCACTCGTTACTCCCTGGACCGTAGAATCAGTCGTTGTTAGCTCCGGCGCAGCTTTGTCTTCTTGGTCTACTTGGTCTGTTGCATCTCTAGTTTCCCCTGCCGTCGGTTTCCCGGCCTTCTTTTTCTTCTTCTTGTTCTTCTTCGGGCCTGTAGGTGCATTTTGAATGGCTGTAGGCTGCTCTGAACCCTGGGTATGAGGTGGTGCCGTGGCGTTCTCATCTTTCTCGCCCGCCTTCAATGACTTTTCTAGGCTCTTGGTGTTTTCTTGAATCTTTGCTTCAGCATCCCGAAGCTGTAAACGAAGTGCCGCTGCTGACTCTTCAAAGATTGATGCTTGGCTCTGGCTGTGCTTATGATCTTTTTTGGCTTCTGAAAGTTGGGCTTCTAGCTGACTCACATTGCGCCGTAGCGCATCTAATTCCTCTATCTTCTCTTCGCTCTGAGCCATTGAAGCACGTAATTCTTCGAGCTCTGATTTGGTCGACTCCAGTAGGCTTTCAAGCTCTGCGATTCGATCGTTATTGGTCGAGCTTTGGGTCTGTTCAGTGTGCTTCGACTTGGCTTCAGCGGCTTGAATATCTTCTCGTAACTTTAAGACAGTCCTCTCCAGCGCGTCTTGCTGCTCTCTTGCGTCGGCTTCCGATCTGTCCCTGCTTTCCCTCATAGAATTCACCTCTCTGGTTGCTTCCTCGAGAGTCTGGACCATACTTTGTGTTGATTCACGTGTAACCGAAAGATCGGTCTTGAGCTTCTGGACGTCATTCTCTAGGCTCTCAATCTTCTCTTGCTTCGATTGAATTTCTCCTTCCAGTCTGGGGAATTCGCCGTCGTAGGAAAAGAGGTCTTCAGAACCCTGTCGAGACTTTGGTGAAGCCATTGATTTCAGCTTTGGAGAAAAAAGGGATAACTTAGGAATGCCAATGGTGGGTGACTTGATTGATGAAGGCGGCGATTTCTTCGTCGCACCAAGGGGATCCCCTTCACTCATATCCTGTGCGTCGGCTTCGTTCTGGCGCGCAACTCTCCTTTTAGATTCGTCACTTTCATCCTCGGAAACTTTCTCAGACGGCTTATCCAGTCGAAGCTTAGCAGCCTCATCATATGCCTCCCGTGTCTTCTCTTCAGCTTCCTGGAGCCTTTGCTTGAATGAGTCTCTTTCATTCGAAACACGCCTGAGCTCATCTAACACCATATCACCTTTCAGATTGACTTGGTTCAGGTACTCAATGAAGGCTTTCGGCTCGCTGATTGATGTTAGGGGGTATTTTCTCGTAGTGAGGTCTCGAAGCTGTCAATTGTTTGCACACGAGCATGAGCTATCCGGTACGATCGCAATAGCTCCTGATATCTGCCCTCGAGCTTTTCAAGTCTTCTCAATTTCATGCGAACTTCACTTGGTAGCTCAGGCGTTGGAGCATCGGAGTCTCCTCCGTTTTCCTGCGTCACCAGTCCTTCCTCTCGTAGCCTTGCGTTTGAGGATCGTCGATCCGTGCTGTCTTCATGCTCTTCTGTATCTTGCGCTGGTCTAGGAGTGCCTGCCCTGCTCAGCTCTTCCTCATCAATGACGAATGCTGCTTCGAAGTCTGCAGGATCTGGACCCTTGCTGGAGCCATCTCGCCGATCGCGTGAGACCGGCCGACTACTTCTTCTGTTGGGAGAGATGGCTCTATTTGCGACTCTCCTAGCACCAGGTCCAGACCTTGAAGGTGAGCTTTGAGAAGCTCGAGCTCTGGCTTGCTCCTGTTCCAAAGCCGAATCAATTGATGCTTTTATCCTCTAAAGCGCCATTAGCAAAATCTCTATGATCCTACGAACTTCCATACTTGGAACATGGTCTGCGACAGGGCACAGAGCCCATATGTCTCCGTGTAGGGTTCGCTTCACTTGTTTCATCGTTGAAAGATTGAAACATCTTGGCCTCGTGAGCTTACTAAGCAATTACTAAGCAAAAGAGTCCCTGGAGCGACGGCTCTTCGTGCCCTACCGGAGCTCTAAGGGCGCCACCCGGCGCGTCTTCGACAGCACGCGTGGATAATTTCTACCTCACTCCATTCCAAAGCCTTCAATTCGTATGGTGCTCTCGTGCGCTACCAGTTGTCGTAATGGCAGACCTCACCGATGCTCCTATCTCTAGTCAACCCGCCTCTATCCCTCAAAAGCGTCCTCTCCCAATTGAAGACAAGCATGCCCCAGCCGTCGCATCTCCCCTCAACCCCAGCACTCGCATCCGTGAGGAGCGGACGAAGAAGCCAACCGCGAAAGTACGGAAAGAATCACCAGAGCCTACAGCTACTAGCAAAAAAGGTGTGAAAAAGGCTGCGAAAGAACTAGATTACCCTCGTCCAACTAGATACAGGCTCAATGCTCCAACAAGCATCGATTTTGAGCCGCCGCCCCCTCCTCTCTTCATACCGGTCTCCACTAGGAAAGGGCGAACATTTCATCAGGCGACGGAGCTCATCACTAACAAGAAAGGTTTCCGGTATGCCAATGCAATTGCAGATCCACAATTCACGGCCATTCAGTACATGCGCCTTACTGAACCTGAACCTTATGGGGCACATATGGCATACGAAGATGCTTCAGCTCAAGTCCTATTCGACAAAAGCAATGCGGTATCTACAGAAAAGGGGTTTCGTATGTGCAGAGCAAATGTCGGGGCACGGGAGGGTCGGTGGTATTGGGAATGCAGGATATTGAGTGGTGTAAAGCCGCCAAATGAGCAAGGCACAAAAGAGGAAGCCGAAGGTCACGTAAGGGTAGGATGGGCACGAAGAGAAGCGACGCTCGAAGGTCCAGTTGGATTCGATGCTTACTCGTATGGTATACGAGATGTGGGCGGTCAGAAAGTCACGCGATCTCGACCACTCGATTTCGCGGTGTCAGATCTTTGTGAAGGTGATGTGATTGGTCTGGAGATCACTCTACCGTCGCTGCCATTTCACCGTAAAGTGGTTGAGGGTGTATACAACAAGGCGGTGGACTCTTCTGACGACTTAGATCCCGCGGCATCTATCGAAGAGCCAAACATCGTTCGGGATCGCACCGTATTTCCCTACCGGACACGCAGATATTGGGAAAATTTCGAGTACGGTTACACCAAACCCCTGGAAGATTACATGAATCCATCACCTCTACCCGTCAACACAACTAGCGAAGTCGACCCTCCAAGTCCTAACAATCCCATACCACAACTGAGAACCCTACCCTTTTCGAGCATCAAAGTCTACAAGAATGGTGAGCTCATGGGCACTCCTTTCACTGATCTTCTGGCCTTCCTCCCTCCTGCTTCGAAGCCTGTGCCACAGCCCACGTCCCGCGAAGGTCTTGATGACGGCATGTTGGGCTATTATCCGGCCATCAGCGTCTTCAGAGGCGGAGCAGCTGAAGCCAACTTTGGACCTGATTTTGCTTACCCTCCAACGGAGCTCCTAGAACTTGAAGATGTCCAGATGGAGAATGGGGAAAGCTTCGATCCGAGTCAACGGCCTGACAAGCCTTTTTCAGGTAGTCGGAGCAGGCTTCGTCCTATGTGTGATCGTTTCAATGAGCAGATTGCCGAGGATATCGTTTACGATCTGATTGACGAAATCGATTTCTGGGCCTTGGACGGGAGCAATGCAGAGGGATCCATGAAAGACTTGACTGAGGCTGCGCCAATAACAATGCAACCCATTGAAATGGACACTGGTGTTGCAGTAGCCATGGATGGGAGAAAACCTGCAACATTTGAGATGATGACTGGCCAGGGATAGAGATGATTGAAGGTGCGAGCTTGATACCCATTTGTGCCAAACTATATGCCAGTAAAAGCAGATCTAGCAATAAACAAGAACCTGGATGCCTCCATCATCTCATCATGTGCGTCTTCACGTCGTCTCTTTGGCAGTTCCGCAGCAAGGGGTATTCTTCCACCCAAAATCCCCGTACGCCCAAAATCACAAAACCAAGTCTCCTGGCATGCCCCCATTTCAGTCCGCCTGGTTGTACTTCTCATTCGCAGACCTGAACAGCGCCTGCTGCTGTTCCAAAAGCTCCTCTTGCGTCAACCCACTCTGCTCCAGCTTCGTCGTCCTCTTCTCCCTTGTCTGTGGCAAAAAGCACATCAGCCTCCGCTCACCTCCCGCCATGCTATAGAACTTGTCGTAGAGAACTCACCTTCAGCATCTCCTTTGCGTCCCCCGCGCTGTCAAGCACGGGCCTCACATACTCCGGAAACCCTAGATCCCGCAAAGCCTTATCAATGTGCTCAATTGCAATCGTCTTCTTTGCCTCCTTCTCCGCAATCTCATTGGCCTCAGATGAAATGAGGGTGATGAATTCGACGCAGCATTCGATCAGAAGCTCTCTCGCGTCGCGGGCGAAGGCTACACTGAGCTTCCCATGTTCGCCTTTCTGGGAGGGCGTGGCTAGGATCTCGGAGATGATTTTTTGGACGGTAGCTGTGGGGAGAGTCAGCGGGCCTTTTGGAAGTGAGGGCTCATCGTGATCTGGACTGGGAGATTTTGGAGGGTCTGGTGCTTGGTATTGGGAAATTTGGTAGAGGCAGGGTCGTTTGGTGCCAGGTGGGAGAGCAAATGCTGGAACTACTGTTGCTTTGAAAGATGATGGCGGTCCGAACTTGACTTTGGCCGGTGTGCTGGGCTTTGGAGGGGACATGTTGATGTGATGTGAAGGAAAGGTGAGAACAAGAAGTGAGACATACCTTTGGGTAGGGAGAGGTCATCATTGCCTCCAAACTCACGATCCGACATGTTTGATGGTTCGTGAGGGAAGGTAGTGCAAGTTATCAGAAGTGCCCTTCACTAGAACTATGGAATATCTGCCTAGGCAAGAAGAAGCGGCTGCTTGCCCGCCTAACAGTGATTAATGCCGCACATTCTAGGGGTGCCTAGTACCTAAAACCTCTGAGATTTAAGCAGGTTTGCTCCGAAGAGGTGCCTAGAGAAGGCGTCACTCCACTCCAAGCGCGCGGCAGCCCCTGGTGGCCCCGTGGTGTGCACTGTGCAGGGAAAATTCTGGTTGAATTCGCAGCTCGCACAATTCTACATTCACAAATCCCATCTCAATGTTCTTCGCATCCTCGACATAGGTATACAAAATACGTCCAGATAGCCTGTTTAGAGACATGGAGTCTTTGAAATGGCAATAGTGCAAGCCATGTCTGTGGCTCCAGGTGTATGTAAGTACTGTCCGAAACCGGATTCTTTCATTGTGATGACCACCGTGTCGCCCCTATCTTACCAATTGAGCTCAGGCTCTCGTGGTGAATGACCTATCCAAGCCAAACGGATTTATCTGAATCATGTTCTAACAAAGCGGCTCTCTCGAATATCCCTGGTACACATCGCAGACTAATGGACTCTTCGACAGATTGGCTTGTGGGCCTCAGTGCTCGATCGGACCTCCGTTGAGTTTGACGTCAAACAAGGTCTAGATAGATGACCTGGATGAGTGAGTAACGGACATGCATCTCCACCATCGAGATATAGACCAGTGACAGCATTGTAAGTCCCTTCCTCAGCTCATTTTCCTAGCCTTCAATGATGAACAAACCTGTACTATCAAATACCGAATCTCACAAGACAATGTGGAGACAACTTGGTTCGATTACCTGAAACTTCTATTGCAAAACACCTTTCGGCGTTCCATTGGTTTTGACTCCATGCTGATCTTGCAATCTACTCAGATTTCCCTACCAAAAACGATCAGCCCACTGACATGGAACATTTGGGTCCATTCTTGCAAAGCTTGAAGTGCATAGTTTTTCGCCATTCTTGATGGTTTCATGCTGACAGCTGCTTCGATCTTGCACCACGTTCAAATGAAAAACGACAAGGATTACTTTGGGCAAATGTTATCAATCGTCCTATCATTCGCAATTAATTTGGCCGACTTCCCTAATCTACATTGTTCCTTCAACTAGGGGCCATCCATCTTGGAGATTTGCTGCAGTTATGAGTACGACCTGACGTGAAAATCATTCATTAGCCAACTGATATCATGTCTTTTGTCTACATGCGCTTCTGCACTTCAACTTTCAAGTCTTAATTGTGCATATACTAGGAACGCCCGAACGAGGCCCAACAGTATTCGTCGAAAATTTACGCCTTCAAAGCATAAGGAGTTCTGATGTTACAAGCTCGAAAACTGGGCAACGAAGTAAGGTTCGTAGATTCAACTTGTTCCGCTTCAAAGCATATGATTACACTAGATATTCCATGCTAAGACTGACGACCCTTTGGTCGTATGGAGAGCAAATATCGAGACTTTTCATCTTTCAAATGATGCTTTTGTTGTTCTATCTATTGAAAAAGTGCAAGCAAAATGATGATCCGTTGCTGACTCACGGCTACAGCATCTAGCGTGAACAATTTCACTGATATTTTGCCAATTCTGAACCATTCCAGCTATGGAAAGTAAGCCTTCCGTTCATGGATCACTATCTGAGAAGGAGACTCACCTGAGATATTGGCCGTTCAAGGACATGTCAGGATTGATCGCCAATTTTGCCATGACATTCGCTGGTTGGTCTGGTTTGAGTAGTGCACTCACATTCTGAAATTTCGCTCTCTCTGTTTCTTTCATGCCTGCTAAATGGGTTTCCCTCAGACTTTGTTGCATCTCCGTATCGACCATACCGGGACGAATCGCAAATGCAGTCACTTCTGTCTCCTCACAAGCAACTTGCTTGGCCAACATGTTCAAAGCCGCTTTGGAGGTGCTGTATGGGCCCCAAGTGCTGTACGTACTTGTGGAGGCGCCAGTCGAAGTATAGACTATACAGCCCTTGGAATGTCTCAGGGGCGGCAAGGCTGCTTTCGTCTGTCTGTCATAAGCTCGATCAATTGCTTCAAACTTCAATTAACCTACAAAGGCTACGGCACTGAAAAGATTGATGTCGAACATAGAACGCCAATCATCAATGTTACAGTCTTCCAAACTCTTTACACCAAACATCGCTCCATGATTAAGCACAAGACCGTCGAGTCGCCCATAGTCTTTTTGTGCTAGGCCTACCGCTTTATCGGCAAGCGAAAAGTCTGCGAGATCCCCAGCGAGCGGTCGGACTTGCTTTGGATGCTCCTGCTGCAATTGACGAAGGATCTCTGCGCTCCTCGCAAGAATAACGACATTGTGCGATTGTGAAATGAGATATCGTACGATCGCAAGACCGATACCTGCGGAAATGTCAGCGGTCGCTGTGCTGCTGTGTGCTCGAATGACCCTTTGAGGCTCCAGTCACGATGAAAGTCTTAGACATAGCTACGCTCTTAGCATCCGTGTCGTTCAGGAAAACTTATCGTTACCTTTCTCTCTTTCTTACGTCATCTTCTGCGGCTAGAGCAAGCGCGGGGCTTGGGCAAGTATCGAATGTTTCTGTTGGCATGACTTGCTATGAAAATTGTCCGAATACAATATGCCAACTATTATTGTCGGTGCGGGTATTATTGGCGTCTCCTCTGCCTACTACCTCTCTGAACTTGACCCCTCAAAAGCTCATGATATCCACCTGGTCGAGTCATCTCCTGAGCTTTTCGCCTCTGCGAGTGGCTTTGCAGCGGGGTTCTTAGCTGCAGACTGGTTCTCTTCACCGCTAGCCAAGCTTGGAGCGCTGAGCTTCAAGCTCCACATGGATATCGCAGAAACGAATAATGGGCAAGAACGCTGGGGTTATAGCCAATCAACAGGCACTAATCTTGCAGAGACAATAGAAAGCAATGAAGATAGGGACTCTGACTGGCTGAGAGAAGGAGCAAGTAGAGCAAGAGCAGCAGCGAACACTGAACCCGAATCCGGAAATGCTCCCCAATGGCTCAAAAGCAAAGGTGCCCTTGATGTCCTCTCAGGCGGTGATACCACGGCGCAGATGTACGTCTTCATACTTAGACTCGAGCCTCTCTTTGACAAGAATCAAGCAATCCCCGTGCTCTGTGTGATTTCCTTCTCTCAACCTGCCTCTCTCGAGGCGTCCATCTCCACCAACCTTGCCGTCCCCTCTCACTCTCCCACACCTCCACCGGCGCTCTCTCAGCACTCACAATCCTGAAAACCTCCACCACTTCCAAACTCACTCTCCCCTGCGCAAGACTGGTCATCGCCGCGGGCGCCTGGTCCCCCTCCGTCTTCCGCACTCTCTTTCCAACCTCCAAGCTCTCGATTCCCATAACTTCCCTCTCCGGCCACTCACTCCTCCTGCGATCCAAGCACTGGCCACCGCCGGCTCTTGACGCTACTGATCCCATCCGCGGCCTTAGCAGCAGCCCATCCATCCCCGTCCATCACCGCAAGGATAATGAAAGGCAGTGCCACGCGATCTTCACCACTGACACCCAAGGCGGCTACTCACCTGAACTCTTCTCCCGCATGCCAAATGGGGAGATTTACCTTGCTGGTCTGAATTCGCCATCGTATCCTTTGCCGAAGGTAGCGAATGAGAGGACAGTGGATAGCGCGGCGATCAACACGCTGAAAGTGACGGCAAGAAGGTTACTGGGCGATGATGTGGAGGTCGTGAGGGAGAGTGTGTGCTGGAGACCAGTGAGCAGAAGGGGTGTGCCTGTCATTTGTGAATTGACGGGGAAGGTGGGTGACAAGGGGAATAAAGATGGCAGTGACGAGGGAGGGGGAGAGGGCGTGTTCTTGGCTGCTGGTCACGGCGCTTGGGGCATAAGTCTGAGTTTGGGGACAGGGTGGTGTGTTGCTAGGATGGTAGCAGGAGAAGATATGAGTGAGTACGTCGGCCGTTTGGGTATATGATATATTCCCCATCTCAAAGGATTTGAGTCTGTAGAGTTCGCTTTTCGCATAGTATATACATTACACAGGGCCATTAATACGCCCCGGCATCGCCACCAACATTACATACAGCCTCCCACACCTTCTCTCCCAACCGATATTTCAGCATGCCCGCAAATACCATCAGGTCCTTTGCCGCGCTTAGCAAGTTGTCGCTGATCTGCTTGTTCTCGCCCGCTTCGAATTGTCGTTGTGCTAGTGCGTGCCGCTGTTGACTGATGCATGTGATGGTCCAGAGAAGGATAGGGCCTACGTTTCGAGAGATGGGAGAGGGCAGGTTGTTGAAAGCTTGGGCGGAGTTGCGGATGATGGGAATATTGCCATTGGCGGCTAGAGGCAGGAGATGGAGACCCGCGATAAGCTGCGAGAAATATTAGTTCGTAGATAGGGCACGGGTCAGAAGGGGACAAGGGGGTCTACTAACATTGTAAGCCTCTACCCACTGACCGGCGAGAATGCTAGCTCGGGCCTCGCTGAGCCGGAGGAGGATGCCGCTGGTCTCGCGACTTTTGGGCTTTATTTTGGCGAAGTACATTGTGTTGTTGGTGTAGAGGCTCACCATGTTGCTTGCTAGAGTGTAAGGGTCATCTACTGATGTCAGGCTGAGACTGCTCCCCGCTGAGGGCTGAGAGCCTTCACTCTGGGATTTAGCGGCTTGCATTCTGGGTTTTAAGGGCTGTAGGCGCATGGGCTCTGCACCGATATCGATGGACAAGGACTCCGAAAGCGCCCTGTTGGCGGTGGCGATGACGTTCTCGAAGTCTTCAGCAAGGTGGAATAAGAGGACAGCGTCGGTGACGCGACCGTTATCGTCTGCAACACTTGCAGCTTGCACTGTGACGGTCTTCAGGAAGTCTTCTTGGTCTTCTAATGCAATGATTTCAAGACGTTCTTCGATGGCGCCCTTTAGTCGTATCCCGTCATATCGAATATCACCTAACAACAACGCAAATTCTCGAGTCTCGAGCACAAGTTCGCGCAGTGCTTCGTGGCAGAGACCAGCCTGCGATTTGCCGAGCTGGCCAGGCAGATCTGCATTCAAGCAAAGTAAGGCAAGGTAGTCGACCGCAGCTTCGGCATTGCTCGTTCGGAAATCGCGAGTATAGTAACCTATCATTCTGCCGAAGTTGAGCTGAGGGAGACTCTTCGTGTTATACGTGACTAGAGAATCGTTAGCAGGATCTATGCATCCTCGAGCTCTGCACTTACGAAGCTCTGTCTCCGACACCGAGAAGTCTGAAACGCGTAACAAGCCATAGTAGTCAAGTGCGATGGCAAAATGGACTGCAGTAGTATAAGAATAGGAGTAGACATAGGCTACAGCCTGCTCAAACATTCCACCAAGAATCTGGAGGTGGAAGAAGGTGCCAAAGCCTCCAAACCCGTCATGGCCCTGATCAAAATGCCTCTGTCCTATCTCAGCAATCGTCTCTCGAACCTCGCTGAGTCCATAGACATCCGCAGCACTCTCCTCCGCACGATTGGCCTCTCGAGCGAGGTTAAATTGAAGCCATATCCAGTCGTCAACACTCTGATTGATATGGTCTAGAATTCGTCTACTGAGTTCGCATCTGCCGATGATCTTGTAACACGCTACACGGTAGGGATCGATTGAGTCACCTGGCGCAGTCTTCGTCATAGCCGAATAGACATTGTTACAATCTCGCTGGACTCTGCCATCCAGCCTTCGATCAGGGCTTTTCGCGTAGGATGTGAGGAAGGTAATAATGTTTCGATCAATGGTTTTGAAGTGAGGGGCGTTCCCCACGACGTAATCTGCAGCTTCGTCTACCATTCCACTTCTCAGGAGGTAGAATATCAGCGCCCAGCAATAGTCTTCGCCCATTGTAGCCATAAAAGCCCCATCCGGTGCCAGGTCTTTTCTCACCGCCCGTATCCTCACATAAGCACGCACTTTGCTCAGAGCTGTAGGTATACCACCAATGTTTGCTTCTCTTGGGTTCTTTGAGACTATTTCTTCGAGCTGGCCGAAGAATTCTTTCTCAAGCGATTTCCTTGATCCATCGATGATCTGTTTCCGCACCTTCATAGACCTCGCAGAATTTGGCATTTCATCAAGGTAGTCCTGTGCAAAGGCTCTTTCCGGGACATCCTCTCCTTTGACGATCTCTATGAGAGCCTTGTACGCAGCAGCGATTTGTGTCGGCAAGTCGCCGCTAGGATCGTTGTCGATACTCAAGAATTCTTTCAAAATGGGATACACGGATCCTTTTGGTCGCTTCATGCTAACTGTTCTGGTCTTCCGCAATCGCGCTTCGTTTAGAGCTTGGACTCTCTCGGCATACTTACGTTGCTTGTCCCTCAAAGAGCGATCCTCAGAACCGGTTGCATTTCCTCCGCCCTTTTTGGCAACATCCGCAAACAAAGTTGCGTTGCCAGATCCTATTCCAGGTGTACCAATTACAGATTTCTGCAGGCTTGACTGACCAAAGATACTTCTACTCAAATTTTGGCGGCTTGAGGTCTGCGTCCTGCCAAGTCTACTTCTTCTTGCAGATTGTCCAAAGCTTCCTTTAACGGAACCGCTAAGTTCGTCCGTCTCAGCATTCCGTGGTGTAAGCCCAAAGTGCTCATAAATTTTCTTTCTCTGCTGCTCCCAGTTGATATCAACATTCTCTTCGAGATATTCGTCAAATTGGCGTCTTGCTCGCTCAAGTCCCTCCTGAACCATTCGGGTCGTAAGCCGCTGTTCTAGCTGCTCGTAGTATTTGCGATTATCTGGATCGAACTCCGGAGTTACCGTGAAAGGGGCTCTGTTTGTGAAAGTTTCCGATACTCCAAGAGAGTCAAGATCGCGTCGTGTAGTGCCAATGTTGACACCGGATGCAGCAAGCAGATAGTGCCTGTTCTGAAGCATTAGATGGGGTTGAATTCGCTGTTCAAAGGACTCACGCTCGACTGTCAGGTTCCTTCCTTCCTCTTGAGCCTGCGCCTCCAAGCTCACGAACCCGTTTTGAAATATCACCCAATCCCAATTGCAAGTTTGGAAGATTTTGAAACCCAGGGCCCTGCTCTCCATCTCGCGCTCTCCTTTTGCCTTTCTCTATCAAATTGTCAAAGTAGCCTGGAGCTCTATGCGCTGGAGCGCCATTCTGTGCTTGCTGCTCACTCTGATTTTGATTCTGCGCCTGCGGCTGTTGTGGAGCAAAGATGGACAACCCGGCAGGGTGGCTAGAAGCAGGCGGATTGATAGTACCGAAAAGACCTGACGTTTGTTGCGGTGCCGAGGATAGTGAGGAGAAGAGGTTGCTTGTTGGCGCGCTACTCGTCGTATTCTGTGGTTTTGAAGTATCAAAGATGCTCCCAGAACTAGCCGGTTTCGACTGATCACCCAGATTTGAAAAGAGTGAGGAGCTTTGCTGAGATTGAGTCGCAGGAGTAGTCCTATCAAAAAGGCTGCCACCAGTGCCGGCTGTAGTATCGGGCTGCGATGTGGATTGCGTTGCAGGTGTGACTCTGTCGAAAAGACCACCTCCAGTCCCGGGAGCAGCTGGTTGTGACGACGGCGTACTTCCAAACAAGCCGCCTGTTTGTGCCGGTTGTGACGGGGCCAAAGAAGCACCACCGAAGATACTCCCTGATTGTTGCCCGCCAAAGGCTGAGGACATCGCTCTCGGTAAGCAGCACAGGCGCAGTGATCTGGCGTTGAAGATGTCAAACGGTTGGAAGTTTACATGCGGCGATGGTTCCCTTTTCTTTTTTTTTTGAGAGAGGGACGCGCCGCGACAGGTGGGACCTTAATTTGGCTCGAAACTAGGACCTGGGCTAAGCTGCTTCAGGTATTCTTTATTCTTGCCACCAGTTGCGGTGTTGGTGGTTTCTGTCTTGAAATTCGCTGCGTTTTGGGATTTTGCACTGGGAAAAGAATATGGAATGTTAATCGAAGATATTGACACGTTCATATGACATCATCTCCATCTGGTCATCAACACCGACCTGCGCGTTGCCTTCCTCAAAGGAAGCCTACCCTACATCCAACTGTGCCTCGTGCAAGCAATCGGAGAAAGCCTAGGGCCACCTTTCGAGGTAGTCAGCCTTCATTGCTATTGCTCCTTGACTACATGATCTCTCCTCGACGTTCTTTCTGCTTGCTCGCGCTGGATTCAGCCGCTTCCCCTCTTATCACTCCTTCTTTACATGCCTCGCCCTCAGTCTCTCCATCGCACGTTGAGTAATTTGGTCGATCTTCTGCTTTCCCGCTTCTCAACAGAAATTGGCAGACTATTTTGTCTACCGATCGCAAGCCCAGCCATGCCCTCTTGATGCACATAGCCTTTTCAATCATTTGATTCCCCCAATCCCACGTTTGTGTCCTCGCCCGTAGTAATGATGACCCATCGTCTCAATTCCCTCTCCCCTCATCACGCCTTCCCATCTCTCTCCCCCTCGAGCCTCGGCACTCTCTTCTGCTGCCAATCATCCAGGTCCTTCGCAGCCAACCTATAATACTCCTCCTGCATGTCGACCTTCCGCCTATCCTTTCCTAAACCTAATGCCTCTTCTTTGCTGAGCTGCTTCATTTTCCTATCATGCCGTTCATATCTAAGTGCTGTAGCGGGTGTGAGAGCGAAAGAGCCGGCGACTATGGCGGCGCAGAAGGGGAGGCCGAATAAGGCGAATGGGTGGTTGTCGAGATTGCGGCGGTACCAGGCGCCGATGCGGCCGAAGAAGGTTGTGGGATTTGTCGGAAGTCTTCGAGAGGGGAAAGGAGAGGGTGGCATGTTTCAAGGTGAAAAGGGTGTTTGCGGTCGAATCTGGTATGCAGGGGAGTGCTGGAGGTGGAGAGGAATTGCACGTCATCTGCAGAAAAAGTGGCCCCCTCATTTGCACTTCTCCTCGAAATCGACTTGCGCCTGAAATTCTTTACCTAACGCAACGACAATGACAATCCCACTCCTCTACCGCTTCCTCTTTCTCTATTTCGAAGCCTTTGCAGCTCTGGGAGGAACCCTTCTCTGCCTCTTCCGCCCCCTCCAATTCCTGCAAACATTCTCCCCGCAAGCTACAGCCTCGACTTACGACCCTCTCTCACAGCCAATCTATGACCAAACAGGCGCTCTATTACTTCTGTTCGCATGGTGTCAAGCTGTAGTATTACGCTCTACATCCGATCTCAAGGTCTGGAAAACCGTGCTGTTTGGCATGTTCTTGTGCGATCTGATGCATTTATGGAGCCAATGGAGGATTTTGGGTCCGACTGTGTTCCTTGATCCGAGGCTTTGGAGGAAGGAAGAGTGGTTGAACTTTGTGATGTTGTATGGGCCTGGAAGTATGAGGCTGGCCTTCTGTGCTGGAATAGGGTTGGGCAAGGAAGAAAAAGTTGAATGAATGATTTATGGAAGGGTTCGGATGCTCAAGCTTGGTCCACGCTTTCAGACCGTTACTTTAAGCTCGAGGAGCGGAGAAACGATCAGAGTGAAGGAATGCAAGGAAGTTGTTTGTCTTGTGATGCTGTCACGCATTAGCGAGGGGCAATTATTCCGCGGTTGAATTATGGACAGATTGGGCGATGACGATAATCAGGTCCTTGACAACTGTTTGCGAGAGACACGCAATTACCCGGTTTCCAACGGGCAAGAAGCTAGATGAAACCCTCCATTGAGGAATGATATTAAGACTCAAGTCATAGCCAACGTCCCTGGTACACGTAAAGCATCTAGACGTTACAACAGCTCACAAGGGGCCGCCATGTCTATCGAGATATGGTCATGACCCTCTATGATTCCTGGATTTCCCTGCAAGCGCCAACCGATACAAGCAATGCAATAAAGAACCCATAGATACGTGCCCAACGGACCTTGTTGGAAAATTGCTATACAGTAGAATATGATTATATCGTTCCGCCATTGACCCGTGGTGGAGGTTGTTGATGGCCGTTCGTCGCCTGTGCTGCCTGAGCAGCTGCTACGGCCTGTGCTGCCATCGCGTTTGCATCTGCTTGAGCAATTACGCCTTGAATTACTTGTTGATCAGTCGGCGTAAGAATCTTAGTCAAAGACTCGTAGAGTTGTGGTTGACGGGTTTGGAGATCTACAAAAAGCGATTCTCATTAGCGACGTACCCATACAAAAGCCCATGGTTTTCACATACTGAGAAGCGATTCTTTGAAAAAGCCATACGGTTCAACCTTGTCTAAAGGTGTTTCCAGCAGGCTCTCTTCTTCGAGTTCGTCATCGGACTCATCTGCCGCCGCGCCAAACTTTTGCGCCTGTGATCTCAAGTCAATCTCTACTCGGCGAATGACTTGATGGAGGGCAAGACTTACCTCTTGGGTCAAGAATTCCAGGTAGGCCGCACCTTCGTCTTTGACATCCTCGGGCTCTTCTCCCTCGTCGTTTGTCAAAGTATCACCATTCTCGGCCCAGCTTTCGGGTTCGTCGTCATCCTCTTCATCGCCTACCTCGTTCTGAAGTTCGTTCTCCTTTGCAGCTTCTTCACGGTTCCTCATAGCTGCGGGTAGTGTGTGAAACAGCCGCACAGCGCCTTGCATCAATCGTGGCCAGCCTAATTGAACACTAGTAGGGACTTGACTAGCATCCAGAGTCAGCAGTGAGCTAATAGCCACAATCGATAGTTTTTTGTCGTGAACTCGTTGAAAATTTTCGATGTTCGAGAACCAGGCGCTGAAAAACTTGTTGGTCCAGCCGTGACTCTCCAATATATGGAGGGCAACGGGTGGGTTGTAGTAGATGGCGTTTATCACCATCTCAATGAGCCGGATTCGATACGACTTCACTTTTGGTTCTGGGCTCGATAAGGCCGTCATAGCGAGCTCTACGAAGATTAGAATCTTCGCGTCGATCAAACCCCTCAGATTGAGCATGATCGCTTCCGCAAGCTTGCAGCCACAGATTCGATCCATTCCGCCGACTTTCTCATCATGAAAAATATCTGTTACCATTCCTATCAGGGCGTCAAGGTACGGTGGCTGTTGTATGATTGTCTCTGATCCATAGGCAACAAAATTGTCCAGCGCAGGAAGCATATCCTCTAGATATAATTCAGCTCCAGCTTTGAAGCTCTTGTGCATGAGCTCGAAGGCTTGCCACATCGTTGGTGAAATGACCTTTGCCGAGAAGGTGCAGCTGTCGATTATTTCAAAGACTTCATTATAAAGATCGTATAGTTTGTTCTCTAGCGTGATTTGTATAACAGGCATCAAGATCGTTTCAAGGTGCATTAAGACGTCGGGCGTCGCTTCTAGTGTGAGAATCAAAGTTCCAATGGTCTGAAGAACTCCAAGAGCTGTAATACTTTTGTCGCCAAGATAATCTCCGTAGCTTTCATCGCTGCCTTCTTTGGCGGTACTCCGATCTAAAACCTCGCGAACGATCCGCAGATATGTGTCACGTAATTGTTCGCTCAGCGCGACGGCAAAAGGAGTAAGTTCAGTTGCGAACTCTTCAACAAAGTCCTCCATTACATTTGCGAGAGCATCGACATCCACTTCGTTGGCCAACTTCAACAATTGCTGCATGATCTGTGGAATATTGTGCTGCATGGAGGCCCTAATGACTTCATGCCTTATCAATGGTTGCAGCGCCAGAGCTGCTTCTACCCGGACAGGGAGAGCAGGATCTGCCATCGACTCCAAAATATTCCCATAGATCGTGAGTAAATTTTTGTGATCTTTGAAATCAAGCGCTTCAAATTTGCCCAAGGTATCACAAGATCGAGCGCGGAGAAAGCCATGGGGACTCCGAAATTCAGGAAAGACGTGTCGAACAAAGAAATATTCTACCTGATCAGCAATTGGGCTCTTCTTACTGAGAATAACCGGGGCTAAGGTGCCAATCATTCTCAAGGCACCTTCCTTCTCTCGTGGATTCTTTTGGTCACTTGGCGAAGCTTCATAATTGTTGACGACACTGTTTACGAAGTTAAGGATCGAGTAAGTTTGTTCCTTGCGGCTCTTCGTGAGTGACACCAAAAAGTTCGTGGCGGCAACGTCAGGTGAAGAGACTTCTTCGTAGAAATTCAATTTCCGATGCAAGTACTCTGGCGGATCCGAATCAAAAAGTTCAATATCTTCGTCTGATTGGCAAAGAATGGGAAATATGACGTGCGAGTTCAAGGTATCTAGATGTGGTCTCAGGAGTTTCCACATCAATTTCGGTTTTATGCATTCGTCTAAGAACATCAGCGTGTAAGAAAGAGAGGCTTTGCTCAGCCACGTCGTCTTGGATGCCCATTTTTCGATTTCCCCTAGATAACCTTTGAGGATTTCGGGTGCAAAATTTGAGATGAAGGACTTTGAGAATTGCACCAACTCTGGAGTAGAATTTTGCTTATTCGTCGTGGGATGGCCGTATCTGATTCAGGGTCAGCCCATGCTCTCCTTAACTTATCTAGAGGAACACACCGAACGAATAAACGGTTCAGATTAGCATAAGCCCATTTCTTAGATTTCCAGAAGTGATTTCGTTCCCGTTCATCCAAATCCTCGTCCAGAGCATGTTCAGGGGCCGTTTTACTGACAATGTTAATGAACAGAGTACACCAGCCCACCGTGCGGTCCTGCTGCATTATGTGAGAGGGAAGCTCGAACTACAATACTGGATTAGCTCTTGTCTAGCGTACGGCAGTAGCTTTGTTAGAGGCTCACGAGGATCACCCACATAAATTGCATGTTTGAATGCCTTCATTATGATATGTAACATCTCCCAGGCCTCGAGATGTGTCTCTGAAAGCAGCCCATTCGCAACATTCAGGACCTGAGGAAAAGACGCTTCCACGATTTGATTGAATTCGGTGCGCGTCTCACCGCTCTTGAATCTATACATGCGGCAGAGCGCGACCATGCACTGTAGGCCGGCATAGACTGAACTCGCGTCGTTGGTGGCGAGGAGCCCCATGGTTCTTTCGAAGTAATCGGGCCAGCTCTTGGGGAAGTCATTGTTGAGGATTTTTTGAATGATGGGAAGCAGTTGGAGGCGTATTTGGGATGGTGACGACGCAAGCAGAGGCAGAACCTGGTTCCGTATATTTGCTTTCTCATCTTCTGGTATTGATTTATTTTGCGGGACTTCATCGCTAGTGGTCCAGGCTCTGCTGACTCGATTCTTCAGGTAGACGACAGCTATGCCAGTAAGCCAAATGCTTTGCACAGGCCTTTGATCCACAAACTTGATAACCTAATGCTAGCTTCTTGTTCACCTTGAAGTATGTCCAAAAGTGCGTTCACGAATCCTGGCTGCTCTTCGGCCTGTCTCAGAATGAGCTACATTCCCACATCTTACATTGAATCTCATGATTTGACAGCTACCCACATGTCTCAAATCAAGTTCAGCTTGCCTCCGTAGATCCGCATTTGGATCTACAGTCCAGCGTATCCGGTCTCGTAAGGCGGTCACGTCCATATTGTTTACTTGTGAAGGATTGGGAAGGGAATCCTGTGGGCGTTTGTCAGGATTGAGGTCGAGGCAAGGGTTTCAAGAAGCGACCAACAACCGAGGGGCTTCGAGCATTTTCATTGCACGCTTGAATTTATCAAAGCCGTGACTGCTTCCTCGAGCAGAGGCCAAGGGCTGAGGCCGCAGGTGTAGACAGCAGAGCTCCAAGCTGTGATGCAGTGTGAAGAAAATTAGATCGAGCCTAAATCTGATTGGATGAGAGCGTCCGGAGATTAGAGTCAGGTACCAAATCTGCAAGGGACTATCGCCACGATCTTGACAGCTTTGCCCGCTATCAACAACAACGACAACGACAACAACGACAACAACTCGTCAGGTGGGATATACACATTACACGGGTGTGTCACTTGCACATGCCATGCTAGAACTATTGAGAGCCGTCTAGTCAACCAACATTCCCCAGAAAAATAAAGTATGATCAAAGGGCCGGACATAAACTGTTGATCCAATTCAATTGGAGAATCGCTATCTACATGTACAAACTCGCGACGGCGGTGATGTCGCGCTTGATCATCTCTTGTGCCGTTTGCATCTTCGTGAAAAGTTCAGGATCGCCTATGATTCTTGCCGCATTCTTGACTTCCCGGCACGTCTCATCCAATCTCGTGATGACTCGCACGATTGTTCCCTCCAGCACGTCTGTTAAGTCTGTAATGCGGTTGAATGACATTCCTCTGGCCCACTCATACACAACCTCTACCATCCCAAAGCGAGGCTCACTAGCAAACTCGTTGGACTCATCGCTCGAGAGGATGACTTGATGCTGCACCTGGTACTCATTGACTTTCTCCGAGATTGCAATGATGCTGCCCTTGCCTTTTTCAAGATGTGCTGTCAGTGTTGGCTCGTTATCCGTCTTCTCTTGGAATACAAAGGCGGACAAGAGAGCAACAATCTCTTCCGGCTCGAAATCTGCCAGGACGTTCTCCAGGATCAGTTCCGTCAGTACGAGTTCATCAGCCGAATGGATTTCGCACGCCACTTTGCCTTTCAATTCGACCCTTGAACTTGCATCAACGAACCCTAGGTCTTTCAGTACCTCGATGCGCTGCTCGTAATCTGGGAGTAGCTGCAAGTTTTGATCGGACATGAGCTGTCGTAACTGAGAGATGTTTTCCTTGATCAGCCATTCATCGTGGTACATCGCAAACTAGCTCAAATCAGCTTCGGGTTCTAGTCGTGATGTATGATACTCACATGTTTGACAAAGTGTGGACAGTCAAAGCAGTGGCCCAATTGCGCGTCAGCCGCATCTTGCCTACGAGCATCCAACAGATTCCTGGTCTGCATATCTCTAGTCTTGACCCAATCGACTTCGTCCCATTTGGCATTGTTCCAATTCACAAGAATGTCCTTCATCTCATCCTCCATCCGTTTGATTCCTTCTGGGTCGAGTCTTAGCAGCTTATCAATTGGGATCTAGGCAGACTTGTCAACGTTCTACCGAACCTTCAGTTGACTTATGGGTCTCCTCACCTTGACAGAATAATCCAGCAGTGCTTCTACGTCTGTGAGCGGTACCTTCATAATCCTTAATTCCATTCCCGCTACTTCGGTTGGTAATTTGGGAAAATGCGATCGGTAACGAGGCAGATAGGGCAATAGATCGCTAGAAAGGCGGGTTGCGTTCTTAGTACCCAACGACAGGAGCTCGACGTGAGGAACAAGACCTCTGCTGACGCCTTCTCTCAACATGATTCCTACCATTCGAACACCGTTTCTCTTGAACACAATCAAATGTCGAGGTGTAAACATGCGTTTCCCTACTGGAGTAGCAACAAGGGCTGCATAAATGTTTTGAGTAGCTTGCTGAAACCTCATCGCCGCCTTGTGAGTTCTTTCTAAATCAATATCACACACATCACAAGCCTCTCTTTTAATTTTGGCCAGGTCACTTTCAGAGATCTTGACTTGCTTCTCCTGCTCTGGTAACAAAGCCTGTGTGGCATTCTCGCTGAAGCTTCGTTTGATCATCTCCTCTATTTTGAGCGCCTCTACCCTGAGAAGGTTCAGTATCATGTTGTAGGTCAGTCTGAATTGTGATCTCAATTTTGTAGGATCGCCGAGTATCATTTGTCGTAATGATGCCGCTGGTGGAGCCTCATCATTATTTGGAGTCACGAGGATTACGCTTCCGACAGAGTCTATGCCTCTTCGTCCAGCTCTACCTGCCATCTGTGTATACTCGCCAGGTAGTAGATCTCGAAAGGCTCGGCCGTCATGTTTGCGAAAGCCAGAAAAGACGACAGTCCTTGTTGGTAAGTTAAGGCCCATAGCAAAGGTCTCTGTTGCGAAGAGAACTTTGACCAGGGTCCTTGCAAAAAGGATTTCGACCAATTCTTTAACAATAGGCAACAAACCACCGTGATGTACCGCAATACCTCGACTGAGCAGATCGCGTAGCCTCCTTATCTGGGGTAAGTCGCGATCTTCGGGCTTGAGACGGGCAATTGATCTCTCGATGATCATATGGATCGCACTTTTCTCTGTAGCAGTACAGAAGTCAAGATTCGAAAGTGAATCAGCATTCTGCTCACATCGTTTTTTCGAGAAGACGAAAATGCATGCTGGGAGCAGGTCTTTCTTGCGAAGGTGTTGGACAAGGTGCACCCATACATTGCGGTCTTGTGCTGCTGTGGTTCTTCCACCACCCCGACCTGTTCTTGCAATATTGCCAGTACCCCGATTCGGGTTGGCTCGGCCTCGTTGCAGAGGACCTCCTCTCTGCTGTCCCCTTGCCTGGGGTCCACCTCGTTGGGGCTGGGCTCTACCGCCCCGAGTATTACCTCCTCCCCGGGTGTCAGTAGTCTCATTTGACCGACTCTGGTCTTTTTGTTTGTCACGACCAGACATCGCTGCGTTTGCTTCTTTCCAGCCCTGATCCAAGAATTTCTTATTAGCGTCCACGACCTTATGCATCTCCTTACCACCCCATAGATAGTGTTCCAAAGGTACTGGGCGTTTTTGGGTCGAGATCACGTAAATATCCTTTTTCTTCGTCCTCCCTACCCATGACGCGAACTCATAGGTATTAGGTACGGTAGCGGAGAGGAGCACTACCGAAACATGATCTGGTAGCATGATGATAACTTCCTCCCATACAACGCCACGTTCTAGGTCATTTACGTAGTGAACTTCGTCGAAGATGACAAATTCCACATCTCTAAGCAAGTCCGCACCTCGATAGAGCATGCTTCGCAGAATCTCTGTTGTCATGATCAAACAACTTGCTTCAGCGTTTATTTGTACGTCTCCGGTGAGGATTCCAACGTCATTGAATCCCCCTTGAAAGTCACGGAATTTTTGGTTGCTCAATGCTTTGATCGGGGACGTATAAATAGCCTTGGTCATGTGTTTAGCAGCTAAAGCAATGGCATACTCAGCGACAACGGTCTTTCCAGCAGAGGTATGAGCTGCAACAAAGACCGAATCACCATTTTCGAGGTGGTAAACGGCTTCTTTCTGGAAAGTGTCGAGCTCGAACGGCCAAGTTCTCGCCAAATCAGGAACTAGCTCTCCAAAGTTGGTGATTTCTCTTCTCACATCGACCATATGCGCCCATTCCCGGCCTTTCCGAGCTGAGGATGCTGCAAGGACGCCCCGCGCTTCCAAAGCTGGGAATTCGACAGGCAGGAGGGCATCGATATCTTCCTCGTCAGCCGCTGAATCATCCTCTATATCATCGTTCCGTGTCTTGAGGTCACTTTCGTTGGCATCGCTCTCTCCGTCTGAGAGAGTTGCGTCGCCCGATACATCAGCGAGAGATTCCACAACCTGCCTTTCAGTAGTCCTGTTGACTTGACGCTTCGCCTTAGAAAAGTCAATACCTCGAGAAAACCCTGGGGCAACTTCAAGCAATCCATCCTTCGAGCTAAAGTTAATGACTTTGTCTAATTTGCTCCCCTTCATGTGATCTGTGTCCTTGTCATCGCGAATCGCTTGGTCTTCCAAGGCTGCCACGGCAGTGACGCTATCAAGTCCACCTGGAGCAAAAGGAAAGAATCCAGCGGCGCCTCGAACAAAATCTGCCCGGTTGGCCGGTTTCCTTAGGATTGATGTCGAGTCTTTGGCAGTTGCACTGTTGGCGGGCACTGTGACTTCTTTGTAGCCAATGACTTTACCTTCTAGACCTTCTCGTACGAAGCGTGTGACGGTACGACTTTGTGTGGGAGCGAGCTCAAAGAGCCCATGATAATCTACGGGGACCTCCCATCGCCTTTGGACTTTGTTCAGCCATTCAAGCCCGAACTCTGTTGGCGGGGTGAGAAACTCCTTTTCGAGTTTCGCTTTAACGTCCTCTGGCGTTGGCCGCCTAGCTATCCTCGGTTGCGATTCGTGCAGTCTTGCGTCTACAGTATTGCCAGATTCGGCTGCTTGTTCACACGAGATTCGCAGCCGGTCGACTGCTTGCAGAAGCTCCTCAGCCATACCTTGACTTTCGACCATGACGGACAGTCATTCTGCCGGAATATGGACAAACGCACACCTTTGAGACCAAGTCATGTGCCTGATGTGCACTTGAAGTGCATTTAAGGTCGGATGTAGGGAGTGTTTCTTGGCTCCGGCTTCTGGTTTGGATCAAAAATGAAATCGCAGCGGAATACGAGGAAAGGCGACTTTATGATATGATCTATGCCGACCTTCACCAAGTCTCCATGCCCCAGCTTGAAATATTTTTATGTAACATACCACCAACGCCTCGCTTGAAAACTCAAAAGACTTGATCTCCTGCTTCTGCTCCTGCTCCTTGCGCTACCACACTGCATTCATTGCAGCCATAGCATCTTCTTCATCAGCGAAGTCATTAGCAATCACAGCCTGACCTTCTTTCACACCTGGTCCGCTGGCAGCATGGCGGGCCTCGTCTTCAGCAAATAGTGCATCCAAGTCATCCAAAGGAGGCTCGCGATTCTCTTCATCCTCAGAGAGAAAAAGACCATCATCGGCTTGTTCTCCACTGTCCCACATGAGACTCTTTTCCGGCTCGCTATTTGCAGGCACCGTTCCTGAGGTGCCACCAGTGTCGGCACTTTCTTTCTCTTGCGGTTCTTGACTTGATCTTGTCACCTCCAAAGAAACATTTGCTCTTCGCACCGATTCTTGTGAACGGTCCTGTCCATCTTTCTGACTTGAAAGCCGTATCTTGCTTTCGTTGATCCACTCCCGTCTCATAGTTTGTATACGCTTCTTGTGTCCCAGCTTTTCGATGATTGCAAGGCCATCTGCGAACTTAGCCCGCGGATATAGATCATCCAGCCAAAGCTGATAGAAGTTAAGTAAACGAGCGCAATCCGAAAACTGTGAATATCTCAGCCCTGAAATCTGCCCTTTCACGTTTGAAGTACCTCATGCCCCTTGCCTTTAAATCTCAATCGCTCTCTAGCCGTCCGCCTCAATTTGGGAATACCTGCTTGAGATAGTAGCCTGGCTTCATCAAGCTTTGCAATCGGAGCCCGCTTTTTGGTCACTTTGATCTCTTCATCTAATCCTAATATGCCACCTGAGCTATTTTGTTGTTTCGCTTTCGCTTGCCCCTTTGGAGTGACGTCCATATTCGTATCCACGTCTCGGAGGAGCTCATTGTCGACCTCATAGTTGAAGAGATTATCAAGGTCATCATTGATGGGAGGCGCATTTCGCACTCCAACGTCGACTGCTGCCATGGCGTTCTTTTCCGATGACTTCAATCTCGCGAAAATCACGCGTCTTTTATTGTCTCCAAAACAGACCCCTGCTAGGGGCCTCTTTTAGGGGGGGAGGGGGGTCAATAATGAGTCCCCACTCCCCCATAAGAAGCCGCGGATAGAACTAAGCTTTTTATGGTTTAGTCCCACGCTGGCTTGCGCAGCCTGGGACTAGCACGACTTAGGAGTTAGGAGGCAAGCTGACAACCGCAAACTGAATCGTGAACAAGTAACAGGGCCATGGCAGAGAACAAGAAGGTCCCGCTCCGCACACCGGCACGTCGAGTAGTTCCTGCAAAGCAATTGAATACAGACTTTCCCGTGAGAAAGTCCCCCGCTGTCCTAGGCGCTTTACTAATGCATTTTGCAGCTTATTGACTGCGATCCGTAACTGCTCTTGTCCTAATCTCCAATACACCGTCTGACTTTGTTGCAGTCACTTCAAGAGAACCATTGCTTATGCAAGGCCTCGAGACTATGTGAAGGGCGCCTTGACGTTTTCCTTTGGTCCCTTGTTTATGCTGTTTTCTGAGCGGTTTGCGCCATCATATTGTGGAAAGGCGGCCTTTGCGTCTATCATGCGGCTGTCTTATGCCATTTCGGCTGGAGCCGGATTCCTCATATTCTATCAAGACTCGCTAAGTATGAAGATCATAACAAGACGGAAGACGCTAGCTTATCTATATGTTTAGAGCGATTCTATGGTATCACCGAGAACAAGCGAGAAATTGAAATGGATATGCGAGAGATGGTCGAGAAGGTCAAGAAAGGTGAACCGCTATATGGAAAGTCGACGTTAAGCCCGCACATGCAAGGTGTGGCGGCGCGGAACTCTAGATATTGTGGGGTTTTCTTCCATGTAATCCCTTGGTTCAACTTCGTCAATCATGGACAGGTACGACCTTCACGCTATCATGAAAGCTTGACAATCGCTCACAGCGAATAGCACGGTGTCGATACTGCCAAGTATTTCCAGCAAGCTGAACGTGAGCTAGCGGCGGAAGACGCAGCGAGGCAAGGCAGCGAATAGATATACAACCTACGAAAGTTATTGGGGTCATTCAGGAGTATTCAATTTGCGAGGCTTGAAAGCAACGCCTCGTTACGTGCTATTTTCAATTCCGATTGTGACTTACCAGCATCTTCCAATATTCCTTGACAGGTGTGGCAGTATCGCCTGCGATGGTCCCATTGAAATGTCGTCTACAGGTCGTCTGCGACCTCAGAGAGCGTCATTTTCGCCAGACGGGGGCAGTATCTCGGTCTTGAGTTGCCGGTCCTTCTTAGGGCGGGGCTCTGGAGCTACGACTTATCAGCTTTGTGAACGCAGATGACGAAATTCAAGAGTCCACCTTTCTCGTTTTCTTGCATGTAGAATCTTCTAAGCAACATTATAGCCTGTTCACGGAAGATACCACCAACAGCAGAAAATGGCGCGTCAATACTAGGGCTACCTACAATAAGTCATTGTTCGGGCTCAATAGATAATCGCTAGCATACTCCGAGTGGATTGACAGCACTCCGCCTGTTCCTCCAAACCGATCATTCGAGCAGCCATAATAGACAGACCTCACATGATATTGACGAAGTGCTGAGGCGCACATAATGCAAGGCTCAACTGTCACATAGACATCGGTCTCTTCAAATATTGAGAGTGGATAGTTTTCAAGAATGCTGCTGATGGCCACGAACTCTGCATGCCTTGTACCCTTCCCGAAATTAGATGGATTGCCATGTAGTTGGGTCTCTAATTTATACATTTAGAGATCTGTTCGTATCATTCATGCCTTCTCCAATGACACGATTCTTGTGTACGAATACGCAGCCTACAGGTACTTCGTCAGCTTCTAGGGCCTTCTCTGCCTAGAATGCTTTTTAGTTCTAGTACTTGATGGTACGCGTTTGGTGAAAGTACCAAATCAACTGCCTTCCGCATGAAAAATTCGTGGGAAACACTGCCTTCCATAACATGACCAACTTTGGGTGTTGAATTTTGAGCAGCCTTGCGCAACCCGAAATCGAGTCCTCTATGATATCACACTAGGCCCGACATGGAAATCACGTGGTTTTCGCGCTACAACATTTGATCAGCGCGTTCGTCAGAATTCATAATTTCATAAGTTTTAGGAGCCCCCACTTCGCAATGAACGAATTCGATTCCCGTGAGAATCGTCAGACACTCTTCTGCGATGGCTCGTGGCGTTGGCCGGACTGGCCCTCCGCGATACGTACAGAATGATTTTGAAAATCGAGTCAATGGGGAAGCTCCCGCATCAACTTTAGCTGCTCAGCTCGTGAATCAGATCACGGATGGCGCTGCACGAGGAGGGAGTCAGCGCGAAGACACGTTTAGGCTGCTACTGCAAGAAGTCCTGCAAAGCGAATATGAGCCTCCGAACACCGGTGGCTCAAATGAAGCAAATTTGTCCGTGAACTTCAAACTTATATACGTCATTGTCAAGGCCGGCTTAGACAACCATCAACGGCGGAATCCCTTTGTGGCTCATAACAATCAAGTAAAGCAATCCATCGACAGCCTCAAGGCTATCGAAATTGCTCTTTGTCGTACACCAAATGTTTTATTTTCTGTCAGCTCACATGATGAAGACGAGTCCCTGCAGAATGTTCCTTTACTGTTGTGGCTCGTCCCAAAAATTCTATCTCTCCTCAAATTAAGAATTCACGAGGATCTCAAGGCAAGTTGTGACCAATGTCTTGAGATTATCCTGTCCCTTGAGGAGAAGATACGTTCCCCAGGTCTCAGACTTGATCCCATTTTTAGATATGTCCGCGGTTGCAATGAGGGTCTGTTGGAATGGCCAGATCTTGTCATCCGTCACTAAGCTTGCCTAGATATTTTATCTTCCTTGGAGAGCTTCGATAAACACAACAATAAGGAAGTTTTATCTACCGTGAACATTCCTTCCGAGGCAACGTTATCTTCTGTCTTGTCATTCCATGATGCACAAGGGGTTTCGCCAAAACTGGTGTGCACTACAATTTCGTCTCGTCTTGAAGCTTCTAGGGTATGTGTGCATCTACTGAGACTTCTTGTGCACTCGGATGAGAAGAATCGAAAATCCCAACTTGGTACAGCGGGAAGGCCATCTCTTGAGACGGCTGCTCAATCATTACCTCGAATCTGGAATACACTATTCCACGAAACTAGCTCACATGACGAGAATGTGTTGCCTTCTAACGCCCTCTGTTCGCTACTAGATACAACGCACTATCTCCTCAAGAACCTGGTCCGCGATGGGAATTCTAAGCCTCAGCTCGACACGCTTATATCAGCTCTAGAAATTATCTCCGTCACCCTCACGTCTGCAGTACTACCTCTTCCGGCTGCTGTCGAGAAGGGAATATCGATCAACATATTTCACGTTGCATACATTATTCTTAGTGCAAATCGTGGCATGCTTCCGGATCTTTTGGAGCACAGCTTTCGGCTCATGGGTAATGTTGTTCGAAATGAAGATCGATATCCTACTTTTGGACAAGATTTGCAGGTGAGTGTGGCTCAGTAGAGGAACAATTCAGGAGGACTCAATCTCGATAGCAAGCCTTGAACTTTGTGACCTACTGGCACTGTAATACAACTCTAAGCGTGAAGGAAGCTGTCCTGAACACTAAGCTGACCCTCGAGGACTGTACCCTACGCGGAACATGTGAAGGCCTGTTCGACTTTCGGCTCTCAAGCCCCTCAATGAAATATAGCACTCATCCTCCCAAGCGAGCCCGAACGTCAGCAGCCAGCAGTGTGGTCAAGCTGCAGAGTTCTGATTCCCCTCTCCTCATCATTCAATCTGTTTTAGACGTGGAAACGCAACCTGATTTAGGTGTTTTATACGCACTTGCAAAGTTCGTACCTCCTGTTGAGCATTTTCTATCAGCAGCTAACAATTTAGCGAACGCTATGCGAAATTAAGTGAGACTGAGCAATGTCAAATCTTTCAGCAGATTGGTCGGCTAGCTTGTGCTTCTGCCGAAGAATTCGATAGTACTCGGGCAGAGAACCCTTTTTGTTCGTGGTGTGACTCCGACTCTAGAAGCAACACAGTTCCAGCAATTTGGGAAGGCCCTCAAGCCGAGGAGACTCTGTTAGCCTTCAACACCCTTATAGGATCACAAGCACTACAGAGATCCAGGCGCCCACGATTAGTCGCGGTAAATGCTCTGTATCGTCTACTTATCCACAGCAAGAATCATGACTATTTCAGTCTGTCAACATCACGGATTGGTCAATTCTGCCTTGGGGGCTTGCGCAGCTCCACCCGAGAGATTAGAGTGGCGGCTGGGTATTAAACATTCTATGTCCCAATCGTCGAAGCTAACGCATGGCAGGCATACACTGTCCGTCTTCCTGCGGCAAAATGCTGGGCCTGAGATGGCCACTAGGAATAGACTCGTCACCCTGGACTATTTGCGGAACCTGTCGGAGCGTGGAGACCTCAGCCTGCAAGAAACTTGCATTTTGGCATTAGGTCAAATGATAAGGTATACAGATTCTCGAAGTTTCAACTAGTGGCAAGCTGAAGACAGAATAGAAATGTTGAAGACTGCGATGAACTCAATCTTGCACTACTGAAATTAGTAGAATATCTTGGGCATCCCAATGCTCTTCTGAGCAGTCTTTCATATGACGAGGTTTGTAGGCTACCCCAGTATCATGGCATCGCTAACCGTCGTAGCTTCAACTGGTGTCCAACCACTCGCCTTTCACCGCTTTGAAGCTTTTCGCCCCCTATTGGCGAACGATTGCGGTGGCCGTTGTTCAAAATCTCCTTCGACGGCCACAACTTGTACAACAGATTGCGGATTTGCTGGCCATGAGCGTGCCTAAGTTCCTTGCTTCAACCCAGATGCATACCGTCCCATACTTTGTACTGCGAAAGCAGCGGGAGCTTCTTCAGCGTATCGCCGAAGCAAGCAATCTGACAGTCATGGCTCTCTGTAGAGAGCACAACAACATGGCCGCAATACTGGCAAATATTCTTCTTCAAGCGTCTTCAGACGTCGAGGACCTTGTAATCAACTTACTACATTCCGTCAGTCCCGAATTCGACAATGTAGATTGTGCGGAGTTGTTAAGATCAGAACCGCAAGCCACGGCTACAGAGCTCCTGAAGTTCGCTGGTGAGGTGGATGAGACTAGACGAATTCAAGCAAGTGGTCCAGCGATAAGACTCGAAATTTGCCTGCTAATTGATTATCAGGCTCAACGAGCCCTCCAGTTCCTGGCCGGCGTAATCAGTGGTAGAACATCCTCCAACCGTGGGAATAGCAAAGCCGATACAATTGAATCGTTTTTTGAAACACATATTCTCGGCATCATGGCACTCCTAGCCGATACTATCAATGACGGCAAGGGTCCGCAGCCAATTCTGGAAAAGAGGCGATGCTTGAAAGCCATCCGAGAGATGGTGAAAATAGCCCAAGGCCATATAAGCAATGGTATCCCCCAGGTATGACCCTCTCTGGGATTTAGGTTCGATTGACTCACATTCGATGCAGGTTAGCTCTTGCTTGCGATCAGCCATTGGACAAGCGGACCTCATCAACGACGCATTTGAGGCTTGGATCGTCATGATCAATCTTCTTCCTGAAGACGACCTTTCTGCACTTGTTGAGCCAACTTTGGCTCTTATCGTTCAGCATTGGGAGTCTATAGATTCCACACTACAAATGCATGTTTACGATATGGTCGCTTGCCTTTTCAAATCCAAAGAGATATTGATCCGCGACATTGCGGCTACTCTACCTTCCCTTGCTCAGGTACCACTCTTGTCTAAATACGAGCAAGATCTAGCAAAGCTTAAGGCACAAAACGGGGTCAAACACCATTTTCAGACTTTCAGTCAACGTTGTCAAAGCGAAAATCCGACTGTTGTAGATAAAGCTTTAAAAGAACTGGCGCTTTATCTAGAGAGGGAGCAATCTTTTCTCCACACCCACGCCAACAGCGAACAGCCAGATGCGTTGATCGGCAATCTGCTTCGGTCTTTGCTGGACACAGCCGTCCTTTTCAGCAACTCCGATGCCAACATTGCTGCACTTTGCGCACAATGTCTTGGAATGGTAGGATGCCTCGATCCGACGCGGGTAGAAGCAGCCCGAGAAAAAAAGGAGATACTAGTGCTCTCAAATTTTACACAAGAAGACGAGATTCGAGACTTCATCATCACGTTCCTGGGAGAGGTTCTGAGTAAAGCATTCTTATCCGCCACGAATTCAAGAAGCCAAGGTTTCCTTGCATACGCCATGCAAGAGCTTTTGGCTATAGGAGACTTTCAGGAATCTGCCAGACCAAGACCCCACGAAGGACATTACGATTCGAATTATCAACGATGGGCTGATCTTCCTGAATCCACAAGAACACTCCTAACGCCCTTTCTAGACTCCAAATATTTCGTCACCGCAGGTACAACCCAAACGTCTTGCGTATACCCTATTTTCAAGAAGGATGTATCACATGCCCAATGGCTTCGTCTTTTCACTTTCGATCTTCTCAAGAAAGAGACTGGCAAGGACATGGTAGGACGTCTATTTGCGGTCCTTAGTCGAATCATACGTCTTCAAGACATAGCCATCGCCACATTCCTTTTACCATTCACAGCCTTGAATACTATACTTAACGGTGATGCAGTGGACAAGAAGAATACTGCTGCAGAATTACTCAATGTGTTGGATCATCCTCTGCCAGAAGGCGCTGTTGAGAGGGAGGCTCTTAAATTATGCAGCCAAGTATGTTGGCTCAGACTCATGGGTACGAGGACGTAGATTTGGCTGACTGTATCCTAGACAGTCTTCCAGGTTCTTGACTATTTGTCACGGTGGATGCAAAAGAAGAAGATGGAGATTGCAAATCTTCGCACACCAGGAACGCGTGCCAGTCGCACGCCCTACGAATCGGACCTAGAAAAAGACGCCTTGCATATCTCGAGCGTTGAAGCTGTTCTTGGCATGATACCGGCTGATACGATCTCACGACGTGCGGTCGAATGCGAGTCATTCGCGCGTGCACTGTTTCACTGGGAACAATACATACGACAACGACGGCAGACGAGTATCGACCTTGGGAAGGCTCTTGACCTCGAGCCATATTATGCCAGGCTGCAAGATATCTACACGCAGATCGATGAGCCGGACGGAATTGAAGGCATATCATCCCACCTGCAAGTCCTCGATGTCGATCAGCAGGTACTTGAGCATCGTAAAGCTGGGAGATGGACAGCCGTGCAGAGTTGGTATGAGTTACTTCTCACCAAACAGCCTGACAATCTCGATTTCCAATACAATCTTTTAACAAGTTTGAAGGAGTCTGGGCAACATGGTGAGCTGTATCGATGTTTTGGGTGTTGATCAATTGACTAATTTATGATAGATGTTCTTCTGAATCAGGTCGATAGCTTTCCTCAAACACAAGCAATGCAAGCCATTTGTATGCCTTTTGCCGCCGAATCGTCTTGGGCCACTGGCAAGCTTGACAAATTGAGGCGGTATATTGATCAATCTTCAACGATACCAACATCTTTCAATATTGGAGTTGGCAGAGCACTGCTTGCATTAAATGAAGCGGCGCCACGAGATTTCTTTGGCGAAATCAAGGAAATCCGTATCTCAATTGCTCAGAATCTCTCACCCACCAATACGCTTGCATTGCAGGACTGCCATGACGCTATGTTGAAGCTTCATGTACTGGCTGAAATGGAGGCTGTTGGTAGCGCAGACAGCTCAGCAGACTTCGACAGGTCCAGCTTTATGTCTTCCTTGAACCAGCGGCTAGACGTATTAGGCCCTTTCCTTTCTAATAAACAATACATCTTGGGCCTGAGACGTGCGACGATGCAAGCTTCCAAGTGAGTGTGTCCAATGTATAGCATGATCTTGACTTACAAATCTAGACTCAAATTCTCACACCTTGATATCGCCTCCTCATGGTTGACTAGCGCCAAATTAGCCAGAAAGGCCAACTTCAGCCATCAGGCGTTCAACTCGGTCTTACATGCGTCACAATTAGGTGATGCTTCAGCGACTATTGAGCACGCACGCCTTTTGTGGAAAGAAGGCAACCACCGGAAGGCGATACAAAGTCTCGAAGGTGCTATCGCCGCCAATGCTTTCAGGTCATATGATTACATAGAAGCAAATGACCCAGCAGTAACCAATGCTGTGGCAAAACAGCAGCAGCAGAATTTGCCGAAAGCAAAGGCTCATTTATTGCTTGCCAAATGGATTGACAGAGCCGGTCAAACCCAATCTGACGTAATTATTCAACAGTATAAGAAAGCTGTCGAGTTCCACAGTAGGTGGGAAAGAGGCCACTACCATCTCGGAAAACATTACAACAAACTATTGGAGTCCGAGAAGGCAAAACCCCCAGCAAAGCAAGCTCAGACCTTTATTACTGGCGAAACGGCTAAATTGGTCGTCGAGAACTACCTTAGATCTCTCGCCTTCGGTGCAAAGTATTTATTTCAGACGCTACCGCGTATATTGACCTTATGGCTAGACCTGGGTGTCGACTCCGAGTCGTCTTTGGATCCTAAATACGGGAACGATGAGGCATTTCGCTCACACATAACTACTCAACGCCGAAAACTCTTGAGCGCGTGTAATTCTCAAATCAGGAAGTACATTGATCGACTTCCAGCATGGGTATTCTATACAGCCTTGTCGCAATTGGTGGCTCGGATATGCCATCCTAGTCAGGCCATTTCAGGTCTCCTCATTGACCTTATCGCGAAGGTAGTGATGCAGCATACCGCACAAGCTCTGTGGACTTTATTGGCCATGGCTAAGTCATCTTCAAAAGATAGAGCTAATCGAGGTGTAGCCTGCATGACCAAAACTCTAGAGAATGCTCGAAAAAGCAAAAGTGATATTGTCGCTGCAGACCTGAAGGCTTTTATAGCACAAGGACAGAAGCTGTCAGATCAATTACTTCGTGTGTGCGAAACCGAAATCAAGAGCAAGGCACCCAATGTTCACCTCAGTAACGATCTGGGGTTCAAACATTCATTCGCCACTTCAAAGCTCGCAATGCCCACTGAAACTTGTCTGACAGCGAGTCTTCCGACAAGTGAAAATGTAGATATGCGCAAGCATAGGGCATTCAACAGCAATGACTATGTTCATATATCTGCATTCATGAACGAAGTACTTGTACTAAACTCACTTCAGAGGCCCCGAAAAATAAGTATCAGAGGGTCTGACGGGCATTTATATTCAATGCTGTGCAAGCCAAAGGACGACCTTCGAAAAGACCAAAGGCTCATGGAATTTAACGCCATGATCAATCGTTCGCTCAAAAAAGATGCGGACTCTTCCAAAAGACGTTTGTATGTCAAAACATACGCAGTTACCCCTCTCAATGAGGAATGCGGTCTCATCGAATGGGTTGATGGTCTCAGAACCTTACGTGATATCCTCCTGAATATCTACAAACAGAAGAATGTTCACATTAATTACGGTGAAATTCGCAATCTCCTCAACGAGTCCATTTCCGCCCCCAACAAACTTCCGATCTTCACGAAAAAAGTCATTTCACATTTTCCGCCTGTCTTCCACGAATGGTTTGTTGAGATGTTTCCCGAGCCCGGCTCCTGGTTTGCAGCCCGTCTTCGGTACACACGATCTTGCGCTGTCATGTCCATCGTTGGGCATGTCCTCGGTCTAGGCGACCGACATGGTGAGAACATCCTCTTTGAGGAAGGTAATGGAGGCACGTTCCACGTCGACTTCAACTGCCTGTTCGACAAAGGCCTAACCTTCGAAAAACCTGAACTAGTCCCTTTCAGATTGACGCACAACATCGTGGACGCATTTGGGGCCTATGGGCATGAAGGACCTTTTAGAAAGACTTGCGAGTTGACAAATCGTATCTGCAGGCAGAATGAGGACACGCTGATGACGATTCTCGAGACGTTCTTGTACGATCCGACCACTGATTTCATAGGGAAAAAGAAGAAAAGAGATCCCATTGTACCTGAGACTCCGGAGGGAGTGCTAGAAAGCATTAGAAACAAAGTAAGAGGACTTTTGCCGGGCGAAAGTGTCCCATTGAGTGTGGAAGGTTATGTCGATGAATTAATAACACAGGCCACGAATCCATACAAATTGGCGAGCATGTATATTGGGTGGTGTGCATTCTTCTGATTCGTAGAAGCTTTTGTTCAGACGGACCATTCTACACGTAGCGATGGCATATATGACTTTGACTAGATTTAAGAAGCTCGTAACTATCAGTATGATTGAAGATTTATGTCAGTAATTCTGCGAAAATCATAAATTTTGACAATATTCCAAAGGATTCAGCTGGTGACCCTTACCACAAATCATACGTTAACACCACCATCCAATCATTTAATCCCCACCACCAACCGCACTCTGCATCGCCATGTCCGCCAAGTACCACAATGCCGCTCAAATATCCGAATGCCCTCTGCCAGCCTCACAAACAGTTGCATAAAATTACAATTGATCCTGGTAATCTATGTCCACAAAATCTATCCCGCACCACAGCATTAGTACGATCAGCAGCCAGTACAGCAACAGATAAGAATCTACGCGGTAAGAAACTTAACCTATCATATTTTGAGCCTGCACAACAAGGCGTGAGAAAGGTTTCCAGCATGTCCCCGCCGCACTCGACGTCAGCAGAGGAAGTCCAGCCCCACCTGGCCCATGGCCAAGATGCGAGTGTGGTGATGCCGATAGTTGAGGAACTGGTTGGGAAGGGGGAGGGTGGGAGAGGGCAGCCGGCGTGGGAGATGGTGATAGATGGGAAAGGTGTGAGGAGGAGGGTGCGGTTTAAGGGGTTCGGTAAGGCTTGGGTTAGTATAATTTCTTTTTGTCGTTTATATTGGAGTGTGGCCTTTGCCTTGATTTCCCATAGTTGACGAGAACTTTTGTTTTCTCTCTGTGTGCAATCGAGCGGTGATACAGAATGCATTTAAGGGACATGCATGGGAAATAGTAGGATTGATATACGAGTTGACGATTCGCTAATCTCTGGTTGACGCAAAGGCTTTCATGAATGCAGTAGCAGAGAAATGTAAGGAGGTCAAGCACCATCCTGAGTGGTGGAATGTGAGTCTCTTACTCCCATGCTGCAATAGGCAGTTCCTGGATCCTGACATCAGTGTACGAAACTAGTCATACAATGAGACCGTTATAACGTGGACGACGCACAGACCGGAAGGATTGACGATCAAGGACGTGGAGATGGCTAAATTTTGTGATGAGCAAGCAAAAGTGTTTGGAGAAGTTGGGATTGGTGAGGAGGTTATGACATGTTCTGGGGTGAAAGGTAAAGGGTGAGAAGAACATCATGATTTCATTACAATTTCAAGGGAAGCGCTACGTTAATGAGTGATTGGTGCGTATGAGTCTTTGTATTTGTTTCTGAGCGAACGAGTGACCTACTTCAGCTGCTGTGAAAGCAGCTCCAGCCCCTAGCGGGGAATCTTTGTCTATCGAAGATGATGCCTCCCAAAAAAAACTCCATCCAATGATCTCGGTAGGCTTGGTCTATGGGAAGAGCCCAGGCTTATCGCTGAAGGGATTCGTGCTGAGAGTAATTATTCATTATGCATTAGAGATGTTGAGAACGTTGCTGCAATCACCGTCCTCTATTGCAAGATTCATTGCATCTTCTTGCCCTCCTTCGCCAATTTTCTTTCTCTCCTCTTCTTAGCTGCCTCAGGACCAGACTCGGTGTCCATAATATAATCCCACCATCTAAAGCTGCTTGAGTAGTTGCCAATGAATCTCTCATGATGAACGTCATGATGCTGTGCCCCTGCCCAGACTGGTAGAAAATGGTGCAAACTCCAAGGGAATTCGTAGCCGGAATGAGCATCAATGGCCTGAAAGAGGCGTCCAATAATCCAGATGTACATAGTCAGGATATGGAGATCGCCCGTCACAGCGCACCACAATATTGGCGTACCAACGGTTCCCAACCCAAGGACCATGACCTCAATAGGTGATGCGTATTCGGCGGCCAAACCAAACGGCGCGGAATATTGGTGGTGGATCTTGTGAATGTTTTTGTACAGCGGACCCCAATGGAGAGCGCGGTGTGACCAATAGTGCCACGTATCTTCGAGCACAAAGAAAACAGCAATTTGGTACGCCATTTTCAGAAGAAGTGGGAACGGTACGCCTGTTGCCATGCCGAAGTATTGAGCCATGGGATGGAAAAGCCTGGGCGAGATCAGCGATGTTGTCAAGCATCTTGTGTGGGTAGCGTAATACCATATTTGCGGTAATTCAACCGTGAAATGCGACAAAAGCACCAGTCTGGCGCAATTCCATTGTTCTTGGTTGGTAGGAACTTTTTGCTATTGGCGTTGTCAGAATGAACACGATCTATTTCGAGTGTAGGAATAGAGCTCACATTCTGAATCTTGTACTTGTTGAAGTAGGGAATGCGATCAATGAGTAGCCAGGGTAATGAGCGACCGAAATACACAATCTCGTGCATAAGGAATGACATGATGCCCGTCGCTAGCACATCGTTTTGCATGTATGCGTACCACGCCGCCCATAAGCGTTCAAATACGTTAAGGTGCACATTGTACTGTGATATCTGATCAAAGTTACCCCAGTAGGTCTCGGGGGGCGATGAGAGGAGAGGTGAAGTCGAGTTCCTGCCAAAGACGAGTCAATTGCGCGTTCTCAGTCACCAGCTGCCGAAGACTCACATGGCTTGTGGGGATAGGTTGAAAGTGATATGATATACCAATGGACTTCCACGTAGGATGCGGGCAATTGCGAAAGACGAAGGACTTCAAATTCTTCTATGGAAGATCTTGTGGCAATTCTAATTGGCTTCTAGACTTCCGGCAAGGGGGATTGCCGGCAGTGGACTGATGCCCTGACCTAGTCCCCTTTAGGCACCAACGCCAAGAATCCAGAAGCCCTGACGCGTGCGACCGGACCGTCAAAAAAAATCGTGGTGACGGACGTTGGTATAAACGTGAAGAAGAGGCATGAGACCCACGACTCATACACATAAGATGTGATGTATTTAACATCTACTGCCAACCGTGTACGCAGATTCTTGATTACGGATCGGCTGGACTGCAACCATGTCATTCGTCGTAGAGTAACTCTCTGACTTCAATCGAGTAAGCTTTGATGGACACTGACAGGGAACAGCCACATCCGTAATATAGACAATCAGCTTGATCGCATTCATCTTGCGAGACAGCAGGGATCTCATCACATTCCACCAGAACTACATACAGCCTCACAATCTTCGCGGGAAAGCGAGAGCCATGAAAGTGAGGATGGTGACCCGGAACGACTTCTGCAGCTACAAGTGGCGCTCAAGGCTTTCGGTACTCTGGCTTCAGCCAAGACAACTGTGGCCCCAAATGCCCTGATTGGCCTACTTGAAGGTGCACAATTGCTAAGTAGCCCCACCAGTCGTAGCAGCAATCCAGGCCATCAAAATCCGACGCCATCAGGGCAGGAGGAGGAATTGCAATGGCTGCTAGTGAGCAAAGCCACCACGCAAGCCTACGGCTTGATCTTGGATATGCTCCTGGACCAGACAATCCCCCTGAGCCAAGACATGTACTACTGGAGCCAAGTCCTGGGCTCTGCTCGTTTCACTGGTCTCTATACCCTCCAGACCTCGCCCTTACGTATATGGCAATGGACAAAAGACATATACCTCGACGCTCGGGAGAGGTTACAAAGGACTCGCAGTGAAACAGCCGACGACACTTTTCAGAATTCAATATCACAAGAATGGAAACAGTTTTATGGCCTCGTCCAAGATAGCATTCGGGAACGGTCGCTTGCTGACATGCAGTCAAAATTCATGACACCATTTACGAAATGTCAGATGGAAGCAAGATCTAAGTTCAAGCGCCTTCGCAGATTTCGTGATTTGAGTGCAACCGGCCTCGGCGTTCTACTCGATGAAGGGATGATGTTCGATACCCGCGACGAGGAGTCAATTTCTTCAAAGGCAGTTCAAGGTGATGACAACGAGGAATGGAAGACAGTCGTATCTAAGAGTGTAACATTGATGGAATCTATCCTTCGAAATATGACTCTCCTGGAGCGACCACCCGCCGAGTTTGAAGAGACTGTCTTTATGAACGTTGATGAAGAGAACGGGACAAGCCAGGAGGATGACTCTGAAAGAAGTTCGAAACCAGTCGCGCTCGCTTACCGGTTGCAAAAGCTGCTAGACGAGCAAATTCCGGCACATATACGAGCTTCCAGAGGGATAGTATCACAATACGGTAGACCCTCGCGCCTGGTACGGTTTTGGCTTCCAGGGATTGTCCTCTTACTTTCATCAAGCACTTTGCTTCGTATCTTTGTGCATCGTAGGGCCGAGATAATCGAATGGATCCGGGATGTTGGTACAACCACTGTGGACTTCTGGTACAACTGGGTTGTTGAGCCGGTCAAGAAAGTCATTGGCACAATACGGCACGACAAGGACAGCGAAATTGCTATTATGAGCAAAGAGAGTCTTCAAGGAGACAGAGCTAGCCTAGAAAGAATGGTTGTCGAATTCGTGACCGACAACCCCTCACATTTAGCTGGCGGTCAACTTACGGATGCTAAAATCTTGGATCTCAGAGCCAGAGTCAACGAGGGGGACATTACACCCGTGCTCCGAGCGTATGAGAAGGACCTGCAACATCCTTTCAGGGGGACCATTCGAGGTGACTTGGTACGAGCCTTGTTGATTCAGATTCAGAAGACCAAAGTGGACGTTGAAATTGCAATGCGAGGAATCGACAATCTTTTGAAAAGTCAGGAGCTTGTCTTTGGCTTCGTTGGGCTTACACCGTCACTCCTAATCTGTCTCGGGATTGGTAGCTGGTTTAGCAGTACCATGGCTGGACGCCGAGGGAGAGGTCAAAGTCGTAAACATGACAGTATGATACAGGGGTTGCGAAATGTTGACCGAATCCTGAGCGCTGCGCCTTCGGCGAACAATGGCCTACTTACCTACAAGGAGCATGGGCTAGTCCTCTGTGAAGCACATCTTCTACGGCAGCGAGCTCAAACAGCACTACCCAGAGAAATCCAGCCGGATTTTCTCGAAGATCTAGATGATCTGATCGATCAACGAACAGGCGTTGAAAGACAGGTCAGAGTAGTGGAAAGGATACGATGGACCTACTCCAAATGGCTTCATTGATGTGTGATGCACCTTGGAATGATAGAACTTTGACTTTTCTTAGCGTGGAGTTGGCTTCAAGGTTTCGGCGACACTGAAGGCTTTGCTACAATTGAAAGTCGTTCACAATACAATAAATAGCTAGAGCTTTGTGTACTTGTGTATGAATGGTGAGGATGGAGACTTATCAAAAGGCCTTAGGAGGCGAGCCGGAATTCTGACCGAGTGCCGCGCGCTTGATTTTGCGTGTGACCTCAACGGCGTTGAAGGCATCACCCTGTTGAATCTTTGCCTCTATGAATCTTGCGATCCAAAGCTCGCCCTTGCTTACGATCAAGATTCAATTTTACTGGCTGAATCAATTTCGAGCATTGATTAGTCCCGCGTATCGAAGCCGGTGAACAGATCAACCACTCCGCAGTATCGAAGACTATCAATACTAGAAGCTCAAAGCTTCATAGCTCATCCGCGATCTCCCCTGCAGATTTCTGCACAACATGGCTGGCACCAGAAACTATGATTTCCTTGTATACCCTCCCACATCTATGAAAGAAATTGAGATTGTCGCGGCTTTGAACTGACACCGCCGTTCTGAATTTAGATAAAGCTCCTGCTCATAGGAGACTCGGGCGTGGGAAAATCCTGCTGCCTCCTCCGATTCAGCGAAGACTCTTTCACACCGTCATTCATCACAACAATAGGGATAGACTTCAAAATCAGGACGATCGAGCTCGACGGCAAAAGAGTGAAGCTGCAAATATGGGACACAGCAGGCCAAGAACGGTTCAGAACGATTACAACAGCGTATTACAGAGGCGCTATGGGGATACTATTGGTATATGATGTGACGGATGAAAGAAGCTTCAATAGTGCGCCTGCCCCCCTCATTCCTAGTCTTCGAAGGTGATAGGGGCTCGGAGAATCAAGACTAATACATCAAATTGAACCACAGACATCCGAACCTGGTTTTCCAATGTCGAACAACACGCGAGTGAAGGCGTAAACAAGATTTTGATAGGAAACAAATGCGACTGGGAAGAAAAACGCACTATCTCCACTGAGCGAGGCCAGCAATTGGCTGACGAGCTAGGCATACCTTTCATGGAAGTATCAGCCAAGAGCAATATCAATGTCGAAAAGGCTTTCTACAGCCTAGCGGCAGACATCAAAAAGAGAATCATCGATACTAGCAAGACAGATCCCGGCCCACAAGGAAGTGGGGTGGATGTTACAGGGCAGGGGAGCGGGGCTACTGGTTTGAGCGGGAAATGCTGCTAATTCAAGATCTCTAGATGGAAGAGTGGTTGAAGATCTGGGGTATACTCGCTGTGTAAGGGATAGTATTGATACTCCTACAGTCGCATTTCTATTAGGTTCACGTACTTGCATGGGCGAGTAATGTTTCCGCACGGCGTTCAGGGTACGAGGATGGGGTTTCTTTTGATGTGACATAAATCACCGAAAGAAAGCCTGAGCACCGAGCATGATCCTGAATTTGAAAATGTGCACTGACCGTGAAGTATCTCTCGATTACCGTTCGCTTCTCAGTAGCTTGTCAAATTTGAGATCCCTTCATATTTTCATTTCATATCATTGAGGAAGCGACTGCTTGTACGCGAGTAGTATTCGTGAAATGTGACCTAATCCTTTCCTTTTTGTTAAACATACCTAAAACGTACTTTACGTGACAAAACGAACATAACTCGACACCACCTAGCCCACCTGATCAACGACTGTCACCACACAATTTGCCAAGAGCTGCGCCAGGGTCATTAGTTCCCACTTTAAGTAGTCCCGCCGATACCGTGAAACCTCGATACCATAGAAATTCACCACCGCCAAGAGGATGTTCAACCTCATCGCCAGCGCGAACAATCTCAAGAGGATCTTTCCACACCTAGCCCAAGGCTCCAGGACTCTAGGGAGTCGATTGACCGTGTACAGATAGCAGCAGACGATGGAGGACCAGAAAGCTATTGCAGCGATACACTGTAGCCTTCGGATCGTAAGATAGGCGCCATCGAAGATCTCCATCATCCGATTCTCCCTTTCGAGAGGGCTGAAGAAATAGTAGATGACATAGCTGTGAATATGGTTCGTTGGTAGAGGCGATGTGAGAAGGAGGATCGTCAAGTTGATGATCAGCCTAGCTGAGTTCGTGAGGAGTGCCTCTAATCGGTGACGAATATTCAAGGCAGGCTGAGGCTCCATCGCATCCATGAACGGTGACTAGTTCCCGGGATCGGCTGTGAGAAGTTCGAATTAGAGGCACATTCACAGTTCATGAGCTTCATAATATGTTTGTGTTGTTTTATAGTGTCGCAGAAAGCCTTCTTTTGTCCACGAACAATGCGCACGGCTTATCACTCGTAAGATGTCGGCTGACAATGAAAAATGTCTTTCATTGTTATTGAAATCTGGATCTGCAGATTCACGACGATGCCGAAGAATATGCTGAGACTAAATCGCTTGGTTTTTGACATTCTCCATCAAGCCTTGAGATTTATTCTCTTGTACGAATGCCGTCCCATATGCAACAGCTGAATATTGAGAGAAGAGATGGGTTGGAAGCCTTTTTGCTTTATATCGCGTCGGATGCATTATAGGTGATATCTACTCAAGAAGCGCCTCCTGTATGTCCCAAACAAGGTTTGTCAGAACCATCCACTCTCGTGCATGTGGCGGGAAAATCGAGTAGTCCTGCTTGCCATGAAGCCCACAAATAGTAGCGATGTCCAATGGCATAGTTGCAATTAGCACGAATTGTCGACATCTCATTACCCATTTGTCGTGCGTTTGAATCCATACGTCCACTCGACCTTGTAGCCATTGCATGTATCTAAGGAAATAAAGGCATAGGCGGACTTCAGCAGCAGTATAAAGACCCAAGGAAGCTATCCCCACAAACACTAATATCACAGAAGAAGTCCAGTCAAAGACCATTTCCACAATCTCAGATATCTCAGGGTTTTCGAGGAGAAATCGAGAAACATGGCCTCGGATCTGAATCACTGCTGTAGGAGTCACAGCCAAGTAGATGGTGATTTTCAACGAGGTATTGAAGAAAGATCTAGTGCGACCAAGAGCCCTAGCAGGCTGTTGTTCCATTGAGATCGTTGAACTGCCGTTTGAGATATTCCGCCTGGTGGAACATCGACGCTAAATAGGCAGGCAAGGTATTCTGCGGAGTTAAAATCTAGCAAGGCAAATAAAATGTTCAGATGAAGGAGCGGGAGATAAACAAAGTCGACAATTTTTAGAGGTTGTACGTGTGCTGTGGTTTCTGAATTGTGACAAACAATGCGACCTTCCGTGAAAATCCAGCAACACGTAACACTCCCTTTTTAGATTTCTTGCTCAACACAAAAGTGGCGAAGAACACTCTTTATTATGTCTCGCCTTTCTTGGGAGAATGCAATTTCTTATTACTTTTCGAGACTTGTATTGCGGAACCTGTCCATAGACTCGACCGCACTGAGAGAGGACTTTTCTATGTAACTGCTTCGGGCTCGGTTTACCTTCATGAAACAGTCAAGTTACATTCTTCGCTTGCTCTGATGCCATAGAATGCTGCTAGCAGAAGTGTCGTTCGTAGTAGTCATCGAAGCTAGAGAGACGTATGGAATCACCACCAGAGCTGTTCCCAATGCTCCGCCATCCACAGCCAGAAAACATATCTTCGAATGATCGTCTCCAATATAAGCAGAATAAGTAGATCGGTATTGACTTATGACCAATAATTCGCCAATGTGCCGCTGCTGTTCATCAACTTCGTTGCGAGTGCCGGTTTGTCAGTATAGAACGCGTAATCACTCAAAGACTGCACTATCCAGTCTTTCATTTTGGCATCGGTGATGAAAAATGCAATAAGATTCGACGCCCCTAAAGCGTAGCATTTCAGCTGCTGAAGCAAGCCTCGTGGCTGTCGGTCCATACTTGAATCTGACTTTTGGTGTGGGTGGATAGGAGGTGAAGTGGGATTGATGCGTGTGCAATAGTGGTGAAGAATTGGAACCTACCGACAGTTAAAGGAAGGCGGTGACGCACATAACGGACAGCAGCAGAAATTGTGTCAAAGTGCGTATAGCACTCAACATTCAATCGTGTGAGCGGCTTTCTTGAATATTTGATCCATTCATTGAAATGTGATGATCTATGATCGCAGGCGAATTGTCTTACTCCTTGGCGCAAACTAGGGTTATTGATTGATGCTCGCTATGTGCTGAGTTTGCGGTAGTCTCTTTTTGCCTGAATATGTCTTTAGAAAGGATACTTTTGAGAGCAAATTGCGCTGCAGGATCTAACCTGCTCGCTATGCAAAGGCATCTGGCTCGTAAAATCTCAGGCAAATTCTCACACCGGTCTTCGAGCCTGATCCCGACCTGCTTTGCCTACTGTCTAATGCACAAGGTGGCGCTAGCTTATCTCCTGTATCCTCTCCTGCTTCGGCTCCTGCTCCTGCTGTAGCTGCTGTAGCTTGAATAACTAGGACTCCTTCTTGCCCTCCTCCTTGGTGGGCTAGGGGTTCTCCGCCTATAATTGCCATAGCCTCTTCGCGCTGGGGAACGACTTCGTGACCTGCTCGAAAAGGACCTTGACCTCGATTTCCGGCTGAGGGATCTAGAATATGAGCGACGTCGATAATTGTTCGCGTCTCTGTCTCTGTCTCTGTCCCAGCCCCCACGACCTCCGCCATAGCGAGGCGGTGTCCTTCGTCTCGGTGGCTCTGGAGATCTGTAAGGTGATCTATATCTTCCACCTTGTCCGTTGTGTGGGCCGTAAGCAGGCGGACGTGGTCCTCTGCCAAAGTCTCTCGGAGGAGGCCCACGATCGTAGCTCGGAGGCGGACGGCGAGGCGGGGGTGGTGATCTTGCCAGTGGTGGAGACTGGGAAAACTTGCGACGTGGTAATACAACGCTGACTGATATAACAGCGCCGTCCAACTGAGCTTCATGCATGTGTGCTATGGCAGATTCGGCATTTGATGTAGTGGTGTAGATGATATAGGCAGTACCACGGTTGGTGTTGACTATGACTCAATCAGCTTATAGACTCAGTCCAAGATGTGCATAAGTTTGAGCGTACATTGTCTGTTCATGGGCAGATCGAGGTCCTTGATTGCGCCATATGCACCAAAGATTTCGCGGAGATGGGTCTCGTTCACATTCCTTGTGAGTTTTTCTACTACGATCTACTGCTTGTTAGCATTCTCCCATCAGATTCGGCGTTATTTGAGGCTGACCTTAGAGCTGCTGGGCACGGGCGATCGGCTCGAGCTGCGTGTATAGCTCCTGCCTCGAGGCTTTCGCTCATTACCTCCGCTTTGACTCCTAGTACGACTCCTACTTTTACTTTTGTATCCGTTGCCGTTGCGCCTGTCTCCTCGCTGTGACCTAGTCCGGCTGCGCGACCTTGACTGGGAGTGTACGCGAGGGGAGATTGTTCGGCGCTGCTGAGAGCGTGATGGCGACGGGAAAGGATCTTTTGCAAATGCTGAGCCATCGCCTCGATGGCGAGGGCGGCCCCTTTCAGGAGAATGTGGGGAAATGGAAGCCATACGTGAAAGATGACAAGGCGTACAAACTCATGGATGAATAGGACGCCAAATTGAATTCGATGGTAAGAGCCGCTAGCACTATCTCCGTCGGAAATAAAGTAGCTGATACTTGGCGAAGCCCCTGAATCAGTCTCCCTTTGAGCAGCCAGCAAAATGTATAATAGTTGTGCAATGCAGATGCAAGAAGCAGGAACCTTAGAAGAGGGAGTGTTTTTTTTTCTAGTTGGCATTATTAAATTCTACTACATCTCCTTATTGCGCCAGCTTCCGGCCTTCTTCTCCACCCTGCTCCCTGCAAATACCTCGTATACATTTTCCATTTCTGCAGAGATGCAACTTGGCACCTCTTCTAGTGCTTGGAGAAGGTGATTCTGGTGAACGCCTTGATCCTCACGGGTTTGAATCCAGTCTTGAAATTCTAAACGTGCCGCTCTTTGACATATCTCGACTAATTCTGCCCCCGAACGTCGGTCAGTCATGCTTGCAATGGCAGCAAGATCCACAGTCTCGGCAAGGCTTAACCTTTGGCAGCTCTTTCTTAGAATGGCCAGCCGCGCAAGCTCGTCTGGTGGCCCGACATAGAGCATCGAATTGAGTCTTCCTGGGCGTGTCAGTGCAGGATCAAGCACCTCCGGCCGGTTGGTAGCGGCTAGAACGAAGATGCTTTTGCTCTTTTCCAGGCCGTCTAATTCAGTCAACAGCGTTGTTACGGTATGGACTCCGCTATGCTGCTGGTTTTCTGCCCGTGAAGCTCCTATCGCGTCTATCTCATCAAAGAAGAGTATACTGGGACTGACAGCTCGGGCCTTTGCAAAGATCTCTCGTATTGCTCGCTCAGACTCGCCGACATACATATTGAGGAGCTCAGCTCCCTTGACAGCCATAAAATTGAGTCCTGATTCTGTAGCCACAGCTCTAGCGATCATAGTCTTTGAGCAGCCTGGTGGGCCATACAGGAGAAGGCCAGTTGCATGCTCAATTCCCCGACGTTCCATCTGCTCAGGGTACTATTCTTCATTAGAGCCAGCATTTGTCGGGTCCTGGTATGATTTACCTTGTAAGGCCAGACTACTGCTGCTTTTAAGTAGTTTTTGACTTGGTCCTGCCCAGCAACATCGTTCCAACTTACATGTGGTGTCTCGATTACCACCTCCCTCATTGCCGAAGGGCGAATACGCCGAAGAGCTACCTCGTAATCTGCCTCGACGCGCTCCCAAACCGTCTCGAAATTGGCAGAGTCGTGTTTTTCGTCTTCCGTATTGGCCGCCTTGATACGTTTCTTAGCTTCCTTCCCGGCAGCATGATGTAGCTCGGCAAGATCGCCACCCACGTATCCATGTGTGCGGCCCGCAACGAAGTCGAGCTTTGCATTGGGAGCATTCTTGGGGAAGCCGCTGATGATTTTCAAGATTTGGGCGCGAGCATTGATATTAGGTACGGTAAGCTCGATTTCTCTCCAAAAGAAAGAAGGTTTTCTCAACTCCTCGTCGATATTTGCAGGAGAGCGACAAGACGCTACAACGACTATTCGCGTATCCTTCAGTCTGTCGAACTCTCGTTCAATATGGGATATAAATGAACGGCCGTTCTCATTCTTGTACAGCTCGCTATCAAGGTCTTCAATGAGAATGCAACTTGGCTGATCACGGGCAGCGTGAACAAAAGATCCTTGGACAAAGTTAGCCGCAGACTGATACGAACGGTGCTGCCTTAAAGCTTTCCTATCGATATGGAATACGCTTTTAAATCCAGCTTGCGATATTTTCTCCATGAGAAAGCTTTTCCCTGTACCAGGTAAACCGAAGATTAGGATGCCAGGCTCTGTTTGGGGCTCCCCATCAGCTAGTTCAGCAGACTCCATGCAGAACTCTGACAGGGCAATGTCAAGCTGATCCAGTTGCTCATCAAGACCGCCAACGCTGTCCCTTTCAATCTTCAAGAGAGTCTCTTCCTTCCCGAATATCCCTTTTCCTAGCTCAATCACGGATACCTCGAGAGGCGCCATCGCTGTCCAGACCTGAAATTCAGACGTACCGTTCACTGTCTCCAGACTGAATGACCTTTTTTCTCCTGCAATGTCAACTTCATCAAACCTCATGCCAGGGACGACCATTTCTGCTCTACACAGCACCTTTGACAAGACTTGGCTCCACATTGATACATCTTGATTGCCGATCGGCAGACCGGAACAGCCATCTCCACTACCTTCAGTCTCAATGATTGTAACAGTCCGGGCCACTGGAAATTCATCGCCAGTATGCTTCAAGGTAACTTTGTCGCCGAGCTTTAGACGATATAGTCTCTGAAGCGGCTGCGTCAATTGAATAACAGCAGACTTAAGGGCCTTGTCGGGTGATCTATCCACGATGACTGGCCCAAGTGTTCCTTTTTGTGACTGCAAAGTGCAGGTAGAACCTTCACGTAAGTCGTGTTTAATCAGATTCTCAGGTGCCACATAAACATTGAATATAGTCTTTGAGACGTTGCTGCCTGGTGGAAGAGGCCTGACTGTCAATTCAGCCATTGCAGCAAATAGTCATATAGTCAAACTTTAGATCAAGATAATGGCATATTATATATGTGACTCTACAAAACACTCAGTTTCATGGATTGAGACTTGCTTCATCAGTGTCAAGTGATGCACGTAGGCGCAAACCCTATGTAGCTGGAGATATGGTAGAATGCGCTATATTCAGCTGACTTTTCCGTTCGTGGGGACATAAAATACATATTTAATCTTGAATGACAGGCAGATTTATACTCCGAGTCTGTGAGAGATATCTGCAGAAAAGACTTAGATGAATATACTTGACCTGAAGAAATGGATTGCACTGTTGCGTATGGCCACAATTTCATAGAGACCGGGATTACGTTTGCCCATCCCCCCGTCCATTAGCGCTTTTTCCTCACGAGTCACAACATTATCTCTCATGCATCCAAAATGAGGGTCTACGATCGCATTGAGACTGCATAAGCTCATGCTGATATCGAGACTTCCCTTATCTCGATTGGCACTCATCAATGCTCGTCTATCATGGAGCCGTCGCCTTCAATCCTTGAAAGGGGCCCACGGATCGGTACACGGATCTGCGCGACCGCGAAACCCTAGACAAGGAAAGCAGCCAGCGCTTTCTTTGTATGAAGAGCTATTTCCAGAAGAAGCTGCGAAAAGCCATGACGATCCCTATGTGCAGCCAGAGAAAGAGGCGCCAATTCCCCGTCTCGCTCCCTTCAAACCCGATATCGAAGACCCCACCATCACCGACCAAGTACCCATAAACCGCTACAGCTACGACAAAGACCCTCTCACCCCCCAGAACATCACCATTCTTACCATCTCTGCAGCCAGCAAATCCCTTACGGAAGCCGACTTCCGGCGCGTCGCCCCCAAAGGGCAGCACATTAAAGACTGGAATGGGCCTGGCGAGATTCTCAAAGTGATCCCAGCACGCAACCCCCGCACCCTCGCCCAACTGCCAACTTACTTCCTCCTCTTCCCCCGCGACACCCACGCTCTCATCTATAAAGACCACATCGAGCGTCTCCACCGCCTCAGCCAGATCTACACGCCCACGAGCATCGAGTCGCCCTTCCTCTATCACCCAGGCCGGACATGGCAGAAGGAACCCCCCAGGTCCTCCGACCCCAACAACCCCGGCCTCAAAGACCCCAGCAACCCCAGTCCTCAACAAGCGCAGCAGAAAGAATCAAATCTCTCAGCCACAGAACGGGAATACGAAGCCCTAAGCTCCTACGCGCTCTTCCCCCCTCTCAAACCCCGCACATCCAGCTCCGCCGCGGTCCCTATAGCGGTACCCTTCGCAACGTGGTGCAGGATTTGGGCTACGCGCCCATCACGCGCGCGGGACCGAGGAAGGAAGATCGGAGTGGGAGGGCGGTCATGTTTTGGGTTGAGGGCACCAGGCAGCCGAGTACGCAGATGGTGGGGGAGATGATGAATTCGGATGGGAGAGATAGGGGATTGTATTGGGAGGTTAAGGTGGAGGAGTTTAAGGAGAGGGAGGATCCGTTGAATTCACCGGTGTCGGAGGAGGGTGAGCGTGGGATGAAGGATGGGGAGGAGGAAGGAGAGGGGGATGGGGAAGTGGGCAGGCAGGCGAGGACGAGGAGGTGGATATTGACGTTTGCGGGAACTGAGGAGGCGAGGAGGTTCGTGAGGGGGTGGCATATGAGGGTCATTTCGGTGGCGAGGAGGGCGGAGGACGCATTGGTTCACACGGAGCTCCTGTGGTAAAAGGCAGAAGGAATTCTACCAGATGGTGTCTTCTAGCGTAACCTCTATCTAAATCGCTCAATATATACAGTCCGAATCAAGAAGTGAAGTGTCATGAACATGGTCCTGCCGTTAGATATCACCCTTCAAGCATCCTCGAACATCACCAACTCGCTCCGCCTCCCTTCCGTGCCATCCACTACGTGCGGTTGCAACGGCTGCCTGGCCGTCTTCGCCACTACAGGCACAAGCAACTGCTTCTGCCGCCTCGATATCGAAATCTGCCGCGCAATGCTGACTTCAGCCGCGTTGCCCGTCTCCAGGGCCTTGCTATCGGATTCGCTGTCGGGAAGCACGAACCCTCCATCTACGACTAGCGGAGGAGGTAAGTGCTGTCGGTTGTGCTCCCCCAAATGCTCTTGGGGGGTGGAAGTACCTTCCTCCCGTGTATTCGAACGTTCCCTCGCCTTTGGGCGTTTGAGACTCGATTTCCTTGTTGGAAAAGCGCGGTGCATAAAGGCATTTTTAGAATGGCCATCCCGACCTTCTTGGTCATTTGAGGACGGTTTTGCGGAAGTTGTCATGGTAGTCGGATTTGCGGAAAGAGGATCGTATCCATTCAAGAGAGCCCCTCGATGTTGACGATTATCAGGCTCTGGTAGCGGTCGATCCGCACTTGATTTTCGGTAATGAGACGTTGGAGGGCGGTGAGAATTATCAAGACTTTGCCTAGCGACATGACCGTATGGGCGATTCGAAGGGTCGACACTGTTCTGACGGCCACGCAGGGAGTTCTGACTGTTTTCGCGACTATGGCTGGTGCTCCATTTTGAGACAGGAATATTCTCTTTACCGGGGGCTGGGAGGAGCACAGGGGCTGTATCTTCGCTCATGGCTGGCTTGAATGGCGGACGAGGAGGGAGACATACGTTGCCCTCCGGTGCAGTGACGGAGCGGCTCAGCGGACTGGGCTTAGGCAGAGGCTTATTCACAATACTTCGAGCAGGCGAAGATCCTCTGCCTGAAGTCTGGGTCGAGGGAAAGAGCGAGAAAGAGGGGGTTTTTGATGACGTGGATGAACCCGAACCGTCTCGTCGATGGGGGTTCGGCAGCTCTTCGAGGCTGGGTGGCTAAAGATCACATCAGAAGGTGATTTCACAGAGACAAGTGAGGAACATACCGCTTCCAAAGGCTTCGTAGCTACCCCGGAGCCTTCCAACTTCTTTGGTATAGACTTGGCCAAAGAGGTCCTCGAACCATTTGGAGTTCCCTGCAAAAGATTCCCAAACATGACGCTATATCTTTCTAGCTGTACACTCGGAATCTCCACTTGAAGGAGCGAGTAATCTCCTAGTGCCTTCGCCACGTGGGCATGCCGAGTAATAGATGGATTATTGCCGATGCCATAAACAGCCGAAGTTCTATTAGATCGATTTCGATCTGCTCTGGCTACGTCGTTCGGGTTCCTCCTCCTGACAGCCTTTCGCTTTGAGCTTGCTCTCCTAATCAGGCTTTTCTTTTGCGTCACCGCGCCGTTAGCTATGAGATTATTTTGCTCCATGACCTTCTCCTTGTCGGATCCTGCACGCTTCCGACCAGACTGCGTCCCTTGAGATGGGTTATTGTGATACTCCTCGGCGCGCATTTTTTGAACGGTGCCATGAGCGGGACGTTCTTCACTTCGAGTGGGCGCATGGTTTTTGCTGAAAAGGCCACCAAACGTCTTCCAGCGGTGACTTCTCGATTTGTTGTGCTTGGTAGAATCTTGTACGACGTCGTTATTAGTTGGTCCCTTGATCTTGATAGGTGACGGGAATTGAAAATCGAATTGATTTGGGTGTGGGGTTTCTTTTGGCAGTGGAGGCAGAGGGCTATCCTTGGGACTTCCGACCGCCAGCCCAATGGCGGCAACATCCAAAAGCTGTTTCGATGGATTCACCAAAGCGTTCGCCTTGCGAACGTTGAGCGGGGGAGGCACGTATGCAGGATCCAGGGCTCCATTATCTCCACCATTCATCCTCAATTTCTTTGACCTCGATCTGGTTATGGGACGATGGGCTGACATGACCATCTGCTGCACACGGATGAGCGGCCTAGGCCTGCCCGTATTTTGATATCTCCCTCCCAGCACCAGGCCCAGAGAAAGAGAGCAATTTGCAAGAAAATTGCAAAAAGGTGAAGGTGAGAAGGAAGAGCAAGTGCGCAGCAGCTTGCTAGAATGAGAGAAAGTAGGAAGAAAGAGCGGCAGACGAGAGCGGGACGAGTTTCATGGCGAATCGCACATGATTAAAAGAATGGAGAATAGAATAAAAGAATGGAGAAGGCTGCGTCAATTACTTGCCGCCATGACTTAGCACTGTTGGCGGTGAATATAATAATAATAATGAAGCGGCGGGGCCCTTGCTCTTTTCTGAGATAAGCACCAAGGCCTCAAGCACCCAAGAGTCAAGACTCCAAGAGTGAAGGACGGGCGGGAGAGGTGCTGGCGTCTTCTGATCAGTGATGGCTCGTCGTTGCGAATGAGCTCATGCGCTGAATGGAGAGTTGAATCTGTGGCAGCCGGCAAGACAACAGCTGAAACGCTTGAGACCAGGGGGCTGAGATTGGCTGATCGCAAGCTCAAACACCATCAGGATTGCACAGGACCACCCTTAGAACTAGTCACTTCTCTTATTCCATGCCTATGGCTGTCAGTACTAGTAGTGTATGCCTGCACTCGAGTCTGGATAGTTATCTGTCGGAAACACTCCGAGTCACAATAATAATGCAACGTCCACATGCTGAAAATAACCACAAGATGATGAGCTCTGTTGGAATCCACAGCTGGGAATTCATCCCTAGCTATTCTAGATCTCGTGCAGAGTGGGCGAATCGTTGCTGCAAGCGAAGCGCTTTCCATCACTAATGTTGTTGTCGTTGCTTATTGTGATACTCGATCTTGTTTTACTTCTTATGCACAGATGCATAGCATTCGAAGATGAACAGAAGCTGCTTGGCGCGTTGTCCTCTCACACTGTGGGATACAATAATAAGAATAATGGGCCTTGAATAGCAGGACTGTTGAATCAATGACAATATCAACGATAATACTTGCCATTGCGGAGGGAAGTTCCTCTAACCTCCCCGTAGTTGCCCCACCTGCACGTCAATAGCTTCAGAAACTAAGTTTTTGGCATCCCGCCCACGATCCCCAACTCGACTTGTTTGCACAGTGCTGCGTCATACTGTGCAAACTGAAGTTCCCTTGAGTCCTTATCATTACAGAAGATGTCGTGGCAAGGTCGGTCAAGCCTCTCCAATACCCACCCCTCTTCGGTGTGCTAACATCCTCCTACAGCATACATCGACACAAGGTATGTCATCAACCTTCAGCCCAAGCACGATTGCTGAATTGGCTACAAAGCCTCGTTGGATCTGGTAACGTCGACAAAGCCGCTATATTCAACAAGGAGGGCACGAGCGTCTGGGCAGCCTCAGCAGCTTTCAATGTACGCAATCCTTTGGGCCTTATCGTCCTTGTGGCGCTCTTCTGACCGACCGCTGCCAGGTCTCTCCAGACGAAATAAAGGCCGTCGTCGCTCATTACGCCGATACAACCGAGCCGAAGAAGATCTTTGGATCAGGCTTCAAGGTTGCTGGGGAGAAATACGTCACACTGCGAGCGGATGAGCGGAGTTTGTACGGGAAGAAGGTACGATCACACTCAGGCGGGGGGTAAACATGCTCGTGCTGATTTCGTGATGCAGGGCAAAGAAGGAATATGTATTTGCCTCACGAAGCAAGCGATTCTCATTGCTCACTATGGCGAGACCGCCCAGCCTGGCGCAACAGCAAAAACAGTCGAGCAGCTGGGCGACTACCTGATCGGTGTTGGCTACTAGAAGTACATATTTTTTAAAGAGAAGTCTCTCGAAAGCTCGTTGGCATTATGATGGTGTAATTTACTGCATCTTTCCACCAGGGACAAACCTCGTATAGGCAATGTCGTCCAGCCGCATTTGTGTTTAAGTTGATGTTAGCTGCGGCGACTCAATGGTGTTTCTTGGATAGAAGGCGTCCCAGAGGACTGCATTCTCTTCTGCCTCGACTGTTCGCTCTGAGATCGTGTGTGGCCTTTAGGCCGCCTAGATGGTCCGACGCCAGTCTAATATGCTCTTACTCTTACACTGGCATGTCTGCATTCCTCCTCGCTCCACTAATCTGGTATAGGACCTTTTGCAAATACGGCCCTACCACCGGCACATTTCCTGCGAAACTTGCGATTGTCGCGAGGAAGTCACCAAAGAGAACAAATAATCCATACAGCTCCACCACAAAGCCTATGAGGGGCCATCTCAAGAGTATCAGGGCGATACCCACGGCGAAGGCTATAGTGCCTTTTATCTTCTGTTTTCGGGCGAAGAATGCGACTGTCTTTTGAAATCCAATAATCAAGGCCAAACCGATGAGGAAAAGAATCTTTTGGCCGATTAGATTTGGAACGAGGGAGGAAGCGAGTAAATGATGTTTACATTTCCCATAGCAAGCCTATGGTACGTTTAGTATCGAACATTGCGCAGCGGATGAAATGTACAAACATCGCTCTATCGAAGAACATGACCACTCCCCCAATAAGGAAGAATCCACCTGATTCAAGCATCAGACAATCCACTTGTGACTAGTCATATTGAGGTCACCGCACCTACCGCCTGAGCAGAAGGCCACCCCTATTTCTGAGAACCAAGCATTGTTAGTATTGCACTTGCGTAGATCGTAGTCTGAGAAGACGTGGTGCTCAAAGTGACGATCAATGACATACTTTGGAGGTCTGTAAGCCACATTGTAGGCATCTTGACTCTTGAGTACAGGATTGCAGTCTTTTGCTGGCGTCTACAAGCTCATCGTCACACACGAAAATACCGACAGGTGTTCACCACACCACACCAAAGCTGGAGTCACGTGTTGTTTCACGAGTGCAGGCGGACACATTGACAAATCAAAGCGCAGTCCTTCGCAATTAGAACGCCTTAGTAGGAAAAGACGGAGTTACTGGCTGGTCGATGACGGTGAGACGAAAGCACCAAATGCACGAGAGTAGACCGAAATAGAGCTAGCGTCGGACAAGCACCAATGCTCGCCGATCATGTACGATCTGACTAATGCTTTGTTGCACGCTTGAACGGCAAAGGAGGGAAACAAGAACTTATTAATTAGTCTGCAAGGGCAATCTATTCGGAGCCCTGACCATCGCAGCCAACTGAGATGATATTCGCGACCGCCGTGTCGAGCTTTCCCGGTTGAAAAAGCAGTACCCTCAGCGCACCGGTGTCACCGCGTATCTGCGGAGTACGTCAACATCCATCTCCCTGCCACTTCGTGACTTCTCCCGGCCACCTCTTTGCTTGCTCGCTTCTCTACGAGCTCGGCCAAGGTAACAAGCTGACCACATACTTCCTTCCATTAGTCATCCCTTCGGTTATACGGTCCAAGATGCAACAACTGGCTCCGGCGCCTCAACCATTACGGGCAGCTCCAGTAAGCCACCGCCCCCCCCATTCAGTCCGTCCTCTGGGCTAACAGTACTCAGCAGAGCGAAAATGCCACTGAGCAGGGTAAGTAATCATATTTTTTGGACATTCGGAACAACGGCCAATTCCATATAAACATGCTCACCTCGCCGCCAGCCTTGCGAGAACGGCTCCTTGCTTCGGTACAACCGCAGCACCTCCCCGAGTATCAGCAACGCCGACAAGAAAACCACGCTTCAAACCCACACAGTCACAACATCGACCCTGCGATAGCGGGGTCAAATATGATGAGTCAACACATGAGCGGAGACGTGAGCGACGGAGACGGGCCAGAACGAAGAGGTAAAAGGGAGTTGTCCACAAGCAAGAGGGCGGCACAGAATAGGGCAGCCCAGGTGAGTCACGGAGCGTCCCTGCATCGTGTGGAGAGAAAGTCCGCGTTTGATGGATCGTGAGGTTACAGAGATTGCGATTCTCGTGTTGAAACCTTTCTGCTTACATAAAAGATGACTACTCATATTTCAACGACTGACCATTTGTTTGCGACAGCGAGCCTTCCGCCAACGAAAAGAAAGCCACATCAAAGATCTCGAAACCCGCATCCGAGAGTACGACAACCTCAACACGTCCTACAAAGCTATTCAAAATGAAAATTACGCCCTGCGCGAATACATTATAGCTCTCCAAGGAAACCTTCTACAGAACAAGGGATCCTATCCCCCACCACCTCCACACATCAACCTCCACTCAGGTCGCGCACCTTTAGCTGATAGCAACGTGCCACGTACAGTAGAGAGTCGCTCGGGAGTTCAGGAAGAACCAGAACGAGCGGCTCCAACGGCTTCAATGCGGGCGCTCGAAGATCATATCCAGGCCTCTGCCGCACATTCCCTGAATGAACAGCGAGATGAGGCCTTGAGGCGACCAGATTCAGATATGTCAAAGCGACCAAGAATCTCGGAGGAGTCGCATGCACACGGCCTCCCACAGCGTACGCAGTCGTGATATTAGCATTGGCGTTGGTGGAGCAACGATCTATCATTTTCTGGCGCATAGGTTGAGATTAGATGTTCATGGCTTTATGTCCCCCTCTGGCTTTCAATTGAGGTGTAACAGGGCCATAACATATGGCGTTACTTGGTGAAGTTCAATTAGCGGCATGCATGAATGAGCATTCATAGCAAACGGCTATAATCACTCACAACGGTCGAGGGCTCACATGAAGCTCTCCATCTTGGGCATTATGAAGGCACCTTTCCTACACAGACTCACCCAATGTTTCCCAGGTTGTGCTCCTTCATATACTCGCTCCCCCGCTCATCGTACTCAGCTCTACTCACACTCGCAGCCTTGAAACCCGGCTCCTTCGCCCAAGCAGCCGCGCCTTTCCATGCATCTAGCAACGGATCCTTCGCCCTCCTCATCCCCACCACAGCATCATCCGGCAACAGGGCCCTCAAATCCCTCTTTAGCCGCTCCTCGAAACCCTCAAACAACGTATTTCCCCCCGTCAAAAACACATCCCTCAACACCTTCCCCCTGTCCCCGACATCCCTAATCCCACTCTCCACGACTCCCGCCGCAATATCCACCAAGCCCGCCTGGTCCACGCCAGCAATACTGGGCTGGAACACCACCTCCGGCACCCGAATTCTCTCCACATTCAAATGGAGCTGATACTTCTCTCTCATACTCTCGCCATCAAATGGTCTCGGACCCCTCAAGAAAGCATGCAGCAAGCTCTTCGTCCAATCCTTCTGCGCGCCCATCGTCTGCGCCTCGCTGAAATGGGGATCATGCTCCAAGAGCTCCGACTCCAATTTCTTCATGTCCCCATCCAGATCATCCTCTTCCTCCTCATCGCTCGCCGGCTCCCCCATCGCCACGGTGCGATAAACGCCCCAATCCTCATCGTTAGCGCCAAAATCATCATCGTCGCCGCCCCCACGTCTCCTCTTTCGACCAGGCTGATCCGAAGCAAGCGAGGCAAGCGTCTTCATCCGCATCTGGCTTGCTAAAGATTTCCGATTCCCCTGATCCCTCGCCAACCGGTCCCGGTCCTTGATACGCTGCAACAGCGCCGACCGCGCCTCCCGCCGCGATTGCAACCATCCTTCGATGTCGTTCTCGCGGCGCTCTTCGTCCAGTCGCTGCGCCTCCGCTTGCCGGGCGCGTTCTTGCTCCTTCTCTGCTTTGGCGCGCTGGCGGGCTTCGAGGCCGGATTTCATGAGGCGCTGGTGGCGTTTCTGTTTCAGGCCTGCTTCGTCGAGCTGGTCGTCGGGAGTGTCGAGAAGTGGGAAGGATTGCGCTGTTTCTTCCTCCTCGGGCTCCTTGACGCCGAGGTCCTTGTTGCGGGCTTTGCGGACGCGCTTTTCGAGGTCTTTGATTAGCTTGTCGAGTTGAGACTCATCCTTTAGTTCGTCGTCATCGAGAAGACGTTTTATTTCCTTCTTGGTCTGGCCCTGCAGGCGGACTTGCAGGTCTTTGTAATATTCGAGTTCTTGCTCTTTCTGGACGAGCTTCTCGAAGCGCATTTTGGCTGCTTGTTCTTGAAGGCGTATGCCGCCCAGGCGCTTCTTTTCGGCGACACGGTCGAGTTCTTCCTGAGATTTTTCAACGACGATGTGTTCGGTGAATGGGTATTGGATGATATGGTCGCGCTCCTCTAAGCCTGTCCAATCTAGGAACTTATTCATTTCGTTTTGGTAATCTTGAGAGACGTAGCAATGGTCCCTCGCCATTTGCTCGACCTGGTAATCCTTGATCTGCGCTGGGAAAAGAGGGTATTTCAATCTCAGCAACTTCATTAGATAATCCGCATTTTGATATCCTCCCCAATTGAGCCGGGAGACGCTCGACATGATTGGCTTCCCACCAACCACCGGAACCACATGTGTAGCTGAATGAGCAGACGATATCAGAAGCCCACTCGATCCCTTGTTTTGTCTATAAGAAAATAACGAATCAATCCCATACGCCACACTTGGAGCACCGTAACACTCAAATAAAAGCTCATTCATGGTCTTCCTCGTGTAGCCCAATGCCGCGATTGGCTCTGTCATCACAATGCTCCTGCCAACACCGGCAGCGTCCCCATTGTCTACTCCTAGTCCCACAAAGATCTGATCAAGGACGCTTTCCATTACATCCCAGTTCCCAACCACGCTCGTGCCCGGCTCGAAGGCTTTCTTAATCTGCCCTCGAGTCGTGGCGTCTGCGTACGCATTGTAACCAACGTATGTGACAGTACGGTTGATCTTGCGGTCACGATAGCGCGCAGCGTCGGCGGGGAAGGCAAGGAGTGGACGCGGAGAATTTGAGAAGCCGGCGCGGACTTCAGACGAGCCTGGCGCTTGAGTCAGCGGAGAATCACCAGCAGGACGTTCGTCTCAAGGCTTTTAGCTTACCATTGTCTATGATTATAGCATCGCTTCGAGAGCTCTGTGAGTAGGCGTTAGTAGGGAGGGGCTGCTCTCCTTTGAACGGAGGCTCTATGGCGTGCCATATTCGTGGTGGGGGCTTAGGAGTTCGTTTGCCTTCAGCTGTATCAGGGCCGTCGGCAGGCTGGATGAAACGAGAATAAGTTATGGTCATTGTGGAGAAAGGGCCGGCGCGCGACGAAGGCAACTGGGGTTATCGAGGAAGCATGATCGCCTAGTCTGTGAAGAAGCGAACTATGATAAAATGCGAAATTTCAGAAATGCTGGCGTGTGGCTGGTGAACGTGAAGTTGAAAGAACCCTTTTGGTTCAGCGTACACACGACGCTATGCAATAACTAGGCTTCGATGAACACGAAAAGAATTCGGTCTACAACACACACAGAGACAGCTACGGAATGCAATGAACATCTTTGATATATGATTTTGGGTTATATTGGGTCCTTCAGACTGTCCGTTGCTGTTGTCGTTGATGATCAGCCATGCATGATATCCATCATTGCTAGAACCACAAACCTTCTAAGTGAAATAGAACATTGGATCTGTAATTCTTGAACATTTGGGCTACCAGCTCCACATTCATATTTTGTATGTTTATTTCCTACCGTGAGGAATCTTTGTCAGAGAAGGTTCACATGCCTCAACATTATACCAGAGCTTATCATACTTGCAGGCTCTTATTGAGGACCATTACAGCTTCGTTGAGTTTTTCCTGTACCTTATGAGCCTGCCAGTAGTCCAAATAATGACATTACGCGTACGACATTCGTGATGATACGCGACAACAGGAGACTTTGTTGGTGCTCATGAGGGCTCTCCTACGCAAAGTCAGATGGCTACGCTACATGAAAGTGACCTGGACCTTCTGCCATACCATTTTGACCCAGATTGGCCTTGCCTGACAGATATGAAGGCTGGTGGGTGTATCTATGGGAGTCAAGTAAAGTGTCTCACCCACCAAAATTAAACATCACGTGCAAGCGTTCAGTCGGGTAGCGGCCTCCCCTCATCCCCGCCATCTCCCTTTTCCTTTTTGTTGAACGGAAGCTTCGTATTCTTGCTGGGACACAGCATACAATGCCTGCTCCTACGACTCCTGCAGGAGATGACTCCCACCAGCTACTCTTGGACAAGCTAGACCTTGTCTCAAAGCGAAAATCATTCCGCAATCCCAATTGGAAACCCTCCCAGCGTCGCAACAAGAACATCAAGCAAATAGTCTCAGAGGCCTCTCGCAAAGAGGCTTCAGCTTTGGCAACGAACAACAACAGTGGTGCCACTACACCCAATCCCTCTTCTTTGAATACTGGAGCTGCGACTCCTCAAACCTCTAGTGGCCCGAATCTTCAGCCCAGTATTTCTTTTACCGCGCAAAATCTCTCAACAATGGTGCTGGAAAAGAATCTAAAAGCGCAGCAAGCTTCCATTGGGAACGGACCCGTTGCTACATACACGAACATTGAGAGCGCACCAAGTCTGCACCCTGCCAGTCAGAAGCATTACTGTGACATTACGGGCTTGCCTGCGAACTACACAGATCCAAAAAGCAGGCTGAGATACGTGAATAAAGAGGTCTTTGATGTGTTACGAAGCCTACCACAAGGAGTTGCAGAAAAGTATTTGGAGGCTAGAGCTGCTCATGTGGTGCTGAAGTGATGATACCAAAACCCAAGCCACGGGAGTCAGGACAGTACGGCAAGACAGAAGTCGTAGGAAGCCAGCTCGTCCAAATACCCTGCGAGAGGCGTGTCGGCATAGCTGCACGGTATCTATGATCTGAGAATGTGAGGCCATCTAAGTCAAGCTTCACCCACCCATCCCAGACTTCTCAGCCTGAGACTCAAGGAGACGCTCCGGCTTAATTGTGACCGTACCTTGTTCTCGCCGGAGGGACGTATACCGAAGAACCCATGGTAGCACGAGGGTATCAGTTACAGTACTCTGAGAGTGCTGTCGTCATGGCGTCAACAAAAGAGTGGGATAGAGATTGCGGAGAGCTCATGAGGTGGGATGGATGCCGCAGAGCCTTGGGCAGTAAGCATCGGATGCCTTCATCAGAGGATGTCGGTACTAAGTCACATAATCATATCCTATGCCAAAACGTGAGATGACCCATTATTACATTATAGTACAACATGAATTCTGCTTTTTCGCTTGCCTGTAGTTTCGTTAGCGCTTAGCTCTACTGTGGCCCAATTTAGAACGTACTTATAGAACATCTTGCTTTGTGAACTCAACCCGTCGCTCTTTTCCACCAGACTATCAATCTTCTCCCCACGCTCTAGGACAGACTCGATAGTCTTATGCAATACGATCTTTGTTTCATCCAGCTCTTTCTGTATCTTGAGTATACTATCTGCTTGTTGCGGATCTTGGTATTTCGTTATGTACTCTTTCAATGGCCGGAAGTCAAGCTTTGGTGGTTCAGCCATAGAGAAGGCACTCCGGGGATAGCGGGAGAGAAATTCATCAACGACTTTCGAAAGCAGCTGATGTGCTACGAGTGCTGGATACTCGGCATCTGAGATGATAATACCTGCGACGCCCTCTGTTCGGCCATAGGCATGAAATGTGTGTGCTGAAGAAGGTTATTATTCCAGGTCGACGTTTTTGTGGGTTAGGCGATGCACGTACATTGTTCCTCAACGTCTTGTCGCTGCCCCGGCTTTGTGCGCTCAGCAACGGTCTTGCTGAAAAGGCTCATGAATTGGCCATAGCTGCAAATGGAGACACAATTAGGGCGTCTCATCTAGAGGCCAAACGACGGCGTACTTGTCTCTTGTGAATCGTGAGAAGCTACTCAGATCTTTCTCGACTGCTAACTCATGCGCTGGCTTATTTTCGTTTTTGAGGATCTAATGATAGGCATCAATGTACCGTCGACAAAGGGCAAAGATGTAGGTCTCCTCACGCCGATGTAGAAAATCTTCATGGTATTTCTGGGAAATAGATTACGTGCTAGGGTGAAGGCTAGGTGACGAAAGGAGCAGTGATTTAGTTGAGTGTGAGAATTGCTCTGGTATGTCGTTGATCATCACGAGGCGGGCCTCAGGTTCAAAGAATCGGATTTGTAGGTTGCGGAAGCATCCGCCGAAAGCGTCATTTACGGGCGCTAGTTCTATGAAATAATTGGATTGTAAAGTAACGGGCTCGTCGCTTTACGTGTGGTGACTGAGATGTGTTTTCGTGTATGCGAATCATCTCACTGGTATGCTTGTGAAGCCTTCGCTAAGGTATCTGAAAGAAGACGCTAGCCTGACTGTCAGACCTGTGATCAAGTTTTCCTATCTCTTCCTTTTTGCCACCTGCACTTTTGAACCCATTTTGCAGGATAAAAGTTTGAAAAAGCATCATGTCTCCTTCTTTTGATAACGCCCAAGCAGAATGGCTATCGCAGCTTACGGCTATGCGGCAGGCAATAGCAGAGTTGAAACTGGATCAAGCCACCGAGCAAGGTCCAATATACGGCGAGGATCTTTTTCTGGACGATGATGAATTAACCAATAGCGGATCTGATGATATCTGGGATATCTCAAGCAACGAACTTGGGGACGACTATAGTAGCGACCAGATAGATGCCGCGGATGTCTTGCCGCCTACGGAAGTACCTAAGGATGCATCTCAGTGGCTGCGAGAAAAAACTCAGGCTCTCGCGAATAAGAAGCCTAGTACGGAAGCAGATGAGCTGTACCAGCACTTTCATGCTATTTTGATCTCAGACATGGAGAACGATGAATTGCAAATGTCACTTGTAGAAATAATCGGCTACGATGATCTTGATCTCGTGATTGAGATGATCGCTCATCGCAGATCAATTTTGTCAAGTAAACAGCAGATATCTCCTGCCAATAATGGTGTCTTGAGTCGCCTTCAAACCAAGGAGGAACGGCAGCAGGCCCTCCAGCGACAAGACCTCGAGCACAAAAGCGCTCCGCTGAGGCAAGCGCAAAGTAGAGATGCTCCTCAATATCCGCATGTTTATAAAGCCCACGAAGCTGGTCACACTTTAGCCCACGGTGGCCGGAAGTATGGGCTTCCCAGTGGGAGTCAGAGGATCGAACGCGAGAGGTATGAGGAATACTCTATTCCAGCTACAACCGTGGGTATCCTGGGTAAAGGGAGAAAACTTATTGACATAAGTGAAATGGATAGCCTTTGTCGTCAGACCTTCAGAGGCTACAAAACCCTGAACCGTATGCAAAGTCTACTTTACCCTGTAGCGTACCATACGAGTGAGAATATGTTGGTTTGCGCGCCTACTGGGGCTGGTAAGACTGATGCGGCGATGCTTACAATTCTCAATACCATTGGACACAATGTTGTACCACACCCTAATGAGGAACCAGATGCTGAAGACTTCGTGGTCAATGTCCGCGACTTCAAGATAGTCTATGTTGCTCCAATGAAAGCCCTAGCAGCAGAAGTGACCGAAAAGCTAGGCCGACGCCTTACTTGGCTAGGGGTCCAAGTCAGAGAATTCACCGGTGATATGCATTTGACTAAGAAAGAAATCGAACAGACGCAGGTCATCGTCACGACTCCTGAAAAATGGGATGTTGTCACCCGCAAAAGTACTGGAGACACGGAGCTCGTACAGAAGGTCCGGCTGCTGATTATTGATGAGGTACATATGCTTCATGACGAGAGAGGTGCCGTCCTCGAGTCGCTGGTGGCTCGAACCGAGCGACAGGTGGAAAGTACACAATCGTTGATCAGGATTGTGGGGCTTTCCGCGACATTGCCAAATTACATAGACGTGGCGGACTTTCTGAAAGTCAATCGCATGGCAGGGCTGTTCTACTTTGACGCATCATTCAGACCAGTACCGCTTGAACAACATTTTATTGGGGTGAAGGGGAAGGCTGGATCCAAGGCCTCAAGGGAGAACATCGATCAAACAACATTCGAGAAGGTAAAAGACATGCTAAAGCTAGGCCATCAGATAATGGTCTTCGTGCATTCGAGAAAAGATACTGTCGGTACAGCAAGAATGCTGATACAGAAAGCAGAGGAGGACCAGTGCCAGGACTTGTTCGATTGCAGCACTGTTGACGGTCATGCTTCGGCGATGAATGAGCTGAGAACCACTCGAGGCAAAGAGCTTCGAGATTTGGCTCCGAAAGGCTTTGGAACACACCACGCTGGAATGCCCCGAGCTGATCGCAACAGGGCTGAGCAGCTTTTTGCAGCAGGTCATATTGGTGTTCTATGCTGTACGGCTACGCTTGCGTGGGGTGTCAATCTTCCTGCAGCTGCCGTTATTATCAAAGGAACACAAATCTACAGTTCACAAGAAGGTAAATTTGTGGATCTGGGCATCTTAGACGTTCTGCAAATATTCGGTCGAGCTGGTAGACCACAATTTCAGGCTACGGGAATTGGTTTCATATGCACCACACAAGATAAGCTGCATCATTATTTGACGGCAGTGACGCAGCAACAGCCAATTGAGTCAAGGTTCTCAGGAAAATTAGTTGACAATCTCAATGCTGAAATTTCGCTCGGCACAGTGACGTCTGTAGCAGACGCTGTCCAATGGCTTGGCTACTCCTACTTGTTCGTGAGAATGAAACGAAACCCACTCACATATGGTATCGAGTGGTCAGAGTATGCAGATGATCCGGAGCTAGTACAGAGGCGACGCAAGTTGATTGTGGACGCGGCACGCACTCTTCAGCAGAGTCAAATGATAATCTTCAATGAGTCGACTGGAGAGCTTCGTGCAAAGGACGTTGGCCGAATAGCGAGTCAGTATTATGTGCTTCAATTAACAATAGAATTGTTCAACGCAGACATGAGGCCACAAGCCACCGAAGCTAGTATTCTGAGAATGATCAGCAAGAGTGGGGAGTTCGATCACATACAGGTCCGTGACTCCGAGTCTCAAGAGTTGCTTCACTTGAAGCATGTCTTCGCTCCATGCAAGATAGCAGGTGACTTGAGTTCTCCGGCTACGAAGACAAACATACTTCTACAGTCGTACATCTCTCGAGCAAAGGTCGATGATTTCACTCTAGTATCTGACTCTGCATATGTCGCACAAAATGCTGCAAGAATATGTCGTGCTCTTTTCATGATAGCGTTGAATAGGAGATGGGGTTACCAATGCCTCGTTCTTGTGACACTTTGCAAGTCAATCGAGAAACAGATCTGGCCCTACATGCATCCATTTCATCAGTTCGACCTTCCGCAGCCAGTTTTGAGGAACCTCGATGATAAAAGCGAGACATCCTCCATCGAATCATTGCGAGACATGGAGACTGCTGAAATAGGTCATCTGGTACACAATCATCGCATGGGTAACGTGATCAGCAAATTGCTGGACAACTTTCCAACATTGGATGTAGAGTGTGAGATTGCACCACTCAATAGAGACGTCCTGAGGATTCATCTGTACCTCTCTGCAAACTTCCGCTGGAATGATCGTCACAATGGTACCTCTGAGTCTTACTGGATTTGGGTGGAAAATTCGGAGACCTCTGAGATCTATCATCACGAATTCTTCATATTGACTAGGAAGAAGCTGTACGATGATCATGAAATGCATTTCACGATTCCAATGTCTGACCCTCTACCATCTCAGGTATACGTTAGGGCTGTTTCTGATCGTTGGCTCGGTGCAGAGACCGTCTTACCAGTCTCGTTCCAGCACCTCATCCGGCCAGACACAGAAAGTGTCTATACAGATCTGCTTGATCTTCAACCGTTACCGGTTGCTGCCTTGAAGAATCCACGGCTTGAGGAGATCTATGGGCAACGCTTTCCTTACTTTAATCCAATGCAGACACAAATATTTCATACTCTGTACCACACGCCTGCAAATGTTTTACTTGGCTCACCTACAGGAAGTGGGAAGACTGTAGCTGCAGAATTAGCGATGTGGTGGATGTTCCGCGAAAAGAGAGGATCGAAGGTTGTGTACATCGCACCTATGAAAGCTTTAGTGCGAGAACGAGTGCAGGATTGGCGGAAGCGTTTGACTAGGCAGATGGGTTTGAAACTCGTAGAGCTTACAGGAGACAATACGCCAGACACTCGGACAATACGGGATGCCGACATTATCATAACTACACCCGAGAAATGGGATGGAATAAGTCGCAGCTGGCAAACAAGAGGCTACGTCCGGCAAGTGGGCCTAGTCATCATTGACGAGATACATTTACTGGGTGGCGACAGAGGGCCAATTCTTGAGATCATTGTATCCCGCATGAATTACATCGCATCTCAATCGGAGGGTTCCGTCCGACTGGTAGGCATGTCGACGGCCTGTGCTAATGCAATGGACCTCGCAAACTGGCTTGGTGTCAAAGAAGGTCTCTTCAATTTTCGTCACTCCGTGCGACCTGTACCTCTGGAAATCTTCATAGATGGCTTTCCTGAGCAACGTGGCTTCTGTCCATTGATGCAGTCGATGAATCGGCCGACATTCATGGCTATCAAATCTCAGTCCCCGGATAAGCCTGTCATTGTCTTCGTCCCTTCGCGACGGCAGACTCGTTTGACCGCCAAAGACCTTATAAATTTTTGCGGAATGGAGGACAACCCTCGTCGCTTTGTCCGCATGTCTGAAGACGATCTTGAATTGAATCTCTCTCGTGTCAAAGATGAAGCACTACGTCAAGCTTTGAGCTTTGGAATCGGCTTGCATCATGCCGGTCTTGTTGAAAGCGATCGTCAGCTGGCAGAGGAACTATTCGCCAATAATCAGATACAAATTCTGGTGGCCACGAGCACTCTAGCATGGGGTGTAAATCTTCCAGCACATTTAGTCGTTGTGAAAGGTACTCAATTTTTTGACGCTAAGATTGAAGGCTATAAAGACATGGACCTTACAGACGTGCTTCAAATGCTCGGGCGTGCAGGAAGACCGCAGTTCGACTCCTCCGGAGTTGCTCGCATCTTCACCCAAGACGCAAAAAAGGACTTCTATAAACATTTCCTTCATACTGGCTTCCCTGTGGAGTCTTCCTTACATAATGTGCTGGACAATCATTTGGGTGCAGAGGCATCTGCTGGTACCATCGCATCTTTACAAGATGCTCTTGATTACCTGACATGGACTTTCTTCTTCCGGCGCTTGCACAAGAACCCATCATATTATGGTCTCGAAATCTCCGCTGAAGAGCATAATACGGTGGCTGCACAGTATATTGCTAATGATTATATGACAGAATTGGTGACGAAGTCCCTCGGTCAATTGGCAGAGTCGAGCTGTCTTGAAGTTCATCCAGACGGACAAATTGAGTCAACATCGATGGGCAAGATAATGAGTTATTACTACCTCTCGCACAGGACAATACGTCATCTTGTCAAGCGGGCAACTCGCAATGCTAGCTTCCATGATGTCCTATCCTGGATGTGTGGGGCAACCGAATTTGATGAGCTCCCTGTGAGACACAACGAGGACCTAATTAATGCGGAGCTCTCAAAAAACCTACCCCTAAGTACCGACAAGATGGACGGATTGCCTATGTGGGATCCACATGTAAAGGCATTCCTCCTCTTACAAGCTTTCTTTTCACGGATTGAGTTGCCCATTTCTGATTACGTCGGTGACCAAAATTCAGTCCTTGACCAAAGTATTCGTATCATCCAAGCATCAATTGATGTACTCACAGAGCTTGGCTTCTTCGCAAGTTGCAAGATGATGATCACGTTGCTTCAATGCGTCAAATCCGCACGATGGCCCGATGACGGACCTCTTTCCATTTTACCAGGTCTTGATTTGGACAACGAGAGCATGCAGGAAAGAGTAAAGCAGACCAAGCCAAGATCGCTGGATAAAATAGTATCCTTGGAACAGCCACAGTTGTCTCGAATATTTCGAAGTCTAGACTTGCCGCAATCCAGAGACCCTGAGCTTCTGAAAATCGTCAATACGTTGCCCAAGGTTCAGATCAAGGTCAACGACGTCACTGCACTGGGCTTTACGATCAATCTTTCCCGCCTCAATAGCGCGCTCAGCTCCGAGTATCGTATCTACGCCCCGCAATATCCAAAACCGCAATCGGAAGGATTCTTTGTGATCGTGGTCCACCCAGAAAAGGAAGAGGTACTTGCCTTGAGAAGGGTCAGTTGGCCTTCGCTGGGAAAGAAGCAACAAAGGCCGGCAAAGGATAAGGCACAGGCGAAGTCCACGATCAAACTCTCACCAGACAGGGAACTCAAATGCGTCACCGTCCTTGTAATGAGCGATGCGTACATTGGGATGGAGTGGAAGGTGGAGGGATTAGAGGTGCCAGCAGCCCCATCTACCGAATATGACGATGGCAAGAAGCCTTCACAGACTTGATTTTAGCTGGCGGTGATGACGATGTTGTAAATATACCAATGCTTCCAACAACACCGAAATACCAAATCACGATATGGTTAGTTTGACAGTCTGGTCATGGCAGCAACATCCCTCTCGATCCATGGATCTGATGGCCCGGGAGGTGTAGCCGAGAGCCTACCTTTCTAGGTCTGGTCGCTGTCCTAATTCAGCAAGCATGGGGCGTAGTGAGGTCGCTAAACACGCCCGGAAACGCCAAAAGGCAGCCTTAGTCTTCTTCTGGCATCAAGCTGCTTCAATGTTGGCGCGGAATACTCCCTTTCGCGACCCATACCAACCCCCTCCAGTAGAGGCTGATTCTATGAAGCTCGGAGCTATGATCCTTGTGAGACAAAGACGGCTGCTGGCCCTCAGCCTCGTCCTCTCTTACTGCTATGTTTGAGGACTGCTCATCATCCTGGAGGCCACACTCCCGGGTCGGCTCAATCACTTGATCAGCAATGTCGTGGACGGACGTCGATCCCACAGGCACCCTCTCAGCAGCCGCTTCAGCCGTTTCGCTTGTCGGAGCGGTGCTTCGAGCTGCACCAGCTTTGAAGAATGCTACGAGCAATGTGAGATCCCCATCGATTGCGGGCCCTTCTCCTCTTCAGCGCTCTACAACCGCTCCAGTGCCTTCAGCGGTTTTCAAAGATCCAGAACGCGAACGCCGAGCCTACGAAACGGTCAATTACGTGCTCAGAGAATTTGGCAATCGTCTTTCGGCCGCTGGGCTCGTCGATGAGCATGCGCTTACAAAAGCTCTTACCTCTGCTACCCAACACATTGAAGTAAAATTGTTCTCTGGGGAGGTCAATAGACTGTTCGAATCGCTTGCGCCGAGACTGGCAGACCCGATGCTTGTGAACAGTGTATTTACGGCGATTTACTTCATAGGTGCTTTGATAGCGCAGCTTACCAGTAGTCTACCAAATTACAAGACAACGTACCCTCGCCTTGGTCCTAGACTCGTCCAGCAAGTTTTTAGAACGGCGATTGGCGAAGACGCATTCAAAGAGAACTTGAGCGCAAATCTGGACGCATACGAAACGCTGGCAACGACTGCTGGACTTTTGAGGCCCACGGATATTGGTTATACTTGCTTCCCAGGCTTGCCAACGTTGTCTCCCGGGCGCTTTTCTAGCAAGGTCTGGGCCGATGTCAGAAGTAATAAATCCTCATTCGACAAGCTTTGCAAGCATTTCGACCGGGCTGGTTTTCCGCAGCCTTTACAACGTTTACAGGAAGAGGTTGGGCATATAAACGATTGGCGCTTCCTTATGAGCGACAGCAATCTCAGGGCTTACGATGTCGAAAAAGCAGATAAGATGATCGGCGAAAATTCGGGGAGGGTAATACATTGGCTCATATGCTCAGCAGACCGGATACCACCAGGGCAGGCTATCATTGTGTTCTATGATCAGTACATTGCAATCGTTAAATGGTTGGGTGAGCGTGCAGGTTTTCGTAGCCTGTATCCTTCGGTCGATCTGGACATGACTGGCGTACACTCACAATTGGATGGCCGACTCAGAGCGGTATTGAATGGCTGGATCATCCTCATGTCTTCCGAGAACACTCGTACGGCAAGAAATGCTGCATCGACGAAATGGGCTGAAGAGCGAGCTAGAGCCGCAAAACAGATGCCTAAAGCATATGCTCAACCATCTGCAGAGCCATCCCAGAGGCTACCTGTGGACCAAAGGCAGACCACCCAGATTGCTCCCAATGTCAGTGCTGTTGGTCAACCAAATGTGGGTAGCGAAGGTATTCCATCTTCGATGCAAAACGCGTCGCCCCCACTAGAGATCCAATTGAATGAAGTCAATCGTTGGTTCCACACACAGTTGAAACCGCAGTGTCAGGTCTTCATCAGAGCGCCGCCTGCTGACTCGCATGCTCGAGACATGGAACGTAGGCGCATTGTAGATTTGACCGAGCGCTTCGTCCTACATCGCCTGGACGCACTGCAAATTCCTGAAGGACATCCGGGACGTACTCACAGAAGCGCGATGATAGCTCAAGCACAACAAATGCTTGCAACACTTGATACGCTGTCTTCGCCAAACCAGGACAACCAAGCCTTATATGCTGCTGGAATGGTTCCTGGCCAGAATGTCAACAACATGTTTCCTGCCACCTCCAATCCAGTGGAGATAGGCTCCCCTTCCGCGACTTCCAATACATCCTCTCCCGTCGCATCTCCTCCTCCTTATTGTCCTACAATTTCTCCAAACTCAGCAACAAACGCAGCAGACGGATTTCCTTTCCAGCAAAAACGGACCACGGTCGTGCGACGCAAAGCACCACCTCCACCGAAGAAGACGGTACTACTTGTAGCCAAGGCTCTATACGATTTCGAACGAGACGCTAACGATGACGAAGAGCTAAGTTTCAAGGAGGGAGACGAGCTTGAAATCGTGGAGAAATCAGCCTCGTTGGAACAAGATGGATGGTGCAAAGTCAGAGTCAAAGGAAACACCACCAAAGTCGGGCTGGCACCACTAGATTATCTAGAAATCATATCGCCGACGCCGATCGTACCTGAGAAAGTTCCGGCTATCCATCCTGGTGCGCACTTAGTAGCGGACGGTGATTCTAAGCCTATCCTTGGTCATCCAGTGGTACAACAAACAGAGTCGAATCCACCAACACAGCCTCTTCATGTTCAGCCTAGCAATGCCTTCACTTCATCATCACAAAATTCACAAGCTCTGAATCACGCTGGACCAAACGAACCGGTCAAAGTCAAGAACAAGCTTGGCAAATATGAAGTCGCTGGATTCGCCGTAGCTGGCATTGGAGCCGCCGCCGGAGTCGGCACCTTAGTCCAAGGATTCTCAAGCCCATCCTCGGAACACTCACAAACTGAATCATTACACATGGGTCATCAGTCACCTGCAGGCCATAGCCAACATCCTACGGTTGAGAACAATAACGATGCTGTGCAACAAGCTCAAAACGAGGGTTCCCAACCCTCAACCGAACCAAGTCAGAACCAAGACGATAATGAATCTCCTCAATTTCACCAAGCCCAAGCGTCCACAATCCAAGACCAAACCACTACCACTGACACAGTCATCGTGACAGAATCAGACACCGTCATCTCGGATTCTGAGTACTACGACACCAGTGTTCCCCCTGCAACCGACATTTCCGCGTTCAGCGGTGGCTTCGATCCCGTACCCGTCACCTCTAACCCTACCACTACCGCCATCTCTACAATCGAAGAACCTGCCCTCATCACCAATCCCGCAGCTATCGGCCCCCCACTCACCATGCAGGACCCTGGCTTTACCACCCCACTAGCTGTGGACCACACTTTTGTCATCGAAGAGACCACAGTTTCTCCACACCTCGCCCCAGTCTTCGATCCAGCGTTACAGGAAGAGCCCGTAATAGTAAGCCCGTTCGCCTCCATGGCGACACCCCCGCCTGCAACTCCCCTAGACGACAGCCTGGATGGTGGAGCTGGCATGATGAGTCCGTTCACGGGATACACAGTGCCATCCACTGCTAATGAGCCGTTGAATATGGTAGAGGAGAAGGGCGAGTCTGTGACAGTGATGACGCAGGAGAGTGTGGAGACGGTGGATGGGGGTGCGGTGTGGACTGAGGTTGAGGATGTGGAGGTCGATTTTGAGATGTGAGAGGAGGATCGAGCGTGCTTTCTTGGTTTTTTGCGCTCGAGAGATACCCTTTACGTTTTATGATGGTTCTGATGGGCCGTTTGATATGGGAAGTAGGAGTCTGTGATTGCTTCTTACTCACTTTCTATGAGTGTATGTGGAAATGGAAAGCGAGAGTGGACATGAGAATCATTAAGTGTGATTGTGCGACTATTCTTTGATGTCAATATAAGTACAATGATCTGGGAGTGGTATCTATCATAGGTTATTTTCCTTCCTTCCGTTCACCCTCGCTATGCATCTTTAAGCCAACCACGGCGCCAATCCGTAGACAGATGTAATACACTTTTGCGAATGTGAAATTGATATCTCTTAAAGTGGGGTTTTCCTCCCATCTTCACTTCCTTCTCTCGACTCTGTTCGATGACTTATACCATCTTCCATGCAGCCTTCTCAATTGACTGCCATCTTGATAACGTAACCTGAAAATCATTCCCATGCGCGTGAACGATCACCTATCGAAGTATTTACGCGGGCTATTGAACGTTCGCGATTCAGGTCCACCATGTATGTATCCATCTCACGTTCTAATTCGGGTTCGATTAGAATTAATTCATCTGTATCCATTCGAGTCTTTCTTCTGTCTGAGTCTCATTCAAATTTCAAGAATTTTGCAAATACTGTGAGTCGCCATGCGTTCAGGGCTACTCAGAGTCTTCGGAGTCGACATTCCCACCAAGACCCCCGCTCATCATCGCCTGATCACTGTCCTCATTATTGCCAGTAATGATACCGACCATTGGATCAACACCACCCTCAACGAAACCATTGGCATTGGTAGTATTGCTGGCGTTCTTAACATGATTTGTATTGTTGACGTGTGCCTTTGGGTCAATGCCACCATCAACGAAACCGCCGATATTGTTGGTCTTGTTGACGTGTCCGTTGGCACCCTTCTTCTGGGCAAAATATTGTCTTGGGGGCGGAATAGGCCCAGGGTGATCAACGCTTGCGAACATCGAATACTGACCTCCAGCACCGCACCAAATGAATTGCTCTGAGCTGGTGGCCGTGGTTTGAATTTTGGTTGGTTGCTCGACATCATCTTCAGTGCCTTGTCCAGTCTGGTAAGTGACACTAATGCCCCAAGTCCAGATATGGCCTTCATCGTCGATGACAAGGGAGTGATCGGTTCCACAAGCAGCGTACTTTACTTTACCAACGTTGGGAATCTCTGTAGGTTTGATGAGGATGCGGGGATTGCCGCTCTCGTCCTTGATGACATCGGAGTCGGGAAATGAGGCAGGGTCAATACCAGCTTGGAAACCGTCGATGCGACCGAACACAAAAGGCGTGCCGGATTCAGTGACAGCGATAGAGTGATGCTGGCCGCCACAGAGGAAGATCACAGGATCGGTCGGATCTTGATTGAGGGATTTGACCAGAGTGGGGGTGTAAACAGTTGCACGGTCTTTTCCGGCGTCATTCGAAATACCGGTGGCGCCAAAACTATTGAGTCCCCAGGACCAGACCTTATTCTGCGAGTCGATGGCGAAAGCGTGGTCGGCGCCATTGAAGATCGCTCTGAACTTCTTGTGGCCGGTGCGGAGGAGAGATGGGGCGAGGCAGCCTTTGCTTTCGACATCAATACGTTCGTTGATATGACGCCCGAGTTGATTTTGTTCGCCACAGCCCCAGATATAGATTAAACCTTTCGCAGTGAGTGCCATTGCAAAGTTTGCACCAGACTTGATATCCACGATATCCTTTAGCTCGACGTAGAGGCGCGGTGTGTTCTGAGTAAAGATGAAGCCTTTTCCGGTAGTGTTACCATCGCGGCGGTGAATGAAGGAAGGATCTTGGTAGAAGCCAAGTATGCCGGATGAGTTCTGTTTAGTCAGTCAACGATTACCACGTAAGGTTTTCAGTGAAGGTGCTTACACGAAAGGTACCCCAACCATAAACGTTCCCGTCGTCTGTGAGTGCCAGCGTGTGACTGTCGCCAGCAGAGACCTTGGCAATGGTAACGTCTTCAGGAAGTTCGACCTGTGCTGGAGTACATTCTTTCGGATTGAGACCGCTATCGTCTTGGTCCTCGTCACTCTCGGATTCTTCGTCCACGTCCTTCATACCACCGTCCCATTCGGTGTCACGTCCAAGAGCGCCGTTGTCATTCACACCCCAAGTCAAAACATTCCCTTTGGCGGTACCGACTGCGACGTGCATACCACCAGCGCCGACGGTCACGACTTCGACCGAGCTGGGGTCAAGAAGCCTATTGAGACGGGGACGCTTGACGTCAATCGAGCGCTTTGAAGGGCCCAAGCCAAGCTCGGAGTTCGAGCCTTCTCCGCAGACGAAGACGTTAAGACGAAAGTAGGAGCGCTCGTTGAGTGTGACGGGCTCCTTTGACTGGGCTGGTTTCTTCGCGCGTGCTTGGGCTGGGGCTGGAGCTGCAGATGCCGTGACATTGTTCGCGGTGGCTTTCGTAGCCGCAGGTCGGCGGCGCTGTTTAGTTGGGGATTTAGGGGCAACCTCGTTCTTGCGAGGCCGTCCGGCTTTCTTGGTTGATTTCTTGGGTCGACCGCCGGACTTCCTCACACCAGCCGGCTGGGTAAGAGCGTCTTGTGCCATTTTACTGGCAGCAGCCTCCTTAGCTGCTAGCGAGGGCTTCACATTGCGTGTGGAACGGCGTGGTCCCTATGGTAGCAGTTGTCATGTCAGCTATATCTCCAAGTATCATTTGTTCGGTCACGCTTTGTTGAGGAAGAAATGAAAAAAAGTCGCGTCCTCGGGCTGACAGGGAAGCCTTGGCGTGCGGATGCCGCCTTGCCGCTAGCGGTGTATGCGCTCGGTGTGTTCAGCGCTAGCTGTTACTTACCGTCATATCGTATGTAATAAATTAATGTTCTGTGTTCTGATCCTGCAGATGGAAATTCACTGTCGAAGTGACTATCCAATAGAGTCGAAGATGTAGTGAATGAAATGCTGAGTATCGTTGGAAACTAAAGCGTGGTGGTGGACGTGATTAAAAAGGTGTGCGTATGTATTGAAAGGTATTTCCGCCCAGCAGAAACCACTATCAAAGTGGTAGAGAATGGTACAAGGGACAAAGAAGGGTTGGGTATCCAGAACAAAGGATGCGTGTGAGACAGAAATGCGAAGGAGTAGAGGAGATGTTTGCAGCACTTTGTGTTCCTCTCCTGGAACTAGCCACGCTAGTGCTTTCTCAGGAGGCTAAAGATCACGACAATAGGAACTCGAAGGCACGAAGCGAACAATGAGATTGTAGAAATCGGGTGGCTGGTCAGCTCCAACTCGGTTGCAATTGGCTATTTCATACCCTACGCTAGTTCCTACCAGAACACCAACCTCCTGTTTATCGTCATATCTGAATCTCTTTCCTGGAAACATAAGGATTTCAAATGATGGTGCATGAATCTGCGACATTGTTGCATACTTTGCGCCATGTGTCTCAATGTCTCAATGTCAACACTTTGAATGATGTGTTGAGACTAAATTTGCGCCAATAATCGCATCTGTTTGGGCTCGACTGACGGGAAGTGCTCCCAATTTGTGGCAGAAAATTGTAGTCCTTTGAGAAAGGGTAAATATTGAGTAGGAAATAATCGATGAAGTCTGGTCTACACGACATCATATGGGTTTATGGAATCTCAACAAGAAATTGCTGGCAATCAGGTCGTATTGTCGTTTAGAAGGCTGATGCAAAGGTCTCCCTATCTGTAGCTCCAAGATTTGGACCCAAGAATAGTTCATCGTCAGCCTTGCACCTGCGCGCAATTACTCAAAGCCAGAAAGCGACGCAGAGTAGTGTCAAAACAGCAATTGCGCCCGCCTTTGTGGCACCATCAATCCCCTTAGATCCGCTATCAGCTGGGACACTCGGGGAGGTGGCAGGTGCGCCCGTGGTCTGGCTGCCCAAAGTTGAGGCCTGCCCTGTGGCATGGGTAGTATCAGTGGGCGCCGGTACGCTGTTGGGCGTCTGCACAGGAGTAGCTTCGCCCATCGTGGCGACTGGAGGAACACTCGTCGCCGAAGCGTAGTACGACCTAGCTATACTGACCTCGGAGGTGATGACGCTGGTCTCTGTCGAGGGGCCGTCTTCGCTTGTGGCACTAGCTTCAGTTTGGCCTTGACATGTCCCCGTAGCGGCAGTGCTGGTAGGACAATCACCGAAGAAACACGCTATGGCATGCGTTGCAGCGTTCCAATCGTCCTCTAGTCCTGATGTAAGGTCACCCCACGCGCTAGTCACGTCTGATACTATTACTCCTGGTAGTTCCTCGAGGTCCGAGACAATAGCTCCCGTCTCAATGTCGTTGAAAATATGGACAGCGTCCGTGACAGCAGCCTCAGCGGCGCCAACAAGCTCACTAGGTAGAGTGACAAACAAGCTCAGGACGTCTTTAAAGGCGCCCGTCACTTCATTCGGAAGATTTTCGATCAGGGTGGGGACTTTGCCCTGCTTAAGATCTTCGACGAAGTCTTGGGCTTCATTTGCATCATTTTCCAGGGTTTGTATGACGTCGCAGGGTATATCGCTGATGTAGCGGACAATTTTGCCGGAGCGTAGTAGACCGCGTGCAATGTTTCTAGGCTAGATGAGCTGCAGGCGGTGCCAAACAGAGGAGACGTACAGATACTGAGCCGCTTGACGTGGTTCTAGCTGACTTCCTTTGTGGCGTACAGCAGGTATCGGGTTCATAAGACATAGCAGGCACATAAGGTATTGAAGCATCAATCGAGGACGCAACATTTTGGATGTCTGACGAAGAAGTGTTTGAATGCGTTTGAGCGTGCCCAATTTCAAGAAGCTTGATTAAGTTGACAGATAAGTCTGGTCCCTGATCACAGCGAAGAAAGGGATTCAGCGGCAACTTAAGTCGCTGTCAATCCATTCACGTAAGGCTTAAGCTAGACGTCCTCGGCCTGTATCGGGGGCTCAGCAGCACAAGGCTACCTTGAGAATAGTATGAACGTTGCATCCACATACGTATCTTCAGCGTAGCACATCAGCATACCATAGAATGTATACATGCGAGCAAGTTGCAGGCTAAATGCACACATTCGAGGCACGGGCCTGTATCATGATGCGCCCTTCGTAGATTTCACAAGGCTGACGAATTAGAGCCATGTAGGATCCATGCGCTGTACCGTGTCTGACAGGCTGTGTACATGTTGATGGTGTGCACTTGTTGTATTTAGTTAATGAAGAGAGGTGGAATCTCCTTATTGGGCGGGCTATTGGCACCCAACCACAGACGGGTTACCTTCGTAAGTAATGGCTTCGACCCCACATTATTCATGCAATTGTGAGCCACGTTCCACACACACTTGGGCTGCAAGGTTCGGCACGTACTCAGCCTTGTTCTTTATGAAGGAGAAAAGGTCGCAAAGGGGTGGTAAAGTTGCCAGTAACAAAGTTCCAAACCTCATTCAATAGCCGTTGAGAACTGTCTCTGGAAACCTTGGTTGAGAGTCACAGCGGACGCTTTCAGATTTCAACCACTTGTGGTACATTCCCTAACCTTCCGGTAGAGCCCGTCATCAGCGCTGCATTGACCATTAGGGTATTGTTGGAGGTTCCTCCCCAGACTCTACTCCAGATCAGGCCCAGAGTACTGCTCACCAACAACCTTGCAGCGTCTAGCCAGCCTCGCAACCCTACTAAGTCAACCAACGGCCCTCTTTCGTTTCTTGCGCCGAGTCGCTCAAAGGCCTTCTGTGCGTCATCCCAAAATGCGCCTTCTTGCCCATGACCGCAGTGGACGTGCCCAAAAACGTGCAACCGCGGCCTTACCCGCCAAACTTCCTCCAGAAGCCATTCGCAGCCCATGCCCCTGGGAAGATCCAAGTGATACTTCGGCGGAGTATGAGTGACCAGAATGTCAGTATCTGCGGGGACCGTACCGCTCCATGCATCTTGCCCTCGAGGATACTGAAAAGCAAATTCGGGTCCGCCACAAGCAGGAATTTGAGGAGCGCCGAATACCGTCAGTGTTCGTCCATGCTGATTGAAGTCGAGCTCGATACTCGAATGCTGCAAATAGAGTATCTTTTGCTGCCCATCTCCCCAATTGATTTGCCTATACTTGTCCTGCTCCCCTCGACTACGCGGATCGAAGTAGCTATCATGATTGCCAGCAATCACAATCTTATACTTATAGTCTAGGCTTTTAAGCCAATCGACTTGATCCTGAATCTCGTCTGCGGTCCCTGCGTTCGTCAGATCTCCAGCGTGGATTAGGAGATCTGCAATGGGCAGCTGCTCTGGCTTTAGGCAATGGGTATCAGAGATGCAAAGAACGTGAATACGTTCTCTTTTTGCTGGTAGTAAGAGAGGAGCACCACGGACGAAAAGTTGAAGCGCATAAAGTTGCTGTGACAAATATTTCAGAGGCGAGGAGACGATACGATGAGCAACAGAAGGTAGTTCAAAAGGGAGGGCGGAGGTTTGAAAGCGTCGAGCATTCTCAGTTCAGTACCAAGATGAGGTCTCGAGCGATGTACAAAAAGGTGAAAAGCATCCAAACTCCTGCTAGCTATGCATCGGAACCGTAAATATGTAGGAAACGTTTGTCGGAAGCCCAGAAGTGGGATGTAGGAGCGTTCCTCTCCGCAAATTGTGCAGGTAAGGCAGGTTAGTTACTTGATTAACCTACCTCAGTAAAGCGTGCCAAATCCAGCTAGCTAGCCTCTACTTCCGCGCCAACCGCTTTCTGCTAGCCTCCCTCAAGTTTTAGCGCAAGCGTTTTCTGATAATTTGGCTGTCCACAAAATTAGATGCTCTCCCCGTCATTGTGAACACACCTTTGTAAGAGTCTTCCTCCAACATGATATCGTTGAGTAAGATCTTCAAATCTGTCGACCACCTCATAGTCGTTTACCGTTCATCGCCCTCGCTACCATTACCGTATGACATAATTTATGAGCGTCCATACAACTAGGGTCTCACTGCGAAAAGCCATCATCAATTATATTACTCATCCATCTAATATCATCTTCAGCCGACGATAATCTACCTGCTCCTTTTACAAGACGAGTGCGGCACCCAGCCCCAATGCGCCAACCAAAGCATGAGCTCTCATAATTTCTCCGCCAGATGCAGGAGTCGCAGAAGCGCTAGTCGTCGTTGCCGCTGCGTTTGAAGGTGCTTTTGCGGTGGAAGAAGAGGTGCTCTGACTGTTATTACCAGCATGTGTCGCAGTACTGCTGCTAGTATCTGTTGCGGTTGAATGCGCACTTCCTGACGCCGTCGATGGTTCCCCCGTCACCTTTCCGTCTGGCGTTTTGTACGTGCCTTCAAGGTAGTTACCCATTCCACCAATATCGTCGTGGTAGTCGCCTGAGAACGCAATTTAGCGCAAGCCTTTGATCCTCCAAAGCACGGTACAGATCTCATGGCATAGGCACAGGATTGTAGACATCTACTTACTAGTAGCAATATCGAAACACACCAGTGTATGATTGGTGTATTGATAACAAAGCTCACTGCTTGTACAGGTCAAAGTATTGCGGGCTCGGAGCTTCTTGATCAGCCCGCTGCCGTCCGAGTCGTCGGACGAGGTCGAATCATCACTATCACCACTGCTGTCTGATGAATCCGAGCAGGCACTACCGCCTACTGCATTGCATGAGCCCTTGGCTGCTTCCTCGGTACAGGCTTGAAATTGAGCAGCATCATTCTTAAACTGAGCGCAAACGTCGGTGACCGAGCCTCCTCCGGATGATGATCCGCTTGATGATGATCCGCCTGATGAGCCGCCGAATGGCCAGGGGGAGGAGTCGGACACTGTACAGTCGGTGGCCAGGGTGAAAGGGATAATAGTGAGAATTATAGCGACTATAGGGGGGTACATCATGAGAGGTAATGAACCATTCAAATTATGCGGATATGGAGTCAATACTTTAGATATATCATATATACGTTTGACCTTTTCATGGATGTTAACAACTGTTTTTCAGAGGTTTTCCCCATTTCCAATATCAGGCGATCTATCACATTTTGTACCGAGTAGAGGCGTGGAAAGCCCAATCTAGATCCTAAGAGATGCATCTTGGCATCAATGGCCGTATGGTTTTGGTCACATTTTGATTAAGCCGCACCAGATTAGGTCGTTCTCTGTCTAATTGAGCTTTAAGGGCTGGAAAAAGGCGTGAACCTAGAGTCTTAGCCGACTCGGGTGCTGTTCGCCGAGATTTTCGTGGAAGAAGAAATATTCGATTTGTATGATTGAGGTTCAGTGGCTGGGGGATTACCTCAGACTGCCCTAATTAGGCTGTATCCCCAAGTTATCGCACCTCCTCCTTCTGCTCTCACCATTTTTTCCAGAAGTCATTTATAGCACAGAGACGTCGGGTTTTCTCACCCACCTTTTTCCTAAAATCCCGGAGCTCCTGGACCGCTGAGGGGTGGACTACTATATTACTAGCTAATACTGAATCTGTCTGCTAGTGCTGTACTAGATCTGCAACCGGTCTCGTCCCCGAAAGGCTTCATTGGAGGAGTGAGGACATTAAAATAGGACGACTTGTCTAAGGCTCTAAGCTGTCCTAATGTGTTACCACTTCTGATCCTAGAACGAACTCTAATTCCGGGATGACCTGGGCTCGACGAATGTCAATGAAGAGGATCACACAGACATGATCAATAGGTGGGCGGACTTGCTACCAATAGTTGTCTGCATACAAGAGCTTCTATTGCCAACGATTATAATATGAATTGAGGACAAATCGATGTGCCATTTCATTAGCGCCAAGACTCGCATGCTTGGCAAATATCTCACGTGACTGCCAAGTATGTCAAATTTGGTCGGAAAGGGCGCAAACTGTCGTGTAGAACAGCTCTCACAGGCTCTACGCACCTAACTCACCATGACAGAAGGCTTTTGGACAGATATCACCTGCATTCAGTCGCTGCGACTTGATCATTATGTCACTCGCTGATTATTTGGCTAAGAACTACCTGACTGCGGACTCACAGCCAGAAAAGAAATCTAAAAAGCGCAAACGAAAGGATGGAATCTCAACCGGGCTTGTGATTGCAGAAGATGATGTCTCCGGGTGGGGCAACGGTGGAGCGACCAGGAATGATGAAGAAGATGCTCCTCTCACAGGTAATTCCAGCGTAGCATGCGGTCCAGAGATGACATGAAAGCTAATCCTCTCCAGTCAACAATACCAAGTCCGCCGAGTTTCGTCGCGCGAAGAAGTCTAGCTGGCAGACCATCGGTACACCCGCTCCCACGAACAGCGAGCAAGCAGCAGCAGACACCATCCTAGCCAACGCCGCCCACGAGAACTCCGCCCAGCAATCAGCCGAGGCCGCAGAAGAAAACCCTGTCGTCGCCAACATCAACGAGGCAGATGTCCAGAAAATGGAGTCTGGCGCCCACGCAGGTCTGCAATCCGCCTCTGCCGTCACCTCTCAACTCGCCGCACGAGAGCGACACGAACGGCGCGAAGCGGAGCGCGCGAAAGCAGAGATGAGCGAAAAGGCGGGGGAAACAATCTACCGCGACGCATCGGGGCGCATTATCAACGTGGCTATGAAACGGGCGGAAGCAAGAAAGGCGGCTGAGAAGGAAGAGAGGCAGAAGAAAGAGGCAGAAGAGGCTTTGAAGGGAGATGTACAGAAACGGGCGGCCCAGGAAAGGAGAGATAAGCTGAAGGACGCGAAGTTCATGCCGCTGGCGAGAGGGGAAGATGATGTGGAGATGAATGAGGAAATGAAAGAGCGGCAGCGGTGGGGAGACCCGATGGCTGGATATGGAGGAGGTGGTGAGGTGGCGAAGGCGAAGAGCGGAGCAAAAGGGAAGGCAAAGGGGAAGCCTATCTATCAAGGTGCAGCCCCGCCGAATCGGTATGGGATACGGCCCGGTCATCGGTGGGATGGCGTTGATAGAGGCAATGGATTTGAGAAGGAGTGGTTCAAGGCCAGGAACCAGCAGAGCAATATAAGAGAGTTGGAGTACCAGTGGCAGATGGATGAATAGAGGGTGGATTTCGCATTGACACTATTGAAAGCCAGGCTCTAATAGATTTGGGTAAAATGAATCCGATCGATCGGTCGGTCGCTACGCTAGACGACGCAAATGCACTGTATGACTGCTCAAAATAAACCAAATGAACTTTACTGAAATAGATTAAAAAGCAGAACTCGCCCGACCCCAGTCAACGCCCAAGGGGTATCTTCCGCCATTACACCTCAGATAACGCCGCCCTCCTTACTGACAAGATTAATATCAAAATCCTCATCCATCTTTGCCTGCCGTCCCACCAAACAATTCATCCTGTAAAGCACCTCCCCCGTAGGCAAGCGCTCCCTATGCTCATCCAAATGCCTCATCAACGCCATTACCCCCTCAAAAACGTACGTCCCCTTTCCCTCAGCACAGCAGAAAATGCACCCAAATGTCCCCTTGGAAGAATCTCCAACTGCCTCTTTCGCACAGATATGACTCTTGAATAAAAACTCCCACCTGAATTGTATTCCCTCCGCCACCCTCGCCACCCGCCTATCAAACGCTGGCACCTTCTTGTTTGGTGTGGGAACGAATCGTCCTTCGAATTTGCAGGAACGACACTGCCAGAATTTTGTGGTGTTGTACATAGAACCAGGGCGCACGCGGTCTTCCATGGCCTTCTTGCGGTCACCGATTTGTTGCCGCCAGGCACCCTTGCAGAAGCCAGCATAGTTGTTCGTCTCGTTTGGAAGCAGATCTTTGGGGTTGATGGAGGCCAGTGGACGGTTCGAGGCTAGGACTTCGATGTGCGCTCTTGCCGGCTTGGATTTATTCTTTTGGGCGCGGATGAGCGAATCGTCGGAGCGCTTGGCCTGATCTGTCGTTTTACGGGGTTGGTTGGGATTGCTGGCTGTGGTAGCTGTCGTGAGAATGCTTACATTGTCCTCGTCGTGTTGTTCCCATGGAAAGGTTTGTAGGGTACTGTTGAGGTCACGTGTAGAGCCTAAGGTGTTTGTCATTGAGCCCCTACGTATGGACCCAGCTTGAGAAGCTCTGTCTTCTTCCACTTTGGCTTCGGCTAAGTACTGATCAACTAGGGGGTTTTCTTTTACCTCCGGCACTTTTTCGACTTTTTTCTTGCGGATGCCAAAGAAGCCTACTTTTTCCGTGGTTGTCGCTAGGGGCTTATACTGGCTTTCGGTGGAGCTTGATTCGCTGGGAGCTCTAACGGAATCGACGGATCCTTTGGAGCCATCCCGGACATGAAAGGGTGTGGGTGCGGGACTGATCGCTGGCGATTGCAAATTTTGAGCATTGGGCTGGTTCAGCGAGTACGGAGATGTAAGACCTTGCGAAGCCGAATCAGGGGTCCCATAAAGGTTTGAAGCTTTCTGTACGCTCAACGCCTGACGAGCCGCAGCAACACTGCCAATCGATACGTTTTGGCTAGCAGACTTGTGCCCGGTGACTGGAGGGAGCTGAGGAGCTTTAGCCCCAGACGCCCTCGGTTGGGCATGCTGGTTGAAATTAGCAGACTTTCCGGTATTGTGGCCTCCGGACTGTGGATGGGGTGAGTGGGGCGGTGTTGGCGGACCATTTCCCATCCGCGATGGGTGAGCTGGAAAAGAGTAGCCCCGGTTTGTATCTGGCGTCGGGGCATTCTCTGAGGAGGGCGCCTTGTAAAAGCTCGATATAGAAGACTCCGATGGTGGTGCTACAGGAAGCGGCCTTTGATTATGACTGCTCTGGATATTTAGTGGAGGTGGTGTAATGTTCTCTATCGGACCAGCTGTAATTATGCGCTGCTGCAGCTGCATCAATATCAGGGTGCACCGATCCTGAGCAGAGTCTGATACATCCTGCAGAGCCGCGAAATCAACAGGAGTACCTTGTTGAACATGCAATTTGAGATTCGAGATTACTTGCTGTTGCAAGTGAATGTTGATATCTTTCAAGGCATCTCGGGCCAACTCTGAGAAATGTCAATATATGTCGGGTTGGCGTAAGGCAAAGTCAAGTACGAACGGTCACCACTTGCAACTGAATCGCCAAAGCGTCTGAAGTCCCGCTCATACTGCGATGAGACGACGTCCTCCCCCTAATGAGAGATAGCTCCAGTTCTTGTAAGCTTTCGTCTGCTTGAGAGCCTTCTGTTACGCCCTTTCTTCCCTTTCTTTTCGCTTTAATGCGTTGTGTCAATTCGACCCCGTCATGATATGCTATACATGTAGAAGTAACGCACGTCACTACGGCGGGAAGCTCTGACATTGATCAAAATCATGTCAGGCCCTTCTGCAGAGTAGGTGAAAGTCACTCACCTTGTCCAACCATGGTGTTGGTGGGGTAGGTATGTAGCCTCGGGAGCAATGCAAGGTCAAATGTGGGGTCTTTTTGCCCGTTTGAGGGTTTCGTTGAAGTTGGTAGATATTCGTGCTTCGATAGAATAACAAAGCAGGAAACAACATGAACGACGAGTGTCAGAGAGCAAGACAATGAGGGGAGAGACCTAGGAATAAGACAACAGGCGAACAACAACGGTGATGCGCGGTGTGTTTGGTTCGCCCTTGACTTTTTGTGCTAAAAGTGGCGCAGATCAAGAAAAAACGGTCTAAGGGTCGGTTGCAGCAGAAGGCTTGTTGCGGAGGCTCAAATTAACGCCTAACCAGTCTAGACTCGGCACAGTCCCTGTGGTTCCTGTGGGTCTGGGAGGTGGCCTTCTGGTTGTTGACGCAGTAGTGGACAGAGCTGCCTGACCAGGCTGTCATTTGGGTGTAGGCTGCCTCCTGTAGTCAGTTGTCAGCTACGGCAACAAGGCAGGATCTCATGACCTACGCTTATGCGGCTGCGGGTGTTGCTCACATAACGACTTGGATCGTGATATCCCTGCTCTCAGGCGCTTCGTGAATCTGCAGGTACGCATCTTTGACATCGAACACGGCTCTATACCCGCTACCGTCCTTAGCGCTGCTCTGAAGCGGAACATTTTGCTTTGAGTTCGGCGACCACGAGGATTCGGCAAGACCCTTTGTCTCACACAGTCACCTCCGACGTCATGAGAGCCGCCCTTGGCTAAGCAGCAGTTGGGAGCAACGTGGACAGGAGACTTTTCGTGGGGAAGGTCACTTTGGTGCGGCGTCAATCGCTTCATCATCTCAACCTGCCACAGCCAACATCACTTGCCGTATGCCAACTTCGCTCGCTTTCCACGCCGAGAATGCGCTTCTCCTTGGCAGCTAATCATCCAACCCACATGCGGTCAAGATATGGTGACGGACCTCCCTTAACATCGTGATGCGTGAAAATGGCGAATTGAAAATTCCTGTTGCCATCTCCTCGATCGTCCCGTTCGTTTCTGTCTATCTCGGTGCGCGGTAGCGATATACCTCTCGCTTGGGCCTTGCAAATAGCATGTGATCGACATTTCAAACCCAAATAGGCATTCCAACGGTGGTATGGAGGCTCGATCGGGAGCAAATTCCACCGTTCATTGCGTGTTAGCTTCGATAGCACTGTGAGCTCAACAGCAGCCCTTTCGCCGAGTCTTAGAACGTTGGGCTGAAGGATCAATGCTGCTCTCGCCAATGCCGATGTTCGGGGCTGGAAGGCCTAGCCAGCTTCTCCTTTTATCACCATAGCCTACACGGAATCCACCATGACGATCCATGCCATTGCCGTCCAGATTACCGCTCGATTTTCTGCCGGCATCCATGGTGCCATTAAGTTGCCCTGCCATGTCCGCTTCGAGCCGTTTTTGTTTTTGCTCTACCAGCTTCCGCGTGATAACTCGAAAGACTTCCTCGATGCCCTCCCCCGAACTAGAGCTGATTTCATGGCAACAATCCCATCCGATCTCGTTACCCCAGAAACCACTGCTTCTTTTGCTGTTACCGTCTAGACTCCTGAATCCACTGCTTGCACTGCCAACGACCGGCTCATTGAACTTTTCAGGGTAGAGGTTCTCCGTCACAAAAGCGATGCATCGTTCGAAATTGACTGCCCTTGCTCCTGGATCTTGTGCAACGATGTCGCTCTTGGTTCCAACCACATGGATAATCGCTCCCTCGCCCACATTCTCTTTCATCTCTCTGAGCCATCGTCCCATCTCTTTGAAACTCTCTTCATCGATCAAGCTATACACGAGCAGGATTGCGCTCGCACCGCGGTAGTAGAGTCTTGAGATGGCTCGAAAACGTTCTTGACCGGCCGTGTCCCAAAGCTGGAGGCGAACAGTGGTGTCACTCTCCACATCAAGGACCTTCTTTACGAGAAACGAAGCGCCTATGGTAGAGGCCGTTGCAGGCGGATTGAAGGTTCCCTTGACATACCGATGAAGAAGCGATGTTTTCCCAGCCCCTGCGAATAGTCAGATAACGTCGCGACGTGGGCGCAACGGTCGCCTACCTTGTGCTCCGAGTACACAAACCTTAGCTTCTAGACTATTTGACGACATGGTTGTCGTTAGTATGAAGACTTGCTAGAAGAAAGGGCTGCATTATGGCAAAGGATAGGTCAACGCAACGCGGCAATGACAAAGACGAGGGTCATTTGACAATAATAATGATTCAAAATGACGAGAGCTCAGCCGCATTCTGACCTGACCACTAGTTTTGCACCATCGGCATGTGCGATATGGCACCCTGACATTCGCATCGTCCCATGGTCCCCTTATAGCTAATCAAGATAGCGACTGAACAATTCTCGAATGGAAAAGTTACATTTCCATGTCCAGTTGCCATTGGTTGAGCTTTGCACGCTCATTTTAGGTACGAAAGATCTTGGCTTACGGGTGCCTGTGGTCTTATCTCCGGGCTGGATCTTGAATCTTGGGCTTCCCCACTGCCGCTCCTGCCCGCCGTTGACCCGAAGTGCTTGACGTTTCTGAACCATCGGGGCATGCGGGGTTCCCCAATTGCTAACATCGTTCTCACCATTGGCTCGAAATGGCTCTCTTCGGCAATTGACCGCAAGAGCAGTCCAACGCCACCATCGCCTGTGATCTTTGGTCCATAATTAACTACAACCTTTGTACGTTCGTCTGGTCTGAGAGAACGTCCCACAGCGCCCGTTATATACAAACATACTCTCCTCATTTGCCACCATGAACCACAACGAACCCAACAAGCAGCCTAAATCCCAGAAATGGGACGGCTCCGAAATCTCCAAGCACTCCACCGACAGCGACTGCTGGGTAATAATCCACGGCCGCGCCTACGATGTCACGGAATTCAAAGCCGACCACCCTGGGGGCTCTGCCATAATTATGAAATTTGCGGGCAAAGACGCAACCGAAACCTACGAACCCATTCATCCCCCCGACACCCTCGACAAGTTCCTCTCCAAGGACAAACACCTGGGCGAAGTGGACATGTCGAGTGTAGAGAAAGAGCAAGAGCCTGAAGACCCAGATGAGGAGGACAGACAGGAGAGGATCAGAAGAATGCCAATCCTGGAATCTTGTTATAATCTCATGGACTTTGAGGCCGTCGCAAGACGTACCATGAAGAAGACAGCGTGGGCGTACTACAGTAGTGGGGCTGACGACGAGATCACCATGCGTGAGAACCATAGCGCCTATCACAAGATCTGGTTCCGACCTCGAATACTGCAGAATGTGGAGAACATTGATTTCTCAACCACGATGCTCGGAACAAAGTGTTCGATACCGTTTTACGTCACCGCGACGGCACTGGGGAAGCTAGGAAACCCAGAGGGCGAAGTCGTATTGACGAGAGGGGCGCACAAGCATAACGTGGTTCAGATGATTCCCACGCTAGCGTCGTGCTCATTCGATGAGATCTGTGATGCGGCAAAGGATGCGCAGCCGCAATGGATGCAGCTATATGTGAACAAAGATCGGAAGATCACAGAGAACATTGTACGGCATGCCGAGAAGAGAGGGATAAAGGGGCTGTTCATTACAGTTGATGCGCCACAACTGGGCAGGAGGGAGAAGGATATGAGGAGCAAATTCCAGGATGTGGGAAGTAATGTGCAGTCCACGTCGGGTGATAACACGGATAGGAGTCAAGGTGCTGCGAGAGCGATCAGTTCGTTTATCGATCCGGGCTTGAATTGGGATGACTTACCATGGTTCAAATCGATCACGAAGATGCCAATCATACTCAAAGGCGTACAAAGGGTGGAGGATGTCATCCGCGCCATTGAGGCGGGGGTAGATGGAGTGGTTCTCTCCAATCACGGAGGCCGACAGCTGGACTTCGCTCGCAGCGGGATCGAGGTCCTCGCGGAGGTCATGCCTGTGTTGCGAGAACGCAATTGGGAAGACAGGATCGAGATTTACGTTGATGGCGGCGTGAGACGAGCGACGGACATCATCAAGGCGTTGTGTCTTGGTGCAAAAGGTGTGGGTATCGGACGGCCGTTCCTGTATGCAATGAGTGCATATGGTTTGCCCGGTGTTGACAGAGCAATGCAGCTTCTCAAGGATGAGATGGAGATGAACATGCGGCTGATTGGGTGCTCGAGTATTGATCAACTGAATCCAACGCTTGTGGACACGAGAGCCTTGAGTATGCATACAACGCAGGTCCCTTCAGATACGCTGGGCCTGAATGTGTACGATCCGTTGGTCAATCCAGGTGAGAAGGCCAAGTTATGAAAGGGAGGAGGGAAACGTAGAAGGTCAGTATTTCAAATGTAGATAACTTGCTGGAGCATTTACTTGCACCCCCTGGTGCCTCTTGTATATATGATCATAAACTTGTTCCGCCAACATGAAATACAAAGCTGTCAAGTCTCAATGTTATGCTAGAAAGGAACGGCAGAGTGTTTGTAGCATACAGCCTCAATCTGACCCGATACCTCTCTCGAATCCATGAGGTAGGAGCAGGTTGACAGATGTATTTTAAAGAAAGACACGAAACCAATCTTGCAAGCAAGGAGACGGCGGAGTGTTCACAGTACAGAACTTAGAACAGCGCGAGCAGAGAAATGCAAAAGAATACTTGACCGACAGTATCTGGTGCAGAAGTAGCGTAGAGTCATGGTAATATTTAGCAAGGTGAAGCTTTCGGCAGGCTATATACGGTCGTCAATCGTGCAACATCCAATTGCGTTTCTCATGCTACCTATACCCAAGCCTTTTAGTCGGGCTGTCTCCCTGGGCCATCTCGAATTGCTGGGACTGTGGCATGCTTGCCATTTGGTGCTGATACGGTGTCTGAAAATGTCCATATTGCGGCGAAGCGAATCCTAAATACTGTTGGGGCTGGTGTCCCAGGAAAGCTGACTGAGACGGTGTAGGTGGAGGAGCTTGTGCTGGCTGATTTCGTGATCGGTAGATTCCAAAAGTGAGATTATTGACAGCGAAGCAGCCTATGATCACCGTGATGGACACAATCTGAAAAGTCGTCAGTCGACATTCAGAACTGGCCGATAGACATCGACTTACCAGTGCCTTTACGGAGATGGGTTCTACGAAGCTGTTGAAGATTTCTGCGAACATACCCGCACTCAATCTGCTGCGTCCAACTTTGTACGGATCTCTCGCCATACACTTTTCCCATCCATTACACACACTTTCCATAGCCGGCACGCGTGTGTCCCTTTCGCACCGGTTGTCCTTGAATTCACGCGCACAAGCCGCCATCTCTGCGAGTATCTCTGAAGACTCTACAATAGCGCGCTCATTGATATCGTGGCGTATGGTGGACAATATACCCCAAATGATGTACATAAGAACGAGGGCAAGCACGCAGTTGAGCAAGAATTGAACGTAATAGGAGAGCGTATTCGGTAGGGAAGGATGGGCGTCAATGAACGTGAGGATAGAAGGCACCAAGCCTACTTTCTGGGCCCTCCTTTTCGAGCCGCCTTCGCTACTGGACGGTCGTTCTTCCGTCTCGGAGTCGTTGCTATATCGGCGAGGCGCATCACGAACGTCGCTGTCTCTCTCACGCCGACGGCGCTTCTCGGCTCTGCGGGATGCGCCGTCGGTATAATTTGACTTCCTAGATATTTGTCCTCTACCTGATTTGCTCCACAGACTAGATGCAATTGACTCCTTTTTAGACTTGTTGCCTTCAAATCGGACTAGAGGTGAGAATCCGCGAGGAGGATCAGGGGTAGCTTCCGAGTCAGCATAAGCTGGAGAAGCCTGGTCGGGTGTTCGCTCTGGAGTTTCCTCTGGTTCGATAGAAGGCTTTTGAGGCGTAGTAAAGGCGGGTGGATTGCGGTAGTGGTTGACATCTGGCTTCTTGGTAGGGATGGATGCGAACAGGAATTTTTGGCCCTCCGGTTCGCGAAGCTGGGGGAAAGCTAGCTTTTGCGGTGAGTCCATCTCACTTGATGATCCTATGCAGGAAATGTGTCAGCTTGATGTGATGAGAAGCCTGCAAGCTTCTACGCACGTTTCTGAGTGGGCGCTCTGCTTGAAGGGGGCATTCTCCTTGCACCCTGCATCCATGGAGAGTCAGGATCTACGGGACCTCGCTCGTTATCATATTTCCAGTCCATAGGACTTTCGTTGGTCCGAATCCCTTCCCCATTGAATCGAGCCATCATGTTCTGTGCAGGTAGAGGTAGAAAAACCGTGCGGGAAAAGCCGTAAACAAAGCCGATCTTGGCGCCGGGTAACGGTCCCCCCTCTACCTGCCGGCGTAAGTAGTCATAAGGGAAGTTGTGCTTTCAAGCAAATCCTACAAGCACAGTGTGCTTCTGGCTGTCCCTTATTCTTATCCTATCGATTGGTGTGGCCATTTTCTATTGAGTCAAAGCTCGATTAGTCACTGTGAAGAAAATCTAAGATAACCACGCCAAAAACCTGCGACTCATGTTAAGCAATCATATGCGTTCACATTTCTCTACGCTGTTGACGTGTTAAGCCACCTGGAAGGCTTCGTCGAGTAGTGGTGGTAACCTCTTCGTTGTGGAGCGTACACAGGGGCTGAATCAGCTTCGACAGATCTGGTTCAGGGGCGAGCAATAATGATGAATAACCCAATACACGGGCATTGCAAGATTCAAATTCTGCTGCATTGCTGCATCATGTCTCTAACGCCCGTGATGTCCCAAACTTCACGATCGTCAAAGGATTACCCATCATAATAATACGACCAGAATGCTCCAACCCGAGACCGATTGCCATACTGCAGAAGCTGGGTCCAGCCAAATATCTCACAAAAGTTCAAAATCATCCTCATCAGTCGACGTTGCTGAATGACCCTGGTCCTTCTCATGTCCCACAATTTCGTACTCCTCCTTGATCAACTTCTCGGTTGCCTTCGTCTCATATTTCTCCACCGCCCTCGCGATTGCCTGACCAAGGATCTGGCTTCCTTTGTTGGCGCCTCTCTTGTTATCGTAGGAGTAGGTGAGAGCCGAATCGGGAGCGACACCCTTGAATGCGCCTTGAATATCCTCGTCATGCTCCGCGAAATCGGGGTCAACATCAGGCCGAAAGACTTGATTGCGAGATATCTTTTCCGACTTCATGTCCTTGTTCTTACGGAAATCAACTTCGGTGCGGATAGCATTGCAGGCATTCACACTGTTGTGATCGTCAGCAAGGTTAGGCCAAAAGCTGATCAGTTCTGGCAGTACTGACTTGAGGGGCTTCATGGGGCGCCTGCCTTGCTGCCCTGGCGTTGGTTCTCGTTCCCCAAACGCCCATTTCTGTTTCTGTCTGCGTCCGCGAAGACGGTCATGGTCGAGCTTCTGTTGTTCGGCGATTGGAATATCGTATTGAACAGACATATAGTGACTTTTATATGTCAAGATGTGTGCTGGTATTGTTCGTAGGTACACGGGTCGACAAGGCCGAGACAGCCAAACAGCTGTGGAGGAATAAACGGTCACTGCCGCGAAGAAAACTAAAGTATGGAAGAGTACAATACTAGAGCGCAAAAAGGGTGGGAGAGGAGGTGTTCGATTGCAAGGGGAAAGGTGGTTGTCGAGATACGAAGTGGAAGGGGATGGTTGTTTATGTTGCTGTGACAAGACGCGTCTGACTCATAGTAGAGAGAGAAAGGGCGGGGGGTAACAAAGCCGACCTTATGAGTAAGTGAAGGCGGCAATGTCCATTTCCCAATCTGGACGCAGGCATGACCCGTATCAGCACCAATAATGCTGAGCTGGACCAGTGGGCTGTGCCTGGAACTCAACAGGATTCGGGAAGCTTGGATGACCGCTAGGATAAGGGAGCTGATATGATGGATGCGGGGATGATAAGGACAGAGGCACATGCGAGGTTCGTGATCATGACTGGGCGCTTGCTTCCCCCGGTCATGCGCTCTTAGGTTGTTTGAGGCACCTGCTTCTCCCTCCTTCTTTCCCGACGCGAGGGTCGACGGTGCTCTGCCGTGAGCAGCACGAGCGAAGTCGTGATTGGACACTGCGATGACGTAAAGCTGAGTCACGTGGAGGAGCATGCTAATTTCAATCGGTGGTGATTTATGACTCTTTACCAAGTGGCAGGCACTGCTCTATGGCCCTTTCAATGTGGAAGCGGACTTGCGCTTCCTTCATCTTTCGTTCGGATTGAGTTTGACATCGAAAGACTATCTCGAGATGAGCCCCATCTGATGAGACTGGCAGAGTTTTAAGTCATCTCGACGCGGGTTCATACCATCCTGGTGATTTCCCAAGCATTTGCTGGGGCCCCCAACGATTATTCTTCCTCATCAAGACCTGGTCATACTTCCTATATGCGTGGCTCACTCACTTAGCATCGTCATTCTATTCCAGGCCAAAGTTTTCCCTTAGCCCATCGTTTGGACAGACTCTTAGCGTCAACCAGATCCTCAAGATCAGTCTTGTTTTGCATAGCCAAGGATGACTCAACACAACTCTTGAGGTTGGATTAAGTGACTTGTGTAGCAGGGTTCTGACCTCATTCAATTTCTTCGGCCTCTTCACTGGGTAGAATATCTGGAAACCATCCGTAGGCGCTGATGTCTACGGTCATTTCGCCTAAGGCGCTTGTATCGACCGTAACGCCCTCCCTTCGTAGTGCTGTTGCTTGCCTCGCTGCACCTCCCGGACCGCTGAATCAAGTCAGGACACCAGTCGTACAAGGTGAGCGAATTGTCCTTACCGCGGTGATATACCGCCTTTCGCATTTATGACCCTTTGCCATGGTACATTATTGTCGTGAAAATGATGACTGCTATCTGCGGAATCTTCGGGTAGATGTTTAAGACATACTCCAACCTGTCTGAATTTGATCAGATCAGCCTGGCAAGCAGTGAAGACTTGCAAACCGAGGACATTGGGCTACACGTAGAATGAATTATCAGATACTGTCTGTGTAGGTGCAAATGCGCATGAGAAAACATACGTTTCCCCAATAGTCTTGCGATATGTCCATAACTCGTCACTCGTCCATACGGAATCTTCGAAGCCGTTTAGAATTCAATAACACTGTCAAGCATTCTAGGGTAATCTGACTTCCTGAACCGCGCTATACACGGCGTTGAACCACCACTCGGCCTCATCAGAACGAGCCATGTTCTTGTTGGCTATGAGTGCCTTCGCAAAGGAATCGAAGCTTAGTTCAATTGAAATGGGCGATAACCGATGTTGAAAATACACGGAACTAATTTTTGGTGTGGGAGTGTCGATCGCTGGGTAGGACTAGTGTAGATTATGATAATGTATCACGAACGAGCTGTTTTCACTAGCACTATTTGATCGAAATCAACGGGCACTTCGTCATATAATGGAAGAGGGGTTTGCATCATTGAGCTTGAGTTTTTAATCTAAATTGGGAAGTTATGGCCAACTAGGACGGCAAACCTGACAAATGTCGTTACATCTGGCCTTGCATCCACAAGCCATTAAATCACTGCTTTCCTACGAGTACTTCGCAAGCGTCATAAATCATATCAATCATTCTCAGTCATATCAGAGTCTGCTCATTCGCAGCCTTCTCCGTGATGCAGCTTCGAAGTTCAGCATCCTGCTCTGCATTCCCATTTGAACGTGGTGTTCGGATATTTTTGGAAGCATTTTCGCTACTTCGACCGTCTTTGCGACCTTCCCATCCAGGCCTATGATGTATCCTGCACACTGTCCTGAGAGACCTCTAGCTTCCACACTTTCCACGATGAAGCCTGCCCAGGATTGCAGGCATCTCATAACCTGAGGGGTAGCTTCTAAGCCCGGTAACAAGGGAAATATGTGTGGCATAGCCAAATATTCCTCCCATACAACTCTGACCCCCTGATGGGCCGCCCTTCTTGCAATTACTCTGTTGCCATCAGCCGGACTTTCTTCTCCACAGGCAAACCACATTGGAGGTGCTCCTCTCCAGTCCTTTGCACTGGTCGGGCTGACAAGTGGATGGCAAAGCGCTTTGTCGTGACAGTAAGGATTGTGTCTTGGTGGGTCGGCTGGCCAAATACGATCTGCAGGGAAATCTGCCGCGTTGTATAGAGGTGGTGTACCTGTATAATCCACATGGCGCGTATTTATGTACGACGGCAGACTGTCAGTCTGGTCGCAGTAACCACTCAGGACACAGATGCCGGCAGGCAAGTGTAAAGGAATAATCCTACCGTTGAAAGGGAGTCTTCTGACTCCCGATCGCTGCATTTGAAGAAGCAATTGAAGAAGTGCTAGGCAAAGGTTTGCGCCTGCACTTTCACCAGCAAAAACAATCCTAGAAGCGACCAAAGGGTCGTGAATTGCACCGCTTGGGGGAGAGAGCAGGGCGAGATAGCTCAGAAGGGCATCAAACAATGCTGCAGGGAATGGATGTTGAGGAGCTGGACGGTAGTCAACTTGACAAACTCGGCTTCCTGTAAGTCTGCTTAGAGCTAATGGCAATGCTCGACTGGTAGATGGGGCTTGGAATCTGCGACCTTAGTCAATACCAACAAGTGCAATAAGAACCGGATGACAGACACAAAACCGCCTCCGTGAAGGAATAGAATGATGTTCTCGTTCGTCGTATCTCTCAGAAGGTTTTCGTACTCGCGTTTTGCTGATGGAGGATGCTGCACATTAATCGGTATCTGTGATCTACGGTGGCAATTCCACTCTAGCTCAACGGTCCCGGTTGGAGACAGTTCGAATGTATTCGTCTCACTGTCCAAATCGTGAACTGCTAGAAGGAAGATGTCATGCAGAACCTTGTTGGCATCAATAGAAAGCGTCGAAGGGCAAACCCATAAGGGCAATTTAGATGGTCGGGCTCGTCTGATAGAATTTTGTCTCTCTAGCAGACTAGGATTAGAAGCAGGATACCACGAAGCACGAATTCTTTTGACAGCGGCATGAACTTTGAATTTTATCTTCTCTTCGTCCATTAGGAAAACATGATTCACAAATGCACATAATTTTTCAAGCCCCGTAGACAACAGCAAGGTCTTAAGAGAAAAGGCAACCACGGAAACGCAAGACCCAAATGTCCTAACGCCGACGCCAGAATGCGAGTAGGAATGAGGAATGGTGGCTGCAACACAACACGTCTCTTATTTGGAGATCGCGAGCTAGACACAAGAGCTACGTCAACAAGTCAGACATGGCGAATCAAATGTTGTGTCACAACTATAAGCACGGAGGAACGCAGTAGCTGGAGGTCAATGGTTTCGCAGTAGTTTGAGTGAAAAGCCGGCGGATGTGGCAGGAGGTATAGAAGATCCACGCTAGGGTGTATGTTATGATCACTCTAACACTAGCCTCATATTCCATACTGTATCAAATCACACAGCGGCCTTGACCGATTTATGTGTCTCTGCAGTATGACGATCAGGTGAGCAGGACACTCGAGGCCTTGCGGGGCTCTCGTTGCATCATGGCTGTATCATCGCTGCGTTCTTTCGAGTACCTGGAAGGCCTGCCAGGGACTACTTTCAACAGGCTCTATAAGCAGCCTTCCACAGCACTGGCAGTATTCAGGCGCATGTTGAATCACCTTGGTATACTTCGGTGCTGTTGTAAGCTCTTGGACTGTGCTGATATGTTCAGCCAAGAGCTTTGTAATGGCCCTACTCTACGCTAGCCGACCTATGCCAGTGACAGATTTGGAGGCTTGGGTTCGATCAGATGGCAAGCGGTATGGCAGACATCGAGAAGTAGTAGCATCTCGGCTGGAGCTGATGTTGCCGAAGTGAAAGGGAACATGCGCTCGACCTCCTCCAGCGGCTTCACATATTGGTCGGCCGAGCAGAACCTGGAAAGCAGCGGGCCTATCATTTGACTGATCCATTTGCCTCTTCTTTGCGGCTGGCACTTACTGGAGGAGGACATCACAATTCGTTTGGAGTGCCATGCTACGTTGATATTGATGAGCGTGAATCGATAGAGGATCTCGACGAGACTGCGAGACGGCAATGGGAAGGCGTCCTCGGCTACATGGTTGGTACTACAGGTATTGGGCTCGATCCATCCGGAGTGCAACTGAGCCAGGGTGTCAAGACGCTCCTGGAGATTGGGAAATTGGTCGAAGTTCGTGGTAGGAAAGTAGAGATCACACAGGATGGATTTGCTTTCATTCTGCAGGAAGTGAACGCTCAGGTTTGGACAATACTCATTTTGTACCTCCAAAACGCTGAAGCTGTACGTTCTACCCAGCGACCACACATTCCATGGCAAAATTATACTCGTGCTGATGTTTGGAAGCTCAACATGGACGAAGTTGATATATTATCTTTCCTCTTCATGCTTGGCTCCCTCGAACTAGGTCTTGCCTACTCCAAAGCCAATCTCACAGACACCCAGATACAGATGTTACAAGACCTCAGTGACTACGGTATCGTTTTCCAGCCCGACGGCGGAGATATTTTCTATCCTACACGCCTCGCGACCACTTTGACCTCAGACACAAGCGGCTTGCGATCATCCTCCCTAGGCACGAGTTCTGACCGAAATCGCGGATTTATCGTTGCAGAGACCAATTACAGAATCTACGCGTACACCTCCTCCAATTTACAGATCGCCATATTGTCTCTTTTTAGCCGCCTCATTACTCGCTACCCAAACATGATCGCAGGCAAGATTACCCGGGAATCAGTCCGAAACGCAATTGGTATGGGGATCACAAGCGACCAAATCATATCTTACTTGACCACACATGCACACCCACAAATGCTCACGAAAAGCTCTACGATTCTTCCACCTACCGTTGTGGACCAGATAAGGCTTTGGCAGCTGGAAGGTGATAGGATGAAAGCAACGGTTGGCTTTCTGTTCAAAGACTTCAACTCGCAGCCAGAATATGAAGCACCATGCAAATACGCAGAGGAAATTGGAGTTCTGGTGTGGAAGCAAGATCGAGAACGGAGATTTTTCGTCACCAGAGTTGAGCAGGTTGCTGCGTATTTGAAGGGGAAAAGTGGGAGAGGTAATTGAAAAAGAGGCGTTTGGTTGGAGATCTGAGATGTCATCGGCCGATTCTCTGCAAAGGGATCAAAAAGTTTGATACATAAGAGGCTCGACACTGATCCTGCAAGACGTAATTTTTTGGGATCAATCGCAAATGTAAGAATGATCAAGGTTCGACTCATGAATGGCAGTCGAAATACGCTGCCGTGACACTGCCCCCGGCTTTGTCATTAATCTAATGCAGGAATGGGTTGTGCATGTGGATGAGAGTCCCATCCCTTGTATGAACCTGATCAGGGTTCTTCACGCACGATTTGAGGAGGCACAAAGAACGAGCAGCCATTGACTAGACGAAATCTCTCTCCAAATCCAGAGAGAAAGATTTTATTCAGTTAAACTCCGACCGACCATGTGCTCCATTCGACGTAAGTAAGGATAATTTCCTCGAAAAAGTGTCTCTTTTCCAAACAAAAGAATGCTTCCAAGCCAAAGGAATCCTGTACACGGGAGATTCACAATCCGCTTCCGCTTGCCTTCTTTTTCACAAGCCCGTTGAAGAACCCCTTCTTTTCTCTCACGCTTCCATCCGTGCTTTTTCCTGCAATCAACCTTTTCTCTACAGCCACACCAGATTCTTTGCAGCCCGTTGCTCGTGCCATCAGGCCGTCGAACTCAGCCAAGCTTTCGGTGGCCTCCGCAGTCGTACACAGCTGTCTCAGAATAGCGAAGACTCGACTGTCGCGACGATTCCTGTCGTGCATTGGATGAAAATGATCGCTTTGGGCAATATCAGATTCAGCCGTTCTAGATAGCGGTTGCGATTTGATGGCGAAGTTGATGTTCGAAGAGACGGCTCGAGATGGTGAAGGAGGGAGAGCTGCTGCACGAAGCTTGTCTGAAAGAGCAATGAAGCGGCCTAGCCAATAGGCCGGTGATTGCTTGGAGTGAATCTGGAGAAAACTGGTCAGTCGCCATATTTAAAATGACAAAAGTGCGCAGGCCTTACAAGGAAACTATCGTCTGCTTCTTCTGGCGTGAGTCCGTGAATGTCACTGCTCCTTTCGCGAGTATCGTGCCGCTTTCTTGGTACGTGAAGCTTTTGGGTGTGCACTCCAGGAAGGCTGAACGATTTGCTGGTAGAGAAGTCTTCTCTGAAACTGCCGCCAGATTTTCTGATCATAATGTCATACTCGTCTGAGGATAGTATGGAATTGGTCTCTGTTTCTGTCTTGAACAAAGTTGTGTCTTCACGAGAATCGGTAATTGAGCGTATACTGCGGGCCGCACCTTCCTTGCTACTCGTGTTGTACCGGCACGCGGTCGCCCTTGCAGGTGGAGGCATCAGACTATCTTTGCGCTCGGGGAAGGGGTTTGGGGCAGTCTGACTTGATTTCGAAGTCAGTGTAGTTGGCGAATAGGTCCAGCTGCGTTGTGGACGTTCTCCAATCCGCTTAATTTCGCTGACATTCAACCTCGTGAGCGACATGGCAACCGCTTTCTGACTTGACGACGGCTTGTGAGAGGCCACATCGCCAATCGTACTGCTCTTAGGCAGTGGTGGAGGCATAGGTTGCATGAGACCTCTCTGCTCGATCCTCACGCTGGAGTCCCGTTTCTTCAGCGGTAGAGATGAGGTCGAGTCTCGAGGTTGATGGTTACTGGGCGGTGGGACAAATGAGGCTCCGAGATCTTCCACCGTTTGCTTATATCCAGGATCGGGGAGGGTAAGTGCTTCGTTCTTGCGCTTGACATTGTGCCCCGCCGAATCACACGAAAAAATGTGCAATGATGACAAAAATGAAGCATTGCGAGCAACGCCTGAGGGTGTAGGTAAACGCGAATGTGAATAGATATTTGCCGTGGATTGCGAAGTTGGCAGCAGTGCTGTGGTGCGTCGACGATTGAAAGTAGACGACGTGATCTTATTCAAGGTCTTTGTAAAGGATGCCTTTCTTTGGGCTGTTTGTGGTCGCCCAAAGCTGTTCTCCTTATTTTTCTCACTTGCAAGATGACAATGAGCGACAGGCATTGTGACATGATCCAACACTCTGTGTGCGGACAGAGATTGGTCTGATCACGGGGTCAGAGGTGGCCAAGAGTGTTGTTTATAGCAACCAAGAAAGGTGTTCTTGCACCACCACTGGTCGATGTCACACTCTGGAAGTGTTCATTCACTCCTTGGTTTTCTCAACCTCCATTAGAATCTTGAGCAGCACGATGCATCTTCCAGCGATGGCCACCAATGTACATTACAGTCGGCTGCGCTCTTCAGCTCCTGTGCAGACAACGATCCAACAATCGCAGATAATGCATTGGCCTCCGCAACTTCCTCTTCAGCTTGCCAGGTTTCCAGCAGATCGTTCCACAAATGACAGCGTTCGTTTGGCGAAATCATGTCTTGGAGCGATTGCAAGAAGGAAGGAGCCACCGGTAAAGCTGGACAAAAGTAAATAACCTCACCATACCCCCTATTTGTACAGCTTGACAAACTTGTTTTAGCGAAATCTTTTCTTGAGTGTCTACCAACAGAGCTGCTAGTCACGGTATTGCGGCTTCTCAAGTTCTCAGACATTATTCACTTGAGCATCGCCTCGACCGTGATTCGAGACGTCGTATCTGCGCCAAAAAGTGATATGGTCAACAGCGAAGCCGTGATATTATGGTACTACGGACCCGAAGACCGCTTCCAAGCATTCGAGAAGACGGAGCGAAACACGATCAAATTCTGTCCAACCGCAGACGAGTTCAAAGACTTGATAAATCACCTCTGTACGTCTTGTCATTGACTGGGTTTGAGAAAGCTAGACTTACCAAGTCAGGGATTCGCGAACAGATATCGGACCACCTTTACGAGCATTTCTACAACTGTTTCGTACAAGTTCCCGGGGGAGAACCAGAACCAGCACCATCATTTCAACCATCGAAGCCCCAAGGAAATTGGTTACAAACGGTAATGAATGCACCCGACCAAGCCATTACGTACGAGAGACGAAGATCTCGTAGGAACTCTCACCGCTATGAATGAGCTTCCTAGAATGTTGCTTAATTGTGAATCGGGGATCCTGCAAGCTGACGATGAAGACGTTTCTTTAAGAATGGATGGAAAGTTGCAGAGCTATGTCAAAGGTTGAAATTTAGCACTACTCATCATCACTATCATCAAATATAGCTGCTCTAGCGCGAGGTCTTCGGATCGTAGCAGCTACGTCGCTATCACCTTTATCCTCCTCAGAATCATTCGTCGCAAGCCTTGAAAGTTTCCTCACGTTCTCGCTTTGTGATGAAGGCCCCAAGTCTTCGGCAACTTCGGCTTCAAGAGCCTTCCCTTCCGGAGCGACATGAGGAGGCGAAGAAAGCGGTGTTGTCTCACTCAGCGAGCTAACAATGCTCGAGACAGCAGCAGCTCTTACTCCAGACTGCGAGTCACTATCGCTCATGTCGAGATCTTCGTCGCTTCCGGAGGCATCGCTGTTCGTTTTGGCCTTCTTTCGCGTGCTTTCGACAGCCGAGTCAAATTTTCTCTTCTCCCCTACTCTCACGCTCGGCTTGGCTTTCCCACCTGTCATATTTCCGGCTACTCGTCTTGCACTCAGAGCCTCCATCACTCTTTCACGCTGCCCGTTTCTACGAGCCGCCTCTCGCGCAAAGAAGTCACGATCTTTTTCCTCGTCGGTGTCTTCGTCACTCTCATGCACAAATTGAGCACTCTTGATGCCGCGTCTGCGCTCAAGATCGGCTTCAGCTCGTGCATTTCGGCGAGCTTCTCGAGTTTCCTCATCCAATTCATGATCGTCTGAAGCACGTCGTTTTCGGCGGTTTTTCTTCAGTTTGTCTAAAGCAGATTCTCGGGACTCTACTGTATTCGTTGGACCCCCAGCTGGGAACAGAAAATCTTCTTCACCTTGGCTGACTGATCCATCACTGTCATCGTCATATTCTGCTCGTCGAGTGTTTGTTGTGGATTTTCGGCGTAGCATGTCCTCCGCTGACACAGGCTCTTCCTCACCATATTGGAACTTGGGATCCTGACGGTGCTTTTCTATGAGGTCGTGAATGTGTCGGAGCTGAGAAGAGGGAATTGGGGAGGGAATAATCCACGTCGAGTCCGGCTCGTCTTCTTCGCCCAGGCGCTTGAAGCTAGAGAGTACCATAAGAAGACGAAGTCTAGCGTTCTTGAACATTGCAATCCGAGTACCCTCATCGGACGCGGTGACAACGATGGACGGTGGTTGAGATGAAATTGCATCCCCTGGTGGATGGCCATGGACTTCAATCTGGCTTTGATTTGCTGACTGCCTGGCAATCGACTCGTTCTCCCAGCTTCGCCGCTCGTCCGCTGCTGAAGATAAAGTACTGACTACCCATTGAATTGAGTCCATGTTTTCGTCGTACAAAGCAGCAACGACTACGCCAATTTGCTCTTCCAAGGTCATGGATCCTTTGACTTCCAACGCGGCAGGTGCTTTTGGCTTTGCTTGGATCGTTTGCTTCTCATATCCGTACTCAAGATAGAACATAGTCGACTGAATTTTACTGAACAACAGCTCTACAGCAAGCTCTGGTCTCTTTTCCAGCTTCCGCGTCAATTTCTTGATGATTTGTCTCACAAGTTCATCCCACTCCCGAAATGTGGGGTTCTTGGGATCTAAGCACTCCGCACCTTTCATAAGTTTGTAGAAGAGACCAACGATATCTACTCGAAAGAGCATGACACTCAAGTCTTGCTTGAATGCCACTCGATAGAAAAATCGATGTGCACGTTTCAGCTGTTCAGGACTCAGGTCGCTGTAGAACTTTGTGAAGGAGACGAATGTGTCGATGCAAGACTGGCTCATGAACTTGGTAGAAAATCGATTGAAGTCAAATTTGCGCTCTCTGGAGACTCGTTCAGCCTCCCTCACATCTTCGATCTCTGACGCTTCGTCGTCGTCCTCCGACCCGCCTTGTTCCTTGACTTGAGCCTTTCTGGTCTTTCTCGCTCGTCGTTTGGAGCGAACTTGCATTTCGAGATTTTCTCTTGAATATCGCTCTAGCAGACGCAGAAATGTGTGCGCCAAATCGGTGCTTGAATCAAGATATCCAAGACCCTGATCCTTGTATCCTCGCAAAATAGCGATGACCCTATCATGGGTTGACTCTTCGTAGAAAATACGATTTTGAATATTCTCCGCGATTTCTTGATCCTCTTCCAAGGGAGAGTCGGCCATGTCTTGTACGATCAGAAGAATTTGGGTGAAACATCGCATACCAGCTTGGAGCTCTCGCCATAATTTGAGATCTAATGCACTTTGTAGGAATCGATTGAGTAATACGAAAAATTCTTGTATCAGCACACTTGAGATCAAGCCAAAGCTATCCGGATCAAAATCTTGAGCGATCTTGTCATCCTTTTTTCGTTTATTAGCTTCTCTCTTCTGGCGTCGACGGACACGCTCAGCCTCGAGAAACCAGGATACTAGGTAGAAGTATTGTTGCTTATGCGATTCGAGTACACGATCGGCTTCTCGTTCGATTGCCCGTCGAATGTGATTGAAGAGTGGATTGAAACCAGAATCAAGAAATTCTTCAACGAATGACCGCATATGGACCCTCGCTGCTTCTGTCAATGGAACAGGCATATCAAATCGATCGTTGGTAGGTTCGTCATCTTTAGCTCGTTGCTTAGGTTTGTTCCATTTCTTTGTTTGGTCCATTTTAGTGAGGGTTCGCTGACCACTTTTCAGGACATCTTGACCCGATACTGTTGAATGACGCCCCTCGCCGTCTCTCTTCACCCAGATCATTGTGCCAAATCTGTTATGTCTAGTAGGTGCTGTCTTCAGATAGCTCCTGTGCATATTCGCCTCCCTACTTAGCAACGTCTTGAGCTCATCGGAATTCTTGAGGCTTAATTGACTGCTATCCATGAAAAGCTTCTCCACATCCACACCTCTCAGCAAGTGAAATAGAACCTCCATTAACACAGTGTCTTGGGTCGTAAAGTCTTGTCCTATATTCGACGACAGGGTGAGTAAGAGCGCTAGGACATCCTGACGATGAAACGCTTCGGCCGTTGATGATCTCGTGATCTCGGTCTCACTATCTTCTTTTGCAGCGTTTTGAGAAGAAATCAACGTAATGTTACGGAAGAAATACAAAATCAATTTGATGATTCCTTCATCGCGAGGCGATCTTTCGCCAATTGAGAGCGCTATTGACGGTAGACCTGTTCGCACGGCTATGCGGAGTATCTGTCCGGAGCCATGCTGGAGTATGCTGCGCTTGTATGATGCCTGGGCTTGCTGGAGGAAATTCATGTGACGGTGGTGGTTGACCGTCATCTGGGCGTCGCCTTTCTCGATCGGCCATGTCAATGGCACCAATAATTCAATGCAGGCCAAAGCGACCTTTGATCTCAATCTGTCATGATTTGCTGACTCGGACCATAATGCTAGAATTGGTAGCAGATCGCCCTCCACGAGATTCGCTTCTGCCATGCATCTTGCTACGTCCAGACGATCTGTCTTCTCGTCGTACAACTTGAGCCATTTCTTGAGATCCTTGAGACATGCCAATGCCTCATCACCTAGCACATACCGACCATCTTCATCCGCGCCTGTTCCGCCAAGCTACCTTTCCAATCAGCGTTGATCGATCACAGCAAAGGACCTTACACACCGCAGAAACTAGACTGTTGATATGAGCGCGAACCTCTGGATCTACCGTCGAGTGCGACCAATCTTCCCATTCCATCGTGGATGGCGAGGCACAATCTGGTATCTGGTGTCTGAACTAAAGTAAATCTTCGACGCGTAAACGCGTCTCGGGTCACGTGTTTTTGGCCGAGGCATGACGTCGTTGGCATTACGGGTCTAATTAGGTGCAACGAGAGACTCTAGTCTGATATCGCTTGAGAAAGCTCATTATCGCCAAATACATGGCTTCACCATCAAGCATACTTCGGCCGGTGGCAAATTTGGTGAGCAAATCTCCGCGACGATCATTGAGCTCGAGTCCCAAGCTGGCAGCGCCTGCGGAGGTAAAGAGACTTGGTGTCGTTGGGGCAGGTCAAATGGTACGTTTGTGTACAAACAAATTCGGCCGACCATCATCCAATGGTTGACAACAGAGTCAAGGGTTTGGGAATAGCTCTAGTCGCTGCACAAAAAGCACAGGTGCCAGTTACGCTCGTCGATAATTCACCAGCTTCTCTGGATAAGGGATTGAAGTTCGCAGGTCAAAATGTAACCTCTGCATGATGTCGAGCACTGCTGACAAACGAGCTAGATAAGCTGCTTGAGAAGGATGTATCAAAGTCACGTATCACGAAAGACGAGGCCGATATGGCTCGATCACTCCTCGAACCCACAACTTCTATGTCCGACCTTTCCAATGCCGATTTCATAATTGAAGCTGTTCCTGAAGTGCTCTCCCTCAAGACCACCATATTTTCCGAATTAGCGAAAGTGGCACCTCCTCATGCCATTCTCTCCACCAACACGTCGTCAATTTCAGTCACTAAAATTGCAGCATCAACAACTCCCGAAGGAAATCCTGCAGATCTGAGTGTAGCTTCTCGAGTCATAAGTACACACTTCATGAATCCGGTACCAGTACAGAAAGGCGTAGAGGTCATCAGCGGACTCCAAACCAGCAGAGAAACATTGGAGACCGCAATTGAGTTCTGTAAACGCATGGGAAAGATCCCATCTCAATCTGCAGACTCCCCCGGATTTCTGGCGAATAGAATATTGATGCCTTACATCAATGAAGCTATCATATGTCTGGAGACCGGTGTTGGTAGCAAAGAGGATATCGACAATATCATGAAGAATGGGACAAATGTTCCCATGGGGCCGCTGCAATTAGCAGATTTCATCGGCATCGACACTTGTCTAGCCATCATGAATGTCTTGCATACTGAGACCGGCGACAGCAAATACCGCCCTGCCGTGCTTTTGAAGAAGATGGTCGACGCTGGCTGGGTTGGAAAGAAATGTGGAAAAGGGTTCTATGACTATTAACGCCACTAATTGACAAAGTGATTGGTATAGAGTGGCACTTCTGGGAGCAACCTTAATGAAATGAACCTGCTGTTGTACACTCGGTATCCACAAAAGGCACGCTGTTGTCTGGGGTATTGCCAGTGTCCCATTCCTTGTGTAATTGCGACTCTATTTGGCTTCCGTGTATGGGTATCCCACTTTTTCATCTTTCCTCAGGTATATCTTTCTCCGCTTCTTGGAGATCATATGTTCAGCAAAGACCTCCTTCGCATGTTCTGCCATAAATTTTCTAATAAATCTCGGGTCCCACAGCTCACTCGCAATACCAAGATCTTTGCAGCATCTTCTTAGAGCGGTAGATTTGCAACCTTCGACGGCCCTTGGGATACCTTCCGGCGAAAAGTAGTCCTGTTCTCCACGCGCGATGGACACCAGCCTATGATCGATGTCAGAATGCAGATTGACAGAGAGAAGGATGAATCCAGTATACCTTCCAAGCACCACTAGTGCATACTCCCTTGTGACAGCCTTCTGCGTCACAATAGTCTCGCCTCTTGGAGCTAAACCCCATCCACCCGGCCCAAAAGCCTTATTCAGTATGCGCCTGTATTTGATCTCGGGCAGATATATGATTCCGTCCATTTTGATTTCAACATCGTCTGAGTTAATGGGCGCAAGAAGTGTCTTGGCTGCTTCTGGTGAGAAGGCTTCAGTTGAAAGCCCCTGAAAAGATCGCGTCCAATCGACTTGACTTCCTTGGTCATTCAAGTCTAGCGTTCTATCGTTAAGACCCTCACTTAAGTTCTCTGCCTGTGGTTTTATTGGCTCTGGATTTTGAAGGGGCTGAGGATGAAGAGGATTCTTATTAGAATTTATCACTGCAGCTTGCTGCTGATGGCTGACTCGTGTCGTCGCAAGGCTTCGACGAGCTTCAGAATGTCTGTATGATCTTGGAACGTCACGTCGCGTTGTAGCAGGCTGTAATGTGGCGAATGCTGCTTGGGACTGTGAAGGTGGCGAGGGAAGACGGTGTAACTGGCTGCGCTGTGGTAGCGCAGGGTCAAAAGATACTGAGAACAGCCTTGATAATCTTGATGTTCTCAGGCACCAAGATGCCTTTCTAAATGTAAGGTTAGCCATGGAAGATTGTACTGTGCAAATGCATATGAACGCTTTGCAGCTCAGGGCCCGTCGGGCGTTCGAAAATACAACATTGCCAAGGATCGTAGGGCTGAAGGAAAATTGGTCGAGCTCTGATTACAGGAGATGCGGTCTCGAGCATGGAGCTGAGAAGGCTAAGTGAACCAGATTCTAATTCTTGTCGCTTCATGTGTCTAGCTGCTACCAATATCAATGCTCCTGTCGCTCAGCAGTTGCTAGGATATTCACACGTCTTGTTGACTGTCTGAACAAATTGCCTAGACATCTTTCGTCTCCGTCCGTTTATCGTTTCCATGTCTCTCCCAACATTGACGAAAAAGCTCCATCTGCAATAACACATAGGTAATCAGCTTGGAGAACAGTTTCTAGCGATCGGAGCATCAAGAGTTGCGCTTAGGTCGGCGAACATTTATCAAGCGCCGTAACGACTTACCTCTCCTTTACATGCTCTCCAATCCTTCTTATCAAAGTAGCAATCATTCATCTTTGTCTGCTCTCCTAACAAAACTCAGCGTCTCGAGTATAATTAGCTAGTCGATTGCCTACTCGAGCAGCCTGTGCTGAAGATTCTTTTGTCCCTGCAACCGTAAGTACAAGGTTTTCATTCGGATAATTGGCCACCAGCTACTACCACTCATCTAATTCATCGTCGTCTTCATTGCTGTGAACCTCTTCTGGCTGATTTTTCTTCGATGTTTGGCTGCCCATTTTGATGTCGATGGTTTTGAGCGGTGACTTTTTTGGAGAAGAGCTTAAATTTTGAAGGTTTTGTCCGAAAATGGCAACGAAAAGGATGAATGTCCTGGTATATTCTGGTAGCAAACTTGCCTGCAAGCCACTACAAGTTTTGCTCACTGAAGCCCAGGCAATGGTGTTACGACTGATGCTGTCCGTCATTGCATTTATAGTCTACGCAGGGTTCTGTCCTCCAACTATGCGGTCATTCCCATCGATGGGAATGCAGTACTCAAGGAGCCTTGGACAGGTACTTGTGCATTGCTCGTAATGCCAGGCGGTGCCGATCTTGGCTATTGCCGGCAATTGAATGGCGAAGGTAACCGCCGGATCCGCCAATATGTTGAAAGGGGAGGGTCCTATCTTGGCTTCTGTGCTGGCGCTTATTATGGGAGCGGCCAGTGCGAGTTCGAGGTCGGCAACAAGAATCTTGAGGTCATTGGTAAACGTGAGCTTGGGTTTTACCCGGGCATATGCCGCGGCCTTGCATTCCCAGGATTTGCCTACAATAGCGAAGCTGGCACGAGAGCTGCGGAGTTGAAAGTTTCCAAAACATTCCTCACAAAAGGCTCGGTTCCAGAGGTCTTCTGCTCCTATTATAATGGCGGTGGTGTCTTCGTCGATGCGAAAGATTTCCATGATAAAGGAGTTGAAATATTAGCAGAATATGCAGAGCCTTTGAAGGTTGATGCTGGCAATGGCAAAGCGTCAGCATTGTATTGCAATGTTAGCAACGGTGGCGCTGTGCTGTCATCCACGCATCCTGAGTATGTGCCCCTGTACTCGGGCGTGTCTCGTGAGGCTACTGAGACTGTATAGATTTGCCGCAGCCAATCTTGGGCATGCCAAAATTCCTGGGTATGACCAGATCATTGAAGCATTGAAACGAGACGATGGAAAGAGGATAGATTTCTTGAAGGCTTGCTTATCAAAGCTTGGACTGGAAGTCAGCCAGGAAGATAAAACGATACCCCCTCTCTCTCGACTCCATCTTTCGTCTGCTTTACCTGCCGCAACTTCTCAGGTAGTCTCTTCACTATCAGAGGTCATTATCGATGAAGGAGGCTTCAAACATATGAAAGGGGAGAATGACACCTTTTTCTTCGAGAAGCCTTCTGCTTGGTCTCTTGTAGACTTGAAAGACGCCCTACCAGAAGAAGATACCTCAGAGGCTGACGAAGCTCGCTCCGATGATGATAGAATTCCTGACTATAACAGAGTACTCAAGCATATTGTTATACATGACGAGACCATCCCAAAATCTAAAGAAACCCCCTACTTCAATCACTCAACTTTTTATGCAAGTCTGCAAGACTACAGTGGGGACGCAGAAATAGAAGGCATATTTGGAAACAGTCTTTTGTATGGAGAGGTCGTCACTAGCACCAATACCTTACTGGAAAAGTAAGCTTGATTTCCCCTCCGATACGAGCGTAGCAGGCTGAATTACAAAGGAATACCGCCTTGCTGCGCCGTTTGCCCACTGGCTTCACCGCGACAGCGACCTCTCAAATCGCAGGACGTGGTAGAGGCTCGAATGTTTGGTTGTCTCCCGCCGGCTCCTTGATGTTTTCTACTGTGATCCGCCATCCTACGTCCCTGCTTGCAAAGGCACCTGTTATCTTCCTACAATACATTGCAGCCATCGCCATCGTCGAAGGTGTCAAGACATACGAACCCGGATTCGAAACTCTGCCGCTCAAGTTGAAATGGCCTAATGATATCTGTGAGTATCTTTTGGATCAGTCAACGCTTGTCCTAACGTGGCAGATGCTCTCGACCGATTCTCAGAGCAATACGTCAAAATTGGCGGCATCCTCGTAAACTCTCATTACGACTCTTCCGAGTTCCTAGCTGTCGTGGGTATTGGCCTAAATACCACTAATGCAGCACCAACCACAAGTCTTAATGCTCTCAACCCTCCAGTGCCATTCGTCCTCGAAAAATTACTAGCTCGCATACTTGTCACATTCTCGAATTTATACAAGGCTTTCACCGTTACTGGATTTAATAAGGATCTGGAAGAGACTTACTACAAGTATTGGCTGCATAGTGACCAAGTGGTCACTTTGGAGACTGAAGGTGGTGCTCGAGCACGCATCAAGGGAATCTCAAGCGATTGGGGACTGTTGGTGGCTGAAGAGCTGGGGCAGAATGATCGTGCAACTGGAAAGAGATTTCAGTTGCAGAGTGACAGCAATAGCTTTGACTTCTTTAAGGGGCTCGTGAAGAGGAAGATGTAATCCGGTCAAGCGAGTTTTGTGAGCGCATGAAATTCGATTAGAAGGACTCCCTTGATAGTCAAATTCAGCTGCACTTTCAGCCGTCGATTATCGAATGTTATCATACAGTCAGTGCGCTGCTCAAGCTCTACATCAGATCGCACATAATGCTTCTTCTTGAAGCGATCCTATACCCCTCAAACAAGAACAGCGGTACCCATCACGTCGCCTGACCCAAAGCCCACTTCTCGGCCCTATCAAACATAAAGGTCTTTGACTTGATCATCTTCACAGCGAAACTTGGCAACCACCATCCGAAGGCTGCGCCAACGCCTCCATTTGGACCTACAGGCACAAGCTGCATCTCCTTCGTTGTCAACGGTTTCCACCCCTTACCTTTGCCCTTCCCACTCAATTCCGCAATCACGTTTCCATACGTAGTCCCAACCATCGTCATCATGGCTACTAAACCTCCAGGTGAAATGGAAGCAATATCACCCAATGCATACGCGGAATCAACGCCAGGGATCCGTGTGAAATCGTCGGTCTTCACTTTGCCACTGGCATCAAGTAATGACTTTGGCAGGAAAGACGAAGCGGGCGAACGACCAGTAGCCACGATCAAGATATCGACCGTGCGTGTAGAGCCGTCGGAGAAAACAGCTTCTTCCCGCCCATCAGGCAGTCTCTTGGAGCTCTGCAGCTTGAGATCATCATGCACAGCTTTCACGCCTTGGGCGTTCAGCATTTCCTCTGCACGTGTGCCGATGGCGGGACGGAGACCGGTCAGAAGGCGTGAGCTCCCCGAAAAGATGGTGATGTCTTTAGGGGATGAAGAGTTGCTGCCGTGGAGGTCACCAAGTTCTCCTGCTGTTTCAACGCCTGCGGAGCCGCCGCCGACGACTATGACAGATTTTGCGGATGGGAGGCGCGATTGGATGTCTTCATAGGCTTTGAGGGTGGTGACATGGCTGCCTTGAAGGCTGTATAGGGGACTGGCACCTTTGGAACCGAGGGCGATGACTAGGGTGTCGAAGTGGAGAGATGAGGCGGTGGCTGAAATGTCTTCATTTGCGTCCTTGGTTTTGTAGTAGACCTCGCGACTGGAGGTGTCTAAGTCGGTTATCTCGGCGTGTATGAATTCTACCTGTCCTGCTGGTTGCTGCTCGACGAATTTGGAGATAGGGAAGAAGCTATCGTCGTTGGACTTTGGATAGGGTTTCAGCATGGCTCTCGGCGCACCGACCGAGTACCAGAAGTGCGTGCTGTTTGCGATAAGGGTAATCTTGTATGTCTTCTCTGTCTGCGACTTGAGGGAAGTGATAGCTTTGGAAATGCCATTGGCCACGCCAATACCACCATAAGACGCGCCTAGGATGACAATGTTGTGTGTGTCTGCCATTATGAAAGTTCGATCTGAAGAGTGTATGGAATCAGAGGGAGGAGCGTGATTTCGAGATGGTAGAAGTAGACAATAAACAACACGGCACGGTCTTCTTGTATGCAAAGAAGAGGAGCGTCGGAAATGCAAGTAGCCGGCTAGCCGGACTCAATTACAAGATACGGACGTCGGTATGTGTGCATTTCCTAGCCACGGCAAATCGAGCTTTAGGAATCAGGACGATTGTTCCGCCCCTCGCCCTCGGCACTTTGCCAAACAAAGCGATATATTGAAGCATACCAACAAGCTAAACCCTTCGCAGCCTTCGCAGGCCTCTCCATTAATAATCCAACTCCGCAAAGCGGGGCAGCTGCAACCGAGCCATGGCACCGAAGTCGTCAGGAAGACCGGGGCACTGAGATTACCACTACAGCATGCTTGATGCTATACATTGTATCGGGCAGATAATCGCACAATTTGCTGGATGACCAGGAGACTGCGCGTCACCAATTGTCAAGGTAGAGTGTCTCTGGTGCCGGGAGACTAAAACGGCCTCCGTCTGGCTTAGCATTCGCAACGCACTCGCCGATAGCAAGTACCCAATACCTTTCTTAAGGACGATGTCTGCCCAAGCTCAGAATCCCTCCCTTGCATCCCGAATCCGCGGCTGTTTGTATGGCATCGCTTGTGTGGATGCTCTGGGCGCACCCGTCGAATTCAAACGACGAGGGAGCTTTCCACCGGTGACGAAGATGCGGTACATTGCTCATTTCGACCTGCCTCCTGGCTCGTGGACCGATGATACCTCGATGACCCTGTGCTTGGCAAAGTCCCTGGTGGAGAAGCAAGGGCGACTTGATGCGAGGGACCAAGTAAGCCGGTATATAAAGTGGATAAGGGATGGCTATCTGAGCAGCAAGGCTGGAGAGGCTTTCGACGTTGGGAACGCAACGAGGGTTGCGCTGGCTCTATGGGAAGAGACCTTCAGGAATGGAGAATCAGATGACTATGGGCAAAGGCAGATAGATGAGGTACTGTTCAAAGTGCACAGCTGCGGAAACGGAAGCTTGATGCGCACTGCACCAATTGGTCTGGTCTACTTCAGAGAAAGCGAGGATGTGTTGCGGAAGAACGCAGCTCAAGCAAGTCGAATTACTCATCCCCACACGATCTGCATTGAAGCATGTCAATTTTACGTCCGAATGATTCAATTGATCCTACAAGACGCAGTTCAGGCTGACCACACTGCTCTGGATTCTTTCCTCATGGGGTACAAGTTCGAGATGCCGCAGCTAAAATCTATCGTCGACAAGTCTCGGGAGCATGGGAGTATGGCCCAGATTCCAGAATCTGAGATTCTATCATCGGGATACGTAGTGCATACACTCGAGGCAGCTTTGTGGGCTTTCCTCTCGACTGATAGCTTTCGAGACGGTGCCTTGAAGGTCGTCAACTTGGGTGATGATGCTGATACTGTTGGAGCAGTCTACGGAGGGTTGGCTGGGGCATACTATGGCCTTGAAGCTATTCCGTCAGAATGGATGACGGCTTTGCAATCCAGACCGCTGCTCGATGAAGTAATTGAAGGATTGGTGGAATTGGCCGTGCATGAAGGACGATGAGTTGCCCTCCCGTCCTCATTCCAGGACCCAAAGCCTACCAACCTCTTCTAGCCGAGCCGAACTCATGAGCCCATTCACTTCGAGGCCCCGTATCCAATACTGAAGGCCCCGAGGCGCGCTTCCCATATGGGCACTGCGATATCTTTTAGATCCGATGGCCAATAGTCGTGCAATTTGGAACTGATTCCATCAGCTTCCCACATCACAGGCGTCCGATGGAAGCGAGATGCGACCCTGGAATGCCAGCCTAAAGTTTACATCAAGGGAAAGGACAGTGGAAACTACGAGGAGATCGCGACGAGATGATGAAGGCTTTATCTAAATTTGGTATGCATCATGATGATGATGTGATGATATGTAGTATCGTCCACATATCGTTACCAATTCTCACCTCCCAGCGCCAGTATCTACCCCAGTGGCCTTGGCGCTAGCTCCACTGCTCCAGTTCCAAAGATTCCAGCTATTACTCTTTGTCGGCGACTGCTGACTGCTGGGCTCGTCGCTCCTAATCTCTTCGAACTCAGCCTCGCTTTTGCTCGTCTTGAGGCTTTCTCCTAGCTGGACTCCGGCTAGCCTCCTGTCTACATCACGCTCTATCACTTCTTCAGTACCCAGATCGCTGTTTTGCTTATCCAGTGCAGCGACAAGCACCATCATCTGCTCCTTCCGCTGAGTCAAAAACTTCCTCTGTTCTGATATTCTTGTGATACCCTGAGGTACGAGCGTGCCCGAGCGGGACAAATTCTCAACTTGCGCTTCTCTTGACGAGGGACTGGAAGACGATGAAATTGTGCCCAAAGCCGAGGAGAGAAGGCTATATATGTCTCCCGCAGGCGCTGCTAGGCCTTGCCTTGCACTTGGAAGGTTGAACCTTGATAAAAGATTCTGAGCATAGGTATTGTCGGTTTCGGATGTGGGGCGCGGGGGCGACTTAGTCTCTATACCAAGTACATTCTCCTTGACATAACTGATAAACTTCTTCAGGGCCCCCAACCCAGCCGCGACAGCTCTTTCATGCATAGAGGTGATGGAGTGCTCTATTTCTAGCTCATATTTCCTAAAAAATCGATGTATGTAGCTCTGGTATAGCGTTTTGGCACCTTGAACCTGCGGAAGGACGAGGTATGACAACACGAAAAGACGGATCCAAGCATAGAAGGGGAGATAGTAAGTCAACCATCCGATCCAGAAGTCAACGAGGATGAAGAGGGACAAAACAACCCAGTACATGAGCCAGGGTGTCAATTGAGCTGGATCGGACGTCCGTAGAGCCTTGTAGGAGGCAAACACTGGGAAAAGTACTGTGATGATCGATCTACGGTAGCGAGGTGGTCAATATGTGTCCATCGCTGAGACATGCGGTGCAGCCTGGTACTTACGTTAAGAGATTAGGTATTATGTCGAACATGGTGGAGTCGGTGAAATCAATGAGACGCCCAAGAAGAAACGAATGATGATTCTTACCACTCTTAAGCTCAGAGAAATCAGAAGTATAGTTGAGCTTGAAGTGGGACAGAAGGGCAACGACGGAAGACTGAGGGGATAACAGACGGGATGATGACAATGCTGCAGGATAATCGATAGCAGCGATAAGATAAGGTCCAAATACGCGCGCAAAGCGCCTGACGCGAATCGCATGTCCCTTTGGTCTGGTTGCAATGGTTGCCCGGCTGAGAAGCGTGACATGTCTTGAAGATTGAGCTGAAGTGGTTTCACTCCAGATCACAATCCCATTCTACTCTCCTATCTACTGACAAAGCCCCGCTCGTCGTTCTCAGTCACTATTTGCTTGTAGATCTTACGTGCGTAATTTGGTGAGCCGTAAGCCTATTCATCATCGTGGAACAAAACATGTGCATTGCCATCATCTCCACAGCCCATCCCGAGTATGCTTTGATTTTGATCAACAATCGTGATGTATGAATACACATTATCCGGTTACTTGATTCCTTCTGCTGAACCCGGTCTAGGAGTTCCTTGACCGTCCTACGAAGATCGCCGACTGGTGGGATGCTCCCAATTCCAATGTTCTGGCCGGGCGTGATCTTCTGCGCGCGGAGCAAGGTACCTGGCTAGGCATCACAAAGGAAGGTCGCGTAGCCGTTTTGACAAATTTTCGTGAAGAAGGCGAGATTAAGCCTGAAGCGAGATCTCGCGGCGGTTTAGTCACTGCGTTTCTGACACAGCCTCGCGACAGCGATGAAAGTACGGAGGATTTTGTAACGTCTCTCGTGGAAGGAGACGGTCTGAAAGGTATTGGAGGCTTTAGCCTCATTTGTGGTAAGATCGGAGAGCCACTTGCTGTTATATCGAACCGTACGCCTGATGTGCATGGAATTTCTTGGATCGTGAAGCAAAGAGATGAGACCATAGGGCTTAGCAATGCCGTGATAAGTGATCGCTCTTGGGTGAAAGTCACTGAAGGAGAGAAGCTAGTAGGTGAAATGATCAACGAACATGAAACTGCCAAAGGATCAAAGGACGAGCTTCTCCATTCCCTATTTCAAATACTGAGCCACGACACCCTTCCACGATTCGGAACAAGCAAAGACTGGCAAAGTCAGGTGAAAGAGCTTAGAAAAAGCATTTTCATTCCTGCAATGGGCGGTGAGACCACCAAACAAGCAAGTGCTGAAGACCTAGCGGCAGCCAAGACTAATACACAACTGTCTGTTGAGAAATCGGAAGTTAAAGCAGACTCGAATGCTCTGAAAGGTGCATATGGAACTCAAAAACAAACCGTTATCCTGGTGGCGAATGACCACAGGGTAACGTTTGTTGAACGAACCCTCTCTACCCAAGGCCACATGAAAGATAGTCTTCACGATATTAAGTCATTCGAATTTGTTCTTAACAGGCGAAAAGTCAGCGTGAGATGAAGGCTTTCAGTGAATGAGAGGAATATTAGATCTTAGAAGATATCTGAAGATACATCGTTGAATCCAAGCGAAATATGACCTTAACTGACTATACAAAATACAGCAATTTCTCTTCTTTCTGGGGAAAGGCGTCATTCCTAATAGGATCATCGGGAAAGGAAAAGATACCCAACACGAGCAGGAAAAGCGAACTTCTTACAAGATGACCTGAAAATAGCTCAAAGACGTGATGGACATGACACAGGAAAATTGACTGCTGCTCCAGACAGCATGAGCGAAAGCTCACCGAGTCTGATGAGCTTCAAGGGAATAAAGTGCACTTGCCTTGCATGTCATTAGGTACATGATACATGTAGAGCTTGCCACTGATCACCGCCCTCTTCAGCAGGCTTCTTCTTCTGCTTTTTAGTCCTGACGAATGGGAGGTTACCGTTGCGATCGATCAATCGTGAGCACTTGTCACACTGCCGCTTTGTGACATCTTGGTACGAAGCAATCATTTCCTATGGACCATTAGCTTTCCGTAGAGGAGGTCACGTCCCAGTAAGATTACCAGAATATAGCTCAAATCTTCCCCTTCAGACCATTTCCCAACTGCCTCGCCTGTGTCTCGCTCCATTCCCGTCCTCATCTCCGTCTCGATGGCGTATTTGATTCTCCCGTCCCTCCCTACCGTCTGCTGGATTAAAAACCGCATACCTGACGGCCGAGGTAGTGTCATCTGCACGGGGCCATCCTCTCCATCCGCATGGATGTCAAATCCCTCGTGCCGGCTCTTGAAAGCATCAACTACCTGCTTTAGATCCTCATTCTTCTCTGCACCGGAGCTTTTCCCTCGCAACTCCAAGGACCTTGTTCCTTTTCTTCCATCTTGACCATCCTGGGTCAAATCAAGCCAGTCGGAATGTGCGTCAACCCTCCAGCAACCGATATCCTCCGGATCAGCTTGCCTGCTTTTATTTGCTCTATCTAGAGCTGCTTTGTATCCTTCTTCGCGGACTAGTTGTGAGAGAGTCCGAATTTGTTTTCCTACACCTTTTGCTTCTCCTTGGAAATTAATGTAAAGTTGTTCTGGCGTTGAAAGAGGGAGGACTGAATTGACGAGTGAGGGAAGGGATTGGCGAAGGTTGCGAAGCTATGTCGATGACAGTCATTGATATGCGCTTCTTAGACGCCAATGATGGAGCAAGAGGCTAGTCGTGAGGATAAGATAATAGAGCCATGAACTTACGGCAATGTGTAGTTCCTGTAGTACTGCGAGTGAAGCTATGATCGCATCCTCGTCCAACTCGTTATCATCTGAATGCACACTGGGCGCCTGCAATTTATCTGATGGAGCGACAGCCGTCATTCTTCTGCTCAAGGAATACTGTTGGCGTTAATGGTTGGGGAGTTGGGGAAGGTGAAGCATTGTACTTTCGTAGGGAGCGGCTGGGACAAAGATTTCGATCATGGAATTCTTTGATTATGTATTGATTACATGGGCTTTCTGAAGTCCCGATGCAGATAAAATTGGACATAGATCACTCGAACATGATTTTTCAAGCCTATTTCGGCTCCTAATGTGCCAAATTGGGAACTATATGAGCTCCGGTCACATAGCGCTGGCTATTGTCATTCATGAAGACATCTTCAAATGCTGTCGATTGAAAGGTAGTAGTCCTTCAGATCCCTTCACTGAAGACGACTTCCTCTATAGAAGCATCTACCCTAGATAGGGACTTCTCAGGAAAATTTCGGAGGGATCTTGTCACTCGTACCTGAAAGCCATTACTCGTCACCGGTATCCATGTTGCCGGGGGTTTAGCCCATCACTATAGAGATGGCGATCATTCCTTGATCGAGCATTCTCCCACCTTCCCCCGTAATAACCATTTCTGTCTCTTGCATAATCCCTTGGTGGCCCTCCGTACCGCTGATCTCGTCCTCGGCTGTAGCGATCATCCTGATAAGATTCACGACGAACTTGTCGTTGTTCCTCTTCTGTGCGAGGAGCCATGGGAGGTTCCTGCTGGTCGACTTCCATCTGATCTGCCTTGTTCCCAAAACCGTACCGGCCGTCTTGAATAGCTGGCTCTGCTCTTCTTCGACTCCGATCTGACTGCTCTCTTTGACGGTCATAAGCTGATGGAGGATCACTTTGTGTAAGATCTATAGTGCTTGCAGTTTGCTCTTTCTCTGTTTTTCGGGGAAGTGACCCATTGGCTGTGGGCGTAGGACCGCCAGACTTCATGTAAACGTGCAACATTCGGCCATCCGCCTTTGTAAATTAGCATCGCAGTGAGTCTCGACGAAAGGCTTTATACGGACTTTTTTGTTATTGAATGTCCCAATTACACTTTCTGCACTTTGCTTTTCACTGAATAGCATCTCGGCCATCACAGTCGGAGACGCCGTAATAATTCTACAGCCTTGTAGCTCTCCACCACTTGGTACCATAGCCGATTCTATATCCGCAGCTGTTGTTCCTGGTGCGAAGTTACTCGCGATGACCACGTAAGGTCCAGCGGCGCCTCTGATGCTGATTTCGGTGTCTGCCGGTCTGATGCGACCTTGATTTGTTGCGCCTTTTGCGACGAGTGCTTCGGATAGCATGTCCGTCTTCGCTTTCTCAGACATTGGATTCGCCAGAGGCGGCCGCGAAAGCCTCGCTCGTCCATCTTCTAGGCTCTTGAAGCTACTACCTCGTTGGGGGTCGAGATCATTGTGTGTCCGAGCTGCGTTGGAGTTGGACCGTTGGGATGGCTGTCACGGCAAGATCAAAAAACGAAAGGGAGCACCACGATGCGTCCATTTACCTTTACGATTCCGACTCGACTTGCCAGGCTCGGACCAGAACCAAGCCTGCGACTGCTGCTTTGCGAATTCTTTTCTTTTCTACCTTGCCCTAAAAGCTGATTTGCGAGCTCTTGATTTTTCTTACGTTCTCGGTCTTCACGATCTTTGCTAGTTTAAGCGGCACTTCTTTCGCCTTGAGTCAGGATCAGTACGTACCTCGCTGTATAATCTCGTCGAAGGAGGGAACATTGCCGTTTTGCGGCGCCATGAAGATGTTGGTTGCCTGCAATTGTTTTAGATTGCCATCAGGTATCGTAATTTGAGCTCAATATTTTGAGCTTAAAAACAGTGCTCAACCCGTAATACATGAATCCTTGCTTAACCAAGAACCTGTAGATTGTTCGAGCAAACATGTAAGGCTTATGGACTAGCTACTTCAGGACGCCAAGGCACTTATTATATAAGCTACGTTATTGATACAGGTTGCTACGTGCTCTTCCTTAAAGCTGGGACTGGTAAGAGAAGGTGCTCCCCACTGAAGCTTGCTCAAAATGTTGCTCCAGGGGTGGATCAATCTCCTTGTAAGTTACAATTGTAGATTCAATGTTATTCACAATGCTCGTGTAAACAAATATGATCAATTGCACCAATGGCTAGTCTTACTAAAGCATCGCATGAGGCGTTGAGATCTTTTCTGCCTTGGTTTTCATCACATAAAACACATGAAAAGGACCATGGGGACCGCCGTCCTTCCCAGGACTCCCAAAGCTCTAAATCTACCGTCCCTACCAGCCTGGGAACCTCTGACAGCTCGCAAGGTGGAGGAGGAGTAGATCAAGATGAAGAGCTCAAACGAAAGAAACGACAAGGAGATGGCTGGTCAAGTACACTACGCGTCGTTGCATCTGTCTTTTACGTCGACCCAGAAGAAGTGATGATTGACCAGAACACTCCCCTGTCTAGCTCAAGGCCACAAACACCTAGCCGCCAGCTTGCTCGTTCTCCGCGTAAGTCATTAACATGGAGTCGTTCCTCACTCGAAATGAGCAGAAGCTTCAAGAGCGTTCGTTCTTCGATGAGCGTTCGCCGTGGTAAGGCATCACCTGTGACGCCGTCCCGCATTGTCCAGAAGGAGGCACCGACTCTGGACGTTGCTATTCCTGATAATTCGTTTTGTGAAAGAAGTGGATTTGACTTGGCCGCTGGTGTATGTGGCTTGAATGATCCTCCAACACTCTTTCTGGCACCGTCCTTGGAGAAGATCGTCGAAAACCATTGTCGTGGGAAGCAAGCGTCTTCGTCCCAAAAAAGTAGCTTGCCTGCTGCTTTGGCGCTTGAAGATCCCTATGTTGATGATGCTCCCAAGTCACAGCAGGACACGATCAAGAGTGGGATATCTTGGACGTATACGCCAAGGCCAATAGACTTCCCAGGAGAGGACAATGAGGGTTATGTTACGGATGTGGAAAGCAACACACAGGATCATCAGTCCAAAGAATCGTCAGGCTCGACAAGCTTCATGATAGGCTACCCTGAGCAATTTTCTCAGCTGTCGCCTTGTAAATCACTAGGCAAGCAGAAATCTTCGTCCCCTGAACCTTTGGATTTGGGAAAGAACAAACGCTTGCCGGCGCGTTTTCCCTTGCGGAAAAGATTGAGCATGAAGAAAAGTCTCAGCCGCCTCCATACCGTAATTGCTAGCTCCCTGTCTACAAGTAAGGCAGGCATCAATCATTCACCGTCTGGTGAACATGACGACAGCACTGATATTTCGGATTTGAGCCCTTTAGCTCCCAGCATGGGCTCCCGCGAGCAACTCATTCAGGCTCGGCAAGAAAGAGACAAAAAGTATACCCATGCAATGATGGACACGACGTCCACGGAATCGGACGATGAATCAAAGCAAGGACTTGAATTGGCTCGTGCCTCATGTGCAAAGTCTCAGCAACCCGCGGAACCTGGTCACCTTGATCAAGCAGAAGTTTTGGTCAATCGCCCATTCTTTACCGGAGACCTTCGCTACGCTGTGGAAGCTATTGAAAGAGCTAATGCGGATGAAATGGAGTCAGTGGACACTTTCCGGGATTCCTTTGACACCATCAAGGAGTTTGACGCCAATATGAAGATTATTCAACCAAGCGTTCCAAGCCCAGCTCCTGCTCCACTGATGCTTTCTACACGAGACCTGCCCGTTAGCTCTCCTCCGGATTATTCCCCGTGTGCTGACGGGAGATGCTATTCTGAAGTTCTCGTTTCTCCAAACGCCAGCGACAAAACATGGTGGCCCGGTAATGAGATCTCCCAAGCGCAACTCCTCGATGACACAAACGAGAACCTTGAACGCCAGTCTGAAGTGGGTTCTCCATCCTCTGAAGCTGCAGAGAGTACTGGCACAAGCGGGAAGGGTGATGTTTACGACGAGTCCACCGAAGACGAAAAGAGATTGTTCGAACTCCTCTCATACTCTTACAGCAATTATATCTTGGGCCGAGCTGGCTCAAACCTTGGAAGCTTTGCAGACTTTCAGAATCGCAAGACCGGGGACTCGGATCCTGCGTTAGGTTCTGAACCTTCGGAAGCTAAAGCAGCAACAGTCAGCGGTGTCCCTCCGATGGGTGTGGATGAACCGGCATTGAAGATAGCGTCTAAAGCAAGCCATCAGGGCAGCGAGATATCCGAGGACGACTAGGCGATCGGTTCTTGAGAGAAACCTGGACTCCACTACTTGCATAACACATGTTTATCGTCCTTGTTACAGTCCCTACCTTGCACACAAATACTCAATCTGCAGCATACGAGGTCTAATAATCAGTGAAGACGGACACTCATTGTTAGCACTACAATTCTGGCACTGGCACAAGGGGGACTACTCAAAGGTCGTCAACCTGCTTTAGTATAAGAGGATAGACATATTTTAATTGGAATCATTCTAGTGAAAAAAGTCAATGAATGAAAAACCTTTCCTTATGAATACTAGTTACCATAAGCTGCAAGTGCATTCGCGTTCAAACTAAGTGTACTCTTCCATCCACTCGCGTGGACAAGATACATACAGCGAATCTCTCTTCAGACCTAATACTGCAAAACTTCAGAGGCCGCCGACTAAATGATAATGAAGAGCCCATCTGCCATGGCTTTAGACACATTCTGATCCTCCTCATGCATGGCCCCTTGGCCAAACTGATCAAATTCCTCTGCCCAACCTCCAGACTGAAATCAGCCCCATAAAGCTATATCCCCCAATTGTCCAGCTCGTGCTCCTCCGCACAAGCTGGTGTTGGACGTACTCCTTGGCCGCGGATTCCCAGATTGAGAAAACAGCCCTAGCCAGCATAATCCTGGTAGAGGCGAGCCCCAGTATACCGCATGCTCAAGCTGAAAAAAGTTGCCTCTAGAAAGAACGCCTCAAATGCAAAAAAAATCCAGGTTATGCACCCAATTTTGGCTGGTACGAAGCCATTGCCGTCTATGATGCAAGCATGCAGCCCCCCTATTGTAGAACGCCGGTGTAATTCTGATGCCCTAAATGCGGAATAGGTATCGTAGTATTAAAAGTACACGGTCTATGAAGGGTGCAAATGCTGGTATCTTGGGTATCTGGGTGACTATGCTAAATCATATTGTGAAAGAAGACCTGGGTAAGCCTCCAGAACTTAATGATGAAGAGCGTTAGGAAGCCTCATGATTTCTGAGTTGATGATCCGCCATCTGTTGACTTTCCTTTTGCTGTATCAAGGGTAGCTAGCTGTGCCTTTGCAGGCGCCGGAGAGGGTCCAGGAGATGTTGCGTCGCCTGGAACGTCTTCCGTGGCAAGGAGACTAAAGCAGGTAAGCATTCAGCGACAGCAGCTTAAATGGACGAGGCCTAAGCATACCTGAAAGTATTGGCACCGGATTTCGCGTTCTCTTCTTTTTCCTTCTTGTCTTTCTGCGCGGGTGGGGTGCTGACTCGGCTTGAAGCGCCAGAGTCATTTGCATTTGCAGTAGGCAGAGGCCGTCGTGTATTGGAGCCTCTTGCACTCGCAAACATCGACGTTGGCCCAAATGAGGTGGGAGTGGTGCTGGCTTGCCGTGAAATGCCCCTGCTGCCGAGACGTCGTAAATCTTCCACACCAATCGTGTTCCTTTGGTAGTCTGGCTGTGGCGGACCAAATTGAGATCCAGCGCGGGCATCTCCACGGCCAAGTGGAGGACGTCCACCACCGCCCCCTCTTCGCGACGACTCAGCAAGACGTTGGGCCTCCTTTTGCCGATCTTGCTCCTGAGCCTAAGGACAAAGTTAGCGTTTACACAGTCTGTAGGTACGTTGTAAACCTACCTGCGTTCGGACTGCCTCAATAGTAGTTGGACCTTTGACTGCGCCAGCGCCATGGGGTCGCCAATTATGTCTCAAGCGTAAATCAACAACATCCTATGAAGATTTAGTAAATATGTGATAGGGAGCTATTCGACGTTCTTACCATGAGCATGAACTGCAACCGACTAGGGAGATCTTTGATCGTAATCATGTTGTTGATTCGCGAGAAGTAGGCATCCATCATAGTGTGGCCCTTCTCAGAAGCATCGAGTTGTTGACCAATCGTTCTGAGCAAGCTGGTCAAGGACTCGATTTCTGCTTCGTCTGGTGTACCATCGTAGTCCACAAGTTTCTTTACGCACTCGTGCATGATGCGCTCCGTTAGCATTCCGAGCTTGTAAAGTTCTCCAATAAACCGAACTAGGCCAAGCCCACGCCTTTTAGCAGCCGCAGCCTGGTAGTACTCATCCGAGAGCATAGTCGCCTCCTGTGACGCACCTTCAGGCTTTTCGGGTAGATGCACTTTCCAACCACGTTCGAATTCAGTCTGGCAACGGGTCAAGAGATATTTGCGGAATAAAGATCCACCCACAACAACATCGCCTTTCTTATCGGTGATGCTTTTGTCCTTGATTTCAGAGCTCATTGAATCTAACATACGTTTGCAAAATTGGGCATACATCTCAGCCCAATGTTCCTCATCTGTAGCCTTTTCGAAAGTAAGTTGAATGACTTGTCTCAACGATCTCCCATCGTCCTCATCTTTCGATTGGTGAGCCATGGCTAGAATTTGGTCCGATATCTTATCGAAGTTGTTGGGCGTCATCTTATTCAAGTTCGATTTGACTTTTCGCTGCACGACATCTGGTGCTAGAAGCATGTCGCCACCAGGAGCTGGACCCGAGGCCATCGCATTCGGTCCAACAGAACGAGGCTTCCAGCCACCAGATGTCACCTCGATGGGCTTCAGGTTCGCACCTGCCGTTAGAGGCATATTCTTGTTGTCTTTGGGGTCTTCACGGCGTCCAGCCCTGCTTCCACGTTGCGAGCCACCACGTTGGCTGGTAGTTCGTGGTGAGTTCGGGTGTGCGAGCGAGGTTGATGACGGTGTACGGTCCATTCTGATGGCGCCTGCAGCTTGTGGAAACGATCCGGCACCCCTTCCGAACGTACCTGCAAACGGATTTTGCATAGGCTGCGGTGGTCTTTGCATTCCCCCACCACGACTTGCTGCTTCGAAACGTTGTTGTGACGTAGTACCAGCAGGCAAAGTACGGGATTGACCGAAATTACCCATTTGTTGCTGCATAGGGGGGACTGGTGGTCTGTTGGAAGGCTGACGCCCACCCAAGAGCGATCCTCCGCCACCGCGTGGCGTACCGCGAGCTGATTGCGGTTCACCAGTGTCTCCAACAGTTTCTTTGATTTTTTCGGACCAATTCTCTGATGGTTTGTCTGTAAAGGCTGTTTTGAATTGGAGCAAGAAATCTCGGTCATATCTAAACTTTCCGTCCTTTGCTGCTTTGTTAATGGCAGGGTTTGGTGAGGCCATATCAGGTGGATAGCCAATATCAAGTGAGATCAGCTTACGAGCAGACCTAAGGGACATCAAAGCCGCGCTTGGCTGTGGCGGCTCAACGGATCTAGTCGTCTCGAGCTTGAGAGCAGTAGGTTTTTGCTTCGCAGCTGCGCGATCTGGTGGAGGCATAGCTTGGATATCTGACGAGGGTGTAGCAGCGCCGCTGTCTCCGGGTGTCTCAATCTCAGGAGTGCTAGGTATTCTCGTTGGAGTCCCCGCATCACTGGCTGGCTTTTCAGCTTGTTCAAATCCTTTCTCCTTTTCGCGAATTCGGGCTTCTTCGGCCTCCTCTGCCTCTCGCTCTGCTTTCTTCATCTCCTCATCGGCCATCTTGAAAGCTTCTGCTTCTTTTCTCGCAGCTTCGTCCTTTTCAGCTTGCTTTTTCTTATTGTAAGCTGCTTCTGCCTCAAGCTCTTTTCTCTGCTGCTCCTGCTCCTCAGCTTCCCATCGGGCAATATCCTCGTCGGTGATACCAGGTGCGTCATCTGATGGCAAGGTCGTTGCTTTAGCGGCTGCCTCAGCTGCCTCAGCTGCTTCCTTAGCTTTCACGGCCTCGATCTTGTTCTGTTTCTCGGCATCTTCAGCATCCATCTGAGCTTTAGCAGCCGCCATCTGTTTAGCATCCGCGTCTGCTTTCTCTTTTTGCATCCTTGCTTCCTCGTCTTTTTTAGCCTGTGCGACTTTCGCCTCAGTCTCTTCTTTCTCACGGTGCTGGCGGGCTAATTGCTCCCTCAGATCCTTCCCTTCTGTTTTGCTCACACTTTTACTTTCAGTACGGCTATGAGAAGCATCGCTGTTAGAAGCGCTTATGGATGGGGCGGGCGGAGGAGTTGGTGCTGCTGAGATGCTAGTTGAGGACTTGTTCGAAGGGGCGGGCGAGGCGCTCTGCTTGAGGTTAACGACTTCTCCACTATTGGGATCCTTAATAATTATGCCCGCGCTCCTTTTCGGTCTTTGGAAACTGTTATTCTTGGGAGCTGGGGAGTTTGACTGCTGGCTGGGAGTGACGGCGTGAGGTGCTGGGGTCATACTAGCCTGTGACTTTCCCATACTTGATGCTGGACGATCAGCACCTGAGAGAGTCGAGGAAGTACGAGACATTGTGGGAGGTTGTTGAGGCGCATATTGTCCTTGAAAAGGTGTTTGTGGTCCTGGAGGGTACTGCGTGGGGGGTCGCGGGGACTGTGGCGCCACCATGTTGGGTGGTGTCTGGCCATACATGTGTTGCCACTGAGCCATGAAATCCGGATTCACAGGATTCATGTAAGGCACAGGGAAGCCCTGAGATTTCGCGGTCAGAAGATGCTCAAAGTTTCCGGTGTGGGGAGAAAGATCTATGAAAGGGGGGCTGGAAGAAAACGCCGGTTGTCTCTTGAAATGGACATTCCAGGGGGTTTGCCTCTCAACAAAGGAGAAAAGGGCTTTACTTGTTGGGGTGCCATGTTTGGATTATATCCATATGGCTGGCTGGGATAGCCACCGTACTGAGGTTGGCCCATGTGTGGGGCTTGCATCGGCATCTGGCCGCCTTGGCCAGGAATTGGTTGAGCATTCGGGGGCATAGGGCTATGCGGCTGCCGTGGGGCCTGGTGAGGGGAGTTTGGGTAAGGCTGATAAGGGCGATTTTGTTGTTGAAAGGAAGTGACGCTTCCGCTACGCGGTTGGTTGGGTGTGGACCTGTAGCTCTGTGCGGGAGAATACGGTGCTTGCTGCCCGTAAGTAGAATATCCTCTGCCACGCCCGCCTTGAGGTGGATAGCCTCCCCGACTAGGCACAGGACCCATACCATGACCGCTCATATCACTATGTTGAGATTGTGATGACTCCCGTCGTAGGTGACTGGTCTGAGGCCCGGACATCAAAGGACCTTGTGAGATGCTAGAGGCTCGAAGCTGAGCGTATTTCAGCTGGAGCAAACGGAAAGTGCTGACTGCGAAGTACTTACATTTCCCTCAGAACCGCCAAAATTGCCGAAATTGACGCTGCTGCTCTGGCCATGCAGAGCAGAAGGTGGCTTACCTCCACTAGCAGGCGGCTGAGGTATTGGAGATGGTGACTTCTGGGGTGATGCAGTCCGTGGATTGGTGGAAGAATGGTGCACTGTCAATGAGTCGCCTGATGTCATCGGCTGTGATGATGCGTTTTTTGTAGCTGTAGAGCTGGAGTCCATAGCCCCAAATTGAATATTGTTGCTAGCGGATGATTTTCCGGTGCTTGAAGCTCCATTTGGCATATAACCAGGAGCACCCGCAGGGTTTATGGTGACCGACGACTTTCGGCCGTGATCTCCTGTACCAGAAGTTGTAGCAGTGTTCCCATTGACCATAGGGCCCACAGCAGGTACAGCAACGGGAGGTCTGTTATTCAGTGAAATGTTTGCATCGCTTTTACCATGATTGTATGCTGGCCCTGTTTGTGCGTTATTGCTTGGACCCGAAGGAGTGTTGAAAGAAGTCTTCGTCGCGCTGGCGTAGCTACTTTTACTGGAAGCCGAACCCGCGGCTTGGGTGGCTTTCCCACCCGTAGAAGCAACCGGCGAGTGCGAAGATGCGGCTGCCTGAGTTGCGCTTTGTGCCTGAGGTGGATTGACCGGTTGAGAGATGCTGGTCATCGAGGCTCTTGAGTTTTCAATATTGAATCAAAGATCGTGTGGTGCAGGATTTCTAAATCGATCACTTCGCACCGCAAGGTGATTTGCTCAGGGTATTTGAATCGAAAATTATGGTATCACCAGATCTGCTAGAGGGGAGAGTGTCTGAGAAAGGACGTGATGAGGATGTCCCAGTAGATCAGAGGTTCTCAAATTTGTGGTAATCTCGTCTGGGGAGTTGCCTCACGGACAGAGCACTACCTGTGATCGCTCGATAGAAACAGCGCTCGGCAGGGGGGAGAATGTGCCGGGGCGAATTTTGGAGATGAGTTATAGAATCCGCGACATCCAAGACGAAGCGCCGGATGTTGGATAATTGGGGATGGTTGTTGTGAGAGTCGAGCAATAGAGAAAAAATTCGGCTCATACAAGGGATGCGCGCTAGTGGCGTATCCGTTTTTTTCTTTTGAATTTTTGAATTTTTAGCCTCCTCAGGCGCTTTGGGGCCAATTCCGGGGGGCGTCACTGGGCGAGATTGATAGCCCAGAACTCCCCCATCTGCCTTCCAAGTTACAAATAATACTTCTAGCAACCAAGTGAAATCGGGAAGATGAATCAGACACGGATAGCAACGCGAGACTACGATGCTCGTGCCTCTCATTTCTAAATCCAAAGTCATCACGCATATAGAACTCTCCACTGCCAAGTCCTGGACCGTGGCAGCCTTCAAGCCCCATCAACACGCCCATGCTCCACCGCGCCAGAAGGAGGAAAACAGGAAGAGAAGGAAGGGCGTGGCTGATAGGCTCGTTTGCACGCACACGATTGGATCTGTGAGCCTTTTGCCATCATTTTCCGGTCTAAGCCCTGTTCTCCGGTACGGTAAGCTGCATTGTTGTCTGACTCAAAGATGCCTGAGACCACACGTCTATATTTTGACTCTTTCGTAAGTCACAGACAGTCCTTTCATTTCGTCCAAAGCATCACAGCCTCGCCCGAATCGTCATCCCCACGCTTTGTGCGCTCGTTTATCGGAGGGGATATAAAGTCGGCGATAACACCTATGGTGAATAAGAGCGCGGTTGTTCGATCTGGTACGTGATCTGCTTGGCCTTTTGCTCGCCCTAAGACCCTTGGTCTGACTCATGCGACGCAAGTCATAACGGGGAGTCAGAGGACATGATAATGATAATAGACACATTGCCTGAGAGCGACCAAATGCAGTGAAACGCACTAAAAATGTATACATACATGTCCTATTGGAGAGCAGCAGATACCACACTTCAGATTGAGTCAGTCAACAACCCCGGGTCTCTCGCCCTTCCTGCCTTACTCCATTTGCTTCAAGCTCACGGATCTTCATACTTCATGATACCTTCCTCCAAAGCTTTGATCTGTAGTGCTAGCATGCGTGAGAAATAGCGGCAAAGAGCCAGATTACCACCGAAAAACCAAAAGCCAGGATGTCCGGTCCTTCTCCACATCGTCCGCAACTCTCCTTCCTCGTCAAATCCCCAAACATCTTTCACTTGTTCCGCAATCTGATCTCCAAAGATCTTGCGGGCTGTGCCGCGCATGTTTTGGTACCCTGTAGCAAAAACTATCTCGTCAGCCTCCAGCTCCGTGCCATCGCCGAAAGCCAGCCCATGTTCCTTGACTTCTGTGATTTCTTGGCCTTGTTTGACTTTGATCTTGCCATCAATTATCAGTTGGCTACAACCCACGTCGATGTAGTATCCACCTCCTCGTTGAAAATACTTCATGAAGAAGCCTGCATCGTCGGGACCGTGATCAAGCTTGAACCCGGCTTTCTCAAGGCCTTTCAGCAGCTCTTCATCCCTCTTGGCAATCTCTTTGGTGGCGTCAACATGGAGTCTCTTGAGCATGCGATTCGGGATACTCATAAACATCAAATCCGCATCCTCTGTGTCCGGTCCATCCTCTACGTATATTCCAGCAAGCAAGACATCCAGGCCGGCCTTGGATGACATAACGTAGGTTGAAGAGCGCTGTACCATCGTTACATCATAGCCATGCTCAAAGTAGTCCTGCGCTATGTCGTGACCGGAGTTACAGCAGCCAACAACGACTGCTTTCTTGCCCTGTCCATTTTCTTTCGCACCCTTGAATTGACTCGAATGAAACAGACTATCTCCCTTGAAGATATCTATGCCTTTGATTTGAGGCATGGACATTTCGCCGCTGTGGCCAGTTGCTTGGACTACATGTCGAGGATGAAGTGTCCTATGGTCAATCGATCCATCCGGTTTCTTTCGCTCCAGTTCCACGGTCCATTGGCGTTTCTGGCCATCCCAGCTTGCGCTTGTGAGCTTTGTCTGATTCCATACATTGAGTTCAAGGAGTTTCGCATAGCTCTCGAACCATTCCGCAAGCTTGTCTTTCGGCGTGAATACAGGCCAATGTGACGGAAATGGTATATATGGAAGATGATCGTACCAGACCGGATCATGGAGCACAAGTTGATGGTATCTGATCACCTTGTAGCGCTGCTGTCTCATCGAAGAAAGAGCGACTTACCTGTTGCGCCAATTATCACCCACTCGAGGGTTTAGGTCAATGATCAACGACGGTACACTCAATTGTTGCAGTCTTGCGGCAATCGTCAGACCACCTTGGCCGGCGCCTTCCAACGCAAAGATCGTCAGATACATACCGTCACGAATTAAACGGCAATACCATACCTAGTATGAGCACTGTAGGCTCCAGGTTTCCCTCAAAGTTTTCCTTAGCTGTCCTTCTCTCGAGCCAATTCTTTCGCCCTGGATGTCCTCCGTGGTCGACACCCTGCGGTCTGTTGTGTCCCACAGTCTCCTCATGACCCGTAATGCTTCGTAACGTAGTAAACCTGAAAAGACAGCACACTCAGCTTTGCCGACAACGAGAAGAACGGCCCAGGTCGGAGCGGCGCTCACATTGTGAATGCTTTCCATTTGGCACTGGGATCTTGTAGGAGCCTGACTAGACCTCTACCTTTTCCAACATCCGTTTCGATGGTCAGAAATGCACCAATTCCCTTGACTTGACCATGATAGTCTGCCGCTGTAATGTGAGGCTCAACCTTGGGATTGCTGGTGTCAATTGAAATAGACTTGATACGACTGCCCTTGGGCGAGGAACGCAGGAAAGAGGCTATCTTGTCGGGGCCATCTAGGGTGTGATAGTCCCATGAAAGCGCAAGTTGGTCGCGCCAACATGCCTCCGGAAGAAACAGCTGGGTGATCGTATCCCAGTCACTACCGGATAAGGTCTCATTCAAGCGGTCAATCCATTGCTTGGTAATCTCCTTGACATTAATGTCAGAAGGAGGGACTACCTCTGGGTAAGAAGCGGGCTGCAGCTGGCTTGAACCTGGCTCGACTCGATTGTGTGATGGAGTTTGTACTGCTGCGGTGGCCATGATCCGTTGGTTGGGGATGATTGTGCTTTTGAGAAAGGGAAGATAAGAGAGAAGGCGAACTCATGGAAGCATGGAGACGAGATCCTTCGAGTCGAAGGATGGCCGTCCATTTAGCCGTCCTCATGCACCTGCATTCCCCGCACATGACGATACGGTTATGTATTTCAAAGTTTCAGACCCCGCCTCCAACGACATGACGAACGGGAAGACCCTCCGTGCCATCTGTGTAGAACTTGCTCCGAGCTTCATGAGGGACACCCAATAATAATGTTGTTCTCTTCATAACGGAAGCTGGTGGAGAAGGGGCCTGAATCTTGGTCTAATAAAGCTTATTGAGCCATCCAAATTCTAGTGCGGATTTCTTCGCCGACCTAGTAGTAGGTGAACTGCATCTATTCGCGAAATATGTACATACAGAAAGGATGTAGTAGGGGTTTTCTAATTTCATACACTCCGACTCTGGGTATTCTTGCAAATAGCTTGTTCCCACTCGTATACCTCTCCACCGAGAGCAAATGCCATTTAGTCTAAATGGTGTCAATGCCCCTCGGTCAGATCGTCTATACTTCCTCCCAACTCCAATATGATCCGGTTCACCGAGTCCATCCCTCGCCCACACATTGACATTCGCAGTTGACGCATTTGCCCCCCTTGATGTATGCTCTGCCAAGGCAATCTTTCGTGCACAGAGTCATACACACGTCTTCTTGATCTATTGTACATGTCTGTGCTAGCACGGTTGATAGTGTCGTGTTGGTTGTATTGGCCGGAGGTACGAGGGAGGCAGAGAACTGCATCGGAGGGGAACCGAGTTGCCGCGGCCGAGATCCAGCTGGAGTAGCATTGACTGAGGCAGAGAGCATCAAAGCGAGGCAGAGGAATAAAAGCATGATCTCAATGGGATTAGATACCAAAAAATAGCTCTTTCAGAAGTGAAATATAATGGTTTTTTGTGGAAAAGAATATTGCCACAATCGATTGCTTGGGAGCACATAGATCCTCGAAACATCGTTCGTCTGCAGAAATCAAGGGCAACGATCTCATTGTGAGCACATGATGGGGCAGAAACAACTAGTCAAGCTTTCCAGCAGTCTTCACCACCTAAGACTTCCGCTGGATGACGGTAGTATTACAGGCTGCATGTTTTCTGAAAACAGAGCTTCTCGAAAAGCTTATGAATGATCATGAGTCTATGGTGTCGCACTCACTTGAAAAATGTCGGGCCATAATCTGACTGGATCGGAACTCGCCAGTGCGAAAATTTGTGATTCTTGAAGTCGCGCTTCTCGCGAAGAGCAACAGGCGTCTGTTGGTAAGTATCATATCTTGTTGGCCCAGCGTTGGGTGAAATCCCATCATGCCTGGGTACCGGGCACTGACCTTTGCAGTGGGCGCATTACGAGTCACGAGAGCTGTCATATCTAACCCCTGAGCCGCTGCCTGGTTCCCCTGATGCCCTAACCCTAACCGTCCATAATAGTACTAGCGCAGCCACAACTGAGGGACTCTACCTTATCATACATGCACAACCGTTAAGCACGTCAAATTTCAACCACAATGTCTCGGTTCTTTACTGCCGGTGATAGTTCAAGCGAAAGCAGCTCGTCTGATGAAGAGGAGCTGTACAGTGATCAAGAACAACAACAAGGTGAAGAAGAGGAGTCAAGTGAAGAGGAGGAAGAAGAGGAAGATGAAGGGTCTTCTTCTTCTGACGAGGGGGGTAAGACCGGAGGCTCCAGATTCTTGAGAGATGCTGCTTCAAGCGACGAAAGTGAAGATGAAGATAAAGTCACAGTCGTCAAGAGCGCGAAGGATAAGAGGCATGAAGAGTTGGAAGGCATCGTGAGGCTAATAGAAAATGCGTCTAAAATTGGGGACTGGAGCACAATATCGACGGGTACGATGCTCTCCGTGCACTGGAGCTTTCGAAATGCTGACTATCGCAATGAAGAATTTGATAGACTAAACAGACAGGTTATTAAAATCACTGTTTCAGAAAAGCCGCCCAAGAGCTATGTCAAAATCATATCAGATCTAGAAGATCTGATGAATGATGCCATTGCGAAACAAAAAGTCTCCACGAAGAAAATGAATGCCACGAACGCCAAAGGCTTGAATATTATGAAACAGAAGATCAAGAGAAACAATAAGGACTACATGACAGAAATCGATAAGTACAGGGAGGACAAGGCAGATTACATGATGTCTGATGAGGAAGAGGAGATCGTTCAAGAGAAGGTAAAGAAACCTAAACAAACGTACATCGAGTCTGGAGACCCTGGTGATGAGGGTTACTCTACAGTGGGTCGAGGAGGCAAGACTCTACAGTATACCCCGGAGAGTATTCTCAAGCACCTGCGGTCCATTGTGGAATCTCGAGGGAAGAAGAACACGGATAAAACGGAGCAGATACGGATCATGGAAAAGCTTCTAGAGGTAGCCGATACGCCGTATCGAAAGATCAGAGTCCTCATCACCCTCGTCGCCACCCGATTTGATATGACATCTGGGTCAAATGCAGAGTCCATGAAACCAGAGAATTGGAAAGCTGCTGAGCATGAGTTCAGACTACTCCTGCAAGCACTGGAGGATAACAGCAACATGGTTGTTGTTGAGAACGCGGAGGAATGGGAGGACGATGATAAACCTCCCCAACCTGCAGCTGGCGAAAAGCTTAAAATACCCGGCAGCGTAGTTTCTGTTGCTGAACGCTTAGATGATGAGCTTACGCGATCGCTACAGCACATCGACCCACACACTGCGGAGTATATTGAGCGCTTGACAGACGAGCAAGCTTTGTACAATGATATTCTCCGAGCTTTGCTGTACGTGGAAGGCTTGAAGCGAGACCCAAAGCTAGATCAAACAGATGATGGAGCAAGCCGTGTGATCATGCGACGACTCGAACATGTGTACTTCAAAGTAAGATCCCCTCTCTTTTAGCTCTCCAGACTGACGCTTTCCCAGCCAGCTCAAGTTGTTCACATACAAGAGGAGAATGCGTGGAATTCCATTCCTTCGCAGTTGAACTCGACGACCACACCACGTGAAGTGGAAGCCAATATTGACAAGCTCGTCCAAACACTTAGCACTTTCTTATTCAAACACAGCGCCGATCTCATCCGGGCGCGAGCATATTTGTGCCAAGTGTACTACTTCGCCCTTCACGATCAATACTATAAAGCTCGTGATATGCTCCTAATGTCGCATTTGCAGGAAACCATCGCTAATTTTCCGATCAATACTCAAATACTGTACAACAGGACCCTCGTGCAGGTCGGACTCTGTGCGTTCCGCGCAAATCTCGTTTACGAGGCACAAAGCACTCTTCAAGAAATATGTGGCAGTGGTCGGCAGAAAGAGCTATTGGCTCAAGGAGTAATGATTCAGCGCTACTCACAGGTCACCCAAGAACAGGAAAGGCTTGAGCGACAGCGCCAGCTCCCATTTCATATGCATATCAACCTCGAACTCCTCGAATGTGTTTATTTGACCTGCTCGATGTTACTCGAGATCCCTCTTTTGGCCCAAACAGGCTCGTCGCCAGATGTCAGGAAGCGTGTCATCAGCAAGACGTATCGACGTTTGCTTGAATTCCACGAGCGCCAAATTTTCACAGGCCCCGCAGAGAACACTCGCGATCATATCATGCAAGCTTCCCGCGCTTTAGCTGCGGGTGAGTGGAAGAAGTCTGTGGATTTAACGAACTCCATCAAAATTTGGGATTTAATGCCGGAGCCAGGAAAGATAAAGGCAATGCTTTCAGCTCAGATTCAAGAAGAAGGGCTACGGACATACTTGTTCACATACGCACCTTTCTATGATACGCTGTCTGTCAGTACACTGGCCTCGATGTTTGATTTGAGTGAACGAAAAGTGACCGCGGTAGTCAGCAAGATGATCTCACACGAAGACCTTGCAGCTGCTCTAGACCAAGTAAATGATGCTATAGTGTTCCGAAAAGGCGTCGAACTGTCGCGACTACAAAGCCTAGCTCTTACCCTCAGCGACAAGGCCAGCGGTCTTATCGAATCAAATGAACGGACCCTAGAGCAAAGGACGCAGGGCATGACAAATGCTTTCGAGAGGCAAGGCGGGGCGGGCGGTCGCGGTGGTCGTGGCGGGCGAGGGGGTCAGCGAGGACAAAGAAATGATCGTGGTGGCTCGAGGTTAGGCGGTCAGCAATTTGGTGGTGGTGCATTGGGCAACGCTATTAAAGCTTGAAAAGTGACGTGGGCATGGAAAGCACTCATATCTTTTATGCATTGCGAACAGGAAGTCTTGAGGTTGGTGTAATAAGGGTTTCAATTGGGTCCATCAGTCGTCAAGGTCATTCATGAATGCTGGTGACCAGTATTCTTTCTCCGGAGCTTGCTCGTCCACCCACACCAATGAGTCGCCTAACAAATCCTCTATCACAGTTTCAGCCCTTGCGCGATCCCATCTTAGATTGTCTTCCAGCATAGAACAAGTTACGTAGCCTAAGATCTGCATGACTTCCAGGACCGTAGATTGGTCAGAATTCAACTCCTTGGGAATGCTGCGAATCATCCGCTTGCTGCCGACGGTCACGATCGAGAAACCCGATCCCAATGGAGCAAGTGATTTGACTGCTCGTAGGATGTCATCATCGCTGACTTCCAGCTCTCCACCTAGGCCTTTGCCTCTACCGACCCTTCCTGTACACTCTTCCACGGATATAAGGCCTCCGTTTTCGCCTCTGCTAGAACGGCAGACCTCTACTACCCGGACTGCCACCTGCAGAAAAAAATCGTTTACACCATTGCCGTTACCACCACCGATAACGGTGCCCAGCCACCCCCCAATCCCTTTCCTGCTGCTGATTTACCCCTCACGTTGCTACCGGCAAGAGGATCAACACCAATGGCATTGCACATACGGGCAAATTCAGCTCGAAAAGACGGGTTCGTTTTGATAGTATCGGCATGCTGAAGAGCAAAGTTATGCAGCAGCGACTGAAAGACGGACAACTGGGTCTGGAGAGAGTCTAGGTGGGAGGAGCGTAGGCTGGCGCCATGGGTTGCGTAGGAAGTAGAGAGGGAGTTGCGGTTTTGGAACGCCGATAGACCTACCCCTCTTCGAGCCGACATCTGGGACTGAGGTCCATATGAAGATCGCAAGCGGTCTCTTCAGAGGTGTTGGACACAATTTTGTACCGCAAAAAGGGGACCATGATATGAGATGTCTCTCTACCTAGGGCTACCTCAGGAGCCGCGACAAATGCCAAGAAGCGCTAAGCGAAGCTTTAGCGTCTCACACATCTTGGAAGGCAAGAAGAGCGAATCTGGTGTTGTTTGCAGCCACCTCTGGAGAAGATCTCAACTTGCACTCCGCCCAAAATGGCTCCTCAGAAGCACTCAGCTACTATCAAGACGTAAGTTGACTCAGCAATTCTCCCCATAATGGTGCAGGAACAACAAAGTCACAATTCCATCTTGCCGCATCCCCTATGCACTTAACTCTCTGATCTCTGATATGCTCATGGCCAATTTCGAAGAACACGCATACTTGATCAATGCTAACTCGTGTTTGTCAACGTTATAGATCGGTGCCAACCGAGGATCAGATACTGGTGCCGGAGACACTGCTGAAGAAGCGCAAGAGTCAAGAAAAAGCGCGTGAGGACAAGCTAGCAGAGCAGAAAGAGAGGAAAACCGTGAGTGACACCATTCACGTCCGAAAATCCTAGACATCAAATGAGATGTGGGCCGCTGTGATGATACCTACCATTTGTCGCGACTAGATCTCAGCGATCGATGCTGTCGCATTTTCTTAACCATCTTTCGGGTCTGAGTCGTTCACACAATTCCTTGAATTGCGTCATAATCCATAGCACGCAATGGACTAACCATCTCTGTGATGTAGGTCAACAAGGAGAAACGCGGTGTCATTTTCAAGCGAGCCGAATCATACGTCAAAGAGTACCGTGACGCAGCACGAGAAAAGATTCGCCTGTCCCGTTTGGCAAAGCAAGAAGGCACATTCTACGTCCCCGCCGAGCCAAAACTCGTCTTTGTCGTCCGTATCAAAGGGTGGGACTATGGCATCTCTTGCAAGTTTCTAAGGGAGCTGGTCTGACGATTCTGACAGTATCAACAAAATCGCTCCCAAACCCCGAAAGACCCTTCAATTACTCCGCCTCCTCCAAATAAACAATGGCGTCTTCATCCGCCTCACGAAAGCCACTTTGGAAATGCTCCGCATCGTTGAACCTTGGGTAGCTTATGGGTATCCCTCGATCAAGACCGTGCGAGATCTTGTCTACAAGCGAGGATACGGCAAGATAGATAAGCAGCGCATCCCGCTGACCGACAATCAGTTGATTGAGGAACAATTGGGTAAGCTTGGGATCATCTGCATGGAGGACCTGATCCACGAAATATATACTGTCGGTCCAAATTTCAAGCAAGCGAGCAACTTCTTATGGCCATTCAAATTAAGTAATCCGAATGGTGGATTCAAGGCGAGAAAGTTCAAGCACTTCATCGAGGGAGGTGATTTGGGGAATCGGGAGGAGAACATCAATGCTTTGATCAAGCAGATGAACTGAGATGGCGGACGGTACGTGTATGGGCGTGCTCAAAACAATGCCAAAGATTTTCAAAGAAATGTCGAACTCGTCATGATGCATCCAGACTGCAAGATCATTGAGTGATTTCAGTTTCGTTAAACTTGTCTTTTCTTATTTATAATTTCAATATGAACCTCAAAATCCAACCAACTCAACCCTTCAACGCATACCCAAACAACGAATCCATCTGTACCCAGACCCGTCCACACTGCTTCAAATACCCTTCCACAACCCTCGTACAAGTTCCAAACCTCTCCCTCATGATCTCTCTCAGCACTTTCGCCTTCTCCTTCTCACTTTCTTCAGCCTTCAGCGGATTTGGCTCCCCTTTCCCGGCAACACCATCCACATCAAACAAGCCTCTGAGATATAGAAGCTGATTATAGATGGCCTTCTCGGAGTACTCATACCTCATCCTTCCCAGGCAACCTTCAGCTCGGCCTCTAGGACCAAGACACCGGTGCCCGTACACGCTCATCTGTCTCGTCCGATTGCCACAGGCGGTGTCGTCGCAGACAAGCCAGCCTTCATAGTACTTGGAGACTTGCACACGGATCGCATGCTCCAGCTGGGCAACCACCGTCAATGTGGTGAACGGACGTCTGCAGGACTCTGAGGCACAAACGATACCTTCCGTTGTAAGGTTCTTAAGTGATGCAGCTAGCCCTTCGAATTGGAAGGACTCCTTGCAGTATCGGCACCTCAATGTAAGGCGGGTGCAATCCTGGAAGCGGATGGAATCTGGTATTTGACTATCCAAGGGGCATATCTCCTTTTCTTGGGATTGGTTTGCGCTGGTGGCGATACTGTATTTGCGCGTGTCTAGGCCAAGACATTCAGCTAGATGCATAGAATCTGTGCCGGGCATAGGGGCACAAAGACGCTCGATAGGGGGAAAATCTGTTTGTGGAGGTACCATTCGACGTCGGGCTTTAGGGTGCTACCAGAGACTATCACTTCAGCGGGAGCATAGGCACGCTTCGCTGTGTTCTCGTTCGAAGGTGTCTTCTCTGTCGCGGCTGTCATGATGTAGGAGATCACGTCGTTTTGTCGTACAGTCTTTCCATGAGCGAGAGCACGGAGTGCAACTTGTACCTGAGGCATGGAATCTGGATTAGGATAATCTTTTGGGTTTTTGCCCAGTTTCTGAAATAGGAGTCAGTGAAGCAGAGATCGATCAAGGCCAGAACATAGCTTACGGTAAAGATGATGTATTTTTGTGATGGAACTTTTTCCTCCCTCATTCTTTCGGAAAGAGTCCGTAGGTATTCGTGAACCTGTTCAACGACAACTTCGGATTCTTCTCCAGAAAGGATCATGTTCAGTAATTTTGAAGAAGCTTCTTTAGAAAGGGCACAGTATTCTCGCCTTTTCATGTCAAGCCCTTTGACTTCGAGCTTGTCCATATACTTTCCGTCAACTTCCAGCATGTTGATAGCAGCATACTTCTTCTTCGCATGCAATAATAGACGCCGGAAAACATTGTCGATGTCTATTTCAAGCAGCTTGTACCTCTCGTTGACAGAACGTTTGAAATCAGTTCCCACCTTGAGAGCCTCTTCAATATTATCGGCATTCGTGTTGATCATGACAGAGTCTGTATCACCATAAATAACACGTAGCTGTGTGCTCTCTGCAAGGTCCTTTGTGCTTCGCAAGATCTCTCGTCCTTTAGCTGTTGTAAGCATAGCAAGGGGCCTGGCGTAGAACCTGGACTGCGTGTAGCCCAAACAACCGTACATGGAGTTTGCAGTCAATTTAAGCGCCAGTTGTTTGATGTCCCATGTTGCGATCTGCTCGGAGGAAGCCTTCTTGTCCTTCATAAGACTTTTGACCTCTCTTCGTCGACTCACCAAGGTCGAAATGAGCTTTGGTAGAATTCCTTGACCTTGATCACTTGGGGCATCCGGAACCCTCTCTTCGTTTTCGTTCTATCAGTATTCGTTAGCTTGAGGTATCGTGGAGCGTCAAAGCAACGTACTATCTCGGACCTATCTATAGTTGTGAAACAGATGTTGTACTCCTGTATGATACTGGGATATAGACTGTTGAAATCCATGACCAAAATGAACTTGTCATACAAGCCTTTCTCTGGTTCGAAGACGAGACCGCCCTTGTACTTGTCTTTCTTCTTGACGTCCACGCCTTCGTCGCCATCGGCTTCTTCCTCCACTTGTGGTTTGCTCTTACCGTACACCTTATCTGGGCATATGTATTTATTCTTGTAGAATTCATGTAGTAGAATGTACTCGTTGCGCTCTGCTCGAGTTCCACTCAGTGTTCTTGCCCACGAATTGCCTGCCAAATTAGTGAGGACTTTCGTCAAAGGCAACATCTGCACACGAAGGGCAAGTGCAGCGACGAAGAAGGTGTCGGCTTCACAATGTTTTACATAATCCATAAGCCCGTCTCGAGTCGTGGCCCACGTCTTCAGGGCCGCATCATTATCCAGTTCTCGACGTGGCGCTCCCTCACCTAAGTAGAGCTCAGACATCTCAGTCAGGCTCCATGACTGGCATTTCGTCATCAAAGACTGCGTCGCGTAAGCATGAAGCGTCCGCTACGGGAAAGATTGGGACTTACTTTGCCCATTTCATTGGCGACATCGCAAAGCAAGCGACCTGATACTAGTTGCCTTTCCGAGAAAAAGCTAGTATTTCCTTTCCCAAAATTCTTTGGCCAATCACTACGTCTCAAGCGGCCGATTCTATGCCAACCTGGTGTCTTTTTCTCGCGGAATCGAGATAACAGGATGGGATAGTCGACATCTTGCAACTGGTGGCCAACCAACACGTCTGGATCTGCACGCTCAAGCAATGCTAGAAATTTTGCTAGGAGCATGTTCTCATTCTTCTCGAGCATGATAGTACCCCGCTGCTTCTTAGTGATTGAATCAAAGCCCACTGGAAATGTCGCCTCAACGGGCCGCATGATAGTGTAGCTTTTGCAGGGAAGCTTCTCGGGCGGTGTTGTGTCACTTAGTGAAATATTCTCATAAAAACGAGCACTAGCAACTAGGACTTCTTGCTTGTTTGCTTTCACATTCAACGTTGTTCGTAACGCTAAGCTCATGAAGCTGAGGGGCGGGGCTTCGAGACTGTCGGCTTCACTAGTAGTCGTAATTGCCTTGGGACTCGTGATTTGAGCCTCAAACTTGCACCATGAGGCGTTGCTAAGACATGAGAAGTGGGCTTCTTCAATCTTCAGCCAGCATGGACCCATTATTTGCTTCCAAAGCACAAACTGCTCGAATATCGCAGTGCTTGTACCAAAAACGTGCGAAAATGTTTCTCCTGTTAAGCCTACCGGCAGCGAAGGCTTGTCGTAGGGATACATTGCTTTTAGATAATCTCCTTCTTTGGGAATGTCGGGTAATTCAAAGGCGTACTTTCGTGAGCAAGGTTTGATCTTATGCATGCCCACCTTGAGCCGGGACATGATTTCATCTGCTTCTTGATAAACATCACCCATTTCCACTTCTTTCGACGTTTCTCGACCGTGTTTATGGCGGTGAGTACGCGGTAGAAAATATAGCTTGCGTAAGATATTGTCTATCTTGATGAATGCTGACACGAAGTCTCCAGACTTCTTATCTCTGACCTTGCCGAACAAACACAGACTACCATTGACATCTGTGTAATCAGTCCAAAATATGCGAAGGCTGCCATCCGGCTCCACAGCATCCTCAAGACTTAATTTACCGTGACTTGTAACTTCTTGACTACTAATAACATTAAGCTTAGCAGTCACGTCGTTCCAAGACGAAGCATCCATGTCGCAAGTAGGTGGTCGAGTGGGAGAGGAATTGGCTGGCGTTGGATACGAAGGGACTTTAGATACCTTAGGGACTGGCTTCACTCCAGAGATGTTGATGCTGGTCGCTTTGACCTTGTGGTCACCAACTACTTGCGCGATTTCCATCAAGTCTTCTTCTTCCACGTCCTCAACCTTGACAGGGTGCAGGCTTCTACGACTAGCAACATTGGCTGTTGGTGATGACGGCAATGGATCACTAGATGGTAAAGTGTCGTCATCTAATTGTTGTCCGAACGAGTTTTCGTCGTAATCGTTTTCTTCGGGAGGGGTGTGAAGCATATTTGTTGCGGGCTTGCTTATGTCTGGTCTCGGGAGCGATGAACGCTTGTCGTGGCTTAGTGGTGGAGAGAGAACACGAGTCTTCCTCCGCGAATTGGTCTTGACAGTCCGTAAGGGAGCACGCGAGGCGATATTGATGTCGACCTCCCCTAGGAGGCCAGCCATGAAGGCACTGTCTTCGGCGGTCACAACTGGCTAGAAGATCTTCATTCAGCAAGATTTGTACCGTGGGAAGGCTTTGCTCTCGTACCTTCGGTTTTGGAGCTGCCGGGGCAGGTTTGTTGTTGAAATATTTGTTGATATTATTATTCGCTTGCTCAATCCGCTTTTGATCTTCCTCGCGCTTTCGTTTTGCTACTTCCTGTGAGTAAGGCCGTGATGGGTTCTCGCGTACGTTGATGTACCTGCTTTGCCCTTTAGCGGTCGCTCTTCTTCGCTTCCACTTTGACTCCCGTAGCGAGGCTCATGCATCCACTCTTCCCGACCATCGTCAGCATAGCCTTCACCATTGTCATCGATCACAAAGTCATCTTCATCCATTCGACCTCGAACAATTTTCTTATAGGAATCTTCGTCCACTTCGTCATAGAGGTCTTCTTCCTCTTGAACATTGTAGGAAGACAAACGCGACTTGCCCGAAGCTCGAAGAGCTCTTAGCTCAGCGAGCTTTGCCTTTGCAGCCGCCATAATGTGTGGATTTGGGGGCAATCAAAATAGGAGCTGGTTGTTCCCAGAGGTGGAGTGGGACTAGGACAATCCGCAGCTTGCCAGAGCTCGCGTGCGGACGCGAGCGCGTTTGTGCCAAGGAAAGGGTTTAGCGCTACTTAGTCAGCCGAATTTCGTGTTTCCCTATAGAGAACAGTGATCTCGTTGGCCTCCACTCAAGACTTCGAAAAGGATTTGGTGCCCGGGGGCTAATTTGCACGTCTTACTATATTGCACTACTCTGCTACTCCTAGACTTTTGCAGCTTGACTCAGTCCCGCTTCCAATGTCGTCCAATTTACACATAAGTCCTCTTCAATCAACAGCGCTTTCGCTTCTTCGCTCTCTCTGATATAGCTCTCGACAATGACTCGACAGTTCTCCCAGAACGCATCAGGCTTTTCCTCCAAGAACCATACGCCTTCAGCACGACTCCGTCTTTGCAAAGCGGAGCGGTGCTCTATCAGATTTTGATGCTCGCTTGATTCTTCAGTCAGTATTTCCTGGCGGATTTCTGCATTTAGATGCACACGTTGAGTGCCGATCTTGCGGAGCAGCTTGCTAATTCGTTGTACTGCAAACGGGGGGATATGATGTTTCCTCCCACATCAAAATCTGACTGATCCGTCAGTTCGACGTCCGTCTGAGTTGTCCAGTAATCGCGCCGGAGAAGCCATATTCGGTAGCTCAAATGGTACGAATTCGCCTAGCTTGATATCCACCGTCAATGCCACTGAGACTGACCAACATAGCCTTCTTCCATCGTTCGATCTTCCAAAGTCTGTATGAAATTTCTGCTGCGTCCTGTTGCCGCGCGACTACCCCTTCTTCTGGCATTCGCTGCCGTGTTATCCACGTAGCCATCTGGAGGCGGTGGATAGTAAGCAGGGCTCGGTTGTAGCCTGATAGGCGCATTTGGATCAAGGTGGCTTGCAACTCTTTGAATAGACTGCGGTATTCCTCCCTGCTGCTGGTCCATAGTGGAAGCCCGCTGTCTTCCAGCTCGCGCTGTGGCTTGGGCATACAGGTTCTGCTGAGGCGTATACTGTCCGTGTCCCATCTGAGCAGACGCTGGCTGCATCATACCCATCTGCTGGCCATAGCCAGATGACTGTGATGCGTAAGGAGGAGGTGCCGCTTGTTGAGCGTACATATTATTGTACACAGGCGGAGCTGCTCCCAAAGGACTCTGTACATAACCCATCTGAGTGTTAGCCGTGTATGCAGACTGTGCGGTTTGCGCTTGAGCTTGGACCTGAGCTTGTGCGGCTTGTGCACGCTGCTTGCTGACAGCCTCGGCTTGTTGCTGCTGCTGGACACCTGGGGCAGGCGATTTTGTCAAAGAAGAGGATTTAAGATTCATTGGTGGAACGAAAGGTCCAGTGAATTTTTGCTGCGTAATGAAAGGGTGTAATTTGGCTTGTTGGGGTGACCATCTTTCCAATGGATTGATGTTCAACAGTCCTCTGACAAAGTCAATGAAGGCATGTCGATTGCTCATTTCTAGTAATTGTCAGTGTTTCTACTAATTAAAGTCCAGTGCACCAACCTCTATCCATCTCGACCTGCTTCATGTTCTTTCGTGGCATGTTATACGTTCGAATGATCTCCGGCAGCGTTGTAGCTTGGAAATACTTCTTGCTTGGCTGTTCCTTGGTGTTATGTTCCCTAGAGTATTGCTCCATTGATTTCAAGCGGTAATTACGTCGACCGTATTCGTCATGTACTTTTTCGAAGAACTCACCGGACTGTTTGCCCATTTCCAACATCCACGTTGGTGGTAAGCCCAGCATTTCGGTAATTCGCGAAACTTGATTGTATTCTGAAGAGCCTGGAAAAAGCGGCAGGCCCAAGAAAAGCTCCACGACTATACAGCCCAAGGACCACATATCGATGGCCGAAGAATATGGCAAGCCCAATAACACCTCGGGTGAGCGATAAAAGCGCGATTGGATATAAGTATATACCGTTTGTCTTTCATCACAAGCTGATCCAAAATCAATGATCTTGATGACAGGGCTTTCCAAATTCTTAAGCAGAATATTCTCAGGTTTCAGGTCGCAATGTATGAGACGGGCCTTGTTCAGAAGGCTTAGAGCATTGAGCAGCTGCTGTGCGAAAACTCGAACCAGGGTCGTGCTTAAGCCTCGGAACTGGTTTTGCTTAATCAGTTCATACAAGTTCACACTTAGCAGCTCGAATACAAGGCATAAGTGTTGCCGATGGATAAATGTATCTTTGAGTCTCAGAAGATGGTGGTCATCATTCTTGTCGAGTTTACCATTAAGCTGTGTGGAAGCGTCAGTTTGCAGCAGGTTGTGGGAGCAAAAATTCGTGGACTTCCAGTACTTACTAGGTCTAGTACGGAGACCTCCATCATACTTTGGTTGAAGTAGGCCGTGCGATTCTTCACCACTTTCACAGCAACTACCTCTTGAGTTCTCAGGTTTTGACATTTGACTACTTGTCCAAATGTACCTTGGCCCAGAACATCAAGGATAAGGTAGCGATTCTTGTGACCATTGTCCTCATTCCCGAGAATGTCGTTTACATATAAGATGTAGTCACTATCCTCGTTGTCATAGCCATCATTCTTGACACCTTTGCTCGGCTTGGTGAGAACACGCCTTGGGTTTCGTGACGATTCATACTTGAATTGTGGGTTGCAGATGCGGTAAGTTGAGGGCAAATGCGTAGTCAGTGCCTGTAGAGGACTGATGAAACCTCCCTCTGGATTTGCCCGCCTGAAGGCTGGCTGTTCGTTGATCCTAGGCTGAATATCTTGAGTTGAGTTTATCTTGGTGAATTGTGGGACTGCTCCTCGAGGCACCTCCGCTGTGGTACCGCTTTGTGGTGGTCTCAAGTTCCGAGGTGACCGGTTTTCCCGGCCAAACATAGCGTTAAACTGAGCTTGGGCTGAACTTGGGTAGTATTGGTCCGGGCTCGCGTTGTTCGCTTGTATTGGAGGAAGTACAGGTGGTTGCCTCGAGTTAGCTACCATATTTGCAGTCAGCATTCCTTCGATGACCTGACGGAACTCATGGGTTCTACAGTTTACTTACTGGGCGTTGTGTAATAGGATTGATTTGGTGTTGCGTAAGGCGTTGCACGTGTTGGCGACTGACGTGCTGAGGTGCTGTGAGACGGAAATTGTCCGTAGGGACTTTGGGTAGACTGTGATGAGCTTGGTGTATATGGTGATGACGGCGAGAGCGCCTTGACTGGCGAATACCCGCTCGAACTCTCCTGTTGGCTCAGAAATTGACCGGAAGGTCGTTGATGGTGGCTTGGCCGAGGGGGGTATTTCATGCTATTGTAGGGATCCGCATCTTCCATCTTGACATCAGTGTCGCCCGAGAAAGCGCGTCTATGAGGAGTGCCTGATGGAGAAGCTGCCATGGAACTGGGATGAGAGGCAGATGCTGTTTGCTGGTACGCATCGTAGCTATATCCACCAGCTGATTGTGGTTGTTGTGGGCCTCCATTGGCCTGGTGATTCTGCATTTGAGAATGCGGGTGACGACTCGGGCGGTTGGACGAATCTGAATTGTACTGCTGCCACTGCTGGTCCATGGAAACAAGTGCTGGCGAAGAAGTGGGCTCTCAGCAGTCAAGGACGTAGTCGGAGGCGCAGTGACAGTGCCCGCCTGGGTCTTTTGAGGCCAGCCTATCGCAGAACAATGCGGCTTTGCGCGCTCCACTGCAGCAAGCCTTCACGATCAACAACAATTTGCCCTAGAACGAGAATCGATTCTTCCAATTGCTCACGTCGGACGCTTCTCACGAGTAACGGGTCAGCGCCTAAGGCATGCCAGCGCAGCAGGTAGCTCCGCGTTCGCTTTGGGTTGCGGCTCGCTCCTAATGGACTACCTGTTGCGTCTCGAATGAATACTGAGTGCCCTTCGAGTATCCATATGGCGGCCCAAAGAGAATGCGTTGGGAGCAAGATCAGATGGGTGTGGACTGCCAGACGCTGAGCTGCAAGGACAGGTTCAGTAATAATGGGTAATCCTACTCGTAAGGTCAAGCACCGAAGGATCTTTCCATACCCCAAATGGACTCGCTTGGCCCTAGCTCCGGGCTAGTGGGCGCCCCCGAAGCGTCTGGTAGCGTGACATCATCTTGCTATAGAGGTCGAATAATAAATAAGAAGTGAGGAACACAAAGAGCGATGAGTGAAGCAACAAGTTGAATGCCCATCGTCAATATGTGCATAGGCATGCTCAATGCGATGGCAAATGGCACTCTATCAGTTGGGCTTTCATCTGACTCACCTGGCCCGGCCGTAAGTCGATGTAAGGACTTGAGGGAAGTGAGCATAGGTTCAGCGCCTACTACGGAGCGAATGAATCGTAACATGAGCAATCCCTAATGTCTACGTGCCATCTGTAGGCTTCCACTCTATTTATGCCGACTCAACTCAAAGGAACCCTCACCAAAATGGATCGATCAAGGGGCGCTGAAGAGCCTACCGCAGAAATAGCGTCGTACCAGCGAGTCAGCGGCAACGAAGGCAATGAAGATTTCTCTACATCCGCTCTGCAACATGCAGACAGCCTGGCAAAAGACGAAGCATCAAGATTGAAAGACCTCGCTACAGATGTACGCGACCAGGACGATCTAGAGCGTGATGTTCACCGCCAGGCCGATCAGCTGTTGAATGAGCAAGCAGATGAAAGGGATCAAAAGCGTCTTGAGAAAACCGAAATTGAGAAGGGAAGGCTGGAGAATCAGCTCAAGCGGCTTCGCGAACGCCGCAACCGCCAACCTGGATCTGCCACCAAGCTTCGCCTCGACAATGAGATCGCTCACCTTGAGGCACAAGTCAGAACCATTGAAACAGACCTTTTTCAAATAAAGGAACGTATCCAACAGCGACACGAGGAAGTTCAGGAGGATGAACCTCAGGAGGAGGTCTCAGGTGGGAACAGGAGGCTACCTCATGAGAGCCAGCGAGATTTTCTTATTCGGACTGGAAAGATCACCCCGTTCTCTAAGATGCCAGGGAGAAATCTCGGACGCACAGAGTCTTCTTTACAAGGTGTTCTTCTGGATGCCGAAGAGGAACACGAAGCCCAAGACGAGGGTGTTGAACCGGTTGCTGAGGCTGCATCTCACCGAGTTTTATTGCAACCTGGCTTTGCATCCGCCGAGATCGGTGACGTAGATAATGGACCTCACCCGATAGACAGACCAAGGAAGCGAAGACGACTTGAGCGACCTCAAGGGCCTGTCCAGAGGCAAGCAGCGCTGAATCCACCATACCAAAATGACGTTGATAATATTGAAAAGCAGAATGCTTCCGATGGAGACGGTAGTGATTTTGATCCACAGTCTGGTGATGATCATCCAAGAGGCTTACGCGCATCTTCGCACGAAACAGATGATGGCTTTGAGCCTTCTGATTCGGAGGATATGTCGTTTTCGAGAAACTCTGAGCAACGATCTCGTAAGTCGCACAACACTAGTCAGATCGAAGACTTTGCCGGGCTTGATGATGGAAACGAGAGACTCTACCAAAAAAGGCTCCGCAAATGGACCGATAGTAGAAGGGCTGCTCGTCATTTGGCCTCCACAGAGCGTTTTGATCGGCATGCGGAATCAACTGACCTTGCAATTAAAGCCGAAGATGGTGACCGCAATGTCCTTGACATAGTCAATGCTGAGCATGAGGCCGAGTGCTTCTTACCGCATCCATCGAGGGAGGACACAACGTTAGAGGGCGGTCTGAACATCCCTGGGGACGTACATCCTTCTCTATTCGACTATCAGAAGACAGGCGTGCGATGGCTCTGGGAACTCTATTCACAGCAGGTGGGTGGGATTGTGGGCGATGAAATGGGACTCGGCAAGACGATACAGGTAATAGCCTTTCTTGCTGGGTTACATTACAGTAAGAGACTCGCGAAGCCAGTCATTATTGTTGCACCTGCTACAGTGATGAAACAGTGGGTCAATGAGTTTCACACTTGGTGGCCGCCATTACGAGTTTCGATCTTGCATAGTTCTGGAAGCGGAATGATAGACGTTGGTAAAGAGGCTCTAGACGAAGACGAATTACTTACACGCCTTCCTTCAACGAATAAGAGAGAGCAGCATTCAAAATCTGCCATGAACGCCAGGAGAATCGTTGATCGCGTCATCAACGAGGGTCATGTCCTTGTGACGACTTATTCTGGCCTCCAAAGCTTTGCTGAATTGCTTATACCAGTAAATTGGGAATATGCTGTCCTTGATGAAGGCCACAAGATTCGTAATCCAAACACTTCGATCACTATCTATTGCAAAGAGCTTCGGACAGCGAATCGTGTCATACTGTCTGGAACACCAATGCAAAACAATCTTATCGAATTGTGGTCGCTGTTCGATTTTGTATTTCCGATGCGATTGGGAACACTTGTTAATTTCCGCCAGCAATTTGAGTTTCCCATACGCCAGGGTGGGTATGCAAATGCCTCAAATCTGCAGATACAGACTGCCACGAAATGTGCAGAGACCCTCAAAGACACAATTTCGCCATATCTCTTGCAAAGGTTCAAAGCCGATGTGGCCTCCGATCTGCCAAAGAAATCGGAGCAAGTGCTGTTCTGTAAACTTACCAAAATCCAACGAGATGCATATGAGAATTTTCTGGCTTCTGATGAAATGAAATCCATCATGAACGGGAAAAGGCAGATGCTCTTTGGCGTGGACATCTTGCGAAAGATATGCAATCATCCAGATCTTGTCGATCATAGGAATTTGTCGATCAAGCCTGCCTACAATTACGGAAGTGGAGCCAAGTCTGGGAAAATGCAAGTCGTGAAAGCATTGCTTGAGCTTTGGAAAAGTCAGGGTCACAAGACCCTGCTATTCGCTCAACATCGCATCATGCTCGACATTCTGGAAAGATTTATTGGATCTATGAGCGGTATCACATATCGCCGGATGGATGGGACAACTCCTATATCAACTCGCCAAGGCCTAATAGACGAGTTCAATACTAACGTAGACGCCCATGTGTTCTTGCTGACTACCAAGGTCGGTGGGCTTGGTGTCAATCTAACAGGTGCGAACCGGGTCATCATCTTCAATCCAGACTGGAATCCGTCCACCGATGTCCAAGCTCGAGAGCGTGCATGGCGTCTTGGCCAGAAGCGTGAAGTCATGATCTATCGTCTCATGACAGCAGGAACTATCGAGGAGAAGATCTATCATCGTCAACTATTCAAGCAATTTCTCATCAACAAAATCCTCCGCGATCCGAAACAGCGCCAGACATTTCAAATGAAAGATTTGCATGACCTTTTCTCGCTTGGTGATGCAACCAACACTACAGAGACAGGCAGCCTTTTCAAAGGTACTGAAGTGAAATTCAATAAGATTGATGACACACCAGGTTCACCTACGATGAATGATACTCTGCACAAGAACGGTCGCCGATCTCGGATAGGGGGAAAGGATAGTGCTGTAGCCATCGGCGAGCTTGTCGGTGTGGACCACACGGAACGTTTCTATGGAGAGGAGGAAGAAGAGCGCAAAGCGGCAGTCCCCGACGCCACCAATTCCGATGCCCGCGTCATGGAGGGCATATTCGCTCGCTCCGGTGTGCATGCGGCTCTCGAGCATGACCAGATAATCAACGGGAAGAAAGCTCTAACAGCAGACCCTCAAATAATCGAGAGGGAGGCCAAGCGAGTGGCCACAGAAGCAGCCAAGGAACTCAAAAAAGCCGGTGAGGCTGCGAAGAACACTCCTGTTGGTACGCCAACTTGGACGGGTCAATTTGGTGTTGCCGGTCGACCTCGAGAACGGCAGCCGCAGCGGCTAGCGCTGGGGCGTGGTCGAGGTGGTCCTTCATCTGCTAGCATCCTTGCAGGGTTGCAAAGTCGTCAGGTGGGAAATGCACTAGGTAACGATTCCAGAGCTAGTACACCAGGCTCAACAGGCTCGGGTCCCAAAGGGGTAGACTTTATGCAGATGATACGGGAATACTTGATCAGGCAAGGAGGCGCAGCGCATACTCAGATGCTGATTGATCATTTCAATCGTTTCTGTAACACTCCAACGAGAACGGCTGAATTCAAAGCAATGTTGACAGAGATCGCAACGTTGGAGAAAGGAACAAGGGGCCGAGGGAAGTGGTGCTTGAAGGAAGAATACAAGCAGTAATACAAGTGCTACGCATCGGAGAAGTTGTTTATTCGCATAGAACTGTCATTGAGATACCCAGTGAAGATGAACGCGTTTGAATGAAGAGATGCGGTGTAAATTCCAGCATAAGAGCATTCGAGATGAAAACGAATGAGCAAAGAAATATCTTATTGATCGTGCATACAGCTAACTTTCAATGTTGAAGCCTCTTGTGATCGCCTTTTAAAAACCGTGGCGCACAGCCGAGCAATATTCCCTGCCTTTTTCAAGAGGAATATCTCGTTTTCGACTATTGTTCTCGATGATTTACGCGAAGTTGACCCCAAGCTTCTTCGATATGCAAATGTCGCCACGGCCAGACAGTCTGATTCGCAACAGCCTTCCAAACCTAGTGCTATGTGCAATCTACCGTCAATCATGCGGGAAAAGAATTAGCACCTTGTTATACTGGGCCCACGAGAATGAGAACGCGATAGACTTTGCAAGCAAAATGACGAGTCTTCCGGAAGAGAAGCATAATACGTCTCATAGCTCAAGTAGCATAAGCAAGCATGTAAGTCTATCAATCCGATAGTACCACGCGCACTATGAAGCTCACAAGATCATCATCATGATCATGATCATCAATGTCTCCAGAGAAAGCAAGATATCCGGAGAGAGGACTCTGCATTTTCTACTTTGTGTGGCTTCGGACAATATGTGAATCATGTGTATGATTGACTTTGGAGGGCCAGAGTCACGGGTTGACAGGAAAATAATCTTTCACGCAAGCCAGTATCATGGATTTAACAAGAGATTTGCTTGAGACAAGAATGTAATATTGAGTTGTAATGTAGAAAATTCCTTTTCGCAGGCTTTGCGTACAAATTGAACCTGACGTTTCCCCTTGGGTAGCCGTGTGGCTACACTGAATGTTGAACCTTAGAACAGAGAATCCACAATTGCGTTGGAATACAAAGATTCAGTTGCAGCTGACCATTGGTGCCATTGTTATTGATCCGTTCACCGGTTGACCTGCCGGGGCGTTTATTGGGTCCACCAGAAGTGGATCTGGCGCTTCTAGCGTCAGTGCTAGGCGGAACTGCCGACGGCTATGCACGGGCACCAGCGGGTGACGTGCCGAGGGTGCATATGACAGCTACGGTACTACTCGTAAGGTATCGTAGCCATGGAGCATTGATATCGTGTCTTTTCCCTGTGCTTGATGGCCCAGAAAGTTGCCATTGATTATGTGATGCACCTGGCCAAACGCTCCGTTTGGTCGCATCCATCTTCTCATTTTTGGAGTTATTGGTGGAGCAGTAGCTTCAAATGCCCCACCACCAAAATCCACACAAGCCATTCTCCCTCAAGGTTCTGAAAAGAAAAGCCACGGGCAACTTATCGCAACTCAATCCCGTAGCAACTGCAGCCTACTTAAGACATCTTCCCTCCAACAATTTCTTCTTTCTTCAACATCTCTCTCTCAATCATCTCCCATACAATCGTCTCCCTCCCACTGCAAACTTCAATCTAATGAACTGCTTTCTCTCCATCAATGACTTCACACCTCACTGCTCTCCTTCGTTTCACATTCACCACGTCGGTCCTGAGCCACGACACGAAACTGCTCCGTGCTGGACATCGCGTGAAAAGGTCTGGGTTTCTGGGTGCCCGTCACCCAGAGGACCTGAGCAAGTCCAAGAACTGCGTCCAGAGCTGGACACAAGGTACTCTGCGAAAACTGTCCTGTCTGGCTGAAGACACGTAAACTACATGCCGACCTGGAGCAAGTCTGTAAACTGCGACCCGACCTGAGCAAGTCTGTAAACTGCGTCCAGAGCTGGACACATAGTACTCTGCGAAAACTGTCCCGTGAAAAGAAAATCACGATAATCACACAACCGAGCATGTAGTTGTAAAAAGGCCCATGTTGGACACCCATGCGAAAAGTCCTATGCTGACGAGCATACGAAAACATACGGACGTCCTCGTGCAACGACGTAGTAAAAGGTACGGGGTCTAAGTCTTGCGTTTCCTTCATTCAACTTGTGTCGTGTTGATGTTGATTGGACCAGCAGGGAGGCTTGCTATGGACCTCACCTCCCCGTGGTGCAAGCTGGTAACGTCTCTTGCTCGTTGCAAGAGGCGGCTAAGAAGGTCCCTCTCTTCATCTGCAAGAAATCGCTGGTGAGTACATTAGTCTCTCTATCTGTCTTCCTCGCTCACAAGTCGTCTCTAGCCTAGATCCTCATCGACCTCACCTTCCTCAACCTCACCTTCATCAACCTCACTTTTATCGACCTCACCTTCATCAACCTCACCTTCCTCAACCTCACCTTCCTCAACCTCACCTACCTCAACCTTCAATATCTTTAGCATCGAATGCAGAACACGGATTTAGAGGGATGATTTGAATTTTGTGTCAGGAAATCATCAGGACGCTACCTTGTTGCGAGACTCAATTGATAGATATTCACCACATACTCTCAAGAATGATCTTTCTCAATGCTCACTCTTACTTCCTCCGCTTCCATTCCATGATCCAATGCGTTCTCTAGCCTAGCTCGGCCTGAGAAAGCTGCGGTCATCAATATATCAAGCCCACGGGTCCGTTAGTCGGGCGGTGTCTGCTGTAAGCCGCTCCGAATCGAAATAAAGGCCCGTTATATCCCCTGGAGATAGGCTTATGCGGTTAGCTTAAGGGCCACACTCCAACCTTTGACCCTTAAAGCTCCTTTAGGCTGTAGGAATTGGCAAGGCTACCTTCCAACTGAAGGAACCTGGGCCTATGATCGAGCAACAAAAAGCTTTTTGGTTTACGAAGCATTTGCTTTGCTTTGATTCTATGGTAAATATCGTCTCGCGTTGTGATAGCGCAGACGGAGATAAATGCTCGTTACATCCGTGTTGTTGTGCGGGCCAGACCCTGTAGTGACCCGTAACTCGTATTCCATACTCTATGGCAACAATAATGAGACGCCAAAAATAATCCACACCTACTACTCCGTATACATTCAACAACTCCTCGCAAACGTTCGTTAAGCAGCCTAACCAAATACCCTCGCTTCCTAATGCAAACATTGTCTTCTTGAGGATCGCTCACCATACCACAACTACTTCTTCTTGGCGGGCATACTCAGGGGCCTCCTTCACACCAACATTGAGCTCCCGTGAGAACAGAACGAATTTCTAGGCATACGGAGAAACTCAATCAGCTACTCCTTCTGCGATCTTGATCGCTGTCAGAAAGTTCTGAAATTTATTCCTTCTCACAGAGCCTTCACCATGATCATAAGGCCAAAGCTCAGTCACTTTCTCGTCTCCATATATCTCTGCGCGACCCTCACATCAGCTTGGCCATGGCCACCCTCGTTATCCTTCCCAGACCTTGATAGCATACTCGTTCGGCGGCAAGACGATGGAAGCAAAGGTAGGCAGTGCATCTATTCTACTATCGCAGTCTCTGATCTGTAATGCTTTCCAGATTCTTCCTCCTCCGCCTCCGGGGCCAAGCCCACCGACTCACCGTCCAAAAGTGCAGCAGCATCGACAGGCAAATCCCAGTCATCCAGTGCTAAGGGCTCTGCTACCAGCAAAGGTAGTGCAGCCGCTACAACCACCGGTTCCCAACAATCAGACGATACCGTAGATCCTCGCCTTCCACCAGGAGGCGTGAATATGGTCACTCCCTCGGCTCTAGCAACGAGCACCTACTACAAGATTGGGGTGGATAGTGTATCTATGGTGTGGAACTACACCTCACTCTCGGTCACCCCCTCAAAGATCGACGTCCTAGTCTCCTGCTCCGCCAATCAAGCAACCTACACGCTTGCATCAAATCAATCGTTTGAAAAGACTGGCAGTGTTGTGTGGGACACACAGCCGGAAGTGACAGGAACAGCACCACTGCTGACGGAGACTTACACTCTCATCATTCATGATGCGGCGAAAGCCTTGACAGATAGGCCGGAGGCAGGTCACTTGGGCGCGTATAACCAGTATACTTTTGGAATGTATGTTCCACAGAAGTATACGCCAAGAACTGGTAAGTCTCATGATATTGATATACTGACTTTTTTCGCGCGGCTGACTGGGGCGGATAGAATGGAAGTGTGCTACCTGCAATGACGCTCTATCCGATACTGAACGGCAGGCTATTAAATTCATGCTTGGAATGTGTACGATTACGATACTTTCATTCACATGGTTCGTTGGGGGTTTGGGGGCTATTCTTTGAGCGACAATCTCTGTCTGGACAAATACGATGCTATCGTTGGAAGATACTTGTAAATTCACTGTCAAGAAGTTTTGAGGAGCTGATTACTGTGAGAGCAATTCAAACTAATTTTTCGGGCATGTTAAGCGGTCAGAAATAGGAAAAGGATGGGCATGAATCTGGGTCTGCAGCATGGCTGCTGGTATCTAAGTAATGATGAAATGTAAAATGAGGTCAGCAAGGTATGTCCATAGAGCGAGTAATCAAGAGGAATTCAATATTGTCTACGTATCTTCAGTCATGCTACATTGAATTTTCTATACACCCTCACTCTCAAAGAAGCCTTGTCGTTCTCGTCGTGGAAATGATTGATTGGCCCACTACCTCGCCCTAAGTGGCAGTCGATACTTGTCCGGATGCCCATCTCTACGTACTGGCAGGCGGACTTGATCTGCTGGATGATGTCGCTGGATGGATTGCAGACCAATTGTGAGGCGATTGCAGCTGAAGAGTAACGCGAGGGGGTAAGCTGAAGCTACAAAGAATGTGAAGGGGAGAATTCAAGGCTTGGTTAAAAGAAGCTTATTAGAGAGCCATGTCACTTACAGGCAAGGGAGCAACCTGTGCCGTGCGTGTTCTTCGAAACTACATAGTCTGTCTCAAAGAAGACCGCGCGTTTGCCGTCATGGAAGATGTTCAAGACTGTATCACGGTCCTCATCTCGATATGATATTTGGCCTGACCGGGTAAGTGGAAGGTGACCGCCTTTGAGCAGCACGTATTGTGGACCAAGCTGCTGAATATCAAACGCCATGCGGACTAAGTCATCGATAGAAGCTACGTCGTTTGAAACCACTCCAGCCTTCTGTAACAAGAGCTTTGCCTCCGGTATATTTGGAGTCAATATCGTGGCAAGTGGTAACAGCTGTGTACAAATGCTATGCACAGCTTCGCTGGGCAATAATTGGGCTCCAGATGTAGCGACCATGACAGGGTCCAAGACTAAGGGGGGATTGCCGTGGAATTCCAAAGTGGAAGCCACCACACCAATTGTTTCGGCTGCGGCGAGCATGCCTATCTTGACGACGTCGACGCCGATATCGTCAAAGACCGCATCGATCTGCTCCTTCACAAAGTCTGCCGGGACATAGTGGATGTTTCTGACACCTAGAGTATTTTGAGCAGTCAATGCTGTAGTTGCTGTCATTGCGTAACAACGATGGTGTGCAACGACCCTTTGGTCAGCCTCCAGACCTCTTCTTGGTACATTAGTCGTCACTCGGTACAACAGACCATCAGTGGAGCAACTCACGCTCCACCGGAGCTGTCTGAGCCTGCGATGATGAGTATACGTCTTTTCGCATGGTCGATCTTTTGCATTGGTACTAGCAAGATTAGACCTCAATTGATGGATGCTCGTAAAAACTGGCGTTGGATAGGAAAGGGTATGCGGCACAATACGTCATTTCAGTGACAAACCCAAAGGAAACTCGAGCGCTTCAAGTGGCTTTCCAAACATATCAACTAATCAATGTAGCGCGCTGCGATGCTTACTCCGAGTCTGAATCTTCGTTGGCAAACTCATCCTCAGGTCCACGAACAAGGAGAAAGTCGAATCTTCCACCTACACGTGACGCAAGTGTCTCTCTAATCATGTCCTGTTCAATCTCGGCAATGTCGCTGTCGGTGTCTTGCATCATTACGCTCAGCGTAAACCCTTCATTGCCCGGACCGAGTGATAGAACGAAGTCTACAATGCCATTTGACGTAAAGCGTGTATCGGCGTTCAATTCCAATCTTTTCAGACGTCCAAGCTCAGCTATATCTGGCCAGATGGCGTCCGTGATATGAAAACCTCCGGTCCAAAACGTCTCAAGCTTATGCAGATTCTGGGCTAGTGATCGAATATGATGCTCTGTGAAGTTTGCTGAAATTTGCGTCAATCTCAAATCTCTTAGATTGATGAGCCTGTTAATGGCGTCCACTAAAATGTCATTGTCGGCGACCACTTCGCTGTCTTCGCCTTTCAGGTATAGAGACGTCAAGCTGGGCTGGAGCGCCATTGCTTGATGAAAATCTTTGCTACCTGTGAGAGAGTAACCTTCAATTTCTAAGCTGTCAAGCTCAATGCCTCTTTCTCTCATAACTGGTGTCAGAAGTGGAGGTGCACTTATGAAGTTAGACAATGTGATTTCTCTAAGCTGGTGGCAGCCACGGAGCCATTCGATCATTTCTAAGAAAATGTCTTTGTGTCTGTTTTCAAGGTCTTGGGTCGCTGCAATGTCTTCTGCGAGATTAAGAGATGTGATCTCGGTGCAATTTTTGAGTCGAGACAGGTATTGCATTGATTCGGCACTAATGCTGCGAAGCTCAAGTTTCGATAAGCACTGAGAATGGCTATTGAGGGCAAGGAATGATTCAACTGATAGCCTAGTTCCCCCAAGAACCCCAAAAGCCCGCAAAGTCTGAGGACGAAGGCCATTCAGGAACATGGCACAATCGTGATCGGCATCACTGCCACTCCTAAATGAAGTGTCAGCATTTAGCACGCCGATGACAACACAAGATTCCCAACCAAATGAAGATTCTGATTTTAGCGAATTTACGGCAATGTGTTCTAATGGACTCTCCAACGTCCCGTAGCACGGAGCCATCGAACACTCTCAAGCGTTGAAGATGGGGTGTGTAGGGAAGGAATCCCTGTATGATCTCCGGGCTCTGGACTATGATTCGCTATGAGTCTAGAAGAGCCGTGGGAAGGACAGAAGAGAGACCTACAATTGCCTGCTAGCTTCTCAAGAGTGGGGGTGTGTTGCAGCACTACTACATAAAGCTGTTAACATTGCCTGAAAATGATCCACAACTCCGCTCACGCTGAGCGATGCTATTGGTAGTCGCATTCGCATCGATTCGGGAAAACTGTCTGCCTCTTTGTTTCGTGACTCTCTCAATCTTAAACCTCTTGAGGGGCCTGTCGAAGAATTTGCTAACAGAATTATTGAAAGCTTACACGTTCGTCAAACAAAGCGTTACCTGCTAAAATTTCGCCAAAAAATGCTCTCATCTAGCAGTGTTTCTAAGTCTTGGAAGTCGAGTTTCCTGATATACTGAGCGTAGTTGAATAAGGTCTTGCCCAGGCAAGACAGAACAATCGATTGCCACAGATTCGTCCATTTAGCCGTGACCATAATCCTCTCCTCCCCTGTCAAAACAGCATCATCGCTTCCGGAACCTGTGATGGGGGCTTTGTTGTGCATGCTTCAATGCATGAGTACGAAAACCGATGATGGAGTCCAATCAGACCTTCACCTACCGGTACAATCCTGCAAGAGCAGGCACAGCCAATTGTTTCCCCGAGCAAGCACATAGGAATAGGGTGTTGAAGTCCTTCTGCTGCGACAACGCTCCACAGATCATGTGGAGGAGGTCATCGGGTAATCGTGAAGCCATCTCTCCCGACCCCGAAAACGGTGCAGGAGAGCTATATATGTCAATCGATTTCTGAGATTAAATGCAAATGATGGTCAATAAATTTCCAACGCCCGCGTTGACGCTTGACAGTCGCGAACAGTGAAGATTCGCCACAGACGCGCCGGCGCCGCCCGCGCATCCGAAGCTCAATACATTTGTCAATATTCGAATACTTTCCCAAATATCTTGCAACAAATCGTCAGTGCGAATGTCTGTCTTAAGCTTCACACTTTCCCCTGAAGCAGTTTTTCGACTTCATGACGTGGTGCTATGCCTCGCTAAATTTAGTGAGATAATTGCCCTAGAAGCCAGAACAGACAGAGTGGGCTCCCTTGTGCAGCGATCTAGCCTAGACTGCTTATACACGATCTAGCTTGTATTCAGTGCCTTGAACTTATCCAAATCTGCCCATGCATCTTTCTCTTTTGACAGGAATCTGTTCTTTACAAAGTACTACCTAGACCCTTTTCAAACCAAGAGTCAACAAGCTCGTTCTGATATTGAGCCGAGCTTTACATGTCAATTGTATAATAAAGTAGGATTTTGGTCAGCCTCGAGACCTCGAATCCGGCATTAATGCATTCAGGCTCTCTTGTCTGTGTTCAAAGGACAACTGAAAGATCTTCGGGACAAAGACTCCGCCGTCGAAAGATGCGAGTGTTGCGTGCAGGAGGGACCGGGCGACAGCGAATGCCGCTTGCTTATCAGAATGGTCTGTCGTCATGGTAGGTATTGATCGAAGACAACGTGCCTGATTCGCCTGATGTTTAAAGGGGTGACGAAGACCTATAAGCTTACCTACGAAGCTGCGGAGGTGACGCATGCGGTCTTTAATCAAAACCTTGTGAAAAACACTTGGAGAATAAGTGCACTAATGCTGAGATCTCTCATTGAATATTTCAGCGCTGGCACGGAGCAACTTGATGTATCTACCACAAGTGGTCGAACAACATTCACCAGCTACACTGAAAAGATCATGAATGGCAAAGGTACCTCCTCATTCTTTGATGGGTAGGAAGTAAATCTAAGAATTCGCCGTTTAGATATCTTGAAACAGCCGCTTCAGACCTCTGTGACAATAGACAATCTTGACTTCGAAGAGTTCGAGGTTGAAGAAAATTTACATATTGGCATAGCCGTGAAGGACTTCAAAGCCATTGCCACACATGCGGAGTCCCTCAGGACTAGTGTCACTGCCCGTTTTTCCTTGCCGACCCATCCAATGCAGCTTCGCTATAGGGAGATTGGTATCAGTTCTGATTTCACTTTGATGACAATTGGAGAATATCGTGGAGGACCGGAGAGGCCCACGTCCGCGCGTGCGCTATCGAAGAAGGCATCGGTACCTTTAGCGCAGCACTCTTCCGTCTTACAGCAGCAAGACCGAAACTCACATACCGCTCATCTAGAGGAGAACCCGATGCCCCCACCAGTCCATCCAGCTAGTCGCCACGTCAATAAAGGCCCCACTCAAATGCAGAGCGCTCAGAGCACTCAAAGGGCTTCACCGCCACGCCCAAAACCAAGCCTGGACCCAGAAAGCCTCTTCCACCACCAGAACGATGATACTGATGAAGATCGTCAATGGGGCGAGAGAAATTATGTTGAAGAGGAGGACACCGTAGGCTGGAGTGCAAGTGCCGTCAACGTATCAAATCCTAAATATCTTCCATGGCCACAGTACAGCTGACACCCATTCTAGAATCGAAGCTTTACAACTATCCGCGAAGAAAAGAAACCTTCTTCTCGACTGGAACCTTATCAGTCGTTGCTCCAATATACAGAAAATCGATTACCACCCACCCAGAGGCTTTCTCAAGTAAGTGTCATCCTGCACAAAAACAAACAGCATTGATATAATTAGGTCGAAAACCTGTTCAACGGTTGAAGTGTTACATCCCTCGACAAAATAATGCTGTATCTTAAGGACATCGGCCGACCTTCATCATCCCTCGAGCCCCTACCGAACTGTAAGCTTATCGAAGGACCATTTAACTGTAAGACTACACCTTGCGAAGGTCTCGGTGTCAGCCTTGGATGTCCTTTTTCATTTCTCGTTGCTTTCTTTCCTCGTCCAGAGAAAGGTGGTCGCGCAGCCACCGCCAATACCGCCAACAGTCTGGGTTTCACTCAAAGTCTGTGAACTAATGCTATTCCATGTGAACGCGACATTGCCTTGTTCATCAGTGTGATCGCCGCAATTGCCGTGCTCACCCCACCCCCAACAAGCCACTTCACCTGCTTCTGTCAAAGCGATAGCATGCTCACTGCCAACCGCAATTTGGTCTACCGCAGGCAGGTTCCTTGGCGCGAGCTGCCCTCGATCATTGCGCCCCCAAGAGCATATGTGACCGTTTTCAGCGAGAACAAAGATGCTCCCCCAACTTGCACCCACATCCTTCCAATTCTTGATGGGACCTGGAAATTGAGATCGAACGCCCCATCTATCGGATCCGAGGACGACAGCCTCACCATGCCATGCTGAGCCCACGAGAAAGGAAAATTCACGGCCACACACTGCTCGTACAATGTGAAACCCCAAACCCTCAATTCTCCGAGGCACCCATACGAAGTCGGACGGGTCTCCAAGCTGGCCTTTTCGACCATTGCCCCAACCGTAGGCTTCGCCATTGGAAAGCACAGCCACTGTATGACTTACACTACTAGCAATATCTCGGATGTAGACACCTTCAGGAGGGAAATTATACAGCTGGGTGCATGTATCAACGGCTCTGACGTTCTTGCCAAGGCCAAGCTCGCCTTTGTTCCCTTTGCCACAAACGTATACCTCATCAGCTTCAGTGACAATCGTAAACATGTCCCAAGCCGCCGCGCACAATTTTGCCCTGTGAATCTTGGTCAGAGGCGATGGTTCAAAATGAGTGACCGCTTCTACACCCCTTGTCGGAGCCTCTGATTGTACGCTTTTCATGACTCCGGCGTGATACACTGCGCCCGAGGCGCATAACAGCATTGAGAGACTTCCGCCAGCTACAATTTTCAGTGGATCACGAGGACCCGTGTCACTGAAAAGACACTGCTGTGGTCTGGACGCATCATCCTTATTGCCAATGCCTAGTTGACCAGAGCTATTCGAGCCAAAAGCATACAGAGTCATATAGCTGGCGCGATGTGTATGAAGTACTACAAATTTGAATGGACTGGAAATCAAGGACAGGAAGAGGGTGGTATAAACAAAAAAGGCCGTGGCATCGAGGTCCACTGAGCCTCGGCTTTGGTTGCGGATTTCGTCATTCGCTGCAATTTTCCACGTTATATATACCACTGATTTATAAGATAGATACACCAATATGGCTACCCGGTCGATCACGACGCAGCTCACGAGGCGCAGCTCATGTTTTTGTCAAAGTATGATACCGCGCAATAGAGTATCTTCATATTCTCGGACATGTACTTTTTGCCCTTACTCCACAGATGCGATTGCTAAGGCTCCTCCCCCATGGTATCACAAGAAGTCCTGCTTGGGTCCTCCATGGACACACTCAAGTTTGTCTTTCATTCCTCTAACGCAGCGTTGCCACTTCAGCACAACATTACCAGCCCAAGCCACTGTGGTTAAGACAAATCCACGAAGAGACGAGGAAGGACATGACATGCTCATAGATATAACAGAGAGAGCAGCACAGGTAATATTATCATGAGACGATATCCCAAAAACGGGGCGCTGATTGTGGATAGCGACTCGAAGAGATCATGGCCAAAGACTCAAATCCTGAACTCGCCCTCAGAGTAACCGTTGAATCGGGCGGTTGTCACGGCTTCCAGTACCTCATGTCTCTCACCAAAACCTCCAGCCTTTCGCCGGAAGATGACACTATCTTCGAAGTTGATAACGGGTCAGGGGCAAAAGTGGTCATGGATGAACCAAGTCTTGAGCTGCTGAAAGGAAGCAAAGTTGATTTCACAATGGAACTGATTGGGAGCCAATTCAAGATTGTTGGCAATCCAGCGGCTACAAGTAGCTGTGGCTGTGGCACGAGTTTTGATATCCAAGCCTAGTCTGAGGCCGACATTACACTGAGCAATAATTGTCTAGAATTATGAACTTTGAGCGACGGCGTCGATTGGGTTGAAGTGGGTGTATCAGAAGAAGAACGCTTTAGCTTGTACGATTGAGAGTTTAGAGCTCTACTAAGCGGATGTGAATTTGGTTCCGATAACTATTATCATTGAGAGATGTGATTAGAGCTGAAATTTGGAGTTGTGTAGGCAACTGCACGGTGGCATCCAAGTCACACCAGGCAGACTTTATTCTGCTTACATAATCATGCGCTACAGATTTTTTTTGTCTGCCGTGAGTTCACAGACTTCATTGACCTTCATTCACCGTACGCCATCAACCAGCAGTCAACCTTTGAGTGTTCAGAAGTAAAGAATATCCCAAAAAGATAGAGAACGAGCAAAATACCTGGCATGGGTTCATACGGAGGAGGCTATGGAGGCGGTCGTGGAGGATCCTCTAATGGGTAAGTTGTCTTTGTGCCATTCCTTACATCGAGGTCTCTTGACGACCACTCGCATGATTCCGCTGGAAAGCAAAGCGATCATGTCGACTTACTTATCGTCTTTGTCATTTTCGATAACTTGCCAGTCTTTTGTAAAGGCTGAACTTATTGCTGACCAGTCTGTAGATACGGCGGCAGTAATGGTTATGGTGCACCAGCAACAAATGGCTACTCAAATGGCTATGGCGGGGGCTATGGTGCTTCAACGAACGGCTACAGCGGCGATGGATACGGCGGATCTTATGGTGGAGCCGGTGGTGACAAAATGTCAAATCTGGGTGCTGGCCTCAAGGCTCAACATTGGGGTATGGTATCACACTAGCAGTTCGGAGACCCTTATTGACACACCATCCAGATATCGCTTCGTTACCAAAATTCGAAAAATCTTTTTACAAGGAGTCTCCCGAAATTTCTGCTCGGAGCGACCGTTCGGTAGCGGACTTTCGCAAGCTTAAAGAAATAACTGTACAAGGAAGCAATGTCCCCCGTCCCGTTGAGACTTTTGACGAGGCGGGCTTCCCCAAATATGTCATGGATGAAGTTAAAGCCCAAGGATTTACGCACCCTACCGCCATCCAATCACAAGGTTGGCCGATGGCACTTTCCGGGCGAGACGTTGTCGGGATTGCTGAGACAGGTTCTGGGAAAACTCTCACATACTGTCTGCCTGGCATTGTACACATTAACGCGCAGCCTCTCCTTGCCCCTGGCGACGGGCCAATTGTTCTCGTACTTGCTCCAACTCGAGAGCTGGCTGTTCAGATTCAACAAGAGATGACCAAATTTGGCAAGTCTTCCCGTATTCGAAATACTTGTGTCTATGGAGGTGTACCCAAGGGAGGTCAGATACGTGATTTAGCGCGGGGAGTCGAAGTGTGCATCGCAACCCCTGGCCGCCTGATTGACATGTTAGAGTCTGGAAAGACTAACCTTCGTCGTGTTACCTATCTTGTTCTTGATGAAGCTGATCGCATGCTGGACATGGGGTTTGAACCCCAGATAAGAAAGATACTCGGCCAAATCCGTCCGGATCGGCAGACATGCATGTGGTCCGCAACATGGCCAAAGGACGTTCGCCAGCTTGCCTCAGATTACCTACAGGACTACATACAGGTCAATATCGGCTCGATGGACCTCTCTGCTAACCACCGCATAACGCAAGTGGTAGAGATTGTATCAGAATTCGAGAAGCGCGACAAGATGACAAAGCACTTGGAACGCGTCATGGAGGATCGTGATGCCAAGATCCTTCTCTTTACTGGTACCAAACGTGTAGCTGACGAGATTACACGCTTTCTCCGACAGGATGGATGGCCAGCGCTTTGTAAGTTCCGTCTACAATGCGCGCATTCTCGCTAACTTGAAGAAGCCATCCACGGCGACAAGCAACAGAATGAGCGCGATTGGGTGCTCAACGAATTCAAGACGGGCAAGAGCCCGATTATGGTTGCTACTGACGTGGCATCACGTGGTATTGGTATGATCTTTCGCGCCATTGCACTCCCTTCCCTTTCCCCTGTCTGTGTCATGTGAAGCACCCAGCAGTGTTTCGCCATCTACGCCTGTAGACTCTGCGTTTTACTGCTCTTTGGTCTAAGCTTGTCCTTTGATATCCAGCAATGTGCGGCTGCAAGCATTTTCTCTTTGTCCTCCTCGTTGAGTATCGTTAGGTACTGGGGAGGCTCAATCTTGCATGCTTCGTAAAGCCGCAGTTCCCTCGGATATCTCAGGACATTATGCATGCCATACCTTGGACCGAGGTGTTGTGAAAGTGTTTCTCTTCGCAGAGGAGTACCGCAGAGTCCAGTCAAGTGACTGCTTCGCAAGGCCAAGACAGGGATCGTTTTTACTTGTCGTTTTGAAGTTGCTAACCTCATTGAAGATGTCAAGAACATAACTCATGTTTTCAACTATGACTATCCCAACAATTCAGAAGATTATGTACATCGTATTGGTCGTACTGGACGAGCTGGTTCGAAGGGCACTGCAATTACGCTCTTCACCGCAGAAAGTAAGTTTTTTCCCCCGCTGCTTCTTCTGAAAAAAACCATCCTTCTGACCAATCCGCAGACTCAAAACAGGCTCGTGATTTGGTTGCCGTTCTGAACGAATCAAAACAACAAATAGACCCTCGCCTATACGAGATGGCTCGCTTCGGCGGAGGCGGAGGTGGCCGTGGTTACGGTGGTGGTCGTGGTGGCGGCCGTGGTGGAGGCCGTGGTGGATATTCAGGCTCCAACTCGGCTCCGATGGGCGGCAATCGACGTTGGTGAAGGTTCGTTGCAGAATTTTCGTCGGGTTTCGGCTTTTCTCAGACTCGCAAAAACGATCCGTTCGGGCGTTTTCGGTGCATATCGATCCGAGTGGCGGCTCCTGTCACATCAATAGAGATTATAGAGCTCATGTGCTAGACATTCGTCGCATCAGTTATTCAAGGTAAGAATTTAAAGACCGCATAATGGTGGCAATGATCAAAGGGACCGGGGCGATTCGGGAGCTATACAAAAGCTCCAGCATCCTTTAGGGACAGAATAGATCTGTATGCTAAGTTCCAGAATAGAAACCTCGCCTTCACGCTTTCAATTGCGCAAATATCATGTAGCATTTGTCGAAGTATTTCTCATACTAGCGATGTGTCCAAGCAAGAAGCATAAAACAAGGGACACGCAGCAGTTGACGCATTATGCTAAGATCAAGGAACGTATCCATGACCGTGACAACACTCGCACAGCGTAACATGATGAGTGCACCGATGATAGTGGTGCTGAAGATGGGGTAATTTGGATGAGTTGACGTTGAAAGAACCTCAAAGACAGCGTTGCCATAGCTTCAGGCTTTACTCTACAGAGCTTCGCGCAAGGGCCCCACGCCAACTAGTAAGTCCAGTAAGTCCCGTAGGTCCCACAGTCCCAGTAACACTGCCCTGGGACCGCTAGCAGTAGACTTGCGGTCGGTAGGGCATCATCCTGCAGCTTTGTCAAACCAGCGTCCGACGCAGCATGCCCCGTCCGACCTATGCTGCCACTTGAAAAGAGCTACAAGCTCGGCGTTCATTATTATCGAAGATGAGACGCAACATCTGCTCGTCTGACAGGTGCGTGGGTGATGGGATCCAGCACAGATCTCAACCAAATGGAGAAGTCGAAGGGGGACCGTGCCACCGGTCTTCCTTTCGGTAAAATGCAGGGTGAGGTTACACTGCAGCAAGCATGGATGGTGGGCCGTTGAACGTGTGAAGATGGATGTCTGTGGGTGTTCCTCTAAAACCAAAACGGCAGATATCCCTGTCACAAGATCTAGGAGCAAGGGACGACTTGAGTGACTGGGGATCCTGAGCCTGGTTCGTGCACCTTCCCGTGGCCTGCACTAGGCCCAACCTCCCGGAGCTTTCTCATGACTGGCGGGCGTGTGGACTTCACCTGCAGCGCATCTGCACGAGATAACCTTCTACGCTTCGCAGCCTGCCCAGAGAAAGCACTCGAAGACGTGTCTGCTGCTGAATCTGGAAAGGAAGCCATGAGCCGAGCTTTCGCACACCAATGACCACGCTACCCTCCCCAAAGCGCTTGCGTATCTACGGCTGAAGGATGCCGAGGACCAGAAGACCTGGTCCATCTTCGCCCCGCTTTCTCATCTTTCGAGATGAGGCTTGTCTGTCGACCATGCTCCACCACAGTTCACGAGCCGTGGTTGGCACAACGTGGCCACCGCCTTTCTGAGTTCCCAATTTAACGCCCACTAGTGGCGGGATGACATGATTGTTCTAACCCCCTCGACCGTATCCATGGGACCCTATTACTGTTCCGTAGATTTGAGGGCGGAATGTCGAAGGAATGCCAGCACATGGATAGACTCGACCCCACAGCATTACCTGTAGTCATTTTGAATTCATTGGGCTGCCCCTATATCTGACTTATCGGCCCTTCAGATGAGTCGACACACCACCATCCAAGAAGCAGATACACTCCCACAAGGCAGCAGATGATTGATTGATCGGAATGTTCCCCACGCTGCATTTTACGAGATGAGACGACATCATTGTGTTGCACGACGGGTGGGAAGTGGCACAGCTTATATCAACTGATGCCTTCGACAGGACCCAAATTGCAGGCGTAGAAGCTCGGGAAAGCCGAGTTGTATAGATTACTGTCATCCTGTCAGATCAGGGCACTCGGTATTGAGTAATTTCGAGAGTGAATCAGGGGAGCACTGAAGAAGAAGGAGCAAACAGAGCGGTGGTACTAGTGGGGTCTAGAGCAGCGCCAAGATGGAGTCATGTAATTTTGGGCAATAATACCGCGCGATTTCTCGTCTCCCTTCCAACACTCCAACCTTCTCTGTTCCCCCTAACTCACACTAAGTACCCTTAACCATCCACCCTAACCATCACCATCCTAGCCTCATCAAAAACTCGCGCTATTGCTGCACCTAGGCCAAATCTAGGAAAACCTCACCAATCGTAATATCGAGAAGGTCCTCCCATTGCGCCCCGCTGAGATTATACCAGCTTGGGAGCGACTGGACAAGTGTGTGACGACGGAAATCGCACGCGGTCGCAATCTTCGCATCATTTGCGACAGCAGGTCGACCGGGCGCGTTCCTTTTCGACGAGAGCGCCGGTAATTCGAGAAGTAAATGCTCCAGGTTGTTGGGAAATCATCCATCAATAATCAATTCCGGACCCGGAAGGACTTGCGAAGGGAGTTCCAAGGATCCCGAAACACAGAGTCTCGTCATCTCCGCTCAGCCATATTGATCGATTGGAGGCCAAAAAGGTATCAATCGACCAGAAGCTAGATCTCTTACCTAAAACTGTCTAATCATTTCCTCCAGCCCCAGCCTCCCGGCTTTGCAAAACTAGAGCCTCGACTACTATCATCTCCGCGCGCGCCAGCAAATCACGCCAGTGCTGGCCCCAAGTCCCTAACAGTGGGATATCTCGATTACGTGCAAATCAGCTGCGGGGAAGATCCCAAAGTCTGCTTTACAGCTGCCAAATCTCGCCCCCGTCCGGTATCGCAAACTCGCAAAGGCGAGAGCAGGATCCTCGTTATTCCTCAAACTTCAGGCAAGGCCGAAGAGGAAAGCTCACCGGCATTTGAGTTCGCTGCTGTACCTTGATTTGTAGGCTGGGCCGCTGCTGCTGCTTGTCCCGGGCTGACGGTCCAAGTGCTGCCTTGCCAGTCAACGTGCAGAGGGGCATCGATCCATAAGAGTTTAACGCCAGTGCATGTCGAAGATCTTTGTCGATCGCGGTCCTGGCTATCTCTCCTTCGAGGCCGCACGTTGCTTCGGTGGGACTCAACAAGCCTCGAACACCTTCTCCTTTGCAAACTTTAAAATCTCGCACAAGCGAGGAGAAGTAAGTAGCAACAAACAGGACCAGATCGTGGAAATTTGCCCCACGAATAATATTCCTAGTCCGAGAACTGGTGTGGCGGTTACTCCGCTCGCTTCTTCCCCTGTCTGCTCACATAATTTCGCCCGGCGGTGCGACTCTCGATCGCATCACTAATCTCTTGTCGTCACACGTGTTGGCTCCAGAGACAAAGACATTGTAGTTTCCCGTGCTCCCTTCAGCCGCCTGAAATCACTCATCCCAAGCCCATTATTTGCTCGAAAAGCGCGAAAAGCTTGGACTCGAAAGTCTTCAAGTCTTTAGAGTTTTCGCGCCGGTGTCTACTTTTCAACCAACGCTATCAAACCGCTCTCACTAAGACTAAGCTTCCTAGTGTTGGAGGCTACGCTCACCGCGCCTGGTTCTGTTTACGCCATATTGCTGGTAACCCAAAAGTCAACTTGTGGATTAAACGACTATCCCAGCCGAGAGACGGAGCCTGCTCGGAAACCACTGAACTGATCGGTTCCTGGAAATCACCACGCCTTGGTCGGGCTACTAGTACAAGAGGCCTCCGCACCAGCATTCGTCTAGTGTTGTCAAACTACTTCTTTTGACGCCTGGCTACCGGTATAACCTCGATTGCTTCAAGCTAGAGGCTATTCGCCCAAGCCTGCCACACATTCTACATCGCGAAGCTGTAAGTCTCACCTCAGACTTGCCACCGTCACCACCAGGTGGTGATGAAGTCCAAATGCTAACATGTGTTTGGTCAGCAGTCGCGTCCTTGTGTCAACAGAAGCGGTAGAATAGTTGTCGCAATTGAACTCGTGGACACATCTTCTTTCAGTGTTGTTCATTTAGACGAGTCGCGCAACCCCACAATACTTGCAATTTCCTTTCGCCTCACACGCTTTGGCACCTTCATATTTTTGAAGGAGATCAACGACGAGCTCTCGCGCCTGGCGCACGCGCGGTACCAACCAAGCAACAACACTCAGGAAATCGGAGAGCATCCTTGAACAGGAATAATGGCTCAACAAACCACAAGTCCGTCAATGTCTTTGCAAGATGGACATCAAGATGACCATCAACACCCGCAGCAGCAAATGAAGTCTAACTCCGAAGTGCCTGTAGATCCAAACATCGCCGCGTCGAGTCCGACCTACCCTCCCTACTCACCCTATGCGCCTCATGACATGTCCCAATACCAAGGACACCCCCCTCCAGGTTATCCACAGCATCATTGGCCACCGCAACACCCTGGTTACCCCCATGGAATGCCTGGTGGACCATATAGCTCGCCGGGCAGCGCAGCATCTGGGACGCCAGCGAGTGCTGGACCGCGACCAGGTCAGGTAAGTGGTACCAGTAGTTCCTTACCATTCCAGGACTTAGTTTTTACCGCAGAGTCCTCACCCGCTCTCTCAGGTCTATTCATTCGTCCCCATCCCCGGCGCTCAGCAACACAAGCGCCCCCGTCGGCGGTACGAAGAAATTGAAAGGATGTACAAGTGTGGGTGGCAAGGTTGCGAAAAGGCATATGGTACTCTGAACCATCTGAATGCGCACGTCACAATGCAGTCACATGGCACAAAGAGGACACCAGAAGGTACGTTAGACCGTCCTCTATCTCTACCGTCGGATGCAAAGTCATGTAGGTGGATCACTTATCTGCATGTCTTGGCGATATTGGTGAACCCATGAACGGCGTATGCGCGACGCACCTCGTGCATTCAGCCCTGTACCTAAATTTATGCCCTATCTGCACGCTAACGTCTAGTCTTCGCTAACCAAATTTTATGCAGAATTCAAAGAAATCAGGAAGGAATGGAAGCAACGAAAGAAGGAAGAGGAGAGTCAGCGTAAAGCTGAAGACGAGCGAGCGCGACAACAGAATGGCGGCCCACCAGAAAACCAACCGAGTGATCCGAACCAGCCTCAGGGCCCGAACTATCCATCTGGAGGTAATCGACCTCAACTTCCCCCAATCGGCTACGGTCCATCCGGTGGACAGGTACCGCAGCAATACCCCAGCGGGGTGGATCAAATGTACCAAGCTGGGAGCAACGGTCAGGTCTATCCGGGATACCCGCATTCGCCGTATGGACAGGGCCAGCAAATGTGTGTTATTCCTCCCACCCTCGAAACTGCTGTACTGCGAGGCCATCTTACTAATCTCACGCTTCAGGAACTAAGGCCGCACCAGCTATGCTCCGCTATGAATTAGCTCGCTTGATTTGATGCTTCCCTTGGAGACATCGTTTACGATACCCCAATGAGCCAGATTCTGGAAAGGTCGCTGTAATCATAATGGAGGAAGTGGAGGAAAGCAGTCCTACACGGCGGCGGTCTCAATTGCATAGCCAGGCGGAGTCCTCAAGCGCGGATACTTGTTATGAGCAAACCGATCTACGGTTTCACGATTTTCTTCCCCTCTCCTCACACACACCTCGAGCCTGCGCGGCCACATGGCTATCGCGCGAGCCTTTACGGATTTCCTTTCTCTTGGTGTGGTCTCTCAGTCTCACGAGTCGGGGAAGGTAGTTTATGACATCGCGGACGGCATTGGGTGGATCTCGCATCATTGACGCGCGTTCAAATTTTCATTATGTCGAAAGGTGATCGCTGGCTGGAAGTGTGATCTTTGTGGTTGGAGGCAAGGGCGGCCAGGGTCATCAGCGATTCTTGGAGTGATACCAACTTCAGCAACGCCAGGACGCAGACAGAGCCTTTGTTATAGCTAGTGTATTGGAAGGCGCTGTCTAGTCCAGATTGTTTAGTTCTAGTCATAATGCAGTACCTAGTCTCACGCTCTCATGTTCCCTGTCCAGTATGCACCACTTGTTCTTGATTTACGCCAGACGAGTAGGCTGGGAATATAAGTTGCGGCTCTGTACAGCTAGCGTCACCCTGCCGAATATGCACCGGCGTTTATCTCGTCTTAAAATAATATTATTATGCTGGCGAACGTGGCAAAGGCAGACTACTGCGTGCTAATTTAGTTGACGTGGTAAGATGAAGGTAACTGCGTCGAGTAAGGGGCAAATCAATATTTTTAACTATTAACTAAGGTCACCAACTAAGACTGCGTGCCGTGAGGGCGGTTCGATCTAAAGTAGTGGCCGTGTCAAGAACCGGCGCAGTGGTAATTGGTAAACAGACTGAAATCATCTTGCCTTACCGGAAGTGGAAATTTTATACTGGACTTGTTGAACAGCCCACCACCCTCCCACCCTTCGACTGTAGGGTAACTAGCTCCCACCAAACGTCAACACGTCAACACGTCAACACGTCAACGCCAATAATGTTGACGTCTGGAAGCTACTGTCAAGCTTATGATAGCTGCCGCTAGTAACAAATCGACGAAAATTGCAGAAATCTCGCCAGCTGGGATTTGAGAAGGGCAATCACCAACGACCACTTTCTACATCCCAGAATTGTTGAGCTAGCTTGTCTGATGCTTAGTTGCCCGGCATGCATACACCGTTGTATGCGCTCCATCCTTGGAGACGTCTTTGTCGCCCGACCTCCACTGTTGCGTCCCAGCCCTCTCCATCGCCAAATCCTACACTGGCATCCACCAAGATCGCGAGGTGTAGCTACGGCCACCAACCAAACTCCAGAGTTCGAAGATCTTGCATTACCATCACGACCTGATGGTCATCCTCCTCCGTTTGTGAAGCTTAAGAAGGAGGATTCTAAAGGCCCTATGAAAATTGCAAAGGCGCCCAGTCGCTTGATATTGAATAAAGAGCTGGAATGGATTCACGATCCATTAAAGCTAGCGGATAGAGTCATGTATTTGATCAAGACTAAGGGAGATACAGGCCATGAGAAGGCATTAGCTTTGGTTGAACGAGCAAGTAAGGGCATGCCCTGTACGGTCAGCTGGAACCACCTGATTGATTTTGAGATGGGAGGTGGAAGAGTCAAACAAGCTGTGAAACTATACAATGACGTATGTTGTTTCTGCATTGGACACTGGAGGTTTACTGGCTTTGTTGCTTACTGAAGCTCTACATCTAGATGAAAAAGCGAGCTCAGACACCTGATGCCCGTACATTCACCACACTCTTTCGAGGCTGCAGCCGCAACGTTCGTACCAGTCCTTCGGTTCTCGAAAAAGCACTAGCGATCTATCACTCAATGTTCGCCGACAACTCGCCTGTCAAACCTACGTTGATACATACTAATGCGGTTCTCGACGTGTGTGCACGATCTGGTAATATCGATGCTGTATTTGGGGTCGCGGCAAGGCTACCTGTCACAGGAGCGGCCGCACCGGACAAACGCACCTTCACGATCATCTTGAATGCGATCAAGATTTTCGCAACAGAGGACTCCAAAGGCGAGCACGGCTCGGCCGCTTTACGAGAACGACAAGATCGAGCGGTATTGCAGGGAAGAAGAATATGGGACGAGGTCAAAGAACGATGGTCGAAAGGTGATCTTGAAATTGATGACGAGCTAGTGTGTGCTATGGGGAGACTGCTCATGATAGGGAATACGGAACATGACTATGACGATGTTCTTTCACTGATTGAGCAGACTATGAACATACCAAGACAGCTTGCTCCGTTGAGGGATCCTGACCGTACTCGACCCACCCCTGAACCCTGTGACGAAGACGGTGATAGCAATTCCTCTGCCTTGAGCCTCACAGATCACACACTAGCCAATGCACCCACAAACGCAGATGAAGATATCGAAAGCACCGATATCTTCACCAATCCTCTGGCGAAATTTCTTCCGGAGCAATGCCTTGTTCACCCGAGCCCCAACGCCCTTTCCCTAGCGGTTGAATCCTGTACCAATCTCCGCCAGGGTCGTGCAGCGCAAGATTACTGGGGCCTCCTCACCTCATCAGATAAGTACAATATCATTCCAGACCAAGAGAACTATCACGTCTATCTCCGACTCCTGCGCTACCAGCGGGCTTCCCGCCTTGCCCTTGGAATTGTAGAAGAGATGCACAAAGGCGCGCTCGAACCACCTCGGGACTCACAACACAAGATAAGCCTCCAGCGCAAAACTTTCCGCATCGCGCTCTCTACTTGCGCCCGCGACATGCGTAATCGGAACGCCCTCGGCTACGCTGAGAGAATTGTAGTCATCATGACCGAAACACTCGAGGTGCCTGACCCAGCCTGCCTTGTCTCATTTCTCGACACCGCCCTTGGTCAGCAGCCTCGTGACTGGCGCACACTCATGCAAGTCGCCCGCCGAACAGCCGTCCACGTGCGTACGCTGAACAGTTTGAGTGCTTTGGGCTTCGCGTGGACGAAACCGAAGAATTGGTTGGATATGCAGCGGAAGGAGAATGAGGTTTTGGCGTTGGTGAAGCAGTTGGTAAGAGTGTTTGACGTCGTGCTGACTGAGGGTCGGGAGGGACTGGAGCAGAAGGACAAGGTCGTCTGTAGAGATACCCGGGATAGCCTGACTGCTTTTGTGACAAGGCGGATGCATAAGAGGAAGGGGATACCAGGGAAAATGGTCAGAAATGCTGAGAATGAGAAGAGGCAAAAATTTGAGAAGTCGAAGGATAGAGTCAGTAGATTACTTGACGAGGGAAGAAGAGAAGGCAATGATAGTGAGTATAGAGATTTTAGAGGGAGGCAGAAGAGGCCAAATTCGTTGGTGTAGACAGTCCCAACACGTATATAGGACTTGTCCAACAACCGTGTGTCTTCATCATAATGACATTTCGAGAGCAAACAGAGACTTCACTACAGCCTTGTAGATCCTGTCTTGGCGGTCATAAGCATTTCATATCTGCATCTCAGACAAAGTTCACATGTTTCAGTTAATGCTCACTGAAATTGGAGCCGTCACATCTCCCTTAATACGTCCTCGCCAGATTCCTTAGATACCAATCCACAAGCCGTCGTCCTACCTTCGCCTCACTCGTATGTATCAGATCTCCTTGCAACGCATAATCCAACTCACTACCGTTAACCACCTCCCCTTCCAGCAAAGCCCCTTCGCTCCATCTCACCTGCCTCGACCGCTGCTTGTTCACTAGCAGCCAGCTTCTCAACTTTTCTGGTTCCGTCTCCAAGAACCCGGCTAATTTTTTCAAATCCATTGTCGTATACAGCTTCAAGTACGATTTGATGGTGGGCGAGAACATTGTATTCCGCACCTCCGCCATGAAGATGGCAGTATGATGATCCACGGGATCCACATTCAACGCCGGATTATCAAAGTCCGGCGGCGTGGGAGAAATAAATTTCGGGCACGCAGACCTGAATAGCTCTTCAAAGAGTGGCAGGCTTTCCGGCCCTCCACGCTGCAAACGAATCAACTGCTCCCCGTACTTCTCCCTCAACGCAGTATGTATAGTATCATCGAGCTTGGTGGGGCTGAAAGCGACACAGATAGCGATGAGAGCGTACATCTGATCATTTTTCTTGCTCACACTGTCATATTGACTCCCGGGCCCTTGTTTCTGGAAGTTCTTCGTCCGGCTCACGTACACGAGGATGTGGCTGAACATGCGGATCGCATCTGCGTACCGTCGGAGCATCATGTAGCTGAACCCCACGTAGTAGTATGTTGTGAAATGGGCGGCCATCACGCGGGCGAACATGGCTTTCTTGTTTAGCTCGATGTCATCGAGCGTTTTGAGGGCGAGCGCGAAGTCGCCGAGCAAGCAATGCACACGTAGCAAACCAATTATTGAGAAATAGCCTAGCATGCGGTAGAGAGGGCGAGTGCCGTAGTCGCCGGCCACGGCGTTGGGGTCTTCGTTGCGCTTCATGGCGAGGAGCTGTTCGTTGATTTGGGAGCGTTGTATTAGGCTGTAGAGGACATTGAGGACGGAGTAGCAGCCCCATGTATTCGGATTTTCGCGCAAAAGTGAGGCTTCGGAGGTTTCGTCGTTGGAGGCAGAAGGGGTGTAGGAGCGTGCGATGCGGTTGCGGTAGCGGCAGAAGGATTCGAATTGGTAGATGAATTCGTCTATCACGTCCCAGGCCCAGTAGTACTGTGATCAATCTGTCAGCAAGCTGCCGAAGTCCGGATAGATGATGGCAATCTCTGATTAAACGGGGGTACGAACTGTCGGCACTTCAAGATCCACTGGCCCTTCCGAGTTGAGTATGTAGTGGAATAGACTGCAGTAATTATCGTAGCTTGCGAATTTGGTTTCTAGAGTTGCTTGATATTCTAAAGGTGTTGCAGCAGCGGTGAGTTGGGCTTGTATGTCTTGTGGTCCAGCTCCACTCCCTCCGTAAGAGTTTGTTCTGTCCAGCTCGTCCATCCCATCGTCGAAGTGGACTTGTTCCTTGAAATCCCCGGCAAGCGCATCATCTTCCTGATCCAGACCATCGTCCGTCGCTCTTTGCTTATCCACCGTTTCATACGGCTGGCGCTGATGGAGTGCCATGTCTGTTGATTTTGCTGTGTGCCCGAAGGTTGTTACGTGTGGGTTTCAGGATAATAAATTACGAAAAGGCGTATTTTACACGTTTCCCAGGGCCAGTGAAGCGGAGAAGCGGGGCCTTTTCTGGTATAGCTTCCGGGTCGCTATGGGCGCATATCGGCCCGGAATGATTGTGCTTCGAGGGGTCTTTATGAGGAGTCTTAGGGCGGTATTCGAGTGGTTTCAAAACAAAAGCCTGAATCCGGCCTTCGGCCAGCCCCTCAGCTCGTCCGTATGTGATCAATTGCGCAAGATGGCACCCGAGTATAAGGTCGCACTTATTCAACTCTATGCAAAAGTAAGGCGAGTATCCCGATCCTCTAAGCATCATACATTTCTCTGACACACTCACAGCCTGTCGACGCTGAAGACAATTTCAACAGGGCGTCCATCTTCATTCATGCCGCAGCTGCACAAGGTGCTCACCTTGCCGTTCTCCCCGAATACCATCTGACGAGCTGGATACCGCGGGACCCAAAGTTCAAGGAGATCTGTGCCCAATGGAGCGTCTTCCTAGCCCGCTATCAAGGCCTAGCGGCTGAGTGCGACATCAGCATCGTGCCTGGCACAATCGTCGAACTCCACAAAGACGAGGTTACCGGGGAAGAGACCCTACAGAATGTGGCCTACTTCATTGATAACGGAGGCAAGATTCTGAGCAGATATCAGAAGAAGAATCTGTGGCATCCGGAGCGAAAACACCTCGTCAGCTCAACGTATGACCCCCACGACGCATTTGACACGCCACTGGGAAAGGTTGGATTACTTGTCTGTTGGGATTTAGCGTTTCCCGAAGCTTTCAGGGAACTCATCGCCAAGGGCGCAAAGACGGTCATCATACCGACATTTTGGGGCATCAATGATTGTTCGGAGTATGCGCGGAATCTCAACCTAAGGACAGAGGCGTTGCTGTTAGAGAGCATGTTGACGGCGAGGGCGTTCGAAAATACGTGTTGTGTCATTTTTGTGAATGCCGGGGCCCCGCCTGGGGATCTTGAGAATGGGGCGTATGCTGGCTTGAGTCGTGTAACACTACCATTTGTTGGCGCCAAGGGGGAGGAGACAATGAAAACTACGGCAGAGGGAATGAGCATTGTCACAATAGACATGGAAATTGTGGAGGAGGCAGAGAAGAATTATCGAGTTCGGGCTGATCTGGGGGCAGAAGGATGGCATTATACCTACAGGCATGAAGATAAATCGAGACTTTGAGAATGAAATATGCCTTTCAAGTCATATCATTGAATCTATGAAGTGCACAAATACTTGAAAAGTCTCAAGACCTCAAATTGACTTCAGCGTTGGCCGACGAGTCCTCCTTGAGCTCCTTCACCTTTACAACCAAGACGACACAAGCAGCATCGTGCAATCAAAGGGGGTATCTCATATTCGTGACGCTAAACAAATGAACAACCCCCGGTATAAGCTTACAAATGGTTCTGCCCTGCGCAAAAAGGACGAGGAAGTATGTCCAGTGAATCGAATTGTATGGCTCAATACCACTGTTGCAAGCGAAACCTGAAGTGTCTCCATAAGACTCCAAACTGATCCGGTGCCCTTCAATTCAGGCGGCAATGGGTCGAACATTCCAAGGGGACCTTGAGTTTACGTTGAGAGATGAAAAGTTCGATAGGGTACCTGGCTCTTCGTCTGTTGAAGAACCGTCCTCGGTACCATCGATGCCGAGCATCTGGAAGCGATTGACAGCTGTGTTGAGCCTCTTTGAAGGCGATGGCACCCTGTTCTCTTTTCTGAAATTTGATTGCTTCTTAGGCAATGGCTGACTGCATTCGTCTGGATACCATTCAATCTTCATGCCCCTATAGCCTGTACGAGACATCATGCACGTCCTTGCGAAGAGTGAATTGTGAATAGAATTCAGCTCAATGAAGGCATCTCCGCGCTCGAAAGTCACCTCTATTACGACCAAATTGTGTATGTGGTCTAGATCATCGCGAAGACGTTCCTCCGTGATGTTGTTGTGTACGCCTCGAATGACAAGATTGCGAGTAGCGCCGATCCCTATCTTGTTAGCAACATGGCCCGGGAGAATAAACTGTCGCTCGTTCCATGAAAATTCAAGCTGCACGACCAATGTCAGTTGGAATTTCAGCAAGCCAAGCGGAAACGTACCCTCTTTCCCTGAAGATAAATATCATTCCTCTTCGCATAGGCCATGAATTGATGAGCGGCGGCACCTTCAACGAATGATATGCTAGCACTTCGGTCGTTGGTACGCAGGTAGATATCCAGAACTGCACCGCCACGGACAAAGTTCACAATGTCCTTATGGGTCGCTTTTTCAGGAAGGCCTTTCATGACAATTGATCGTTGCTCTGCTCTTGCGTAGAAGGGTCGATCGCTTCTCGCAGGCGCAGAGAAGCCATCTTCTTTCTCATATTCAGGCGTGAATGAGACATCGTCTTGTTGAGAACTATTCTGGCGTAAAAAACTGGCCTTTGGCTTGGTGTAAGCTTGTTCATCTGCCCAAGACCTGGGTGCACCTGAATGAAAATGTGCAGAGTCGGCGGTAGGGTTGAGGTCTCGGGAAATCGTTATATGCGTCTTTGTTGGCCGTACGAAGAGGCTTGCCTTCCCATCATCCCCTTCCAAACTTTCCATTGGAGCGTTGGACGAGACATGGGTATTTTCGCCGCGAATAAGAATCTGCAAGATTAGTATGAGAGACATGCCCTGACAAAGAATTCGTTACCTCCAAGGTCTCTGGTGTAATGCCACCTCGGTACAAGGAATCTCTCAGGCTTGCTATCAATGATGTGAGTCTAGTTTCTTCCAACTTTGAGAAATATTATTCAGGGTCAGAGTTGTCGTCGTAAGGGAGAGGCCTACTGTATTCTTGAGCCATATGAAGCTGTGTTGGCAAGTCAATGGAGGGTTGCTAGGAGAGAAGAGTGATACCTTACGAGATTGTCGTGGTCGACTTTGGGAATAGTGACGGTAGGTATGTTCAAAGAAGTTGTCAGGTCTTTTCCTGTAGTATGCTTGTGGAGCTGTTCAGCTTTAACCAGGTCATTCGATGTAGGCAATACAGACGAATTCAGCACTTTCGTAAGGTTAGCAGCGTTTCAAACGAGGACGCTCTAGGGCATTGTTACCGACGTAAGAGGGTCTCAAAGTATGCTTGGTCGATATTTACAGTAGCCGCCATGATGTCTCTCGGTGGCGATTGCAACGAGAGCTCATGAAAGAAATCGATAAGAAGATGTGATGTGGGTGAAGGAAGGTGCGGCAGGCTTGGCGCGCTTCGATGGCAATCAACAAGTTCATGCACAAATCTGCAGCTAAACACGCCTCAACCCTTTTCAGATGCCAACACGATTGCAATGACCTCAATTCATAGCATAAGCTGGTTCATATTCCGCTACATGTAACCACCAGCAGAGCATAGAGCCGTCCAAGGCAGGGCACAGACTGCTCGAATCATTCCAAACACACGCTCACAGGACGCTTTGCAAGCATTTACAATTTCAAAATCTATGTTTCCACCTCGCTGGTTGCCAAAGAGCAATTGAGATCTGGATGCCGGCTGCTTCATTTGCAGCGATCTTGTTTCGTCGTCCATATCAAGTCTTTGCCAGAATGGTTTTGATCATCTCATTGCCTATTCGGGTGGCATCCGGGAAACGTGGCTCGAAATATCTCTGAATGCGCTCAAACCGATCCTTGTAGGAAGGAAAGTCACCGAACGAGACACATGCGGACCAGTCCTGGTGCAGTTGTCAGCCTGTCGTGCTAAATGGACTCGCGGAGGAGCCAAGCTCGATCCCGCTGAAGACCTGTCTATTTCATGCAGGGGAGTCAAGGGAAGCATGGCACTAACCCTAGCGGCAACGGTGAATTCTAGATCATCTGCACGAAATGACAGATCATTGAAGGCGGTCTCTATAGCTTCGTCTAAAAGCGACGATTTGAACAGGTACTCGGTCACCCCAAGCCAAAGACGGAATGGCTGGCAACCTTGTAAGCGTGCTTCAACACGATTTATGCAACCAGGACATGAGTAGGCAAAGACATACAGGTGTCGAACATATCATATGTTCATAAGGTACGATGCCTAACTTAGACCAGCAATCGACCATGGCCAAAAGACTGAGATGGTTATTTGGCGTTCGCTCTTGGGAAACATTGCTCAATGAGAAGCGATCAAGTAGGTCGTCCCGTAAAAGCAATTCTTTAGAGTCTCTCGCAGACCCAAATACAGCTTCGCCTGCAGACCTTATGCGTACTTCGAATTCTTTGCGATTTCCACTGAGCATAAGCTTGAACAACTCCGTTGCTAGCATGACATGTGAGTTCAATCTTACTGACAGGGGACGCTTCGCTTACAGGACTGTGCATACTGACGTATTTGCTCTTTGGCCTGCGGATTCAATATGGCCAATCCAGCATAGACGTGCCATCGGTTGGAATATATTCGCAGCATAATGTTGCACTTGACGTTCTCAATGCCACCGATATAGCGGCCGATCTCCCAGGGAAATTGATTGTTGGCTTGCCATGCAGTACCCATACTTAGAAACGCAGCGTGAGTCACGGCTTGGGTATCAGCAGTAATGCGATCGTGTTCTGCGGCGGAGAGGCAGACATTCTTGGATTGGAAGCAAGCTAATATGGCCCTCACTAAAGCGAAACTTTTCTCCGACGCTCTCTCACGAATGATGACGAGCGGTTGCCCCTTTGGATCGACGCTTGGCCCGTGAAGAGAATGGCAAGAAACGATTTCGACATCTGGTGGAAGGTGCTCATAGAAAGCAGCAATTTCTGGTGCTTTACAAGATGTTTGACCCCCGACGATAGCCCCATATTTGGTTGCTAGGTCTTGTTAGCTTTGAATTGACATTGCAGCTTACAGAGGGGCCTACATGAGCCATACTTTTTTACAACATCATTGATGAAGGCCGCTTCAACACTGTACAGAATATAATCGCTGCACCTAGAAACTAGATGTCCATCTTGAAGGACCTCCACATTGCTCTGACCTCAAGTAAGCAACGAACAACTATTCCACTAAGGTCGACATACATTCTCCGAGAACTCAGCGCGCAATGCATCGTACTTCTCGGGCTGATCGCAAGCTTTTACTCTTCACGCATGTCGCCGTCAGTGCTCGTTCAGGATGGGATATCTTAAGCGAAATGTATCCATAAGCTGTCCATGTGCCATATTAGCCATAGTCATTTTCATCCAATAATTGTATCGCTTGAAAACAGGGATTTTTCAGACATATAGAAATTAAGGTAGCGAGCGTTTACATCATTGATGAGCTCCCAGTCGACGAGATACCATAACAGTATAAAGCGCCGCCTGAAAGCCATACTCGAGCCAAATGCACTCAAGTCATCATAGAACTTAATGGGGAAGTCTGAAAAGGACTTACAACGTACCTCCAACCGGCGGCGCCGATCCTTCTTGCGTACATCTTACCCATGTCACCCATCCCAATGATTCCCACAATTGCACTATCCGTTATGTGGGTGTCATTGTCTGTACCATTGGCAAACGATTGACTATCCACGGCCATCTCGCCGTCGGTTCAGATTGTTATCGGAGCGTGCCTCTCAAATTTTGCAGACGATTCTAGTCCAGTGCGTCGCTTTCGAAGCGAGATGAGACACAATACCTGGCGACCGTTGGTTCTAGGAGTATCATAAACATCCGACGCATTAATTTTACGACTCATTACCATCTGATGTTTTCGAAGGTGGCTCCATGGGAACGTAGGCGGTGCTGTACTTTCGATTTGGCCTTGCAGAGGCATTCATTGACTTCCTTCACAGTGGCTTGTGCCAAGCTCCAGGGCTCAATTGTAGCTTGCATCCTGGGAGCTTTATATCTCATTCATTTGGTGGCATGTGGGATGTGGGATAGGTGATGAAGATGGCTAGTTTTGAGTTTTGTCTGTAAAAGGGCGTGGAGCTTCAAGCCAAAGCAAGTCCGAAAGGGGAAGGTTCTAGGGCTATATGAAGTGCTATGATCTCCCCGACCTCTTCCGCCTGAGCTCTAAAGAACGATCTTCATGACTCTGCAAAACCATACCTATACACCCGCAATACTTCTGATCGATATACCTCCCTCGATCTTATGTGGAATTGATCTTTTATCATTTACAACGTCTCCTAGGTTCCTAGGAATCAAAGATCTTCCGCCAGGCTTTCATTTCATCTTCACCTCTGAGACTTCATCTCTTTCCCTACGAGACGGCTTCTGGTTTCATGTACCTCAGCCGAACAGAGATTTAGCGCCACTTCTCATTGTGTGCAAATGGGACAGTCAGAGAGGCTGCCTCACGTCGCTAAATGATACTGAGAGCTACCGAGCAAAGCTGACCGACATCTGGGACACTGGTCTCAGTCCTTATCGGCAACGCGCGCAGAAGGAAGCACTAATTGAGTCTGGCGATTGGGACTTACTCACAACACACGTCACGCCTCAGACGCTGAGACATCTATCCCAAAACGATCACTGGAGTCTCAACTCAGCAGGTTGCGCTACTGTGGATCAAGACGATATCCCTGGGTTGAATATTGAAGAAATTGGATATGAGGAACGGAAGCTTGGAGTTTTAGGCATTGATCTTAAGCGAACATGGCCGAAAGAGGCTGTTGGCAGGGAGCGAACCGATGCAGCTATCGATAGAACCTGGGCACTTGAAGGCCTTGTCAAGAGATGGAAAAGTGACACGCATGGCTGGGGGCATATACTTCTGGGGCAGATGGAGGTTTGCTTCATCATGATCTTGACACTGGCAAACTACTCTTGCTTGGAAGAGTGGAAGAGGTGCTTGAACTTGGTCTTGACATGTAGAAGAGCGCTGCGTGAGCATGAGCAATTCTTCGTGGATTTTTTGGTTTTACTGAGGAAGCAAATCGAAAGGTGTGAGGATGTTGAAGGAGGTCTATTTGATATGACAGACGAGGGTGGATCACTGTTGAAAAGTAGATTGAAAGGTTTCAAACAGATACTGGGGCAGGCTTTCTCTTTGCCTGAAGGCGAAGACGTAAAGGAAGAAATGGAAGAGCTTGAACAGACGTTGAGTAGAATGTATGACTGGAACTTGACAGAGAATTACGTCAAAAGAGGAACGTTGGAGCTTGAAGATGGCGAGACAGTAGGCATAGTTCTGAATGGCATGGATGAGGAAGAAGACGGAGAATATGCGCCCGTCATCGTGGAGCTCGATAACACGTGAATCTAGGCAATAAGTCTACCATTAGCATACTAAGGGTATTCAAAATGGTAAGGCATATGCACAGTTCCAAGCTTGAACGATATCGTCAAGTAATAAAAGACATTCAGTATGATCGTTTAGGTGACTGGGTTTGGAAGAGCAATTGCTTCGCTGTAGATTGAGCATAGGATTCCTGATAAGATGATTTATGTTTGACTTATCTAACGCTGGCATGGAGATTTCTTTGCGACAGGCATACGGTAATCACGTTTGAAATCAGTATGACTTGCGATGAGGGTAAGACGACAAGCTCAGGGAGAGGCGATCGCGAGTGACGCGATGGCTAAATCCCTGCAAATCGAAGATTTTGCGAACAGTCTTTGCAATCAAATTTGTCAAATTTCGAGCTGGCGAAATGTGGGTGTATGCCTTGATAATTTGTCTACATTCAATATGGATATTCGTTTTGATACCTTCGCTAACGGTATGATTTTTGATATCTCGCTCTCGCGCCCGGACCTGTGACACTATCAACATACACGCTCCGAACAGATTCATACCCACACTTATCAACATACCTCCAAATTTCTTGGGCTCACATCTCCTGTTATCCGCCACCAGTAAGGTCCTGTCGTATTGCACTAGCGCTTGCTTCAACTGATTCTTTGCGTATTCGTCCACATATTTCTGATAGTATGCCACTATGCTCTTTGCGATGGCCTGCCGAACAGCGTATATCTGTGAAGTGTGACCGCCTCCATTTACCCTGACTCGAATGTCCACATTGGCGAATTTGTCAAGACCAACGATGAGGAGAGGTTCGTAGACCTAAGCAAGGAATAAAGTGTTAGCCGGCTACCCTTTTCGAACGTCGGAAAGCCTGTCTGAAACGGGTGTTGTGCAATTTACTTTGAATCGAAGTATCTCTGGCTGTACGAGGGCGAGTGGGCTGCCGTTGACCTTGACAAGACCTTTGCCAGCCTGACCTTGCAGTCAGTAAATTTTGGAATTCCACGCGATGTTCGACATCAACACATCCTTACCTTGCAGTGCGCGACTGCTGTTGCAGTCTTCTTCTTGCCGAAGCACTGCACACTTTGCTGCGTCGCCATGGTGGTGATCAATTAACTAGCGATACTGGGACATAGAACAACCGTGAGGTTCCGACATGTGGGACAAGCTAGCGGCTCGCTTAGCGTGTACGAGTGTGGCAGCCGACCGAAGTCGTTTTACTGGGGCAGTGAAATCCAGCAATATCGCCACTTCCACTGCCATTCATGCGCTTTTCACTATTTGACACGGTCATCAAAGCCGTGCATTTCCGGAAGACGTCCACATGCGGCTATAGCAGCTGCTCTTATGTGACCGAAGTGTGAGTCCTATTTGGAAAGTGGGCCCCTTTTACAACTCCTCTGTTGGGAGGTGACTTGTGTCCTGCATTTCCCCGACGATAGAAAACCCTTCCCAGGTCCGCAGATTCTTCAGAGAAGGCTTCGTCGACAAACTCTCAGACATCTGAAGTCAAATATAATGTCTTATACATTCAGTCCTTGATTAATTCCCATTTCCCGTGAATTCTTTATAGACACTATTTCGTCATACACGGTGCTAGACTTAAAGTGTGAACCCCCGTTGTATGAACACGGCGGACATTTGAAAGCCATTTTCCCTTCGTAAATCTCTCTTCTCTGGTCGTCTACTCGTTCGATTTCAAAGAAGAATCCATCCGCACAATGCCACTTGACGTATTCAGTGCGGAGTATGCATGGAGCGAGGATGACCGGGATCCCCTTAGACATCTACGCTCTGAATTTATCGTGCCTTCGAAGCACGATTTGCAAGCCAAGAGGCTCCGAGAAGTTGATACTGGCGCGTCAGAGGAGATATGCACATACCTCTGTGGTAATTCACTAGGTCTGCAACCCAAAAGAACGTCCAAAGTGGTGTCAGAACACCTTAATGCTTGGGCTAAAAAGGGCGTTTACGGGCATTTCATGAAACATGAAGACTCTAACCTCTCGGGCTTCTTGAATCTAGACGCAGAAGCTGCTGACATGATGGCACCTTTGGTGGGAGCAAAAACCCATGAAGTTGCCATAATGGAAACCCTGACCGCCAACCTCCATCTCATGCTGGCTAGCTTCTACCGTCCCAACAAGGACAAATATAAAATCATACTAGAAGGGAAGGCCTTTCCAAGCGATCATTATGCAATAGAAAGTCAAATCATCCATAATGGCTTTGACCCACGAGATGCCATGATCTGCATTGAGCCAAGGGGCTCTTCGACAGCCATTCTAGAGACGTCTCAGATCCTCTCAGCCATTGATGACCATGCTTCCACCACTGCATTGATACTGCTTCCAGGGGTGCAGTACTATACGGGTCAGTATCTTGATATCAAGGTTATCACTATGCACGCTCACTCCCACGGTATTGCAATTGGCTGGGATCTAGCCCATGCGGTAGGCAACGTGGAGCTGTCTCTGCACGAGTGGGACGTCGACTTTGCCGTATGGTGCAACTACAAATACGTGAATGCTGGGCCTGGAGCTGTTGCCGGGCTTTTTGTGAATGAAAAACACGGTTTCAATGACCAATCTGGCACCTTTAGACCAAGGCTCTCAGGCTGGTGGGGTGGTGACAAGGCTATAAGATTCGAAATGGGTCGACAGTTTGTACCTATTCCAGGTGCTCAAGGCTTCCAGATTGGGAATCCTTCATCTCTAGCCATTAGCGCCTTGATCGCCTCACTCGAGGTTTTCCAAATGACATCAGTAGACGCCCTCCGGCAGAAGTCTATCAAATTGACCGCATACCTGGAACAAATGCTACTAGAGTCACCTTTTGCAAAGGCACTCGGGGACCAGGATGGCTTGCCATATGAGATTCTGACTCCATCTGCATCTGAAGCACGTGGAGCCCAACTCAGTGTGCGGCTTCTCCCAAATATGCTAGAAGACATTATGGCAGATCTCGAATACAATGGTGTTGTTGTCGATGAAAGAAAGCCTGATGTTGTGCGGGTGGCGCCAGCGCCAATGTACAATTCATTCAAAGACGTCTGGAACTTCGCCCAAATATTTATCAACGCTTGTGCAAACGCAAAAATCAAATTGAAAGGGCCTAAAACTCGGGGCGGGACATCCTAACATGGCAGGCAGAAGGCAAGTGGAGGGGCAGACGAGAGCTTTTACAGCAGCACTTTTGGTCCCCGAAGCAGCAAGTTGAGCGAGTTTGCATTAAAAAGTCAGCCGAGCAAGGATAATTAAAGGATTGAGGCAGTAAGAGATGATCTAGTGACCAGAGAAGCCGCGTTAGACCTTAATCGTTCGAGGGACACGCCGATCTTGCTTCGTGCCTGTCAGATGGAGATCAGCTCTTCGGGTGTAGCACCATTACGTGGTCCGATCAATGGATGAAACGTCTAAGGCAAGTCAGCTTTGATGTGATGGGTAGACCACTTGTTACAACGGTCGGTCAGGATACCATAGTGTCCCTCTGGACAATGAAATCAGTCTGATAACTTCAGCTACGGTAAGCTGTGCCATCAGCTCGTTCTCATTTGACCTTTTCTCGTTCACCAGCCTGCCTTTGAGACTCCTGAGAGTCCAGATTGGATGGACTTTGCTGTAACGGATCTTGTGATAGAGAAACGGCTGTGCCTAGGATGGCAGGATCCCTATGACCGCAGTTTCATATGGGTGAATGGGCCTCTGGATAGACGCCCAGGGGCCAGACAGAGGACACTTGTAACACAATCAGCATTAGAAGAGGCCGCAACATGTTTCAATGACGGGCAATGCCACAAGCTTGCAGGATGAGGCTCAAAGATCGGTAAGAGCGATTTTGCTAAGACGCAGCGTAGGATTGAAAATGTTTGCAATTGCTGAGAAAGAGGAGGATGTATAGCAATCGCTTTGTCCTCTAGCACAAGCATTTTGGGAATGTAATGAGCTGCGATTCGGACTGTTGCCAGTGAGCACGACCCGTCGATCCCGCGATGTTTCCATCGAACAAGACACATTATTACTGAAGAGTCGGGCCTTCTCCAAAACACCATAGCCGTCATTGAGGGCCGCGATGGATTGGGGTGGGAAGGTTGGGTCAAGAGACTAGGGAAATGAGACAAAGCTCGAGAGTCTCCCTTCACAAGTTCTCTAGTCTTTCGATCAGCGGTCCGTAAGCGCCCACCACTGCCACCAGCGCTGGGTCGGGCCCCAAAGATACCAATCGGCAGCGTTCCAGTGCTAGCACACCCACCAAATCTGAATCCTGCCCCAGTCACAATTTGCGAGGCTCCTCACGTCTCGCCGCGCTAGAACAACGCGCACTGCATCAATCTATGACCTATGTGGGAAAACGCTCATTGACTTCCCCGATTATGCAATTAGCTCGACGCACCTGCATGGTGCTTGGTGCTTGGCGGCACATACACCAAATTCCCAGAAATCAGATCCCTCATTTACGCGCCCTGTTCCTGTGCCTGACCCCAACTTGCCCAAGGTTCCGCTTTAGCGCTCTCTTGCTCGTGTCTTCGCATGCCTATGCGGTCTCTCGTGGTGGCGTTCCCAAGCTCATCCAGCTGTCTAGATCTTGCAAGATACGCCTCGAATAATGTGATCCAAGCCGCTGGATAACCTTTTACGCATGTGATTGCGACTTTGACTTTACCAAACACATCTCTCTCGAGAACTTCTTGTGACCCCACCACATCTGGCTGTCATACCGCAGGAATTGGCCTCCAACACGACCGGCGCATTGCCAGTGTTGGAAGAGGGCTCAGTACTACCTGAAACTAGCAGTGCCTGGACATTGTAGAAACTCTTATACTGGACCTGACCGAGCTGTCACCAAGCAACCGTCTCCGGGCCCAAACATCATGTCCATGAAGCAGGTGAGTGTGAGTGCACGAACATTGAAGTACGAGACTTACGGCATGCAGGAGATCGAAACTTGGGTGGCAGCCCTCGGACAATATGATAACCATGAATTCGAGGAATCGCTAAAAACGTTCGACAAGATTTCAGACACCTCCAAGATACTCTTCAATTGTGGCATGATCCAGGCTACCCTTGGCCAGCATGCTTCAGCTGTACGTTTAACCTTGATTCTGGAAATTTGGAGCAGGAAGCTGAAGTGATACAGGTCGAATGTTTCCAACGAGCGATCAATCGGGACACGTACCTAGCCATCGCATACTTCCAACAAGGTGTCTCAAACTTCTTGGTGGGCGACTTTGAAGAGGCACTCGCCAATTTTAATGACACGCTGCTCTACTTGAGGGGTAACAGATACATCAATTACGAGCAGCTTGGTTTGAAGTACAAGTTGTACTCCTGTGAGGTACTGTTCAACAGAGGCCTCTGCTATGTGTACCTGAAGCAGAAAGACGTTGGAATATCAGACCTGAGGTATGCAGCCAAAGAGAAAGAGACTGCGGATCACGATGTCATAGACGAAGCCATACAAGAGGGTGCTGAGGTGAGTGACAACGGTGGTAATTCAAAAGCGTATAAACACTGATGGCTAAGCAGGAATTCACCGTCTTCTCGATCGGTGTCGGCATCGTCTACCGGCCCAACAGTGCAAAAGTCAAGAACCTCAAGACGAGAGATTATCTAGGAAAAGCTCGCGTGGTCGCAGCCGCAGAACATAGCAATGTACAAAGCCCAGAAGCAACGAGAGCAGCCCTTCAAGCTGCGGCGGGTCGAAATTTGGACGATCGTGCGCCGGAGTCGATTTCGTTTGCAGCATCGAATCTCGTGCGACCCAACCTTCACAGCAGAACAAGACAACAATCTGAACCGCCAATCCACCGGAACGTGTTCCCTCCCACTCCTCCACCCGAAAATGAGAATGAGAAGCTACGTCCAGCAATGTCCATTTCTGCAACGACAGCGCTTCCAAACTCTACGTTCCCGACGTTGTCCTCCCTAAATCTACAAAACTCCAAGCAACTCCCTTCCACGCATGAATTTCGCCAACCGCCCCAAAATCACCCTCTCCGCCCCGAACCTCTCAAGCTCTCTCAATCTTCCTTCACCTCCCTCGAAAGCAAAGACCCACCACCATCTCGAATAGGCACTACACGCTCTGCCTCCGAGCGTCCGTCTCATAGAGAGCATTTCCGACGCGATCGAGAACAACGGCGACCATCACAACCGGACTCACGCCGCCTCTTCATGGAAGTTCATCCCGGCTCTCCGGGTGAAGCAGACATTGATGAGCACCCAGATGAGGAGCTATACTCCGCGCCCTCCCTCAGCGCGGCCCCCAGCCATCACCGCCGCACCCGATCCTCAGCCAATACCGTCTCCACACATAGATCTAGCGGCGGGCGCAATGGCTCGCGAACGCGGCACCGCTCGCGCTCGCGTCAGGCATCGGGGCCATCAATGCGAACGCACTATAGCATCGAAGAAGAAGATGAAACCACAGGCGACGCAGGCTCCACGGGCTCCTCGCTCGACGAATTTGAGATCTTGCATAATGCCGGAGGCGGCCTCTCACGGTCTCCAGAATCCGGCAACGGCGGTACTGGCCCAATACTGACACTGCCGAAAACCACCTATCGGCCGCCAAGAACGCAGTCCGAACGACCCGATCGCACCACTCGTGCAAGAAGCAGTTCTCGCCACCGTCCTGCGCCTTCGCATGCCCATAGGGAATTTCATGGTGGCGTGGCTGGAGCGTACAAACCACCCCCGCCCCAGCATCCGACTGTCCCCGAACTCAAAAACATACGCATCAAACTCCATCACGCCGACGACGCACGCTTTATCCTGCTCCCGCCTACTGTCTCCTATGACATGCTAGTTGAGAAGATAAGGGAGAAGTTGAAAATGCCACGGGATCAGCAGTTCAAGGTGAAGGTCAGGGATGAGGACGGAGATTTGATCACCATGGGAGACAGTGATGATTGGGACATGGTGGTTCAAGGGGTGAGAAAGGAGTTTGAGGGTTCAGCGCTGGGAGATGGTGAAAGTGGGGGAAGTGAGCAGGGCGGCGGAATGGGAAAGATGGAGGTATGGGTCGCTTGAAGGAGGTGACATTGAATTGTTTGCAGAGTTTGCATGCGGATTATTGTTGACCCTTATTCATGGCGGAGCGTTTTGGCATTTCATAATGACATTTATGGTGGCGCTGAGCAGTCTCGCATAGCTCTGGCTCAGCCTGTGGGTTGAAAAGATAGCTCATTGATGATGGCATATGTTTAAATAGTGGTTGATATTTATTGTCTCTACTTCGAAGTATATACATAATTTCTCATGAATGCTGCCTTATTGTTTTGTTCAGGCAGAAGTCTTAATGAGTTTTGTCTGAATCCCATACCTTCGTTACATAACATAGATATGCTGCTGAACCCCCGTCGCCTCAGTCAAAACGCCCACGATGTGAAACTCCGCCCGAGACGAGCTGATCCGTTTGTTGGGGAAATAAGATACGAGGCAATCAGAAAGATAATACTAACGGATAGTCATAAGACCGTGCAGGTCGCCGAAGAAGCCCTACCACAACAGGCATCACGTTAGCCAGTTGCTGTACCTATTTGAATTTAGCCCTGCGGTGGTTGCCTATCTACTCGCGCTCCGCATTGGGGGCTCGATCAGGACCGTCAATTGGAGAGGAGTTGTCCACTCTCTCAGTCGCTGCTGCAGGCTCATCTTCTGGATCGTCGGATCGCTGGACGGCCTGGCGACTTGGCGGAGTCAAGACAGTCTCTTCCCCCGAAGCCTCGTCTTCCGCTTCAGGCGTCTCGTCATCGGAAGAGTCAGACGTAAACAAGTCGGCGTCATCAAGCTCATCCCTTGACGAGGAAGAAAGTCAGACCCGGGTCGAGCACGAGCGACGAGTCCACAACAGTTTAGATAAAAAGAGAAGGGTGTCGAGCTTACCAATTTTGCGCTTCGATCTTTTTCACCCATCGTGCCGTGATCTTCAATCTTTCCCTGACGCTCGTGGTAGGTAAGAGCCTGTACTTTTCGTCCTCGTTGATTGGGAGAACACTGGCAAACCAGTAAGGAAACAACGCTGGATCCAGAGGCATCTCGCCATAGCTAGCAACGTGCGCACCCCGTAGCCAAGGAGCGCTCGCTGCTCTTGTCCGTGCGATGAAATCTGTACCGATATGGAGAAGTTCGAGCGTTGACATACGATCAATCTGTCCAGCCATATCATCTGGCATCGCAGGAAGAAGCGTAGTCTCACGGGCCTCAATTGCTTCTTCTTCTGCCAAAGAAATGTCCTGGACAGGTTCGATATTGCCGATGATGTACCCATCGAGTTCACCTGAGGATTTTACACGAAAGCGGAAAACACCGCGAGTTTCAAGCACACTGCGTCCATCGGGCATCATCTGAATGGTGTTTATATGTAGCATCGTTCCATACTCCATAAAGTGAGAGTGTCCCAAGTTCCCTTGAGCTTCGCCACGGTGGTTGTACATGATCATACCAAATTTGCGGTCTCCGTTTTCTACTGCCCTGCGCATCATCAGGCGATACCGAGGCTCGAAAACGTGAAGAAAGGTTGGCATGGCTGGATAAGCAAGAGTGCATACGAAAAGCGGAACATTTGTGTCCCCCTGCATTGTTTCTTCCTTATCAGCTGCCTCTTGCCTTGCCGCCAACAGGTCAGGGCAAAGAGTCAAAAGCAATTTCGAAAGGCTGTGGTTGCTTGCGACACCCGTTGCACCGGGAGGCATTTGCAAAGATCTTCGACATATCGGACATAGGGATGAGTGATCGAGAATGCGGGCTACACACTTGCGACAATAGGTATGACCGCAATTGGTCGTCAGCGGGTCGAGCATTAAGGCATAACAGACCTGACAATCGAGTTCGTTCTTGATGGTTTCCTTCAAGTGGTTAAGCATTTTGATGTCAAGAATCTCATACGTATCGCCGTTTGATGACATGGTTTGGTATGCGACTTCAGAGTCGTACCTCAACTGCCCATACTCTGCTAGCGTGTATGTTGCAAGTAATCGTCCTCCATTGATGATGCGTGACGAGGCTTTTCTCTCGTCCTTAGAGCTGTCGATCATGTTTTTCCAGCGCAGCCTTTCATCCAGCAACGTTGGGGTCTCGGGGGTCAGAAGCCTGTATTTCGACGCCTCGACACTGATTCTTTCCACAATTTTGCTTAGTGTAACATCTTGGCAGCAGTCCCCAAGTGCGTGGTCTTTTCTACAGGTCAAGAATGGGCAAGTGAAGCCCTCTTGCCGACTCGCGATATTTGGATAGCTTATATGTTCTCGTTGGCGAACGGGTGGCAGGCATTTTCGACATAACGAGTTGCCGCACGGAAGTGTCAAGGGATTCTGAAAAGGAAGAGAGCACTGAGAGCACTGAACGAGGCGGATGATAGCACGTGCGTCTTTATGAGGGTTCAAGGAGGGAATGCGAGACTGAGCGCCAGCGTTGAGGGCGTCGTTGATCAGGGAGGCAGCGGTGAGATGGGAAGTCCGGCTGCCCCTCGGAGGAGCGCCATTACTCGGCAAACCTTGGTTCTGGAGGACATTCATCTATGCTGAGCAGCGAATTCTCGATCCATGTGGAAGTGAAATCCTTCCGGCGAAAGTTGTGCGGACGGGCTGGAGACGGCCTTTGTACTTGGTCGAATTGACGACGGGCCGAAGTGGGTATCGGATACCCTACCTCAGGTCTCGGATCGAAGCCTGGGCAATTGGCTATGTGCTCAGTCAAGCTCCAGCGGATCACGAGGATAGAGTTTTGGTGTGGTGGATGCGCACAGGGAAGCGCTAAGAGAAAGGGACTGAGGTGATGATGAATACATTCGGTATTGAAAGCAAATTGCGGTGGGGGAAGGAAGTTGCGGTGATGAACTGATGATTCGATTGGAAGCGGCTTAGGGAATGGTCGAGCCAAAGTCGTTGGCGGCTTTAGTCTCCAACCGTCACCCTCATTCGTTGCCCAAGGACCGACATGATTGTTGCGAGATCCAAATGCCATCTCGTCGACGTCATGCCCCGAGAGGCTAAACTCGTGAGCCACTGAGCCACTCTTCAAGCGCCACACTTTCACTCCCACCGGAATCGGGACAGCCAGAACCACGCACCGAATGTGACGGAATTCCAGTACGAGCTATACCGTTAGACAGAAATAATGATCGCACGCAAGGCATTCTGGCTTGGCAAAAGGCGTGGAAAATGGGAAGGGGTATCTTGGTCAAATTGTCTACTACACACACATCGTACAAGGGCGCTTCTTCCACACTTCAACCTCCCCTCGCCTGGGGGTCCAAACTTCCTTCCAATCTTCTTCAAACAATCATCATATGCCTTTTCGTGGTCAATTGTCCTTGGCGCCGTCGCTATGCTGAATAAACAAAGAGCGGTATCTTCAGCGGTCCCATAGAGCTACGACCCGATGCCGCCGGGTGACTCCTCGTCGAGTACGATGCGTCTCATGACGCTTTTATCAAACAGATCGATCACAAAGCGTCGTACCTGTAAGCGCAAATTGTAGCTTTCTAGAATCCGCATCACCTTGCGAAACAAGATCAATGAATTGAACTGCTCTGGAGACTTGGCCTTGATGCTGTACAGGTCGCCCGCTGCTTTTTTGGTAAGTACCGTATTGCTCAAGTCAGTCACAACGGCCAAGATCCGAGCGTGAACTGGATCGTCATCCGTCGAAGGTCTCACATCGCGAATGATGTCTGTAAAGGTGGGTTCGCTAGACTCATTCGCGCCTGTGTTGCGATCCATCCAAAGTAGGTCTTCAAGCCGCGGTGGGAGACAGCACCCCAGCGAGCGGCCGAATTGGTCCGTGGCAGCTGTCCAACCATGCTCAAGAAGTATCTCCATACCATGCAAGCTTCTCGAGATAAGACCCAAGCTGAAGAACGCCGTTCCACGCATGGTCATCACTTGCGAGCTCGTTGCGATCCTGATCATCCAAGCCACCACATCTGATTCTTCTAGAAAAGGTGCACCAAGCTCCATGGCTCCAACGTTGCCCACGGCCCATAAGGAGCCTTTGACCTTCACCATAGCCTCTTGATCCTCATGCTCAGCCCACAATTTCCGTATGTTTGCGACAAAAGCTTCAAAGTGGCCGGAATCACGCAATAGCTGGCAGCCCTCTTCTGTGCGGGTAAGTTCCCGATAGAAATGCGGTGGTACGTTCCCAAATTCCTCAGCTTTGACGTGGTCGTCGCCGCTTGACTTTGGCCGTTCTGGAGTTGGCAAGAACGCGCGCGACAATGACGCTTCGACAAGTGTCACATAGCTGTCATTGCGGCCCAAGAACCAATCGTCCATTTCCTGGGTAATGTAATCCAGGCCATCTAAGTATTTGTAGCCCAAAGATGTTGATAGGAAGCGGAGCAGGAGAGGTGCCCCTATGGCACCAAGATGATCTAATGCTGGTCGGCACTTGACAACGTACTCTAGCTGCGCCGTCTTGTTGCAAACTTCCTCAAGAATCTGTACGGCAATTTCGGAAACCTGTACTTCAGGATCATAAAGTTGCGTCACTAGAAGGCGAATGGCCCATTGACAACCTTCAAAGCTTCGGGCCTTATTGTTGATCTCGGATGGGGAGGTGCTGGCATACTTGCGAAGCAGTCTGGTCGCAAGTATTCGAATATTCTTGCGGCATGCTGTCGCAGCCTTAGAGAGCATGACACGCATGTGACTGTCAAGGGAGAAGTCCATGTTGCTCAACAGCAGTTTGATTAAGTCCTCCCGTGTATCAAGCTCCAACACATGGTAGAGCATGTTTGTCATGCGCCATCGGTCCAGGATACCAAGACCCTTGGGATCGCTGCTCAAAGTCCCCAGGAAGGAGAAATAACCACCGGTCAACGTGTCCAAGATCCGCTCTCGGGAGAACAAGGGCTTCATAGCAGTCAGGCCACTCTGTTTATCAAGCTGAGCGAGGCATTCTGCAAGCTGTCTCATGAATTTACTTTCCGATAGGAAGAGTACACCCTCAGTAGTTTGTAGCAAGGTTTTCATCAGAGCGCAACCTGCCCGCACGTAACGTTGATTTGGTTTCGTGTTCTTAATATCTGAAAACCTGTACTTAAAAGGCCGGTAAAAGCCAATCAGTCTCTTCAGAAATTTGCTAGCTTTGATAGACTCCTCTAAACGCTTTGCATTTGTCAAGGGACCTTCAACAACCTCCACGATGAGATCCCAGCGCCATTTGAGATAATTCGCAGTAGTCAGCACTTGAGTATCCATGAGGATGGAACGAAAGCGCAGCTCTTCAATGTCGATACTCATCCGGTTTTTCGCTTGCTCGCTGGAGTGTGGAGGCCCATGCTCTAACAATCTAGCTGAGCCTATGGCTACGGTTGGAGCTTTTTGTGTTTTAGATTGCGTGTTCGATCTCTGCATGGTACGGCTTACGCGATCTACCTGGTAGATCATTGCGGAGGGCAACCAACCATTCGCATCTTCTTCGAGGCCATCCAATGCTTCCGAGAAAAGGTGAGGAAGAGGCTGTAGTCTTGTGCTTATGAGGTTCGGTAAAGAATGATCAGCTAGCTTGAGAACTTCTCCCAACAAAACTGTGGCCTTTCGTCTAAGTGCTTGATCTGGTGTACTTTTTGAAAGATCGACGAGCGATTGGACAAGATCACACTCTACAAAGACTGCGAGCAATAACGCTGTAAAATGCTCAACAAGATTGAACTTTGGGGTTTCCTCCTCCAGAAAATCGGCCTTGGAATGGAACTCGGGGCTATCCGATTTCATGTTTGTGACCCTGCCGTAGGTTGTGAGACGACGACCAGCCAGGAAGGACGATGTCCATGCAGGAGGTATAATGTGTAGAACGTCAAAAAGCAGATCCAGAATAATATCCCTGGCAAGGGGGACATCATATTGCAAGGATTTAAGCAGAGAGCGAATGCCCATGAAATTTCTACGGGAGACCGCGAAAAGGCCTGGCCACGTCTTCAAAATGGCAGAGATAAGTCGTGCATTGGTCTTGAGCCGCTCTTCATGAACTCTGCCGAGTCCAGGGTCGGTGAAAGGGGTAAAGGCGCCATCTAGCTCATATCCAGATGTCAGAAACACTCGGGAACGTGGCTTGTCCTCTAATTGCAAGAAGATCAGAGCAAGACTTTCCAGGCCCTGGTACGATCCTTCAACAAATGCATTCGCTAATGGGCCAACAGCACCTGCGACCAAAGCCTTCCGAGGATCTTGGAGGAGAACTTCTGCGAGCGTCAACAGGCTCATGTTTTGGAGCCGGTCTTCGTAGTGTTCAGCGACTGAAACAACAGTACGCAGGACAGCATTTGAAAGCTCATCCACACCTCCTTTGACGTCCAAGAACGCTCGCACAAATTTCAAAGCTTGCTCCCTCTCCATGCTAGCTTTGCTCTCTTTGACCAACGAAAGAATGACAAGGTCGTCTGTATTGAGCCCACGGATGGTTTGTAGAGATCTGCGATCTGCTATGGCATGCCTTGACACTCGATATCCTGCAGCCGTGACTTCACGATTCTCGCTGAGAAGCATGGTCTGAACACGAAGCCCAAAAATTGACCAAGCCAAATCATACTTGATAGTAGGATATCTCTTGAAGAGCTCGACGAGGCTGTTGGCTCGCTCGACATAGTAATCAGCTTGCATGCCTTCCAGTTCCAAAGCTTGTAGCAGGCCGTCGAGGATGAGACTGGGCGATTCCGACTCGACCGCGTTTCCATTGTTCTGATGCGAGCCATCCTCGCCAGGTGATTTCAGTGGGCTCGACTGAAAGAAACCTGATAAACGATCCCGGGTAGGTGTTGTTGGTCGGTTGGACCGCTCGATCTCTTCATCTAGAAGACCACTCAACTCTGTGAGCTTGCGATTGGTCAAATTAAGCTCTGATTCTACTTTGTGACGCTGGTCCTTGGTTTGTTTTGAGTTTTTCACAACCAACGCCTCTAGTAGGTTTTCAGAGCCAATCTTGATCTTTGTTTCCACGAGGATCTTGTCACGCAGCTGGATTTGTCTCTGCTCGGATGAAGCTGAACTTTCCTTGTCGAAGTAGTCTCCTGCAAAGCTTCCAGTCTCCGGTTTTGGTGTCGCCAAGTTTCCTACTCGTCCATAGTTGATAGTCTTCAGGTCAGAACTGAAACTCCCAGGCGGCGGGCCTGACGGTGCCAGAGAGGCATTTCTAGGACCAAAATTGAGTGCGTTAGCTAGCGATCTGGCATGCTGACTTTGTATGACGTCTTTTGCACTGAATGTATTTTCGGTATCCTGCTGGGAGAGCGACCTTCCATGTTTGGTGAGGGTAGCCTGTGTTGGAGTCACCGAGGCCGCGGGTCCATTGAGTTGGCTCATTACATCGCTTACGCTGGATGTTGAGCCAGGTGCCACCTCAGTGCGATTCCAATCTCTTCATATAACGCATCCATCTAAATGCGCTGACCCCAATCCTACCATAAGGTGTAGTGGCCAGCGCAATAATAATGCTGCGTTTTCTGCTAGTGAAGCCACATGTCCATCTGTCACAAATTCTCTACGCAGAAGTGGAGAGCTTGCGACAATTCTAGGGTCCTGAGTATCGTATCGAACTGTTTCGAGCTCTTGTGCTGTGGAGGGTCTGATCCTCTGCGGAGAGACCGAAGAAAAGGCACTAATCCAAAAAGTGTCACGCCAAGACATCCCCGACATCTCCCGCATTGGTACGGAGCCGTCGGACTCCCCACTACCTAATGAGCATTCTGGATAGGTCTATACGTTCGAAAACGAAGCCCCATCTTTTCCAAGTGTGCCGTGGTAGACAAAGGCTTGTGACTCTACTCAGAAGATGGCCACCTCTTCCTACCTAATATCGAAGAGAAGCTGTCCTCAGGTCCCCTAGGCGGTTTGAGATCTCCAGGACAGGGAAAGACCAGCGGAAGCCCCTCGAGAAATAGTTATCTACTCCGTGCGTAGATCTTAGATAGCTCTTTCTCGTCACCTTATGTCGCTACAAGATAGGCTAATCAAATCACACCCCGTCTCCAATTCGGGTCGCACAATCCTAGGGATTCTACATGGCGGGGTAAAATTCTGGGGCTCTCATTCCACGTATGGCTGTATTTCCAGCTCCACGCCACATCTACTCGGTCCTTGTCTGGCCGTGAGCCAGGAATACGATCGAATGATCTGGCCGACCATGTCGTCGCGGCAATATCAATGGAATTGCCTGGTGAGGGATGGTTGCAGCGGGGATCCCGGAGCTCGCCGTGCTTAATATCTATTTGGACTCGCTCCACTCCGTTAACGGCAGGCAGTGTACATCCGATAGCTGTAGTATAAGTGGAGATCGATGTGCTCTGAGTGGCTGCTGTACTATATAACAATCCAGATCGCCGGATTCGATTTTTCATGCTGTAACGAGCATTCAGCGAGTCCTTAGATCCAGTGCCTTTCAACTTCGTGCTCGTATATTCATCTCACGCTCAAGCTCTTACAATGCCTCAACTTTCCGCAGCTCAGTATGGCAAAGATAACATTAGAGTATACAAGGTTCAGAAGGACAAGACGACGGGGAAGCAGGATGTGACTGAAATGACCGTTTGCGTGCTACTTTCTGGTGATATTGAGACCTCGTACGTCATCCACATCCATCGACGAGTATCAACTGAGGTTCGTTAGTTACACAAAAGCCGACAACAGCGTTGTCGTGGCTACGGACACCATGAAACAAACCACATACATCACGGCTAAGCAGAATCCTGTCAATCCACCCGAGCTGTTCGGAGCGATTCTCGCCAATCATTTCGTCACTAAGTACTCTCACATTCACACCGCCCAGGTCAAAGTCAAACAACATCGCTGGACGAGAGTGGTCGTCAAAGACCAGCCACATCCCCACTCCTTCTTCCGAGACAGTGCAGAGACGAGGAACGCGGAGGTCGTGGCAACCAAGGATAAGGGAATCAGCATAAGATCCGCAGTTGCTGGGCTTTTGGTTCTCAAAAGTACGGGCTCGGCTTTCCACAGCTTCATCCATGACGAATTTACCGCTCTCCACGACGTGGAAGACCGTATCTTGAGTACCGAAGTCGACAGCGGTTGGACATGGAACACATTCGAGACTGTGCAAGAAGTTGAATCGTCTGTCGAGAAATTTGATAAAGCTTGGAAGAGCGCACGCCAGATCACCCTTGATCTATTTGCGACAGAGAACAGCCCAAGCGTCCAGAATACCATGTACAAAATGTGTGAGGAGATTCTTGCGGTTGTGCCCGAGGTCAATGCCGTTGACTACTCGCTGCCTAATAAGCATTACTTCGAAATAGGTGAGGCACCCTCCACACTGAGTGCCTTGATCATGCTGATATAGTCCCAGATCTGAGCTGGCACAAAGGGTTGAAGAATCTTGGCGAAGATGCCGAAGTGTATGCGCCACAGAGCGATCCGAATGGCCTCATTCAATGTACCGTGTCGCGATGAAATGATCTTCTATCTGTGTTGATAGATGCTAAGAGCAATGAGTCAAATGTCTTGATTTTGGGATGTCGATGATGAACGATGTTCGGTATATTGCATGAAGGTATGGGCGTAATTCTTAGTACCTTGCACTCCAAAGTTGTGCAGTCATCTTAATTGTCTTTCTTTTCTTCTACTGCTGGTCGCGGCTGTGGTCTCTGTCCATCAAATTTGGCTAAGTTAGGTCCATACGGATGCGCTTCTCCTTCGAAAACTGTTTAAGCGATAGCAAAGCCGTTAGCAAAGACCAGCTCCCCAAGTAAATATATAGACAACACGTACTCTTCAGTCTTTCCAGTCGAGGCTTCCTCAATCTGTTCTTCGGCAGCATGCCAGAGACCGCTCTCTTCAATATCTCGCCTCCGCCCCATTTCCTTATCATGCTCTCCATGTTCAGAGATTTCAAGGCCCCTGGTCTCGTGGTTTGCTTATAATATAGTTTGTTCTGCATCTTTTTCCCCGTAGCGAAGACATCAGTACATCCTGTCGCTACGACGTAGTCTCCACAGTCGGTTGATGGGTTCCATATGGGCTTATGCTTTCCCATGAGAAGTATGGCGATCCGTGAAGCGAGGCGTCCGACTGGAGGAGTTCCAGGCGCCGAGAGGGAGACATGATGCCATGTCCGCGCGTAGGCTAGACGAGTCTGTTGAAACGAAAAACCAGTCAGTCAAGTCGTATCACTGAGGAGTGGAGCAGGCTAGAACATACCCTGCCTACCAACTGTGACATGTTGAGGGCAGCGTCACATGAACATTTAGCAGCTCTTTTGTAAAAGATGATAGCTTAGCTGGCGCACATCAATTTGAGTTCTCCTCACGCAGCTGTCTCTCCAAATTTGTGGGATTTTGGAAGGTGTGGATGTCCAAGGCGAAGATGGGAGACGAGAGTTATTGCATGGAGCACTAGTCCTAAACCTTTTCTTCTCGGCCTAAACCCGAATTTCAAAGCTCTGCATGAGCTCGCCCAATCATGAATGTCAAATTCGTCAAGCTCGTCTCTTACTTCTCTGACTCTCCATTTCACCCGTAGTATCACTATAGCATGAGATCTAAGCTCTTGAAACGTTCCCTCTACGCAACAGCAGCAACATCTGCTACAGGCTCCGCTATTTTATACACAACCTCACAGCGAAACCCACGTTCACGAAATAAGAAGATGCTTCCTGCATACGAAGCGACTTTCTCTGTACCCATAACGTGCGAGTCATGTACCAATGACATCTCTCGGGCGCTGTCTCGCCTTCCAGGCATTCAAGAAATGACCTTCTCGATCCCCTCGAAACTCGTCATCACTAAGGGCACTGAGCCACCATCTAATATCATTGCTTCTATCCAGTCTACAGGTCGCGAATCTATTCTACGTGGCTCTGGCAGTGCCAACTCGGCTGCGGTCTGTATACTAGAGACGCCGCCATCGGCTGAGATACGGACGACGCCACAGTCTAGTCCAGTGAGAGGGCTGGTGAGGCTGATTGAGCTGGGGGAGAGACTCACAATGTTGGATTTGACTCTCACAGGCATGGAGGAGGGCAAATATTGGGCTAGCGTGAGAGCCAGTGGGGACATTTCGGCTGGCAAAAAGAGCATGGGTAACATTTTTATGGGCCTTGCAGGGGATAGAGAAGGCTCGATTGGTGAGTTAATGGTCGATAAAACGGGAAGGGGAGTTCTAGTCGGTGAAATTGGCTGGCGCGTCTGGGAAATGGTGGGAAGAGGGGTGGTTGTAGAAAGAGCAGAGGACTCAATCGTGGCCACGAAAGAGCGAGGAGATGAAATCGTCGTTGGGGTCATTGCTAGAAGCGCTGGTCTTTGGGAGAACGACAAGACGGTGTGTTCCTGTAGTGGAAAGACACTATGGGAAGAAAGAGAACAAATGGTCCGGAAAGGAATGCTTTGAAACGATCACGAATAAACCAGAGGAGCGACAGCAAAGTAACGTCGGAATCCAATGCGCGATAGATGTACCCACCGCTTCGTCAGTGGTATACTTCATTATTTTCGCTTGGGCATGATCTGCTAAGTGTCAGCTCTCATTTACCCTCGGCCACAATTCCATCAAAGATTGGAGGACTTTCATTCTGGTCAAAGACGCCTTGCAGGAAAGCGGATTTGAAAGCCAGTCAAGCGACCTGGAGAACCCTTATATTGACGGCTATGAATGCTCGATATTGATCTTTTGCGCATTCGTGACGGATGACCACATTTACTCAGCCATGATCTCTGTCTGAAGTTCCATTCGAAGTAGAGCATGGGTCACGCTCTCGATTCATTGGAAGGGCAGACATGCATGCCCAGCCTTAGATCAGCTGCGCAACATATGAGGCACTTTGGTGGGGCTATTCACATACTCGTTCACCATGACGTAGAGCGGGGTCAGCCAACTATATCAACGAACGAGCCTCAACACTGACCGAACGAAAGGACCAACTCTGCAAGTCTTTCAAATTAAGTCAATCTACCGCCAGATATTTACCAATCTGTTTCTAGACTTTAGAATTACAGTAATACTGACACAGGCATGGACAAAGCAGGCAGTACGTCGCCCTCCCGTCCATCCCTCCCTCCTCTCTCCCCTCATCACCCTCCCTTTTCAACCCAAGCCCCTACCTTCGTTGAACCCACTAACCCCTCCTTCTCCTACAGGCTTCGTGGGCGGCGTGACCGACACAGTCGGGAAGGGCGTTTCAGGAGCCGCGGGAACAACGGGCAATGCAGTCTCGGGGATCGGGGACACTGCTGCAGGCGGATTGAAAGGGGCAACCGATACAGTCGGGAACGCGACGAAGGGCGCGGGAAACACTGTCGAAGGAACCACTCAAGGCGCCAGTGATAGTGTGCGAAGCGCGGGCGGTGCAGAGACTAAACACGACGCACAGAACCCGCTAGGATTGGGCAAGTAGGGCCAGAGCTGAGATGCGAGGAGGGGATTTCTTGATGGCATGTGATGACAAGACATGAGGAAGCAGAAGAGGGCCAGCTTGTACAGTAGCAGGAGGCTAGCCATGATTACATGAGTGATGATCGTATGCTCAGATCAAAGACCATTCGAGAATTGCTACCCCTTTTTCATTATCAATGCTCGCTGTCGCTACATCCGAACCGCATGCTCGGTTATTCTGCAATCCGCTAGATTGTTCTTCGCATCTATCATACCGTATCGTACATGAGGCATTTGAAGCCCACTGGTGATACCGACGCATTAAAGTTGTTGGATGCTGGATGGTTTGAGCGGTCTGGAGCGAAGACTGGTAATGGATCGAATTATATTCGGTCTAGTGGTTGCTTTTCATGTCTGTGAAACAGTCCCTTGCGCGCTTCATTCGTTCAGAGATCGTTGGCTGTGTCGTCGAACAATGTAGTATAAGCCGACAATCAGGTGCGATATGCTGAATGTAACTCTGTTATTTTTCTTCTTCTTAAAGATTCAGACCTCTTTTCCTTTCCCTTTGTCTTGGGATGGAGACGGTGTCCCTTCTGCAGCATCATTTACCTGTTCGCTCGTTTGATCTTCATCATGGGCTCCGTCTAATCCAGGAACATAATTGGGCATACTCTCGAACCGATCCGTCTCCACCACATTTCCCTCTTCATCAATAATATTGACATCAACACCTTCCACGTAAGCATAATTACCGGTCCTACTTGACATCCTCAAGAGTGGAGCACCGTCTTCGTCATCTTCATTTTCCCGAGACTCGTCTAATGCAAGTCGTGGGCTTCTGCTGCTAGCTGAGCTGCCAGGGCGTTGCTCCGTGGGGTTCAGCAATCCAATGGCTCTCGCGACTGCTGCCCGCTCGTCTTCTGGGTCCTTGAGGGGAGTGCCGATTGCTGTTTCTGATTGCTCAGGGTCGTGCCTTAGAAGTTCGAGATATTTCTGACGACCTGGGTCCTTTTGACGCTTCGTCAGGTTTTTGAGACGCTTCTCCTTTGGCCGAACAATGACCACAGGCACAGGGCAACATTGATATAGATAATAACTAATGGAGTTTTTGCCAAACTTGGACTCAGTGAGAGACTTTCCTTGAGTGCCAACCACTATATTGACGGGTCTGTGGAGATTGACCTGTTTAAGCCTCTGTCAGTCTGCCATGTGTTGTGGAATAGTTATGGTTTGATTGCGTACCATCCGATCAAGTGACTCGCGAACTTTGCCCACTATGATTTCAATAACCACCTTAACGCCAGGCCCTTTGTTCGTGTCCAAGGCTGCTTGAACACTTTCTTGCACTTTCGCCGCCTCTTCCCGATGCTGTCCCCGGTTCTCCACGACTCGGACGCAGACAATATCGTCGCCATTGTCCACCAGTTCTTCAATGAGATATTCTAGAGCGGCTGCCGCATATTCAGATTCATCAATACCACAACAGAACGTTTTGGAATGTTTTTGAGGCGAGTAATCTGGGTGTCGAAAAGTCCGCGTGAATGCTGGCTTGTCTGTACTTTCCCAGGCGACTGTATCAAAGGAGACACGAGAGGTGTAAGTTCTGCGTTCACGGGCTGTTACTTTCTGTCCCTAGCAAGATAAAAATTACGTGCTGCATCTTTTCGGCACTTCGTTGCAGGACATTGGTGGACGGATTCCTTCAATATGCATGGAGGGATTGGTGAAAACACTTCATACATATGTGCGGAGCTCACGAAAGACCTCGGATTGCAGCAGACTAAAGGAAGATGTCCGAACAAATACACAGCGATTGTGGCACTTGCAGTCAAAAGCTGCCAGCAACAAGGCTCAATCTTCATCAAGATATGAACTAAAGAAATATCGAAGGGACGACTGTCTATAACACAGGGAGCAAAAGCATTTGCAACAGCACCCAGACTCACGGCGGTGAGGGCAGGGGAGGTGGGGACGGTAATCGCCCTTTTGGCTTTCCAAGATTTTCTATTGAAGACTCTGGTTTCTCTGGTAATGGGACTCGGTCTGATGTTACAAATTGAATGGAAGTGGGGCGTTGGGGGGTAGCAGGGGGTGACTCGGTCTTGGGGTTGACGAACTTCACTTCTGGGGTATCTGGCTGGCTGCTACTCTGCTGTGCTTCTACAGCCGGTTGAGATTCAGACACACTTTGTGAAGACGACGCTGGAGAGGTTGATGACTCTGCTGGTCGGAGGTTTGGCGAAGACTGGTCACTGCTTGCCATTGCAATGAATTTCTGCCCAAGTAGATCTCCAAATGTGTTCCGAGTTCATAGGTCCGATGTCTCAGGCTGGGGATGTGCTACATACAAATGTATCAAACTCCTGGAGAACGAGTATGTTTACTAGGCTTAACCACAATAGAAGTGAGTGGTCTCGCAGGTTTGCATGAGAAGATATGCAGTGAGCTACTTCTTGGCAAGAGGCAGTAGCGACCGCGCAGATCAGGCGACCCCGTCGTTGGGCAGCTCGCCTTGCTCCTGCAACAGTGGCATGTCTGTGTCATTGTTTGTCGTTAAAATTACCCAAATCAGCGGACAAGAATAAAACAGGATGGTCACTGCCACGTGCGCCACGCGTGCTCTCCTTGGCTTCTAGAAGGTGAGGTTAGGCTGAGCAGAGGAGGCATTAGGTTGGAATAATGATAGGGCTGTGCTCGCAGATCTCGATGGAACTCGCGTCCTATCCCCGACTTTTGCCAAATCCCAAATCCTTATTTGTGAAACCGGTCAGAAATCCGTCCGTGTCCGGAGAGCGTAGGCACCAAGAAAGCGGCCCCCCCCTGTCACGCTGTCACCTTGTGAGCGTCGCAAAATCATGCGAGTTTGCGGAAACGAATGCGAAAAGTCCGCGAAAAGTCCGCCAAATTCAGACTAAGAAAGCCGATCTTTCCTTACGCTAACCCTTAGAAGCGTCACTTGACTCAATTGACCTTCTAGCACAGCTCCGCACTTTCCGTCCGCTTCGGACGAGGGATGAGGTAACCAGCTTACGAATGCGAGCTCGCGAAAGAGTCAGTATGCCATTGGTGCCATCCACGGGTATAACATGGTGACGTTATGAACGTGTCGTGATTAGAGTAGGCACCAGGATTCCTGTTTCGCGACGGGGGGGATATATCCTCTAGTTGAGCAAAGACTACAGCCACTATGAGAAGCTTGTTAGGAGGAATGCAATGAAGCGACGAGAATAATGACACTAAGCACACAAATCACAGGAAATCTGGGTTGGTTTAATATTTCTTGAATTAATTCAATATATACGTTTAGTTCTCAACCTCGATTAGAGGGAGATGCTATACAGTCCAGCTAGACTTCAATGCCACCTAGATATCCTCCTGAAGCCCTCGCCAGATGAGTAGAGTACCATTCAAGATCCACGCTTGCTCGCTCGCTTGGGTATTTGTAGATGCGCTGCAAATCGCTCATAAAACCAAATCAGATAGTCGTCGTGCTGTCTAGTATGCAGTGATGGTTGTTGTTATTCCATTGTGAAACAGAGTATCGGCTTGCGGTAACGACTTTTCTGATTGGTAGAATGATGTGGTGGCGATCGCTTGTCGTTGCTTTTCCGAGAAAGCCTCAAAGGACATGGCGGCAGTGGGGGGCGGGGACGGTGGCATTGATTCGTCCTCTGATTCTGAGTCGGAATCCTCGTGCATGAGCTCTGGTGGGTGAGAAAAGGTTCGAGTCAGGGCAAGATCATCTTCGTAGTCATCATCATCCTCCATTTCGTCGTCCGAGTCTTCCGCCGCTGCTGGTGGTGGAGGTGGTGTCTTTGCAACCTTGCGGAATGGAATTTGTTGAGCGACCTGGTAGTCCTCGTCATCTGACTCGCTGTCTGAAGCTTCCTCCTCGTCGACAGCTTCTTCTGGGATTGATGCAGCCCATTGGATGTGCTTGGGCTCATGGGAAACCTTCTTGGCACTCTGGACGCTCTGGTTGAACCAATTCTCTTGCTCCTCTTCGGCGTTGGCGAGGTCGAGCATGAGATCGTCGAGCATGTTGGCGTGACCAACGAGACGGCGGAGGTTGTGATCAGCTCGGGAAGCCTCCTTGGAGAGCTTGCTCCTGGCAGTGTGGGCCAGCATATAAGTCTGAGACAAAGACATCTTCTGCTTCTTTTGTGGTGAAGGTGATGAAGTCGTTCGATTGATTTGGGTTGATAGAGGAGACGAAGCAGTCACGGAATACTTGAGGTTCGACATGGTGATATATTGGTGGGTGATTGCGAATATTGTGGGTGTGAGTCAGGCACCAGGTTTTGTGGTCACAGGCAGAAAGCTAATTGACCAATAGCCTTCAGGGCGGGTGGAAGTGGATGAGTAAGTCCAGCAAGGTGGAGATGTTGAGTAACGTGGTGTTTGAAGTAGAAGAGTTCAAACGATGTTGAATGTGTTGTGAGTTGAGAAGATTGTTGAATGATGGGATGGTGAGAGCTGACCGGTTGGGCATGGTGGTTGTATATGTATTGCCCAAGTCTGCTCACCGGTCACATCGGAGCGTGGTACGGAACTTGGGATTGCTTAGAAAATCCGAAAGTCTAAATTGGGCGGGAGGACAGGCCACTTTGCCCAGGAGTCAAGGTGCTGCTAAAGGCCGACGGATGGATAGAACCTCCATTGGTAATCACCACGCAAACGATCCCGAGCCGGCCAATCGCATTGCCATGCACCCACTGACTCCTACAATTATCTCACCGCCTGGCTGTCCTCTGATTTGTGAACCTGCCGGTTCCAAGGGCTGAGTCAACTGAGTCAACTCCTGTCAACCGCTTGCTCCGCTGTCTCGTCCGAGCTCTGCTGGGCTTATGGCCGACCGTATACCGCATTGTCCGTACTCTAACAACTCTCTACTCCTGGCCTTATCTTCAATCCGGCGTGTTTTGACTGCTCGGCATCTCTTCCTTGCGTCAGCCCGTGCAAAAGCCTTTTTGTGCAAAGAATCATAATCATAATGCCCGCAATCTGGTTCCTCCTCCTCCTCCTCCTCCGGTTCTGTAGGCAACTTTATCCTGTCTTTGGTCGGAACTTTGGCTGCTCGCCCGTTACTTCGCACAACCATCCCCTGCTAGCCTTCTCGTTTACGCTTTCGTGTACATGAACGAACTCACGAGCGTCTCCTCTACACTGCAGGGTCTAGCGATAGCTAAAACAGCCAAGGTCTTGAATATCTAGGCGGTCACACCAAGATCCAAGATCTTGGCCTGCCAGGGTCGCGCATTGAGGCCAATTCAGGTTCGCTTGGCTTCCTCGGCGCACACAAATCATCTGCCTGGTGAGGTGGTTTCCTCGGTCGGCAAGCGTCTTGCACCGCTTGCAATACCTTAATGTGTTCAAGCTTGTCCCAGGCCCCACGCCGACCGCGAATGCCAACGCTGCGGCTAATGCGACATACCACGTTGCATTGTGGCTGACTATTTCAGGCTTCAGCTCATACAACCTGACCATGCACGAGTCTCAGCATTATTCGAGCAGAGCCACCAACATTGAGTAATCTCACCCAAGCTTGCATCTATGCATGCCAGATGAACTCTCTGGATGGCACTGCTGCAAATGGACTGTCCGCCCGCGGAATCTTTCCTTCGGCTGTGGAAAAATCTCATCGCCTCACCCCGCATCTCACCCTTTGCTGATTCCAAAGCAAAACACCATTTGTTGGTGCCAAAATTCATCAGCATCGTCAGCGCTATGTCGCGTGCGTGAGTCTTATCATTTCCCAAATTTGCCTTTCTAGAAGGATTGTAGCTCTTTTCCATGCAGGCAGATTCAACGCCTTGACTCACGTCTGAACTACCATTGCTTGACCGTTCATATCTTGCATGAACGGAGTTCGCAAGTCCTGGTCACGTTCTGTTAGTGCCAAGTCTCCACAGAACTAAACGGATGAGCAAGATGTGGCTGCACTATTCTTGAATTACAAATATACTTACATTCGCACCTTTGTATTGAAATTATTGCCCTACATCTTCATATCTAATGCTCTGATCCCTGTCGCATCTTGCAGTGGTGCCAAAAAGCGGTATGGGAGATATCAGCGCCCCGTTTCACCAAATGAACGGATCTGTTCAGAAGATGAGTGAACATAAAACCTCCTTATCCCTTCCGCCATCTTCCGCATTGGTGCTCGTGCTTGATATGCTTGTCTGCAATAGGGAGGTATATGAGATACAAGATTCCTCTGCGATTACTCGATGAACATCGCGAAAAAGACTGCCAAAAGCTGCTCTGGTGTCACGACGAAGTATTGCCGATGTCGGCTGGACTGGCCATGCAGCGCTGTGACGAGGATTCATATCTCAAGCAGCAATGCGCTAGGTATCCGCTTTGAGGGAAGCAAAGTTTTTCGTACTTTGAAGGGATAGAAGCACGTCAATATCGAGTATTAGCTGCATGGAAGCTGCGTGAACTGCGTGAAGGGAAGGCCAAGGAACGTTTATCCTCCAATTTCGCCACCGAAGCCAACGGGCCTCCTGCCACCGCGCTCTGGCACGATAGCCATGACCTTATACAGTTTGCCCATGCCTCCACCGCCTCTCTCTACTAGCCTTTCCACTGCGCCAACCACTCTCTTCCTCCCGGCCTCATCCCTTTCTAATCCCTTGCATAGCATTTCTGCCCTTGTTCTGATACCCATTGCCTCTAACCAAGTTCCCTGTTCGACAGGTCCGTGCACCTCGACGCCAGAGCTGGAATGCAGGGCCGCTTCGGCCAAAGCTGTGAAATCAACATCCGCGGACAGATCAACTTGACCAGCGGCAAAAAATGGGGAGACCACTTTGTGGCTGCGAATGCCGCGGAAAGTGGAGATGGGAACTGTACCAGAAGGGCCATAATCCAGGATGAGAGCAGCGCCGGAGGGGGTTGCTTTATGCTCTAGGGGCCTACTTGAGTCTTGAGATCGTAAAGTCGTAGAATTGGGCGGGGCTCCACCTATACGCTGAGCAATCTGCGCTACATACGAATGTGATTCCGGGCTGATCTCAATTGTTGAGCCAGCACGATGTAGGAGAGTCTTGTATCGTTCTGAGCGATTTGGTAGAAGTAACGATGTTGGATTGGAGGCTTTAGCAAGGGTCAATTGAAAGTCAGGGGTAGTATCTGAGAGGTTTCTAGCGGCGTGAGGCACTACAAGATTCGGTGGAGGTGCCGTCGAGACAAGTAATTCCCGCCACTGGTTTTGTTTCGACTGCGGCGATTGGTTTGACAATGGAATTAGCCCTGTCGGCGTCTGAAGTGTTGTTCCACTGTTACTAGGTCTCGGTGGAACAGACTGAAAGGCATGTATTGGAAGTGCATCAAAAAATTCGTGAGCTACAATGAAAGGCGTTTTGGTAGCCCCTTTCTTCACAATTAGCGAGTTTTACTTGCAAGTCGAAACTCATTGCCATACCCTTTGGTACGAAGCGAATGTCTTCACACCAAGTGATCGGAATGCCTGAATACTTGCTTATGCTTCGAATTCCAATATCGACAGTTTCGAACGGGGCCTCTCCGCATAACAATAGTCTCTGCGTCTCTCTAAGGGAAGGGCTCGTTTCGATCAAGTAGACCGAGTCAATGCTGGCACGCATCTGTCGAAAAGTGCTCAAGGTCTGATACCGTTCTCAGCCTCAATTCGGCTGTCAACACCGTGGATACCATACCATACCCGCAGCATATCATCCATCAGCGTTCCTCTCCCAGGACCCAGCTCTACTAATTCAACACCTTTGCTGACCTTGCCCTGGGCCATCCATTCTGCGTACAGCCAGATGCCGATCAGCTCTCCAAAGACTTGAGATATCTCCGGCGAAGTGATGAAGTCTCCTTTTCGTCCGAATTGATCTTTGGCTTGATTCTTCGTTGTATAATATCCACCTTCTGGGGATGTGAGGCATTGGCGCATGTATGCAGCGAGCGAAATAGAACCAGTAGTCTGTAAGTTGTGTCAATGGATGTCGGGACTAACTCTAAGACTGTTGCTTACGGTGATTGCTTCAGCTATGGTCTTCGCTAGCGGAGTCGACAATTTCCGTTTTTGTGATGAGGATGCCCATCTTCTCGAGCATCCAAATGTCTCGATGTTGACATTGCGTGTAAATGACTGCAAACTTGGCGACAAGGCTCTTATGGCTCTTGCGCTCATGTCGTAGCGTAGTAAATCATTGTGAATCTAGAGAAATATGAGGCGTCAAGTGTGAGGGTCAATGATTAATTGGAGGCGAAAATATCTCCGGCCCCTCCCTTATCCCCACATCTTCGCCGAGCAAACTTTCAGCAATGTCAACTCTGTCAAAGTCACGATGGGCTGACGATGAAGAAGATAAGGCAGATGAGGCTCGGAGAAAACACGAGAAGAACGCAAAGAGAAGAGCCAAGGCAGAGAAACAGCGAAAGCTCGATGAAGAGAGGCAGAACAAGGAAGACGTCGTGAATGGCGTCACAGCCAATGGGTACGACGAACATCATGACACAGTAGAAAGACCACTTAAGAGAAGGAAAGTAACGCCAGAGTCTGAGGCTGGTAACGGCGACTCTGGTACTACAGAGATTCTACGATTTCCAGCACCAGTATGGGGACCATGTCGGCACGTAGGCAATTTCGAAAAACTCAATCATATTGAAGAAGGCTCCTACGGCTGGGTTTCACGGGCGAAGGAGACTGCTACGGGCGAGGTGGTAGCCTTAAAGAAGCTGAAGATGGACAATCTAAACGACGGCTTTCCCGTGACTGGTCTGCGAGAGATACAGACATTACAAGCTTCCAACCATGCTAACATTGTGGCACTGAGGGAGGTCGTGATGGGGGACAAGCTAGACGAGTAAGTGACTCTGTAATGAAGATTATCTTGATAGAAGCTGATTGACAAGACTAGAGTGTTCCTGGTCATGGACTTCCTCGAACACGACCTCAAGACCCTGCAGGAAGACATGCTTGAGCCCTTTCTCCCGTCAGAGACGAAGACCCTCCTCCTCCAACTTGCGTCAGCTGTTGAATACCTTCATAACAATTGGATTTTGCATCGTGACTTAAAGACGTCTAACATCTTGATGAACAATCGCGGTCAGATCAAGATTGCAGATTTTGGTATGGCTAGATACTATGGTGACCCGCCACCGAAGCTTACACAGCTCGTGGTAACTCTTTGGTACCGCGCGCCAGAAATGTTGCTGGGAGCAGAAAAGTATGGTGCGGACGTAGATATATGGAGCTTAGGTTGCATATTCGGTGAGCTTTTGGCGAAGCAACCATTGCTACAAGGGAAGAATGAGGTCGATCAGTTGACCAAGGTGCGATACAATTCCAGAGTTCGAAAGAAAACCCCATTGACGAGACTTCAGATTTTCGAACTCTGTGGTATACCGAGCGAGGCCACCTGGCCAGGCTTTAAAAGATTGCCCAATGCTCGCTCGCTCCGCCTGCCCAGCAATAATCCGCGAGCGTCTGGCGCAGTCATACGTGCAAAGTTTCCTCTTATCACTGCCGCAGGCAACGATCTTCTTTCCTCCCTCCTGTCGCTGAACCCTGCAAAGAGACCCGGTGCTGCAGGAATCTTGGCGCACGAGTACTTCAAAGAAGATCCACGGCCCAAGAGCACCGCTTTATTCCCTACCTTTCCGTCTAAGGCCAACCAAGAGAAGAGAAGGAGAATGCTCACACCAGAGGCTCCCAAGAGAGGACAGGCGCCAAAGATTGAAGGCGGGGATGTGGACTTCAGCGGGATTTTTGCGAATAGAGAGCAGGAGCAGGCCGGAGGTGGTTTCTCTTTGCGGCTTATGTGAGGCCTAGCAGGCAAGACTAGAACGTATCTATAGACCTTCCTGCATTTAGATACCCAACAGACTTCGTAGCCTCTGTAGACGAGTGCCGACCTTGATATCTTTCCGCTTTCAAAAGAACGCCGTCATTAATTGCATGACCAATCCCAGGCTATGCTGTGACTCTTATCCAATCGCTATGCTACTTGCGACACGCTATACAATGACTATGAACAGAGAATCAATTAATTGCATCATGATGTGGGTTTTGGAGCTGTTGGCAACGGCCTGGTTGTGGTAATGGTAGGTACTGCAGCAGGAGCAGCGGTCGCAGGAGGATAAAAGGTCGTCGTAGAAATGCAAGGACCGAAGCCAAGCCATCCATGTTTGGCACAGGATGTTGGGAACAAGGTCATGGTCGTGGACTCGATACAGTCACCTAGCCAATAACTCTCACAAGATGTGGTCGTAAGTATGTTAGGTGCAGTCTTCGTATTGCTGGCTGAGCTGGTCGGTGTTACTGTCACTGTTTCGAGACAGCCGCCAAACCAGCCGAACTTCACGCAGGAGGTCAAAGGCACTTCAGTCGTTGATGGAGTCGTCGATTCTGTCGTGGTTGAGTCAAGACAGCCCCACCACCCTGGAGTCTGACAAGTACTTGTCCGAGTCATGGTAGTTGTAGATGAAGGGCTACTGGTCGATCTTGTGGTATCCGATCCGTTACTTTCAAAGTACTTCCAATTGAAGCAGTCCACGCATTCTTCGTCTACTTTGCAAGAGGGCAGCTCATCATATGCCTCAATCACATCGTGTATGACGCTTTTGATCTTGTGATAACTGATGCCAACTCGCCATTGTTTGTCTCCAACAGTATCATAGATGCAGACTTGACCCGTATGACACTGGGTCTGCATTGCATATCCACCGAGCGTACATCCCGAGGTTGCTGCATTGCAACTACCCATGAATATTGGATCTGCTGTGTGACCGAAATGAACCGCGCCAGTGTACTTTCTTGTTTGAGGAGCTCCAACGTGGGATCCTGGAGGATAGGGCAAACCCAGACGTGCAGAAGCAAGTGCATCACCAGGTGCTTCAAATGTAGTGACGGGAACACCGAATGTCAATCCTAGCAGGGCACTGATTGCTCCGCCCAAGGAGTGGCCAACGAGCCAGATGTTCGAATCCGGATACAGCGCAGTCGCATTGCCGTAGAGCTCCAGTGCCGCGGCATAGTAGCGATTCTCCTCCTTCAGCGCAGTCACAACACACGTCTGATTACATGTATATGCTGACGTCATGCAGTCACAGACTTGATGCCATAAGTATTGCCCACCTTGGCCGCAGCAACAGCTAAAAAAAAGGTTGTCATTAACCTTGTCATTCGTAGTTGTTTCAGCTCCGTCAAAGACTGCTGGTGAGGTGCCCTTGAGAGACATCACGATAGTTGAGTTGTCTTTATCTGCGAAAATGTGGCCTCGTATCCCGTCACCCTCCCAGCCGAAAGATTGCGAGAAATTGAATCGGTCACCGCCCATGTCTTGCCATTCTCCCTCACCTGGCGCGTTCTGGTATGCGTTCCAGCTCATGTTAGCCAGGGAAAGGACTGTGTCTTTGTCCAAGATGTCAGGCCCCGACACATCGTCTATTCTCCAAGCACTTGAGTCAAGCCTAGCAGGAGAGCCCCGTCGTCGCGCCGCATGGTACATCGAGCGCACGGTCTTCACACGGCGGTCCGACAACCTTTCGATTGGCGTCGATTTTGATAATGCCTTTAACGACGACTTCAAGCTGCGTTTTTGGTGATTCCCTGCGGTTGTCCGTGGAGGTGATTCCTCAGGTGCAGGTACATTCAATCGTACATGAACATTCGGATATTCGTATGTGCCGTGATGGAAGACATGGCGCAGAGAGAATTCATGTTGCCCATTAGTATTTCTTTCAGGTCTCGGCTCGTAACTTGAAGCGTGGGGAGCAAGTAGCGGAACCTGGAGAGGGCTGTCTACCCATTCATCTGAGGGGGAGGTAGTGGCGGGGGGTATAGTAGATGCCACTGCTATCCAGGACAGCAAAGTCGCAACAGAAGATCTGGACCAAGATGTGACTCGATACTTTTTCCACGCCATGGTATTAAATAGGTCTGTCTTCGCACATAGCTATTGGTAGTGGAAGCTCATTGATGCCTTCCAGCATGGTTCCTACTCTATGATGATGTTCGGCAATATGTTTTTCCGCCAGAGCGCCAAGATCATCCACGTACCTTATCGTCTCATCCAATCATTGGCTGGCCTTGTAGCTTGTAGAGGCACGAGATCTAATTGGGTCAGAAGCACTACTCAGGCTACATTTCGTAGGACTTGCGCATGTTACAAGTGCCGTGACTTTGCAAAATGTCAGAAGCGCACTGTAGTCCTGGCAGGCTGTCTACTCAACTTGTGTATCATACTTCGAGATTCGAATGCCGATGACATGCTTGAAGTCGTCTACTAATTTATCACAATGATACATTAATTCACGCAAGCCTCTTCGATCCGCAAAGTAGCTCATGGCATCTCCGACCATAACGAACTCATCTGCTACCCGTTCCTCCCAGTCATTCACAAGACTTGAGTCTTCGGGCGGTACGAGGACAAAAAGCCGAGCGAGCACCCTTCAGAATGGTCGTCCACCGCTCAATGTCACACCAACTATCACGAATTCTCCCCTTGAAGATGATGGCATATCACGGAAAGATGATTTATTCGAGAAAAGCAGTCTCATCAGCGGCGATGAAGGTGTCGTCAAAGACATCGACGAGGTTGAGTCTCCAAAAGAAGTCCCTGAGGGATTTGACCGACTTCCCATAGAGCTTATGAGCTTGATCGACAGATTCATAGAATCTCTGATCGCCAAAGTATACAACACGCCACCGACAGCGGATAGACTCTCTTCTATCTTTCAAGATTTCTATATCAAAGCCTCTGGTAATGTAACCACTCACATAAGCGCCCTATCCACGCAACAATCGAGAAATGCATCACCAAGCGCTTCAATCTCATCGAAATCCTCACACACGAGACCACCACCTCGCTCATCTTCGCGCGACACCCTTAACTCAGTACCCGATCAACAGATGCTGACGCCTCAAGAAATTTCTGATCGGCGTAAAGCTCGACGTTTACTGGATCGAAAACAAACGGCGTTAGAAGAAGCTGTCGAGAGACACGTGTGTGAGCGCGTCTACAATCGCATATGGCGACATAGGTCGACTTTAGATGAGGTGCGGGATGAAAAGCTCCGGTCGAAAACCGCGGCCTTGGCTTTGGTGGGCATCAATCTGCAAGACCTTGGTGTCGACATGGCACTTGACAACAATAGCTCAATACAAGATGCCAAGGTTGACGACTGGATAGCAAGCGCCAGGGATAGCCTACTTCGTATGAACGACTCGAAATGTCCACTCGGCAAATTGCAGCAGCTTACTGGAGCCCATAAATACATTGTTAATCTTTTAACGAGACTGCACAATTCATCGTCCTCGGCCGACGAGATTTTGCCCACCTTAATTTACACGCTGATTACAACACCGCCCGAAGGCATTAATGTCATCAGTAATCTGAACTTCATCCAACGATTCAGAGCGTCGAGTAAAGTTGATGGTGAGGCTGCTTATTGCTTGACCAATCTGGAGGCTGCCATCACGTTTCTAGAGACAGTAGATCTCGCAAGTCTACGAGCTGACGAGACAACTCAAGGGCCGCCTCCAAAGACTAGCTCCAAGCCGCCTGCAGAGACCGAAAGCGATCAGTCTTCAGAGTCTACTCATACACCGCATTCGTCTACAAAAATTTCGCAGAAATCATCCCCAGCAATTCCTATTTCTTCTCCAGAAAGGGTAGGAATCGAGGAGCAGCCACTATACGACATACCAGGCTCTGTTGCTTCGGAGCAACCATATTCTCACAAGAGGAGCGTTAGCAATCTTTTTCAACCTCCTGCATTAGGTTTTGGGGCCGCTGGTGATGCCGTCCGTAGCACGGCGGATCAGGGGATAAAGGGAATTGGGATTGCACTCGACAACAGCTTCAAATTGCTCTTTGGCCGGCTGAGCGAGCAGAAGATTGCCAGTCCAAACCCCGAAGCTGCAGGGACAATCATGGTGCCAAAGACTTTGGACGACGCGAGGAAGCTAGTCGAGCCCAAATCTGCAGATGAAGAAAATACATCTGAAGCCAATTCATTTGCCGAACGACCTGGACTAGGTTTAGAAAGCCGCTTTAAGTCTGAGGACAACCTTCTGAATGCGATTGCTGGGAGAAAGCAGCCGCTTAGAGATAGGAGCGCGGACAGTAATCCTAACTCAAAGCTACTCCAAATAGAATCAGCATCAGCTAGCAGTGCAGCCGTAGAATCAATGCGGAATTTGGGAAACAGTCTCAATCCATTGAAAGGGTTTGGAGGCATCAGTGTCATGCAACGGTTCGGTCGAAGCCCTTCCTCCGGAACACCCACACCGATCATGGACAGGCCAATGATTGATACGCAGAGGCCGAATAGCCATGGTGGGGTCCCTGCGAGCGAGATCAAGAGTCTCCCTCCTGTACAGCGCTTCATGGACGCTCCTGATGCCAAAGATCTGAGGATGAGCGACATTCCAGAACTACTGCAAGATTACAAACGACTTGCTGAGGCGCTGAGAACGATGGGGGCGTTCTGACAGGGATTGTTCATGAGAAGGAACAGTCCTTCTGACAATTTAAAGCGAAGCGTTGCATTCATGATATACCCTTTTACGCGTTTCTTGTGCACTCCTAGATTACTCCCGATTTTCTACGGAGGCAGCGATTCTGCTAGCAGTTTAGCTGCTTTGCCAAACGACCCCAGACGGATCCTCCTAACGTCTTCTATCAGCCACCTTTTCAATTTCTCCTTACAGCTGCCTTGAAATTAAAGGGGTTGAAAAAATGCACACGGACAGATCGGAGTGCTTTGCACAGCCTCTCGCACGTAGCGCAGCAAACACATTTCAACCCCCTCACCATATGAGAAAAGGTTCCTCCGACTCGGTACGCTAACGAGACTACCTAGTACGAATTGAAAATGTACTGGAAGAGGGTTGAAGATATAAATACCGTGACATCGAGCGATGCACAAATTCATCTCCCATCGTTGGCCATTTTCTTGAAAATCGCACCCAACGGATCTCTTCTACGGCAAGGCTGACCGGTCAACATTGCGCTTGTCAACATGGCTGATACTGCTTCCGACTTGAAGACACTGCTCGTGACTGGAGCAACTGGAAACCAAGGGTTTGCAGTGATCAATGCACTGCTTACCCATGCCTCACGCAACTCCCCCTTCCTCGAATCCTTGCGTTAACGCGCAACACCTCCTCGCCAAAAGCGCAGTCTCTTACCAGGAAATCGCCAAATATCACCCTGCTTGCCGGCGATCTGGACAATTGCGATGCAATTTTCGCCTCGGCCCCTGCTAAGATCGACGCTGTATACAGCGTCCAAGTCAATGTTTTCGGCGGGCCAGAGAAGACGAGGCAAGAAGAAATCTTAGCTCGGAACCTCATTGAGTCCTCTCTAGCACACAACGTTAAGCATTTCGTGCAGAGCAGCGGCGACCGCGGTGGATATGCACGGTCTGCTGTAGATCCAACGCCGGTGCCGGTATTTCAAACAAAATTTCACATCGAGCAGCATCTCATCAGCCGTGCGGCGGAGAATGGTATGACTTGGACAATCTTGCGGCCAGTGACTTTCATGGAAAACTTAAGCGAAGATTTTCAGGGAAAGGGCTTCGCAACAATGTGGAATGACATTGGCGAGAAGCCGCTGCAGCTCGTGGCCACAAGAGATATTGGAATTTTTGCATCAAAAGCGTTGCTGCACCCCGAAAACCCAATTTGGAAGAATAAGGCGGTCGGCATTGTTGGAGATGAGCTCACTCAGGTCCAAGCATCGGAGATATTCAAGAAGGTGACGGGCAAGTCAATGCCCATTGCTCACTGCTTGGTGGGTAATCTCGTCCAGTGGAAAGTGCCTGAGATCAAGGCCATGTTTTTGTGGTTTAAGGAAAAGGGCTGCGCAGCGAGCGTGAATGAATGTCGGAGCATTCATCCTGAGATGCTCAACCTGGAAGGCTGGCTGAGGGAGACCGGAAGATGCTGAGAGCTTACTGGTTTGGGTTATTGGTGTCGCTGTTTGAACCATGACTCTTGCCATACCATGACTTCGTAAGGAACTCTTGGTAAAGTTAAGTCGATACTGCCAATCACGAGTATTTGCAACTGTGAAGTCCATCAATGAAACCAGTCTACTAAAGACCTGTATGAACAAAATTGAGGCTCAAATAGAAGTTTTTTTTTTTGGATTTTGTGTATCATCAATAATGTTTCTCTCCAGGCCTGCTATACTCCACAATACATCTACTTTAATTCGAATATTTAATCGAGATACTTCTTCTGCAAGTGGGGAGTGAGCGCCTTTTTGTGTGGGGCCTATCTTCAAGCCTTGTGAGTTGCGTTTAATACTGATGAAAAGGATCTATGCCAATGGGAGGATTGGCTCATCGCCAGAAGGACGTGATCAAGTAAAGCACGTTCTGTTTCATCTTGCTTGAAGGCTTACATTTTGGATACTCTGGCTGTCAATGAACATGTCTGCTCCAGATTCTCTGTGTAAAGACGTAGAGTTACAGTTCACTTGAATAGAATCCTGTTCACGACATTTCAGCTTACTCCATGAATATTCATCTTGACCGTCAACACAAGCTGCGTTTTCATAGGAGACTAATCTGCACAAGCTTTTGAGGTGCTAATTCGGGTCGTGGCACTGAGATCCCACCGCGCCAAGCGCGGATACATTCAAAGTGCATCCATTCAAACAAAGCAATTATAGATGGGATCCGTTTAGAAGCATCTCAGTACGACATCGACACCTGTTGCACAAACTCGAAGATGACTTCTCACGGAAGCCGACCCTCTGAGCGTGGCTATCATCAGGATTACATAGCTCGCATACGATATGAAAACACCCTGCCTCCACCGCCAGGCGCCCCAAAGCTTCTGAATATACCCATAGAGGGTCTCAATTACTACACCTCTGCAGCATTCGCAAGTCGTATGGCCCGGCAGCAGCCTCTGAACATTGAGGCAGATGCTGAGCTTGGTATGCCGATCGATCTTGTTGGAATGCCAGGAATATTCGATGGAGATGAAAGCTGTAAGTGGACTAGCTGTCAAGTCTGAATGTCGGGGCTGAAATTTTGATAGCTATACAAGCTCCTCTAGCTATCCCGGCTATATCTCAAAAAGACAAGAGTCTTCTTCGTCCGCTCTCGGAACTCGGCAAACCCAAGTTTGCGACGGGAGCTCATAGTTTCCTACGACGGACAGAATATATATCATCTGAAGCGAAAGCGCGCGCAGAGGCTCATACAAATACTACGAAAGGTTCATCGAAGTCGCCCACTGCGAAACTAGCTCGACGTCAATCAGACGCAGTCAAAGACGACCCTGTGAACATTTTAAGGCATGTCATCAAAGGCTTCGACATAGCCAGCCCCAGAGACGTATACACCGGGAAGGACGATACTTCACACTTACGAGGGGCACAGCCAACGCCTGCTGAAATAGAAGCCTGGAAACGACCTCGTCATCCCACGAACCCTGAGCTCAAGCTTTTAGACTCGTATGCAATTAAGCCTGATGCCGATGCCACGACCGATCAAGGTGCCTACATTGTGACTAAGTTTGTAGGAAACCCAACAAACTCAAGCAGCGCGCATGACATTCGAATGGACGTTGGCTTGCTCAACCCTGTTGAGCGAAATGGCGATGCCTATGACTACGAGTTCTATCTTCCTCAAGAAGCCGAGACTGCACGGCGGGTAAAAAGAAAGTTTGAAGAAGGTAGCACCGACGATGATGACAAGGAAGAAGAGCAGAGGGACAAGGACGGCAACCCCCTGTACAAATTTCACCACCATCGCACATATGATGTTGGGAGACAAACCAATTCATTGGATCAGCCATACAAAGAGGTCGTAATCGCCCTCCACGATGCCAATCAAGACGCACGTCTAGATACAGGGGCCTTTTATTACCCCGTCGGTATCAAGATGCAACTCAAACCGCGGCGCAACAAAAATTTGGCAAATCTTGGGCTAACGAAAGAAGCAGCAGATGATGAGACGGAACGGCCTGACGAAATTAATCTTATCTTACGAGATCCTGACGACGAGGAAGTAGAAAAACGCTGGGGTCACAGGCAAGAACTATTCTCGCAGGCCCCTGCTGTAAACGGATCATGACCACATTATCTTGCCCATAGCAGTCGAAGCAGCGAGCGCGTCAGTCCATGCGAGTTCAATTGCCTTTAATTAGTGATACCCATATAGACAGCATATACTCCAATGTATGATAGTTGACTGGCTACAATAAACTGTCGTCACAATCTCTGTTGGGCGAGGGGTCAATATTGCTTCGGGCCGTTCTCAAAAAGGGGTTGTAATCTGCCTCCGCGCTAATTCTCACTTGCTCACATTTCAAGCATCCCCGATTTTGCGACGCCTTCTCTCCAGGTAAGTGTTTCTCGAAGGAAATACTACACCTTCGCCATTGACCAAGATGTACTTAGGCATAGTACCATGCTGGATTTGCTGTCTCCACGAGAAGCTGTGGCTGGCTCAAGAACCCAATCACTTTGATGCACCTCGCGTGTTGATACAGCTTGTTGACAGACTTTCCAATGTGATCAGAACGTCAATTGAAGGCCAAGTGACGAGCCAAAATGGAAGAGGCTCAATCAACAATGCCGAATCCTGCGGGGCTTTCCTCCGGGGGCCTCTCGGATACATCGCATGCTGCTGTAGGGCACTCGCACTTCAGCCCACGGACCAACATGCCTAACCAGACACCGACGAGAACTATTAACGATCTGAGAGATCCTCCTAGGGATCTTGGTCGCATGCGTCAACGCCTTTTTGAAGTCAAAGAGAAGATTGAGCTCCAGGTCCACGAATTTGATCGCTACTGGCAGTATGTGGACAATGTATGGGTTAGACAGCACAAAGCTGGGACCGACCGGACTGGAAGATATATAACAGACTACTACGCTTGCAGACTGCAGCGGCCGACGTACACCCCTAAACCTGATGTGGCACGAAGAGACGGCGCGCCAACGAGGAAGAAGCAGATTCGTGAGGGCGGTACCTGCCAGATGAGACTCAAGACAATTAGATATGAAGGAGGGTACTCAGCGTACACAGTTATCAGAATAGGGGATGATACGGAGCATACTCATGATTTGGATCATATCGACAAGATCAAAAGGACGAGCGTTTTGATGGAAATATCTAGGTCGGAAGTTATGAAAGGTTATATGCCGGCTTCTGTATTCACCGTGATGAATGAAGATTATCAAAAATTATATGATGCTGGCGGGAAATATCTCAATCGTAACGACGTGAGAAACGCTTCTCAGAATTGGCGACAAGACCACCGAGATGAATTGAGGGTCCACGAAGGATACAAGTATGATCACGGAAATGGAATCGTCAAACAGATCGAGGGAATGCAACAGCAAAGGCATGCGAATGGGGAAGATCAAGTGCTGGATCCAGCATTGGCCAACATACCAACTACCCCTTCCAACTGCCTTCGCTTTCCAAATCATTTGAAGGAGCTCATTGATCCATACTTGCCTCAGACAGACGTACAGCCTTCGGAGCTTGCATGTCCACATGTCACTCTTACCTATGCAACCTCGCTCGATTCTTCTCTGACCCTTGCGCCTGGCATGCAGACACACCTTTCAGGATTGGAATCGAAGGCCATGACGCACTATCTTCGATCAAAGCACGATGCCATCATTATTGGCGTTGGAACAGCTGTCTCGGACGACCCAGCCTTGAACTGCCGGCTTGAGGGCGCTGGTGGGTACGGTGGAGTGGGCTGGGAAGGGCAGCCACGACCGATCATCATCGATCCTGGTGCACGATGGATCCTCACGCCACAGTCCAAAGTGATACAGACAGTCATCCAAGGAAAAGGCATCGCACCGTGGATTGTCATCGCGCCAGGTTTTGCAATGGACCCGGCACGTCTAGAGATGCTAAAGTACTACGGGGGCAAATACTTTGGGTTGACTCAATTTGACAACCGCTATCGTCTCAAATGGGAAGCCATCCTGAAAGCTTTGGCTTCCGAAGGAATCAAAAGCGTGATGATCGAAGGCGGTGGGATGGTGATTAATGATCTCTTTCAGCCGGAGAACTCCCCTTCGTCAATTCGGTCATTGTGACCATCGCACCCACCTATCTAGGCAAAGGGGGCGTAGGCGTCCATCCCGCTGCTAGTCACGATGCTACCGGACGGCCGAACCCCGTCGTACGGTTTCAGGATGCACGATGGCTACCTATGGGAGAAGACGTGGTGATGTGTGGGAAGATGCCCGCCCAATCCGGTCCTCAGGAGTCTCCGCTAAGCTCGCCTATGGCGTTTAGGCCTGGCGATGACTACGCACAGATGGCACCCTGAGAATGTGGACGCTGATGAGTTGTCCGCTTCGCTCTGTGGTTCCGCTCCAGTCGCTGAACGCTGCACGACCAACGAAGAAAGAATATATTCGATGCAAAGAAACGTGGAGGGAGCAGGAAGTCTCCCACTAGTGCTACCAGCGTGCTCACCACGCCCACTAGGGCCTGTGGTGCCCGTGGTCGTATTGCCGACATAGGAGCCGAGCCTGGCCCTCTTCAATTGGCCCCAGGGTTCGATCATCTTTGGGGTTTTGGATCTCAGATGCTAGGGTCATGGACTAGTGCGGGGAAGCTTGTGCAGGTCGGGCAATCCACTAAGACATTTAAGACAATAATCGAGAAAGAAAATCCCATCTCCATCCATGAATCCCCATCTAAATCCATGACCACTACTTTACTTACCCCTCCTTCTCCAAATTCGGCTATTTTCTACGAGCGAGCACAACCACGGCCCCGGCGCTGTCACTACTCAGCCAGAAAGGCAGTCTTTCTTCTCTGGCGAGAACATGACCACGCTTGACGGCTCCGGCGGTACACTCCGTTATGGAGAGAAACCAATGTATACCACCTCGAATGGTTGTCCCATGTAAGTCATCGCAAGCTTCCCGAGTGACGCACATCCATTGATCCACATAACAGCAACGATCCAGAATCTTCCCAGCGCGTTGGCCAGAATGGACCTCTACTCCTTCAAGACTTTCACTTGATTGACCTGCTAGCTCACTTCGATCGTGAAAGAATCCCAGAAAGAGTCGTGCACGCGAAAGGCGCTGGCGCATATGGCGAGTTTGAACTTCTAGATGATATCAGCGACTTGGTATGGTCTGTCGAATCTGGCTGTGTGACCAACAGCTCATTCTAGCAGACCTCGCTAGACATGCTGAATGATGTCGGTAAGAAAACCAAATGCGTGGCGCGCTTCTCCACCGTCGGAGGAGAGAAGGGATCTCCGGACTCAGCGCGAGATCCACGCGGTTTCTCGGTCAAATTTTATACAGAAGAGGGAAATTGGGACTGGGTTTTCAATAATACACCGGTTTTCTTCCTCCGCGATCCGACAAAATTTCCCATATTTATTCACACTCAAAAAAGGAATCCTCAGACGAACTTGAAGGATGCTACGATGTGAGTTTCATTCCGAGAGACCGGTCATCAGAGCCAACCTTGACAAACGCAGGTTTTGGGACTACCTGTCTACGCATCAAGAGTCGGCGCATCAGGTTATGCATCTCTTTTCAGACCGTGGCACGCCGTATTCATATCGTCATATGAATGGGTACTCGGGCCACACTTACAAGCTCACGAAACCGGACGGTACTTTTCATTACGTGCAGATTCATTGCAAAACAGATCAAGGGAGCAAAACCTTCAACAACACAGAGGCCGCTAAGATGGCGACAGACAACCCAGACTGGCATACACAAGACCTCTTCAACTCGATCGAAGACAATGAATACCCCTCATGGACGTGCTATCTTCAGGTACTGACTCCAGAACAAGCAGAGCAATTCCACTGGAATATCTTTGACTTAACAAAAGTCTGGCCGCAAAAAGAGGTCCCGCTCCGGCGCTTTGGCCGCTTTACCCTCAACAGGAACGTCGAAAATTACTTCGCGGAAATGGAACAAGTCGCCTTTTCTCCCTCGCACATGGTCCCCGGCGTCGAACCCTCCGCCGACCCTGTTCTCCAATCACGCCTCTTCTCCTACCCAGACACCCAGCGCCATCGCCTCGGCGTTAATTACCAACAAATCCCCGTAAATCAGCCTCTTCGAGCCTTTAACCCGTATCAGCGCGACGGCATGATGTCCGTCGATGGCAACTATGGCGCAAATCCCAATTATCCATCCACCTTCCGCAATATGACGTACAAACCCGTCAAACCGTCGCAAGAGCATGAGAAATGGGCTGGAGCAGCCGTCGCGCAGCAGCTTCCTGTCACGGAGGAGGACTATATACAGCCGGCAATATTATGGGAGGTTCTCGGACGGCAAAAGGGGCAGCAGGATAACTTCGTCGGGAATGTGGCGGGACATTTGAGTGGTGCGAAAGAACCCGTCAGGAGGAAAACATACGAGATGTTTCGAAGGATTGAGGAAGCGTTGGGAAAGCGGATAGAAAGGGAAACGGAGAGGTTGGCGCCGAACCCACAAAGTCAGCCCGCTGGGAGCGCCGAAAGCAGATTTAGGGAGCAGGTGAATGCTGCCGTGGCGGCACATTAACGGGGTTGTCTGTAGAGTAATTAAATGTGGGGGCAAGGGAGCAGATGTACCTAGACTGTGACATGTTTCCTAAGCGTCGTCCCACAACATGGGCATATATGAGCTTTAGTATGATACCACGAAATGAGTTCGATGATAACAGAAAGCGAGCCATGCTTGATTCGAATCCTGTCGTGGAAGGATCCATACATCGATCGGGCTCATGCATCGCTTGCAGTCATCCTCAATGCTCCCGAGGTCATGAATGTATTTATTTTTTAGAGTCTAGCTTCGATACAGGGTGTCTCGTGGCGTGTCACTGTCACCCCCTCAGGGTCCGCCTTGGTGACATTGTCTCAACAAATGTATTTTGATCTGCCCTAGCTGACTCACTTTACAGTCCAGTGTACTGACTCAAAAAGACACGTTAGAAGCGTAGTTTCTTCAGAAATCGTTCATGATGCCCTGTTGTACCGTGTTTTGCCGATCGAGAACGGTACATAACGGTATTTGATCATATGTTGAATCTGTCTCCGCATCGTGAGTGAGAAGAGTATTATAAAGTATACCACTGCAAGTCTCACGATCAGCTCTGATTCCTCCTATCCCCCATAAGTGCGATCGGATACATACCAAGAACGGGCCAAAAAACAGGCACATCAAAGGCTTGGAACCAAGTGCATACGAACGCTATCGCAATTGCGCGCGTGGCATTGTGCCAGAATTTGAACTCTGGTAGTCTTCTTATGAACGGGCGGAACTCTTCGCTTTCCTTGGTCGGGAGGGTTGGTTCGTTTGTGGACCCATCTTCAAGTCCTTCATCTTGGGTGAGGGAGGGGTCGATCTTTGGTTGGAGGAAGGCGAGGAAAAGATTTAGGAGATAGATGCCTAGGGTGTAGCAGACTGAGGAGTGAAGCCTCTTAGTTTTGGGTTCTGGCAATTGAAGAGTGGGGTATGTTTTGAGGAGATTTAAGAGGATGTTATGATACTCAGGCTCGCCGACAACTTACCTATATACCAGCCTTGGGAAGTCACGATGCGGATCATGAACATGAAGAGCAGGACTCCTGATCCGGTCCATCTGTAGGCCTTGTACGGTGTTGCTTTGTCGAGGTAGGATTGATATATCTACGGCAGAAATTTGTTAGGGCCAAAGGCAAGGAATCCGGCTTTGATAACCGCTTACTCGTCCTAATCGTGTCGTTTGCGCGCTCACTGCTGCGAAAGGTGTATCTGGTTCTGTTGTGTCCATGTTGGGTCGGCAAGTCGTGAGCGCGGAGCGCCCCCTTTAGGCTTTTGGAACACTTTGGCAGACACTGAGTGACATGAAGCTTCCGACACAGTGAAGTCGAATTTGATCTTTGTGTAAGTTTTGGTCGTTCTGGAAGAGGAATAGAGAGCCTCAGGAGGTGAAAGTTGTCCCCATCCATAATTTTTGACCGACGCCAAGACCTGTGAGGCTGGGACGGGGCAAGGCTCATTGAATAGTCTTCTCCGCAATCGAAACGCTCCAGTTCTTGTTGAGTCTTTGTCGCAGGAAATGGCGGCGCGGTGCATGTTGAGGCCATCGACATCAGGATACGTGTCGTTATCTCTTTCGTTTAGACGTCATCCGTTGTCAACAGCAGCGTCCACACAATATGAGAATATCCTCCTGGGAACCCCGAAGCCTGGCGTTGCACTGAGTACGTATTCATTGCTACTTACAAGATGAGCTGTGTGGACGCTTACTGATATGACAGCTCTGTTGAAGTCACATTAAATCGTCCTCGAGCCTTGAATGCTCTCTCCCAAGCCCTGTTCAAAGAATTGAACAACGCGCTCAAACATCTCGACGATGATAATACGGTCGGCGCAATTGTGCTTACAGGTAGCGAAAAGGCGTTCGCTGGTCAGTTGACTATCTTAATCAATTGAAAATCTGACTTGTTGACCCTGACTGTTTGCACGCAATAGCTGGCGCAGACATCAAGGAAATGAAAAATCAAACATTTTCCGACGTCTCCAACTCAAATTTCATCGCTTCCTGGTCATCCACGATTCCATGCATCCGAAAGCCTATACTTTCGGCCGTAAATGGACACGCCCTTGGTGGCGGATGCGAATTGGCTCTCATGACAGACATCATCTACTGCTCATCCACAGCGACCTTCGGACAGCCGGAGATCAAGCTTGGGGTCATCCCTGGAGCAGGAGGGAGCCAGCGCTTGACGAGAATCATTGGGAAGAGCAAGGCTATGGACCTCATTCTTACTGGAAGAAATTTCAGCGGAATTGAGGCAGAGAAGTGGGGTATTGCAGCTAAATGCTTCGATAGTGCGCAGGCTTGTGTAGACGGTGCTCTGGACACAGCAGGCAGGATTGCAGGGCTATCCAGAGTAGCTGTCAGAGCGGCGAAAGAGATTGTGAACAAAAGTCAAGATCTAGGCATCCGGGAAGGTGTTGAATACGAAAGGAAGGTCTTCCATGGACTTTTTGGGAGTAGAGACCAGAAGATTGGTATGCTCCTTTTCTACTGCGAATGCAATGCGTCACTCACAACGCCAATGAACAGGCATGGAAGCATTTGTGAAGAAGGAGAAACCACAATGGGCTCACGAGTGAATAAAACTTCATTGGAAAGCCCAAAATGTCCCCTTCACAACGCCAACTTGAGCTTCAATTTATCGTCTTTCACAATCTCTCTTTCCATCTTCATCAACTCCGGCATATCCCAGGTACAGTTGACATACCTTCCAGCCAACCAATGTCGCTTCTCCCGGGTGAGGAAAGTGATTGTGTCAGCACTCAGCTCTGCGGATTCGACAAAAACTTCAAAATCCTGTCAGCATCTTTTTAGTTTCATCACTCATATCTCAACTCACTGTGCTTCAAATACTCCGGCAATTCGCCACCACCCATGATATCCGTGCCTGCTACGTTTCCCGGGTGTATCGAATAAGCCAATATTCCCTGATCCGCATACTCCGCACAAACAAATTCCATCAGCCTCAGTTGCGCTATCTTACTAGTTTGATAGCCGCTCATCGCCGGGCCCCTCAGATGTGCGCCCACACTACTAACAGTCACAATAGTCTTATCCTCACCTTTCAGCATCAATGGCAGAAAGGACCTCGTCACTAGGAAAAGTCCCTTGATATTGACTTCCCAATTTCTCCACCACATACCTGGATCTATCTCCCCAATCTTTCCCGCCGCGAAATAGCCAGCATTGAACACAACGATGTCCATTTTTCCAAACGCCTTCTCGACCTCTTTCGCAGCGGTCTCAACGCTTGCCTGGTCTGTAACATCAAGGCTTAGGGCTAGGACGGCGGGTTCAGGCCGCTTTGCATCTGTTGCGGCCGCTTTCATACCTTTGACTAGCTGCTCTTGAGGAGAGCGTGAGCCGATTGCGATCTGGGAGGCGCCGGCGCGAGCGAAAGAGAGGGCGATGGAGGCACCTATGCCTTTGCTAGCTCCGGCGACGAGGACGGTCTTGCTAGAGAGATCTGAATTTAGCGAGGATATGGCGGGGTAGGTGTCGTTGTGGACGGTAGAGGTGGTGGTGAAGTCGCCGGGTCCCTCGACAGGGTTGGGGAGGGTGTGGTCTCGAGGTGGAGGCATTCTGGTTTCGGAGGGTAAGGTACTGGGATTTGAGAAGGGGCGAGTTTGGATAGACGTGGGAGATGGTAGGTGAAGTAGAAATCACTGCTAGTTGATTTGGACAGGCTATAGGATGATAGAACAGAGCGAGATATTTGAAGCAATTAATCAACACGTATCCTGTGTTGCTTTTGTAAGCACAACAATGATCGACAGTCCCTAGTACATGGTCGGATTTAATGCGGGCTTTTGTGTATGAATGATATGCACTGACAGCCAATGGGCCAAGATATCTAACGTATGCTACCAGTGCAGTATTCGATTCGTATGATGCCACTCATTAGATGACGCATAAAGTAGCATATTTTGTAAAACCTCGTGTGTCAGCTCAGATACTGCACTGCATCCTATGTACAGCCCTCACCCCATCCTCTAGATGATTCCTTCTTTCGCAGCCTCCTGTAGTCATACATCTCAGCATCGTCTTCTCATGGTCATTTGCGGTTCGCAGTCTGCGGCTTCGGAGGTGCCTTTGCAGGCGGTTTGGCCGGTCCTTTCGCATTTCCACCAGGTTTCGGAGCTTGCTCAGCTTGTGGCTTAGGCTGTGAAGGCTTTGAAGCTGGAGCTTTGGGGGCAGCTGGCTTGGTAGGGAGTCTCGAAGATGCGCTGGTCTGCTGCGATACGACTGAATTTGCCTTGGACTTCGACGGTCCTAGCTTTGGAGGAGGTGGTCGGTTTGCTCTCGCTGCTTTCTTCCTTGCCAGCTCTGCTTTCTGGGCTTGAAGCAATTGCTTCCTTTGCCATTGTAATAACTTTAATTGTTGCTCCGAGATTTGCCATACTACAGGCTGCCTGAGAACCTTTTGTTTGCGGGCTTGAGCTGCTTGAGGAGTTGGCGCGGCTTCGATGTATTTGATTTGGGGTTGGGTGAGCTGAGGGGGAGGTTTCGCTGAAGGTTCATTGGACACCCATTTCTGGCCTTCCATTGTATCCGCATACTGCGAAAGATTCTTCTGCTGGCTCGCGAGAGCAGCCACTGTTTAAAAAGAGACGCGTTAGCCTGACTTGGAAACGGAACGTGGAGAGAAGTTCGTACCTGCGGTGTTCAACGTGCCAGCAAAGTTTTGCAAAGTTTGTTTGTTAGGCTCAACGCCCACACTTAACGAGAAGAGCTGATTAATCACATCCATATTGGGAGGCAGAATGTATGACTATTGCTTAGGGGTTTGGAGGAGAGTAAAGATTGTGGCTGCAGCTTTTGCGGAGGCAGATGAAAACCGGAAAGAGCGCACGCGCAAATGACGTAGACGCGAGCTAAGGCTGCCAAGGCGTCCGTAAGTGTCTTAGCCTCTTAGGGCGGCAGCCCAGCTAACGGCAACCGTTGTTTTCTGCACGTCCACTGCCGTAAACATGAGATATCGCTGAAATTGGTGATCTGAGCTGACCTGTGGCCACATGCTACGCTACAGGGAGAGTGCTGTTGGAGATCTTTACGGCCTCATTGTTGTGCACACTCAACGTGATCGTGGCAGCTCTGTCGCTAGTTGCTCTTCTCTGTCGTAGGATTACTCTGCGGGTCTTGCGGGATCACTATCGATCCCAATCTTCCCAAGGAGCTCTGTCTCGTATTCGCATGCTTGTAGTGTAATTTAGGCGAGTTTCATTATTGTCTGTTTAAAAATTGACCAATATGGGCAAGTGCCTTCTCGCCGTTGGTGCGTGCTATCTCGACACGATACTGAGGTAGGTATCTCTCTTATGCTGTCTACGTAGTTCTGACTACGTGCCTGCAGTGTCGAACGTTACCCTAGAGAGGATGAGAAGGTCCGCGCTTCGAGTCTTGTACAGCGCCGAGGAGGGAATTGTCCCAACACACTTGAAGTACTTCAACAGCTCATTGATATTGAGCCAAGAGGGAACCTTTCATTAGTGCTTCTTGCTGTACTTCCATCAAGCTCATCACCAGCAGTCTTGCAGATCAAATCATCTTTCGGACCCGCTGTTGACCTATCGCACTGTATTTACCGACAAGATCGCACCGAGCCAGCCTCCAGCTATATCTACAGAAGCTCTGAGACCGGTAGCAGAACCATTGTCAACTACAATGAGCTTCCTGAAATGACGACTCAGGAGTTTACTGCCACTATCGGAGGTCTTGGAAATGAGGCATGTTGGTGCCATTTCGAAGTGTGTGGCACATGGCCTTTCTGTTATTTTGTCTCAAGGATGTGTAGGGCCGCATACCTGACGTGACCTTACAATGCATACGATATCTTCGCAACCAAGTTCCCAGTATCAAGGTTAGCGTCGAAGTCGAGAAGCCCGGCCGCCCTGGATTGCAAGAACTAGCTAGGGAAGCAGACGTCGTTTTCTATTCCAAACGCTGGGCCCAGGTAGCTAGCTGCTTTTTACTTCTCAAGACGAGGAACGCTGACTATCCACGACTTCAAGCAAAATGGCTTCAACGATCCTGAAGCGTTTCTACGGGCGCAGGCCACGTTGGCAATGCGAGCGTATGTCATCGGATTTCACCCTCCGCAGCAAAATATGCTAAACCAATTCCCAGGTCGATCTTACTCTGCACTTGGGGAGAGAGTGGTGTGAGCGCGCTGGAACTACCAAGTTTCGGTTACACACATTGCCCTGCTTACACAGTAGCGGGGAGAGAAGTGCATGAGTATGTTGTGCTTCCCATCATTTAGAGACTGAAAGACTCATATAAACAGTACGATCGGCGCGGGAGATTCGCTTATCGCAGGCATGCTCTATACTATGATCTTCTATACCTCGTGGGAAATAAAGCGCAAGTTAGAATTTGCCAATGAGCTGGCTGGACGCAAGGTTTTGCAAGAAGGATTCGGTGGCCTTGGAGGCCAGATGTAGGTCCCAAGCCCATAAGTGCATTCGCAGAGTATACATAGCTGCTTGCTAGGCCTTTCGGTGTAGTGGCCCTCGCGTGCAGTGCTGAAAAAATTGCATACTTTGGGCTTTGGCAACAGCTTCCGATCTCGATAGCTTTCCAATGTCACATTGATTGGAAGAGCTTTTGCGGGCGAAGGGGCTCATATTTCTATCCTAATGTACATACCGAGCTTTTTGAGAGAATAAACTGATGAACGTTACTTTGTTTGTACTGAAAGACCCCTCGTACGGTACAGATATGCAGCACGTGCCAAGACCAGGCTAGGCTATTGCTACTTGCCCCTTTCGCTGCTGTCTGATGACGTCAAAACTCGGATCTGTAAATAACAAGAAACGCATGTCAGCTCCAGTACTACCGGACGAACTGTGCACCATTAGCACACTATTGGAATGTACTCGTTCAGAATTATGAATGAGTGCGCGCGATTAGACATGACTTGAGCTCTATTGCTTGCCCTACGCTGCCACAGCTGCCACAGCTTCGAACAATTTGCTTGAAGGCAAAGCCAGCAATGGCTACATCGCAGCCTGCTCAATCATCAAAAATAGTACCTACGACAGATCTCGGACACGGCGTCTCCACCAACGCTGAGTCACCTGTACCACCCGGCGCGCCTTTAAAATCCGAGCAGTCACAAGCTTCTAGGGCGCTTGGGCTAGCCGGTTACTTCCTCTCAGGATGCATGTCGTAAGTCAAATAGCTAACCGTATCGAAAGTAGCGGCTTATGAGGAACTAGGATCAATGCCTCACAGGTGCTGGGTACTCCTTTATATCTCATCAATAAAGAATGGTATAATACTTGGATCGCATTCACGAAACAGTCATGGGGCTTGCTCACTATGACGATGACACAGTGGTGGGCGCCCACTACGGTCAGAGTAAGTGGCGACAGCAGCATGCGTGGGCAGTTAATACGAACTACTGATGGCGGTTTGATGTGCAACTTCCCCGAACGAATGGTGCTCATAGCCAACCACCAGATCTATACAGACTGGCTGTATTTGTGGTGGATTGGGTATGCAGCAGGCATGCACGGTCGCATTTTTGTAGTGCTGAAAGAGTCTTTGAAGAGAATACCCGTCATTGGATGGGGTATGCAATTCGCCCAATTCATCTTCTTAAAACGAAATTGGGAAGAAGATAAGCCCGGCCTTGCAAGACATATGCAGAGATTGAACAATTCCCAGGATCCTATGTGGTTGATGATGTTTCCTGAAGGCACCAACCTTGCAAGTTGCACCCGAGAGACCAGCAGGAGATGGGCGCTCAAGAACGGCATTCAGGACATGAAACACACGTTAATACCAAGAAGCACGGGATTGCACTTCATGTTGCAAGAATTGAAGGAGACTGTCGAATATGTATACGATTGCACCATTGCATACGAAGGCGTTCCCCACGGTAGTTACGCCCAAGACATCTTCACAGTGGGTGCCTCGTATTTTGGCGGCAGACCACCAAAATCCGTCAACATGTATTGGAGGCGGTTTCGGGTCAATTCGATACCCCTGGATGATCCCAAGCGATTCGAGCTTTGGCTGAGGTTGCGTTGGAGGGAGAAAGACCGATTCATTGACTACTATCTCAAGAATGGACGATTCCCGGCTGATGAGGGGAGCAATCACAACTTTCAGGGCGAGCTCGTCCACGGTGCCGGATACATCGAAACCGACATCCGACCAAAATACTGGTATGAGTTTATGCAGGTGTTCGCCCCAATAGCAGTATTTGCACTTGTGCTATACTTCATCTATGGTGCTTTACCACAGGAGATGGTCCGTAGCATCAGATCGATAGACCAAAAGACTGTTATGAAAAACATTCAAGCGATCCAGACAGGCAAGATGAAGGTGCCTGAGACTAAAGATCTTTTTGCAACCGCTCCGAAGGAGCTTCGCGACAAATTTGAAGCTGTTCAAAAACTTGCAATTCAGCAAAACAAAACACCAGATCAGGTCATTGCAGAAGTCAAGAAAACGCTGCCCGCCGGCACTCTGCCTGCAGGCGATCCTGGACCATTACCGAAGCCTGCGAAAGCGTCCCCTATACCAAAACCTAGCACGAAGGACTCTCAAAAGCCATCGACAACGAAAAGCATTCAAAATCAGAAAGCAGCAACCTCCACCGCCAAGAATTTGACCGCTTCTAACAAGACACTGGATAACGCAAACCCTACCAGGAAGTCAGCTGCACCGAAAAAAGCTGGTAAGTCTGTTTCGTCAACTCGACCAAAAGCCAATGCGGCTTCCAAAGCAGCGAAGAAACCTCTCGTCAAAACGAAGCTGCCAGAGAAGGCTGCGGAACCGGCGGTCAAGAAGGCAAAGGGCCCGAAGCCGACCCTTAGCGGCCCAAACAAGCCACAAGCGGCGATACAAAGCCCTTCTGCCAACGCAGATGCTGCAAAGCAAGGTGATAAGGATGCCCTTCGTCATGCATTGAAGAAGGAGACCAGGCTGGGCAAGCAAGAACCTGTGCGGAAGATACGACGAGCTTTACAAGAGACCTCGGCGTAAGGTTGACTTGGAGTGGTCGAGCTAAGGGAATCTGCTGTTAAGCTTACAATAATGCTGTCAATAATGTCGCCGTTCTGCGCTTACCTATCGGCCTAATCGGTCCGGAGGGCTAGCTGAGGAGGTAGTACTACCTTAGGGCCCCAGGAGCTCAAGACTCGTTTGATGATCCCGTGACAGCATGTGCAGCAAGTTATTCTTGCTCGTGTATCTCAGAGGGGTAGGTAGCATGCGCCTACTATGCATCCAGCAAGAGTGGAAGGGAATGTGGGTGGTCAAAGCTTGGCACATGGTCCTACATCCGTTCGATTGGACAATGGCTCTCAATCCTGAGCAACCTGCATGCAATTGAGGCTATTATTTGCCTCTCATTAGGTAGGTGTCAAGGCTTGCATAGGCGTGACAGCCGCACAGCTTCAACATGTCGCAACTCGTCACAGATTTAGTCGTTCATTCCCTAGTGCAAGCAATGCAATGCTCGATGCTCCTGTTGACCTGAACAATTCGTATCTTCCCACCAGCCTCTTCATTTTCTATCTCTCATTCCACAAAACGAATAACGCACAGCAATATTTCTGCCTTAGCTGTGTCTTTCAAAGACATTTACCATGGCATCTGACCCTCAACAAACCCCGGCCCCAGAAGCTTCGGTCGAAGTCGACCCCGATCTTCTTGATGGCTCAGACTCCACTCTCGGCGATGATGTCTCTCAATATACAGCATCCCTCACCAGCAGCATTGAGCGCTATCCTATCGAGAATGGCCGCCGCTACCACGCTTACAAGGACGGCAAATACATCATGCCGAACGACGAGCAGGAGCAAAACCGGCTCGATCTCGCGCACGAGATGTTTCGTATTTGCTTGGGTGACAAGCTCTTCCTTGCGCCTATCAAGACGCCTCAGACAAAGAAGGTCCTCGACGTAGGCACTGGAACGGGGATCTGGGCCATTCAATTTGGCGATGAGAATCCTGACGCCGAAGTCATTGGGACAGATTTGTCGGCGACGCAACCGACATGGGTGCCGGAGAATGTGAAGTTCGAGGTTGACGATGCTGACGAAATGTGGACGTTTCAACAACATCACTTCGACTTCGTGCATATGCGGTATTTAGCGGGCAGCATTGTGGATTGGCCAAAGCTTGTCAAGCAGGCTTATGATGCGACAAGACCAGGTGGCTATGTGGAGTTTCAGGACTTCAATGCGGACTCGTACTCCGAGGATGATTCTTACGGCAAGAGTAAATACCTCAAACAGTGGCATGATTCGTTGCTGTCAGCAGCACGCGATTTTGGGAAAGATCCTTCTCCAGGACCAAGCCTGAAGCACTGGATGCAGGACGCGGGCTTTGAAGATGTAGTGGCAGAGAAGTTCAAGTTGCCTTTTGCGCCGTGGGCGAAGGATCCGCATTTGAAGAGATTAGGTACGGTAACACAACATCCCCTTGAACCATGGCAATACGCTAAATGACTTCAAAGGTACCTGGAACCTTCTCCAAATGGAGGAGGGCGTAGAAGGGTTCAGTCTGAGGCTGTTCACGCAGGTACTGGGGTGGAAGCCAGAGGAGGTGCAGGTTCTGTTGGCGAATGTGAGGAGGGACATGCGGAATCCGAGTTACCATGTCCTTTATGACTTTTGGGTGGTGTACGGGAGAAAGCCGGAGGAGGCTGCTGCGTCATGAGGCTTAAAACGGGGGGTCGATGGAGGGTTGCTTTGATTTACGGAAACCAGTTGGATTGGGAAGGACCTTGTAAACGGTAGGGCAGTGCTTGGCTTAGCCAAATACACATAGAAAGAGTAAGTCTGAATTGCTGTCATTGAGAAAGATTTAATGGTGCTTGGAGACTGGTGCCATAGGAATGTATAATTGCATATCGTTCGCAATAAAAGCGAACCACTTGCCTTATTGAGAATTCTTGCTCTGAGGCGATCTCTTTGGTTGAAACGTAAACGAATCGTGAATGGAGACGTGAATTGAACGTGAGATCACGCGGGCAAAGACGCAAGCAAAGCAAGGGAAAGGGAAATATTCACTGGGTGGAAGCAAAGTTTTGTTTCATGACATTTTACCCATCTCAAGTCCACCAGCATCGTCGAAGTCGTCGTCCCAATCATCATTTGTCCCCATTGTCCTACCGACCCAGATGCCTATACCAGTGACCAGCACGCCAGCTAGGAACCATCTCTCGAACCACCCATCAACCCAACTCATGTTGTCTTTACCACCCCCAAGGGTCTTCAGGCCCTCACCGACCACAGCACTTGGCATCATCACTCGCAGCATTAGAGCCGCACTAATGACATACGTTGCACACACCTGAGCCACAACCAGCGCCAGATTTGCTTGTATAGTTTTGAGTAATGAGGGAAGAAACCGGGCGAAGAGGTGGAATGTTTGCATGACGGAAGAGAAGGAGGCAAAGAGGATGATGCCTGATAGGAGGAAGGAGATCTGTCGTGCCCAAGCCGCTTGATCGAGGTGAGAGTCGTAATGTTTGGCGAGCAGGGCAAGGATGTTGTCGACGGGATCTGAGGTCGTGAAGGCCTCTGAAGTGTATTTATGGGAAGAGAGAGATCGTCGGATGAATGTTAAGCTCGTAGTGACGATACGATAGACACAGAAAATTGAGAAGCAGTATGCTAGTGTCAATGCCAGACGTCCCTTTGCTGTACGAGAGCGATTCTGCAGATTCAGGCGAGTCTGCAAATTCAAGTGTGAAGTGGACAGGGACAACGCCATGGTCTCAAGACCGGATACCTCGAGTTGGAGCGCCTGCTTCTCGTTGCGATCAGGATCGCCTCTGATAGATCCTATAGCCTTCTCGAAGAAAGACTTGGTAGGACTCTCTGAAATCTTGCGCTCCAGTGCCATGAGCCGAGCCCTTTTGGCAGCCAGCATGTCTTGGGTAGCTTCGATACCAGCTGCTTTTCGTGCAACAGAGGCTTCGCTCACAGGCTTAGATCGTGAGAAAAAGCTCTGCCAAGGGGAGCTGACAGATGCGAAGCCGGAGAGAAGGGCCATGAAGGAGATGCCAATGACACCAATTCTTTCTAGGGATGCTTCAACAACATCACTTTGCTGTGCAGGTCCAATCTCTTTGCCTTTCCCAATTAGATATTCGCCGCTCTTCCAGAAGGCAAGAATCCATACTGCAAAGCTTGAGATCTGGATTACCCAAGCCAATCTGAAGCTCGAGCTTGAACCTCCTGTGAATTGATATCCGGCTGTCGAGATTACCGTGTGAATCTCCAGAAACGGGATCGCAACGACTAGAAAGAATAGTAGCAGTGAAATAGCCAGATGGATGGCTAATCCTCGGGCTGCTGGGTCTATGGTATTCGAAATCTCGCATAGGATCAACTCAGCAAGCACCGTTGCAGATGCAATGGTAGAGGAGAAAATCCATGCAGAGATCTGCTTGACGGCTGGCCTGGTGACCGATGCAGGGCGATTGCTGTTGCTACCTTTGGGTACCGATCCTTCTCCAGACAGGAATGGGAATAGCTTTTGTGCAACAAAGACAGCTACTAGCAAGAATGTAGCTATGAAGGGGAGTGACGAGAAGATGAGGGTGCTGGGGCGGGGGGACAACGCTCCCGGAGTGCATTCATCGCAGTGGGCACTGCCAGGCAGCATCTGGTGATGATTGAAAGGATGGAAGATGCGACGACATCAGGCACGAGTCTCGATCATCCCACTATCACGCGCATTACCAATGAAGGAAGAGCTTGGTGGGTTGGTTGGGTTGGTGATGGGTTGGCCGGCATGAGTTGTCTAGACGTTCCAATCTGGTGCAACTTTTTGCAGCCGCTTTAAGCTGAATGCGGATGACCCTTCTAGCCAGTAGCCAGCAACCACACTGGGACGCAGATGACGACGCAATGTGATAAGCGAATAGCATCATCGTGGGCCTTACAGTGTTTTGCAATGGAGTTGAAGATGAGGTACTTCGCGGACTATCTATCTGGTCAAGCCCTCGTCACCAAATCCAGCCCGTTTTATTTACCAACAGTCGAGCTCCAAGTCTATCATACTCCATTCGACCAATCCAGCTATCGGCTGAACTATGTAGCTTCCCAAAGACGCTGCCGCCTTTCCAGATGACACCCTGAGGATCCATCTCCCTAGGGGGTATGCCGATAAGGATGTCCTTCGCCCACCCAGGTCTCAACTCCTTCAGTCTTTGCTCAAGGAACGAGTAGAAACCCGGCACCTGGGCTCCTCCGCCAATGACCATGATTTGGCCGAGAAACTCGCGAGTCTTGCGTTCATCACCACGTGCTCCGTGATTGATTGAAGCTAGGATGGCCTGGTCAAGTGGCATAATTGGAAGAACGTCATCTCGTGGCGCGTTGGCGTTCTCCTTTTCGCCTTCCTTTTCATCCCCTGGCGGTGCGGGCGTGTCTTCATCCTCGGGAGCAGGGGTGCCCGCTGCAGAAGCTGACGCTCGATCTGGACCGTTGCCTTTTACTAGGAGGTGAAGAGGCTTCTTCTCGGCAGCAGTAGTAGAAGCACCATTCGTAGGCTCACCGTTGAATTCACCGTTCGTCGGAGCAAGCGGCGCTATCTGTCCGATCAGTTCAGCCTGCGCAGCGGAAACAGGTTCATTATATCCGCCTTCGTACACATCCCTTGAGGCTCCGACAAGCTTTCTCCGACCGACAAGCTTGTCTGAATTGTCAAAGATTGTTGGCTCGAAATAGCCTTGAGGCGCAAGTAAGACCTCGTCGTAGGTCTTGAATTGATATTTTCTAGTATCTTGATCCGATGCCCGTAAATGGAAATCATATAGCTGCGGACTGACATCCTGTTCATTCAGGGAGCAGAATTTAGCCTTCAGCTCCTCTGCTAGAAGGAAGTCATGCCGGCGTCGGAGATTGATCTCCTGGTATGGAAAGTGATCATGTAACATCATCCTGACGAAGGTCTCTGTCACATCAAAGCCGCCATATTTGAGGTTGAGTCTGGAATTCTCGATGCACATTCCTTCTTCGACACAGCAGATTGAAGTTTTTTGCGCTCCAACGTCGACTACACAGGAGGCGATGTACCCGGCTCCGAAGGTTGCCGCAAGACTTTCCTGGATGAATGAGACTTTGCCGAACCCAAGATCTCGCAAGAGCAGATCTAGTACTTGCACTATGTATGGGCGCTCGTAGAGATCAGGCAAAACGAAAACACATCCGTACTGGATCCAATCGCGCTTTCTGTGAAGGCCAAGTTGCGATTTGATTGCTTCTTCTATGATGACAGCTATGTCATTGAAAAGGTCTCTCTTGCTTTCATAGTCCTCTTCGTTCAGCCAGCCGTGCCGTAAGGGCCAGAACAATTTGTATCTTGGATTTGACTTCTCTGGTATCCGCAGTGCTTCTTTGCCACAAATGTGGCCGGGGGCATCCTTAGGCCTGATCTCTGTCCAGTCGATCTGCATCGGATCATTGTGCATTGGTATTGTTTCCATCTGCGCTCGCTTGTTGAATGTAACAATCATGTCCTTCGAGTTCGGTAAAACCCTTCGTTTATTGGCTCGCATGCGTACCTTGAGATCCGTACACATTTGGCCATATTGACTTGAAAAGTCTTCACCAAACAGATGTTCAGGCCTTGGCTCCTCGTCACTGTTGAGCCTTCTCCGCTTTGGACAGCGTTTATCGCTGTCTTCCTCTGTTTCGGTACTTTTCCACCTCCTTGCAATTACCATGGGTATCGACTTCGGCAATGCATCGCTCGCCAAGCCTATTCGTAGATTCTGGCTGCCAGGATGCACAACAATGACTTTAGATCCAACTGCTTCTTGACCTGTCAATGCTTCTGGCCCTTCTTCTATACCTTCGTCATCCATGTCTACATCTTGATCGGGTATTTCTGAGTCAGCTCCTCTGAATAGGCTGCGGTCTTTCTCCTTTGCCATTCTGATCATGCGGCTGCGTCTTTCCTCTAAGATCAAGCGCAATGGTAGAATCTGATCATCTCGCTTCAGATACTCGGTGTAATAATTTTTCTGATTTATCATGCCCACTTGAGGCCAATTTGTAAGGTCCATATTGTTATCCGTCCTCTCGAGACCTTCCATAATTATTAGCTCTGTAGCAATGCTGCTCCAAACCAGAGCGTGGACCAACCTTCGTCCCGAAGGAGCGCTTTCGTAGATTTCTTGCCTACCATCTTGGTGGCTTTTGCAATTTGCGACCAAAGTCCGGAAAACAATATCTCAGGCAAAGACTTTCAGAACAAGAATGTACAAGCAGAGTTCCTAGGATTTGTCTAGCTCTGAGACATATGGAGGTCTTGGCGCTCCCATTCGTAGATCTCAAGAGGATGCCTTTGTGCAAATCACAACCGTTGCATGTCCGTATTTGACATAGCTTTAGTTCACTGTATAAACACTCCCAACTCTACCACCAACATCACCAAATTCTCCCATCTGTAATCGATTCACAGTCGAAGCGATCATATTTCTTCACCGGAGTTAGCAAGCTTTACACCAGTGCTGAAGAATAATTACCGGCATGGGTGGATGGATGTCAAAATTGACATCGCTAGTTTGGACAAAGAAAGAGATTCGTATCTTAATCTTAGGACTGGTGGGCATTATTTGAATATCTCTTACCTCGCTTGGCTGATGAGTAGGCTAGGACAACGCCGGGAAGACGACGCTTCTATATAGACTTAAGGTGTGACATGCTACTGAGTCTATGCTACATACATGTCTGACAGTCAAAGATTGGAGAAGTCGTTACGACAATACCTACCATTGGCTTCAATGTCGAATCAGTGACATACAAGAATTTGAATTTCAACGTCTGGGTAAGCGCTTCCCCCTTCCGCCGCTTCATCTGGATATTCTTTGGAGAACAATCATCTGATGTCCACCCCTACAGGATCTCGGTGGTCAAACGTCTATAAGGCCATATTGGCGGTGCTACTACGCAAACACTGCGGCAGTCGTCTTCGTGATCGATTCAACAGATATCGAACGGTTACAGATCGCAGCAGATGAGCTTGCTGCCATGTTGAACGAGGATGAACTACGGGAAGCAGGTTTACTAGTATTTGCAAACAAGCAGGATCAGCCCGGCGCAAAAGGGGCCGGTGAAATATCAGAAGCATTGAATTTAGGCGAGTTGAGGGACCGCAATTGGAGCATCGTTGCGTGCTCTGCAGTAGACGGAAGTGGTATCGACGAGGGGATGGATTGGTTGGCGGTACGTGACTCTCGCCTAAAAGCTACCTTGAGAGCATCACTGACCAAATGGAAGCAAACGGTCTCATCTGAAGCATCATGACATGCGTAGCGGTTCTGATTTTTAATATACCCCTTTTGCGTAGAAAGAAAGGACGACTCACGAGTCACAGCTCGACGTTCTTCTGTGTCGAGGGCTGTCTTGCAAGCTGTGTTCTTGCTTCGGAAAACTGCCAGAGCTTTTACGGAGCAAGGAGGTCAGTAACAGTAGAACAGTGAGTGTGAGCCGTACGTGGCAACCCCACCCAAGACGTTGCAGACCTCTCAGCTTAGAAAGAAAGACCATCTGTCAACTTCGCTACAATACTCCGCAAGCCTCTCTCGAGAGAACAGCTCTCCCACAGGCATACCCCAACAAGGAAGCAAGGGTTTTATGGAGTAGCAACTCGAAACTTGTGTTGCTGTACATTTTAACTTTCCACTCAAGCTTCTTCTCCTGAGAGTGGGTTTTCAAAATCTCTAGAAACCTGGCCTACAGGCAGCAACGGCAGAGAACTTAGTCCAGGCCCGTTCAAGAGTCCACTCGCTCCGCTCAGCGCCCGAGAGAACGTGCGGATTGTGCTCTATGCTCGCTGCCCTTTCATCTTCTAGCAAGCTGCTCAAAGTTGCAATATGGCTTGACATACCCTCAGGATTCACCGCCGATCTATCATATCGCAGACTGGCTCTTAAATCACATTTCCGTTAACCTAGGGCAGAACGGATAAATAAGATATCAGGAAGCTGAATGGCCAGGACTTGTTGTTTCCAGCGCGCTGAGTGGCCAACTGAGCGATATTCTACATGGTTTACCCATATTCAGCTCCACGGACTTAATATAATTGGGCTAAAGGGCTCCTTTGTGCGAGAATTCTACCTGGCAGCTTTTGGGGCGACGCTTACCGAAACCCCTTCTAGAATCTCTTGTCTATTCACTTAGGATACTATCGGGTCCGTGAGTTGATTCAATATACCTAAGTTACCTTTCGGGCTGTAAGGTGCTCACGCTGAGTACGGAGGTTGGCTTTCCGCAGGGAATGAGCAGAGAAAGGGTTCTTTGCAAGCAATATGGTTTGGCAACAAAAGTCGTGCAAGATGAGAAGCTTGAAGATGTTACTCGTCTAGCGGCTGTGATTCCCAAGTTCCTATTTGAGATACCTAGGTCTAAATGCTGTGAGACATCAATGAGCACCAGGTCGAGATTGTAGATATAGTGAGGCCAATTCACATGTTGCGACAAGGCTACGCTAGCAAATCAATACCTCTGATATTCGCAATTACTGGCTTTTCTTAGATTCAGGTGGTGCCACCTGAGCAATCAGCTTGCTCCCGACCTTAGCACTCTCTTCCCAACTTCTTTGTCTACTCCAGAAGTGATCGACTGGTCCGCTGCTCCTCAATGTTTCCTGTCTCGCGTCCTCCTCCAATGAGCTTCGTGTGATCTGCTCACTTTCAATAGGTGGAGGCACCTCCAGGGAATCATTGGCCGAGATTTCCTCCAAATAGCGCTTTCGAACTGAAAATTTTTCTGCCCGTTCTTTTTGCATGCCAGGAGAATCAAGTTTTGAGATCGCTATCCGGACAGCCCAACGGGTAAGTAGATAGAGATGCTCGGAGCAGAAAATCGCAAACAGCAAGGCCCAGCCTTGTACGCTTCCTGGTGTTCCGTCTGGACCCAATCCATCGTTACTGAAGAGGTAGACAAGCGCGGCTGTTGTAATACTTCCAACCCAGGATAGAAAGCCAAGACTATCTAACCATGGACCGATACCACTAGCTCGTAAAGGCGTTGGCCTCTGCATTTCCACGCATATTTTGAACGCGTCGGAGCGTAGTTCGACCCAGTTATTCGCGAGGAAAGAACACGCTGTTGGCGGCCATACCACGGAGAAGAGAGCGAGATATCCAAATTGCACCACCATTTCACGCAAGTCTCCAGTCACGTCGTAGATATCAAGCTCAGCTTCTTTGCGCACTCTCGTCAGAAATTCGGCCTCTTCAGGGGTATCATTAGCACCAGCCCCAGGAGAAGCGCCGCCTTTCTTTGCTGCTCGCTCTGTTTTCATATCCTGATATTTGCTGAAGGCTCTGCGTTTGACGTAGGGAACGATCGTTTCCATCGCAAAATTGACAATTTGCGCCGTGACTGTGAAATAGATTACTTGTTTCCGGAGCCTTTCGGGATTGATCTGAAAGCCAGTCTTAGGGGTCTCGAGTTGTTTGTCTTCTGTCGCAAACGGGCGAGCTGTCAATTGGAATACGTCGAGGTACGGCACAATGAGACTGCCAAATGGCACGTATACAAAGGCGGTCAGAAATATTGGCAGATAGGATACAATGAAGTTGAGTACAAAGATCTTTGAGGTCATAGCGTAGTCGTAACTATCTGTCGTCTCCCAGTTCTCATACTCATTCAGACGCGTAGCGACTTCGGTCAGTAAAGTCGACATTGTGGGAATCAACGTTGTCAGAAGCACAGTAGGGAGAAAAACCTGCTTTTCGTGAGCAGGGCTGTCAACGTGTCATGAACTTTCTTACCAAGATGCCCTTGAAAGGCCCGTTGTACACCTCCGATAGAAAAATTTCAATACCAAAACAGGTAGCAATGATCGTGCCCAATGCAGTAGCGGCAATGATAGCAAAGGGAATTTGGAGAAGCTGTCGGCTTAGACGTTTCGTAGCAGGGAAAACCTGCACCACTTCTCCCGTGACAGGGTCTTTGACTTCCTTCTCATGGCTAAAATCCCGGCGCTTTTCTTGTATAGCTGAGACGCCCCGTACTCCCCATCTTATCCCGAGGTCGATTTGCTGGTGCTTCCAGTACTCAATGAAGATGACACTCCATAATCCGTTGACGACGGCATAGATTGGCGAGAAATGGCCAAGCAAAACCCAGGAGGAGAACCCGAAGGCGGCCGGGAACAGCAAGAATGAGAGATATGACTGCGTAAACGCAAAGTAGAAAGCTACCTTCTCCCCAAGTCGATCTCGAATCTCATCCAGGTCTTCAACATTCAATAGCCATGACTTCGACCACTTCTTGATCCATTCTTTGTTATATGCATGGTCATGCAACGGAAATATAGATTCAACATTCTTCCACTCGCCATGCTTCGGTGTTATTCCTGCACCCCCTTCTTCTCGGGAGTTGGTTATCATATGGTAGACAATTCGCAGGCGCTCTGCGTCCGTCATTGATTGACTTGTTAAAGTAGCCTGAGTCTCTCTATCTGGTTGAGCTGCTTGAACGCCATGAAGCCAATCCTTGACCCTACCAAGCTATAAGAAGAGGGTTCTCGCACAATGTCTTTGTTTTCACCTACCTGGAACGATAGACAGCATCGCTCAGGCGTTGGTGGGAGGCGGTTTTGACGAATACCAAAAGAGAAGCACTTTCACCGTTGCGGACTTCTGTTGCTAACCCTACTCTTGCCAATGACTTGACAAGGTTTTCGAATCCTTCTGCAGCTTTTGCCTTATCTATGTGCGCGTCAATTGTCAACGCAGCTTCTTCAAGCAGCTATTTAACGAACCAGTATCGGAAAATCGATATACGATCACGTAGTCGACCGCAAAGTTAGGATGGAGCGCCGCATTCTGCGGTGACATGATCACACTTGACCAAAGTTCGGCTTTGCCCTTGAACGCTGGATTTGCTCATATATAGCGTTGAGGTGCTGAAGTTGAAACTTGGAACATCGACAGCTGTTGAAGCTCTACGTCATCGCCAGCGCTAGACGGGTAAAGCCTTGGCACGTATTCTGCCAAGCCCCCGACTCGCTTGCCTTAGCGGCAAATTCGAACATCACCCACACGTTCTGCGCTACCATCTCATTGAGGATCCAAGCAATCGCATCACCCAAATCGACATTTTTAACGCCTGAAACAATGGCAACTCGCCCCACCGTATCTATCGCTTCGGCGGAGGGCGACAGGTTGAAGGAGACAATCCCTCTACCTGCTGTCTTCAGGTCTCCAATCCGCCCCGACATTGTCCAGTGCGCTTATTTCCGATCCGAAGTAACAATTTCAATCACTCACCTTATGACAGGACAGTTCACTCAGGGATGGCGAAAAACAAGCGACAGCCATATGCTGTGAGCGAAAAGGCTGGTCATCAGACATCGGCGGAGTCGTGGGGAACAGGTCAGTCAGGATCTTGAGACAAAATGGCAAGGGCAAGCAGATGACAATCGTTCCCCATTAGGTCGTGCGGTTGCTCGAATCCCTCGTGTATCTGGTGGTGGTACCCACCGAGCTGGCCAAGCCGCGTTTGGGAACATGTGCCGCTCTGGTCGTATGTTTGCACCCACCAAGGTTTGGAGAAAGTGGCATCAGAAGATCAACCTTGGTCAAAAGTACGCTTCTTGAGACTTGGGAAAGATCTAGCTAATATATGTCCAGGCGATTCGCGGTTACTTCTGCCCTTGCCGCATCCTCAGTCCCCTCTCTCCTCCTCGCTCGTGGTCATCAAATTTCAACAGTGCCGGAAGTGCCCCTTGTGGTTTCATCAAAAGCATTCGAAGGCGCGGCAATTGCAAAGACATCTGCAGCCCTCAAGATTCTTGCTGCCGTTGGCGCTGGTCCGGACTTGAGCAGGGTCCGTGGGTCTCGCAAACTTCGAGCCGGAAAAGGGAAATTGCGAGGGCGCCGACACCGTCAACGCCGAGGTCCTTTGATCGTCTACAACCCTGATGAGGACGGTACTGAGCTCATCAAGGCGTTTCGCAACATTCCTGGTATTGAAACGTCTTCCGTCTACTCCCTCAATCTACTTCAACTAGCTCCCGGCGGACACCTGGGTCGCTTTATTATCTGGACTTCTTCGGCCTTTGCTGCACTCGATACCGTGTACGGCTCCACAACCGCCCCGTCGGATCTGAAGAAAGATTTCCTCTTACCATCATCTATCGTACACAATGCAGATATCAGCCGGCTCATTAATTCATCCGAAGTGCAAGCTGTTGTCCGTCCAGCCAAAGGAGAGGCAAGAACAAAGCGATATCGTGTGCAGAAGAAGAATCCATTGAAGAACAGACAAGTGCTCTTGAAGCTGAACCCGTATGCGAAGGCTTTTAGGGATCAGCACTTGGGCCAGGAAAAGGTGAAGAATAAGAAGCCAGAGGCGCCAAGCGCCACATTTACTGCTACGCTACGTGAGGACTAGGCTACTGAAGGTGAGCGTAAAGATCGCTAGAGCAGTCAAGCATACCCAATGCGGCAGCATATGAATCCAGCTTCTCCTTATTCAGGTGCACCGCTCATTTTTGTGACTCCATGCCTCATGTCCCAAACTTGCAAAGGCACTCCTTATCTTTGTATATGACCCAGAGCTGCTCGATGATTGCACAGGGTGACACTTTAATGACCTCGTGACTACCTGTTGAAGGCTAAGGGTGTAATAGTTGCGATGCTGCACCCTGGATTTGTCAAGGCTAACCTCGACGTATGAAATGGCAGAAGCTGTAGAACCTGAAGAAGCAGCCCTAAACTGGGAGGGTGGGGTTGAAAAGCAAAACCTTACAAGAAACAGAGAGGTTCTGGCATCTAGAGGGATTTGAGCTGGAATGGTAGTTTGGACGGACCAAACGCCGTTCTGCTCCTAATTAATACCCAAAAGCAGGTATTTCGCATATGGACAATTCAACATGGTATTGTACGAAAAACTTCACCTTTTCATAGGGTCAACCAGCTACAGGATACCCGATATGACTATCATCTCTAAGGAGACCAGGTGTCAAACTGTGAGCTCTGGCAGAACTAACGAAACACATAACATCTGGCTTTCCGCTGAGAGATGAAGTAAGAATACGTATCAGATAGGCGGAGGGAGGCAGCCACATTCAGTGGCGAAAGGTTGTGGCCATTGTAAAGGATATCGTGCATAAGTCAAAATGTTTGGTCCACGGGTTGGTCAGTTCGAAGAGGGTCCTGCCCAGTCCTATTCCCATAGCGTTTTTGGTAATGATAAGGCTCTACTTCCCAGGAGATGCCTCAATAGTAGGTCTTCTATCTCCCAACGTTGACATGAAGACCGTCAATTGGACGAACATGCTAGCTTCTAAGCCTTGGAGGAGTTAGCGTCAATCCGATAAGATTAGCTAGCCTCCCGTCTTTCCATGAACTTTGAGAAGAGCCGCACAGTCAGCACATTTCAATTGTCCATATCCCTTGAGTGCTCGTCAATGTTTATTGGACCTCGCTAAACATGTTGCATGATATTCACAGCTACTCGTCACCTCAACTGAGTATTGAATGATCTGCAAGTCCCGATGTGGGTTTTGATATGTCTCAATGTCTAGCTTTCCCGGGCGAATCTGTCTATAATGGGTTTAGAAAGGCAGAGATTGCCAGGCGGCTAGGACTTGACGCACATGAAATCAATGCCATTTATATCCATTTCGTCAGTCTGAGAGAACCCCTGAGAGAACCCTTGAGAGCCAACGAACCAGTCGACCTTGATGTCGAGGCGCTGAAAAAGCTGCTACCGAAAGCGAACCCCTGTTCTGATAACGTGTCTAATCTCAACCCTTCGTCTAAGGAGTTCTTTGTTGTCCCTCGGACATTATCACCTTGGAGCAGTAAAGCAACAAACATCGCTCATGTGTCCCACTTCGAAAGCTCCATCAAGCGGATTGAGCGAGCTGTGAATGTGGTGATCACATCGAATAGAGAAGTGAATCTTGACCTTGCACACGACCTTCTCTACGATCGAATGACCCAAGTCCTCTTGAGCAGCTGGCCAGATCCTAATGTGCTTTTCGCGGAACCTCAGCCTGCTCCTGCCGCCATTATTGATCTGCATGGGGGGAGCAATCTGCCCCACGATGCTTTACAGGCAACCAACAAGGCGATGGGATTAGCCCTAGACGATTCCGAGATCGAATATTTGATCGACGCATACTCAGACAAAGGCCCAGTCGCCAGAAATCCGCGAGATGTGGAGCTCTGTATGTTCTCTCAAGTAACGTAACCCATGTAAAACATTGGGGACCTATCTTTGACCTCTTTAGATCAATTCTGAACACTGTAGGCACAAGAACTTCAATGCTTCGTGGACAATTGACGGCATAGAAAGGCCTCAGTCGCTGTTTAGCATGATCCGAAGCACACATACGGAGAACCCGAAGTATACAATTTCTGCGTATAGTGACAATGCTGCTGTGATCTGTGGTCCTGAAGATGCCCTCCATTTGGCGCCCAATCCTGCTTCCGGCGAGTGGAACGGAAATTCCGAGCAAGTTCATCATGTGATCAAAGTGGAAACACACAATCACCCAACTGCGATAAGCCCCTTTCCAGGTGCGGCCACTGGGTCTGGTGGCGAGATCAGAGACGAAGGTTCTGTCGGGCGAGGATCTTCTCCTCGAGCTGGACTTTGCGGCTTCAGTGTATCGGATCTGAATATACCGAACCATAAACAGCCATGGGAAAGAAATGAAGGCCACCCTCATCATGTGGCCTCTAGCCTGAAGATAATGCTAGATGCGCCAATTGGTAGTAGTAATTACAATAATGAATTCGGCAGACCCGCACTCACGGGTTATTTCCGAACACTCTTGACAAAATTGTCGCTTGAAGATGGTAAGGAGGAACTTCGGGGCTATCACAAGCCTATCATGCTCGCAGGGGGTGTCGGTACGGTTCGTCCACAGCACAGTATAAAGAATCCGAACATTGTACATTCGAAATGCTTTGCTGTTGTCCTTGGAGGACCAGCAATGCTTATAGGTGTCGGGGGTGGGAGTGCGTCTTCAGTTACCTCTACTGAAGGGTCTGCTGAACTAGATTTTGCATCAGTTCAGCGCGGTAACGCTGAAGTCCAAAGAAGAGCTCAAGAGGTCATCAATGCTTGTAATGCAATGGGGAATGGCAGTCCAATCCTTTTCGTTCATGACGTTGGAGCTGGTGGCCTTAGCAATGCTTTGCCAGAGCTGTGTCATGATGCAGGATTGGGTGGAAGCTTTGAGCTACGAGATGTCGACAACGCGGGATGCAGTAGCCCCATGGAAATTTGGTGTAACGAAGCCCAGGAGAGATATGTTCTAGCTATTGCGTCAGACAAAATAGACAAATTCACAGCTCTCGCAGATAGAGAACGAGCGAGATACTCGATCGTAGGGACTTTAGAAGGTAATGAATCAAAATATCATCGCCTGATATTAAGCGACTCAGATTCCAAGGAAGTTCCGACTCCTATCGACCTCCCCATGGACACGCTTTTTGGCAAAACCCCCAAGCTCCATCAAAAAGTCCAGTCAAGGAAAATCGGATTGCAACCCTTCGATGCTGGCCTGAGAAAGTATTTACCAACGTTGCAGACCGGCTTCCTAGAGGAAGCGGTGCGAAGAGTGCTTCAGCTCCCCTCTGTTGCCAGCAAGCAATTCCTCATTACCATAGGCGATCGTACCGTTGGTGGTTTGACTGCACGAGATCAGCTTGTCGGGCCATGGCAAGTGCCTGTCGCCGACGTCGCCGTGACGGGGACTTGCCTGAAAGCAGGCATCAAGACTGGGGCAGCGATGGCGATGGGTGAGAAACCCACTATTGCGCTCATAAATCCTGCAGCTTCAGCGAGGATGGCGATTGCAGAGTCACTATGTAATATAGCAGCTGCAGACCTACAAGATGGGCTTGAGAGGATTCGACTGTCAGCCAATTGGATGTCAGCGATCAAGCATCCGGGAGAAGGAGCTGCAATCTATGAAGCAGTGGAAGCTGCCACGGACCTCTGCAAAGACCTGAAGATCAGTATCCCTGTTGGCAAGGTAATCGTCCCCTATTCTCAAGGTTGGACTATGCTGACCGCCCCAGGACTCTACCTCGATGAAGATGAGCTGGAGAGATCGAAGTACGCTTGAAGCGAAGGAAGTCATTGCACCTCTGTCACTAGTTGTATCAGCTTTCAGCATTTCGAGAAACATAATTAATACATGGACGCCGCAGCTTCGCCGCCCTGAAGAATTGGATATTGGTGAAACAGTACTCTTGATGGTCGATTTAGCAGCAGGGCATAAAGCACTTGGTGGTAGCGCTCTTGCTCAAGTCTTCGGTCAAATTGGCGATGAGGCGCCAGATCTGCGCGATGGTGAGCAGGCTTTCCATGTCCAATTGGACTTTACGCCCGCTGAAATGTGACAACTTGTAGTGCAGTTGCTGAAAGACTATTTTGACGCTATCGAACAGCTCCACGAATCAGGCGTTGTCCTGGCCTATCACGACTCCTCAGACGGCGGAATTTTCACAGCAATCGCTGAAATGATGTTCGCTGGTAGGTGTGGCGTTCAACTCTTGATTGACGAGTTCTGCAGGAATGAACCTTCGGATGTCATCTCAACACTATTCACAGAAGAGCTCGCAGCAGTCTTTCAGGTACGTAAGAGGGATATCACGAACTTCATGCGCTGCTTTGCGACGTGCGGCCCCCCATCAGGACTGATAAAGAATATCGGGCGTGTCACTGGGGCTTCGAGTCAAAACTTGACCGTTTACCACGGAGCGACATTGGTCTACCGCAAAACGCGGAGCGAGCTACAACAGCTGTGGTCCAGCACATCTCATCAAATGCAGCGCATACGCGACAATCCGAGCTGTGCTGACGCTGAATTTGCCTCTATCCTCAACGACTTAGACCCTGGTCTGTCGTACAATCTGACGTTCGACGCTACTGATGACCTCCTTCCTTTCAAGACTAAGTTGACAGATCGACTTTTTACGCAGAGACCTCGGGTTGCTATACTGAGGGAGCAGGGCTGCAACGGGGCGCCAGAGATGGCTTTTGCCTTCATGACAGCCTCCTTCACCGCGGTTGATGTTCATATGAGTGATCTCTTGACTGGTCGGGTCTCTCGTAAGCTGGCTTGCCTTCTCATTTAGATACGATAGTTTCACTGACTTTTGCATCTGTTAAGTATCATCTTTTCAAGGACTAGCAGCCGTAGGCGGTTTCTCATATGGTGATGTCCTGGGAGCTGGTCGAGGTTGGGCAGCGAGTGTTTTCATGAACAGGCCATTGCGCGAAGAATTCAAGGCTTTCTTTGGGCGACCTGACACATTCACTGTCGGCGTTTGCAATGGATGCCAATTCTTGACACAGCTAGCCGCCGAGAGCGATGTCATTCCTGGGACGGCCGCTTGGCCCTTGTTCCTGAGGAACACTTCGGAACAATTTGAGGCGCGCTACTCAATGGTAGAAATCAAAGAAAACCCAAGAGCACCGTCCGTATTCCTTTTCGGCATGGCTGGATCTCAACTGCCGATTTCAGTGTCCCACGGAGAGGGGAGGGCACACTTTGCAGGGGCTCAAGACCAGCATCAAGCAGCGAAGGCGTTGTTCGATAGCGGCATGGTGCCATTGAGATACTTGGATAACGATTTGAAGCCTACAGAAACTTACCCATTCAATCCAAACGGCTCACCTAATGGATTAGCTGGAGTTATGAGCAGCGACGGAAGGTACATTTGATCCCTTCTTCTCCAAAACGAGTCGCATTTGGGTTGAGAGTGCTAACCGAATGTGATAGGGTCCTTGCAATGATGCCACATCCGGAGAGAACCGTTGCTAGCGGTATTGGAAGTTGGATCCCTGATGGCCGGGCCAAGGCGTGGGGAGAGGTAGGCCCCTGGGCGAGGCTATTTAAGAGCGCTAGGCGATGGGTTGGATAGCACCATGCTGCGTATGTAAACCTCTCTGTAGAACATAGAAGAAGATCGGATGGGAGGCATTTCAAGAGCGTCGAATATGTCAACATTCGAGATAATTGTTGAGGTAGCCTGCCTCAGCTTCCTGACCTGCCACTGAACAGGCTACTGGCCAAGACCTCCCAGCAGGGGGCGCCGTCGGCCTTGCTTAAACCTGTAATCGACGTTGTGATAAATGCATGCAGTTGCTTGAAGGTGTTTCGTATTTTGTTGAGCTTTGCGTCTCGTGCGGCCGCGCCTTGATACGAGCCCTGGCCATTCAGTGCACTCCCCTCTCTAGCTCTTTGAAATTGGCCAGATGATCTGTTTTCATCGTCCTCATCATCACTTGAAGATACAGATCCTTCACTCGTGCGAACCCCGGTATCTGGGCTATAGTCCTCAGCGACTGTCGCAACGATGTCGGAGAAAAGGACAGTAAGATCAAGGATTGAAAGGATCGCTTGCTTGAGGGAAGCGTGCTTCTTGTGTAAAAAGCACTGATCCTCAAGTTTGGCTATATACTTTTGATGAATCGAGATCATTGCATCGATGTCTTCTGCTTGTGCCATGTCGAGTCGCATCTTTACAGTATTAGCATCTAATACCATGATGAGGAGGTGAGTTAACATCGCATTGGTGAAGTAGAGGAGGCGACTACTATAGCTGTAAAGAGTGTGCACATAGCTTGCTGTGGAACGGTATCGATTCTGTATTGGCAGCTTGTAGAGGCGAAGCAGATACTTGGCCCGATGAAGCTGAGCTAGGAAGACTAGGATGCGCTGATATGTAGAAACAGACGATGGATGGAGAATGTTGGCAAGAGGCCACGGAAGCTGATAATCTATGTCCAATCTCTCGAGGATGTTCATTGACCGGCCAAGCTGTCTTCGGCCTACGTGACCCGACTTCACCTTGACATTTTCAACATTGATGGCGCTAATGTTTGCAAACGACTTCCGGCAGAGGTCAGCGATGATGACTGGGTCGTCCCAGTGCTTTTTGTGGCCATCGAGACGGTCGAAGACGGGCGTGAGGACGAGATTGCTCAAAATACCATCTTTGGAGAAATAAAGATATTCGAAGGCGTCCAGGCAGCTACTGAGGCCACAGGTTTGATCCAGCACTTGGCGAAGTCTGGTTGAAGCAGACAGATGGTGCCTTGTGATCCAGGCGTTAAGAGCTGCATCGAAGAGCTCGGGAAAAGGGCTGAGCAGGTTGGAATCATCTTGTCGACAGATGTTCTCAAACAACATGCCTGCATTCTCACTTTGCCTACCGACGTCTTCTTTGACTGACTGCTGACCCAAGATTTTCAAGAGATAGACGCTCTTACCTGCCTTGAAGATCTCAGAAGTTGCAACATGAAGAAACGTTGGAGCAAAGACTGCGCCACCTCCATTTCTCCTTATAGAAAATTGATTTTGCCATACAGAATCATCTGTCACACTAACGTTATTTCTCTTGATAAACATCTCTTGGTCATTTTCGTCAAGATCGCCGCTTTCAATCCAGCTTTGCAGGGGTTTCAGATACATCGTGAAGCATCCGAGGAAGATCTTTGCTGCACAGTCATATAGATCAGCGTCACCCATCTTCTGCGCAGCACAGGTAGCATCAAAGAGTCCTTCTAATATACCAAACGGCTTTCGTAATTCATGCGCCTCTCTAGAATCTCTCAATGTAGGAATCAGATGGCGGATGTATCGGGTTATCTGGGATGCTCTCTCATACAGATCTAGTAAACTGACCACATAGCCTACGCTTGAGTGTAGAATACTTGATTGCAACTCGTTTAAGGCATCATCTATAATCTTGAGCCGATAGCTAAGCAGGGACTGAAACCTTTGAACAAGGTGCGCATTTTCTTTCCGATTTACGAAGTGCCGGACTCGTCTTAGCTCAGCACCCAGGAGAGAGAATTTCTGGAGCAAACTGTTGACTGAACTTGGCGAAAGCTGCTTAATAGAAATCTCTCGACACTCAATAGTAGTGCCGTTACACTTTTCAACAAAGATAGTCGTAGGTAAATCAAGAAGCATGTGAATGATCTCTCGAACAGTCTGTAGCTCCGTCATGGAGACCTCACTTTGTTCAGGATCATGCTTTCGGCCTTTGTTTTCCTCCGCCCCTTGCCTCCACAATTGATGCTGGATTAAGATATTGACGTCCGTCTCTATGTGTGGTAGAATCAGAGTTTCGGGCTCAGGATCAGCTTCCTGTACAAATGAAGACTCCGAGATCGTTTGCTCGCGCGGTTCTTCCGAAAAGGCCGCTTCACCTCCGTCGGAGTCATCGGAACCATCGGCACCAAAATTCACGTTCTTCCAGAGCCCAGTGTCCTCTTCGACGAAGATAGGCTCTTCATTTGCAAACTCGTCCACAAGGGACTTTGGCTCATCGGGCTCGAGTAGAATGCCGTCTTCTTTACGTGACCGCTTTGCTGGACTGTGTGACAGAAGAAGAAAGAGCGAGAGTACCTCGGGTGTCCATTTCCAGTCTTGGAGCATTAGGTCCTGATATTTACTGTGGAGATTATCTGCAACTTCATCCTTATTTAAAATTCTCAACTTCTCTACAAGTCCCTCGACGTGGGCGTATACTTCGAATTGGTTGGTACGACTTAACGTCGTACTCGCAATTATTTGGGAACATGACACTTTCTGCTGGTCAGACGAGATCCTTGAGGATTTTGATTGATGATTGTGGACGAGGGCTTCCAGTAGATCGCTGACCTCCTCATTCGGCGGCATGACAACCCAAATACCGAATCAGCTAGATATCGTCAGGCTATCGCAAAGACTGAGGCTCATTTGGGCCATGTCTTCATTTACCGTCGCGTCTCTGCATCCGTTGTCTGATTGGCTCACGGATGTTCCCGCAACCTTCGGATGAGCCTAGAACTAGCTTTGGCCTAGAAAAGTGGTATCATACATTTCCTACCTCCTGCAATATTAGAGATGCTGATCTTGTATCCCTAATGGAGACATGGTCACGAATGACGTGTCTCAGATACAGGGTTGCTCTTTGATCTATTCCCTGATTTGCAACTGAAGAAGTGGCAAGGCTACAGATAATTAAGAGACCTTAATTCAACCAACGAAATAAGGATAAATGCCAGTCATGGTTGAAAACGACGCGAGAAGGATCAAATTTTGCAAAGATAACATTTGCCTTACACTCACTTGAATCACATTGCTCAGCTGGAAATTTGCCCAAAAAAATAGAACGAGCTCACTTTCTTAGAGAAGTGTGTCACAAAATTATCGAGTCGGATCCGCAAACTCTTGTCAGGAGCTTTGACAGATTGACAGCAGCGGCTCCCATTGATATAGGCAAACATAGCGGAGAGAAGGACTGTTTGAATCGGGGTTTGACAATATCGAGTCCCTTGAACACCCTTCACCGTAGCTCTTTCTCAATTTTATGAATCTGGACCCTCCCTCTGACTGAGCCTTCCGACGTGACCATTGTTGCCGCGTCTGAGACTCTGCGAACAAATCCTGCGTACAGTCATATATGAGACTCGCTGCTAGCTTCCCGATGTTGCGAACAATCAACACCTATGTCCACAGGCGCAATCAGCAGTGAGACCGAAAACAAATTCCACGAACTAGGGAGTACAGCAGCGTGATTATTAACGAACTCCATTTAGAGCAAATCGGGTTGGGCCAAGATCTAATGCAAGGATTCGACCTCGGAGAGGCAAAACTGGAATGGGGCTCAAATGTCAGATGAAGCTGCTTGAGAACGAAATACGTGTAGAAGCATTTTCTTGGACTCGGGCAAATTGAACCTCTGTTGAAACAGTTTTGTCAATTTTGAGTGAATAGAAAATTCTAGAGAATAAAATTGTGCTGCAGAAGCATTCATAAGTACACAGGTGTCGAATTCAAGAATTGTAAGTGATAAATTTCTCCTTTCCAGCGTTCGTATGCCTGTAGTGCATGTATTAAAAATGAATGACCTCAGGTAGGGAAGCTAGGCTGTTTCACTTGCCATGAATGAAAATGCCTCATTTAGATTACACGTGAGCTGGCATGTGACGCAAATGAGTTGCCTCCCTGCTTATCTGCTGTCCAAAGAATTGGTCAATCCTGTTGCTCTTTCGGCTCTGGCTGGACCCTAGGCGCCCTGGGGATGTTTTGCATATCCCCCAACATTGGAGTCACATCATGTTCAATCCAGAGGAAACACTTTCCACCCCCCTCCTTTGCGAGCCTCAGCACTGCAGTGAGATTGCTAGTTGTCACTATTAGAGGAGACGAGATCCCAGTGGTCATGAAGATGTTGCGAAGAACCATGCCTGGCAATGCAGCTTGGATGCCGGCGACAAATCCTTGGAATGTTTCATTAATGCTGAAGATCATCACAGTTGGATGAAGTTCTTGGTGCCCAGGTATACCCGTGTGTTGACTATCATTGCCATGGCGAATGACAATGGGCATGGTGAGGAGACCATAATCGAGGACGCTGTAGCGGCCACTTCCTAATATCGCTAAAGCACCGATCGACATGTGTTGAAAAGGTGGATTGCCGATCTGTGCTGGTTGGTTTTGAGGCATGACGTTGGGAGATGGAGTAAGCCGCGGGGTATTATCTTGAGGAGTTTTGGCACCCATAGCCGTAGAAGTCTTGCTTTGGGTTATAGAGGTGCGCGCAAGATAGATTCGATGGTGGAAATTCGTTACTTATAGACGAGTGGGCAGTGTTGCACCTCCTGAAGAAGTGTGTTGAATGGCCTAAGGGACCAAAGATTGTACGAGCTTCCGATGACACTTTCAATGAGGGGAAGAAGACATTTCTTGAATGTTCGCGAGAAGAGATTGCTCAACATGATCGCAAGTAGTTTTGTTGGATATCGAACGCTCGGATGAGCCGGCTAAAACAAAAAAAACCATTCCAGTGCTCTGCTTGTAGGCATTGAATCTTCTACTACTTACAGAATATACATTCGTCTACACGTTGCGAGAGAAGATTCATATCATCGCTGCGACGTCATTTCATAAAGCATGCGGCCTTTCCCTCCGAATGTCTATAGCGCCAAAGCATCTCTCAAACGCCGTTTCCCACGGTCTGTCATCCAGCGAAAGAGCCGTGCCGTCTCGGATCCGGTTGAACTGTCAAGCTTGGCTCTGTTTGCTCGGTAGTCGCGGCAGCGGTCGATGGCTGCACATCTGAAGCAGGCATCGGAACTTCTGACACGGGTCGTGACTGAATACCAGATGCTGGTCGTGAGCCCAAGGCACGACTCAGTCGTCGGCTAAATCGATTCATCGCCCCGTCTCCGCCCGGTTGCAGTCGACGTTCTGGAGCTTCTGACTCTAGTTGTCCTTCGTTACGAAGCGTTCTCAAAGCTTCCAAGCGTTCCTGTGGGGTGGCTTGCCGCATCCTGCCTATGTTGAGGGTGGAGAGAATTCGCGAGCGCCGATTCCGTCTCGCTTCAGGATTACCATTTTCCACATCTGGGGGCAACTCCACATCGCGGGTCTCCAGAGAAGGCACGTGGTCTTCTATATCAGAATCGTCTTCCGTCGATGTGGGGTGCAAATCAACACGACTGGCATCTGGATTAGCAAAGCGTAATTGATGCAAGGGGGCATACCGCACATACCACAAAGGACATGTACCCGAGACATTTAGTAGCCAAGGATCAATGCACTCCGGATGAAACTTATGCTTGCAGGGCAGCACTCTGATGTCTTGCCCTTTGACAAAATCATCCGTACACACAGAGCATGCCAGACCATCATCGATAGGATTGCTTGACATGCGAGCTACTCCATCCGGGGCTGCATTTGCGGATATTGTTCTCACCATATCCGGTCCTTCTCCTGTTGACTCTGACATAACGTGGTCTCCAGATTCTCGAGCTTGGTCCGAGGCATCCGGGGCGTTGTTTGGAGCATCCGAATTAGCGGCAGCAAGCTCAACGTCCCTGTTGGTCTCGGCGGGCTTATCATCTTTGTCGCCGAATTTGACGATTGGTATGGTGTCCAGCATTGCTCGCGCGATCCCACGCGCCCTGCTTTGCCTTGGTCGACCAACCGCACGTCGTGGCCCATATCTCTCGGGATGACGATGCGCACGAACAGCTCCAACTATGATGATTATCAAAAACAGCGCCGTGATGATACCGGTAATGCTGTAAAGAATGATCATGGCGACGGCGGTAGTTGGAGACTTCCCTAACACATTCCCGTTGTTTGAACTTGTTCCATTGACCGACGACTGATTGAGGTGGATGTTGGCCATTGCGTTCTGCGGGTTGTTGTTCAAAGCATTGAGAATGGCCTGCGAATCACTTGAAAGGAGCATAGTATACAGTGAACGGTACTGGTAGCCATTGCTCGCGTCAAAGGAGCAGGCATTGGACAAAGCACTGTACAGCACAATGGCTTTTGGCTTCTGGTCATCAATCAAACCGAGGATGCGTGAAGAATCGATGTTGCTGCCCGAGTAATCACTCGGCTCACAGCTGACGTAGCAAACGAAGGAAGGCTCGATGCTGTTGACAGTTTCCGGTGTGGTCAGGAACAGGGGGCCCGCCGGTTGTATTTGCTACCTCAATTTAGTCACCTGAGCGTAACTCGGATGAAAAGCCCATACCTGAAGCTTGTCGAGGTCCCCAGTGAGTCCAGCGTCATCTGTTAGTGGGCGGACCGCGGGATGCATGTTCATGGTGGTATCCATCGTAAATTGCACATTGTTCGTCGCGCCACTGGTGTCATTTAGAGGTTTTGTGTCCTGCCCACGGGCAATGGAGGGCAGTAACAAGATGGCAGCGAGATGGAACACGGCGCGGAGGCGTTCGGGAAGCATGGTGACAGGAGATGATGTCGCCGGTGGCGCACGTCAGGTAACGAGCAGGTAAGGAAGTAACAAGATTCGATGCATGGTAGAGAGAAAGAGAGGAGCAAGATAATAACGGTTAAAGATGAGGTCGCGACAGCCACGGACAATGCTGATGGTGAAATGCGAATGCGATGCTCAGCCGGTATGACGGCTCTATCTATTCGGAAGGGAAGCCCACCACCCGGGCAGGAAGGAAGCGTAATGATTACATGCGTCCCGTCCGATTAGCGCACCGACTTAGCCTAATAGGGCCCGTCACAGCCCCCAAAACGCCACAACCTACAAGCTCCAAGCTACAAGCAGTGGTGCCAGTGCCCGGAAGCTATCTCCTTTGACTTACCTTCCTTAGGATAGTCGTAGTGCTGCTGAACCGGAATGCACGGAAGGTGGTGTGCAATACGATGATGACGCTTTCGTACATAGTCCAACAGCAAGCACTCACCAAAGGCCCATGATGGGAAGCCAAGGCTCTCAATGCCACTGAAGGAGTATCCAAGCCTCCCGTCGGCGCTGCTTCGAAGACGTGGTGTTCGTCAAGTGGCCTTCAGCAGGCCGAGCAGAACCTGAAGTCTTCGTGGAAAAAGAGAGCGGCCCTCTGAACAAAACGGTGGATGGGGGCTTCACATCGCCTTCTACTTTCCCTAGGAGAATATGAGTGAACGGTGAACTTTTATCACACTGACCTAGCCTGAAACCCAGGAATAACAGCAGTGTAGTAGGAAAAGCTGGAACTATCTAGACAGATGCGTGTCCTAGCCAGCTGAAGCTGCTATAGATGTTTGTCTGGTAAACGTTGGTCACAAATGCTTTGCGATGCGCTTTTTTCTCCACTGAGACTTTATCACCTATTAACACCTTCATCAATAGGCGATGACGGCGAGTATACACCCCTCAAGTCTAGCGGCTCGACAAGCAAACATCTTGTTTCATCATTTCACATTCACTTCCCTTCTCAGTCTGTACTACCGTTGCTGCCTTCTTGGTTACTTTGTTCCCTATATCTTTCGTATCCATTGGTCTATCTCATACTATCACTTTTTCTCATCACGCAGTACTGCTCTTGCAAGCAGCTATGCAGTACCTGCCAACCCAGATTAAGATCAATCCTTTCATGGGCACGTGCATACTGCTGTCCTACGTTGGCATCATAGCAGCAATAAGTGGCCATGCCTCACACGCCAAAGCCCCTCGCTTTCCTACCGCCATCGCATCGAACCTCACAAGCCAGCAAGATTTCAAACCACCAACATATCGAAACGTGACTTACGGTGAGGCATGGCTGTATCCAGGCAAACGATTCGGCAAGAGGACCCAGATCGATGATACGAATTGCGAATGTTTCAGCCTTACCGGTAGGTACCTCAATCTAGTCTCTGCGACTACCCATGGCTCATTCAGTCTTCGATAGCAATTTGCTGTCTAGGCAGTCCTGGAAAGGGTGTCTTTTGTGCGCCAGAAGGCATGAACAATACCTGCTGCGGAACTACCTGGTGCCTCGACGGAGAAACATGCTGTGGCGAGTCGTGTTGCGACAAGGTACGCTCCTTTACCAGTTGCACCTTTAGAGTAACCTAATCATTTGGGAGAACTATGACTGTTTGCCATTACCGCAAGTCGGGTGCTGTCGACGAGATCCTCCAGGAGATTGCCCCACGCAACCTTCTTGTAACGATAATTTCTCTTGGGAATGCAATTCAACAAACAAGACAGATTATTATTGCTGTCCTAGCTATGCGCCGTATTGCCGAAACTTCCCACCACAAGGTCTAGGGTGTTATGCTTTCGCCAGCGATCCCGGAGCCTCCTCAGCACCTGCAACTAGCGAAGAGCAGCAGGCTTCAACCCAAAGCTCATCGCCTTCATCATCAGACACACAAGATAACGCGGTAGGGATCAACAGCATGACGGTCTATACTGGCACAACCGCTCTTGCAGACCTGACAGACACACAATGGCCCTTTGGTTTCATCATTCCCCCACCAACGACAACAATACAAGTGACAATAGCGCAAGTCTCCGAATCAGGTACAATTTCCGGCTATTGTCCACCCCTTACCTATTCCGGCGGCTTCGACGTCCATTGGTCCTACATCTGCGAGACACTCACAACGCAGCCACCATCCTCGACCGTGTACTCAGTCGATCCAACCACGATCCCACAGCCATCTTCGAGCAGTAGCACAGCCTCTTCAAGCTCCTCTTCAGAAGAAGTTACATCGACTGGCAAACCAACGCTCTGCTTCAACACCCAAGTCGGCTCTGCCATTCCTTGTTCCACCACCGTATCCGCCACCGATACGACTTTTGACAACTCGCCACCTGGCACCTCCGTCGTAAAATCCACTGCCAGCAGGACTGACAACGGTTCTAACAGCACCACCCGCTGCTTAGCTTTCTTCACGTCTGTCTGCGCCGTCCTCGTGATTTTCCGCCGTCCCACCCGCCAAGAACAGTCAAGATTCCCCGCGACTTCCAAAACAGCTCGTGACGCTCCCGTCAACATGCCGAACGAGGAAAACAAATTTACTGCAGATGGGAAAACAAAGCACGATGACATCACAATAGTTCCGGGCATGGGACGACGGCTATCAGAAGCATCACCTTTGGGACGGGAGATTGTGCCATTCTTGGAAACGGGAAGAGAATTTAAGGAGCATAAGGGTGTTCGGAAAGAGGAAATAAAGGTTGTTCAGGGGAGTGGGAGGAAGCTGGATGGGGTCGAGGAGGAGGCTGGCGAACTGGTGATGCTGGAGAAGGACGCAGTGGTAGAGAAGGCTCGATGAAAAAATTAATAACTAAGAGCAAGATTTTAATCTGCGAGGTGTGCCTGAGTCGTCAATGGTTTGTGATATAGGTGCTCGGATGATAATAACGGCAGCCTTCATTTCTTGTAATCCGCTGGTCAGCACAATTCTTGACTCCTTGTTGGTAGTTTGGAGAGGCGATATTTTAGATAGTTGGTACTTACATGCAAAGCGAGAGCAAGGAAGCAGTCAATTATCAAGGCTGACTTGTACGCAATAATGTTCTGATATTTGTCATGTGCCCTACATCATCTATGTTCTATTTGTTCCCTCGTCATGACGCTCATTTCCTGCATGAGCTAAATTTGATCACCTCTAGGGGCAAAACATCATATCTACAAACTTGAACACAAATGCATTGGCCGCGTCCACGAACCCTCAAAAGTTCGTCGAATATATGGTTAAGGCTCCGGCCTCTTTGTCCCTAGACTATCGCTTCGAGCAGGCCTAATCATTACCCCTGGGGGGAACGTTCCTGTGATTGAGCTCTAGGAGCGAAGGCATTCCCACCGCCGGGTACAGGCCGCCGAGCTTGTGATGGGGTTGCTGCCCCGTTACTTGGAGTTGAGACTTGGCTCTCGGGTCGGCTGTTACTTCTCACCGCCCTGGGTACACCTACCCCTTGGGCCTGTGCCCTCAGCGCATGTAATTGAAAGGGATTCCGAATAGGAGAAGGTGCCCGGATCTGAGCCGGATCGTTAGTGAATGTACGAGGGCCTGCCATTTGTTGACTAGAAGGACCAAAAGATTTTTCGCTATCTTTGGGTGGAGGAGTAGGATTCTTTATTTGAGGTGGAGGGGCAATTGGAGGGGCCTGTCGTACTTGTGAAGACGGAGGCGGGCGTTGCTGATCAGTCAAAGGTCTGGGGTTATGAGTAGTAGTTGGCGGCTGAGGCCATGCTGTTTGCATTTCTTGATCGTGAGGTTGTCTGTTCTTTGAATCGGTGGCAGGCTCTTTGTATTTGGGCGGAGCTCCCTCCTGCGTGTAGGAGGTATAAGCGTATGGATCATACTCTAGACCAGGTCCATTGTAAGGCCGTGGAAGTCTATCAGGCTGCTCAGCTATAGGCCTAATCTTCTTGGGCGCCGATCCCCCAGATTGCCTCCGTTTCCCTTTCGTCGATTCTCGACGCAAAATTCCGCGTACTTCCTCGATCGAAGCGGTACGGTCTAAGTCAGTCGTCTCTGTCGCCCCCGAGATCGACCGCGCCAACGACTTTGGCGTTGTTGGCTCAACATAATCTCTGGGATGATCAGCAGTATCTGCTGCAGGGTGTCTTGAATTGAGGGTATTCAGAGCGTTGCTTTCAGACGCAGGAGGCTGGCGAAATCGAAGAGGGGGAGGGGTAGCCGAATCCCGAGGGTCCGTTGAATCCGCTCCTGTTGAGAAACCTCTGTCTGCGCTCCTGTCCGGGACGTCGGGCTTGTTGTTTGGGTAGAGCCTCTTTTTGTCCTTTGTATCATCATAGTTTTTACGGTTGACGGCAGCCTGGTCATTTGATACTGCAACCGTATAAGTAGGTTGATCAACGCTACCAAGGGCGGCACCTCCTCCTCCAGGTGCATAGATAGGGATCTTTCGAAGTGCTAAGACCAAGGCGCACATGAATTTCGATCGTCGAGCTGCCCGAACTGTCTCATTTGCCCAATTTGATTTGTGGCGAATCTCAACTGTGAGCTCCATCTTATCCATAGCGGCAATGCCAGTGATCTCAACATTGACGTCCGGTTGAAAATCTCGTGAATTGTCCTTCTCCATCACGAAGGTATGGAGCTCGTTTCTCAACAATTGAAGATCCTCAAGTGTGGTGTCGAAACCAATGAAGATTTGAAGTTGCTCGCGCATGGCCTCAGATCTGGATATGTTTTGTATCCAAAGCCCATTGAGAACGACGTTAGGAACCTGGGTTCTCTTGTGCGAGCTGACGTGCTGAAACACTGTGAACAATAACGAGATGTGCTTGACGACCAACTGATCAGTCCCGACATCGACGCGATCTAAAACATCGAATGGATGCTTGACAAAGAGGAATATGCAAGATCCAAGGACTTCTTGAGCCGTTGCAGCAAATACAAAAGACAAAGATAGAATGGCCGTGCCAGCCGTCGCCAACGTGGTAGTGAATGAGGAGTTCAAAAACGCCACGAAAACGAAGATGCACATGATTAAAACCACCGTGCAGAGAAGGTTGTCCAATACATGGATGGCTTGATCAACATCGTGCAGGCTGTTTGAGATCGAATGCCGTTCTTTCCCAAATTCGCAGACAGTCAAAATCATCTCGTCAAGACTAATGTCACCATTTCCGTCTCGATCGAGGACTGAAAATGCTTCTTCGGCTTCTTCGTTAAGGTCAGGCCCGAGAACTTCGACGATGTCCTCCCGATAGAGCGCTTCTTTACCTTCCACCACAAAGCTCATCCACAACCGCTTCGCCAGCGCCTCCGCCGATCTATTCTTCTCCAGAGCCTCCACGACAATTGAATGCGGTGAATTGGGGTTAAACACCTCTTTCCCTGTAACCTCTTGAGCAAGGTTACCAAAGACAGACGTGACCTTGTCCCCAAATCGGCCAACATTCTGCAAAAGTCTCATTGGCGTTGCCGAACCGGATTGCCTCTGACCCGCATGACCGTCCCCGAGTTCTATGGAATCATTTATGACATAATCCTCCTGAGCAAACTCGGGGCAATATGCTGGAAAAAGATTCCGCGATGCTTGATAAAGGAGGCTGAGTAAGTGTATCCTGTGTTTGGAGCCTTGTATCTTGGCGTTGAATTGTGTTCGATGATATCCGATAGAAATGAGCTGGATCAGAAGTTTCTCAGCTAACAAGATCAAAGTCGCTACGAGGAACGCAGCTAGAGTCTTCTGTACGACGGACTCCCAAGGCTTAATCGCGGCCGCGTTTTTATACAACAGGGCGTTGTCGTGTTTTGCACGGTCTGGCGAGTTAATATCTTTTGCATAGGTTTTTGCTTGAGCAGATTGCGTCGGATTGTGCGTCATCACCTATAAGCTATCAATTGAACATTCTGGGGCTAAAGCATCGAAAAGGGAACCCACGGGGATGAAGGTCGCCAGCGACGTTAGAGCCCATCCACACAAGGACAGATAGATCTCGAGAGCTCTGATTACTAGCGAGTATTTTCTCGTGCCTGAGCTGACAATGCCGCACAGGAATTGGAAAATCGCGGGTAAGAACTTGGCCACAAGCTTCGAGACCCACAAACTTAACCATACGATGAGTAACCAAGAGAATATCCAAACAATCCGGACTCCTCCCATGGTAGCATCCTGTTTGGCTGTAGCTCCGATGATGATCGGTATTGAAATCAGAAAGGCCACTGGGAGGACATAGAGAAAATAGCGAGTAACGATGGAGAAATTCAAAATCTTGTTGTAGATATGTCCCATCTGAGTGATCGTATCATTTTCTCCGTCATCTCCACGACCTGTTTTCTTAGCTGTTTTTCGTCGACCGGCGACGTGGCGCTGATAGAATCCAGTTTTTTCGTTCATCTCATGGCCATTGGCCCCTGCCTGATGCTTTTCCCACGATGGTCGACGAGCACCCGTCTTCGTCTCGACCTTGCTGAGAGGTATGTCGATCGTTGCATCATTGGGGTTATTCATTTTTGCTTCCGATATTTGGACGAAGCCTTTCGAGGAACGTTTCGAGTCAGGCATCGACCTGCACCTGGCGAATGAAGTCCTGACGATGGCGCAGTGAGAGAGATCCGCATCGACAGAAAATCGGGAACGGATTGAGGCACGGTTCGGAGCGTTGAAGGGGAGCTCGTGTCTGAAACCTCTTCAATCAAATGACGGCTCTACCTCGTGCGGTTTGCTTGCGAAACAAGGTAAAAAGAATGTGAGCACTGCTAGCAATGCGAAATACAAGACAAATGAGTGAAAAGAAGAACGATGAAAGCGCAAGAGCGGAAAGAAAGTGTGTTTCCGTGGCTGGAATTGTGAATGAGGAGCGGAGGTCAGGCATGGAATGTTTGGATATATGCCAAGACTTCCCCTGAAGATTTAAGGTAAGGTACACACTATCAGCCCTACATATTCTTCCCTTTCCATTCCACTGCCCCCTCAACTCTTTCTCGGATCTTATGGCAGCTCTCAAATTCGTCCGCTCTGTGTGGGAATCTTTTCGCTGCAACTCTGGCCTTGAGCCCTTGTTGCTTGATAATTTGAGGATAAGTGCAGCTCAACCCGGTAAAGTCAAGTTCGAACTTGAGATCCAGAAACAGCATTCCAACCGGCTTGGTACACTTCATGGTGGTACGATAGCAAGCCTAGTGGACTTGGGCGGCTCTCTTGCGCTTGCTTCAAACGGTCTTTATGCTACAGGTGTCTCTACGGATTTAAATGTAACATACCTAAAAGCAGGTAAAATTGGGGACTTGCTTCGAGCAGAGGTCATTTGTGATAAGCTTGGGAAGAATCTGGCATTTACGACCTCTAGCTTCTTTTCGAGCAAGGGTGAGCTTATTGCACGAGGTAGTCATACCAAATATGTGGCTCTTGCTTGGAAAGACCCAAATAACCAGATCGAGCAAATGGAGCCAGAAGGCAAGGCCAAGAGTGAATGATGGATATATCTCACAGCTAGCGGTCAGATCTCACATGAATCGGCGCCGAGTACCTATCTTTTGCAATACTGATCGCACTGGTGTAAAGCCAACAATTTCCATCCTAGGCGGTCCAAATGTCAGATCCACTTCCTTCACCATCGGTGAGCATCGACCAGCTGATATGACCGACTTCGGTCTGGTCTACCCGCCCTTCGACTTCCCGTTCGTGGATTAGGGTAATGGTACTCTCCCTATATCCTACCTGGTGTATCTGGTTTTTCGTTGCCTGTAACACGTCGAGTACCATTGACCAGAGGAATGGGTCCGGAGGGTAGGGTTCATATGCCTCAGCTTCGATTTCAACCCCTTGCAATCTAGTTGCCCAACCTTGATTGATTGCGGAATCTGGATCCTCGTAGAAGTGTGTCCAAGCTTTGGTTATGGCTGCATCTGTGAGTTCGATGAATATGGACGGAGGGATTCGCTTCGCCCGCGGGCCTGAAATTTCGATATCTTAGCATTACTACAATGATGAAAGGAAAGATTTCAGCAACTTGCCTTCAATGCGGCCCTCAATCGTCAGGCTGGTATCTGGAATGGTATACCTGAAATAGTCGGCATTGCTTGGATCCGATTGGATTAGGTTTGCTTGACCTCCATTGCCAATGGTACTATTGACTACCACTGGACTCGTATTCAACAGAGGCAGCGCCTGCATCGAAGAGACAAGGAAGCAAAATGAATCTAGTCCTTTCATCCTGTAGCCTATCAACTCTAAAGGCAGCGTACTTGCGAAGACAGGCTGCACTGATGACCCTGGGAGCGTAGATGAGGAGGCTTCACCATTAATAAAGCTTCAGGGTCAAGTTCAATTGCCCATTAAGCGCAGTGGGGAACTACTGGCTTACCAGGCTTCATGGATGAGCATCTGAGCGAAGAGGTCTGACAGCAGCAACTTGTCCAGCTTGTGGCAAATCAGATGTAGGGTTATTCTTTGACCTGCTTTATCTACCTAGATGGATGGAAGAGGTCATCCTTCTGTCTCTCGAGGTGCAAATCGGTAGCTCAAAGGTGCAGAAATAGCCAAGTCCTTTACAGCGGCTCTTCAATTGCTCCACTCCCTTTTCTTCGCATATGCTCTGACTGGATTCCCAAGACATACCTTGTTCGAAAGATAAAAGTAAGATCCATCATGCGAGCAAAGTAAATCACATGTCCTTTCATTATTGTGAGTCATAGCTTAGCTTTCACAAATCTTTTCTTGCCATTCGCCATTCAAACGCACCTCATCAAAACAGAAACACAAGCAGCGATAAGATACTCAATGCAAATAAGATTCAACATCACCGGACTGACGGACTAGAGCTGACAGCTGTTGAACCCGCTGATTTGACTTGTCATAGACAGCATGACCTATTTCGTCCAACCCCGGGTGCTTTCCTTCCCTTCCATACCTTCACTTGCTTCTGAGAGCCAAGGTATCTTCCGCGCTGTTATTCACGGCCGGTAACAATTCGGTCAAGGTTCTGTCCTTGTCGTTCGACCATTCCGCCTAAATAAAGCTTGATTCTGCCCTTGAGAACGCATATCAGACTTATTCAGAGCGCCTCATCAAAGACCTCAAAGCAGATATCTCCCGCCTATCTTTTGGCCACCATAGTTCTCATGCTACATTAAGGGGCCTTTGCAGCCTGCAGGAAAGCATTTGTACGCCATTGGAGACCACGTTGAATATTGACTCCTTTATGACTTTCCCTCCTCGTTGTTCTCCTTTATTTTTGCTTCCGCCTTATTGGGCCTCTCTCCAAAGATTGTGCTCCCCACGCGGACTTCATTGCTCCCACACTGGATCGCACTCTCAAAATCCTCGCTCATACCCATGCTTAATTCTAACTGCTCTTGCCCCAATCCTAAGTCTTTTGCAACTTGATCCCTCACGTTCCTCAGAGTGACGAAATCCTCATTCTCTTTGCCTTCACTGACTCCCTTGCTTCTAGCGATCGCGCCGATTGTCATGATGCCTTGCAGCTTCAGATTTGGACACTGGTCTCTGACGTGCTGGCAAAGAGCTATGGCGTCTTTTGGTTCAACACCAGACTTCTCTTCCTCGCCAGACGTATTGACCTGCACAAAAATTCTCAATGGCTCCGCCTCATATTGCTTGTCCTTTTCGCAGAGCGCATGCCTTCCTTTCTCCAACTGATCCGCCTTCTTCACCGTATCCACGCTCTCTACACACCATAGATTTGGGATCTGCTCTGCCAATGGCTTGCACTTATTCGTCTGCAAAGCGCCAATGAAGTGCCATCGTATCTCTCGAGGCAGAAGCTGGGATTTCTGGAGAAGCTCTTGCTGATAGTTCTCTCCGAAATGTAATTGATGGTGCGGTTCCCGGTGTAGAGCAAGGACGTCGTTGGCTGGCTTAAGCTTAGAAACAGCAACTAAACGAATAGGTGCTTGAGAAGTCGATGACGCAGACTTGACACGAGAAAGCACCGCAGAGAAGTTGTTACACAGCTGCTGCGCACGAGCTGGATCAATGTGCATTTCAATATTGCCGTCTGTCATGATGGGACGATTCAGCTGACCATGCTAAACCTGTAGAGATAACTACACAGTATGTCATGACTGAAATGAACGTAAATATTGGTACCCTAGACCTCGCTCTAGCTTCCCGAAGAGCCGCCGGCACTCCTCCTTAGGGCCTCGTTCTAGGTCCCTCTAGAGTTATGAAAGAAGAGATCCTGACTCCCCAAGTTGAATTATACATCTCCATCTCCCTATACATAATGCCCCATGTGACTCGGAAGAACTTTCGCCTGAGAGATGACCATGGGCTGACTTAGGCGCGGTTCCATTTCTCGCTCATCGGATGGTTCTCCCGAAAATGCCTCTCGAAAGAGGGAATTACATTGAACCAGCCGAGTCTTTCTGCCCGTCGATGCACACAATGTAGGACAAGTCGAAAGTACTTCTGATTCCAAGTGATGAATTAGTCCTCCAATGCTGTTTGCGTGCTCTTCAAGGAATGGGGGCCCTACCCCATGATCTTCACCCTCAAACTCACCACTGTCAATATTCCAGCGGTCGCTCACCACGTTGAAATATGCGTGCTAGGATCCCAACTTAAAGGAGTCCTTCCCAGAATGAGGATCCACTTACCACCATCTCATGTAGAAGTGTCTGAAACATCTTCAATCCTGGATTACCGTTACTGTCATCCAACACAGTGCTCGTCATCAGTCTGATATCGCATGGATCATGGACATTGTATCTAGTGTAACCCAATATTGTTGGTCGGGACGCATGCCTCTCTACCCACTGCACTGACACTTTACCGAAGAGTTTTCCGCGGAAAAATGTTGCATCAAAATCTCGGAATGTCTTGATTGCTAGGTCTGGGGTCAGTGATATTTCACTTCTGGAATGGAAAAGTCCATGAAGGCGAGTGATGGCCCGAGATTCTAGTCCTGGCTCTGGATGACGCTTTTCACTGTTATGACGAACAGCTTTTCTTGCTGCGTCGGGCATTGAATCCACGCTGCCCCGGTCCCTTCCTGCATAAGAGGAAGGTGACCAGGTATCATCGATCTTGTGCTGTGATATATCGTAGTCGGCTCCCCGGTCTTGAAGCGGAACTCGAAGAGCCTCTCGAGCTAGAGATCTTCGCCCTGATGGATCCATGGAGCTCAACGCGGATTGCTAAATGTCACCGTATGTTCTAGCTTCTGTGTTGAATTTATCTCAGTCTCACGAGATGACGATGAGGTACAGCACAAGAAAGTTTTAGAGCATAGAAACAGATTTTCAGTCATACTAGGTACAGATTCTAGAGTTGTACAGTCGAAGATGCCAATCATGGCGATTGGAGATCTCTCTTTAGATCTCTGCCAAGTGCACACGCAGGCCATACAAGGCGAGGTTGTACGAAACGCCATCCCCCGTGAGTCAAATCGATGGGACGTATAGTCGCCGCTCACCATCTGAAGGCGTCTCGACCCAAGACTTGATGGATTTAAGAATTTAATCTGCGACTTGAGCACTCGGAGTTGGAATTGTCAAGGGTTCCATTAGTAGTACTTAGATTTTAATAGAATGCTCAATTCAACTAGCGAATAACAGTCCTTTGCTTTACCAGAAAGTGAGATAATACTATCAAGAAGAAAGAAAAGCATGAGGTCTTGCTCTTGGGCAATGTCCTGTGAAATAAATTGAAGCATTGATGTAGAGTGGTAATGTCCGACATCACACCATCTTAGCTGCTCATCCTTTATACTACTCTGTGGACAATACATTACTAAATCAGCATCCAATGACCGAAAAATTTGCTTCTAGATCGGACCCAAAGGACTTTCGGCTTCTTGGCTTTGGCCTTCCTAGATTTCCTCGCGACGCTGAATTACTTTGGACTCGGCTTTGCTGACTTCGACCTGAGCTAGATCTTCATTCTCAATCAATCGTACCTCGTAGCTCTCCAACGGTCCGCTATTCTTTGCGTCCGTCACCATTTTTCCACTTCCAAGGAAACAACTGCTCAGGTTACGCTCAATCATTCGTTGGACGGCCATCTGCAGCGAGCGCGCACCAAGTTGGGGGACGTAGCTTTGTTTAGCTATCGAAGATGCAATTTTCCCATCATCAACATAGGAGACGACGAGGTGTCGAAAAACCTGGTGCTTTTCCACGTCAATGTCTTTCCTTGCATCGATTTTGGCTTGTTTCATGAATTTATAAGCTACAGCAGCCATTTCCAGATCGTCAAAAGGTACATATGGAATGATTCGCGAGAGTCTGCCTGCTAAAGGGCCCCCAATATTTTCCACCACCTCTAATTGTAACCGCTCTTGAAGTTGATGAAAAGGGGCTTTAGCTTTTCGCTGCTCGGTAGTATTTCTCATATGGCTGTCCCAGAAGTCAGAGATGGTTTGTGTTCCAATGTTTCCTGCGAGAATCCATATCGTTTTCGAGCAATCAATTTTTCTTTTGTCACGACGGTCTTCATAGAAGCCTGATTCGAAAGGCAAGAGAAAAGCGTTCCGTACGTCTTCCGTTGTTTTGTCAAATTCGTCAAGAAAAACGACGATTGGCTTGTTACTATGAGAAGCTAGATAATTGTTCAGCGGAGATCCCTCTTCATAGCCTTGGTAAGGGGCACTCGGGCCGAACATATCGGTTGTCCTGCGCATAGTGGTGCAATCAACGATCTGAATTGGCAGCGAGAGCAGGCATCCCATCTGTTTTGCCAGCTCAGTCTTGCCGTGACCACTCAATCCTGTAAAGAACATGGTCAGAGGTGTTTGTCGTTTGAAGAGATAATGGTCAAGGATCGAATCTAGAACTTCCTTTATCGCTCCTTGTTGTCCAATGATATGAAACAGAACCTCGAAAAGGGACGTGATATTACCGCTCTTGGCGACTTGCAACATTCTTTCGGTAGGCTGCGCCATATTTGCAGCTTTGTACAGACCATATCGTTGACTGAAAATGAGACTCCTTGCCAGAGCCTTTCGGATCTCCGGGACGCACCATCCGTCCGAAGGAATAAGCGTCATGGGCATCGGTTCAGCATCTTTCCGGGGCGCTTTTACGGGTTCTTCCCACATGTCAGAAGGAATATTCTTTGGATCGGCACCCATGGCTAGCAAGGCCATCACAGCGTTCGTTGTGTCGCTAAATTCGTACTCTGAGATGAGCACCGCGTAGGCGATGAGTGGTACACTGTGGGGCTGCATCCTACCGTTCGGTGAAGCTCCTGCTGCGCACAGGGCTCTGATAATTCTCGGGCAATTGCGTTCTACTGCAAACGCTAGAAGTGGTAACACGACTGTCTTAGCCCCAGTCTGATATTTCAGGGATCTGTTAAGCTCTGGGACCCTGTGTCTTGCGTTGATTTTCTGCAGATATCGCTCTATTGAATCAGGTTCCAGTCCGCTCTGTATAGCCCAGGCAAGGTCCTCCGCATGAAAGTCATGATAGTCAACGAAGTGATCTATCCGAGCGGTATTTGGTATTGGCGTACAACAAGCATGCTAGACAACTTAAGCATCAGCGTCATCGACTTGTGCCTCATGTGTTGAATTTGTGCTTACTTGACATTTTGGCCCAGCTTGAGGCAGCAGGATGGGCAGAATACTCCTACTCATCATTCATTAGCTGTATGAGAGAATGCTGAGATTCAACTGACTTTGGAGCCATGAAGTTGATTGTTGCTTCTGGCTTCAAGTCGAGAAAGCGTCCCTCGGCTTCTACTTCTTGCTTCGAGCACTCTGAAGGTGGTTGTGAACTTGTGATCGACGCTGTTTGATGCGGCTCCAAGCTCTTTATCTTATGCTTTTTCGATCGTGCCATGTTAGCAATCCTAATTTGCAAGGGTTCTTTTGACCCTAAATGATGAAGCAAACAAACGGTTAGATGCAGCTGCCTTATCCGTACTCTCACGTCTCAAATCCAGGATCTCAAAAATTTACAGAGCTTTATTAGTCGGCAATATTTGTCTGCAGTCAATGAGACGCCTCAGATTAGCATACTCGTAATCAAGGGGCCTCATATACTTTTAGATGTGAATAAAGCTTGAATCTCTTGTTCGCTCGCATGAGTATTAGGACCAAGCAATCATTCACTGTGATAGCTACAGAGCTCTTTAAACTCGTCGTCGAATATACTATAGATGGTGAACGAGATGCATCGCCAAATCATGAACCCTAATACCATAGAAATTACTGCATAGAACAGCCAAGAATAACATTTCATCGTGTGTGACCTTGAAATAGTTTTGAAGGAAACAATGTTAGCTTGATTAAGCCCCTCTTCCAAAGCAAAGAGGATTTGGGAGGAAAATTGGGGTTTCGATTCTGTTGTTGCCGACGTTTGTGTGTCGTGTTAGGATGGCAAAAACGACCGCTATTGCTGGCGTGTCTGCTAGGAGACTTCGTTTCGAGAATCATTTGTAGAAGGTTTCCAGCAGGAGACGGTACATACCCGTCGCCTATGAATAGGGTCATGATTGCTCTGAGATGGTAGGAAGCGCTTACGTCCCCCTGAAGCTTCCTCGATTGTAAGACAGACTGTATATTCATGCATAAGTCGAAGTCAGCAACAACATAAATGGATTGTGCGGTCAAATCTCAATGACGAGAGCTAAGATAGTAAAGTCTGATCCAGACTTTTAACAAGACTTTTGTTGGCTTTGGTAGTGCAGCAGGACCGATCTCATCACTTGACGCCCCAATGCCTATACAGCGCCATGCTTGAAAGTTTGACTTTTGGTAAGTTGATCGTGCCATCATTATACAAAGAATGGGAATGAATAAAACAAATCAATGAACTTGGCCTCCTCCACAAGAATCAGAGACCATTTGCTCCGTTTGTATGATTATTTGATTCTTTTCGTCGACTTCGGACTGCATCCGCAAGTTGTTCAAGTACTTCTACCGTTGTATCCCAGTCAATACAGGCGTCTGTGATGCTCACGCCTTTCTTGAGTGCGGCTGGTCCTTCTGGAGGAACCTTCTGACTGCCTTCATCAATGTTAGATTCGATCATCACACCAATAATGGCGGTCTCTCCTTGTCGAAGTTGATCCCCAATGACTTTCGCGACCTTTGGTTGATTACGATGGTCTTTGTTTGAATTACCTGATGGCTTTTAGTATGGATCCTTTTCTTGAAAGAAGGAGGAACAGTTCATACCATGAGAGCAGTCGATCATCATGATCTCCTTCTGGTTCTTCTTTTTCAGCGCTTCCCGAGCCGCCTTCACACTGTCAGGATCGAAATTGGTGCCTTTTGTTCCGCCCCTCAGGATCACAAAGCCATGCTCATTGCCACTGGTTCTTGTAATGGCGGCTAGACCTTGTTTAGTCACACCCATGAAATGGTGTGGCGATGAAGCTGAGCCGACAGCATCGATAGCAACTGTCAAAGAGCCATCTGTTCCATTTTTAAAGCCTATTGGGAAGGATAATCCGCTAGCCAACTCTCGATGAAGCTGACTTTCAGTCGTCCTCGCGCCGATAGCTCCCATAGAGATTAGATCTGCCAGGAATTGGGGAGATATTGTATCTAGCATCTCACTCGCGATCGGCAGACCCATCCTTGTTAGGTCACAGTACAATTGGCGTGATACGCGCAATCCCTGATTAATCTGGAATGTTTCATTGATAAGCGGATCGTTGATCAAGCCTTTCCACCCTACTGTCGTCCGGGGCTTCTCTAGGTATGCTCTCATAATAATGCAAAGATCATTTTCGAGTTTGCGCGAAAGCTCAAGAAGACGTTGGGCGTATTCTAATGCAGCTGCAGGATCATGAATTGAGCAAGGGCCAACGACGACCAAGAGGCGATCATCTTTCTGCGTTATTATTTCAATCGCTTCCTGTCGACCACGTGCAACGGCTTTGAACGTCTCCTGGGAGGGTGGTATTTCTGCTTGGAGCAGCTGTGGTGGAATGAGGGGATCCTGACCGAGCACTAACATACTATCAGCCTACGCACAGGGGGCTCAGTCGATGTGAATATACCCCTTGTGTCCTGTATGAGCGCCATGTCAATCTGGCTCTCCGCTATCGGCATGTTGAAAAAAGGATTGTAAGTTGGGGGGAAAGTAGCAATCTCTTATGGCGTAAAGCGAAGAACGAGCAAGACAGATCAGGTCGATGATTGGATGTTTCCAATTATGCGCACTGGCTTTGCGTTCACATCTATTCGTAAAAGCAGGTTCTATACGCTCAGGCGGTGGCTTTTTGTGTCACAGCCAAAGGGCGCACCTCAGAACGGGAGTCATGCATAAGTCTTGGCATGCTCTAAGTCCGAGTGGCTCCGACTTTCAATACAACCATTTAAATTACCACATAAAATACAGGACCGGTGTCAGCCGTTGGATGTTCTCTTGGTAAACACGGTAGCCCAAAAGGATTAGCGCCATCGAGAGCAATCGGAAGGTAATGAGACCCCCATCTCGCTTTCCGTGTGCCTGCCTACACTCCTCATCCAAGCCATGAAAAGTAGTGACTATACTAGCGCATTGCAGCTACCTGTGTAATATGTGGACCCACCATTTCTACTAAAACTTCCGCTCATATCAACTTCCTCTCTCCCCATCCTTTCCTATCCCGCAGTGTTTCTCGACCACGGCAAAATCGCCATCTCTCCCGAAACGCAACACGGATCATAATGTTCAACTTGAATGGCAAACGTACACGCGACGAGCAAGACGATGAGACAGCATCTGCTCATGAGCAAAAGGTTGGTTGACGGTCTTAAGCCGTTAGACCTTACGTTAATTTTGCCTCACATATAGAGGATACATACTCTCCCTCTACCATTTCGGACCTCTCCAACCATAAAACACTGTCGCCCATTCTCCCAATTGAAACGCAATGCTCCAAACCCATTATTTACACAAACCATCACACCTACCGACTCAGAGGATGAGATATCGCCTCAAGCCGCCCCCGTTCCTTGCCTCGAACCAATGCGACCTCAGCAGTCGAGTATCAAGATTGAACACCATGCAACCTATATGATAGATGAAGAAATGGATCTAGGTAGCCCGAAACACAAACAAAGCTATCAACAGCTGGACATGGACACAATGATGCTCTCACCAAATCCATCTCCATGTTCGATGTTACCTTCACAGATTTCGAGATTAGGCACTTCAGAATCAGGCAGTGGAGGGAGATTACCCACCCCCATTTATGGCCATTTTCGCCAAAGCACAGATGCCAGAGTGAATGACAGTCCTCAACAAGCACCATCTCAATCATCGCCGGATGAAGAGTATGAAAAGCATATGCGCAACCGCAGGCTTCCAACTCCGATTAGCGAAGATGAGGCAATGGACACATTCGACGACTCTAGCGATATGACGATTGCACCTTCAACCGAGGAAGGCCAAACGTCACTCCGAAATGAACAACGGCCAACCTGGGCGCCCGCGAAGAAAGGCAAGCCGATGTTTTCCATGGGCTTTCGAGCAGGCTGCGAAATGTGTAAAAATCGAGTACCTGGGCATTACAACCACATCTTTCGATGACGATGAATTACGACTGGTAGAACACATTATACCCACCAAGCATCTACATTACGTCTGCATACGTGCATAGCGGAAACCAGCATCAATTGTCTTGCTAGCGTCTATGGCATTGTATATACTATTCTATCGTAATATACTTCTACTCTCATACTGAATGTTCAACAAATAGCCCCTCCAGTCTCGCTCTTCATGAGTCTGCATATTGGTCAATGAGCTACCGATACCTCCTAGAGCTGCCAAAGCTATATTACCGCACATTGAGGGCCAAAATCGCTCATTGCGCTCTGTGCATTTTGCACCCGAGAGATTTGACTTGAGGATTCCATCAACCTCTCAGCCATCATGTTTCATGATGCCCAAGATCAAAGATCATCCCCCAAGACTTCTAAAATTACTTCCATTCGACACCGTTCTGAGACATCTTCCACACCATTCCGTCCCACTGCCGGAGCTACCGGACCACCACAAACAACAAGCTCAGTGCCAGGTTGGACCAACCAGAGGCCATGAATGCAGCATCCGAAGGCGGACCCTAGTAGGTGATCGGACATATCCCAAGACAGCCCAAACTCAAGACTTATGCAGCCATGTTGATCACACAAGGAGATGGCGGTTTCAAGTGAGCCACAAGCAAGCCTCTACAGGCGCGCTTATACGCGCGCACTTGAATCACTCTGATATGCGACCCCACAATTTGATCGATCACGCAGGTTTTGCCCCTTCCAAGCTTCCAAGAGGCCTTCTAGAACGCCTCAACCTTCCCTTCCCCTTCCCATCCCCGATCCCCAGGCTGCAATTGCCACTTCGCCACTGGAGGGATACACCTATGGTACTGGATCCGGCATGGAAATGATGCCACGGTTCGTTTTGGATTTGTAGGCTATGAGGTATAAGGTGCACATGTTTCACCTTTAACTTTCTCGCTATTTTCGTCCCATGGTGATGTCGCACTGGGCTATTTCCCATCAACAGCTCCCGGTGACAAGGCCTTCAGCCTGATCTGGATGCCTGGCGGTCTGAAGCAACTAGTGTGTGAAGCACGGTGGCTTTGCTTATAGTTCCGACCTACGGAATCCTCAGGTCGATTCTTATGAGGTCAACTCATTTGAGGGATCAAAGAAGTGCTAGCGACGCAGGCTGCAGTGGGTCTTCAGTAAGGATTAGGATTGGGCCAACAGCGGTCTGGTGACCTTTGGTCAGCCTGCAGCTTACTACGGCCTTTATGGTTCATCGTGCGGGAGAGAGTGGGAGCTAGAAGATACGAAGAAAGATGATTTACGGTTCCGCAATCACCGCTAATCAATGTTCAGGATTCCTAGCGTTTGAATATTTTACAGCGTCTTGTATGGAAACCAGCAAGCACAAAGTTGCATAAAAAAGATTCTAGGCAATTCTGCGGTTCCGAGTTCGGAGACTAGGTAGCCTAATTGATTGACCGGGAAGTATAGTAGTATCTCTTTTCTCCACTTTCAACCTTGAAGAAGCTTTGATAGAAGACATTTGCTCTATGGTCAAGCCAGGTGTGTGGTATGAAAGATGAAGCCGCAATGAAGCAATCAGTGTTCTAGCTGGAGATAGTCAATTGGGTACGTCCTGACCATGGGATCATTGTCTCTGTACTTCGACTTGCTGGTGTGCTAAATGGAATGCCTTATGAGTATATTGTGAAATTATCATCAAAATATTCAATTATACGTATCTCACAAGTCGCACCCCAAATTGAGGTCGTGGCATAAGCCGAAGCGTTGCAACTGCCGTTTCTCATGACTGTTGTGATCAGAATGTCCACCATCATGATTCCTCAAGGATTCATTATTTTCGGCGTCCGATGTGTTCTTGTGTTTTTCTTCATGAAGTAAAAAGACTAGTTCTAGATCTGAACGTGTGAAACCTTTTTGTATTTATTGATGCTCTCTTCCCCCTGTTTGACGACGGGAACTACGTCCCGGGTCTGATGTGGTTCTTTAATTTACTCAGCGATCAAGTACGCCAAAATATTTGGATCGAATCATCAATCTGAATGCAAATGCGACTGTGAATTGAACCTTGACCTCCCCAATTTGCAGCACTGAAGTCAATTCTTGCAGTTGCTTGCACACATACCTGCATTTGGGTTACTATTTTGAGGCGCGTGAAAGATTGATTGATTGACTACATCCTTCATGAGTGTTTATTGCACTGGCGTAGCATTATGCGGCTCTATTCCAACAAGACGCCAGCCCAGCGGTAGCTTGATGTTCTCTATCAGCCTTTCAGGGTCGAGGCGTGAGCGGCACGAAGGGTTGCTGGGATATTTCATAGAGCCATAGAAATGAAGGCCTCTTGTTGCCGAGAGCACAACACGTCCGTGCATCCAAAAAAAGTCGTGACGGACCCCTTGGCGAATGCATTGTTCCAATTCGAAGACAAACAAAGATCGCATTACGGCAGCGTCTTAGGCATGAAAAGATTCAGACTAGCCTTGCCATAGTCTCTACAGACTGTGACCTCTGGCCAGACCCCAAGCGCTGACCACCATCATGCTGGATGATATGTCGATGTATGGCGCTTATGCAATGTAAATTGGGGGCTGTTCATTGTGGGTGTCCGGCGTGGACATCGGGCAAGCAGGTAGACTTGGACGAAGTTAGGGGGTTCTGAAGAAGGACGAGCCCGAGGGAGTGCCCGTAAACAACCCATGGTAATGGAAGGTGTCAATGGTAAGGGCTTCAAGTGACTTTGGAAGACGCAGGTACTGCCATCTGGGAGAGAGCTGCCTGTTCTTCATTATTCTTCAGCCTTGTGTCTTGTGACCTATTTCCGGGACTGCACGTATGATTGTGTAGCGAAGTTGGCACCGGAAGGGGCCAAAAGGCCATTCCGCTTCTGGACCTTTGGGCTAATTAGGGGCAGCACATGCAGCCGGTGATTTGCCAAGAGCACCCGCCGCAAAGCCACGTGAGGGCTACCCGCTTCCTGAATCCTGTCTCCCTGCGAGCTCTGCCTTGCCTTGCCTGAAGAAATCTACAAATAATGAGCTTCAGCTCGTCCCCCCTCACCGCTCTCTCTGCCTCGCAACCTTTCCAGCTCCATTTCACTTCATCAGCAGACATTCCTTTCTTTCATTCATCCCTCATACACTCGCGATCATCGTTGCGGGCTTGCTGAGTAGTACTACCCGGCGCATCTCATTCAGGTCGACAACATGCTCGAACTAATCCTCCTCATCCTTCGCGGAATCCAAGCCCTTTTGGCCATCATAGTCCTCGGCTTGACTGCCTCAGTGGCCGACCAAGCCGGGAATCTCGACCGCAACTCCTTCCTCCTCTTCGTCTCCATCTTCACCCTACTCGCCTTGGCCTATCTTGCTCTGACCCCGAAGTTTGCCGCCAGCGTCGCCCATCCCTGGGCCATCTTCGGCGTCGACTTGCTCGTCACCATCTTTTGGTTCTCGGGCTTCATTGCTGAGGCCGTCCTTCGACGCGACCTGGGCGCCGGCTATTGGGGATGGTACTACTATTCGAATGGATGTTGGGGAAATACGTGTGATACGACCGCTGCTGCGGCGGGGATTGGAGGCATCGAATGGTGAGTACCATCACAACCATGGTATGCAGGACAGAGAGACAACGTATGCTCACAGTGCCTGCGATTCTAGGGTCCTCTTCATTGTAACGACAGCGTTCGCTGCAATCACTGCTTTCAAGGGTAGCAACAGAAGTACTGCGCCCACCACGACCCAGCAACCTATGGCGGGAGTTTGATTGACGCGGACAAGATCAGTAAGTTGAAGCTATGTCACGGTTCTGCGGGCGACGACATTATGCGACTATGCGAGATAATGTATTTTTCATGCTATCTTTACAGTGTGGCTTCTAATCTTTGCGGCCACCTGGTTATGATGCTGCATAGGATTAGACGATAATGCTGCTTTTCAAATATCTTGATGGCATTATTCCCCAAATATCTGTTTCCTTCCTATCGTGAGCGTCATCGCGCGGTAGTGCTTGCAATCCAAATTCGTTGTCTACTGCACGAAATCCGTATATGGTCATTGCAAGCTCCCATACGTCGTGTAAGGGGTTCGACGAAAACCAGAGTCCTGTTCTCTGACCCTAAGCCACGATCAAATCTTGACATCGTGAAGATTAGCCGCCGATGATAGTTTGTTTGGGTCGTATCTGTATCTTGATGATCGAATTGTTCTACACGGAACGGCTAGGCATCCACATTCAACTTCCATTTTTGAAAATATCATGGTACACTCTCATTGCTCCCATCAAAGGGCTCATCCGTAGCGTCTACAATTGCGTTTTGGTCTTCACCGCCAACCTCGTCATCAACTCTGTCAATGTCTAGTAATTCCGTTGACTCTTGAGGTGGAAGGATAGCTTTACCGCCTTTGAACATGTTCACCTTCGCCTGCGTCATCTCATATACATATTGTCCTAAGTGCTCAGTGCTGACCATCTCTGTCGCACCCATTTCATCGTTCAGAAGTCTTTCCGTGGGATACATTTCTCCGGTTGTCAGCGTTAAAGAACCGGGTCGCTGAAAAGGTAAAGCAAAGGCTTGTGTGAATTCAGTCGATGACGCAAACACGCTCCGCCTACCAAGAATGTATAGGCCAAGACGAGCCCGAGAAAGAGCAACTGTCAAGCGGCGCAGATCGCGGAGATATCCTGGTCGTTCTGTACGAACAAGCGAGAGGATGATATAGTCATTCTGTTCGCCCTGGTATTTATCTACGGTTGTGACAGCGCGGGGCATGCCAAAGAGCCTGTTGCCGGCACATCGGTGGTTGAGCACATCGCGGATGAGTACCCGTTGACCAGCATAAGTGGTAAGTATTGAGATCTTGCTCGCTGGGTACCCGAGAAGCCGCATGTATTGATAGATTGCAACGCCATACTCTGCTTCGCCCAGGTTTTGAATATAATGAGGAGAAGGATGGCTCTCGCCTTTGCCCTTGTAATCTGGAACGTCGATGAATTGGTACTCATACCTGAAACCTGCGTTTGCGCGAAGGTATACTGGCTCTTTAAGTACGTGCTGAAGATTTTTGAGCTGGGGATAACGCCACCTGTAGAGCTCCGCAATGCTTGGCCTTGCTCGACCTTGGGCATCTAGGCTGATAAGAGGAACACCTAGCCGGACCATGCGGAGAAACAGACTTTGGTCCAAATTTGAGAATTGCTGGAAGGCTAGATGTTGGATGACTGGTGAATTTTGCAAATGGTCTCCGCACAAGACGACCCTTTGCAAAGGAGAATCTCCAGTAGTAACGTCTTGCAAAGCCAGCGGGATGAAATTCTCAATCTCCGTTACCTGGGCAGCTTCTTCCATGACAATGTTGTCATAATGGAAGCCTAGAGTTGCAATTTCCTGCCGACGCATAGCCGCATGTGTAGCGGTCATGGCAATGATGCGTGCCTCTCTGACAAGCAAGTAATTGCTTTTGTCTTTGTAATTTCGAAGCAATTCGAAAGGCCTGATGTCGTCGAGTTCAGCAAATATCCTGTTTACATGCTGCTCGCAACCGCGCGCGATGTCGACTACAGCATCTTTGGGAGCGTTGGGAGGAAATAGAGGCTGAGGCGCGGTCTGAAAGTAGTAATGAAAAGGGAAACATGATATAGCCTCCTCCGTTGAAGTAGCCGAGCCTATGAGATCCCAAAATCTGTGCCAAGCAGGATCAACATAAACAGACTTGAAATATCCGGCAGTCTCACAAGAAGCCCCATGGGCTCCCGGTGCACCGAAATTCGCTGCGAGTCGATCGACTTCCGCAAGATAGGAGGCTCGGTTTTCAAGGAACGATTCCACCCTCCCTGTCTTGCTGTAGTCGGCCTCTGTTTCAAGGTCGCCTTCTCCCTGACCAAGTCGAAGAAGATGGCGTTGGTCGATGTCGAGTTTTGTGATTTTTTGGAAGAGCTGATTCAATGCCTGGTTGCTATGAGCGATTAGAAGTGTGCGCTGTGATGGAAAGTTGTGGTATAGGTTGCTGATAGTTTGAGTCGCCACGTCTGTTTTACCGGTTCCTGGAGGCCCTGCAATAATGGTCAAGCCTGGTTGTGTGCCTGAGATCACAGCCTCAACTTGAGCAGGAGTGAAACGAATCTGATTGATCTTGGGCGCATCCTCCGGATAAGGGCCTTTCACAGGTCCTGGGGAACTTGAGACCTTTAGAGCTTTCGAGGGTCGTGGCAGCTCAACATCAAGAGCTGCTGTGTCTCGTCGACGTTTTCTTGACAGCTTAGGAGCTTGAGGATTCTCGGAACTGTTGTCAAGGATATAAGGAGGTCCGAACCCGGGCTCACTCTCTGCCAGCGTCTCAATATCCTGGATGTGGGTCAGTTTACAATACATCAATACAGTCTCACGAACGGCAATACCTTCTCAGGAAAACTTTCTACGAGATGCTTCCAGTTGAGGAGAGTATCTCGGAGGTCCACCCGATTGAGCTTGTTCGTCAAATTGGTGTGCGTTGCTGAAGTCGGATCGCCAAAACCAAGGAAGACTTCTTGCAACCATGATGGTAACGGGGATTCAGATACGACTAGCCGTTGGACAGTTTCGAGGACCTTCTTGAAATTGTTTTCTCTTCGATTCCGTTTTACGAGGAGGTTGATCTGCTCGTAGGTGTCACCGCCCCCTTTTTCCTTCCTCTCAACATCCGCATAGAAGGATGCGGTGTCTAAATCCACTATCAATCTTCTAATACGTGGTCTCGGACCATGGCCGTTCACTTGATCTCGCAAATGCTCCTTTACAAGTCTACCGTTTTCGTCGAGGACTTGGCGGACTTCTGCTACCCGAACCACTGACAATGGCGTTTCTCGCGATGCCGCAAAAGCGTGCCCGTTTGTCAAGCTCTTGTCACCGTCTTTAGGACATACTGCGACCAGAAAGACAGTGTCTTCCAGTCGTAAAGAATCCCACTCTTTCCGAACGTGATCGCCCAGCCTACTCACGTCAAGCGTGATCTCAGCTCGGACATAGGCAGGTTTGTTCTGTCCCACTCTCGGTGGCGCTGCCTCTAAAATGGCCGGTTTGCCCACAGGGAGCGCTGCGCGAGAGGATCCATCGAAACGTATACCCCCATCTGAGCGATTGCGGGAAGGTCGCAATCTCTTGACGGTTTCTTCTAGGAAATTTCGAATTTCGAAAAATTGCTCACACCTGTGCAGGACGAAGGAACGCCAGAGGAAATCTCCAATCGTGAGGTACTGCAGATTGATCTTAGGCATCCCAAGCGGTCTTGATCCGTTGTAGGTGTCGTTCTGCAATAAAGACTCTTCAAAAAGTGTAGCCTCGGTCGGAAGTACGCTCATATTCCTCACAGAGTCTTGAAAAGTCTTTTGCTTCTCGTGTGTCGAGACCAATATCTCAAGAACGAGCTTTCGGCTTTGCTCAACCTTGCCTTCTGGAGGATACGTAGTACGAAGCCCAAGGCTGGAACACAACTCTACAAGTTCCCGATCATTCAGCTGACTTAAATGGCCCTCTAAATCTCCGCGTTGATCAATTGATCCGTAATTGGACAAAGCTAGGAGAGATAATTTCTCTTTGTGAGATTTGAGACTCAATCTTTGCAGTTTGGCAAGCTCTTGGCAATGCAGATCACGAGATTGCTCTTTTGAGAATTGGATACCACTGTGATCGTCTACCGGAAAATGGACAAAGTGCCGCAGAAGCACGTAGAGGTCTCGAAACAGACCGTTTTCGGGCACATTGAAGAGAGGAGAGAGTCGAATCAAAGCTAGAATGTTTAAGTCTTTGAGAAGCGAATTGACATAACGCCTGGTAGGCAATTGACTCTCAAGGTCTGTCAGCAATTCCACGAATCGCTCGCAGTACTCGATGTCCCCTGGAAGAATCGTCAGCTACCTCAAATGGAAGGAAAGGCGACTGACCCCTTTGTGGCTCGTAGATATTGCCAATGAACCCCACAGTCAAAGTGTAGAGCCAAGAGCGCTCGAATCGTAGTTTTATCTTTCCTAGATCGTCGGCCGCCTCAAAACGCTTAGCAGAAGCCCGCCACGCCTTACCTAGCTGCGCATGGCTCCGAAGTTTTTGCTCGCGGGTAGCATCAGAGTCCAAATTATGCCATATAGAAATGGACACGAGGGGGGCGCATTCTTTTCGTATCAAACCATTATCGAGGGATTGAAATGCATTGATGAGACAACAAAGTAGGCTCGTTCGTATCTTCGAGGATAAAGAACAGTCAAGAGTCATAGACAGGATACGAGTGAAGAGTGATGAGAAGCGTATGGGGTCGTTAGAGAAGATCGTCCAAGTTGGTAGATGCTGTCTGCCTTTCACGTTCACGAGGAGGGCTATCAGAAGAACGTGATGGTTGATGACATCTTCGTTGTATGTAGGCCAGAGGTAGCTATGTCAAGAATCAGCATAGTCCCAAGGAGAACGGCGATCGCACACACCTCTCAAGTAGTTGAAGGCCTTCTAACACCAGCAGTGAGGAGTGCTCGAACTGCTTCTCTTCGAGAACATCCCATATTTCCTTGCGTATTAATTCTTTCCTGGCCTTTGCAACATGTTTTCCAGACGAAAGCCAATTCTTTTCTGCCAGTTTTCGCCAGTAAAGACTGCGCTGTTCGTCAATCTGAGGTTGCCCCGGGTCCTCCATGCTCTACCTTGATCGACGAGGTTTGCGCATTCATACGAGTGGATGGGCGCAATAATTTGTACATTCAGGTATGCAGTGAGTTGAAGAAAATGTGAAATGCGGCGAAGTTCAGGTCGCACGAGGCGTCTTGGAGTGTTTTTGGGAACTTTTTGCGATTTTGATATACGGTCGGACTTTAGAACTTTGTCTCTAAGTCCGGTCATGCCACTAGAAAAGGGGCAAGCGCATTATATATATATGACCGTTTGATCGTTATAGACGGTATCAGTGCACATGCTTAGCTTACATATCGCTGCTGGAAATTGCTGTTGTTGTCACCAGAAATTTTATCCTACAAATTAAATTGTCATAGCCTAGAGCCTCCCACTATCTCCAATAGTATCGTGGCCGTCAATCAGGGTCATCGAGCTCGACCGCCTCCCTCTACCACGCAATACAGCAGGTAAAACCCCAGCACTTGCAGCAACAAAGCCTACGAAATATGTCAGCCAGGGTTTTGCAAAGTTCGCAGGAGGAGATGCGTACCTAGATAGGGTTTGCTGGGCTCCAATACCCGTGAAAGGTACTCTGGATGAAATTGAACTCCCACAAACCATTTATGGTTCCGTAGTTCAATGATCTCCATCCGTTCGCCGCTCTCATCCTTGCCAATAAATGGCAGCCCCGCTTGAGATAAGCGAGTAACGTACTTTGGGTTCACTTCGTAACGATGACGATGTCGTTCATTAACCACGAGAGGGTTAAGTTCAGACTCGACTGGCTTTTCAACAATCGCCCCTTTGCCTGTGGCTTCTACATGAGCTGTACCATTTGCAATGCTCCCTTTATTGGTTTGGTTCAATTTTACGATGTCTTTTGCTTTACCTTCGTAAAGCTTTCGTAGCTGCGAGAACTCACTGTCAGGTTGAAAATACGTGGGTCGGAGACCTAGCCTCATAGTTGCACCCATTGTCGTTCTGTCGACTTCCGGCATGTAGATGACGATGGGATCTTCGACTCCCTCGTCGAACTCCGCTGAGCTGGCACTCGGAATATTCCCAACATTGCGGGCATACTCGATGACTGCGAGCTGCATTCCTAAGCAAATCCCCAAAAAGGGGATTCCGTTTTCCCTGCACATCTTGATTGCATCAATCATACCTGACGTGCCTCTTTCACCAAAGCCGCCAGGAACAATGACGCCGTTAGCGGTGTGCAATGAATGCCACGCTTTATGATACTCAGCGGGGGCATTTTCCTTGCACGATGCTTCTAAAAATTCGGATGACACTTTTTTCAGGTCCAATTTGCGTGAACAAGCCATTGCAGCGTGTTCTAGAGCCTTCTCCACGCTATGGTACGCATCCGGATGTTCTGTGTATTTACCTAGTAACGCAATCGTCACAGACTCATGAATACGATCTTGTTCCAGGGTCAACGATCTCCACGCCTTCCAATTTTTCGCTCCGCGCGAAACAAGTTTTTGGTCCATCTCAATAGAATCAAGACCCAGCAGTCCTCGAAGGTGGCCCAACATATTCTGTGAATGCAGCGACAATGGAACATGGTACAGAGAAGGAACGTCGATGACAGACAACACTTGGTCGCGATCCACGTCTCCGTAGAGGGCTACCTTGTTACTCGCATGCTCGTCCAGAGCGATAGGGCACCGGCAGGCGATAAGATCAGGGGCCAGCCCCTGCATTCGTGCGTCTTTGATTGCAGTCTGGGTCGGTTTGGTCTTCAACTCTCCTTTGACGACAAGTATTGGTGTCACATGAATCTGTAGGAAGTTTCCTCTGCCTGCTCTCCTCCTAAGTTGTCTCATCGCCTCGATGAAAGGTGCACTTTCTATGTCACCAACAGTGCCGCCGAGCTCGATCACGCAAATATCAGATGACTCATTCGTGTCGTCAACGGGGATTCGAGCGACTCTCTCGATCCATTCGACAATCGCGGTAGTGACGTGGGGTACCATTTGGACAGTCTTGCCGAGATATTCACCTTTCCTTTCACGCGAAATGACATGCTGGTAGATCTTGCCAGTGGTCAAGTTATTTTCCCGGGTCAAAGTCATATCAAGGTCCCTTTCGTAGTTTCCTAGATCCAAATCGACTTCGCCGCCGTCATCAAGGACGAAGACCTCGCCGTGCTCCATAGGCGACATTAACCCTGCGTCAAGGTTTAAGTAAGGGTCAATTTTGATCGATGATACTTTCAGCCCTATTGACTTGAGTAGAAGACCTGTTGAAGACGCAATGACACCCTTCCCGATTCCAGAGATTGTACCGCCAGACACCAGAACGTACTTCATCTTGGTCGACTGAGTGTCAGTCATGACCTTTCCGGTCCAACTCGAAGACACAGCGAATTCTGAAATTGTAGAAGACGTCCAAGGAGAAGTTGAGCAGCTATACCACCGCACTCCGCATAAGCGGAGAGGGGGAAGAGAGAAAGAGGATTTGTAGGCTCGCACGCGTTTTGGGCGTTCGAAGACACGCGCCCAACAAGCCGAGGGTCGGCCCGAAGCCTTCAATTTCTCAGCCGGAAACAGAGACATATTAAACATCATTCATTGCCTTTGTCAATTAAGACGCATAATCACCTTTGAGTCTCTAAGCCATCCACTGATACGCTCAACATGCCAGAATAGCTCTCTATCTCCGCAATGTCGCGGTCTAGCGGTGCTTCTGTTGAGACGTATACCAGCCTTTTCCAGGAGCTCTTAAAACAAGCGCAAGAGCTCAAGCCCGTCGAAGCTATTGACCCAGCCCTCAAAGCTGAAGACTTTGGCGACAATGTTGGAAAAGTGGGCGCGTTAACTAAGAATACTGGTACAAAAGGCTATGCTGCTATTGAGACTGCTGCTAGGAACTTGTTTTACGGCCTATTGGTAGGAAGTTTCTTTTCTTCCGCGGTCTTCGTGAGCAAGGTTGATATCAGTACAGTCTTCTCACTCAACAGACGGCAATGTTGCCTTTCATCAAGTCTGGAATCTCTTCGACATACTTTCCATTCTTTCCGACAAGGGTAGAGTCTCTATGCTCCAAGTCGTGGTAGACTGCTAACGGCCCTAGAATATTGCGAACCTGGATTGGTTTTCTGGCTTGTGGAAGAGCTACTGGACAGTCAAACCATTGATGGATGTCGTGTAGTCTTCGATTATCTTGATTCCAGGCGCGAGAGACTTACTTCGGTCTGTGCTAGTCATGCATACAAAAGTCTTCGTCTAACAGCACGCAGAAACATTTCAAACAAAAGAGTCTGATTATATTGCGCGCATGTAACGAACTTCTGCGACGACTTTCAAGGGCAGAAGACACCGTGTTCTGCGGTCGAGTGTTCATCTTCCTCTTTCAAAGCTTTCCATTAGGCGACAGAAGTTCAGTCAATCTCAGGGGTGAATACCATGTCGAAAACGTGACTACGTACGAGAAGGTCGAGTTTCGGGGAGAGGCAGTCGAAGGGGAGGAGATGGCGATAGATACAGGACATCCTGCGCAAGAGGCATTGGAGCTCAGAGAGGAGGCTAGTTCGAGACCTGTCGCCTCTGCGGTCAATGAAGTCGATATCCAAAATCCTTCGGGGACACAGACGGTCAAACTCGACTCAAAGAACAGCAGCTCATCGAACGAGCTGCCGGACATGGATGCATTGTACTCAATATTTTGGTCGCTGCAGGACTATTTTTCACAGCCAGCGAGATTATTTGAACCCGACAACCTTAAAGCATTCAAAAGTGGCTTACAAGCGACAATTGTCAAATTCAAGCAAGTGCAACAGGATCAGCTAGCTCGTGGAACGAGTAAGCTCCCTATCGAACGTCAGCGAAGTAGCAAACGTAAGCGTAGTGGGCAGGAGGAGGAGTTAGCGAGCGCTTTCAACCCTAAATACTTGACAAGTCGGGATCTATTCGACCTGGAGATTAGCGATCTTTCTTTTCGACGGCACGTCCTTGTACAGGCCCTGATTTTGATCGATTTTCTCCTGTCCCTCACGCCAAAAGCCAAAAAGAAGCTGGAGCATACGACTAATAAGTCGGTGCTGTATTCCCTTACTCTCAGTGATGAAGATGCAGAATGGGCTTTGGGTACGCGAAATGACATAGCGGCCTACTTGCAACAGGGACCGGAGGGCAAATTCTATTATCGCATGGTTGACACGGTTCTTTCACGAGATAAGAACTGGGTACATTGGAAGGCAGAAAACTGTCCACCAATTGCACGAGATCCAGTGTCAGCTGAGAATTTCGCGGAAGCAGAGAAAATGGCACAGAAGACTTGCGCGCCCAAGAGATTACGGCCGGCTGCAATGGGAGCACTTGATCTTGCGTTCCTAACAGAAAACAAGGGCACTGACGGCATGGAGAAGCTGAAGGATCCAACGCGATACAGCATTCCTCCAATCGATGGTTTCAAAGCTTCCATTGCAGAAGATGATTTTGACGTCGAGATGGCGAAGTCTAGCGGAGAGCAAACAGAAGCAAAAGAAAGAAGAGCGAGTAAGCTCTGGCGTACTCTACGGATCGCATCGAAAAGTAGGCTCAATGTATTTGAAAAGATCGAAGATGGCAAAAACCTCAAGCCTTTGTTCGAGCCTGAAAATGAGATGCAAGAACAGGTGGAAGGCAATGGGTCTGAAGCGAACGGCGAAACTCTTGCAAAGCTTGACGCACCTGAAGAGCAACCTAAACAATCTGATCAAAACACTACCGAGATGGAACAAGAGAACGCTATCAAATGACAGATTTGAAAGCCTAGATGTTACAGATATCTCTATCACCAGTTTGTGTTCATTGCTCTAGCAAATGTATCACAAACCAAAGCATTAGATCCACGGACACGCCAAACAGCTTTGGATAAGGACGAAATAGAACCTTGCTTGTGTGAACCCTCAGGATGCTGGCGAGTGAACGGCGACTGCTGCCATGCGCATTCCTGATCTCGAAAACGCGGAAGAATATAGCCCTTGAAGCACATTCGTTGACCTATTGGACATATGTCGGCACTTCATCGAATTCACAGGTGTACTCTGACAGGTATGCGCTAATTCAACGGGTATAATGTACCACCAAGCCCAAGGGCCAGATGATCTACGGTACAAGGTTCACTAACACTACAAGAAATCAAGCTAGATGGACATATTGCTGAAAGAAGCATTATACATTCAAGAGTTAGACAAGGGAATCAATTTGAGGTCAGAGACAAAGTAACCAGTCTAACGACTGATAGAATACGCTTCGCAGGAGTTTGAGGGTTCAGAAGTGGAGTAAGCGAGAGCTTTAAGCGGTATGGAGGTAAGATGTTGCAATGGTACGAGTTATTCTATCGAAGGAGACCTGTCAAGAGCTCTCGAGTTCTTTGCGTTCAGGATATAATTCTCACGTTTGGGCTGAAACATGCTCCTTTAGCTCTCTCGTTCCGAGAGTCACAGCCACCTCCATAGTTCATATAGACTGTTTTGAGGCTACATCACTATAGCCTCACAAACTTCGAAGGGGCACTCTAAACTGTGATTTCCTGCACGCGATCCATCATTTCCCGTCTACGTCCTCATCAGGTACGACGGGATTCTTCTTCAACTGGTCCTTTCTATGAATCTGATTTAGTATTGCATCCCTGCCTAGCTGGGATACTGCCACTTACAAGAAGCCCCTTGCTTTCTCTTCCCCGGTGTGTTCAAGTGCTGCTTGTTCTGCTTTGGCCTTTGCCTTCAAGAAGCGCTTGGCCACATACTCCTGCCTTCATCAAATTGGAGTCAGCAATGCTTCTTTAGACTCTATGACTCCGAAATCATTACTGACACATCATCCTTATATGGTGAAAAGTAGATACCGACTGCAAGGGCAAGCAATGTAGCTATCAGGATGAGAGGACTGAAGACAAAAGGATTTTGTAGAAGGGACTTTGCATCCGCCGACTTCGCCATGGCTAAATTGTTTTACAAGACGTTGAAGTGCAGATTGTTTCAACAAAAGGCGTGGGTGATGAAGAATGGAGATTTAAGTTGGAAATGAGGATTTTACTTGCGAACGATAGACAACGCCGCAACATCGCGGTAGGGCTACCATCGCTCCTTCTCGTCATGTTCCCGTCATGGCATGAGCCAAAAAGCAGGGAATTTGAGCACGCGAGTCGGGGCATATGTCACCGATAAGATAAGCTTAGTCTTGCAGCCAAGACCCTAACCCAAAACGCTCCCCTAGTTCTAGCGTCTCGGCTCACCTTCCATATCAATCTTTTTGACAAAGCCCGACAGACGATTCCAGAACAGCAAATCCCCTGTCACACAAGAAGGTCTTGCACGCACGAGCTTCTAATCCTCACCATGCCGTGCATCCTTTTCCTCCACACTCGTTATCGACTTGACCGTCCGCCATGAGCGAAGCTACCGAACGGCGACAGATCAAATGGTCGGCTCAATTTGATGTCTTGCCCGAAGCCGCAACACCGACATCATTGAAAGGTGACAGGATTATTTTACCCCAAGCCGCTCTTGAACAACTCCTCAGTGCGGCCACTGAAAATGTCGTTTATGATCCCGGACCTGCTATGTCGTCCTTCGACCCTTTCAATCCCTACAGCTTTGCGGCGGAACGACGAGCGCGGGAACAGATAGTCGAGAGACAACAGAACCTTCCACACCCTCTGACTTTTCGCCTGGTTAACCCAACAAATAGCAGGATACTCTATGCTGGAATACGAGAATTCTCAGCTGCTGAGGATACTGTCGGCTTGAGCTCGTTCGTCAGGACGGCTCTTGGTATTGAAGAGGAGGATGTTAAATCGTCCAATGAGGCTGATATTGGGCATTCTCTAGACAGCAAGGAGAAGGCTAAGCTTACGATCCACGCACAACAGCTGCCAAAAGGAACATTTGTGAAGCTAAGGCCTTTAGAGGCAGGCTATGATGTCGACGACTGGAAGGCGCTACTCGAACAGCATCTACGAAACACGTTCACAACCTTGACGAATGGTGAGGAAATTTTGATACCCGCTGGCAAGGAAGTGTTTCGGTTCTTGGTAGATGGCCTCAAGCCGAACGCGGAGGCCATATCGATCGTCGACACAGATCTTCAAGTCGATATAGAGGCTTTGAGCGAAGAGCAGGCACGCGAGACTATGCAGAAACTCGCGAAAAAATGGCAAAGAGCGCCTGGCACTAAGGAAGGTAGCTCAGCTGGGGGAAGCTGGATGATGATACGACAGAGACTGGTCAAGTACGTCCTTCGGAATACGTTGACTTTCGGATTGAAATCTTGGATGCGCAGAAAGATCTGGAGATCGAGGCTACAAGTCTAATTGACGAACAAAGTGTTGATTTATTTGTCGTTCCATATAATGCAAGGCACCGGGCTAAGCCAAGAGAAGATCATTACGTCTTCGGCGATTTGTCTTCAAGATCAACGAAACGGGTAAAGGTTCGCCATACTAATACAGAACTGGAAGACTCAGAGGCTATTTTCATCTCAGTCAGAGGGTATGCAAGGGAATCTGACGACACAGGGCAAGTGAGGCCTATACCATTTAGCCTTCGCGTATCATCTGAGAACCAAGGCGCATCAAATCAAGATGACTCGAGCGACGATGTCGAAATCCTGCAGCCGGAAGAAGAGCGCTGCTCGAATTGCCATCAAGCTGTGCCTAAGAGGACCATGTTCCTGCATCAGAATTTCTGTTTCCGCAATAATGTCCTGTGTAACCGTTGCCAGAATGTCTTTCTGAAGGCCTCTGAAGCTTGGAATCACCACTGGCACTGTCCACATGATGACGCTCATGGAAACTCGATTACATCTAAAGATAAGCACGATAAGGTATTTCACAAGCCTTGCGTTTGTGAATCATGTAATTTTGAAGCGACCAATATTCCAGCTTTAGCGCACCATCGAACAACAATCTGCCCCGGGAGATTAATTCTGTGCCAATTCTGTCACCTTCAGGTGCCTCAACAAGGCCCGGAGGATCCAAGCTTCGACTCTGCAGAAGTGCTTCTTTCCGGTCTCACTCCTCACGAGGTAACAGATGGGACACGGACTACGGAATGTCATCTCTGCTTGAAGATCGTGCGTCTAAGGGACATGGCTGCCCACCTGAAACACCACGACCATCAAAGACTATCCCGTCGAAAGCCAAAGGTCTGTCGGAATGCCAACTGCGGCCGCTCTGTAGACCATGTCAGTAAGACTGGTGAAGTCAGATACCAGACCCTCAACAACCTTGATTTGTGCAATGCCTGCTTTGGTCCACTTTATGTCTCTCAATATGATCTTGATGGCAAAGTGCTTCGACGAAGAGTCGAACGTAAATACCTCACACAATTGTTAACGGGCTGTAACCAAAGCTGGTGTCAGAATTCATTATGCAAGACCGGGAGAAAGAATAATGCCTTTGAAGGACCGTCTACTGTGACAAGCAAGGAGGCCAGCTCGTTGATCAAACCGCTGTTGGATGGCTTGAGAGACTTCAGTGTCCCAGCATACTTTTGCACTGACGAGGCCAACCAGAAGCGAAGGACACTAGCTGAGCTGCTAGCCGCAGAGAATGGGAGAACGCCTGCCAATGGTAAAGGTCAGGACACAGGCCCAGGTCAAGATGGGTACCAGCTCGAATGGTGTATAGCTGCATTAGAGGTTGAAGCTGGCGATCTTGATAGAGCAAGGAGCTGGCTGCGAGGCTTCGCCCCTCGAATAGGGGAAGGGGTCAACTAAGTAGCTCCCAATCAAATTTGCAATATGTACTTCTAAAGGCTTCACAGATGATCCGAAATGGTCTTCGAATACCTGGATTTTGTAATTATGAGCACACTATCCTCCAACCTTCGTACCAATCGTGCTCCCTTTGCTGCTGAATATCCCCATAATCCCAAACCCCACATAAAATAGACCCAAGGGATATGCTACCAGAGCCCTCATACTGTGCATCCTCCCCACCGCACAGAACATCTTACTACTGCTATATGTACACCACAAGATCGCCAGACTGCTCAAAATATACCCCACCGCGGTATCCATCGGCCACACCACCCCAACAAAACTCGTCAGCACCAACGGCAACAGACAATACCCTAATACACTCGCACTTCTCGGAAAGGTCAAAGTGGCGGACAGCCGGCCCCCGCCGCCCATCCCCTGCATGTGCTCCGCCCCACCTCCATACGGGCTCGTTGCCGTGTTGTGAGGGTCCGGGTAGCTGGTGGTGGTGGGAGAGTCGGTGCCGGGCGAAGGTGACATGAGGGAGAAGATTGTATGGAGGGAGAGGGAGCCGACGAGAGCGAGACCGTAGATGTAGCCGAAGTGGACTTTGCCAGAGAAAAGGAGGAAGGTGCCGAAGAGGAGGAAGAAGAGGATTGGGCCTGCCAGGTCGGAGTCGTCCATTATGTGTGGCGGGGTTGGAGAGAGCGGAGAGAGGACTGTGAGGGTCTGCGATGCGTGAGAGACTGATTAACGAGGTGGCTGTGGAAGAGCGACAGAGCGAGCAGGCAGTCGTTGGAGAGTGTGTTTGTGAGGAAGAAAGGCAGGAGGGAATGGGCGCGGAGACTCACCTTGCCTTTTATATGCCCGAAGTTCACCCCCAATTCTTCTAATAACGGTGGTTCCCCGTCGTAGCCCTCTGTGCCGAATGCTGCAAGCCATCCTGTCCTGAGGCCTCCTTGCTCGCCCATGCGCCCACTGACGCCTGGCGCGCCAAAGCCTTGTCCTCCGAATGTCGGGGCTCCGCCAAAGCCTCCTGAGGACGGGGGGAATGCTTGAGACGTATGCGCTTGGGAATTTGGGTAGCCATATTGTGCTTGTGAGGGTGTGGTGTGCCCGGAGACTGGTTGCGGATAGGAGGATTGGTAGAATTGGAGGTTTTGAGGATTGTAGGGTTGCGACGTTTGTGGGTAGTATTGATTTGCCATGGTCGATTAGCTTGCATTAACAGTAGGGTTTCTTTGTGGTTGTTCGAGCGTACTAATATTTACAACCGGAGCTATCACAAATTCTTTGAAGAAGCTTGCCTCCTAAGATCGTGCTAATCCCGAAAAGGGCTAGATCGCACGTACATCCGTCAACATCGTGACAGTACTCAATGTCAGCGTGGAATGTTGTGACTTCTTTGGCCTTCGTGAACTCGAAGTGATTGCTACCATACAAAGCTGGCTTCGTTTCCTGATAGATTGCTCTGCTGGAGCGCAAGAAGTTGGAATCAATGTCCGGTACTTTGCTTGTTGTGTCCACACGCAACGACTGTATAGACCTGCAAAGTTGATGGGGATCTCTAATCGTCTCTGACGATACTATCACACACTTATAAACCATAATTCTGACTTCGATTGGCAATGTGAACCAAGAGTATTTGTTGCCAGACCTTTGAATAGTATATCCTTGTTCGTGCAGCGTATCGATCCCCAGTGTAGCTTTCTCCACGCACTAGGGCTGGGCGCATCTTGAGCCTGGTATTTGATGAGTTCATGACCACCTATTGGTTTTAACCTTTTCGCGTGAGCTGAGCTGTCGAGCGTAGAGAACGTCAACGGAAAGGACGATTGGTGCTTATTCAAGGCAACTTCATTCTTGGTCTCTAAGTCCTCGATGCATTCGGAGTGAATCCCAGACTCAAAGCCAGTCTTAAAGGTAAAATGGAAACATAGGAGCGCCGAATTAAAAAACAAAGCAATAACAAACCATTTTCAGGTAAATCAATGCTTCACCAGTAGCAGATCACCAGAGAATAGATCAAAAGACAACACGATCACCTTGAAAGAAGCCTCTTCAGGTGATGTCAACCCTTCAACCTCAAGGTTTATCTGATGCTCTTACTTTCAAACCGTCTTCATCAGCCAATAGTCCATTATCTGCCCCCAGTTCTAGTTTGAGCGTCTTCGCCGTCCTACCATGACACTGCCATGCCTTGTAGGATTCTCAACGCAATTTGATGGACAAAGTAAAACGCATTCTCATAGCTCAGTGTCGTTCTGAGAAGTAAGGCTTTCCAAGTTCAAATGATGTCTCATCTTTTCCTAAGGTAGTTTTCAAGGCTCCGGTCGGCCATAGTATGAACCACAGAACTCCACGGAATTCTAGGCAGAACTGCGTAAATGGGCAATTTGTTGTTTTAGATCATTAGTCCAGGGTGTAACGCGAAATGGAGGAGAACCTAGGCTGATCGACAATTGATGCTTGCCAAAGGAGAAGAATTCAGACGCTATGCCAAAGCACTTATCGTTTGGAAAGGAAATGCAATTTACAGAACAGGCAACTTCCATGCGATGGAGGAGAAGCGTCGGCCTCGCCATCGTTGCGACAGGAATTGACTGTAAGGCTTGCCACGGCCTCCATTTGCTTGTCCTCGCTGCAACTCGTCTTCAAAAGCGCGCTGCCCTGTTCCCAACTCCTTACGTGCACATCGTCGCCTCCACATCATTCCTATACAGACATTACTCTTCTGCTTCCTAATCACGACCGCTTTCTCGGTATCCGGAGAAATTTTGCTACCGTCTGCACCCTTGGGAATTTTATATAGCGATAGAGAAAGCATCCGGCTGATGCTGTAGACCCCAACATTTGATGGCTGCTTTGATTTTTGACCGCGGACAATAAACCTGGCTTCCACTTTCTACTCATAACATATGTATTGCCAGGGAATTTCCACTGCAGCGTGCTCCAAGTGGACGGAGCGCACCAAGATCAATGACCTTCATGTAGATATCATTTCTCTAGTTCGATGGGTTCTGTAGAAGCGAAGCTAGAAGAGCTAGCCCTTTCCAGAGAACATCATATTTCCAGAAACGGTATATTGCAGGAACAAGGGCCTCTTGTCCAAGCCATTTGCAGAAGACTTGATATGGGCTGACTCACACTAAATCAATGGATGTCTCCGTTGGCTGGTATGTCACCTTTAATCTAGACAAATCTCATGCGAAATTTGAGTGTTTCTGTCAATCAAAGGAGGTTTATACCAACTCCGAAGCTCAAGCCTTTCCTCCCTTCCTCCCCCTTCCTTAATACCAAAGGTAGCGAGAAGTTCAGCTCCAGTCGTGCCATTGGCGCAGCATATACTAGCCCGAAACCAGCTGATACACTAGGTAGCCCGTTCCCTATTTCTGCTACCGCCGAGGCCAGTCTCTGTTGGACACCTCGATCCTGACCTTCTTTTTCGGAAGCTTTCAAGGCAAGTAGTCGGCCACCTGTCATGAACATTTGAAAGCGGAAAGGCTTGTCCATTCCTATTCGAGGTATGGGAAAGAATAGATTTGCGCTTCCAGCGGCATATAGATCGCCGCCTACCGCATCTTTGCCATCATGTGGTCCCAAGCCTGAGAGCCTAAATCCTCGGACATCGGTGGGACCGCCGAGCAGGAATCGATCATTAATACGCGAAGGCATTGTCTGATGATTATGGCTTGAAGGTAATGGTGCAAGGAAACCAGCTCTCATTCCAGTCGAGAAGGAAATTCCACTCTCACCTGGAACACCTGGCAATGGGATCGGAACAGCAAATTGCGACTCTACTTCGGCCTTGCCAAACGCAACATCCCCTTTCAAAGGACCCCGGCCAGCTAATTCCAAAAGCGTCTTATAGTAGTAGCCGCTCGTTGGCAGAAGTGGATTGTCTCTTCTATCTTTGAGCCATGCGTGCGAGATGCTACTCTTGACAGTGTCGCCTGCTTCAGCCCTGACCGTGGGAGAAGCTTCTTGTGCCAGTCCCGTGACTTGCCTCCAGAAAGCGTTGTAGGTCAACTCGTGTTGCGATCCACCATCTAGTAGCCACCTCAATTTTGCCCATCCACCTCGAAGAACCTCTTCGTGACTCGCCCATGGCTTCTGTGTAGAAGAGATTATGCCGCCAAACCCCCTCGTAAGCCAGGACTGCTGAGTATTGGTGAGTCGAAATACCCTTGGTATGCGGATCTAGTCCGAGTCCCGAGAGATGCATTGAGGTTAAGAGCTTCAGCACCACCAAAGATGTTACGACTTAGTACGTTGACATAAGCTGAGCCTTCAGCATTGCCAACGTCTGTGCCTGTTTTGAGCAATAAGCGTGACTTTTCGCGGACGGAAACAACAAAGTCAACGTCCGTGGGGGTTGCAGAGGCATTGGCTGGATCTGGACGATTAATTGAAAGACTTATAGGCTGTTGATAGATATCTGCAGGAAGCGTCAGCATCTTCTATTCCAATATGGTGCGATCATAGCGTTCCAAATACCCAGCTGATGAAGTTTTGAAACACAATTAGAGACTTCACGAACCGCGTCGAGTAGTGTGTGAGGCTGTTCTTTGCTGAAGTTAAGAGCAGGATCGAAAACCCGTTTGAGAAAGCTTTGTCGCGTGTTTTGCGCTCCCAGGACCTGAATCGAGGAGATGGTGCATTGAAGGGTTGAATTTGATTCAATCTACCGATGGGTTTGAGTAAACGTCATTGCAAGCGATGGCCTGTAAGCCCATGTCTTTCATCTTACCAAGGCTTCGATGCGTCTTTGAGATCTCTCATATCTCGCGACCTCCTCTGCTTGGAGAGCCTTGGCCCTCTCCTCTAGATAATTCGCATCTTGTCCCTTCTGCAGCTGCTCAAAGATGCCCTGTAATTGTCAGAGTTTTGAGAACTTCAGTGAGACCGAGTACGAAAGCGCCGTAGGCTTACCTCGTCTCCAGGGCCCGACGAAGCTGCCATTGACCCTTGCCCAAGCCCTTGTTACAATTAGTACCTTCCCAAAGCCATTTGCCATCCAACTGAATCCGGAGATAAGGACCTCATATCTCCACGCCAAGCGCTTTTTATTTGCCAAAGTGTACCCACGGAGTGTCGCAACTCAGGACGAGATGAATGTATCAAGAACTCTCTGTGTCACCCTCGGATTGTCTTTCCAATGATCTTCGTTGGAGAGGAGATCATTACATGAAGCCTCCCGGTTGGTAGCACTCAAAGCATTGCTTCATATTCAGCTCTTCTCTCCAAAAGAAATCGACATTCACCGTAAGATGGCAACAGTGACAGCCAACAAAAGAGTAAGTGCATTCCTCGCTAGCATATGATCAATACTGATGGCTGTTTAAGCTGAATAGAGAATATCTAGCTATACAAGCAAATCCTCCACCCTTCATCGTCGCGCACCCCTCAGAAACCAACATCTTAGAATGGCACTACATACTTTCTGGCCCACCTGATACACCTTACCATAATGGCCAATATTGGGGAACCCTTATGTTCCCGCCGACATACCCCTTCGCCCCCCTGCAATCCGAATGCACACTCCCTCTGGGCGCTTTCAGCCATCCACCCGCCTTTGCCTCTCAATTTCGGATTTCCACCCTCGGAGCTTCAACCCTGCATGGGAAGTGTCGACGATCTTAAACGGCTTATTGAGTTTTATGACGAGTAACGAGATGACCACAGGGAGCTTGGGAGCTACGGATAACGACAGAAAATGGTACGCCGCGACATCCAAATGGTGGAACAGCACAGGAGGCGGATCAGCCACGACGCCAACTAGAGGTAATAATGCAACATTGAGAGGTGTTGGGGCTGTCAAGGCTGGTGATGGTGGCGTGAAGTTTCGCGCCGAATGGCCTGAGCTTGACACAACGAATTGGGGGTGGATGAAGCGGAATAACATCGACTCCGCAACAGGGCGTATAAATCAAGGTGCGGCAGACCCGGGGGCTGCCTGTTCTCCAGAAGTCGCAGCATTGCAGAGGGGCCCACAAGGAAGTGCTGGATTAGGGGATGCCGGCAGAGCAGCGAGGAACATTGGGGGAAATTGGCTCTGGCGGCACAAATACGCCATTTCCTTCGTCTTCATAGTATCATGGGTGACATTGCAGAGGTTTCTTGGGGGTGTGGAAACGTGAAGGTAATGGACGTTGAGCACTGATCTCAGCTAAAATACTCCATTGTCGCTACTTACCTTTGCAGATTCAGCTGAAACTCACCTCTGATTTACTGCAGGATACAGGCAACACAGGTACCTGACAATCCAGCTCAGCGGAGGAAGAGGTGCACAAATCTTTCCAACGAGTGTAGAGCTATATGTCCCTTAGGGACACTAGATCCCACATGGACTCCAACAAAGTTAGTGGAGTAGATCAATGATCGGTATAAAAATCTCGCAGCTTGTCACTGCTAGACAATGGTCGCTGCTATCTTCACAGCATGAGACCTACCCACTTAAAACCGAGTAACTTGAGCATTGCGATTGGTTTCTACGCCTCCATAGCTGGATTCAGTCTTCGGGATTGTTGCGAAACTGATGATACTACAGCCTACGATGGCAAGGATACATTTAAACTGTATTCAGTCCATTCGCTAATCTTCCTTGTTTGATCCCATTAAAAAGCGGCTTTCCTTTCCCTTTCACGTTTCTGCTCCTTAACATTATTATAGGAGGTTACAAGGCATCTCAACTCAATCTCTATGCTCCTCTACGCAATGATGAAAACACTTACCTCATGTTCTTAGGCGGGGTCTAGGTCACCAAATACACTGAATTGGCCAGAGCTAAAGTTGAAATAATATATATACAGATATAAAAAATGAGAGATGATGTGAAAGCGTTCATGTTGGGCGTTGGCTTCGGGGTGAGCTTCCTCCCTGGTTCGTTTGAGAGTGAGACTGATTATATAAAGCGTATGGTCTAGGGGTATGATTTTCGCTTCGCACATTCTGCCGGTGTATTTGTGAAAGGTCTCGGGTTCAAATCCCGATATGTCCAAATTGTTTTTTCGGAGTTCTTTTTACCGTTTTTAGATGTCTTGAGAGCAATCGCATAGTGCTTACCTCCAAGACATACTCCCGAAACATAAATCTGCTCTATCTAACTACAATGATAAGGTAATAGGACTCCGAAAAGCTAGTCCCAACTTATGTTTTCGGAGTTCTTTCAACCATATTTAAATGTCTTAAGAGCAATTACATAATGCTTACCTCTAAAACATACTCTCGAAATATAAATATACTCTATCTAACTACGTTGTAATAGGACTCTGAAAGGCTAGTCCCACCTAATTTTTGCACTTCTGGAGCAGTTTTAGTGTAAAGGTCATCGGCGTGACCGAGAGACGTTAGGTGGTGAAGCGCTTGGGTTTTGGGTACGGCTGGTCCCGCGCTACCTCATTGAGATTAGATCATCTCTTGGCATGGATAGTGCTTTCTAGCTCAAATCTGGAAAAATATATTTTCGTGCTACGAATTCCTACCACCCTGGTAGGAAAGGCAGTAGAGTTGAAAGTACTACGCGACCATGAGGTCTCTAAACCTCTCATGCATAAAATACTCCCCATAAAGCAATGCTGCGCTCAATAGTATAGTGCTTCCTGCCTAGACTTTATCATTCACTAAATACTCTTAGTCGTCGAAGCAATGCAGCATGCCCAGAATATTACCTCCAAGACATTTGTATTTCACACCAAAAACACCTTTCACCGTCTCTAAAGCTCGCTTCCAATCTTCCCTTCAGGCGAATGACAGGCCGTACGATGAGCAGGAGCGACAGGCTGCACTCATTCAAAACACATTGTCGAGGAAAGCAAGCCAGGTCTGAGCAGGCTCACATGACTCAAATTCCCAGATTCTAACTTTCCGCAGATCAATCCGCAAGTCAAAACCGATGATGTGATCTGCTCGCCTCCTCGAAGAAAACCACAGCCTACACAAAGTCCACACCGCTCAACTGGCGCCGATCAGCAGCACGTACATCAGACACACAACGACGTTGCTCAGCCAGCTTCGGCTCACGGTCGCCTCCTCAATTCAAATCAGATGCGACGGCAGAGGAAAACTAGTCCAGTCCCTGTTGTGCCGCTCGTTCGTCGAGCCCGCCGTGGGGATCATCAAGAGGCGAGAAATGTCTTGAAAGATGAAGCCTACATAAGATCCACCATGCATGTACCGACTTCTGGCGATTATCCGGACGTGTCTATCGAATTATTCAAATTACCAAAGCAACATCTCCACAACATGACTCGTGGTTTAGCAGATATTAACACAAATCTTATATCATTGAGCGGTGATTCTTTCAGATGTACGTTGACTTATGATTCACCCGTTCGTAAGGAAGTTGTCGAGGGCGAAGGCCGAAGCAAAGTAAGCGAATGATCCTTTCAATTGGCGGGTGCTAATGACTGTGCTTAGAGATCAGCTGAGGATGCAGCTTATCTTCATTTTCTCGCAAAGTGCCATAGTCTCGGTGTGCTGATGGAGGTTGTTAATCGGGAATCGGAGTTTAATCAAAGAAACCGGATAACCAGGCAACAAGCAAAGCAGCAAGAAAAGGATGCTATTGTAGACATCTTCGACTATGCTGCTAGATTTAATCTAATTCCAGAAATTCACACTCGACCTGTGACTCGCAAACAAAGCGGACGACCACGCGCGTCAATTGAGGCTATCATTACCTTGAAAGAGCAGAATATATCTGTCTCAGGATTTGGCACCCAGCCTCCGTACGCCGAGGCAGATGCTGCAATTAGATTCAAGAAAGAAGCTGAAAGATTCCAAGCCAAAGAAGGAAAGGACGCACTAATAATCAAGGACTCATCAGCGCTGACCACAGAGAATGCGGGGAAGTTTATCGAGTTCTTGAGGATCGTACGACCTGGAATTCGTATCGAAGTAGAGTCAGAGGCTCACGGGAGATCAATTCGGGCCTGGGTCATTGTGAATGGGGATCGAATTTCGCGGGAAGTCCTAATGTCGTCAAAGAAAAAGGCCGAGGCCGTAGCTCTTCTTCTGGCATGTATAACGCTGAAGACAGAAGATCAGGATTTGTGGCCTCGTTACCTCCGCGCTCTGCAACATGGGAATGGCCAAATACTACCTCCTGTGGCACCTCTGGACATGTTCGTCGATGAAGATTGCTCGCTTGTGATGCGAGAGACCCTTCTAGGAGCACGCAGCCGAGGGCTCCCAGATGAAGTCTTGACTCTAGCACCTATGTCTGAAAATTCAGCGATCACAGAATTCGGAAGAATCTCATCTCGTGATCGGATTCAGCGCTCACAAATATTATATCAATGGTCTTTGGCTTACGCAAATGACGAGAGATTCGTAGACTTTCGAAGTAAAAAGGCAGAAATGCCTATGAACCAATATAAAGAGGAGGTACTGAGGCAAGTCAACGAAAACGAGTATAGTATAATTGTTGGCGCTACCGGTAGCGGAAAGACAACACAAGTCCCCCAGATACTGCTCGAGAATATGATCGCAGAGGGCAATGGAGGATATTGTAACATAATTTGTACTCAGCCTCGCCGGATTGCGGCAACCTCCGTAGCTCGTCGTGTGGCAGCAGAGCGTGGAGAAGGCTTAGAGGAAACTGTCGGCTACAAGGTTCGCTTTGATGCGAAGTTGAGTCGAAGAAGTGGCAGCATCAATTACTGCACAACAGGGATTCTGCTTCGACAATTACAGCACGCTGCTGACAAAACCATGGACGATGTGTCACATCTAGTGATTGACGAAGTTCATGAACGAAGCACGGAGATCGATTTCTTGCTAATCCTTCTGAAGAAGAACATGACCAGACGTAAGCTCTTGGGCAAATCGAATCCTCGAGTGATATTAATGAGTGCCACAATGGATACGGATCTCTTTGCTAATTACTTCGAAACCCGAAATGTCGCAGGTGATCCTGTCTCATGTCCATCGTTGAGTGTGCCAGGGAGAACGTTTCCCGTCAGAGAGAGGTATATTGACGAAATCTTGGAAGAAATGTCTACGTCAAAAACCTCTCTGCATACTCTTCGTGCTGACCCGAAGACGGAAATTTATCTAGATGCCGAGCAGAGGTTCTCCCAGAAGCACGGGCGTGCTCCCGGCAACCAAGACAATGGCGAAGATAGATCTGTCATAGATTGGAAACGTGAACGGAAATACTCGGCCAGCGGCGAAGAGCAATATTCTAATAGTAAAGAAGATGTCATTGTACCTTTCGGTCTCATAGCAGCTACCGTTGCACACATCGCGAAGACTACCGATCAAGGCGCCATATTAGTCTTTTTGCCGGGCCTCGAGGAAATTAGACAAGTAAAAAAAGATTTAGGACGGGAAGACTTGGGTGTGGATTTTACGAACACTTCGCTATTCCAAGTGTATATGCTGCACTCGTCGATCACAACCTCGCAGCAGACAGTGTTCGACCCTGTACCACAAGGGTGCAGAAAAATTGTTCTGTCAACTAACATTGCGGAGACATCTGTGACTATCTCAGATGTACAACACGTCGTGGATTCCGGCAAGCTACGGGAGAAGCAATACGACCAAGGTCGACGTATCACGATGCTGGCCTGCACCTGGATCAGCAAGTCTAATTCAAGGCAAAGGGCCGGACGTGCAGGGCGTGTTCAAGATGGCAACTATTATGCTCTATTTTCAAAAGCACGCTATGAGTCTTTCAGTGCCATAGGCTTACCAGAGTTGTTGAGATCAGATCTACAGAAGACTTGTCTCGACATCAAAGCGTACGCTTTTCAAACACCCATTCGTGATTTCTTAGCGGACGCCATCGAGCCCCCAGCACCTCGGAATGTTGATGCCTCAGTCTTCAATCTCCAAGCGCTAGATGCTCTCACGGAAAGAGAAGACATCACGCCTCTAGGTCGTCTGCTATCATCTTTACCTGTTGATCCAAGCCTAGGAAAAATGATTGTTCTCGGCATCATCTTTCGGTGTCTCGATCCGATGCTTGTACTTGGCGCTGCCAGCACCGAGCGCCCCATTTTCATCAATCCACTCGAGGCCCGAATAGAAGCCCATCGTAGCAAAATATCTTTCGTCCAAGGTTCAGCATCTGACCATATTGCGCTCCTGAACGCTGTGCGCCAGCTTCGACAGTGGCGCGCCCATCATGGCGAGGTTGGAATGCGCCAAATGGCAGAGCGGCATTTCCTGCATGCCAACGCGTTTCGAAGCATAGACTCCACAGCTCAGCAAATCGAGGAAATACTTGTAGAAGCAGGGATGATACCTAATACTTCCGCTAGTCGCCGTGTTGATTTACAGTTCGGAGATCCTGCTCTGAATGAGAACAGTCACAAGGTTCCACTTATCAAAGCTCTTGTGCTCGCCGGGCTACACCCCAATCTTGCGGTTTGTGCCCGTGGTGGCCGTCTTTTCCGCACACCGGGCGAGAAAGATGTTCTCGTCCATCCTTCCAGTACAAATGACCTTAAAGATGACGACAGAAGCAAAGCACGTCTACCTCATTCGCAACGGCCAGGGGTGGCGGCTGGCACTCTCTACTCTTACACATCTCTCACCAAGTCCAATGACGGTAACACCCTTTTTCTTCGAGATACTACAAGATCGACGCCATTGCAGGCCTGCCTCTTCGGTGGAAAGCTCCAGCGCAATGAGGACCGCAGCAACATTGTCGAAATAGACAGCTGGTTACCTTTTTACATTGCTTCTCCAGATAGACGTACAGCGAAGACTCTAATCGAGTTCAGGAAAGGGCTCGAGCGCCTGCTAGCAACGACTTTCAATGAGCTAGGAGTGTTGGTGGAGCACAGGCAAAACGGCGATCACACGCGCTTCCTTGCAGATGACGTCGTTAGAGAGATGTTTGCAGCCGGCTTAGTGGAGGTCCTTGACCGTGATGTGACTCCAGGTGAGAAAATTAGGCGGAGAGGCTGGGCAGCTACAAGGCAAGTTGACCACTTTCCGCCGGAAATTGAACGTCAGGGTGGTCGGAGAACCGCCACTCGTCCACGACTATAAGCAACGGCAACAGCACTTGCTGATGTACTGGATGAGAAAGAATTATATTGACTGCATAGCGTGGTATACATGGGCATTATGTACAACAGACAGTCCTGTTCTCACTAAGAGCGATCAGCTGTACAATATCTTAGATTTTCTATGATAGACTAGAGGGTTTACGAGCGCGAGGACAATGCTCTACTCATCTAATAGTACCAGAACGCCGCGCTTTCTCTTCATTGGTCTTTAGTGTCAATATTGTCACCCCGAGAGTCAATCAGCCGCCCGTATTACCTGCTCGTCATTATACACTGCGTCCTTTCAAACGTTTGGACTCAATTGATCTGCTTTGACGCAATATTCGACCTGATCCGCGCTAGCTTGCAAGAATCTTCTAGCCTCAAGTCCAACCCACACTTTCAGCATACTCGTATCACCTTCCATGGCAGTCCTGACTAGATCTTTACCGCCGCCTTGAGCACCCAGGTTTCGGAGAATTGGCAGGGCACTCTTGAATAGGTCGAGATCGGGATTCAAGGTCCTCCCAATGCCCTCTAACAACAAAATGCTGATGACTACATTGACGAAATCACCCTCCATGCGCACATGATGGCCACGTACCATGCTCAAGACCTGGTTGAGAACGTCGCTGATTGAGATGTTGCCCAGCGCGAAAGTGCGGGATTTGACGCCAAGGACCAGGTGTTGCATCTTGAGAGCAAAGACTTCCTTGTCGATGACAGATTCGGGCTGACGACAGCGCTCAACCATGAGGTTGCCTGCTCGATATCCATCGAATTCTGCAATTGCTTTGAAGAGATCGAGGAAATTGCGACGATTTTTAGCGTTAAGCGCGGTGACGAGGCCAGTGTCTATGAAGATGAGTTGAGGTCGATAGCCTTCTTTGTCGATTTGGTCGAGCTGCTGTGCCCATTCTTTAGGGTGGTGTCGGTATGGACGGAGTTGCTGAAGGACTTCTTCTGTGACATCTTTGGAGTTGAGCGGAGAACTGGATGACTTATGTCGTCCGAAAGAAAGGTCGATCTGTTCAGGTTGATAGAAGCGCACCATGATGTTGCCGGGATGCAGGTCTGCGTGAATGAAGTTGTCGATGAGAAGCATGCGTAGGAATGCATCGAGGCCTTCGTCTGCAATTTCTCTCTGGAAGACGCCACCCCCATCTTCGAGGAAAGCTGCGAGCGGTATCCCAGATGCGAATTCTTCAATCAGCACCTGCCGACTGGTATGTTCAGTATATGGAAATGGGAACCAGGCCGTTGTTCGGTCTTTGAACTTCTTTCGAAACATAGTCAGGTTCGCGGCCTCGATACGTAGGTCTAATTGCAAGCGCATCATTTCCCCAAATTGGGAGACTTCATTCGGGAAGTCAAACCATTCTAATGTTGGTATTGCATCTATCACTGCGGCAAAGAAGCCCATGATTTTGAGATCTCGGCGCACAAGACGTTCGACCTTCGGATGTAGGACTTTGATTGCCACGTAAGACGAAGGTACTCGTTGTGGAGTGCTCTTCACGACCTTGTCCACATTCTTGCGAACTCGCTGCCGTACACTCGAGACGGCGTCCTGCACGTCGCTGTCCCCCGCCGCTGCGTGCTCTGGCTTGAGCTTTGCTTTGTACACTTGTGCTATGGCACCTACACCCAGGGGCTTCTCCTGGAATTCTTCGAATATGTCATCGAAGTGCCGACCATCGAAAGCTTCTCTGATTCGCCTCTTGGTATGGCTAAGTGAGTGCGCTGGAGCATTGGAATGAAGAGAAGACATGATGCTACACATTGTTTGCGGGAAGATATCAGTTCGAGAAGCTGCCCATTGGCCCAACTGTTGCAACGATTGTTAGGGCTGAGCTCTCTTTCAGCGAAGATTGTCGCGCACCTTGATGAATGCAGGACCTGCCCGCTCCATAGAATGTACGAGAAAAGAGTACCACCATACGGTTCCACTCCTTTCACCATCGTGACCCTTCCCCGCGGTACCCAGCCACATGATTGGGATAGTGGCTATTACCGGTACGAAGATAATTACAAGATGGAGGAACCGAAGAGTTGTAGCGATGGGCTCCAAAATATAGAGATCAGCACCTAGGCCTATTGCTTTCCACACCCTCTTAAATCCATGGATATCGTTGGGTAGCTCTTTTGCTATTTCTGCTCGCGATGCCTCCAGCATATGCTCCTCGGGTGTCTTGCCATCGCCGCTTTCTTCTTCACTCAGAGCCACAAAAGCCGCTGGTGATAGCAAAGCAAGTACTGTTACGTTTGCGCCTCGAATTCTTGGAGGTTTCGCCCACCACGCTGGTGGTCGCAACGCCAGTGAGCGGCGTCCACCATGATGGCGGAAGGGAAATGATAGGCGCTGAAGGATATTTCGAGTACAGAGTCTTCGGCTCAAGATAAAGGCCGTTCGCATATTAGAGCCACAAATATAGCCAGCCGTCTTTGGGAAGCCCGCGACATGTGTAGAACAATTTGGACGTGATTGTTTGCGGAGGAATGCCCTGGCGGGAAGCGTCGGCGTTTTGCGGACGTCATTTTGAGATTGACCTGCCAAGGGATGGAAGACGTTATTCTGACTCACATTTTAGCGTGCCAAGATTGGCGGAACAGCTGCCGGTTTTCCATACTATTTTGTAAGTAAAGCTGGCATCCCCGCTGCGGTCTTTAGCAATTTGACTTCAATCATAAAAAGAGGCCCTGTTTCGTCGGCCAACAACAAATTTCAAGAGGCATTGGATCGAAGGAGAAGGTTTTCAGGACTGCATGAAATCTATATTTATACCTAACAAATCTTGCACTTGATAAAAAGGTTTCATAGAGTATAATGCTAAGTTATTATTATATTTGCAAATATTGCGACAGCAAAATTCAACTTTTAGAGGGTAGCCGCTTATAAGCCCGCTTAAAGTAAAAATTTCTAAGGGGCTCCTTAGGGGTGCTTTGCGCCCGGGTACAAGTAAGCCTTCTTAAGCATAGAATATGCCAGCTTTACTTACAGATTAGTATGGGAAACCGGCAGCTGTTCCGCCAATCTTGGCACGCTAAAATGTGAGTCAGAATAACGTCTTCCCCAAGGGATTATATGAATTTCCCAATCTCATCCTAGATACAGCAATCCTGATTGCGCCACAGTCGCTGTTACTTAGCAGTCAAAGGACCTCAAATATCCAGTCTGAGATAGTGCCCCATTATGGGATGGTTCTGGGCGAATACATTCCCTGTTTCTCGATCTGCCGCCATACGTCCCAATGATGGCACCCCCCAGTATGCTTGATGATGGAACCTGCGTAATAGATGCTGACCATCAGAAGCCGAGCTGCCCGATGCATTCAACGGCCTCCACCTCCTTTCCGCCCCAAGCCTCTACACTTCCCCCTACAGACGCGTCCTCTTGCCCCGTCGCCACCCCTGGGGCTCCCCTGAGATCAAAACTCAATCCTCTAAATTACATGCCAGCCAGTCTCTCCCAAGAGCGCGCCTCTCAGCAAAGAATTCCTCTACCTACAAATCGCACGACCTCCTCCATCCCGCGTGGCGACTCAAATACGAATTGGGAATATCCATCACCGCAACAAATGTACAATGCCATGCTACGGAAAGGCTACGACGGTACTCCAGAAGATGCGGTAGAGAGCATGGTTGAAGTACATAATTTCTTGAACGAAGGCGCTTGGAACGAGATCGAAGGGTGGGAAGCGCGATTCTCTGGTGGATTAAAGGACGGATGGGAGGCTTGTCGGGAAGGGGAGGAGGGGTGGGTAGAGATGGTAATGAACGGTACTTGGAGGCCACGAGAGCGGACGCAGCCAAAACTGATACGATTTATGGGACGGCCGGGCGACACGACGCCGAAGGCTCGGTTCATGTCTTACATGTCCTGGTTTTATCCTGGAAGATTCGCGTGAGTACATGGCCTTATTCGACCCAGACAGGTAGTGCTGAACGTATATGTAGTGAAGAGCCTCCGTTCGACCGCCATGATTGGTTTGTGCAACGCATAACGCCATCAGGAGAAAAGCGTGAGATTCGGTACGTCATTGATTACTACTCTGCACCCCTGAGCCCACAGGCGAGCCTGTATTCTATCTGGATGTGCGGCCCGCCATAGATGGACCTACAGCTGCTTGTGAGCGGCTGATGCGATGGGGTGGCGACGTGTGGTATCGAGCAAGTGGCGCCAAGGTCAGAGCAACATCAGGGGAGTTTGAGTAACGAAGAGGAGCGACATTGGATTTTTGGGTGGAATTCGCGAGGCGTTGGGTGGTGCGAGGAGCTTGGGAGCTCACTCTGCTGCGCTTGGTTCATCTCTACTCTTGGGTACTCTTCGTTTTGATTTCCACAAGACGAAGTAGAAATCGAAAATGGAAATGGAAATGGAAAAGGCCTACGTATATCTAACACCCCTAGATGTTCTTTGACCGAGGGTACGGACACATTCAGCAGCGCAAGGGTACTGTCATTTTCCGACATAGTGTAATCTATTCTGCTCGTTCATGTCTCCGTCTCCGTATCCTTGGCAGGAGACAGCGGCAGTCGCCTTGAGCCGACGGCACAGCATCGGCGGAACTGCCGCGGGTGCGAGCAGCAAGATCTCTGACATGTGCGATCTATCCTTCATGCACATTGACTGTGGCTGTCGATGAGCGCTTTATCGATGCTCCACCTCTTCACGCTGCTCCGACCAATTCATTGGAAGTCCTCCGCCAGACTACGACGAATGGGGAAGCTAGGCCTGCTCAAGGTGCCAAAACGGAAGAAGGGATCATCATCCATGCATGCTACTTCCCTTTTCCACACGCAATCGCCTATCATCTGTTTATCCCCATGGAGTATGCAATGATGCTCTCCATAACTTGTTCGCTCGCCTCGGTACGGGCAATAGGTCGCCGGAGGAAGGAGCGAACGATGCAAGGAGTCTACGTCCTCGCCTCAACATGACAGACATGCCTATAAAGACTTCTGTAAGTCCCCTGTAATCACATCTCTCCATCTCGCCTTTGCCTCTCCCCCTCTGCGTCGTTAATCATGTATTCTTTCCGTGCAGCGACGTTAGCATTGTTTTTTTCAGCCTCATCAGTCATCTCTACCCCCTACATGCGCGCTCGTTCACCTATGTTGTCAAAGAAAACCATAATGTTCCTCGGGAATGGTCTAGCATTGGTTCTCCCCCGCCAGATCACATAATCAGGCTTCACATTGGCCTCAAGCAAGACCGATTTGACGAGCTTGAGAGGCATCTCTATGAGGGTATCGAATCCTCATCTGTAAATTGTACATGCTCGTTACTAATTTCGCAAAGTCTCTGATCCATTTAACCCTCGTTATGGGCAGCACCTGGATAAAAATAATGTTGAAAATTTAGTTAAACCGAGCCAGACTACGTCGGATTTGGTACACGAATTCCTCAAAGAACAGGAGATCAACGTTGGTTCGTTTGAATATTCGCCCGCAAGGGATTGGATCAAAGTATCATTGCCCGTCAAGGATGTCGAAAGACTGCTCGATACGAAGTACTCTGTCTATGAACATGAGGATGGCGACCGTTTGGTGAGAGCACCGACATGGTCTCTACCAGCGCATCTACACGGGCATATCGACACCATACAGCCCACAAATTCCTTCTTCCGCCCCCAAGGCAGGCGCATGACATACAAGACGATCACGCCTATTGAGCAGCTCAACCAAGCACCAAAGTATACTCTTCCAAGCCTGAACAATACCTCACCTGATAACATCACGGTTTCCGCAGCTTGTAATGCAAGCGCTGTGACTTCCCTTTGCCTTCGTACTCTTTACGGAACTTTGGATTATAAGCCGCAAGCACCGGACAAAGTCTCAATTGGGTTGACAGATTTCCTGATGGAGGCCAACAATCGCTCAGACGTGCGGATCTTCCTCGAACGTTTCCGGCCTGATGCAGTGTCTGCGGCAGACTCCTTCGCTGTTGATGTCATCAACGGCGGAGACAATCAGCAAACTCCAGATACGCCTGAACAGCTAGACGCTGGCAAAGACCTAGAAGGAAATCTCGACGCGGGTATGGTCTCCAATCCTGCCATTCTTCTCGGGCAATCTCTGATGAAAAGCAGAGACCATCCTCGGAATTGACTATCCCATCCCTCTAACGGCCTTTTCTACGGGCGGAATGATGCCCCCTTTCATCCCGGACCAAGTGACGCGTATGTATTCTGTGCGTTAGACGATGTATTCTTGCTTATTCTTGTAGCTGATGACACAAACGAGCCTTACGCGGAGTTTCTTGATTACATCCTGGGTCTGCCAAGTATCCCTGCGGTAATTAGCTCTTCCTACGGTGACGATGAACAGACCGTACCAGAGTCATATGCCACAAGAGTCTGCGCGAGCTTTGCCCAACTTGGTGCACGTGGCGTTTCTTTTCTTTGCAGTTCTGGCGATTCAGGTGTTGGGACTAGCGGTAAATGTGTCTCAAATGATGGCCAAAATACGCCCGAGTTCCTTCCCTCCTTTCCAGACGGTTGTCCGTATGTTACCAGCGTCGGCGCGACCAAGAATTTCAACCCAGAAGTTGCGGCCTTTGATGCCAGGAACAATTTTGCAAGCGGCGGTGGATTTAGCAACTACTTTGGGCGTCCCAAGTACCAAGATGTCGGCACCGTCGTTATGAACTACATCGACGGCTTGGCCGGTAAATTCGACGGACTTTACAATAAGAGTGGCCGTGCATATCCAGACATATCAGCGCAGTAAGTGATGTTTTCGGGGTCCTGACTCGAGAGATATGTCCCGTGACTCCTTCTCGCAGTCTAAAGCAGCATTGCTGACTCCGATTTGCTGAAGGGGTCAGCACTATGTGACTATCTGGAACGGAAGTGTCACGTTGCTCGACGGGACCAGCGCATCGTGCCCTACTGCTTCCAGCATTCTGACTCTAGTAAATGACGCCTTGGTTGCCGCCGGCAAGCCTGTCCTTGGCTTTCTCAACCCGTGGCTATATTCCAAGGGCTATGCGGCTTTCACAGACATTCTCAGCGGTTCCGCTATAGGGTGTAACTCGGACGGCTTTCCGGCAACGAAGGGTTGGGACCCGGTAAGATTGCGGATTTTACTTCTGTATTTAGTTTTTTATCATTTGTTCTGGTGGTTTCTAGTTCACTAATTTTTCTAGGTGACGGGTTTCGGGACACCTTTCTTCCCAAACGTCAAGTCTCTGGCTTTGGAAACTGTAGGTCAAAGTCCTAATGTGACTTCGTACAGACGCTTTCGGTAGTGAGCGAGTTGCAAAGACGGCTCATGGTGCATAAGGTGTCACTCTGCGGAGTTACGGGTAGGTCATAAAGAGTAAAAGAAAATGACAGCATGAAGTCTAGCAAGAGAAATCATCGCTGTCCCTAGTATGTATCTCTACCACTAGTTGTTCCATTATCAACCTATTTGACGTTTTGCACCTCCGATACTTTTCTAATGATCGAAGCTATGCCCACGAATCGAATGCCGTTCCGTACATGTGGCACAAATCATGATTCATATCCGTACTTCTTGCTTCCCAACGCTCCTTTTACCTTGCTTACTACCTTGTCTATCGTTGACTTTGGCTTTGAAGTACTCGATTCGGGGACAGAAGTGGGAGCAGAAACTTTCTCCGCCCTCTCTGGTTGGGGTTCTGGGGGCAGGAGGTTGGCTCTCGCGTATACTATGTCGACTGTGGGACTCATTGTTGCTTGATTTCTGGCTGGATTCCAGAGAGATGATGGGTGGAGTGAATGATGAAATGATGGTGAGGGTGTGCGTGATTTGAGACAACGTGGAGGAGGCTCCAATCAAGGTTCAATTTCTGGGGAAGAATCAGATGACTGTATGGTGCAGGTGGAGTATGTTTTATGCCAGACTTGATTGGGTTTTCGAGAACAACGGTATTCCTTGTGGGAATTGTAGTCACTTCGGCGGACTTGGAGGCTTGGGACACAGGATTCTTCAAGATTCAATTGGCACCATTTATATACACTGATCTATCTATCTACGTCAAAGTCAATTGACTCAACGCCGATGCAAGCCTGTATCATTGAAGTCACTAACGACTTCTCGGCCGAGAGACAATGAGTCAAAAAACGATTGTAGTCAGATCCATTTGTGCTAGGAACTTAGTCGTGAACGTAGCGAGTAGACATCACCAATAGCATCAATACGCTGTAATTGTGAGCCGTGTTCATGTATCTTTGCAATGGGCTCCTTTGTGAAAAGGGTTGCAACGCCTAGCTTGGAAGAGCAAGGGAGGTGCCGGCTTTGAGTCATTCAGGGGTCTAGCGGCACGGACTCTGGAGCTAGGAGCAGGTCATAATTGCCTAATGTGCATTACAAAGCCAGAGCTTACATGGAATGAGCACGGCGAAGAGGTTCTCGTAGACCTCGATACGCTTACGACGATTAGATCATCGGGCAAGAGAGGCTGTAGGACGTAACTGCGTCTGTGAGAGCATAACAGAGAACGTGCTTTGATGGTCTGTCGCCTTCGCAGGACCGCGGAGGGACCAACACTCGGGGAAGAAGAATTAGCATTCGTTGTCAGGGAGATCTAGCAGTGTGCAAAATAGCGAGATGCATTGACAGTCTACCTATACATGTAAGCCTCCATGCTCCACCTGACGAAATCTAGCAGGCAGGAAATACGCAATAGCCGTTCTTGTGCTGAGGAAAGTATGATGTGCCAGAAATACGAAGCGAGAAAGCTAGTAGAGCCTCCTTCTAGTTTGCTTATTGTAATGAGGTCGAATCTGAAAGCAATGAAAAGGTGCAAATCTTCCAGACAGTTTGTCCGAATTATGCAGAAGCTGGTACAACTTGGGCAACGTAGCTCAAGGCAATTGAGGCTCCTGCCGTAAGGCCATAGACCTGTACATACTCAGAAAGTGATTAATGAAGGCGAGTGGATAGGGGAAACCTACATGCCACATTCTCCATCCATATCCACATGCCTTGCATACCTCAGACAGTGTGCAAATGTACTGCTAATACCCTTGATGTGCCAACGGACAGCCATCACGAGAGGCGCAATGTTTCCAAAGATCCAGAGGCATTGCCGAGTGCTCCAGTGGCTCTTAGCATTTCTAATCTAGCCCCATTGGTTTTGGCAAAGAGCTCCTCCAACGTTGAAGAAACGCTCCGAGCCAAGCTCTCGAACTTGTCCTGATCCAGACTTTCAGCGGCTTCACGTGCTTCTTCAAGGCGGATTCTGACGGCTGCTGATCCTCGCTCCAGGCTTGCAGCAAATGCTTTCATAGCTTCGTATGACACGAGCATGTCGTCTCGTGCACGATGCATCTTACTATTAGCTTTTGTATTTCTCGAGCACTGTCATGATAAGTAGGCAATAAGATCTGTCTGGGCACGCAAAACGCTCACCTTGGATTGCTCCTTTTTCGCACGTTTTGGTGCGGGCTTGGCCTTGCTACTCCCTTTCTCCTTTCGCTTTCCGGCTGCCCTTGTCTCGAGCTTGGACGCTTTGTCTTTCTTATTGACCACGTAGCCGTCGATGAGTTTGGTCCTCAATTCCTCCTGAATCTCTTCGTTCTGCGTCTTTGATACTCGGAATGAAACAAGTCTGATATTGAAGGTTTTAAGCGTCTTGATATCCTTGATCGCGTTAGTGAAGCAGCAGTGCCCTTTGAGTGTCTCAATTCCATAGGCCCCCTTTAGAGTGATGTCCAGATGGGTGACGGGCAACGTCTTGAGTCGCTTCCAAAGTAGATTACTATTGAGCCCAAACCACTCAGATATGTGGGACTCAACCGATAGTTTTGTAAAGAGGTGGTGAACAGACGGCGCTAGGGCAAAGCCAATGAAATCGTGCGCAAAGTCGGGTCTAGTGAAGCAAAGCCGGTTGATGGTAAGTGGTAAATGACCAGCCTCTTTGTACACCTGACGGCATGTGCTTAAGAGGCTGGTGTGAATTGAGCCCCGGTGATAAGGGTTGTTTCGCCTAAGGCCTTCCTGGAGGAACGCGTAACCGTAGATTTTATCTCGAATCTCACTAGGCAGTCTGAGGAATGGAAGAATGCCTTTCCTGTCATATGGAGGACCATCCTCGTCCTCATGGATGCGCACGCCAGCCTCCCATCGAACGCCAATTTCTTCGTTCATGTCGTCGTGGCATTCACAGTGGCAATTTGTAGAGAGGCAAGTGTCCAGGGCTTCCTCGCTTTCGATTTCATCGAACTCATCAAACGGTATGCCCATTTGCTGAACATGCCAGCAGGATACGCAACAATCTGGATCATCGCAACTTCCAAAGCAGCTGTCACCACACCAGCCGCATACGGGCTCGTCGTCTTCACAGTCAGAGCACATTTCCTCGATCACTTTGGCATGAAGGAAGTCTTGACTGATCAAAGAAATGGCCCTATGCTGAATCCTTGGTTGACAAGGGAACGAAGTTCGCGAAACTGTGACTTATTTAAAAGGAAGTGTCGAGCCGAGACGCAATCACGCGCGCGTCACACGTTTACCCTTTTGGGAAACACTTACCCACCCACCCACCTTCTTAACTAGCTTTATGAAATCGGTGTCACACTGGCCAAAGCCAGGTCTTTTTTGGTCACCTTGTAGGCCGTGAGTGGGAGAAACGCCGAATCGTGTCCTGGCGCAATCTGCCAGCTTATGAAAAGGATTCTATCTCAAATGTGTTTGCATGATGGGCTGCAGAAAGAAAAGATTCTTACCGATCATCGAGCATTGGGTCCCGAGAAGACCTTTGCAAGCCAAGCGCTTCCGTTCTCTTGGTATTGCTGCCGGGTCACCAGCAGCGAAGAGAGAGCTGCTCTGTTCCCGGCGACACGAGCGCCCCCTAGCCATGTTGACTTGATGGGGCTATGTTATGTCAGAATGACAACACTGTGTAGACCGAAGTGAGCGGGGAGACCCACTCTTCAGCTTTCGCAACACGGACAACACACTCAGCAGGCGCCAATTGCCTGATTTCGGCTTCGCTAAACGTATGTCAGCACGCAATCAAATAGCTTCGAGGGTAGAGATGCCCACATTCGCGGCATGAAGCCATCGATCTTTGTGTTGCCCCCTACAACCAGAATGTTTGCCAGCAACACCGGCCACAGCCCAGTAGGCACGGCAGAGAGACTTTGAATAGCTGTCTCAGCAATGCCAGGCTGCCGTGAGCCAACATCCATCGGATTGAAAAGCAACTCAGGCACAGTAAACCTTTCATTACCAAGCGTCATAAAATCCTCAGCTACCTCGCTGGGGCCAGTCATCGCACCGATCTTCCTTAGTTTGGCGTTCAATGAGGGATCGTGAGGCCTCGCATATCCTTTCTTGTGGGAATTGTAGTCTGGTAGAACATAATCAACAACAATGTCTCGCTCACCTTCCCTAACTGTCTTTTGCGTAGTAGACGAGCCCTTCCAAGTCCTCTGGAGATCTCGTTTGTAGTCTTGACTAACGAAACAAATAGATTCCTTGACTTCATTCATAAGATGCACTTCATCTAACATGTTATAGTGGCGGATAGAGACAAGCTCTTTGAGGTAGTTTGTCAAAAACTTGCCTCCGATATCAAGCCGACGAATAGCCTGCTGAATTGGTCTCCCATGCAAGATTGGGGCTATAGTAGTATGAGAGAATCCAGAGTCAATCACCAAGACGCATTCAGCAGGCGAATGACTTCTGATTGCACCAGGCACGCCATCCTCAAAGAGCTGGGCAATATCATTGTATGCATTTAGCGATGGACCTACCTCACATCAGCACTGACGCAAAAATGGTGCCCGAAAATTATCACAGACCAATACAGCGATAGTAAGAGGCAAACTCGTACTCTTCAAAAACAATTTGATCAGTATTTGCTTGCAGGGCAGCGGGTGTATTTGGCGACTCCGTCAGTATGAGATTCGTTTCCTGCGGATCACACTACTAGCTTTTAGGCAATAAGTGTACGTGAGGAATTAACAGTCAAACCTGCAATCGTCCGCTCTTTTCAATAAATGTTTGATCCCAGATAGCCTTCTCAGCCTCCCAATTGACTAAATAACCTTTTTCGACAGGCCTTCGAAAAGCGATCTCACCAAAGTCATTGCACTTCTCAAGTTGAGAACCCACCCAAAGTCGCTTTCCTCGATCACGAGCTATGCAATTTGGGATTACATGGCAATCATCCTCAGTTGGGTTGTCTGCGACAAATCCGGCCTTGATCGTATAGCCTCCGTTATCTACGACCAAAGACTTACTTGGTAAAGGACGCTCTTGTTGCTTAGTGGCTCGAGGCATAGTACCTCACAGTAACAAGTAAATGTTCATTTGAGGTCAAGCAATGCTCGTACTGTGAATTCATAAATCTCACTGAAATAAGGTGGCGCTAAACCTCTTTTGTCAGCCCGCGTGAAATTTACAATAATTATTAGCATTTCTCCTCCACAATTCTCAACTATTCGATCGAACATGTCTCACTCAAATGTCCAAGCCGACTTTCTCGCCCTCCAGAAATCCCTCAGTAATCTTCGTGCCCTCCTGAGATCTTTCCAGACCGCCCTGCATTCTCCGACCCCACCGCCCCCACAAATGCAAAACGCACCCAACCCCTTCGCACTCCTCTCCGACGCCTCCAAGCTCTTGAAAGCCCAGACCACAAAGCTATCCTTGCTCCTTTTGCATCAGCCTTTCTCTCCAAAAGAAGTCAACTTCATCCTGAACACCCTTTTGAAAAGCGTTTGCCCAGCCTTGATGAGCGGGTTGGAGCTTTGCCCGCCGCAGCGATACACGAGGGTGCTGCATCAACATGTCAAGAGTTCGCTAGTGATCTTCTGGCGAGAAATGGGGAGCTTGCTGGCTTGTGTGCCAGAGAATCAACAAAACGCGAGGAACGACGACGACAGGGAGAAGGATGTGCGCTCGTCAACGGGCATGCTGTGGGACTCGAGTGATAAGCTTACGGAGGTGGCGGAGAAGGGCCTGGTCTGGTTTTTAGACCGGAAGGTCGGCGAGTATGCGGACCTGGTTGAGGATGCAATTAGGGAGTTGGAAGAATGGGACCCTGAGGACGAGGACGAGGATGATAAGGATAGTGATGCTGAGGAAGACATAGTGAAGACGCCGACGACTAGCGATGAAGAGAAAATGGAAATCATGTTGAGCATCTCCCCACAAATTGCGCTGAAGGCCAAAGTATTGAAAGCGCTCCGGCTAATCAGAATGCTTTACTCGGCTTTGCGGAAGCGTAGGGTAGCAACCTTTCCAAATATTCGGAAGTCCACAGCAGAATGTGACATGCCACTGTATGAACAAATATCAAGCCTCAATACCCTAGTTTCTACTACACAATTTCTTTCCGAAGAAACCGATGAGCTGGCGGGAGCTTTGTACGCCAACGATGTTGAAGCAGTCGGAGAGCGCTTGAAAGATTTACATGGTCAAGCTATCGGTTGCACCTTGATCCTGAAGAAAAGCTGGCATGGAAAAGAGGACGAGTTCAGTTCATGGACAGACAAATGGGCAGGCCGTTTGGAAGACCTGAAAAATAATTAAAGCATCAGAGTGATTCCTATTGATTTTCATGAGACATCTCTCATTATTCATATACCATCCAGGTTTCTTCATCCCACATGAAGATTTCAGGCATCATCTTCAATTCTACTCCTTAGCCAAGTAAGAATAGCTTCGCTACCCTTTTCTACTATATCTCGTCGCGGCACCCGAAATATATTCGCATCGACCAAGAACATTCGCAGACCTTCATAAGCTAGTACCCCTATCTTTGGTTCTAAAAAGCTGATCTCATTACTTTTGACGTCCAAACTTTGCAAGCCCCTCACAGATTCGAAAGACAAATCGGAGATGCTGTTGTCTGCAGCGAAAATAGACGTCAACAAAGGAAAATGCGAGCGAAGCTCTGGGAGCTTCACCAAACGGTTTCGGGATACGTTCAACTCTGATAATGACGGTGCGGTCAATGCAGAGAGAAGCGGTTCCAACGAGCCGATGGCGTTTGCTGATAGATCCAGTACTCTAAGCTTTGGTAGGCATAAGACTTCGAGCAGATACTTGTCACCTTGTAATTTATTGTGACTTATATCAAGCGAAACGAGTGTGTCAGCTAGTAAGTCGAGAACCAGAGGGACAATGGGGAGCATATTATGGTGGAGAAGACAAGTTTTAACTGATCCACTTTCGGCTAGCCCTTGAAGATCAGTGGCCTCAATGTCTGCGATATTGCTTCGCGACCGATCAACAACCCCGCCTGCTTGAATTGACCAAATATTTGAGGGCAATTCTCCTTGCTCCCCTTCTTTTTCATCATTATTCTGGCCAGAACCCGCATTTTCTTTGTTGCTGGCACTCGATTGGCAATGCCTGCTTCGCAACTCGCGCTTCAAATCCTCGGTATTCATGTTCAGCAGCCTTCTCTCCCTCAGTGGATTGTTTGCCAAGGAACAGACGACGAGATTTTCCATCAGACCGATATGATCATCCACATGGCGTATGTCATTCCGAGAAAGATCTGCGTTCCTCAATTTGGTCAAGCTAGCAAAACCTTCTGGTATAGACGCGAGCTTGTTGCCGTCAGCAACAAGAGTTGTCAATTCAGGTGAGCATGAAACGTCCGCCAGGGATGTTAGTCTATTCTGAGATATCTTGAGAATCTGCAAGGCAGGGATTTTCAAGTTTTCACAACCTGTAATTGAATCTAGGGCGTTGAAGGAGGCGTCGATGATTTTCAGTGATATTGATCTTTTGACCGAGACTGGTAATAACGAGCCTCGTAAGCTATTCTGCGAGACATCCAGGTCCTTAAGCGCAGTCACTTCCACCAAATCCGCAGGTAGGCTTGTTATCTTGTTTCCCGCCATTTTGAGGGTGTGTAGATTTGAGAGCCTAGCAATACCACGCGAGATTTGTGTGATGGCATTGTAAGACAGATCCAATGACTCCAGCCTTGATAGGCCATATAGCTCATGATTTACACATCCTTTGACCATGTTTTCCGCAACGTGCAGCTCACGCAGAGTCCGGATTCTCCCAATTGTCTTCAGATCTTCATTGTCAATCCGGTTCCGCGACAAGTTGAGTATTGTCAAACACTGAAGGTTCTCCATTCTATGTGGCAATGTTCGGAGCAGGTTTCCGTGCATATCAAGGTTCTCAAGCGATGCTAGTACTAATCCTTGAGAGTCCTCTTCTCCATTTGCAAAAGTCTCAGGCTTTCCCACAGGGAGAAGGCTGTCCTCGATATAAGTTATTTCATTGTCTGCCGCTATTAGCTTAACGAGATCTACGCTTTCCGCCCATGACCCATCTGCGATATCATCATTCATGTCATACATGCTGAGGATCTCGGCGGGTAATTGTTTCAAGCCCATCGCAGCGATGTTCAATTTACCGTCCATTCGAGCAGATCTTATGCGTTTGTTGAGAGATGCGCTATTATTACCGCTGAGTATGACTTCTGGAAACGAATCATTTCCAAATGCAGCACCAGGAGCATTTGGAAATGTCGAACCAGTACGATGTGCTGCCTTAGCTTTGGCAATAGTCTGGCGTAGCGCGGCAGAAGATTTAGGAGAATCTGTGATAGAGGAGAATTTTGTCGACGTCTCTATCTTTCCTTTTGGCTTTTCGTCGCTAAGTGTTCCGGGCCGCTTTGTTGGATGCTTTGAATCCCTACTGCTAGAAAAAGCAGGTTTTGGAGAGCCACGCACTGACCTGTCAGTCGCTTCTACAGCTACTCGCTGTCGAACTTGGCTCCTCGGCATCGGAGTCCTTGTTGCTGGCAATTTGGGAGCTATGCGACCCCTAGTATGCTGATTCTGTTCTTGTATTTGGCGATCTGAGTCTGCTGACTTACTCATTGAAGACCTACTGCCAATGGAACGGTCCAGCTTCGATTTGGCCGTGGATAGCGTTCGTGATTCAGACAAAATGTCTCTCCTCGGCTCCGGTGGGGTTGCAGCTGAGGTATTCCTCACGGGTGGGGCAATGGAGCGTTTCATTGGAGAGGCGGGTCTCGATGAAGAAAAACTTGGTGGCAGAGGGGGCACAGAATCCCGAGAGATGCTAGGTCTACGACTACTCAAAGAAGTATGTGGCCGTGTTGGCGATGTCATTGGACTTTGAGCAGTAAAGAAGCTCGACCGTCGGCGTGCAGGAGATGGCGTGGGAGGTATCCTTGAAAGTGTTTCCATCGTCCGATCCGATAACGAAGGCCGCGGCTTACGGGTTCTATTGTGAGAGAAGGCTTTCTCTGTCGAACTCTGGTCGACAGTAAAGTCCTGCGAGCTCTGGGGCAGAGAGCGATTGCTGTCTTCTTTCATCGTCCCATCTGCCTGAAGCGGAGTTTGGCTAGATGGTGGTATCGCAGACTGTGCTTTGCTAGGTCTACTGGGGTACTGGAAAGCTGAGCCAGATGGCTTTCGTTTGGCATTGAATATGGGAAGCTTGGACGCTCTTGGAATGCCCGAAACCCTTGGAGTCCCAGAATCCATCCTTGATGCAGTAGACCGCGAGAACAATAGAGATCATCGCATGATAGAACGCTATCAATCGATATCGAAGCCCTGCACGCAGGATATAGTCAAGAGCTACGAGATTGCTATGTCGTCGGTTGCTGGCAGACCAGCGGAGGTCAATAAGCTTGGTTACATTGCCGCCAACTTGTAATTTAGCGCGCCGTTGCTTCGGCAGCCGCACCGGTCGCACACGACCCATGCACGCTCTGCACGTGATCCCAACCTCCACCAGCCACCCCTCAATCCACGCAGAAAGAGTTGAAAGTCCTCAACCCGCAAAGGATACGGCTTCTAGCACAATGGTAGCGACTGTCTGGTACTATGTGGCATAAGCGTCCGACCGCTGAATCTGCCTTATCTAGCCCGTCCCTTACATTCTGTCCATAAGACAATCGCCTAGAAACCACATTACACCCTCCAGGCATTCAAACCCCCATGAGCACGGCTGAAGATACGGTCTCTCAATATGTCACAAACCACAATACCTCGAACGCCAACTCCCGAGCCGCTACTCGATGATGATCTGAGCTCAATCGCAAGCCCAACTCGCTCGAAGAGCCCTTTCTCTGGTTCTCATAGCCGCTTGTCAGCCATAATGACAACACCACCTCCTTCGACCCAAATTCCGAACCCGATTGCAAGGCCTTTGAGTGCGACTTCGTTTGATAGGGGGAGCTTTCACTCGCATCACCACCTCCGACATTGCGGCTGGAACCTCCGATATCCGCCGGAGCTCTATTTGGCGAAGTACCTTCCATGGAAACGGTTGAAGGTATGAATGAAGTCGAGGTTCGAAGCCTTCTTTCTGAGCTGTTACCGGCTTTGGGAGAAGCCAGGATTACTGCAGCCCATTCCAAACTTCAACATAGTCTTCTCACCATTGAGACGGAAGAATCAAAGAAGAGAGCTGAAGTTGAGCATGAAGCGACAAAGCGCGAGGTTCAAGTACTTCAGGAAAACAGTCCTGCCCCTGCTCACGTGATGAGCCCGATCGCGTCTCCACAAACACCTTCTCAAAGGACTACGGAGATTGCCCTGTCACATTGTCGAGACTTGCAACGAGAAAATGGAGTGCTTGAGAAACGGCTGAAAGCCTCTAAGAAGCTGATTGCTCGGTTGGATAGCAAGAATGCTGATCTCACAGACCATATCCAATTACTTCGCCAAAGAATCAAAGACAACCGTAATCATATGAACGACCTGCAGGACCGTGGCATCATATCACTCACTGGTACGCCTCGTCATGAATTCGCCACCCCAAATAATAGGGAACCCCCGAGAACACCGGCTACTCGTCGATTAGCTGAAGACATTGGCAGTCGGCAGACTCCTTCGCAAACTCCCTTCGATACCCTCCTACAGGCTGCGAATCTGAATAGCGCGGGTTTTAGTGTTCCCTCAAGTCCCAGCCAACAGCGACAGAGGGGGGTTCACAGTCACATGCGTGGGACACACTCACTTTCATCGTTACCGACGACTCCTCAGCGGAGGCCAGTCACTGCAGAAGCAACTATGACTGGGCCGTCAGGGAGGTTTGAAGACCATAAGGTCAACTTTTCAGCTTCAGGTACTCAAAGCCGACCACAGGATGACCGTGAGAGTACAATCTCCGCTTCAGATAATGAAGACAACCTGGATGATGAAGACGGCCTTCCGGGCTCGCAAGCGAGTCAAGTTGCTTCACAAATGCTCCGTCGGACGTTGGAGGGACAAAATAGCCACAGATCTCCCTTGAAAGAGCATCTGAGTCCTAGTCCAATGAGACAGTCAAAGCTATTTGGTCACACGAAGAAGCCTGGTACAATGCCATTGAAACGACCGGCGGACGATGATGTCTACGATGATTCAATCAGAAAGAACAAACTGCAGAAGACAGCACATCGAGGTTCGGATAGGATAGGCTTGGGGATTGGAAGCTGGCCAAGCCCTGGATGATGGGTGATCTGAAATTTTGATTACTAGCTTGCTTCGTAGTTCACCAGAGTACCCCTTAGTTATGCTTATTGCCAAAGTGCTATGCAAAATCAAAGAATCGACATGATGATCGAATATCCTCTGCAGTCCTTGCAGCTCTAACCTCCAGGATGTCCCGATCGCGATAAGTCCCTGAAATTTGCCCAACAGTACGTGTTCATGTGTACTGGGAAGTCAAGGAACTCATGTCTTGTTAGATCAAAGCCAAAACAATGGATCTCACTCTCCAAAATATTCCTCACCACAGATCCTTCAAGGACTTTCGTCAGCCCTTTGCGTCTCGACTACATCATCATTCGGAATCCTGCCATTTTGGTATTGCCACAATCGACTCAACTGTCTGACAGTCTTTCCTTTTGCCTCATCTGCAACTAACCTGCCTGTGGGCGTCCGAGAAAAGGTCATCACAACACTGCCGTCTTTCGATCCGTAGCCCCTTCGTTCCCCATTCCCAAAATCTAGCATGCCTTTCGACTTCAATTGTTCAAGTTCTTCCGCGGCAACGGTTTCTCTTCTTGCGACTGTGACCTCATCAACGTTGACGACGCGATCGAGGAAGGGCTCCATTAATTGGTTCTTCTTGCCTAGCCGTTGACGCTCTGGCTCAAGGTAAGGAAACATGGCATCGAGATAGTGTTGAGCGAACATGTGGCCTCAAATAGGAGTCAGAAAATGATTTTTCGATGATGAAACGGATTTATTTACCTGAAGTCGCCATGTTCAGAAACACGGCACCAAAATAACGAGTTGATAACATTGTTTGTGTACTATGAAGAACGCCCCAACGTGGGACCATATCATACTCATTCGCATAGCTGAAGGCTTATTACTTCCTGATCCGTCTGGACTTAGGAAACGATTGAAACTTACTGCTCAACGTGAGAGATGACGTATCGGGATCTCTTGAGACCCTTACTAATCGTGAAATGCTCATCCTTTTCGGGGACAGCTACCGTTGACATTGGAGGGTTAGAAAAATGTGAAGCGGCTGACCCGAAAGTGTAGACCTCGAGTTTCGACATGATTGAAGCAGGCAACTCCGAGAACAGTTCGTCCAAAACTAGAGAAATGATTATTCCACCTTGTGAATGGCCAATCAAGATCACCTTTGAGACCCATGGATCGCAGATGATGACCTTGATTTGCTCGTAGGCTACCCGTACATCCGTTGTTGTATAGGCGAAGACACGCTGCACCAAGCACTCCAGAATATCGGCTAGCAGGCCATACGTCTGGTTATGGATGCCCATCCTTCATCAAATCAGAGTCAGCATTGCTTCTTAAGACTGCGAGAAGGAGTCATAGAACACGTCTTTTGAGTCATGACTCTGAAAACATCACTCACACTTGGCGACCAAAGACCTGTGCCAAACGGTTGACATCTCCTTGGAAATTGCCTTGACCACATGCACAACCATTGATGAAAACCCACCGCTCGCCTTTGTGCTGACTGACGGTGGATTTGCTTGTGTCGTCGACCTCGGAATAAACGATTCTGGGTCCTTCCATAGGCAGTACGATCAATTTGACCAGAAGGACTTCAATGCAAACAAGAAGTAGAAACCCAAGCCCGGGAAGAACGATCATCGCCGGTAAGAGTACGATAAGGAAAATAGCTTGGAGAATAAGTAGGAGTATTTGAAGTATTGTCTCCTTTGTGTGCCTAGCACTGGGATACAGCTCGCCTTGCCCATCTCTTGTGTGGTAGGGTAGGAAAAGCCAGGGAAGATAAGGGAGCGACTTTACCAGTGTGCCAGCGTCTTGGAGGAACAAACGCAAGGGACTTTGGCGCAAAGCTCGCTTCGAGGCGATTGCTAACGGGTCTACCTGGGTTGGCACATAGTAAATTTGTTTCTGAACCTCAACACCAGCCTTTGTACGAGCCATCTTAATAAAGTGTTGGCGCGCAGCGAGCAACGTTTGAGTACTTCGATCAAAAAGCCATAGATAGTGACGTCGAAAATGTACACGATGCGCTTTGAGAATACCTGTTAAGAATAGGTCCTTTGCAGGCATGAGCAGCTGATCACATGCTCAGCTGACGTACCAGGCTTCAGTTGGCACCAGCTGCAGTGCTCAGGTGAAACTTCGTTCACCCTGCGGAGAGACCACGTATCGACTGTGGCTAAATTGAGTTGCCTGGTGAACGTTGGGGTTACCACGGAAGCAGACCAGAATGAAATGCGAATCTCAGCCGACGCCCTGAACGTTCCTCGGGATATGCTTTGCTATGCTGTAAGGGATCGCTGCACGTCTGACAGTTAATAGTAATACTCTTCGACGACTCTCCATTCAATGTCATTGTCGTCGCTCTGCATCACAGAAGTAGCCCCAGTCTTCCCGTCGGTCTTCTCACATATGGTTTCGCAGGGCAAGACACCGTTCCCAATCCTGTAGACGCAATCCCAGTTCTTTTGCCTTGTCACGCCTTGACAATCTTCGAGCAGTTCGGTCTGCTCTCGCCGACGCCATCTTTCAGCGGTCAGCTGTTCTTCATCCTTCAATATCCCCTGACACCATCCCCCAACCTTGACGACTAGGCCTTTGACCCTTTTCCCAGGGTCCTCGCCTCTAACAACTATGCTGCTCTTATTGCCCTTCTTTCCGAAGGCTTCGACCGGTAGATCTTCCCACATCTCTTCGTACTTCTGCTCCAACCCGGTATGGGTATCGACATTCACGCCCTCCTCGAGCACAAGCCCATCTTCCTGAAGTCTCATGTCTGCTTCATCACTTACGGCTGCATCACTCTGATTGTCAATCCAGTGGTCCCAGACTGTATGCCAACGCATCAATTCTCCATTCTCATTCTTAGTCTCCTTCGAATTTCGGGATCTTCCTGCGAAAGCCCACTGTAAAGTCGCACCGGTGAAGACATGGTTCTCCTTATGGTGGTCCTCTGTAATTATGCGAATATCGACGAAGTAGGCATCTTTTGACTGCAACACGATTGTAGATGTTGGCTCTATGCTTTCTCCTGGTACCTAGATTGCGAATCTCAGTATGATACGTACATTCCGGACAATTTCAGACGGACTAAACGGTAGTGCTTCCGCAGTGAGATGAAGGGCACGCCCATGTGAAGAGATCAGCCAGCAGTGTTGGCAACGGTTTCCAGATTGTCAGTTTCTTAACAATTTAGATGGTAGTTTAAGCTTGTCAATAGTCGGATTTGACCTCGGTTTGAAGCTCGGAAATCGATCTTTAAATCGTTGCCAAATCTGGATCGTCAGCGATTGCCTCTACTGCCCCCAAAATGGCAAAGCTGAGATTGTCAACTAACAAATTTCTACGAGTCTAGGATTGGGCAAAACGCTTAAATAGAAGTGTGAAAAACAGTCACTAGCGATGATCCGGTACCGCATCTCGACTGTTGCAGCTTGTACTCCCTATATCCATGATAGAAAGATATTATATTCATCTTACAATTCCTACACCGGTGAACGCTGCTGCCGCCCAGGTATGATATATGCGAACCAGGACGTTCTCAGGCCGTCGTGATACTTCTTCTTTCAAGCGGCACAAAATACTTTTCTTTGGACCATCCCGAGCGAATACTAATGCCGACGCATCCGGTCAAATGATCATACATCGTCATTGTTGTTCATCGAAAGTCACCCCTTGAGAGTAAAAGTCCTCGAGAATGCTCGCAAGGACGGGAGCTACGCTTTCGTCCGTGGTTCGAATGGTGACGCGAAAAAGCTATCATCACTGTCAATGTGACGGACACATAATAAAAGGGGTATTTCATACCTGAGAGTCCCAATTTGGCTCCAGCCGCATCAGGCAGCCCACCTTGCTGGAACTTGTATGACAGACGCTCGCTCCGACTACATTCCTCTCATTTGAATCAACATTTTTCAACACCTCCCATCCAAGCCTTTCAGTTATTTGCTTCATCCAGTCCATATCACCCATCCGACGACCATTGGTTAACCCGAAGACCCGTTGCGATTCTCGAGGTGCTCCACCAATCTGACGCCAACGTTTGAAAAAGTCATCAGCATCTAGCGGCGCTTTATCTATGTATTTGTGTAACAGTACAGGTAGTTGAAGGGTCAGAGCTTGTAGTGCGCCCGCAAGATAACTAATACGAATCGTTGGTGGGAGCGAAAAAGCGGCTTTAGCTTCGAACATTGTGGTCTGCTGTGCCTGCTCTTGAGAGTTGATGTTCGTCTCTGGGACAAATTTCGTATCAAGTCGCAATTGGGAAGCCGGGTTAGGGTTGTCGAGGGTAGTTGTGAAGGAAGCAATGGCAGACGAAGAGCGATTTGTGAAATAAAGGATGAGACAACCTAAAGCACCGCGGTACTCTGAGCGAAGACCGACCTGAATCTGTGCATCCTCATAGAGGACACCCTCTGCCCTAGCTAAGAGTCGACGATAGCCAGGTTCCCAACCAGGAGACAAATGAGCTGCTGAGGCAAAATTTGGGGGTTTAGAAGACGGCCCATTGACTAGACCCTCCAAATCAGCTGAAGAACCGTTCAGCTTTGGCGAGCCTGAACCGTTTGTGAGTTTCGTGGTGCTGTCGGTAGGAGATAATGTTCCGTTTGCATTGGGCGTAAAGGAGCGCTTGAGTCCACGGGCTTGAGCTAGTTGGTTTTCCTTTGCATCTGCATTGGCCCCTCGCCCGCCAACTATATAGGTGCGTTTGTCACTCGTTGTAGCATGTTTACTATGCAGTCTAGAAAGGAGCGCGGAAGTTCGTTCTGGAAAAGGCGGCATCTCATCGCAGACGGTGCGCAAGAGGTCGTCGGTTGGTAGCGTAGCAAGTGAGAGGTACTCGCAAGCACGTTGTTGAAGCTCCGAATCAAGAGTATGGCTGTATGCGGTGAAAACATGGAGAAGCTGAGGCTTAATCTCAGGGAATAGATTAACAAATTTGATGAAAGAGGATAACAGGATGGCTCTGGTGCTTGAGGAGCAACCCTGCATTTTATGCTGCAATGCCAGGAATTGCTCGATGGGACTACAGCCCCTTGTGTCGGCTATCAGATGACCAAATTCGCCGAGAAGGTATCCTCCAATCTTGACAAGAGTCTCGTGACACTGCTCAGCTTTCAAGTATCTCAAGATGTTCTGAGCTGCGTATATCTGCAGCTCTTCGTTGTTTGTGACAACTTGAATGACCCGATGCCAGACTTCATCACTGACATGATCGCCCGCCATGGCAATCAGTCGCAATGAGATATCGACGTACCACTGTACATCTGTGGCATACTTCTCGGTCAGTATCGCAATCTTCAGCACCATTTCTTCACGTATGGCAAAATCAGCGCTCTCGAGATATTTCAGTAACTCATTAACGATTGGCTGTGAGTTGGTCGAATCACACATGCTGTAGAGAAGGTCCAAGCCCTTCCTTCTCACACTAATGTCTCGGTCGCGCAAAGCTCCCATGATTATATTCTGGTGCCGCTTGATAGGATCTAAGGTTTCTGCTCGAGCAGCGAAGTGTGTCATCGCCTCAAGACCTAGATATCTAATATTAGTCTCACGAGACTGAATAAATTTCCCAAGCCTCGAGGATATTTGCACCATCAATTGATGCTCGTCGTCGAGGTGTATCACAAGATTGATGGCTTCAAATAGCACTGCATTTTGGGCATTATTTTGTTGCACGTTCTTAGGCATAAGCATCGCTTCGTGAAGTATTTGCTGTAACGATTCTCTGATAGTGCCACGTACATATGTGTCCTCTAACATGGAATTAGCATCTCGCTGTGGCCTTATTATCTTTCATAATCTCACCTGAAGGGGGAAAGTACTGCATGAGTCGTAGTAGCTTTACCTGTATCCATGGACAGGGCACCTTGTAGTAGAGGTAATCAGGGGAGATGTCGCTGTCGACAACAATTCTTTTCAAGCGCTGTGCTGCTTTGACATAAGCTCCTTTATATTGGTCCTGCTGATCTTGCGCTAGTGCCATTACGAGTGAGGTGATAGAAAGCGTGACACCCATATCTGGGTCGTCCATGAGGGATATTATTCGTTCGGCCCATTCTTGCTGGACTATACTTGGATACTTTCTGTACAGCCGTAGGAGTGTAAGTGCGGCCTTTTTCTTGACAAAAGCTTTGGAGGTACTTGTAGCAATTAGCATCGGTATGTTTGACAGGATATGCCGCCTACGGAGATATGAGTAGCCGATGAACGTCTCCACTCAAAGCCTCCCCCATTTCCCTACCTCCAACGTTTGCTATTGCATGCAGCGCTAAGCAATTGAAAAGTTCGTTGTGATCCATTAGATCCTTGCGGATGCTGTTGACAACGAGGTGAAGCAGCTCATGTTGTTCGTGAAGGAAGAGAGTAACGGCAAGGTAACCAATCTGCTTCTCTGAAAATTTGTTCGCCGATATAAGATTGACAGCTTCAAGATGGCCAAAGTCGACATTCCAACCCAGGATATAGATGTACAACAGCTTGCATACGTACTTTTTCTTGTGATAGCCATTGAGGTTCCCATCTTTGAACTTCTGCCGTATATTTGCAAGCTCTTTATTTATCCTCTTCTCTTCCAAGTCTCGCGCTCTTGCATTTCGAAGGTCCGCTATGAATTGCACAAGGCCTCGCATTGACGTTTGACCACTCCCACTTGACCTCCCAAGAAAACCGCTTGCCGCCGACGACGCCATCTCCAGAGGGCCGCCAGCGTTTCTTGGGCACCAACCCTAGTTTTTATCGTATAATACTGTTAAGCCGACTATTCATCATAAATCAATCTCATCGTTCGAGGAAGCAGTGCTGTTAGCAGCAGCTTGGGCATTGGCGCTCTCTTGGTCATCGGTGGTTTCCGTCAAAGGACTTCAAAATCCCACATGTTTCTCACGAATTTGATCTCACTTGCGAGGCCGCGGACGTCTTAGCCTCAAATTGACAATTATCACAGAGTTGCGCCGATACATCCTCAAAATGCGACTTGCTGCAGAATGTCACTGGTGCCAGCAACGGAAACAATTCCGAAGAAAGGCTTGGTATGCAGTGGTAGGGCTGACTTAGCGAGGTTTCCCACTTCCGTATGTAGGACGCTCGTTACTCCCGTTGAACGCGACATAGACAAGGACAGGGTATTGTTCACTGTGTGGTCATTATGGTAATACACATATCCTAGCACTTCAGTTGCAGGACTCAAGGCAAGAAATTTTGCAGCTCATAGGCTAATTTCTGCAGGCCATCAAACACAATCAACAGATCCCACACAACCGTAGTTTTGCATCCTCCTGAGTTACAATTACGTGTTCATTGACATCGCACAGACTTCCGAAAGGACTGGCAACGTCGAGTCCGTACACACTTCGATCAGGTATGCTCGCTCTCAATACCGAGCTTCCCCGCTTTGTAGGTTGACGTCTGCTTCCAGCCCGGAAGGAAATCCCGACGCCGCGATGCTCGTAAAGCAAAGGCAGCTGCAGTGGCCCCGCGGCCTGTCGATAAACTCAGGCCTGTCGTTCGTTGCCCAACAATTAAATACAACCGTCGCGTCCGCGCCGGCCGCGGTTTCAGTCTCACAGAACTAAAAGTATGAAGCGTGAATATAACTACATTTGAAGCACATGATGCTAAGTTTGCCGCAGGAAGCGGGCATACCAAGAAAATTAGCTCCTACAATTGGGATTTCTGTCGACCCTCGTCGCCAAAATTTGTCTGAAGAGTCTCTTGTCGAAAATGTCAAGCGACTCAAGGCCTACCGTGCGCGCTTGATCCTCTTCCCACGTAAATCCGGTGAACACAAGAAGAACGACTCTTCGAGGGAGGAGGTCGAGGCAGCCCTGAAGTCAGACAATATCACAAGTAAAACGCATTCTGTCCTACCGGTCGCGAACGTCGCAAGGGCAGAGGCTGTGAGTGAGATTTCGCGAAGTGACCTGCCTAAGGGAACCGAGAAAGCGTATCGAACACTCAGAGATGCTAGGAGCGAGGCAAGGTTGGTTGGCGTTAGGGAGAAGCGAAAGAAGGCCAAGGAAGAAGAAGCTACCGCCACGAAGAAATAGAGATTGATGCAATTGAGATGTAGGGCGTCATGAATGTGTGGAGCGGGGGGCTCATTTTGCAGAATTGCTCAGGTCGCCGTACAAAGAGCGACAACAGCAAAAGACATCACTCCAATCGTGATCTCGTCTATCCCATTTACTAGCTGCTTTCTGTCGGGACGATTGCGTTAAAGGCTCCACTTGCGCCATTTTCGTAAATCTAGCATTTGCTCATGGATTCGTGACTTCGATAATACCAAGCTTCCCTATTTCCTTCTGCTATAGACCGATCGAGAGCGTGATCCTACTGGGCAGCCACCGGGGGAAGCAAAGCAGAATATGTTTGTGAAGGATCCGGTAGCTTCACGGTCAGCATCTCAAACAATTATCCCAAAAATTGGAAGGTTTCTCTAATGCCGTTGTCTAGGACCCAAATGTTTTCTGCTTATCGTGTAAAAGCTGTCCTTACTTCTGAGCTAACTCCAAATAAAGACATTAGAGCCGCATGTATGCGTGCGACCTATGATCGCAATATGTTCAGTGATTTTTTTCACATGCAAATTCTGGTCATAAACGTATGTGGGTCTTTGAGCGCCGATAGCTTCTCATTCCTCGATCGCCCTGAAGCTCCCACCGTAAGCTCCAGCTGTGGGCCGAATAAGAGAATTCGTGCGTGGATCTTCGAAGTTGTATAGAAGGTGAACACTGTGGACCACGAGGCTTCAGTCTGGAGGCGCCGGTACCTCTGAAGACAGTTCCTTTTGAGTCTTGTCTGGTCTTCGCTAAATGGCATTGATGACAAAGTAGTGAAATTGAAACCCTCAGGCCATGATTGGTGTATAGAAAACCAACACTATCACGCTTGGTCCTATCTACTGAAGGACTCAGCAAATCTTTCAAGCCGCAGATATCTTTGCATGTCGAAACACCATTCCGTCCTTTCTAGGAAGCTGTAAAGTACCGACTTTTAGTTCGCTCTCAGAAGTAATTATGGCTGGATATTAAGGTGGAAAGCTCGCTAAGGTGGAAAGAGGATGGCAACAAGATCATTGATCGCATAAGTAATGCCTTTGGCTTGAAAGAGCTCTGCAAAGGCTTTTTCAACGTGAGCCAAGTCATGTCGGATGTCCAAGTGGTGCCAATAGGGAGGAAATGTTGGTTTCAAAGCAATATCGCTTTCGGCCTCGCCCGCACTGTTGACCGAGACGTGCCAGTCTACTTTTAGTTTGACTGACGATGCTGAGAATTGGATCGATCGTAAGCCGAAGTCCGAGGCCTGAGGTTCCGATATGGAAGTTGCTCCAAGCAGTTGGACGAAATCCATTTTGCACCGAGACCAGCAAGCTTTTCTCATTGTTGCTATTTTTACGTAACTAATTATAGCAGTGCTTGTGTTCATCAATGTTTTTTCGGATGTCACGTTAGAAAACCAGGGAAGCAGCTCCTTCTCCGCCCAGGATACTAGCTGCGTGTCTGGCATCTGTGCTATCGTTTGAGAGATTGGCTCTATTGACAACGCTATTTCGGCAATCTTCTGCTTGTTCGGCGATGAGACTACCACACGCTGCTCAATGATTATGTCAGACGAGGCTGAGAGGTTTACTTCGGAAGACAGAATCTTGATAGCCAGGGAGACTTCTTCGTGTGTCTCATCCCTAGTTGAATTATTACGGGACACGCCAGCCGCGAGGAGACGAGGGCGTGAGAAAGGCAGGCACTGAATTAGCCGGCGGTTGATGGATTCCGTCCCGGATCTTGAAACGTGATTCAAGCTGCTTTAGAACAATTAGCTTTCCCCGATTCATCGTCGGCTTTGGACTCACGGAGACTCGATTCCATCAAGTCCCTCATCGTCTCGACTCCTCAGATTTCGTAGGCGCTTGATCTCTCGGGCATCCTGTGCCACAGCCCTTCTTTGCTTTGCCAGCTTCTTGCGCCCTGTTGAATCTGGTGTGAGACAGCCAGACAGAAAGGTGCCGCTGGTAAGCTCGTCCTGCAACAGCTTCAATCTTGTTCGAAGAAGGTTTAGAGATTGGCCATGATCTCCGGTCTCTGTGGGAGGCATATCTGCAGCGTACTTGGGGGCATTTTTTAATGGAACACGTGGTCCTAACAAGAGAAGGACGCGTTCTGCAGATGCGTGCTCTTTCAAGGGTGAAGATTTGATCTGAGCCCGATCTCGGCGACTACTTCTTCGACTTGGGCTATGAAAAAGCAATCCTCTTGGCTTTTCCAGAGGAGCTTCCAAACCCAGCTGGGAAGGGGTAGATGGTAGACTTGGTTCATCGTCATCATTCCACTCTTTCGCTCGATCAACATTCTTTCCGTGCCTGGCTGTAGGCGTTTCCATTGCTATGCTGAGCTCTTGCATGCGTTTAGTGCCGTCCGCCCCTATTGTACCAGGGAGCTTTGAAGGAGTAGCATTCAGATTTAAGGCTACAAGTTCATCTGTATGATTAAGCGAGCCGTTGGTTTTGTTCTCCGGCCGTGACTTGCCGGAGGTTCGGGGTTTGCTCAGATCTTCCTGAGCGATTTCGAGGGCGCGGTCTTCAGTCCTCGCTCTTCGTGAAGTTCTCTGCTGACTCGCCGCTCTGTGAGGTTCGGCAGAGCCAGATCGCTGTAATAAGCTTGGGTTGAAACGCGCAAGACTTGCTTTCGTTGGTGACATGTACGATGATCGTTGTGCGGAGTGTCGGGAGCCATTTCGAACAATGCCATTGTTCGTATTTGACGCGGTGACTTGGATAGCGGTACCGGGTGAGGTTTTACGCCTTTTGGATGGAGAGTATTCCATTTTCGAATGGAGTGCTGAGTATTGCGACAGACTATCATCGTTCGTTGGGACAGGCTGAGAATATATCGCGACCGTCTTACAAGACGTGAACGCGCCAAAGCTCTAAAACAAAGACGGAATTGGTTCCATGTTCTAGAATCAGTATAGCTCCCGCGGGTCCACCCCTAAGTAGCTATATCGTTAGAATAGGGGAACGTCGTCTTTCATCTAGTGAACGACAGGTATCTCTTGTAAATCAATGTATTCGCGGTCCAATTTGGACTTATTCCCTTTTACACATTTTTTTTTCTTCGATATATTTGTTGTATTCTGCTGCTAAGATCCTAAGAATCATCAATCTAGATTCAAGAATCGTTCATCAAAGTCTATCCCTATGGCTGGCTTTAGTGGTGTCTATCTTTTTTAAGGGTACCCTCTGGACGTAGATTGTATTTCAGGGGATGGTCTGGCTGAGAGCATTAGGGGAATTCCCAGGTTGGCATAATAAGGCTTAAAGAATCAGCCACCACGCCAGCCGAAGGAACCCTGCCGCAGAGCAGCCTTTCAAATCAAGGAAACGTTCATCCTTGCTAAGACTCATCAGACTTTCCAACAAGTACATTGCTTGGTCTCCACAGCTCAGTGTTGATGATTCAATCCAACGGCCCACTGTCATCAGGCGGCAGATGATAGTGGGCCGGCGATCCTAGAAAGCTACTATGTATCTTGTCTATGAGCCTGTTCAGTGGTTTATGTTGCGCAACTTTTAAGGATGTTTTGATTATGGGCCTTCAGCTCACCCTAGTGACCAAGTAAAGCGCGTTACGTGACTCTAGTCGATGTTCAGCAGCTCGGACGTCCTGGTTCTTGACTGAAAGACAGTCTTAAATATAGCAGGCGTTTATGATGTCTTCGTTTCTTATCTGAATGTTGCCTGAGCTAGAGAGGAAAAGAGTATACTTGGATTGAAGATTTAAATCCATCTCCTTGGGTCATCGTGTGAAGGAAGATCTCCCAATTCTGTTCGTCGACGGCTTGGAGAGGTTTGCCGCATTGCTTTTCTATCGTCCGGGAGGGACCTCCCTTGAGTGGTCTCATCAACTCAATGTCTAGTTTGAAACGCATTCATATCATCCTCTTCCTCTTGAGATAATCTGTACGCCTACTTCACGGAAGGAAGGGGATGTTGTTGCAATCCTAGATTCAACCCTATCTCTTTAAACTCTGCGGTTATCGTCTACATTCACAGCGTTGTTAGGAAGTGGTAACTTGCGCAACGGCCATACTACCATCTTCAAGTGGCAGTACCACCGCCATCACACGCTCATATCGCCATCCAGAAGGAAACCACAACATGGTTTACGCAATGAGATTTGAGGGGAGATTTGGACCCAAATGACTATCGGTAGCCCGATTGAGACTCGCCACTATATCATCCTGGTGAAAGAAGACTACAAACATTTTGACCAATCAATTACGCATTCTGCCCAAATAAACATCCCATGCTTCCAAGTTACTAAACATGGTACTGCAATCCCAAGACTACCGTTTGGCGCCAACAACAAACCAGCTTTTGCTCGTGCAGACCCTTTGCTGCCTGGGGAGTCTAGACGCGTTCGATTTTCTGTTCAATTCGTTGCGAATATACAGCTATACTAACTCTCCATTCAGCTTTCAAAGGAGTTAGGACTTGAATAGAGCAAAGCCACTGGTCCGCAACCACTTTTACCTTTTCTCTTGAGAACTTTTAAAGGAGAGCACTGATGATGATGCTCACATGCCACAGTCCCAGCTACTCCGGACCAAAACGGGGGAAATTTACTGCATGTTGGAACTACAATGATCTTCACAGTCTCGTACTCTCAAACGCCGGACTGGTCTACGCGACAGTCGACAGTCAGGATTCTACAAGTTTTAAGTCAGGCTCAATCTTGATAGGCTGTTACTACCATGCACCTGATACGCTTTGATCGTAATCGAAGAGCAATATCTTTAAAATGGTAGTTGTCTTGGTAGAAGGTCTTCTCCATCAGTGAGATTGACCTCATCCAAGAGAACATACTATGACCGAGGAGAGCCCACTGTCAATGAGCGTTAAATCGCTTTTGAAAAGGGACTTCGAAGATCTGTGATTTGAACACTTCGCATCAGCAAAATTTAAGTAACAAGGGCAATGAAGTAATCGAAGCGGCCAGCGACATGAGACAGATTACGGGAGGAACAAAACAACAGGATCATGCCTACATTTAACGACTGATCTCCCTGGTATTCGCAGCGACCCTAAATTATTATTACCTAGTCATAAGTTGTGAAGAGGTAAGGATAATGTCTTGGGCTATTTGCAAAAGCAAATGAGTCGAAATACTGATAGTATGTATTGTATCTGACAGGCTTCAAGCTGTTATAATGTGATCTGGTGGACTTCGAAAATTGATAGGAGAGTACAAAAGGAGGATGATGCTCGCTTGGCTTTGGATACGTTTAGATCTCAACGTCCTGAGGCAAAATGAAACCAATGGGCAAGGCCAAAACAGGGAAGTCTTTCGCGGCAAGTGCCAAACGGTATCCTCAAGATGAATGAGAAATATAATTTTATCTCCGCTGGGACCCCTGTTGGAACAAGGTCTATTCGCGAATAGCCACTATTAGACCAAAACAGATGCCAGTCATCGAGACACCAACTTTTCGGAGCGCTTGTCAGATACGCTCCACTTTTGACATTACCTTGTAAGACTTCACAATCCTTTGAATGAGCTCTGTTAATACCCCTTGCAGACTTTGACTCCTTTTACGTACACAGATAAGTTCGAGAGGGTTCTCACGCAAGCTAAACTCAGGCATTCTTATTACCTGGAGGTGGTGAAATTGGCAGTAAGCCAAGGAGCCATACTTGCACTTTTCGTTGCTCTATACCATGTTTCTGAAGGCTATCATTGGTAGCATTTGGCTTACTTCTGTCTCTTGTTCTGCTATGATTCCTACTTACTCAGGAGTTTGTGCAGGAAACGTTTCTGGTTATTCAGCTGAGTTAGAAGTGAAGCTTGGGGTCCCATTTATCCGATAATTGACAATCGACAGAACCTACGATATTCCAAATACTTCACCACCGATGTCGCTGAGATTTGCACCATTCACCCATGCTTCCTTACTTGATTGCAGCCTTTTGATAACGACGATTTTGAAGTCAATACCTTACGTCTGCGGCCACTCCGCTACAGATGATTTTGAATCGGCAAGTTTTGAAGAGAAGAATGTTCAGCTCTCCCTTCGTAACTCTGCCTCGCCCTGTGGACCACTGAAGTACCAGGAGGCATGCACGGCTCTAGTAGGTCTGATGGTATATCTTCAGCCCAAAAGCAATCTTCTGGAAAGTCACTTCGACATAATTGTGGCTGAGAGTGTTACAGGAGGAGGAGCAATCGAAAGAATCTCAGTGACGGAAGCAAGCCAGAGTTTTTAAGTGCTTTGCCAGCGAGCCTCATCTCGGTGGTGAGGGGATCCTTTGTGTCTCTGGAAATTAGCTATCGTACTTCTATCTACTCCCAGGCCGTTTCGACTTTTCGATTTCTGGGGTTGAAACCCTTTCCAGAGGGTTTAGTACAGCTTCACGACATGATCGGGTCTTGGCCCCTGTTTTCTTGATCGCGAGATTTTCTTTACTCTTGATCTAGAGGAATTGTCGCCCAGCTTTCGTGGTCAAAACAGACAATGGATAAATCTCTGCTAGAAAATCAGGTTTAGGCGAGACACCTCGGACTGATGTGGCAACAAGCTCTGTCTCCTGGGTATCTTTCCGGGTCGTTCATGGCTATGTATAAGACATGGCAGTACTGTCAAGCCCACTCGAAAGACAACACATCTTGCGGCACTTGCCCATCAATCCGACGTGTGTGATGATGTCGAACCCCCGCTGCCCAATGCGCGCATGCTATTTAACAATCGCAGCGCTCATTTACGCTTCCTCCGCGACAAGAACTATTCAACCGTCACTGTAAGCGACGTTCGAGAACGCGCGAGCTTGAATCTGTAATGATCAATGCTCTCATTCCTATACATCCGCTTAGGATAGTGGCGCAAGAATCTTCAAAGGACTGAGACAAGGGGATCGGATCGCGCTTCCCTCGTCCCCTAGCTGAAGCTTAGAGACTCTGGCACGGTCCGCCTGACAGATTCAAGCCTGCGCATAGTTCGCATGTGGTATGCGTAATTTTGAGTCTGATCCGCAACCACCTAATGGACTAATAGTAGTACTAGCTCCTGTCTTCGGCCAGCTCGTAGATTTTTCTTGAAGTCAGTGAATACCTCCAATGACTCCTGCGAGTACACCTCTACGCTTCGCGCACCCTCGTTTCCTGTCACGTACTGGTCTCTTTTGTGTTGGATGCCGACCTCATGCTGCATTTGGAGAGGAGTCCCGTATTCCCATCTCCCGCAGGTGGCTGCGAACTCGGCCTCATGAGCAACCTGCTCAGTTTCCTCACCCTGGACAACGAACAGCAACAGAAAGTAACTCATTTCGGGGCGGGGCAAATCGTACAATTGATCAAGCACCAAATGAGTCGGGCATACTTTACCAGGATGCTGGAACCTTGAGTGAGGCGAATGAATTTATCCTAGAGAGCGAGACCTCGGAGAACAATAATCAGAACCCCAAATCGCAAGACTCCTACAGCCCAGAACAATACAGGCCTGCCACTACTTGGAACTCGCTTCGAACGTTCAAAGCCAGTGACTGGGACGAACATGCTCATTTACAATACCATGGGTTGGTCATCATCGTTAGACCATCCGAGAGGTTCTGCTAGCTAATGGTTCTCAAGTTTCATGCAGCAAAATCAAAAGTCGCGGCAACCGATTGAAGTCGAACAGGCTGTACACCATGCACTGATTGAACTCGTCACCCTAAAGCAGAATGGGTTGGACTTTGACCTGGCCTACAAACATGCGCAAAGCGTCCTAGAAGAGGAGTCTCTCACCATGGGGTCAGTTGTGTTTGAGCAGAACTCTACTGGAACTCCAACATTCCGATTCCTCAATCCGAATGACGAAAAGGCGCTTCTTCGGGCACTCAATGACGCCAAGCCAGGCCTCACGCCTAGCAAAACGTCGGAAAGCAAGATGGTCGTCCAAAATAGTGCACAGGAGATGAATGATGCGCAAGAGACGGATACAATTTATAAAGCGCAAATAGCATCGGAGCCATCTGGTGGTTCTCAGGAACTCGAAGAACACACCAGATCTGTTCTACAAGACAACACCGCTGTGATTGAACCTCAGGATTCTCCTGATGATACTTGGCACTCTGTTCGCCTCTCTGATCCGGAGATGAAATTTGCTGTCTTCAAGCGTTCGGCGCAACTTACCGGCCTCCGTATCTCCGATTGCTCTATCTCTTCAATCAAGGACGTCTCAGACCTGTTGCGATTTTTGAAAAAGACCCCGAAAGCAAAAAGACTCTCGGACGAAATTTCAAGCCAAAATGGCAGATTGAAAGGGTTGGAGGGGTCAGCCAATGTACAGGTATTCGCAAAGAAAAAGACGACAAGGGACAAAGAGGAGGAGGTGGGAAGATGGAAGGTCATCGAGGAAATGTTCAAACAAAAGGGGCTGGATGGCGGATCTCACAAGAAAACACTGGTCCATACTGCCTAGACCTTCGCAGGCTTTCGGAGATATCTTCATTCAAGCTCTTACTTGTTGATTGGACCTGCAAGGCTGTCGGATTCCTGTCAACTCTCCGGGAAAGACGAAGGCCTAATCCCGAGGTGCGAACCATGCTGTTCCAATATCAGTGAATAGCCCCTTACTATATGAAGCCAGGTCAGCAAGTGATCATCCGTTTACGCCCGATCTGAATGTTATAATGAGCGAGGTACCAAATCGGACTTCACCATCAACAAGTAGCAGGTAGCCCTGTCAAGATCTCTTTCGAGCTGTCGCTAATAGTCTTTGCCACCACGTTGCTGATGATGAACGCGCCCCTTGACTGCCAATTTGCGCAATGCTGCAAGCAGACCGGCTTCTTGTCCGCCCGTGAAGGGACGGGTTTTTTCGCCGCCGGGCACCCTTGATGAACAAGGGTCAATTGAAGATGACCTTCAAGGTAGCAAAGGGGCAGACACTTTAGCCAAGCCTATCTCCGGTCATCCTTGAATCGAGAACGCAATTGAAGGTGTCAGTGATCGACTAACGTTAGGGTCTAAATATACGAAGGACTTCGACGGCAAGGCTATTCAATAGGATTTCAGCTCTCATGGATCGAAGTCACGCTGTCATCGATCAATGTCTGTCATTAAAGGTTGAGATGCCTGGTCTACCTTCGTGAATGCGAACATGTCTGACGCTTGATCCCAGTCACATTGAGCGTACTCGCAATGAAGTATTTGGTACTCACCGTACTCCGACCATCAATATGCTACTTCACTCTTTGAACAATGCCACTGGTCTTTGTCGGTCATGGCTAAAATGGACATGATACTTTTCGGATTTCAAGGCACAAAGTCATTCACACGCGTCTCATGTCCAGAATGCTGTCCTGGTTCATGTTTCACGAAGTAAACAACATATGATTTCCTAGGCGACAGCCTTCTACTGCCTGCCATCCTCAGCTATACCCTACTACTCAAAGATATTGAGAAATCTTGCAATGTGAGACGAGGCCATCAACAATAGATCCTAGTCATTGAAGCCTGATTTAAAACTTCTTTATCATGTTCAGTCGATCTTCCTTTTTAAAGATCAATCAAGTTTGTTTGCATCCACTTCTGGTTGGTTAGGTACGAAACAATCATTGTTCCATTGGCCCTTTATTCCTATGCTAGACCGCGTCTCTTGCCAAAAGTATGAACAAGGCAATTCAGCTCCGACAACTACATTGTTCCAGCAATATGTCTTATCTTTTCCCTTACTTTCATATCTACCTTGACCTTCCATCTCTTCACACTCTCAAGACCAATCAGGAAATTCGAAACACGACTCAAATAAGTAAGCAATGTGTCAAACCGTCCTCAGAACTCACACGCACTGCCCCCATATCCTTCAGACACAACACGTCTCCTGCGCTAAACTGCTTACACAACCCAATCCCTTCCTCGGAGACAGCTGCCGTGTACCCACCATTGTCAAGGCAAAAGGTGACGTAGCCTATTGTGCATCTTGCTTCAATCAGAATGCTGACATAGGCTTGTGGATGGCGGTTGCCGAGGCAGACTTTCGATGGAAGAATAGAGGTGGTGATGCTAGTAAGGGAAACCGGAACAGTGAAAGGAAGCCATGGACTGAGGTGAGGATGGAGAGTGAAGCCAGGGAATTCCGAAATGGTATCGCTAAAGGGCTTGTTTGGGGAATGAGTAGCGTGAACTTAAGGCGGGGGATGCGGTAGATGGGTAGGGAGGAGAATATTGGAGGTGTTCGCTGTATTGGTGAGACAACCACACACTTCTAGCCCTGTATATTCCGCTATAATACAAAAGTTTAAACCCAACCGCCAATGCTACCAGCTGAGCAATGCAGACGCCTTCTAATACAATACTTATTATCTGAGAGGAGAGTCACGCTATGCATGTTTCGGAAGCACACCCATTCTGTTACGCCTGCCCTGCTCGCGACTGGCCCATCAAGCCTGGTGATCACTTTTTTGTACCCTCATTCTCAGCAACCTGTGACTTAGCAGCAGAGCTCAACCCTCCTTTCTCGGTAGTCCTAAAGGCGCGCTGCTCACGAGAGTGCATGGTATTTCCATCCTCCCTTGTCACATTGCCGGGTTCCGTCTCGAGCTTTTTGGTGACGTAGTCCGCTTGCTGCTTATAATTTGCTTCACGATCTAGCTGACTCTGCTGTTCCGCAGTCAGAGTAGACGTGGTATTAGATCCAACGCCTTGATCATTCCCTGCGGCCACGGATTGGGCTTGTGCCGCTAAAGAATCGGATGGTGGTTGGCCGCCGCGCTGATAACGAGAAGTGCGAGATTGTAACGTCTGGGCATCCTCTTCCGTTACTGACGAAGGATTAGATGCCACCTTGCCGGCTACTTGCTCAGCTGTCTCTTCAAGATTTCGGCCTTTCGAGAGATTAGATTGCATTTGTGCTGCTGTTGAACCTGATGATTGTAAGCTATGTGAGGATACTAAAGAGGTGATAACAGATCATTGTAATAGTGAAAATGACCTACCTTTACTGTTATCACCTTCCTGCTTGGCCACCTCAGAAATACGTTCTCCTGCTGAGGCCATTCTGTACTGCAATATTACCGGTTTTTCGCTATTCAAGGTGGTGAATCTAGAAGTAATCAATCGGGTACTTGGAGCCGAAGCAGTGAATCTAGTGAATGAAGGCATCTTAGTAAGTCGTCAGGTCAAAGTCAAGACAATTATGAGTTTTGGCAGGCGCGAGTTGAATTTTGGCGTGCTAGCTGATGGTTGACATCATCATTTGGATAATACCATATGCATCACAGTAGCCATCAAAGGTGCCATGTCGCACCTGATTTGTGTCAGGATGTTGTAAAGTCATAATGACATTACCGATGCTCTCTCTGTTACCAGGCATTGCCAGGACCGAGACCTACGCCCTCATGCTGGACCTGTCTCGTCTGGTCACGAAGGGACTGGCGATATCATTGTCAAGTCTCGCTTTGCCGTTATAGCGCGTTGTTGACGCATTTCGACAAGTCTTTTCACGTTTACATTGCAGCGAGATAGTTGTCTCCATGTACTCATTTGCTTACTCAAAATTGAACTATGGGCCCCAATTGGAATCTTCGCAGAGTAAATTCCGCGTTTTGTTGGGTCTCTGGTAGACGGCGCACATAGTCAATAAGCTTTCTGCGATACCGCAGATGGATCGGAAGAGGGGTAGAGCTGTGTTCCATTGCAAGAAGCTCAATGAGCGAGATGAGCGTCTAGAACCTCAATGGCGTTATGGCACGCTATCCAGGACGGCACATGTGTCAGCAAGGTTTTGACTCGTTTAGGCGATGGCTTTATCTTCAACGATCACGTTCCAATGAACATTCTTGCTTTGTCAGATCAGTCATCCAGCAGCATTCGGATTGCAGACCAATGCTTTTCGTTTGTTTACTCATCAGTAAGTAGGTGTGGACGTTCACATAAAGGTAAGACCTTGGGTTACAATATGAGCTCGCTCACGTAGTTCCATTCTGTGACTATCAAGCCTTTTTCGCTAAAGAAGTCCCCTTAATCATTTGCTTTCATACTCAGCCCTGTTTCTTGAAAATGCCTCTTCCTACAGACGAGAAACTGCTCAAGACGTCTCAGGATCTTGTCAACCAGCTTCACACTGCGTTTGGAAAGCACGCAGGCTACCGGGCCACACATGCGAAAGGCTTGCTTCTTAATGGCACCTTCACCCCAAGTGCCCATGCCCAAGCTCTGTCCATAGCACCGCACCTCAACAATCCCTCCACCTCTATCACGGTCCGCTTTTCTTCGTCGACTGGGATTCCGCAATTACCGGATGCTGATCCTAACGGTGAGCCCCGTGGAATCGCAATTCGATTCAACCTTGGGGAACACAGTCACACAGACATCATTGCTCACTCCACCCCACACTTTCCTGTCCGCACTGGTGCCGAGTTCCTCGAACTTCTGAGAGCTATAGGCGCCTCGCCGCCCGGAACACCATCTCCCAGCCCCATCGAGACTTTCCTAGGATCCCATCCAGCGGCGTTAGCTTTCGTTTCCGCGCCAAAGCCCATCAAGGGTAGCTTTGCGTTTGAAAGCTACTATGGACTGAGTGCCATAAAATTCATCAATAACGAGGGAAAGGAGACCTATCTGCGTTACCGTGTGCTTCCAGAATCGGAAGGAGAGGCTTTAGATGACGCTGCACTGAAGGTAGCGGACGTGAATTTTCTGCATGAGGAAATCAGGAAGCGTGCAACAGAGCAGACAATTTCATTCAAGATCGTGGGACAGGTGGCACAAGAAAGGGACGGGACAGATGATGTGACCGTGCAGTGGCCAGAAGACAGAAAGCTTGTAGAGCTGGGTACTGTCCGGATCGATTCTTTAGAGAAGGACGATGCCAAGCTCCAGAAACACATCATCTTCGACCCGATTCCAAATGTGAAGGGCATTGAGCCATCTAAGGACCCATTGTTTGACTTGAGGGCTGCCGTGTATTTAATCAGCGGCCGCGAACGCCGTGCTGCATAATCACGGTAGAGGTTCATGCCGCCCTACTGTGGCACTTTTATGGGCACCTAGCTTGGTCACGATGTAATGGTCGAGGTTCCGAAATAATCAAATTATTCAGCATCGTCGCGATTTGGTCACTTGTGCGAGTATTGCGCCTTTACTAAGCCGTCAAGATGGCAGTAACGTAAATATCACGAAAGTGAGTGAAGAAGTGAAATTTGGTCAGCGTTTCAGCGATGTATGACGTTGCGGCTCGGTCCCTTTTAGCCGCTGCCAACCCCCGAGCACGCCTCGACCCCTGGTGCCCCCTCCCAACTCCTCCGGTCCACAAAATCGTGAATTCATCCGCGATAAATCACAAGCAACAATGTGTGAGAATCGAACTTAAGAGAGAAGATTATCCCATATGCAAGACGTCAAGCGTCTTCACGTCACACCGTTTAATCCGGAGCTACTGCCCGCTGTACTACCGCACAAATTGCAACAGAACGCTACTGAGATCTCGTTCCATTTCATCGAGTCTTCCCCGGAAAATAATTACGGCTACCTCAATTTACCGTCATCAGAAGCCGATCAATTACGCCAAAAATTGCATGGTTGTGTACTAAGGGGCCGAAAAATGAAGGTCGAAGAGGCAAAACCCAAGAAGAGTTCGAAGGGAAAGAAGGTCGAGGATAGAGTCCCGGATCTTGCAAGTAAGCAGACTCGTTCAAAGAACACAACAAATAAGGAAGATGGAACGTTCCCAGCGGTCGAGCTTCCAGCAAAGCGCAAAGTGAAGCGTGGTTGGACAGAAGCCGACATGGCCGCAAAAGAGAATAAGGATAAACCTAGGAATGACAGGAAGAAACCTAAAGAAAAAGGTTCTTCCCTCACAGGCAAATCTGAATGCCTCTTCAAGACGAAGATGCCTGTCAATGCTGCCCCAGGAGCAGTCGGTGACGGTGCAAAGAAGCGAAAGTTAAGGAATGGCCAAGAGGTCGTAGTACATGAATTCCAGAACACAAGACAGCATGCCGCTTTCCTCAAGGAAGACGACGATGCCATAAACGTGAGGCCAGCAAAAGAGTATGTCGATGGCAAAGGTTGGGTGGACGAAAATGAGGACATAGTCGAAAGGGCCAGGAAGCGGAGAAGGAGCCGGGACTCCGAGGTTGAAAATGACAGGAACAAGCACGAGTTCAAAAAAGCTTGTGAAAAGTTGGAACTCACGGCTAGGGCAGAAGAAGTCCCAAATAACCTAGAGGATGAGGAGACTTCACCAGATATCACCTCCAATTCAGACTCTGAAGCCACTGAAGATGCAGGTAAAGATGGGCAACCGCCTACCCGAATTGAAGGTCTAGGTATCAGCAAGGTTGACGACGGCGACCTCCAAACCGCACGAGTGGATAGGCTTTCCATAAGTCGGTCATCAGGCTCACCAGGACTTCAGGTACAAACACAAGCTACGTCTGTGCCTTCTGAGGAAGTTCACCCGCTCGAAGCACTATTCAAGCGCCCTAAAGCAGCTGCGTCGCATGCACAAACACCGAGAAAGCCTCATCTTGAAGTCTCCACGTCCTTCAACTTTTTCGAACATGACAGTGCAGAGTCTGGCGGTGGTGACGCCAGCTTGTTGATGCCTCATACTCCGTTCACACAACAGGACTACCGTCATCGGTTGATTCGAAGCGCAGCGCCCACACCGGATACGGCACTTCCCGGGAAAACATTTGGAGATGTTCTGGCCGGCCGCCATGAGGAGGATCCGGAAAGCGAGGGCGAAGACGAGGAGCAAGCTACTGCCGGAAGGGAAGCACCGGGGCTGGGAAGTCCTGAAGGCAAAGCGAAAGCCGAAGAACAGCCGGAAAGTGAATTTGCTCAATGGTTTTGGGAACATCGAGGGGAAAACAACAGGGCATGGAAAAGGCGGAGGAGAGAGGTGGCCAAAGAGAGGAAGACAAGGGATAAGAACGAGAGGAAGGCGTAGACAGAGAACTAGTTGATGAGAAACTTTGAAGGACGTTGGGAAGCCTTTTCTGCCTGCAGCCAGCATCAGCATAAAGGATGTTGGTGATGTGCCATACCTGGGGCTCTGCCAGAGCCTCATGCCAAGTGCCTGACAATCTTACTAAAGACATGGCGTAAACAAATCGAAAGGCTGGATTATTGTGTACTGCTTGAGTTGAGATGCTATTGAGAAGATTCGGCAAGTGCACACGGTCTCTGCGACTGAATGCACCCCTCGACCCTTGCTTCTACGCTCTTGAGGGGGCGAATTGGGAGCTTTCAAGGCCAACGGTCTAGGCCACCAGTCAAGCCACTGAAGATCTGGTAGGTAGGCGGACTTGCTAAGGAGGGCTTAGGGGGGTCTAGGGCCCTAGGCGGCTTGGGAGGCTGCGTTGCCGCTCACCCGCCCGAACACTGTCGGAATGTGACGCTACAAAGCAACGTCAAGCTTTCCAAGCTCGCCAGACGTCCACCAGAACGAACATCTTCCTTCATTCTTGTCTGTTTTTGGTTGAACATGTCGGGCGCAGACGGACCAAGCAAGGTCAAATGTCCGGCGGAGATCAGATAATGCAAATTGGCTAGTTCTAACCTGGTGCAAGTTGACTTTTGGCAGCTGTCGTGCTCCTCCGTCTGGACTTTCCCATCCCAAACGATCGTCGACCGACAAACGAACCTGCTTACGCAGTCAACGGCAATCATAATGCTATTGTTTCATCCTTTCACGGTACTACTGACGTGCTCTTGCTGGATCCACACGTCACCGCACCCGTGACTGCCCTTGCCTTCAACCCTGAATACCACCCCACCGCCACGTCCTCCTACCCCGGATTTGCCCCATTCTCACCCAGGCGACCTCTCGATTGAGCGATCCTTATATTCCATATCACCTCAGCCTGGACCTTTCCTTTCTGATTATGCAATCTTCTCAAAGATCCCGACACAACCAGTCAAGACTCACGCTTAGCGCATACCTGAACCTCACACTCCCTACTTGGCTTTGCTCAAGATGCTCCACGCCATGAGCCAACCAGTACCAGTCGCTACATACAACAACCCCCCAAAATTACAATCTGTGGTGACTATTGCTCCAGTGCCCACCATGTCCCTGGACCAGCTGCAAAACGAGGTCCAGCATGCTTTTGAGGATCATCTGACCGTGGACTCCCTTCTGTTTACCTCGAGGTTGCTACAAGCCGAGTTCCGGGAACATTTGATCAGCAGCGATCAACGCATGCTGCCCTCGTTTAATTACACATTACCTACTGGCGAAGAACGAGGGACATACCTTGCAGTGGAGGTAGGGGGCTCAAACCTCCGCATGGCCCTAGTGGATTTACATGGTCGCGACCATGGCCAAGCGGCGCTCCAGATTAGGCGAACTGCGTGCTCTCCAATTACTGGCGAGGTCAAGCTACTACCTGGACACTCATTCTTCGATTGGATGGCAAGGGAAATCCAAAATATGATGGTCTTGGAAGGCGAAACAAGAGAAAATGCCGACCCATTGCGGATGGGAGTTGCCTGGTCCTTTCCAATTGAGTGGGTTCAAATCTGGAGCTGAAAGACCTAGCTAATGGAAGTCAAGTCAAACGTCGATACGGAGCGGCAACGTACTTGGCATGGGCAAAGGGTTTCTGTGCTCGGATACTGTCAAGAATCATGACCTTGGGCATATGATATCCGAAGCATGCCAACGAGAGGTGGGAAGCACCCAATAAAACAAGCCGCGTAGCTAATCTACGTGAAGCATGTCAATGTCGAACTCGAGGCTATTGTCAATGATACGTCGTCTGCACTTCTCGCTCGAGCATATGTTGATCCCGCCACGCGACTCGCTATAGTACTCGGCACAGGCATGAACGCTGCAATTCACTTACCTATTTCAGGGCTGGACCCCTCAAAGTTCGATCTCAGACAAGTCAAGCCGAAGCGCAAATACACTCATGTCCTGACTAATACCGAATTGAGCATGTTCGGCAAGAACATTTTGCCGACTACCAAGTGGGACGACGATTTGAATGTTAATCATATGATGCCCGATTATCAACCTCTAGAGTACCTCATCGCGGGTGGCTACCTAGGAGAAATAGTACGGCTCGTTATGGTTGAGGCGGCAGACACAAGCGGCTTCTATGGAGGCAAATTGCCAGACAGCTTGCTTGTCACACACTCACTCGATACCAAGACGCTTGCGTCTGTCCAAAGCGACACGTCAGTGGGACTGATGACCACCCGAAACCTCTTACAAGAGAAGTATGCGTCACGGACACGACCGTCTGCAGCCGACGCGAAATTCCTTCGAAACGTCGTGCAATCGGTCAGCCGACGATCAGTCGCATACTTTGCTACGAGCGTTCATGCACTAACCTCGCTTCTTCAAGATCTGGATGCAGAATCCGGATTACAGAGCCCGCTTGATCACATCAGTATAGGATGCGATGGAAGCGTAATCAACAAATATCCTGCTTACATGGAGACGGCGCAGGAGACTCTAGATCAAATGAGGGTACAAGAAAGTACAAATCGGAAACAAGTGTTCTTAGAAAAGACCACCGACAGCGCTGTCGTCGGAGCTGGCGTTGCTGGTGCTCTCGCCGGTAATTCACCGCCCTCTTCGCCGTGCTGAGTCTGCAACGACTGGGCAATATTTGCTTTTTTGGGACCGCGAAGAGGCCATCAGGACGTGAAATGGTTCTCGGTTTTCTGGCTTCAATCTATGATCTTCCATTAGTTGGCGATCGGAACACAGCACGTCCGAATGAACCACTGCGAATTGTGCGTGCTAGTAGCGGCATTGAGTTACGGAGTGAATGCTTTCTCAGGCACAAGGTGCTCTGACAGATGATAGCATCCGCTTGTCTTGCAGGAAATGACGCTCACGAAATGAAGCGAGTAGCATGACAGTGAGCACTTTCACACGGGCTTATTCATCTGAGAGAGTAGATGAAACTGAACATCAGAGTTCTACTCCAAGTCTCTTACACTCCTTTCGCTTAATAGGGCTTTTTGGGGCTTCTTCAGCCTTCACACTTATGTATTTCTGTGACTCTCGCTCACAACATCCTAGGCACCTCTGCCATCAAAAATACTATTGCAGCAGCCAACGAGGCACCTAAGCTTTGTGTTGACACCGTCGCTATGTTCTTGTGTTGCTGAACACCCCCGCCGCCACCACCGCCACCACTGCCAACAGGAACCCCTCCATGTGAATCTTGGCCTCCGCTGGTGCCACTCTTTCCCGAACTGCTGTCAGCCGGACTGGCACCCTTACTTTTCCCGCTACTTCCACTGCTGTGCCCTCCTCCGCCACTGCTCCTCCCTCCGCCGCCCCCGTGGCCCCCGCCTCCTCTGTCGATAGTACCGCCTAGGCCTACTCCGATCAAAATTTCAGCGTCCGTTTTGTTGCTCGGGGTGTTCTCTGCTCTATACTGAAGCGAGTGTATCTGTTCTTGATGCTGATTTGCTCGTGCGAGTAGTGCTGTGGTCGAAAGGGAGAGAAGGACGGCGAGAAGGCTTGCTGCTAGGGGAATTCGCATCCTGGAGTGTGCTGATGTGTATGTGTGAGAGAGCAAGAATCCTGCGGTTAATGCAGGTAAGTTTGTTGTTTGATCAATAGTCTGATCATTCTAATGCTTAGGGAAGGAAGATATTAATTCGGATACGCAACTCGATGTGTGAACGTTTCTTTTGGGTGCAGAAACCTTTCGTTGCGAAACTTGAAGGGAATGTACATTGTTTCAGCTCGCACGATTATTTATCAAAGACTGGTCTTAGAAAACTTGTCTCGAAATGGGGTCTCACATCACGGCCTAGACAACAATCAAGTCGGCAAAGCTGTACGCTCGTTTCGCAAACAATTCAATTCCACCTTCCCCGAATCTTTCCATCGCCTTAAGTCTCCCGCTTAGCACTCTCATTTCAGAGCTCATACATGTCCCTCTTCATCTTCGACATGTGGTTGCATCTCACAGCAAGGCGGCCGCCCCTGCCGCTCCCCCAGCGATTCCCAGCGCAGCAGCAAGTTTGGGATTAATCGTCCGCTGTGATCCCGAGGTCGCTTTATCAACAGCTTCGCTTGTGTCGTTGCCGTGCTTTTTCTGCTTTTTGTGCTTCCAACTCCCTTTGGCTTCTGTGGCGGTGTCGTTCAATGCGTCGGCGACGGAGGTTTCTTCGAAGGCTGTCCTGGGATTGGAGGCGTAGGGATGGGGCGAGGGACTCCTCCCACGTGGATGATTGGCAGCAGTGGGGGTACTGAGGGAGGTGGTGTTTGAAGATGCTTGTCCTCGTTGATTAGATGCTGGGGAGGCGAGAGAGGTGTCTGCAAGGCAGAGGGCGAGGAGGCATGTTTCGACTGGGATGCGCATGTTGGAGGTGGTCTGGGTATGTTCAAATGATCTAGGAGTTCTACGGTAGATGTCTCGTAGATGCGTGATCTTGTGAAGGAAACAAAGCTACGGCTGGTTGAAGAGCATGCATGGAAAGGAGACCAGCCTCTTTTTGTAGGAAAGGCAAGATTGTTGTACGGCTTCAGTAAACATTGTTGTTTGCATGGTAGGACAAAGAAGGAAAGGAGGCAACGTCGTACTGTGATGGTGAGGTAGTATACTTTTGCCTAAATGAGGTAGATTGCATGACCACCAGTTGTCCGAAGCTGTAATATTCATTCACCCAGATTTCAATATCCAATTGCAGGCATTAGATTAATGAACCGCATGCGATGGTTCCTTGAATCTTTCGCTACAAGCAGCCCCCCGCATGATATACACAAAAGATGTGACCTTTCCGTTGTCGTGCGACTTACTGAAAGCTAAAGAGATCAGAACGCCGTGCTTTCACCCCTATACCTCTGCAAATGCTGCCCCAAGCACACCGAGACCGAGGAACGCGGCACCGGCGAAAGGTGCCTTGTAATTCCCGCCTGAAGACGATGTGGACGTGGTTGAGTTTGTTGCTGTTGTTGTTGTTGTAACCTTTTTCTTTTTCTTCTTGGGATCGGGGTTGGGATCGCGCGGCTCCAGCTCTATGAGTGGTTTCGGTGGAGCTGTGGTGATTTGAGGTGGAGTCACCATGTCACCGCGCGCTCGAAGGTCGTTGATCGCGTCGGCTGCTCCAATGGCTGGTGTTGCGATTGGGACGAGTTCGCCCGCTTGGTGGGGTTGCTGCGCTGTACAGCTGAGGTAGAGAGCGCAGAGCGTGCAGAGCGTCGGGTACTTCGAGTACAGCATCATCTTAGTCTTATAGAAGAAATTCACAGAAAGAAGACAAGATGACGAGCAGGGGAGACAGATGTACGCCGCTTAAGTATTCGAACAACAGCATGTGAAAACAGGAAATCGCGAGGAAATCTTCGCGAGGCGGTGTTTACTAGTTTCCCTCACTCACGGGCCAGAGACAAGGTTGTTTCTTGGTACGCTGTCGTCCTAAGGTTGGCCCGTCAGAGGCTGAAAATTCAATTTCGTGCGAAGGATGCCCAAATTTCATGATGAGGCATTTTTGGGCATTGTACAAGCATGCGACAGCTGGAACGAACTTGAAAAGAACAAAACGTGCACGCTGACTAATGCACTGCTTTCGGGGAGGACATGTGCCCATATGAATTGTTCAACAATGAGAAGTCAACTAAAACAAACATCATTCAATCTTCAACTCACCGCATTGAGTATGGTGGCAGTGTTCAAGGATCAATTCTTTGTCCTCCATATTCTCCCTCAGCTGCTTGCCTGTACTTCTTTCCTCGACGAAGTATGCATCTCACCATTTTCATCGATATCTTTATAGTCCCAGAAAACCGCCTACCAACACAAAAGAGCCAAACAGTCCTACAAAGCTGATTCTTTCTACTGGCCTTACCGCGCTGCCTGAATCTGTTGTTGTTTTATTCCCAGAGCCGCTCTATGGAAAATCCTTTATTAGCTACTCTGTGAAGAATCGATCTGTTATTTGAAACAGGAGAATTTTCCCTTGTAACCAGGGTGATTTAAATGGCAATGAGACTCTGAGATTCCGTACCTTGCCACCACCTTTTGGCTCAGGGAGAGCTTCACGGGGTTCGAGTAATGGAGCGACAACGACAGAGCGAGGTTCGAGATCGGCGACAGCTTCGCTATGTTCGGCCGCGCAGACATTGACTGCGAAGGCGGCGAATAGAAGTACAAAGATGGAGAGTAAATTGAGGGAATGCATGATGGGCGCTGCCTTTTCTCTTCGATGATGATGTCAGTCCCTGAAATCACGATGTGGACAGTTGCGCTGTGGAGAGGCCAGTATTGTAACAGAGGAGATACAGTAGACGTGAATCGCGTACTTGAAGACAGAAGCAACGACAGAGGTAAGAATGGTAAGAAGTTGATATTCTTGAAATTATGTCTACCATAAGTGACGTATTTGTCGGACACATTCAACTGCCAAGGCGGAGCTGAGCCTCTGAGGCAGTCTCATAAGCAAGATCGACAAGTACATCTTCACGCCGATCCTTGATGCAAATGGTCAGGAATACCAAGGCTCGGTCACCTGAAATCGTATGCAAGCACTCAGCCTCCTTCAAAACCTGTTCAGCGAATTGCATGTCTCTAGGATTCTCGTTAGGGGTCCGTCTAACATGTCGTAGCAGGAGCGATAAAGTCAGCTTACTCATGTCGAATGTTGCCGTGCAACTGCCGTAGCCAACCTTCGGTTCAGTATCATACACTCCATTATTCGCCATGCCACTCATAATAGTCGTCTCGTCACATGGAAAACCCCCGGAAAAGCACTTTTGAAGCTTCAAGGATGCCCCTTTTCCGGAATATATCGTGGAGCAGTTGTAACACCAGCATGGATATCGGCGTCCGCTAGAGGCTTCACATCCTCAAAGGTCTCGTCGGTGAATCTCAGGTCCTCTTCGATGGGCACAGTATCTCGGATCTTTGTCCAAATCATTGGAGCAGCAATCAGAAGAGATCCTCCAAGCAAGCCCCAACAGGATGCGAAGATGTTGATGAACGGCGTCTTTAAGGCGTCAATGCGAAAGCAGATTGCAGCACCTGCTGACTGCAGTCCTTTGTAAAATCCCGCGAAATTTGCCAACTTTCGTCCGTTATTGGTCATGGATCCCATATACCAATACACGGTCGTTTGCCACGCAGCTGTAGAATAGTCAATAAGTGGAAATGCGCCAGAGTGTTGTCTTAGGGGTCAACTCACCATCATAAAAGCCATAAAACATGTAGAGAAACATTGGGCCAACGTAGCCTTTAGTCGTCCAATCATCCTTCACATAAGTCTTGGGCGACGTCTCGGCTCTCGTGTAGGTCTTTTGCCAGGCGTAGCCTCCTCCCCAGACCGCCATAGTCATGACGAACAGGATGACCCAGACAACTCGAGCCTTTGTCGATCGTCGAAGTCCTTTCAGATCGAGTGCATATCCAAAGACATAGGCCCCAATGATCTGGCTGATGTAGTACAGGACGCTGTTCAAAGCTCTTGTCCTGATATTGAATTTGGCTCCATTCACGTCGTTGAATTGGTAGGTATAAAACCAATTGCTGGAGAAAAACATTGGAAACAGAAACACAATCCAGGTGTCGCTTTGAAGAACTTCAAACAGGCCCCATATCTCGCTCTTCCATGACGGGTGCTTCATCAAGATTACATGTGAACCATCGCTTCGTACGACGTTGCGCGCATCCACCAGCGTCCAGGCGAGTACAGCCCCGAAGAAAGTTAACACCAGGAAGCCGATATATGTACCATCTGTTACGTTGCCTGCGGTTGAATGAAAGTTCTCGCCCAAAGGAATTCTAAGCACTTCTTAGCAAGGTACGGCTCGTACTGGGATGTTATAGTCACACTTACAGGCCCCCGATAACGGCACCAAGATTGAAAATCATCCAGAACCACGATATGTATTTGCCCTTGCTCTCTTCATATGGGTAGCTCATCATGATTGCACCTTGTGCAGCCCATAGCATTCCAGCGCATACACCGAGAACAGCGCCAGCGAAGATGACAAATGCTTCATTTTTTGTGTGGTTGTAGCTGAGATAGCTTGCGATGTAGAGGACATAGCCAAGTCCGCCCAAGCTGAGTGTCAATTTGATGCCCAGTCTATTTGCGATGGAACCGGCAAAGAAGCCCACCGCTGCGAAAGTGCTGTAGACTGCGACATTGGCGTTGTCACTCGTTTTGGCATCAAACTGGCCTCCGCCGCCTAACCCATTAACGGCATTGAACATTCCAGGGCATAGGAAGCAAACAAAGGCAACAAGTGTAAGCTGCACAGCAGGTGACGCATAGTGAGGGATCTTCACGGGTCCGATGCGCCGGTCTTTGTATAACCAGCCGGAATAGTTGGCAGCGACATCGACCTGTGCCGACGGGACAGGGGCGCGATGGTCACTGGGACTGGAGGGGACTGCTTGGGGTTCATTGGCCGTTGCACTTTTCTCAAGATTGTTAGAAGCCATTGTAATTAAAATTCAATAGAGAGACGCCCATAAAAGGTGACTATACTCTTGGAGGAAGGTATCGCAATTACTAGTCAAAGGTGAGCAATGCGATCACTCTTTATAAATGTTACGCAGCTGAAGATTGTAGAGATACGACTTTGCCGAGGCAAGCTTGGTCAGACCGTCAGCTGCACAGTCACGAAAACAATTGCTGCGGACCGGTCGACTAAATACGAAGCAAGCTGACCGTCTTCCGGAGGGGTTTCCATTCAGCACAATTACCCTGCAGGAAGCCAAGGGTTTCCTCACAGAGGTCTCATGCAAAGCGGAATTGGACATCCATATCATATGGTTCTAGATTGTTCACCTTCGCCCAAATGGGACGAGGGGGGTATCTAAATCTCTAGCGTCAACGGGAAGCTGAAACCTGCGCGATACAGGCGACAGATAGACTACCGAGAGGCTCCCACAAGCTTCACTCAAGACGGTCTGAAGAGGCACTTTACACATATTCGACATAGCACCGTATAGAACATTGGTCGAGAGGTTGCACGGCACGTTAATGCTCCATTATCATACAGTAGCTTCTCAAACAAGCCTTGATAATTCTAGAGTCGCGGCCTTTGTGGCTTGAGCACTTCAGAGCTGGCCATGTAGACTTAGCTTGCTACAGTGAGTTGTCATTCCTGTCTCGGAGGATGCTTCACTCCACTGGAGTTCTAGGTCAAGTCAGGCCCCAGCGTGACAGCGGTAGCCTTTGCTGTACTTCTCGCCCGTGCCAGCCTCTCATCGGAAGTCGGACTTCGCTGTTGACGAAGCCGCAAAACAAAGAGGACTTGAGCGTGACCGATAGAGACAGTCTATATGAATCCTTGAGAAAAGGACAAGATAGAGATGGAGCTACAAACGCTTGTCCTATCTTAGCCTAGTTCCAATTCTAGCGTCATGTAACATTTGGCGGAGCCGAGAAAATGGCGAACAAAATCTCGACACCACTTTCGAGACTGCGAACCCAAAGCGCATTCCACATGTGGCTCTTGAGGCCGACGCCGCCTGGGATCGTAGTTGTCTCTAAGCAATTCGTGAGGAGTACGATCTGTCCGTCACGATTGGACGATGTCGTCCTACCGCCCAAGGTACACAGGCCTGCATTATGATGATATTCCCCCTCCACCGCCGCCAGCGGATCTGCCACCGCTACCTCGTGGACCACCGCCGCCGGCGTATAATGGAGGCGACTCTTGGCATTCGCATTCGCGACAAGGCTTCGATTTTGGCAACATCGAGTCTGCACCGAGGTACCCTCCACAAGTGGACAGTTATCGCCCGCCGCGGAGGCAAAGGTCGCCGCGAAGGAATCGTGCAAGGCCACAATATAGCGATAATAGAAATCTGAATCGGCCTGGTGGCCGTCACAATAGTCAATTCGGACGCGGCCCTCGCTTAGCTTCTAATCGCCCACTCCTTCACCATCAACACCAAGACGATAACAGTGAATTAGAGATGTTGGGCGTGACAGGCGGAGCGGCCAAGTACTTAGACGATGAGGAGGTCAGCGATAGCGAAGAGCAGGAAATGGAGCTGTCTGACTCTGATCGGGAGGAAGGTGAAGTAGCCGCTGCCTCATTTGACGGGGTGGCGGATAGTAATACTCTTGAGCCGCCATCGAAACGTCGGGACATCGGTGGGAAGTATGGCGATGCCGACGATCGACCCAAATGGTCTAATCCTGATCCCTACTTTGCTCTACCACCCACTGATGATACTCTCGCCAATCGCAAAGACCCTGTAGAGACAATCAGGAAATATCGGAAGCCAAAAGACGATCAGACCGTCGAGACTAATCAAGTGACAGCAAATGACGATTTCATCTCCTTTGCTATGGATGGTGATGGCGAAGCAGAAACAGATTCCTCGCAAGCTGACGACGACCTAATACTTGCGACCGCCCCATCAGCTCCCCGGCAGATGAAGCCACAGCGAAATGATATTGAGCATTCTCGATCTCTAGAAAGCAGGAAAACTACCACGGAAGACTGGGGTCGCGCATACTATGATCTTACAGATGGTACTAGCCGTCGCAAGCGTGGACATGGTGATATGGACCACAACGAATCCCACCAAATTCTCAATCGCGACTTACTTCGCGCAGACGTCGGCTTGCGTGATGAATGGCGACCAAAACCTAACACTGACTTGGTCCCCTGGCTGCGGCATTCTGCACACATAACCTCCAGTGCTGGGTTTCGCTTGCATAAAGAAATTTGTGACTTTTATGACTTCGTCAGACCGCAAGGATTTGAAGGAGTCATCCGTCAAGAGCTCCTAGATCGCTTAGAGGCTATGATCCATCAGCGGTTTGCAGACTGCAGTGTTCATTGCTTTGGCTCTTTCGCCGCTGGACTTTATCTACCGACGGCAGACATGGACGTTGTTGTAATATCTAATGAGTATGCGAAGTATGGGGAGAGAGCTCTGTGTCGAAGCCACAATCAACTGTACAAATTTGCCGATCATGTTATTAAGTCTGGGCTGGCGAAGCCGGGCTCGGTGAATGTGATTGCGCAGGCCAAAGTCCCCCTGATCAAATTCGTTGATAGCATTACGTCCATCAGAGTCGACCTGTGTTTCGAGAACGATAGCGGAGTGCGAGGTCTCGCTATCTTCGATCAATGGAAAGACCAATACCCTGCAATGCCGGTACTCGTTTCTGTCATCAAGCAGTTCTTAATGATGAGAGGCTTGAACGAAGTTGTTGATGGGGGTATCGGAGGCTATAGCGTCATCTGTTTGGTCACAAGCTTGCTGCAGAACATGTCACTGGTCAAGGCTGGCAAAATGACAGCTGAAGAACATCTTGGTGAAATGCTGATAGAGTTTCTGGATCTCTATGGTAATAGATTTGACATCTCACGCGTTGGCATCGTTATGGAGCCACCTCGCTACTTTGATAAGGTAACATACCCTTCCTCGAGCAAAGCATCATGGTCACTAATTGAACAACAGCACTCTTTCAACAGACCACGCTTTCAACACCCTACGAACAAGCCGTCTCGACCAGATCGACTGACCATCATGGATCCAAACAATCCCGATCGTGATATTGCTGGTGGCTCACACAAGGTCTTGGCGATCTTTGCGCAATTTGCAGAAGCCCAGCGCCGGATCATGGCAGCGATGAAGAGTACTAACCGTCCAAGCTTGCTCGATTGGATGCTAGGTGGCAGCTACCGAGAACTGATTGACCAGCGCGCCCGTTTGAGAAGCTTATACAACGTACGTTATACAGAGTAAGCAAGACAATCTCGTTACCATTACGAGTCTGATAATAGTCGTCCTAGTCAACGTGAGCAACCGAAGTCATTGAACAAGACGGCCCCCCTAAAGTAAGTATCACCACCAAGCCCAAGGGTTCTAAGACGATGCCGCAGACCAGTTCTATGACGAAAGAAGAGGTCGGACAGAGGAGCCGGGCTACGGAACTTAAGAACAAATTTCCAGAAGTTGCCTCTTCAATACCTGACCTACTAGAGAGAGAGGCATTCAAGGGTCTTTCCAAACGCCTTGCTTCTAAACGGTCCACTAGAGACGGCGAGGGACCAACTGAAAATTCAAATCAGAAAGTACTGGCGAAAAGCCTGAAGCAAGAATTCCCGGACGCCAAAATTCCGGAAGCTATCGACAAAAGGACGTTTGACTCCCTTCGAGAGATGTTAAGTATGGCTCGCATCCAAGCTCAGGAAAAGCAGAATCAGGTAACGAAGGAACAAATCGGTAGGACACGGGCAGATCAGCTCAAGCGCGACTTTCCAGATGCTGCTGCAAAAATTCCAAGTATTCTGGATCGAGATGCCTTTGTCAAACTTGCTCGGGAGCTCGAGAACGCCGGCATCAAACGAAACAAGCGAGGACAGGCTTCCTTGCCCGCTCGTCCACCGCTGCCGGAGTCTTCGCGATTCGCTGCTATCAATGCTCCGAACTCCTCCGAACCTCAATTGCCACAGAAGCCGGCACCCACTTTGGAGACGGTTTCACCTGCGACGGGCATAGCGTCTGGCATGTCAAGCGCGGACGCCATTCCTATTGATTAGGGTCCTTCCGGAATGCTTATGATTATGTGTACACAACAGTGATGACTATGTTTCCTCGAAAAAAGTCACTGTATTGTGTACGTAGGATGAGGTGGTCATGTGGGTTCAAGGAAATTTTGTGACGGAACAGGGGCACCGGTGATTGTCTAACAGGATCCTTTCTCTCCCTTGAACAATTGTTCATAACATGCATAGCGGATTAGCTCACAGGCACAGGTAAGGCGCTCGGGACGATACCCATATTCGAATTTGCATAGCTTGAGAATTGCATAACGTGCCTCAGAGGCTACAATGGCGTGAACGCAAGGCACTACAATCTCCCGTGGAGATGGAATCAAACATCAGACTCTCCACTTCGTACATCTTGGTCGGGAGGCTTTGACTCTTCTTCTATTGCTTATGCTGAGATGACATGAACTACTGACATAAAAGTCTATAGATCACGGTTCACCAATTCCCCAGCTTTACGGAGGGCGCGCTTAAATTGAGGGTACACTCAATTTTGAGTCAATTCTCGTGGCATCATGTTCTCGGTCGCGACTGCTCTTTACCGCTGCTGTAGCATTGCTAGAAGCAACAACGGAGAGCACGACCATTTGCGCTGAGCAAGACCTAGGACACCTTTTCTCATCGCAGACGGTGCTTCATGTGCTGCTGCGGAGAGGACCTGCTTACAGATCTTTAAAAAACTGGCAGTCCTTCCTAAGCCCTACATCACCAACACTCTCAAATTCCTATCGACTTCCGAACATTCTCCAACCCTTGAAGGTCCTAAGGATGATTCCACGCTTGCATTCCCTCCTTCAGCCACCCAACGACCTCTCCATTCTCCGCCTCCTCCTCAAAGCTCACTCTGTCGGTACACCACTCCAGCCAATCCTCGGCTCTCACCTGCCCACCAGGGGCATCCATCAATCCCACACTTACGTCGACGACATCCCGCCTCGCATCAGAACGCCAGAACGCGACCGCGCCGCAGGTACCGCAGAAGTCACGGTAGACGCCTGGGGATGAGTTGTAAGTTTTCATTCCCCGCGCGCGGAGTTCGTTGAAATCTAGGATCTGGGATTGATCGTTGAGGAAGTTGGCGGCGGTGGTGGTGGTGGTGAGAAGGCAGTACGCAGATATGAAAGCCCAAGCTTGGAATTCATTTCCGCTTGCTTTTCGGCAAGATCGGCATACGCATAGGCCGGCGAGGTAGCGAGTCAGTCTCTGATGGTCTCCATCTGCTGGGTTCGCTGGGTGTTTGCGGAGAAACCAGGCTTCGTTGTCTGGGTTGTCCTTTTTGGCGTTGTTGCTACGATGTGGGACTACGAGGTCAGAGTAAGGGCCGGCTGAGAAATCCGCCGGGAGATCGCGAGGTGATGATGGTGGGGGAGCAATGGCGAAGGCGATGGCACCACATTTGCAAGAGCAGGAGAGTCGGCTGCTTGATCCAGAGCGTGTTTGCTCCTTGCGCTGTTTGGCGACCTTGTAATAAGAAGGGCCCTCAGCTTCAGCACCGTCATCTCTTTCCTTCCATCGCTTTGAAGAAGGAAACCAGATACTAATACCCCCGTCAAGAGCATCGGCTACGAAAACGTGGAAATTGGACCCGAAGAGAGTCTTCACATCTTTGCGTTCTACGACGCCGGAGGAGGGGAAGATATTCCCAGAGCTGCTGCTCTGAACGTAAACTTTGGCACCACATACGCTACAGAAGTTGCGTATGAGAACGGATGAGGGATCATAGCTTGTCAAGTCACCAGTCATAGCGAAGGTGGAGGTATGTGAGGGAGGGATGTCGAAGGATGTGACTGCTGTTTGTCCGCTTTCGTGTCGACATGTTTTGCAATGGCACAGCTCAAGATGCAAGGGCAGCAACGAAGAAGGAATAGAAAAGCTGCCTCGTACAGTACCACATAGGCAACTGAGGGGCAGACTTATATCTGTTCTATCCTGGGTTCCTGCCCTCGTGTCTGCCATTATTGAAAAGCGATTCAATGCGAGAGCCAAGTTGAAATGACAAACACTCTTAGAGGTCAAAATACTCACTGAAAAAGGTAGGTGGAGGGTCTAATCTAGCGGGGGCACCAGGGGTCTCTGGCAGACCTCGGGCAAGAATACGACTTAGACCAGTCTGAGCTTAGAGCCTTTATATCCTTGTGTGTGAGTGACTTGGAGGCTGAGTGCGGATTATGATCTCAGGTAAGGTATCAAGACAGCCAGGCAGAGGCTCCAAACAGTGTCACTGGTCTTCCAAGCAAATCACCTTATATCTCTTCCATAGTCTGACTTCCTATAGGATCTTCTGTTTTGAGGCCCAGAGCACGACTGTCTGGGCTGGCGGCCGGAGTAGGTAATGATGCAACGGCTGATGACATATCGCCTGCCCTCTGGAAGTTCAGCGGAGGACTTTGCCAAGCGAAGTCGACATAATCCCCCAGTATTTGTCGGATTCCTTGTGCGAGTTGTTGAACCTCCTTTTGTCGTTTCAAGCTCCAGTCACGATCCTGGGTCCCACGACCTGATTCAACTGCAGTGTGTTCACCATTGTCAAGTCCGTCAAGAATGGATCTCCAAACTCGCATTGTCTCATCGAGCTCCTCAATACTGCTAACGCCTATCACGCTCACTCCAATCTTTGGCGCTTCAGGCAAGACCTTTTCCCGTTGCCATGGTATCCCGGACGCTGAATCGCCTTTGGAACCTACGGGTGACCCGTCTCGCATCCAATTCTCAATAGCGAAGCGGATGGCGACTTTCTCGATCCTGTTCTCACTCACACCACACCAATCACTTGCCCTGGCGATGACCTGTCGTAAATGTCGTGGCGAAGGATGGAAGTCACCCTGAGCGCCGATTGGTACACCCATGCGGCGAAGCAGACCCATCCCCAGAACAGAGGCATTTGGCACGACACCGACACCGGCTGCTTCAAGTCTGGGCAGACCCACGCTTTTTAGCCTCGTATTCTGGATAGTAAAATTTGCATATGACATGACGATGTCCAATGGTTCACCAGTACGTTGAAGAATCATTTCGGCAAGCTCACATAGCACTGTTACAGGGTATCCTGATATACCAATGTATTTGACTTCGCCCGTAGTATCTCGAATCCTCCGAAGTTCTTGCACTGCTTTAAGCACTTCCCCTGGCGTTACGAACTCGGCATCATGACAATAGACCACATCAAGGTAATTTGTTCGCAGACTCTCGAGGCTGCGCTTCACGCTGCGCCGTACCCATTGTGGGGAGTAGTCAAATTCTGAGCCTGCAATGCGTCCCACTTTGGTGAGTAGGAAGTAATCTCGTCGAGGGAAATTCTGGTACACGAAGGGCGTATCGAGAGCTTTCCCGAGCAGCTCTTCGGCAGGGCCGTAGTAAGGAGATGTATCAAAGGCACGTACGCCGAGGGACAGGGCGCGATGTACGATACCTGTGGTTGGAAGCTTGTATGGATCTGGGTTATATTGGTCATTGAAGGTGGCTGAGCCACATATGAGGGGTGGTAGGAGATCGGACAATGAAGGTGATGTCTTTGGCATAATGAACTTTCTTTTGTGCAAGGCAGAATGAAGACGCGAGAGAGACGAGATGGAAAGCAAGGGGCTAAGGAATCCAGAGCAGTAGGCAGAAGAGAAGGAAAGATTAGGAAGACGCAGAGCTTTAATGGAAGCTCAGCGGCGCCTAGACACAGACGTACACCGTTTACAATGTGAGGTGCCGGTATGGGATTGATAAAGCCGTGGTTAGTTTGCGGTTGTGTCAAATGCACGCAAAGTGAAAATCGCAGACGATGGCGCAATCCCAATCTATGACGCGCATATCGTGCACGGTTTCATTAGTAATGACTCTACAGCTTACTCCGAGCCTGCCTAATGTGCTTCCAGCCACCGGGAAAGTCAGGAAGCCGTAGATAAGTAAATGGTGCATCCGGTGTGGTTGAGGAAAGACAACGCGTTGGATGCGACGAAGAAGAGGGCTTGGCGGGCTTCGGACGCTAGCCTGCAGGCTTAGGCTTGTTGATCCTACCCTACAGGCTGCTTCGTATGCGCAAATTCCATATCTTAGCGACACCCTCATCAAGCCCACTACGATCAGGTCTAAAGGGTGCCAGTGCTTCAGACATGATCAACCGGCTGCAGCTTCACTCTGATGGAGGTCTGCCACGTTTGCCACGGATACCAGTCCAAGCATGTTCCCACCTTTGCACCGTCCGGCTTGCAACATTGGCTGGAAAAGCCAGAGACAGGGTCGTCACCGCTGTAGACAGTAATACGTATCGAGTCGTCTTTCTTCGACCGAATGGACTTTCACCGTTCGACGGTCTGTTCATATCTTTCAAAATCCAAAATTCTGGAGAGTAGTATTCCCATCCAACGCCTCGCTATGCCTCGCTATGCGTATCTGAACATCGGAACGAGAAGATATGCCTGAGTAGTGTCCGATCACTCTCAATCCTTGTACATCTTTGGTTTCCATCCCTCTTTAAGCTCCTGTTCCCTCGCTGCCTTCTCCTGCGCCTCCCTAACTTCCAGCTCTATCCGCTCCCGCGCCCGTAATATCTTGCTTTGAAGATAAAAGCTTCCTCCTTTCTCGGAGCTGTTCTGGTCAAATAGTCTTTTAAACCTAGCAGTCACACTGTCTATGTAGGGCTGAGCTCCCTGAGGTGGAGCAACATTGAGAATTTTGCACGCTTCGTCGACAGTGAGGCCGTGCGAGGCGAGATTGTTTGTCGTAGCGTCACTGTTGGACGCATTCGCTTTGGCGTATTGTGACGAGACAGACGCTTGTTTCCAAGCCTCTGCAAAGGCACGTCCAAGGACTCTGGAGCCCACTAAGACCACTTGGGTGATGATTCGGTGCGCCTGATAGGGATATTAGGATTGGCTGTCTTTGGAAATATTTGCACACATACCATGGCTGCGCTACTTGGAGTATTGGTGCTTCATCCTAGGCAAATGCAGCTTGACTTCATGTCCAGGAGCCATCGCAGGTAGAAAATGATGTAGCCCGCTAGGAAAGTTTTCGAGATGAAAGGCTTAGTAATCGACCTCGGCTAAAGCGTGGTCGTGCTTGCCGATGGTGAACTGCTTTGATTGCCTACGCCATTTTTATCGCAATGATAGAGGAAGACAGGACAGGGCGGACAGGATGAGACGGCCTTGATCATAGAGAGCTTTGCTCTTGTATGGCTGCAATTGGTTTGTCGTTCCTAGCTTGCCAGGCTCAGAAGTGCTGACATTCAAATATGTAGAAACGGGTTGGATAGAAGAGATGACACCTTCTCCTGCGCCAGCTCATGACCCTGACTCTAGGAAGGTGAAGCCTGATAATCCTACCTCCTCTACTGTCGCAGCATTTTCTCCGATCCAGCCAACAGCATCTCCAGCCCTCAAACAGCGATCTGCAATCTTAGTCCATCGAAAGTCGCCCTTACTTGTTGCTACACCGCCAACCGTTACGCGCGCATTAGCATTCTCGCATCCATTCATTCTACCTTTGAATCAGGCTGTTGGATTACTGACATGGACAAGCGGTGATGCTTGGGAAAGCTTCCTCCTTGTCGCAGGCTTCTGGGCGATCGCGCTGTACGGGGATGTTGCGTTGCGATATGCGGGACCACTCCTTGCCGTCACTACCCTCATCATGCTCATGTACTCTCGACGGTATTCTCCCTTATCGTCAAGTGGGTGGGCTGGGGAGAAAGCACAAGACCCAAAACATGCCTCTGAGAGCAGTATGAAACATCAAAAAAGCTTGGACGAGATCGTTGAAACGCTCAATATATTCACAACAAGGTGTAATCTTTTGCTGGAGCCTTTTCTTCAGCTCACTGAGTTCTTATCAACGCAAAGAACCGCAACTTCCGCGACTACTAGACCTGCGCTCACGTCGTTGTTCATCCGCATTCTCCTTGTTACTCCCGTTTGGATCGGCCTGATGCTTCCACCTCTTCATGTTTTTACTTGTCGGCGTGTTCTCGTCGTAGGAGGCACTATAATTTTAAGTTGGCATTCACGTCCTGCGCGAGTGACAAGAACGCTCTTGTGGAGATCGAGGCTTGTACAGCGAATCTTAGCTTTTGTTACTGGGCTGAACTTCGCCGTGCCTGAAAAGCTTACTGAGGGAGCGGAAGGCCAAGCAACATCCACGCTACCTCGTCAAAAGGATCAGCGTGCTGTAGCAAGTTCGCTTGCTTCAAGCGCGCAGGCGCCTTCACTAGGCGTCCGATTTACGTTCGTTGTCTACGAAAACCAACGCCGCTGGCTAGGGCTCGGCTGGACATATTCTCTGCTGGCATATGAGCGAGCGGCGTGGACCGACGAGCATCTCAATCCCTCGGATCCGAAAGAGGGGTTTCAACTACCCGAGGTTGAAACTGGTACTGCAAGATGGCGTTGGGTTGAAAGCCGGGACTGGCAAGTTGATACGGGTGGAAAAAGCAAGGGTGGCAACTTTGACGGATGGATTTATTATGATAACAAGTGGCACGATGGCCGCCGAGGACAAGATGGATGGGGTCGTTATACGAGGCGCCGAAAATGGTTTCGAGACGCTGAACTCGTCGAGGTTCAGCCCGGTACAGCAGTTGGGGATTCAACAGCAACGCTGAAAGAATCTTCAACGCCAATTAAGGCTACTGGGGCGACGTCCCACAAGTATAGTTCCAGCAAGGACGGGGATGATTCAAGTAGTACTCAGTCCAGAAGACGTGGCTTGTTCAAGAGAAGAACGAGCGTTCCAAGTACCCAGAGTAGCAGCGATCTTTCGTCTCCTACGACGCTTCGTAACGATGAGGACGACAAACACGTCGTTCCTCCACATCATGAACGAGATGGAGACTGGGATGTTGGTGATGACGTGAGGATGGGCTTGGGCTGAAGCACAAATGGCCCTCGGAAAACAGTCGTCAAAATCTTGGTCGCTATTCCAGATATTTGGGAGCATCAGGTCCCCCTTGATTTTATTCAATGAACTTAGCCGCAAGCCTTTGCCGCATAGCAGAGCTATACGGCTACGAGTCTTAGAATCTCGCTGGTCTGTAACGGATATCCCTCTATCAGGGCTGATTCTACTGCAAAAAGAGCATGATATTAGCTGTTGGCCGAAGGCGTCGATATGAGATCACTACCGGTACGACACGACGCAATAGAGGTCAACGAAACATGAGATACTGGGCTTCGGGGACTGGCAAAGCGCTGGCCACAACATAGAGGCGTGGAAGATTAGAAGCAGGTAGGGTCCGCATACAATTCGGTGCCGATCGACAAATCATCAACTTGCGAGCGGTAGGTGGTGTCAGTGCTCAACATTTATCAGAAAGAAATTATAGTATTAAAAACGTTGCGTGTCTGGACTTGGACTGAATGAGCGACCCAATATATCAACTACGTTGTGTATCTCAGTCATTTGCTTTGCCTTCTTCGAGTACTTATCGTTACACGTATATCCCCAGGAGTACGTCAATATCCTGCCACAGTCGTTGCCCATGGGTCAGTGAGTCAGCCTCATGGGAGAGCGACAATATCATTCAATGCTGGATAATAGTCAGTACATATTGGTAGGGACTGCTTTATGCAATCAACTTACTCCACAGCTACCGCAGCCGCAGCTGGCACAGTCACCGCCGCATGAGCAAGTGTTGCAAGAGCAAGGATTCATATTGTTCAAGTGATTTGAAGCTAAAGGTTCGGAGCTAATTCGGTCTTTTGTGGTGGCGACTGCTTTTGCAGATCTTGAGAGGTTCTTGAAGATTTCGTTCGTGTTCCTGCTGAACGAATGTAAGGGAAAGGGGGCGGCAAGGACGACGAACGCTCTATATTCCTGTAGTCTCTCTGTGGTCCCGCACTAAGATACGTGTTCGACCACATCACATACATGATCCCACGCAGAAACCCCGCAACGAGGGGTAGCCATGCAACCTCGCAGCGAATAAGGTTGAAGCTCTAGATTGTCAGCTTTCTGGGCATCTCACGATTGGCCGGGCAGTTCCTTAGGATTTGATGCAAGACATATCGTTCACATGGAGGCTGGATGACATGGACTGAACATTGCAGGCTTCCATTACGCGAATTCCGAAAGGAAAGGTTGGGACTTGGTGGTAGCATTCATCTTCATTCAATTTTAAGCCAAATGAGTGTTCCTTCCACATCATCAATTAGTAACATCCTCATGAAGAGCCATCATGATCGAACGCCATCCACCACATGACACTCAGCAGGCTGCAACTCCATTCCTGACGTCCAAAGCTCCACTTTCCTTCACCGAGTGAGGCTGAGATTTTGAGCAATCCTAATATCGGTGAGGGTCTGGCAAGATGGACAGCCTTAGGAACGTACATTTGCAAGTGCACGACCCTGCTGGACAAGCACACTTATCACCGCAGCTGCATGAGCATCCGGGTGCTGAAAGCTTTGTCAGGTCCAGACTCTTCTAACCAGAGAAGTACTCACCCATTTTCGAGGGATGAATTTGTTGTTTGATGGAGCTTTTAGGTTGTAAAATGGGATTCTCTGCTCTGTTTGATGTTTATGAATGGAGAGATCTAAGGACAGGTGGGGTGAAGTCGGGGAATTTATACTGAAGCCGTTTCAGCCTGTCCGACGTCAAAGGGCGGAGGCGCAGTCCGAGGAACCTATTGCCCAATCCCGAAGGTGGTACAGCATCTAGAGCTGCGCAAGTGAAGCCCAACGCGCCCGTCTTGCCCGAGTCAACTGGTGGGTCAGACTGCCGTTCTCGCCCAAAGTCTTCGTTAAACCCCACCTGCTTTTGAATTCCCATTAGCAACACCTCTTGCAAGATCAGGTGCCCGTAAGCAGGCCGCTACCTGCACCAATCTGCTCGAATTGATCGTCCGAACCAGTCTCATAACCTTCTCACACTAATGACGCTACAGGCGTCTTACATTTTCTTGGACGACCATTTGACCTGATTCTAGAACATTCAACAGACAAGTTAGGTTCTGGAATACACCCCGTTCCGCAGTATTTTCATTCGTGTGATTTTATAGCCTTTGGCCAACCTTAGGATGCTTTCTCTGGGCAGAAATTTGCTCGATTGTAACGTGATGACATTCAGAACGCTTCTTTACCGCGCGGAATCATCAGAACTGCTTTGCCAACTATACTGTCGGCTTGCAGAATTGGTACCAGTAGAATCGTCCTCAAGATGAGAGCGTAAGTCTTTCGGCTTCAATTGTGCACTGTTCAAAATCCAAAAACAACAAAACATTCGTGATCAGCCATATGACCCTTTGTATGCTCAGTATGTGACAGGTGACTGTATTCGATGACCTGGACTGATTCTTATTGGCAATGAAGTGCTCGATATGTCTCAACATGCTGATTTTCTTCATGCTTTGAAAGAACTAATAGACAGAGCACTGTTCAAGAGGGAAGTTCATTGACTTGCCAATTTCTCATTGATCTATCAAACAGAGGACAAAGTACAACATGAAAAATGATACAGCGAGAGTTCGAGTGACTTCCGTGCGCCTCGCCTGTAAACCTGAATCTACATGATATCCTCACTCAAAGCAAAAGCTTTAGCTCTTTAGCACGCTCCTGAAATCTAAGGAGATATGTCGACGGATTTATCTTGCTTAGACGAAAGAGCAGTCTATCAATCATTGAGACAACTTCCTTGTAGTAACATGACAGACTTACTGACGTCGTAAGAAGGGTACCAAAAAGGAGATGCAGTTCAGTGGAAAAGGAGAGAATTCAGGGGCGAGCTAAGGGTAGATGCCAAGGCCACTTCCATGACTAAGCGGGATGGAGCAACTCGCCACCTTCTCGACTTTTCCTTCATTGGATCATTACTGACTGACGGCATTCTGATGAGAAACAGCAGAGTGTAGAGATAGGAGGAGGTGCAGTATCACCATCCTCTTTGCAAAATATCAATATTGGTCTTTGATTGCATCGTTGCGTAGCGCTTTCCTCCCAAAAGACAGACGCGTCATGATTATCCCCAAACCTGGAGCCTGTTTGCCCCTCCCCTCCACAGGCCACTTTCGACCATGTTCCAGTGCATTCTCGTCACGGCCTTACTTTCTATCCAGATGTCGTAGACCGGTCTACGTACGCAACATTCTGCCTGTGGCTGCTTGTATATAGTGTGGCTGAACCTCTGCTTTCTGCCATCCATTAATTATACTTCACTCTTCATCTCACCCTGCCCTTGAACTTTCTCCTATTCTTCTGCAAACACACAAATCAAACAAAACAACTCACAAAGCTCTTCATCATACGTCGAACATGTCGAATCTCCGTGACCTGAACCAGCAAAACTCGTTCATGGATATGCTCTCCTCCTTCAACCGTTTCGGTACCGAGCATCCATTCTCCGCAGCTTTCAACCCAGAAGCTCGTGACCGTGGTCCACCACCAAGTTACGATGGCCCTCAACAACCAAGCCGCGAAGCTAACACCCCTCCGTCTTCTGACGAGGACCCGCCTGCCCCTCCGCCACCAGAGGAAGGCCATCACCCTCACCGTGGACCCTCTCGCGGCCGACACCACCATCGTGGCGGTCACTGGGGCCGTGGCGGCGGCGGCTGGGGTGGCGGCTGGGGTGGTCGTGGTGGCCACCCTTTCGCTCGCTGTGGTGGAGGCAGAGGAGGCCCGAACTTTGGCGGCTTCGACATGAACCGCCTCGCTGACTTCATCGGACAATTCTCCCCCGAAGCAGCAAATGAGATGCGCTCGCGTGATGCTGGCGAACGTACCGGCGGTAAGGACTTCGCACCCGAGGCTGATATCTTCGATACCGAAGATGGCTTTGTTGTGCATGTCTCCCTTCCTGGTGCGAAGAAGGAAGATGTGGGTGTCAATTGGGATGCGGATAAGAGTGAATTGAATATTGCCGGTGTCATCTATAGGCCTGGTGATGAGGCCTTCTTGAAGACCCTGGCGCTCGATGAGAGGAAGGTGGGCGTCTTCGAGAGGAGCGTGAAGCTGGGCAGCAGGGAGAGGCCGGCCTTGGTTGATAGCGAGAGCATCAGCGCGAAGATGGAGAACGGAGTCTTGATTATCAGCATCCCGAAGATGGAGAAGGACTTCGTCGAGGTGAAGAAGGTGGATATCAATTGAGTCCAGGGTCGATAAGGTGCTGCATCATCAGGCGTTAGCATGGCGGCGGCAGTAGTAGGTTAAATAATTGAACACAGACACATCAATGACATCCACTTGCCAGCAGAGTAGCCATTTCACTTCGTCATTGTGCTTTTACAAGCTTGCTAGGAATATCCCTTGCGTGTGATGGTTGACGTTGAATTTGTACATGAAGAGCGGCACTATATATCTGTTTCCCTCAATTCACCTTCCTGTGACTTTCCTCGCCCTTCATTCGTCTCACTAGGTTGTCTGCCATCTGATCAAACACACCACCAACGCTGCTACCCCTTTCTGTATTCATTTCCTGCTCTGCTTCCCTCTTTGTCTCTTCTAATTTCTCCGTTATCGGACCAACACTTTCCGACACCACTAACTTCCTTCCAGCGTCCATATCAGCCTGTCTTTTCCCCTGCAATGCCGCCAGTGTATCGAACGAGCCGACTCCTAGTAATTCCAGGACCTCTGCCTCAGTCGGTATCTTCCCCTCGCTGAGCTTCTCTATCCTTTCCCTGTCCTCTGTCGGTATTGGCGCTGGACCAGGTCTATCCTCCTCTTTCAATCCGCCCATAAAGAAATTGCGTATCTTCGGCCTCATCCTTTTCTGATCCTTCTTTTGCTCTGCCAATGCATTTGCTCGCTCTCGGGTGAGGACAAGGTCTTGCTCGGGTGTGAGGGTTATGCCGGCCTTTTCAGTCTCAATTGCGGCGAGAAGTCGGGAAGAATATATTCGATGCTGTTCATTTATGAAAGCGGTTCGTTTGCGCCGATTGTGGATCAGCATGTCACCGATAGCGAAAGTGCCAACGAAAAAACAAATGCCTGTACTAAGCTGTAAGCGCCCAATTACTCATACCCTCCCAGTCTGAAATATGGGGATATTCATTTGCATTAGAGTGACAGGGAAGTGCATACCACCTGCTCCTATGAGACTGAGAGCTGTGACTTTGTGAGCTCTGTCCGCCCATTTGCGGCCACGAAGTACTATTCTGTCCCATATCGGTAGTGCGGCATTGCGCTGTGCGGTTCTCAGAGCTCGTAGTCGAGCGACTTTCTCTTGCGGTGTCTCTGGCTTTGGTGGAGGAGGTGGTCTGGGTACAGATCCAGGCTCTGCGGTCAAGGGTGTGTTGAGGGACTGAGGGATCGGTCGAAAAGGGTTCGGATTTGAATAGGCGTGAGGTTTAGTCGCTGTGAACCTGGTGGCATTCGCTGCTGAGCGAGCCATATTGTTAAGAGCAGATTGAGAATTGCTAGGTATCGTCTAGGAAGGTTTGAGATTAAGGGCTTCTCTGTATGAAATGACGCGAACTTTTTTGGATGTCACGGAATTCGTCCGCTTGGATTGAAGTGGGATTGCCAAATATCAAAGACCTAACCAATGTTCGCAAACCTCGAAGCACCTTGAATGATGGAAGGGACTGCTCAATACTTCAGTCTGCGTCGAGACGATGCTCGCCGCTTAAATCAATGGAGGTCTTCGGACTGAGAGTCCTCACAATTCAGTCTACACTAATTGAAGCGAATGTCAGGAAGACGTTTCTCTCAATGATCAACTCTCGTCCCTGTCTTCACACGCCCAAACATTCGAATCTGCACGATGGAGTATAATCCCCACCCGTCCTCGAACCTTGCCTCGATTCTACAAACGCTCTCCTCATACACACCTCCAGAAGCTCCCGCGCCTTCCTTAAACCCACGCTTATCTTCAATCCCCAAGGAGGAGTACGACCCTTCCCAATATGATCCCTCTGCTACAGCTTTTCCAATCCAAGAATCTCAATCTCATCTCGCACCTGCTTCTCAGACTCCGCCACCACCCCAATTCAAGCCTTCTAAACCCCGCCCTCCTTCTTCAACGAAGGACATCATGACCTATCCCACCGCCCTCCGTCACATAACGACACACCTCCTCCCACGTCCAGACTTCACATCCAGAATCCAGAATCTCATCCACACACAACACAAGCACGAGCGAGAATGGCATGCCGGCCTCAAGACACTTGAAGATCAGCTCCGCTCACGGGACGCCAGCAGGAAGAAACTCGATGAAGTTCTGGCAGCTGTGGGTGGGAAGGTGTCTTCGTCCGCAGACGGTGGTGGTGGTGCGCAGCAAGCCTTGACGGATGAGGACAAAGAGAAGGAGATGAGACTGTATGAACGGAAAGTTTGGAAGGCGCAGAGCGAGATGGTGAGGGCTACTGAGAAGGAATTGGCGGGGCTGCATGTGCCGTTCTTTGGAGAGGATGTTGGGGTGAGTTGGAAAGGGAAGGAAGGCGAACTGAGAGATTTGAAGGGGAGAGTAGTGGGTCTGTTAGAGGATCTGTGTGGAGAGGATGAGAGGTTGAAAGGATGATGGGGTGTGTTCCTGAAGTGATGAGGTGGTTGATGGGGGAGAACATGCATAGCGATGGCGTTGGGTATACCCTTAGTGTACTGAAATGATTCTGATTTCATGAGCCATAATTGGCATGATAAATAGACCGTGAAACCATCGTTTTGCAGTCATTATGCTGTACAAATCGCCAGATCTCCAACGGAAAAGTCTTGTTTCCATTGCAATAATGCACAAGCGCTGAAAATAGCCGTGATGGATCATCAAACTGGCATCAATCCTCCTTCAGCTGTTCCTCTCCTTCTTTCTTTGCAAAAAGTCGTTCTCCTCTCATATACCCTAATCCTTTTCCAATACTTTCATCAACAGCTCCCCGCCTGTGTTCGAATATCGCATTCATAGTCGCAAGACTAAGCACGAATACCAGAACATCCCCTCCTTTCAATCCTCGCCACCACCCTCGTTTCTTTCCAACTTTCCAAAAGCTGTCAATGCTCATTCTCACGCTGTACAGGACCTGTCCTCGTCCCGCCTTCCTGTCAACGTATGCCCACAAGCCGCCTAAGCCGCCGCCTAGTATCCATCTTGATCGTGGCAGAAAAGTGCGAGGGAACAGATACTGGAAAAGACAGATGCTGCCCCAGCTGGTGCCTATAGCACCCGTGATGAATGTGGTGGTCCGGAGAACTTTTCTCGCTAGGTGGTTCAGCTCGGACGCCGGATCGGCCAAGATTTTCTGATATTTTGGTATTGAAAAAAGGGCGTAGAAGGCGGCGAAGAACTTTGCAAGGGTAGGAAAGGCTGTTAGAAGGTAGTTTGCGAGTGTACGTGCGCACGACGGATCGGTTGGGTGAAGGGTCGCACATGACAGAGCTGTATGTGCAGGATGTGCTGGGGAAGTAATGGGAGACAATTGATTCAAGCTGGGCGGGAGTGTTTGAAGAGAGTTCGGGAAAAGGATTGGGGATACGAAAGACCTATTGGTTTAAGCTTTAGCTCTTGAGTCCTTAACGGGATGTGATACTTACGGCCAATTGAGTCTCGACATCTCTGCGAGGCTATCCACTATAGTGTTGGTACTAGGCCATTGTAGATGAGATGGGTAGTTTGCTGGTCGCTTCTGTACGTAGTTGGGCGTGTATTCCAGAATGAAGTCGCCGTAAGCCTAAAAATATAAGTCATGTGTAGACCTTGAACGCCGAAGCCCTGATGATACCTTTGGAAAGCAGTCGCGGTCGAACACAAATGCATGCAATAGCTGGCCCGTTGCCAATGGCATTAGCATCCAACTACCCCACCACGGCGGCTTTCTGCTGAGCCAGCCAGCATCATCAGCAGCATTATACAGAAATTCCAGAGCCCTTGTGGCGCAATATATTGCGATTGTGATTCGAAGTTGATCAGCAGGATACACAGCAAGGGCGAACCCGGCAAGACTGGCTGCGATCGCAGGCGCAAATCGAGAAGTCAGAGCGCGAGAGATTCGAGGATTGCGGCGCCGGAATGGAACGGCATCTTTAGAGAGGAGATTGGATCGAAATCGAGAGAAGAAGCGAAACAACAAGCGATGCAAAAGCAGGATCGACGAGAGTGAGAGTGAGAGCCGAAGAGCAGGAGACTGAACGAGGGATGTCTTTGAATTTCTTAATCTAGGAGTCAGAACCAAATCACCTCGAAAATGCAAAGAGAGCCAACCTTTTCTCCGTTTTCCTTGCCAGCAAACGGCTGCTGATGATATCCCACGACTTCAAGGCGGTTTGAGAGACGGCAAACACGCGGATGGACGCCCTGACTGCAGCTGCATTGTAATCGTCCCTACTCCATACGGAGGTATCTGAGACTGATGGACAAGGCGATCTCCTGCGGACGACTCGTGGTGCTTTGGTCTGAAGATACCGTTGCAGCGTGGCGTACTCTTCTTTGCTAACGGTATACCGGAGCGCATTGCGAAAGATTGGGCCTGGCTTTCGCTTTCTTGGACTAGGAGGAGGGGATGGATACACGCCTCCTTCGTCTGTCGCTGCCATCACTTCTGTAGCTTGTCATGAATTGTTGACGACGAGTTGCACGCGTCTTCAGGAGAAGCCTTTGAGCCGAGGTCATGTTGTTAAAGCTCGCAGGCCTGTCATCAAAGCTGCGCATTTCTCATCACGTATGTCTGGGCTAGTGGGAGGCGAGTCTTTGAAAACAATCTTCACAACTGAGCCCTGATGAGAGCACGCTCTTGTCACAATAATACCTTAGATGTTGAAGCATCTATCATTACAACTTTAAGATGCCTCAGAAGTACACATAGCCCTTCCACTTGCCTCGAACACTTCCTTTGCACTGGTTCTATGTGACGTAGCATTTCCACCTTTTGGATTGCTTGTGACTATGTACGCCCAGTGACGAAAATTATCCATGTGCGACAAAAATTTCTTACCCTTTGAAGTATCGAACGTACTCGGATGCAAAGGATGTTAGCCTCTCAATCTCAGTATGTGCTTTCGGAATCCCAAGGGAAAATGTCGTCCTCTGGAGCAAGTTGCAAAGCTTCAAACGGCAACATGGCAGGCCGCGTGCGGCTGGCTCAAGCCTTTGACTGGTTCATGTATTGATTCATTATCGTGATCAACCTTCGAGAGGCATGCGTCAGGATTACTGCTCATGCACCAATACATCGGCCTGTGGTCGCGGGCTCGTGGGAGTGAAGCAGAGGTATGAATTCACACTAGGCATTAGCTGCATTCTCGCCTTGAATGTATAGAAGTGTTCCGAGCAAAGAGAGTTCCCCGAACGTTAGTCCAAATGCTCCTCGGCCTGCATGAGTCTTCGCTCAAGCCTAGTTGAGGATATGTAAATCCAAGCACTCGGCATGGGCACCAATGAGATTGATGCCAGGCAAGCCGTAATACTAGCTCATCTATGAGGGATTGGATTCTGCTACTTGGTCGAGCATTTCCGATAGTCACCAACTCAATACAATAGCCAGATCATCCCTTTTGAACGCAGGAGAAATGAGGGGTACAACACCGAGAATATCCGATGCATAAGTGCGAAGCACTCCAAAATTGAGGTAAGCGGGCAAATGAATCAATGAGAGAAAGCAGCTTCGGCAGAGAACAGGATGGAAAAGATCATTGAGATATAAATCAGCATTCCCTACCTGCAGTGTCTGCTTTGCGAACCTACATCTCAAATCCTAAATACTGTGCTTAATTTTTTACCACTGCTGTAGGACATCATTATTTGTATACCAAGAAGAGTGTCGCCTAGATATAAGTCATGAAGTTGAATCTTAGCGTCGCGGCACTTCTGGCCAGCTTGACTGCTTATGTATATGCTGTTCCAACAGATGCTGACTTTCCGGACTGCGTGGTATGGCAATCATAGTGCCATGTTTCTTGGACCTAACGAGCCCCAAGCAACCTTGCGTTGACGACGCCGCGAATATCTCTGGCTGTGGCCGCCACGAACCTGCTTGCTACTGCAAAAGCAAGTCCTTTCTCACCTTTGTCAAGGCATGTGAGGAGAAAGCATGCACTCCTGCAGAGGTCGCACGTAAGTGTAGTGTCCCTACGCAAGTCTATTATCGCATAGGCATACGAGCCTCTCCAGATCTTGCACTGCATACGCTCTTGGTGTCTTGAAAGACTAACGAGCGTGCTGAGTCTTTAGTTGTTCATAAGTTATCATATGAAATATGCATACCAGAGGGTGGTATTCACCCTAGCATGGTCACAGCTTTTGCACCTGCGGAAACTGGTGCTACCGAAGATACTTTTGTCGTCCAAGGGCTATGAAGAGTAAGGAGCTTTCAACGATGCCACGATATTGGCATCTCAACAGAAAGACTTGGTCATGTGGCGGAGGACCCCCCTGTCTCACAGTCAGGCGTAGCGCCCCCTGAGCGATTGCGAGCCTCAAGCGTCAATTAAGATATATCTCAAAGAAACTTGAAGCATGTACATTTCGTAAAAGAAATTGAACACATTTCTCGAGTGGCAAACGCTGAACTTTTCTTTGAAAAGAGGGTTTCAAATTGATCTTGATGAAATTCAACCTTCGCAAGTGCACAATGTCCTAGAAGGACATCTATCGATGAATTTCATGAAAGAAAGCCTCTTTCCCAGAAAGGACGAACTTCTCGACTCAGGGACACTAGGAATGACATTTCAAAGCAAGGCAGCCTTCTCATAAAGAATCATTGTCCCTCTCCATAAGTACCCTTTCCCGCGGAGAAGTGAGCCTTCATCAAAAACTAAGTGCTGGGCTTTGCAGCATGAAAGTGCCCCTTCGTTCTTTACAGAAGGTTTCTGCGTCCGTCTCTGGTGTTCGGATGGAGGTCAATCAACTCCGAGATCAGTGCGATCCAATTGAAGTTTCATATGTGCTTGACTGACCAAAGACATGAAAAGCAGATGGTGGTGAAGTGCTTGCCAAAGGACGCTCAGGGTCTTTGTCTTAGGCAGCATAACTTCCGAGTCTCCATTGATGTGCTACCAGCAGTCTCTTCACAGGATGCAAAGTGACGCAAAGCCAAGACCAGGGCCAACCGCTCTACTCCCATGCAATTTTTGTATATTAGCACTGGAGTGTAAAGCAGCTGGAGTCGGGTAAAGTGTGCAGTTTAGGCTCGAGAGGCCCGTGACTAATTGAGCCGCTAGTGAGGATCGTTGCCAAGGCTGGTTCCCCCCATCCTCGCCTTAGCAAACGTGCAGGAGTACGTTGAAGTCATGATGTGGTTGTAGCTCCAAGAACTGAGATCACGAGGATGCTGGCGATCACTTCTTTATAAGACTCATCGGACCCTGTGGGCGGGGAAATGGGCAATGTTATCGGTGCAATCAGGAATCCTTAGTCGCGAGAGGGTTTCTGACAGCTGCAGGGTGAGTCTGCGTAGCAACGGCCCTCTGCGGGCAAACGACAACAATTGCTATTGGCAGAGTAGCATTTGCGTCGAAGCAATCTCTGGCAATCATTGGTAGATCAATGGAATTTTTGACTGTATGGAGCTTAGTGACAAGTGTAATGGGCGGAAAGAGACGGAAGACTCGACCGTTTTGAGGCTTGGCGGCCTTCCCGCCGCTAAGGGACCTTATGCGCGCCGTTTACGCACACACCGACCGGTTTATTACTGACTCCGCATTTTCCCACCTGTTCGCTCTTTTGAATGAACAACCTTTCCACCAACCGCTGAATTTCTGACGTGTTTACGCGTCCAAGCTCCTCCATTGACGACTCTCTTCTTATCACTCTTGTCTCATTCTATCGCATCTGAACTTGTCAGGTATCTTGGGGAAAGCACACGACACACAACCGTAGGGGGAGCTCACTTTCTTGCGAGAACGAGCCCCGGTTGTGTACAGTGAGGATCAAAGGTCATCTTGAGGAAATGACATTGACACATGCTACAAGAACACCCGCCAACCCCGACAGCTTTCCTACCGTCCAGCTCTTCTTCTTAGCAATATGTCGAGTTGCGGAACCTATTGCCTTGACCTCATGCCTTCCATACGCCTGGCTGATGGTCAAGCACTTCAAAGTTGGCGAAAAAGATAGTGCCTCCTTCTACGCTGGAATCTTCATCTCTGCATTCGCCCTCGCCGAAGCCCTCACTGGCCTCTTTTGGGGCGCTCTCTCCGATCGAGTGGGCCGCAAACCTATACTGCTCGGAGGATGCCTTGGCACTTTGGTATCCTTGCTGGTCGTTGGCTTCTCCACCAACTTCTGGGTCGCACTGACCGGTAGAGCGTTAGGAGGATTGCTGAGTGAGTTTCCAGCGGACTTTTGGACTCCCATGCTACGATAGCTGACGGGCTCCCCCACAGATGGGAACATTGGGTATGCCAGCTTGCAAATGATACCTATGCCGTGACCGTGCCCCTGTGCTTTCGTCTGGGTATACTTCGGGACTTGATGTTGACATTGATGGTGCATAGGGTAATCCAGACCATGGTTGGTGAGCTGGTCGTCAATCCGAAGCATGAACCGCGAGCTTATGCTATTATGTGAGCATTACCCCGAATGCTATTTGTCCCAACATTTTCATGCTACAACAGTGCTGATGCCAATGTCCATTCAGGCCCTTCATTTGGTCAATTGGAACGATAATCGGACCAGCAATTGGTGGTACTTTTGCCCGCCCTGCAATTTCTATGCCCTCTACTTTCTCCCCTACTGGCGTTTTTGGCAAATTTCCTTACCTCCTACCCAACTTGATTTGTGCGATTCTTCTTCTTATCAGCATCATCTTCGGGTATGTCTTCTTGACAGAGACTCACCCAGACATGCAGGCCTGGAGCACTCCTGAAGATCTCGATCATACGCATGCAGAAACGCCTCTGATAGCCACGGCTGGGGCTACAGCTGACTCTGGCGTCGATCTCCGAGCCGAGACATATGGAACCTTTAACACGGTCGAAATCAACGAAGAAAAAAGTTGGACGATCAATGCAAATGGCACTTCTCGCCCGCCATCTGTTTCGTCCAACGATCGTGACAGACCAAGGATTTTCACGCGCAAAGTGGTCATGATCGTCGTCGCACTCGGCATCTTTACCTACCACTCGATGACCTATGACCATCTATTACCAATATTCCTCCAAGACGAATATATCGAGCCTCGCAGCAGCTCGCCATGGTCTATTCCTGGTGGTCTTGGTCTTACGACGCAGTCGGTAGGAATCATAATGTCAGTCAATGGCCTCATCGCTCTGTTCATCCAAGCAATCCTCTTCCCACTCTTCACATCATGGCTTGGTGTTTGGAAGGTGTTTGTTTTGGTCACGGTCCTCCATCCGATAGCATATGTCATTGTGCCGTACCTTTACTTCGTGAGCGGAAGTGCCCTTTACCCTGCAATCTACGCCTGTCTCACCGTTAGGAATTTCACCTCTATTCTAGCTTACCCTGTCCTACTGATCATGCTCAAAGAAGCTGCGACAGGTCCTTCAGTACTTGGAAAACTTAATGGGCTTGCAGCCTCGGCAGGAGCAGCATGTCGTACCCTTGCTCCACCACTGGCAGGTTACCTTTATACTGTCGGGTCACACATCGGCTTCACAGGTCTCGCCTGGTGGGGAAGCGTCTTAGTAGCTTTGATTGGCGCTTTCCAAATTCTGATTGTGAAGAGGACAAAGAACAAGACCGCAACGATCAAGCCCATGGCGAGTTTCATTCGTCCGGCAATGCACGACAATGACGAGGTCATACACATAATGGTGACCGACGATTCTTGAGAGGAAATCTCGACGGAGAACTTGCTACAAATAGTGATAAATGCGAAGCTCGGAAAGAATTGAAAAGAATTGTAAATAGTGAGGAAATATCAAGGGAGAAGACGAGGTTCTCTCCATGCTAGAGAATTTTGGCGGTTATCATGCTGACGCAAGCCATGAGTGCAGCACGGCTTTATAGCTCAGAATATTTTGTTTACGCAGTCATGTTTCAGCAAGGCGTTTGGGCTACACGGACATCATAGACAAGTACAGGAGGTCATTTACATCTTGATACGCACTTCCATCCCTTTGTAGGTTGCAACATGGAGCTTGGTGGTGCAAGGGTATGTGGGAACAGATCGAAAAAGGCTATATAATTTACCGAGACAAGAAATTGCTTACGAGTCTTGGGGTAAAGTAGCTGTCAGTACATAGTATACTGCCAAATGAACATTCAAAAGTGTGAAGCTCAATCACATTAGCTCATAAAGGTGGCTAAAGAGAAGCTTCGAGTACGCTTCAAAATTGTTCTCTCATTCCGCTTGCTATCATTAGTCTATGGGTATCATGATGCATTCCCCCCGTGCACTTGTTGTTACAACAGAAAAGATATCGTCTTCACCACGCAAAACCATGGCCCTCTCAGAGGCCATACAAAACCTCTGTTGTCATCGCTCTGGGCTACGAAATACCCCGAATTCGAAATGTACCTCCCCAACGTACGGTACTGTCGCTTAAGAGGCCAATCATCTGATCCCCACTGGATTACTGTCACCACAATATATCTCTTCATATCATTACCAGAAAGAACACCATCCGATATAGTGCTGGCAGAGGTTTTCCACATTTGTCGCCTGTGCAATTAATTTGCTGACCTGCTTCTCCACGCCTAGCTCTTCCTTGCCCCCGAAGTCCTTGCCTGTTAGCTTGTCTCTCACACGCTCGAGCACCTGTACGGCTCGCGCATTTTGAATTTCTGCGTATGCATTCCTCTCATCCCTTGTGTCTGAAGGCTGACCATCTTGGGGGGCGAGAACGTCGTTCGGCAATGCAGAAATTCGGCGCATGCCTTTGCTGCCACTGCTCGGCTTGCCAACGGCAAATTGAGCAGCTTCTACTTCTGTGTCTGGTGGTCGAGGGGCACTGGTTGTGGTTGTCGTGGTGGTGGTGGCATTGTTGTTGTTGGCAGTAGTGTTCGATATACTGGCGCGACGTTCGCTATGGAAGGAAGGTTCTTGCGGAGGGTCCTGCTTGCCCAACCTCCAATTCAACAGAGGATCGTGTATGAATGCTTCCAGCACGGCCATGAGGGATTCTTTGTTGTCCCTGATGACACGCATGACGGCTTCGCAGCTGATTTTATAAGAGCCGTCTATGTTGCTGACTTCCATTGCGTAGGTCAACATGCGCGTCAAACGGAAAGGGACGCGCTCTGGATATTTTTCTCGATGCATAGCCACTTCGAAACAGTCACCGAAGTCAATGTGGACTACCTGACCAGTAAATTTGTCGACCAGCAAATTTGAGGGATGCCGATCGCCCAGACCAAGAATATAGCCTACCATTGACATAGTGGCAAGAGAGCGTGTGTAGGTTGTTCGGCGCTCGAGCCAGGACTCTGAAGACTTAGACTTCAGCCAGAGAACGCGATAGAGATCCTTGCCCGTTGTGTTGTCCATAGCGTAGCTGAAGACTTCCACCTTCTGCATCAAGGTCAAGTTGTCAAAGTCAGGAGCCATCTGCAGCATAATGCGGTGTTCGATGTTGAGCAAGATACGACGGTGTTCGCGGTAGTCTTTGATTAGGTTATGCATTGTATCGCTGTTCGGAACCCAGCCCAAAAGGCCCGACTGCTGGGATAGAGGGATCGCTGAATATGGCTGGATATTTAGGTGACGCTTGAACGATTCACTATCATGAGATAAGAGTGTGTTCACAAGGCCAAAGAGCTGCATGACACGCTCGTCTTGTCGAATGTCCTCGTGACCTTTCAGGCAGAAATCGTAGCCCTTGCCGTCGCTCCCACGGACAGTCAGTCTTCGTGGTCTCTGCTTGGAAGGAATGATGGCAACAAGTGGAACAAAGCTCATCATACGTGTCGCCGGTTTGCCACTTTGGTAGGTACCAGGTACACACAAATCCAAGTTCCGTGCTATGTGAAGCTTTGGAGATACATATTCAAGCTCCATAGAGAGCATGCTAGGAAGCTGCTTCTGGATACGGCGGAACACCATGTAATATATGTCCCAAGCCGAGTTCAGATCGCCCTTTTCACTAGTGGTCTTGTATACTTCACAAAAATGATGGGCATTAGCTAAGTCCCGTCCGAATGTTTGAGTGAAGGAGATCTCTCGCAGAGTCTCTGCGGGCTTTTCAATCATGGCATGGAGAGGCTCTAGAGTAGAGAACATGCCTTGGACGTCGTCATCTCCAAAGTAGAGTCGAGACGCTTCTTCCAAGCCCTCGTGCCACTGCTCGTGCCAGGACACCGCAACGCGAATGAGCTCGTGCGCGACCACGTCAGCCTGCTCAACCAGATTGGAACTATGCTCACGAAGTCGATCCATGATTTGACTTGCTGATTGAGAGCGACGGACGATATTCGATTTGATGGTAACGGTAAGGGGGTAGACTAGGGCTTGCGGGTGCGCTTTCCCTATTTCTGCGAGAAGACGATGAATTGTGGAGCGCACTCTCGCATTGGGCTGGTTTATTCGTGCTATCAATTGCGGTATGACCTCGAGCCACACGTCGATGCTGACATCATTGAAACCCTCAAGAACTGCCGCATTCACTTCATGATGCGAACCGTGGGCAAACCACAGCGTCAGGAGACGGAGTGCATCTTGGAGAGAGCTAGCCTGTGTCAGGGCGATGGACCGAAAGAAGCCTTGTATAGCAGGGACCACGTGATCAATGATAGTAGCCGATTGAAAGGTTGCGTTGTCCCTCTTAGCGGCCACGGTTTTGGCCGTCACCACCTCGAAGTTAGCAATCGCCCAAGAATGCCAAGCTTTATACCAATCCCTGTTGTATTCGGTCGCTTGAGCATATGCCCCGATAATGGAGTGAATGTGCTCAGATTGCCAATCCCCAGACTTGACCGCCGTAAGCCATTCACCCTGCTTTACGTAGCATTTCGCGAGCAGTCTCTTGATGCGTGGGAGATCTCGAGGTTGATACCCACTGGGGCCTGGGGATGACACGCCGGGCAAGTTACCAGCACGCCCATCCTGCGTAAGGGCACCGGAGCTGCTGATATATGTATTCAGTTGATGAGCTAGATCGGCAGTGAAGTCTCGGAGACGGCGCAAGGATGGTTTTTGTTCACCAATTGACCATCTAAATTTAATGCCTGCATACTTCACCTCAGGTACACCGAATGGATCCTGTGCAAGTTTTGACTGGCTATTCTCGAGCATTCCAAACTGTTGATTGGCAACGTCGTGCAATTGCCGCAGCGTCTGTTCCGCCAGTCCATTTCGACCAGATTTGCGACAAAGATTGGCGAATTTGATCCACATATCAATATCGTCTGAATAATCCAATACCAACGACCGTACTTTTAGCATTCGCTGCCAGAGGTCAACATTCTGCTGGCAACCCTTAAGTCGTTTGGTCCATGTCAATCGCAACGCCTCTTGCTTTTCGGGGTTCCTGTTGTCCTTCCCTAATTTCTTGTATGTGATAATCTCCTCTAACTCAGCAAGCATTTGTATGCGAACAAGAACACTATACGCTCGATTATAAGACTCGCCGAGTAGTGCGCTCAGTTCGGTGTCAAGACCTTCACGCGCTCGTTCGATGTGCGTTGCTGCTTGGGTGTAATTCTCGCGCTGTATCTGAAGAATTGCACTGAAGAAGGACTTGTCTGGTGCTTGGGATTTCATGCCGTCCAGATAATTATCCATGAGTTCCCACTGGCCCAAGCCCCAAGCCGCTGCTGCCGCTAAAGGAGCGATTGCACGCTTATGGTCTATTGATGCTAGGCTCCATTTCTGCTCGGCAAGACTCGAGAGACTGTTCCACTCCCCCAGTGCATGAAGACACCTCATCTTACCCATGGTTACATCAAAGGCATTTGGAGTGACTTTTTCTCGACGCTCGTAGGCGGCAAGAGCTTCATCCCAGCGCTGCAATTTTTCGAACCAGGTCTCCTTGAGCTCAAAATCTCGATATTTTTGGGCATTACGAAGGATGCCAACTGCAGCATCGTATTGCTGCAGATGGTTATTGATTGATATCAGCGCTTCGACAGTGCTTGGGGTCTTCTCCTCTTCAAACTCAAGCTCCTTGTAATGAAGTGCCTTGGCGAAAGCGTGGTTCCTTGCTGCGTATTTTCCTAGTTGACGAATGTCTAGAGGCAAAGCATGATCATCATGTTCCATGAACTCGCAGAGATTGAGCAGTATCTGTAATATCTCAGGTGGAATATGAGGAGAGGCAAGCGCAGTCTCGAAAGATTTGAGAAGTTCATCCTGATATTGATCATACAATTCTGGCCAGCAGGATGCGAAAGCGGAATTGAACAGATCTCTAGCCAACGGCGGGTAGACAGTTGCCAAGACTGCGCATGCTCTGAGTGCATGTGAGGGGGATTCTCTAAGCAGCTCGATGCTGAAGCGCCGCATCCATTCTTGCCAGTCCTCACGAGTCGACTTCTGCGATGCTTCCCAGGCGTTTTTAAGATGTTCTTGATTGACAGGCAGCTTCTTGTGGCCAATATCAGTCACTTGAGCTTCATCTCCTGCGTTGCCGTACATGTCATCAGGGCTAAGATCTTGGGGCAAGGGCTCTCCTTTTTTTAGCTTGTTGACAAGCAATTCATAATTATGATGAGGCACATGATTGGCCACGAGCACCTTTTCCACAGTCTTTTCGTAGAGAAGGAAATCTGGCCCAATCTGTGTAATGAACGTGCACAGGCATTCCAGGGCCGCTGCTTTGGTGGTGGAATCTCGACCAGCAAGAATGTCTACAAGATTGTGAATGATCATTGATGCATAATCGGAGATGTTGACCTGGCGGCAGATCCTCCCTATCGTTTCAATGGCGGCTTTCCGGATATTCACCGGATTCGTATGCTTTTGGAACAGATCGATCAGGGCTGGAATGATAAGATGCATGTGCTCTTCTGCACTTTGGCCGAAGACTAGCAGTGTATGTAAGACCTTCTCAGATGCTTGACGTCTATTTGACACGTCATTTTCTAGAATGTTGAGTAGCAGCGGCAATAGTCGAGTGATGCGACTTTTAAATTCACTTCCTAAGGCTCGGGCTAAGGACTCGATAAGAGCTAGAATTGGACTCATGAGCGAGATATTTGGAGGGTTTTCGGGCTTCCAGAATTGCTCCACCAAGCTGACAAGAGGCGTCACGTAATTCCGGATATGTACAGATACTATAGATACAAGAATCGACAGCTGGTTGAAGTATGCCTCAACTCGACTGCCTCCCGTGGACTGTATGACAGCAACAAAACTTGGGATGATCTCAGTAAGATAGGGTATGCAGCGTAATCCTAGAGCTTTGAAAATCGAGACAATGGCTTCAATAACTGCCGAGTGGTACTGAGCCAGAGAAGTATCCTGCAGCACATTGTGCATTAATGTCATAAAGACGACTTTAGGGTAGTAGTCCTCTTGTGAAGGGGTCATGCCTTGTATCACTAAGCTTACATCCGATACAGTGCCCTCGGATTCTTGCACTCGTGCTAGAGAAGTAATTTGCTTTATCTGCTGATGTTTGTAAGGGTCAAGAGCACCAAGAATACCGAGAACTTTTATGGTTTCTTTCCGGAGCGAGCCTTGAGGTTCAGTCTTTATGATGTTGATAAGCAAGTCTAGCAATTCCGGATAATCACTATATGGCTGTATGACATATGCACAATTACTGGCAATCTGGCCCAGTGTTTGTAGCGCTGCATCTCTCTTGCTATGAGAGCTGTGATCTTGCAAAGCTTTCATAATGCTCTCCATCAGCCTAGGGATGTACTTAGTCAGGTCTGTTGCGCCGACAGTCGCGAGCTGACCAATGGCCGTGAGGGTCGCCGTGGCCACAACAGGGTTTGGATCGGCTCCCTTCGGAGCAAGTACATCGACGAGAGAGCTGCAGTAGGGTTTTGCAAGCTTGGAAGCATTTGCAATGACCAGACCAATAAGTTTCGCCCCGTTTTCAGCATGTTTAGCGTCATTTGAATTGCGGATCCCCATAATGAGATTCACCAGCAGCTTCCTCAAAGAAGGAAAGACGTGTGCAGGGTTGACTTCTGTCAAGCGCCCGATGATGATGATAGCTGCCTGGCGAACCTCCATACTAGAGTCATTCACCGCTAGAAAGAGGGTCCTGATGCTTTCAGGCTTTGCCAGATGTTTGTCGAATTTATCGTGTAAAGCCTGCAGGACTGTACGGCGAATGTCGGAGTCTGGGTCGGCAACACCAACATTGAGTAATTTCGTAATGACATCACCGACCACTTTGATAGCATGGAAGCTCGTCTGATGTATAATGGTATCGTGAATGTACAACTGACAGCATGTCAGCGCAGCCGCTTTTCGTATACGTGGACTGCTGTTGTCCGTGTAATGAATTGCTACGTCGCGAACAAATTCATTCAGCACTATATTGCCAAAATCGAAGGCACCGAGAGTATCTAGGGCAAGCGCAATCTCAGAGTCCTTATGGTCGGCCACGTTGAGGTTGAAGTCCTTTGCGAAAGCAGGCACGGGAGGCAATTTATCATTAGGACAGCCCAGAGGCTTGAAAGGGCGACCAGATAGTACAAGACTTAGTAGATCCAGTAATTTTTCTTGTATCTGCGGCTTGATGGGTTGAATATAGTGTGCCATGTCGACAAGAGCTTGGGTGAGGGCCCCGCTGAGCCCACAAGCAAACATAGGATCTAGGAGGGCCTCCATATATTTCGTCATCGCCATGCCCACCGCGATAGACAGCATACTTATGCACTGGAAGACAGGCCCTTCGTTCACGCCAAGGCGGTTGCGCGCTTTCACGCTCAAGCCCTCGCGAACAAAGACGATGATACCGTCAAGGTAGGGGGTGATAGCACTTCCCACAGCATGCGCAATCTTCCCAATGGCAACGAAAGCGTCGTTTCGTTCCTTGTCCTTCTTCAATTGGCCTTGCAAAAATATCATGAACTTGTGGAGATAGGTTTGGGCGAACAACTCTGGTGCATAGCCGGCGAGGATTGGCGTGACGTAGACCACCAAGGCACGGATGCGCGGTTCTCTGTGATCTTTCAGGCGGAGGGTATCATCGCAAGCCTCCCTATAATGATCCCGCATGAACATCCCCCCTCGGAGGAGAAGCTCCTTCAGAGTGAGCAATCCGCCATGAACGTAATCTGGATTTGTCGACTTCAAGTTCCCTTGTGTGTCATCGTAGACTTTCTGAAACCATTGTTTCCGCATCATCGCATCTCGTGCAGCAATAATTTCAAAGCAAGCGCCTGCTGCCTCTGCTGCCGTTTCCCGGATCATGACCTTCGAATCTCGGAGAGCGACTGAGATGCAATCGAATACCTGGGGGACAAATGAATAAAACAGCGTTGGTGAGTTCCTTGCAAGTTCTCGTATGATGAGTACTGCGGCAAATCTACGATTCTCTTGCCGGTCCGTTTGAAGCCATTCTAATGCCGACTGGACTTCTGCTTCCACGAGCTCTGCAGTGAGAGCTCCTCCAGGTATAGCCAAATGGCCCAACGCTCTTGCGGCAAACAAAAGCACTGTGTTATCATTACTGCGAAGAGCGCTCCGTAGATAGCTCGCAAAGCGAGTAGTCTTTTGCGCAGGGTCGTCGCCGTCGAAACCAAGCAATTGTTCAATTGCAAGTATGCCTCCAATTTTGTCAGTGGTATCGTTGCTCTGAGTGATAAGCTGAGAGATTCGATAATTTACATGCGAGTAGTAATCCTGGAATGTATCTCGCGAAAGCTCTCTTGCTACCGTAGAAACGTGGCTGCGTAAATCGAATGCCGCTCTTAGTCTCACTTCGTCATTCTTGGATCTGAGCTCGCTGAAGATTCGATTGAGGACCTCGGGATTCTGGAGCGCCATGGTATGAAGACCTAGCTTCTGGATGACTTAGAGATTGTGGAAGTGAAAGATGCGAGGCTGGGAGGTCATATTAAGTGCTTATTATCGGTGAGGTGAAGTGTGGGAGCATTCCCATCAGAAGGAGCGAGCCATGATGTTTTGTCGCTGAGCTCGTGTGAGACTACAGCCTAGAGGCGTTCAAAGGCAATCAGAAGGAGTAAAGATGTGATTCTGCACGGGTGAAAAGTAGTGAGGAGCAGTTGGGAAGTTCTTCTCGTCAGCCCACCTCTAGCACAAGAAGCTTCCTCGGCAAAAGTTTTTCCGCGCCGTAAATCACAGGCTTTGCCCCCAGGGCACTCTGCATGTTCTCTACAGCCGTTATGTGATGCATATCTGCATGATAGAATCGGAGCAATAGTCCTCGTGTATCTTAGCGGTGTTCAATGCTGATCAGCTAGGCAGTAACAATCCGACCTTTTCAGATGAGCGACGCGAATCTGGGCTTTTCAATGCCTCGAGCTTGCAATATCAGGCTTTGCGTGCGTCAAGATTTATAATCAACTACTCACGCTCCCTTTCAGAAAAGTGTACGCGACTGCATCGTCAAGCGTGGGGATTAGTTCTCTTGTTGCCATTGGGTCCTCGTGATCAAGGTAATGAACGAGCACAAGCAAGGTCGGAGCCATTCATAAGCCTTTTATCTACCCCTACATGCAATGCTTGGAATACGATTTTGATATAGAGCCCCGCTTCATTGCTCAAAGCATACTCTCTCACGTGCCATCCAGATGCATTGAAGTGAACATGGCGTGGCCTTATTATTGTATCCTGTTCCATTTAAAAAGAAGAAAGCAAGAAACACAAGAGGGGGCAAATCTTGCCTCCATGATCCACGACTACTTCTAAACGGTGCTCGCGAGACTGCATTGTATTGAGTGCCTCTACGTTGTAATCTCTTGACACCAAAAAAGACATTCTCGAAACCATTTGATCTCGCTCAATGGACCGTCCTCCTTGTCATCTTCTTTGTCATCATGATGCTTCCAATTTGTCGAGATGTGTCTTTATAAGGCTTCAAGATTATGTGGTGGATGTCAGCTTTGGACCGACCAGGTTCATGAGCTGGTTCTCAAGCCTCTGCGAGCGTCTGCAGAACAGAGACTGCGATGACGTGAGTCGCGCAAGGAAAATCGTGCGTCACCGCAAAGCCTCAATGTGGGTCGTGAACCTAACCTGGACATGTTCCGGCAATTAGACTCGTTGACTCGTTGACGAACTAGATCTACTAGCTCCGATGATGAATTGCGTATCGTATGAGGGGCAGCGCTTAAGGAGATAAAATACTTCTTCCTTTGCTTCGCTCTCTTCTCAATATTTCTCGCACAAACCCATTTCACTACCGGAATTTTGGAGCACTGAAATTATACAATTATGACACGAACATTTCTCACGGGAGGCACGTAAGTAAAAACCTTTACTGAGATGTTTCGAGAATTCTAAGAGATCTATTCAGAGGATTTATCGCAGCCCATATACTCGACAAGCTATTGGAAGCCGACCACTCCGTCGTGACTAGTGTGCGCTCCCATGAGAAGGGCCAATGGATTCTGAAAAATCATCCTGGCGTCTCGAAAGACAAGCTATCCTACGCAATAGTCGAAGACATCGCCAAGGAAGGCGCATTCGACGAAGCCATCAAGTCTGATCCTCCCTTCGATACGGTTATCCATGCGTCAAGCCCCTTTCATTTCAACACCAACGACTCGAAGAAGGACCTCCTTGATCCTGCCATCATTGGGACGACAGGCATCTTGAAAGCCATAAAAAGAAGTGCCCCCACCGTCAAGCGCGTAGTAATCACATCCTCCTTCGCCTCCATCATTGACGGTAGTAAAGGTATGCGCCCGGGGTATGTGTACTCTGAAAAGGACTGGAATCCCGTTACGGAAGATGAGGCAGTCCAAAATGCCAGTCTTGGATATCGCGCCTCGAAAACATTCGCAGAAAGAGCGGTGAGTGCTGTTTTCGGAGCGAGATACATGTTCTATGACTCTTTCTCGCAGTCTAAAGAAGCATTGCTGACTCCGATTTGGTGAAGGCGTGGGATTTCGTAGAAAAGGAAAAGCCCAATTTTACTTTGGCGACGATGTGCCCCCCACTGGTTCTGGGGCCAATCATACATCACTTACAAAGCCTGGACAGTCTGAATACGTCGAATCAACGAGTATACAATATCATGTCTGGCAAAGCGAAGGAGGAACTCCCGCCGACGGGGACTTTCTTATGGATTGATGTACGAGACTTGGCCTTTGCACATGTAAGAGCTGCGTCAATGGAAGAGGCGCAGAACAAACGATTTTTTATTACGGCAGGATATTTCAGCAATGAAGAGATTGCAGACATTATAAGAGACAATTTTCCAGAGCGAAAAGAAAAGCTACCTGCGAAGGGTGTAAAAGGCGGTGGATACCCTGAGGACGGCTTGTACAAATATGACAATTCGCGTACGAAAAAGGTCTTAGGGATCGAGTTCAAAAGTTTGAAGGAAAGCATCGTTGATACTGTCAAGAGTCTTGAGGCTGCAGGTGCTTAATCGAGGAAGCTAGATCCAATGGAGAAAGACGTATACAAATCACAATGAAGATACAAAGCTTTAAAGGGTTCCAGAATCGTGCTTTGTCGATTTATTCGATGTGTTCCCGCTCGAGAGAGCAGGCGAGTACTAATATACAGCATCATATCCCATCGTCATTCCCTGAGGATCTTGATCACATTCTCATCATCCTAATCCATGCTATCACAGACCCATTCGCCTTGTATGCATCCTCTTCGAGTCCCTCCTCCCCACATATTGCTGCACAGCACCGCGCTCAAGCCGCAACCTTCTTAGTCGTGAAATCCGTCTCTGTGGGCAACAATCCGCCATCTTTCGCCTTCTCGCAAGAACACGCATCTAGGAAAAAACCCCCATGTAAGTCCCTCTGTCATAGTTCGAACGAGAGACAGGTATATTATGCTTACCAGCACTTCTCTTTCCGCAACTACACGTACTCCCCGTAGGAGCCTTGTTCTCAGTAGTAGCACGCTCACAGGTGCAAGCGCCCGCTGGACGGGCTCTGCACGAACACCTCGCGCCTTCGACTTTGTTCTCGGCGCTGGCCTTGGAGCAGTCGCATTTCAGGGCTGCGTTCTTGCCACAGGAGCATCTAATTGGGAAGTGTGGATTAGCATATGCATTGTCGGTATGCAAGTGTAGAAAGAGGGATTTCAGGCGAGCTTCACTCGAGAGTGCGAATGGTCCTTGCCTTTGGACATGCCTCGAGATTCATGGCGATGCTAGAGAACTGCAAAAAGAGGGAGGGGAGAGGATTCTTACTTGGCTTGAGAGGCACAAGCACACTCCCCAGCTCCAGTACGACCACAGCAGGTTGTTGGGACGGGCATGGTAGAAATCTAGCAAATGGGTAGCTAGGGAAGCTTAAGTTGTTCGTGGAAGATGTTCTGCTGGTGATGGTCGGGTCGTGGGATCGAGAGTTCTGTTGCGAAGCTGAAGGATACGCGAAGGATCGTAGAGCAGAGTGCAGTAGGGTCAAAGCGACGGGTGTGAGTGTGTGGATGTGGATGGTATGAAAGCTATGCGAAAGGTGAGTTTATGATTCCCAATATCCTTTATCGATAACCCAGAGCTTGGTAATAGCAGCTATCCGATTGGCTGCTTCTGACCAATCATATCGCTGTTTTGGTCATCAAGGAGGCAGCCCCCTTCTCCATTATGCTAGTGGGCGCAGAGCCTCTCACAGTGGCATTCATAAACAAACAAGCCAGTCCATAGAGTGACACTTTTGTGTTAATGATCAGGCCGCCTTTGTTCGTGCAGTCAAGCCTTGCCGATCCATCTTTGTTCAACGATATCAAGCTTCTTTGCCGGTTTGAATATCTCACACTTCTAGCTTCGGAGAATGTTCGAGGTCTCGCTGCGTGACTTTAAACAAACGGTAGATCTAAGGATGTTCTAATCTGCATCCTCGGCGCCTCTATGCCCCGCGCGTGGTAATCATACAGAAATCTCTTCATATCCTGGGCAGATGTTCCGAGCTGCTTCCCTCCATGTGGCCATCTGCTCCGAAAACAAAGGATGTGCCCATTTCCTCCGTTCTCGAACTTCGTTGCTTGGACTATTCCATGGCTTGCCATATGCTGTGTAGTGAAGCATCTTGACATTATTATTATAGACGTCGGTCAGAGTGTCCTTGAGACGAGCTGCCCTTTCTTGCAATTCCTCGTTCGCTAATGCTGTTTTGTATCTTTCCCTTGCTGCACTACCCATACTCTCTTCGGGCGTCATCTCAGGAGCTGTTTTAGAGTCTATGATAATGGAGCGTTTGGACTCGGACCATCTCACTAAGGGCTTAGTGAAAGCGGAGGAATTCAATTTCGGCCTCCAGCTCGGATCACGAAGCGGTTCCTGGCCTTGCCACCATCTGGGGACTTCATTGACTTCCCATTGGGTATTGAGGGTGCAGTATTCACCAGGGAGGACAAGGGCCGTCCTACCGAATAAGGTGTTGATTATGTCCATGTCAAACTCGCCAGGTTTAATCTCATCCATGGCCTGCTTGACTCGACGCCATGAGCGGTCGCTCGGTTTAATGAGCATCAGCGCCGAGGTAAGCTCGGTGGGGTCTTCGCTCCACTACAACTTCATATGTTAGTCTTATCTTTTCTTTTCAGGCTTGAAGAAAACGAGAAAACATGTTCGAAGGTTATTTCATCAAGAAACTCATTCGAACAATATTTGCAATACAGAAACCTTGATAATGAATCCCGCTCATACTGATCAGCGTCGTGCAAATATATGTCCCTGCTTCTATGCCGCACTCAACTTGGTCACAATGATGTTAATTCAGTGCCATTATCTTGATACCAAGTCAAAGGACTGGAAATTTTAGTAGTGCTTGAAGTGACCTGCACGAAATCGCTTTATTGCAAGATTTGACCATAAGTGTCAGGATTTTACTCACATATGCACGTGGCGCCGCAAGATCAACTACTGGGAGCGAAAACAAGTGATCAGGCGATTGAAGGATCAACTGATCAGAGTCCAATACGAGAACACGATTCAGAGATGGTATAATTTGATGCAAACGGAAGCTTACAAGCTTCAAGAGTACACCGGTGTAATAGGACGACGTATTGATCGGGATTGGGGGAGGCTCGTAGAGAACGACAGTCGCGTTGTAGGCAGTGAAAAGATCTAGAAAGCTTGATTGAAGGCCAGGCTTGACGAAGACAACAATTGGGTAGGTGCTATTGAAAGTCTTCCGCAGCCGATCTATGTTGATAAGAGCAGAGCATGCGTAAGGTCCTTGGGTGACATAGAAGACCTTGAGAAGATTAGAGCAAGGTCAGGAGGGTGTGAATGGTGTACAGACATAGCCATGTGGACACCCAGAAAAATCAGGCAGGTTTGCATTGATGCCTGCGAGCTGCATGGAAATAGGTTCAGCTGAGCCGTTGACTGATATGACTGATGTGTAAAATTCTTGATCGGCGCATTTAACAGGTTGGGTTCGAAAGTGAGCGTGATCGCGGCTCCACCAAAGCAAAGATATCACTGATGTAAGGAGAGCAAATCTTCGAAGAGCATGCTTCCGGGCTGTAAGGGCAGGAAAGAGTTTCGACATCGATTCATTGCCATGAGAGGTGGTTGCGGCTCCTCCAAAAAGTCACAGATCAATTCATATCTTGCATAATACCAGAGGCGGCTGGGAAGGCCACCATGATGAAGCTCAAAAGACTTACAGTGGCCTTATATAGCTTGCTCGAAAGGGACGACGAAAGGTTCTATCGCAAGCACACTTTGTGCTGATCTGGAACTCCTCGAGACACAAGGATTAAAAAACTCGATGAAGAGTACGAGGCTTTACAAACGGCCCAACGTCTATCCTCTCGAGCTGCTCCCGGTCCAATTGTATTGGATAAGTACCTTGATCGGGACACGTGATTCATCCTTGTCAAGAAGTCAGGTTCTACCTTTATTTAAGCGTGTTACCATAAGCCGTTTCATTTCTGAGACTTTTTTCGTAATAATCATGATTGCCGCGCGTTGGATCTCATTCAGTCAGCTAGCGCTTACTACAGCTCCAAAGCCTTTCACGATGCATATGTTTAGCTTTTGACCGACTTCTTTGGTGGTCCAAATGGAAGATCACAGGCGGCGTAAGACGCCTGCAGGACTTACCCAAGCGGGCAAATACTGTCCTGTATCGTTGTCGAATATTTGAACTCCAGGGGTAGGTTGATAGACGATTGAAGCGTGCAAGTCATCAGCTGCTCCTGTTCCAGCCTCAAGTCCTAAGTGAACCCCGGTAATAGTTTGCCACATTACGCAAACGTCGGTGGCAGACTGCCAGGCAGTGCAAACAACTGATTTTCATTCCTGATGTCGTTGTTCTCCATCTAGAAGCACTAAATGTAAAACCCCAGATCATACTCACGTAGGGATGGTGTTCACAAGGGTGCCATGCAATGAGCCACGCGTCTCTGCTGCTTCGTCTTTCTGCTTTGACTCCTGTTCGAATGATGCGTGATTTCTGTTTGATTTTACTATCTCAGCGTCAGAGCATCCCCCTTCAACTAAATTGTCTTGCATTTCGTGACCAGCTTCTTCAGATTTGAGCTCCTGTCCAATGTCGTCATCTCCGACCATGGCAGCCAAGCTTCGAAAGTTGAACATTGGTTCATTACCGGCCCCACCACCTGGGGGCGTGCCTGAAAGGAAAGGTTCCTGTGAAAGCCCTGCACCTGGCATGTTGATGCCACTGGCGGCTGGCGACACGTCTCCAGAAGAACCTGGCTCTCGTAAATCTTGAAGGAGAGAGCCTGGTGGGGACCCTCCTTCTACGGATGACGCCGACGATGAGACGTTGGATTGAGTTCTAAGATGCGATGGCCTTAATGGTAATGCGGCATAGATTCCGGGAGATGGGAGCGGGGATCCTTCGGTTTGTATCTGTGCTCGAGCACGTTCCAGATGCGTCTGAGGGTTCGCTGTTGGTGACAAAAGGTCGCCATATGCCTCGTCATTTTGCGAAGCGGCTTTTGCTTTTCCAGCCATCTGACTAGAGTCCTGAAAAGCAGAGGTGCTGGCATTTGCACTACCAGGATAAGGACCGGCTTTTCTAGCAGCTTTTTCAGCGGCCTTTCCAGCCTTCTTGGCCTCCTTCTCCTTCTTCTTGGTGTCCTTCTTAGCCTCCTTCTCCTCTCGCCTCCGTCTCTCCTCTTCTGAAGCCAGGCTCATCCGTATGGCTTCCATCATCATCATCTCCTCCAGATCCTCAACTCGACCACGCCTCGTACTTTCTCGCGAACCTGTCCCAATCAAGGATCCACCTTCACCAGGCCCACCTCGGTTCGCGCTACGCTCGGACATCAGTGCTAGCATACCGAGTTGAGATGAGGATGTGCCATAAGATGGGTTGTCTCCGCCGCTCGTTCTGCGCAGAAGTCCCCGCCTCCCAAATGGGCCAAAGCTTCTCAAGTCTGACTCTGGACCTCGATTACCCATCAGGTAGGCAGCTGTATGTAAGGCAGTTGCTGCCGCCGATCGTCGAGCGGTATGCGCCCTAGCGGCTGCAAGCTTCTCCGCCCAATCAGGCCGAATCTGATCGGTAGTGATGACCAACGGCGAATCTGCAGAAACAGATATGTTTCTTCGCCGACTAGCAGTATTGGATGTGCTGAGTGGCCCGCCTTCAACGTTCGACGCTAGAGAAGATGAAGAAGACATCCCTGACGCATTACGGTGTAGTGCTTGAGCAGATGTATGACTGGTATATGCAAGACCTCGTCGAAATGGTGGGGGCTCGTAGGTGATACCAAATTCTGGCACTTTACAGAAGGGACAGGTCGCTGCTTCACACACTAAATCCCCGTCTTGTACTACTTCTGAGTCGGGAGGGGGCGGAATATTTGGGTCTGTGTGCTCTGGTGGGTGAGGATCCGCACGCTTTATTTGAACGAAGCATTCCGAACACATCAATTGATCGCAACACCTGGTCTTGTTCAAATACGGCGGATAGTACAAAAAACATATTGGACATTCCGAAACATCTTTGTACAGGTGGGCTTCCAAGCGCTGACCGTTCACGTTCGCTTCTTTTGGCATCCGAATTTCTCGAGGCCTAAGCTCTGCTTGTTGGACCTTGGAAGAGCTGGTCAAAGTCGCTAGTGTTTTGGAACGACCTTTCGCTAAAGCAGAGCCAATAGAAGAGCTTGAGTTGGGGGCTGGTGGAAATGTTGGCTGGAACGGTGAGGAGGACTGGTTTGAGGATGTTTCCGAATTGAAGGATTGCGATCTCGAGGACATGGGCACGGTGAGACTGTCCAAGTTGATCACGGGCTGTTTGGAAGTTGATTCTGGTGGGGAAGTAATTCTTCTCTCTTCTTCCGCCGGTATCTCATCTGGTGCTGGTATTGGGAGGCCTTTGGCCGCAGCGACAAGCTGATTTTCAGTCCATGACTCTTGGTGGTCGTTGAGCCCCTTCCAGAAGGGCGCCAGGCGTCGTTCAATCATGAGCTGCCGGACGATTATTTTATTGTAGTCCTCTGTGCCAGTGTATACGCCCTGCGTTACCAAGTATCCTCCGTCCACGTTGTCTTCACGCATACTCCTCTCACGCTCCTTTTCCCTCAGCAATCGCTCTTTCTGAAGCTTTCTAGCTTCCCGCTCCTGTTTCGTTTCTCGACGCCATTCCAGCCCTGTTACTTCTCTATCGCCATCCGGAAGCGCTGTTGAGGTCAAATGGTCAGATCTCCCATTTCCTGCTTCTGGATTTCTCTCGCTGCCAGGGAAGATTGGATGTTGGAAGCCGGATGAATGGGATGGAGAGGACGGTATGGAACCAGGATCCGGAGTATTTTGATGATGGCTAGAGAGTGCAACGCGGGCATTTGAGGGTCTTTGCTCCTTTGTTGCTGAATTGCCCATGATGATATTTGAATCAGAGGGATCTTGATGCAGCAGACAAGAAGTGTTCGGACGATGTTAGGGCGAGTCTTCTCTTCGAAAGCATCTCATTTTGCTTCATGCCACGAGGGTTCAAGAGTTGTGAGCAATGTCCCTTGATGGATTGTGCGGCACACAGGAATAGACGTCAAGGTTGGACGTTGTGTCACAATGTGCCGGAATTCACCTGGACGCTGATGTAATGCCTTTGGAGCACGCTACAAAGGAGCTTTGGAAGCAGCATGCAGATTTAGGAAGCAATGACTTCGTCACGCAAGTTGCTGTAGTATAGAGGCTGCTATGAGTGCAGTGTTGGTCTTCTTGGATAAGAGGTGAGCGGTCCAGATGGCTGACGACGGAAGATTGCCCGGAGCTGCAAGTCACTCCAGGGCCACAGCCGTAACCCCTCCACCATTTATTATTATTATTGAATCATCAACCACGACTTTTTCTGAACCTCTTGTGCACAACTGTCCTCGCTATTCTAATTATCTATGTGCTCTCTACTCTATCAGAATCATCTTCAAGCTTGAGGACGAGACTTCCCCAATCAGGCAAATCTTCAGACGCGCCCATTCCTTGGAGATCGCATAATAATAGGCATCTGTGTTGTATCTCAACAGATCCTACTATAAACGTGACACCTCAATCAATCTCTCAACGATTTCCACTATGGCACCCGACATTAACAGCCTTCCACCTTCTCCCTACCGTAGTCAGGGCACATCTTCCAACCCAAGACGACCTTCTCAACCGCGGCGTCTCTCAGAGCGCGTAGCTTCACCATCCACAAGTCTATTCTCCTCGACACCTCCGCCTCGCTCACCAGTCCTATCCTCTGCGTTCAATCAACCGCCACCACATGAAGACAACACAGGCGTAGACCCCGGACCAGGCCCCCTCCGACATCCCCGTCCCCTTACAGCAGCGGACCTGCACATGCAACTCGAGAAAGAGCAAGAAGCAGTAGTCAATCGTCTGACGCGCGAACTCACCCTCCTCAGACAGCAGACCGCCTCTGTGAACTCCACAACCTCCTCCACCTCCGCATCCACAGGCATTGCAGAACCCGATCCTAGCAGTCACTCAGCCTACCTCACCAGCGGTTCCGCTCATCCTACTTCCTCTCGCCGGCACCGCTCCTCCTCAAACCTCAGCTCTCGCGGAACCACAAGCACAGGAGCAGGTACATCCAGTACGAGCACCGTCAACACGACAGGTGCGCTAGCCGGCTCAGGTATCGCCCCTCCACGCGATTCCAGCATCCCATACACCTACTCTCGTGGCGATCCAAACCTCAGCCGTCAAAGCTCCGTAGCATCCCGACGTTCAGAAGCCTCCTCGCCCTCCTTATCCTCCTCACTCATCTATCAGGGCCAGCAAGGAGAACATAACCTCCCCTTTCACCATCACCGACACTCGCATTCAAATTCTACATCTGCACAAGCAGGAGCAGCGGTAACAGCCGGTGCGAGCGCACGGTCGGGCTCTATGGGCGCTGTAGCGCATGTGCCCAGCACGGCACGGTACGATGACGCGGCGCACGCAAAGGCGGAATTGGAGATGGTGAAGGCAGAGAATGAAGCTTTGAAGAGTCGGATAAGGGAACTCGAGCGGATGGCTACACGAAGAGGAGAGGACGCCAAGGCGCAAGAGGATAGGGGGTGGAACAGCGCCCTTCTGATGTAGAGGCTGGGAACAGGGAAGGGATAGAATCTGAGAAAAGCGATACGGCTGACTTGGGAAGTGCAAGGACTTAGGATGGTCTTGTGCCGAACAAAGCTTAGAGAGGGTTTCTTGTGAGGAGCAGGCACTTCTTATTTAGCTTGATGATGTCGAATTTGCGTGGCGTCTGTGTAAGTCGCATCTGATTTCCAAGAGAGGATGATTCATGGACAAATGATCACAGCAGCTTTGCTTAATCTCCTTTGCCTCTACGAATATGTCTAGCTGTCCGTCTGTGGTGCGTCACAGGATTTTGTTGTCGCAGAAAAGTAGTGGACGGTCGTGAGCACCCACAAGTCATAATGTCACTTCATATTCACATTCTGATTATCATACAAAATTTGGTATCAATCGTCATATTCTGCCTGCTGCCTTGCCCAGAGTATAGCAAAAAATTTTCCAACGGCAAAAATCGCCCAGAAGCCAAAGAAACGCATTCCATCTATCATAGTTCGCTGGTCGTTGTCATGAAGCCGTCATATGTAGAAAGGACAGAATAGATCTCACTGTTGTTATCGTACATCGCTTTTCAGAAATAAGAAAGGAAAGTAGGCCGTTGATGATGTGGTACGGAAATCGATGCCACAGTAGAGAAATGGCAGGAGTAGGTGGGTCGATCGTAGATGATGGCAATCGCGCCTGTATATGCTCACATATGTTCCCACATTATTCATTCAAGCGTCAAATGTGCCTCCCTTCCATGATGATATTGCAGTGTATATTGTTCGCGGAAATGCTTGATGTCATCCAGTAGTGGCAGTAGTTTCTCTGCCTTCACTGCTGAAGTATCGATTGTTCCTTCCCCCTATGCCTGGTCGTTGATTTGCCCCACCAGCCTCTTTGGTTACGTGATGTACCACATGAGGTCGATATACAGCATCGACCGGAGGCTGCCAGTCGTCCAGTGCGAGAGGGAAGTACTCGTAGAGAAGGTCGGCCGAATCAAGGCTAGCCGAAGAAAGCTTTTGGCCAGAAGTACTGGAAAGGAAAGCTTTGGTTGATGAGAGTGAGGGAAGCGACGGACGCTTGTAAGGATGTGGTCTCGAGGATTTAGCAGATGATTGCCTGGTTGCTTTGCCTGGGCGAGACGATATAGGTCTTTTGAAATCGACTTCTTCAGTTAATGATAATGGCTGAGGTGCGGGTGGAGGCGAGGTGGGGTTTCGAGGTGATTTAGAACTTGGTAATGTTGGCGTAGGTACGTTGGGCGTTGTCACTGTCCCCCCACTCGAACCTCTATCTACAAAGTCATCCCCGAAAGGACTTTGCGATTTCGAATCAACCTTTGCCGGGTCATAATTTTGTGGATTCGACTCTGTGCTATATTCTCTTTTAAGAGGCGATCTTGCGGAAGAGTCAGATCGGTTGGCTGGAGGATGCATTCCCTTTCGGTTGCCACTCTTCTCGCCGCTGACGGGCGTTTCCTTTTTGGAGAGAAAGTTTCTGGGGCTTCGACCCCGGACGATAATAGCAGCCGACCTTGCCTCTGCGACAGGGATCTTAGCACCGTTCGGTAGGGTTACAACGAGCTTCAAACGAACAACAAAGTGCTGTTGAAGTTCACGTCGACGTCCGTTGTTTGCAGTGGCTATCCGAAATTGTAGTCGTTTCCACGCTATTGGAAATGTAGCGAAGTCCGCGTCCATATCTTGGTTTGACACAATATCGAGTGGAATGGTTGAAGGCTCCTTCTCACTCTTTTCTTCGTGTGGCGGAGCTATGTTTGTCACAGGCGTCTTCCATGGTACTGATATGAGCTTGACCGGTCCATTCTCTACAGATTCAGTAGCCGATATCTGCAGCTCTTGCCCCAAGATTGGTAGTCTATCACCGATGTCTGTGAGTATATAACGAAGGTTTCGAGGGAGGGTGATGGAGCCGGTGACCTGGAAAAGATTGCGACGATAGCATGTGAGCTCGGGAAAGGACGTCTGGGAGTTAAAGGTAGGTGTTGTTGGCGGATCGGCCACAAAGAACATGCCATGTAAACGAGCGTTTATATTTAAGGATATTCTGCGAAGTGAGATGTCGAGGAGTGTGAAGCTGTATGTCGGTGGCCGGAAGCCTAACATCTCATTGTCTCGGCTTATTTGTTGATCTGGCTCAGGCTGCTGCTCTTCATTCGCGAAATCGAGGTTGCTGGTGGTGTCGGGATGAAAATCGTCGTACCCTGTGGTGAAGACCCTCTCGGTCTCGACAGGGACCGTAGGCATCCCCAGGTTTTGAAGGTCGCTGCTGTGACATGATGAGTATGTGTATCTGCTTTTCTGTTGAGAATTGCTTACGCTCCATAATTCAGATTGTAATTATTCGCTTGTGCAGTCATGCCCATTGCTGGGAGGTAGTTGCTATAGTCATCATTCGTCACTTGGTGGTGAAGTGGTAGGGTATTGGTGAGATAAGTATTGGGATCTAATGGATCGAAGCCGTCCATGACTGCTGTATGATGTATGCTCGCAGATCGATTTTGTAGTGACAGTATGACCATCCAGTAGCCAGCGCCAGTTGCGGATGGGGCCTGTTGCTAATTGCAAACGAAGGTTTGGTCGATGATAGAGGGGTCGGTGAACGTGCTCGAGTCCGGCGGGGTCGTCGGTTGATGTAGGACGGAGAAGGGTGCAGTGAGGGTCAATTAGGATTATGTGGATATTGAAGAGTAAGGACTATGGTTACTGAAGACTACCGAGGTGGCGAGAAGGCTGATACATAACTGGAGTCGAAGTCAGAGAAACATGAAGAGAGGCCGGTCCAAATATCGACTGCTCTGGAAGTCGAAGTAGGTCTGAAACGAAGCGCAAATAGTGGGATCCTTCAGCGCGAGTGATCAGTGGAGACGGAGAGGGTCTTATGGTGTAATGGAAAGCAATCTGTGAGGGCAGTCGTGGTGAGCTGTTGCCAAAGGATCAGCAGGCCACATGCTCTCATCCCTGCCTGCCACGTTTTGTTCAAATGCGCCGAAGGAGGTGATCGGCGGCCTAAGTAGAAAATTTTATAATTACTGTCTTGCGTCGGGTGTAAGACAGGTACCTTGCAGCTTTGCGAAAGTACTCTAACGGTAAGATCGTTGAAGGCGTGTGGGTGTGCCTGCTGAACCTCCCGGGTGCAGATACTAGAGATTGATGTTCTATCCTCGGAAGCGCAGTGAAGGTTCGATAAATTGATAGGGCCAAGAAGTGGGAGCGCGAATTGCGGTGGAGCGCGAGTACGCTTCCCGTACGTAGAACTAAGGTATAAGGGCTAGAGCCACGGACAGGGAGACAAGGGAGGCAACGACGACAGGGACCGTACTACGAAAGCGAGAGGGCTAACGGGAGTTCAGGCAGGATTTGTAGAAGCAGCAAAATGCTTCGATCGCGCTTGATATCTTAGCCAGACAAAGCCAGAGTTTAAAGTACTCTCCGTCGACTGGAAAGAATAGCCTGAATAATAGAGAGAGAGAGAGAGAGAGAGAGAGAGAGAGCACGTTACGGACATAAGGCCAATGAAGGAGCCATATCTTAAAACAACCTGACGAAGATCTTAGCCTGGGATAGTATGGCATCAGCGACTGAGTCAGCGAGCCTTGGAAGCCCAGCACAGCCAACACAGCCATAGCCAAGGGCGAGAAGCACGCACAAAGAGTCGGTCACGAAGTCAAGTAATGAAAAGCATGCAGCAACGATTGCAAAGCCTCAGGCGTCATTCTTTGGCGCCCACAGCGGTGGCATATGCATGTATGCAAAGATAGAACTGGACATAGCTAATCTAAGAACAACATAAGCAGTAAGAATCTCTGTCTCTGATCCCATGGCCAAGTCAGTACAGAGGTACTCCGGTACCTCTACTCGCGTAATTGGCCGCACTTGGGATGCTGAGCCAGTGGGAGGCTTTCCTTTCTATCCAGAACTGCTGGTCTAGGCTACGGACATCTGAGAGGATGATCTCCAGGGTCCATTATTTCGTCAGACTTGTCCAGGCGTGATCAGGCACAGTCAAGTTGAGTCAAGTTGAGCGACACTGGTGAAACGACGAGGCATGTTTGTTTCAGCCAGAGCGTCGAGATAGGAAGGATTCGCCGGCGGTGACAAGGGCGAAAGAATCCGCCTATTCTTCTTCCATTCTGTGCTATTGGGGGCGGGCCTTATTGTTCGGCAGTGGTCGGATAGATCCTCGGATGCTCAGGCAGACAACGTGCTCCTTTGCAGATCTCCATGTCGGCCCCAAAGTCTCCCATCAAGCCCGTGGACGCCAGTGGATCGTCTTGCGTGATCCGCTGCCGATCCCCACGCTGCACCACGTTTCACGACTCCCGACACGCAGCGATCAACCGGACTACAGCTTCAGATGCAAGACCATGCAGGTACAATATCCCATTGTTTCCGCACCGCTCATATTCCTTCAATCGAGACTCCGAGGGCTCGTCTCGAGCCTCCACCCACACGCGAGCACCGGCTGTCGTCGCGTAGCCTTGACGAAGGGATAGCAGATAATCTCCACGCTTTTTGCAATTCGTAATATCCATTATATCCAATTGCACCAGGCTCCTTTCGCTTGCTATCATATCCCACAATGCATCCAACATGTGACCTCCCAAGATGAATCATCTCCAACTAAGATACCGTTTGAAATGTGCCCACCCCGCAAGAGATCTCGTCAAAGCTATCCAGCACATTGAACCCCATCGCCGAGAAGTTGTCTACGTTGCCGTCGTCATCAACCTGTCAGAAAGTTGATGTCAGCAAAATTTGTGCGTCTATGGTGGGACAGGATGGCTTACGTAATCGAGCAACACAGCCGTAGAGCCCTGCTTTTGATGCTGCTTGATGCCGAGCAGTATCAGCCCTTGCAGCACCGTTGAGAAATCTCCCGCGCTGGGAGATACCACCGGGCTTGAGATGCCTCCTACCACATCTGCGTCACTGTTGACGCTGTTGATGCCGGGCATGGCGTCTGCGCAACTGGAACTAGCCCCGTATAGCACAACCGCTCCAAGCAACACCGCGTCTGCTCGCCTCTTCGCCCTCACAATTCCACAGCCCGCTTGGTTAGCGAGCGCTAGGCCATAAATCTCCATCACACCGAGCCGCGAGCTGGTGCGCACAAGGTCTTGCACCTGGCCCGCATGCTCCACGCCTTGAATAAGATCAAACTCCACCTCCGTGCTGTTCATTGCGGCTGTGAGCCGTTCTGGCGGGCTCCATGACTGGAGATTTGGTAGCAACATGCTACAAACAGGTCTGGATGGCGACTCGCCCCACCCGAGATTATCAAACCACTGGCGGAGCCACTTACGCTCAAGTGGGTTATGATTTGGGATTCCCAAGTATATATTTGGGAGTCTCGAGCCGAGCTGTAAGCGCTTGATGCCCTGCCTCTGAAGTAAAGCCTTGACTGCTCGTTTGTGCAAGGATTGACCGATGGACAAATTGCGACGCTCAGGATCGACGAGAATTGGTCCAATGACTCCAGTCCCAGTGGATTCGAAGAAGAACGTGGGGCAAAAGCCATATAAAGCTTGCGTGGTGGTATTGCGGACAACAAAGTGCTGCTCAGGAACGAGATTCAGAAGAAAGCTTTTGTGGGTACAATGAGCGAGCACTGACGGCTGATCTGCGTCTTGCTCATGTACATTCATCAAAAGTGCATCAAGACCATGAGCGTCACGCTCCCGGTCCCAAAGTTCCACGAGCCAGCGCTGCTTTGACTGATGTACTTTTTGGTTCTGTCGAAGACTGCCTGGAAGACTTCCAGTCGGTTTGAATGCACCGTATAAAACGTTGACTAGTGCTTGCAATGCAGTCTCTGTGAAATCGAAGGTGCAGATGTACGTTCCTAGCGAAGACTCCATAGCAAAGTCATACGGCGAGCTTACCGAAACCACGACTAGAGGCTTCTCTCGTTTGTCTCCTCTTTGAGACAGTCTGCAGATCATCGAGACGTGTTTTGTGAACCCATGCTGATACAAATTCCGATTTGCGTCGGCAGTGACCACAACTACTGCGCTTGCTCGGTTGATAAGATTTTCATGCATAGGTCGGACTCCATTAGCGGTGTACGAAGTATGTAGTACTCGGCCCCCACGTTGACGAGCTAGAGACCGACCTAGTTCCTGGAATACATTTTCTCCACTCATACCAGGCGCCTTCTGCCAGGAGGCAGTCGGCGGCTCCGGCGAGTCACCGCTGGAATTCAAGGCCTGTGACTGCGCGGAAGCCGGTAGTGGTTTCACCACAGGTGTCAGGAGTAGAAGCTCATCATCAGCTTCTAGGAGCTTAGAGAGCGGCAATAGTCGCTCCTTGTCCCTAACAACAGTTATGGAAGAATTGTATGCCTTCTCCGATAGCTGAGCATGCAAAGGCTGGAGGGGCGAAAGTGATGCTACTCCACCCGGGGCAAGCGCTTTTTCCCAGCTCATACACTTTGACTTTATATGGAGCATTCGTGACAATGACTGTTGAATTCGTTCTGGAGTGATTAGATCATTGTCCAAGCCAGCCTTGAGGCCGCTGAAGGCCTCCTGTTGCCCCTTAAACGAGCGACAGACGATGATGAGATCACAGCCAGCATTGAGTGCCATAACAGCACCACCACCGATGCCAATGTTGTTAGTCAGCGCTTCCATCTCAAGGCACTCAGAGATGACAACCCCTTTAAAGCCCATCTCCTTCCGTAACAAGTCTTCAATGACTTGATCAGAGAGGCAAGCATGCATCGTCTCCACACCAGCGGACGACAATGCGCATCCTCCGACCATCATTGCATCAATACCTCGTGAGATGGCCTCGCGAAAAGGGCCAAGGGCATTCGCGCTCAATTGTTCTAAAGAGTCTGTGATAACCGGAACGTCAAGAGCGGATCCAAGAAACTCTAGGTTGCCGTACGATGGAAAATGCTTGCCACAGGTTGCCAGACCTGCTTCTTTGTAGCCATTCATCGCAGCAATGCCAAATCGTGACACTTCGTCTGGATCGTCTCCAGATGACCTGACTCCAAGAGGCTGATTTTTTATATTAGTTAAGACGTCTAGACAGGGTCCCATGATCCAGTTGATGCCAACTGCCTCGAGCTCCTCAGCGGTAGCTTTAGCAATCTCTAGCGCCATCTCTGTTGATCCTGTGGCAGCTATACCCATTGCACTGGGAAATTGCTGGACATAGTCAATGTCAAAAAGGCTGTTGACACCTCCATTTTCCTGGTCAAGTGCTATGGCTAGCGGTACTGGATGCTTTGCGTTATGCGCGATAGTCTGCAAATCCAAGACCAGCTTTGCAGTCTGCTCAGCATTCTTAAGATTTTTGGCGGTCAAAAGAACTGTCCCAAGATGATGATCCTCGATGAGCTTTTTGATTTGCGAGGTCACCTCTGTCCCGTCAAACCCCTTTCAACATCGCAAAGTCAGCAATCTTCCCATAAAACGGAAGCAATACTTTGGGCGCGTCTTCATGAACATGGATCTTCGGCGGTAGAAACCCGTGCTGTGTGGCCTTACAGATCAGGGAAAATTCATGAAGGAAAACACCATACCATCATCATCAATTGTCCCAGCTTCCAGTCCATATCGTCGAAGACCGACGAGACATCCATGCTAGCTGGGGTACTGTTGTCACTCATGATTGCACGGCCAGAATCTTCAACGAACGGCAATCGCAAGTCAGAAACACTTCATCAGTTTCATCGTTTGGAATATATCAGCATCTTGGGCCTCTGCATAGACCTCTTCAATACCATCGATCGCTACTTTTACTGCTCATTAGGAGTAGTTTCAATTCGAAAACCATGGAAATCCTGTATCTTGCGTCGCAGAAATAGTGATTTGAAATCAATCAAATGCGAGACGTTGACTCATCCCAGCTTCTTCTTGACTTAAATGAATCGCATTCGCCTTCCTCGATTTTCCTGGATAGGACATGCTGTCCCGCATTGCCACCAGAAATTCTGGCCCTCGTAGGGCTGGGGTGCCAAGGCTCTGGACTCTCCCGTCAGCTTAGCGTGAAATGATTGATGCCAAGACCTCTAGTATGGCGGACGTCCAAGCACTGACAGGACTGTTGATCATTCTACGACGGGTCTGAGAAAACTTGCTAATATCCATTTTCATATTTAAAATGCATAGGAGCCCATACATCAGCCGTTTGGTGACGTACATCCCTCTGACACTTCACATAGCGACTTTAGCGCTTGCGAGATAACAAAGGCATGGCTTTGCCCCCAGAGTATGCTTCACACATCTGCTTGACTCTCTCTTGCGCAGATAATGGTATACGCCACATCATGGCTCGATTGAAAGATTCGCAGACATACTCTTTCATCTCACTGGCGTTCTTCAAAGAAACTATGTCATTTGTCTCAAGCCGTCTTTTAAATCCATCCCAAGCCCCATATGATATCATGAGAGGCGTACACATTTGCTTGGCTCTGAAAGGTGGGGTTGATGTCCGCTGAAAGGCGAAGTCGATGCATTCGTAGAATCGGAGTTAGCAATGCTTTTAAGACTACAACAAGGAGTCGAAAGACTTGTCTCTTGAGACCTTGCCCGAGAGACTATTTTTGACTCTCGACATTATCTTCGTATTAAGGAAACTGTATTCCGAAAAATTACTTACTCATAGCGATTTCTCCCGCGACTTCAATGTCTTCGATTTGAACCCTGTCGGGACTGAAGTATTGCACCAACACAGCAGGCTGTACTCGGTCGAGAACTCGGTGGACGATCCCACAAATGGCGTTGCGCCACATGTAGTAAAACACTGCAACGGCATATACCTCATCATCTGAATATTTGATGCAGCTACCTAAAGGATTGGTGGATGAGTCTGATTGTACGGACGTGTCGTTGATCAGATCCTCGATCATAACCTTTGAGGGTGGATCAAAAACACTTTTAGCCAGAGTCAGGGTGTCAACCGTATGCCGCGAATCTTCCTGTCCCGCCACGAGCTGTCGAACCATAAGGACAAGGCGCGAAAGTCGGATCAGTTTGTCTGTGATTGCCCCCAGGCAGCTACGAAGGTTGAAACCGGACTTATTGCCAATGAGCGAGCTCCTAGACCTAACGGATCGTCCATCTCTGAGGCTGTACCGGCGAAGATTGAGGCACCCGTCTGGATTGGGAGATTAGCTAAACGAGCCGAAGCTTTGCTAAAAAGGTTATTTAGTTTTCTCTTCGATGACGATGCTTCGAGCAAGAAGCTCTTCTAACGCCTCCCAATGACCATAAATCCAATCATTTGACTAAGCGCGAGGGCATGAATCTGATGATCGGTCTTTCGGACACCCATAAGAAACTCATGACCATGATAAGTTCTGTGCCAGGAAAACGTTGCTATGGGAAGGTACCCATACCTCGGCCGAAAGCAGCAGCGAGATTGAAAGTAGTATAAAATCGGCATAGTTCGGCGCCTTGCAAAACGAGGGCGCTTCGCAGGGACTGCATGGCCCTGTTTCCAGAGCTACATGCCATGCGTACATCACTCTCGTTTCCAGTCGAGTATGCATGGTGGCTGTCGCAATTGTATGCCGCAGCGGTATCAAAGGTAGAGTCATTACCTAATTGGGCGGGCATACTGGTTGATATGCTTGTGGACGGCATGGCAGTCAGCATACGTACCTATTGCGAAGCCAGCCGGGTGTGATTGCTTGATAACGGCGCAGCAGGAGGGCCGAGAAGCTTTCTGGCTTCCGGAGGACCAAAAGTAAGGTACGTGCCCTGACTCAAGCCTGCTTTAAGGATTTGCCTGAGCAGTAGACCGACATCATCTTGTACAGGCCCGGCATTTTCAGATTTAGACCACGTGACGGACAAACGGTAACAGTCATAGGTACATTTCATTGGAAAAGAAAGTCAACAAACCATTCGTACTTGAACTGTCCTGCAATCGATAGCTACAAAGGCGATGAGTTCTACAACACACTCTGCAAACGGGTTTCTCCTCGCCGCACTTTTGATTGACACCGATCAGCATTTCTCCCTGTCAAGACAGCGGCCAGTAGTTGGTTCCCTGCTAACCTTGACTTTTCTTGAACGGTAGGTCTCACATTTGCCTTTCTGTGTCATGCTTGAGAACTAGCTTTCCGAACGACCTTGCAATAAACGTCGCCCCAGCAAGAAAATCGAGGCTATCATGCAAATGCGAGATATTACCGAAAAGGCACAACGTAAGTCAAAGCGCGGCGCTGGTTGGGCAATAGCTTCTGTATAAAATCATGGATTCAATATTTATTATTTGAAAAGCTTAGATTATAAAGCCTTCTTATGAGGCTTTGGTTGGTGTGGTGCCGTGTTTTAACTCAGAAGAGTACGTTATTGGGAGAAATAAATTATTCACAATAACCATCAGTCCTAGCACACGAGGCCACAGTTCAGCTCTCTCAGCCGACAAGGCTAACATACATAGGAAGCTAGAAGATTTATGTCGAAAGTGGAATGCGAAGAACTCCTTGTCCCGTCTTACATGCATGTCAGATTGATCGGCATAGGTTCCTAGCCCTTTATTGGCCACCACTAGAAAATCTTGTTGTTGGATGAAGACTTCTAGTCTCATACTGCGAACAATTTGCTAATAGGGTCTAGTGAATACGCACCGCCTCAGCCGCGAGCAAAACTTGCTGTTGCCTTTCCTTCAATCAAATCGTCGTCCGCTGCATGATTAGATTGTCAAGCTGAATCTTGTAATCTTGCACAGTCTACGGGATGTAACCACCGGCTCAGCTTCGTCGCTCGTGAGGCTGTTTCTTGCACAAATTTTCTTTTTTGAAATACGTGATTTTGTAGGTGCACAAATCGGCGTTCCGAGACGGCATGAAGGTGACGCTGAAAATTGGTATATGAGGACCACAAGGTCTACACATTGCCAATCAATCATCATCACCATCTTTTATCTCTTTACCCAAAAAAAGCTTACGATAATATCACATCCTGCCCTGCATACTCTTCGGCCTCACTATGCGTCATGCCACTGCCCTTCTCCTCCTCGCCTCCAAATCGACTACCATGGCTTGTACAGGAGCGCAGCAGTCAGGTTACTGCTGCGATGGCGCCATTCTCCGGAAAGATCACAGCTCAAACGGTTTCTCTGCTGACCAGCTCATCTGTTGCCAAGGCTCTTCACCAATGATCAATTTGGCCTCCACTGCACCAACGACCTGCACAGCCGGGACGCAAATTCCTCTCACGCAAGGATCCAGCGCTGGAAGCTCTTCCAGCCCGACCGCATCTTCGCTGTCTTCACTTGTTGGAGGTGCAAGTAATCCTGCTTCGAGTTCTTCGGGTAATACTCCTTCGTCGGCCTCTGCGAATGGAGCGATGGTCACTGCGGTGTCGTACGTTGGCGCTGCTGCTGTTGCTGTGGGCGGACTCGTACTCGCTATGTAAGATGTGGGCGGACCGTTAGCTTCGGCTCAGAACTCGCTCACACCGCTGAGATACTCGGGAATGAAGACACGGAATCTTGGTCTCATTCAATCGACATTCCTCCTGACTCCAAGAGTCAATTACAAGGCAGTCGAAAAAGGATGTTGGGCAAGCACTTTTATTCTATTTGAAGCGGCTAGACATAATGAAATGGGGGTTTGAAGCTGTTAAGATCTCGCAGGCGCTCAGATCAATGTGTACTTCACCTTAGTCCCAAAGATTTCACCCCAGATCTTTGAATACCCGGCTGTGGATCATGAGCCCAACGGCAGAATGCCAATTCCAACATGTCAAGCGTCATCATCATCATCCAATCTTCAGGTCTGTCTTCAGGTCCATCGTCAAAGACTTGTGTTCAAATAGCCTGCATGTGTGATGGAACCTAATTTCAAATGCCAAGCTTTCTCATTTCAGGGGCTAAAAATATACAGTGGCATCATTTAGGAAGCATTGATCCATCCACACAAGTCATCCATGCTGTGGCAAATCCTTGAAATGGTACCTCTGATTCATGCTGAAGAACCCTGGCTTCGTAAGGATCCTCAAGCTCGACCTAGCATTACCCCGAACCCTTGAAAAGGTGTATTAGTTATGTCTAAACACGCAAGACACGATACCCATTGGACAGCAGATCGCTTTGTCTACTGATCGAGCTCATAATTTCGAGAACACTGAAGGTACAACGCCGCTCATGTCAACTAATGTGCTTTTATTCCGAACCCAGGCTTCTAGTCCTCGTTTCCCGTTTTCTACACCCAAGCCGCTCTGCTTCCAGCCTCCGACGCTCATCTCGGCAGGACTCTCACCCCAAGTATTGACCCAGGTGATTCCAGCCTCCAGCCTTGCAACTACTTGATGAGCTAAATTAAGATCTTTGGTGAAGACACCCGCTGCAAGACCAAGCGGTGTAGCATTAGCCCTAGCCACAGCCTCATCTATCTTGTCATAGGTGAGTATTGAAAGGACAGGCCCAAATATCTCCTCTTGAACAATTTTCATGTTATCGCTACAGTCGGAAAAAACGGTCGGCTGGACCCAGAAACCATGCTCCATGCCTTTGAGCGACGGTGGTTTCTCTGGCCCTCCATAAAGTAGCGTTGCCTTGTCAACATCGATACCATGGCGGATGTATGCGACAACTTTGTCCAAATGGACCTTACTGACCAAAGGTCCGAAATTCGTGTTCATATCCATCAGATCCCCAGCACGAACATGTCCCATTCGCTCTACAAGCTTGCTCTCGAAAGCGTCCTTCATCTGTTTCGGAATGAAGACCCTCGTGCCGTTGGTACAGACTTGCCCCGTGGAAAAGAAGTTCGCCATCATGGCACCGTCAACGGCTTGGTCAACATCTGCATCCGGTAGGATGAGGACTGGGCTCTTGCCGCCTAATTCCATTGTCGTATACTTCATGCCTCCCGCTGCAGATGCAGCGACTTTCTTGCCTGTGCTGACCTGTCCAGTGAAAGACACTTTGGCGATATCTTCATGTCCTGACAGATAAGCTCCAACATCACCGGCGCCGCTAACCACATTGAAAACACCAGCTGGTACACCAGCCTCTGAATAAATCTCGGCAAGGGTCAGTCCATGTAATGGGGTAAACTCGCTTGGCTTATACACCATGGTGTTGCCCGCGGCTAAACATGGCGCAGACTTCCAAAGAGCGATCTGAACGGGATAATTCCAAGCGCCGATACCAGCACAGACGCCTAGCGGTTCTTTTTTGGAGTACACCCAGGCATCCTCTCTGAGCTGGGTGGTCTCTCCGTTCAGCCCGCCACCGGCGACATGATTGGCAAAGAATTCGAGCACATCTGCTCCAGTAACTACATCAACGGTGCTAGTCTCCGAGAAGGGCTTGCCTGTGTCTCTTGTTTCTTGAGCAGCGATAGAATCATTCCGCTCTCGCAAGATCGAAACGGCCTTTAGAAGTATTCGAGATCGCACTATAGCCGGGGCCTTGGACCATGACAGAAAGGCTTCTTTGGCGGACGCAATGGCCGCGTCAACATCAGACTTTGAAGCGGCCTGAATGCTCGCAAGTGGCTCTCCATTAGATGGGTTGACGGAGTCAAATGTGTGTCCAGATGTGGCGTTTCTTGGTTGGCCGTTATAGTACAAAGGCTGCGATGAAGACATACTGAAGACCGCACAATGATTTCGGTATTCTATTGAAGGACTTTCTTACAGTGTATTACATTTCCTTCATCATTCGATGGGCGATGCTCGTAAGTTGAACGCTCCTAGTATTCCTTTCAATTACCAGCTCTAGCCGAGAGGTTGGATTGTTCCGCACACTGCCGGAGATGGATTATGCGGAGAGCACCCACGATTTGAGCGACTGTCTATGCTACCATAGGATCCCTAGGAGCCGAATGACGCGCTTATGGAGTGAGCTTCCATGTTGCATAAATCTCTCTCTGTCGGCCTCTGATTACGGGGCGGATGGGCAGACTGGAACCGGGTTAGCGTATGTGGGGTTTCTGGCTCTGGATTTCATTTTTTTGAGCAGATGACAACTCCAACCGCCGGACTGTGAATCTTACAAAGGCTGGGCCGCTGCTTTTCATTTTCATTTTTCATTTTGCCTCACTTCTCTGTGCTTTTCACCGCGTCTCTGTACATGTCTCCTATCTCTGTCTCTTCTGCTGTAATGGAATTTTGCTTGACAGTCTTTTCAGCCATCAAGTAAAACAAAGACTATTTAGCATCCAACAGAAAGGCCGTCTCAGTATCTTCTTCCTCTTTCTGCTTCAGTTCTGGGTCCAAAGCAGTGCTACAGACACATCGCGAGGAGTGGGCACTCCAATTATCTTTTCCTCCCTTCTTGGTTTTCGCAATGACTACCACGCATCTTTCACCCTCGGAAGCAAACAACTATGATTATATCATTGTCGGTGGTGGCACTGCTGGTTGCGTTGTTGCCAGCAGACTCTCCGAGTATCTGCCACATGCCAGTGTTCTTCTCATTGAGGCGGGCCCAAGTGATTTCATGAATGACAAGGTGCTCAAATTGAAAGAGTGGTTGACTCTCCTGGGTGGCGAACTCGATTACGACTATGGTACGACAGAACAGCCGATGGGTAATTCACATATTCGACATTCCCGTGCCAAGGTCCTTGGTGGCTGCTCGTCCCATAATACCCTCATATCGTTCCGTCCATTGGAATATGATCTTGCTCGATGGGCAGAACTGCTCGGCAACCAACAAGGGAAGGAGAACTGGACGTTTTCTGAGTTCACCAGGATTCTGGACGGACTCCGTAACACCGTAAACCCTGTACACGCGAGACACAGAAACCAGCTCTGCAGAGACTGGGTTGACTCATGCTCTACTGCCCTGGAAATCCCGGTCATCCGCGACTTCAATCGCAGGATAACCAAAAAGGGCAATTTGCACGAAGGGGTAGGATTTTTCAGTGTGGCATATAGTCCTGACACAGGACATCGTAGCTCTGCGTCTGTGGCATACATCCACCCGATATTACGAGGGGATGAGCGGCGGCCAAATCTTACGATCGTAACGAACGCCTGGGTTGACCAGCTGAAAGTCGACCGCCAAACTCATACAGCCACGGGAATCAATGTGATTTTCCAATCAGGCGAGAAAATCGCGCTCAAGGCGAAGAAAGACATCATATTGTCCGCCGGTGCAGTTGACACGCCTCGACTGCTTCTCCTCTCCGGCATCGGCCCTCAAGATCAGCTGTCATCTCTAGGCATTCCCGTGGTCAAAGACATCCCTGGAGTAGGTTCGAACCTCCTAGACCACCCTGAAACAATCATCTTGTGGGAACTCAACCGTCCGGTCCCTGCGAATCAGACAACAATGGACAGTGACGCCGGTCTTTTCCTTCACCGTGGCCCAGCGACGAACCCGTCAGACCCAAATCACGAAGATACAGAGGCAGCAGATATGATGATGCACTGCTACCAGATACCTTTCTGTCTAAATACAGCACGCTTAGGCTACGACACCCCGATCGATGCCTTCTGCATGACTCCGAACATACCGCGACCAAAGAGCAGAGGGGTCCTGTATCTCACTTCGGCAGACCCGAAGGTCAAGCCAGCCCTAGATTTCCGCTACTTCACTGACCCTGCCGGTCATGATGCAGCCGTATTAGTGGCAGGAATTCGAACAGCAAGGAGAGTGGCAGAGCAGCAGCCCTTCAAGTCCTGGTTGAAGCGAGAAGTTGCACCGGGGCTTGACGTGCAGAGCGATGAGGCCATATCCGAGTACGCGAGGCGCGCAGCACATACTGTCTATCATCCCGCTGGCACGACGAAGATGGGTGATTTGGAGAATGACAGTATGGCTGTCGTAGATGCCGAGCTACGGCTTAAGGGTGTAAAGGGAGTCAGAATTGCGGACGCGGGTGTATTCCCGGAGATGACCAGTGTGAATCCAATGCTGACCGTCTTAGCAATTGGCGAGAAGTGTGCTGAGATGCTTGCTGAAGAAGCCGGATGGAGCAGGCAGTCTACACCATGGGAAAGGGCGAGATTGTGATTGCTGGAAATTTGGTGGAAGCGACTAAGTCACCACACTTGACAGGATTCTTGACGGTTTCTTTGGCCCAGAAATTGGATTGAGCAATCGTGTTCAAAGACGGCTTGACACAGGATTGGGCCTGCATCTTCGACGGAATAATTTGTCGTGTCTCATTGGAATTTGTATGCATTTTGCCTGCGACATAAAAGTTAGATACCCATCATTCAAGGAGTTCAAACCCAAGACCCCTCGATCATTGACTCTGCTTGATATTCGAACAAATGTTTCGAGCACCCAATCCTTAGTTGCTGCTATATATTGCAACTATGACCAACAGAAGATGCTAAATAAAATCGCTACATGTCCAACGCCAGCCGCTAAATGCTCGTTATGCCAGTATTCTTTTATATCCCAAAGTTCCACTGCTGAATGTATACGCTCAAAAGCATGAACTAAAATCAATCAATAGGATTCAGACACTCCGTCAAGGCCTTCTCTGGATCCCACTCCGGTAGTTGCAGTGGTGTGTCCTTCGTCATCCCATCCATCTTCTCGCTTTGCACCTCCCCCATACCATCTGTCATGCCATTTGCGGTGCCATTTGGCACCAGACCCTGCCCTTGTATCTCCACCATATCACCAGCCCTCTTTACCCAGTTCTTCCACCCCTCGCTCACCGGCGCCACCTGCCCATTCACCACCCACTGCGTACTCCCCGCCAGGGCAATCGCCTTCCACAACGCCATCGTGAACGTCTGGCTCTCCTCTCCCCCCTCATAAAACACCTTGCTCACCTTATAGCACGTCAGGTCCCAATGCAACTGTTGCGGCAGCGCCGCCACAGCCCAATACACCGCATTGAGAATCAAATAGCTCGCCCCGAACGCGACCTGCAGATCCAGCGTCGAGTTTCCCAAACACACCACCCCCATCATCAACGTGAGCGTCCCAATCAGACTCACTATGCGATAGCTCCCCTCGCTGAAGAAATAATTGCACGCTTCCGGGTGCCAATACAGCTCCCGCGCCACCTCCTCCTTACACACGATGATCCTGAAGCTGCCATTCGGATACTTAATAACGATCTTATCCGGCGGCACATTCCGCGTGCTCTCCCTCTTCTTCAGATCCAAACTCCACCGACTGCCAAAGCCAATCAAACTAGTCAAGAAACTCAGTAAGAGCGTAGCTAGCAGAGCGAACCCGTCTCCCTTCTTGATACTCAGCACCAACAACGCCACACTCATCGCCGTGCCGAGCAAGCTCGTGTAGGCCAGCGGGCCCCATGTCGCAGCCTCCACACTCTTGCTCGGGTCAGGCTTCTCAATCAGTTCGCAGCGGACGTGGTAGTCCCTGAGGGCCTCGCGGGAGTGGAGGAGGTTGGCGATGTGATTGACGAAGTCACGGATGCCGCCGCTGCGGGCACCGATGACCTTGCCCGTGGCGGGAGCGAGGGTGAGGGGGCGAGAGGTGCGGATTAAGGCTTGCGGGGCGGGCAGGAGGCGTGGGAGGAGGGCGATGTAGGAGAGAAGGGAGACTTGGGCGTTGGCGGTTACGGAGGCTTCGCCGAGGATTGCGAGACTGGAGAATAGAGAGGGTCAGGGGGTTTTTGGGATTCATAGTTAAGGGGGAATTGGTGGTCTGGGAGTAGAGAGGCTTACAAGCCGATGATGTCGAGTTGGAGAGAACGATAGCCATTTGTGAGCCAACGCATGGTGGTGGAGCGGATTCTGGATTATTTGTTGATTTGAGGTAGCAGAGACACTTCCCATGAAGAAGTCCGGATCGTCATCATCGTCATCGTTGTAATCCCTTGACAACGATATGAGGTATTTCCAGTCTGCCGCAAGGCTGCATAGGTGAAGGAATCTTGCTGGGCAGTGGCAGGACAAATATCAGCCGCTAATGCACAAAAGCATAGCCTGCCGCGCGTGCATCATGAATCCATCACCATTGAACACCAGGTGCTATTTTTATGGGCTACGACATGAGATGCACGGCTCTCCCTCGAGGTATGGAAGTACTAGGCCGCTTCATGCAGCCAAACGTTGAGACGTGAATCCTGTATTCATTTCACTACGGTTCCCTTGCGATTCCTTCATTTATGTACATGCATCGCTAGAATACATTTGTAGATCCAGCCAGCAGATCCACGCTGCCGCCCTTACATGACCGAATACTTTGCACCTTGCGTTGCCGCGCTATTGTTTAACCAGGTCGAGAATCGCTCAAATCGTGTATACATGAAATTGACTCATGTGAAACTCCTGTACAGCAGGAGAAATCAAAAAGACAGTATTGAAGGTTCCATCCGAAAAGACTTATCTGGATGGAGCGTGATAATGCTCAGAACATGACTGCGCTAGCCGGCACATCTTTCTGGAGTTGAAATGGTACATGATTAGGGGAAGTTGGACTTGTCGATTGAAGAAAAGGGCTCTGGGACACCGCTGGGCTCGGCGTTTGAGATCCGAATTGTCTTGGTTTGATATTCGAGGTGTCTGGCCTGATCAATTTCCTCGGCTGCTGCTTCACTTTCTGAGTAGGTTCGTCATCAGAAAATGCACTGCATTCGCCTTGATGGCTTTCATGTGTTGCTTGATTATTCGATGGAGACACCATCGATCGTGGAGCGTCAGCCTTGTCCGCTATACCAAATGCTTGACGGAGAGTGTGGGTTCTTTTCCGTCGAACATCGCGGGTTGGAATTGGTGGTGCACTTGTTGGTGATGGCGGAGTATCCATCCCATTCTTCAGGCTTGCCCCAGGAGGCAAATCAACAGTATCAACGGAAGAAGTACAGGACACAAAAGTGGGCTCCGAGATATCTTGCTTATTGACAGACTGTTTCCGGCTTCGCCCAGGAAGGACCATATTCCGCGTGGGAGAGTAGCGAGGACTGGCTAAAGGAGGCTGCTGGCCGGATGTCGTGGCTGAACTTTCGTGCAGACTAGGAGCGGAGTGGTTGTTTCTAGCAGCCACAGGCCTGGAAGAGGGATTGATCATGAAAGGGGTCCCAGGAGGGGCCATCCGCTTTTCAAGAGGTGAAGCTGAAGGTTTGCTATTGCTGCGTTGACGCCCAGACGTTGCTGAGTGTGACCTCTCTGCCATGTTTGCAGGTATGTTCCCTTGCCCGGCGGCCGATGACCCATATGGTGATTCTTGAATGCCATGAGTTTGAGGTCGATGTTCGTTTGTAGGAGTGTTTGACGAGTTCTGCCTGGATCGACCTTCTGGGTCCGGCATCTTCATAGGGCCGTTGCGTGGTATCGAATGCTTGTCCGAACTCTCCGAGTATGCCGAACTGCTCTTCGAAGAATGGCGGGAATGCCCTCGCGGGGTGCAATCTTGGTTACTCTGGTAAACTTTGCTGTGATTGCCTGTACCGAGCGCTTCGTTCATGACCGGAGGTACACCTTGCTGCCTTCCAGAACGAAATGGCGTTTTAGCTCGAGGAGCCATTGCACGATCTGGATATTGGTCCCTCAACTTGAGTATACCGTTTGGAAGTTGATTGTTCGTTGAATCATTTTCGATGCCCAACATTTTCATAGCTTTGGAAGGTTTCTCTTGTTTTCCGATCAGGGACCCGCGACTTGATTTCTTGAGCAACCCAAAGGCATGACTTGTCTTGTGGGGACTGTTTTCTCGTGTGCGCGTTGCTGGCGCTGGACTGCCGGATCGGCTTTGTGTCTCCGCAAAAGGCTGCAGCTTATCCACTACCATGCGTCTCCTTTCAGCGAGCTCTTGCGCAAGCTCTTCTCTTTCCTTCTGAGTTTCTGTGCTTGGTCCACGATTATGATGAGCTCGGACTTGCTCCTGCCATGAAGCTTTGATGTCATGATTACCACGGGGGGCTTCACCACCAAGAATGCGCTGCGCTTTGTTATTTCCCAGCGTTTGCTTAGCCTTTGCAGACTCAATATCGCGCAATGATCTTGCTTGTTCCAGCATGTTTCGTGCTGCCAAGGACAAGGGAGGCGGTACCGAGTCATCCTGATGGCTGTTGAGAGCATAGTTGGGTTTCTGTGCATCTTGATCATTGAGCGCAGATCCATGACCAAAGATACTGTCACGCGCTTCAACTCTTCGACCCTGCTCGACAGAGTCGTCTGGATAATTCGACGATTGTCCGCTGTCGTTCCTCAAATGCGCACGAACCAAGCTACTCAGACCGTTGGGCACCCCAACGGGACCAAGAGTCGGAGAGTCAGTATCAATGTTCGAAGTGATGGTATTTTTGGCAATATCAGATTGTTGCAAAGCTGTCACGGTGGCCTCACTTTTGTAACTTCGGCTCTCTGACGCAGTATCGTCGATGAACTCCTCCGTGTTATTCGAAGCAGCGTTGAATTTGGACGCCTGGAAAAAGGCGTCTCTTTTCGGAGCTTGTGGCTGGGAGAAGCTCTGAAATTTTGCATTGGGTAGCACAGGGGAATTAGCATCGACCTCTGACTCGCTCTCAGGGGCAGAGCTTGGATCAGGGCTATTCATTCCTGTAAGAAAGCTTCGCTCCATTGGAGATTGAGATGAATCATCAGCATGATTACGCAAAGCTGGAGAAGCACCTCGCTCAGGAACTGCTCGTGGAACACGATCTTCAATCCATGGCCGTCGTATTGAGTTCGTCCTTGAGAAGTTACTTCCCTGTGAATTGTTACGACTCCGCGAAGCAGAAGGTAGGTCATTGACGATAGAGGTGGCTGGTGAGAAGGGGCGTCCAAGCTGAGGACTTGGGGTGTTTCGTTCCCTCTGGAGCTGGAGTTGTCTTTGAAGGTATTGCTGCTCATCGTACTGCTTCTTCGGTTTGTTGAAAGCCCCTGATGCAGTAGCCTTACCAACATCATTTGGTTCAAGCGCAGCGACGAGTGTGGGATCGGCATTGTGAGAACTCAATTCTGGACTCATCGGAGGACTTAAAGGCGGCGATCTTCCATAACCCGAGTCCACGGGATGGGGATGCCGTTGGTCTTCGGCGAGACCTAGGTCAAATTCTGCCATTCTCGACGGTGTGGGAGATGGCCCTGGGCTCTCTGCGCGGTAACCGTTCGTCGCATAGAAAGGACCTCCACGCTGGTAACGGTCGCCTAGGTTCGTGGCGCTTCTTGATTGCCGTAGCTGGTTGCTTGCGGGACCACCAACAGGGGTGCGAGATCGATTGAAAGAGCCCAGCCTTTGCAAAGATGAAGATGATGAGTCGTAGAGGTCTCGATCGGGCCCTTGTCCGTACATTCTTCGTGACTTGATAAACGGCCGCTCAGAATTCGAAGAAGCAGGCTGTGTGATAGCAAGGGGAAATGCATTAATGCTTTCTTGTGCCCCGTATACGGATTTTTGGGAGGCTACAGAAGTGGCAGCTGTCGATGCTCGGGAGTGTGAAGGGACTGAAGTGGTCGAAGACGTCGTTTCACGGTTGCGGTCATATCTGGGTTCGGGTGGCGATCCTGATCTATCTTGCTCCTTTGACGATCGGGTGTGAGCTTGTTCAAGGACTGCCCTCTCATAGTCTTCTTTCTCCTGTTGCCTAAGCCTCTGAAAAGTGGACAGTGTTGTATCATTCTCGTAGATGGGCTTTCCCCCCATGTTCGCCGTCGTTGGAACATCATGATCATCCTGTCCTCCAAAGTGCTTGACCGAGCCGGCGCCTCCTACAGGTATCTTATATATCTTTTGTCTCCCGCCAAACATAGTGTTCCCCTCTCCAGGCCTTGCTCTGCTCATGACACCCCCATCGTCTGTGTGGTGGCTTTCGGAACCGTATGACTCCGTCCGAGCAACGGCGAAGGGTCTTCTCATGGATCCGCGAACCGAGTCCACCTCTGCAATATCGGCCAAGGCGTTGCGATGATTGAAAAGATCGAGCCTGGAGTTTCGCTTCGGAGCCAGGACGCTGTCGTCATTGGCCTTGCCGAGCATCGAGTTTGGGTCATCTTGCTCTTTGAGCATACTAAAGCGAGCGGCAAGCTTTGGCATGAGCAAGCTAGTCCGAAAGTCATCTGTGGCTGGAAGAGCTGCTGTGAGGTCAATCTCAGGCTTTGGCTCTGGAACAGGCGTCTTCTTTCTCTTGAAAGTCCTTGATAGCGAAGGAAGGGCTGGGATTTCATTTTCGAACGAGGGACGTCGGCTGCCCTCCCGCGAGGAGTTTTCCCCATGGGACTTCTTTCTTGATCGAAATCGATTCATTGCGAGCGACGAAGTGACAGAGTGTAGCTGGTGGTAGATGGGGTTGAATTGACGGCTAGAACAGGCTGTAGTTGTTCTACCGTCGGTTGCGTAAGGTCCCTGAGCATGGGTACGAATGTTTGACGGATCCTGCGCCGGTAATTTGGTTCAATTGCGAGCTGGTGGTGGCTTTGACACAGTCTCAGATCCCCTGCGCTGACAGCATGCAGGGGTTTGGTGATGGACAGTGAGGCTTGGCTAATTGGGATTATTGGATCGTTGGGCTGATTTGCGGCATAGACTGTTGTGATTGCGATTGCGCCTGTATCTTTCGGTTGCAGGAGTAGTGTATGGAGGCAAGGAGAATTATCTGCAGTGTAGAGGAGGCCAAAGTGGGTCGCAAAAGAGAAGTGAGAAGTGTCACTATCCTTCCACCCTTCCACGCGACTGGGGGAAGTTCTAGGGGCGGCGATCCCTCGTCCCCCTTAGACTCTAGGCGGGTGCTTGCCAAGAACCCCCTAATAACAGATCAGACGGGGATGTTCTCCTGCTTTCACCCTTTCATTGGCAATCGTTGCCCCAACAGCGCAGTATTATGGTCGTGGGACGGTCAGGAGGAAGGTGGAGTATGTCGAGTATGGCACGGTCGGAGGAGGCTGCAGGAGGAAAAGAGGAAAGATTTGTGATGGACAGATTCTGCACTTAATGCAGGGATGTCGCGTCTTGCAGGGGTCGAGAAATCTTGAACGCGTTCACTTCATTTTCCGCTCTCCCACCGTTTCCCAGGCTCGCCTCATCTTTCACATCTGTCCCTAGCCCTCTATCAAACCTGCTAGACCATATGGGCGGCGGCGGGCGTCAAGAATAAAATAATACTACTAATCACTTGCCTGCCCCATCCACGGATGTGACCTAGAGCTAGAACTAGCTGGCCGTACCTTTCTTTTCGCCGCTAACAGGCACTACAGCGCGAGACCTCTGCCGAGAGGCGCCCTCCGATTCTAGTCTCCCTGGCTGCGATCCTGGAGGATGTGAGGGTTAGCGAGCTGCTGTCATGTAAGATCCTGTATGCCAGGCTGCAGAAATGCAAGCTGCAACATTGTTCTCCTCTTCATCACAGACCATACAACGACCGAGGGGGATTGGATGCAGCGTGCAGGAAAAAATAGGGGAGATGGCGGGAAAGGCTTCTTCTCCTGAATCTCCATTCAGGGGCACGGTCGGTCTGATTGGAGTCATTCTCTAGCTTCCTCTATCCCCAGACCCTTCCCCGGCAGCTTTAGCTTTTCATCTCCTTCTGCCCCGTTCCCCGTCCTCTCTTTTAGACAGCATGGATGTCTTGATGCCCAATCATCTCATTCAATCTCGTCCGAGCCGGTGGTTCCCTGGAAAGGCATCAAACTCTGAGGATTTTGTGCACCAGCTGGCCGGGTCTTTTCAAGCCTTAAAAGTCCCGTCCTCAAGTCTTCGAGGCCACGAGGCATGAGGTATGTCATGAAGTCAGCTACGATGCCTCCGCTAGCAGCGTAGTGTGGGTTCGTCCTCATTATTGCTGACTGGGGATCCTCAAGGTGAAGAGGATGGTCATTGGTGGACTGGAGAAAAATCCTGGCAGGCCTGCTCCGTTTGGAACATCGTTCCTAAGGCTACACTGCTACTAACCAGGAAACCCAGAAGAAATCCTAGTCGCGTTTCATCCTTCCTGGCCTGCCTTTCACAGGAACCTTGCGTCATGACTGACTGTTTGCGAGCTGCCACTCTTGATTCTTGAATGCCTATGCCCTGACAAATCAAATAATGCATGAGATTTCTGTGACCTGCCAGAGCGGGTACCTGCAGGATTGCCCTCGCCATCAACCAGAATTCGATTGGCAGTCTGCCACCAGGAGCTGAATTCGAGAATGGCGACCAGCTATTGCCCTATCTGATGTTGCATGAGGTCCACCTCAATAAACATGTATATCATTCGATATATGGCACATATCATCTATAGTTCATCCTTGGTTTGTTGTTTGTCATTCGAAACATCAATACCACAGACCGCAGGGGAACCGGCCTCCATCCTGTACACACATTTCTCCTCTTCCACAATCCTCCATAACTCGTTCTTTTCCGCGCACGCAAGAATTATCATGCTGCTCCTGTTAGGTCCATTCCAGCAATGCTGGCCATTCTCATATTTCAAGGCAACTTTTTCGCCCTTGCCAAGACCCTTGCCATCAGGTGGCAGTTCTTCATCGACGGTGATAACATCGAAAGACACGAAACTGCCCATGTTGGTATAACCACCACCCTTCTTGCTCTTTTGCGTCGTTTTCGTCAGCCAGCATAGCTCATAGGTATATTCGCCGCTGTCCTTTTCTACACATTGTCCCTTCAATGCACGAAACACTGAATCAGCACCGTAGTCTTTAGCAAGGTCTTCTCTATGCTCCTGTAGCTGCTTCTGATTGCTCTCTATAACATCTTGCGCAGCCTTCAGAGCGCTTCGCGCATTCTCAAGGTCTTTGGACTCTCCTGAATCGCGAGAAGGGGCCAGTATGCCATTCTCGATCAATATGATACGCAAATTGCGAAGCTTTTTGTCAAGCCAATCGCGGAACGAGGGCGGTAAATATGCTTCAAATTTGTATACTGTGCCATGTGAGCAAGTACCTGGACAGGCGTGGATGTCCGGGGTTGAGCGACTTACAGACATCGACATCGCTGTCTTCTTGCCGTTCCCACTCGCTCCAATCAATGGCTCCTGATTCACCATCTGGCTTTGCAATTTCATCCAGGTCTCGATCATACGCAGGATTATCAATCTCGGCTTTGTCTTTCGCTGCATAATCTTCCCAGCTACGTACAGCCCGCTTCACACCTTCGTCGTTGAAGTTAGGGTTGTACTCCTCTTTGAATGTCGACAATATTGCTTCAAGTTCCGCGACCCTCTCCCGGCCCAGATCGCGCTGTCTCCGCAATTCTACCACGGAGTCTCTTAATTCTCCGATCCTATCTCTTGCCAGCTGGACCAGTACGCCTAGCGTGCCCCCTTTCTCCGGCTTCTTTATCACTCTCCCTCTTTCTTGCCTTTCCACTTCGGCTAGTTGTGACTCCAGGCCCTCTATCTTCAATTGGTCCCCTTGAATCAGTGTCTGTAGCGTTTCGATCCTATCCGCAACCTCTTTGCTTAACTTCTCAGCCTCTGCGGCCAATTCTCTCCTTTTTTTCGACGCTGCACCAAGGGAGCGCTTGCGCTGTTCGTCTTGCTTTCTCCACTCCTTCCCAACATCTTTGCATCGATCTTCACACTTTGTGCCACCGACCTTCGCCCATTCATCACTCCCGTCGCAGCACTCCTCGTAATTGCAAACGCCATCATTCACGTTCATGAAAGGGACATAGCCTGGTAAGTGCCCTTTGTTCTTACAATAGAAACCAGGTAGGGATATTGTAGTGTTTGGGTCATGATAGGGTACATTTCCCAGTGAGGCCAGTGATAGAGTGGAGAGGTGGGCACATGCCGAGGTGCCAGGCTCGTCAGAACCGTCGGGACAATCACAAAACTCGTCGTTCACGTGACTAGTGGGGATGGTTATTGAAGGTTTGGAAATGCATGTGAAGGTGTCAGCGGATCTGTAGTATTTGGCAACTGCGTCTTCTTAGCATTGCACCAGATAGCTGCAGAATTTCTGGAATTGGAAGGCTTCTCACAGTCTGGGCCGACGCCCCGCGGTCTAGGGAGGTCTCCTGCTGCAATTGGAAGCGCAGCTAAGTTAGATATAAGTAGTACCTTCCCTAGCCTAATCATGTTCGAAGAGATCTTAGTCAGTATGAGTAAGTAGCTGGGAAGAGGTTTCTATTGACAGAAAACAGGTCGCTTCAAAGGTCTTGGCAGTCTCGCTCACTCGAGCCTCGCTTGGCGCCTGCCGCTTTAGCGCGAGCTGGGTGATCTAGACGCTTACTCTCCCGTTACCCTACGAAGAAATGGCCACGCCCGCACTCACGGCCCAGGAGGCTCCAGAGATGGCTGCCGCGGTGCGCATAAGAAGAAGCGGGTCCCGCCTCCGTTCTCGCTTTCATCGTTCGCATTCCCTTCCTACGCCGTCCACGACTTCCACCTCCATCCCCCTCTCCTCAGCCCAAAGCATTCCCTTGGACAATATGAGCTCCAAAGACGTACCATCGAGGAAGCTGTGGAAGAAAGCGGCTGCCAAAGGTTACAGACCTGGCGTTCACCGAGCGGAAGATGGTCAGAGGAAGAAGAACCCTTGCGGCCCTAATACTCGCTATGATCAAGATTGTGTCTTGAAATACTATGAAAAGTGATTGTAGAATAATCGACTGTCCTCGTGAGGAAATAAATGCTGTCTGAGTCGAGCAGGTGGATAACGTTTATTGAGAACGACCTCTTGAACACCGAAGATCTGAGTAGTGATAGCCAGTCCGCCGTCGATCTCCCTAAACCCATGGACCCCAGACGCCTCCAAGAAGGGTCACTTCCTCTCGACATCGCCACCATTACAGGTTCCCTTCGATTCAAAGCCTCGATCAGTGAAGGGAGAATCGGCGTAGAGCGAGAGAGCGCGCGACGACCGACTCTCTAAATCCCTTTGCGGAGTGGTTTCTTGCTGGGTTTGCACGAGTCAATGGCAATCCCATCCCGAAAGAAGATAGACAGGAGACCTGTAATTTGAATGCACTTAAAGTCACGTAACGTAACCCTGCTAAGCAGCTACTGCTTTAGTGGGTACGGCACATATTGACCAGAGATGGCCAGGTCGTGAACCAAAAAAAAAGGCAAAGCATCTATTTGGCGGAAAAGAGTTTAATCAATTCACCATCATATTTTAGACTATTGACGATAAAATGTTCGTCCACTCACGGAACAAGGTCCAAATTCCTTATGTCTTTACTTTTCCTGATGATCATAAAATGAATGAAAGAAATTTCAATGGAAATTTCCTTTAGGGATATCACTGATTTATCTTGAAGAATTTGAAAGAACTCGGGAAAATATCAATGTCTGAATGAGGTTCAGTGAGGCTGTCAATTTCACTGACTTTTTACCAATGGATGCACATGCCGTTCTCTGGAAACCAATAAGACTCCACTATTCCCATGCATCATTACCCGTCCTTGAGGGGCCCAATCTCATTGATGATAGCATAACGACCATAGATTATTATTGATCAATGATCATGAGGTATTAAAAGAAAGCAAGGGTCTCATGGTGAAGCTCCTGCTCATGATTGATAGCTTTGTGGAGTTCAACAACCCTCTTACAGCAATGATTATGCTGTGAGCATTCTGCTGGTCTGCAACATCAAGAGCTGCAGCACTACACTTGACTTCACAGGTCAAGTATGGAAAATACAGGCGTGTAGTAGTCATGAAACGAGTAGTGGTCTTGAAATCATACATGTTGCTGTCTGTGAAGGGCTTAAGGCTTTGAAGCTGTTGTTCTGTGAACTTAGATCGGCTGAATCCGAGCAAAAAACTAGGCTGTGGACGAATACCGTGGAAAGAAATGGCACATTCGTATAGATCCTTGAGATGTATGGCGCCATAAGTGGCCAGTGCTCCCCAACTTGATTGAGAACATTCAACGCGATGTAGCTGCCACAATAGATAGGCCCAAGAAGCTTGGCCCGAGCCGTGTCACAGTCGAGAAGCAGAGAGCTTTCCTGATCAAGGTCAGTCGGGAGTACCAGATCCTCTGCAAGGAGAGACATTGCATTCCCAATTTGGGTTTAATAGTGGATTCATGAGAAATTGAGACAACATATTCTCCATGGCTGAGTTGAGGTAGACCTCAAGTTGTGTGCAGTAGAGACTTCCCTCTTCTATAACGCTTTCTTCAAGAACGATAAGTTGGCAAAAAGCAATCAGAGTGTGCCTGCACAGATTGTTGATTCTGTGACAAAACAATCAATGCAAGAAACTGTCATGCTGGATTAAGAAAGAATGGCTCTAGATCTTCCAGCATGATGGTACAACACCAGTGAAGATACAGACTTTGAATTCTTTTCGACCCTCAATGTTGAATTATTTCGGTGAAGATTGGCAACTCAAAGCGGTATAAGAGACGGCCATACCAGCTTACTCATAGGACACCAATCGACACAACAAGGCGAGTCTTATAGCTGTAACGTAGATTTGCATTGATTCAGATCAGCCGAAAAAGCGTCCCCACATCTCAGACACGCAGAGGAAGACAGTAAGCGGCTCCACCCAAGCAGAGTCAGGCCGGCGCCCGTTTTGACATGGAGAAATGCCTCTGGGCTCGGTCATCCACGTGTACCTGAGAACAGGCTCTCCGAATGATGAGGTAGCTCAGACGACGAATTACCTCCCATACAGGATCTAGAGTTGGACAAAAGCGACAGCACCATGGCATGATTAAATTCTTGGAGCCGATTATCCACAATTCCTAGTCATTGGCAGCTGATGGTTGACTTTCAATACCCACAAGGCCTGCTTGATCTCATGAAGTTGGATTCCATCTAACTTGGGGCATATCTTGTGCCGACAGCACGGCCTATGTATGGTTGCCTCCCCCAATCGAATCAGTCGGCGGTCAGTATTTTCCCATGATACCGATTCCTCGGATAGAACCCATACCTTATGCAATCTCCGCCCGGCTTGGCATCCAGGGCCATGTGCTCTTCCATAAGGTTGAAGGCTAGCGATTAGTTAATGAATCTAGTTGTACCCCACATACTATTCTACTCGCTTCCTCTTGCTGCTATTATTACGCACCCTATGCGCATTGCTATACAATGTTACACCGCAGCCATCGTAGATCACGCTGGGGACACCACCTGACAGTATCCCTCACCCAAAGTGGTTCCCTCCGACTCGAAAGTCATCAAGCGTTGAGATAGGCTTCCGTTTGGATGAAGCAAGATATGTTCCTGAGATCGGTGATACCTCGCAGAATTAAATGGTGCAGAATGCCACACATGAGGAGAAGCAAAAGCCACGGCTCGCGTTGGGTGCCTGAAACGTCAAGGCTAGCTGGCCTCTGTGCCGACCTGCAGACGACGAGGAGAGAAAGCATGCGATTTTGCAGCTAAAATAGTGCGCCATCTCGACAAGCCTTTAAGCCTCCTCCAGTTCTTATAGCCGCCTGACCTATCAACTCACGGAGAGCTATCTATGGTTCAAAATAAGCCTTCTAAGCAAGAAGCTTGGTCTATGCACTAGCAGCCGCGATCTTGGTGGTCCACGCTGATCGCGGTACACTGGCCAGGGCATTCGTGGGCTAGGAGGCAGAAAACGTGGTTGGCAAAAGTAGCGCACCGACGAGATCAGAAAGTTGCAAGCATTGCCGCTCCAACGACAAGACAGTATATCCTTCATGCTTTCCGCTCCAACGACATGACAGTATATCTTTCTTCCCGACAGACTCTCAGCTCTATCACGCTAATCAGCATAAGCCTTTCCATGTGCTTCTTGCATGCTTCACCCAAGACGTGAGTGCAGTACGAGCGCTGCGTGTGGGACATTGCCATTATTACTTGCGCTGCTACTTATACCACTACTCTTACCGCCAGAGTTGGCGTTCAGAGACGAACTATGACCTTCCGTTATCGCACCTGGACTGCGACATGAATGAGCCGTACTCCAGTGCTTGGTCCTGCCACCCATGTAGCCACGCGGGTGACGAAAGTCTCGGGACGCCAAAACATCGGGTGCACAATCTTGAATACAGCCGACAATCTCCCTATCAATTTCGAGTTTGCTTTATTTTGAATAGAATGAACTAGAGCTGTTTGATCTTGAGGTCTGAACACCTGCTTGCTAACATTTGTGTCACTTAGGGGAGTATCATTATGGATTGATGAATCAAAATCATCATCATGGAGCTGGTGAGCTTGAAATTATCATGGCTGTGGGGAGATTTAGCTGGTGTTCTCACTGCTAAGAATTGTAGCGGCCCGAGACTAATATCACCCGCGTCGCGTGGTAGCTCCTGGTGGCTTGCTGACTTCCCGTCCCTTCAGGTACACGGCAAGTGATCGTCTCTTGAGTCTTGGCTGGCGTACCTGCGTGAGGTCCGGGGTTGGCCCTCATGGTCTTATAATATTGCCATGGGATTTCCTTATTTGCTCGGGCCCTCCTTTATTCATCGGCGCCGTATCTCTCTGTCCTATATGCATTGAAAAGTCCACAATTCTCGACATCATCATGGCTGCCAGTCCAGAAATCAACTCGAAGATTCGCGATGAAAATCGATTGGCCGAATTGGGATACGCTCAGGAATTGGAGCGATCATGGAGCTTTTTACATAATTTTGGCGCGTCCTACTCCATCATTGTACGTAACAGCCCGCTGCGCGTGTTTCAACAAGCCTTCTATTCACAGACCATGGTGACTAATTGGCAACGGCCATCAGGGTTGCGCTCCCAGTCTCACGGTCGTCTTCGCATACGGGCTAAAGACCGGTGGGCCTGCTGTCATGACCATAGGATGGATCGTCGTCAGCATCTTCACCCTCTTCGTGGGCGCCGCCATGGCCGAGATTCTCTCTGCGATCCCGACGTCAGGAGGCCCTTATTTCTGGGCCTATATGCTCGCTCCACCAAGGCATGCGCCTTTCTTCTCATGGGTCACCGGGTGGTTCAATCTACTAGGCCAGGTGGCAGTCACCACGAGTATCAACTTTGGTCTGTCCAACTTGATCTCCCTCACCGCCGAGGTCAATAGTGGCTATCAGCCGACCGCGGGTAAAACGCTGGGCATCTTGGCTATTGTTCTCTTTTCACAGGTCTGTGTCAACTTGTTCAGCATCAAAAAGCTGAGCTATCTGATCTACACTTCTCTCACCTTGAATACCGTTGGGGTATTTTGCCTCTGCGTCGCAGTCTTGGCAAAGGCGAAGACCCACCAACCAGCCTCCTTTGTCTTTGGCTATTTTCATGACGGTACAGGTGTCGGGACTCCACCGGAAGGTTGGGCGGAGCGAGCTTCTCTAGCGTATGTCGCTGTTATTGGCACGTTGACTGCACAGTATACCATGACCGGTTTCGATGCGTCTGCCCACCTGTGTGAGGAGACTAGGAGAGCCGTCCGCGACGCTCCGCTGGGACTTTTAACTTCGATCCTAGCCTCCGGCTTCGGCGGGCTCTTCTTGCTCGTCTGTTTGCTTTTCTCGATCCAGGACTTCCAGACCACGATCTCGGCTCCTCAGCCCGTCCTCCAGATCTTAAGAGATGCATGTGGCCCAGCCGGCGGCACCACGCTCGTGGTCTTGCTCATGCTTTGCAATTGGCATGTGGGGCTCTTCTCCCTCACTTCAAACTCACGGATGATGTTTGCCTTTGCCAGAGATGGAGGTATTCCACATCGCTTGCATATTATCGATGGAAAATTCAAGGTCCCGGTCCGGACCATTGTCTTTGGCTCAAGTTGCTCTTTCCTGTTGGCGTTACCATCTTTAGGCTCTCAGGTGGCCTTTGCAGGTACCACGTCTATTGCCACTGTAGGACTATTTATATCCTACGGCGTTCCTATTGCCTTGACCCTGGTATATCCAGGCAATTTCAAGCGTGGTCCCTTTCACCTGGGCCGGTTCTCGAAACCTATCGCTATCGTCGCTCTTGGCTGGGTCGGATTCCTCGCAATTGCATTTAGCCTACCACAGCAGACTCCAATCTCGTCAAAGACACTGAATTACACGCCTGTGGCACTCGGTATTGTCGGTTGCTTTGCTTTTGGATCGTGGAGTCTATGGGCAAGGAAATGGTTCTCGGGACGCTGCCGAGACCATTGCCGGGTCTGCATTCGGCAGCTGACTTTTCTGGGAGAGGAAATGGCTGATCGTGGGGTACACCATAACCGTCGAGATGGCAGTGGAGGAGGCACCGAAGACTTTGAGGATGAAGAGAAGAGACTTAAAGGTGGGGGAATGGGCATGGTGGATGTCGGCAGTCTCGGCGAGCACAGCAGTACAGAAGACAGCGGTAAAGCGAATCAAAGTTATGGCGGTGTTCAAAATTCGTCTCGTGGGCCGAGGGAGGTCGAGCTCGGCAACAGTGGCATTCGTGCGCATCGCAAGGGCAAAAAGGTCGATGGGTAAGTTTTCTCCTTGTCCTCAATCTTACGCATTGATACGCTTGAAGACTTCCCTGCGCTATCTTCATTATTGCATCGATCGAATATGTGACTGACATTGTCACCACAGCAAAATCTCAGTCGGTCGAGAGTTTGAAGTCATCTCGGCTCCAAAGGCCGAATATGAGGCGATGCCCAACCTGTAAAACACGCCAAAAAAAAAACTGGATACTATGAAACTCTCGAGCGTCATCCTGAAATTTTGAGCGTTTACAACCAGCCTTTTCATCCGTCGAGACAGGTAGATTATACTGTCAAGACCATAAAGGCCTGCATTCACGGTCTGGCGGTTCAACAGCAGTGAGTACTGTGGGAAGCTACTATTCCGAGGTCGAAGACAACGTTCTATATCTCTATGTGCAACGCTTAGTTAGCAAGAAATGCCAGCTACACGCGCAAAGCCATCCGAGCGATCGCGACCGGGGGCGAGTTGCTCCTTTGATCAGTCGAGTGACAGCCACCCGTTGATCGGGTGAGCTCCTATCCCGAGGGACCTCGACAGTGATTGCCAGAAGATGTCAGGCGCAGCAAAAGCGAGGGCAGGGATGCTGAGTGAAAGAGCCATGTTGCAAGCTCCTCGACCGGTCTTGTCTTTGCTTCAGCTGAGCTGTAGCACCAACACGGCTTGGGGCGGTGGTCTTGAGGGCGCATGGGATCTGTGAGAGGGGTGCGGGGTGCGAGAGGAGGATGAAGGGCTAGTGATTGATCTGCGAAGACAGCCTAGATTGTACTTCATCACGCCGTGCCCTTTCTCCTGTTTATCTCTTGTTCAAGACCATGTCGGACAGCTCAGATTCGAAGGGACGAGGTGTCCTCGGACTTACCTAGACGAGTGATGGCTTGGTCCATGCGCACAGTGGAGGAGAAGGTGGTGAATGCTCACAAGAAGAGCGTGCTTGATGAAGAGTTGCAAAGTATTGAGGGGGTTGAGGTCGGGGCAGACTCTTGTGTTCTTGGCAGCTAATTCTATTCAAATTAGAACTACTCGGAGCGTTTTTTGATGAGTTATATTTCCGATAAATCCGGACATTTAAGAATCTTTTTTATACCACCTTAATGTATAATAATCAAATATGTATGAAGATAATTCCAAGTTTTCAAATCAATTCAGCATTATTTAAATGTTGAATGACTCAAGAATCTACTTGAAGCCTTTCCTAAAAAGGTTAGAAACATCATCAATCAAAGAAGCCCTAAGTAGATTGCAACCACGCGTGTGGCATAGCATTTAAAGCGCATGACGAGGCGTACTGCTTGAAGCTATGAAGGGAAAGCACAACCCAAGCTAGATTGAAGTCGATGTACGCCCAAAAGTGTAATGCAGGCAAGGAAGGATAAGTCAGAGAGAATTGATCGGTCAACTTTCATGACCAACCAAACAGGGACACGCCCATACATTAGACTTAAACGAAGAACGACGTACTAGGGGAAAAAGATGAAGCACAAGGGAAGGCAATATCCCTTGAGCTTGACAGGGACAGCAATACTGTGATGATCCTGTGTGAATCTCTGGTTTTCTTGTAACTCATATGAAATGGCGTTGGATAAAGCAGACGATTTCGACGGATATGAACTCTACCAACTGACCCTACGCGGCAGAACAATGACATTCTGAAGTTTCGAGATCAGGAGCTTCTGTACTATAATGGGCTCAACCTAATTCGAATTGGCCAGCAACGCGTTGGAGAAGAAGTTCATGGCTGTTTGGGCAGATAGACATGCCCAAGACGCCAGGACAGTGTGCATCGCCATTGTGGTGGCAATGCTGTACTTGCCAGCAGACTTGATCATGGTAAGTTTCTCCGAGTCTTGATTTCTCTCATTGGCCTTGTTTCGAGCATCTGAAGTTTGCCTCCTCATACCGAAGTTTTTAGTCATTCTTTAGCTCCAATCTGGTCGAGATCGACAACATCAGCAATGCTGCGCGAGGCAATGCAGGATCAAAAGGAATGATAGTTCATCATCAGATATGGATTGCCATCGTGACCATACTTTGAATTACAAGTTTCACGTTACTGTTGACAGTCTATTACGACTGCAGAGGCTGGAAGCGGAAGGACAATGCCCAATTGGAAGCGGGAGCATGACATTTTTCTCTCCAATGTTGCTGGCTGATTTACTTGCTAGATTGTCACAATCGTCCCTGCTCTGACTCCTCGAATGCAAAGTGGGCTGTTCAAGAAATGGAAGTCCGACGATGTACATTTGGTCTTAAATTGAATTTACGATCTGATATCGTCCTCTTTAGAAAGAGGCTATGGTGCAATTCCTTCTGATCAACATGATTTGCTCTTGCTCTGAAGACGACTCCAAAAGAACAACGCAGTCATTAGCATTCCCTTGTGCTCTGACGGCATCAAGTTAAAAGAAAAGGCGTGAAAACCGGAGTCTCGAGCATGACAGATATAAGTCTCTCTTGAGAGGGTAAATGACAAAGTAGGACATAAATCTTACCTTAAATTGAAAAGTACTTGTCAGTTCATCCGCTGTTAAAGACTAGCCTATGCAGTAGAGATGATCTTAATGTTTGAGGAAATGCCTTCCTTGTAGACATTCAGAGCTTAGAGACGTTTGAGATTCCCATAGTTCTGCTTCTTGGCTCATCTACAGAATAACGCCCAAAGATCGTCGATCAGATACCAGAAAGGCTCCTCCATCTAGGCCTGGATAATGAATTAACACTTTTCAAAGAATTCGAAGGCAGAAGTCCAGCCCTGTTGGGTGTAGTCCCTCGCGTCTTTCTTCATAACCGATCACCACTTGCTCCTTCTAGAACTTATCATACGAGAATGCGACAAAGAATCTTTCGAAGGAAACCCCTTTTATTTGGCGAACCTGATACTCAGACTCTAACAGAATGAATGAACTACCTAGCCCCACCACGCCGCTTAGGTAGCTATGCATAAACACCGTCGATGACATTAAGTCCGACTGAGCTTGCAGCCGAAAGGAATGCCTTGGTGACTTAGCTTGCAAGAAGGCCACCATATCGTACAACCATGCTCGCTTGCTTGGACACCACTCATACCTTGTATATAACCCAGATTCACACACTAGGCGGCACAATCCATTGCAGCGCCACATCGCATGGGACCATGTCAGCCCTCCCCAAATTCAGAGAAATGCTCGAAAATGCTGCAATCCAAGGCTACGGATGCCATGGACAAAAGTGCCAATTTGTTCCAAATTCGGCTCTCGATCACATCATGACCTACGAAGCCATCTTCCGAGCTCTACAAGAAATTCCCAGCTTGGAACCCCACGTCATCCCAGCATACACAAAGCACATCGAAAGCAAAGCCCAGAAAATCTTCGCAATCCTCTTGCTGATGAATGCAGAGAGATCAATAGCGGATTTCCTGCAGCAGGACCTAGGGGACGCAAAGCTGCCTCTCAAATTCTCCGCAGATGTCGACAGCTCGGTCTTAGATACCGCAGGGCAACGTCTATTCACGGAGCAGCAATGGCGATTCCTGGCGCCGGAGTTCACGGTCGCACGATCTTCGATCAGTAGAATTTTCCCAGAGGAGACAATACTGCCATTTACGGGGCAAGAATCGCTGAGCAAGGGCAGTTCGGGGCAAATCTCCAAGATATGGATCCACCCGTCTCACCAGGACTTCCTCTCAGACAGCCGCGCTTCTGGCGTAAGTCAAGTCCCCCTCTCACTGATTGATACAAAAGCCACACGAAGTCTGAGAATAGACTCAACAGTGTGTCTTCGCCCTCAAGAGAATTGAGCCCAACCGCACCCACGCTCGTGAACGCAAAGCCTTCACAGCAGAAACCCGGTCGTTGAGCATGTTACTCAAGCTCCGCCACTCCAGCATCGTACAACTCCTAGCAGCCTTCTCTCACGGGTCCACATACAATTACATATTTCCCCTGGCGGACATGGATCTCGAAAGCTTCCTGCACCGCTCCCCGCGGCACCCAGAATTTACGGACGACAGAAGCATCTTCCGCGCCATGGCAGGCGTAGCGAGCGCGCTGGAAAACATTCATGATTTCGTGTACAGGGAGCAAGACCTGCATGTGTCGAAGATCGGGTTCCATCATGATTTGAAGCCCGAGAACATCCTCGTCCGCGGCCGCGGGTTCCTGATCACGGACTTTGGGCTATCGAGGTTCTGTGATAAGGATGCGTTGGAAAAGGTTGGGTGGGTTGGAGGTAACGAGACTTATGCGCCCCCTGAGGTAGATCCTGAGTTTCGCGATTGTGGGGGTGGGGATGTTGACAGTTGTGCGGTGGATCTATGGGCTTTCGGCTGTATTCTGATTGAGGTTGTGGTATTCATGCTAGGAGGGCCAATTGGTTTGGACCAATTCAGAGATTGTAGACTCACCTGGTACTGTCGGTCAAGGGATGACTGCTTCCATCGCGGGAAGGCCCTGAAGCCGGAAGTTGTTACTGTGATTGAGAGATATCGGCAGATGTCCAGTCTCGGAGGGTCTGCGGCACAGAGCCTGGATCTTGCATGTCGATTGTTGAATTTTGAGCCATCAAAACGTCGGGATATCCAATTAGCTGTAGAAACAGCTCGGATTGCTTCCAATGCTCAGTATTGTAGGGCTAGTGAGCTCTTGGGGAAGCGAAACAGGAATCTTGATATGCGCTTACACAAGGCAGCAGCAGCAGGCGACGTGGACGAAGTCAGTAGATTAATTCAAGGGGGCGTAAGTGTCATGGCAAAAGACGAAAATTGGAGAACAGCACTGCATTGGGCAGCACTGTGCAATCAAGGTGCATCGCTAAGGCAATTGTACGAAAGCACAAATGCAGAGGATCGAGAACGCTTGAATAAGGAGAGGGATAGTCAAGGCCGAACTGTACTAAGTCTTGCTACTCAATATGCGAATGTTGTTACCGTCAGAACAATATTGGAGGAGGCCAGCGGTCAGGAAAACTTGGGAGATCTCGTAAGTCAATGTGATGTATTTGGCATGTCCCCACTCCATTTAGCTTGCCAAGCAAGAGACTATGAGATAGTTCGAGATCTTCTAGAAGGAATTCCGGATGGGAAGGAACGATTTGACAACAAGATGTTGAAGGACGACAGGGGGATGACAGCGCTGCATTATGCTGCCCAGAATCCTGAACGGGAGACCGTGTTGCTGCTTCTGGCTGATGGAGGAGAGGTGCTCAACGTTCAGAATGGCATGGCCATCAGGATGGTCAATGACTGCAACGATGATGGCTTGACTCCTCTTATGCTCGCCGAAGAGAATGGTTGCACCTATGTAGCATCGCTGCTACATGACATAGCGGGAGCAGACCACGCGATGGACAAGATTGACCCACTGAGAACAGGACGCTAAATGCTGCAGCTTTCAAGCTTGAGGACGACTTTCCTGAAGAAGGCCACATGCCAGTCCTTTGCAACCGCGCCCTCGGCGACTCCGAAATCACCAGTGAGGCAGGTCTTCACGACGTCGTGGTATGTATCACCAGCATGATACTTCAAACGATTGAGTAAAGTTCTCCCATTACTCTGGTGCGTCACAGCCTCGAGGATGCTGGCATCATCGTTCGAATCCGACCGGATTTGTGAACGGCCTATCTTGTCGAGCGTTTCCCACTGTCCGATCTCAAGAAGCAGGGCCCCGAACGCGTAGTAGTCATATTCTTTCCGAAACTTTTGCTGGGGATCCTGCTTATACTTGGGGTGACAGTACAGCTCATCCCTTTGTACAAACAATCGTTACTTCACTACTGCGAGGTTTGGGGCGACCGCACTCACCATGCCGTGCGCTCTGAAAACCTTGCATCGAAGTCCGTATCGCCTCGCGCATACGTTAAGCCCACCCACCGTGGTCGCTTTAGACTCCGTTGGGATGGATTCTCAGGGAAGAACATGACGTTTTCACTCCTCACGTTCTTGTGCAGCCAGCCGATCGAGTGTAGGTTCAGTAGCGAAGAAGCCAACCGGAGCGCGAGCTGCACTCTAGTACTCAGTGAAGGTAAGAATGTGTCGTTGAGCTTCAAGAGATCGCGCAGTGTGTTTGGCATCAGCTGAGTCCTTGCGTCAAGCCTTGTGGATTCAGGCAGCTCGTAAATGAAGCCCCAATGATCGTCAATCTCCTTCAAGCGTAACTGAATAATGCCTATGAAAGGCAGCACGCTGAGCCCCATATCTGAGCTCAAGACATCAGCAAGATCCTGTATTCGCTCGTAGATCACGTCTTTCCTATCAAAAGACTCCTCGCCGGAGATACTTTTCCACTCAACGTACACATGTCTTTCTCCTCCAGCTTTCCATAAACCTATAGTGCGGTCATTCATCTCGTCCCACAGACCAGTAAGATTTCTTGCTTGTTTTAGATATGCTCTCGAGCGCTGAGACCCATCTGCTGATGGTTCAACAAAGACAGCCGTGGCAATGTTTAGCAGCTTTCGACGCTTCTGGACCAGACTCAGCAGCTCTTGAGAGCCTCTATTCTCCTTGTCCATGAGGATCTCGCAGGCTGCTTCAATGTCTTCCAGCTCTGAAATTGAGTCTGCGCACAAGAGCTCCAAAGCCAGCTCTCGCGTGGTTCTCCGATATTGGGTCCGCTGGTCTTCACGAAGAAATGGTTGTAGCTGCCGCTGAAAACGATTTAATCCCTCGATGAAAACCTTGAGCATTGCAGGTGAGCACCAAATTCCTAATGTCTCCGGGCCCTTAAAGGTCATGGCACTATTGATGTGTCCATGAATTGCTTGGAGAATGTCTCTCAGCTTGGCAATGTTAAGATAATTGTCAACTTGTCCATTGACCACACCAATGATCTCTGCCCACAGTCGCAGCCTTTGGTGCTGAGCATCTAGCGTGGTAAGCGCTATCCTGGCATTCTTCTGGCCACCCAAGGCAATCAGATCCGACAGTGCCTGTGTAGTCTTCTTCCAAGCATCGCATAATGAGGCGCTGTCTGGTGAGGCCACTGGGCGCTGCGGTAGATCAGAAGCTAAAGTAATTCGATGTATCTGTTACCGGTACCTAAGTCACTCTTTACTCAGCCTTCCAGCAGCGGCGGAGATACCCCGCCCTGTGAGGCTCTTGTGGCCTACGACGTAATGATGCGTTGTGTGTGTTGGCTAGCTCCGTGTTCTCTTAGCTTCATCTCATACCCTCAGCAGTCGTCCGTATCATTTCAGGTGGAGGATCACACCAGCCGATTTCCGGATTTTGCATGTTACCCAAATTTGAAATTAGGTGCATGATCAGCTCTTGTTGGCCCTCAGCCGCCTACGCTTCATCGTCATGCCTCGAGTCGAGCAGTCCCTGGACCATCGCTACGTAGATGTGAAAAAGCTAGATCCGATGCTCCGACGCCTCTTCGGCAAAGATTTTGAGTACTTCGTTCGTCGCTGCTGGCTTACATGTACTGGACACCCTTACTAACTTCGCCTCCTTCGCGCAGTTGATTGCCAATAAGTACCTACTCAGTGTCCCTAGGCGTCTGACCAAGGTCAATGAAATGCTCTGTTAGCGATGAAAGAGGGCTAAGAGTCACAGAACGAGATCACAGAGATCGAATATGACGACATTTAGACCGCGTTAATTCCAAAATCGTATTGAGCGGTGAAGCCGGTTCCATTGGGCGCTCTTAGGGTTTCCGCAGTGGGCAAAGCACCTTACGAAGGCTAGGGCAGAGGTGTCCGCAAATGAACGAGGGTGGTGTTGAGCCTTGTAACATCGAGCAAGGCGTAATCGTTCATAATCTGGGTATCATTCCTCCACGAATTTGCGAGACATGGAAAACAACAACGGGGAAGCTATTGGCAGCCTTCATGAGAATCACCAATCGCCTACCGAGGATCCACCTGAATTCTCAGGAAGGCTTCAAGAGGATACTAATCATGTCTTCAGTGGCTCAAAGATTGACGTGGAGATATGGACCATGAAGAAAGATTCGGGCTACCAGTGGACTAAGGTCCGGGCTAAGTCAACAGAAGCCCTCGACGAGGCCGTAGTAGGTCCACTTGATGAGCTTTGAAGGCGGATGAATTTTGAACGTCTGTGAGCAGGGTCATGGCGATGGCTATTTGCATAGATTCATGTGAGGATCAAGTCCACACGTGGCCTTCGCAAACCTAAATTTCAACAGCTTTCTCCGCCAGAGGCATTCCTGGAGCGATATTCTGATCACAAAAGAGCAGTGCCAGAAAATCTTTGCGTGTCACCGAGTGTCTTCTGCTTTTCATGAAATCTTATCCGTTTTCGGTTGGAAGACCGAGGAACTCGAGGTTGCGTATCATGGGTTTGAAGCTCGAATTTCCAAGGATGGCTCACAAAGTCAGTCTCGCAGTCTATCCCTAATATTGGTGCGTTCCTGCTTACTGGCTTTGAAGGGCTGTGCTATCGTCTGGGTTACGTTGATGTTCACAAACGGAAGGCGCCCTCAGATCCATGGTCTATGCGCCACCTCGGCTGCTACTACTTTCGCGATGGAAGTGGGATAACAACTTGCATCTTCATACAGCCTCCACCTCAATTCTTGACAGTGCTGAATGACATGCTGCCCAGGTGCAGTGAGTCTGCCGAGATGTGGAATTGCAATCACGTACATCTCAGCCTGTTGCGTTCGGTATTGAAGAACTGGAGATGGCATCACCAGGATATGGCCCGTCGACTGAATAAATATGTAGGATGATGCTTTGTGTTCCGCATTTATTATATTGCTTACTCATCCTCGATGCCATGTTAGATGGATCAACAAGCATTTTCCAATGTCAAACACGAAGATCTCGAGTGTAAAATTTCTGATTATCAAACTCTCAGTCGCATGTTTCATGACAGAGCGATAGACAATGGGGACGTGCTGAGATCTTGGCTGTTTATTATCAGCCGTTCCATATCTTTCAGCATCAGATGCAGTCAACCAAAGCGTCACGTCACTGAGATCGAAGTCTCGGAGGACGGTGTGCTAGCTTCATTGCAGGAGGTTTTCGACCAAATCAGACTGTATGAAGATTGCTTGGGCTCTCTCCTCCGAAAGATCAAGAATCGATCAAGGCTAGTACGATACTCCGTGTTTTAGTCATTTCGAAAAGGTTGCTGATCAGTAGTGTGAAGCTAGAGAATGTTCTTGGATTGATGGCACTGAACTTCACGGCTGGCAATGGCCAGCTCTTGAATCATATGGTAAGGTCCACCGGCGAGACTGCAATAGAAAGTAAGGTGATGCGAGAGGTTGCACAAATTGCTAGAAAAGACTCAAGTTCCATGAAGGTGGCAGCATTGATCTCGCTAGCATATCTGCCAGGAAGTTTCATGGCGGTCAGTGGCTCGAACGCGCAAACAAGCTCTTCACAGCGGAAGCTGACCACCTTTAGGCTATTTTCTCTATGAATTTCATGACGACAAGCAGCTTGGGTGCTAGATGTGCCGTGTATGGTTCTGGCACCGTGATGTTGACAAGCTGCACCCTTGCGATCGCATTTTGGTGGCAGAGAAAGCTGAGGCACGATCTTACTCTATCTATTGAATCTTGAAATGCGTATCAAAGCCCAAAGAAGCAACAACAAGATTCATGCCACTCTGAATGGGTTCACTGGTTTTGTAGCCTTCGCAGCTGCTCTTTCTCAGCAAGCCTTCTTGGATTGTGAGCTCTTTCTTGAATCGTTTCCATGGATCGTTGTAAGGTGAGGCTGAAAGCTCGACATGTTTTTAATCATAGCGTTGTAGCTTGAGGAAGACTCCAGTCGCAGGTCCAGGGGATTAGCTTGCAACGCACTAAGTGCTAATCCCTGATAGACAAGTCGTCAGTCTATCTATTAGCTAATAAGAATGATGCATTGGTAGATCTCACCGTATATTGGCTAGCTCACTGTAGGGATGTGACCTTTGAATCCGCTCAGCTTCGGCGTAAACCTGCGGTTGACCTTTCCCTTTCAGGTTAGCGTCCTAGAAGCCAGCAAAAGCGCCTCCTTCACAACGAACGCCCTCTAATGCCAAAGGTGGTTTGTCATCACTACTGATCTGAGAACCTGACCGTCTGAAGCTTGAAGCGTATCAAATGTGTGTCGCCCCGGAAGTCATTTTACATTCCGTTGTATTGAACACGATCTGGGACTTGCATCAGACTAAATTTGGCTGGTCTTACTTACATTGATGAAAGGAAAGCGATTTGCGTGCTACTTGTGGCTATTATTCTGTGCTCGTACAGTTCATCTCCATGATTTGAGCTCTCTTGTGTTGCTGCCAAACAAGCATGTGGTTAACAGCATCCTCCAAAGACTTTCAATCGTCTCGAACGACCAGCGAGTCCCAGGGGAGCCCAGACAGTAGCTTTGATGTCCTCCCACGTGACCCGACAAAATCTCTTGCATCAGCAGCTCTGAGTCTAGAGAATCTCCATCAGGGTTTCTCCGTCAAAGATTTCGTTAGAATTCTGAAGGAGCTTTCCATCCCAGGTCCTCTTAATTTGATCTCGGCCCTTAATCAGAGCTTCTTCATTGCTAGTGGTAGACAGTTCAGTGTCTACCGAGGTGAGGTTGCTCATTTTGCCGGCCGACCTCAAAATCATTTTTTCAATTTTGCCGTAAAAAAGTGTCACTTTGAGCTTCAAGCGCATGAGTCTTTAGATCTCACAAATGCAAGAACCCGAAGGCAAATCCATGACATGTATCTTGAAGTACATGCTCTTGGAGCTACAGCCCTACGTGGACATCGAAATATCGTAGAGCTACTTGGCTGGGCTTTCGAGAAAGACACCACTGCTCTCCCCATATTAGTCGTGGAACTTGCAACGGGGAATCTCTTCAGCTTACTTTCGGGTCCCGATATTGGCAGCGATCACTGGACTGTGAAACATCACTTATGTCTAGATATCAGCAATGGCCTGGACGCCATCCACGAGGTTGGCATAATTCACGCGGACTTGAAACCCCAAAACATTCTCATCTTCCAAGACTCAAAGCTGCCAGTACCATACCTGGCTAAATTAGCCGACTTTGGACTTTCAGCTGTGGAGATCAACGCTGCAAGCGAGAAGAGAGTGCATATATCTGGCTTCACTAAGGGGTGGGAAGCTCCCGAAATCACCAGACATAGGATCGACAGGCGACCTATCACAGCTCAAGGATACTGCAAGGCAGATATATACTCCTTAGGACTAGTAATTTGGAGCCTAGTCTGTCTGAATGGGAAGATCCCTAACATTGATCTCGATTTCGATAATTCCATTAATGCCAATAAAGACATTCCTGAAACATTCAGTCGCCTCGTCTCCAACGCTTTGCAAAGTTTGCTCAAATACGAGCCCCGAGATCGTCCAAGTAAGGCCACAGATCTATTTCATGATGAGAGTAACGCTTTCAATTTGTGGTATGTCTCTGTTAGGTCGGAAAGCATTTCGTAACGGAAAATTTTCAGATCTCCTCAAGATCAAAATTGTCGCAGGCGATCACTGACGAAAACAAGGGAGAAAGATTGCGATTCCTCGCAGTGGGTAGCGCCAGAACATGGGCATAAATATGCCCCTGATAACATGGGTCTTGTACATGATTTTTGTCTGCAAGAAATTGACCAATATTCGATATTCGGGAGGACTTTAGAGGCTCTCAGTAGACTTGGCAGCGATGCTTGGGGAAAGGCAGAGCTTTGCTCCCTCTTTCTTCTTGGGACAAATGTTCATATCCATGAATGTACCACTGGAGCATCAGCGCACATAACAGCGCTTTTGACAGCTGCAGAAAGGGGATTCGCTCCTGCGCGAGGGATAGCTCACAGGGTGATCAAGTCCTACGACATAGACTTCCCGCTGGAGTATGAAGGCAGGCGGCTAGAATGGCTTTTTGACGGCACCGCTGCAGGATGTCTTGTGGCAAAGGCCGACTTACTTGAAATAGATGAGAAAATGGCCCACAAAGCCACTGCTGTCTTCTGCGAGAATCATAAATATCTACAGCATTACGGTCAATCCGAAGACATAAGCTTCTGGAACAGCTTGTTCGCGAATGACTCAGCCAAACAGAGAGAGGGAAAAGACGTATCTAAAATCAGCAGATCCTCCAACCTCCTGCTCTCAAACGCCTTTGAGCAACAGATCGAGAAACAAAATGACTTCATGAAGGATAAATTGCTATACATTGCTTGCTTGGCGGGAAACGCAGATATCGTAAGGCACCTTTGCCGCATGGGTGTGAAAGCAACGCTCACTGGCCCATTCAATGGGGCCACTTGCTTGCATTGGCTGTTCAATTTCCCACCAGAGCATATGAAAGAGATTGCAAGGCTTTTGATAGAAAACGGCGCGAACCTCAACGCTCGAACGCGCGCGAGTGTCCCTGGGATACGGTGGTTTTTCCCATTCGCATGGTCAGCAGGGACTCCACTACATTGGGCAGTATCAACTTCAAGTCCAATAGCGGTGAAAGTGCTCATCGAATGCGGTGCTGATTGCAGCATCAAAGATGGCATTGATCAATACATGTACGATTCATCTTTAAGGGACCTCGATTTGGAAGGACCTGATGGATCATATTCAATTCCTTCCTCTCAGGCGGAAGGCTTGGGCGCGATGGATATTGCGGTTGCGAACCATGACTGGACAATGATAGCAGCGTTGGCAGCCAGCCCTTCAGCTCCGAACGAGGTAGCTCGAGGCGACAAAGAGGGACACACCCCTTTCCACAGGCTTGTGTATAATTGGATTGGTCGCATCTCATCAGGCGCCCAATTTGGCGCCAGATTTTGGTATGGTGCATTCTGGGGCGCACCAGACGTTCGCTTCAGAAATATAAAGCGTACTATCATGGCTTTACAAGCTATTGGAGGAGACATCGATCGTGAAAGTAAGCCTTCGGACGAATATCTCCGCTATCGCGGCTATGTGGGAAGCCTTACTCCACTGATGCTGGCGGTGATGAAGGCGGACGTGATAGCTGTCCGGGCAATCCTGTCTTGCGGGGCAAATCCGGACCTCAACAACAGCCTGGGTTACAACACATTATGCGTTTTGCCAGGCGGAGGAGATCCTGAAGTATCATCAGGCAACATCGCTCCAACGGTCAAAGTGCTCCTGGAGCACGGCGCAAAGCCAAATATTCCCTCCCCATTCCGTGGGCTTTCGCCACTCGCAAGTGCAATTGGCTCCTTGTCCATACCTGCGGTGACGTTATTGCTGCAAGCAGGTGCGGACTGGACCCAAAAACGTTGGAAAGTAAATATTATAGCTCATATGACACTACGCTACCGGGTTGAAGTGTGCCTTAGGCGCCCCAAATTCTCGCCTCAGTCTTACGAAGCTGATGATCATGAGATCGCGCGGCTCCTAAGCACATATATTTTGAAGGGGGAATCCACAGGGGATGGACGTACTGAATTGCGCAGATGACGTGGGAGGGACGCTTTTACATTATGCGGCCTTCGCTGGGCTCGTTCGAGTTGTGGAACGTCTGCTAGAGGCCGGAATAGACAAGGAAAGAGTCCGGCGAGAGCCCCCCCCAAGGGACAATTCTGAATTCCAGGATAATGAGGAAGTTCTTCTGGGCCCAGGCACTGCACTTGAGATGGCAAAGGCCAGCTACAGATCTTTTGTTGATCGGGGTGGGAGATCTACGAGGCATACGACACTTTCAGGTAAGTCGGTCTTTTTTCAAGAAAAGAGGGACCAGGGGTCATACACTTTGAGTAGCAGACTTCTGACATAACCAGATTACGTATTCGTGATTGACAGCTTCAAACGAATCGAGCAGCTACTTACCCCTTGAAGCGGAAAAAGAGCATCGCAGCAAACCCGCGGACATGACTACCACATAGCCAAGATAACTGCCATGGACACGATGTGAGCGTCAAAGCGAACTATCAGACACAGCTACTAGATAGCCAATACAAAGGCCATAGTATCTCCATCCACAGTCACAGAGAAGAATCGTTGGACCGAACAGCTTCATCGCTAGTTAACCACAGGCAGGATACTCATACCGTTTCCCAACAGGCTATCGAAACCGTTCTACGTACGTAATAGTCCACAACTCATTCGGAACAGCTTGAGTGTCCTTGGATACAACATCCACCCCAAAGGTTCCCTCTGCTACTGCAAACCACGACCTAACCAGGCCCCTCAACGTCGCTAAAACAGCAAAGCAGCCAAGAGTCAAAATAGTCAGACCTCAGGCCCTGGATAATCGAACATTGCCCTCAAGCAACTCGTGTACACCTAAGATCTCGTAAGTGCCTCACAATCCGGCCAGCCAGCTCTTAACAGTCCTAGACATGCATATAAATTATAGCTTCTCCAATACCGGTGCAAAGTCTAAGTCGTTGATGAATGTCCAATTCCTCTCCTACTGTACATTGTGCAAAGCTATGCAAGTCCTCAAACTGCGATTTCTCAATTATTAAGACCGGCCAGTCTTTTTTGCCAGAGATGTCCCATCACAAGGCTTGCGCAATATTAGGGTGGTTGTTAACGCCTGGGGGACCCAGCACAGTACTCTCGTTTGTAATCATTTGGAAAGTATCAGCTTCAGCCTTCTCAAGTTTTCCCTCATTTCTGACTACCTTTAAGGCGAGACTCATTTGTAAATTTGCAGGCGCCTGAGTGACTCGAGAGGTTCCGCCCTGCCCTATTGCCTGTCGTGTTGTTTGCCAGGTGATGGGTAGAAATTCAACCTCCTTTGCCTTAGCAGTTGCTAGAAAGGAGAGAAGGTTGTTTCTCATCGGCCTAACGGACGTCTTGAATAGACCTACATTCGAAAGAGACCTTTCCATGAGTATTGAAGGCCAAAATGACTGATAAGCAAACTCGCTTGAGATGATTGAGATAGAAATTATGGTGAGTTGAAGTCGGCTGACATAGGAAGGAAGTGATATAATGTATCTTCAAGTATCGATTGACAAATGGAAAATACACGAAGTGACTTGACATCAAGGGTAATAGCTAGTAAATTAGAAATTGGTAGACCTGGAGCAATTTTCAGCCCTGCCTTTGAAGACTGGGTCGCGATCTCATGGCAATGCCTGCTCCTGCCCCAATCGAGGACGAAATTGCTCATAGCTAGGCAGTGTTCAGTGAAGGAATACAAGTGTCCTTTCTCACATCCTTTCCGCCTCTCTCGGCGATGGAACTGCCGATCAACATGCCTTCTACTCGCGAGTCTTACACAATTTCGAGCAAGTCGCATATGATGGTGCTCTTTTGGGTCATCCGCATGCCTCAGCTTGAGCAAGCGCAGAGAGCCATCGTCATGAAGCTTCTGATACCTGTTTGCCGGCTGTGGTATGACAGCTCGAACCATGTTTCGACCTTCCAATACTAGTATTCCTTGTTAGTTTTGTCAGAGCCCTGACACCGTGAATCAAAGAAGGAGCACGCATCCATATCAGGAGATAATGTATAGCGGCCTAGTTGGCAAAGGACATCAAATCTCTACATTTGATGATTGAAGCATGATTTACACTTTAGCAGCGATTCAGAGTCCGGACTGAAAATTTGTGGATTTTCTTCGAAATCTTTGCCCTTATTATGATGTGCTTTGTGGCCCTAGCGCATCGATCGTGACCTGCAGCAGACTGATATGAGTACTACTAATCCATAGGTGGGGGCAGAGCCATGCCGCGAAGCACATTCTGTCTGCCAGCCTTGCCGGCATAGCGTTCGTATCCAATGCGCGATGGAAGGAAGAAGCTGGGAAATGACTGGTCTGTTGAATCAAAATATGGAAGCACAACAATAACTCTAGTAAGCAGACGCTGAGTATCTTTCCCACGAACAAGGCTTGCATTGAATCGCCCGAGGGGACGGGGTCAATGCGGCTGAAATATTTGCTTGTAAATTCGGTAGCTCTTGACAGTCAGTACCGCTTTCGTCCACGGCTCCGCGAGACTAAAGAGCTCCTGCATTAGTCTCGAATCCTGAATTCTTAGAAAAGCGAGTAACAAGGGTCACTCATTAGCTCTGATGATTCTGAAGGCTCGACTGTTCGTGGTACGCCAAACACATAGTCGTCCTCTTTTGGTTCAAGATGACATTCGCAGGTCTCTCTCAGACCCTTGATTAGACAGCAATCCACTTCATGTTACACAGAAGCATGCTAGCTCCGCCAATTGTTATGCTGACACCTCTCGAGAACTTCAAGCGGCTGAAGAATGAAGAAATAATGAATCACAAAGTGATTATTATAAAGAAGCAGCTTCTGAATTGAGATTGACTCTGCCGACCCGGCTCCTTACAATCAATCTCATAAGGCCGGCGCAGCTAGATTCATGGCGGTCAGTAGTACTTGGTTTGGAAGTACGGTAGATCTATTCGATCTTCAAGATTAGCGTCATCAGCCAGAGGACTTCAAATTTTTATCAGCCGTGCTTGTGATGGCCACATCGGTCTGCGGTTAAGCAATGTCATCGCACATCGTGCGCCGGTATGGAAAAGCCCCTCGTCATGAAGTCGGTATTCTTTCCATCCTTGGGATCTTTAGACGAGAAGAGGCTCTTGATGTTTTCATTGGTATCCATCTTTCTCTTCTTATTATGGTTTTCTTGCTCATTTAGAACTTTTACGGTCAACTTTGCAGTGTCCGCATTCTTCAGCCCATTTGACATTGACTTCGGGGGGAGGTTTCTGATCGGGTCGTCGCCTGAGAGGGGAGCATTTTCCGCTGGGCCAGTTGTCTTTCTCTTCTTACTGCTCCCTGACGCCTTCTTTAACGAATGGGTAAGGCCCTTTGCTTTCAAATCTACTAGTCGCCTCTCTAGCCTATCTTTCTCCGCTTGTGCTGAAGGGAGGATGGGCATGATGTTCTCTGTGGTGTAGGACTCATCACAGCACAAGCATGTGTCTCCCTGCATCTCTTTCACGACGCTCTCTGCGAATGCATGTCCACACGGAACAAGGTATACTGCTCTAGTGCCGGGGCCCAACCTTTTATTTGTAATGGGACAGATCCACCTCGATGCCAACACATTATTATCACTATCACGTTCAAATTTTACTTCCACGACATCCTTCAAGCCTCTAATCCGATCCTTGAATGCTTGACCTCTCTTGATCAATGTGTCTTTGTCTGCAGCTGGTTGCGCCTGTGCTAGGAGGTGATCGAGTACGGCGGACTTGTTGTAGAGTGTTCCTAAGCTATCGGACACGACAGGCTGGACAAGAGGTTCATGTGACAGAGCACACGTCGCCCAAAAGTGCTCCAGTCTCTCATTTTGTAGCTCTTTTACTTGGGTGGTCGTGAGATCTTTGGCGCCCTCCTTGACCAGTTCCCGTCGGGTCGGGATACTTCCTCCGTCGTTGCCCATGGTCCGCTTCCACTGACTTTGCTATTGCTTCTCTGGTTGTAGGTGGAATCAGATCTGTAAATACTTGGCTTTGCCCTCACTACTGAGTGGTTTTTTTTGCTCGTTGAGTGGCAGGTGAGGTTGATGAAGAGCTGAAGAGAAGTTTCCTCGTGAGGAATTAAAAGCCATTCAATTTGGGTTCAATGACATCGGCGGGGCTGCCGGAAGCTAGTCAATTGCTCCTGGGCATTTATTACAGAATTATCTTCCTACTTTCTCTGCCCCGAGACCATAGACGTCTACTTCTACGGAAATTGGGAGCTAGATGTCTTTGGGTGATGTGCCACAGTACAGCTAGCTCCCTGCTCGGCTCTTCCTCAGAAGTGAGCTTTGCAAGACCTCGATGAGTCCAATCATCCGGGAAAAGGACCCTAGTCGGCAACATAGAAATGCCCCCATCGTACCTGCGATTCCACGCACATATGAGAAACCTGTGAGACAGTCATCGCAGAATTTAGAAGAGCCGAAAGTGAAGCATGTGAAAGAGGCAAGAAAAACTTCAAGGGAAGTGATCCCACAAGAGACGGATGGAGAACTCCAAATCAAAATCACTGGAGACATAGGAGGTGACGTTGAAACAGTAGAAGCCAGAGAAGCACCTCTAAGTCGTCCGCAAAGAGGCTTGATTCCGGATGATGGTGATGCTCAAATTTCAAAAGCTCCTGTGGCCAAATCGGATCAAAAGAGTTGTGAGGACCATGGACCAAACGCCGGCCGCACATTCTCCAGAGCCACGCGTGCAAAGCCTGTACCATTATCTAATATATCTCCGAATCTGAAACCGGATGCTCGAGAAGAGTCTGCAGTAGACAACGATTGCGTCAACGTACCTGAAGGGCCACTGATCAATCCACCCCAGCCTCACTCAAGACCCCAAGGCTCACCGATTTCATCCCACAGACATCCATCGCATGATAGCCCAGTGTTGCAAAACGAACAGTATAGTCCATCCGATATCAGAGATGCAACTAACCACCCTCTGACATTTGCACCAATTGAGCCGACCCGACCTGTAAGGTCTCCGTCGTTCGACTCACAGCAGGTGCACATCCAAACCTCTGATTTTCCGCCTCCATTTGCATATAGTCTTCCGTACACCTTTGACTCGCCTGTCTCACAGACTGGGTACGGAGGCTATCCCAATGGAGTTCCTGGCGTGGATTCCGATTTCGGCGATCAAGTTGGTCCTCAGATCTATAGCTACTACCCGCCCACAAATCTTTTGCCATCGCTACAAGGTCAAACACCCCTATCACCGTCAACAGCACCCCTCGCACTTTCGTCTCCCCAGGTAGCTACATCCCAAGGGGTTCAAGACTATTTGCAGTCAGCTCAAACACCGCTAAACGGTCATCAAACGCCTTTTACGCATGGTTCTTTCAATACACATCGGCTCGGGGTTTCTGGTTCGCTCCATCATCAGCCTTCAGGTGACTCTAGAACCTTGGTCCCAACCTCTGCTATACCTTCACTGCCGCAATACATACTTCGAAATTTCAACCATGGGCAATTTGCGGACTGCCGGCTAGTACTCACGCACTCTGAAGCTCGGTTTCCCGAGACGACATACTTTGTACACACGCTGCTCGTTGCACAAAGTCCCAAATTATGGACATTGTTGATGGGCGGACAATTTAACTATGGCTTCGATGGGCTTAAAACCTTGCGTGTCTACTTGACTGACCGATTCATTATGCCATCAAGTTTTGAGGCTGCCTTGCAAGTATGTTATGGCAAGTCTGCCACATCTTTCGCAGGATCTACTGTCACGAAGGTTCAGACGGGCAGGACGCACGCAGAGCTTTCAGCCTCGCTACTTAACGATAGCTTAGCATTCACAGCGGCCGGGCAACTGCTCCAAATACGCGAGGTAGTCATGCGAGGTTTGGAGATTTCGAAGAGAATCTTGAACTGGGATAACGTTGAGCAGGCCCTCTCATTTGCACTAGAGGGTGCAGAACATCGTAAAGAAAGCTCATCTACGTCGGTTGTTCCGAATGACTGCCCAAACTTGGCCTATGAGAGCGACTCTTCTGCGCCCAATTCAATACTGACGCCTGGTACAAGCCAGGGCTCTGGTGAAGGCTCTCCCGGCTCGGGCGAGTATCAAAAGGAGCGCTGGTTCGAAAGGGTCGTGGTCCCTAATGTTGTTCACAACGTTGACGATCTTCTGCTGCTCTCGTTGCACTACGTTGCCAAAAATTTCCCCGAAGCTTGGAAATTTGACCCGACTGCAAAGCCTTTGGCACATGTTGATAGGCTGCCAGTCACGGAGGAGAGCATTTCCATCCAAGCAAAGGCAAGACTCAGCAAAATTCAATTCGGAGATCTGCCTTCAGAGAGAACAAATCATCCTTCAGGACACAACTCATTCATTTCTAGTATCTTGCTTTCTTTGCCATTCGCTCCTCTGCAAGTACTCCTTAGTTGGGAGGACGGACAAATCAAGCAGGCTATCCGGGCGATTGTTGAGGAAAGAGAGCAGAGGCGTCTAATCGTCGTCAAGAGCGAAAGCATCAGGACAGCCTCACTGGAGACAATCAATCGAAGCGAATGGTCCGAATTGTTCTACAAGGAACAAGTTGACGACATTGATGGGAGATCTCGGTTGTCGAGGAGACATGTTGTGGAGTGAGGAAAGTTGGGGAGAGGTTGTTATTTCACCTGTGATTTGTCTTGGGAGAATCGTTGAACGCATTTGCAAGTGATTTCATGCATTGTAAGCGCTGGGTGCTACCGGGAAAAGGCAGGTCAGGTTCTACTTAGAACATCGAGGACTCGATCATGCATTGCTCAAAAGTTTGAGTCTTTACAAAGAAAATTTAACTACACCTATGTCAATGCTGCCGGCCGAAAGGATCATGATACAACTATATAAAATCTTTTAATGGAATACTCACACAATTCATTTGGGGAACAACTCAATTTTCCGCTACTTTTTTGCTCCATTGGCTTGCACCTTCTTCTTTTACAATCTTGATGCCTGGCAACGGAGACATCATACCAGTCGACAGATCATGCGAGTAGCGCTCTACATACCTACTATTGATTCTCAACGACTAAACAGTATCGATTGTCTTCCCGCTGAGGTATGCATGATCCACCTACAACTTCAATCAGACCTGGTCTCCCTGGTACAGCAGCTCAACGAGCCTTGCAAGCGAGGCATGAGCGTCAGCGTCAGCGTAATCATCGAAAGCGTGGGTTGACTCGTGGGCCGCTAAGATGTCCGAACACATCTTTATCACTATGGCAATCAAATGGGACGGGCATAGGATCACCCAGAAATAATTCCATGAGTAAGCTCGAACGTGACATCCAGTGAAGATGCATGTGTAACCCTTGGACTAAGATAACCAATTTACGGTGCTGTCCCCAAGCGAGCCAGCACCTGACAATGTATCAATGCCGCCGAGGCTGGCCAATTCTAACCACCTCCTGACAAGGCTCTCGCCTTCCATCGCTTGCCCTAAGCCTCCAGCGCAGCGGCAAAAGATTACTTCTTCAGCATTGACATCGCTTACTCGTGAGCCGCAAGTATCTATTGTCAATACGGAGCAAGATCTCCACCGATCACCAGGGTCTGAGATTGACCAAGCTGAACGTCCCTCAAAGTTGGATCTACAAGAACCAGTGCCGCCTAGGACCGCCATAATCACACCATCCAAAGCATCTCACAACAAGAACTTCGTCAAAACCTTCAGACATGATATACCCACACCAATATTAGCACTTCCGGACGGCCAACAGTCTGTTAGTCGGACTTTAACAACAAGCGATGCGGAAGTCAATGCCCCTTGGCCATCGCCTAGGTTTGAGCAATCCAACTCCTCGCAAGCCAAAGCAGACGTGGGCTACTTCTCCAAAGGCCCCCGAGTTTCATCTTCTCCATATCAGCCCACAGAAAAGAACGTTTTCAGTGTAGCGATAGAAATAACCGCCGCCAATAACACCATATCACCCCAGACCCACGAGAAACTTCCCATGTCGCGGCAAAGCACGTTCGAGAGTCCTAAGGTCGGGGGGATTGTCGCCCGAAGACGCCGGAAAAGTAGGCATGCTACGGAGCAGGAAACATTGCCACAGAAGCAAGAGACAACTAAGATCTTCGACTTCGGCGGCAATTTTGGCGAGAGCGACGAAAGTGATATTAGCACTGATGGGGAGATCATTGACGAGAGTATTGTCGATGAGGACGAGTGGGTTGGCAGAGGCGCCAAATTCTGGGATGAGCTCGTTAAGGAGAGGCGAGGAGTACGTCAAGCCTGACTAGGTCGCAGAACATCCGCACCGTCTGGCCTATTCCCTGCGGCCACTTGGGGAAGACAATAGGCGCATCGATGCGACGAGGAACTTCGACGAGAAACCTTTCTTTCTACTATGAACAGCGATCCAACTTTCCCAGGGACCAAAAACGCCTTCGAGAGGACAGTGTCCGAGCTCAATCAATCTGTACAGTGAGCTAAGTCCTAGACCTATACAATTGAATCATTCAGCCGCTCTTCCTCGTCCCATTCGTTCGATGTTACTCATAATACCGCTCCTCATCTTGAGTCCGCTACCACTTCTTTCTCTTGGAAAAGTCCCACCATATTCTCCACCCACTTTCCCAATCCTGCTCTCTCCAGCAGTAAACCCGGGTGCTTTTAGTCCCGATGATCCCCCGGAGACTGACCGACTCAAGCTGCTCTTGATGTCTTGGCTGGTCGTCCCGCCCAGCGGAGCCTGCTGATTGTCTGAAGAGTATGAGCGCGACTCACTCCCACCAGATAATGACAACTGCATGAGTTCCTCGGTCGCGGAAACCAAATCGTCAATCTCTGTTCGCGAGGCAGAAAGCTGGGTCCGCAGGGTGCCATTCTCATCTCTAGTCGACGTCAGATCTTTCTGTAATTGTAAAAGTTCTCTTTCGACAGTTTCGAGTTTCTGCTTTTGCTCATCGTACTGCTTTCGTTGCATTAATTTCTCTTCTTTCTGCCGCTCACTCTCTGCAGCGCCTGTAATAGTCGTCCCCGGAACGACGCTGGTCATTGTTGCGTCTCTGCCTACCCTCAACTCTTCATTTTCCTTGCCAAGGTCATCAACCTTAGACTGTAATTCTTTGACTTTTTTCTCCCATCGATCAGAGTAGCTCTTTTTCAGTGCTGTGACTTTAGCTTCGTGCTTGCTTTTGTAAAGTCCGTGCAACTCCCTCGCAACCTTCGTTACGGCTGCCTCGACCTCTGCGGTCGCACTACCATTGCTCTCTGAAGGTGCTGCGGATGTTGAGGGTGAGCTGGCCTTCATTCCTTCCAATTTGCTTTCTGCCTCTACAGCCCGGCTTTCGGCTAGTTCGCGCTGATGCTCGGCTTCCTGTGCCCTTTGAAGCAACGAATCCTTTTCCCGATCACTTGACACGATCTCTTCCTTGACGTCCTTCAGAACCTTTTGCATTTCCTTCTGTCGATTTTCAAACCCCTCTTTCTCTGCCTCCAACGTTTCTTTTACACTACGCTCGTTTCGTACCTCCTCCAGGGCTTCTCCGACGCGACGTTCGGCATCGTTCACTGCTGTGCTCAGAGCTTTGACTTCTGCCTCACGTCCACTCAGCGTAGCGGTCAAGGAAGAAATCTGAGACAAAAAATTTGACTTCATGGATTCCAGCTCTCGAGCAGTAATGCTCGGGATTGACCGCGGCGTGGGAGCTGGTGTAAGCTCAAAATCCAGCAAATTTGCAAGATTTCGAGCTTCGCATGGAGTGTTCGGTGGTAAGGGATACTTAGCAGGCGATGGTGCACGGCGGCTCGAAGCGTACGAGGATAGATCTTTGTGTGGGCTTGATCTTAAGGCTGTTGGGCGAGACAATTTGTGCGGAGATCTGTTCGGTGTCCTTGTATGTGAATAATCGTCGTTGAAGTCTACAAGCAGATTCGTGGTGTCTTCATCGTAGTGCGATTGATGGCGTCGAGGGGTAGGCGAAGCGTAGTCTTCGTTCAGCCGACCTCGCCGCTGTGGGGTATGCCTACTTTGTGGGCGAGGTGTGGGACCCTCTCCGTCCAGTCGCGCTGAGGGACTGAAGTGGGTGTCTTTTGGAGGAGATTGGCCGATGTTTGCAAATCGAGTCATATCTGCATTCGGCACAGCAGAAAATGCAGAGAAGCATGTGTCATCCATGCCCGCCACACTTGCCCCTTCGATCGCGGATGCTGCATCTTCTTCTAAAGGCCGCCGTATTGAAGGATCTATATTAGAAACATCGAAATCTGGTTTATGTCTAGCGAGACCTTCATTCTCACGCAGCGCGTCTTCCGTCAGCGCCCTCCGCTCTCGCGACTCGAGATCTTTCCTCGGAGATCGTAATTTAGAAGGTGATGCGATAGGGAACTTTGAAGGTGGCAGACTGACATCTTCAACGAATGGGGAGCTTGGCGGGCCGTTCTCGCCGTCAAATCTACGATTTTCGTCCTGCGCGATAGCAGGTTTCGAGGGGGAAATGTTCTCTTTTCTTCGGTCTTTACTGAAGGGAGAGTTTTGGTTTATGCGCGATGGCGTAAGAGGGGACAGGGCATTAGCCATAATGCTAGTTCTCACAGAAGGACACAATAGAGATCATTAAGAAGCGTCATTTAATCAAGGTGTTCATGTTGGAGCGCAAATTGGAGTGATGTAAACAAAGCTAGACCTAACAAAGTTAGCCCGAGGATCGCCCGACTGTCCCAACTGACAAAACAATTTGTGGTTCAGTATTCATTGGAAGCATTTGTGTAAGCATAGATCCGAATCGCGAGGCTGATGTAAGTGTATTCTATTGATACTAAGTCATATTGACCTCTGCTCTTGGAATCTCCCTCAACCCAAGAATCAGTACCTTGCTGTCCATGATGTCTTAAGTCTTCTACTTTGAAAGATCTGCATCTCCAATATGAAGCCCTTGTAGCAGGCTGCATTGTAGAGGCCGGAGCTCAGGGTATAATAGCTATCAGTATAGCTGTTGCCTATATGACAATGCCTCTAGCGGCTACTTGGAAGTGGATATAGACTGACCTACACCTTCACTCGTTTCGATTTCATCGTTCTTTGCCCATCGCATATGTCTTGGTATAGCAAATGAGTTTCATTTTCTGGGCTCAAACGACACCCATCTCGTTATATTCCCGCAATCAGAGCGCGATGCGGTCAACCAACAGAGTATTCTCGCGGCAACCTGACAATTTTAACGGTCCCGACATCTCAGGATATATTGCCAATGCTGTGGACGATTCAGTGTACCTCTTTGAAGCCATAGGAATGGAGAGCTCGAACGCCTTAAGGGAGAATGGCCGAGTTCCGGTGTTTGATGATAAAAGGGATCAATGGACATTCCTTGACACTGCCGCCGACTCTCCATTTCCATCAGGCCAAACTTACTACAAGTCTGCGTTATCGATCCATTCGCTAGACATCTGAAACTCAACAAGTCGTGATGATATTGTGCCAAAAATTCGCTACCAATTCTGCGCCGCGTGAAGTACCATCGACTTCAAGATCGACAGCAATAGGGAAGGAGCGATTCGCAGAAACGCTACCAGAAACTGCACGAATACGTCTTCCCAGCATCTCCATCATCCACGATTGTTCCTTGAACTCACAAGTCCTCGCTACGTCAAAAATATTCTTCCACGGCTCTACATCTATACATCTATTCCTTTCTATTAAGTGAAGCTATGGCGCAAGGGAGAAGTCCGAATTTGCTCACAAACCTGCCGGCTCCAGTGAGTATCTGCAGCACTTTCGGTGAATGAATCCTTCACGAGGAAGCTAAAAGAAAGCAAAGCATCTTTCTACCCAAAATCGAGCAACACCTCCGATTCTCACACCAGGCTCTCTACGGCTAGCTCAAAGCACACCTCAGAGTAATGCAACAAGCGCGAGTTCAATGTTCCTCTCCCCTCCAATCTCTGATGTTTCAGCTACGAGTCCTCCGCCGAGGGCTGAAGGCGAGGATTATATCGTGTCCCAAGCGGGGCAGAAGATTAGGAGAAAGCATCGACATAAACGGAGTCATAAACACCATTCCACGAGAGAAGCATCCGATGAACAATCTTCGACCAAAAACTCGTCGGAATTGCCGCGACAGATTGCTGACACACCAGGAAGCCTTTCCGTGTCCCACAATTCAGATATCTTTACAAGCCAAGGATTGAAACGAGCCCATACGTCTTATCTTGCTCAGGCCAATCTTCTTCCAGGACATCCTTTTGCAAGGTATACGTTACCAACGCCGTTACGGGTCAATACTCTGCCAACGATTTCCAGGTCAGAGGGTAGGACATCAGACGTTGCTTCACCGGCTATTCAATCCCTTAGGAAATTAAGTATCGCAAGTGAGAGTCCTGTTTCTTCAGGTCTTCGACGATTGTCAGAGACTCTGTCATCCACAATAGAAAGACTTCTTCCCCTATCGGTTGCATCACCACAGAAAACCTCAAATCTTACCGGGCTCGAACCTCGACTTGCTTCGATTCATACACAGGCGGCTGCTGAAGGCCCATTCATCGCTCGAGACAGTACGAATACAGGTATTCTTACTCGAGACCACCCTTCAACCATAACCTTAAGGAAAGCAAGCAGAATTCCGACGACCTTAGGGAGTATGGATTCGACACCAATTTCACCTCATGAAAGCGTCCTAATGAGGTCAGAGACATGCCTTCCTACCAAGACACAGACTGCAGAACTTGTTGTATTTCGATCCTTGTGTCCTCCATCACCACGTGCACAAACACCTCAAGCAGGAGCAACTCGAGATGATCAAACGATTTCCAGGGCATCTACGAACAGCAGCAGTTCGACAAGGAAGAGTGCAGTAAAATCTTTAGCTCCGTTAGGGAAACAAATCTCTCGTCCGAACGCGACAACAGCTAGCCCTGTCATAACATTTGCTGACACCCATGTCTCTTCAGGAGCTCCAGGGGCGGAACTAAGATCCAGACGTGCTTCAATAAATTCCGGTGTATCTTCACGTCGCATTAGCGTTGTACAGATTCGATCTGGTACTAGTGTGCATGAGATCATTTGGCAGGAGGAGGAAAGCACCGACTCAAGCGGGTCTTCAAAAGGGCGAAGTCCTGATCGAGCAGACTTTCTATCTTCCGCGAACAGCTTGCATAACCAAGAGAATTCTAGTGTTCTCCCTAGTGGTGGTTCCAGCTTCGTCAAAAACGATTCAAAGCGTCCGCCAGAGGAACCGAACGCAAATGAGGTGCCCCAGCATTTGTTTGAATGGACGTGGGGCAAGCCGGTGCGGGATGAAAGAGCAGACTCAAGCCGAAGTTTTGACGGAACTTTGCAAGAACGAGAAAGCATTCAGTTCGAAGCCCAACCAAGAGGTGACTAGCAGATCTGTGCCGGATCAGGCACTGGAAGTCTCGCTCATCAAAGGGTGCCGCCAGAATTAGCAGCAGGTGATAGCGAATGAACCATTTCTGCTGCTGTGCTTATTGCAACGTCACTGCAAACATTGCAATAGGATTAAAGACTTTGTGAACTATCTCAGCTTTTGTTTACCTATTTGCTTCAGACTTGTGCTTCAGTCCTTTGGACTTTGTGAAGCCAACGGTGAAGCCATCAGAAGCGTTGCGACTGTGCCCTTTTGAGTCTCGTTCTACATGGTGCCTTGAGCACCCAGACTTTAGAAGGTATCCTCAGGACTCAGCAACTAAAAGGTATAATATTTTTTACCACCGGCTGCTGTATCCTCAAAAAACAAGCTCGTGTTCATGATGGAAATATACGCTATGTCAATCGCGCTCCAACGTTCAATGTTTGACCTCCAAGCGATTCCTGAACGCCACTGGCGTATGTGCACTTTACTAACCATCAATCGCGAACGCTCGGCAACTTGCACATCCATCTCCAATATTCGAGTCGAATCAAGGGTCTAACTACTGACCAAATCTACAAAGGACAGAGAAATCGGTTGTCTCCTATTTACATTGTTATCGTCGGGCCATTTCTCGGAACCCCAAGACATGCCCTTTTCCCGCCCAGTTTCTCTGCTTTCTCCCTTCAACTCTTCGATTTCGCATTGGAAACCAGGAATGGACCATCGCTTACTCACAGGACTACTTTTTCGTATCGCTCGCTGGTGGAGGCCACTTACGCAGCAAAATTCGCGGTTCTTGGATCTTCCGCTAGATGTTATGTATGCTATACTTGATAGGCTGTCTTTATCGTCCAAAATACTACTCTCCCAGACTTGTAGAGCGCTGTGGTACCAAATTCATAAGGAATGCTTCTTGATTCTACGGCAATCTACCCCTAAGCAGCGCTCAGAGACTCTGACCGTCTTGGGACTTTTTTTACCAGACCAATATCTCTGTCCGGTCTGCAATACTTTACATCACATAAGCTACAATGATTTTCCGGCCTATCAAGGCTCGTTAGGCCCAGTACTCAAGAGACCATGTACATTGCTGGACTGCTGGGAGAACACCCATCATATCCCTTGCTATCAGAACGCGTTCCGTCACGTTCAATCGGCTATAAAGTACACCCACATGACCACAAGCCACCAACATTATCGTCAAAAGCTTCTGCAGAAATATGAATTTAGTAGTTCGGATTATTGGCCTTTGGGTTTAAAATTCACTGCAGAGCCACAGGTAATTCTTGGTCGATATGTTCAAATGACAACATGTATAATGTCTGCCGGATCAAAACCATGTTGCTTTGAGTCAGTATCTACCTTACCAATACTCTTTTGTCCTCATTCGGAATTTGGAAGCATGTGCAAGCCTCTTGAATATCCTTTTGGTATAGCAGTACAACAAGCTTTCCGAAGGCTGAATGACGAAGGTGACAACCAAACTACATTGTTTTCTTGCGATCGGTGTCCAACTGATTTCTCCATTGCCATCAAGGAACATGAGATTTCAATTATATGCTGGTCTGATCTGGGCACTGGAAAATCACTACAGGACCCGTTTTGGCAGAGTCACCTTTGGAGTATGACGAACAACCGCTGGAAAGCATCCAAATTCGAATACATACATGGGAGCGTCCGCAAGTTGTACTCTAGCTATTCTGCCTGATCTATCTAGAGCAAGCCTCCGGGGTAAGAGATGAAGTTGCAACCACTATTGCTTTCCAGATATGTCTAAGAGCAGGGCACTTCGGAACTCACCTTTTCGAAGCTTCCACAAAACGTTTCTTCTCTGTTTGTCACTGCGACTTCAATCCCTCGCGCGAATTGGCATCTCTTTTCAGCAGCCAATTCTGTAACTATGCCCTTACGGACACTAATAAACTTAGGTTCTGAGATCTATACTCAGCGAATCAAAGAAGAATCTCTTGTCATGTGGTAGCAGTGATGTAAGGGCTGTGCTTGGGGGCAGCCTCTGTCAGCAAGTTAGGGAACTGCTCTAGGTACCAAAAGTACGAGAGCCGCGTTGGGGGTAATTTTGGTAGGATCCATACAGCAATTGGCGATCGAATTTGAAGAATGTCTCCCAGGTTACGATAAGTCACAATCCGAGCCGGTCATAGAGAACATTTTTAGGGTCTAAACAAAACAGATTGCTAGAAAGGAGAGTAAATATGCTTTGGTCTGATTGGTTCATTCACATACGGTACGCTTAGTCAACGCAGCTAGGCCAGGTTCGGATGAAGAGGCTAATCATTTGATGATCCTCCACAATTCCCGAGAAGTACATTATCTCAGATCCAAAGCTATGCCTCGCAAGCTCTTGATCGAGACAGTCATGTGTTGCTTCCTGAGTGTGCCGAGACTCATCACCAACCACTTCGTTTAACATGATCCTTCGATAGCTTCAAATAATGCGCGGCCTAGCAATGCCTCCCAGGACTTCAGTACAGCGCATATGGATTGGAAAATTTGTGTCTGCACGTTTCCCCCAGTGTCGTTTGTCGTCCTCGGCTTCTGGGGTACCGGAAGATGATTACTACTCCCTTCTGTTATCTAGTCCAACCCCAAACCCAGCGAAGCAATCAGTTCCTCCTTCCCATGCCGCAATATTGAAAGATCTTCATCCTGTCGCTACTGAGACCGCGCCGCCTCCCCAGAATCGCATCTTCTTCTCAGCCCCACTGGCAGGGCCTTCGGCTCGTATGCGAGGCTTGGCTAAAGGAGAGCGCGGTCTCGATAGGCCCCCAGAACCTGACAATTGTTGTATGAGCGGCTGTGTGAACTGCGTTTGGGATGCATATCGCGAAGAAGTGGAGGAATGGGCGGCTGGAAAGCGAAAGAGAGAAGCAGAACTAAAAGGTAGGAGACCGATGAATGGTGATAGAAAGGGCGAGTCTGATAGAGAAGCTCCCCACGACGATGATAGTGTGGGTGACCTTGATGGAATTGGACGACTGGGTAATTATGCAGACACCGACCTAGACAGTGACGGTAGTCTTTTCGAGGGTGTACCGGTTGGCATACGCGAGTTCATGAAGCAAGAGAAGAGAATCCGTGAGAGGAAGCAAATTGAAGAGAGACGCTGAACTTGTGCGTAATGGCCGATAAATCTACAACCTCTATTCCCAGGACCGCAAACAAAGGGTGCGCCCCAAATCGAAGCTCTGGATCCTTGTAGCGCCTGGGTTGAGAACTTAGCGATTGGCAGCAACATGGATCTGACAATTCAATCGAGATTTGCCCGGCAAGGTACCTGTGCTGGCAGGAGCGATTGCTTATGGTACCCCAGAAGCGTGAGGTAGGGAATGGCACTGAAGCCGACAATTCATGAAAAAGCTTTGATTCCAACCAAACTCAGTCGACATCAATTCCTTTGCTCTTCAGATCTTTCTTCGCCATGGCAATCTCTCCCATCAGCTCTTCATGAGCATTCGGCACGTTGTTGAATGTGAGAATTCCCCAACCCAGTTTGAAAAGGAGGTAGGCTCCAAAGGAAACAATTGCCCATAAAGGGAGCTAGACGACGAAGCATTAGACATAAGACACTTGGTGTGCGAATAGGTCAGGGAGCCCCTTACGACTGGGACCACCTCATCTTGTAATGTTTCAGTCAACGGTATTACGTGGAGGAAAGCTGCAATGTAGATCTGTATTAGGATTCCATTCAGCGAGCAAATCAAGCGTTGGGTTGGGAATGCAGCTTACAGAAGACAATAGAACAGCCAATGAAAGTGTTTCTTGTGCGCGTGTCATCCTGGAAAGCGAGGAGTAGGTTGACAAAATAAAACAGCATTCATGAGAATTCTTTCCGCGTATTTCCTGCGTACAAATGCTTTTCGTTCGCCGTACTTCACGTGACCGTCGGTCGATGTTCTTCAAGCCTCTATTTGCAGATCCATCCAACTCGACAAAAAGCTTGTCATAACGCTCGCAACGCTTTCATAATGTTCAGACCATCCAAAAATAGAGCTACTCCGGGACAATAACACATTAGTCTTGCACAACTTTTTTTTTAAAGACGCATACTTGGGCTCTGTAGACTGACAGAATCAGTGCTCAGGTGCGATCTTACTTACAGATTGCTGTAATTTTGGGTACAACAAATACTTGAGCGTACATGGATGTGTCACTGCCAGAAGAAGCAGGTGCTTCTACTGTTCCACTTGCTGCGTCGTCTCCCGTTGATCACAGCATAAAACATGATTCTCCATTGTCCGAGGATGATGACCCTTCTTTTCAGGATCTCCTTAGAGGGAGAGAGGAAAGCTCGTCTACGGCCATTGATGCGGTAGATGGGCTAATGTACAGCATTCAATCGGTGCTCGATAAGTTCGGTCGAGATGAATGCGATGACTCTCTCAATTTTCTTCTTAGATCTCTACAGCCAATGGATGGTACAAGGGCAGATCTCGCGTCTTACGAGTTAAAGATTCGTACCGTACTTTCTTCTTGCTCCAACTTAATACAAAAGGATGTAGGTCACGGACTTGGCAAAGAGAACGTGCTTTCTACTCAACTCACAAGACTGTTGGCTACTTTGAGTAGAGAGCGTAAGAAAATGGAGCCTTGTGTGGATTTTCGAAATTGATTCTTCCAGGGTTGTGGGCAGCTGCTCTCACCGAATCAGGGGTCCTTGACGCCTTTTTGAACACAATGGACCAGGAAAACAGCCATGAAGAAGCATGGATAGACCCAGCACTGCGATTAGTCGCAAATTGCTGTGCACGGAGTGCCCAAACCAGGCTTCGAATACTATCAAAAGCACCGTTCAAGATATTGGTCGCTCGTCTGCAGGATCCTAACCAGGCTGACATAGCTCTGCTTGCGCTATATTCAATGTCTGAAGACTGCTGTTGGTCGTCTTGCTTTCGATCGATTCACTGTACTGATTCAAGTAGTACTTGCGAAACGCAAGCTTCAGCAAGAACAAGGACTGGCCTCCAGACTGCTCGGCGGTGTTTTGAGACATGTTTTCAGTCGCGACGTTATGGATCAATTATGCGAGTTACTGAACTCTACTGTCGAAGAAGGTAAGATTCCATCTCATCACGAAAACATCCTTTGACCAGCGCAGTGGACTGGGGCGCGATAGCGGCTCCTCAATGGCGCATACTTTTGTCAATGCCCCGAGACTATAGCCTTAGTACCGATAACATCTATGAGCTGACTCAGTTCATCGTCTCACTCCTAAAGCAACCATCGGCTCAAAGGAAGTTTCTCGAAAATGGCTTGCTAAGTCATCTCATGACCTATTTCTTGAACACTTATGACCTCGAGATATCTTCAGCCTCTTCTTTACAGCCCCAAGATATGAATTGCTTAAGATATCCGGAGGACGAGGAAAACATGTTAGCAGAATGCCGCGTCGAGATCGTAAAGGTGTTTGGTGCTCTTGGACTAGTCTGTCAAGATTTCTCATGCGTTGAAGAAGACGTCGTGGGCATAGTCAGATGGCTGGGCTTTCCTGCAGATCAGATAAGAATTTGCTCCTGTATCTTTCTCGGAAATCTTGTGTATTCCTGTGAAATCGCCAGGAGCGATCTTTTGCACAACAAAGGCTTTGCATCAGCCTTGAGCCAATGTATACGGACAAGCTCCCGACCCGACGTTCTCAATTCTGCCTTGGATCTTCTGCAAAACATCGCGATCGATCTTGAGAGCCGTAAAATGCTAGGTCAAGCGGGCATATTCGATGCCCTAGCAGCTTGCTGGGACCGTACAGGGAAAGACATGAAATCTAAGATTGCGGCATTGTACCATACAAGACAACTGATCTGCGGCTGTTTGGAGAACGTGTGCATCGTCCTGAAGAGTCAGGCATTGCCGGGAGAGACTCGTCACCAAGACACTATGTTTATCTCGAAGCTGCTCCATTTTCATTCCACAGCAGAAGATCGAAGTTCCATCACAGAAGTGGGACGGATCATTGTCGAAATATGGCGGACTTGCAACAAGCATCAAGATCTACTCACATATATGAATCAACCACTGGAGTCCTTGCAAGCAAAAGAACATCCAATTAATCCTCAAGATGGGAGGAATCTCCCGCTCAACGTTGCATTTCTAATAAGAAAGACTACAAGCCTTCCTGGAATCCTGGACCCCCTCTTTACGCTCGTCCGGTCGGAAAATGAGTCCCTGGTAACAGAAGGTTGGCTCGCCCTCGCTCTGATGGCATCGTCGCCCGAGGGAGCAACGATTGTATACAACGGTCTGTTTATGGTAGATGACGAGATTTCAATGTTGAGAGCAGTGTTGGACAAACAAGATGGCCCTCAGAACGGAGCTCGCAGCAATGCCCTCTACTTGGCTGCTCAGCTCCAGAAGCAAGTCTCAGGAGATCCCCAACGAAAGTCCACAGTGGACAATCTACTTGCAGGCGCAGCTTTTAGTTGAGGTGCTCCAAGGCAGCATGTCAGATTTGGCCACCGAAACCCCATTTAAAGAATAACATTCAAGTCTTGTTCCTCTGGTCCATGGGTACATGCTACCTATACGACCGAGGCATCGGATAGGGGCTGCTTGGCCCATTTCCTTGGCACACCGCCACAGAATGACGTTGCTTGCCCCTCGCCCTTCACGAGCGAGCGTTTTTGTCGCGGTTCGTTGTCCTCGACAAGATCAGACCTATATCATCTCAACACTTCTCCTGCAACACTTTATTGTTACCCATCAACATACTTACAAGCATCAAAGTACGAACTGAACGTATTCGATATGTCTACCACCGTTGTTCACGTATGTCTGCCCCACCTGGAATTGTGACATGCAGCCACATCCACTGATTGATTTTGGTTCTCCAGGTCAAGAATATTTCCTCCCAAACAAGCGAAAAGGAAGTGAGAGACTTCTTCAGCTTCTGGTCAGCAACTACCTCGCCATTGCAAAATCACACTGACAGATCACAGTGGCAAGATCAATTCTTTATCTGTCACCCCAGCCTCGGATGCAAAAGACAGCCCGCAAAGCGCTACTGTGACCTTCGAGAAAGAAACGTATGTGGACCCGCTTTAGTATAACATTCATCATGTCTCACAACTTTATCAGCGCAGCTAAGACCGCTCTGCTCCTCGACAACACTCAACTCGGCCCTTCTCAAGTCCAGGTCTCATCTGCAGCCGGTCTTTCTGACCTCGCTTCTTCTGCAGGTGCAACCTCAAAAGGCGATGAAGCCAGTGATGATGAGCATGATCTTGCGCAAGAAGACAAACCCCGATCACGCATTGTGGCTGAGTACCTTGCGCACGGCTACGTCTTGACCGATACAGCACTTCAGAGAGCTATCGCATTGGACAATAAGCATGGTGTTTCTGCCAAGTTCACGTCCGCTCTAACCGATTTCGATGGAAAGTACAAAGCTACAGACCGTGCCAAGGGCATCGACACCTCTTACGGCATTACTGAGAAGGCGGGACGCGGTTGGGCTGGCCTGAACAGCTATTTCGAAAAAGGTGGGTCCTATTGTCCCGACAAGCCTTCTTCGGAGTCAATGCTGACGTAACTATCGCTCTAGCCATAAACACACCGACTGGCCAACGAGTTGCCGCATTCTACACATCAACAAACCGACAAGTTCTTGACATCCACCAAGAGGCAAAGAGACTCGCCGACCTGAAAGGTGGAAAGACTGCATCTGGTCCAAGTTCCGAGGGTGGCACCCTGGAAGGTAACGAGAAGACCAAGGAGAAAGTGGAAGGCACGGAGAAGACCGTATGTAAGTGCGGTGGTGATACTGGAGTGTGCCCATGCCAGGACTGCGCTTGCTCTGGTTGCGCAAAGGCTGGCACTCAGGGCGATACAACCGCGACAGGACCGGCTGACAAAGTAGCGGAAACCGCAAATGTGCAGCCGCTTGGTGAGAAGACAGCATAGGCAACAGGATTGGGATGACAGGTGCAATATGCAAAGGATAGCAGGCGTGCATGCTTTTTAAGTCTAGAGACATGATTAACGGTTGAGAGAAAATCTTCCTTTGAGCAATTTGGAAGTCGTGCAACGATCACGCACAACTTCTGCGGCACTTTCATTTCCAATGCTGACGATTCGAGAACAACGCATTTGCTCGAAATGCACTCAATACCAGGGGACCTTCATGTCTTATGATCCGTCTTTCCCCTCCACAGCGCCGTATGCGCCTCCTTTCCTCCCAAACATCGCCCGCAAATCGTCCAGAATAGCCTGCGGCTGTTCCCATGCAGCAAAATGTCCTCCAGCGAGATGCTCGCTTTCATAAACGACAGGACCCATCGTCCTCCCCCAAGTCTTCGGCACGACCGATAACTCCTTCGGACTTCACCAAATCGGAGTCAGCAATGCTTCTTTAGACTGCGAAAAAGAGTCACGAGACATGTCTTTCGAATATTTACTCCGAAAATATTACTCACAAATGTGCCAGTCCCAGTTTCACCTTCGGAATGTACTTCTCCGTCACATCGCGGCTGTATGCTGGATCACAATGTAACGGCGATGCCTCGTAGTAGATTCTCAGATTTGCGGCTGGACCGGCGGTGCTGAACCAGTAGATGCTCACCCACGTCAGAATCTCGTCGTCCGTCCAGGAATATTTGTCAGTCCAATCGTGCAGTTTCTCGTAGACCCAAGCAAGAAGACCAACGGGGCTGTCCGCAAGAGCGTAACCCAAAGTCTGCGGCTTCGTAGATTGTTGAGTACGATAACCAGCCCCTTCTATCGTAAACCATTTCGTGCGATCGAAGCCGTATGTTTCTCGCGAATTGTAGGAGAACAAGGCATGTTTGAGGTAGAGGATCGGGTTCGAGGTCAGAGTCGGCGGATGGCCTCGTACCATATTGATGTGCGAGGCTTTCACGTGGGATGGGTAGAGGAGGCCCATTATACGAGATGTCATGCATCCCCAGTCCCCACCTTGCGTTACTGGAGGCCGTTTAAGCTCAAGAAGTTTAGCGCTGTCGCGAGTTGAAGCGTACCGTATTGGTCGTATCCTAGGGCGAGCATGAGCTTATGGCAAGTCTCTGCATACTGCGGCAGGGCAAAGCCTCTGTTCTTGGTGCCCGAACTGAATCCATAATTAGGAAGAGACGGCGCAACGACGTGAAAAGCGGGGCCGTCTTTGATTCCCTCTGCAAGCGGTCGCAGGATCTTCGTGGCTTCGAGGAAGCTTCCCGGCCCTGAATACTTAGTCGACTCATGATTTGCGAATCAATGAAGGGCCATACAGCCATGAATGAACAGCAATGGAATCGTTCGATCAGCGTTGCTTTTCAGGTGTAGAAAGTGTATATTGAGAGTCTCGAAGCCATCGACAGTAATTTGGGTTTTGAAATGGGGCAACTCATTGAGCTTGGCTTCCTGTTCCTTCCAGTTGAATTGGTCCTTCCAGTAAGTCGTCAATCTCTTGACATCGGCAAGGGAGGCGCCATAGTCCCAGCCAGCTTCATCAAGCTCATCTGGGAAGTCTGCTGCTTCGAGCTTCTTATGAAGCCTTTGGATTGCAGACTCGGAGACAGAAACGTTGTATGGCTCAATGGAAGCCATTATTCGAAGTACATGGAGAAAGAAGTATGCGATTGGCTGCTGCAAATGAAAAATAGGCAAATGGTATTTCACGGGCGCGCAAGGAGGGCTATTGACGGTGACGTAAAGGGGACCCCTCCTTCAGAAACTTAACTCCTTCAAAACATCCCACCTTCAATTTTGTTCAATCTGCACCCTCATCCTGCCACAATCGAAGAGAACCAATTCTTGCTGAAGGTACGCCGGTCTCATACCTGGTTCTTCCTTTGCGCAATATTAATGAAGAGGGGCCTCGTCGCACCTCCATCCACGTCATCCGCTCACGGCTGATTGAGATGCTGATTTGTTGGTGCACAGATCATTCAAGAGCCAATTTAATTGAATCCATTTCTCAATCAATCTTAGCCACGATGTCCGCTCCCAAAGCAGGCCGTCAGTCTCCAGAGCCCGAACAGCAAGGCAAGAGTCAAGTCGGCGCTCCTGAACCCGGCAAAATCGATGCTGCCCCCTCTGAGACCCATGCAAAGGATTCCAGTGAGCAGACTAAACTTGAAGGCCTGTCAAGCAACCCAGGAGGTCCGCTAGATGCAGCAGCGGACGAGAAGAGGAGCAAGGAAGGCCGTGGAGATGTGTAGGATTCCAGGCCAAATGTGGGGGTTGCGGAAGCATTCGGCTTAAACGGATTTGCTTCTGCTAGCATGACGGAGCGAGGTTGAAGGTTGGGTGTATACATGCGGTAGTCAAGAAGAAGAGACAGGCTGTTATGTTCGACATTAGAAGACACGGAACTCAAAGCCTTTTATGTCAGCAACCACAACAGTCCATGACCAGACTTAATCCTAACACATCGTATATTCATCCCTTAAGGACCGTGAAATATCGCAAAGACTTTGCCACCCATGGTATCGTTATGCATTATTCCCTTCGTTAAACATCACGTCTCGCTGCCTGAGACTGGTATGTAGCTTCGGTGTTCTCGTGCGGTCTGGGACAATCGGTGCGTCAGTATCTCGACTTTTCGACTTTTAATTGGAGTCAGAAATCTTACGTCTATCCATTTGCTGACCCACGGCCTCACGGCCGCCCAAGCAAGAAGACCTACTGTAGCGATGATAAAGATGAAGACCACCGCCTCGTCCTTTCTCGAATCGCGTTCTGAAAAGAGCATTAGAATCGAATGACAATCTACCGTCTGGGATGAAGATCTCCATACGAAAGCAAGTCGTAAAAACATCCTCCATGCTCGCCGTTTTGCAAATTGGCAGATTATAGTCTAGACAAAATTGTCGGTTACAGTCGTTGCAATTGCCCGCCCGGTACTCCTTTCTATTCGAGTCCTTATTGTCTTCTTGCTTTTTACCCTCATCTTCATGCTTTGCTTTGTCGTCGTCCGTGCCATTCTCTAAAGGTGGATCTGGTACAGGTTCCTGGGCGTCATCCTGGTCGTCCGAACCTCGAGCGAAGAGCAGAGCCTGTCTCTGCCGCGGTGGATCATTGATGTGAGCATCAAGAGGAATGATGGTGCTGTTGGTGAAGCAGGTACATTTACAGAACGACGTAGGCGCTACGCCGAGTGGTTAGAACATGATCTTTTGAATAGTCATGGACGCCCTTACAGGCCGCAGCAGCAATGCTAGACAGAGCAAGAAACAGTAGGAGTAATCTTGAGGGTAGTGGCATGGCTAATGACTCGAAAGATCCAATGAAGTTCGTATGACATTGGTTTCATTGAAGTACGAATACGTACGAGACAAGACGAGTAAAAAGCTTGGGCATCCAAGTCGATGTTTTACACGGGTATTTTTGATCATGTTGAGCCTGGGAGGGGAGCCACAAAGTGGAGTTTCGGACGTAGACTGCGTACTTTTGGGTCTAGATCCTACGGGCATTTTTTATCGTCGGCCGCCGAAGAACGCTGGCTCTGCGTTATACTTACTACTATTTCAATTCTCCTGAAATTGTTACCAGTTGAAAGCCTGCACCAGACAGTACAGGCAGAAAATTATAATAGACGACATCTCACTACTACATGATGGTTGCAAAGACTTTCATTGGAAGAGTCATCATAAGTTTGCATTGCATGCAATATTGTTTGTTATAGTGCTCACAAGGTATTTCTGGTTTCTGTGCACGAGATAGCTTGAAGCAACTTGACCCAAGTTTCGAATCTCAAGCAAACAAAACATATGCTGTGAAACATGTCAGCAGGTGTTGGTCAAGTCTTCCACCCCCTAGGTTACGCAGATTTCCATGCTGCTAGCAAGGGAGATCAGACTCGAGAGGTAAAGAATCACTCCGAGCGCAGTCAGCAACACCTTGCTGAGCCGGATGAACATGAATACAATTCGCTTTGATAAGCAGTGTTCTGGATCATGCAGGAGCTTTCCGGGATGGTGGTGGACTCCGCATGCGGACCAGGGCAAATCCACGTGCTTCAGTTTGACGGCAGGGTAACAACAACAACAACAGCAACAACAACATTGTCATTCTCGAATGTGACATCGATGAAACAAACATGCAGAATATTACTGTAGATCTTCGTTATGGAGGCTGCGGCCCTAGGTTCTGGCTGGTCTGCTGGTGCACGGCCCCAAGAATTCGCCTTCGGCTACGCTTGCGAGAGAGATCGTCTTTGCTTCAGATAATTCGTTACATTTGCATGACTTCTTCGGCCAATCTTTCGGTCGGATCTTCCAGCCACCTACTGCAATATCGTTCAGTACTTTCCCATCACTCGTACCGTTGCTGATATACTTATCTGCAACTGCTGTGAACGCGACGTAACCTTGTCGTCGACGTCACTAATGAGATAGCCTTCCGCCTTCCAGAACGCGCCGTCACCCACGTAGTTCTGTGATCGACAACCCCGGATTTTAGCAGCCCCCTCAAGTATGCTTCTCCTCTTGCTCGACTTCAATGGGCATTCTTCATTGACCCTCTTGCACTTCTCTCCAATCCCATAGATCTGTACGCTCGCAATCTAGACCACCGCGTCAGCAGCGGTACCCATCATCAACATTCATCGACATCCAGACACTTGCTCCAAGGCGAAGATCTCCGCTTGGACGACCTCGGGTTTCCTGCGCCAAACGGTACCTGAACCAGAGTTGAGCGGCTTTGCTTGAGCTGGGAAGAAGGGGATCGGACGCATCCGAGGCTGAGCTTGAAAATGCTCTCCTCGATAAATACCTAGGATCCGAGCGTCGGGAGATTGATTGTAAGATCAATAAACCCAGCATTGAGCGAGATACCTCAGCAGCTACGTTGTGCGGGCCTCAAACTAGATTCTGCGGTCAATTACTCGGGCGTGTCTCGGCCGGTGTCATGAGTGAAAGTCCAGGCTCCGGTACACCTCAGCAAAGGCAGTTTGAAGAGGCGGCCGCCATACATGTATCATCTCATTCAGGGGAGCACAGTGATGCAGATCCTATGGACGTCACGCCGCCTGCTGTAGGCACTATGGGTCCGCCAATGCATAGCAGCCCCGAAACGGATCTCCACGCTCACATGAGCAATGGTGTGCCAGTGGAGGGACACCAGAATCAATCGGGAGGGCTGGCCGCTGGACTCAGCGCTGCTGCTGCAACATCTGCGCAGCAACCCAAGGTTGTCCAAACGGCTTTCATCCATAAACTATACAGGTAAAAAATCATTGTCTCTCGCCCAAGCCACAAGCTGATGATGTTGAAAGCATGCTGGAGGACTCTGGCATTCAGAACTTGATATCATGGTCCACCAATAATGAGAGTTTTGTAATGTCTCCGACGGCAGACTTCGCGAAAGTCCTGTCGTAAGTCGGGAAATCGGACTTTCGCGAAATCGATACTGATTTGCTCACAGGCAATATTTCAAACATACGAATATTTCCTCATTCGTACGGCAACTCAACATGTACGGTTTCCATAAAGGTAACTCAGCTCAGGTATGTAGAAGAGTTCAATTCAGCTAACAGCAAGTTTAGTAAGCGATGTCTTCCATACGGGTTCACCAGATGCGACTCTGTGGGAATTCAAGCATGGCAACGGCAGCTTTAGGAAGGGAGACTTGGCCGGGCTACGCGAAATCAAGAGAAGGGCTTCGAGGCATGCGATCATTCACCGGGACTCTTACTCAGCTCCGAACCACCATAAAGCTTCCATATCTCATCCAGGGACTCCTACGGAGGCGTTAATGGATCCAACCGAAGCAAGACTGTCCCACCTTGACCAATTGATCTACGACATCCAAGCTCGGCTCATACGATCCGAGGAGAACAACATTGCGCTCAGTGCAAAGTGTCATACCCTGAACGACAGCCTGGTCAGATCTCATCAGTGGAGTCTCGATTTGACGCATATGGTGTCTTCTGTTGTTACAGACCCTGATCATCCTGTCAGGCGCGATGGTAAGCCTTTTGCTAGCTTAAATACAGACGTGTCTCACGCGATATAGCTGCAACGATGGAAAGGGACATTGCACGCCAATTGGACTTGATTCGCAATTATGAAGATCCCCACGAATCGCTCCTTTCAGGTCGGCAACCTTACTTCTCAAACATGGCACTCCAGGAACCCGTCTCACCACGCGCTGCCCCTGTTGACGAACGACGCTCTTCCCTCCACGCTATACCTCCACGATCCTCGACTTTGCGACCGCAACCGCCACCTGCCAATGCTTCAATGCCACAGCGTCGCTATGGTTCCATAGGCACTGCTAACCCCTTGCCAAATTACCACCGCCCATTCCAGCCTCAGACCCAGATACCGCCAGCTCTCCCTCAACATCCCCTTGCAAATGTTTCAGAACCTGGTCCAAATCTTGGGAGAAGGCACACTTCCGCAGACATTCGTGTGCCGGGATGGCCTGGTCACGCGCAAAGCTCCCCGAATGCTTCAGGGCAATCCTCCGGTCATTGGCCCTCTTCACCCACTCAACAAGCTCATAACCCTGATCAGAATGTCCACGACCAGCTTGCTTCCTATGAATTCGGCCGCCCTAGACAGAGCATTAGCTCTTATCACGACACACCTCCTTTGACCAGTAATGAGACCACGCCTTCCACTTTGAGCGTTGAAAGCAATTGGTCTTGGAATACTGGTTCCAAATTTGCCCCGCGCATCATGGATTCGGCGCCAAACACAAGAAGAAGTAGCATGGCCAGCAACGTGCATTCACTTCTAAACCCAGCAGAGACTGCAGAGAGAGAAGATGAGGATCCACTTTATGACGAAAGGAAAAGGAAACGAATCGTTTGATGAGCTCTTGACTTTAAGAGGGTATATAATCAGACATGATGTGATCCTGGACATAATGTTACATACTGGCTTGGATAGTGTATATTGCTTCATCAATTCTTGGACATATAACTCATTACCCTAGCATTGTGACTGACGAGGCAGCTAGCTTGTTTTTGAAGTGCCCAGCCTGTACATATGAGAAGGCTTTTTGCTTCTACCCGACTTTGGATTTCATTGCATCGCTTTCTGCGTCTTGTTTCTTCCTCCTCTTCCTCTTCTTTTTATTTCGCTTCCGGGCTTTCTCAGCAAGCACAATATCCAAGTAATTCGTTGGCTTTCCTAATGTCGGATCGTCTTCTAATCCGTTCCAGTCGGTAAACTCATTTTCGTCTTCCCTTACAAGATCTTCTCCGTCGTTGAGAGAATTATTTTGAACTTTTGCTGACGGTTTCCTGGGGTTTCCCACTGCAGATCGCCCAACGTCTTCGTCGTCATCCATGTCCGAATCGCCCATCCGCTTTTGAGAAGATTGTACGGACCGCGGCTTTTTGGTGCTGAGATCTTGTCTCTCTAATCCAAACTGATCGTTACGTTTGCGTTTGTTTCCCGGAGCTCCTTTTCCCAACAGCCGTTTCCTCAATTGCTCCTCTTGTGAATTCACGACGCCGTTACTTGCCCCTAATCCCTCGTCTTTGGGCGCCTGACGACCAAGGCCGCGTCTTGTTCATCCATGATGATCAGCTGGATATTTCTTCTTTCCTATAAATCCTGGTCACAAGACCTACAATTCGGGTTCAGGTGTAAAGACATCCGCCTGTTCCTGCTTCACTGAACTTTTGGCGATTTCGGAATCTTGAGGAGGGGGTGGAGGGAGCCATGAGGATACGAGGCGCTGTGATCGCGCAAGCGAGACAGATGTGCGATTCGCGATTACATCTGCGAGAGAAATGGGCGCCATTGAGCATTATATATGCAAAGATGATATGCTTGGGTCCTAGTGATATATTTGTGATTTTGGTGCTTGCGGGGATGTTCCGTTCGGTGAATCCGGCTGAGGAAGCTTTCCAACGGCCCCTCCTTCCCTCAGCTCTCATTCAGGCCATTGTTGCCATATTGACGACTAACCATGTATAAGCTTGCTCGTAGTAAGCCATTGGCTGCTGCTCTAGGAGGATACAAGGTCTGTAGTATTGTCTGCGCAAAAGCTTGCCCATGGTTTTGACAATCCAATAGTTAGCAATCCCAAGGAGCTCCGCCACACAGCAAAAGCGATTTCTATCGATACACGAATACCTTTCGGCAAAGCTACTTAATAGTGTAAGAAGACGTGAAGGAGGATCGAGAAGATGGTCACTTACATTCGGTAGTATGGGGTTGGCGTACCTAAGGGCGAGGTCGCTCGCTCCGCAACGGAAGCAGAGAGGATAGCTAAAGATATCGGTACGCTTATTCGCGTAATGCTCGAATAAGACACTCACGTACAAACCTTCTAGGTGGAGACGATATGGTGATCAAAGCCCAAGTCCTTGCTGGAGGTAGGGGCAAAGGGACGTTCGACAATGGGCTGAAGGGAGGAGTAAGGGTCATATACTCGTACGTGATTACACTGAGCGAATCTCCTGCACCACTCAAAGCCCAGAGACTAACTAGTGTAGACCGACGGAAGCCAAGATGTTCGCAGACCAAATGATCGGTCACAAGCTCATCACAAAGCAAACGGGTGCAAGAGGTCGTGTCTGCAACGCTGTCTACATATGTGAACGCAAATTTGCACGGCGGGAGTTTTATTTGGCGATCCTGATGGATAGACAATCGCAAGCTCCCGTCATTATTGCCTCATCACAAGGTGGAATGGATATCGAAACTGTTGCGAAGGAGTCCCCGGACGCTATCATAACCACGAACATAAACATCAACGAAGGGGTGACGGACGACATGGCGCGAAATATTGCTACTGAACTCGGCTTTAGCGAGCAGTGCATCGAAGACGCGAAAGACACTATCCAGAAGCTTTATAAGGTCTTCATGGACAAAGACGCAACGCAAATTGAGATCAATCCATTGAGTGAGACGAGTGACCACCAGGTCTTAGCTATGGACGCCAAGCTCAGTTTTGATGACAACGCCGATTTCAGACAGAAAGAAGTATTCAGTTGGAGAGACCAGACGCAGGAGGACGCCGACGAAGTGAAGGCAGCTGAGTGAGGCCTTTGATACGGAATTGATTTTCCGATGCGGACTAACTCTGTTAGGTCTGGATTGAATTTTATCAAATTAGATGGAGATATTGGATGCCTAGTCAACGGTGCCGGTCTTGCCATGGCTACAATGGACATCATCAAGCTGAATGGCGGCTCGCCAGCCAACTTCCTTGACGTTGGAGGCGGGGCTACCCCACAAGCCATCAAGGAGGCTTTCGACTTGATTACGAGCGATCCCAAAGTCTCTGCCATCTTCGTCAACATATTTGGAGGCATTGTAAGGTGCGACGCAATTGCTCAAGGTTTAGTCAACGTCGTAGAAAGTATGAATATCAAGACGCCGATTGTGGCAAGACTACAAGGTACAAATATGGAGAAGGCTGCAAAATTGGTATGACCCCTTTCAATTGACAATTTGATTGTCTGGATGAGCTGATGAGCGAGCAGATCAACGAGAGCGGAATGAAGATTTTCTCAATCGAAGATTTGCAGTCAGCAGCAGAGAAGAGTGTGCAATTTTCGAAACTGGTGAAGCAAGGTAAGTGAGCATTTGTGGCTGCTACAGGATAAAGCTAACGTAGGCTCTTCTGCTGTAGCTCGAGATATTGACGGTTAGTGATCTTCTTGCTCTTCTATTTGAGGAGATATACTGACGTATACCCTTTAGTCGGCGTTGAATTCAATCTTGGACTGTAGATATAGCAAATATTCTCACTTCAGGTCTTGGTAGCCTCGCACCTTTCCCTCATATCAAATTACTATATCGGGTTTTTGCGCTTTATTGAACCAATGGTGGGATAGTGCATATCATCCATGGTACGCCGCAGCAACAGGACCCGGTTGATAAGAGAGACATTTTCGCATAATTCTATGAAAACCCTGAAGTATTGTGAATATGATCGGTCCCGTGGATCTCGACCCTGACTCCATAGTATCAAAGAACACGATGCCGCAGTAACTTCGAAAAGTCTTGAAGCTAATCTAGTACTCTAACATAGCGCCTCTTCTTCCACCTCTCGCACACCATGCACACTATCAATGTCAATATTGTTTCAAATGCTCCGGTCTAGAAAACTCACGTGGTTGGCACTGCATTCGTCGTCATGATTCAAACAGTAGTCTTCGCGACAAGTTCCACAACGACGATGTGTCTGTTGCTCGCAAGCTGAGCATAATGTGCCGCAATCCCAGCACGACTTTCTAACCCGCTTTCACCCAACGCGAAGTGTCAGCCGAGATCATGAAGGTTCTCAAATCAAATCTCGAAATATTGAAACCGCGCTGCTTAGCCCCACATGCCACCTTCACCCACACCATTCAACAGATCGTCCATCAAGCAACGCGAAACGCAGAGACCGTGATGTACCTTGATGCTGTTGTCCACCAATGGAGTCAAGGATGTTTCTTTTGCCGCACGCTTATTCGGAATGACATAGCAATCTTCGCACCACCATGCATTACATCTTTGGCACCACCTATCTGTGAGGCAGGTACCACAACGAAGAATTAGTGGCGGATATGGTTGATGACCTATGTTGCAGGATTGAGCGACGGCTATTGAAGTGGTGTGCATAGGTGGTGGCGACAGAAGTGGTAACCGGTGCTCTGCCTACGTTTGCCATCAGTCAGGCATTGGAACACAGAAACGAGTAAGCAGCAGCGCACGTTTCAAACAATCGAGAGGAAAATTTACAGAGAAAAAGGTGCATTTTATAGACAAGGTTACTGTTGTGACTTCGAAGAACGAAACCCCCTGGAGGAAGTACCAGATTGAAGCTAATTGAAGTTTTGGAGGCATCATGTCATGAGTCATGCTCGCCTCCTTGATACTTAGACTTGTACTAAAAAAAAACAGCAAGCAAAAGCGTTGCACGATCAGGAACTTCAAGAGCGTCACAAGAGAAATACCTACAGAAATGCCCGGATAGGCAGAGCCTTCAGGACAAGACCCGCATTTTTGACAACCTTTTAATCTGATAGTAGCGAGTTTCGGTTTATGATCAACGGTCGCAAGCTGAGCTGGATCATGCGGACATAGAACCATGTCGAAAGCCACCAGCCCCTGAGAAGCCTGCAGGAGAAATGCCCAATCCTCGCGAGCTTCCAGGCTCAGTGGCAATGTGCAAGTCCCAAATTCTTTATAAAAGGAGTATGCATAAGGATCATGCTCGATATCACTTGATATTGGTGGACTGACAGGCATTCCAAGTGTAGCGCCAACTGTCGCAGTGACGCCCATCCCTTCGCTCATGATCGAATTCTCCCTGAAACTTAATTCCGCTGGCCCAGGCTCTGCCACTTTGGTAAAGCGATAGAGGGCTTTCAAAGATGGACTTTCTTCAGCTCGACTTGGACGAATCAAATAGCGAAGGAGTCGCAATAGACTGGTTTCACTCAGTGTACCTACATCTCTAAGAGAAAGAATCTGTATCCGAAATTGTGTATTACATAGAATGTTCATGAGAGACGAAGAGGATACATTCAACCCATCTAGGATCAACGTCCGGACGGCATGAAGAATTGAATGTGCATCTAGTGCGGACAAATAATGGATCAGCGGTTGTCCATAATAGTCTTCCGCAGCCAGTCCCAGGGTATCTTCGGCATGCCACAAGGGCTTCTTGAGTATTCGAACCTCCGATAAATCCAGACGCTTGAAAACAAGCTGATTGGGATAGATGACCTCTCTGAATGCCTTTGCTGTAGTTGCAATGCACAATAAAGTCGTGATACCAAGATAGGGACTAATCTGCTGAAGAACGAGGTCGTTTCGTAGAATATCCAGTAGTGTTACACTTGAAGTCATTCTCACATCCAATTTTGTCTTCCCTGCGGCAATAGGGTTATATCATAGGTTTGACAAGAGATAGTGCAGTGGGAGCTCAGCTTTGTTCAAAGCTTAGAATGCTGGTATTAGGTCTCACAGGCTTGAGTCGACATCCGCGAATGCCCCAGGTCTGGAGAGAACCTGTCATTTTGAAGAGCAAATACAAGTCTTTATGGATAGATTTCGTTATTCTCGAATTGATGTAAGCGCCGCCTCCCGAAGGCGGATTCAGGGCCAAGCCTGCCGAGGGTCGGTTAATCTGAAGGTGGCACCGCCAAGTCAACTTAGCGGTGTTTAGGCCTTATAACGCAGCCTAGAAGATCACGGTATAAGGCATGCTATAGGGGCGAACCCTCGATAGCTGCCCCTTGAACAGGGCCCTAGAATTTGGCGGTGCCACCTTCAGATTAACCGCCCTCGTGCCCTGGTGAAGCTGACAGCCGTAGCCGAAACGGGCTATTACGGTCGACCATAGAGCCATTCTGACTTTCCAGGACCGAGGAATTGCAGTCCTATTTTTGCGTTCTATCATTCTGGCAAAAGCCTGCGTATGGAACATGATCCGTCACCAATGGACCATCATTATTTGATATATTTCCTCATGCCTTTGAGCTCGTCATGTCCTATTCGGCACCCAGGCGATCCGTTGATACCTTCGCCTCGCCTTCCTCCGCAACCCCTAATCAGTACCCTTTTCCATTTACCTCACCAACTCAATCATCTCTCAGCTCACGTCAGGGCCAACCCAGAGGCTTGCCCGCAAGCTCCTACAGCTCTGCCGGGGGGGTCTGGATACGTCAACACAAGATCAAGGTGCGATAACAGAAGGAAGTCACAACGCTATCTCCACGTTACTACAACCTCCTATTGTTCGTACTGGCCTTCTACCTCAGACTGCTGCTTCAAGTGCTGTGAAGCCGCCTTCGACAAAAGACATACCACCAGTCACGCTTTCCGATATACCCCCTGTAGACCTATCAGTCTTCTCCTCGTATCTGAAGCAGGCTGGCGCCCTTTATGACGCTTTCCAGCGAGCGAAAGGTGATGCAACAACGGGAGAGGCGGCGGTGGAAAGGAGGAGGTCCCGGGGCTTATCAAGCGAGAGTCTTCACCCTACTCTAAATTCCCCACAACATTCGAGGCGCAGGTCAGGTATACCAGGCACGCCAGCATTGGATCTCAGCCCGTCCTTGCCTACTTCACCGTTAGAGAGACCTCATGCGAGGCGACAAGCTACTGGCCGACGTCGTGCTCCTCTACAGCCTGCTCCTCTCTCTACCATCCCTAATGTTTACTTTGAACCCGATTTCCATTTGGAGAATCCTCGAATTTTCGATATTGTAAGTGAAAGGTCGGAGATTGTGAGGCAGCCAGGTGCGAATGGGGCTGCAGTGCCACCGGGGTCCAGTGGAAGGAAAGTTCTTGCTACAAACGCCATTTTACAAGAGAAGCTCTCCTGGTACATGGACACCGTCGAGGTGCACCTTATATCCTCTATCTCGACAGCCTCGAGTTCATTCTTCGCTGCATTAGGTAATTTACGTGAGCTTCACACGGAAGCTGCTTCATCTGTAGCCAAGATTCAGTCTTTGAGGTCGGACTTGACCAATTTAGATGGTGGCATGATGCAAGGAGGCTTGAAGATTGTGGCTCTTCGTAGACGACGAGAGAACATGCGGAAACTTGGTGACGCCATTCGTCAATTGTGGGAAATGGTTGAGTCTGTAACGCGCTGTGAAGAGTATCTCGAGAAAGGGGAAGTACAAGACGCCCTAAGCACCCTGGTCAGTGTGGAATGTCTCATGGCTGGTCAGCGCAGGGAAACCGGAGATAACAGGTCAGACGTACATCGATTGAAGTCTGAGCAATTGATTGACTTAAGAGGGATCAACGCTCTGCAAGGCTCAGATGATGAAATAGCTTATCTGCGGCAGAAGATAGGAAAGACATTTGAATCAAGGTTCTTAGACGCTCTCCTAGGTGACTTGAGGAGGCATGTCGACTCTACGATCCCAAAAACTACCCTGGAGAGATGGGATAACGCATATCAGCGCTCGCGAGGTATGCACGGTAGGAAGCCATCAATATTTCCTACGTATCTTCACATGGACGATACGCTGCGTTCTACTCTGCAGGTGAATCTCGACGGCTTGGCAAGGTGCGATTGTCTGAAGCAGGCAACCACAGCATATCGAGACGCATTGTGGAGAGAGATCAAGGTCTTGATAAAAAGACATCTACCAAGCTCAAGCGATGATGATATGGAATCGACCATTTCGGCATCCACCCAGGGAGGGCGGCGACTGACTCAACAGGAGAAATCAAGCCTTCTTGCTCGGCATCTTCGGGACTTAGCACCTGAAGAGGCGGAAGACATGCTACAAAAGATCTATGCGAATGTGGGTGAGGCTTTGAGAAGGTTGAGCACTCAAGTCAAGTTGGTGTTAGATATCACGAGCACTTTCAGTGCGTCTAGCCGAGGTGCTTCAGCATCCCTGGGGAGTCCCTCGCTACCAAATACGGATGTCAGTAAGAATTTGGCGGTAGCACAATTACCTCCTCGGGTCTCCTTTGACCAGGAAGATATCCAGCAGACTCTGGATATGTCAAACCTTCTGGGCCAGGGCGTAGATATCGCTCAAGCTCAAATTACTAAAGTTTTGAAAGTTCGATCGGAACAAAGCACACAGCTCCCATTAAGACTCTTTCTAAGATATTTTAATCTGAACAGGCTCTTTGCCGATGAATGTGAGGCTACTTCTGGCCGAGGGGGCACAGCACTTAAGACTGTTGTGAATGCGCACATCCAAGATTTTGTAAAACGTGCTAGTGATGCTGCCAGGCAAAAGCTCATCGACAATCTCGACCGCGACAGATGGGACGCGAAAGATTTTTCGGAAGAGCATAATGAAATGCTCACTGACATCATCACAGCCAGCACCCGAGATGTTGGGAGATGGTCCGTAGGTAGCTTGGTATTTGCCGAAAATCTCGAAGAGCAGGATAGTAGACAATCGCCTAATGGATACCTGCCGAATGGTGCAGAACAGACGGTCAAAGATAGGATACGAAGTGCTATCATCGACGAACAGAAGTTCATCCTCCCCGATTCAGCGTTAGTATTACTGGAGGGCATCAGTCAATTTGAGCAGATCATTACCGGAATTCCAAGCATGACGCAGGAGCTCACGACATCACTGCTTGAATATCTCAAATTGTTCAACTCCCGATCCTCTCAATTGATCCTTGGAGCGGGCGCGACTCGAAGCGCTGGCTTAAAGAACATAACAACCAAGCATCTAGCACTCGCTTCTCAAACGCTTAGTTTCGTTACAGCTCTTGTACCATATATGCGCGAGTTTGTTCGTCGGTATCAGACCAACCCTCAGGGTCTGATGATTGAATTTGACAAAGTGAAGCGACTTTATCAAGAGCATCAATCCGGCATCAGTGACAAGATGGTCGATATTATGAGCAATCGCGCCTCGACTCACGTTAGTGCGATGAAGAAAATCGACTGGGATGGGCCGTCGACCAATGCTGCCGTCAGCCCATATATGGAGACTCTGATAAAGGAGACGACGACTCTTCACAAAGTACTTAGCAAGCACTTGCCGCAAATGACCATTCAGTCAATCATGGATCCAGTCTTCAACAGCTATCGAGAACAGTGGCACCATGCCTTCGACGAAATAGAGGTGAAGACTGAAGCCGGCAAAGAACGGATTCTCAGGGATCTAGACTTTTTTAACTCTCGAATGAGCAAACTCGACGGCGCTGGTGACATCGGGAGAGACGTTGTCGATCTTGTCAAAAGCAAACCTGTCTCCAACGGGAAACCCTCTCTCGAGAGCCAGACTGAGGCGGGTCCTCCAATTCCTAACGGAACAATAGACCTACCAAAGGACGGTCTTCAGGACGGTCGAGCTTAGCACTGGGCTAGTTTGGGTTGGTGTGGCATCAAGGGCATCGCACTATAATCCATTTTCATTCCCTTTGACCCGCTTAATTTGAGAGGTTTCTGTTACTTTAGCGTATTCGTCATTCTAGCGAGGCGTTTGGGGATACAGGAAGCATAGATAGCTCAGGAAGGGAAGAAGCCACGAGGCAATTATGTATGTTGTAGGCTTGGGGTATCGGCGACAATGAACGAATGCTAATCAGGTGCTATGCTACGCTTTTACGCGAACGTGATATTCTTTTGCCAGACATCACTTACTCCTCTTATAAATCTTATTCAGGAAGCTCTCAAAGACTCCCTTCTTTAGGCCTTCACTCTCGTCAATGGAAGCGATCATCTGCCTGATCCTTGCAACCTCCTTTTCCTCAAAGTCGAGGTACCTTTGAGGTAGGTCCAATTCTTTGAAGACCTGCTTCACCTTCAACTCCTTCTCTTTGTCTTTCCTACCATAGTTTTCCTCCAGTATTGCCTTCTGGCGAGCATCACATAGCGGCAGCGCCTCATTAATCGCCCAACCACATTTGTTCTCCTGAATGTCGGTCCCAATCTTCCCAATCTCCTCCGGACTACCATAAACATCAAGATAATCGTCTTGTACCTGGAAGTATACTCCCGTTGCTATCAAAATATCATGACTCTGGTCCCAATTCTTGGTTGTGGCCAAGCGAAGGTAGAATAGGGCTAGCGCTACAGGTAGTCCGAAGCTATAGTAGGCAGTCTTGTATGTCATAATGAACTTGCTCTTCTCGTAGGTAAATTTACTCAGGTCTACGCGATCCTCTGGGGCGATCAACAGATCGCACAGTTGACCTGCCTCTGTTTTCATTGTCACTTCGTGGAATAGCTCAAGAAGATCGACGTAGCTCTCGTGCTGCCTGAAGTATTTTTTCAAGAGCACGTATATCGCTGATTCGAGCATGAAGGCGTCATTGATGGCTACCATGCCCACTTCCGGCCGCCGATACCAGCAATCTGCGCCTCGTCTGGTGTGAGAGGAGTCCATGATGTCGTCTGAGACGAGGAAGAAGGCTTGCAGTAGCTCTGTAAGCCATCCTAGAGTAGCAAGATGGGTGTATTCCGTCTGGTTGAGCGGTCTATCGAGGAGAATGGAGGCAGTATCGAGAACGGCAAGACCTCGGTTCAGCTTACCATTTGCGGTGTTGTATTTGAGGGACTAGAAGGGTTTGAGTGAGTCAGATGGCACGAAAGGGTCAATTTACTTCTTGAAACCATTTCAAAGCATCTTCCGGTAAGTTGTATTGCTGTACGTGCTCGGAAACGTCTTTGACAAGGGTGGGGAAGAAGGCCTCAAAGTCGGAGCGTGACGCTCTTTGTGCCATTGATCAGCAGCTTAGGGGAGAAGGGGTTGCTAGACCGGTCTATCAGTGCAACAAGAGAGCAGATGAAGGGATTGAGCCGTCTCGTAGAGATTATTTAAGTGCCGAAGCAAAGAAGGTATTATCTTCATTCTATACTGCTTTGGCTTTGCCCCTTGCGTCGGTTCGCACCGTGGCCGTGCCGAAGTTGTCTCTATAATTGGATACCTTATAAGGCACCACACCGTGTAATTCTCCTTTCAACACTCACACACCACAGCGCTAGCTTCATAATTGGCACTATAATGGTCGGTTAGGTTTCCTAGGAAGTAATCAACACACCACAGCGTCTGACTGTTTGGACTTATTACGTTTGATTCGGTTTGATGCAATCTTTTAAACACACCAAAAAGGCTTCCTGGCATATGGGTATCTCGATACTTAGCCTCTGAACTGGCAAAAGTCATCTTAACTAGGGACACTCTGTCATGTCGGCTTTGAACAAAGCTCACGCTGAGAACATTCGAAACGCGCTATTGGAAGCTGTTGTAAAGTGCTCCGAGCGCTGCCTCTATCAATCTGCAAAATGGTATGATGGTCGCCACGGCATTCATGCCGAGATAGCACCGTCTGACTGACCTCAGGGCCGCAGAGCTCGCTTCTTCCCTTCCTTCCTTGGAATCGAGCAACTCTTCGTTTGACACCGATGTGGACTCGCCCATGCAGGATGCCGATGTTCCCCCTCAACGTCCTTCTGTCCTCTCGTCAAATACTGACCCCGAGGAAGCAAGACTAGAAGCTCACGAGCTTCCAAAGTACCTTTTGGCCAAATCTTATTTTGACTGCCGCGAGTTTGATCGATGTGCCGCTGTATTCCTGCCCTTGAACAGCTCACCAAATTCACTTACCCCCAGATCGCCCAATTCCATCATGCACCAGAGCAATAAGGCAGCTAAAGGGAAGTTCAAAGAGTCCAGTCAGGGTTCGAGGCGTAAGTCGTCACTACCTGGCAATGCATTACCCTCCTTGAGCCAAAAGTCATTATTTCTCGCTCTTTATGCAAAGTACATGTCCGGGGAGAAAAGGAAGATGGAAGATAGCGAAATGGTACTTGGACCAGCTGACGGTGGCTCTACAACCAATAAGGAGCTTTTTGGACTGGCTCGAGTACTTGAAGACTGGTTCGCAGATCGAGCTTCAAGGGGACTGGATGACAGGACCCAAGGTTGGATGGAATACCTGTACGGCATGATCCTTGCGAAAAGCAAGACGGAAGGCAGTGCAAGAAAGTGGCTGGTCCGCAGTGTCAATCTCTTCCCTTACAATTGGGACGCTTGGCTTGAACTTGGAGAGCTAGTAAATAATGCCGAAGAGCTTCAGGAGCTTGAGCCAGCTCTGCCTCGAAACCTGATGACCTTGATTTTTCGTCTGTATGAGAGACAGGAACTTTATCAATCTAACGAAGCCATCCACGGGGAGCTGAATGAGTTAGAGCGGGTGTTCACTGACAGCGACTTCCTAAAGACACAACGTGCGTTACTCCACTACCACGACAAAAACTTCGATGAAGCGGATGCAATTTTCTCAGCACTGCTTACCACTTCTCCACATCGTATTGACTACCTCGATCATTACAGCAATATTCTTTTCGTGATGTCAAATAGGCCAAAACTTGCTTTCCTTGCTCAAATAGCTACCGCCACCGATAAATTCCGGCCGGAAACTTGCTGTGTGATTGGCAATTACTACTCGTTGAAGTCCGAGCATGAAAAAGCTGTCATCTATTTTCGGCGGGCATTGACCCTAGACCGCAATTTCTTGTCTGCTTGGACGTTGATGGGCCACGAATACGTTGAAATGAAGAACACGCACGCTGCCATCGAGTCTTACCGACGCGCTGTCGATGTCAACCGAAAAGACTATCGTGCCTGGTTTGGTCTGGGTCAAACATATGAGATTTTGGAGATGCATTTCTATGCATTATTCTACTTCCAGCGTGCTGCAAGTCTACGGCCATCAGACCCGAAGATGTGGCAAGCTATGGGACAATGCTATGACAAAATCGATCGACCAATGCAGGCGGTCAAGGCCTACAAGCGCGCCTTGGCCCAAGGGTCATACTATGAGACTTCTTCGTCCTTCGGGTCTGGATCTAGCGGAGAGCGCGTTGCTGGAGCAATGGATCCAGAAATATTGTTTCAAATCGCTTTGCTTTACGAACGGCTCGAGCAACTCAAGGAAGCGGCGTCATACATGGAGCTTACCATGGCCCAGGAAAACCCGCCGGTTGATGATGAGGATGACCAATTGGATGATGAGAGCAGAAGCGGAGGCAACGGCCCCACAGGCACCACCAGCAGAGCCAGAATGTGGCTTGCTAAGTGGGAGCTGGCTCAAGGTGGGTGGCAGAGGGCTATAACATTAGGTGAAGAGCTGTGTGAAGATGGCGTGGAGATCGAAGAGGCGAAAGCTATCATCAAGACCGCAAGAGATAGAATCGGTGCACAGCGTGAAGAGCGTTGAATGAATGGTAGAAGGGCGTAAAGTTCGGGCAATGCTGGTGTTTTCAGGCTTTTGCCTTCACTATGCTGAGTTGCCACAGCACTTCCCAGCGCAAGAAATCCTCTTCACGCACTTACGCCTGGCCTTACGTCAATTTGACATTTCCGTAACCGCTTGATTCACCCCAGACTGCAGACACACTGACAGCAACAAGAGGAAGCACGAGAGGGACAGGCTTCAATTACAAATCCATCGCTGACCTTGACCAACTCACCCTTGCCTGCGGTGGCGCTTCCAGGGAGGCAGTTGCGTTGAGCCTATCCGTAAGCTATCCACCGGGCGAGGCTGGAGGGGGCGGCCACACCAATGTCTTGGCGCGCTAGCCGCATTCAGGAACCACTTTACGCGTCCGCGGTGTGACGCGTCTCGGCACTCTTTGCAAATGAGAAAGATCTTTGCGTCGATAGTCAATCCTTACGAAGCGCAAAATGGATACCCAACGACCTTACTCTTTGAGCGTGCTCGCACCAGACCCAGATGCGCGAGATGACTCCAGAGTTCAAATACAGCAGGAATTGCGTGACTTCGTCCTCGAGTTTCGGCTGGATAATGCATTCATCTATCGGTGGGTAGGGTACGGCGATCTCGAAGACACAGACTGATTATATTAAAGAGATCAAGTTCGAGAGAACGTACTCGTCAAGCAATTCTTTTGCGATGTAGACATTGCACACATCATCTCATACAACGAAGAATTAGCCCACAAGCTTACCACTCAGCCAGCAGAGATCATCCCACTCGTCAGTCCACTCCATGAAGAACGTTTGAAATGATACTCAAGAGACAACAGTTCGAAGCGGCACTTAAAGAATGTACACATCGAATCGTGTTCCCCGCCCTAAAAGCCAGCGAAATAGATATACCCGAACACCAGCTTCTTCTCCACTACTCCTCAGTCTCTCAGATCTCTATACGCGATCTTAACGCTACCAACATCTCCCATCTCGTACGCATTCCGGGCATTGTCATCGGTGCTTCCACACTTTCCTCAAAATCGACTGCCCTTTACATACAATGCAGAAACTGCCAGCATCCAGAAACATTGAGCGTGAGTGGAGGAATATCAGGTATTTCGCTCCCAAGAGTTTGCTCACGAAAACGCACTGCTGGTGACCCGACGGACAAATGCCCCTTGGATCCCTACTTCGTTGTACACGAGAAATGCCAGTTCATAGATCAACAAATTTTGAAATTGCAAGAAGCGCCCGACCAAGTACCTGTGGGTGAACTGCCCCGGCACATCAAGATCTCCGCCGACCGATACTTGACTAATCGCGTTGTCCCTGGATCAAGATGTACGGTGATGGGTGTGTTCTCCATTTATCAGAACAAAGAGTCAAAATCTTCCGGAAACTCAGCCGTGGCCATTCGGACCCCATACCTTCGAGCCGTTGGAATTACTACTGACGTCGATCATACGGCCAAAGGAAATGCTATATTTTCGGAAGAAGAAGAGCAAGAATTTTTGGAAATGAGCAGACGGCCGGATCTGTACGAGCGATTCGCCGAGTGCATTGCTCCCTCTATCTATGGGAATAAAGACATCAAGAAAGCGATCGCTTGCCTGTTGCTAGGAGGCTCTAAGAAGATTTTGCCCGATGGCATGAGATTAAGAGGCGATGTCAATGTTCTTCTTCTTGGTGATCCCGGTACAGCAAAGTCACAGCTCTTGAAATTTGTCGAAAAAGTTGCCCCTATAGCCATCTACACATCTGGTAAAGGATCTTCGGCAGCTGGTCTTACAGCTTCTGTGCAAAGAGACACGAACACGCGCGAGTTCTACCTCGAAGGTGGTGCTATGGTCCTCGCCGATGGCGGGGTAGTCTGTATAGACGAATTTGACAAGATGCGAGATGAAGACAGAGTAGCCATACACGAAGCAATGGAGCAACAGACAATATCAATTGCAAAGGCCGGCATAACGACAATCTTGAACGCAAGGACATCAGTCTTGGCTGCGGCAAATCCGATCTTCGGTCGTTATGACGATCTGAAGTCGCCTGGCGAAAATATTGACTTCCAAACGACCATTCTCTCCCGGTTTGATATGATCTTCATCGTACGAGACGAGCATGAGAAAGGGAGAGACGAACGCATAGCGAAGCACGTCATGGGCATCCAGATGGGTGGACGCGGTATGGAGGAGCAGGTGGAGGCTGAGATTCCAGTGGAGAAGATGAAGCGATATATCAGTTACTGCAAATCGTAAGTCCAACGTTCCTTGCCGAAAGCCCCTGGAAAGACCAGCAACTTACAAAATTGCCCTTATGCAGACGCTGTGCGCCCCGCCTCTCCCTCGAAGCCTCAGAAAAGCTCTCCTCACATTTCGTCTCCATCCGCAAACGGGTCCACGCCGCAGAAATCGCTTCGAATACACGCTCTTCTATCCCCATCACCGTCCGTCAACTGGAAGCCATCATCCGTATCACCGAATCTCTCGCCAAACTGTCTCTCTCTGTCACGGCAACCGAAAGTCACGTCGATGAAGCCATCCGTCTCTTTCTAGCCTCGACTATGGATGCTGTGACTCAAGGCGAGGGACAAGGGAGCAGAGAGTTGATGGAGGAGGCTGGCAAGGTGGAAGAGGAGTTGAGAAGGCGGTTGCCGATAGGGTGGAGCACGAGTTTGGCGACCTTGAGAAGGGAGCTGGTGGATGGACGAGGGTACAGTGAGGGTGCGCTCGCGCGGGCGCTGATGATGTTGCAACGGCGGGAGAGTGTCCAAATACGGAATGGGGGAAGTCAGGTGCATCGGGCTGGTCCTTGAGGCGCAGGATTCGGACCGTTTTTTCGCGTGTATGCTAAACACGCCGTTGTCGCGGCGTTCAAGCATGGTATGGCAGATGCAGGATTGCGTTGTCCCGCAGGAATCGATAATAATGCCGGCTAGGATGCTTACGTCTGTAACATGAGGTTTTGGCGGCTTTGACAAACAAGATTATGCAGGCTCGCACGTTAATTGCATGAGGCGATGTCTCCTGTGTGAGCAATGTACAAGGGCTTGCAGGAAAATGCGGACTTCGTATGGCTGAGACAGTTGGTGATGTCCATGGACCTTCCATACCCGTCTTCAAGCATTCATTCCACGACCATTCTAACCTTGAGCAAACCCTTCTCGACGATTCCGCCGTCTTCGCTATGGATCCCTGCATATCCCACGTCCCCTCCACCACTCTCCGACCTCATGCATGCACCACACGATTGTGTCACCGGCAAGGCCCGTGTTTTATTGAGCACATGGTGCCAATATTTGGGCATATTCACGGCCAGCTCCGTTATCACGCCTCCTTGATGCGATGTGTAACCTACTAGACCTTAGCTGGCATGTTCGGCGTTGAGAACCAGAGCAAAGCCGGCTTCGATGTCTGGTAAGCACTTAAGCCTCGTACGATGTGGGGTGCACCGCGGAAAGCGACGTTGATGACTTTTTAATGGTGTGCTCAGACTCGAGCACCAGGAGACAGACGCCGCGGATGTCGACATTTCATATCTTCCAGCTGCAGAGTGACCAAGTTCGACATTTTCCATGGGGGTTTTCAATGTGGACTTTTGAATGGTATGAAGTAAATAGGGCTCATGAAAAGACATATATTTCTGTGACAGGAATTCTATGACAAGAAAAGGAGCCAGAGCCGGAGCCTTGTCAAAGCGGAGTTCACTTTTTGGGCTAGACTTATCATCAAATAGAGGAAGGGAAAAGCAAAATAGCAATTGCTCAAGCATGGTAACGCAGAAGATAACTCAAGATATTGTTCAGTTGACGGAAATTGCGGGACCATACTCAATGCGTATACCACATGAGGCCGTACTAACCCATTTTCTGGGTTTGGATTGGCGGGCAATTTCGAGGCGGCGCTATTCACAATCACATCCCAACAAGGGGAAACTGAGAAGGCTCTGACCGTAGCATCTACGCTCTTAGCGTCTTCTACTTCAAGACTGACTTTGAAGACTTGAGGCCGTGGTTTGCCAGCTCGTTAAGCAGCCCGATGGATTTCTCCATCAAGCCTCGATATGGGAGATCTTGCTCCTATCACGATTCCGACAGTGCCAGCTTTGGTATATGCCATGGAGATCGCTTTGCCAATCCTTACTAAAGGGTGGTTGAGATTGAACACAAAGCTTATCGGATACGTCTGATGTTTTCGAAGATCACGGGCGGTGAACAAGGAGGGCAGCTAAGTGTTCTGCTCACCGATGCTCCTGATATCAACAAGTATGTGCCGCTACGACCGGGCTTTTTCGGAGTATTGATTGCAGCATACGACTTGGTTCGAATAGTGGGAGTAAGTTCGTTGCCTGCTCTCAACTCTATTAGCCTCAGTGGTTTTTCCCTTATGATTTTCTCACAGTTTCGGAGGGTCTAGATCGTTCGAAATCAGGTATTCCAGGGCCACCATCGCTCTGATTTGCTTCTTACTTTTCACTAATGCTGGGGGTGTCATACCGAGTCGTTCAGGCCAATCCTGCGTGGGTAATGCACGTCGCATGGGACGGCTACATGGCTAAAAGAGAGGGTGCAAGCTTACGCTATATATTGGTTAACGAGGGCGTGTCCTCAGATTTAACTGGCCTTTCGGATTCTGACGGAGATGCACGGCGTTAAAGCAGCTTCCTACATCCAATGCTACTGCTAGATTGCAGCCTGCAAGCAATGAAAAGCAAGGTCCTTCGGTTCGGCAAAGTCGAATGCCAAGAAGCCCATCCCAACCTCCAAACCTCACCTTGGCTCTGTTTGATCTCCCATGCTAAAGCATGACGATCAATTGGTCATGTCGTGACCGATTCCACAACGCAGTCACCGCTCGCGGCCGTTCCGTGCTCAGACCAAAGGCTCTGTTCTCGAGCTCTGTTCACGAGCAGACCTCAGGACGGTAGCCGAGGGAGGATCGTCAGTGTCACTCCTCGTGATGGCCCGGATTTCCTGCACCAAGATCAGGATTGGCAACTCAAGCCACGTGCTTGGGCGATCCAGTGATGCCTAACGACCGATCCACAAACCACCGCACTGTACTATACGAAAGAAGCCAATGCTTAAATCAGGGTAATTCGGAGACTTGTTCGGTCGAAGCCGCTTCCATATCTTCCCCCCACCTACTAAATTTCTTCTAATGCATGTGCTCGCCGATCATGGCTTCGTAACCTGCAGGAAGTGGCGTAATATCACATGACGGGCCTGAGCATGCAATCAAGGCACCAATACCCAGCTGCTTCGACGACGCCCGGAGTGCTCCCGAAGCAGAAGATGGAGCTTCACAGCCGGCAGCAAACACTGTAGCGGCAAACTCGGTGCACAATGGCTAGTCAGAGGCAGTTGGGGAGTACGTCCAAGATGAAATCTGGGATCGATTAGGGATCTCTTTCACCCCGAGGGATCGACTTGCCAACATCTCCATAGCGTATCAGAATTAGACCTCTGATCGAGACTAGGGGCTTCCAGTCTATTGCACTTCCCTTTCACCACTTGTGCACGTCTGACAGCTGGGGAGGAACTTTAAAACAAAACGCTAAAAATGCTAGAATATGCCGTTTATCAGTGTTTGCTGCAGCCGAGGGACAATTGGCCTTGTTGCAGGGAGAACCAGCTTCGTTTACAGGTCTTGTCTGTTCTCACCTCACCCGTACTTCTTATTTTGGAAAATTGTCACGCAGCTCGATTGTCTGACCTGAATGCCAAAGGTGTGTGTGGGGGCTTAGTACCCACCCAACTCATGATGCTGGAGCAAATTTGTGCCGAGTTCCTTCTTGCTGACTCCTGAAAAAATACATGGCCTGGTATTTAGTCTGATTCATTGTTTCATCACGCTTGTGAGATGGCCGTGATCTGCCATCTGAGAAGGCCGCTAAACGGAATGCTTCTTCCAATCCTTTTTGCACCCTCACGCTAACCACTTGACCAACTGACCGTAGGGACAGTCACATATAATGCAGTAAGATGCATTTCCGAGCCTGTCCCAAGTGGTTCGGATACGTGAATCTGTTTTTGAGCTATCCACCAAAATATTCTAAACACTTCCCTTTCGATTGTCAATGGCAATTGGTGTGGCACTCATTGAAGCTGAAAAGTCCTTCGGAGATGGTACAGTCTTTTCATCCCACACAATATACCTTAATACCCCGTCTCCTTCTCTTCACGCTGCTGATAGCTGCACTCTTCCAGAGCATTTATCCGCTATTAAAGCTACTGAGGAACTCGAGCTAAAAGCGGTCTATTCCTCTTCTCAGGTGGACGCTGAGGAGCTTGCAGCAGAGAATGGTGATGTTGACGCCTTTTTTGACTCCCCAAATGAGCAACAGCGTTCATTCGACGCGCTCCTTTGCAGAAAGGACATTGGGGCATTTATCATTACTCTGCCCCTGAATTTGCAAGCAGATAACATCCGCCGAGCACTAAAAGCAGAAAAACATGTTCTGAGCGACGCACCAATTGCCAAGGATGTTGAGACGGCTAAGAAGCTTCTGGAGTGGTACGCTGACCGCAATGGGCATGCCTTGTGGAGCGTAGGTGAGAGTTACCGCTTCAAAGATACCATTCTTTTTGGCGGGTATCAGTTGAAAAGGCTCGACGGGGCTGTTCAAACATTTACATTAAAAATGTATGCCATGGCCAAGGAGGATGATAAACTCTATCAATGTTTAGCGTGAGTGTCATCTCAACTGTGTTGTATTGTTGTATGTAAGATTCTGATCCACGTTGATTTTGGCAGGCGCCAAGACCAAGGGGAACACGGAGGCTTCGTACTTGATGTTGGAGTCCACTTTGTCGCAGCCGTCCGCTTTCTTTTATCTTCAGCGAACGCAACGATTACTCAAGTCGCCGCATTCACCTCACTCCTTCGACCAGAGTTCTCCTCGACTGACACTGCAAACGCCGCCTTGCATCTCTCCAATGGCAATAGCGGAACAATGAGCTTATCATTCGGCACTGAGTTTGACTCGGCCTTCGAGATTCACATCGTAACTGATAAAGGTGCCGTGATGGTGACAGACCGGCGCGTTACGGTGATCAAGGATGGTGAGGAAGAAGACACTGAGCAGGAGATCAGACGGGATTTCCCTCACGAAGATTTATCCCTGAAGCGAGAGCTCGCCGTTTTCGCAACAGGCATTCTCAAGGAAAAAGAGATCGAGAGGAGAGGACTTCCTCAAGAATCGCTTGCAGACCTGAAGCTCGTCCAGGCAATGATCGAGAGCGGCGAGGAGAACGGAGCTGTGAAGGCCGTCGACTAAAGCATGAAGCTTCCCGCTTTCTCCTTCCTCCTTTTCCCATCGACGCGTCGACGGAAGCTAGAATCTTCCAACAATATGCTCCGACATGTCTGATGGCACTTGTTCTGACACGCAATTAACCATACTAGCATGACGGGCACGGTATAAACATTTTCGGTTATCTTCATATTAGCAACACGGGGCAACCTGCATTTTGAAAATTTAGTGGGCTTTTTGGCAACATATAGCAATACGTCGTGATACTAATCTTCCTCCTTGTTAAGACTTCGACACGACATTTATGCTATTTTCGCTTATTTTATTTAATGGTTGTTAGTTAAATCAAAGGCTTTTAATTTAAAGTCTTTCCTGCATCTCTTTGAACAGGTCAGAGAGTATTTGATTCCCTTCATTTTATCTTCTTGAGTAATACAAACCGAACTTAAAGGGAGGGATTCGCCTACCTTTACATGCATGATGATTCTGCAGATCCTTTGCTCTTGACTTGCTTCTCTTTTCAACACGGCTAGAAAAATATTCTCGCTTCAGTGAAATCTGTTCCTGGCCGAAGACTTTCTGTTTTGAATAGCGTGAGATGCGGTTGCACGGTGCTTTAATGGTAGGTAGCAGACAGTGAATCTCGCTCAATATTGATAACCTTGTAACAACGCAATGATTCAGAGCAATCAATCAGATCGTCAGTAGCCCCTCAGGTCAGATCCCTGTGACATAGTCATTTCCTGAGATCTATCTCCAACCTCTAAGCAGCGTAATTCTAAATGTGTATCATTACTAGCACAGTACATCTAACAGACAAGAAAGACCACCGAACGATAGCTCTAGATAGATTTATCGCCCCTTTCTCGCATCGAAGTCTATGCTAGCGCTTTCAATTCTTCAGGCTCCTGCGCTGGAGTCATGTACTCCGTCTTCTGTCTGCTCAGGTCTGATGGGGGAGGGGGCATGTTGAGTTTTTCTGGCAGAACACCGTTCGGAATTGTCCCATTCATGTTTGTTGAGGTAGTGGTAGATGATACAGGCGCTTCTGTTTTAGCAATTTCGATTGGAGGCGCTTCGATGGATTTTCTCAGACTCGAAGGTCGGTTCGAATGTGACGAGCCAGGTGCAGGCACCAAATGTGAGAGCTGGGAGTGAGGAACAGGCTTGCCGGTGCCAGTAGTTGTTACCGAATGCAGGGAAGAGGGAGCAACGCTTGCTTGAGTATTCATGCGTGAAAGGCGCTCTCTGTGGGTGGTTGTGCGCGCAACAAGTCCGTGTAGTGTCGCTAAAGGCTCTTGCCTCTCTTTACCATTAATGCTACCAACGCCTATGGCGAACATCTCCCCATCTGCGCCCTGTGCCGCCCACCGCACGGGGGAAGTAAGTAGAAAGCGCTCAGCTTCTTCACCCGGTGGTATGGTGAGATGTTCCCGCAGCTCAGGGTCAAGATTGGGTAGATCGCCGCATTGGAAGTCAAGCTGACCGCCATACTTCTTCGGAATATCTTTTATGTCGATGAATTGAGTCAGGGTTGGAAGTACTTGATGTTGAGACAAGACAAAGATCTTGGACGTGGTGATGGGGTCGAACCAGCGTTTGATCCAACTCCAGACGGTAGGGAAAAATGACGGGGCGCCTAAAATCTGACCCAACAGAATTAGAAAGCTTGATGGGAAAGCAGGCTGACGAGATAGCAAGTCAACTTACAAATATGCGATCGAGGGTTTCCGGATAATGAGCCGTAGCCAACTGGCTTGCATCCTGCATGTGATTCTTGAGATTCCAAAATTGCTTCAATCCAACTCTCGATATGTCTACTATATTGTTGGATTGATCCACCGGGGTCTCCTGGTACGGTCGGCCCGGAGCAGCAGTACATAATGGCATGACGAAGCGGGTGAGATTCTCGTACAGAGCGAAAAGACGGAGCATTCGCGATGGCGCCGAGCCCTTGGCCTTTGTTTTGGAGGTGGAGGAGGAGTATGCCAACATCTTCTTTGCGTCCAGTTTGCCAACTTCGTAGAGATATAGGGGAATACCGCGCTTGTCTCTCCGCCCTGTCCATTGGGGATACTTTTAAAGAAGCATCAGCTGCAAGGAGCGCGCAGGATAGGAGTCACAAAGCTTACCACACCACGTGATTCTCGGTAGTCTTTGATATCAATTTTCTCATACAAAGCTTGCAGATCGTTCTCTTTCCGCCAGAGCTCGGTGTCTTTAAACTGGATGAAGGCATCTTGCGGGACGAATCTCCGAGCTCTTAGAAATCGCCTACATCGAAGTCAGGAAAAGGGCCTATCAGATGGAGACTGTAGCAGACTGACACCAACTGTGCATCATCATGACTTGCTAATGCCCCAGCAGCTGCAGGCTTGTAGAAACCCTCTTTGGCGCATAAATCTTTAAAGGCCACAAATGCAGCTTGCTGCTTCTCAGTCAAGTGACCCAGATGACCTCTCAGCCAGACCTCTGCTTTGGCTGCATCTGCGCTAGGCGGGCCTTGTTGATTAGAAGGGGGACGAGAAATGGTGCTCGACCCGCGGGAGATGGTAGGTGCTATTGGTTTTGTAGACATGAAGACGTAATATGATGCTCGTCCCACCTGGAAGGTAGACAAAGCGAGATTGAACTGCTGAGAGTGAAGAATGATCAGTGAGAAGGAGAATGATCGCTAGTTCTGGACATATACAGCAATGTCCAACGCGAGCTAGTGACCATTATTGGGCGTTCTTTGTCAGCACTAGGACTAGGACTATCCCCGGCTCCGGTCCGAGTGACTGACATCACTTGCATAGTTCTACGAGTAGACTCAACGCAGAGACTCACGAACTTTGGTGTGAGCGTGAGTCACCATGATTGTTTACTTGCATGCGCTCCTTGAGCTGCTAGATGTCGACGCCTTTCTTATGGCAATCTTCTGTTCTGGATATGCTGGTGTGGGCCTTCTGATTCAACCTGTTGCGCTAAATAGGGGCCACCCAAGCGGCCCTAAGTCCTAAGCTACCTTACCTGTCCACCCGACCTTACCTGCATAGCTGCATAGCTGCATGGCAGTCAGAGCCAGTGTGCTTGGAGAGGACGGAGCTCATCCACACGCAGGATTCTTAGCTTCCATCTGTTGCTCACTAAATCTCACAAGCCGCATGTCACGGCATGCCCCACCTTCCACCATGCGAGGATGTGCTTCCAAAGAGCAATTGACAGCTTGTCACATTTACAGAAACTTATTGAGGTGAATGCAACGTGTGTGGGTAGACACACACTCTGTTTCCATAGTCATTTGTGGATCAAGCTGGTCCCCCTTGAAATACTCTTTGGACTTTAGTATTCTGCAACTTCATTGAGGCTTTTCCTGTGCGTTCTTTGCGTGGTAATAATTGCATTGGCTTGCGTCTTCATTGTGAAACATGGCAACGGAACCTGTACCTACTGCCCCAGACCGCACAATTGAGGCCGACCCGGACCTGTTCGACGGCTCTGACTCCAGCCTTGGAGATGACGCTGCGAGTTCGAGATACACACAGTCTCTGACGAGTAGCATCGAGAGGTATCCAATTGAGAATGGGCGACAATATCACGCGTACAAGGACGGCAGCTATGGTAAAGCTATAAAAAGACGTCAAAGGTTGAAGCTTACATCATAAATAGTCATGCCCAATGACGAGTCCGAGCTCGACCGCCTCGATCTTACACATAACATGTTGAAAATCTCCATGGGAATGCAACTCTTCAACGCCCCCATCGTTGATACCCCGAAGAGGATACTTGATCTTGGGACCGGTACCGGTATTTGGGCCATCGAGATGGCTGATGACTACCCTGATGCTGAGATCATTGGGACTGACCTCAGCGCTACCCAACCAACATGGTAGACTTCTGATAGTAACCCTGCTATAGTAACACACTAAGTGCGTTAGGGTGCCTGCTAACGTAAAATTCGAAATTGACGATATGGAGGAAACATGGACGTTCCGTGAGAAGTTTGATTTCATTCACTTGAGGTACTCTGGCAAAGGATCCTGGTGCTCGCACCCTTGTGCTGATTGAACTATCAAAAGGTATTTGGCAGCTGCGATAAAAGATTGGCCAGCTCTCGCAAAGAAGGCCTTTGAGAACACAAAGCCAGGTGGCTTTGTTGAGTTTCAGGATTTCGATTTGCAGTACTACTCTGAAGACGGCTCACTCAAAGAAGACTACAAGATTTATGAGTGGATTGTAACGCTCCTGGAAGCTAGCCGAAATTTTCAGCGAGAACCTTCGCCTGGACCAAATCTGGAGAAGCTCCTCAAGGACGCAGGATTTCAGAATGTGACGTCCCAGAAATATAGACTACCTATCGGCCCATGGCCAAAGGATAAGCATTTGGTGCGTTAACACACATTTCCTTTTTCACTTTGTTATCATCCTGTGAATGCATACTAACGTCTTTAAGAAAACCGTCGGGTAAGTCCAAAATATATTCGTCGCTACTCAGCTGAAAGGGTCACCAGTTCATGGAATCTCGTCCAAATTGAGGATGGTCTTGAAGGCTTCACACTGAGATTGTACACTCAAACACTGGGCTGGAAAGCAGAAGAAGTGCAGATCTTACTCGCCAATGTGCGTAAAGATCTCCGAAATCCCAAAATCCACGCCCAATTCGATTTGTGAGTTCTCGATACCTTCCGAGAAGAGTCTTTTCCCTGGCTTTGCATGCTTTTATTAATCTCAACTTTAGCTATGCTGTATATGGCCAGAAGCCCACAGACGCGTAAGCTATCGACGCTGTAGGAACAGAGGCGCTCATACAAGAATTTTACGTTCATCCTTATGATAGACATTCTTACTATCAAACGTCGATTTTCATAGAGCTTACAAATGTTTACTTGAATGTTTTCCGTCTTGTGAACCTTACTGAGGTGCTCGAGCACGATAATTACTGCTGTGGTGGCTTTTGTATTCTTTATTCCAAAACACTCATACAAGTGCTTCTTTGGCTCGAGTACACAACCACCTTCTAAATCAAGCCTAGCTTCCAGTCCTCAAATGTTGGTATGACGTCTTTTCGTTTCTATCGAATTCGTCCTTGTGCTGCAAGATATCTGCTCAACTGGAGTAACTAAGGCTATGGCGCATCTTTTCGATGTATCGGCTGCTCGCGAAGCGTTTCCAGCTCTTCAGGCGAACCATCAAATATATTTCGACAACGCTGGTACGCTATGGTGAGAAACATGATGTTTCATCAAGGTACTGACTTCGTGTCTAAAAAATAGGTGGGACACAGATCCTGGGAACTGCCTCTAAAGCGTGCATATCAAAAATCAATTACCGCCATCGAGCGAGCTGAAAGCGAGAATATAGGGTACAAGACTATCTCGAAGAAAGCAACGTCCAGCTTGGTGCCTCCTACAACGTCGCCAAACAATCGACCACGATTTATAACGAGGGTTCAGCTGCTGCAGCGTCCTACATTAACGCAAGTCCTGACGAAATCGGTAACAAGCATTTGACGTTTTCTTCTTGGACGATCCAAATCCTATCTATGAGACATTCATAAGCCTTCTGACCTAAGCAGTACTTGGCCCGTCGACAACGCAACTCTTCTCCAACCTCGCCCAAATCTTACAGTTTCCCGCAGGAAGTGAACTGGTGATCTCCCAGATTGATCACGAAGCAAATATCAGCTCCTGGGTGCGTCTCGCACGTTTGCAGAATTTCACCATCAAATGGTGGCGCCCTGAAAATGATAGTCAGAACTTGCTTCTCACTCCCGAGAATTTGCAACCTCTGCTCTCGGACAAGACGCGGATGGTGACGCTGTGCCATGCCAGTAATGTTCTGGGTGGGATCCATGATATCAAGGCGATCTCGGACTTAGTGCACAAGACCGTATCGGGTGCCATCGTCTGCGTAGATGGAGTGGCACTGGCACCTCACAGGAGCGTGAATGTAAAGGCTTTAGGGGTGGACTTCTATGCGTTCAGTTGGTACAAGGTAAAGCTTCCTGTCCTTTCATCCAAATTGATGGAGAGCCTGGCATTTTGACCGCTGCGCGAAGGTTTATGGACCACATATCGCCCTACTGTACGCTAGCTCGGAGGCAAAGGCTCGGTTGAGCACCTTAGGGCATTATTTCCATGAGGGCGATGATTTGAGCACGAAGTTGGGCTTAGCAAGCGCGAGTTATGAACTTGTTTCTGCTCTGCCAAAAGTGCTTGCTTATCTCGGTGAAAGTCAAGAGGCGAGACAGAGAAAGTGGGAAGGTATCGCGGAGCATGAAGAGCAGATGCAAAGGATATTGCTGGATGATTTGAATCAGAGGTCCAATGTGACGGTTTATGGTCATGGTGTGGCAGACAAAGAGAAGCGGGTTCCTGTGATCAGTTTTAGTGTCGAAGGGTGGAACTCGAAAGATTTGGTGGAGAAGATGGAGGGAAGAAGCAGGGTGGGCTTTAGGTGGGGCCACTTCTATAGTAAAAGGCTGGTGGAGGAAGTTCTTGGGTTGGAGAAGATTGGCGGGGTTTTGAGGGTGAGTCTGGTGCATTATAATACCGAGGAGGAAGTGAAAGAGTTCTTGAGAGATTTGACTGCAATTTTGGGAGACACAACAAAAGGGTAGATGATGAAGCACGGCTTGCTGGAAGTCAGTGACTCGTCGAGATCAAAGACACCCAGAAAGCTGGTCAATGGTACCGTGTTTTGTTTTTCTGATCAAATTGTCAAAGTTTCTTTGAAGACTTGCAAGATACTGTCGAGGTGCTTGTCACGGGCTTTCTCAAACGGCGTCTCTTCATCTTCGTCTGCAACTTCGCGGTCGGCGCCGCTCTCAAGCAGAAGGCGTACAACGCTCTCGTGATTTCCTTCAGCTGCTAGAGCCAAAGGTGTGTTCCCTTTACCGTCTTGCGTGTTGATGTCGGCTTTCGCCTTAAGCAACATTTTCACGGGAATCTTATGACCATTCGAAGCTGCAGCTGCTAGGGCCGTCCGTCCAAGTCTGTCCTTGTTGTCTACAGACTTTATTTTGGTGAGCAGCGATCTCACGCATTTCGTATGCCCAGCTTCACTGGCTAAGAACAAGGCATCATGCCCTTTTGGAGTTTGCTTGTCCCATTCAATACCACTCTGTTTCAATAACAATTCAACACCATGCTCGTTTGATGCCTTTGCTGCAGACATGAGCGGGCTGCAAGAATCCTCATCTATGAGATTCACGTCCGCATTCGCCTTGAGGAGTACTTGCATTGATTCGTTATATGACGTCCTTGCGCATCTGCATAGAGGTGTCTCTCCGAACCGGCCGCGAGCATTGATATCTATATCTTTACGCTTCAGATGTTCAATCAGAATGTCAGTATTTTCTGTAGCGGCCATCCACAGAGGCGTCTGATGGTACAAGTTTTCGGCACGATTGACGTCAAGTTCTGGTCGTGCGAGTAAGAGCTGAACAATTCTTTTGTAATTCCCAAAATTTGCTTGTAGAAGTGGAGTAAACCCGTCGGTTGTTGCTGCATTAATGTCTATGCAATCCAATTTGAGAAACTCTTCGACAACACTGTCATGCCCATGAGACGCTGCCTATGATGAAGGTTTATTCAGCTGGGATTGCAAAGAGGCAAGTGAGTTGATGAAGGTAGTCAATTAAAAGAGACTTTGAGGCAGGCAGGAGGTAAAGATTTCAAAAGTTACACACCTTGAAGAAAGCTGTCTCGCCGTGATGGTCTTGGTAATTCAAGTCTATCGACGGGCATTCTAGCAATAAATTTACTATTTCCAAAGTGCCGTTTTCCGCGGCAAAATGCAGAGGTCTCCTGCCTCCAATCGTTTCATGGCATGGATCGCCGCCTCTTTTGAGTAGGAGTTCCGATATAGCTACTTGTTTTGCATCAGCAGCACATATGAGCGTCGACCATCCGCAATGATTTTCCATGTCCGCATCCATACCCTTGTCGAGTAAGTTCCTGACTTCGTCCTCTTTACCGTGACTTATAGAACTAAAGAGCAGGTTCCTGAATCTTAAGTCTATCTGCTCCTCGATCTCGTCGGCGTCTTGGGAATTGCTACTTCTCCCTTTACGTAGGTCTGCAGCCAATTCTCTAAGGTAATCGAGATCTGGAACGCTTTCATAGCGGTAAGTCGCCTCTCGTAAGAATTCCTTGATCGAGTTTCGCATCTCGGTCTGCACAGAAGCATTAAGAGAGTCATGAAGTCGTTGCACGAAAAACGAGATATCGGCTATCAAACAATTGAAGTTGTCTTTGTCCACTGAGGCCCACCACAACCTTCTACCAGGGCTATTCTTTGCCTGTATGACTCGACCAGCTATATCCAAGCGTGATTCCGATTGAGCAAAGAGTCTTTTGAATCTCGAGGCTTCCTTGCTCGGCTTGTTGGCTGGTTTCTGTACCTTCATGTCCGCAGGCTCCTCCTCCAGAATCAAACCATACTTAGATTTGAGCGATGCTGTATCATTACATAATTTGTCAAGCTGTTGCAGAGTCTTCGCCGCCAGATCCCAATCAACCAAAGCATCCACCCGACTAGCGGGATCATGCAGACCAACCCCTTCGGCCCACTGCTCGAGCCGATATTGCTCCCAATCGAGTTTTGAGACCAGCGTCTCTGCATCTCGGTCCAGGTTACGTGCAGATGAGAGGAGAACAAATCCTTTCACGCACCCGTCAAAGACTTGTGCGGAGAATCCGACAACGCTGACCAATGCAGCAGCGGCTCCAATAGCTTCAGCCATTCTTGAGTAAAGGGAACAATGTCTCAAATTAGAATGGCAAACAACAAATCAAACGCGAACAAGAGGCAGGGTGCAGATAGCGATCGTCGATGATTGGTAGTTGCTATGCATATCGCTACAACGTCATACTCGATGAGCACACAGACATCGCAACCCGCCGAAAGAGAGATGTCAGCTCAACAGTGGGGTGACCATCACAAATTTGACAGAAATGAGGTCAAGGGAAGTTTCCTGTGGCCGCAACATTGACGCTCAACCCGTTGGCGGCGGCGGGATCACTCAGCCCTACAAAATTCTCAGTCAAGGACGATTTTTGATGCCTTTGCAACACCTGACACATGTCTGTTGCAAGACTTGTGTCGAAAGCTCGTCCTGTTTCCCTCGCGAGCTCCAATCGGCATTGGCCCACCTCTCCTCGAGTCACACTTCAGCGTAGCTCATGCCACAGACCTCAACTACCTCAAATTCCCTGTCATCCTTCAGTCCGCTTCTCTGGAACTATGGCTACCAATACCGTGGAGCGGCTGGCAGAGAATCTCCAGGCGCCACTGTTAGATGACAGATCCTATCGAGTCGTAAGGCTGCCAAATAAACTCGAAGCGCTCCTTGTGCACGATCCAGATACAGACAAAGCAAGCGCATCCGTCAGCGTGGACGCTGGCAGCTTCAGTGATGCCGACGATATGCCTGGGATGGCACATGCTGTAGAACATCTTCTTTTCATGGGCACCAAAAAGGTGAGAGCGGATGCATGCCTCCAAGTATTACGTCTCACGGTTCTATAGTATCCAGTTGAAAACGAGTACAGTCGTTACCTGACTGCACATTCCGGATACTCCAATGCCTACACAGCCTCTACACAGACGAATTATTATTTCGAAGTCTCATCCTCTTCGCAGTCGGGAGAAAACGGGGTTGTCAATGGAAATCCGCCTTCTCCCTTGTACGGCGCACTAGATCGATTCGCTCAGTTTTTCATTAGCCCTCTTTTCCTGTCCTCGACCCTTGACAGAGAACTCAAGGCTGTCGACTCAGAAAACAAGAAGAATTTACAGAGCGACGCCTGGCGTTTGCGACAACTTGATCATAGTCTGTCAAATTCAAAGCACCCGTACCATCACTTTTCTACGGGTAATCTGGAGACTTTACGTGACGAACCAAGAGGACGAGGTCTGGACATACGTAAAGAATTTATCAACTTCCACGACAAACATTATTCTGCTAACCGAACAAAACTGGTTGTGCTGGGAAAAGAGAATTTGGACGAGCTGGAGCAGTGGGTCGCCGAGTTTTTTGCCCCTGTTCACAACAAGGATCTGCCACAAAATCGCTGGGATGATGCTCGGCCGTACACGTTGGAGCAACTTGGGACTACGATCTTTGCAAAGCCTGTCATGGACTCAAGATCCATAGATTTGTCGTTCCCCTTTTTAGACGAGGAGCATTTGTACGATACGCAGCCAAGCAGGTACATATCGCATTTAATTGGTCATGAAGGACCTGGCAGCATTTTGGCCTACATTAAAGGTAAAGGGTGGGCAAACGGTCTGTCCGCCGGCGCTATGCCAGTTTGTCCAGGAACAGCTTTCTTTAGCATATCTATCCGCCTGACAGAAGAAGGACTAAGGCGGTACAAAGACGTGGTCGAAGTCGTGTTCGAATACGTCTCTCTTATCAAGGCCCAGTCCCCTCAAAAATGGATAATGGACGAAGTTAAAGGTATGGCAGAGGTTGACTTCAAATTTCGAGAGAAAACGCCAGCAAGCTCTTTTGCCAGCAGTATGAGCAGTATAATGCAAAAACCCCTGCCTCGAGAGTGGTTATTGAGTGGCTTAGAATTAATCCGCAAGTTTGATGAACCGGCAATCAGTAAAGCTATGGCTCATATTAGGCCGGACAATTTCCGTCTCACTGTAGTCAGTCGAGATTTTCCTGGTGACTGGAATCAAAAGGAGAAATGGTACGGGACTGAATACAAAGTTGAACGATTTGATGCCGCATTTATGACCGGACTTGAGAAAGCAGCGTCAATTTCTGGTGACCACCGAATACCTGATCTACACCTACCACATCGTAATGAATTCATTCCATCAAACCTTGACGTTGAGAAGAAGGAGATTGAAACACCTTCTACTGCACCGAAGTTAATCCGTAACGATGAATCGATGCGCATATGGTGGAAGAAAGACGACACGTTCTGGGTTCCTAGAGGGTCAGTGCACATCAATTTTCGAAATCCATTGCCAAATGCGACACCGGCTTGCATGATCAAGTCACGGCTGTTTTGTGAACTTGTAAAAGATGCCTTAGTGGAGTACTCATACGATGCTGAGATATCGGGCCTGGACTATCATTTATCGAATTTCCGCGTTGGCCTTGGTGTCGACATAGCTGGCTACAATGACAAGATGCCAGTACTCCTGGAAAAAGTACTACTATGCATGCGAGATCTTGAAGTCAAGTCGGATAGATTCGGCATAGTCAAGGAAAGATTGTTACGAGGATATCGAAAGTACGACTTCCAGCAGCCGTATAAACAGGTAGGAGACTATACCAGTTGGCTTATTGTAGACCAGAGCTGGATCGTCGAACACCTCATTGCAGAGCTCCAGCCCCTTACTGTCGAGGATGTCGCTACCTTCTTCCCACAATTACTTCGCCAGTTGCACGTGGAAATGTTCTGCCACGGCAACATTTACAAAGAGGATGCACTGAAGATGGCGGACTTGATCGAGAAGACGTTCAATTATCGTGCCCTGCCTGCTTCGCAATGGCAAGTTCGAAGAAACGTCCTCTTCGCCCCAGGAGATGATTTTACGTACCAAAGAAAGCTCGATGATCCTGCTAACGTCAACAATTGTATTGAGTATTATCTGCCTGTCGGCGCTGTCGATGACAGGACTGCAAGAGCCAAGTTGTCGCTACTCTCACAGCTCACAGACGAGCTCGGGTTTGACCAGCTCCGTACCAAAGAACAGCTTGGTTACGTTGTCTGGACAGGTTCGAAGATAAACAATACGACGATGGGCTACCGCGTGATCATCCAATCAGAGCGCTCCGTAGATTATTTGGAGGAACGGATCAATGCTTTCCTATCACTCTTTGGCAAGACGTTGGAAGAAATGTCTGCAGAAGAATTCCAATCACACAAGCGGAGCCTCATCAACAAGCGTTTAGAAAAGCTGAAAAATCTTAGCCAGGAAACCTCTCGCATCTGGACGTACATTCAGAGCGAGTATTACGACTTTTTCGCGCGCGAAGCTGAAGCCAATTACATTGAACCGTTGACCAAGCCTGAAATGATAGAATTTTTCAAGCATTATATAGACCCAAGCTCACCTACTCGTGCGAAGCTGTCCGTGCATCTCAAGGCACAAGTCACGCCTAAATCGATAGCTGGCAGCATGACACCAGCTGAGCAGAAGGAGAAAGTCCTTTCCGTGATATCAAAATCTCTCACTGCAGCTGGCATCGAGGCTAATTTGGAACATCTGCAGAAAGTCTTTGAGGACGTGGATGTCGCTGGAGGGGACAGGACTAGTATCTCAAACGCTATCCGAGAGTTTTTGTCCTCCAACAACGCTATGTCCGAAGACCAAGTATCTCAGTTGATGGAACAGGTACCGCAGCTTCTTGGCACTCTTCTACCTGGACTTGGGATCGAAATGAAACCCGAGGCAGATGCGGAGGATGCTGAAGCCGAGCTACCACCTGCTCCTAAAGTCAAGAGGACCACTTACGTGGACGATGTCCGGGAATACAGGTCCCGTTTAGCAGTGAGCGCTGGCCCTGTGCCAATTAATCCTTTGAGCGACTATGAGGATTTCGAGCCAAAGCTGTGAATGCTGCTTTTGGCTAGACACGCTATTACAGCATTTGGGCGGTGTGTCCCGGCCGAAAATTTTGGAATCGGTGTACGGATACTATGGATGAGGGAGGATGTATTTCAGCCATAGACCCTTGAACATCACCGAGCGTGCCTTGACTGATAGATTAGAAAGTAGAGCGTCAAGCTAGCACTAGCGATCAAAAAGAATAGAATCATAATCTGGCCTTCTCATTTTTGCTACTCTGCTGTCTCCTCCTCGCCCACCATGACTTCAATACCTCTTGGCTACCGAACACCAGTGCAGCCAGCGGGTTGCCCCAGAACCATATCCTCCACCACGGCCCACCGCCTTCCTTCTTCACTTCTCCTATCACTCTATCTACCTCCCGCCTCAACTCCTCCATGCCTCGATCATTGAGAATCACTTTCCCCCTCCTTTCACCCTTCTCTTGCGTCGCCGCGACCTTCTCCCCAACAGCCATCTGACTGCCCACCCTCCCTTCTGCCTCCTCAGCACTCAGACCCTTGTCCCTTTCTCTCAACCGCCTCATCTGCACTATTGGATCACTGACCGCGACCATAATCACCACTCCGCAAAAGATGTCAAGCCCGGACTCGAACAACAGCGGGATATCAAGCACCACCGCCCAATGACCTGTGAGGTAATAGTATAGGACGTGCCTCAGCATTGCCAGTCGCACAAGCGGGTGTATGATCCCATTCAAGGTCTTCCGATCTCTCATGCGTGAAGGTGAGGAGCCAAATACTCGACGGCCCAAAGCGGCGCGATTGATGGGCTGTCCTGTTCGCCTGCCTCTCGTCTCCTCCGTCTTCGCACCATCATCCAGCCCTGCCTTCTGTGTCGAAGGTGATGAGGTGGGCAGCAGTAGATCTGGCGTCGATTCCCCGAATGCAGCGATGACGCGCTTGTAGCCGTAAGTGCCTGGCTCGACGACTTGACGGGCGAGAACGTCGGCGTCGATGATGGGGAGGTTGTAGGGTTCGGAGCGGAGGAGAGACGAGACTGTGGATTTCCCGGTCGCTATTGAGCCGGTGAGACCAATGAGGAGCATGTTGCTGTAGGATACCCTCAGCTTGCAGCTCGCGCGGGACCGCTTCTTTTTACAGCATAGCAAGACACCCAGCCAAGGTGACCGAGCACTTTAGCGGCGCCTTTGGCGGCTCCCTACCTATCCCCTCCACTTCTAGCTTCCATTCTATCCACCTTGCGGAGTAGCTTATTCAATAATGCCCTCTTAAAAGGCAGATGCTACATAGACACCCCTTTATGCTACTTAGACACCCCTAAAATGCTACATCGACACCCATCCCTAGAGCATTTTTTCCGGGGCAAAGCTCTAGGGGGAACCCCTTAAGCTAAGTTTTTAGTGTCGCAATATTTTTATATATAAAAATGATTCTTTGTATTTAATGATTTGAGATAATATAATAGCTTGCTAAAATTATTAAATATTTTTATATATTCTACGCAGCTTTTTATCTTTTCTCTTCAATTCTAATGCGTTAAATAATTAATCCTCTATATTTGCATATATGTTAAAGAAAAATATAAAATCATAGTCTTAGCTCTAGGTGCAAGCCCCCAAAATACCTCCCCGAGAGTACGCCTAGAAAGGGGTGTCGATGTAGCATTTTAGGGGTGTCTAAGTAGCATAAAGTGGCTATAAGTGGAGTAGAGCGCCGCCTTTAGCGTTTGCTCCTTCACTATCGGAATTAATCTTGAATTTTAAGCTCGACTAATATAAGAATGCTTGATGTAATCTCATATCGATAATCGTATGTATTCAATGGCTTAATATATCGAGTCTCATCATCAAAATATCTGAGAATATAATTCTCCTCGAACGTCTATCTAAGATCAACCTAAAATGTAAGAAGTCCAATAAGCTACAAGACGACAACTCTACTAAAGACCTCATATTCTGAGATGTTTGATAGCTCATCTGCATATCCCTCAGGCCGATTCTTTTTCGCTCCGGAATTCTCTAACGCTACAATGAATTCACTCATCCCCTCTTTCGCCGCTATGATATTGTCACGAGGGCACTCATCGACTATATTACTGTACTCCACCTCTCCCGTTTCCTCCTTCTTGAAATGCATCTCGATTCGTGTAGAGCCTGGTAGCGCAAGCTTGGTGTACAGAAAGCCCTCGCCTGCATCATCAGTACCACCTCGTCACAAGTAGCAGTGCAAGGACGGACCTTTTTCTTTTGAAAGCATACCCTCCAGTGTACAGACAGTCCGACACGCGATGTCAAGCGCGGAAAAGCCTTCATCCAAGAGGGCGTTTACATTAGCACCTGCACTGATCAGAAGCTGACCCTGCATGAAGCAATGCGGGTTCGCGGCGCATATGTGTAGTGGCGTCTTGCCTTTTTCCGCTTTCGCGTCCAGAAGCCCTGCGTTCTGGAAGTCGGGTAACTGAAGTAGCGTTTCCAAGGCATCGGGCTCGTATTCGGTGACAGCGACGTGCAAGATCGTGTCTCTGGTTCTGGGTCTAGCAAGTTTGGTTCCACCATGTTGGAGAAAAAGCGAGGTGAGGCTCATGTTTTTCACGATAGTCGCCACACCGATGGGAGTGATTTTTTTCCAATCATATTTTCCGTACCCCATGGTGAAATTATCTGCAATGGTGCTAGCACCTCGGTCGAGAAGGAGTCGGCATGCCTCGACAGAACCATAGAGCGCTGTAAGGTGCAAAGGTGTTTCCCCTAACGAACCCTCGTCATCAAGGTTCAAGCCATGATCAAGCGCCTTCTGGAGTATTCTGACGTTGTTGTCCCTGGCCGCATAATGTGTGAGGAGCTTGCCGCCTTTTAATGACCTATGATGCAAGTCTGCGCCTGCTTCTATGAGATTTTCAAAGATATCATTGTCTCGATATGATAATCGGTTCTCGGTCAGCAAATTCAGTGGCGTACGGTTGTCGTTTCCATAGCTTGTCTCGAGGTTCACATTACAGCCATTGAGAATGAGGATGTCCACCACATCTGCATCCTGGTTTTGGGTTGCAATCATCAAAGGAGTAAATTCACCCTCCTCTTCAGGTATGTCTAGCAATGCGAGAGCCCTGCTACTAACTGTATGGATGCATCTCTGTTTGACTGCCCTTGAATCAACACCATAGAGTCCGCAGATGGACCAACTTTCGTGACTGAGGACTGAGCTAACGTCGGCCAAACATCTCATGTTGACGTCAAAGTCGTCTAAAGCGCCCTTTAGGGCGATCAGTTCAGCACTATCGAACCGATGCAGGCTTATCGCATATTCTAGGGGGTGCCTATTTCTTTAATTGTTCCAGTCTCATTGATCCAGTCCGGTCTCACCTTAAGGATTGCGTCCACGCTTGCCATGCTGTTGTGATATATTGCAAAATGAAGAGGCGTTGCTCGAGGAAATTTTCCCGGAAAATCAATCGTCGGATGATTCCAAGCCAAAGTTGGAGCCGGCCCAATGCATGCTCCTGTCTGTTGGAGCAATTCCATGGCAAAGCTGATTTTGTCATCTTCAAACGCAATAAGCCAATGCAGTGGAGATTCTCGCTCGACGTCATCCTCATTTACATATGTCGTGGCTCCAGCTTCAACGAGCGTCTAGTGTACGAGTCAATGAGATTCCGATATTTGAAACGACTGAACGTACCTTTAAGACAGCGAGATGACCACCCTTGCAGCACAGTGTAAGCAGGCTCTCGCCATGTCGTGTCGTCTGATTGGCGTCCATATCGTGGCGATCTAGCAGCAGATGAAGCAGCAGTGCATCTCCATATATGACAGCGGACTGAAGCAGCACGGACAGCGGCTCCACACCAGGACTCCAACCGGTCTGCGACATGCAGGTCCTAAATTCAGCAGACCCTATATAAGGAGGTGCTTCGTGGCAGTAGAAATATTGATTATAGCCACCGCGTGCATGGAATTGATCTCGCGCAAGCTTGTACTCATTAGAGTCGGTTCTTTGAAGGCTTACGGCTGCATAGAAAGATCCCCATATCGCTGCGTCATACAGGTTGTCTAGTTGCCTTTCCTTATCCGTGAGAATAGGTTTGCGATGTGCCACATGCCAATTCTCGAAAAGGCACTGCGCCGGGAGATAGCCACGGTCTGCTGCCTGCCGAATGCATTGAAGGGCTAAGTCGACACACTGCGGCGCACCAAAACCTATTGCATGAAAAATGGCAAGCTGAAAAAGCGCCCGGCCAGAAGTTCCGCTTTGGTAGGATTCGCTTCTTGCTTCGACTTGTGCTAAAACTGACTTTTGTACATCTTTTGGTGTCCATATCTCATCTGAAACCTCGTATTCTAGATATTCGCTGTCCCCGAATGTGGATTGAAGGGCAGCGGCAATTTCGCTCTCGTTGCGGCCAGTGGAGATATTCTGACCGTCACTATTACGTGCCATATGATCAACAAAACTGTCTAAAATAATAAAAAAAAATCTTACTTCTTAGTAATAGACGCATCCACTATGCTGGGTGGCCGTAACACTGTAAGGATAAATGCAAGATCTGAGCAACGTGCCTCTGGGTCATAAGGGAGTAGTTTCTGAACGGCATCTGAGACCATTGACCGTGTCTTGGACGTCATGTCAATTTCCACAATACTCTTCAAGGCCTCTGTCAGTACAGTACTATCCTGTGTGGTAAGACGACTGTCTAGCCTGTTTGTGAAAATCTGGAGAAAAAGTAGCCCGAGGGAGTAGTTATCACAAGCAATAAGTCCTTCGCTATCGAGCTTATGCGTCACAGTTTGATGGGCGACTTCTGGCGCATTCGTAAGGCGAGTCCCATAGTACCTCAAATTTGTCGCGTTCGATGTTGGTATTATTGATCCAAAATCGGTCAGTTTCGCCACGAACAGGCCTGTCCAATCCAAATTACCAAAAATCAAGATGTTGTCAGCCTTCAAATCCCCATGGGCAATTCCTGCCTGATGTAAAGCCAGGAGACCTGCGGTTACATCAGCGCTGAGAGAAAGTCGATTGCTTTCTGAAATGATCTCAGAAGGACATTCGTCAAGTAGATTTGTGAGGCTTCCATGCTCAGCTCGCTCGATGACTAGAGCTGGAAGAAAAGAATTGTCGACATTATCGATCAAGTCGTAATATAGTAGTTGTACAATATTGGGATGTCGGCGGAGCGAATGATGAGTGAGAGCTAGAAGTTCCCGATGAAGGGAAGTGACAATCGCCTATTCTGCTGTTAGCAACATCAATCAAATTTATTTTCAGTGAAATACCCGCCCTATCTCGCTCAGTTCGTATCAGGGCTTCGGTACTTAATCGAACCTTCGCGCGTTTCACCACAGCAGTCACCTGACTATATTTTTTGATCCCTGAGTCATCAAAGATTGTGAATTGGCTGCCGTTGTCATTCAATACTGTTCCACAGTAGATATTTCTAGACTCTAGCTGGCAACGACCAACCCCGCGAGCCTGCAACAACTGTAAAAATCCACCGATTGTGTGGACCTCTGCAGTTGCGGGTATGAAGCTCGCCAGAGAAGTAGCTGTCCTCTCTGACCTGAGCACCATCGTGTTGTGTGGAGTGTAGGTCAAAATTCAGCCTTACACCTGATGTACATTTCATATCATAGGTGGAAATTAAACAAGCTGTTAGCGTTGCAAAGCCTGGTGAAGCTTCCCTGCATCTTCACGTGATCCTAGCGTTGAGACAAAATACCCCACGATTGGTGATCCGAGCATCTGCTGATTTCCAGCATTGTCCAACCCAGGATACTGTGGAAAGAGGCTGTTCAGCTTCGAGAAAGTATCTTGCCAAAGATATGGGAGCAGATGTGGGTTTGGGATCGGTAAGTTTGGCGTTGAGCGTTCTATCTCGCGGTCAAGTTATCATCGAATTCCTTATCGAATGGGTTCGGTCATCCAAACACTATGGCGAGGACGTTCGTGTCATCCGGACAAGGCTCAGTACCCAAAGCGCTCGCTTGAGTGCCTTCTCAGCATTCTTGGAGAAGGAAAGTAAGCCTGGTGTAAGCCATTTCAACGAGCTTTCAGATGTATTCCGGCGGTCGATATGTGGTATGACGGAGGAGCTTGAATTGACTTTCGACTCTTACTATTCTCTCATCAACAAATACAAGATTGAAGATTTGCAGAGAGGGTTCGAAACACAAATGGTGATTGATGAGAGTAGCGGTCCTACTAAGAAAAGGACATCGATAGTGGCCGCCAGCAAGAAAGAGAGCGAAGCTAGGCAAAAGGCCGCATCATTCCGGAACATCTCTACATGGGGATTGTTTCGGAAAAAGAACGTATTTGATTTAATCAACAAAATCGAATCGTGGAACGATCAGCTCCAAAACTTCCTCATATGCGGACTTTGTTTCGGGAAAGGCCCAAGGATAGGAGAGATGCTCAAGGCACCAGGACTGTAAGCGAGAGACGAGATGAAAGGGAACGGATCAGGAACAAGCTAACCATCTGAACTTCGCAGGGGCGAGCTTCGAGTCGACATCGGCATCGAGCTGCGAGGCCTCATTCTGGAGGACCCAAGGACTCTAGATGACTACCTCAAGACTGAATGGATTCTTTCTAGACTTGAAGATGAGACAGACCCTCGAATACAGACTCTGACGACAAGGAGTCCTGATCAGAGCTTACCCACGTCGCGGAAGGTGTTTGTGGAGTATAAAGAGTTCAGAGTTCGGCGGGGCGGCACCGGACCTTCTGAATCAGTGTTGAGAGGAGTGTCCTCATTAGCAAAACTCCTCAGTCAGCCACGAGCCCCCGAGGCAGGCTTTCAGACGTTGAAATGCAACGGCATCATCCGCCAAACAGCTCCAAGACAGCGATTTGCATTCATTTTCGACCTGCATCCAGATCAACTTCAAGGAACTGCAAGAATCATAAGCATTGCACAAGCGATCAGCACAGGCTTTGCCCACCGGCCCACTTTGGGAGAGAGATTCTGCATGGCTAAGAGTCTTGCAGTCTCATTGTTCCAGTTCCATTCCGTGAATTGGCTGCACAAATCAGTTAGGAGCTCCAACGTTCTATTCACCAGCGAGGAGGCGCATGATGGGCCCCCTCGACCTGGCTTCAGCCGGCCTTTCTTAGTAGGGTTTGAGTTTGCAAGGGCCGAAAACGACATGTCTACTACTGATCAGGAGGACTCCGTACTGGTAAACATTTACCGACATCCCGACAAGCAGGGTCCACCTGAAGAGCGATTCCATGCCCTTCACGACATTTACGCACTTGGGACCGTGCTCCTAGAGATAGGAATCTGGCGGCCGCTTATTGGTTTCGACCGCAATTTTGAAAAAATGAAGCCACTTGAAGTGAAGCAATGCCTGGAAGCCCATGCACGGGAGCGTCTGCCCCACTACATGGGCGTAGAGTATACAGAAGCCGTTTTGTCCTGTCTGCAGGGTACGCTTCTGGACGACGAAGCCGAGGATGCTGGAGATGTAGGCAGTGATGCTTGGAGAGAATACATTCAGTCAGGCTTTTGGGTACATGTCATCGAGAAGATCCATAAGGGGACGGGGCTAAAATGAGATATGTTGATCAGTCCAGCCAGGTTACTTTTCATGAATAAACAGTAATCTACAACTGTGAATGTCTTGCTTAAGGATTCCTTCGCCCTACAGTCCATTATCGCTTCTTGATCGTCAATCCAGGAAAACAGTATACGAAACCTAAGTACATGTAATAATCTCGACTGAAGTACCCGGTACCGTCCCTGGTACTGTCAATAGCGACCTTGGTAATACTACCGCTCAATTCAATATGTCTTCCTAGACCTGGCCCATGGCGTCTGATTTTGGGCTTTGCACCTGCAGGTCTGATCTCGATGCCTGCAATTCGTACGTGTATTCAGCGCTTAGGCAGCAGCTCAACCCGCACAGGGCGTAGCTCACCCAGGATCACCAACGATCGTGTGAGGCTCACCCGTGTCGCGCAACCTTAGGGCAGCGGAGGGGGCTTCCGGGTACATTTCCATTGTCTTGGCACAATTCGTGGGACAGGACTAATTTCCACATCCCTCGTACGATTGGATTCGGAGATATCGCTCACGCTGGAGCGCGAGGACTAGGGACAGTGGAGGGGAGGGTTGGCGTTGACGGTCGATGGATTAAGCTGAGAGAACAGTATGCCAATGCGGAGTTGCGGAGTTTGCGGAGCTCCCAGGCTACCTCTAAGGAGGGGTAACTTAACCCATACTGGTGATACATGTTTGGGTATTGAGATACGTGGCAGTCGAATTTAACAATATATTCCTGTATCTTGGTGACAAAATCGCGCTTTTATCGAATCATAGGCTCTCATCATGATGGCTTTTCATCCATAGCATCATGACTCTCCTTCTTCACGATGCCATTCTCGTGCATTGTTTCGTCTAGGTTATCCATCGCTCCTGTCGCCAGGACCTTCACGCTTTGTGGCCCCGAGCTCATCCCTGGAGTAGCAGCTGTCACATTACCATTTTCATCTATGAACTCGAATTTGTAGCGCGATAGCAAATGCGGTATCGCTGACAGTTGAGGGCCGTATCGTTGCGTATTGTCGTAAAGTTCGAATAAGGGTACTGCGAGTAGCTTCATGTTCTTTGGTACACTCAAAACCTCTACCAATTCCCGTATTAGTAGACTGTCTCAACGGGCGCATGAAGTCGAAGGGCTCAGAAAGTTCAGTCCTTGGGATTGGAAGGCTCACTGCTCCTTGGTAACCTCACAAAATATAACTTTTTGCATTCTTTTGGCCTCGTCACATGCGCCGGTAGAAATGGATACATGAAGGTCTCAAAGTTGGGACGCCACCATTGAGCAAGTGTATCTCCAATTTCCCATTCTCCGTCATTCACACCTTCACCGCTGAATTGAGAGCCAATTGGGGCCAAACGTTCATTGAGACGTTGTTTGAAGCCAGGTATTTCCTCGGCATCATGAGGGAGATAATCGCCCGGCCTGTTCATCAACTTCAAGTCAGCCATAATGGCCGATGCCGATGGGTAGCTGCTGCTGCTCACAATTTGAAGAAAGCGTTTGCAATCTGTAACATTAAGATATGGGGGTGATTGTGCTCGTGACACACTAAGATCCCTTCGCAAGTTCTTCGCATGCCATGTTGCTCATAATGTTCTTCCAAGCGCTTCAACCTAGCAAGGACGGAAGGATCCTCTTCTGGCTGTGTTTCTTTCGTGCCGAAGGTATAATTGCTCAGAGGGTAGAGACGGACGGGCTCTGACTGATTACTTGAGAATGATTTAGGGATGGTAGGCCTACGTGATCAGTCGATGCAGGCCGCAAATGATTTCAATGGTAAACATACGGGTACGAGGTTTGTAGCGAAGTGGTCGTGATTGCAGACATGATGCCGCATCAATGAAGATCGAGATTATCACTAGAAGATCAAGGAGACATCACAAGTAGAATGCTTCTCGCTACTGGTTCGACTTCGGAGCCGTACAGCGACGTCGTGCAGAAGCCCATAGTCAGGCTAAGATACCTATTCTCCTATTCTGTAGGTGCCGTTTTAGGTCCAGAGGCTTGCGGGAGCGACCGTACAGGGCCCGAGTCAGCCTTAAGACTTTAAGGTTGCGAGGCCTTAGAAGCCCATTTAGCGCTGCCTTGCGGGCATTCGAGTCCGAATATCTTACTCCACGCCACTCCGCCGGGCGATTGATCTGACGACCATGTAGGAGGCCGTTCCGATCGATGCTTAACAATTATACGTTCGGCTACGGGCCTGCCGAGCCAAAGGGTATTCACCATGATTATCGGGTCTTGACCGCTTCATTTTCACATGTCCCTTATCACCAGGAAGAGCTCAGCATAGTGGATCACCAGAGAGACCGCTTTTCTCGATCCTTCACAACCCTTCGCAAATCATTGACCGCCGCGCGTCGCGGGCCCTTTGATGACAGCCCCAAGGTGTTAATATGAGTCATGAAGTCCTGATGTTTGAAATCGGACAGCGCTTGCCTTTCATTACGAAGAGGCTGATGACAACTCTTGCATTCGAGAGATCCATGTGTTTGACCTTCTGTCGATCTTTGGCTTGTGCCACGAGATGCGATGCATACTTGCCTCTTGCGCACTGCATAGGGTACGAGAACGTGAGACAGCGCTAGATCTAGGCCTCTGCAGGCATCACCAGATCCTGTGAGGTAGAGCCATTATCGTCTTACTCATGCAGCTTCGATGCCTTCTCGAGATCACTACTTTCATTGGCTATGTAAACATTGAGCTGTTCCACGTTGCTTATGGCTCATCATCTCAGCCTCCTCCGGCCAGCGATGGCCAAAAGTCCTTCGTTGTCCGAATTGACTTAGAGTCCCTCAGATATACCCTTTTTCTTGACTTGCGAGTGTTGAGGATACTCCTGTGACAGATAGACAAATTTGCCCCAGCTTTCTCTCTCTGGCCAATTTATGCAACTACGGGAATCCATACGAAAACGATGATGCTCGTACCGAGGAATCAGGTTAATGTCTTTCGTGGACCATTACCAGCAGACACAGCGAGAACGTCGATCTTAATTTCTATGTTGACGATTTCCATGTACATGTCCGCCTTAATCGATATCAAGGCACTCGCCATATTCAAGAGATACAACACGCTTTATTTCTGGTCGCTGTTGGTTACATCCTGGGGTATCATTTTCCACTCTATAGCGGTCATGTTGAAGTGGTTCGTGGCGAGCTGTCCATGGGAACTCCATTATTCCTTTTCCGGCTTCGGATGGTGGTAAGTAATATTTCGGAGTATGGATTTCCTACTACGGGTTATAATCTCGAAAGTCAAAGGTGGCCTCTGGAGCCATGTCTCGCGGCTCCTTTACACAGTCTACAGAACCAGGGCTAACTCCGATTCTGTGAAGGGGTATGGTGACGGGTCAGAGTCTGGTCCTCTACTCCCGTCTACACCTTGTTGTACGCGACAGACGAATTCTTCGCGCGGTCCTCGTTATGATAATAGTCGATTTCTGCCTTTTTCAGGTCCCTACAACTCTTCTGAAATTTTTCAGTACACGCTCACATCCTGGCGTGTGGTTGACGGTCTTTCACGTCTACGAACGAATACAATTAGTTGTATTCATAGTTCAGGAGCTCATCATTTCGATCATATACATCCGTGCTGCCGTGATTTGGCTCTCCCCAAGTGATCCGCAGGGCACGCGACATACAAAACACTTTCTCATATGGCTCAACATTTTGTGTATCGCTCTCGATTTTGCCATTGTTGCTGAAGTTTCTGCCAACGAGTGGGTATACGAAGAAGCCTCGCAGTCCCTAGCATACGCGATTAAGCTGACGCTTGAATTTGCCGTTCTCAACAAAGTCATGGAGGTCTACCGCAACGGTCCCGGTGGCTGTGCAACTTGTCATCGTAAACTCGGTTCAAGGAGCCTCGCGAGTATTCCTAGCAGTCCACAGTACCATCCAAAAGCGAGGCAGGGCAGCGAATCAAGAGGGAGAAACTTCTTGAAGGCTTCTTGGCCAAAGAGCAAACCTAAATCGCCCGAGAACTCGGAACCCTTTGATGAAGAGGGAATGATATTGAGTCCCCTGGCGATTGATGTTGTCACAAAGATCGATGCTGTGTCAACGCACGCAGTGAAAAGACATGATGAGCATCCTGCGGCTAAGGGTACTGCTGGAGCTTCTGGCGTCACTACAGACATTGTGGCTAGGAACAGCGATGACAACGTTCGACATGACTCATTCTAGTCTGGTATAGGTGTTGGTCTATATAGGCAGCGAATGAGGACTAAGAATCAGAGTTTTTAGATCAACGATGATGCAAATTTCTCGAGTTGAATTTCTTGAAGCACTAGCAAAGGCAAGGAAGGCTGAGATTGGCTACGCGAGGGGCAATACTGAATCATCCCTGACCCTCATTCTTCACATACCCAAACCCTAGTAACAATGGCCATGAAGCTGCTTTTTCTTCCTGAAGGTGGCTACTTCTTTGATTCTGGGAAAAAAGCTTATTGGTGATTCCCTTCCCTTTTCGATGGTATGATTGAATCAGCTCATGACAACCACAGGACGCCCGATCTCGATTCTTTTCTCGCCGACCTTTTGGCCTGTACGTCTCCAGTAGTTGAGCAAATATTCGATATTGCCTTTGCGAACAAAGCCGCTTTTATCTCTTTCAAAACTTCGGAACAGAAATTGTCCATAAGTATGTCGAATTCTTCTCGTCCAGCTCATCGCTTAGGCCGTAACGTCTGCAATGGGGCTTTCTAGGTCACAACCTCACCCAGAGTTCACCTATTCTTGCAAGTTGGCTTGATACCAAAGCCCATGCTAGAACACAAATCCGTGTCTCCGTAGGTACAAATCCTAGGACCTTTTTCGCCGTCTCCGATCAAGGTTTCCGCTGGGCAGGCGTTGACGACGAATTTCATGGCATCTTGCAGGAGTGGCTTACCGGAGCTGGGACTGAGGGCGGATGGAAGTCTGGCTATGAACCTGATGGAGCTTTGTTTGGTGTCAACGGAGGGTATCTAATTACCTGTAAAGAAGGCAGGCATCTCGCGTGGAATAAGAAACTCGCGGAGCCACATGGTTATCCAGGGCTCACCGCACGACTGACCAAAAGATTTACCGTCACGGCGAGGGATGAGCAATGGGTACGTTTCGCTCCATCTCTACATCTCAATGAGTCCGACCATCCTTCCCGTCCGTTTTCATTTCATATACTCGTCCCTAGCACGACGAAGGTGACGGCGTCGTCTGATCAATGTTGCAAATACAGTATAAATACATCACGCTCAACCCACATGTTCCAGATGAATGGGTTGTCATATGGGCTGATGGCTCGATATCATACAACTTATCCAAGTCTTTCCAAAAGCTCTTTGGGCCAGTGATGGAATACTTGAGTTCTCAACCTGGATTCTTTGACATTTCACCCATGAAGCCTTCTACCTCCTTCTCGACGTTGCCCATCATGAAACGCCCAGCTTCATATTCTCCAAGTCTGCAACCAGGACCATCAAGACCACAGCATTCAAATCCTTTGCCACCTGCTCATACAGTGGCAATGAGACTAGATGCGAGCCCGCAGCCGGTTCCTTACCATTATCAATCACATGAACGTCGATCCTTCTTCAGACCCAGGCCGCAAGCCAACGTCCTCCCCGCTCGACCACCCTATAGACCGGCACAAAGCTCTCCATGGCCTATACAACAACCCTCTACCATGGGATTCCCTCCACAGACATCGCCTTTTGGACAAGCAACAGACACGACAAGTGACCAGTTGCACCAAGTCTTGGAATTCTGGAAGGGCTGGCAGGATCAGATGTCCCAAACGAACCAATCGATAATGAATTCTGCAGGAGGCTCGGGTAATGCATTTTCGTATCCTACTTTCGATCCTACCGGTGGAAGCTTCAGCGGGGGAGACCCTACCGGAGGCTTACTCACAACAGGAGGAGGCTTTGTGATGCCGGTTGATCCGTCAAGTATGCTGATGATGGGCGGCATGCCGACAGCTGGCTTTGATCCGACAGGAATGTCGTACGGTTGCACAGTCATGTAATAGTCATTAGTGTCAATTTAAAAGCGAGTAGCAGGATTCGATTCAATGTCAGAAGTTGGAAGTTCGCTGGAGTCTGATCACTGCCGATATTACGTTGTCTCCTAACGACAGTCGTACCCTACCCACCATGACGCCCAGCTCGCTAAATCGACACCATTACAGACTTGAACGCTCATGGCAGGTTCGCAAGAGAGAAAGTGTCACAACACTGTCGACTGCGGTTCTCCATGTCCCGTTTCAAGATCATGCTGATGTGTTGGTTCATCACCAGTGAGCTCATGTTCCGTCGCAGGTGTAATTTTGGTCTCATTCGTCGTCCACGTAGCAGCACCACTGGTGGCCTCGCTGCCATTGATACCAGAGACTCCGGTTGAAGAATTTGGTTTATGTGACATAGCTGGAGCCGGAGGCACCGGCTCCACTGGCGGTGGTTGTTGCGCCATTGTATATTTCTTTTGTCGCTCGCGATAGAGAAGGAAGCCAATTAAGCCGAGAACCAGCGCACCACCAAGACCAGCACCGACGCCTACTCCAGCTTTCGCACCGGCGGAAAGTCCACCTCCAGAATTGGACTCGGGCTGAGGGTTGACGAAAGTTGGAGCTGGCTGGCCCACGGAGGACGTTGTAGTTGGAGCAAATCCACCAGTGGGGACAGGCCCAGTGGTTGCAGCAGCATCTGCATGTTGGGCCGCTGTTGTCGTAGCGACATTTCCTGAGCCTCTGCTGAACGTGACGCCGACCGCTGCGCATTGCTGCTCTCCCCATTCCGAGAACTGAGCAATACCAGCCTGATCGCAAACGCCTTGGACGCAGGAAAGATAGTTCGTCGACGCGGGCGGCCTGCAGAAGCATGCTGTGTCATAGGACATGCAGCCAGATGAAGTCAGGGCCTGATAGTAACAGGGAGTCTGCTCGAGAAGTGAGTCGAGGATCTATAAGAGAAGACTGGTGGGGGTGCGAGAGCAATTACAGCGCAGGTGGGGAATATTGCAACGGCAGAGGCATGTCGGAAAGTAGCCACAGCGCACAGAAGAAGGAACAATCGGGGTGTCATTTCTTAGAGCAGGAGAGATGTACAGGCAGCGCAATAGTCAACACCGTGATCGGTATTCCCAGTGCTCTTGATCAAGCGTGAGACTTTCCAGTCGTCTAGTCTTCAAGAAAGATTCAAGAAAGAAGGCAGTGCTTGCGAGAGTAACAGCACGATTCATGGATGTGAAAGAAGAACGATAGTGGAAGGTAAAGAGACCCCCTGACCAGGAGGCCATCTTCCAGATGAGAAGCTCTCGCCGTGGTCTGGACTCTAGACCTCTCTTCAAGTTCCAAAAATCCGATGTCTGCGCGTTCACAGTCACTACTGGTGCCCTCAGGGTCAAAGCACATCTCAAGTAGGTATCTCTTAGCCCACTTGAGGAAAAGCTTCGCTTCCGAAAGGGGCGACGGTGTGATAGAACTGGTGGAACTGGTGGAACTGGTGGAATTGGTGGAACTAGGGACCCTGCAGCAGGGCTTAGGGTCTCGTCAATCTTCCTGGCGCTGACTGGCTGACAGCTCGCATTACTATTAGTGCTGTCACAATTTCACATGATTCGATCAAGCTCTTGTCCTCGAGAAATTCCTCATCTCCGCAACACTACCACCCACTCAATGGTTGTTCTTTGCTGCGAGAAGGGTGAGTTTCAACGAAATATGGCGGCTTGTCTTCTTGGGCCACGCTGCTTCAACTTCATGCAATTACACTGTATCTCGCCTTTATGGCGCCTGTCTAAATCGCTATTCCACTCTCTAGTGCAAGCTACCCATAGCTTGCTCTCGGAACATAAAGGTATCACAAGGCCAAACAAAACTCCGGCGTAACAATCGCTTGCTGGGGATGGGATACCGTGCGTGACGTGAGGGTTATCGACTATTGTACTTGGCTTACAATCTCGCTTGCTTTGCTTAAGCTCTCCACCATCTGCTGGCATTCCTTCCGTCGTCGGATCGTATGTTCGCTCTCTCTCAGTAATTCATCTATCTCATTGGTCCGGTACATATTTTCGAGGAGTTCTCGTTGCATTTCTTCCCTCGTATGCCTACGCTTGTCAGATCTATGACCACCGTCATGGAGGGCATTCAGGAACTTTAGGTCACTTACTGCACGAGGTTAAGCATGATAGCCTTTGGTACCATGTCGATCATGGTGCGCTTCGTGATGTTGTAGTATGAGTTGATCAGGAGCTCTAGCGCGATTGTGAGCATGACTAGAGTCTATCAACATCATTGATCCCTTACTGATGACTTCCACTTCGTTGGCTTCCTTATCTGAGAGCGTCCCTGAAGCCTTCAGCTGTGGTGGCGGGGAATCCATGGCTGCCATCTTCTTCTTGTTCTTGCTCGAGAAGAAACTACCAAAGAATCCAGACCCGCCGTCCGCCGTCAAATCTAGCGATGGACTCGAGGCCCGGGGTGGAACAGCTGGTGGAAGGGGTCGCCCCGTTTTGGGGTCGACTTGGGTGGGCTTCGCGGCGCTAGAGCGGTCGTTGACGATTGCCATAGCCTGAAAGAATCATTAGTCCGGACGAGTGAAATGTGAGGGGCTCGGAATGAAATGTGACACTCGGGACGATTCGAGGTTTGGAAAATGATCATTTAATTTAAAATCACTCACCCTCTGGCCATTCAAAAAGTCAGGGTGACCAGTGTTGACGTAGCAAGATTCCATTGCCACTAAGTCCCTGACGAGCTTGTTCGTGGGATCGATTGCCTTTTTGAAGAAACTGATGACCACAGAATGAAATTTCTCCTTCAATGACGGATACCTGCGGTAGATGGGCCTCTGGAGAAGTTGACCGAGGATGCGTACTAATTCGTCATATACTAGGGAAACGCATTTCAAACTAGGGTCCTCGATACGCTTGATCTGCTGCTTGACGATAAGTTCGAAGGCGGTAGTTCCAACGAACAGAGCTGGAGACGAGCCTGAAGAGTTGTATAGAATTGTTCGAATGTCAATGTCCTTTACCTGGTCGAAAGGATCCACTGCCTTAACCCCGTTGGAATAAAGCTCGTGAAACACGAAGCTGATTCTTGCTCCTCCAGACAGCTCTGTGCTTGACAATTCTTGATTGTTACCGTCCAAGACTGTTCGATATTCGTTGCAAAACTCTGTAATGATCTGGAGTACTATGTTCGCGCTATTTCCGAGCATTGAGTCGCCAAGCTGATTCAATTCAGCAGAGTATTTCGCTAATGATGTTGCTATGCGCTGTTTTATATCTGGGAGCGTGTTCTTAATATGCATCATGAGGATCTACGATTGTCAATAATGAAGCCGTGACTTGTAGCCAATGCACCTACTAGATTGAGCTTTCTAGCGAGATAAGGGGTTCCGCAGTAAGAGCTCTTGTTTTTGTAGGCTTTATGAGTTTCAAAGAAGTTTCGCTCATTCTCCAGAGCGTGTGAAATGGCCTTCTGGTTCTCGATGTCTCTCTGCCCCCTGTTGACCACGGGTACGTAACCGAGCCTCAAGGGAATGATCCGACCGGCAAGAATATCTACAACATCAGTTCCCTCGTCCATCAAGTCCACCTTAGTCAGGACGCCAATTGTTCGTTGCCCTTCAGGATCTACTTCACGAGCCAGCTTCAGCCCATCTGAATTAGCCAGATCTGTGTTCGCAGCAGTCACCGCTAGTATAATAGCATTGGGCTTTTGTATCTGCTTGAGGACCATCTCTCGAATCTGTCTTTCGATATCTCTTGGCTGATCTCCAACCGGTACTTTCGTCAGACCGGGCAGATCGACGAGGGTCAGCGTGAGGACATTGGGAGAATATATTCGAAGGTTGATGGGAGCTGGTGAGATTCCTTGGTTCCGACCCGTTTTTGAGTCTGTTTCTCTGACGATCTCTTGCCGTATCTTGTTGAAGTCGTGAAATTTCTGGCCAGGTATGTGCAAGAACTCCCCCATTCGTCAACGTTGGATTCTTTGTCTGTCGATTTGATATCTCCATTGACTCCGTTGGGCTGCGGTAAAGCAGGCGGTGGCCGATTGATGAGCTGAAGTATAAGTGGCCGCCGAGTGACGATACCCGTGCCTCTTGGTAGGCTACAATTTCATTAATCTTCGATCTTCTGCTTTGAATTTTGGTCTGGGAACTCACAAATCTCTCCCGACTATATTCTCAAGTACCGAACTCTTTCCACTCGATTGCGAACCCACCACGGCTATCTGAGGGAGGTCTATAGGGTTTTGGACCTAAGCAGGCAGCACGATCAGCTTCGTGGATGTTCAGAGCCTGCAGGCATGTCTTTAAAAGCGCAAACGTACGCCAACCGTAGTGAAGACATCTTGTAGTTTGTTGACAAGAGTAATGAGTTGCGGATCATTGACGTTAATCCTGTGCACCGTTCAGTAATGTTCCAGTCCGACTTCTGAGCTTGCGTACGAATAGCCACTTTGCGTGGCCATCTTGGATAGATTCTCAAGGAGTATGGCGGTAGAGACGGTCAGTTGGGGACAGTTTGTGATCCGTGAAGAGAGATAGAGTATATATGATCATGTGGAGGAGTGTGAAGGAAATCTGAGGCGGTCGTCATATCTATCAACAGTGATTAGACCCCTGTTTTCCCTTAATTCCGCACGAGGCACTAGTCCACAAACAGCCAGATCTCACGATATCATCAATACTGCGAAGTTTCGAGTCTCTGTGATTGAGGGCGGACGAGTGTCCCATTGTTTTCTAGAGAGAATGCGGAACTATTCCTAGGTTTCTGCCCCAATCCGTGCTTTCGATTCAATTTTCAGGTAATTGCAGCCCCCTCCCCTTCATTTCGTGCCAGAGAACCTGTACAATTCCAAGAATACTGCCTTTAAGTGGATCTGAAAAGTCATCCCCTGGGGGACCTACAGCACCCACGATACTCTCACTACCTTTACGTTCCGGACTAACAAGAACGTATGTCTGACCAGCTCGCTCGTAAAACGAAGCAAGCTTTGCACCAAGATAAGCAGGAAAACCGTGGCCAGTGGGCATCTCGCCCATTCGTCCTCAAATCTCCCACAGAGCTTCTGCCGATCGAGATGTTGAGTCTGACAACATAGCAGCATTCTTGCCCTGATCGCGCCAGTATTCTGCAAAGGTACTACCGGTGTAGATTGATGCCTCTCGAGCGGCGACGGGCATGTTTGAAGTGTTAGCAATTAGCGATGCGCGTCTCATGATATGCTTTTTCGGGCCGTCAATGTCGATAGACAGCTATTCGAAGTCAGGTTCAGGATGCGAGATGCTGCTACCAAAAGCACTCACTTCCGGGAAATCCATCAGGACTTTTGCCATTCCACTACCACGCTCGCCACATCCCACGTGAATGATGATATCGCTGTTGGAAAATTTGGAGACAGATTGACTAATCACAGTCTTGCCATAGCCGAAAGCGCTAGGTATGCACACGGTTCCTCCCTGTCCCTTAGGAAACAAGGCGTCTGGAACTCTTCGGCCAACAATGGAGGAGGAACCTGAGGGCAATTTCTTAGCGACAGGCCGGGGGACTCGAACGGGCCATGCATGCATCATGGTGTAATCTGACTTCTTGCCCTCGAATTCTACCTCCAAGACCTTCTCGTCGACTTTGTAACTGCCAGCTTCTGCAACATGCGTAATTGTACCCTTAGCTCTTAGTGGCAATAAGATCTTGTGGTCACTCAGTAGACTGTTCTCGAATACACTTCCAAATACATCACCACCTGTGATAGGGTCTCCTACTTTGAGATGTTCCGATCTGAAGTCCCACGGAATATCTCTGCTCAAAGAAGGAACGTTGATACCGCGAGGAATGCAGATTGAGTCCACAACATGCGCAATAGATCGGAGGGGCCGTTGAATTCCGTTCTATATAGTTTCCATCAATTCAGGTCCTGACTCGACTGACAGTGGCTTCTATTTGAATGACCTCTCCCACAAGTAGGCCATATCCTACCTTGACCAACTCATATACAGAGCAACAATCATGTTCTTAGCGACAATGACAGGACCAGGAACGGAATAGATAGAGCCATGGTGTTCCTCTCAAGCCTCCAGCCGCTCTCGCTTTGAATGCTTTTTCGGTGCCACTGTACGCGTAAACTCGGTCTCAAGAGGAAAGTACTCGAGTCTCAGCAGCAAGAGAAGGATTCAGAGTACTGGTAGCCTAAGGGATGCAAACTTGCTGTGGGAAGCTTGCTTAGTGGTGGAGAGGACTTCAGAGCTGACTGCCTCAATGTTCGCTTCGATTGGCAGTTGGTCAAATGCGTGCCATGCAGCTTTTCTTTGTCGTCGATTCGCTCCACCAACTTTCGAGCAAAGGATTGGCCTAGATAGCTTCCAGCTAGATGAGGGCACCAGAGGGTGCTTGACGGATCGATAACGAAATGGAAAGTTAAAATAGGGGTTGCCAAGGCTGCTTCACGCCATGCACCAGACCAGGGCAGTGCGGCGAACTTAGGTATCTCGTCATTCCCAAGTTGCCCCTCTTGAACCCGATCTCAAAGCTGTTTTGGACTGTCAGAACAGCGTGCACGTCGTATCGCGCTTTTCAGCACCTAACCCTTGAACAGGCCAAGGACAAGCTTGACTCCCTTGCATGCAAATAGGGGGGTGAGTTGTCGAAAAGCGGCCGAACAGGCTACAGTGTCTGCTGACTTTGGTCTTCTGTTCTGGCGACTTGCAATAATCAAATCATATATCTAACATGCTTGGACACAGGGCCCGACATTACTTTCAGATGGACCCGGAAGATGGAGGGTCGTAAAGGCGTTGCTCATGTTTCGTGAGACGCAGCTAGATCTTTATATAGACCGTCAAGACCCTTTCCCTTTCATTCTGTCCCCTCGGCAGGAAATGCACCGTGACCTATGAAGTTGTCCCATGCCCTCCTCTTTAGTATGAAAGCCAGATCTCAGTCCGCATAAACTTTCAGTACCTGATTGGCGCTTGACCTCATGCCGCACACGTCTCCGGCCAAAGCGGGCTTAGGCTATCAATCACCACCTCAAGCTGCCTCTGGTCTTCCCTCCATCTCCGCCTCTTGAAAGCCATACACCATAGAAGCACCCACTAAAGCTCGCATACTCTCGAGTGATCTGCTCAGCATAATATTCACGTCTATAGAAATATCAGAACCGCCATCAAGGGTTGCAACAACCGCTCTTGTCTCATCCTCGACGTCTTCCCTCGGCAAATACTTGGTTTGCCGGTCGTCTCAATCGTGAACCACCATTTCAAACGACCATTCTCGCTTCTGCTGAGCTTCATGAAACACCGTTTTCTCGGAGGCCTGCTATTCTATGCGGGAAGCTTGCGAGAATTAGACTACAGCGCCGGTCAGAGCAGGCGAGCGAGAAACGCTTCCCTCCAGCAGAAGTTGGAGTACAGCTTTCACGGCAGATCTGCTAGAAGCTGCTTCACTTGACCGTCAACTTCAATCCGCGGAAGTTCCGCATAAATCGTCCTGGCAGACGAGAGCCCCCAACATCAGCATACCCCAGTCACTTCCGCCTACCCAGCCGACTCGCCATCCTCTACTGCTATTTCCCCAGATATCTCAGCCCAACCCCGCTCAGAAACCCGGTCCCACGTGCAAATTGCAAGCCAGCAAGATCCATCTTTTACATTGACCCGACAAGGGACAGGTGCCCCGCAGCTGCTTGGTGGTCCTAGCGAGGAGACCAGAAGTCGAAGGAGACAACGAAGTCCTTCTACGAGCAGCGAAGGAGGCTCAGGCCCAGAGGAAATATATTTTGGATATACCGTAGAACAAGAGAGAGGATCCAAAGACCATTCGACCGCCGAAGGTCTCCGGCGTCGAAGAGGGTCACGTTCTGCCCCAAAGCGGCGCCGCCTGATGACTCAAGACATGACACACGAGCTTCCTATTAATTCCATCGGTACTCATCGTCACGTCAACGGGTCATCACGCGTGCCCCAGAAGAATGGAGTCGCTAACGGCACCAACGGCCATTCCACGGAGACTAATGGCATCGAAACTTCACATGCGAATGGTTATTCGCCATCAAAACTCAAGAAGAGGAGTAAAGACTTCTTTGGTCACGATAGAGAAGAGGTTACGAGACTACTCATACAAGGATTAGAGGACCTTGGCTATGATGAAGCGGCAGAGAGACTCGGGCAAGAGAGTGGCTATCAAATTGAGAGTCCATCCGTAGCAGCTTTCCGACACGCAGTACTTGAAGGTCTATGGTTTGAAGCCGAATCTCTACTTTTTGGCCGCCCTAGACAGCCAGATGGAGGGGGGTCAGCATCAGACAACGAAGTCCTCCCCATCAAATGGGTCTGAAGCTAGCAGACGATGCGGATCCAGACTTAATCAAATTTTTGATACGAGAACAGAAGTATGTCGAACTATTAAAGCGGAATTCGAGGACACAAGCACTCACGGTCCTTCAAACGGAGCTGCAACCATTGAATTATGACACGAGGCGCCTCAATGTACTATCAGGGTAAGCTATTTGCTACCACCATTTCAAAATCACCATCACAGGTTCTAGAGCTAACCAATGTATCAGATACATGGTTTCAGATCCTTCGGGAGACTTGACTTGGACCACAATCTTAGATGGCCGTCAGAAGCTGCTCTCCGAACTATCTAGTAGGGAACCCTTGTGTGATACTAAGTTTGATACTGACCATAATATCAGAATTTGTTTCTCCGTCTGCTATGATACCCCAACATCGACTTGCGGGTCTCCTTGATCAAGTCCATCGAGGCCAGATATCGCAGTGTTTGTATCACAACCCGATAAGCTCAAGACCTACCTCGCTTTTTACTGACCACAAGTGCGATCAAAATGAATTCCCCTTACGGTCACCCATAGAACTGACTCAGAGTGACGGCGAAGTTTGGTACGTCGAGTTCTCTCACAACGGTAAATTCCTTGCCGCTTGCGGGCAGTCTCGCACTGTCGTTGTGTATGATACCCATACGTTTGATGTTCGGCACAAACTCTCCGAGCATAGTGATAACGTTCTGTACTTGAGCTGGAGTCCGAATGACTCCAAGCTTATCACTTGTGGCCGAGACGCAAAAGCCAGAATGTGGGACATGATAGTAAGTGAATCTCAATTCATCGTCGATCGCGGCGCTGACCAGTAACAGTCTGGTCGTTGTATATTAATTGTAGATCACCAAGAACAAGGTGTTTCCAGTGCTGCATGGACACCTGACGGTAATTACTTCGTTACTGGAGCGCTCGATAAACACGCCCAGCTTTGCCTTCGTCCGGCAGACGGCCGAGGGGAGCCATTCAACTGGCCGACAGCCTTGAGGACCCAAGATTGTGCTATAACACCTAACGGCCAAAAGCTGGTGGTCATGTCTACTGAGAATTATATTACGGTCTATGACATACCCAGTAGGCGGGAGGAATACAGCATAAAGGTTGCCCACCGAATGACATGCATAAGCGTGAGCCGTGACTCGAGGACGATGCTCGTGAACATGGCCAACGACGAGGTACATCTAATTGACATTGAAAGTGCCGACATTGTTCGGAAATACTTCGGCCAAGAGCAAGGTGGTTTCATCATCCGAAGTGCCTTTGGTGGCGCAGACGAGGGTCTCGTAATCAGTGGTAGCGCAAGTGAGCATTCCCCATTGAACTTCAGAGATACGGAGTATCAATGCTCACACTCTTTTCAGATTCCAAAGTCTACATATGGCACAAGGAGAATGGTACCCTGATCGAGACGCTCGCCGGTCACGCTTATGGATGCGTCAATGCTGTGTCCTGGAACTTTGCAAATCCCACAATGTTTGCATCAGGAGGCGACGATAAGAAAGTCCGGATATGGACCAAAGACCCCAAACCATCGTCCTTACTGCGAAGACGAGTCAGTTCACAATCCTCACATCGCCATACCTACTAGAGAATCGATATATAGTACTGCATTTACCGTGTATAGACGCCCACATGTGAGCCTACTCCAGCGTAGCATAGAGATGCATTTACCGGCGTCAACATGGGCGGACAGGTAAGGGGTGAGTCATCACTACTGGGATATTGTTTCGGCAGGACGCCATGGGAGGCTTGATTGGAATAGCCATTAGCATGCACGAGCATTGATGCATCACGACACAGCGCAAAGTTAAGTGTACAAGACTGATGTAGACCAACGGACATATGCAAGGAACCATAATTAACCTTGCTCGCAATGTTCTCTGGCTGTGGAAGTCTCTTTTCTTACATAAGAACTGCATGTTGTCTTAATGTTGTTGCAGCATCTACCTAGGCGACCCTTGATTCCTGAAGCAAATGATGGAGTATCCGCAGGTTGTCATCCAAACCGACTGATTTCTTGCGGTCATTGGCTTTACTGAACGGCGTCAATTTGTGACTTTCAGCAATCTCGCCGAGCAATTGTGCCTGCATGTCTCCAACCCCTGGCTTAGACTAATCCCATGCGATCCCGAATACTCGGGATGGGTTTTGGCGCACTAGGATCATCTTTCGATGGTCGTCGATAATCGTATGCGACATCGAATGCCAGCATTTTGTCCTGCTCTCACCCGTGAGCCCTCGGACTTACTAAATGATTTGAAGTCGTTTTCAATGGGTACGCGAAGAGCAGTCAGACTCACCAAGCTCTCATGATACCATACCACGTCTTCCAGCACCTTAAGAACGGGAAGCGGGCAATGCGCTGTCCTCACGCCACAATCTGCATCGGGACAGAAAGACTGTGAAGGGTCGATGACACGGTAGATTTTAACCCACACTGTGCCTGCGGTATCTGGTCCACCGAAAACCATCTCCGGCATCGTTCCAGGGCGATCACTCTTCTTCTACACAATCGAAAGCAGGTCGTGTCAGTCAAGCTTGGCTCAAAATAATGTGAATTTCCAGCGGATTTTGCTCGATCTGTGGATGATTTGTGATTCCTAAAGCTGGCCGGACGGAAAGCAGAAAATGGATTAAGGGAAGAGCATACCAAAGCTTCGGTGACGGCATAGAAATCCCACCACATGGCATAGACGTGCCGGTCCGCTGTCAGTTCTTTGATCTCCGCGTCGTGTTGTTCAGATTGAGGGGCCGCCAAGCGGTGGTCACGGTTATGTGTGAGGAGTTGTTCGACACGTTCGAGCCAAGTATCGTCATCTTCGTTTGGCTTTCGTAAAGCTGTGGAAAGAGACGGACACAGCTCCATTCTTGGTGATCGGCAGTGGGTTTTACATGGAAGAATTGCCTTTGAAATTATTTAGCTCTAGGGGGCAACTGTCAGTGACGAGGTTGTGATCCTTTGATGTCTATCATTCACTCGAACTTCAGAGGGCGAATTCGACTGCAGGTTTACCGCTTATGCCTCCTGATCAGGTCAGCAGGTCATGGTTGGTAACCCTTTAAGTAAGTGGTACCGACACATTCAACTCGGTCGGAAGGTAATTGAAGGCCCAGAATGGTCATAAAGAAGATTGACCTAAAATTTAAGGCACTTAAAAAACATTTGGACACGAAGACTTCGCCCCGAGTGGAGGTAGGACAAGGAGAAGTGTGTCGCTCATAGCCACGGACGCTGTTCCGTATGCCATTCAAAAGAGAAAACAAGGAGCAGGATCTTTTCAACCTTCTGCTCCATCTTCCTGTTCCATGCATGTTACGTATCGACGAACTCCCCATCGCCACTAAATTGTGATTGCAAGTGTCAAGTCGGCATGAAATACGCATATCTATAGACTCGAGTATCAATTCCATTGTGAATGACTCGAGGTCGTTTGCTCCACTTCTATGTGTTCACCACTATCACGAAGTTTTTAAGGCGCTGACATTGAGCGTCGGCAGGGAATTACACCCTCAGTATGTACTGGATAGTACAACGGTAAGGGTGCCCGGAATGAATCACCGGTGCCTTCCGACTCGGACCGATGCCGCAATTGCGGTCAAGGGACCTTAAAAGCGCGCCTCCCATCGAGCCTTTTAAGGTAGGGTCCAGGGGCTTCTTCCGAACCTTCACCACCGTAACACCTCGTCAGACTTGTCACCTCCCCACCACAGCAGTACACGTTGTCCTGTACCAACCACTGCCTCCATGTAGCAAGGACTAGAATCTGCCCCTGCATTTACGCACCGCGATCAATGGCAAAAGACTCTGTCCCTACAGTTACGGTCATCGGCTCCCTTAACACTGACCTCGTTACTCGAACGTCCCGGGTGCCAGAAGGAGGTGAAACTCTGACCTCACAGGCCTTCAAAACAGGATCTGGTGGTAAAGGGGCCAATCAAGCGGTTGCATGTGCTAGACTTTCTCGTCGGAAGGCCGCGCCAGGCGATGGCACGGTCAAAGTCAGAATGATTGGCGCTGTTGGTGACGACTTCTTCGGCAAAGCTTTGGTTCAAGATCTGAAAGACAGTTTCATCGATGTCAGTGGCGTTACTGCACGGTCAGATGAGCATACGGGAACAGCAGTGATCATTGTGGAAGAGAGTACTGGAGAGAACAGAATCCTGCTGTCTCCCGGCGCAAATCACGGCCTTACACCCGAAACATTCGTTGAGTTGCCTGCACCGCTACCGGACGTGATTGTTCTCCAGCTTGAAATTCCTCTTGAGACAGTTCTGCAAGTTCTGACCGTCGCTAAAAGCCAGCACGTTGAGGTTGTAATGAACCCCGCACCCGCTCAGAAATTGCCCTTGGAAGCCTACCAAGCCATCACGCATTTGATTGTAAATGAGTCGGAGGCATCCATCATCACTGGTAATGAAAGGAAAAGCATCGATTGGGCTGAGCCTGGAGAAGGGTGGAGAGCTCTTTATCGCCTCGGCTCGCAGCATATAACGGTCACGCTGGGATCTCGCGGCGTTCGCTACGCACTATGCCATGACAAGGAGGCAGAATTGGACATCAAGTCACTAGACGCCAAAAAAGTTCAAGTCAAAGATACTACAGCTGCGGGCGATACTTTTGTGGGCGCATATGCTGTCGGCATTGCGACGAACAAGAGCAAAGACCCGAAAACCATGATGCGCATCCTGGCTCGCGCAAACGAGGCGGCTGCCCTGACTGTTGCACGAGAAGGCGCGCAGGCTGCAATTCCATGGGCTGACGAGTTGCCATCTCTTGGGGCGCAAGCTTGAAAGCTCGTCAAATACAACTTCAGACCATGACGCTGACAAGAAAAGGCCTCCTTATGGCAGCAAATGGAGAGCTTAGCTGGTGGCCAACTCCACTTCCTTAGCTCTACAATTCGAGGTGAACACATAGGTCCGCACAGTGCCAACCAATTTTTCCAAATCTCCGAATCTCCTGACTTATTTCGGGCTCCGCCGTTCTTGAAGCTGTGTCAATGCTCTACAGTTGACTTGGTCACATAGAAATGGATCGCCTGGATCACAAGGCCTAGGTTTGTATGATAGCAAACAATGGTTGTACACTCAGTTTCTCGGGCCCCGTCAAAGCGATTCATGATCAGATGACAAATTCATCACCTTTTGGGGTAAACTTGTTCTCTCAAATTGCCAGGGGTTTTCCTTTCCACTCTTGGTATCTAAGCCTTACGGTATGGGGCCCTCGAAATCTGTCACAGAAGCTAAATGATCGATGAGGTTCAAGTCGCATCCTTGGTCAGACCTGCCTAGAGTAAGACTTGTTATTCAAATTTTGCGCTGAGACCTCGAAGCCTGTGGTTCTCCTAGCTCGACAGCACTGCTTGAAGTGCTTGCTAGGTCGAAGACGGACAGGCAGCATCTTCAGGCACTACTTCCCGACAGCTCGCAACGTAAGTAGATAGTGGCTTAGTGAGATAAGCTTAAGTACTTCACTGGTCGGTTTGCAGGTCGTATGAACACAACCACATGCTTCACAGCATATATCATGATCATAAGAGCAGAGCTGCCATTGACCGCTATCCCCAAAAGGCACCTGTTGTCAACATGGGAGGCCCAGCGTGGGCAGCAAGAGCGGAAGGAGCGATCGATGCTACTTGCAGAAGATCTCAGCTTCCATGTATATTGATAATTTCGGACTTTACTCTTCTAAAGGGCATTGCAATGCTGTCCCTTGGACACTGAAAAGCCGTCAGCTCGAGTCCCTCTTTACTGCCACTTGGGCAAGCTCGCGCAAGCATCAAGCCTAATTGACCAGGAGCTCGTTCTTAATGAAAAATGCCTTTTATCATAGAGCCTGTGATTGAACTTCCCCCACTCGAACGCATCGCCGAAACAGGTGATGTCAAAATGCACCTTGTCATGCTTCCTCACCAATTCGGCTTCGCGGGAGAAGACATTCCACACTTATTCTCATTATGGATATGCGAGATCTTGCCATCAATACAACAGTTCGTCAGACAGGCCAGTCGCATGGTGCCCATTTCCTACAAGATGGATGACGACATCATGAATCACGTAGCGCATGAGAACCAGCATGTTGCTAAAGGCAATGACAGTCAATGTTTGTTGAGCATCCTGGTAAGTCCTTGACCGGAAGCCTGATGTTTATGTTGCATCTCAGGACATGCCGTTTGAAGTTGTTGGAGTCCCTTTCGAAGCAACGTTGTACACTATCCTGCAAGGATGTTCCGTGAGCTAACTCCTGACTTAATTGTGACATTTAATGGGTGGCAGCCAATTTTGGACCGAGCCTCGCCAGCTGCATCAATGTTGACTCGATTATGGACTGACAATCGTCTTCGTTCTCAGGCAAACCTTTACCGGAAGCATGGAGATCCTCTCGTTATTCAGGATGTTGTTCGTGCGGCCAACGGTGAGAGATAAAATGAATATTTTGACAGCCAAAAACGATTCATTCAAGAAATAGGCATGGTATGGTTGAAAATCTACCAGTGTATCCTTCCTGTGGACTTTGAAAATTACAATGTGAAGCCCGTGGCCATTATCTGGCTCTGGCCAGAGGACGTGCGTAGCTTCCTCCTTGCAAGCCAAGTCACAATTAATTTCTGCCCAGCTTGAGATAGTCCCAGATCCTCTCCTTTATGTTAAAATTGCTCAAGAGGTAGCCAAAGTGGATGGCAGTACCACTGATGTAGGATCAGCCTCTCCGCCACCGGACACACCGCCGACTGCTCCTGACGAGAGGCAATGGGACCCTATGGGAATCATGAGGTCCAACACCAGGTGGGCAGCTCTCCAAAGTTGGAAAGACGAGACTGCAGCCGAGGTCGACCGCATTTTGGAAGAGGTTGGAGGCTTCTCCCTCAAGTAAGATGTGTATCTGCAGCAACCCTGTCTGAATCTCATCTGTGGGATTGACAAGTATGGGTGTTTAGCGTGATAATGCTGGGCATCGAAAATCCCTCTTGGGTTGCTGAAGATATTGGGAGAAGCTTTATTTTAAAGGCTTTCGAACTTTTGAGAGTCTGCATAGGTGTGTCTAATTACCACTTCAAATGTTACCAGTCTGACATAAGATAGCAGGCTAGCGGCTAGCTGCTGAAAGCTGCCCGAGAGCAACCGGCTAAGGTACGTAGCCATGGGTAATGACGCCTGGTAAACACTATTGTTTGAACATGACGTTACAGTGACGCTCTTGCTTAACAAGCATTTGTATAGCGAATAAATTTTATTGTATGGTGAGAGTAGTCTTCTTCTCCTCCTCTTTAGGTCCTCTTCATGATTGAGTCGCCTCACACATTTATCATACTACTTCAAAGTGGTTTTTTTTTTTTTACCTTTTCAGTAAAGATTCGGGCCTGTTCCAGAAGCTCCTACTACCCTACTAGTTCACACAAATCCAGGCTTTGCTCTGATCTAGCAGAGAGGTCATCCGGTGCAGATATGGCGCCTCAGATAACGCAACGCACCCAACAAATCTGGCTTCAGGACTCTGATCCAGAAGTTCGTCTCTACTACACGGAGTCTTTGCCAGTCTCGGAACACTGCAAAGGAACAATCCTTCTCATTCATGGCTTCCCCGAGACTTCTTACCAGTTTCGGCATGTAGTAAAGCCTCTGGCTGAGGCTGGTTATAGAACCATTGCTCCAGATTATAGAGGTGCTGGGTTCTCGTCTCATCCTCCTGGCGGTTATACGAAGGATATCCTGAGCCAGGACTTGCACACGCTACTCGTCGAGCATCTCAACATCAAGGATCCAATTCATATCGTGGGACATGATATTGGTGGTATGATCGCCTTCGTAAGCTTTAGTATCCCATACACAGGCGCAACGCTTATCATCACAGGCTTACGTTTCTCAATTTCCGGATGATGTCGCATCCATTGCGTGGGGTGAGTGCCCCTTGCCTGGGACCAAGCATTATGAGACAAATAAGCATACGCCTCCTTTATGGCATTTCTCCTTTCATGCACAGCCTGACATCCCCGAAGCCCTCGTGGCAGGGAAGGAGAGAATGTACATCAAGCACTTCTACGACAGGCTCGCTCAAAAGCCTTCCGCTTTTACTAATGAGGACTTGGACTTCTACGCTACTCAGTATAGCATGCCTGGTGCACTGAGGTGCGGCTTCAATGCATACCGAATGTTTAAGAAAGACGCAGCTCATAATCAGAATTGGCTCTCTAATATGGGGAAGGTAAAAGTGAAAAATATGATTCTGAGCGGAGAAAGGAGTCTAGTCGCTAAAGGCGCAGTTGAGATGGCGGAAGAGGTGTTTGAAAATGTAACACCAGGATTCGTTGAAGGCAGTGGGCACTGGATCGCAGAGGAAAATCCAGAAGACTTTGTCAAGAAAGTTCTCGCTTTTATTGAGCACTGAGAAGATAGGGACGCAATATGGAAGACTTGTTCAACCTACGTTGGAATATAGGCACTATGCGTCTCGGAAACATCGTTCGAATCTGATACTCTTTACTCCGTCGCAAGTTGCAGATCTCAAGCTCAAATCCAAGCTCCTCGTCCAACGATTCCAAGACGTTGGCCAGGCTTCGACACCCAGAAGAACATGGTCCACTCAATTGCCCCCTTTTCGCTGCCAAGAGAACGCTAGCCTAAAACGCGACATTTCCAGCGCGTAAAATCGACCATGAATCTACCTCAGCGTCCCCTCGCTCAAAGTCGAACGACTTCCCAACCTCGACCACCTGCCTGAGAATTTAGGCCAACATTGATTTGCCACAGCGACACATTACCCTCCTCGGAGTGTGATGCATTGCTGGACAAATCCCTGCTAACTCCACTGAAGCGTCGACAACGCTAATCCCTGCCGTTACAAGCCGACGCGAATTGGGGGCTCCAGCCTTGCCACGAGAACTCCCAATCCTGACGTGTGAACTCCACCATTGCTACCGCGAGCTTTTCTCAGTCGTGTTCGAGGGGCGTGACTCCGACACTTCCTACAAGACACTTGGACTCGCCCTGTGAAATTGATACTCCTCATTCCCCGCACTTTTCGACACTTTGAGGACGTTTACCTGACTTGCCACGTTTTTGCCACACTCGGAACGACGGGTGAGGTAATTCGTGAGAGGGTATCTTGACACGCAAGCAATCCATTGAAGTGTTGGTGCTGGAAAAGAGCGGCTTTACACGGCCTCTACGCCTACGAAATCTCTGCTGGCTCTTCTCTTCCTCCATCTTCCTTACATCTCTCGACCCACCCAAGTTTACACGTAGCTCAACCATCACCTGCACTTCTGAACCTGCGAGCCAAATTCTGAATACTTGCAGAGCACTTTCAAAGCTCCATCACACACAACGTGAACAAAGACCATAGTACCAGATCATCGCTACTTCTTAGAGATGTCTACCACCACCTTCGCAGTTCCTGCCCGACAACCGTTTGGTGAAACTAGCCAGACTCGCCTTCGCAATTTAGCGAACTTAAAGAACACGCAGAATGGTTCGTACCCTTTGCCCGACACTTCTTTCAAAGTCTTCGTAACTAGCAGTGCTGACTCGTTACAAGCGGTCATCAACGGCATTACGTCGACGCACAAACCATTCGCAGCTACGAAATACTCAAAGGCCAACGTTGAGAACATTGAACCATCCGTCAACTTTGTCCCTACAAAAGGCAAAGTCTTTGGATTGAATGCCCATGCAAAGGGGAATAGCCCGTCCTTTTATCTTTCGACGGCCAAGGCAAACAAAGATGCTACGCTACCTCAACTTTGTGGCAGCAAACGCAAGAACGACTCAGAGTCGCCATCCCTCGAGGTTGCAACCAAACGTCGCGGACCGGATTCCAGCATTGACGCTTCTACCACTGTGCAACGCACGCAAAAGTATCGAGGCATTGGCCAGAGTCGTCTAGACAAAAAGGCATTTGCGAAAGGCGACAAAATACGTGCAAAGACGAGCATTACTGCTGGACGGTCTTACCGTAACAAAACCAATGCCGTAACCAGCATAAATCCACCGGTATCGGCTTCGCCAAACATACTATCTCTCAATGAAGCTCTGGCTGGCACCTCCAAATACCAAAAGAACTGGGACTTCAAAATCTATGAGGATACCAGTAATGACAACTACTTCAATACCTTGACCCATAGTACAGAAAAATCTTTTTCGATATCCAATTCTCCTTCGCCCGAGGAGTTCGAAGTCGAGGAGAATAACAACAAGGAGAACGAACCTCCTTGTGATTACGTAGCTGCCGGCAACGCCGCCGTAGCACGCCGGGACAAAATGTCTGACGAAGTCCGGACACCTCTTGGTGATTTGAATACTAAAGAATTCTACGGAGACGGCTGTGATCAGAGTTCTTATGTGTTCATCCCCGAGGATGAGCCACAGGTTACACAACACGCCAGCCTTGATAATACCTTGAACGGAATGCTAGTCGCTAATGACACTCATGACGGTAGTATTTCTGGTGGCCGGGTCGGGTGGGAAGATCTCATTGCAAAATTGCCGTCGAAGAAAGACATCGGTGCACACGATACTTTGGCGCCCGAGGATGATGATACGAAAGACCCGGAGTTTCAGATATGGGAAAGCTCTTCTGCAAAAGCAGAAAATGAGACTGTTGAGGAAACTAATGGTGATGGAGAGGAGCGTGCTGTGGCAGAGCCATTCGAATCATAGAAGGCCGTCAAACGAGTAGGATCATGGATGGGGTTTGAATTTGGTAAAATGCTCTCTCTCTATCATGCCTTGGAGGTTGGCGATGGCAAGGTCGCGTGGGGATTGACTTGGTAAAATGCTCTGCTTTTCATTTTTCTTTTGGAGTGAGTGACAGCAAGTTGGGTGGGGATTGAGTTTGGTAAAAAGCTCTCCCTCCCCATTCCTTGCTGCACGATGGAAAGGCTAAATAGTGATTAAGCGACTGATTGATGGTTCGTTATGTTCGAATGTTTGCGATTCATGCATGGCGTTGGGGGACAAACATGTATGCATAGTATGCGTCAGGGATATTCAAGTGAGTCTTAGGACCACGACTTAGGTTCTGCATTGTAGCATGCTTTAGTGTCCTATCTACTACTCTGTACACTCTGATAGGATAATTACCACCTCGTCCCTGGAATTCCTTTGCCACACCATGCATGCCGGGGCACTTGTAGGCGACTTTTAACGTGAAATATGGGATGCAAAGCGCATAAATCGGGAAGTCCGCGAATGTAAGTCACGCCAAGCCCAGCCAAACTTCAAAAGGTGTCGCGAGGCGTGCCAACTCAGCTCAGAGCCTACTTCTTTGTCATGAAGGTGGCATGACGAGGAGGGCAATCATGGAGTCTACAATCCATGGTGTTAGAGCTGGATTAAATTGAGGAAATTGGAATTTGTAATGTTGATTCTAGACGCGTCTAACGTCAACAAGACCAGCAATCGTGAATATGTCTCCTCTCCTTTTTGAGGACTTCTGCGATCTCCTTGAAAGACTTGAAGAAGTCTCAAAAAGAGATCCGCCTTCTCTCTCAAATGATAGGGAAAAGCGGAACCGCACTATCATTCGATCATGGTTTGCATTTCATACGATATCAATATACTCAACAAGCATCAAGCCAGTCACTTTGTTGAATTCCCTCTTTCCAGCAAAGCGGACTGACCGCGTGTATGGCTTGCAGCAGAAAAGCTTGTCTCGACGGCTCAGAGGATGTCTGAAGCTAGGCCATGGCAGATGGCAGCAATTAGACCAATATCAACGGCCTGGCCTTGACGATCTTGGTGCTTGTGTGGAAAGGGTGCTGAAGCAAGCTGAGTTCCCAAAGCAGCCGCCTTCCAAACAGGTCACGCTGCAGGAGATCGATGACACTCTTGTGTCATTGGCGGCGCGGTGCCGCTTTTCTGGGCATAAGGTCGAATTCGAAGCCTTCTCTGAACATACTTCAGATATTCTCAGTCGTAAATATATAAAACTGCAGTCCAGGGAGGCGAAGTGGCTTACACGCCTGATCTTGAAGGGGTTTTGCACCATCGATCTGGATGCGTATCGGTCAGCCGTCCTTTCGTGTCTAGACTCACGCCTCCCTCTCGCTTTGCGACTCTACGACGACTTCGATGCAGCTATCGCCAAAGTATTATCTCTGCCAGTCTTGGCGCATGGGGGTTCTTCAACCAACCTGCAAACTCTCGAGGCTAGGCAGCTTATGCCCCAAGTCGGCATCAAAGTTAGCTCTCCAGGGTGGATAAAGGCTAAAGGCGGAGTGAGCCACGCCATTTCCCTCATAGACAGTAGAGTCATGAGTGTAGAACGAAAATACGATGGAGAGTATTGCCAGATCCACGTCGGCTTGAGCAAAGGCAAGAAATGTATACAAATCTTCTCGAAAAGCGGAAAAGACTCGACGGAGGATCGAGCTGGTGTTCTCACATCTATCGCACAGAGTCTTCGAATCGGTGACACGGAATGCAACATCACAAGCGAATGCATCTTGGAAGGTGAGCTTGTGGTCTGGAGCGACAAGGACAGTCAGATACTCGAGTTCCACAAGCTACGCAAGCACATACCTCGATCTGGCGTGTTCCTAGGAACTAGGGAGGATTCTCAGCCTCATGACTATGAGCACTTGATGGTAATCTTCTATGACATTCTGCTTCTAGATGCTCAGCCCGTACTACATCAGCCTTACCAAGAGCGTCGCACAATTCTCAAGAAAATAGTCAAGCCAATCAAGGGAAGAGTGCACTTTGCTGAACGACAGGAATTGTCCTTCTCAGACCGGACCGGGCATACTCAGCTGAGATTAGCATTAGCTGAGGCCTTCACTCGCCGGTGGGAAGGCCTTGTTCTCAAGCCGGCCCATGCCCCATACTTCGATTCGAAGTATCAGCTTTCGAGCCGGTGGATAAAGCTGAAAAAGGACTGCATCTGCGGATATGGTGACACAGCAGACATTGCTGTCATTGGGGCAGGCTATGATGTGAAACGTGCTCATGAGCTGAATTTTTCAGAGATTACGTGGACGCACTTCTTTCTTGGCTGTCTGAAAAACAAACATGCTGTGCAGCACACAAATGCAAGGCCTTGCTTCCTAATTGTTGACTGCGTCACGGATTGCATCAAAAAGACAGACTTCGAGACTCTTAACCAATATGGCAAACTTGCAGCTCTTGCCATTGGAGACGAGCAAGCAGCAAAGGCATACGAACTAGAGTATACTTACATGGATTCACGGTTGCCGCAGATGACCTCGATCTTTACGCAGCCCTTCGTCTTCGAGATCGCGGGGAGTGGATTCGAGAAATCGGCCAATCGTAATATTTTCACACTTCGCTTTCCTCGCGTCTTGAAAGTCCGTTGGGATCGAGATTGGAGGGATTGTATTGATTTGGCACAACTCCAGGTGATGGCGAAAGAAGCTCGGAGCCTGCCGGCTGGCGACCTTGGACAGGAAGTCTCCGCCTGGGTCATGAGACTCAACGATGTTGACAGGAGGATTGTATCACGCTCTAGTCCTCGGGATACGGCAAGCACAGCAGACTCAGATCGACGATATTCAGACACAAGCGTCGACTCGAAGGCTGGGTCTGGCTCTCGCCGTCGAGGCCTCCATAAAACAACTCCACCGCTAATTCGAATTGACTCGGATGAGATGCAGCAAGACGAGCGGAGGCAGGACGATGGAAGTGTTGCTCGCGAGCCCTTTGTGCGTCAGTCTTTGATTGATGCAAGCTCGTCCATTGCTGCGTCCAAGTTTTCTACATTATTTACGAGCCCTAACAGCGAAAAAAGCACCGGAAATGTCACAATGACCCATGCCTCACAAAGCAAGCAAGGCAAAGGGCTTTTCGGTCCAAATTGTTCTCAAGCATCTCTGCCAGAAGAACCTCAAGATGGTAGGCCACTGCAGGAATCAATAACAACGCCAGGCTCTCTGATAGCCCTCAAACCACCGAGCCGCTCGTCTCTCGGCGACCCGAGCTTTCCTTTGATCTCGTTCGCAAGAGGGCTTTGGACGCGCAGGAACATATTCTTCACGTGAAACGCACCAGACGAAAGGCAGTAGGCTTTTCCTCGCCCGATCGAGAGACAACGGCAGACGAAAGCTCCGTCGCCACTGTCTCTCAGCTCCACACAATCCATGCGCGTGCATCACCTCCCACACTGATACGACCGAAGCCAGTTTCGAAGGCATCGGCCCTACCCACTCCACCCAGTAGCGCTGAGACTACCTTGATCAAGATGCCTGATTTCCGAAATCAAACAGTCATCATATCTGCATCCTTGAGTGAGAAGGGGCAGAAGCTTCGGACATTCATCAAACGAAAGACTGCAGCAAATAGTGTCTATTATGCGAGGTCCAGGGAAGAAATAGCTTCCATTGCGAAATCGGAAGCGCCAGAGAATTTCATCGAGCTCATGACTTTGACTGATGCCACGAACATCCAAACAGCAACTGAAGACCTGATCGATATGCTAGCTTGCATCAATACACTAGATCATTTTGAGGCAGCTTTATGGGACTGGCGTTTACTTGAACTCATCCCCAAAGGCACACAAGCGGTAGGCAAAATCAAAGAAGCCAAGGACGCGTTTGTTGCAAAACTCTGCTGGCATAAAGGTGGAGGGCCTGGAGAGCTGAAGTTGACGTGGCGTGATGGATCTATAGACTCCATTCCAGAGGATTTCATTCAGCGCATTGAGGAAGCAATTTCTTCCAACATTGAGGAGTGTTCCATGTGAGGATCGACCATCACTGCGTTTTGATGACCTATGATATCTACACGGAGGTTTTGTATCAATTTGAAGGGCGTTGGGAGACGTGTGAATGCTGCTGATTATGATTGCACGAACTCAGACCTACTACTCAGGACACTTACTATTTCTCATGATCGATTGCTTTGCAAGCCGAGCTTAAATATCACGTAGGACTTTGGACAGGTGGCGTGTAGTGGGACTAGCGAGGAGCCTGGCGTTCAAATGAACTGGACTGGTAAACTGGAATGATACCCCTGGAATTTTGGGCGGAACCCCGATGGGACTGATATATATATGTACAAATACATGGCTTAACAGCTCTACTTGGTTGATTGAATTTTCCGTAGCGCTCCCAGGCTTTACTACGCACCTACAATAGCCCTTGCTTCTGCAAATCCCAATACACCTTCTCCGGCATAACGTTCCCTTCAGCGTCCTCCATCTGCACAACCCCATCGCCCTTTGTGCTTTCAACCCTCTTGTCCCTCTGGATCTTATCCCACAATTTCAATGCATCCTGAATCCCCGTGATCTCCCTGAACAATGCCGTATTCGTGATCCCCAAACACTTCAATCCGTAGATATGTCGCGCCTCATTGAAATGCTTGTCGAAAGCCCTCCTTCCCATGTACACAAAGTTGCCACAGACCTCACATGGAAATTCTACCCCTAAGCCGTGGAGTTTGTAGAGCCAGTAGGGTATTGGCTTGCCGTCCCACGCCAGCGGGAGCTTCAAGGGGTTGTAAATCTTCTCGTCGCCATCGCTGTCGGAGTCTTCGCCCTTTTCACCGCCGCCAGTGGGGACGGTGTCTTGTTCTGCGAAGAAGGCTTCGAGCTCCATCTGCCGCTCCCGCTCTGTCATGCCTTGCCTCCTTTCGACATTCACCCGGGTGTCGGTACGGACGTTCTCGAGCGTGGAGGCGAGTCGGTGGATGCGGTACTCGCGCTCCGCTATCACGCGTTCTTTGAGGCGTTGGATTTGTGAGAGATTTTTATTTGATGAGGCGCCATTAGTAGTAGTGCCATTCGAGGTGGCGGAAGAGCCTGTACGGGCTTCGGCGTTTTTGATATGCTTTTTGCCCGTCAGGTGGGCTTTGTAGACGTTGTCGTTCTTGAATTCTTTGGCGCAGTCGGCGCACCATATTCCTTCGCCTGTGCCTTCTGTTACAGGGCCTGTGGGACCTGCGGCTTGGTTCTCTGGGCCCCACTCGGGTACTTTGTCGGCTTCCCAGGCCTTGGTGAAGTCATCTCCAATTGAAGCGAAGACTTTGTCGAGGTCTTGTAGTGGTTTTGTACGATGGAGAAAGTTTTCTAGGTATTCTGCTAGTCGGGTGACATATCGAAAGTATTCTTCTGATGATCTCTTCTCTGCGCGCTTCAGTGACATGTGTGGGGGGCCAAATTGGTCGAATGTTTGTAGATACTGGAGGTAGGAAAGGCGTTTTATATTATTCAGATTCAAGTAGTCTTCATGTAACATGGTCAAGTCCAGAAATCGTCCGTATGCCTCTTCCCCTGTGAATAAGTTGTCTACCTCTGCGGTTGCAGACTCCCCCTCTCCTGGCGCCTTCCTCTTGTATGCTCTCTCGAGATTTTCCACTGGTTCATTAGGATATCTTCTGTGGAAGTCTTTGATTTCGCCTAGCTGCTTATAGAACTCATCAAAAGGATCGCCAGTGGATATGTTCTGTATCTCTTTCGAGCGCAGTCCTTCAGTATCATTGTATATGTCAAGTAGTCGCTCCGACTGTTCTTGTATTCTCGTGAGGAAGCCTGCTACCTGGTGATCGCGATTCAATTTATCCCTGATCTGTTCTTCCGTAAGTTTAAATTCGTTCCTCACTTCACAGGTATCTTACATGTTTATGATCCTCAGTAACTCTATCGCTAATGCCCTGCTCCAACCTCTCCAGGTCCTCATGCAAAAAGCGCTGATCTTCAAGCAGCATTGCGACAGGTCTGTACGTAGGGCAAGGGATTTAAGGAGTTGAAGCGCTTTTACAGTGAGCAGGCATATCGAATGCAAGCATTAGAATTCGTGAAAACGACGAGAGCCACGGCAAGCTCGCCAACCAATCAGATTCGCGCTTGGCCGAAAACCGTAGAAGGCTGACCTTTGACCACCATTGAAACTATTTGGGGCCTAAGCACGCTTCGAATCACATCAACGTCAAGCAATATGGCAGGAATCGATAAGAACATAGACGGTCAGTAAGTCCATGCAAATGACCATTGACAATAGTTGATAAGCCGTAGAGAAAATGGAGTTCTCAACCTCCAAGGAGGTTACAGTGGCGCCCACATTCGAAACAATGTCGCTGAAAGAGAATCTCTTGCGAGGCATATATGCGTACGGCTATGAATCTCCGTCCGCGGTACAGTCCAGAGCCATCGTCCAGATTTGCAAAGGTCGGGATACCATCGCCCAAGCCCAGTCGGGCACTGGGAAGACGGCCACATTTAGTATTGCCTGCCTTCAGGTCATCGACACTGCGCTTCGTGAGACGCAAGCCTTGGTTCTTTCGCCGACAAGAGAATTAGCGACGCAAATACAGTCTGTGGTAATGGCTTTGGGCGACTATATGAATGTTCAATGCCATGCTTGCATTGGAGGAACGAATATAGGAGAGGACATACGCAAGCTTGACTACGGGCAGCACATTGTTTCAGGAACCCCAGGAAGAGTAGCGGACATGATTCGACGCCGTAATCTGCGTACGCGCAACATCAAGATCCTGGTTCTTGATGAAGCGGACGAACTCCTCAATCGTGGATTTAGAGAGCAGATTTACGACGTCTACCGCTATCTTCCCCCAGCTACACAAGTGGTGGTCGTGTCGGCTACGCTGCCGTATGATGTGCTTGATATGACAACCAAGTTCATGACAGATCCTGTCCGAGTACTTGTAAAGCGTGACGAGCTGACCCTGGAGGGATTGAAGCAATACTTCATCGCGGTCGAAAAGGAGGAATGGAAATTTGATACGCTTTGCGATCTTTACGATACTCTCACTATCACGCAAGCAGTGATCTTTTGTAATACACGCCGCAAGGTGGATTGGTTGACGGACAAGATGCGGGACGCAAACTTCACAGTGTCTTCTATGCACGGAGAGATGCCTCAAAAGGAAAGGGACAGTATTATGCAGGATTTTCGTCAAGGCAACTCTCGTGTCTTGATTTCGACAGATGTCTGGGCTCGAGGGATCGACGTTCAACAAGTGTCCCTAGTGATTAATTACGACTTACCAAGTAATCGCGAGAATTACATCCATCGGATTGGTAGAAGTGGACGATTCGGGAGGAAAGGTGTTGCGATCAACTTTGTGACAAGTGAAGATGTCCGAATTCTGCGTGACATTGAATGTAAGCATGAATTGACAAGACCGCTCGGTCTATCGCTAATTAAATGGCAAGTGTATTACTCGACCCAGATTGACGAGATGCCGATGAACGGTCTGTCTCAATTCCAATGCACCACTTCCGTTGCTGTGCTGACTCCATTTGTAGTGGCCGACTTGTTGACCTAGAATAGCATTAGTCCAAAGAGCAGTAAAGCAGGCACTAGCTAGGATTTTCGTGGCATTGATTTATCTTTGATGCTTGATCTCCGGTTGTAGCCTCATAGACATGATTGGCAATGAGACGCGGAGGAAGGGTCTCGAAACCTAGACAGGCAGGTCACTGTTCACCAAAGCTTCGACCGCCTACTAAACTTTCTATGATAGGATATTTACAGACACCACTTTTCTTCACATATTCAGTCCCATAACGGCATTGTACTTCACTGACGATTAGCGGCGGCCGCAGCCACGCGGTAATGAAGCTGCGTTAACCCTTTACAGCTTTGTCAAGTGCCCTCAACGACTGCTCAAAGCTAGAAGCTGTGTTGTGTATCTTCGAAGGGCGAAAATACGCGTTAAGCCTGCCTCGGGACCAGAAGACTTTGCTCTGGATCAGGTTTCCCTGTACTGTCGGTTTGAAGGAAGCCGCCTTTGACTTACGTTGCCCTCGACGGTCGATCAACACGTGATTTGACTTAGGTTTTCAAGAGGCCATACTCGGAGTAGCGAACCAACTGTGCAAACCTGTTCGGTTTGCCACGGCTATGGAAGGTCTTATAACGAAGTGAATAACACAACTCGGAACTGACTTGATCTTGTAATACTGATTGCATTACAACCTTGAACACCTAGTGTCCAAGTGTTCGAGCATCTCAAATCTTCGGTGGGGCTCTCCATTTTACCGGCAACAAGCACCTGACAAAGATCCAAGACGTTGCACAACACTTCTGATTGATCTACTGACCTTGAGCTACCTCAAATAGCGTTTGTCCTAGCCTGTTTTCATTTTCCTTTCTCCCGCAGATTCCATCTATATTTTCATTCACAGTCACCCATCGGCTGCACTACCATCTTCTCCCGGCTGTACTACCATCTTCTTGATCATATACGTTTCACAACCGCCATCATAGTCGGTTTGACTGGCAGAAGATGTCCTTGCCTCCAAACGCAGGCGCCTCAGCTGGCAATCATAGGCATGTCTCGTTTGTACAAGAACCGAACACGCCCGTCAACGGCTCCCCTGACATCACAATTCCGAACGCTACTCCGAACATAAATTCTTTCAAAGCCGCAGCAAATATCGAGAAGATACAACGAGATCCTGCAAAATCAAAGGTTATGTTCACCCCAGACAAGACAGCCAAAGAGGCCGACTCTCAATCCCCGTCCCCACCCAATGGCCAAAAACTCACCCACGCTACCATCGCTAAGAGACGTCTCTCTGATGCAAGTGATGGAAGCCATGCATCGGTACTCACCACAAGCGGGTCATCCAGTTATGTTCAGTCGAGAGAGAACTCCGTGACTTCATCTACGGGCACGCCAATGGATGGTGTAGAGGATACATACGAGAACGGAGAGAGACGAAAGCCGGCTAAGAAGAGGGCCAAGTTCAACGACAATTGTATGGGGCCGCCGATGCTACCTAGACGTCGACGGGCCCCTGATCCTGTTGCTGTGAATCTTTTGAGACGTACTGGTCCACAATTTCAAGGCGCACAGCATCTTACGTCGTAAGTGGCCGCTGGCTTCCTGTCCATGCACATGTTGCCATACCTACCATCTAGATTCATTGCTTTGCTCTGAATATCCCCCGTCCCTGTTCGTGATGGACCAAGCTTACTTTGTTGCCCCCAGTCATTTCGCCTCAACATGCTATGAGATTTATCTCGGCAATGATTTCAGTTCAAGTGGGCATGAAATGATGCTTGCGAAATCTCCCACCTTCGTTGAGCATATGAATCGGGCTCGGTCCAATGCTCGACAGAAACAGGTCTTACGCCTCGACAATTACAACCAAGAACCGTTTGATCAGATGTTTAACTACCTGTATACAGATAGGCTAGACACTCTTCCAGCAAATGATGGAAACCGATACGCTCGACTCGAGGAATTAAGGCTACTAATGCGTCTTGCCAATACATTTCAACTTCCTGATCTGCAATGTCAGATCGTTGATCACGTACGCAAGCATAGGTTGGTTGGTAAAATCGGGATGCATACATTCTTCGACTGGGCGTATGAAATCTACACTAACGAGTTCGACCACACTGTCGGGAACTTTTCCAAGTTCTTCCAAGATGTGGCTCCTGGATTTCTCCAAAAGAAGATCGACAATGAAAAAAGCCCTAATGGTAAACCTGCCATGATCCACCTGTTCAACCTGGTAGCGGCCGGTGGAGGGTTTGCGGTGGAAGTTTTGAAAGCATCCCATACTGTGAGTATTCTTTGATGAAGTAATCAGTACACAGACTCACACACAAATTTGAAGGCTATGAATTCGAGTTTGATAAAGCAAGAGCCGAGAGCATCCCCTAAGAAGAAGCTCACCGTCAAGAAAGAGCCAGGTTCGACTGACACGATGGCAAGACTGCCTGTTCCAGCTGCCACCATGGCAAGACCTCCTGCTCCTCCTGCTTCTGCTGCCACCATGGCACGACCCACTGTTGCGGCTGCCACCATGGCGGAGCCACCTTTCTCCGCGCACTCTTTTGACGGCGCCATCAGTCTTAGCAGTGACGACGAATAAGGCTTTGAAATGAAGACAAGGGCTGATTGAGACGACGGTTAGGGTGAGTCAGCCCTTTTGTCAGTGATTTCTCTGTCAATACGCCCATATTTTTGCTGGCGATTTGAACCATGGCTGACATATTCTATTAGCATATGTCCTCATCCATGCCTGAACTTGTCGGCCAGAAGCATCAGCCGGGCTCATCACGACTCTTTCCCTTGCAAATTATCCTCACACAACAAGATCTTGCATTCCTCGCCATCTCAACACTTTCAAGACACTATTTCTACTTGCACGATACTGCACTCTACGACTTCTTCTATGGCTAGCATCACCAATTACGATAGTGACCGCGGCATTTAATAGCCATCTCGACATCATCTCCGAGGCCTCTTTTTCACCTTCTTACATGAACAATCATGCTTCTCCAGCCGAATTTGCTACTTCTACTCTCATTTAAAAGGGCCCGATTCCCTGTGCATTGACTTCATGACTACCATCAATCATCAAATCTAAACTCTCGTGGCTCTGGGCTAGGATATCAGGTCGAGGCAAGGATCTTCAAGAGTCACTCATTCATGTATTGAGATTCATAAAATGTCATTTTTAGCTACTTTAGATCTCTCCCAGAGGAATTGATCATACCTTGCCAACATAATCAGGCCACTTGAAGATCAAATTCTTTGCTGCTCCAGCCATTTTCGCCGAGACCATGTATCTCGCGCAGCCCCCTCAGCGCTGTAGTGCCACCTTCTTGAGACCTACATTTATAGCTTCCTAGGCAAAGCCCGAGGCATCTCGCATTTATTGTTGTTCTTTATGCAGTCTGCTTTAATCGTTTTTAAATAAATGCGTACCTTCTTAAAGTCTCCACTTTCGCAGATTTATCTCTATTTAATTAGCATTAAGGGGATGAGAGCAGATTTTACGATGGTAATTGCGCAAGAAGACTTCTCCTTATCAAAGTGATGGAGGCTTTAGTCCTGTTGAGCAAGTTAGAGGGTATATGCACACCGATCTATTCATGTTGAGCCTTGCAGAGATGCCTGGTAAATATTATCGTTATCTATCTGAAGCCGTATGGTACACATTTCCATGATTGCAAGGGGCGCGCTTCCCTTCTGATCCGCTAATTGCAGACAATGAAGCAAACTCACTCGTCGTCGCTCATGAGCATTTTGCTATACCCTTCGCTCATTCCGCCAATGCTGCCCCTCTCGTCCACCCTATTACGCATCTCCTTCCCCTTCCCTCTTGCACCTCTAGTCTTTCTCACCTGGATATCCCTCTTCGCCTGCCCTACAAAACTCTCAAATTCCCTATCCTGCCTCTCCGCTCCAGCAACGTTGGCTAAGCGCCATCCCTGCACCACAGAATTCTCCTCCAACGCCCTCCCAAGCAGATCTGTAGCCACCGGGTCCTGCGGCTGCACCCCCAACGCCTCATGGAATGCACAGACGGCTTCCCACGTCCTTCCCATTTCCAACAAGACCAGTCCTTTGGAGGAGAAGATGCCCCCATCGCGACCACCCTCGCGAAGCACCTCCTCAAATTGCGTGAGTGCGTTGTCAAAATCCTGTTGTCGCCGGTAGGCATGTCCAAGATTTGCCCTCGTAGGTATCCACGCTTTAGGGTCAGACTCGATATCCTCGGCCTTCTCCAGAGCCCTGGTAAACAGACCAATAGCCTCGTCTAAGTGGTCGAGGTGGTAGAACACCACGCCCATCTCGTTGAGCAGCAGCGGATCCGTGTCACATAAGCCATACGCGGCAGTTAGATACTCGTGTGCTAGGCTCATGTTGCCGAGGCAAAGGTTCTGCATTCCGAGAAAGAGGTTCGGTAGGTGAGTGCCTTGAAAGAGGCGAGCGGCTGTGCTGTAAGCGGAAATGGCTTGATCGTGCTCGCCTTCAGCAGCGAAGGTGTGAGCAAAACCGATCCAGGCTGGTCCAAAATGGGGGTCCATCATCGATGCTTTGCTAAAGAAGCGGCGCGCTTCGGCTATTTGTGAGATAGAGAGGTAGTAAACACCCACCGCGAGCCAGGTAGTAGGTTCCTCTGGGTGAGAATCGGCAAGTTTATGGGAGAGCAAGAACAAGGTGTTGGTTTTGGAGAGCTCGTGGAGTGATGCTAGGTGTAAGGGAAGGACTGTGAAATTGTAGGGGTCGTTGGAAAGGATGGATGTCGTTATGGCAAGAGATTGTGTGAAGCGACATTGGGTGAAGAGGAGTTCCGCCTTCGCAAGCAGAAGATCAGGGTTATTAGCGAGGTTGTAGTGGGTAGATAGAGTCTCGGTTGCGTGAGAGAACTCGACCGGGTTCTTATATTTTGAGAGTCGAGTTGTGTAAAGCATTTTGGTGAACTGGGCAGCTTCTTGGCTTGAGTCGGGCTCTTTCGAAGGCGACGAAGGCACGACCGAATCAAAGTCTAGAGTTGCAAGGAAGGTCCATTCTTCATCTGGAGACATGAGTTGGTTCTTCATGAGCTGGTCGAAAGCTTCGAAGCACTGGACATCGATGCGTACGGCGTCCTTGTAGCAGTCCTTAGCCCGGTCGAATGCATTCTGCTTGGCGTAACAAAGGCCCCGTAAGTAGCACATTGCTGCCTCATGTTTGATATCCGACAAGCTCTCTCGGTCTCGCTCCTCGCTCCTCTCTATCCGATCCGGCTTTGTAAGCCCATTTGCACCCTTAGGGGCTCTCCTGACATTGCCGTTGAGATGCTGTAGCTTTCTCCTAGTCTTGCTGGGCGATAATATGAGGTGGTTCGGGTTCTTGTCGCCTAAGATCGAAAGGGCATCTTCATATTTGCCTTGCTTTATCTGGCAGTCGGCGGCTAGAAACCGGCACGCAGGGCTGTGTTCCACAAGGTTGTGCTTTTCCAGGAAACCTAAGGCCCGAGTGTAATTTCCAGACTGGAAGTGGATCTGGGCGAGGAAGAAGGCATCCTGTGGGTCATCTGTGATATCTCAGCATGGACTAGATCTCCACCAAATCAGTCGACGTACTTGTGATGGCTAGAAGCTTGTCACCTATGTAGATTGCTGAGTCGTACTGATGCTTGTGCAGGGCATCTTGTCGCCATTCTCTGAGATAGTCTTGCATGCTTCGAAGTTGGTGAGTCCAGCGCCAGAACCATGGCTACATGTTTACCTTCCGTTACTGTGTATTGTATTTGTTAAAGTCTCTAGGGAGGCCGGCCCCGCAAAGACGCGCCCCGCGCCGTGACACTAGAGTACGCGCTACGACTTTGATGACCCGGGGTATCCAAATCAGGTCTAGTCCTTTGCTCTTCCCACCCTTGGCCGCCCTTTTCCTCTCACAACATACCTTCTGACTTACAAGCTTGTTCAATTACTCGTAGGGGATGATTGAAAGCCTCTAATCTCCTCAGTCGCCGACTTGAGGAGAACGAGGGCATCACTATCCACCTTCAGTCGGAAAAGCCACTTCATTTCTTAAGACTTGTCGAACAATTGGGAAACACCCATCCGAACACTCTACAACCTGTGGGATTGTCTACACACGCAAGATCCTGAGTACACTGCCGAACGCGTTGATCTGCCTTTCCTAGCATCGAACAGGACGTGAAAAGTAGTATCGGTTAGACGTTCTACCACGCTGTATTCCAATTTAGCTACGATTCTCGCTTTCTGGCTCCTCACCTGCCGCAGTGACGGCCCTGTTCGCTGGCGAGGTTCTTGCGAATCATCTTCCTTACTATGCATATGCGACCCGATCAGCCAAGCTGTCTAGTCTTATCATGATCAGTCTACTGCAAGCTAAGTACCTGTAAGTCGACTAACAGATGCATGCCAAGCAGCTTCGACCTCCGCTTTTTCGTACAAGATCTTTCTGCACGTCTCTATGAAATCTCCGTTTTTTCTCTTACCGTGCTCATCTCTCTTGCCTTTGACCGTGTTTCTCTGCAATAAATCTTGGACCATGGAAAAGCACGGGCTCGACGAGAAGCAGGTGGACCCTTCAGCAGTACTCGTGGAAACAGCATCCATCGACGGTCCTATAAATGCCTCTGGCCATGTCCAAGAGCTTGACCGCAACTTCAGTCTGTTGAGCATTTGTGGCCTGGCCATCACCGGTGGAGTTGTCTGGATCGCCTTAGGAGGCACTATTGCACGTCATGACCCTTCCGCTTGACGGGACACTCTCCTCTGACTGACCAAGGTCGTTGCGATCAATAATGGTGGTCCTCCAGGTGTGATCTACGAATTGTAGGTACTGTCAATTGGTTCCTGGTCTATCTGACCAACGCAGCATCGCTGTGTCTGTCTTCTATTGGATTGTTGCTGCCTCGATTGCGGAGCTTGCCTCTGCGGTGCCGTCAGCTGGCGGAGGTATGTTGATTGGAGCACCATCTTCTTCTTCACCATCTTTTCTTAGAATTCAGGTTGATCCTTCTCCCAGTCTACCACTGGGCATCAATCACAGCTGGACGCTATGGGCGCGTTTGTGGATGGTTTGCCGGCTGGTGGAATTTCTTTGCCTGGATTTTCGCGACTGCATCCGTTGCTCAGATACTGGGTGCAATGACAACTTCGATGTATGCATTGTTTCATCCTGGCTTCGTAATCCAGAGGTGGCATGTCTTTGTGGCATTTCTGGGGTACATCTGGCTGCCATTTGCCTTTGTTCTCTGGGCAAATAAGCTCCTTCCGGCAATCGAGTCTCTGGGTGGCTTCCTGACGATTGCTGGATGTTTGATCACGATCATTGTAAGCGCCGTCATGGCATCTCCCCACGGTACAGACGCTTTTGTTTGGCGCGATTGGCAAAATACGACCGGATATAGAAGCGATGGATTTGCGTTCCTCCTTGGAATGCTCAACGGCGCCTTCGCCGTGGGCACGCCGGATCTCATTTCACACATGGCAGAGGAGGTTCCTAAGTATGAAATATTCCAATCGTTTTCCCACTCTTCTACACTGCAAACTTCTGTTTCTTATCAGAATTTGTCCTCAGTCATTTTGCTGACCGAATTTCTAGACCAAGCATGAATCTCCCAAAAGGCATCTTTGCCCAATTCGCGTTCGGCTTCTTCAGTGGGCTCTTCTACCTTATCGCCCTCTTCTACGGCATCTCCGACTTCGATGCAGTCCTCGCCTCGGTGAATAAATACCTCTTCCCACTCACCGAAATCTACCGCCAATGCACAGGCTCCGCTGGAGGCGCTCTTGGTTTGCTGATTCTGGCCTACCTCCCCTGTCTCATTGGAATCTGCGGCACCTATTTAACAGCCAGTCGTGTCTTTTGGACACTTGCCCGCGACAACGCTACTCCATTTCCTAAATTCTTCGCTCGCGTGAACCAGAAGAATCGCAACCCGTCGAACTCCATCATCTTTTGCGCTGTCTTGTGCACCGTTCTGGGTTGCATCTATCTCGGTTCCGCAACAGCATTCAATGCCTTTGTGGGCTCCTTCGTTGTGCTGACGACACTGTCCTACCTGATGACCATCCTTCCGCATCTGCTGAGCGGAAGGTCGAACGTTACACCAGGTTGGTTCTGGATGAAGGGCCCGGTGGGGTACGTGGTCAACGGGATATCTTGTCTATACATCATCGCTTTTGATGTCATTTTCTTTTTCCCATTTGCCATGCCGGTAGAGGCGGCAACTATGAACTATGCTAGCTTGATTACGGGTGGGTTGTCATTGTTTGTGGCGGCATTTTGGTAAGACTTTTACCCCTATTCTCCTCCTTTGGTCGAGGCTGTGTCATCAAGGACTAGCCATATTCCGAGCTTCAAGGTTCTTTTGGACTCAAGTTATTTTTTCATGAAGCTGTACTAACCACTGGCTCAATCTCCAGGTTCTGGAGGCAAAAAGATTACGTTGGCCCTCCCCGCTTACCCCAAGAAGTATCGGCAAAAGACGCAATCTAGTAGAAATGTTTGATCTTGACACGAAAGCTGACCAAAGGATAGTATTGTGAGGCATTATCATTACATTAGACTTCGTAAGGTTTCTATCATTTGCAACTTTTGGCCCTTAGCCTTTGTCCCTTGCTTCGTGGTCATTCATCGCTTGCGCTTCCCTCTCTATGCATTCTACCGCTATATCTTCAAGCGGACAATTTTATGAACAGGGTACCGTTTAGTTTTTAGCAGACCGTCACATAGAGCCCAATCGGCGCTGGGTTGTAATCTTGGAAGTAGTTCAAGTCGAAGCTGTCTGTCGCTTTCAACTCGTACGCCTTTCTTGCGTTGAAGTAGCAAGGACCATCGGCGATGGCGTACTCCTGACCCGGCGTGACGTCTTCAAATGTTCCCAAGTCTTCGTCCACCTCAGGTGAGTTATTGTATGTCGTCTGGTCGGTCGCTTCCTCCTTGAGGCGGAAAGCTTCAAACCCACCGGTCCCGCTCAACGTAAATGCAGAGGTTGTAAGCTCATCTAGCTTTGGCAGGAGGAAGACCAGAGTACATGTCTTGCCCTCAAGCGAAGCTGGAAAGTCGAAGTTAAAGATTGACGAAGTGCTTGGAGAAATTGTCCCATTGAAGCTTGTCCCTTGTGCTGTGTCAGGCTCGTCCTTGCTGACTGGGATGATTAGGTGAGGGAACTCAAATTCACCCTTCAACGGAGCAGGGCAATCTGTGTTGGTGGAAACAGATGAGAGTGCTGTGGTACTTGTAAGGAGTGTAGTAGGCACTGGAGCGTTTGACGGCACTGAAGCATTTGACGGCACTGAAGCGTTTGACGGCACCGCATCTGTCGTGTTAGCGTAGCTTGACTGAGCAATAGAGCCTGTTTTTGATGGAACTGAGCTCGCTGACACAGAAATTGTCGAATTAGTGTATTTTGGTTGAAGAGCAGAGACTGTTTTTGATGGAGCTGAACTCGCTGAAACAGGACTTTGTGCAGGTGTAGAGGCACTAGAAACACTTCCGCTCGAAGCACTACTTCCGACAGCACTGCTGCTAGATGCAGCACCACTTGAAGCGCTGCCGCCTGAGGTAGTGACACTGGGAGTGCCACTACCTTGTTCAGCTGCGTTCTGGCGCTCTGCACCAGTGTTCCCAAGAGGCTTTTCCGAGGCAGCCGGGTTTGCAGAAGAAGCAACACTACTACTTGAGGGCGAATCCGATGAGGTTCCCGAGCAGCTTAGATCATAGAGCGGAGTCGTTGGTACATCCGTACTAGATGAACCTGCCCCAACGACACCGAAGCTTGGGTTCGGGGTGCTTGGGAAGCCATCTTGGAGAGTGAACCACCACGTGTTCACCTTGCCGAAAAGCATCGAACAGCCAACCTGATCCCAGTATGTCTTTGCGTTGTCTGTGCTTGGAACGGCTAAGTTTTCGGTCTCTCCACTCACAGGCCAGCCGGTCTCGGTAACCCAGACTGGCTTGCCTGCTGCAGCCGCCACCGTCTGCTCGTACGCACTAGAAAATAGAGCAGGGCCATTTCCAATATCATTGGTCATCGTACTAGAGGAAGGGTTCAGCAGGGCTTTTTAAAGAAGAAAAGGAAGTGGGAGGAGCTTACTTTTGAAAGTAGGGGTAAGCGTCCATGCCAATAAAATCCGAAGCGGAGATGACTGCATCATTTGAGCTGTTGACAAAGGCCGTCCAGGTATCAACATGGCCAACGAGCGTGCCTGCCAAGGGTGTATTGGTGATAGCAGTCTTGACTTCTCCAATATAATCGGCAATCTCGTCAGGGCTGGCGCCGACGCCACTGTTATTCTCGATGCCTATAGGCGAAATTCGGTCTAGGATGGGAGATACTGTCAGCTTTAGTCTGTACAACAGCGAAGGGAGAACATACACAGATCTTCGCTTCCAACAGAGATACCGGCTACTAGGTTGGCGAAGGTCTCCCCATGAGCCGCAATGGCTGACTTAAGGGCGGCCAGCTCATTATCGATGTTCGCCTGCCCGGCTGACCCCCAGAGCCCGAGCAGGATGGAAGTCTTGGTGTTGATGGCGGCTTGGATGGCGTCTGACGGAGTGTTTTGGGTGCCAGCTTGGATCAAGGTGAAGATACGAGCACTTGTGAAGCCCGAGGTGCCCACCAAGTTCTTTGCTGCATTGAATTGGGCTTCGTAGGCAGGTTCGGTGATGGGAGAGCCGTCAGTAAAGACTGAACCGTAATTGAAGCCTTGGTAGACCTGTGCATAAGCCGTAACGATAGAGGCTGCTAAGGTCAAAAGCGATGAGGTGTGCATATTGAGACAAGCGAATGTGCAGGAGATGCCAGACGGGGTATTAGGAAGGGAATGACACAGGTCTTAGGAGAACGAGAGTATGAAGAGGAAGAATGAAACGAAACATGGAGAAAATGATTATTATTATTATTATTATTATTTCTAGATCAGCATGTGGGCAACGCTCTTGCAGATTTGGGGAAGGCAGTGGAAAAAACACGAGGTGACGCAGTTGCTGGTGGCCATGGGAGTACAGACCGGAGCTGCCGGTCGCCGTCCCACCATCTCCACCATTCTAGAGCGCGCTAAACCAGCTCTGCTCGTGTTTGCCTGCACCTAAGAAGATCGAGGCAATATGACTCGTCATTGCAGTCAAGTAAGCTCTTGGAGGACGAAGCCAGCGCAGGGGAACATCGCGCTTTTCTGCATCCTCTCCTGGAGGCTGACGCATCTTCCCCACATGCCCACATCCATCATATCTGCGACCGTTGGCTCTGCAAAGTGTATTCGCATCATCCGAAGAACATCGTGTGGCCACGCCCATTTCTTTTGTAAAAGGGTTGTCATTATAAAATATAAAATGTTATATTACAGGAGATGATAGATGATCTACCCGTAGCAACCGATGCAGCCGCCACCCCGACCCGTTGTCTCAAAAGGCGCGGTTGGGGGCGGCGGCGGCGCAAGCCTCGCAGATTACAGTCAAGCTATCAGTTTTGGCACTAATCATCATACACATCCATGGATATATCATGACCCATCATTACTATTGATCAATTCAGTGCTTGGAGCCTTTCGCCCTTCGAGCTGCTGCATGGTCGCCGCTACCCTTGAGTCGTTCCCATCGGGAGCAGGAACCACGTTCGAGGACGCAAGCACGCCATCCAAATCATCCCCCATTTCATCATCATCATCATCAAGACCAAGTTCTGTCAGCTCGATATCATCTTCCTGCTCCTCAGATCGATGGTCATCATTCTGCTCAAGCTGAGGCGAGGCACCCTTGTCACCAGACGCGCGGCTTGTGGCCTTGATCTGACTCACAAGGCTTCTCTCCAACGCTGTAATGTCCTCGTACGACACCTTGAACTCAGCCATGCCACGTTTAGGTAGGCTCTCGGGCAGACCTTCTGCCACCCGTAGGAATTGCGCATTCGTCAGAGTAGGCGACCCCTGCAGTATCGCTGCAGTCTTCCATTTCATGATTGTTTTCGTTTTCGACCATGTGCCATTATGATACCACCCATCGCTCTCGTGACATCCTACACGTACATTCTGAGTGGCCAAGATATCACTCAAGACAGGGTCTGTAATGTCGCACACTTGCCAAACCTTTCCGTCTTGGCTGACAGATTCCCCATCGAACAGATGACTCTCCTTTCTGATCTCCTGCTCGGTCTCCGAGTGCTTACGTAGGGGTTTTGGATTCGTCCTGGAGTCTAACATAAGCATCAAAGACTGGTAGACCCGATATTTTGAGTCTTTTCTGGGATCGACACCAAATTGAACGATGCAGTCTCGCCACGGTCCTGAAGCAAAGATGTAGCCTACGTATTGAATCAAAAACTTGCTCACGTTTTGACCTACGGCGTCCCAGTCATCCTGGGCTATATGGTTTCGTAACGAGCGTCGCGTGAACACGGGCCGTCGTTCGATGGCAACCTTTGCTGCCCCAATAGCCCTTTGGATACCAGGCTCTAAAGATGATATTGGAGGGAGTCCAGCCGGAGGCCCGCGCGGTACTTCGGGAGCATTCCACGGAATTGGTCTTGCTTGCACCTTCGGCGTGACCTGAGTGTTGAGAGTCGTCAACCGACCAGAGGCACCCATCTGTGTAACAACGCCCGGATTCTGGCGATATGCATAATTGAATGGTAATGGCTGGTGAGACCACACTGGTGGAGGAATGATTTCTGAGTTGGGCTGGGTACCCTGAGACATGTCAAACTTGAAAGTTTTCAACTTTTCGTAGTCAAATGGCAAGATCGAATCCCTCATTTTTCGCATGAAGGGGCCTCTTGAAGATGAATAGGCGAAGTCAGGTAAGCTACGAAAGCGGTGTGTCTGGGTGACCGCTCCCAGAGCTTCGACTTCATATTTAGCTGGGTTGTCTCGCAGGCCGCGGATGAGATAGCTGGCATCCCGGCTGTCTGGCTCTGGATCGCGTTCCTCTGTGGAAGGACGTGAATTACCCGAGTCAGGGTACCGTTTACGTTTCAAACCGCGTCGTTTTGGTATAGTAATCTTGAGCACTACATTCCGAGTCGGTACATTGTCCGAGTAAATAGGATTTGTAAATCTGTTTCCTGGTTTCTGGTATAGACTGGCTTCTGGGCGATCTCCCTCAGTGGAGGAAAATAGCTGTTTAAAGTGTTAGCGAATCTCGGTGTCGATGCAAATAGACTAACAGCGTTCAATTTGTTGTGGCCGCCCAGAGACTGAATGCCCTTTTTAAGATTTTTGACAATATACGGATGCTCTACAGCAATCAGTTCCGAGTCTGCAACAACGTACCAAGGTGCATGAGAGCCATCGTAGAGAACACCATCGTTGCCACCATATTGCAAGAGTTCTGACGAAGTGCTCATCTCCAACACCCAGAACGGCTTGAGGTGCTAAAGACCACAGGATGATTCTGCTTTTTCAAAAGCGAAGAGTCACCTACGAGGATGCATGCAGTCACTGGCTACACGTGCAAGCCCTTTAAAGCTGGTGGTACCGGTTCACTTCGGCAATTCTTTTGATATTGGGTTACAACTTGGAGGGCGCTCTCGTTGTGAGACTTCCGGAATTTCCTGGGCGCCGCCCCGCCAGCCGAAACAGGAATAGCGTCTTTGCTCGCTTCATTTGGGCGCAGATGGCGGTGTTTTCCAATGGAGCACGACGTCAACAAGCTTGCGATGCGAACAATGTGACAAGTGACCTGGCATTCGAGCTGCTTACAGGATTCAACTATTGTGAGATCTTGTCCGATCTGTGTCGAAGTATTCAGCAGCTTTCACCTGCGAGCACTACTTCAAGCGAGCCAGCCGTGGCGGAGAGACGAGCAGAGCACGTCCAGAGCATTTCTCAATCCCCGTCAATGCTATTGGATATGTCTAGATAGCTTTCGAGACTTGCACATCCCGGCCCTGGAACCTCGTGACGCGATTCAACACGCTTCGCTATTCCTTCTATGCGCTTGACGACTTGCGCTTGTTCAACCTCCATCACTTCCTGCTCGTCAGCGATCGGATTGCAAATTCTGTTACACTTCAGCGGGATTCAGGATCGGACACAACATGAAAGGGTTCAAGCAGAGAGTGGTGAGAGCACCCGAGGGTCCACAGGATGGATCTCTTAACAATCCCACTCCTATCATTCTTCTGACTTACCTAGCATGAACAGCTTTCTCGAGCGAGTAGAGAGACCAGCAAATCGAAAAATAAAAAAGATGGCAATTCTGGAACTTCCTCACCCTCGGTTGCGGGCTCAAGCTCCACAGCCATTGGTAATGCCAATTCTCCCAACACGTCAGCACATGGTACGCCAACGTCCTCCACAACCACGCTAGCCAATTCGATCAATAAGCCATTGCCTGGAGGTGAGAATGGTATCTCAGCGCATGGACATGGACCGAATCTACATGCATCTCCCCAGGGGACTCCCAACTCTGCCCCTACTGGTGGCCCTTTTGCACCCCCGCTACATCAAGGCCAATCCGGCGGGTCTGGAGCCGGACCTGGAGGACCTGGTACGCCTACAAGATCTGGACACGGCGCGCCTCCCAATGTTATCATTAGTCCAAGCTCTGGCAATGCTCCGCATATACCACCGCCAGGCGCAGTCGAAAACATGCCTGGCGATCTTGCTCCACCTCGGCACGGCCAAAAACCACCATTCAACAGCCTCTCTGCGACTCCAAAGGACCTTTCTGAGGGTATCAGAACACCCAAACGTCAGCACTCCTCGAGATTTGACGTGTCGGATCAGCGGCAAAGAGAGCTCAACAAGGAGCCGGGTTTTCATGAGGTCCCGCCGAATAAGCGAGAGGAATTGTTTATGCAGAAGATTGAGCAGTGTAACATCATATTTGATTTTAATGACGCTAGCGGCGACATGAAGTCAAAAGAGATCAAGAGGCTAGCATTGCATGAGTTGCTTGATTATGTCGCCAATAACAGACAAGTCATCACGGAGCGAATGTACCCCAGAGTCGTGGAAATGTTCAGCAAGAATCTTTTCAGGCCTATACCGCCGCCTGTCAATCCGCAAGGCGAGGCCTTCGATCCCGAAGAAGACGAACCCGTTCTAGAAGTTGCGTGGCCACATATCCAGGTTGTTTATGAATTCTTTCTTCGATTCATCGAGAGCCAAGATTTCAACACCAACATAGCGAAAGGCTACATAGATCATGGTTTTGTCTTACAGGTGAGCTACATCTGCTCTTCCTAGCACCAAACCCTGACTCCTCACAGCTCCTTGAATTATTTGACTCAGAAGACCCTCGTGAGCGAGACTTTCTCAAGACGACTCTACACCGAATATACGGCAAGTTCCTCAATCTACGGTCTTATATCCGCCGCTCAATCAACAATGTTTTCTTTCAATTTGTATACGAAACCGAAAGATTCAATGGTATCGCTGAGCTTCTGGAGATCCTAGGATCAATCATCAATGGCTTTGCTCTTCCGCTCAAAGAAGAGCACAAGCTATTTCTGACACGAGTATTGATCCCTTTACACAAAGTCAAGAGTCTAAGTATGTATCATCCGCAGCTAGCGTATTGTATCGTACAATTCTTGGAGAAGGATGCAGCCTTGACGGAAGAGGTAAGCCGTCTAGTTGATGATCCGATTTTGCAGAAAACAAAGTTTGACTGACTACTGACACTAGGTGGTACTCGGTCTCCTCAGGTACTGGCCTAAAGTCAATAGTACAAAGGAGGTCATGTTTCTGAATGAGGTCGAAGATATTTTCGAGGTGATGGACCCCAGTGAATTTGCCAAGGTTCAAGAACCTTTGTTCCAACAACTCGCAAAGTCGGTGGCAAGTCCTCATTTCCAGGTACGTTCAGTCAGATGGCTTTCTCTGCATTTGCGCAAATGATCTGACTACTTCAGGTCGCCGAGAGAGCACTCTACTTTTGGAATAATGAGTATTTCTGCAACCTCATAAGTGACAACGTTGAAGTCATTCTTCCAATTATGTTCCAGCCGCTGTACGAGAATTCTAAAGGCCATTGGAACAGGACTATTCACGGCATGGTCTACAATGCAATGAAGCTATTCATGGAAATCAACCCCCAGCTGTTTGACGAATGTTCGGATCATTACCGCGAGACTCTTGCTGCAGAGGAGGAAATCAAGCTCAACCGGCTTGAGAAATGGGAACAATTGAAGGTCATGGCCCAGAAGCACGCTAAAACCAAGGAAGCCGCCATTCCGTCGGTGACGGATCGCGTGGGAAACAAAGTCAAAGCTCCCTCGAGAATTGAGGAAGACCCCATCACACAGGACAGTCAGAAGAGGCTGGACGCTCTCAGGCTGCAAGATGAGACTGCTAGTGGACGAGATGGCAGGAGACGGAAGGGCTCTGATTCAATGGTAAGTCTTCCCGAGCGGTCCTACGGGAGGGTAGATTGAGCTTACACGAGTGATAGCCTCGCCAAGATCCTGCCGCTGAGATACGTCAACGTATAGAACGCAATGGCTCGAATGGCTCTGTGCCGCAGGCGCCAACCTCGAGGCAGGACATCATCAATAGCGTTCCTAGAGCAGGATAATGGTCTGCGGCTTCCTCCTAGCTCTCAAATAGCGATCGAGTTTTCTTTCTTGTGTTTAATTGTACTTGTGCGCTTGTAAGGCACATGGGGAGCGTGAGGAATGGCTGGCAAAATGGATAGACGACGAAAGGCGCATGAGGAGCTTGTTGACGTTTCCCAAGTCATTAGGTCAGACTGTTTGGCCGCATAAAGCCACCAATGGCTGTCTGAGGTTGAAGCCAACAAGAGGGTTTCTTCATATCCAGATGCCGCAATTGCGAATAGAATTGTGCGCAGTCCTGTCCTGCCATCCGATAAGGCCTCGCTATACTTGACATTCATGACGACAAACTCCCTCTATACTAGTGACTTTCTTTTGATACCTAACGCAGCACCGAAATCCTTCTTCTTCTTGACCGTTCGTTTGAATGACGGTGGGGCCATATCCCCTGCCTTCGGAGCTTTGCTTTCATCTGACTTATTCGTCGAGTTTTGGGCGAACGCTTCGCTTCCCTCTTTAGCAGTAGCTTCATTGGCGTCTGTGCTCCTTGCGAACGCTCTTCTCGCCTCCGCAGCGTCTTCTTCCTCGATCCTCTGTCGTTCCTCCTCCACTCTTCTCCGCTGCTGCTCAGCAATTTCGAGGGCCTTGTCAGCCTCATCTTTTCCTTCCGCACGTTGTATTCTTGCATTCTTCGTTCTGATCTCATCAAGAGCATCTGCAATATCCATCTCTCTCTTCGCGTCCACTTGCTTTGCCTCTAGTTGTTCCATCGCACTTCCTTGTTCTGCCTCTTCCGCCTCAAGCCTGTCCAGCCTTTCCTCTTCCGACTCAACCTTGGCACTCTCACCATTCGCTCTCCAGGGCTCGAAATTACGTTTCGCGCCTCGTTCGCATTCGTAATCCATCCCTTTCGGGTCCGTCTTGAATGAAATCTCAGCCTTGCACCTGGTACAGCGGATGTAGAATCTGTAAATCGTGATGGCGTAATACTTCTCGTCGGTAGTTTCTTTGCGCGCATTGAATTTCCTCCCTTTATAAATATATTCACCGCACGCGGTACACTTCATACTAAAGGGAGCCATGAGGCGGACTGTCTGTGTCTTAGGGCCTACTTCGCCGGGAACCTTTTTCGTTCGAGTGATCTTGCTTGGGTCGAAATCCTAGAGTGGTAATCAGAGTCAGTCTTGTCTCTTTGTAATGATCGCTCTCGCAGAAACACGTACCGGAGGATAATATTTCGTCAACACCTTACGTTCCGACATCTTGACAGTGACGGCACCAGAAAGGGTGGTATGCGATCGAAATGTTGCGCGCAAGCTCTCATGAAAAGGTGGGCGGCTGACAAAGCACGGCTCAAATACGACGACTATTGGTGGATTTAAGTCTCGGCCTTCAGAAAGCTTAAGATACCATAGCGTCAGATAGCGTATCGTAATATACAGCTAAAGCTGGGGCAGAGGGCAAATGGGTGGCTTGAGAAGAGCGGAACTTTATGTATTTTATTTAGCCGTTATGACTGAAAGGCCCGCCTATGCCCCCCAACTTTACTTTTTGATGCTCGACAAGTCGCGACTTTAAGCCTCATGCCCAAGCTCGCCTTTCTCTCGCTTTTCTATTGTTCTTTCTCTTTTGCATCTCACTTGAGGGCTCGTCGTTGAGGTGCGAAGGGTCTTTTCTCGGCTTACTCGCCTCCATCCTTCAAAGACCTGTCCGCCGTTGCTCGATTCGCCAATCTTTCCATGGGGCTGCTTCTGGTAACTTGCACCAACAGCCCCGTTGCGGCCTCATACTATGTAGGAGCACTCGTCGACATTTAGGAATAGTCACAGACATCTCCCTACAACTACTACACTGCCATCATGACAGAACGCATTGACACCTTCGCCGCCAGGCTGAGCGATGCGAACGCAGGCAGGGTCACCTCAAGATCTCTTCATCTTTCTCTACTGACATTACATTTAGCTGTCGCCCTTAAGCTTAATGTTGCTACAGAACTTCGCGACAACCTAGAAATGTTTAGCAGCGGTCAACTTTACCCGTACTTTCTTAGGAAGCTTCTCCCCGTTTTCACAAAGATTCTCGAAGGTCCACCAGTATTTGTTACCAACCCGGAGCATAAACTACGCAGCTGCATTCTTGAGGTGCTACACCGCCTTCCAAACAGCCAATCTGAGCATCTGAAACCACATGCCCTGCACATTGTCGACCTGCTGCTAAGTCTGGTGCGGACCGAGAATGAAGATAACGCTATACTCTGCATGAAAGCTGTCATGGACCTAGAGCGACACCAGGCGGAAGCAACCAGTACGAAAGTACAGCCATTCCTGGACCTCATTCAGGAGATGTTCGAAGCTATGGAAAACGTTGTTCAAGAGACGTTCGATAGCTCTTCATTGCCTCCTGGGCAAGGATCGTTAGTCGGTGGTTCCCAAAGTTTTCAGTCGCCGCGACCCGGATCCCCAGCGACCTCTGCCGCTGTGGATATTGGTATAGACACTCCAGCAATCCGTCCACTATTAAAAGGCATGCAATCTTTCAAGGTCTTTGCGGAGTGTCCCATCATCGTTGTATCCCTTTTCCAAACACACCGGAACTGCGTGACTACAAATGTAAAGAAGTTCGTTCCCTTAATTAAAAAAGTCCTCAGTCTACAAGCCGCACCGCAAGCGCGTGCTCACGCTGAGGCTGCTGAGAGAAAGGAAGTATTCATAGGCGTTAGTAAGGATATCAAGAATAGACATGCATTTGGCGAGTTTCTTACGGCGCAAGTCAAGATGATGAGTTTCTTGGCATATTTGCTACGCGTGTACCAGCAGCAGCTGCAGGACTTCCTATCAACCCTTCCCGACATTGTAATACGACTGCTTCGGGACTGCCCAAGTGAGAAATCCGCCACGAGGAAGGAGCTGTTGGTAGCAATAAGGCACACCATCAATTTTCAATTCCGGACAATATTCCTGAGCAGACTAGACGACCTCCTAGATGAGCGAACACTATTAGGAGACGGATTGACAGTATATGAGTCGATGCGCCCATTAGCTTACAGCTTGCTGGCGGACCTGATACACCACGTTCGTGAAAAGCTGACACGGGAGCAAATATGCAAAACCGTCGCCGTATTCTCCAAGAACCTGCATGACAACTTTCCGGGCACAAGCTTTCAGACAATGAGCGCCAAGCTACTACTTAATCTAGCTGAAGTAATTGCCAATCTAGAAGACAAGCAGGATGCCAGAAGAATTTTGATTGACATCCTAAATGCCATCGCGTGCAAATTTGCGGACATGAATCACCAATACGAGAACGCCGTCAAGCTATCGAAGGATTGCAGCAACACAACAATTGACTCTGTACCCGAAGATCATCTGGCAGATGCCAGTTCGCCTCCAGTGTGGGATAACGTAGACATCTTCTTGGCTACGCCAATTCGCCTTTCCAATCCCAAAGACAGAGGAGCAAATCCTGTAGAAGATAACAAGTTCTTGTTCAAAAACCTGCTTACTGGTCTTAAAGGCATGTTCTACCAATTGAAAGTCAGCAATCCTGTCAACCCGACTGTTGAGGCCGCAAATGCGCCGGCAAACTGGCCTGAGGTATCACATGGCTATAGTGCCGAAGAAGTTGAGGTCATCAAGAAGCTCTTCCGTGAAGGCGCCCACCTATTCCGGTACTATAGCCTGGAAAAACCGTTTTCGGAGACCAATTTCTCGAATCCGGTTGAATTTCTTACAAACAATTATGGTGTTCAGAGCGGCAAAGAGGAAAAGGATCTTTTGGAGACTTTCGCTACAGTCTTCCACAGCATAGACCCGGCAACGTTCTATGAAGTGTTCCACACTGAGATTCCAATTCTATATGAAATGATGTTTGAACACCCCGCCCTTCTCCATGTGCCGCAGTTCTTCCTTGCAAGTGAAGCAACCTCTCCAGCATTTGCGGGCATGCTCCTTCAATTCCTCATGGACCGGATTAACGAGATTGGGACGTCTGATATGAAAAGATCTGCGATCCTACTACGAATGTTCAAATTATCTTTCATGGCTGTCACACTTTTCAGCCAGCAGAATGAACAGATCTTGTTACCACATGTCACGAAGATTGTCACGCAATCAATCCAGTTATCGACTATTGCGGCAGAGCCAATGAATTACTTCTATCTGCTTCGATCTCTATTTCGTAGTATCGGCGGTGGACGCTTCGAGCTACTCTACAAGGAGATCCTGCCATTACTCGAAATGTTGCTGGAAGTTCTCAATAATTTACTAATGGCGGCTCGGAAACCTCAAGAGAGAGATCTCTACGTAGAGTTGTGCCTTACCGTGCCAGCTCGCCTAAGCAATCTTCTTCCTCATTTAAGCTACCTTATGCGACCCCTTGTGGTCGCTTTGCGGGCTGGTTCTGACCTGGTCGGGCAGGGTCTGAGAACATTAGAGCTGTGTGTGGACAACCTTACTGCAGAGTATCTTGATCCAATAATGGCGCCAGTCATTGATGACCTGATGTCTGCTCTTTGGGATCACCTTAAGCCTGCTCCTTACAGCCATTTTCACTCACATATTACCATGCGGATTCTTGGGAAGTTAGGCGGCCGAAACCGGAAATTTATGAACCGTCCGCCAGACTTGAAGTATCAACAATGCGCTGGAGAAAAGACGACTATCGATATCAGGCTCACAGGTTCAAGCAGAGACCGAGCCTTCCCAGCAACGCTTGGCATTGATCTGGCAATATCCAAACTTTCGGAAGTGCCCAAGGCACCTCCACTCAAAAGAATCGATCCTTACTACAAACAACAAGCCTTCAGACTCATTGCTGCCCAAGTCAAGCTCCACATCGGGTTTGACAATTTGCCAGATGACCTTCCCCAGGCTTTGAGACTGCAGGCAACGGATCTCCTAGAATCCAATTACGACAATTCCTCTGACTCCCCACAACTTCCGGATCGAGAGAGATCGATAGCAAAATGCAACGCTCAGCAAGAAACTCTAGAGAAGCTGCTAAAGGCATGTATCTTGGCAACGACTTTGCCGGACGTTGAGAGCCTTGCAAAGCCATTCTTAGGAGACATCTGCAGGCACTTCGCGATTCTCGAGATTGGAAGGGCTTTATCTCACGCACGACGAGCGCGAAAAGGGTTCGATGTGATGGCTGGCGAAGGCCCACTTTGTCTCGATAGTAGAGTCCTTGCTAATGCTATTTCGGAGAGTCTTTCCTCAGATAGATCGGCCACCCGTGAAGCGGCTGAATCGTGCATGAAGATGATTCACAGCGCTGCTGGCATCATTCTTGGGTCTCCGCAGAGAGTTGATAGGTTTCCTTTCTTTTCTCATCTTACGAAGCTGTTTTGTCACAAATGCCATGAGGAGGATTGGTACGTCAAAGCTGGTGGTGGCCTCGGCATAAACTTGCTTGCTACGACCGTGGACCTTGGTGACGACTTCTTCATCGCTAAACAAATTGAGCTCGTAAAGTCTTTGATGTATATCATCAAGGATACACCTTTGGATCTCCCAGCACTGACCCGCGATCAAGCCTTTGCCACTCTCGAGATCTTATTGCGGAAATGCAACCGAGACGCTTCTAAAGAGGCTCTTGGAGACGACAAAAGTTCTCTATACCATCTCTGCACATTGCTGATCACAGATCTCATGCATCAAAACAAGCACGTGAGGAATGCTGCCCAAAAAGCCTTCGACGTAATAGGAAAAGTCATCGGGGCAGAAGTGGCGGACCTACTCATTCCAGTGAAAGAGCGGCTTCTTCAGACCATTTACATGAAACCCTTACGTGCATTGCCGTTCCAAGTTCAAATTGGCTACATTGATGCCATCTCATACTGCCTCGAGACAAGGTATGATATTATTGAGATCAACGACATTGCGCACCGGCTCTTCTTGGAGGCTATGTCATTAGCAGATGCCGACGATGCCAGCCTCTCGACGAAGTCTCAGGAGTACAAAACGGCTCAGCAAATCGTAGACCTACGTGTGTCATGCATTAGGCTCCTAGCACTCGCTCTGGGAACATCTGATTACAGCTCACCACAGCAAACGCAGACCCGAAGTCGCATAATTGCTGTCTTTTTCAAATCACTATACTCATCGTCCATAGACGTCATCGAAGCAGCCAATACGGGTCTCAAAGGAGTTTTGCTCCAGACAAACAAGCTACCGAAGGATCTCTTACAAAACGGTCTTCGCCCAATACTGATGAATTTACAAGATCCTACTAAGCTCACTGAGCAAGGACTGGATGGACTTGCAAGACTTCTGGCCCTACTCACAAATTATTTCAAGACCGAGATAGGCGAGCGTTTGATGGGGCATATGAAAGCAATCGCATCTCAGACAGTCTTGCAAAAGTCATCTTTCATGCTGATCGAACAAAATGCTCAGATGAAGGTGGTTATTGCGATCTTGAATGTGTTTCATTTGCTTCCGCCCACAGCAACAATGTTCATGCGAGAGCTGGTGGATCGTGTGTTAGAACTCGAGCAGAATCTTCGTAGAACGCTAGCGAGTCCATTGCGGGAGCCTCTCCTCAAGTACATCAACAGGTACCCTAGTGAAAGCTGGGAATTCTTTCGTGATAAATTGGGAGATATGAAATATGGGAGGTTTCTATCTCAGATCCTATCGTCCCCTTGGTGCGAACCTTTGCGAGAAGAAATTAGATCCAAAATCCAGGACCTTCTTAAGTTGGCTTTCAGCGCAGAGGGAGACTCGTGCACTGCGGCAGCTATCAACGGTGTCCACGTAATCCATTGCCTACTGATTGATGATCCTGAGTGGATACGCTCTCAGCCAGATCTCCGTGAACAGCTTCTACGTGCTGGCAAGGAACTTCATGTCACCAAGCCGGCGGTACCCGTACCCACTGCTCTGATACTGGCGGCTACACAAGCGTCCAAGAAGCTGATGGAGATTTTCGTGACGTATATGAAGATACAGCGCGATGACCTTGACTTTCTATTCCAACTGATTGAAACTGTCACGGCAGAAGAAATAGCTGAGGAGCCATCATTCCAGAGCTTCATTTATGAACAGATCATTGAGAGTGATAGCATTGAGTATTGGCGGAGCGTTGTTACACGAACTCTGGAGCTGTACACCTTTCGAAACTCGTCACCCCGCACAAAGACCTTCGCTTTCAAGTACCTGCTGAATCCCATCTTCGCCATGGATACATTGAGGTCCTCTCAAGCCGCAAAAGCTCACGATATTAGACGACCTCTCATCGATAAAGGCGTTGTGGAATCTGTCCATAACAAGATCTGGAAGACCCAGAATGCTGACCTTAACGAAGAAACTGCACAGCCAGGTGTAGACCACTCACGATTAGAATTGCTTCAAATGACAGCTCTTCTATTGAAGTACCACGACAAGCTCATCGCGGAGACGAGAAAAGATATCATGAAATTTGGCTGGAGTCATATCAAGCTTGAGGATGTTGTCAACAAGCATGCGACTTACGTTATGATTGCTTATTTTGTGGCACAGTACGATACACCTGCCAAAATTACTACCCAGATCTACCAGGCGCTACTCAAGGCTCACCAGAACGAAGGTCGCTCTTTGGTTGTCCAAGCTCTTGACCTTATAGCACCTCGGCTCCCTGATCGACTAAAAGGCCAGAGCGACCCGCGATATCCATTATGGGCGAGATGGCCGAAACGTATACTGTCTGAAGACAACTCGAATTTGCAGCAACTCATCGGCATCTACCAATTCATGGTGAGATACCCTGATCTGTTCTACGAAGCGCGGGAGCACTTCGTTCCTCAAATCATCCCAGCGCTCTCGAAAATTGCACAATTACCGACACCATCCAATGAGCATAAAAAATTAGTATTAAATCTCATTCAGATGATCCTGAAATGGGAGGAGCGGCGTGTGGGAAAGATTGATCCTCCAGCGCTCCAATCTGCGGAGACGTCGCCGCCAGCTAGAAGGCGGACGCAGCCGACAAATTCTCCATCGCAGACACACGGCCAGACGCCCAACCATGAGCGTTCAGACTACACGATACCGACAACACTAAAGTCGATACTCATCAAATATTTGACCCAATTCATTGGTGTCATTCCTGAACGATATCCTACGCCGGCCTTTCTTCTGCGAGATCTCGATTCCAAAAATCCAGTTGTGCAGCTGCCTCCTAGTGATATGGCTAAGAAGGCACTTGGCCTTTTCTTCGATCTCCTGAGCCTAGAATCATGGTCTGACCTCGATGTGGACCTCTTCCCTCGAATTTCAGAGAGCATTCTAGCCTCAGATAAGACAGAACGGGGAGAAGAAAAGACTGTCACTGGGATCATCAACATTTTGCAAGTGATTCGTATCGTCATCAACTTCAAGAAAGACGAGTGGATATTATCACAGCTACCACTTATCCAAAAGCTTCTAGACAAAGTCATCAAATTTGACAACCCTGAGGTACAAGATTGCCTCCATGAAAGTGACAAAGGTCTTGATGGTGAGCGCACAATTTCTGCATTGCTTCCAAGAATTCTCCAAGCCATCCCTCAAGAAAGTAAGGAGGACGACGAAATGGAAGTAGATGCTCCCGAAACAACATTTGTGAATTTTGTATTCAATGCAGCAACGTCTACAATGGAGGGCAGCAATTTGGTTGCTAGTATCAATCTCTTCTCCACTCTTTCAATCACAAAGCCAGAAAAGATGGAACCGCACATTCAGATAATCATGCGTGCTCTACAAGGCAAGCTTGCTAAAGACCAGGTCACTGCAGTACCTGTGCCTGGAGGGCAGCCTCTAGCTCCTGGCTCCAAAGGCCCAGATGGGAATGTTCTATGCCCTGACCAGCGCGAGTTTGAAATATCATCTAAGCTGACTGTGAAGGCAATTGATATCATTTCTTCTCGGATCAACGACCTTGGAGATCAACGAAGACCATTCTTGAGCGTCTTGGCCTCACTTCTAGAGCGCTCACCGAATGTCAAGCTCTGCGAGAAGATACTGGAACTTTGCGAGTCGTGGGTTTTTGACTCTACACATGCATTTCCTACTTTGAAAGAGAAGAACGCTGTCTTACACAAAATGCTGCTCTTTGAGGGACGTGCTGACGACGGCTTGCTCCATAAGTTCTTGGACCTTGTGATCCGGATCTATGAAGATCCTAAAATTACACGTACAGAGCTGACTGTCAGACTGGAGCATGCTTTCTTGATCGGTACTAGAGCCATGGATGTCGACATGCGTAACCGTTTCATGAACATATTCCATCGAAGCCTCACTAAGACTGCCAGTGCCCGCCTAATTTACGTTCTCACTCAGCAGAATTGGGATACTTTGGCAGAAACATTCTGGCTTAGCCAAGCAATTCAGCTCATATTTGGGGCAATCGAAACCAGCACTTTGATACAGTTAAACGGAGAAGATTTCACCATGATGTCTCCAGCCCAGCTGTTCACCAAATACAGTACTGACGCTCGAAAGAACGATCTAATGCTTGATGACCAATACGAAGACTTCATGGCCCAACATCGAAATTTCTATGCCACCATTGGAGATGTAAAAGCAGGAGACCTCTTAGAGCCCCTGTGCCACTTGCAGCATACAGATTACGATGTCGCTTACCAAACGTGGGTTGCGATTTTTCCCCTTTGCTGGTCCCTTTTGTCTCCTGACGATCGACGTGATCTTGAAAAAGGCCTCGTTTCCCTATTGACGAAGGACTATCATCAGCGCCAGCTTGATCGTCGACCAAATGTAGTGCAAGCTTTGTTGGAGGGTGCGGTCAGAGCCAAGCCAAAATGCAAAGTGCCACCCCAAGTCATGAAATGGCTTACAAAGACCTTCGATGCATGGTATACTGCAGCAATTTCTCTTGAAGAACAAGTCATCATAGGCCAAAATGATACAGCGGCCGTACGCGAAAGCCATCTTGATGCCCTGATAGAGATCTACGCCAGCTTGAAAGAAGACGATTTCTTTTATGGTACCTGGCGGAGGCGCTGTAGATTTGTCGAGACGAACTCAGCGCTTTCCTACGAACAGATGGGTATGTTCGATAAAGCCCAGGACCTTTACGAAGCTGCGCAGATCAAAGCCCGTACCGGTGCTGTTCCGTACTCTAAGGGTGAATACATGTTGTGGGAAGATCATTGGCTGCTTTGTGCACAAAAATTACAGCAATGGGAGATCTTACAAGATTTTGCAAAGCACGAGAACTATAATGATTTGCACCTTGAGGCGGCATGGCGGACTAACGAGAACTGGACCTCGCCAGATAGCTTGGAGCAGCTGAATTCAACGATAAAGGCCGTATCAGACGCTCCAACTCCTAGACGGACTTTCTTTCAGGCGTTTATTACTCTACTGAAGTTTTATGACACAGCAGAGACTTCTCGGGATTACAGTCAGACAGATTTCCAGCGTATCTGTGATGAATCAATCCAGCTCTCAATACGCAAGTGGCATCAACTTCCTAAACGAATTACGGATGCGCATGTTCCCATTCTCCAGAATTTTCAGCAGTTGGTTGAATTGCACGATGCAAGTGTGATCAGTATTAGTCTCGCGCAGACCAACTCGACCAACCTAGATGCTAAATCTCAAGAACTCAAGCTGCTTTTGGGCATGTGGCGAGATCGTCTACCTAACATCTGGGACGACATTAACGCCTGGCAAGATCTGGTCACATGGCGCCAACACATCTTTGGTCTAATCAATCGCAAATACCTGAACCTCCTTGGGCCGCAGCCAGGCAATGCAAGTGGAAATTCTTACGCATATCGAGGTTTCCACGAGACCGCTTGGATCATCAATCGCTTTGCACACGTAGCCCGAAAGCACCAGCTTCCAGAGGTCTGTATATCCCAGCTCAGTAGAATCTACACGCTGCCCAACATTGAAATACAAGAAGCTTTCTTGAAGCTGCGGGAACAGGCAAAATGTCATTATCAGAATCAATCAGAGCTCAACAGTGGTTTAGACGTCATCAATAATACTAATCTTAACTATTTCGGCAATCAACAAAAAGCAGAATTCTTCACTTTGAAGGGTATGTTCCTCGCCAAACTGGGTCAAAAAGATGAGGCAAACGACGCATATGGTACCGCTCTCTATCACGATATTCGCTTACCAAAAGCATGGGCCGAATGGGGCTTTTACAACGACATGAAATTCAAAGCCAATCCTAGCGACATACAACCGGCTTCTGAGGCGGTCAGCTGTTACCTTGAGGCAGCCGGCTTATACAAAAATGCGAAGTCCAGAAAACTGCTCAGTCGCATTTTATGGCTTCTCAGCGTTGACGATAGCGAAGGACACATCATGCAAGCTTTTGAGGATTTCAAAGGCGAAACACCTGTGTGGTACTGGACGACATTCATACCGCAACTGCTAACAAGTCTGAGCCATCGTGAAGCTAGGGTTGCCAGCAACATTCTCATGAGGATCGCGAGTATGTATCCACAAGCCCTATTCTTTCCATTGCGTACGGTACGCGAGGATTTACTCTTGATCAAGAAGGCAGAGGATGCAAGGCAGCAGCAAAAGGCCAAACAATCCCAGCAGCAGTCGCCAAATTCAAAATCCCAGTCTACACCGGAGCATCACCAAGGCTCGCCAAATGGCCAAGTTGGAGGTGGGTCGAGACCAGGCACCGCGAACAGTGATAAAACCAATGGAGCGGAAAATCCAAAACCTGAGCAAAATGGGGATGTACAGTCATCCACAGAAGTACGCCCCGAGTCGGCTCCAAAGCGGCCCTGGGAGCATGCTCAGGAGATTAATGACAAACTAAAAACCACATTCCCTCTTTTGGCTTACTCAATGGAATCTATGGTAGACCAAGTTCAAAAACATTTCAAGTGCCCACCAGATGAGGACGCTTATCGACTGATTGTTGCGCTACTTAACGATGGATTGAATGTGAGTTGCTCAATGCTACTAATGCTTCTTTGAGGCGCTTCAACTGACTACCACGTACAGTATATTGCACGAAACCCCAATGCCTACGCTCAGGACTTTAAGTTGCCACAAGGCACGGAAGCAAATATTCGCAAATTTGCCGAGACAATCTTGCCCATCCATATCCGTGGTTCCTTTGAAGCGGACTTCGTCAGTACAAAGCCGACAATGTACGAGTACATCCATAGGCTGCGTAAGTGGAGGGACAAATTTGAAGAGAAACTCGATCGCAGGGATCCAACAGCGAATCTGGAGGCATATGGTCATGTCTTGAGCGAATTCAAATTTGCGAAATTCCATGACGTTGAGATTCCGGGTCAGTACCTTCAGCACCGTGACAAGAATACGGATTTCATACGCATCGAGCGCTTCCTGCCAAACGTCGAATTAGTTCGCACCTGCGGCATCTCACACCGACGTATCAAAATTCGAGGTCAAGATGGTAGTGTGCACTCTTTTGCGGTTCAACATCCTACCGCAAGGCACAGTCGTCGCGAAGAACGAATCCTACAGTTATTCCGCATCTTTAATGGCACTCTTTCGAAGCGGAAAGAAAGTCGCCGGCGAAATTTGAATTTCACTCTACCTCTCATGCAACCTCTCTCGCCGTCCATTCGCCTTATCCAAGATGATGCCTCTTATGTGTCCCTTCAAGGTATCTTCGAGGACTACTGTCGACGGACAAGTGTGAACAAGGACGATCCTATCTTGTTCACCATGGAGAAAATGCGTGCGGGACACTCACCAAATCAGTCGGCAGACTCGGTCAATGCTCTCCGCATGGAGATCTTTTCTGCCATTCGCACTAAATGGGTACCTCCAGATCTTGTTCTCAAATATTTCCAGGCTATCTATCCCAATTTCGCCGACTTTTTCCTCTTTCGAAAACAATTTTCGTACCAACTTGCTTCCTTGACATTTTTGACCTATATCATGCATATGTCGGCGCGGTGGCCGAACAAACTCAACATCTCCCGTGCTACAGGCAATGTGTGGGGCTCTGAACTCATCCCTGCGCTAGCAACTCAACGGCCAATATTTGGCGCGAGTGAGTTTGTTCCTTTCCGAATGACGCCGAACCTGCAAACACTCATGGGCCCTCTGGCCACCGAGGGACTATTTGCATCCGCTCTTATGGCCATAGCGCTCTGTTTGACCCAGGTGCACGATCAGGGCGGCGAATTGGAGCAGCAATTATCCATATTCGTGCGGGATGAGATGATTTTCTGGCACTCGCAACAGCGGCATACGACACCGTCCGAGAATCAGCTTAGGGAATACGTGCAGAATAATGTGGACAGCGTAGTCAAGAAGGCGATCAGCCTGGCACTGCCTCCTGAGAGGAACCTGCCCGCGAACCAGACCGTCGTCGACCTCGTTGCAAAGTCTGTGGATCCCAAGGCATTGGCGGCAGCAGATGCATTATGGATGGGGTATCTATGATGCGTAGAAGAACGAAGAACGAAAGCATTTGGGGGAGGTATCTCTAAGTCTTTTCATGATTGAATGTTAGCGAGGCGTTTTGGAAAATAAAGCGAATCTGTCGAGCCTCTGTGATTAGCGAGGCGTAAGGTGCCTCGTAGTATTGTAGTGGAACACTATTCCATCTCACAAATAGTTGCTCCATCCACCAAATCTTGCTCTACAATGTCTAGGGACTCTTTTCCTTCATATGCGCAAATTCGCCCTTAAAATAGGTCAAATGCCTCGAGGCGTCTGATATCCTGCCCCGCCGACCAATCTGCCATCATCTCTGATTGAGAGAGATCATCACATCCTGCACCCTATCATGGCTATGTCAGAGGACCTGTTGAACGAAATCGAGGCTATCAATTCTATCTACGGTCCAGAAAGCCTCCAAGAGCTGCCCAATGAAGAGACATTCATTCTCACAATACCTGACAAAGACGTCAGGATCCGCTTACGATTCCCAAATACTTACCCTCGAGATCCCCCGCAAGCGATCGGCGTAGAAAGTACGGGGTCTGATACGCGCAAAGGGTACGGAGTCAAGGCTTTAGACATTGCACAGACTCTGCTACGGGAGCTCTTCGTACCTGGTTCCGTCGTCATCTTCAGCCTCGTGGACGAATTGCAGTCACGTTCAATCTCTACTACTGATGATACAGATCAGGGGGGAGTCACAGCTCTCGACATTTCTAATATTCAAGAGCAAACGTTATCTACTTCTGTATCTCCTGATCAGATTGTAGCGCCACTGTGGTATCTTTCTAACTCGATAACGGAAAAAAAGTCAACGTTCCTAGGACGAGCTGCGTTTGTAGAGTCACCTGTTGGCGCTCGTGAAGCACTACAGCACTTGCTCTCTACTGACAAAAAGGCTGAGCGAGCTACGCATAACATCTATGCCTTCCGGATAAGAGAGTCTCGGAACGCGGCAGTGACGTTCCAAGACTGTGACGACGATGGCGAGACAGCTGCCGGGGGCGTCTCCTACATCTCTTGCAACTAATGGATGTTTGGGACTGTCTCGTGATTGTAAGCCGCTGGTATGGCGGTGTGAAGTTAGGTCCAGATCGCTTCAGGCTCATCAATCAAGTCGCACGAGGTGCTGTAGCTGAAGGTCCGTGGGCCACGAAAAAGGCAAAAGGCTGAAGGTGGATGGCAGTGTATAGTTTCGTGAGCACATCCGCCCACTACGATTACTGTGGGTACATTCGATGCCTCATACATCGGCTTACGCTTTCTGCAAGCCGACGGGTCGGATGCTGCACCCCAGATTCTCAGTAAATCAAATGCCGCTCCATCTTCTTATCCGGGAAGAGACCGCCAGATTGAGAGCATGCGAGAAATGGCGGTAATACCGATAGTCTGTTCAGCACGTTGGAGGGCGAATCAATACATTGCCGACGCGCGCGCAACTTCGACGGAAATATATTGTCTTATAGTGACTACATAGGCACAATTAACGGCAGATCGCATCTGTCCGTGTGTACGGCAGTTGCTAATTGCCGTCATGAGGTTCGAGTACAAAATGGGATTGTACTCCCTTGTTCTGCAATTCGAACTCGGACGGGGATCAAGATATTCGAGTCCTTAAGATGTTGCAAGCCTTCCTCTTTTCGGTACTACTTACCACCCTTCTCAGCAGGTCTCATGTCAATTCAATAGTCCTCTCGTCTGACACAGAATCAGCTGGACAGGTAGTCGAGCGCGCAACCATCAATGCCGGACTCAGTAATAGCACTGCCATTTCTGGTGTAGAGTATGAAATACTCCTGCCAACTCATCCTTCGTCAGCTGATGTGATCCAGGGGCGCTCAATCCCCAGTTTTAAACCATACAGGCTCTTGGGAGAAGATTGTTGCAAATTCGCGCGTTCGTCTGATGGTCTATGGAATGGATGGGATCAACCATCAAGTTCTGGCCTCCACACTCGCTTGTATGAGATCTTTTGTAGACCATCACATTGAGAGCCTCCCAGACTTCGACGAGCCTTTGGCTCCAGCGGACGACCCTTTCAACGCTTCCAAAAGTGCCCCCGGTGTCGTCCTTAAATTTCAAGCACGTTCCCTGGGAAATGCACGAGGGAAAGCTCGCATGTATTGGAGCGACTTGGAGGCTGTACTTGCGGGGTTGTACTCTGTTATGGCGAAGGCAGAGAATGACTATTTGTTCAACTACGATGTTTTCGATACGCAAGAAGGCTTCGGGGGCCGGCAGCTTGGTACAGGATGGCTCAAGTTGCTCAACGGTAACCCAGCCACGGATTCAGTCGGGCATCCTTGTGATGTGGCTCCCATTCCTGCGTCAATAACCTCGAAGAATAGGCGAGCGCTTCAGATGCCTTGACCAAGTAAGGGTGTCAGATAACATTGATTTGCTCCTGTCAGTAGCGAAGCTACCTTGATCCATGGATCTGATATTGAAAAGCCGATGAGCTTGAGCAGCCCCTGAGCAAGTGTTACTCCCTTTTTCGGTATTCTTAAATGTCTGTTCGAACGAAGAGAGTACTCCCGAATCGACTATTTCAGTCCTGGCCACGCAGGCTTAAAGAGCCTCAAGGCTGAGCTAAATCAGCAAACTCTGGCAAATATCGATTTTGACGCTAGCAAGGGATTGTCGTCTGCCTAGATCTGTAGATCGCTAGTCATTCAGAGTATGATGACCAGAACCAATAGCATGATAAGGACTAGTATCAACACGCCGATGCAGCAGCTGGACCAAGAATCTGGACCACAGTTAGCGGTGGCGTTTTGGTGTCCTAGGTTCAGCCCATCTACCTTCGTTGTTCTTGATGACCCATCCAACCCGCTTGATCCCATTTTGTAGCTTCCCACCAACGCGATCAGCGATCTGATCAGCATCCTCAATCATGCCAACTTGCTCCTCCAACTCTCTTCCCATTGTATCTGCCTGTGCTCTTAAATTGCCCACAGTCTTGAACACCCCATCCAACTGCTCATCCTGCTCGTGCATCATCTCCACCTGCCGTTGCTGCTCAAAGGCTGCATAGTCGTCTTCATCCTCATCCGCCTGCTTTCCACCTTCAAGATCGTCGAATGAACTAGGCGGAGGCAGCGCGCTCCCATTTGTCATTCCCAACCCTTTCCCCTTCCCTTTTACGGCCCCAACTTCCTGGATGTGCTCCCTCATCCCTTCCACTTCATCCCCAACACTCCTCACCAGCTGCCGCCTTCGCGCAACTTCTTGCTCATCCAGTCCATACTTGTAAGGATCCCCCTCGACGGCGCGAACGCTGTCGACGAGATCTTGCAAATCAGCGCTGAGATCCCGAAGCGCGGATTCCAACTCTTGACGCGCCTGAGTGAGTTCGGGAGAGGATGCCGAAGTAGCTAGGGTGCGAATGCGGAGGTAAGAGGAGTGGAGGGAGCGGGTCGTGCGGAGGGTTTCGAGGATATCGGTTTGGGCTTCTAGGAAGGGGTCGGGTGGGTTGGGGATGGCCATAGTGAGTGTTGGAATGTTTGTGTTGAGATCACATCATTAAATCTGGGTATATCAGGCTGCTCCCAAACAAGATTGACAGGTCGGAGTCTCCCAATCGCCATAGGCCTGGATGGTTGCTCAAATTGTTACCTGTATATTATGGTGAATTTTGGCGTGAAGGAAGCAACTGGCTGCCGTAGAATTAATGTGCAATATCTCTCTCCTTGTCTAATCTCAACTTTTTGCAACCTACAATCTTGAGGTCAAGATATTGATCAACTATATCTAATACCTTTGACAGAATACACACGGGAGCTGTAGGTGTCCGAAGTGGTCTCGCAACGTGCGATGTATTCATCCAATCCTCTTCCCATTGATTCGTGCTTTTTAAGCCCAGAAGATTATGCCAAGTCACTGCTCTCATTTGTCACATGTGACGGCCTTTTTCAAAAACTCTGTGGGGGTGTGCACATTCTAGATTTCCTTACTCAAGAGCCAGATCTGTACTCAACTGTGCTACCTGAAGAATGGAAGGCGTGGTTTAAATTGCACAATATCTCTACTATTCTAGATCTCCTTCTGCGGCAAGATTTGTCCACAATAGAACCATGTTCAGAAAGCCTCAACGATAGTCATTGTCAGAGAGAGACATGCAGTCCACTGCAATGGCGAAACGCCCCAATGCCACCAAAGAGCTTACTTGACTATGTCATTAGCGTCCGTAAACACTCTCTCGCTCGAGACTTTCATATTCCTTGTGACAAAGAAGCCGCGCGATCACTGCCTCGTCATGTTGCTGTAGGTATGAAGCCAAAGAAAATTCACGAGGTGCAAAATTTCGCCAGATATCTCGACCACCTGTGCAAATCTAGAGACGTTATGCTGTCTCATCAAATCACGCATTTTGTTGACTTTGGCTCAGGCCAAAACTATCTAGGTCGTACGCTGGCTAGTCCACCTTACGACAAGTTGGTGATTGCGCTCGAGAGTAAGCCCCATAATATCGCAGGTGCGCAGGATATGGATATCCACGCACGGCTTACCGAGAAAGTCAAGACGATAAGGAACAAGAAGCTATGGAGGGCCCCGGACCTAATACCCTCAGAGAATGTCCACAAGGCGTTCGAACAGAGGATAGTCAGAGATGATACGGGAGGTAAAGATCCTTCAATAGAGTATTGCACCGAACCGCGAATCAAATACGTTGAAACCGTCATCAAAGATGGCAGCATGTCTGAGATTGTCGAGACTATAAGGCCTTGGAGCATGCATCTTGATCTCAAGCCTCAATTGATGGTTGTATCACTCCATTCGTGCGGGAATCTCATACATCATGGACTCCGCTCTTTGGTCCTCAATCCTGCGGTCAAGGCTGTTGCAATGGTAGGGTGCTGTTACAACCTCGTCACTGAGCGACTTGGTCCACCCACATACAAACTTCCTTCCTTGCGCACGTCAAATCCACGGCTTGAAAGAACGACCTCCGCCTATGACCCACATGGCTTCCCAATGTCAGAACGTCTTTCCCACTTCCGACATTCTGGTGGCGAGGGTATCCGATTCAATATCACTGCGCGTATGATGGCTTGTCAAGCCCCCCAAAACTGGACAGAGCAAGAGTGCGAATCGTTTTTCACAAGACACTTCTATCGGGCACTCTTACAACGGATCTTATTAGATCACAAGATTGTTGGGAAACCCCTGACCAGTCACACCGAAGGGAACGACAGTGATCTAAGAGAAGAACCCGTCGAAGGACCAGCTATCATCATTGGATCTTTGCGAAAACAGTGCTACCAATCTTTCGTTGCGTACGTCAGGGGCGCTATCCAGAAGATGGCCAATGATCCGTATCATGGCGACCGCATTAGAGATCGGGTTCAAGGCATATCTGACGAGGAAATCAAAGCATACGAAGAGCGATTTGGCAACAAAAAGAAAGAGCTTAGCATTCTTTGGAGTCTAATGGCATTCAGTGCGATCCTGGTCGAGTCGGTCATTGTGGTCGATCGGTGGATGTACCTCAAGGAACAAGATGCAGTAAAGGATTGCTGGGTCGAGCCGGTTTTTGAATACGGACAAAGTCCACGCAATCTTGTGGTGGTCGGCATCAAAAATTGAAATTACTCTTTCAGCTTGCTAATCTTTGGAATTGCTACATTCGTCCAATATCCTCTCAAATTTTCGTTGGGGCAATCTTGCCAATTTCGGGGAGAAAGAACCAGATTATTAGCCTCCAAACTGCGAAGCATCCACTATCTCCGATTTGCTGAAGATGTGATAAGCCTGCCGCGGGAAGCTCAACACAAAAAAACCACATGCTGACCTTGTTCCATGCTTTTCCATTCAGGGGACCTTCAGAAGGGCCATAATTACAAGATCAGTGTTTGCAAAATAGCAGCGAAGCCTCGCCTGGCTGCGCTCGGAGTCACATCTGCCTTCTCAGCTTGTTCCAAAATAGCATTCAGCATATTCAGATATACCTTCTGAGTCTCTTGCGGCAATCCAGACGTCAAATCTCTCAGCAACTGCCCATCATTTGTAAAGGACAAAGGTAGATGTTATGCATTATAATCTCTCATTGGCATTCAATTGGCGATCCTGGGTTCTGCTTCCATGTCCGCTGGCCGAAACAACCGCACGGGATAATCTTCTCAACGAGGACTATCGACCCTGATATTTCCACCGCGTGCCGGCTTGATAACGTGTGCAATTGAGGTCGTCGAGAGGAAAACGCAACTCGGACCTGATGGGGCTGGATAGGAGGTCGGTGCTTTAAGCTACTGTTGTATGCTTTGTCGACGAGGGTGGTCACAGTCCTGTGATTAGCTATTCTGTATAGAGGGCGTGTTCCACGGCAATCTGATCAGGGGCTTCTTGAAACAACTTACAGCTCTTGTGAGGCTTAAGAAAAGGGGATAGAGGGAGGGTTGAAGCCTGGAGTTCTCTATTTCATTACAAGATTGGTCTGCTCATCATTGCTTTCTAGCCATTAAAGGTTTCCTATGGATGAGTGTAGGAGATATCCGCATAACAGTTGGTGCAGCAGGTTGAAAAGTATTTGCAACCATGAAGCTTCTCGAAGCCCCTGCTCAAGCTGGTCTCACAGATAGCGTCATCTTGTGTTGCTTGCTGCTCTCTCCATCACTTGACATGATTTCGTGTCTCATTCACATCTCCATTCATCACATCTTCTCCCCTTGGATCGTAGCCAGTATCTTCCGCCTTTGCTTCCCGTTCCTAAACTCTAGGAACCATATGCCTTGCCATGTGCCCGTAGCCAGTCGGCCTTGTGATATTGGAATGCTCACACTTGAACCGATCATAGATGATTTGATGTGTGCCTGAGGCAATCAGTAAAGGCGGTAGATAGCATGTTGGGGCAGGCTCACGGGCATGTCGTCGCTCCCCTCGGCGTCGTGTCTGTAAATACCCTTTCCTGCTGCAGGAATTGTCAGCCACCTCTCGTCTCAGCAAGCTTGTTCACCCATGTAGCCCTCCTCTTCCCCCTCCCCCCGCCCAATAATAACTCTTACACCATGCCCCGCACCCAAGTAACCCGCCCTTAAAAAGTAGGAGATTAAACACACCAGTATCCTCAACCACGATCCTATCCAGCGCATCGCTCATATCCTTCCTCACATCACTATCCCAATTCTCATTCATCGTCAACCCGCAACTGGTATGCTGCAGAAACAGATGTAGCAGCCCGCATTTCACGGTCTTGATCTCGGGAAGAGCGTCGGTGATGTGGCTTGTGACGAGATGGGAGCCGCGCGCGAGGGAGGGGAGGGTTAGTTGGTGTTGCGAGTAGGTCGTCGTCATTGTCAGAGGTGGGTTTGGAGGTGAGCGCAACTGGTAGAGGGTGTGGAGCTGGCTTTGTAACTTTCCTGTGTAGTAGAAAAAGTATAGAGCTAGAAGAATGGGAAAAATTGAGAGACAGGCTTCTGTCTTGCGCAAATTCATGGAGAGAGTTGAGGCCTATGACGTCGCCAAGGAGGCTCTTTTATGCGCCCAAAGATAATGAGTATTGTTGGCTGCATAATACTTGCATTTCAATCTAGTGGACGTAGTTGATATAATTACATGCCGTCACTTTGCTTCAGCTCATTGGTTATATTGAGCGTGCTGTTTGTCCGTTCGTCCTTTTTCGAACCAATCTCCAATCTTCCTCCAACCATTCCTGGAAATTTGTCGTACCGAGCCATCCCAATGATGAGTAGCTACAACCGGCCATAATTGATATTTGAATATTGCATGCGAAATCGATAATAAGTTGAGAGTCCAGCTTTGTGTAATGTCAGTGCGAAGCGGTATGATAGCGAACGCTCCGAAGACTCACTTGATCTCTAAGCCTTGCGCTCAAAAAACGCATACCCTGTATGTGGATGCTTGCGCCAATCTCCGGGCTGACAATTGTTCATGATGTCGTTGGTCGTTCGTTCCCTCCAAGTACCATCAAGCTCCCTACAATAGTGGATGCTGTTCCCCGTAGGCACCTCTGGCACCGGTTGCAGACGTTTGGAGGCACCATTTGCCCAAATACCCCGCTGTGCTCCTCCACCATTCGATCTATTCATACCATGGCCAGCTGCGGGGCTTGCTAGTGTTGATCGATACAACGGAGGGGCCTCTCCATAGCGCATGGCCGCTATTGCCTACTTTGAATTAGCAGACGCTTGAAGGTGAAGCTGACAGAAACGACAGTGAAGAGTGATGAAGAACGTCATAACAACAGATCAAAGAACGCTTCGACGCAGCATAGTCAATCTCCACACGGTCTTACGCAGAGCCTCTTCAGGCTGTCGTCATTCGCTACGTACTGTTTCATTTGCCACTGGCTCTGTCCATGAAACCCATCCACTTGGTTGATGATGTTGATGATGACGAGAAATCTGGGACAGCACCTCGGCTGGTGATGGAAAGCCTGCTTGATCCCAGGCGTCATGATTCACAGCGTGTTCCACAATCCCTGCGTTTTGTGGCATCGACCAAGGACCTTTGTTGGCATTGCTATTGCTGTTGTTCTGGGCAGGGTTGCGCCAGGGCTGTGATGTGGGCCTCTGCTCCCAGTTCGTAGCAGGTGGCGTTTCCCATGTAGCGGCTGGAGCCCAGCTACCCTGAGTAGCTGAAGATTGCTGCACAGGATGACGCCAGGGCTTTGAGGTGACGGTCTGGGCTCGAAGGGGCATCTGCCATGGCTTCGAGCTGGGCCTCTGCTGATGATCCGTGGCAGTTGTTGTTCCCCAACTATCCTGACCGACCGGATTGGGCTGCTCAGCGTTGTTGCGAAAGTGCAAATTGGAATTGTAGATATTGTAAGTTGCCGGCATGTTGATTGTAGAGCTTGCAGTCGAATCCAAAACGTCTGAGATGTAGGCTCATAGAAGGATATGCTTGGATTGAGAGGGTGGGAGTGATGTGGTGAAGTGTGCGGGGTCGGAAAGTGTTGAAAGTGAAAGCAAAAGGGGCTGTTTCTGGGCTAAAAGAACGTGGACTTACTACAGGCTGGACATTAAAGTCAGAACTGACAAGAACATATTCCTTGGGGGGTTCCTTCTTTTCTTCTTTTTTTTTAGGCGGGTCTTCGAGTTCGACAACAGCGTAAGGCCAGCAGCACATGATTGCTGTTCCTTGAGTTCTGCTCGCTGGCTTTGAGCAAGGTCGTGCAGTTGCGCTTTCAGGAAGAGGAGCGTGACTGATGAAAAATCAACTGCCTGCCGCCATCACCTTGCGGGGTAGAGGTGGCAACGCCACCTGCATTGAGTGTCATTTCCTCCGGCAAAGCTCAAATCGGATGATTCACCGCAGTGAATGCATTCTCTAGCTCTCGGGACGAATTCAACAACAATATATGAGACCGGTTGATTGGTTGGAGGAACAAGCATGCTGAATGTCCAATATGCAGCCATGGAAAGCGAGCCGAAGCCGACAAGCACATCCAAAGCTCGCGGTCATGATCGATTTCACCGTATCTACTGAGGCGTTATACTATGTGTGCAGCTGCTCTGTCATGCTCTACTCTCTGTTCAGCTGATAGGTGGCTGCTCATCGCAGTGATGCGAATATTTGGCTGCCCTGGTCGATGGCGAAGTCAGAGCACTAGCTGCCGTTGGGCACTGCATTCTGCTGAGCACCGTTGAAAAGCTTGCTTCCAGCTTGCGGGGTGCGGCCCTAGATCCTGACTTTACCTGCATTTCCTTCGAAGGTCCCCCAACCGGTCTGTCCGCTCGGAAAAGTCTGAGTACTGCACGCCATCGTTAGTTGGCTCGCCAGCAGACTAGTCCCAACCCAGGAGCTTGTGTCTTCAGTGAAACCTTTGGCTATATCGACGGATACGATGCAGCCTCCGACCCTTTTCTCTATTGGTAGTCGAGAGGTCTCGTTCATCCTTGTGGCAATCGGCGGTTGCAGCACGCGGGCTTGCCCGCAGAAAAGACGACTCAAAGCAGGAGACTGACTCGGCGTCTTCTCCAGTAATATTCGATGTCAGGTTTTGAGGGAAAGGTTGAAAATAGGCATCGCGTTGATGCCATAGTTTGAAGCACGGAGTGCTAGGAAGAGCAGAAAGATACAAAGGAATGACGTAATTGCAATTCGCGGCGAAGACTTCACGTACAAGGACAGCATATCCTTCATCGGAGATTAAGCGGACTTTTTCGTCACCGTCAGAGCTCGATCAAATGCAGGAAGCCCTTCCACAAGATATGATGTGAGATACTCTACCGACACAATCACGTCGCCGTACAACCAGGTGACCCCAATCCATGTTCTAGCCTTTCGTACAATCTTGATATCTTTGATCGTAAAGCCAACAGACTGATAGGCCGCAGTCTCGATATCCATCACTGTAGGCAGCCGTGCGCTCATTCACCAGCATTGGAAGAGATAGCCGTCGGTCAGTCTCAAATCAGCACTAAGCCGCATGCACCCACGCAGCCTTGTGCACAGAGAGAAATGTAACATTGACAGAAAGCCAGAGTTGCAAGCTCGAGGCTGAATCAAAGAATTGATTTCCGCTCCACTTGGAGTGGGACTCTCCGAGCCAATCAGAGAGCGGATGAGATCGCTGCGCCTTCGCCACGCTTCAGCCACACTCATTATTGAGCCACACTTTCAAATTGAGCATCATTGGTAGAGGACTCAGATAGCGAGTGATACTAGATTGATTGGTAGTGCTAAGAATGTAAGCTACAAACATGAGAGGAGGCAGAATCGGATGCCAAGCCGCTTAGGAAACAGCTAGGCCTAGTCGGGCGATCTACTGCTCTAGCGGGGTAGGAGCCTCTGCTAACAAAGCATCGCATTTTTATTGTTATTGAAGTTTCCCTGCAGTGTCAGACCAGCTCACCGAACTATCTTAGGTCCATAGTGAAGAACAGCGGTCAGCGCCGTTCGACGTGCTTTCCGTGCTTTCCGCGCTTTTGTTTGGCGCAACTCCGCCGTGGCCTGCACGACGTTGGCCACTTCATGCAAGGCCCCCACAGCGTCATCGGCCGCTGCCTGAAGGTTAGCGCGTGTGACTCCGGTATGACTCTACAGCGTCTCTGGGAGCACTGTGAGACTGAGCCTTTCTGTCTCTGCTAGGCTCTAGCAGTCAGAGCCTGCCATCAATTGTTGAGTCGCACGAAGTAATTCTCAACGGTGGGGCGAAGCTAGCAGTGGCAATGAATCGCATATATTGAACAGTGAGACCTTGCTACAATGTTTTGGTAACGGTCTTTGTCAACGGACTTCATATGCATGTGAATTATACATCATTCACACATTGCCCATTGCTGCAGTCTTTACGTCTATCTCCTCTGTCCGACTCTTTCATCTGAAATCTTTTGAATAGAGTCTTCCAATCTTAGTTTTCTACCTTACGTACAGATGAAGCAAGTCTTCAAACCCTTTGCGCGGGTGGAAATGTCGGACAATACTACATCCAGGAACATCACTCAGCTGCCTGCTAATATCATCGAAGCCTTCATTCCTGGATATTCCATCATATCAAAATTGTTGCTGGATGCCCTCGGTTTTGACATTACCTTCGTGGTTTCTGCCTGTGTCCTAGCCGTAGGTCTTGGTACTGCTCTGAAATACATTTGGAGTTATGTGTACGACAAGGTCACCCGTTACTTGATGAGCTACATCCGCATAGAGTATGATGACGAGTAAGTACCAGCATTGGATTACGTATATGCGGACGAGTCTGCTGATTCTTCATTCAGCATCTATGACTACGTCATGGAATGGGTTGCTGCCCACACACTATCTCGGAATTCGAGAAATCTGATTGCCAAAACGGGCTACGAAAACCACTGGGAGATCAATGATGACGAGGAAGGCTATGCGCACCAGGTCACTGCTGAAGGCTATATCGATTTCCGGAATTGGGAAGCGAAGAAGCCACCGAAATACGAGCCATCCTACGGAAAGCACTTCTTCTACCATAAGGGCCATCTTCTTCTATTCCAACGGGATCAGAAGACTATGGTAGACTCTGGATGGGGTGGATATACTACAATGAGAGACAGTGAGTTCGTTACGCTATCCTGTCTTGGAAGGTCAACAAATCCGATCAAGGAGCTCATCAAAGAAGCGAAAGACTTCTATATTAGCAAGCAGAAGTCGTGCACGACCGTACGTCGTCCAGCGCCAAAGCAAAGTCGCACCAATAAAGGCGGAAGCTGGCAGCGGGCGGCGACACGACCTTCCAGACCCATGCAAACTGTCGTTCTGAATCATAAAGTGAAGAATGACGTGCTGAAAGATGTCAACGAATATCTCCATCCTGCCACCCCCCGATGGTACAGTAATCGGGGAATTCCATACCGTCGCGGCTACCTGTTGCACGGGCCCCCAGGAACTGGAAAGAGCTCCCTAGCGTGGGCAATTGCTGGTGTCTTCGGAATAGACATTTACTGCATCTCGCTTGTTGATCCCAATTTGACCGAAGAAGAGCTTGGCATGCTGTTTACAAGCCTTCCTCGTCGTTGTGTCGTCTTACTGGAAGACATAGATAGTGCGGGCCTCAGTAATCGTCAAGAAGCTCCGAGTGCCGAAGCAGAAACAAAATCCGAAGACCCCAAGGCCAAAGCGGAGGCGGTTGTGATCAAAGCTCTCGAAGGAGCGTCGAAGAAACTCAAGGATAAGGAACGAGAAGGTATCTCACTGTCAGGGCTTCTGAATGCTATCGATGGCGTTGCGTCACATGAAGGGAGGGTTCTGATTATGACCACGAACTTCCCAGACAGACTTGATGAAGCATTGACACGTCCCGGCCGAATCGACATGAAAGTCCCATTCACCAATGCGACTCGAGAGCAGATTCGCGAACTCTTCACTCGCATGTATTCCCCAGATACTCCGGTTGGAGCCCTAAAGACGAGACCAAAAGTTGGTAATGCCCCTGTGCAGAAATTACAGCTTGATGCGATATCGACTTTTAGCGAGAAGCTTTTGACGACAAAGGCCGATGATGCTAATTCTTTGACGCCTCCATACACGCCGATGCAAGCTAGCACGCCAATGACTTCCCCATCGAGCACGAGTCTTGAAGATGACACCGATATTGAGGAGATAGCTGCAAAATTTGCAGCGGCGATTCCAGAAGATACTTTGACACCAGCTGAGATTCAGGGGTTTTTACTAAAGCATAAGAAAGAGCCAGCTAAGGCTTTGACTGACGTTGAGTCCTGGCGGGACCGTGTTCTGGCTGCAAAGGAGAAGAAAGCCTTGGCGGAGAAGAAACATTAGGTTGGTCATTAACGGGCTGTAAGGTGTTGGCGGCAGCAAATGTTGTTTTGGAATAGATCATGACGAGCTTATGGAACATGCATGTGCATATTTGATTTTTGATGCTATGATGTTGGCAACCACATTGGAAAACAAGATGGCATGGTTTGATTAGTTGAGGCTTGCATATGGACAGTAGTTGTATCTGACAAAAGCAATTGAAGCATTCATTTTCTATCTACTGTGCCAGAGCGCTGTGGCAGGGTTTGTTTTGTTACAAGAAACGCTGATTCAATTTGCTCACATATTCTTCGCCGTGAGGAGAGACCATGCAATCAAATTCTTGGACATCTGTCAAAGGATCACATTATTTTTGATTGAAAGAGAAAAACAAAGGGAACCCTCTTCTTTTGGAATAAGGGTTTTGAGGTTTGGATTGAGTTCTTCAATACTACTTTGGGCTTCACAAAGGCCTTGAGATCAGTGTCCTTGATAGAGACTTTCTATTGACGACTATTCGAGGCGTCAATAAGATCATATTCTGTACAAAAGAATGGGTGTTGCCCTTAGTATTGTGCCTCATCAGACGCTTTCATTCCTACCAGATTCCAAACATTTAGAACAAAGAACCAAGAACGACCCTTTTGAATATTTCCATTCATTCATTCATTCGATTAATCAATCAAGATGCAATTCTCCGCCGCTCTCCTTGCCGCCCTTCTGAGCGGCACCTCACTTGTCACCTCATCTCCAACTCCAGTCTACCAAATCGGTGACGTGGCAGGAGGCTCCAACCCGTGGGTCGGCATGTACTCCAAAGACGACAGCCTTTGCACAAAAGGTTATTTCGAAGCGAAAGCTGGAGACAACAAATCCTGCTCTAAGAAAGGCGACTGCCGGCCCACACTCAGCAGCGCAAGTATGGCTGTACTTAGCCCTGGCGCCATCCCGGATGTTGGTCATCTGGGCATCTTCTGGGGAGACAAGAACCAATTGGCTGATAAACTCTTCTTGTACTCGGATGCTACTTGCACTACGCATATGGGCACGGTGGTTAGGCCAAATCATGATTTCGGTAATCAAGGGAAGTCTTGTGTGGGCGCGACCCCTGGGGATTTTAAGCAATGGGCGTATATTCACTGCGTGAGTCTCAAGCCACCTCAGAAGGATGTCGGTCTTGGACCATTTGTCATTACCAATCCGTGAGTAAATAGCAGGGGCGTTAAGGAGTATCGTGGCATAGAAAATGTTTTGTCATTTGGAGCAATGTTTCTATAATCAATGTGAATTTCAGAATTTAGTCGAGCTTCCATATCCCAAAACATCAACATAGCAATGTGATAACCAAATGTTGATGCTTGTACTGCCAAGGGCGACTTGTAGGTGCTCCTTTACCAACAATGAGACTCTTTCAACCTAGATAAAGCGATTCAGTGTTCAGGCATAAGGGCCGAGATCCTTCGTGAGACGCCTGCTTTATGGGCGATTCGTCGATCAGAAGCGGAAGACTAACTGCTACTACGAGAACTCAGTCACAACCAAGTGTAACAAGAGTTGTGAGCTCGCGAGGCTGTATCAATGATCAACACTTGCTTATGATCTGAAAACGTCGACTGGTCTATGCACCATCCGCGAATTCAATCCGTGAGGCTAGGCGAAAGCCATAGCATACGGTGGCACCAATAGCAATGAGATTGAGGTGGATACTCATGGCATGAGCCCTCGAAAAGGCCTTATTCCTCGCTCTCATTTCCGGGCTGCCTGAAGGATCATTGAACTTCTTGCCATCTCGCGTCTCTAGCCGTTCCCACGTTCATGTCAGTGAGAGTAACGGGTCTCACAAGAAATTGCCTTATTACCTTGGTGAGTCCTCTGAACCATGGTTTCCTCCGTGCGTGGGCCATAGACTCTCAGGTTCAAGGCCGCCATTCCCCCGGCTACAACCAACGGTATAAGATCACCGTTTCGACGGAGAAGCGACAGAGGACCGTGGGGTGGAAAAGTAGCGACGGTAAGAGCAATGAAAAGAGACTGTAGGCGGAAATACAAAGGAAAGACTCGTTTTTGAAGGCTTGTGAATGCAGACATAGGCAGTGCCTGATAGCAGACTTTGGTCATCACGAAGCTCTACGGTGCAAACAGTCAGTCGCAGATCAATGCTGAACTCGGGAGGAAGACCTGATAGAGCTCCGTGCCTAGTAATATGCCATAGAACATGATATGGTAGGACGCTATGTTGGCGAATGGCCCGAGGCTGTTGAGTACGGGGGAAGCTATGGAAGCCATGTGGAGAGTCCTTTGCGTACAGGAAAGGGAGTACGTGAGGTTCTGAGCTTCTCTATCAAATCTTCACTTTTGCTGCTCGCTGATGGAAATTCAACACAGAGTTACGGCCAAAGTGCATTGAGGTCAGATATGGTGGGAACAATAATGGCTGCCTAGAATGCGCTCGGCCGCGGTTAGTAGAAGGATGCGGATATGACATGTGGAAGGAAGATTCGAAATCTCATTATTGACTTGTTGACTTGCATCCTGCATACATTGGCTTCTCAAGTTCTCGGCACCGCACTATGTTGGGTTGTCACTGTCACACTTTGGTGTCTTCCAGTGCTTTCAAAAGGGGATGCACTTCTTTAGACTTTTGCTGAATCAGCTTGATAAGATTGCCTTGTTAGTCTAAATCAACATCATCCATCTTCAAGGATAACATTCCATGCTTGAGAGCACGTTTCCACCTGGAACGCATGGGACATCCTTGACTCGTGTGCTGCGCCGACACTACTATATTTGCACTCGCCATGCATGCCCATATTCTTGGCGTAAATCCCCCCCACTGCTGGTCGTTGATGCCACCCCCTACCAGGTTACGATAAACACCAATTGGTGCGTCATGGAATACCTAGATTTCACGCAATCGTGTCACAAGCTGAGACTTGATGTCTGGCTTGAGCCAGCAGCGGTAAGAGCCGTGCGCTGGCTGAACGCCAAGGCATTGCAGGAGTAAGGTACCTCCAGGGCTGAGCCATAAAGCTGTGTACATGTGCGGTCAATCGCCGTCTGCATACCACTCGGACAGGACAATTGACATCTCTCAGCCTGACCCAAACGACAAATGATAGAAGCATTCTCGTGCCTCAGATATCACACGTGCTAGTCCTTGCTCGGCGAAGATTGTCAGTATGAGAAGCAGCAGCCCTACAGAATCCTTCGCGGATCGTTGCTGCATGCGTTAATGCTTACGCTAATCTTCGTGGCAAAGACTTACGTTGGCATTTAGAGATGCCTCTCGCCCCGTCCCATTCCTTCTCACATATATATATGAATTGTACAGCTGCGGCTGTCTTTGTATCAAAGTCCCTGACAGCTTTCCTTTCTTGCTGGTATGGCGCATGAGCCTGATGATGATTTGGAATTGTCACCCCTGAAAGGTTCACTACCAGGGCATCCGGGCGCTAGTCCCAAAAAAGCCAACGACTTGGTTACCACTTATTCCTCCCGATCGAACAGTGACTTTAGAGTCTCCAAGTTGCTGTTCCCATGGGTCTGGACAATACTTTTCATTATATCTGTCATAATCGTCGTGAAAGTCTATGAGCAAAAGGGGACTCTTACACCGACTCAAAAGAATACCTACAATTTTCTCACGACAGCCTTGATCGTTTTCCTTAGTCTCAGTTTCTATGTAAGTTGATCTGGCGAATTGTCAAAAGCAAAGCGTGACTGGTACCAAGGAAGCCTTCAAGGGGCTTGCGAAAGCGCTTCGGCCTCACATCTTGCATTGGTTCAGACCTCAACCAGCCATTCAAACGAAGATCGAAGGCTTTGACAACTTGCTTGTGGTCTTAAACTTGATCTTCAGTTCTGTCAGTCGCGGTTTCTGGCTCTTTTGCGTAGGATGGGTGAGTCATCTACCCTTCACCAATCTTAGAATTTGGCAGTCGTACCATTACTTTGAAAAATTCTATAAATTGACATTATCTAGCTATTTCTCAACATTGTAGGCACTTCCCCTTGGGGTTGAGGCTCGTGTAATTAACAAATAAAAGATAGCACAGATGGCAGCTGCCGTAATTAGTTTGACTTACACCGTCGATGATGGTAGTGACTTCAAAGGTACGTATCTACGCAACGGCCAAGCCACCGTATCAAATATTACCTGTTATCTTCACGGACGTAACTCGCCCTGCGACAACGAGGTTACAACGAGCGCTCTTGCTCACGCATACGGCGAAGACACGCTTGGGCCTGATGACACGTCAGGTCTTCAGTGCGGCGGCTATTCTGATCTAGCAAGCGTCATCAACTCGAAATCGAATTTTCGATATTATTGTCGTCGCAACACCACCATTCAAGAGTTCGCCTACCGCTTCAACGAATACAATGAACATGACGAACAGCAAGCCTATCCTCACTTCACAGATCGAGTGATCACAGCATCTTCCGGTACCTGTAATGAGTACAACCAGACCAATTTTGACAACACGGGCCACATTGGTACCGACAACAGTGATGATGATTCGAACTTTATCAGCTCCATTCGATACACTTACTCCAACGACAGCACGAACCGCAACGGGAGCATTAATATCCCAACCTCCGCGTTGGGCAACGAAGGAACCACGTACATCTTTCGAGGCCCTGAGGCACCGAAAGATGCCAAGACCAATGGCTATGCGTGTGGAGACCGCTGCATCTGGATGTGGGCTTACAAAAATCCTAGTAGCAGTAATGATGACCCAGGCCACAGGTTCTACGCATGCCCTATCACCGTCAGTTTGGTTTCCAATGTGAAGAACCCACAACATAACATCACCAATGACGTAGCGCGACAAGCCGCGGCATCGATTGCCCTGCAAGGACAATTCCACGCAGGAGCAGGGACTCCTTTCGATTGGACTCAGTGGCAATGGTACGCGAGTGGGTAAGGTTTCGTCATTGTTTCACCGTCAACGAAGAGGCTGACAGCAGAAAGCCACCCATGGGAGACTCATCATCAAGACCAGAGCAGAGTTGGAGCCAACATGGCAGAGCATGCTATCGTATCTCTGGCGCAAATGGTGCAAAGAAACCCGTCGATACAAACGCCTGGGAAGGTGCCCCATCTCGGTAGTTCTATCTCTGTTCGGTGGGCGTATTTTGAGGCATTGATGGCATGTATTGTTGCAGTCGACTCGCTGGTCATTGCCCTGAGTTATCTGGCATTCAAAACGAAGCCTGCTCATCGACCATTAGGGACCTTGCCTCATTGAATGACTAAATGCATTGTGATGTCCTCCCGCTTGTCCTCATTCTCTATGCTTCATCATCTTTTCCTCGGTTCTGACAGTCTGATCTCCAGCGTAGGCAAGTACAACAACCGTTTTGCCTTACTTCAAAGCCCAAAATGGACCGTCACTGGCCGAATTCTTAGTGCAATTTTTGATCTACAGGCCGAATTGATCCGTCAATAGTCGTTTCAATTTCCAAAGTGGACCGTTCGTTTGTTAGACCAATATATCAAGTTTCTCAGACCACCGGTGGTACGAATAAAGCATGTACCTCAATTTTCAGGCGTCGTGTACAAAGTGAGTCGGTGGTTCAGGGCTAAATTAGAAGACTTCGACTACGATTTGAGTAACTAGATTCGCTCCGATTAATGAACATGATTACGGCAATGGAATGGTAACGTTGGTACATCCTACAGGGCATCTAACAATGCGCTGAGCCAACGTGCCAGGAGCAAGAGTGAGAGGGTTGCAAGATGATTTAGAACGTTCGATAATTCACGTTATTGTAAGTCTTGTAAGAAGGATGAAAAGCATTGCAATAATCTGTTCCTGATTGAATGATAGATTCAACTGTCTGGTACAGAGTAAGATTTCTTACTGTTCTGGCATAGGCGGCGGCGAATCCGCCCCCTCACTTAGCGCCAATCATCGTGATGGCATATTCGTAACACATGCGTGGAATTTATCCCGACGGATTTCTCCGATTTAGATCTTAATTTTTCATCCTTGCTCCCTACCGTAGGAACATCGGCCGCTTCGTGGAGCCGTCGTTCCGGTTAGGAGTCTGCGGGCTAAGAAACGCAGCAGCACGTCCACCGTACTCGCGCGAGCGATCGTTAAATCGACCCCTCTGGAAACTCAGGCTGGATGGTAAGGGCGGAGCCTTGTAAAGACTTGCTTTGTAAGTCAAAACTGGACTGCAAGTCGTCGAATTGAGTCCTGACTGGGATAAGAAGCCATTGAGCTGGTCTGCTCGATCAACTGACGGGCCATGAGACCGCTGCCCACAAACTGCTGTCGAGGTCGCCCTAAGTGAAATGGGTATGCATTGGGGCGGAAGAACTTTGGTCGTCTTTCAGAATGCACTGCCGACTCCAGCTTCTCGCTTTTGAAAGATTCGCTCGGTAGGATCATCCTCTTTTGGCGCTATGTTTATGGTGCCATGATGATGCTGAAGAGCAAACTGGGAGCTTCGATCTTCAAGTGGTATTGCCGCAGGAGGTCGCGAAGAAGTGCCTCTCAGATGACCCGAGTTCCAAGACGTTGGTGGATATCTCTTACTTGGCGAGTTTCCCTCCTCGTATGATGATTTCATCCTCCGCTGGGTGAAGAAGGCCTTGAAGGGAGCGATGCTGCTGATAATGACGGCGATCGAGGCTTCAATTTGTGACCATAAATTGAGCCAGGAAACTTCTGGATGTTTGCCACTCTCCATGTTGACAGCTATTCGAATTCCCGAGAAAACCATAATCACAGCCCCTATACTGAACACTGCTCCGAGAGCTATCTTCTGGGACCACGGAAGCTGAACTCGTAGTGCAAGGTACATCGGCAGTGCAATAACTGAGCATTTAGCATGTGATGATCCTTGGAGGGCGATCCTTGAGTTAAAGGATCGACAGACTTGAAGAACTTACTGAAAGCATCAGAGATAATGTCGACCGCTGTGCTGTATTTCAAGCTGACTTGCGAGCGGTAGAGGTTTTTGGAATTCTCACATTCCCCGAGAACGAATGATGAACACGCGAGCGGATAACTGATGATACAGCCAACATACGCCAAAGACGTGAAAACCACAATGGCCCACCAAGTCAACCGACAATACCTGAGGCCGGCCGTGAGGCGGTGGTAGAACGATAGGAAGCAGGCTGGTGAAGTCAATAATGGTAGTCATCGACTTTCTCGAGATCTGACGCACCCTTCACCAACCACAGGCATGTCCAATACAAGATCGACAAGGCAAATTGCAGCTTCAGATAACGACTGGCGTCATCCAGGAATGTCGCAGTGGGTTTTCTGAGCCCAGAGCCGACCTGGAGGACCGCATACATGCCAGGAACGGCCAGCGTCAGTGCGATACAAAGCCCCAGCAGAGCCAGCAGTGCGCCGGTAGCCAATGCATCATCCCAGTACAGCTTTCGAGAGATGCCTAATCGTACTCCAATGCGCGCCGCAAAAATGCGACGGAGACTCCAAAGAGCACCCATGTAGCAATCTATCATTGTCAATCAGGGATAGCAAAGGTCTTCCCACGCACGAACCAGTAAAGTGGTCTCTGTGATTCTTGGAGGAGGTTCCACGGCGGTAGGGCCCTCTGTTGTGGCCATCATTCAATCCATACAAGGCTCCACGCTCATTGATGACGGAGGGCACAGACGACGGGTTGAGGGATGCTCATAAAGGGTGACTTTGACACCCCTGACGTGCCAAACCCCCAGTTTAGTCTGTTGACCCGACATGTGCCACCCGACATGTGCCACCCGACGCATTTCGAACCATCGGGACGCTGCGAATCGATCTCTGGTAGCGTGGTCTTATCAAGTGCCGGATGCGAAAGAACAACTCGTTCGGACCTTACTTCGGCCAAAAGCCCAGTCGGAAATCTTCCAGATGTGGATCACAGCGTGAAGGTGCCGACTTCCCGCGGAACTGATCTGCCTCTACTTGGCTGTCTCCTTTGTCATCCAACGGCTGTGCCTCAACTCAATTCGAAGACGTCGGGACAGGGACAAGCTCCAGATGTGTTTGGTTGTCGTGAACAAACGCTGCAGTCTTGCTGAGCTGCACACTGCGATTCTACATGCTCGGCAACAGTCATATCCCAAGAAGAGGCAGGTTCCCCCTTGGCGTCGGATGCCGTACCTTAGCAGAGATCGACGGTGCTAAACAACAAGCTGCAGCAGTGCTTATGATACTGAATTTGATCTAACCTCTCTGGATATAAGCTGCTTCCTACATGCGCAAGTGCGGCCCCAAGTATTGCCAGCCGAGCCGCCAGTCCGCCACGCGATGAGATGTGATATTGAATTCCCCACAATCAGGGGGGAAAGAGGGGGAATTTGCATTCCTGAACGCTACGAATGACTAGTAAAAACAAAAGTCGGATGGCAAGATTGCAACGTCATTAAAGTTGGGACAATGAATATTACATACAGCATGTCTGAGCAATCCCTTCACTGTCGCTTTGTGTTCGTTGAATGTTTCAATACTTCATTTCACTGCCAAAGACCACTGTCTTTCGTTATACGCGCGACAGCGGCCAGTGTGCCTTAAAGCATACTCTCTTACCGCTCAGCGGTCTGATTGCATTTTGCTGGCCCATCTCGGACCCTGACGACCAGTCTCTATCGACTTAACCTTAGCATCATGCACAATCCCGGCATATGCCTCACGGCGTTGATGAACCTATTCCTCCTAGCAATAGCCTTACCCACTGATGTTCAGGACCAGGTCGCGCAGTCGGATGGATCGCTTCTGTCACAGAAAATGGTACAATCTGTTGTAACACCTGAGTCAACATGCTGTAAAGTACTATCGCTGTTGTTCCGAGACAAAGTTGCCATTAGTTCCTCAAATCCATACAAGCAGTCATTGGCATCTTATTGGTCCGCCCAAGAGCAGGCCGTCCAACCATCTTGTATATACATTCCAAAAACTGCCAAGGACGTCGCCGCTGCAGTTTTCGTGCTGAATATAGCCTCAAAACTCATCAAGGGCTGTGAATTTGCCGTGCGAGGCGGAGGGTGAATGGAGGATTTCCGTTCTCTAAAGAATACTCATTGACATGCCACAGTCACACTCCTTTTGCCGGGTCCGCCAATATCCAAAATGGAGTCACCATTGATCTGCAATCTTTCAAGCAGCTTGACATTTCCCAAGACCAATCGCAAATCAGCATAGGGCCAGGCAACCGATGGGAGGATGTTTATCTGAAGCTAGATGCCTTGCAACTGGCCACATCTGGTGGGCGTGTCGCTTCGGTGAGATGCCTTCCCATTCTAATGCCCAGCAGAAGTCAATTTCTAGATCATGTTTGTTCGAGGCTGACCACTTTCAATCAGGTCGGTGTGCCGGGTCTTACACTTGGTGGCAAGTCTTTTCTAACCGCCCGCTGCGAATAACCGCTTACAGAATTATAGGTGGTATCTCCTTCTTTTCTCCACGATATGGGCTTGTTTGCGACAACGTCATCGAATTCGAAGTAAATGCATTCAAGCAACATATGAAACCAATCTGACATTACACAGATTGTACTTGCGTCCGGCCAGATTGTAAATGCAAATGCCAAGTCATATCCAGACCTATTCAAGGCTCTGAAAGGAGGTTCTAACAATTTCGGTATCGTCACTCGCTTTGACATGAAAGTATTCAAGCAGGGGAAGTTTTGGGGTGGCTTTATCGGGCAGGATATTTCCACTAGAGAAACACAGTTCAAGCTATTCGAGACTTTTGCGAAAAGCAAAGGGTATGATCCCTATGCCGCTTTCATCAACAGCTATAGCTTCAACGCACAATCAGGCTGGTTTATCGCCAGCAGCTTCGAGTACACGAAGCCGGAAACAAGGCCGCTGGTCTTCAAACCCTTCATCGATCTCCCGCAGACCTTCAACACAATGCGTATCTCCAATCTTACAGACTTCACAGTCGAATTGGAAGGGCGGAATCTCCCAGGACAGCGGCAGCTATTCGTCACGGGCACGTTCAAGAACAGTGCCGCTACGATGAAGCAGTATTTCGACTTGTCAAACCAGACGCTTCAGCCTATCAAGGATACTCCAGGCCTGTCTTTCAGTTTGAGCTTTCAACCACTGCCACAAGAAATTATAAATAACAAGCCTCCTGGCAACACACCCAACAGCGGCAACGTCCTCGGTCTCGGTCCCGAAGACGGAGATCTCACCAACGCACTTCTGACCGTGTCATGGTCTGACATTAAAGACGACGACACCATCAATAAGGCTGCACAGGACCTGTTCGTCAAGGTGAATGATGCGGCCAAGAAACTCAATACTTTCAACCCTTACCTTTATCTCAATTATGCCGCCAAATTTCAGAATCCGATAGGTGGTTACGGGCAGGACAGTCTGACCTTTTTGCAGAAAGTCAGCAAGCAATATGATCCTCTACAGCTGTTTCAAAACCTGGTGCCGGGTGGATTCAAGCTTAATGTGCCTGTGATCGCGGCGTGAAAGCAGCAGAGGCAGCGAATTAATGGACCGCTCATAATTCAATGAAAAATTAATTCACTTAATGAATGGTACAGCCTAAAAGTAAAGATAGACACATTCGACGATGCTGAAAGGGCGTATGACTGAGTTCGTTACTTTGGAAAGTTGGAGGTCCTGTGTATATAAATGCTCATCATAAACCGAGATTAATCGCAACAATTGCCAAAGAAGTCCAACTCGAAAAACAGTCACCAAGTCTTCCACGTTGCCAAAGAAGACAACAATCCCGAGCTACGACCAACCATCCTTCACTCACGTCTGCAGCGTCATTCCACCAATTACCTCCCAAGCATCCTTCGTCCTCTCCAACACCTGCTCCCTCAGCTTCTGTCCCTCCTCCCACCGCTGATCCCATTCCTTCGCCGTGCAGAACTCCGTCCGCGGCACCAAGTCCCGTGCGGAGATCTGTCCGTGCGTGAACTCGTGAGCTGATTTCTGCGTGAAGCTCATGAGTCGATCCATGATGATGCTGTGGGTGTCTCGCGCGCCATTCTTGTTACGAAGGGAGTGCAGGTTCTTAGCTGCCCTTGTGTAGTCCTTGGCTGCTTTGCTGTTGCCCTGCCTTGGACTGAGCGCGTTGCTGCTGCGAGGTAGCACGAATCGTTTGATTGCGAGTAGGATACAGCTGCGTAGGGCCTTACGATGATTTAGTATAGGCATGGTCACAGACCGAGTGATGTGGCGCTTTTTCTGCGGAAGGCACGCCGCTAATGCGTGGATCAGGAGGTCGTAAACCTGTTCTGGAGGAGGATCACACTCTGTTGGTTGTGTTCCGCATGATTCATAGAAAAAGATATGCGAGAGTGTCGGAAGATGTACACGAAAGAAGCCAGTGAGGTCGTGGTTACTTGAGCTGTGGCTAGAGGGTATGTAGATGCCGTGCTGTCGGCGAAGGAACGTTCGTATTTCCATGTGCGAACGATGGAGAATGGAGAGGAATATAGCTTCAGAGGCGAAAAGTGGATTACAAATGTCGTGAGATGGACCATTTGGAACGGCTCCAGGATTCTCCTCGGACTCAATACAGAGACTCTTGATTGCCACGGTGATAGGAAGAGCATCTACGACCATGTATGCCTCGAAAAAATTGAAGTCTGAGCCCTTTGAATGACGTTCCGTAGCGATTACGTTCATTGACTGTGGTAGCCCTTGCAGCACCGCAATGCGACCTGACCTTTCCTTCGAATCATCTGCCTCATTCTCGAAGGTTGTGACAAGGAAACGTTCCTGAGGTAGCCGACTTCGAAGGTACTTCTTCAATTGCTTTGCTTTCGCTGCCGAGTTGCCCTTTTTGATGTCGAACCAAGTAGAATTCGCTGCAAAAGAGTAGACCTCAATGTCCTCAAAATTGCTTCCAACGATCCTCTTCTGGCTGATTGATTTACAAAAGGTGGGTTTGCCAGCGAACGCTTGAGAGACTTTTTGATGTTCGGAAATCATGTCAGAGCTACAGGGCACAGGAAACGTCCAGGACTTAAGCCACTTCTTGAAATTTGGTTGGTCTGAGCAACCGAGGAAAAGGCATCGAGTTCCGGCCATGCAGATTTCCGCAACCAACGATGGATCACATAAATCGTACGCAACACGAGGACCAGATCTAAAGAATTTGAAGACATTACCAAGAAATATGATTGTCTTCCCACTGTATTGGGCCAGTACGTAGTCTGCGTCTGCGTCAACGGATTCTGGGTGGTATTGTAGCCCGCCGTACAGGCTACAATTCCATTCATCTGATTGCATTTGTAGTCCATCATTTATGAAGTTTTGAACTCCTTGGATGCGATTTCGAGCACATTCGGAGTTAGTAACCAGGAGAAAGTTAGCTGCCGGATTGAGGGTGTGATGGGTCGATAGCTGAATCGAAAGTTCAAACTGTTCTACCAAGTGCATCTCCACGTCATCTTGATCATCTGTTACAAGGCTCTGATGCGGTTCCGATAGATAAATGGCGACTAGAAGCATAGTCTCGCCGCAAGTTGGCACGTCGACGGCAATCCGGATGCTATGCTGAGCGACGAATAGGTCCGTGGCTGGAATATGGTGAATTTGGCGTTCGACATTATTTTGCCACACGCCTTCCGGTGATTGGAGTGACCCACGGTCTGCAGGGAAAGATGCTTGTAGCTCAACCCGCCGTCTATTGCTGGACGAGGCGCCAATGGCCACAGCACTTTTGTTGAATACCTTGCCATAAGTCAGCGAGATCTCACCATACGATAGGTTCATTAGCCGCAACCTCGACGGAGAAACGACTCATAGACCCAAGAGCCATTGTCGGAAGATGGCTGAAATTCTTCAGTTCAATAGGGTACTGTAAGTCGATGTCTCGAGTATAATCAAAAGCTGGTAAATTTCGATTTAGCCATGGCATTGTCGCCCTAATGGCGATCTTCTCCCTACGAAAAAACCGTGTCCCACGCACTTGGAGGTCAGCGGGCTGATGTATAAGGACCATAAGTGAGGAGTTGAGCGTAACTATGGTACCAGGGGTAATGGAACTTTGCATATAAGCAACACCATCCTCTCCATCAACTGGTAGAAACCAGTCTGAGGCCACAGCAGAAATTGGGATACGGCATTTTGGTGAGGGCATCCCACCTAATGAGATGTCAGTCCCAGCAAATGATTTCGGAAATTAAGCAGCCGGATATGAGGACTTCACCTCTGTTACGTATTCGAATACGACAAATTGAGACACGTTCTCCAGGCTCAAAGATCCCGTCTCCGTTCTCATCCTCAACATCGAAATCAACCAGCTCCAGGAGATATTGCGAACTGTATCGCTCGGTCCTGCCATTATGATACTTGACAAAGATACTCGCACCCCCGATGTCACCTTCCAGACCCGGAAAGAGAGGCTTCGTTTGTGTAGCACCTGGTCTCCCATCTCTACCGTTCCATCCGGCTTGGCGATGGAATTGTGAGTGGATAGGTATAGGTACGCAGCCTGCACAATTGCCATTCCCCCCTTTACAACGACAGCTGCCCGTATCAGTCGCTTGGTGCCTCCTAGCACCATATCGTGTAGCTGCTGCTGCAATCATAGCTTGCAAGTTGTTTCCTTCAACTGCTTGTGCCCTGATTGCGGCTACTATAGATGAACTGTCGTCAGTCGTTAGAAAGATGAACCATGCATTCAAGTATCTATCGCTTTAGACATACTTCGCACTACCCATAACAGAGCCTGCTCGCACTAGCGATGAAGATGTCGAATATCCTATGCAGCTTGAGGTACATCTGTATCTGTAACCCACTAGCTCACTCCTAGGCCAGAGAATCATTTTTACTTTCTTTTGCCAACATCAGATGACAGATCTCACCATTGATGGCCCACACCTCCATTTCCTCCTGTGCCTTCAGATCCTGGGTTGCCATGGCGGCCAGGCTTACCTCCCTTTCCACCACGAGTGTCCCACTGAACTGCAAACAAGAGATGTGTGTTATCCTCATCGATAGAGATCTCAACAGTACCTCCCCGACCTCCGTCTGCTCCATTGGTACCAAGTCCAGCACTGTATGCATATGGTCAATTCTCGTTTAGACTCATAGAAGACCGAATAAATAGAAAGGCGTGAGCTCACTTTCCGCCGTTCCCACCATTTGTTCCAGGCTTTAGATTATTAGATGAGTTCCTATGTTTAAGCATAGAGATAAGGCCTCACTGTTGCATCGACCTCACGAGTTGCATTTGTCCCGTCAATACCGTTCATGCCTGCTTGCCCGTTACTGCCAACCTGTCCCTCTTGACCATTGCCTCCTACAGCTGACAGAATCAAGTCCCTTCTTGCAGGCACCTCGATCGATTCTGGAGGCTCCACCCGGGATGCAAAGCCAGAAACCTCAACATGCACCCCCTCTTCGATCTGGGTCGACTCAAAAAGTTCGACAGCTATGAAACCTCCAGGTTCACCTGGAGTTGCGGCAGGTGCATGGATACCATGTTGTCCGTCCCTATTTGCACCATGCAACTAAGAACATAAGCGCCGAACGAAGGACAGCAAAGCCAAACACTGTGGAAAGCAACAAATGTTTCGCAATCACACGGTACTCGCTATGGTTGCGAACTAGGGACGAACTTACTCTGACTAGGGCTAGATTGTCATCCCTATTCATACCAGCATTGCGTGTGACAATGTCTCCATGCTCGCCGTCAACGCTAACTTTTGTCGTAGATGCCGATAGCAAGCCAGCCTTATCATCTTGCGCTGCCAGCAATAGGTCAAAGCCATGGTCATCAAGATAGTCTGAGGCCAAGTCTTGAGCCATCCAAAGAGTGTCGTATTTCGTACAGGTCTGGGAATCGCTGCATGGGGCAACTTGAATCAAAGAGCTCAAATCCTTTCGAACGTCGTGGAAGAAGTGCTTCTTATCACATGCAAGCTCCTCTCAGCCTTGTCTTGCTCAACTGCCAATTGTAGATCGCCACGACTAGCTGCATATAGAGGTGGTGTTGACGAGGCTGCGCTTACTGATATGTAAAACCTACCCCGCATTGAAGCAATACTGGTAAAGGGAAATATAGAACGCCTTATGGATATTTGCACTGCGAGACGTTTACTGTAATGGACACCGTGGAACTCGGGGCATTGCAAAGTACAACAAAACCGCAATAGCTGCAAATGCTCACCGGATTTCTACCTCGCAACCCTTCTAGGAATGACCCGTCAGGCAGTGAACTTTCTTTTACCGCACGAAAGTTGAGCACCAAGCTCAAAAGTCGACCAATCAATGACGTACAATCTCCTCGTGTTGCTGTGCACAGCACACCCTCCAACAATAGTATCGCCTCTAGACAATATGAGAATGAGCGCCAGCAAAGACTCATTGCAGCGCAGCGAGATCAAAGAGCTTGGTACGAAACCGTATCGAATGAAGCTTTCCAACAACGTGCACTGAACCGAGAGCAAGGTCAGCTAGCAAGAGATGAGCTTCACAGTCACGTAGAGAGTGAGAGGCGGGCGGGTGAGGAACTAAGACAACAGCAGGTCGGAATTTGCCGAGCGAAACTCCATGAACGAGAAGAGCAGAGACGACGCGAAGGGGAGAGAATTCGGCAAGAGAGGGCTGAAGCTGAAGCTACTTTGTTAGCCGTGATAGCCGCAGAACAGGAAGAAGAGCGAAGGCAGGCAGAAGAGGCGGAACGTTTAAGAAGGGACAGACTGAGGGAGTGTACTGTGTGCTTCGATGCGGACGATATGGGCGTGATGGTAGAGCTGGCATGCACCCACTGGTATTGCAGACCACACCTCCGAGGTAGCTCCTCACCCTGCTCTCAAAATGTACATCTCAATTCTGATCTTAATTAACCCACAGATGCCTTCCAAATCGCATGGGACTCTAGGAGTCCCTTTCAGTGCTGTGAGGATATCGTACCGCCGACATTCGCGGGAGATTTGCTGCCGCAAGCTTTCCATGAGCAGTATGATCTCTGGCTTGAAGAACGCGCGGAACCACAGCCGGCATATTGTTCTGACTCTAGGTGTGGAGTTTTTCTTCCTCGGCGCCTAGCGAATGGGCCCGATGAGATAAGGTGCAACCGGTGCGCAGGGTCGACATGTCGGCATTGTCGTAACGCCTTTCATCCCGGACGTGAATGTGCAGCAGACATCAGCACTCAGCAGGCAAGAAGTCTGGCTGGAAGGTTAGGATGGAAAGCTTGCCCTTCCTGTGCTAACATGGTGGAGAAAAGCAGTGGGTGTCTGCACATGCGATGTCGATGCGGGACACAATTCTGCTATCGTTGCGGACGACTATACAGTAGTTGCTTAGGTGCTTGCTGATGTACTCTGCCATATGCTAGTATGGAAACGAAGGACAACTCCGAGAATTTATAAAGCTTTGGCCAAGAGAAGACTAGAAGGGGTCACCCCTAGCTCGGATCTACCTCAAGATCGGATTTTTGAGCTTTAGGGGCAGGGTCTAAGGACTCCAATGCGCACTCTCCATCCTTAATGCGCAACCATCAGAACATCAACTAAAAATTCGCGCTAGGGGTGACCCCTTCTAGCCTGAACGCTAGAAGAGTTGACCTTGTGACCGGTCAGACATACCTATAAGCGACGGCTGTGAGAATGGGCAGGACCACATACTACTATTGCATATATCTAATACTAACTAGTCATTGGAAATGAATAGTCACTAGGCTTCTTCTACGTCGTTGTGATGGAAATAATGGATTTACACCGCTTTCATCAAAGCCATATGAACTCCTACAACGTAAGCGAAATGTTCTTATATACTCCTTATCATGATGGGTTGATTGCGTGTCTCTGTTTCGCTGCCCTACACAGTCTCAAGTCTGTATCATCTGTATCTGGAGTCAGATATCAGGAAAGGATACCATCGTCACCATGGCTAGCGGCGTGTTCGTAGGGTTAGCTCTTGGCCAAGCTCAGAATTGGTACCAGCAGCAATGTGCAGAGATGGCACACAACTTAGGTGGGCACGTCGTGAGTCTAATGAAGCCGATGCCGAGTCCCAATACAAGATGTACTTCGCAAGGGAGGTCGGATTGAATTACGTTCGAGACATAGAATGAAAAGATAATCGAGCAAATAAAATGGCTCGCAAGAGTGATTGCAACGGAAAATTTCAATGACGAGGAAAAGGTATTCCGGGAAGCGAGAGCTCGTCAAAGCGATAATCGAAGAGCAGAAGAGTGGTGGGAGGGAAACGAGTGGTTTGGTTTTAGGCGTGTTTTCGAAAGGGACTTACAATCACGGCTTATGTCTGGTAATTGATATATCCAATTACTCAAATGTTGGTCAGACTACTGGACGGTGAATGTTCTCATGAGACCTACCATTACTGTGCAGCCCCAATGATCGACAGCAGGCCCACAGTTCCTCGAGGTTAGTCACCTGCGAGAACATCACACCTACCGCAACGTTCCGAAAGAGGCTCTCCCATTGTCCTTGGAAGTTTCGAGTCATGCAAGCGCATGAGAACAAAGCATATGCCAGCTGCGGAATGTGCGCTTCTAGCGCACTACAGCCATCGGGAGTCGCGAGATCGAACAGCGGCTCCAGCAAGTAACGTCGTTTGATGTTCAGAATCCCTTGTCCCAACCAGTCACCACAGGCTCCGTTCAATTTGATCTTAATCACTTTTGCCTTCTCGTCCAGGCCGTATTCGAGGGGTAGCAGATCTTTCAGATGGTCTGCATAGAGTATGTCGAAGAGAATGTCAGTGTAAAACGGTTTTGCCATATCTAACATGGCTGAATGATAACCTGCAACTTCATAGTCGATGTACAACATATCTCTCTTGTAGTCCGGACCCCGCTCCTGGGACACCATAATGTTTCCACCGTGAGCATCTCCGAGACCGAACGTTTGTGGACAAGAGGAGGTCGCTTTTGAATGTAAGATACTGCTAGCCTTTCGAGAGATCTCGCCGAGAGAAGGGTAGCAATTCCCATTCACGATAAGTGGCATACAAAGAAAAGAGCTCAATGGTATTACAATTCCGTGGAATTCCACTCCATCGGCGTAGAACTCATTGAATCTTGCATTGCTTGCAAGGCGTTCATAATAGAAGCGATCTATCGGAGGGCTCTCCTGGAGATCTCCATCCTTTGCGGAGCTCTTCAGCGACCGGCGATACGCTCTTAGCATGTCTTCGGCTTTGATCAGCTCAATCTCCATGGTCATCGATGCAAGCTGCCGGTCGCTGCGGCCGCCTTGAATGAAGGACATCCTGAGTTCCGATTCTGTCTTACCCCTGAAATAGGGATACAATAGTTGGCCAGAGCGGTGAATCAAGGGTATCTGCACTCGTGGGTAGAAGCAGGCAGCTTTTTCAGCGCCCCAGCGCTCTTGCGGCCCATTTTTTGAGCGTTTACAGAATATCTTTACAGTCGCTGATTTGATTCCTGCATTGGGTGCTAAAGTAGCCACCCAATTAGTTGAATTTGAGGAGAATATTGATAAATTAGCACTAGATTCCGGTGACGATTCTTCCGCCTCAAGACTAGTCTGGACTCCAGATGGGAGACAACTCGCTTGGCTTTGCCATTTGGGTTCAAGGTTGGTTTTCACACTGTACGTCACACCATACATGACGAGCTCGCTATCATTTGCGCAAGCACAGACAGTAGAAAGTTGTATCCCTGCATTCAGCGCAGATAAGCGATCTGTAAGCCATTGCCGATGATGGTCGCTGAATCGAGGGGACCTAGCCAAAGTCTCAACCGTGGCGTACTGGTGGGCAACGGCAGCATAGTATTCTAGGAGGTGCTCTTGAATTGGCTGTCCGTAAGCTGCATCTCCATAGATCCAAACGCCTGACATGAGCAGGTCGGTTGTTGGCCCGAACACTGTCAGAGATTTGGCACTACCATGCCCACAAGATTTTGTGTCATCCTTGAAAATCCATTGGTCATGAAGGATACACATGCCATCCTCAATGCGGGACACTTGATGGATAAGGTAGCATTCATCACCTTCGGGCGTAGAGCTTTGGAATACACGTCTATCTTTATAAGATAAGATGTTTAGAGCGGTGGTGCGTGAGTTCGAGAAGTAGTCTATGCTCAGTATTTTTACTGACTTTCTTTGTCCAGCAGTCGTAAGCCCAGCAAATCGCACGGCATCGAAATCATCCCACCTTGCACTCGACGGGTTTGGTACCAGGAGTTGCGGGTATTCTTCATGCTTCAAATCGAGCATTTTCATCAAGTCGCTTCGGTGTCCGTTGACCAAATTAAAGATGTCTACCTTGGTCCCAAGTATCAAAGCGCCGTCCCAGTCTAAGGAGTCCCATCGTGCATCGTTTATTGAAGCGAGATAGACCCGGCTACCCCCGAAAAGGGTTGCTAGAACTTTGACCTCATCGAAATAACAGTGTTCCAAGACGAATTGTTCTTCCATTGTTGAACGCAGCGGCTCTGTGTCCTGCAACATGGATCGCAAGGCTATGGAATCTGGTCGTCGGAGCGTCTCTCAAGCTGTGAAATGAGGCAGTACTACTGGGAAAGACTCCTTCTCTTGCAGCATGTCTGTACGTGTCCGTGGTTTCATATAATATGCAACCTTCGCCACTCCAAGGGTGTTGATGTTTCAAAGTGTATTGACCAAGACATGGTGTGGCGTGACCTTTTGCAAGACCCGAGCACGCTGCTCCGAGGTAATTCTGAAGTCGACCAGAAATCTTTGAAGGATTATCACATCAATTGCTTGTTTCAGACGCCACATCTCTTCATTCAAGTATGGGCTGACTGCTCGTAGTGCTTCTTTACCGGACCAACAGCTGTGGTATCACAATACCTTCCTTCTTGCGGTTTCCAGCCTTCTGTAAGTGCTATACACTTAGCTCAAATCCAGGTGTGTCACAAGTGCTAGACGCCTATTCTTGACTTCCAAATATGGCACTCACTGTCTCTTTTAACGGCGCTGATAACACTGGCAAGACCACCCAGATTGGGCTATTGCCGCATGCTTTTGGTATTATGTTCGCAGGGAGCCTTCATGACTGCGACACGAAAATGAGTCAAGTGGTCCAATCAGGGAAGTTCCGGGATTGGTGGTGGGATAGTACAGACGAAGACTTTGTATGTACAATTTTTGGTGCTTTAGGCCGCCGGTACTGGAACTCGCTGGCGGCTGAGCATATCAGCATTATTGTGTTCGATCGAGGTACCACAATGTTTCACGCCGTCGCTGTTGCAATGCTTGCGATCAAGCGGGAGGACCACGACCTGATTCGGGCACGTACAAGGCTGCGTGAAATACAGCGGCAATATGCACTTCGAGTTCCTCAGGAACAGCTTGTCATACTTCTAAAGCATGGCAAAAGCTTGGAAGAGTCGGTCAATATAACAGTTCAGCGTGAGGACGGAGCTGTCGACGAGCGTTATTTCCAATACCAAACTCTGCTTCAAACTGAACTTCAGCACCAGGAAGATGAAGGTCTTTATCAGCACATTGTCACCATAGGAGAGCAAGAAACTCACGGCGAAGTCCAGAAAAAAGTCCGCGAAATAATACTGTCTCGGACTCACGATTCGCGGTTTGCTCCTATGTTGCACGGTCTGACTCGCATCTACGCTTTTGGCGGCCTTTCAGAAGCCGGAAAAAGTAGTCTCGCTCAAGGCATGTGTGATCTTTATGGCTCGAAACTCGCTTTTCGCAGTAAAATTGTTCACTTTGACGACATGGCGAGCGAAAAATTGAAGAAAAGTATTTACAGTCTTGACGAGAAGGAGCAGGCACTATCCTTGTTGCATGAACTCGAAAGTTTTGCACATCGGCATTACTGGCTCAAGATCATCACTATCGAGAGTTTGCACCGCAACACCATGACCATGTGGCTCAAAACATGGCTAGGTGACAAGCTGCAGATCATATTTGTAGATACAAGTGATGATAGAAGGCTTGAGAGATCCTGCGATCCGTACCGCGTCATGATGTCCAAAGACATGGTCAAGCGAGAGCGAGGCGCCCATCTGATTCGTGGACATGCTGATCTGATATTGAATAATGACGGCACGTTCGAAGAGTCCATGAGGAGGCTGACTGCGTTTGCCAATCTCAACGTGAATATCTAGCAAGGAACTCTATGGTCCAGATAATTTGCTAGTGACCCTTCTACGCCAACTACGTTTGCCATGCGCTGATGTTTCCCGAATTGACGTGGTAGTAAGCACAACATTGGGATATTAGGACTTTGATTAACTTGACTGGGATGTCATGCACTCAGGTTCTGTCAAATAGAAAGCATACAATGATGGTGAAAATGAAAGTGACTGACAAAGATCAAGATTATTGAGGTTTTTAGTGTACCGCGGGTGAAATGTCTTTCAATCCCTCCCTTTGTGCTTGCCGCATTCGGTACTGTTCCAATGAAAGGCTAAGTATCAATCTTTTCTATCTGTCATTCCGCCGTCAACATTGACTTTTCGACATTGTCAGATCCGTATCCACTCCCTTTGACGATGTTGATCGCTCGCTGCACCAATTCTCGATCCATTTTGAATGTTAATTTCTCCACCGCTTCATCAAACCCATAGAATTCCACCGAGAACTTCTCCTCGCCGGGCCCGCGTTCCCCCTCTGGAGCCTTGTCCTCGTCGACCACAGCTATGAACCACCAAATCAGCTTCAAATCTCCTTCAGGTTGTAAATGGCGAATCTGGAGAGTGAATGGCTCCGTAACCCCTTCGTAAACGTGGAGGACGTCTCCAACAAATCGGTCTGTCTCTATGGCAGGGGGTGCGCGACTTCCTAGCGTCACAGGGAGAAGGCGACAAACATAGCCAGTCTCTTCTTTCACTTCGCGGATGGCTGCTTGCTGCCGACTTTCACCGATGTTACGCCTTCCTTTAGCTAGGACGTACTCGTCGCGGGCAACCAGGTGAAGTAGGCAGATCCTCTTTGTGGAAAGTTGAAAGAGGATGGCGCCGGCGCTTTCGACAAGTTGTTCGGAATTGTGCTGTGTGCTTCTGAACTGGGAGGAGGCCATGCTGATATCTATGAAGTTGTGTAGTGTTGATTATTTTGACCGTTATAACTGTAAGACGTGTTAGCTCGATAATTGTCCGAAAAGGGAAATTTCTTGTGTGGGTGCGGCTGACACTTCTTTCATCAATCGGTCGACTTCATGAATTGCCCATGTTATTGATCAATGAGTGGCTAAGAGCAGAACTTTTGAACTACATTGCATAAGGTCCGTCTACTTGTGTTACAGATTTGCACAGATTCTTAGGAGCAAAATCAATAGGGAAGGGAAATAAGAAGTAAAGTAAAAAAACAAAACTTGAAAGATTTTTTTCAAAAAAGGGAGTAAATAAAAATAATTATAATACTAAGAAGTAATTGCCCCAGAGAGCGAAACCCTTAGGAAGGAGAGAGGAGGTAAAATAGGAGGGAAATTAAAAAGGGGGGTAGGAAAGAAATAAGAAGAGTAGTAAAGAAAATAAGAGGGAAAATAAAAAGGGGAATAAGAGGGGGAGTCCTCTCGCTCTCCTCTCTTCCTTCTTTGCTTTACGCTAGTTCGCTCCGAAACCATCAATGTTAACGCTAAACCAATAGACTAACTTTAAACAACTCTCCGCTCTTCCTCTTCTTACCTCTCCCTCTCTCTCCTTATAGGCTCTTTAGGCAAAAGAATAAAACAAGGTTAAGATTAAATAAAAGAAGAGAGAACAAGTAGATTAGGAAGTATTATTATAAGAATTTATAGTAAAAATAATTATTATAAATAATAATTAAAAAATAAATAAAATATATAATTAAAATAGCTAAAAAATAAATATAAAATAAAATAGGTTTTTTAATTTTAATAACTAATTTTATTAAAGTTATTAGCTATATTATATATTACTATTACTTTTTATAATAATTTTTTTTTAGCTAGGAAATACTTTTTAATAAATTTTATTTCTAATTTTAATATTAATATTTTAAATTAAAGTTATAAAAAGTTTTAACTTATTTAAAAATAAATTTAATTCTACTACTATACTAAAGCTTTTTTTTATTATTATTATAGTTTATTTTATTATAATATTAAAGATTAAATTATTTTTTTATTTTATATTAATATTAATAATTAATATAATATATATTAATTAAAAAGCTATTTTTATATTTGTTATCTATAACTAAAAAGTAAAAAGCTTTTTAATAATATTTAATAAAATAATATATAAAAAAAAGCTAAATAAATTATAAAATTTTATTTTAAATATATATAATAAGTTTTTTCTAGTAATAATATATATAATAATAAGCTATTATAATATAAACTTATTATATTTAATTAATAAATTATTTTTTATAGTTTTTATCCTTATTAAAAAAGTAAAAACTTTTTAAAGTTTTAGTAGTATAATATATAAAACTTTATTACTTATATATTATAAGATTTTATTCTATAATATATATATAATTAGTTTTAATAATAACTAGTTAAATTCCTTTAAAGTATATTTTATTAATAGATAAATAAAAGCTTTATTTATATTTTCTTATTTTTAATAGCTTAGAGCTACACTATACTTTTAGGGCTTAATTTTAAATAGCTTTGCTTTTACTTACATTTTCTTAGTAGCTAATAGCTCTACTTTTACTTTATTTTCTTAGTAGCTAATAGCTTTACTTTTACTTAAATATTTTTATAGCTAATAGCTTTATCTTTATTTATATATTCCTAGAGTATAGCTTCGCTTTTACTTAAATGTTTTTATAGCTAATAGCTTTACTTTTACTCAAATATTTTCCTAGCTAATAGCTTTATATTTACTTACATATTCTTAGTAGCTAATAGCTTTGCTTTTACTTCTATAATTTAATAACTAAGAGGTTTATTCTTAGCTAATTATATTTAATAATAATAGAAGCTAAAGTAGTAGAAAGTTTATACTTCTAGCTATTATAGGAAGAAGATACTAATAGTTAAATATAAATTTTACGCTAGTTAAGTCTATTTAGTAGGCTATAGTTTAAATATAATTTTAGAGGGTGCCTAGCCTATCCTTTATATTATAAGTCTATATAAATTTAATAATTTAATAATAATTTTATAATTTTACTCTACTATATTAATTTATCTATTATAATAGCTAGTAAAATATAATTAAATAAAACGTATATTTAGACTTATTAATTATAATTAAATTATAGTTTTAGCTTTAGTAATTATAAATTATAGAATAAGTTTTAGCTTAGTTTAGTATAAATTACTATTACTAAAAAATAGATTTTTTAATAAAGAAACTATATTTAAAAAAATCTATAAAAATCTAATTTATATAGCTATATAACAAATAAAGGTTATAAAAGTAGAAAGAGGGTAAAAACTTATTATAATTTCTTAGTATAATATTTAATAAAAGTTAAAAAGTAAATTACTTTACTTTTTAAGCTATTATTAAAACTATTAATAATATTTATTTATATTAATTAATAAGACTTTATTTAAATATTGCTTATTTAATACTATTTTATTATTTAATATTTTATAAATATACTTTAAAAATAAAAAGTAAGTAAATTAACGCTTTTTAATACTTTCTAAAGCTATTAATAATTATATAATCTTCTAATATTAAAAAGCTTAACTTTATAGGGAGTAAAGTATTACTATTATATAGTAATATATTATATATTAAAGTAAATAAGGTTAGACTATATATATATAAAGGAGATAGAAGTAAGTAAAGGCAAGTAATAGGAAATAATAGGTAATAAAAGAAAAAGATTAATAAGTTTAGCAGTAAAGAATTAGAATATATAAGAATTAAATTTCTATACTTTATACTAATTATCCTATATATAATAAGAAACTTAGCTACTATAGCTTATTAATATACTATTATATCTTCTTATAGCCTTAGACTCTACTCTATAATATTTTACTATAAAAACTTATTTAATTCTATTTAAAAAAGCTTTTTCTATATATAAAAGTTTATTTTATTACTATTACTAAAGTTAACTTAGTATTCCCTTTATAATTAGCTAGTATAGAGTACTTTTATTAGTTATTTATTTATATTTTTATTTAAATAATAATAGATAATATAAAACTAGAAGTTAATAATACTAGTATACTTTTTAGTTTTAAAATAAAAAAAGCAGATAAATACTAGCTTCCTATCTAGTTTTATAAAGCTATATACTTTAAGTATAGTTTTATTAATACTAATAGTAAAGAAAAGGTAAAAAAAGATAATTTTATAGGTAAAGTATTTCTAGTAGTATAGCTTTAATACTATATTAGGGGTAAAAATACCTTTTGCTATATAGAAGACTATAAACTAGAAGTAGTAAACTTTATAAGTTATAAAAGTAATATACTAAATTATTTTATTAATATCTATAAATATATAATTAATAGGAACCTAACCTATATTAAATAAAATAAAGTATAGATAGTATAGTATTTTAAAGGGACTTACCTTAATCTATAGAGATTATAGGCTTTATTAAAATATTTTTATTATTAAAAATTAATTATTATTTTTTTAAATATTATATATATAATATAATAAGGTTAATAGTATATATAGAAACTATTTATTATTATATAATTTTAGTATTCTAAGAAATTATATAGCTAGAAAACATTTTAAAGCTAGTTATTAAACTATACTTTTATTTTTATAATAGTTATACTATAATCCCTAATATTTAATTCTCTATAAGTACTATATTTATTAAAATAGTTGTTTTAACTAAAATTATATAAAATCTCTAAAAGTTTAAGATTTTTATAGCTATTTAATAATAAAATATATATCCTAATATAGCTTTGCTTTACCTTTTATTATATTAATAATTTCTTATAAATATAGTTAAAAACTTTTTTAACTTTTACTATTAGCTAACCTGCCCTTTTTAGTTATTTAAGGTTTTTCTTAAACTATTTAATACTATCTATAAGGGGTAAAAGAGGCAGGGATAGGGAATTAATTATTTACTACTTTATAAATTCCTTATTAATATTATACTTTTATTTATAGCTAGGTTTTAGATTTAATTCCTCCCTAGTAAAGGAATAAGAAGTAAAAGAATAGGGGTTAATATTAAAAGGCCTTCCTATTATTTAAGTCTAATAATTACTATAATCTATAAAAGGATTTACTATAAAATTAAAAAAGCTATCCTAATTAGTAGAGTTTTTAAAGAGTAGCTATAGAGACATTATTGCTAGGGGTATAGAATTTAGCCCTAGTATAAAGCTTAGGGCTTAAAGTACTAGGCTATTATATTTATTTTAAAGGACTTAATAGTAGAATTTACCTAATAATAAACTTATATAATTTTTTAAAAAGAATAACTATATATATAAAAGCTTAAGTAGTCTAAGAATAAAATTAAAATAATAATTAAATAGTATATATATTTATATTTAAGTTAATATTATTAGTTACTAATACTACTACTATAGTATTAAAGTTACTAGTTAATAATAGCTTTATCTAATCTTATAGAAGTTAGCTTAGTATAAAAAGTTAAATATAAATAATATAGCTTCTTACTATTTAAGTATAAATAAGGGCTAGAATAATAGAATATAGTAAAATTTAATAAAGAGTATTAAAAAGCTAGCTCTATAAAAATATTATTCTAGTATTATTAGTAATATAAAAAACTTTTAATACTTCTAAAGTTCTTTAAAAATAAGTAAAAATAATTAATAAATAATAGAAAAACTTTTATTATTTTTATTTTTATTTTTATTAAAATTAATATTAATAAAATATTCTAGTAATTTTAAGCTTAAATATTTTAATAATTTATTTAAATATATTCTTTTAATATAGCGCTTTAAGTTAAACTTTTTATTAAATACTATATTATATATTACTACTATTTTAAAGTTAATTTTATAATAATAGAAATAATAATCTTTTTAAGAAAAAAAAAAGTATATTAATATTTATAAGTATTAAAGAAAAAAAGTTTAAATATTAATCTATTATTACTAGCAAGGTTAAAAAAGGAAAAATAGCTTAT